CGTTTGCACGTTCAAACCGATGGCCACGTTCATAAACACTACGTCAAATGACATTGAAGTTTGTATTTGTCCGGCGGGAATGCATCCCGATGACAAACCAGGTCGTGCGTCGACGAAGAAACGACCAAAACGCATCTACGAAGAAGTTTTCGAGAATCAGCGCAGAATACCCCTCGCTGGTTTTTCGTCAAAACATTTGATTCCCACCGAACGCAAAGCGTGGTCAAACGGTCAAGGAGCTAACAGCACGAACTCAATCGACGAGTTCACTACAAGACTGCTGCCTGCAGATTTCAAGTGGGACGGCCAGTGGGAAGTGCACGTCGGTGAAAACACCGATTCGGAAGGCTGGGCATACGCGATAAATTTACCAGATCTGAAATATCCGTTTAGCGACAACCGACAGCAAGGCCCTTTATCTATGGTGCGCATGCGTCGCTGGGTTCGTCGACGAGTGCCTATCGAAGAAAATCGACCAGTCGTGCTCGACGCCGAAGATGACGCTGCGCTTCGTCAGAGTGTTGTCGTCAAGCCAAATGAAACCGTGGGATTGATTCCCGCGATTATTGGACCGGATGCCCGAGCGGAACTGTTTGTGCGTAACATCACATTGCGAGGACAATCATCATGGGGGGCAAATGTCGACGACCATGGAAGCACGTGGTCTTGTATGATTCATAGTGCCATGGAAGGCGCCGAAATTGCTTGCACAACCGACGCTGAGGGTAAAAACAGATTCATCGGCATTCAAGTCGAAGCCGACGCGGTCACACCTGACTGTAAAGCTGCAGATGATGGTACAGGTTTCGAAGACTGTGAGCTATTGGAAGACGGATATTACAACCTCAACCCAGAGGCAATGGAGTGGAAAATCACTGCCGGCGCTCCGCACATCATCACAAATCATTCTCCGCATACGATGACGCTGACTGTGTTTCAAGGACAAGTAGATACACCGCTGAGCGTCAAGGCGATAAGCACTGCGACCATCACCCCTTGGAACTCTCTACCGATACACAGTGTGCATCCTGAAACGCCGTATTACTTGCGTCTCGCGCTTGATGATGGTTTCGAAGTCATGGTTCCTCCGAGACGTTTGATACCAGTGTCCCCGATGGCGGTCGAAGCGTTGGCGTCAGCCGGAACACTGGATGCTTTTGATGCTTTCGAAATGCCATTAACTGATGCAGTCAAAACTGATGATGATGCGACTTCGTTAGATGAAGTGAATTTGCGGAGCTCAGACGGAAGGACTGCGGTTTTGGACGCACGCACTGACTTTGGTTTCCTCTCGCGCTCTGCGCGCAAAACAGTTTTCTCCGCATCCTTGATCATAGTGAACAAAAGCGGTGTCAATCTCGCCATTAGAACTTCGACGATGGAAATACCGTCAACGGATGAGGATTCGTCTATTTCTAAAGTCAAAATGGTCGAAACTTACGCTCCAAAATCCAAGAGAGGCATTCAATCGCTTCATCATTGCGCGATTCGCAAAGCGCCAAAGGAGAACCAAGTAATCATGCTTGAAGTTGGCATCGACAATTCGAACGCTCACGTACATTTATCGCCTGGCATTCCCATAGATGAACGCGAACTTCTTCGTGGCGCCGTCGTCGTGCGAGCACTTTGCAAAGATGGTTCTTTCTACTCTCTCACGGTGCGAATGGAAACTGGCAGTGAATACTCGAAGGAGGGCGCGCAGGTTGTTTTCATTGAGCCGCGATGTACGGTTACGAATCAAACTGGCATGGATATTTTGCTGGCTCAAAGTTCTGATGACAAAGACGCTTCCGCACTAATTTTGAAGGCGACTGATATCACCGTGCCTCTGAAGATGCAAACCGCGAACGACGACGGTTTGGTTCGAATCAAACTTCCACACGCAAAATGGTCTGCTCCGATAGACTTGTACGGCATCAAGACGATCAAGGATTCCATGAAAATCCCGATACGGAGTTCAGTCAATCCCGAAGAGTTCGATTTGTTGAGTTTACATTTGGATACGTCAAAACTCGGAGTGTCAAGAGTCAGCTGTGCGATCGAACCTCGTTTCACCGCAAACATTCTCATTGAGAACGCCAGCGATGTCGATTTCGTCGCCTTCAGACAAGCTTGTGCGATTGAAGACAATTTGGAAGCGTGGATCGTGGTACCTCCGCAATCAGCGAAAGCTTTCGCGTGGTCTCGACCGCGAGATGCGAGAAAACTTGCAGTGCGAGTGCTTCAGAAAGGCTCGTTTCAAAGTTCGATTCAACGCGTCTATGATTTCGACCACTTGGATCTCGGAACAGAGAACGAAATGTTGCCCGGTTTGCCCGTACCAAAGATCGAGCTGAAGACGACGGCGGAACTCGACATTGACGGTGGTGATTCAGTTTACTTCAATTTCCTGCCGGTCACCCGTCGGTTAAGAAGAGGAAGGCGTATTGTGCGTATCAAGTCATACGGCAGCTCGACAGTCTCCAAGCATTTGGTCTCCGCAAGCCGCGCGAGCTCGACGGAGTCGCGCATCTCAGTGCTTATCACAGAAAGCAGCCTTGCTATTGTCGATGGTGCGATGAGTGAAATTATCAATTGCACTACCAGTGGCGTTGGTTTCGAGTATCTCTCAGGCGTCGGTGGGGGAATTGAACGCATGGCACTCACGGTGAAATCATTACAAGTCGACGATATGAATGATGGCTCTCAGTATCCTGTCGTCGTGCGTTTGCTTGGGGACACGCGAGAACATTCATTCTTGACCGTTAAAGTGGTCACCAAGACATCTGCTGGGTTGGAAATGCGCATTTATCCATTCATCGACGTTACCTTCGCTCCGCTTGACGTGCAACTCGCCGTGCACGAACCGCTCATTTGGCGACTGGTAAACTTTTCAGAGGTGATGAACACGACGTCATCAAAAGATGGAGGAGAACGTCTCGAAGTCGTCAACCTTCCGATAGCTATCGGTAGCTTCCACGTGAGTGAACTGAAATTGCGATTGCGATTCCGTTCTGCGCTTTATTCAAGGCCGAAGCACGCGATGCCTGCTTTTATGGCTGGCATGGCTTTCGTAAACATCGATGACGGTCAATTGTATCTGCATGCGCTTCGAGTAAGGAGAGTGCGCACGCTCGAGCAAGCCTTCATGAGGATGATATCGGATTCTTACTCTCGACAAGTCGCCAGACAAGCACTCTTGTTGCTCGTCGGTGTCGATGTTTTGGACTCGTTTTCACAGGCGCTTAGTCAGGCGTCCGCGGGAGTCGCCGCTTTAAGTCTTGACAAAAAGTTTTCGCACTCTATGAACGCTACGCTTGGACCCGACGCCCAAAAGGCTGATTCCATCAAAAATGGTTTAGCTTCCGGCACCGAGATGCTCGCCAAGGGCGTCTTCCGAGGTTTTACCGGGGTTTTCCGAAAACCGATCGAAGGTGCTACGAAAGGCGGCGCGCTTGGCTTCGTCAAAGGTGTCGGTAAAGGTTTGGTTGGAGCCGTGACGCAACCCATCGCCGGCGGTTTAGCCGCCGTAGGTCGAACTGCGGAAGGTATTGCGTCGGGTGTCGATGGAGTGAAAAGTGCGCTTGGCGTTAACTCGTCGGCGCCGCAACATCGAATTCGGGAACCTCGCGCTCAGCATGCCGACGGTATTTTGCGCACGTACGACGCGAACGCCGCGCGCTCGCAGCGCGCATTGCGGACCGCCGAGCGAGGAAAGTTGGGCGGTGGAATCGATGAAGTGTTCACACACAAAGGGTACTACGGCCGAGACAAGTATCTCGGAAGCGTTGAGGTCAACTCGAGGGCTTATTTGATCGTTCTCACCGATCAGCGCGTGGTGACGTTGAAACGAACGGCGGCAGACAAGTACGTCGCCCTTTGGCACGTGGGATGGCACGAGTTACTTCACGTCGAAGTGCAAGCCCCGGCGAATTGTGTACTGCACCTAAAAGAGTACAGTCGAAAGAAGCGACTTTTCGAAAAGCAACGAATCACACGTGTGATCAAAACGACTCCTGGTACGAATCAACCGGAGGAGCTGACGGCGATGATTGCAGACGAAATGACGCGACGATCAAACTCAAAGTTTGATGAGGACGAGTACGACGACGACGGCGAACCTCTTCCTCCATACATGCCTTGTGTCAACTGGAAATGCGTGGTAAGCCGAGGTCAGACGTGTTTTTGGGCACCCATCCCACCAGTAGATAAGTACATCGCGTTCGGTCACGTCATCGGTGGCACAAATCCTCCGTCCGAGCCTGTGAGTATGGTTTTACGAAGCGGCGGCAACAGCGTTGTGCTCAGTCCACCAGTTCGATTTGAGCTCATATATCGCGAGCAGTCCGATTTTACGGTGTGGATGCCCGTGGCTCCCGCGAGATTCCGCGCCCTTGGTGCCGTCGTCGTCAAAGGTGTCGAACCGCCCAAGAAAGACCTGGTCACGTGCGTACGAACGGATTTCCTCACGTTGGCTCCGTTCGACGACGACGCGTCGTGGATGCCCGAAGTGGACGAAACGATGCGACGATCGGATCGTAAGCATTTTGAAAACGCAAGCATGTGGTCTATTGACAACCTCGGTCGAACGTTCATAGCGACTAGGTCTCGAGATTGTCCTGATGGACGTTTTGCTTTGGATGTGCTCGACGCGCACGGCGACGACGACCGGGCGATGATTTGATGGACGATTTGATGCACAATCACTTAACCGACGCCGACGATGTGAGTTCTCGCGAAACTCAGCGACACATTTGATTTCCTATCCTACTTGTAAAATTACATCGCTAGTGCTACGCTCGGGCTTTTCGGTTCGATATCGTCACCGCCAAGACGACGGCGCTCAACGCCGTGGCGGCGACGAGCGCGCACTCGACTCGAGACCAATCTCGCGATGGCACCACCGAAGACGAAATACTTAATTCTTCGGGTGATTTCGTTGACGAAGATGATGATTTGAACTTCTTCGCCACCGCACGCGTCTTTTTCTTGGGCGCAATCATGTCCTCCATGTCCGGCGCATCGGGCGTCTTTAGCGCGAGTTGCCCGCACGCCCCGGCGATGTCTTGCCCCATCTCGTGACGCACGGTGGTGAACAAATCGAACTCCGGCGACGTCAAAATTTCCAACATTTTTTGCACCGCCTCGCGCGTCGGCGGCACGTGCCCAGCCGGCGTATCCGTCGGGTTCAACGGTATCAAGTTCACGATTACCTCCTTACCGCGCAACAGGGCGCCGAGCTCTCGCGCGCACGCCTCGTCGTCGTTCACGCCTCCCAAGACGCAATACTCGATCATCGTCTTCATCTTTGGTCCACTGGCCATGTGCTCATCCAAAGTCGCCATTAAATCCTCCAATTTGTACGCCGTCGCCGTCGGCACAATCTTTTGTCTCAGCGCCTGGTTCGGCGCGTGCAGCGACAGCGCCAAGCGCGTCCCCGGCGCGTCTCGCCGCAGCGTCCGCATCCTCGGAATCACCCCCACCGTGCTCACCGTTATTTTCGCCGGCGACAATCCAAACCCCTTATCGCTCGTCATCGCCTCGATCGCGTCGATCACGTTTCTGTAATTATTCAACGGTTCGCCCATCCCCATGAACACGACGTTTCTCACCGCGTCGCCTCGACTCGCGTGCGCCAACTGTTCACAAATCTCCCCCGCGCTCAGATTCCCGAGCTCTCCGAGCGTTCCCGTCGCGCAAAACGTGCATCCCATCTTACATCCGACCTGCGAGCTCACGCACAGCGTCGTCCTTCCCTTGGCGTGTCGCATCACGCACGCCTCCACGACGTCCCCGCCCGCGAGCTCCACGATCATCTTCGTCGTCGTCCCATCCCCCGACCGCGACTCGTGTCGCACTTTCGTCGTGTACAGCACAAAGTTCGCTCTCAGCGCGTCCACCACCGCGCGCGGCAGCCCCAGCGCGCGCACGTTCTCGACGTCATCGAGCGTCATCGCGCCGCCGCGACACGCCACCGCGCAGCGATGTCGCAGCGTCTTCGCGTGTTTCTCCGCCTTTTCCGCGTCGCACGACGCGCGTTCGCGCACGAACGCGACGAGCGCGTCGCGTTCGAACACCCCGCGGCGCGCGTCGCGCGGCGGCGGCATCGCGCGCGGCGGTGTCGGGCGTCGAGCGCCGCCGCCGGTTCGTTTCGCGTCACCGCGCGGCGCCGACGCGCGGTCGTCACGGCGTCATGGCGGGGACGATCGGCGGGGCGTCGACCGGGTCGGTTTTCTCGTACGTCGTCGACGCCGTCGGTGGACGGTGGAAGCAGAACTTGGCTGGGGCGATTCTGAGCGGTGGTATCGTGATGTTTGGCAGATTTCACACGGCGAAATCGCCGAAGACGGGGTACGCGTGGTTGATTTTCATGCTCACGTTTTTAATCGTCGTGAACGACGGCTGGAAAGTCGTCGCGGGGGACAACGTGATTTCTCACAGTTTCGAAACGGCGCTGTGGCGCACGGTTCACGTGGCTTTGGGGTGCGTCATCATCGTCGCGACGTCGCGCGTGGTGTTTCCGAATTACGCGCGTAAGACGTTACGATTACAAACCGGCGTCATCGTCGGCAGTCTCTCGAGCGCGTATCACGCGCTGACGATGAATCACATCAGCGAAGGAGACGACATTCGCGAGGTGAAGCTCGACGAGTGCGTCGCGATCGCCAAGAGCATCTCCGCCGCGCAAGCGCTCCTGTACCCCGCAAGCGCCGAGGCGTATTTACGCGAGAGCGTGAGGCGCCAGTACTTTCAAACGACCGCTTGGACGAATCTGCTGAAAGAATTAATGAGGATCTCATCCGTCATCACCGCTTTACAGGTGAATACGATGGACGAAGAGTTCGTCGGCGTCGCGAGCGAAGACGAAGAGCTACGTGAAATCCTCGTCTCGCTTTCTCGCTGGATCGTCGAATCTTTGCTCATCGTCAAAACGCTGTTGACGCACTCCACGAGCTCACTCATGTTTCACGATTTGACCTTGTCTGCGCGCATCAGACGCGCCGTGCCGAGACGAACGAGCGGAGAGGCGTCGCGAATCGAAAGGCGCCGCGAGCAAAGCTTCCTCGCGCCGTCGACGACCAACCCGGATCGAAGCGTTCGCTACGCCGGCGTCCTCTCCGCCTCCCTCGACGCGTACCTCAACGAATGGACCGTCGTGACCACCGTCGTCGGCGAAGACGACGCCGACGGGATCGCCACCACCAAACCTCCCGTCGTCGTCCCCGTCCTCTCCCTCGCCGACCGCTCCGTCGCCGCGAGCGCGCGCGTCGAGCGTCGCGTCCGCCACCTCCGCGCCCGCGCCTCCGCCTCCCGCACCGTCGGCGCCGCCGTCCGCGTCGGCGTCGGTCGTTCCGTCGTCGACCGTGCCGTCGTCCCGCCCGCGTCGTCGTGGAATGTCACCCGTGGAAGCGGGCGGTCGACCGCGACCGACCGCGCCCATCGTTCGCGTCGCACTGTTTGCCCACTGCGCGCCGTTTCGTCGTCGAAAACGTCGCTTCGCCTGCCGTTCGGGTCGACACCGACCGCGCGACGGTCGTCACACGCGCGCGCCGCGACGCGCGCGCGACGACCGACGACGACGCGCGCGCGCGATGTCGACGAGCGTCGTCGACGCGCCGCGCGCGTCGAGCGCGAACGCGACGCGCGCGGACGCGGTCGCGCGGTCGCCGCCGCGCGACGACGACGGCGGGGCGATGCTGTTCGTCGTCGCCGCCGCGCTGATGGCGGTCGTGGCGTGGATGCTGGTGTGCCTGTGCCGAGTGAAGCGCGCGAAAACGCGCGCGGCGGCGATGGAGGCGCGCGCGGCGGCGGAGGCGCGGCGAAGGGCGCTGGAGGAGAAGGAACGCGCGCACGAGGCGTGGAGGGGGCGATGCGCGGCGTTCGCGATGCCGGGAGGCGAGGTGATGATCGCGATCGAGACGCGCGACGACGACGACGACGACGACGACGAGACGATCGAGAACGGTGACGACGCGCGCGCGCGCGATGCGGTGACGTGCGTGGTGACGCTGCGCGAGGCGGGCGACGACGACGACGCGAAGACGACGGGCGACGACACCAACGTCTAATTCGTCGTCGTCTCGCGTTATACACTACTGTACTCTCTATCCGACGCACAAACGCTACGACTACGATCTATTCTTTACCTCGCGCGACGCCGCCGAGGCGCGCGCCGAGACCACTGTAACCACTGTAACTCACCGTTCCGCCGTAACCGCGCGTTCCGCCGCTCGACCGCTCGAAACTCTTCCCGCGCAACGGATTCCTCGCCGACATCCCGCTCAGCGTCGCGCGCGCGACGGGATTCTCGTTCGCTCTCTCCTCGCCGTCCTCGCTCTTGAACGCTCGATACACCGCTCGCGCGAGGTTCGCGTCCCGCCTCGCCTTGGCCTCGGCGTTCGCGCGAATCGCCTTCGCCTTCGCCTTCACCGTCCCGTCGTCGTCGTCGTCGTCGTCGTCGTCGTCACGCGTCGACTTCGCGCGTTTCCTCGCGCGCGTCGTCGTCGTCGTCGTCGTCGTCGATCGCGCGCGCGTCGTCGTCGCACCGACGATTTCGTAATCTCTCTCGCGCGCGCTTCCCAATCCCGCGCGGTCGCGCTTCACGCGCGCCTCCACGGGCGCCTCGCGCCCGCGCTCGCGCGCGCCCAGTCCCCCGTGTCCCTTGTACCCGCACGCGCGCATCAGCGCCGCGCCCTTGGCCGAGAAGCGCTCGGACATCGTCGCCGTCTGCGGTCGCGAGACCGCGAGAGGTCGCCGGGACGACGACGCGACGACGCGCCGTCGACGAAACGTAAACGATGTAAACGTAAAGGAGACAAAAATAGATATGACAAAAGGAAAAAAGGCGATCCGCGGTGAGGTCAGCGTCTCGCGCCGTAGTCTCGCGCGTCGCGGAGCGCGGCTGGGCGAAGGGCGGCGTCTCGGCGGTCGGCGCGTCCGTAGAGCGCGAATCCGACGGCCGCGACGGCGAGGCAAAACGTTTGCAACCAGGACACTCTGGTCGTCAGTGGGCCGCTCCCCAACCCGGCGGACGCTGAGTCTGAGACGCACGTGTACGCAGCTTCGAGATACTTGTATGTGCCTCCGCAGGGATCACCGAAAGTGTGGTGACTCGCGTGCGGCGAGCAACTGCGCCGTCCGTCGCACTGACTTTTGACTTTTTCGAGAGAGTTGCTCGCGTGACAGTTCTGGTTCGATACGGCCGAGTGGGGACACGTGTGTGCGTTGTGTCGTCCATAGGATGCCGAGATGACCGAAACAGTTTGTCCTGATGGACATGACATCGACGCTGGACGTCCTTCGCAAGCGAGCGCGCTCGTCGATGTAGATGGTGGAACGCATTGGTACTTCGTGCTCAAGTATTTATATGTCCCACCGCAAGGATCTCCAAACCTTGAGTTCGACGCACTTGGAGAGCAGGTTGACCTGCCGTTACATTCGGCTGCAATCTTGTCGAAGACACCGTTCGCACTGCACGTGTCAGTGTGAATAGCGGGGTGAGGACAGACGTCACGATCGACTCTACCGTAGAGCGCATCTTGCAGATCGATTACGTATCCAGGTGGACACTCAAGAGCATCTGTACCACCTTCACACGTGAGAGTCGATCTACTCATGACACTAAGCACGCAGCCGTATGTCACCTCCAGATACTTGTAGGTTCCGCCACAAGGGTCACCCAAGATTTTATGATCTGCCCGAACCGTGCACTTATTCTTGCCCCCGCACATTTCATTGACATACTTCATACTGCCAGATGCGTGGCAATTTCGATTTGAAGTCGCGCTGTGCGGGCACGTGGTTCCATCATGTCGCCCATACGATGCAGTGTGCACGCTGATGGTGTGACCTTCCGGGCAAGACAAGTCGGTATATTGGCTTTCACACGCGAGCGCTGTTTTCGAATCTGTACATTCGTAGTCAACACTCAAGTACTTGTACGTACCTGCACAGGGATCACCGAAAATACCATGACTCGCCGTGACCGTGCAGGAGGTCTTGCCTTCGCACATTTTCTTCACTTTTTCGAGCGAATTGGTGGCGTGGCAGTTTCGATTCGAAGTCGCGCTGTGCGGGCACGTGGTTCCATCATGTCGCCCATACGACGCTGCGTTCACGCTTATCGTCTTACCAGCTGGACACGAAAGCGTTTTACTACTGCCTTCGCATGCGACGTTTTTGTGTTTATTTCCGATCGCCAAGATTGGTTCCTTTGCGCCGCATTCTGTTCCCTGAACGGTCACGCAGACTGGTGTGTGACAAATACCGTGCATGAGGGAAACTGACGCCGGAAGCAAGGACGTGCTCGCGCTCAAGCTCCCCCCACCCATAAATGCCACCCCAATGGGATCGGACATGTCATTACCAGAATACACGTAAGTCACACCGGCTTCTGCACCGATAGGAGTGAGCGGAATATCGACACCGAGCCCGAGGGAGATGAAGTTTGCCGTACCGGGAACCGACGAAATAGATTTGTATCCCGTGACTTGTATGCCAGCGGTACCACCGTAACCGGCATCACCGAAGGTGATGCCGCCGTACGCACAGCCTGCGACGTAGCAAAAGCGTTCACCGTGCAAATCCATGCCGATGGCGAGCTCGATACCCGCACCGGTGGAAGCGAGGGCGTAAGCGTCGCCACTCGCTATGAATCCGAGCGCAAACGCGGGCAGATCGGAGCCAGACATGGCAGCCGGACATTTATCTTTGAGCGTCGAGATGAAAGATCTCATCATTTCTGCGATGACGATCGCTTGTGGACCAAGAGTCAGAGCCCACATGGATTCGCACAGTGGGCCGTCGAGATTATTCTTGTATTTGTCCACTCGCTTGCTGACATCGTCGAGCAAATTTTTCACGTTCCCGGAACTGACGTCCTTCAGGACAGATTTTAACATGTCTTGTAAAGTGTCTGCGACTTCAAGACATTGTAAGCCGTTGAAGAAGGCTGCGATCATTTCGGCGACTTTTTCAATGTCCTTGGCGAGTTCCACCGCGGTTTCTTCGAGCTTTTGGACCGCTCCTTCGGTCCAACCCTTAGCGTCGTCGTAATACTCATCCATTCGAGACACGATTTCGGTCGATTCAAACGCATCCACGGTGGCCTGACCCACGAGTTGACAAATCTCGTCTTGTCGAACCGTGTGGTACGCGTCTTCGGTCCAGTCGTAAGACGCTTGGTACTCCGCCTCCGCGAAGCTCACCGTCTCCGTGACCATGGATTGCACCGTCGCGTCGTTCATCACTTCCGACACCACCGGTTCGATCACCTCGCTCACCGTTTCCCCGAAATCTTCCGCCGTTTCCACGACGGTGTCTATGACGTTCCCACCGCCGCCACCGCCGAGCAACTTTCGCGTCGCGCCCGTCGTCGAATCCCCCCTGACCGCGCCCAACACCATCGCGATGAGCGCCAGTGCGAGCGTTCGCGTCCATCGCGTCGCGCCCGCGGACGCCGTCTTCCCGCGCGTCATCTCTCGTCGTTCGTCGCGCCTTCCCTCGCGTCGCTCGCGCCGCGCGCGTCGTCGAGTGGACGCGACGCACGGACAAAGCGCGGTCGACACACGCGCGCGCGATGGCGACGCGCGACGACGACGCGCCGCTGCCGACGCTGTACGCGCGCGCGAGCGCGCCGACCGCGAGCGTCGACGACTGCGCGCGCCTGCGACGCGCCGTCGCGCGATCGAGCGTCGCGGGCGCGACGGAGACGCTCGACGCGTGGCCGACGGCGGACGTCAAGTACGCGCTCGCGAGCCGACGCGAGGCGGACGCGCTGCGACGCGCGGGCGCGATCGCGGAGGCCGTGGACGCGCACGAGAGGTTTCTGGCGCTGACGCGCGCGATCGAGGCGATGCCGCGAGCGGAGGTGGAGGCGTACGAGAGGGAGGCGAACGCGGACGGGCGAGACGAGGCGACGACGCGCGCGGGGACGCGCGGAGGCGACGGGACGACGGGAAGAAACGACGCGAGGGAAGAGAAAGTGCGACGGTACAGGGCGAAACGAACGGTGGAGACGCGGTTGGAGACGATTCGAGCGACGCTGGCGCGAAGGGACGGTGGAGATGGGGATGAGGATGAAGAGGACGAGGACGGGGACGCGCTCGAGCGCGAGTTTTGGACGCTGACGTTGGAGCGCGCGGTGTATGAATCTCTGGATGAGCTCCCGACGCTGCGAGTGGAGAGCGAGATGTTGGCGCGACGGTCTGAGCTGGAGGACGCGCGCGAGCGCGAACGCGAGCGCATGGCGAACGAAGACGAGCGCGTCGGGCGGCGCGCGCCGGAGATTTATACAATCGAACGCGACGCCGCCGCGATGTCGCTCGCCGCGGACGTCGTCCGAGTCGACCCGCGCGCGCGCATGCGCTCGGAGGTGTTTCGTCCATCGCACATCTTACCGACGATGACGATCGAGCAGGCGGGAGAGATCGAACGCGCGGAGATGCTCGAGCGCCGGGCGCGGGAAGTCGAGCGCGCGCGTCTCGCCGAAATCGACCGCGCTTCGAAATCCGAAGACCAGCTCGAGGAAGAGGCGCTTCGAAAGGCGCGCGCGTGGGACGAGTTCAAGGATGATAACCCCTACGGCGGCGGTAACTCAAAACTTCGCCCGTGCGGATGACTTAGCGACTGTAAACTTTGTTCAAACTCTCCTCGCGTCGCGTCCCGAGCGGGACGCGCGCGCCACTCGCCGGCGCTCAGTCTCGATGCGCGCCGTCCATCACCGCGCGCCCGCCGTGATTCCGCGCGCCGAGGCCAACCGCGCGGTCAACGCGAGCGTCGCTCGCGACAAACCCGTCGTCGCGATCGCCGGAGGCGGCCTTTGGGGATGCGCGTGCGCGTATTTTTGTCAGCGCACCTCCCACTGCGACGTCGTCATCGTCGAGCGATCGCGCGTGGCGAGCGCGGCGAGCGGTAAGGGCGGAGGTTTCCTCGCCAGGGACTGGGGAGACGGCACGCCGACCGCGCCGCTGCATAAGCGCGCGTTTGAGCTGCACGAGACGCTCGCGGAGGAGTTGCTGCTGGAGACGTATCGAAAAATCCCGACGCTGAGCGTGCTGGGCGGATCGGCGCTGGACGGTGGACCGACTCCCCTCGTGTCGTGGCTCGACGGCGACATTCAAATGTGTCGAATGATGGACGAATTCGGCACGGCGCAGGTGACACCGAAGGAATTGTGCGAAAAATTGCACGACGCCGCCGTGCGACTCGGCGCCACGTGCGTCAAGGGCGAAGTCACTGGGGTGACGTTCGCGGATGATGGCGCGAAAGTGCGCGGATTGGTGTATAAAAATGAGGACGATGGAACGGTGGAAGAAATTGAAGCGGATCACGTCGTCGTGGCCATGGGTCCGTGGGCGACGCGCGCGAGCGAATGGTTTGGGATTAAAGTACCGATGACGGGCATTCGTTCGACGAGCGTGATGTACGAGGCGTCGGAGGCGGTGATGAGGGAACCGGCGGCGTTGTTTTGCGGTGAAGATGAAAATGGGTGCCACTTGGAGGTGTATCCTCGGAGCACCGGGGAGGTGTACATTTGCGGGATCGGGGGATCCCAATACATCGACGAGGAACGATTGTTGCCGGGCGGCGACTGCGATCGAAGCGAAAAGATCGTCGAGGATCCCAGTCGCGTCGCCGCAGCGATGCGCAGTTTCGGAGGCATGTCGCGCAGCATCGGCGGCGACGGCAAGGCGCCGTTGGTGACTCAGGCGTGCATGCGTCCCTGCGCCCCGGACGCGCTTCCGATTCTAGGCCCCGTGGACGGCATCGAAAACGCGTACATGGCGACCGCTGGAAACTGTTGGGGCATCCTTTGGTCGCCCGTCGCGGGAGAAATAATCGCCGATCTCATCACGAAAGGCAAGAGTTCGATCGACATCAAACCGTTCTCGCCGACGCGATTCATGCAACGCGGCGCGCGCGGGCGAGGCCGCAAGATGCGAAGCGAGGAGGTCGGCGAACAGTGGTGAGGCGTCGCGAAGAGAATGTGAAGTCGAATGAAGTCAAAAATGTAGCACATAAATTATACAGCTCTATCGGTGTGATGCGATGATGCGTTGAATGTGTTTAAGAACCGTCCGCCGACGGCGGCAATTCTAAGCAAAAGTTCCCGATGTGCCCTCCGCGAAAGTCGTTTAGCATTCGCGTCCCCGCGCGCTCGACGTCGCCGCCGCACGTCTTATCGGCGAAATACTGCACGAATTCCTCTCCAGTCATGTCGTCCACGCGTTCGTCTTTAAATCTTTTGATGATTCCCGGTCTGATTGATTTCCACGTCGGCAAACGTTTCAGCTCTTCGATCATCGCCGCCGCCATGGAACTCGCGATGTAACTCGCCTCGCCGATGTCGTTCGCCATCGCCAACCGCGACGCCGCGCGCTGATCGTGCATGCGCGCCGGCAGCACCCCCGGTGCGTCCAAAAGATCCAAATCCCCCCCGATGCGCACCCACCGCAAATCTCTCGTCACTCCCGGTCTCGGCGCGCTCGCGCACGCCGCCTTCCCCACCAGCCTATTTATCAACGCGCTCTTCCCCACGTTCGGGTACCCCACCACCGCCGCTCGCACCGGTCGCGGCAGCAACCCCTTCGCCGCTCTCTTCGCGTTTATCTCCTCGCTCATCTCCATCGCCATCTCTTTCACCCTTCGCGTCCCCTTCCCCGCTCGCGCGTCCGTCAGCACCACCCTCGTCTCTCCCTCCCTCTTCAGATGACTCACCCATCGCGCTCGCTCCCCGTCGCTCACCATGTCCGCTCGATTCAGCACCACGATTCGCATCTTATCTCCGCACCAGCTCGCGATCTCCGGGTGACTCGTCGCGAGCGGCAATCGCGCGTCTCGCACCTCCAGCACCGCGTCCACGCCCTTGAGCTGCGCCTTGAGCAGTCGCTCCGCGCGCGCGATGTGCCCCGGGTACCACTGCACCAGGCGCACGCTCCCAGCGCTCGCGATGCGACGCGCGTTCGCGTCCTCGGCGTCCTCGACGCGTCGCGTCGGCTCGCGCGCGCGCGCGCTCGCGTCGCGTCGCGTCGGCTCGCGCGCGCCGGCGGCGGCGGCGAATCGCGCGCGCGGATCGCGACGCGACGCGAGCGCGCGCGACGACGACGACGCGCGCGCTCGATCGGAGGGCGTCTTCGCGAGCGCGAGCGCGCGCGCGCGAGGGAACGCGACGCGCATCGCGCGCGCGCGTGTGCGGGACGAAGGATTCGACGACGCACGACGACGCGCGCCGCGAGACTTCGCGACGCCGCGCGCGTCGCGCGCGACGCGCGAGGCGAGGCGCGAGGCGCGGCGAGGCGCGATCGCGCGCGGCGCGACGCGCGCGCGCGCGATAGAGGCGCGATGGCGCGGTGGACGCGCGCGAGGGCGACGCGGGCGCGGGCGATTGGTTTGGCGATCGCGATCGTCGTCGCGGCGGCGCGGTGCGTCGCGCGCGGAGACGCGGCGCGCGATCTGAGCGATGGAAATCGCGGGCGCGACGCGCGAGCGCCGCGCGCGCACGCGCGAGCGCTGCGGGCGAGAGCGCCCGCGGGGGCGTCGACGGCGACGCACCGCGAACACCTGAGCACGGGGATATCGAAGGAACTGGTCGACCGCGTCGCCGTCGACGGGGCGGTGATCGTGACGTGGGCGAACATGCACTACTACGATTTCGCGCTGAATTTTTTGAGCCACCTGGACGCGCTGGAGGTGACGAATTACTTGATCGGGGCGATGGACGAGGAGCTGTACGCGGCGCTGCGGAAAATCGGCGTCAACACGTGGCTGATGGGGTCGAAATCGATCGACGCGGACGCGGTGAAGAAGGATTTTGGGTGGGGGTCGAAGAATTTTCATAAGATGGGACGGGATAAGATACGTTTGATTCATGATTTCACGAAGACTGGGGTGGACGTGTTGATTTCGGACATCGACGTCGCGTGGTTGAGAAATCCGATTCCATTCTTTCGACGATATCCCAAGGCGGACATCCTGGTGAGCACGGATAACTTGCAAAATAGAACGCATCAGGATGCGAGGCAAATATCGCACATGGTCGACGGTGAAGGGTTGGAGTCGACGCCGTGCGCGGGGACGGTAAACATCGGGATGATGTGGTTTCGGGCGACGGAGGCGAGTCAGCAACTCACGGGCGAATGGGTGCGTAATCTCGAGAAAGATGAAAAGATTTGGGATCAGGCGGAATTTAATACTTTGGTTCAGCGTGGTGGGTGCGGTACGCCGTCACCGGATGGGTCCGGCGTCGGCTCGGCGTACGAGGGTAAAGTACAAATGGGCACGCTTCCCGTGGCGTTGTTCAACAACGGGCACACGTACTTTACGCAACGCCTTCCGGAACTCATCAACGTGAACCCGTACGCTATGCACGCGACTTTCCAGTACGATGGTACCCCAGGTAAGCGGAATCGCATGCGAGAGGCGAATCAGTGGCTCGGAGATCGCGATGATCCGTCGTATTTCGATCAAAAGTTCCTCTCGTACACGCCTCGCGTGCTCTCCGACGTCGACTTGCAAGAGTTTGCACAACGCGGATACCCTTCGCCTGATGGCGCGTTCGAGACGTTGAAACAGGGTGAACACGTAGTTTTGGAGCACATGCGACTGGTGCAACACCAAATTGCGCAGCTTTACGAAGCCGTGGCGATCGCCAAAAATCTGGGGAGAGTGGTGATTTTGCCGCCATTCTTTTGCGGGTTGGATCGCGTTTGGTTTCCCCACGCCGGTCGCTTCCCGGGTTCCATGCTCGGCTTGCCATTCATTTGCCCTGGTGATCACGTTATGGGGATGGAGAGTTATGGCGGCGATTTCATGAAAGAGTACCGTGAGTACGCCTTCTTGGGTCATCCACACATGCCTGCAGGCGCAGTGTCCGCGGACAACGTGCGTCGCGTCGAAGTTCCGCCAACTGTCTCTTTCTCGAAGACGACACTCATTCCCGAAGAGTACGGTATGTGCTTCCATCGACGTGACCCAAAGACGGGCGCAATCGTCAGCCCTGCCGGTGATGCGTGTGTGCCGGCGAGAAATGAAGTGTTCCGCTCGGCGCCGAGCATCAAGTTGACGGCGGCGGCGGAGTCACTCGACGCGCTGGCGAAGTCGCTAGAGTCGGCGCGAGACGTAAAGTTTTTACACTTTGATACCATCATCGGCGCGACGACGTCCAAGCAAGCGGAAAATGCGAAACAGATCAGAATGGGCATCTGGTGCTGTCGAATTGGTCATCACGAGTACTACGGCGTCGAAAACGTCACACTCTTCGAAGAAGGCGTCGTCGACATGAAAGCGCTCGAGGCGTCGACGATGAACGGAGGTTTCGCCGAGAAGACGAACTCTAGCGGTATGAACGTTACTGTTGTTAGCGAGGACGATCCTTCTGGGAAAGATTTGGAAAATCCGGACGCGAAAGAAGAGATTAAAGAGGCTGACGACGCTTGGGAAATCGAGGGGCTCGGCGAGTATCGAAAGAGCATCGAGGCAGGCCTCTCGAAGTATTTCGATGGAGACGCGGCTAGTGTGAAAAAGGCGATGGCGTTCATAGAAGAATCGCACGCAGAGCTTAACCCTTAGTCACTGTATTGCTATTCAAATCACATTTCTATCATTTTAACGACAGTCGCAACCGCATCGACGTCTTCTTCATTTTCTTGTCATTCACCACGACTAAGCCTTCTTTGCGCCCATTCATGAGCTCAATCATAGGTTTATTCAAGTTTTCCGCGAATTCGGACTCGAGCACGCCGCGCAAGTACAGATTTTTCCCGCCGAAACTCACGCTCGGTTCGGCGAGAGAATCTGGATACGCGGCGACGATGGAAGCCATGAATTCTTCGAGTGTCGCGTTCGCGTTCAACGCGTGAGCGATCCCGGGTGAGCACACCACGCACGATGGATCGCGTTCGTACTCCACAGTGTGCGAGTACACACCATCCGTGCCCACGTACATCATGTAATTGTTCATTCCCTTGGCGCACATCGTCGCCATTTTCAACGTTTCGATGACGCACGCCGCGGCTATGATTGCGTTCGTGCTAGGAATCGCCGGAATGATGTTCTTCGTCACACCTTGCGTGTGAGCGTACGTTACGCCTGGAATACCAAATGTCTCGGCGCGTTTGAGCGCTTTCGTGTACACCCACGTCATGTGCTCGACGACATCCGCGTCAAACGTCTCCCCGTATCGCTCCGCCGGCCACTGAATTAATTTTGCGTATTCAATGCAGTGCGCTGCGTTCCTCGGCGTCTCTGCCAGCGTGCACAACGGAAACGTCGTTTGCGGAGGGAACAGCCACATTGTGCAATTGAAACACGGTGTCATTCCCGGAACGATGACGCGCGCGTGTCCCTTGAATCCCTCCGTACCGCCGTCCACGAGCGGTTTAATCGTCGCCGGATCCACGTTCCCATCCTCGTCGTAATCCAAGAACCCACAGCACACCGCGTTGATGTATGCCCGCGCTTCCAGAGAATCCAATCCCAGAGCGATGATATCAAACTGTTTATACCACCCATCCTCTTTCTCTTCTATTCGTCCGTGATGCGCGTTCACCGCGCACCCGCGCACGCGTTCCCGCACTCGTCTCGCCGCCGTCTCCGCCTTACTCTTCCCCACGTCCTCCGCGCGAAACAAAAACTGTCTATTTAAATTCGTCACGTCGATCGTGTCCATATCGATCACGTCCAGAGTCGTGAATCCGCTCAGCGCTGCGCGGCGTCGTCGCGTTCGTCTCGTCAGTCGCGCGTCCTTCATCACCACCAACGTCCGCGCGTCTCTCGCGCCGTCGTCACGCACCGAGCCCTTTCAACAGTTCACACCCGAGTCCTCCGGCGCCGACGACGAGCACGCGGACGTGCTCGCGGAGCACGCGCGCGACGTCTTCTCCCGGCTCAAAATCTGGACCGGTGAATCTCCCACGGCGAAGTAAAAGCGCGTCGATGGAGCGCCAGCGCGCGCGTTCGTCGACGCAGAAATCGACGTCGAGGCGAGACATCGCCTCGGCGGGAGGCTCGACGGCGGGGGCGTCGAGAGGAATTTTGGAACGTCGAGGGTGAGAGTGCGGCGTAACCGACGCGAACGCGTTCGGTCGTTCGTTCGTTCGTTCGTTCGTCAATCCGACGATAAAAATACAATCATTCGCTAACACATTCATTCATTCATTCACTACTATCGTACACGCGCCGCGCGTAGCGCGCGGTACGCGTGCGCTAGGCCACGGCGCGCGGGCGCGGCGCGGCGACGTCCCACGCGCCGTCTTCGCGCACGACGAAATCGACGCTCGACTCGGGCAAATGCGGCGCGTACACGACGTGTAACGTCCGCGCGACGCCCGCGTTTCCATCATCGCCGTCATCACCGCCCACGACGTACCCTTGACCGCGCGTCGCGCGTCTCGTGAGAAACAATCGCGCGTTGACGCAATTCGACCACATCAAACCGAGCGCCGGCACCACTCGTCGTCCGCTCGTCGTGAACTCCCCCATCGCCCGCGTCGCCACGGCGCCGTCACCGTGCGCTCCGGTTCCATTTTCTCTCACGCTATCCACCACGTGATTCGTCACGACGACCGCCACGTCGTGTTTCGTCGCGTACTCCTTCAACAGCATCGTCAACTTGTGCAGCGCGCCCGCCCGTTTCGCCGCGTACGTCCATCCTCCGTTCGTCGCGTCGTCTCGAAACGGCGCCGCGATCGAATCCACCACGATCATCCTCACCACCGCGTCTTCGCTCACCGGCGCTCTGAGGACCGCGCTGACCGCCGTCAGCGTCTCTCGCAGCGCGTCCGCGTCGCCCAGCGCCTTGACCACGTACACGCGCTCCAGCGCCGCCGTCGCCGCGTCTTCGTCCCCGTCGCACGCTTCCGCGACGAACCGCGCCGACGACGCGATCCGTCGCATCAGCGCCGTCGGCGCCGGCCCGTCGGTGTGCACGTACACCGCCGCGCCGCCGCGCGCGGTCGCGCGCACCGCGAGCTGCGCGCACAGCGTCGTCTTCGCGCTCGCGCTCTCGCCCGCGATCTCCGTCACGTGGCGCGCGCGCACGCCCCCGCGCAGCGCGTCGTCGATCCGCGGGCACATCGTGGAGACGCACGCGGCGCGCGCGTCCGCGGCCGCGGCGGCGGCGACGCGCATGCGCGCCGAGGCGTGCCGAGCGAGGCGCGCGCGGTGACACTCGACGACGCATGGCGCGCACGCCGGTGAACGTCATCACCGGCGCGCTCGGCGCGGGGAAGACGACGCACGTTCTGCGCGCGCTGGCGAGCGCGAAGCCGGCGAACGAGACGTGGGCGGTGGTGGTGAACGATTTCGGTGCGCTGGGCATCGACGGGGCGCTGCTCGATGACGCGGTGGGAACGCGCGAGCGCGACGCGGACGCGAGTGGGAGGACGATCGTTCGAGAGGTGTCGGGAGGGTGCGCGTGCTGCGCGACGGCGGCGCCGTTCGTGGTGGCGGTGACGCAGGTGCTGCGGCGGTATCGACCGGCGCGCGTGCTCGTGGAGCCGAGCGGGATGGGCGACGCGGGACGCGTGATCGACGCGCTGCGATCGGAACACCTGGAAGCGAGCGTGGACGTGCGAGCGACGATTTGTGTGGTCGATGTGCGGGTTTTCGGGGAAGACGAAGGGAAAGCGGCGGTGTTGCGGTCGGAATTGTTCAAGGCGCAGACGGAGTGCGCAGACGCGATGTGCGGGTCGTTCGCGGACGCCGCGAGCGAGGCAGAGGTGGAGGCGTTCTTGGCGTTCGGGCGTGGGTTTTGGCCGAAGAAGAGTGCTGTGTTTTTGGCGCGTGATCGCGCGAATGGGATGGATTTGGCGCTTCTCGATGGTCGATGCGGGTGGGAGCCGAGCGAGCTCCCGACCGAGGCGACGACGACGACGACGACGACGACGAGCTCGAGACCGTTCACTTTGGAGCCGCGCCTCACCGCCAACGCGCCGCCTTGGATGGTGAAGCAGGAAAGTGATCGATACGCCTCGTGTGGATACGCGTTTCACGTCGACGACGTCTTCGTGCGACCGAAGTTGAAGGCGTTTTTTGAAGAGTTTGTGTTGCGACGCGTCGACGTCGCGCGATTCAAGGGTGTCCTGCGTCTCGGTGCGGATTGGGTACGCCCAGACATCGTGGAGAGCATCCACAGAAGCGAAGGCACGAAGGTGCGAACGCGAACGATCACGTTCGCATCCGTCGCTTACCGTCGTGACAGTAGGTTCGAGCTTATTCGCGAGCGCGGCGTCGACGCAGACGCAGACGCCGAGGAGGCAGCATTTTGGGACGACATCCGCGATCGATTGGTCGAGTGCAGGAAGATTCCTCGTTGATATATTCCGTTTACCGCGCGCATCGTAGTGTGTCCTAGCACCAATAGCGTATGATGTAGCGAGCGTAGCCTAGTCACAACCGCGTCGCGTCGACGAAAAAGCGTCGCGACGGCGGCGAGTGTGAGCACAGCCTCAAACCTCGCCGCGCGCCTCGAACGCGACGCTCGAGCGCGTTTGAGTGCGTCCAAACACGAACGTGCGCCGCTTCGAGCGCGCGCACACGCTTCACAGACGCTAGAACGCGACGCGCACGTCGGATATCTCTGACGTGATTCGTGTGACGTCAGCGTGAGCGCATGTCGGCGTTAACGCTACCGCGAGGCGCGCACGCGCGCGCGACGTCAGCAATGCTCGCACACGTTACGTGTCCGATATGTCTCGAACCGTTCACGGACGCGCACTGCGTGGCGACGTGCGGACACACGTTTTGTCACGGGTGCGCGAGCGCGGCGCTCGACGCGGCGGCGGCGGCGCCCCGAGACGGCGGCGCGGACGCCGGGGTGAGCGCTCGGTGCCCGACATGCTCGTCGATGTTTACCAGCGCACAGTTAGTGCCAAATGCGGCGGTGAACGCGATGGTTGCGGCTATGAAGTCAGGGGCGAGCGAAGCGGCGGCGGCTTCGACGAGCGCCGAGGACGGCGAAGACGATTTGGAACGATTGACACCTTTGGTGAAGACTTTGAGCGAGAAACATCGAAGTTTGGTGCTGGAATCACGCGCAGTGTCGCGAGAGGTGTTGAAGGAGTTCTTAGTAGAGAGCCGAGCGAGGAAGCAGGCGAGCGCGGTGGCGCTCGAGCGAGAGTTGAGGTGTTTAGACGCCGACATCGACGCGGTGCGAAGGGAAATTGAGGCCTTGGGTGGCGGTGCACGAGTGTCGCACGAACGTAGTGATTTGCACGATAAAGAAGTGATCGCGCACGCGATGGAAGCGCTGGGTTTGACGCGGCCGGGTGAGTCGCAAATCGTCATCGACGAGTCGAAGCGACGCAGAGTGTTGAGGCAGTTTAGCGAATTGCAGAGCTGGTATTCCAAGAGAAGAAGCGCAGAACGAGACGATGTCACCAGCGATGGTGGTAAGTCGAGTGGTAGCGCGCTCAATGGTGGTCGAGGGTACGCCCCGGACTCGACGACTATGGAGGAGTTTTCGACGATTATTGACACGTTTAAACGATACTCGAACATTTCCATCGCGGCGGAGATTCGCGGCGAAGAAGACGCGTCAAACCCAGGCGCGCCCGTCAGCAGCATTGAGTTCGATTCGACGCAAGAGTACTTCGCTACCGCAGGTGTGTCCAAACGAATTCAGTTTTACAACCTCGAGCACGTGCTCGAGGGGTCACAGCAACCCGCGGATGAAATCAACACTCGGTCCAAGCTGACGTGCTTGTCTTACAACAAGTTTGTTAAGCATCACATAGCGGCGAGTGATTACGAAGGTGTCGTTTCGGTGTGGGATGTCGAGAAAAAGTGCAGCATCATAGATTTTGAGGAGCATGAAAAGCGAATCTGGACCGTTGACTACTGTCGCACGGATCCGCGACTTTTAGTGAGTGGCTCGGATGATTACTTGGTGAAGATTTGGAACACCGATCAACCGAACAGCGTGCACGAGATCGACATGAAAGCGAACGTCTGCTGTGCGCAGTATTCACCCGAGAACGCGCATTGCATCGCGGTCGGTTGCGTCGACCAAAAGGTGTATATTTTTGATTTGCGACGCTTGGCCGAGCCGGTGCAAATCCTCGACAGCCATCGCAAGGCGGTCAGTTACGTCAAGTACCTCAACGCCAACGAAATCGCGAGCGCATCGACGGATAACACCATCAACGTGTGGAACGTCAACACAGGCGAACTCACGTGCGCGCTCAAAGGACACGTCAACGAACGAAACTTTGTCGGCCTCACCGCCGTCGGCGACCACGTCGCGTGCGGGAGCGAAACGAACGAGGTATTCATTTACCGCAAGGATCTTTCGTCGCCCATCGCGTCCATCGGGTTCGCTCGGGACGCGAACGAACCTCGCGGTTTCATCAGCGCGTGCGCGTGGCGAAGCGATGAATCCGTGCTCGTCGCCGCGAACTCAAACGGCGTCGTCAAAGTCCTGCGCGTCTGAACGCCCCTTGTAAAAATCTTATTATTTGATTAGTACGTGGACCAGCCCGAACTGGCCTATTAATGAATTGACTCGAATCGATTTTAATACGTATTCATTTATATTCTTTCGCCATTCGCCGACGGCCGCACACGCCCCGGATCCGCGGTGGAGCACTTGAGTGATCGAGTAAGGTCCGCTCGTGTTTTACAACAGAGTTAGTAGCTATACAGCGATGGTACAACGATAAAAGGTGCGGAGTCAAAGAGTGTGGTCTTGATTCGATTCGCGTTCGGCGACTCGCGTTCGGCGACTCGCGTCTCACGCGTGCGCGTGCGTGTTTCGATACACCGTGAATTCCTCGTCGGCGATCTTAATCTTCGATCCCGCGCGAAGTTTCAATTTTCGTCCCTTGGGCGCCGCTTTCCCGTCGATCAGAGTTTTGCCTTTGAGCGATTGCACGACGAGCGCGCTCGAGTCGTCGAGCTCAAACTTCAACTGCTCGTTCTCAAACTCCAAGTCACCCTTATTTTGCGCCACGAGCGCGTTCACGTCGATCGGAACCGCCAGGCACGTCTTCGCCGCCGTCTGGAGCAGCGCGCCGTCGTCGTCGGACCGCGCGCTCGAACATCCCTCGCGATCGAGAATGTAGTTGACGGAGGCGCGAATCGTCAACTTTCGCGCGGTTTTACGCGGCGCCGAGACGCGCGCGCGGGCGAGAGCGGCGGTAGAGGACAGAGAGAACATCTTTTTCGTGGATTTGAGCGTTCGCGCGTTCGAACGTGCGTGAGACGCGCGCGTTTGTGACGAACTCGCGCGTGGATTATTGCAAAGCGTGTCGGCACGACCGTGCTGAGTCAGCCTCGAGTCGGCGCTCGAGACGAGACGCGAATCGAATCGACTACGCGCGTTCGGGGTCGTTCGGTCCTTCGCATTCGAACAGAGCGACGGCGCACAGAACATCGCGGACGAGAAGGTCCTCGTCGAGGCCACCCGAGGCGTTGGCGACGCAGTTGACGTCGACGACGACGCCGGCTCGGGCCTCGTCTTCGGTGGTGGACGACGTGAAGGATTGCACCGAACACGCGTCGTCGTTGGCGTTGGCGTTGGCGGCGTTGGCGTTGGCGGCCCGCGCCGCGCGACGGTCTTTGCGCTTGCTCATGAGGTGCTTGTCGTACAAACCGTCGTAATACTCGAGCAAACCTTCGGCGACGGCGGTGAAATCGCCGGCTTCGAGCTTTTCTCGAATGTCGCGCACGCGGTCGCCACCGAGCCGCTTGACGAGCTTATCGACGCTTTCACGCATTGTGGGCATCCATTCCGGATGAGAACGCAACTCTGACGTCGCGTAATCTTCCACTAAAGTGTGCAACCGCACCTCGCGCGGGGCGACCATGCGAAGCACCAGAGGAGCGTTTCGCATGCGCTCAAACAACAACGGATCCACCGAGCACCGCCCGACGTGCGGTCCCTCATCCTCGATGAACACCCATCTGCTCGCATCCAACGCGTGCCACTCGCAGGCGACTAAATTAGAGTAGTGCTCCGAAGTCGGCTGCGGCTCTCGCCCGACCCACCCGAACGCGCTCCCGGCGTGGTTCGCCAACCCCTCTAAATCGATAATCTGTTCCCCTTTCGCGCGCAGCGCCAACAGCGCGCGCGTCTTCCCCACCCCCGTGCGTCCACCGACGACGCACACCCTCGGCGCGGGCAATCCGCGCGTCGGTCCGCACCGCTCGAGCGCCCACCTCCGAAACGCCTTGTATCCGCCCTCGACCACGTGGACTCTCGCGCCGCGCAACCGTTCCTTCAACAACCACCCCACGCACGAGCTCCGCATCCCTCCTCGAAAGCACATCACGTACACATCAATCTCACCATCGTCTTCGCCGTCACCGTTCCCTCGCGTCGTCGCCACCGTCTCCACCGCTCGCTTCGCGCGCTCCACGATCGCCTCCAACCGCGGCGCCGCCGCCGCCATCCCCAGCACCAGCGCCTCGCCTCGTCCTCTCGTCTTGTACGCCGTCCCCACCGCCGCGCGTTCGTCGTCATCGAACAGCGGCGCGTTTATCGCGCGCGGCGCGCGTCCTCGCGCGTGCTCTCCCGGCGAGCGCACGTCGACGAGCGCCGCGCGCGCGCCCGCGTCGACGACCGCTTCGACGGCGGCGCGCGGCACCGCGCTCGGCGCCGTCGCGAGCGCGGCGAACCGCTCCATCGACGCCGCGTCGCGCGTGCGCGCGTCGAGGATGGCGTCGTACGCGTTTCGAGCGTCCGCGCGCGACATCGCGCGCGTCGTCGAGTCGCTTTTTGTAGCGCGCGCCGTTCCCGCGAAAACGATTGACGACGCGCGATCGCGAATCGCGCGCGCGATCGCGTCGGCACACGCGCGCGCGCGACGCGACGACGACTGAGACTCGCGACGCGCGAGGCGAAACGGCGACGGCGGCGATGGACGAGGACGACGCGTACGACTTCGACGAGCGCCGAAGCGTGCTTCTGGAATCGGACGCGACGGATGCGCTGATCGCGGGGAAACCGGGACGGGAGACGGAGGTGTTCGTGAAGGGAATCGCGGCGGAGGCGAGCGAGAAGGACGTGCACGCGGCGCTGCGGGAGTGCGGGGCGGAGAGCGGGGCGACGGGGTTCGAATTGGTGACGGATAGGACGACGGGGACGCATCGCGGGTACGCGTTCGCGAGGTACGACTCGAGGGAGAGCGCGGCGAACGCGGTGGCGGCGATCGCGAAGGCGGAGTGCGAGGTGAAGAAGATGAAGATTACGGCGAGCGTGAAACCGAGCAAGTATCGGGTGATGGTGACCGGGCTGCGAAAGGACGCGACGCGAGAGGAGATCGTGGAGGCGTTGCGCTCGCGAGGCGCGGGTTTGGAGTTTTTCGCGCTCTCGCGACCGCGATCGGCGAAGAAGAACGCCGAGAACGCGGTCGTTGAAAGTGGAGATCACAACGGCGGCCGGGGTTGGGCTTCGTTTTACAACGAGGCGTGCGCGGAACGCTTTATGAAGAACATGGCGGCGAACCGCGAAGAAAAGTTGCCCGTGGCGGACGACAAGGACAAGAGAGGTCTTGTGTGCGAATTTGTCGGACCAAGACCGCAGAAGAAAGAAATCGAAATCAAGACGTTGCACGTCACCGAGATGAACGAAGCGAACGCCACAGATCAGGGCTTGCGCGAGGCTTTCGAGCGTTACGGTACAATTCTCGGCACGCAGATTATGGAAAAAGATCGCACGAGAGGCTGGGTGTTTTACGATTCCGCCGAGAGCGTCGAAAAAGCTCTCGCGGAGTGCGAACCGGTTGAAGGCGCGGCCGAAGGTGACAAGGGTGGTGCCTTCATCTCCAGCGTCGACGGCTCCACCATCAAGGTGATGTCGTCGCGCAAATCGTACCGCTCGGACGCCGGCAATCGAGGTCGAGAGCCAAACTCGGGCCGCGGCGGTCCTTCTCGCGGCGGTGGTCGGGACGATTGGTCTAAATACAGAAGTGGCGACTCCAAGTACGGCGGCGGTCTCGCCCCGCGCGGCTCTTGGTCTGGCGCCAGACAAGTGAACGCAACGCCAGTCATCCTTCCCACCGGCCAAGTTGCCTACGCCATCGGCGGCGGCGGCGGCCGTGGACGAGACAACCGACGCAATGGCCGAGGTCGCGATAACAGACACCGTCCTTACTAAATAATTTGACGCGCTGCGCTACAAGCTACTTTGACTACACCTAGTTAATGTTGTGTTGATACATAATACCGATTTACGATGATTCATCCACCCTCTCCTCCTCGGTTTTTTTCTCGTACGACGCGAACACCGTCCCGTTCGCGCGCGTCATGCACGCGTCGAATTCATTCATGAAGATCTCTTCGCACGTCGACTTCACGAGCTCTTGATCTTCGTCTGGTAATTCCTTGAACAAGGCGTCCGCGGATGCGAGCAAGATTTGCTTTTCGCGCATGCGCAGCAACACGGCGAAGCGCTTTCGCTTTCCTGGAAGCGGCTCATCGTTCGATTCGTCATCGACACGTGCGACGTATTCGTTGTCTTCCGCGAGAGTCGTCGTATACGACTCTAAAAAGCTCGCCAAAGATTTGAGGAGTACGGCTTTCGTGCGCGCGTCGTTCTTGGCGCTCACCGAGGCGCCACTGACGGCGAGCGTCAACGACGTCGCGTCGCTCATTTCTGCCTCGTCCATAGTTATGACTCGCGTCGCCGCGAGCAAGTCGTAATCAATACTTCGCGGTTTCCATTCGAAGTTTCTCTTCTTCGGATCGAGACCGTGCAGACGTAAGAGCTCCTCTTTGGCGTCTCGAAGGGAGTCGTGATCGCTCACGCGCACCGTCGCCTCGACGCACTCGGCGGGATTCGTTTCCGGAATGAAACCGTATTGTAACAAAAAGTACTGCGACGGCTTGGTGTCGTAGTTGAACCTTAATTCCGTGTGCTCCCGAAACGCGCTCGCCGCGTACACCTTGACCGCGTTCGAGCGCGCGTCCCACTCCGGGCGCAACTTACCCCCTGGCGCGTGGTTCGCCATGTCCAACAACGGTACCAGCACGCGAATCGTCGGCGCCTCGGCGCTTTCGGTGGATAAATCGATCGCGCGCGACCAAATAATAAACCGCGCCCACGTAAACTTGTCAAACGTGTAATGCGCCGCGCGCTCGCCCCCGAAGACGTCTGGAAATTTTTCCCCAAGCGTCGGCACGTCGAGCGCGTCGTATTCCATCCTCCACTGCGCCTTGATCGCTCGCGTGAACACCACGACGTTCGATCCGCTCAGCTCGCTCAACTCGTCCTCGTTCCACCCCACCGTGCTGTCCACGTCTCTCGGCAGCAACCGCAACCACGGCCAATACGCGCTCTTCGATCCCGCATCGAACGCCTCCCGCAGCACGTGCGCCGCCAATATCGCGTCCCCGCTCGCCCCGCTCGCCCCGATCGCGCGCCACAGCCGCGCGTCCATCCTCGCGCTCGCCGCGCACAGGCACTTCTCCAGCGGCACCTCCGCCAGGAGCTCCCCCGCGCTCACGTTCCTCGTCGTCGCCACGCCTCGACCCGCGCCTCGCGCCTCCGCGACGATTCGAATCGATTCCGACACGCGCGCGGCCGTCGTCGCGTCTTCCTCTCGCGCCGCCGCGTCCCAGCGTCGCGTCGGCGTCCGCGCCCAGCGCTCGAGCGCGAGCGCTCGTCCTCGCGCGTCGGCTTTCGCGTCGCTCGCGCGCGCGCCGCGCGTCGCGAGAACGACGCACGCGAGAAAGAGCGCTCGTACGCGCGCGCGCGCGTCGCGCGCGCGCGGCATCGCGCCGCGCCGCGACGGCGTCGCGGTCCGCGGTCGCGATGCCGCGCGGCGTCTCAATCGTGGTGCGTCTCACACACGGACACTCAGCCGCGCGCGTATTCGAATCCCCCGTATTCGAGCGCGCGCGAAGGCGATCAAACGCGAACGCGGCCCATCCATCGCGACGGATCGCGCGCGCGGATTGGCGCGCGCCGCGCGCGGACGCGCGCGCGTCTTCACACGCCCGCGCCTCGCACGAGCCGCGCGCACCCGTCGACGACGACGGACCCGTGAACGCGTAAATTCTCGCGCGCGAACACCCGACGAACGCGATGTTCTCCCTCACGACGGCTCGACACGCCATCGCGAACCGCGCGACGATCGTCGACGCGCGATCGACGACGCGCGCGCCGCGCGCGCGCGTCGCCGCGCGCGCGGCGAACGCGGACCGCGAGCTGTGGTACCCGGGAGCGGTGGCGCCGAAATATCTCGATGGGACGATGGCCGGCGATTACGGTGCGCGACGCGAGCGACGCGCGAGGACGCGCGCGATGGCGGGCGATGGGAGATACGATACGGTCGGATACGGCTGGGATGGCGATTCGAAGGCGGCGGACGCGCGGGGCGGCGGCGCGGGGAGACGCGCCTACGCGAGCGGAAGAGGGCGGGACGCGGGACGAATGGAGGCGCGCGTGGATGTGTGACTGACGGATGCGGTGCGCGCGCAGGCTTTGACCCGTTGCGACTCGGGGCGAACCCGGAGACGCTGCCGTACTTGCAAGAGGCGGAGCTCATGAACGGGCGCTGGGCCATGGCGGCGACGGCGGGTATTTTGTTCACCGACGCGGTTGGTTTGCCGAAGTGGTGGGAAGCCGGTGCCGTGGATTACGGTATGGACTTCCAACAGCTCGTCGGGTTCCAAGTCGTGGCGATGAGCATTCTCGAGGCGGCGCGCACGCGCGGTTTCATGAAGTCGGGCGAATCCGGCGTGTTGAACGCGTTCCCGTTCGACCCGGCTGGACTCGATGCTCCGGACAAGCGCGTGAAGGAAGTGAAGAACGCGCGCCTCGCGATGGTTGCGTTCCTCGGTATGGTTTCCCAATACGCCGTCACCGGTCTCTCCCCGTTGGAGGGCTTGGAGGCGCACATGGCCAACCCGCAAGCCGTCAACTTGTTCACGAGCTCCGTCGGCGGCGAAGCCGTCGCCTTCATCGCCTTCTTGTCCACCGCCCCGACGTTCTTGCTCGCGCAAAAGACGCTCGGTGACGGCAGCGACGAGGAGTTCCGTCCGATCCCGTGGTAATCACTTACGGTTTAGCGTTGTAATTTTCGACGGCAAGGTCGTTATATAAAATTTGAGCGACGAACGCGCCGCGCGAGCGCCGTCGACGTCGCCCATCATCGCCCCGCGGTCGGTCTTCGACTCGCACGAGAGAACTACGTTAGTTTTATTCGCGCGAGAGAACTACGTTAGTTTTTATTACATGATGATGATATATTGATTCATCTTCCAGACGACGACGACGAGCGAAGCGCGTGGACGAACCGAAGAAGTCAAACGCGCGCGACTGGCCGATTTCTTCGACCGAGTTTTCCGCGCGCGTCGTCACCGTTCGTTTCATCCCGCGCGCCCATCGCATCGCTAACCACGACGAGCATCGCATCTCATCGTTCCATGCGATGACACTACTTCCCCTGAATCGCGCGAATCCCTTCGAATATCGTATCGACCCTCGGCAATTTCCCGCTCTGCAACTTTGAAGACACGAGCTCGCCGTCGTAAAACACCTCAAACGCCCCGGTGTTCAACACGTTCGCGCTCACGATGTTGAACACCCAAAAAGTCATGATGGCGGTTTGAAACTTATTCTCGCTCATCGACTTCAACCACGCCGGGACGACCGCGCTCTCGCCGAAGACGCGCGTCGCCGCCCGCTCGCCGAAAAACGTAGCCGTCCAGAGCGCGATTTGCACCCACGAGAACGCTCGACCGAGCGCCACCGCCGTCGCGCTCGGCGGCCAGTGCCCACCGGTCGTGGCCATCCCGAATTCATTTTCGATCGCGCGCGCGAGCTGGTTGAACCCGCCGCGGTAAGATCACGAGGTGCAAAACCCGACGACGACTTTCCCGGCGCCTCGGGACATCGCGCGAAACGTCTCGGACGGCGCCGTCTCCGTCGCCGTGGACGCGTACGCGCCGTAGATATCGCTCGCGACGATCGCCAGAACGATTCCGGACGCCGCGACGAGCGCGCGGGACGTCGAGGACGGCATCGCGGTCGTCGCGCGCGGCGAACACTGCGGTCGGGCGTCCCGAACGTTCGGCTGGACGGGACACCCGGCGACGCTTATCCGCGAACGACGACGCGCGCGCGTCGCTCGAGCGCGCGTCGCGCCGACCGCGCGTCGCGAAAGCATGCCTCACGCGCGCGATGTCAATCCCGAGAGCGCGGCGGCGGCGACGGCGTGGCGAAGACACGCGGAAGACGCGCATCGATTGAGCGCGACTGAAACCTTGGCGCGGTTGGGCGTCCTCGATCTCGCGCACGGGCTCGATCGCGCGGACGTGCAGCGACGGAGAGATGCGTGCGGGGCGAACGCGCTGCCGGCGCAGCGGGAGACGTCGTTCGCGTCGTTGGTGATTAAGCAATTCGACGACACGATGGTGAAGGTGCTGTTGCTCGCGGCGTTCGTGTCGTTGGCGCTCGCGCTGTGGGACGGTGAGGGTGGCTCGGAGGCGTTCCTGGAACCGGGAGTGATCGTGGCGATATTAATCGCGAACGCCGCGGTGGGAGTGGCGACGGAGAAGAACGCGGAGCGCGCGATTGAGGAATTGAAAAAGTACGAGGCGGACGTCGCCACGTGCACGCGCGACGGCGAGAAACGCAAGGTGAACGCGGAGGCGCTCGTGCCCGGAGACATCGTGGAGATTGCGACGGGAGAAAAGGTGCCCGCGGATTGCCGATTGGTTAAGATTCACTCCAACGTCCTGCGGTGCGATCAGGCGCTGTTGACGGGGGAGAGCGGAAGCGTGGCGAAGACGGAACGGGCGGTGGAACATCTCGGCGAGTGCGTGCTGCAAGACAAGACGTGCATGGTGTACAGTGGGACCACGGTGACCGTGGGTAAGGCTACGTGCGTGGTGGTCGGTACGGGTAGTAACACAGCCATGGGGAAGATTCAACACACGCTCGAGCAGACGGAGGAGGAATTGACGCCGCTGAAGAAGAAATTGGACGAATTCGGGAACTTGCTCGGGAAAATCATCGCGGTAATTTGTATTTTAGTGTGGGTGGTGAACATTGGACACTTTGCCGACAAGGCGCACGGAGGATTGCTGCGAGGTGCGGTTTATTACTTTAAGATTGCCGTCGCGCTTGCCGTGGCCGCGATTCCCGAAGGCTTACCCGCCGTCGTCACCACGTGTCTCGCCCTCGGCACGCGTCGCATGGCGAAAAAGAACGCTCTCGTGCGAACGCTTCCTAGCGTGGAGACCTTGGGGTGCACTTCGGTTATTTGTAGCGATAAAACGGGTACGCTGACGTGCAACGTCATGACTGTGATGCGCATGTGCGTCATCGAAAATTCGAGCACCGCAGAAGTTACCAACTACGGTATTCGCGGCGAGGCTTACGCACAGAATGGGGAAATTTTAGACTCTCGCGGCTTGGTCGTGCACGAACCAGCCGACGCCGCGGCGGTGGCTTATGTTGCCATGTGCTGTTCGATGTGCAACGATTCCACGCTGAATTTCGACAAGGAAAAGGGATCTTTTGAGAAGATTGGAGAAGCGACAGAGATTGCTCTTCGCGTGCTCACGGAAAAGATTGGACTACCTTCGGATTCCGGAATACTCGGGCGAGCTCAGAGCGACCAGGACATGCATAGCACACAATATTGGGATTCGGAATTTACAAAGCTCGCGACGGCGGAGTTTACGAGCGAACGCAAGCGCATGTCAACGCTATGCTCTCGAAATGATGAATCCATTCTATTCGTCAAAGGTGCACCGGAGAGTGTTCTGTCACTTTGCACGTCGGTTATGTCTAATCGCAACGGCCGAGCGGAAAGAATGACGGATCAAGTTCGCGAACAAGTGGCGGAGCAAATGCGAGGCTACGCCAATGACGCCCTACGCGTGTTGGCGCTCGCGATGCGCCCCATGGGTCGAGGCGTAACGACGTGCTCTGAGACGGACGAAAACAATCTCACATTCATTGGTCTTGTTGGAATGATTGATCCACCGCGCCCGGAGGTGCGTTATTCGTTACAAACGTGCAAAGACGCGGGTATTCGCGTCATCATGGTCACCGGCGACAACCAACAAACCGCAGAAGCCATCGCATCGCAGATTGGCTTGAGCAACTCGATCGATCCTTTGACGGGTGGTTCAACTCAAAATAGTTTCAAGGGAAAATCTTTCACCGGTGTGGAGTTTGAGGCGATGACGATCGAGCAGCGCGAAGAAGCGGCGCGGACGATGTGCGTCTTTTCTCGCGTCGAGCCCGCGCAAAAGAGCAAGCTCGTCGAGATTTTGAAGCGGCAGGACAACATCGTCGCGATGACGGGCGATGGTGTGAATGATGCTCCGGCACTCAAATGCGCGGACATCGGGATTGCCATGGGAAGCGGTACCGCGGTTGCCAAAGGCGCCGCCGATATGGTGCTCGCAGACGATAACTTTAGCACCATCGTCGAAGCCGTCGCGGAGGGTCGCGCAATCTACAACAATACGAAGCAATTTATTCGCTACATGGTGAGCTCAAATATCGGCGAAGTGGTGTGTATTTTTATCGCCGCCGCCCTTGGGTTCCCGGAGACGCTCGTTCCGGTGCAACTTTTGTGGGTTAATCTCGTCACCGACGGATTACCCGCCACCGCGCTTGGTTTCAACCGCGCGGATGGTGACATCATGCGTCAACGACCTCGGAGTCCGCGTGAGCAGATCGTTGATCGATGGTTACTGATTCGGTACCTCATTATCGGCGTTTACGTCGGCATAGCGACCGTTGGGTCGTTCGGATGGTGGTTTATGTCGTACCCCGGCGGCCCGCAAATGACGTGGGCAGAGCTCACGAGCGCCTCGCGATGCATCGGAGACGCGTGTGAATCCTTCAAAGATCGTCGACCGAGCACGATGGCGATGTCGACCCTAGTATTGATCGAAATGTTCAACGCGTTGAACTCACTGAGCGAGAACAAATCGTTATTCTCCCACCCGCCGACGACGAATGTCTGGTTGCTCGTCTCCATCGTCATCAGCATGTGGCTCCATTTCATCATCATGTACGTCCCATCCTTCGCGAAGACGTTCACCATCACCGCGCTCAACTACGAAGAGTGGCGCGCGGTGTTTTGGTTCTCCATTCCCGTCATCTTCATCGACGAGGTTTTGAAATACGTCACGCGCGCGCACCGCGCCTCCATCAACCTATGGCTCAAGCGCGGTCGAGGCGACATCCTCCCGCGTTCTCGCGCCGCCAAAGGATTTTGAATCCCGAATGATTTTGAATCTCAGCGATCGTTCATAATAGTCAGATTCATTCCACGCGCATCCCGCGTCGAATCGCGCGTTCCCTCGTCGTCTCGTCCTCCGTCTCCCTCCTCCGCCGGCGCGCCCGAAAAATCGCATCTTTGTCCTCAAACTTTTTCACGACGACGACTCACTTTCGCACCGCGCCGCCGCACACGCCGCCGCGCGCGCGCCATGACGCGCGCGCGTCGCGCCCCGAACGACGCCGACGACGCGCCATCGACGTCGGCGTCGTCGCCCGTCGTCGCGCGTCGGAAGCACTGCGTCTTGATGCTGAGCGACTTTTTCCTGCCGTCGATCGGCGGCGTCGAGCTCCACATCTACGCCCTCGCCGCGAGATTGCGCGCGCGCGGACACAAGGTGGTGGTGTACACGCACGCGCATCCCGGACGCGTGGGCGTGCGGTGGATCACGCGCGGGATCAAGGTGTATCACGTGCCGAGGGTGGTCATGTACGACAACTGTACGTTTCCAAATTTTCTCGGCGGGTTCAAGTTATTTAGAAAGGTGCGACGACGACGACGACGACGACGACGACGGCGACGGCGACGCGCGCGCGCGAAGTTTCTTTCGTTTCGTTCGCTCGTTCGTTTCGTTCGCGTCGACTGACGCGCGAATTCTGATTCGAATTAGACGTGCGTTCGCGAAGGCGTGACGCTGGTGCACGCGCACCAAGGGTGCACGATGTCGCACGAGGGCATACTGTACGCGCGAACGATGGGAATGAAGTGCGTGTTCACCGATCACTCGTTGTTTGGTTTCGCGGACGTCGGGGCGATTCACACGAACAAGTTATTGGACATGACGTTGGCGGACACGCAGCACGCGATTTGCGTCAGTCACACGGCGAAGGAGAATACGGTTTTGCGGAGCGGGTACTTGCTCGGGGGCGAGCCAGGTTTGGCGCCGGAGCGCGTGAGCGTCATCCCGAACGCCGTGGACTCCGTGAGATTCACGCCGGATGTGACGAAGCGGAAGAAAGGACGCAGGACGGTGGTGGTGACGTCGAGATTGATGTATCGCAAGGGCGTGCATCTGTTGGCGGGGGTGATTCCGCTCGCGTGCGCCGAGCACGACGATTTAGATTTCCTAATCGCGGGCGATGGATCGATGCGGAAGCATTTGGAGAAGGCGATCGAAGATGCGGGTTTGACCGAGCGCGTCACCATTCTCGGGAGCGTGTCGCACGACAAGGTCCCAGAAGTGCTTCGTCGAGGCGACGTGTTCCTCAACGCCTCGCTCACGGAGTCGTTTTGCATCGCCGTCCTCGAAGCGGCGTCGTGCGGATGTCTCGTCGTCGCCACCGCGGTGGGAGGCGTTCCAGAGGTATTACCAGAAGATATCATGTTCTTAGCGAAGCCGGACGTGCAGTCCATCCTGGACGCTCTCGACGAGTGTCTCGAAGCGCTCCCGCGCGCCGATCCGTGGCGGATTCACGAGCGCGTCGAGGCGTTGTACAACTGGGACGACGTCGCCCATCGCGTCGAGCTCGCGTACGACCGCGCGTACGACACGTGGGACACGTTCATGGGGCGTCTTTACAGGCTGTACCGCCGCGGCGTCGTGTTCGGAAAGATGTTGTGGTGCGTCGCGGCGGTGACGTACCTGTGGTGGCGCGCTCTCGAGTTTTTCGAACCCGCGGCGAGCATCGAGCCCGCGCTCGCGCTCGACGACGAGCGCTTCGACGTCGAGCGCTTCGACGACGAGCGCGCGCTCGCGCGCGAGGAGTAACGAACGATTCATCCTCCCTCTCCTAGATCTAGCCAGTCCATCTATCCATCCATCATTAAAACCCCCGTCCCCGCCGAATCTACGATTTTTTCAATCCATCCCCTAACCGTCTTCGAAGCACCGCCGCGCCGTCGCCATCACCACCCGCGCCATCTCTCCCGAGCACCGCGTCCCTCCCAGGACGTCCACGCGTCCTCTCCCACCCCCCCTCGCGCACACCACCTGATACCACGCGTCCGTCGCGCTCAGCCTCTCCGCGACTTCGAACCCGCGCGCGTCCTCGCGCGGCACCGCCGTCCCGTCCGCGCACCGCGCGCCCAACGCTCGATCCATCGTCGCCCGCGCCACCGCGCGCGCGCGTCCCATCGCGCGCGTCGCCATCGCGCACGCCATCGCGCTCGCGAGCCACGCGTCGCGCGCGCGCGCGCGCGTCAGCGCCAGCGCGACGCGCGTCAGCGTCGCCACCGCGAGACCGCGCGCGAAAGCGACGCGACGCGACCGCGCCTCGCGCGCGACCTCGATCGTCGCGCGCGCGCCGCGCGCGGTGATCGTCGCCGTCAGCGCGAGCGCGCGCGCGGGACATCGCGCGCGCGCGACGACGACGTCGTCGGGCATCGAACGCGCGAGGACGCGCGCGGATGAATCGCGTCACGAATCGCGGCGTTCCGCGACGCGCGAGCGGCTTGGCCGCGTCATCGGCGGTGAAGCGCGCGTAGTGCGGCGATGGCGCGCGCGCGACGCGCGTCGATCGCGTCCGCGGTCGTCGGTGGGGCGATGATGATGATGATTTCGACGACGACGGCGACGGCGCTGGAGATCGATCTGGTGCACCGCGGCGACGGCGCGTACGACGACATGAAGTGCGTGAGCGAAGACATACACGCGAACGCGGTGGTGCTGTTCGCGTTCGAGACGGTGATGGAGGGAGATGAGGTGAGCGTGAAGGTGTTCGACGCGAAGGGGAAGGTGGCGTGGGAGAAGAACGACGCGACGAGCGGAAGGCACGGATTCACGAGCGAGACGGAGGGAGAACACCGAGCGTGCTTTTATAAACCGGAGTTGACGTCGCTGGGGGACGAAAAGGCGAAGGCTGCGGCGCTGGCGAAGCACAGGGTGCGCGTAGATTGGAAACACGGCGTCGCGGCGACGGAGTGGAAGAGCCTGGCCAAGGCGACGGATTTGGACGCGTTTACGCGGACGTTGCGGGCGTTAGAGGCGGATTTGAGAGAAGTGCACGATGGTATGTTGAATTTGCGAGCGTTAGAGGCGGAGATGCGCGATATGAATGAATCGACGAACGCGAAAGTCGCGTGGTTGAGCGTGCTGAGCCTGAGCGTGTGCGTCGGGATGTGCGTCTGGCAAATCGTCTATCTCAAGGGTTTCTTTGAGCGGAAAAAGCTCCTTTAATGAGCAATCTTCTTTCTACTGTTATTTCTACGCTACAGCGCTATCGTTTCTCGTAGTTCAAGTCGGTGAACCAGCGCGCCCAGCGACTGTTGATCACCTCCTTGGCGTCGTCGGAGAGCTCGGCAAAGCTATTCTTTTTAAAGTCGGCGAGCGACGTCGCGTATTCCTTCAACACCGGCGCGACCGTTTCGTCGAATCCATCCCATCCGAAATGTTTATAAATTTTCGACAACGTGCCCACGGGATCGGCGTCGAGATCGTCGAATCGCGTCTCAAACAAGGCTTCGCGCGGGAGCGACTTCGAGTCTCGCACGTACGCGTCGTGTAAAATTTCTCCCTGCTTGAGGATGAATTCCTGCACGTCCGCCACGGTGGGGCGTTGCAAAAAGCACTGCCAGTAGTACTTGTCCGCCATGTTTACCGCAGATCTGAAAACATCGTACGGGTGACGAGAAATGAACACGAATTGCGCTCGCGGAAAGAGTTTGCGAAGCACCTCGACGCGCGCCGCGTGCACGGGCGACTTCAACACCAACCGCTTGTGCTCCCCGTGCTTGTACTGCAACTTTGTCATGAACGTCATGAACGCCGATTTCCACGCCTCCAGCTCTGCGCGCTCGATGGGATACTCGTCGTGATCCTCTCGAAGCTCGTAATACTTGCGAAATTTCGCCTCGTCTCGCATAAACATCAGCGGCGCGTACGGCGACGCGCACCCGCTCAATTGATTCGTCGCCAGCTCGTCCTCCTGCGGCGTGTCCATCGTCAGCGCCATGTTATCCATCGGTCTCGTCGAATCCATCATTTTCGCCAGGTACGGCTTCACGAACCCGCTCGAGAGAAACCCGCTCGGAAACCCGACGTCGAACGTCGTCGCCGCGGCGAAGCGCGTCTCGTCTTTCGCCAATATATTATGCAAGTGCGTCGTCCCCGTCCTCGGATGTCCCAGCACGAACACCGGGTCGTCTCGCACTTTCGTCCGACCCCACCTCGGGCGCAGCGCGCCGTCCGCGATCGCCGCCAGCGTGTTCGCGAGCGCCATGCACGTCAGAAACATCAGCCTCGGCGCGAACGCCACCGCATCGATCGACCGTCCGTGCGCCCAGAGCGTCCTCGCCCACCCGACGAGCGTGACGCCGGACATCGGGTGGTTTTTCACGTGCCAGTACGCGCCGCGCACGCGGCACTCGATCACCGTCGGCGTCGCCATGCCGCGCGATGTGCCGCGGTCGGTCGCCGACGGCACCGTCGCGCCAACACTAAAAGTCAGAGCCGATCGGCAGAAACGCGCGCGCGCGAACGCGCGAGCGCGCGAACGCGACGCGAAGCGCGCAGACATGAGCGAAGACGAACGCGGGAGCCTGCTGCGCGCGGCCGACGACGCGTCGCTGCGATTGGACGTGGCGAGCGAGGGCGAAGGGCGCGAACACCAAAATCGCGGGTCGACCGCGCGACGAACGATCGGGGCGCTGTCGGGCGCGCTCGTCGCGAGCTTGGCGCTGAATGGAGCGCAGTACGCGAGAGGTCGCGGTTGGACGTCGAGCGAGGCCGCGCTCGGGAGCTCGCGGTTCGCGCTGGCGGCGCCGAGGGGGCTGACGAGGGACGCGCACCTGGACGCGTGCGGACACGCGTCAAAGTTTAGCTTGATGTGCGTCGGTGAGCGCGAAGAAAGGGGCTCGTGGCGCTCGATCGCGATGCTGGGACAGGAACCGATGCAACAGTTCGGTCAGGAGATGGCGGCGGACGCGGCGGCGATGGCGCAGTCGGGCGCGGTCGATTTGGCGGCGGCGGCGCACGCGCAAGTTCCGGCGTCGGGAGCGACGCGGTATTGTCGCAAGGATACGTGGTTGTTGTCGTGCTTGTTCTACAAGGCGAACATCAACGACGAAGCGACGGATTGGAAGCACGTCAAGGAGGAATGCGACGGGGAATTCGAGTGCGACGGCGTCAACAAGTACTGGACGAGCGACTTGTGGCACATCGGTTCGAGCGGGAACGCGAACGGATGCGACGCATCCTTGGCCGACGGTACCGGCACCGACGCGAGCGCCTTTTACAAGGAAGGAAGCGCGGGCTGGCGTCAGTACGGACCCGACGGTGGCGACGGTTCGTGCAAGGTTGTCAATAGTTGGGGTAACCCGGAGTAGGCGACGACGACGTCGACGCGAACACGCGCTCTCTTCCCGCTGTAAAAATCACTCACACACCTTTTTTACCGCGCGCGTCGCGCTTTCGATGAGCTACCACGCGCTTTCGATGCGTCACTGACAAAATTTCGTCGCTACTTTTACTACACGGCGTCGCCTCGCCTCGTCCCCGCGCTCAGTTGTTTTGCGAAAACGTGTGCGAGCACTTCGGACACTCATAAAACACCGTCTGCCCCTCATCCGCGCTCCTCAACTGCATCGTGTAAAAGTTTAACCCCTTATGCTTACATTTCGGACACTTTTCGTCCACCGTCGCGCGCTCTCGCGTCACCTCCTCCGTCGCGCCCACGCGCGTCCCGTTCGGATGTCTCGCCTCGACGCCGTGATGAAACTTAAACTCCCTCGCCCCCGCCGTGAGCTCGCGCTCGCCGTCCCCGAACGCTGCGGCGTCATCGCGGTCATCGCGCGTCGTCAGTCCGCGTTCACCGTCGTCGCGTCGCGTCGCGTCGCGTCGCGTCGCGTCTTTCTTTTCGTCGCTTTTCCTCGCCGCCGCCGCTTCGTCCGTCGTCGCGTCGGCGTCGCACCGTCCTCGAGCGCGCGCGCCCTGCCGCACGCGTCGCACCGCACGTCGGGCGCGCGCGTCGTCAGCCGCAGGCGCGCGCCGCAGCGTTCGCAGAACCCGCGCGCGCTCGCCATGGTGGCGCGCGCGAATGGCGTCCGCGTCACTCCTCGACGACGATGTCGACGCCCGCGACGCGACGACGCGCGAGCGCCGCGCGCGCGACGACGCCGACGGCGACGACGACGACGGCGTCGACGTCGCGCTCGATGGGACGGCTCGAGCTCGTCGCGTGGCTCAATCGCGCGCTTCGGAGCGATTACGCCTCGGTGCAAGAGTGCGGCGACGGCGTCGCGTACGCGCAGCTGCTCGACGCGATGCACCCGGGGAAGGTGCCGCTGCATAGGTTTGATTTCAACGCGCGGTTCGTCGGGGATAACGAGCGGAACGTGCGGGTGCTGGCGCAGACGATGCGCGCGCTCGGGACGCGCGTCGACGTGGATTTCGACGCGTTGGCCAAGGGGAAGTTCACGGTGCGCGAAACGACGACGCGACGCGACGAGCGAGGCGCGGGAAGCGTGGGATGGAAGTCGCGCTCGCGTTTGGGGGCGATGGACGGCGTCGGTGAAGACGGGGATCGGATCGGGCGACGACGACGACGCGCGGGCGAGTCGAGGCGGTTGGGATTCGAGCGCGAGGCGCGAGCGCGAGCGAACGCGCGACTGACGATCGATCGATCGACCGCGCGGGGGGCGTTTGCGAACGTAGGAAAATAATAATTTATTGCGATGGTTTCACGCGTACGTGGCGAAGAATGGGTCGGCGGCGTTGGAGGAGTACGACGCGTACGCGGCGCGCGTCGAGGCGCAGCGCGTCAAGGCGCACGCGTCGGTTCGACGGCGGGGCGAGGGCGCGACGCCTTTGAACCGCCCGGGGGACGGCAGGGCGTCCGTGAGCGAGCGTGAGACGATGAGCGAGCGATTGGTGCCGAACGAGCTGAGCGCGGTGAGCGAGAACAAACGACGAACGCCGGCGGCGACGCCGACGGAGGACGCGGACGCGAGCTTCGAGTTCGCACCGGCGACCGCGGACGCGCGCGCGCCCGCGACGCCGCGCGCGCTGTCGTTTCTGGATACCCCAGTCGCGCGAACGAAGCTCGATCTCACCGATGGATCGACGACCACCACCACCACCACCACCACCACGAACGCCGAGACGACGAACGCCGCCGACGACGCGGCCAAGCCGTTCGCGCGCGCGCGATCCCTCGACCGATGGGCCGCCAAAGCCCGCGCCAAGCTCCACGCCGACGCCGCGTCCGAGCTCAATCCCGCGAGCGATCCCGCGCCGACCGCACCGGGTCCGAGCGACCCGTCGCCGTTCGTCGAAACCGTCGAGGAGGAAACCTCCTGTTGCGGCTGCGTTCGCAAGCGTCGCGTCGTTCGCGAGCGCGCGTCCCAACCGCCGCCGCCCGCGCGCGCTCTTAGCCAGCGCTAGATTTCTCACTAGTCACGCATCATCATCAGCGCCGCGTCGTCCAGACGCGTCGTTCCCTCTCGTCGTCGCCGCGTCGCGCGCGTTCGCCCTCGCGCGACGCTTCGCGCGACGCCTCGCGGCGTCTCGTCGTCTCCGCATCGAATGCGCGCCCAATGCGCACTCCTCGACGCGCGCGCGCGCCCCGCGAGCGAATCCAACGCGAGGTACGGATCACGACCGACGTCTTCGCGCGCGCGAGCGCGACGCATCGATCTCGCGCGCGCGCGCGCGGCGCATCGGCGCGCGCGGTCGCCGCGGTCGCGAGGTCAAATGCGCGTCGTCGAGCGCTCGCGCGGTCGCGCGCGCGCGAGACGCGCCGCGCGCGCGGGCGGACGCGCGCGGGCGATCGCGCGCGGGCGATCGCGCGCGGGCGAGGGGGCGCGCGACGGTCGGGCGCGCGACGGCGACGCGCGGAACACCGCGGGGAATCGGTCGGAGGTTGAAATTGGAGAATTTCGACCCGCGCGAGCGGTCGACGCGCGCGGCGCGCGGCGCGCGCGGGTCGGAACGACGGAACGCGCGCGCGATGGGATGACTGACGACGCGGACGCGCGCAGGACTCGATCGAGACGGTCGAATCGACGCGGGGAGGACGGCGAAGGCGAGCGCGGAGGTCGACGCGACGGCGCGATGTCGGCGGAGGGAGGTTTACCGGGTCAACCGCCCGCGAGCGAGGTCGCGGCGGTGGTGAGCGATGGGAAAGTGGACGCGGGCGCGGGTGATGGGAACGAGGTGCAGACGGCGACGCCGGCGCGGAGCCCGGGGCAGGGCGCGAATGGAAGTCCGAATAGCGACAAGACGACGAAGGACGGCGAAGTCGCGAACGAGGCGCCGGCGCGCACGCCGGCACCAGCGCTCGCGGTTTCGAGTCCGACGACGATAGATGTTGAAGTGCCGACGCCGCGCGGGGTCGACCAGATGAGCCCGGACGGTAACAGAGAGTACAAGATCTACAAGGATATCGAGTGTTGCTTTTGCGGCGCGCAGAAAAAGTTTAACGGATACCTCGCGTTCAAGAAACACGTCGTGAGTTACTGCAGCGCCAAGCCCGAAGAGACTTTCGCCGAGTATCAGCAGCACGTCGAAAAGTATTGGGCCGAGCAACCCGCCATGGACCAAGCCGAGATGGTGAGCGCATTCGTGATGGAGGACGAGAACGACAAGGATGAGACGGATCGCGACAGCGACGCCGACGACGATGGGCCGAGAAGCGATACAGTGAAGCATCGTGCTGAAGCAGAGGCTACGCACAACGCAGACAGCGATGATGATCGACCAGCGAACAAGGCTGCGCTTCTCAAGACACCTGAAAATCTTTTTGACGACGTATCGAATGTTGACGACAAGCTGACTGCGAACGAGTCTACTGAACCCAATCGAAAGCGGCGAACAGCCGCGAGACCTTCGCGTTACACCGTAGGTATCGACGACGAAGACGAGCGAGCAGCGAGCAGAGGTCGTGACATCGACAAGTCTACGAACGAGTCGCAGGAATGTGCGTGCACTGAGTGTGGAAAGTCGTTCAAGAATGCGCACTCGCTAAAAATACATCAGAGCAAGATGAAGCATCGCGGCGAACTAATCGTGCCTTTGACCGCTGGTGCGGTAGAGAAGAAAAACAAAACGCAAGCGTCTGTCATCGTCACCAATCATTCGACGGCTTGCGATGTGTGTGGAGTTTCAGTTAAGTCGCCAGCCGGGCTCGTGACGCACAAAGCGCGATGGTGCAAAGGAGCGAAATCAGCCGCTACGAGCGTCCCTAATGCCCAAGTGGTCACGAAGGCAACAGATAAGGCGCCTCCAAAAATTGCGTCTGAAGCTCACACGCCGCTCAAAGAGCTATCCGTCGGCGCGAAGAGTAGAAAATGTTTACTTCGAGAAGAAAGCGGTTGCGAGTTCAAAGGTACTTCTTTCGATGATTTAGTGCGACACATGCAGGTGGAACACGGCGTTAAAGTCACGCGAATTGGTAAACAGTCTGCACAAGGAGAGTCACCCGGCGACGAGCCTGCCGTCGAAGAACAGTCCGTTCGACCGCAAACAGAAACGACAATCTTACGCATCTTTCACACGCAAAGAAGTTGTGCAGAGTGCTCGGCCAAGTTTCCAAACAATTCAGGGCTGATCGCTCACTACAAAGACGCGCACAATGTACGGGCATTCATTACCGCGAAAGAGTTTAAAGAGGCGGAGGCGTTGATGAACTCGTCGAGTGATGCGTCGTTGCCAACTTCAGAGCCGAAACCTTCGTTGTCAAAACCGAATAAGCTCACACATGAGACGAGAGATACCGATCGTCCGAGTGGTAAATCGAAAAAGACGCAGATAACGTGCGAGTACTGTCAGACGTACACGGGTTTCTGGAATGCAGGGTTTGCAGCTCATCTGCGCAGCTGCAAGTTGAAGCACCCCCAAACCTCACCACTCGAAGAAGAGCCCCTGAACGTCGGAGTTAGTTTCCCGGGACCTCCTCGCACGAAAGAGATGGATCCTGGCGTTCGGTTTTGCGACGAGTGTGCGGCTGGAGATTTCAAATGCAAGTCGTTCAGACAGCTTTGCACGCACTACAAGAAAGAACACAACGTTGAACTGATTGCGGCGGCAGCCGTCATCGAAGATCGGGTGGCACTCAATCAGACTGACATGGAGGAAGTGGATGAGACGGTAGTCCACGACAAGGGAGTCCATTCTAGTACCAAACACATGGAAATTTTAACGGACCAACTCCAATGTCCAGAGTGCGAGTTCAAAGCGAAGCAACATAGGGGTTTGTGCACGCACATGAGGATGAAGCACAAGACGATTCCCATCCCCGTTGAGCCGCCGAGCAGACGTAAGAGATCTCGAGCTGCGAGCGTTACTGCGGAGGATGAAACGCATGCCTTGGTTCCAGTGAAGAGAATGACGCGTGAGCTGGACGACGCGTTACCGGGTAACGAAATCGTCGAGGTGAAAAATTTCCAGCAACTCGTAAACTCGTTCAAAGAACTTTCTGCAGCGCACAAAGAACTCGTGCGCTCGCACGAAGAGCTTGCGCGCTCGCATGAAATCGCAACGCGAACGAACGTTCAGTACGAGGATCGAATTGCGGTGTTAGAAAGCGGTACGTCACAAGGTGGCGATCGTCGTCGTGGCGCCGGGCGTGGAGCGCTGGCGTTGCACGCGCCAGACGCAAACACGCAGGTCGTGTACCACAATCCTGGTGGCTTGGATTGCTCTCCAGTTGTCACCTGGGGACGACAAGTGTGGCTTTCTGGTATTACTTGTGGCGGTGTGGTCGAACCCACGTTCACGGGACAAATGCGCCGTGTGTTTGATAATTTGGTCAGACTCCTCGTGATGGCCGGCACTGACGTCGCTCACTTGCTGCAAGTGAAAATTCACCTCAAAGACATCCGAGAAATGGAAGCGGTGTGTGATATCTGGGACAGATTTTTCTCCGATGCGGGCATCACGCGAGAACATCGACCCTGTAGACACATCACGCAAGCCGTGCTGAGTAACGCAAAGTTGCAAGTCGAAATGTTCGCCGAAGCGGTGCTCCCGGGCGAAGGAGAACAGGCGTTTCCGAGCGGTCTGCCGCCAAAACGCATCGCGAATGCGTGAACGAATGAAAGTGTACATTTTAGCGCGACCCATTCGGGATTCATCGTTGAATAAAAAAACAATAATTTCTTTTGTGTGGTGTCTTAAAAATTACGATATCCAAACGCGCGCGCGACTCGTTACTTGCTGTCGCCCTTGGCGACCGTGGGTGCGAGTAACATCGTCATCGAGTTCCCTTCCATGCTAGGCTTGCTCTCGAGCGAGCCCACCTCGCCAACGTCCTCTACGAATCGAGCGAACATCTCCCGCCCAATCTCCCGGAAGTCGTTCTCGCGCCCGCGAAACTGACAAATCACCTTAACCTTGTCCCCGCCCTCCAAAAACTTTTGCGCCGCCCTCAGTCGCACCCCGTAATCGTGCGTATCGATGTTGTACCTCATTTTCAATTCTTTGATGTCCACGCGCACCGCCGCCGCCTTCTTCCTCGCCTCCCGATCCTTCTTTTCCTTTTCGTACTTGTACTTTGAGTAATTCATGATTCGCGCCAACGGCGGCTCCGCGTCCGGGCTCATGACCACCAAATCCAATTCCTTCTCCGCCGCGAGTTCCAGCGCCTCGTCCGTGGACATCACCCCGAGCATCTCTTTATCCTCGTCCAGCACCCGCAATTCATCGAACTCGATGTCTTCGTTTCGCATCGGTCCTCGGTCCATCTGCGGTCGTCCGCGACCTCGTCCGCGTCCGCCTCGCCCGCGCCCGCCCCCGCCGCGTCCACGTCCACCGAACGAGCGTCCGCCGCCGCCGCGTCCGCCGCGTCCGCCGAACCGCGCGGTGACGGGCGTCATCCCGCGCGCGCGCGGGGCGCTCGGCGCGCGCGCGGCGCGCGCGACGACGACGGGGACGCCCGCGAAAGTTGACCTACCGCTCGCGACGTCGCGCGCGACGACGGACGACGCGCGCGCGCGCGGGCACAGCGCGAGGTTCGCGAGGGCGACGTGCATCGCGCGCGATCGGGACGCCGGTCGACCGCGGACGCGACGCGAAGTGACGCGATGGGCGAACGGAATGAATTGGAATGACGTTTCAGGGTCCGCGCGGCTCGAGGATGGCGAAGTCGTCGGCGTCCGCGAAGGCGTTGATGATTTTGACCTCGCGGACGCGCGTGGACGCGCGACCGGCGTCGATGCGGGCGGCGACGATGAACCAGGACGAAACGCGCGCGCCGATGAGGCCGGAAGGGATGGGGATGCGACGCGAGATCCAACCGTTTACGGCGTCTCGCGCGAGGACGTCGCGGAAATTGACGGCGGCGACGGCGGCGGCGAGGCCGAATTGATCGATGGCGTCGGGGAAGGCGCTGAGGCGGTCGCCCGCGGTGGTTTCGAAGTCTAAGGTGGCGCACATCGCTCGCACGGCGTCGGGAGACTTGTCGGAATCGACGAATTTGATTTCGTAGGAGAGGACGTCGCCGTCGACGAGGACGCGGCTGGGGACGTCGTCGCGCCAGAGGGCGACGAGACTTCGAACCTGTGAGGCGTCTTCGGCGTCGTCGGCGGTGAATGAGAGCAAGTGAGACGATACCAAGGGGTTGAACATCAAGTCACGCGCGACGCGCACGAAATTATCGGTGCGATCGTCGGAATTGAGTCCCAAGGCGCCGAGCCGTCTCATCTCGCGCGTGGCGCGCGACGCAAAGCGATCCAGAAGATCCCGCGTCTCGTGAGGCGATCCGACGCGTGGTGCGCGACCGCTCATCGCGGATGCCACGTAGTCTACGATCGAATCGTCTTCTGAAGACGACGAACTCACGATGTGCTCTTCAATCATGCTCGTGAGCGTCGACGCCCCGTCGCGGCCGACGAGGGACGCGTGCAGGGTACGCACGAGTCTTCTCAAACGCGTTTTCGCTGCGTCTTGAAAAGTCTTGTCGCGAACTTCTTCGCTCGGTAACTCGACGTCAAAAGCAAAGATGAACTCAAGCTTGTGAAGTCCAAAGATGTTTCGAACGAGCCTCGCCGCCACGGTATCTCCCGGGAGCAGATTCGGCGTAACGATTTTCACCTCGAGCGATTCGACCCCCGGAACGTGCTTGGCGCGCGACGGAGCCTCGGCGCCGCCTCGTCCGGCGATGCAGTATCCTTTTTTCTTCGCACAGACGTCGTCCTGTTGATCTTCTTCTGGGCGCACGTCGCGTTCACCGAATACCCGTTCGCCCGTTTCTTTGTGCACGTACTGACCAGCCGCTCGGCCATCCGCCCCGGCGTCGCGCTTATCAAACCGGAAGATGTAATCATCCTCGTTAAGTCCATCGTTTGGCGGTTGACCGTCATTCGTGCGACGGCTATCGGCGTGACTGTCGAACCAGTCGTTCGTCGCTTGCGCGTCAACGCCCAAGTTCACCTTGCCGGTCTCGTCGTATTCGCGACGAAGCGTCTCGCTTGACAGAATCTTGTACGCCTTGACGAGTTCATCGAATTTCTCCTCCGCCTCCTCTTTATCGACCGCCGGATTTTTATCGGGATGTAATAGTAGTGCCAGCTTTCTGTACGCACGTTTCAAAACACGAAGCCAATCTTCCGCTTGTGCATCTTCGCGCGTCAATCCCAGAATCGCGTATAAATCCTTTGGAGCGTTTGCTTCGCGCGCCTCTTCGATGGCTTTTCGCAACGCCTCAACGTTCGCCTTCCAATCGTCGGACGATACATCTACCGAACGTTCAATCCCCGCTACGTCGGCCATCGCACCATCTACGTTCGCGCTCAGCGCGCGCATCCACGCGCGAGCGTAATACGAATTCGGGACGTCGTCGACGCGACTTTCGCCGCAGCGCGACATGAGCTCGGACAACGCGTCTGTGCACTGATCGATCGCATCCGCGACGAGTTTGGCGGGAACCCTCTTTCTCGTCGTGCTGGTCTCCCAACGCGCGCGTTCTCGTTTACCATTCACGCGACACGACGCGACGAGCGCGTCGAATTTCAACGCCTCAAACGCGCCGCCGCGCGTCGCGTTTCGCAGCTCCCTCAGAGCGTCGATCGCCGAACTCCAATCCCCGAGCGATTCCGCATCGCTCGCTTCGCGCCAAACCAACAGCGCTCGCCTAATATTTTTTCTAACTACCAAACACTCGACGTTGTCCGGGCTGTACCGCAAACAACGCCGCGCCAGCGTCTCGGCGTCGGCTAACCGCTCGGCGGAATCCGCCAACTCGCTCAACGCCGTCGCCATCGTCTCGTACGCCTCTGACTTCCCCCCCCCCAGCGCGAGCGCGCGTTTCGCATCCACGAACGCCCTTCCGTGCATCGCCAACTTCAACGCCGCGCGCGCGCGCGCTTGAAACGTCCTCGGATCCAAAGCGCACGCGCTCGCCTCAACCGCCGCGTTCGCCGCCGCGTACGCCTTCACCCAATCCCCTCGTCTTCCCGCCTCCGACCCCACCCGCGCCGCGCGCGACATCTCATCTATTGTTTTCCATAATTCGCTCGTCTCGTCGCCCGCGAGCGCGCGCTTCGCGTCGTCCCACGCGCCCGTCGCCGCGTTGAGCTTCGCCGCCAGAAATCGCGCGCGCGCGCCCACCGCACCGCACGTCGACGCTCCGAGCGCTTCGAGCGCCTCCGCGCCGCGCGCGATGTCCGCGCACGTCGCCCGCGTCGTCAGCGCGCGTCGCGTGACGTCGTCGTAGCGTCGCGCGTCGTCGACGCACCGCGGCTCGATTGCGAATCCATCAGCGCGCACAGCGCACAGCGCGACGAAAACGACGCCGAGCGTCGCCGCGGCGATCGATTTCGCGCGCGTCGACATCCCCGCGCGCCTTCACGCGCGCGCGACGACGTCGGACGGCATCGACGTCGCGTCGCGTCGAGGTGTGTCGTCGTCCGTCGCGCCGTTCGGTTACGCTAGTCGATTGTAATTACAACGCGTCGCTCGACGCCCTCGATCGTTCGCGTCGATCGCGATCAGAACCCTTCCTTCTTATTTCGCCCCGTGGTGAGATCCATCACGCCTGCGATCGATCGCGCGTCGATCCGTCGTCGTCAGTCTCGCCGTCCCGTCCCGCTCGCCCATCCGTCGCGTCTTCGAAACCACCGACGGAAGCGCTTCCGTCGCGCCGTCGACGCGCGTCGACGGGCCGCGCTTTGACGTTTCGCGCACCTTTCGCGAGCATCGCGCTCATGACGCACACCGCGCCGACGGGTATCAACACGCTCGTGACGCGATCGACGCCGCCTCGCTTCAGGTGCACGAATCCCTTTCGGGATTGAAAAAACTGTCGAGCGGCGCCGCGACGCCGCGCGCGCGTCTCGTCAGTCGTTCGGTCGAGCGCTAGCGCGCCTCGAGGTGCGTCGTCGTCCGCGTCGCGCGCGCGTCGTCCGCGCGCGCGTCGTCGCTCGCGGTCGAGCCCTAGCGCGTCGCGATCGAATCGTTGACGCTTTATCCGACGTCGCGATGGCGCGTCGCGCCGTTTTCGCGCGTCGCGAAGCGCGCGCGTCGTCCGTCGCACCTTCTGCGCCTCGACGATCTTGTCGCTCATGGCTCGACGCGGCGATGTGCGGCGCGCCGCGGCGCTCGGAGGGGGGGTCGGTTCGCGACGCCGCGAACGCGCGCGCCGACGCGAACGCGAACGCGTCGAGCCGTGAAACGCACTCGGTGAACGCAGAAACGCGACGCATTTAGACGCATTCGCGTTCGCGACGATTACAATGCACGAGCACGCGATCGTTCACGCGTCGCGCGACGCCGCGCGCGCGATTTCAAACGCCGCGCCGCCGGCGCCGGCGTCAACAACACTCGCAAATTTCCAGCGCCCACGCCGCTTTCTTGCACGTCTGCGAGCAGTACCAGCACCTTTTACACCGCTCGCACTTCACCTTGACCGCCGACCCGCGCGCGCCGCATCGATTACACTTCCTGTGCCGCGCGGCGAAGCGCCTGCTGACGCGTCCCGGCGCGCCGCCGCGCGCGTCGCCGTCGCCCCTCGCCCACCGTCGCAGCCTCGCGAGGGCGACCGCGAGCAGCGCGATCGCGAGCGACGCGCGCGCGACGTCGCCGGCGCGCTCGCGCGCGTCGCGTCGTTCGTTCGTCGGCGGCGTCGTCGTCGTCGTCGTCGTCGCGTCCTCGCGCGCGTCGTCGGCGTCGGCGTCGGCGTCGGCCATCGCGCGCGTCGCGTCGCCGTCGTCGACGTCGCGCGCGACGTCGCGCGCGTCGTCGTCGCCGCCGAGCGCGCGCGCGTCGGCGCGCATCGCGCGCGCGCGTCGCGATGTCTCGACGTTTAAAAGATGCGACGGCGCGATGGACACACCGCGACGCGCGCGCGACGCGCGAGCGCGCGCCGACGACGGACGGCGCGCGAGAGAGAACGTTCCCGCGCGCCGCGCGATGGCGAAGGGCAAGCGAGCCGGGCGCAAGGGCAAGCGAGGGGACGATTCGAGCGACGACGACGACGGGGTCGATCCCTCGGCGGCGACGGCGACGGCGACGGCGACGGCGACGGCGACGCGCGACGACGGCGCGAAAGACGCGGACGACGGCGCGAGAGCGATGTCGAAGACGGAGATGAAAAAGGCGCGAAAGGCGGCGAAGGGCAAGGGCGGGCGGGGCGGGAGAGGACGAGGGGAGGACTCGGACGAGGATTTGGACCCTCTGGCGGCGGCGGCGAAGAAGGCGGACGAAGAGGAGGCGGACGAGGGGGAGACGCGCGCGGTGAAACCGAGGAAGGGGAAGAAAACGTCTAAAAAGGGAGGTTTCGCGGCGTTGATGGGGTCGGATGACGACGCGGATGACGCGGACGACGCGTCGGAGGAGGAGGTGCGCGCGGCGGCGGCGGCGACGAAGCCGAAGAAGGAGAAGAAGAAATCCAAAAAAGGTGGTTTCGCGGCGTTGATGGGGTCGGACGACGACGTGAACGATCCGTTGATGGGTGGTGGCGATGATGACGACGAGGAAGAGGAGATGGAGGCGGATGTCAAGCCGAAGAAGGATAAAAAGAAGAAATCCAAAAAGGGCGGCTTCGCGGCTTTGATGGCGGACGACGAAGACGAGGACGCGGAGGACGACGAAGAAGCCTCGGAGTCTCGCACCGCGGACACGAAAGACAAAAAGAAGAAGAAGAAGGGAAGCTTTGCCGATCTCATGGATGCCGACGAGGAAGCCGCGGCGGTGGAAGTCGCGATTGATCTCAAAAAGAAGAAAAAGAAAAAGCTCGTCGCCGAACCCGAACTCGTCGTGGGTAAGATCATCGAATGCAGCAAGCACCCGATGGCGGATCGTCTGCAAGTTTGCACCGTCGATTTCGGCGGCGACGAACCGAAACGGTGCGTGTGCGGTGGTGCCAACGCCAGAAAAGGTTTGTTGGTGATTTTTGCAGGCGTCGGCGTGAAAATCCCCGCCAGCGGCCAAGTCATCGACAAGACGCCGTTGCGCGGCGTCATGAGTGAAGGTATGATTCTCAGCGCGGTGGAGATGGGTTGGGCCGATAGCGCGGATGGCGTGTACGAGCTCGATAAGTCTGCTTTTTCCATCGGCGATGATGTGCCTTTGAAAGCGCCCGGGACGACGAAGAAGGAAAAGACGCCCGAACCCGAACCCGAACCCGAACCCGAACTCGTCGCCAACGAAACTGGTGGCTCGAAGAAGGACAAGAAGAAAAAGAAAAAAGGTGGTAAGCAAGCGGCCGACGACGAGGAAGACCTCGACGCTCTTTTGGCCGAGCTTGACATCAAAATCGAGGCCAAGCCAGAAGAGCCGGCTGGCGAGAGTAAAGCGGCAAAGAAGCGCCGATTGAAAGCCGAGCGCGAAGCCGCGGAAGCCGCAGCTGGCGGTGATGCCGCCGATGCGGCGCCTGCTACCGATGGCAATAATCATGATGATGATGATGACGGCGATGCGCTTGAAGATGGCAAAGAGCTTTCGGCGTCGCAAAAGAAGAAGCTCAAGAAGAAGCAAAAAGAAAAGGAAGCCAAGGCCAAGGCGGCGGCAGAGGCGGAGAAGAAGCAAAAGTCTGCCGGCGCGCCAAGTGCGAGAATTCTCGCCCTTCAAGCAGAAATGCAAAAGCGTAAGGAGGTGGAAGAGGCTCAAGCCAAAGCTGAAGCCGAGGCAAGAGCCGCGGCGGAGGAGGCTGAACGTCTTGAGAAACAAAAAGAAGAAGAGGAGGAAGCGCGTCGCGAGGCAAAGAAACAAAAAGAGAAGGAGAAGAAGGAGCGCCTCCGTGCCGAAGGCAAACTTCTCAGCAACAAGCAAAAGGCGGAACAAGCGCGTTTAGCCGCGATGCGCCAGCAAATGTTAGCCAAGTCTGGGATTGACGCAGATAAACTCGACGAAGTTATCAAGCCGAAACGTCCGGTTTACGACGATCGCAAAAAGAAGAAAGAGATGGAAGAGCGTCGAAAGCAACAACAAGAGCGTGCTGAGGCTGAAGCGAAGGCTAAAGCTGAAGAAGAAGCCCGACTCGCCGCCGAAGCTGAAGATGACGACGCTGCCGATGACTGGGAAGCGGAAGACTGGGACGACAAGGAGATTATCCTTCCGGGTCAGAAAGAAGAGGAGGAGCGCTTGGCTAAGGAAAAGGCGGAGAAAGAGGCCGCCGAGCAGAAACGTCACGAGACGGAGAAGAAAGCGGCTGAGGCTGCGGCCAAATTCGCGGCGGAGAAGGCGATCAAGGCGAAGATTGCGGCTGAAAAGCCGTGGGCCAAGGAAGCCAAGGAAAAGGCCGCCGCAGCCAAGGAAGCTGCTGACGCTTCGGGCTCTGACGAAGAATCTGACGAAGGATCTGGCTCTGATTCTGGCTCTGATTCTGACTCTGATTCCGACAGCGACAGCTCTGAGTACTCCGATAGCTCGGATTACCGCGAGGATAGCGATGACGTCCGTCAACGTGAACACGAAGAGCGCATGGAGGCGGCAAAGATTGCGCGTTTGGCACGCTTCGAGTTGGCCAAGGCAAAGCGCAGTCCAAGCAAGCTTCGTTGCCCAATTATATGCATCATGGGGCACGTTGATACCGGTAAGACGAAGATATTGGATAACATTCGACGAACCAACGTCCAAGACGGAGAAGCTGGCGGTATTACGCAGCAAATTGGTGCGACTTTTATTCCCAAGGAGTCTCTCCTCGAGCGAACGGCGCAGCTAAACAAGGGTGAATGGGACTTGCGAGTTCCCGGTTTGCTCGTTATCGATACCCCAGGACACGAGTCTTTCACAAACTTGCGTTCGAGAGGTTCGTCACTTTGTGATCTCGCCATTCTCGTCGTTGATATCATGCACGGCTTAGAGCCGCAAACGATAGAATCGTTGAACATGCTTCGATCGCGAAAGACGCCTTTTGTGATTGCGCTCAACAAAATCGATCGCATGTACGACTGGACGGAAAATACCAACTTCCCAACACAGGAGACTTTGTCCTTACAAAAGGATCACGCTCGACGCGAGTTCCAAGATCGTTACGACAAGATCGTCATCGAGTTTGCTGAGCAAGGTTTGAACGTGGCGAAGTACTGGGAGAACCCGGACCCACGTACTTTCATCAACATCATCCCAACCTCTGCTATTACGGGTGAGGGGATGCCGGACATTTTGCAAACGCTTGTTGACTTGTGCCAAAATCGCATGAACGAGCGCATTCAATACGTGCCTGCCGTACAGTGTACCGTGCTTGAAGTGAAGATGATCGAAGGTCTCGGTACGAGCGTTGACGTCATTCTCATCAACGGTAAGCTCAAGGAAGGACAGACAATCGTCGTTGCTGGGTTAGAGGGGGCGATTACGACTCAAATTCGTGCATTACTTACACCGCAGCCCATGCGAGAGATGCGGGTGAAGGGAAGCTACATTCATCACAAGGAAATCGAAGGCGCTCAAGGGATCAAGATCGTCGCCACTGGATTAGAGAAAGCTGTCGCAGGTACGTCTCTTTTGGTGCTCGATCCTGAAGACGACGAAATGGAACTCAGGGAAGAGGTTTTAAGTGATATGAAGGGCGTGCTTGCTCGTGTTGATAAGAGTGGCGAAGGCGTGTACGTGCAGGCGTCTACGCTCGGTTCTTTGGAAGCCTTGTTGGAGTTCTTGAAATCTGACGCGGTCAAAATTCCCGTCGCCGGCATCGCCATTGGCCCGGTAAACAAACGGGACGTCATGGGTGCGAGCGTCATGCACGAGCGCAAAAAGCCCGAGTATGCTACTATTCTGGCTTTTGACGTGCCGGTGACGAAGGAGGCGCACGCAATGGGCGAAGAGCTCAACGTTCGCATCTTCACCGCCGACATCATCTACCACTTGTTTGATCAATTCACGGCGTACATGGAAAAGGTCAAGGCAGACAAGCGTGAAGCCGCGTCGCAGCACGTCAACTTCCCTTGCATCTTGCAAATCATGCCCAACTGCGTGTTCAACAAGCGCGATCCCATCGTCGTTGGTGTTGACATTGTCAAGGGGGTCGCTCGCGTGGGGACGCAAATTTGCATCCCATCGCAAGGTTACATCGACATTGGTAAGATTGCTTCGATGGAACTCAACCACAAGGAGGTGAAGAAGGCAACTGCCGGTCAATCTGTGGCGATGAAGATCGAACCGAGAACGCCCAGTGAATCTTCGCGACTTTACGGTCGCCATTTTGATCATAAAGATCAGCTCGTATCGAGAATGACGCGCGAGTCGATCGACATGTTGAAGGAAAGCTTCCGTGAAGAATTGACGAAGGATGATTGGCGTCTCGTCGTCGCTCTCAAGACGCAATACGAGAAGGCCACGGGTGAAACGATTTAGTTTGGTGATGCGTTGATTGACTTGACTAGCAGCAGATTTTTAGCGTATTAATACAAAAGATGCTTCCAGCGAACATTTACAGATGCGTCAACGACTCGAATGGGAAGTACCAGCCATAGGTCGGCGTCTTTCCGCGGGAAATCGCTACGAGTCCGCCAGAAACGGACAAGCCGACAACAGGCGTCTGTCTGTAATCGAGACTCACGACGCACACTCGAAAGCACTTCCCACACGTCTCCTCCATCCCAGGCTCCCATCCGACCGGGTAGCCGAAAACACCCTTGTCTGCGCCGGTGCACATGCGCTTAACCTCTTCCGTGTCGGACTTGACCCTGACCCACATCCCCGGAATTAGTTCGTTTGCGCTCAATGGTTGCGCTCGCTTTTCAAATATTTCAAGCTTTCGCTTCCACGAAAGTTTCCTAGAGCCAAGCGAAGAGCAAGTGTTAGTCAACGCGCGCCAGCTTTGCGACAAGGTCGAGTTGACCGAGGAAATCTTTGACGGATTCTTACCTGTAAAATGGCGGCATGTCGGCCATCTGCGCGCCTCTGATACGTACTCTAGCGACGCGCTCGGCGATCCCTAGTCCTCGATCGGCGCGTCGCATAGGGCGATGGAAATACGAGCTCGCGCACTCCAACGACGCCAAGTCCTTCGCCGGCAGGAACTCGCACACTTTCCACAATGCATCCTCGCAGAGCGTTCCGAGCAACGCGCTCTGCGCCTCGTTAGCTTTGCGAAAAGCGTGGTCTTTGGTTTCACGTCGCGTGCGCGGCGCGCACACCAAGGAAGATTCGACAGGAGTCTCCCGCCTCGCCGGGGGCGTCGCGTCGTCGCCGCCGTCCGCGGCTCGAACCGTCGCGACGACGTCTGATTCGTCCTCGTCGTCCGAAACCGCCGCACGGCGACGCGACGATTTTACGAACAATTGCGCCGACTCAATTACGACGTCTCTCGACCGCTTGCGCGACGCACGCGTCGACGCGCGGACGCTCGCGATGCTGCCTGGTGCGGCATCGTCGGAGAGTTTCATACTGACGCGCGTTTCATTGCGAGTGTCGCGCGCGTTTGAAGCTCGCGATCGCGGAGAAGTGTGATAGTCGCTGTGCTCGCGCCTCGTGCCCGCTCGCGTCAGTCGCGCGGGCGTCATGCGCGCCGTTGACGCGCTGCAGACTGAGGTAATCGATCGCTCATTTCGAGACGTGACCACGACGCGCGACCGCGAACGCGATCTCTCGGCGACGAGAACGTTTCGAACGGTTGTTCGCTTTTCGAAGTCGCGTCCTTAGGCCGAATCCGTTAACTCGCGCGCTCGATGGGACGAGGTCAACACGCTAACAAAGGAGTGCGGGACACGAGAGGACATGAAAAGACATTTTGCATTGACAATGCAAACTCAAAACGCAGCGCAATAGAAATATCGTCTGCGTTCACATCGTTTTCTTCTTCGACGGCGATGAAAGCATCGCGTTGAAAGAACGAGTCGCGCTCGACCGTCGCGTGTGTGGAAGCGATAGAATGGCCTTCATGAGATTATCGCTTTCATCCACGAAGCGACGCAGCGAGTGCTTTTCGATGAGCGTGCGGAATCGCGCGCGAAGTGATTCTTTCTCTGGAGAGCGATCGGTGCCATCGCCTTTAGTCATGTCGGCGAGTTCGTTTTCATACGTCTCCTGATAGTATCGACGATTTTCGATCAGTCGCGTCAAGAGGCCGTTCAGGGCTGGGAACACCGCCACAAATTGCACGTAGAGAGGCGCGATAACAAACTCAATAAAGTTTATCTGCGATAGCCCCACCGACGTGGTCTCGCGATCCATCATAGGACTGATCGACATTCCTCTTGAACGTTCGCGATCGCCTTGATTGAAGAACTCTTCCAGCACCCGCGATGCCCACTTGACGCAAAGCTCGTTTGGCTTGACGGCGTTGGAGATGTCCGCGCAGTGCAGGAGAACATTCAGCATCAGCTGACGCTCGTCGTCTGTCTTGAACGTCACGCTCACATTTATCGGATCATCATCACGAGTGCTCGTTATGACTGTCGATTTCATCGGTGAACCGTTGATGATGTTGTTCTTCTTACCCAGAGCGACGAGTTCGTTCAATCGCGAGACGAGCTTGAAGTGATGCGCCATGTCTGTGTGTAGCACGCAACTTATAATAGATCGACGAATCTCTTTGTACGTACTCTCGTCAAATGCAGAGAGAATGTTTGCGTCTTCGTTGTTTTGACACAAAGAAAAGAACCGCGAGAGATGAAGATTCTCCAACACGCTCTCGTCGTTGTACGTCAGCGCTATGTTATCGTGCGTGGCGATGAGATACCCGTTCGTAACCCCGGGATGATCCAAATCGTGCACCAAAGCGGCAACGAGGAGAGAGAATATTTCTACTTGCGTCATACTGACTTGCTCTTTCACCGCGCAAATGTATAAATACGTCGTGTGCGTGACGTCGACGGCGTGCTTGAAGCAGTGGTACGGATTATCCCGGTACATGCCTTCGACCTCAGATAAGAAGCGACGAAACTTGAACTGATCGACGAGCTCAAACATGTTCATTTCGTGAAACATGCGCACGACGTACGGAAATAGCTCCTTGTTTTCCCCTACGGTGAACACATCGAACGACCAAGAGTTGAGCGCGTCCCCGTCGACGCTCAGATACGGCCCCCCGGCGTCTGACATGCGCGCAAAGGATGAAACCACCGACTTGAACACGTTCACTCCTTGCGAATTCACCGACGCTGATTTTCCATATTTGACGTTACTCGCTTCGTAACTCACCAACCATTCGCGAGTGCGTCCGTCGACGTCTTCGTGATCTTCCAGAATGGCTTCGATGAGCGCCGGTCCGCCGTTGTCGGATTCGTTTCGTTTGACGATGTGGCTCATCTTGTCGAGCACATATCCCAACACGCCGATGTCCAAAGATTGCACCTCACCAGGTCGTAACTCCAAGTCGGTTAACACCTGCTTGGCGTGATACTCGAGAGTTTCGATGATTCCTTGCAGCGGACGACCGAGTAATGATCGGCGCGTGAGGTTGAACAAGGCGTTGAACGCCGTCGCCGCGGCAGCGGCGGCGAACACCTGTTCCATGCGTTTGATCGCGCGAAGAACCTCATCGTCGACTCTCACGTGAAAGTAACGCGTGAGAATTTCCGCGCCGAGCCGGTGTTGCGCCGTCGCGACGGGACCGAGAGAAATGATTCCCACGCTGACGCACACCGCGATGTTCACCGCGCCGGCGTGCTCGAGTCGATGAAACACACCTCGCACGCCTCTCCCGTTCAGCACCGCCCACGTCCCGGCGTCCATGCAGAGCGCACTTGCCGCGCACACGCGCGTGAGCAACGCGAGCCGAATGAACGGTCGTACGAGCGCCCACACCGCGGCGTCTCCTCGCGAAAGCGCCCGATCCGCCGCCGCCGCCGCCAGCGCGCACCCGTCCACCATCGCGTGCGTGTACGACGCGTACCGCGCGAACCCGCACACCAAGTGCACCATCGCCCCCACGATCGCCGTCCCCCACACCGCGCTCCCGAGCGCCCCCGACGCGCCGAGCCAATCCAACTCGTGCGCCGTCATCAACGCCCACGCGCTCGCCACGTCCCCGACCGCCCGCCACCTCGGCGTCGGCGTCATCGCCCCTCCCTGCATCGACCGCATCGCCGCGCTGATCGCCGCCTCCACCGACATCGACCGCTCCTTTCTTCGCGTCGCTCGCCATCGTCCCTCGCTCGCCGTCTCCTCGCCGCGCGTCGCGTCGTCGTCCTCCGCCTTCGTCCCGCGCGTCCGCGCCGTCGTCGTCGTCGTCGTCATCCTCGTCCACCACCGCGTTTCGCCGTCGTCGTCGTCGATCGACGCCCGCGACGATCGATCGAAGCGATCGTCACCGCCCGGTCCTCGCGCGCGCGTCGCCGTGTGTCCGTCGCCGCGCGCGCGCCGTCGTCGTTCGCGTCGTCATTGTGTCTCTTCGTCTCCCCTCTTTTTCGGCGCTTTTCTCACTTCCGGGTGTCTCGGGCGGCCGCGCCACTTCCGGGTGTCTCGGGCGCCAATCGCGCGCGCGAACCGGCGCGACACGGCGCGTCGCGCGGCGCGACGACGACGGACGAACGCCGGACGAACGAACGAGCGAGCGAACGAACGAACGCCGGACGAACGACGACGAACGACGACGAACGACGACGAAGGGCGCGAAATGGAGGAGGTGTTCGGGACGTTTTGGCGGGACGTCCTCGGGGACGACGACGACGACGACGACGACGACGACGACGGGAACTGCGTGCGAATCGAGCGACCGACGCGCGCGGGCGAGGGAGACGCGCGCGCGGTGCTGGATCCGAGGGTGAAGCACCCGGAGATTAATAAACGGTCATTCGTGGGCGTCGTGCGCGGCGAGGACGGCGACGGGACGGTGGACGTGCTGTATCGAACGAGCGCCGGGAAGGCGACGAGCGCGCGGGTGCGAGCGGACGACGCGCACGAGGGGTTTTTAGGGAAGGTGCTGGAATCGTGGACGGCGACGATGGAGGCGGAGGAGGAGGGAGAGGGGACGACGAGGGAGGAGGGGGAGGGGAACGGGACGGCGAGGCGTCGACGGCGAGGCGCGAGCGAGTTGTCGACGTCGGCGGAGAGGACGATCAAGACGGAGATGAAAATGAATGGGAAGAGTGATATAGTGACGGTCGAACAGATGGAGACGCTGCGGGAGGCGCTGCCGGCGATGTATCGCATGCGGGAGTGGGCGTTGGCGTACAGCACCAAGCGCGACGGGATTTCGTTGAAGAGTCTTTACAGACGCGCGAGCGGGAAGGCGAACACGGTGCTCCTCGTGAGCGATAGTGGTGGGGCTATTTTTGGCGCGTTTTGCACCGAGGCGTGGAAGGTGCACTCGCGATACGGCGGCACGGGTGAGAGTTTCGTGTTCACGCTCGCGCCCGAGGGCGTCAAGTACGCGTGGAGCGGGGCGAACGATTACTACATGTTCGGCGCCGCTGACTCGTTATCCGTCGGCGGTGGTAGCGCGCACGCGATTCGTTTAGAAGAGGATTTACTTCAAGGTTCGAGCGGAGAGTGCGAGACTTTTCAGTCCCCGCCCTTGGCTTCGGAGAACATGTTCAGGACGGCTCGCATCGAACTGTGGTCGCTCGAGTGATTTGTGATATCGTGTGTTATCATTAAATGAATCGTTTATGTTGTAACTACTGCGCGAGCGACGCGAAACCACCCTCCTCGAGCTGCGTCGCGATCTCGACTCCCCCGGTTTGCACGATTTGCCCCTTTTGCATGATGTGCACGAAATTGGGGTGAATGGCGTCCAAAAGACGCTGGTAGTGCGTGATGAGGAGCAAGCCCTTGTCGCCTTGTCTCAACAAGTTCACCGCCTTGGCCACGTCTCTCAACGCATCGACGTCCAAACCGGAATCAATCTCATCCAAAATGCTCATCTCGCTCTCCATCACGGCCAACTGCAAAATTTCGTTTCGCTTCTTTTCGCCACCGGAGAACCCTTCGTTGACGTTGCGCGTCAAGAAGCTCGGATCCATGTTCAACGCCTCCAACTTGGGCGTGAGATATCCATAAAACTCCAAAGGATCCAATTCCTCCTCCCCGCGCGCCTTTCTTCGTTCGTTGCACATCATTCTCAGGAAATCGGTGTTCGACACCCCCGGGACTTCGATGGGCGACTGAAACGACAAAAACAACCCGCTTCGCGCGCGTTCCTCGGGTTCCATCTCGAACAGCGCTTCGCCCTTGAACGTCGCGCTACCACTCGTGACTTCATACGCCGGGTGTCCGACCAGCACTTTCGTCAGCGTGCTCTTCCCCGAGCCATTCTTGCCCATCACCGCGTGCGTCTCGCCCTCGCGAATCGTCAGGTTCACCCCCTTCAGGATCTCCTCTCCCGTCTCCGCGACTTTCGCGTGCAGGTCCTTCACCTCGAGCAGCACTTTACCCTGACCGGCGTGTGTCTGCACCGATCGCGCGCTCGCGCGTCGCGCGATCGCGTTCGACGGCGCGCGGACGCGCGTCGGCGCGCGCGCCGTCACCGTCGTGGTTGCGCATCGGGACATCGCGCGCGCGCGTCGCTCGAGGCGTTCGAGCGCGCGCGAGCGGCGCGAGAGTGTCGCGGGCGGACTTGCGCGCGCGTGGGCGCGAACGGCGAGCGCGCGAACGGCGAGCGCGCGAACGGCGCGTCGGAGTGTGTCGGAATTAGTGTGTCGGAATTAGTGACGTGTGGATAACATCCACACGTCACTAAATGTCCGCCGCTCGCGGCGCGCGCGCGCCGCGTGCGTGCGCGACGCGCGACGCGAGACGACGAACGAATCGTCGCGACGCTCTGCGCGGCGTCGCGGCGGCGATCGTGGCGACGTGCGCGCGCGCGGAGCGAGCGAACGCATCGGTGGCGAGCGAAAAGATCAAGCGCGGCGCGAGGGAGTTTATCAGAGGCGACGTCAGAGGCGCGATCGACGCGTTCGACGACGCCATCGCGAGCGATGAGAGGTTTAGCGCGTACATGTGGCAGCGCGGGCTGGCGCTGTACTACGCGGGGGCGTACGAGGAGGCGGCGAAGCAGTTTCGACTGGACGTGGCGCAGAACCCGAACGATACGGAGGAGAGCGTGTGGTGCTTCGCCTCGGAGGCGATGGATCCGGAGAAAGGGATCGCGTACGCGAGAGAAAATATGTTGATCACCGGTCGGGATTCGAGACCGGTGATGTCGAGCGTTTTCGCGCTGTTCGCGGAGGGATCGGAAGAGGCGGCGACGCGCCTGCGCGAAGCCGGACGCTCGAACGCGAGCGATGAGTTTTATAGCGCGTTATATTTGGGGTTATTTTATGAGATTAATGGTGACGAGGAGCGCGCTCGACGAGAGATCGAGCGCGCGAATCGCACGGCGTACGCTCGATTGAGCGGGGATTACATGACGGATGTGGCTCGCGTGCACGCGAAGACGAGAAGTTGGTCATAGGGACTAGATTACTATGTATAGTGTGTTGTATCAATTCAATCAATGTGTTTGTCTGCTAATTTGGTTTTGTGGACATCTTCGCGATCTTCTCCGAATCGAGAAGCTCGAGAATCGTGAGCACGAGAGGGTTGGAAAGTTCGCCGACGTCCTTGCCGACGTTTTCAATTTTTTGCGCCAGCACGCGGTCAAGCTGGTTTCGGATCTCTTTGAGCAAAACTCCTACTTTTGCTGGAGCTTGGAACGTCGCCCAGCGATCGATACTTATCGTTCCTTGCGTGTGTTGCACTTCGATTTTCCCCCCGAACAATAGAAGTTGATAAGGCGTCACCGCCGTGCAATCGCGCACGAAGATTGCCGTCGTCTGCACGCGCTCGTGGTACACCAGCCACTTGGTGATAAACTTCTTCGCCTCGAAGTTGATGCTCGATGGATGAATTTGGATTTTTTCCGTCCGCCCGTTCTCGGCGAGGAAAGACAGACGGGGTGGGGCATCTGGACGAGAACCGGGGTCGACTTTGATGAGGTTTGGATACAACCCAGCCACGAGAACCGACTTTAACAGTCGTTTATTCTCCGAGTTTCGATTCGCTCGAATCCAATCTACGTCGGTTTCCAAGACATTACCGCGCTGGCGACCGCGATACCGTCCACCACCTTTCTTCTTCGACGACGATCCCAGGAAACCTGATTCATTCAGAAGTTGTGTAAATTGGTTCCGCAGATCTGCGATGCCCTCGAGTGCTCTCCACGAGAGAAAGTTTTCGCGGGTGAACGCGAACTCAGACGATCGTCCTTGCTTCTTCGCATCTTGCCAGCCATTATAGGCATTCAGAATCGTGAGATGATCCGATTGATCTTCGGCGAAGAGCTTTTTGGCGAGATCTGCTTCGTCGCGTTTGTCGAGCGGCGCCACAAACGGCGAACGACCGCTCAAGACGGCAGCAATCGTGAGCACGGGATCCAGGCACCCAAGCATGGAGCCGTAGAGGAGCATCTTACCCACGCGAACATCCACGGGTAACGTAGCCAAGTGTTGACCGAGTGGGGTCAGGCATTCACGCTCATCCAAAGCACCAAGGCGTTTGAGAGACGCCACCGCCGCCTCCACAGACTCAACCTTCGGAGGCTCCAACGCCTTGCCGAGAAATCCGGCGATGCCCCCAGCCATGCGTTGTAGCTGAATCTGCAAGCACAAGCCTTCTAGAGGCACGCGTCTGATTTCAGGAAGCGTGTGTTCAGCGAAGACCGTATCGTGCACGTGACGCGTGTACATTCGGAAGCATCGGCCGGCTTGCACGCGTCCCGCGCGACCGCGACGCTGTCGAGCGCTCGCACGAGACACCCACTGCTCGAGAAGCAGCTGCATTCGAGTGTTTGGATCGTAGCCGTTTTCTTTGCACTTGCCACTGTCGACTACGTACACGACATCGTCGATCGTGATCGACGTCTCTGCGATATTTGTTGCGATGACTATCTTACGCACGCTGTCTGGGGCGTGATCGAATACGATGCTCTGCTCGGCCGTGCTCAGCGTGCTGTGCAAAGCAATCAGGTATTTTCCTCCAGACGTTGCCGCGTTGATCGTAGGATTCGCCCCACACGCCTCGTAAAGCTTCGTGATCTCCGCCAAACCGGGCATAAATACCAGTATTGCGCCTTCGTCCATCGACTCGCAAATGTGCGAGATTAAAAGCGTCATCAACTCGTAATTGATCAAACCCTGTTCGAGGTTTCGGAGAGCGCGAACGACGTTGTCACCGTAGCCCTTGTCCCGCAACGTAATGTTGAACGAGTCTTCATCCGGTATGTCGCCATCCTTACTTGACACCGGTCGACTAGAGGCGTCAAAGTTGTCCCTGCGTCGCGGCGCCTTTTTAAAATACTCCGTCCCTGGGTTTGGTTGATACTCGGTCACTTGTAAGATGTCCTCGAGATAATGCTCGTTCACCGGATAAGTGAACCCAGGGATTTTGCTCACCGCAGAAACGCCCTTGAAATAGTCTTCAAACGCGAGCGCATTCAACGTGGCTGACATCAGCACCACTTTGAGTGTCGGTCGATGCGGCAAAATATCGCGCAACAAGACGAGTAAGAAATCAGAATCGAGCGAGCGCTCGTGGACTTCGTCGACTATCACGTGACTCGTACCGCTCAGTAAAGGGTCTTCGGTTAAACGACGCAGTAACACGCCCGTGGTGCAAAACAAAATTCGCGTGCTCGAGCTCATCGAGCCTTCAAGACGGATTTTATAGCCCACTGTTTTGCCAATTTGTTCACCTCGCTCACTCGCCACGCGACTCGCCACGCTCGTGGCGCTGATTCGACGCGGCTGTGTGCAAATCATGTTTGTCATCGCTCCACGTCCTTGCCAGATAGCGTTATCAAGAATGAACTGCGGCAGCTGTGTAGTCTTACCACAACCCGTTTCGCCGGCGACGATGAGCACTTGGTTGCGCTCGACGGCGTCGATGAGTTCTTGTTGCTTTGCCCACGCCGGAAGACGTTGACGCTGTTTAAGTATCGGAGAGTCCTTCTTATCGTTCCAGAATTTGGTCAACTCCGTTTTCAGTCGCTCGCTTTCGGCGATCACGCGCGGGTCGTTCGCGCGCTTCTCTTCCTCCTTTAAGATTGCCTCGGCGAGTTTCTTCGTCTTCGCTTCGGCAATCGTCTGTGCCTCCGCCTCTGTCTGCGCCTCGACTCGCGCTCTCGTCTTCTCGGCTTCGGCTGCAAGTTCGCGTCGACGCTCGAGTTCTCTCTTGCGCTCTTCTTTGGTCTGCGTTGGTGGAGCCAGAATGCCTCCTTTTGGTGCTGGAATCGCCTTCGCGCCTGTAACTTTCTTCTTCGCTGGCTCGAGCGCGGGCGCCATCGCGCGTTCGCGCGCTTCCTCTATCGCCTCCAAAGGACCGCTCCCTTGAAGCCACTCTATGATGTCGTCGATCATGGGCTGTCCTACAAGGGACGCAGCGTGTCGCATCATCGCCACCGAGACTGCGATCGATCGTTCCGTGTCTAGCGTGGGATGAGAAAACGACAAGCGTGGAAGCTCGAATGGGTACAGCGGCGCGTCCTTGAAACTCACGTAAAAGTCCGCGGCATACTGCTTGGCGGCACCCAAAGCTACGATACCCGCGATCTCCACAGCCATAGATGCCGTGCCCGACGCCGGGTTATACCCTCGTTGCTTGTAAAGATCGCGAGGGAGTTCGCTCAACTCATCGTACTGTGCGTTGCGCAACACTTCGCGAATGTCGTCCTCGCTCGCGGAATCCGCTCCTGTGTCCGCAAACGCCTCCATCGCCTCCGCGAGCGCCTCCTCGCGACTCGGTCCGAGTGCGGCGCACAGATCGTCGAGTGCGCGGCTGACATCGCCCTTTGCTCCTCGCATGGCTGTCCGAGCGGCGTCGACGGTGAAACCGGCGCGAACAAAAGCCTCAATCGCGCCCTCGGCGTCGTCCTTCGCCGCGGCTTCGTCACCACCTTTACCTTTCGTCTTTCCTTTCACCTCCGGTCGTAACGCAGCTGGAAGTTCATTTTTATCGGCATTCAATATCAACCAATCCATCGCCCGCGCGATCGCTCGTCGTTTCTGTTCATTAAATCCTTCGCACGCGTCTCGCTCGACATCCGCCGCTCGCCGCGTCGCCGCGAGCGCGCGTTCAATCAATCCCTCACTAAACCCCTTCTTCCCGATCGCCTGCGCCGCCTTCCGCAGTACATCTTCCCTATCGACGTCGTGCCTGACATCCACGCTCGAGCTCGATCCGACGCGCGGCATCGCGTTCGTCGACACGTCCAGCCGCCGCAGCGTCTCCGTCACCATCGCCGCGCAATTCGCGCTCATCACCACCTCCTCCACCCCTCGCCCCTCCGCCCCCGGCCTCGTCCCTGAGCCCTTTCCGGTCGTCTTGGACTGCAGAAATTCCGGCTTGTTCGCCCGCTCCGCCGCCTCCGCGCGGCTTCCGCGCTTCGCAGCCTTTTCCTTTTCCTTTTTCAGCTTCGCCTTGTCCATGGCGTTTTGTCCCGCCTGGTGCCCGCCGCCGCCCGTGCGGCGGCCGCCGCCGCGATTCGGACCCATGCCGCCGCGGCGCGCGCGCGCGAGGGCGCCGCGACGCGCGCGCGCGGTGATGTGCGCGGACGAGCGAGCGCTCGCCGTGGGACAACCGGGCGAACGCGACCGACGGCAGTGCGACGCGCGCGATGGACGCGGCGTGGCGCGCCGTGCGCGACAGCTTCACCGGATGCGCCGGGTACTCCGCGCGCGCGCTGGACGGGGAATCGAGCGACGGCGCGACGCGCGAGGGCGATGAAAACGACGCGCTGGGACGCAATCGATCGGTCGACTTGAGCGGACGCACGTACGTCATCACGGGCGTACCGACGACGGCGATCGCGGTGGAGTGCGCGAAAAGATTGACGCGCGCGGGAGCGCGCGTGGTGTGCGCGTGCGCGGACGTCAAGGCGGGAGAGGGAGCCTTCGAGCGCGAACCGGAGACGACGGAGTCGACGACGCGAGACGAAGAAGGCGACGCAGACGGTGCGAAGGCGACGACGCGCGAGTCGCCGAATGAGGGAGAAGTGGTGATGTTGTACTGCGATCTGGAAAAGTTGGAGACGATCGAAAGCTTCGTGAAGGCGTTTTGCGCCAAGGCGTGGGCGTTAGATGGGATATTAAACGCCGAGACGGCGACGATGGTAGAGTTTGGACTCACGAGCGATGGCATCGAGCGACAGTTTGCGGTGAATCATCTCGCACATTTCAAATTGACCGCGCTGTTGATGGATGAGCTCGTGCGCACGGCGGCGGCGTCGGGGCGAGAAGGACGCGTGGTGAACCTCAGCTCAAATTTGCACCACTTCACCTATCGAGTGCGACAGGGGACGATTAAACCTAGCAGAGGGATCGATTTCGTGAACTTAAACAGTGAGATGGGATACACGCCGATAAACTCTTACGGACAGAGTAAACTCGCCAATCTCTTGCATGCGTGGACGTTGTCGGAGAGATTGGCAAAGAATGGTTCGCCCGTTCGATGCGTCGCGGCGACCCCGGGCATGACGGAGCTCGAGCTCGAGCGATCTCTCGCGTTCCCGGGCGGCTCATTTCTTTCGGGTTTATTGAAATCTACGGTGACTTCGTCGCTCGAAGACGCCGTCGTGACGCCGCTGTATTGCCTCACCGCCCCCAAGCTTCCGCCGGGCACGTTCTTTTCCAAATGTCTCCCGGTGAAATCGAGCCTTCCCAGCCGCGACCCACGCTTGGCGTCCAAGCTTTGGGAATTCTCAGAAGAAATGGCGTTTGCCACCGAGCGAGCCTAGCCAGATCAGCAGCACACACTCAGGCATTGTAACAAAACGTAAGCGCCGCCCGCGCCTAGGGTACCCCGCCGACGCGTCCTGGTTCGCCACAATCCAGCCCGCGACCCGCCTTCGGGCGCGGGCTCGATCGTCGCCTCCGATGTCGTCCACCGTCGATGTGCGTCTTTCCTTCGCCTCGAACGCGCCTCGAACGCGCGTCTCGTCTCGTTTTCCCGGTGTATCTATATAGCCGCTCGACAAATGGCGGTCGTACTCATGATCCGGGATACATCAAACAGCTCGTCGGCTTGCGACGAGCGCGCGGTTTAGACCACGCCGTGCGCTCTACTTTTTGCCACGAACACCTCGGGTCGATCGAACGCGACGCGGAGACGCGAGTGGGACGAGACTGACGCGGAGCTCGCGAACGCAGACGGCGGACGAAGCGACGACGGAAGAGAAGCCTCACGGACGAGCACCGCGGTGGATATGGCTCGTGATTGCGTTCGCGACGATCGGCACATCGTTCGCGGGGGTTTTGTTGCGGAATGAGGTCGTAGTCGACGACGCAGACCCAGAAACCGCGCAGCGTAGTCCGATAGCCATAGCGATGTAGTCTGTACCATTTAGCCGCTCGACTCGACTGTAACTGTCCCGGCGCGACGACGCCACACGACGCCATGTCGCGCGCGCGCGCGGAGGCGCGCGCGCCGGCGACGAAGGTCGCACCGTTGAGGCCGTTCCTCATCACCCGCGCTTCGCTCGTCGCCGCGATCGCGCTCGTCATCGGTGCGCTGCGCGCGCTCGACGCGCCCGCTGTCCCAGAGCTCGAACTCGAACGCGCGTGCGCGCGCGCGCGAGGCCGCCGTCGCGCTCAGGAAGACGCGTGCGTCGTCGGTGGTGCTCATCATCTCCATCTCGTGGGCGTGTTCGACGGGCACGACGGCGGTGCGGCGTCGAGGTCGACAACGCTGGCGGCGGCGGAGATTTTCAAAGACGCGCTCGGCGACGGCGCGACCGCGGCGGCGTCACGCGCCGTCGCGAAAGCGCTGGAGACGACGATCGCGAAATTGGACGAATTTTGGGCGCGGTCGAGCTCGAGCGGTGGGGCGACGGTGGTGCTCGCGGCGAGCGGAGAGGATGGATTCGCGGTGGCGCATGCGGGCGATAGCGCGGCGTACGCGTGCTTTGCGGATTCGTCAGGACGCGCCAAGGCGCGACGTTTGACACAAGATCATGGATTAGATAACGAAAACGAAAGAAAACGATTAGATGCGCTAGGAGTGAAGATAGTGCGCGCGCGTGGGAAACTGCGCGTGGGGGGAGAACTTCTTGTCACTCGCGCACTCGGCGGCGCGAGGCATAAAGCGTTTGGCGTGGTGGCCACGCCGGAGATCATGCGCAGGCGATGGAAAAGGGACGAAATGGGATTGATATTAACAAGCGATGGAACGACCGACGCTCTACGCGCGGACGATGCGTGCGCGTTCGTGTTCGATGGGAAACACGACTGCGAACGCGCCGAAAACGTTCCCGTCATCGCGCTCGGAGGCGACGCCGGGTCCGACACAGCAAATGAAGCTGCTGAGAGCTGGGATGCGATAGAGTTTAGCGAAGCAAGTACACGCGGCATGCGAAGTGGAATCGAGCGCGCACTCAAATGTGCGCTTAGCCTTGGGGCCTCCGATAACGTCGCGCTCGGGGCGCTATCCTCGGGTCGGCCAATTCAAAGCGTCGCGCACGGGGCGCTTCAACACACTCCTTCCGACCTGGTCGCTGAAATCCCCCGAGTGGGTGCGCGTATTTCAGCTTATGAAATCACGGAAATGATCGCATGGTCATCCGGTCCTCACTCACCCGCAGAGATCCCGTTCCGGTACGACGATTACTACGAAGAACTTCCGATGGCTGACATCGGAAAGACGTTTGAGCAAAGTGCTATCGAAGGCGCGCTCGCAGCGTTAGCGTTAGCACCTGGAACGAGCGAAAAAGGGAGTGTCTCAAATGCCATCACTTCTTACGTCGATATCGTCGATGCGAGTGGTGATAATTTCGAGGAAGATGCGTTCGCCGCCGGCGAGCGCCCGTTCGCTCGAGGTCATTTCGGAGAGGTGTGGCGTGGCAAGTTGTCGCGGGAGACGGAGCACGAATGGGATTGTAAACCCGCTCCTGACACAATATCAGATGCGTTTGCATCGTCCAGGGTAATTTTGAAGCGTATTCTGTTGCATCAGGGCTCGGATTTACGATTGAGCGCAGAGCGCGAGGTGTACTTCGGAAGGCTGCTCTGCGGCTCGTCACCCCACTTGGCGAGATTTGTACACACCTTTGAGAGAACGCCATCGAGTGGAAGCGAACAATGGCTTGTCTTCAAAGACGAAGGCGAGTCCCTCGAACGTCTCATTTACGCCCCCGAAGCCGTTGGTGGATCGCAAGGTTTGCAACTTGTCACGCAAAGCGAATGGTGGCGAGACATGCGCCTTCAACGCAAAGGTCGTCGAACGCTGAAGACAATTTTGAGGCACGTGTTCGCCGCCGTGGATGTTAGTCACGCCAAATTTGGCATTGTACACAGAGACATTAAGCCTGCGAACGTATTCGTCAAACTTGACGGCGACTTCGTCGAGGCTCGGCTCGGGGATTTCGGAAGTGCCGTGGACGCTCGTAGTCGCTCGGAACTTTACGGAGCCTCCGGCCCGTCCATGGCGCAAGAAACTTCGGAATATAGTCCTCCAGAAGTTCTCTTCGGTGATGATCGTGGGGTGGAGCGAACGTCAAAATACGACATGTGGTCGCTCGGCGTGATGATGGCGGAAGTTTTAGCGCTTGGCTCGCCCAAGGCGTTTTCTCAAATCTCGCGCAAGACGACCCGATTGGCGCTCGAGCGAGAATTGCGCGGCGTGCATCCAAAAGCTCGCGCGGTCGCTTACCGACTGCGCGCGATGCTCGAACTATGCATAGTGCCTCCAAACACACAAGTCGCACCTTTACTGACGTGGGATTGCACGGAGACGGCGTTGATGGAGGTTTTCAAGGAGCGCGATCCCCTCTCCGTCGGCTTTGAATCTGTTTGGACTCTGCGCCTGCTTCGCAAGTTGCTCTCCTGGGATCCGAGCGAGCGTCCGACGGCGGGTCGAGCGCTCGAGCACGCATTTTTCCGTGATTCCGAGAACGCGGGCGGTTGGATGTGCGTCGGCGACGCGAACGAGCGTCAGTACGAATGGAAATCGGACTGCGCGGCGGCGTGCGTGGGAACGTGCGCGTAGATTTAGGCTTTTAGGCTAGATGTTGAAGTTGGAATTCTCAATTCTACGATTGCGTGGCTTTCAAGAAGACGACCGTGATGTACTTTGATCGATATCTGTGCGTCGTTCCGAGCACCTGCACTCCGCTCTCCGACTTTGTCCCGTCGCAATACGTGTGATTGAGCACCACGTGTTGCGGTCGCGGGAGCAAATTCGGCGCGTCGGGCACCATGGGCATGTTCAACAGAGTCATGTGCAACTGCGGTGGTAGCGGTGGCGGTTCCTTTGCAAAGTCGTCCGAGTTAAACGGTGCGCAATCGTAGCTCGCCGGTGGCGACGCCGGCGCCGTAAACGCATCCAAGCTATCCAAAATTTCTGGCACGTATTCCTGCACCTCCAACACGTTGTTCACGTTGCCAATCTCGTCGTACATCGCCGGTTGATCCGGCGCGTATTTCCACTGTCCATCCACTATAAACTTGTACTGATACACCCCCGGTCGCAGCGACATCACGATCGCAAACTCCCTGTTCCCGCTCCGATGCAGCGTCTGCCGAGACTGCCAGTTATCAAAGCTCCCCTCCACCTCCACGCTGTTCCCGCCTTGGGTCCAATTTATCGCCACCGGCACCAGCGCCGGTTCCGTCGTCGCCCACGCCGGGTAATTCACCCCTCCACCCTCCCCGCCGGGTATCGGCACCGTGGGCGTTTGCGGTCTGTTCGCGCGCGCGTTCGTCAGTCGTGTCCTCGTCGCCGCGCGTCGCCGCGCCGCGCCCTCGCGCTCGGGACTCTCTTCCCCGCGCGCCCCGCGCGCGTTTCCCTCCCTCGTTCGCCGTCGCGATCGCGCGCGCACCCGTACGAAAGCGCATCCGCGCCCTCCCATCCCCCGTGCCCTCGCTCGCCGCTCTCGCTCGCCGCGCCGCGCGCGCTCTCGCTGCCGTTGCTCCGACTCGCGTCCCGCCCTCGCCCGTCCCTGCTTCGTCTCGCGCGCGTCTCCGGCGCCGACGCGCCGTCCGAGGCGTTTCGCGCCTTATTCTGCGCGTTCCCCATGCTCGACGAGCGACGCGAGAGACGCGCGCGAGCGCGAGCGCGCGTATTTGTGCGGAATTCACGATTGGGATCGACGATCGACTCGCGCATTCGTCACAAAAACGCGCGCGCGCGACGCGACGCGAGACCGGCGGCGATGCGACGCGTCGCCGATCGACTCGCGCGATGCGCGCGCGGCGTCGCGAGCGGGCCGAGCGGACGCGAGCGCGCGATCGGGCGCGGGAGCTCGCCGAACGCGACGGCGAATCCTTGGCGCGGAGGAACGAAACGACGCTGGTTCGGCGATGCGCGCGAAGAAGCGGCGAAAGCGCCGACGACGGCGAGTAAGATATCCGATGGACTCGGAACCGCGGCGCTCGTGGTCGGAGCGGGCGTGGGGTGCGTGGTGGGGGGGTCGATGTACGCGAGCACGACGGAGGAACTGGCGAAACGCGTCGAGGCGGGCGAACACGTGCCGACGACGATGCGCGGGACGCCGCTCGAGGGCGCGTACGGAGGATTGGTCGAACAAGTGTTGAAGTTTCGTCAGTGGATGGACGATCAGTCGCATAATTATCTCGATCCGATCAGCGATAAGTTGCTGCCCGATCACCCGGCGCAAGCCGAGTACATTCCGCACACGCTGGTGTTAGACTTAGATGATACGCTGATAAACTCCAATTGGAAGCGCGAGCGCGGGTGGAGGGTTTTCAAGAGACCCGGAGTGGACGCGTTCCTGAAGCACATGTCGCAGTTTTACGAGATGGTGATTTTCACGGATCAGTTGATGACGTACGGCGACCCGATCATCGAACGCTTGGACCCGACGAGATACGTCACTCATCGTTTGTATCGGGAATCAGCGCAGTACAAGAACGGAGAGTACATCAGAGATTTAAGCAAGCTCAATCGGGACATGGGGCAGATTTTGTACATTAGCAGCAAACCGAGAAGCGCCGAGCTTCACGCCGCCAACGTCATTCCCATCAAACCGTGGACGTACGAAGACGGCTCCAAAGACACCGCCCTGCTGGACTTGATGCCATTCCTCGAGTCCATCGTCCGCTTAAACGTCCAAGACGTTCGAATCGTGCTCGAATCCTACAAGAAGGAGATGGAAACCACGGGAAAAGACATTCCTCAGATTTTCCGCGAGCGTCAATTCGCGTTTCAGCGCAAGCGTCGCGACAAGCTCAAGAGTTCGCCCAAAATCACTCGCGGCTACGACGTCGGTCGTCCCTCGCAATCCACCAAGGCGACGACGTGACGCGCCAAATCGTTAGTTTTTGTCACACCGATCCACGCTTCGCGTCCTCAATCGCCCTCGTCCCTCGCGCGTCTCGCGGGAGAAACGTCATTCGGGGACTGCCGACGAGTCCTGACTCGTCGAATTCGATTTTCCGCAGGCGCAGGCGCTATCCACTCGAAGCGACTCCTCGAGCGACGGCGGCCGCGCGCGCGTCGCCCTCAGACGCCCTCGCGCGCGTCACACGCACGCGCGCGTCGCGTCCGCGGCACGAAGGAATTCTCTTCGCGCGAACGCTCGCGCGAAGACCTCCCGAGCGGCGTCGCGCGCGCGCCGTGAGTCGCGAAACCATGGCGTCGCCGCTCGCCCGCGTGATGACGGCCATCGACGGTCCGGCGCTGAGACTCGCCTACGCGCGATGGTACAACGCGTCTCGTCGGAGCGGTAAGCGAGGGGCGATTATCATCTTAGCGACCTGGCCCATAGCCGCGCTGTTCGCCGCGTTGTTCGTCGTGTTGACGCCGATCTTGGCGCCGATCGGCATCATCGCCGCGTTCGCCCTGGAACTGAGCGGGGCGGAGGCGATGGAGGAGCACGAGGTGAAGCGGTTCGGGGACGCGCCGGGGTACTACGACTTGTACCCGAAGGTGAAACCGAAGACAAACAGAGCGAAGGTGCCGAAGTACGCGAAGTGGGTGGATTCGTTGAAGAAGTCGGCGGCGTTCGACGTCATCGAGGGTATCATGCAAAAGCGCGTGATGGTGATCGACGGCGCGATGGGAACGGCGGTGCAAAAGTACAAGCTGAGCGAGGATGACTTCCGTGGTGATCGTTACAAGAATCATACGCATGACTTGAAGGGGAACAACGACATCTTGGTGCTGACGAAGCCGGAGGTTATCTCTGAAATCCACGAGGCGTATCTCGCCGCGGGCGCCGACATCATCGAGACGAACACGTTCTCTTCGACGATGATCGCGCAGGCGGACTACGAGCTCGACAAGAAGGAAGAAGTGCGCGACATGAACTTGGCCGCTGCTCGCTTGGCGAAGGCGGCGTGCGTGAAGTTTACGGAGCAAAATCCGGCCAAGCCGCGCTTTGCCGCCGGCGCCATTGGTCCGACGAACAGAACACTCTCGGTGTCTCCATCCGTCGAGAACCCGGCGTTCCGCGCGTGTACGTTCGACGAGATTGTTGACGCGTACTACGAGCAGATTGAGGCACTCGTCGAGGGTGGTGTGGACTTGATTTTGGTTGAAACGATCTTTGACACGCTCAACGCCAAGGCGGCGATTTTCGCCATTGAGAAGTTCTTTGAGGCTTACGGTACGCGTCTTCCGTTGTTCATCTCCGGCACCATCGTCGACAACTCCGGTCGTACCTTGTCTGGCCAAACGAACGAGGCGTTCTGGAACTCCGTCAGCCACGCCAAGCCGATGGCTGTTGGCTTGAACTGCGCTCTCGGCGCCAAGGACATGGTCCCGTACATTGAGAACTTGAGCAAGTGCGCCGACTGCTGGGTGTTCGCGTACCCTAACGCCGGTTTGCCGAACGCCATGGGTGGTTACGATCAAAAGGGTGCTGAAATGGCCGAAGACTGCCGCGTCTTCCTCGAGAAGGGGTTGTTGAATGGCATCGGTGGCTGCTGCGGCACCACGGATGACCACATCGGCGCTCTCGCCCAGATGGTGGCACCGTACACGCCGCGCAAGAAGCACGATGTGCCAGAAATTATGCGCATCTCCGGTCTCGAGCCGTTCAACTATGTGCCGAACGAAAATGACTACCGCAAGACGTTCATCAACCTCGGTGAACGGTGCAACGTTGCGGGCTCGTCCATCTTCAAGAAGGCCATCGTCGATGGTAACTTTGAGAAGGCTCTCGCCATCGCGCTCAAGCAAGTCGAGCACGGTGCGCACGTCATTGACATCAACATGGACGACGGCTTGATCGACGGCGAAACTGCCATGTCTCGCTTTGTGAACTTGCTCGTTTCCGAGCCGGACGCCTCCAAGGTTCCTTTCATGATTGACTCTTCCAAGTTCCACGTCGTCGAGGCTGGCTTGAAGTGCAGCCAAGGCAAGTGCATCATGAACTCTATCTCCCTCAAGGGTGGTGAGGAAGAGTTCTTGCATCACGCGAAGATCGTGAAGCGTCACGGCGCCGCCGTCGTCGTGATGGCGTTCGACGAGGAAGGGCAAGCGGCGACTGAAGCTGAGAAGGTGCGCATTTGCTGCCGCGCTTACAAGCTCTTGGTCGAACAGCTTGGCTTCAACCCGCAAGACATCATCTTTGACCCGAACATTCTTACGATCGGCACGGGCATGGAAGAACACAACAACTACGGCGTTGACTTCATCAACGCTACTCGCGAGATCAAGCGTCTCTGCCCTGGTTGCAAAATCAGCGGAGGCGTGTCCAACTTGGCCTTCTCCTTCCGCGGCAACGAGCCCGTGCGCCGCGCGTTCCACAGCGCCTTCTTGTACCACGCCTGCAAGGCCGGTATGGACATGGGTATCGTGAACGCCGCGCAAGTCGAAGAGGATGTGTACGAGAAGATGGACAAGGAGTTGTTGGAATACGTCGAAGACGTGCTCTTGAACAGATGCACCAACGCCACTGAGCGCATGCTCGAATTTGCGGCGACGCTTGACCCGAAGTCCACTCCTTGCAACCTTCGCAAGAAGGGTGCCGCTGGCGGTGGTGCCGTGAAGGCTGCTGGGTCGGGTAAGGAATGGCGTAACCAGCCGTGCGAAAAGCGACTCGAATATGCCCTCATCAAGGGGATTGACGAGTTCTGCATCGCTGACACGGAAGAGTGCCGCGTGGGCGACAAGTACAAGTCTTGCCTGGAAGTCATCGAAGGTCCACTGATGGACGGCATGAATGTGGTTGGTGATCTCTTTGGCGCCGGTAAGATGTTTTTGCCGCAAGTTATTAAATCTGCCCGTGTGATGAAGAAGGCTGTCGGCCACCTTATCCCTTTCATGGATGCGGAAAAGGCTCTCACCGGCAGCACTGAAGCCAGTACCGCCGGTACCTTTTTGATCGCCACGGTGAAGGGTGACGTGCACGACATCGGTAAGAACATTGTTGCCGTCGTTTTAGGGTGCAATAACTTCAAGGTTATTGACATTGGCGTGATGTGTCCCTGTGAAAAGATTTTAGATGCGGTGAGAGAGAGCAAGGCTGACATTTTGGGTCTTTCGGGCTTGATCACACCGTCATTGGATGAGATGGTGACCGTCGCAAAGGAGATGGAAAAGGCAGGTATGAGAATCCCGCTTCTCATCGGCGGTGCGACGACGTCTAAGATGCACACTGCGGTGAAGCTGACGCCAAACTACTCCGGCGGTGTGATTCACGTTCTCGATGCCTCGCGTGCGGTGCCAGTGGCTCAGACCTTGTTGGACAAGAGGAAGCACGCTGACTTCATGGACGACATCAATGAAACGTACGCTGAGATGCGTGACGAATTTTACGCTGGTTTAGAGGATCGTAAATACCTTACCCTCCAAAAGGCGAGAGCAACTGTGAAACCGGTGGACTTCACCGCCGCGCCGAATGTCCCTGTCACTCCCAAGTTCTGCGGAGCCAAGGCGATGGAGGTGTCGATCGACGATGTGCTTCCGTACATTGACTGGAATCCGTTCTTCCAGGTGTGGCAGCTGCGTGGTCGCTACCCGAACCGTGGCTACCCGAAGATTTTCAACGATGAAACTGTCGGCCCCGAGGCGAAGAAGCTCTTCGACGAGGCCAACGCGATGATCACAAAAATCAAGCAAAACAAGAGACTTACTCTCAAGGGTATTTATGGTTTCTACCCGGCCAACTCCGTTGGCGATGACATCGTCGTTTACACAGATGAAAGCCGGACAACGACGCACCACACTTTCTACACGCTCCGCCAGCAAGCCGAAAAAGACACCGACGAGCCGTACATGGCGCTCAGTGACTTCATCGCCCCGAAGGATAGCGGTGTGAAGGATTACCTCGGTATGTTCGTGTGCTCTGCTGGATTTGGTCTCGATGAGCTTACGGCCGAGTTCAAGGCTGCGAACGACGATTACTCCTACATCATGGCGGAAGCCTTGGCTGATCGCCTCGCTGAAGCGTTCGCGGAGTTGCTCCACGAGCGCGTCCGTAAGGATGACTGGGGTTACGCCAAGGATGAGTCTTTCAACTGCGAAGACTTACTCAAGGTGAAATATCAAGGCATTCGTCCAGCGCCGGGTTATCCGTCCCAGCCAGATCACACGGAAAAGGCGACAATGTGGGACTTGATGAAGGTCAAGGAAGAAATTGGCGTCGAACTTACCGAGACGTTCGCCATGCTTCCCTCGGCCTCGGTCTCTGGCTTGTACTTCGCAGGCGCGTGCTCTGAATATTTCAACGTCGGTAAGCTTACGTCTGACCAAGTTGAAGAATACGCGGGCCGCAAAAAGATGGAGCTCTCTGAAGTGCAACGCTGGTTGGGACCGAACTTGAGTTATGAACCTTAGACACGATCGAAGAAATCGCGACCCTTAGACCCACCATCGAACGAGTTGCCACGCATTGTAAACATTTTTCATTTATCAACTCTACGTTCGCTATCTATCTAAACCTTCTCGACGTCTGGATGAAATCGCTCAATCGAACCGGAGTGAGGATGTTCAAACTCCCGTCTGAAGCGGTGCTTTTCCGTACTTCGGCGCTCTCCAACTCGCCCGTAGCGCGGTATCTGTGTTCGTAGAAACACGAAGTTCCAAACGGACACGTGCCGTCGCCGCCGTCGAAATGTTTGCACGGTATTTTGCCCATCCGTTCTCGGTACGAGTCGATCATCTGTGTCTTTTCTTCGTCGTTTCTCGGCCACGACGTCGTCGGCGTAATGAAGTGAGAAGTCGTCCTACAAATCGGGCACATGCGCGCTTGTTCGTTGCTCGAAGCGCTCGCTTCGGCCCCTCGCTGCGTTCCTCCCTGACGCCATCCGCGAATGCAATTCAGGCAAAAGCAGTGCTCGCACGCGTTCAACAGCCCGAATCGTCGATCCGCGAAGCGAGGTTTCTCGACGACGACTTCCAAACACACCACGCACTCTAAATTTTGCGAAGCCTCGAGTCGCGCGACTTCCGCGTCCTCCGCTTCCGCGTCCTCATCCGCGCTTTCGTCGACGCCGTCGTCGACGAACGAGTCCTCCCGACCGATGCCCTGCGAGGAATGAAAACGCGCAAGCCGTCAGACTCATGCATAATCGTTAGCGCTTGCGTGAATCAAATTACAATCGTCGGAATTCAGTCGCGGCGAATACTTCGTCGCGCGTAGTGTACATCCTCCTCGTCATCGCTCCCTCTTCCTCGTCGACGCCCATCGTCCTCAACGCACCAAATCTTCCTGCGTTTGTAGGTACCGCTGTCCCTCTCCCTCGAGCGACACCCAATTCCCGCCCTCGTCGAAGAACCCCCACGCGTCGTCGCCCGCCCCGCTCGGCCCCTCGCTCGTCAGTCCCAACAGCTCGTCCTCGTCCGGCAACTGCGCCGCCAAAAACTCCCTCGCGCCCTCGCCCTCGTCGTCGAACGACACCCAATTCCCGTGTTCGTCCACGTATCCCCAATCTTCGTCCTCCTCTTCGCCGTGTTCGTATTCGGCGCCGTTCGCGTTCGCGTTCCCCCGCGTCCCTCCCGGCGCGAACGCCGTCGCGCTCGCCGACATCCCGCGTCCCGCCCCGGTGGCGAGCGTCACGCGACTGAACGCCCTCGCGACGTCGCTCGCGCCGGCGTCGCTCGCGCCGTGCGCGTACTTGCATCGATCGCCGAACGTGCACCCACCGGGGGCGTCGACGAATTTGCATCGCTCGCGCGTCTCCGTCGACGCGCGCGCGCTCGCGCTCGCGCTCGCGTCGGCGTCGTGCGAGAATCGACACGACGCGCCGTTCCGGCACGCGCCGGCGAGGTAAAACTTGCACGCCGTCGCGGACATGGCGCGCGATGTGACGCGCGCGGTGACGTCGAACACGGCCTCGGCACCGTGGCGTGAAGCATACTGTTTACCCATACAGCATTCGTCGTGAGTCGTGAACGGTGGATACGAGGGACTCGGCGCGGCGGCGGCGGCGACGAGGGACCGAGCGCGACGAGGGCTGGGAGACTACGCGGGGTACACGGAGTTGTAGTGTACCTCGGCCCAGAAGGAGATCCAACACACGCGCGCGCTGCGCGCCGTCTTGGGGGTGATCTCGACGAGAAAGTTGTCCCGGTAGCTGGATATGACGCACATGCGAACGCCGTAGGCGTCGGCGGCGGCTTGAAGGGTGATGTGATCGCCCCACGCGGTGTCCTTGGCCATGGATTCGACGTACGCGTCGAAATCTTCGGGAACGTAGGGAGCGTAGTCTTCGGAGGCGCGGCGGAGTTGATCGACGACGACGGCGCGACACTCGGCGTGACGCTCTTGGTCGCGAAAGAGTTGATCGGCGACGGCGCGGAATTGGCAGTTCCCGTCGCCGCGGACGACTTTCTCGCGCAGGTTGTACAGCTTTAGACGGGTGTCTAAGCGCGTGTGGTCCGTGGCCGCCTCGTCCGTGGTGGGAATCTGGACGATGACTTTGGGTTGGAAATCCACGCTCGCCGCGTTGCGCATCAGGCTCTGCGAAAACGCCGCGGAGTCCCCATCCCCGAGCGCTGGAGGCGGCGGTGGCGGCGGAGGTAACAGCGAGTGGGCGTGTCTCGCTGCGTTTTCTTGTCGCGTCCCCACGCTCGGTGCGGGCGCGGTGGTACTCTTTTCGACGACGGCTCCGCTCGGGTTCGCCGCCGCCGTTCGAGCCGCCGTCGCCGTGTCCGTGGCACTCGGTAGACGCCCGTCGAACATCGAGTGCTTCGTCAGCGTCTCTCCGCTCGCTTTAGGTACCGTCGTGTTCCTGTTCGTGTCCCCATCCCCCCCGGTCGCGCCCTTTGTGGACGACGACGACGCGCCGGCGGCGGCTCCGACCGCCGCCGACTTCGCCCCGCGCCGCGGTGCCGATCGTCTCCACGCCTCCGCCTCCGCATCGATCACCGGTTTCAATGACTCCATCTCCGCTAACGCCTCCTCCGTCCTCGTTTTCTCCCGTTTCACCCGCTCGGCGTACTTTACGTCGTCCCAGTCGCCGTGCTCCGCCATCGTATCCAACACCACCGACGCGTACGCGTACAACAGCCTGTACAGCTGCGGCAAGTTTCCTTCGCTCCTATAAATCTTTGCCTGCGCGATCGCGACGAGCGCACATCGCATCGCGAGCCGTCAGTCTCGCGGCGCCGTCGTTCCGCGCGTCGCGAGCGCGCGTCGCTCGCGTTCGGTCAACCGACGCCGCGTCCCAATCCAATCGAGCGTCCCCTTTTCCCGTCGTCGCCGTCGTCGCTCGCGCTTCGCGCGCGCGCGCTCGAGAGTTCTACCGTCGGCGCGCGTCGCGAGCGCGTCGCGAGCGCGCGCGCACCTGTAGATGCACGTGTTCGGCGGTTCTGAAGTAGACGTCCAGCGACACGCGCGGGTCGACTTTTTGGCGTCGCACGCGCGCGCGAATCTCGCTCGCCGTCATCGGCGCCGACGTCGACGACGACGACGACGTGGACGCCGTCGACATCGTCGCTCGCGGCGAAAGCGCGCGCGGGCGCGCGGGGAGGCTAGGAATGAAGCGTTGAATTACAGCGCGTCCCGCTCGCGCGCTCGGGACGTCGGTTCATCGAGCCGGCGCCCTCAACACGAACACGGCGTCGTCCAGGACGTACGCGTCGAAGAGGTGATCGCCCTCGGATATGTACGGCACCCGGGCGAGCCTGATGAGCTCGAATCCCGCGGGAGCGATTAAATTTTCCCACAGCGCCTCGACGCCCGCCTCCCACGATCCCGAGCTCGGCGCGTCGACGGTTTCGCTGGGTTTCGTTCGCGTCCCGTCCGCGCCCTCGACGAATGGACGGAACGGAACGACGATGGCTAATATCAAAACCCCGGTCCCGGGTTTCAACGCGCGCTTTAACTGCGACATGAGCGTCACCGGAGCGTCGATTCGATCGCACAGGTTCAACGCCGCGACGACGTCGAACCCGTCCTCGTCCAAATCCTCCCCCAGCCGCCGCACGTCCCCCACGACGTCCTCGATCGTGTCGCTCTCGAGCACGACATCAAATCCACGCTCTCTCAATCGCTTCGCCATCCCTCGCGAGCTCTCCGTCGCGCACGTCTTTTCAAAATTCTTCGCCAGCGTCTCCGTCACCTCGCCGCACCCCGCGCCGACGTCCAAAAACCATCTCAACCTTCCCTCTCCCTCCCCGACCGCCCCCGCGCTCGTCAGCAGCGCCCTCGCCTGTTTCGTCGAGAACACGTGCATCGCCCCTCGCCCCAGCGTCGCGTTCGCCTCCGTGAGCGACATCGTCTTCCTCAGCTCGTCGCACGCCCGCGCCAGCCCCCGGTGCGCCGCGTCGCCGCGCTCGCGCCCTCGCAGCAAGAACCCGTTCGTCTCCTCGTCCCGCTCGAGCGCGTCGAACGCGTCTCGCAGCGTCTCGCTCGCGAATCGTCGCGCGTCGGCGCCGTATTCGAGCGCGCGCGGCGCGAAGACGGCGTCGCAGTGCGCGCATCGCACGCGCAGGTCCTCGAGCGCGTCCGCGGTCGCGCGCGGTCGCGCGCGCGCGCGGTCCGAGCGCGCGTCCGCGCGCGCGCGCTCGACGGACATGGCGACGCGCGCGCGCGGTCCGAGCGCGGCGCGCATGCGCGCGCGGGTCTGCGGCCGCGAAATCGTCACATCGCGACGCATCGCGCGGCATGCCGCGCGGCGCGCGACGCGCGGCGACGCCGACGCGCGCGACGCTCGTCGTCCTCGTCGTCGCGGTCGCGCTCGCGGCGCGCGCGAGCGACGGCGCGCTCGTGCGCGCGCGAACGGCGCGCGCGAAGAGCGCGCGGGCGAACGATCGAGGCGACGCGTTCGAGACGACGTACGACGCGCGCGCGATGGACGACGGCGTCGTCGCGGTCGTCGGCGCGCGCGACGGCGATCGGACGCGCGATCGAGGGGTCGGCGCGCGCGCGAGGACGTCGGCGGCGATCGGGACGCGCGACGAGGACGAGGAGGACGACGAGGCCGAGCTCGCGCTCGTTCGACGAGGACGGTTCGGCGACGATGGGGACGCGCGAAGGGACGCGCTGCGACGGGTGCGCGGCGAGGGCGATGGGAAGCGTCGCGGGACGTTCGCGCCGAACGCGCGGGTGAGGGCGGACGCGGTGCGGCGGGCGATCGAGGAGAGCGACGGGGCGCGGCGCGTCTTCGCGTCGGTCGAGTGCGAGGATGAGCTGGCGAGCGTCGATGGGATGGAGACGATCGTGTACGCGCGTGATCCGTTGCGCGCGTACTTGGACGCGCGCGAGGGCGCCGCGGGAGGGAGGCTGCGAGCGGTGGTGGCGACGTGCGGGGACGACGCGCGAGGCGCGGGCGAGGCGTTCGCGAACGATTTGGAGACGGTCGAGCGCGAGGGTATCGCCGCCGTAGGCGTGTTTTATGAATCAGCCGGTGCGAGCGCGCTCGAGTGCGGTGAGGTCGAGGACGGCGCCACGGGGCGCGCGCTGCTGGCGCTGGAGCAATCGGAGGCGCCCGAGTGCGGCGCGCTGTGCGAGACGCAGGCGCAGCTCGTGATGGGGGTGATCATCTTCTGGGGCCTTCTCATCACTTTGATGTACGGCTGGGGATTGATGACTGATTTGGACACCCCGCAGTACTGGGCGACGCCCGATGAGCACGATAAGCAGGACTAGGGAACATGATTTGTAACAAAACAAAGACGCGATTGTTGACGACGTCGCGAGCCAAGAATAGAATATCAACCTCAGTGCACGCCGCGATGTCGACCCAGTACGACACGTTAGACACGATCGAGGTCGATGAACGGAGTGCTGCGCCGACCAAGGTGCTCAGCACGTACGGTGGCTTGGAGTCGAGCAGGAAAAATTTCTTCTGTCACGTGAGTTTGCCATGTGTTTCTTCACCGCAGCCGACGCGAGCTCACACCAACTTTGCAGGCTGTCTTAGTCGGTGCGACGTTATTTTTAGGCACGAGCTTATGTTTGGCGTATCTCTACGTCCCTGCGCTGAGCTTGATCACCGATTATAAGATTGACCGGGGCGATAAGTGCTGGGTAACCAGCACCACCAGATGCGAGAATAATCTCAAGGCGAGCATTTATTTCTGGAACATCACCAACCCGAGTCAAGTTCTCGCCGGTACTCATCCCCCGGCACTCGTGGAAGTGGGTCCGTACGTTATTTCGAACACTGTGAACAAGCGTCAGAATATTACTTTTTCGAACGACGACACGGAAGTATCCTTTGTGTCGACGCTCTATGCGGACATGGACGCTGCAAACTTTTGCGACGGATGCTCAATGAACGACGAGGTATACTAACTAGAGCGCTTCATTTAGTTTCATAACTTCTCACTCTTCATCATAGATCGTGTCTTTCAACTTGGCGTACATCGGCATGGTGAAGACGGCAGGGAGCGAAGCGAACATCCTGTACACCGCAATCCCGCAAACGCTCTCGGGGTTGGTCGGCGGTATCACTCAGCTTTTTGGCGCCATGGCGAACGACCCAACGCTCGGGGCGGCGTTTCCTAACCTCGTCGCGGCGGCTCTTGGAGGGCCTACCGCTTTACAGGCGCTTGCAGTTGAACAAATCTTCACAGCGAGCCCTCTTGGGGGACTATCGGTGACCCAACTCGCTGCCTTGGGCGTGCCGGCGGCGTTTCTAACCGGCTTCCCGTCTGTTCCTGAATACGCATCTTGGGCCGCCACTCAGGCTTCTCAGCCCGTTTCTGTCGTCGCGATAAGCTCGCCGACGTCGAGTGCGCTGTATCAGGCCGTTGTCGGCGATTCCACGGGCATGACAGCCGTGGGTATGCTGACTATGGACACGACGACATTGGCGGCGACGTTTACGATCTCGGCGCTTCACGCGCAGCTTTGGAAAGGATACCTGACTCATATCTCGTCGACCTACGGAGCGAACGCGTTTCAAGCGTCTCTTGGACCCGCTCTTGGCCCACAATCTAGCGGAATGTTGATCAAACGCACCGTTCGAGAGTGGATTTTTGGATACGAGGATCCCGTCGTCTCCGCGCAGTATGCGGCAAACGATCCTAGAAGACTCATTCGATCGGTGACAAAGATTCGCAACGCGACGACGATCGACGACGATCACGTGCCGTGGAGTGTGAATGATACTTCTACGTGGGCTTATGTCTACGGATCTACGCCCTATCGCATCGCAACCGGCGTGAACTCGCCCGAGAACGCGACGAATGTGTTGCGCCGTTCTGACGGCGCCGCGGGACCAATCACGTACCCTCACACGTCGCATGTCGAGAACGTCGTAGGCAAAACAATTGCTTCTGGACAATATCACGCTATTAAGATCCACGGAAGTTCAGTTGATGTCGTTGCCTGGGCAGATTTTGGCATGGGATTAGATTTGAAACGCTCCCTCACGCTGCGACACCAGCAAGGCAAGACGGTCAAGAAGAATTCCAAGGTCTCTGTCGAAACGTACGCTATCGCGCACGAAGAGTTCTTGGCTTGTCCAGTAGATCAGACTGCGTGTGGGCGCAACACGGAATTTCACGGCACGTTCAACGTGAGCGGGTTCGAGCTCATCCCGAGTGTGTACACGCTTCCTCACGGTCATCGAGCCGACCCCCGAGTCTTCGGCGGGTACATCGATCCGACCTCTTCTTCATCTCCGTTCGCCCCGAACGCCACGATACATGATATCGAGATCATGATTTACGAGCGCAGCGGTAACACCGTGGGCATGCGAGTTCCGATCCAACAAAACTTCAAAATTGACCCGACGGATACTTTCTACACCACGCTCTGGTCCGGCGCCTCGAGCGGTGACGAAGCCCTCGTTCCAATCTCCTGGACCAGCCTCGAGTACGACATGGACGAGGCGTTTTACGATGAAATCAAGGAAACGATCGACTTCATCGAGATTCTTGTCGCAGTGTGGCGATACGTCTCCCCCATTGTGTCCCTCTGCCTGATACTCGTCTCCGGCGTCACGCTCTACGTGAGACGTGCCCTCGATCGCCGTCTCATCGACGGCGATCGATACGCCGTGGAAGCCGTTCAAAATAATTCTCGAGCGATGCAGTCTTTCTCCGACAAGAACCTCGTCTCGGCGCTGAAAAAGAAGAATTCCGAGTTGGACCCCAACCAGACCGACGCCGCGCCAGCTTCGGCGACCAAGGTCGCGTTCGCCGTGTGATTCCGTCCTCAGAGTTCATTCGCGATCGCCCCGTGACGAATCGTCGCCGTTTCAATTCAAATTATATCGCCGTTCGCGAGGCTGTTACCCTCATTCCGTCGCTCGCGGTTCCGTCGCTCCAGTCGCCAGTCGCGTCGCCGACGCCGTGACTGCGTAACTGTCGCCGTCCGTCGAAGCACCGCCACTCGACGACGTTCGACGCCTCGCGACGCGCAGACGACGACCGATCGCGAGTGTGACCGCCTTTCGCGCCTTCACACCGACGCGCGACCTCGAACGCGCCCGCGCGCGATCGGCGTCGACGATAATCCGTACCGAATCGGAAACCTGGAATTATGTCCCCGGTGACGACGAAAATCGACGACGGCGTGGCGGTGATCGAGCTGAATAACCCCCCGGTGAACGCGCTGGCGGTGCCGGTACTCGAGGGACTCGAGCGCGCGGTAAAGGACGCGCAGGCAAACTCGAACGTGCGCGCGATCGTCATCCACGGGGCGGGCGGAAAGTTTAGCGGCGGTTTCGACATTACGCAATTGAGAAAGTCGACCCAGGGGAAGCCGTCGAACGACGTGGGCGATTTTAACGCGATTCTGTGCCGATACGTGGAGGGTGGAAGTAAGCCGTGCGTGGCGGCGATCGAAAACTTGGCTCTAGGAGGGGGATTGGAGGTGGCGATGTCGTGCAACGCGCGCGTGGCGACGCCGAGGGCGCAGTTGGGGTTGCCTGAGCTTCAGTTGGGAGTGATTCCTGGGTTTGGTGGCACTCAACGCCTGCCGCGGTTGGTGGGCTTGGAGAAGTCCCTGGAGATGATGCTGAAGAGCAAGTCGATCAAGGCGGAGGAGGCGCTGAAACTTGGATTGGTTGACAAAATTGCGGACCCGTCAAGAATCGTCGCCGAGGCGTCGGCGTTGGCGAAGGCGATCGCGAGTGGCTCCGTGAAGCGGGAGCTTTCGATGTATCGTAAAGACAAACTACCAGATCCCAAGTCTACGGAGATGATTCTCAAGGAGGCGAGCAAGAAGGCCAAGCGAGTGCAGTCAGTGATGCCGCACGTGGCGCTTTGCGTCGATGCCATCTCGGTCGGACTCGCCCAAGGCCCTGAAGAGGGACTGAAGCGCGAGGCAGAAAACTTTAAAAAGGCTGTATCATCGCCTGCCGCGAAAGGTTTGGTTCACTTCTTCTTCGCTCAGCGCGCGACGAACGTAGTTCCGGGAATCACGGACGTCGGCCTTAAGCCTCGACCGATGAAGTCAGTCGGCGTCGTCGGAGGCGGTTTGATGGGGAGTGGAATCGCCACGGCGTGCTTGCTCGCTGGAATTCAAGTCGTGTTGAAAGAGATCAAGCAAGAGTTTTTGGACGCGGGCGTCGGTCGCATTCAATCAAACTTGACGAGCATGGTTCGTAAAGGCAGGATGACTGAAGACAAGGCGCGCCAGCTGATGTCGCTCGTCAAGCCTACACTCACAGATCAAGATTTCCGTCAGTGTGATATGGTCATCGAGGCTGTCATTGAAAACTTACCTCTCAAGCAAAAGATCTTCTGTGAGTTGGAGAGGATTTGCAAGCCTGATTGCATCTTGAGCACGAACACGAGTACCATCGACATTACAAAAATCGCCGCCAAAATGAAGAACCCAGAGCGCATCGTGGGTGCTCATTTCTTTTCACCTGCTCATGTCATGCAGCTGTTCGAAATTATTCGTACCGACGCGACTCCGGCGCAGATTTTGGTGGACACCTTGGGCTTGAGTAAACAAATTAAGAAGACGCCTGTCGTCGTGGGAAACTGCACCGGATTCGCCGTCAACCGTATCTTCTTTCCGTACACCATGAGCGCGACGGTGCTCGTGGATATTGGGTGCGATCCGTACGCCATCGATCGTGCGATAATGATGTTTGGAATGCCCATGGGTCCGTTCCGTTTGGGTGATTTGGTCGGTCACGATGTCGGCGTTCACGTCGGGCAGAACTTCATCGACGATTTCCCCGATCGAGTCTACCGCTCGCCCCTCATCCCATCGTTGCTCGCGAACAAAAGATTGGGCGAGAAGTCCGGTGCTGGATTTTACAAGTACGACAATAAGCGCCGGGCCACGCCTGATTCCGAGGGTGTCGAGATGCTCATCGCCGCGTCCCGAGCGCAGTCCAAACTTCCGCTCGACGGTTCGCCCATTCCGGCGGGCTTGAGTCCGCAAGAGATCGCTGAGATGATCTTTTTCCCGGTCGTCAACGAAGCGTGCAGAGTTCTTTCCGAAGGCATCGTCGTCAAGGCTGGCGATATCGACACCGCGGCAATCTTAGGCATGGGCTTCCCTGCCTTTCGAGGCGGCGTCGTCCACTGGGGCGACTCCGTCGGCCCCGCCGTGATCGCCGCCAAGCTCCGCGCTTGGTCCACCAAGTACGGCGGTCTGTACCAACCGTGTCCTTACTTAGAGAACTGCGCCATTCAGGGTCGCACCCTCGCTCAGGGTCCGTTGGACACCAAAATTAAATCTCGTCTTTAGAACCGAGCGACGCCGCCCTTTGCAATCGACCTCGCTCCCAAACACTCGTCGACGCGCGATGCCGTGGACCGCGCTCGACCTGGACCCCGTCGACGGCGGCCGCGTTCGCCTCCGCGCCGTCGTCGGCGGCGCTACGCCCGCGCGCGATCGCCCCGTCGTCGTCCTCGTCCACGGTTGGAGCGGGACGGCGGCGTACTGGTCGCCGGCGATGCGCGCGGCGCGCGACGACTTTCCCGCGACGATCGCGTTCGATCTTCGAGGGCACGGCGGGAGCGACCGTCCGGGACGCGGCCACACCGTCGCGCGGCTGGCGATGGACCTGCGGGAGGTCCTGGAGCAGGCGGCGGCGAGACTGTCGCCGAGCGGGTTCGTGCTCGTCGGCGCGTCGATGGGATGCGCGGTCGTTTGGTCGCTCTTACAGTTGTGCGGCGCGCGATGGCGCGTCGGAGGGGGGAGCGATGCGACCGAGGTGAGCGTCATCGGCGCGGTGCTCGTGGATCAGGCCCCGTTGCAGAATAGACGCCCGGATTGGGAGCTGGGGAGTTTGGGTTGTTACGACGCGGCGAGTTACGAGGCGTTGGCGGCGGCTGTGAGAAGAGATATGTCTACGTTCGCGGATGGTAACGCCGAGGCTTGCTTTCACGATCTCAGTGTCGTTGATCCCGACGTGCTCGCCATGGTGAAGAGCGAGACGCTCGAGTGCTGTCCCGAGGCGTTGTGCGAGCTGATGTACGACCACACGCACCAAGACTGGCGAAGCGAGTGTCGACACATGACCATCCCGGCGCTCGTCCTGGCGGGACGTGAAACCAAAATATTTCCCATAGATGGCATCAAAGCGGTGGCTGAGATGATTCCCGATTCGGAGTTGAAGATTTTCGAAAACTGTGGGCATTGGTTGTACCTCGAAGAACCGAAAAAGTTTGCCGACGAGGTTCATGATTTCGTGACGCGGTGCGATGATAAACAAAGGGCGGCGACGTCGGAGGGGTCGTGAGGAACGAGATTTTTCATTATCCGTGCCGGATGACAGAAAAGGGGTCCTGAACTAGCCATCTGTTAAATTCTATCTAGTTTGTAAATTTTACTACGAGTGTCGTCGCGACGATGATTCGAATCTAGTCGACTCAGACGATTGTTCTCAACGCGATGGCCACCCCAGCCGCGAGCGTGATCTGTATTCCGTTCACCACGTCGTTAGACATCCAATCAAATCCTTTTCTACCCTGCACAGCCGCCCCGAGCATGCTCTCGAAGGTCGTCGCGATGAAGGCAGCGAGGACGCATACACCGACGCCGACGGCATCCAGTTGACCGATGATGAACGCAAGCCCGGCGAACAGACCCGATACGACGATACCAGCCACGGTTCCTTCGACGCTAACGGCGCCCTCCGTACCTCTGGGAACTAACTTGAACGGTGGCGTGCTCATATAGGTCGTCTTGCCGTAGGCCTTGCCGATCTCACTTGCGGTGGTGTCGCTGAGTTTGCTGCAAAAGCTCGCCACGAAACCGATCCGCCAGAGTTCCAACGACACGGGTGTCCATCCCGAAAGCGCCGCAATAGCGCACAAAATCCCCGCCGTCCCGCTCCCCCACACGCTTCCGGGGCCACGAAGCCCTCCCCGCGCCTCCGCTATCCCCTCGGCTTGCTTTTCCTTCAATTTTATCTTTGTCACCGCACTGCCGACGATGAAGTAGGCGCACACGAGAGCGTATCCTCCGACACCAAACGCCGCCATGACGACCTGCGTGCGCGCGGGAAAAGCGAGTCAGTCTGTCGAACGCACAAAAAACGAGTCTCAGAACTATCAGAAACCTCCGGGATCAGATTGAAAACTAATATTTTGATACTCGCTCACGGAGCGGCCGTCGCTGCACCGACGATTGTCGGTCCGCGTTGCGCGCGCTCGGAAGTATCTGTCATCTGTCATCACCTCCCACGGTCGTTCGAGCGTCGCACTCGCGACAAAAAATCTAAATGCGCATCGCCACGCGTGTTTCTGGCGATTCACGCACCGTTCCGAGAAACCACGAGTGCGCGATACCCGCGAGCGTCAACCCGAGTCGCAAGACGCCGAAGCCGCTCGTAAACACCGCGGTATTCGCCATCGCCGCGGCACGCAAACCCGGCGACCCGTCGAGCACGAACCCCTGGACCGCCGACACGGCGCTCGCGGGATCGATCGCGCCCGTTTGAACCAGCACGCGCGCCCCGCCCCGCGTCCCACGGCTCGACACCAATCCTTCCCGAATTAGCGACGGTTCCGCCGTCGCCACACGCGAAGGCCGTCCACCGTCCACCCCACGCGCGCGCGCGCGCGACGCGTGAACATGATTTCTACCGACACGCGCGCGCGCGTGCGATGACGACGCGCGCATAGTTTCCCGCGTCGATGATTGCGCGCCGTCCCAGGTTCGACGCGCGCCGCGACGGGTTCGACGTCGCGCCCCAGGTTTGCGCGTCGATCACGGCGATCGGTGACGCCGAACCTCATTTCAGTTTCGCGCGCGCAGGTTGCCTCGAAACCGTCCATCGATCGACGCCATCGACGAATGTGAACCTCATTTTAGGTTCACGATCTAGTTTCGCGTCGACCCTTGACCGTCGATCGACGACGAGGCGGTGAAACCGCGACGCGCTCGTGTCGCCTCGAGCGCGCGGGCGCGACGTCACTCGACGCGCGCGAACGACCGCGGCATGCGCGTCGCGAGCGGACATCGCGCGAGCGTCCCGCGACGGGCGCGGACGTCGCGAGCGTCGTCATCGACGCGTCGCGCGCGTCCGCGCGCGGGCCCGCGCGCGCGAGGCGACCGATTGCGCGCGCGAGACGCGGCGCCGTTCGGTGACGGCGGGACCGGTGACGACGGAGCGAGCGACGCGTCTGCGCTCGATGGGTTCGACGCGGACGGGACGGAGGATGAAAACATTCTCACCACGGCGCTGAATAAGGCGATATTTGAGGAGGATTACGGGTTGGCGCAGAGGGTGTCGGAAAAGCTGCGGCGCGTGCAAGGGATGACGGACCCGCGGGAGCAGTTGCTCGATTGGCGGTCGCTCGGAATGGCGAACTGGATCGCGTCTCGGGCGGAGGATTTAGGGTTCCGATATCCCACGGCGATTCAGCGACGGGCGGCGCTGGCGATGATGAACGTGAACGACGTGGTTATTTCGAGTCAGACGGGGAGCGGGAAGACGCTGGCGTACCTCATGCCGAGCATCGACGGGTTGAATTACGTGGGGAGAGGGATGCTGCAGTTGCTGGTGATCGTGCCGACGAGAGAACTGGTGGTACAGAACTCTATGCTGATATGGCGCATACTCGGAGGGAACGTGAGCACGCAGAGACCAGGAGATTCGGGTAACATCTTTAGATACATCGGTCCCCGCGGCGTGAAGGTGAAGGGCGCGTTTGATTTTGAAAAGCACGTGTTGAATCCGGATCCCGACTTATGCATCGCGGAAATCGTCGTCGGAACGCCCGAAGAGCTCAAAGATTTGAAGCTACAAGGAGATTTAGAGGTGGATCTGGCACAATTCATCATCGCCGACGAAGCGGATGTGCTCTTCGACAAGCACCCAGATGCGATGGATGTGTTGCTCAAACCGTCACCATACGAGCCAGTGATGGAGGACCGATGCGTGTGTCTTAGTGGCGTGGCGTTGTCGCAAGAGATCGTCGATCGGTGCACATCTAAAGGTCTAATGAAGGATCCCATTTGGATCACCACGGGCGGCGGTATGCGCGTGCCCCCGGGCATCACGCACCGAATGCTCGTCGTGAAGGACCGTTCTCGCAAGCTTATCGCACTCACGCGACAGCTTCGTAAAGATCTCGAAGAAGCAGGAGAAGATGCACCACCGCCGCGAACGTTCATTTTTGTTCCGAATAGCGAAGCGGCGAAAGTTACGGCTGGGCCCGTGCGGAAGGCGCTCTGGGGCGAACACAAGCTGTTGATGTTGCTCCCCGAGGGCACCGAGGCTTTGCGAACGGTTCAAGATTTCAAGAACAACAAGGCTAGCATATTAGTGTGCACGTCTGAAAGTGAGCGGGGGCTGGATATGCCAAATATTCAGCACATTTATAGTTTAGACGCTCCTTCAACGAGCAGTTATTTACATCGAGCCGGTCGATGCGGGCGTCTCGGTACCATGGCCCCAGGCGTAGTAACCTCCGTCGTGAGCGAAGATGAAGTCAAGGCTCTGAAGCAGGCGTACTTCAACCTCGAGATCAATGACTTCATGGAATTAGAGGAGCTGCCGCAGCGTGAATTCGAAACGGAAGAAGAGACTCAGCAAGCGTTACTCGACGATCTCTTCTTCTTGATGGATACGAACGCTGACGTCGTCAACGCTTTGGAACAAATTTTCGACAAAAGTGCGGACGAGGACGAGGACGAGGACGAAGACGAAGACGAGGAAGACATTAGCAAGTAGAGAGTGGGTACATTAATATAAACGCGCTTAAAATTTTCTAAAACTACCCGCAGCCACCCCCGCCTTTGGGGATGTCTTCGTAGTCCCCACGCGCCCACTTCTTGAAGTCTTCCATCATTTCCTTTGGCTTATTTGGAATGCTCTCGATCGCGTTGAAAATGTCTAAAAGATCCTGGTTCGGGTCTTCCATGCCTTGCTTGGTTGGGATGCCACGAATCGGCGCCAAGCGCTTGCGAACCGCCGTCATCGTGCAACCGATGAGCTTCTTCTCGGACATTCTAAGCTTGGCCGCCTCGATCTCTCGCACGCGCATCGTGTCCGAGAGCTTCAACAGGTTCAGCTCGTCTTCCTCATTCGTGTCGTATTCAGACATTAACTCTCGACAATCGCCCATGAGAAGCTGAAGAATTTCGTATTCGTTCATCACCGAAACGATTTTATCCTCCTCAAACGACACCGCCATCATCTCACCGGGATCTTGAACGCGGGCAAAACGAAGATAAGAGTACAACTGGGTCGGCATACGATCTTCATACACCGGAAAGTACTGGTTTTCGGCGGTGAAACCCATACCCTCGAGGACTTGCTTCTTCGCCGAAAATAAGCGATCGGAGGGCTGAATCTCGGTCCGCATGTACAAATAATCCCCTGGATGCTTCTGATCAACGCGACCAGTGTTCAAGAACAGCTCACCGTTGTTCCTTTGCAACGGATCCAACTGTACGACTCGCGAGTTCGCCGGCGCCTTGACGACGGCGGATAAAACCACGCACGCGCTGTCGACGTCGTAATCCGCAGCGCACCGCGCGATTCCATCCTTCGCCGAGGGCGGTGAAACGCCCGGCACCGGAGATCCAGCAATCGTGATGACGTCTAACAAAGGCACCAACGCATAGCACGATGCCGTGGGTAACCAAGTCGCCTTGGCGCACACCGTCGCCAGCGCGTCCACGAAGCGCTCCTCGGTGAAAAACTCGTACGCCTCCGCGGGAAACGCCGTGGGATCACCCTTAATGACCTCCACGATAGCCGCATATTCCTCCCTCGCGCTCCTCGAGCGTTCTACCGCATCATTCACGATCGGCGACCCCTTCAACAGCGCGAAATCTTCCGCCTCGGTCCAAAACAACGGCGCGTCTGGATTCGCCGCGAGCGTCTTCACGTACGGCGCCCAATCGCTCGCTCCACCCTTGATGCGCTCCGCGCACAACCACAGCGCCAACCCGACGAGCTCTGGTCGCCCCTTGGCCAATCCGCTGACGATCGGGTGCGCGTCGACGTCCACGGACGTCACCGCGCAGTCTTGCGGCACCGCGAGCACGCGCGCCCCGGCGTCGACGTCTCCGCGCAGGGCCACCTCCACCTCGCCTCTCGCGCCCTCTTTGAACACTAATCCGCTCGCGTCCACGCCCTTGTCGTAGGATAACCACGCCGCGAGCTCGCGCGCGTCCTCGGCCGTCGCCTCGGCGTTGGCGTCGGCGATCGCGCGGGTCCGACGCGAGGTGGACGACGCGCGGGGATTCGTTCGCGCGCGCGCGCGCGCGCGGGGCGTCGTCGCCGCGACGGCGCGCGAAGCGATCGTCGTCGCCATGTTCTTCGCGTTCGATCCGGCCACGGGGGCGAAGGGAACGCGCGCGCGCGTGTGTGGGGCAAGATGCCGGGACGCGCGTCTGCGGGCTATCCAGAGCGCGGCGACGGCGACGCGGAGGCGAAGAGTAATCAAACATCGAGAGATGCATCATTAAAACGAATGTTATTGAAGAGACAAAGCCCCAAAAGCAGTCGGGAATTCCCAGCGCTGTCAGAGAAATCTTGGAGGTGACCGTAGACGCGAAGTCGACGGCCGCCGATCAAGCTACCCTATGACGAAGCTACCAAGGCGGTGAACCGCTTAGTAGAAGCCGAAGCCCTTGGCCGCGTTGGTGAGGACGTTGGAGTGAACCGGGTCCGCAACGTGGGATTGCCAGTTGGCGATCGGGCCTTCTTGGGTGGCGAGCGCTTGGAAGATGCAGCCCAACCACGCGAACATGGACAAGCGGCAGTGCTTGAGCTCCTTGATCTTGAGTTCTTCAAGGTCGCCAGACTCGGCGAGGCCGAGCGGGTCGAAGCGTCCACCCGGGTTGACGTCACCGACGGTGAGGCCATCATCGAACGGAGAGTCGGAGATACCGGTACGGTACGCTTCCGCGGCGCCGACGAGAACGATCTCGATGATGAGAACGTTCCAGAAGGACGGGTAGCCAGAGCCTTCCGGCGCGAGCGGGGCGACGGCGCCCGGGAACTTGTCCGCGACGGCGGTGCAGTCATCCGGGGTGCACAAGGTACCCGCGGTGAACCACGGGATGCCGGTGCCGTTTTCGGCGGCCCACGCACCGGTGACGCCAAGCATCGCCCAGCGGCCGTGGATCACTTCACGCTCGGCGTTCTTTTCGTCGCCGAACGGGATGATCGGGGATTCGCCACCGCCCGGGTAGGTACCGAATTCCGGGTAGATGTCAGCCTTGACCGTCGTGGAGACAGACTTGGCCTGTTCATTTCGTAAAACACATCGCGTTTCTTTCGTCAGTCTCCTCTCTTCGCTCGAACGATCGATCCAATCACCCGCGTCCTCCGCCCCGCGCCCGCGCTTCGTCCAGTCAAACAAACAGATAGAAAATATCCGTATCGCGGTTATCCTATCGCCGCGGCGATCGAGCGCCCGCTCGCCCGTCGCGACGCGTCGCGACGCCGACGCGCGTCGCGTCGCGATCACAAATAATCATCGACATCGCTTCCCGCGACGCCCTTCGCGGCGTCGCACGTCCCGCGTCGCGACGACGCGATGCGCGCCGCGCGCGCGATGTCGCGTATCTCACGCCGTCGATCGATGGCGCGCGATGCGATCGCGTCCCTCGCGCGCGTCGTCGTCCCGCGCGTCGTCGCGCGTCGCGCGAAGGCTAAAAAATACGCACTTGGATCTTGGTCGCCTTGAAGGCGGCGACGCGGCCGACGAAGGAGGAAGCGAGAAGGGCAGACATTGTAGAAATGTGCGTGTGCAGGTATGCCGCTCGCGCGCGCGCGCGAGATCGCGCGCCATCGATCGCGCGCCATCGATCGATCGATCGATCGCGCGATCGATCGACGCACGATCGATCGCGCGCGACGCGCGAACCCGAACGCGTCGATCGCGATCTCGATCGCGCGCGCCGCGACGCATAAAACATAAAACACCCCGATCGCGAGATATTCACGCATTCCACGCCGTATTTCGCCCATCACGGAAGATCTCGTTCGCCGCGAGGCCGCGCCCGCGCGCGCGCCTCGACCGCCACCGGTGGCGCGCCGCGCGCGGCATTCACGCACACTCAGTCGTAATGTCTGCCCTTCTCGCTTCCTCCTTCGTCGGCCGCGTCGCCGCCTTCAAGGCGACCAAGATCCAAGTGCGTATTTTTTAGCCTTCGCGCGACGCGCGACGACGCGCGGGACGACGACGCGCGCGAGGGACGCGACGCGCGCGCGTCGAACGAACGAACGAACGATCGGGCGATCGATCGCGGTGGGCGATCGCGCGCGGCGCCCTCGCGCGGGCGGTGTCGCGCGGACGGGCGCGGGACGGCGCGCGGTGGATGCTGGAAATGTGTCGCGCGCGTCGCGCGACGTCGGGGGTCGAGGCGTCGGTCGCGGGCGACGCGCGCGCGACGCGGGCGATCGGGCGGGACGCCGCGCGCGAGATACGGTTTCGCTCTTATCGCCGCGGATGGGGGTCGGCACGAGTCGTGAACCGTGAAAACGTGGATCGGGGGGGGAACAGACTTTTTAGAGCGGCGGGCGCGTCGGCGGACGACGACGGATGGGCGTGCGCGATCACGAGACGACGAGACTGACTGGAGAATATAAACTTCGTTCGATCGCAGGCCAAGTCTGTCTCCACGACGGTCAAGGCTGACATCTACCCGGAATTCGGTACCTACCCGGGCGGTGGCGAATCCCCGATCATCCCGTTCGGCGACGAAAAGAACGCCGAGCGTGAAGTGATCCACGGCCGCTGGGCGATGCTTGGCGTCACCGGTGCGTGGGCCGCCGAAAACGGCACCGGCATCCCGTGGTTCACCGCGGGTACCTTGTGCACCCCGGATGACTGCACCGCCGTCGCGGACAAGTTCCCGGGCGCCGTCGCCCCGCTCGCGCCGGAAGGCTCTGGCTACCCGTCCTTCTGGAACGTTCTCATCATCGAGATCGTTCTCGTCGGCGCCGCGGAAGCGTACCGTACCGGTATCTCCGACTCTCCGTTCGATGATGGCCTCACCGTCGGTGACGTCAACCCGGGTGGACGCTTCGACCCGCTCGGCCTCGCCGAGTCTGGCGACCTTGAAGAACTCAAGATCAAGGAGCTCAAGCACTGCCGCTTGTCCATGTTCGCGTGGTTGGGCTGCATCTTCCAAGCGCTCGCCACCCAAGAAGGCCCGATCGCCAACTGGCAATCCCACGTTGCGGACCCGGTTCACTCCAACGTCCTCACCAACGCGGCCAAGGGCTTCGGCTTCTACTAAGCGGTTCACCGTGCGTGACGTCGCTCTCGCGTCGTCTCTCTACCAACTCGTCTCTCTACCAACTTAGAAGATTGCATTTTAATAAAAACGATTTTCGAATCAACAAAACTCAGACCACATCCCGAGCGCTTCGTCTCGCGAGTTCCACGTCCGCATCGCGCGTCGATCGTCCCCTCGGCGCGTCCCTCGCGAGCGCGTCGCCCGGCGCGCGCGCCGACGCCCGGGCGATGCGCTCGAATCGCCATCGCGCCGTGACTTCACTTCGCCGCGCTCGATCGCCTCGCCGTCGGTCGGCGTAGTCAACTTCAAGGGCATCGCCATGAACTCGCCTCGCCTCGCGAGCGACGCCGCGCTCGTCCGAAGATACGTCGCCGTGTACGCGCTCGGAACGTTCGGAGATTGGATCCAAGGGGCGTACCTGTACGCCGCCTACCGCCGACACGGACTGGTGAAACGAGAGATAGGATACATATACGTGCTCGGGTACGTCGTGAGCGCGACGATCGGGACGACGTGCGCCGCGCTCGGGGACACGCGCGGGCACCGAGCGCTCGCGGTGGCGTACGGGACGCTGTACGCGGCGAGCTGTTTGTTGCTGCGGTCGAGCGCGATGACGACGCTGATCGCGAGCCGGATACTCGGGGGGATTGCGTATTCGTTGTTGTTTACAAACTTTGAGTCGTGGGTGATCACGGAGGCGGACGCGATGGGGATCGATAGGAAAAAGTTGGCGGGAGTGTTTAGCGTGGCGACGTTGTTCAACGGGGCGAGCGCGGTGCTGGCGGGATTGGTGGGGAATTTTGTCGTTGAATTCGCTGAATCGAGCCAGTTCTCGTGGATTGGAATGGACGAGGTTAGGCTCGAGATGGGGGCGGAGGCGGATACGTCAGGAAGCGTGGTGATGATGTCGAAGAACGTGTACGCGCCGGCGTTTGACGTCGGCGCCTTGTCGCTGTTGCTGTGCGCCGCGGGGGCGAAGTTTTTATGGAGTAATCGGACGAGCGCGGCAAATTTGGGGGCGCCAGGGTCATCCGCGGTCGATGATACGCAAGTCGGCGCGGTGAGCATCTCTAGTGCGGTGAGAATGATTATGAGCTCGGTGGAGTTGTTTCGCCTCGGTGCGGCGAATTCTCTCTACGAAGGCGCGTTGCATCTCTTTGTCTTCGTATGGACGCCAGTTCTAGAGAAAAGGTCGGCGATAGACGCCACGGTGCCATACGGATCCGTGTTCAGCGCGTTCATGGTGTGTAAAATGTTCGGAAGCCAGGCGTTCAAGGTGCTGGAGGCTAGGATTCCCGCCGAGAATCTTCTGCGGATGGTTCTCGTGGGCTCCGCCGTCAGCTTTTCCATCGCCGTGTTGTTCACGGGGTATTGGGTCACACTCGCCGCGTTTTGCGCGTTTGAGTTCGGTTTGGGGATTTATTGGCCCGTGATGTCCATACTACGGGCAAAGTACGTGCCGAACAAGATGCGAGCGACCATGACGAGCGCTTTCCGGATCCCGCTCAACATCTTGGTCGTCGCGTTGTTGCTCGTTGCCAGTCGATCGAGCGATCGAGTGTTGCTTGGGCTGTGCGCGTTGATGATGGTATTCAGTTTCGTTTGTTTTCGCGTCAAGCTGCCTGGGAAGTAGTAGAGAGAAGGAGTAGTTAGTTACAGACTAGATGGTTTCATTATAGGATTAGAGAATCTTGCTATATCGACGGCTTCGTTCGGTGATCAAAGTCGTCGTCGTCGTCCATAATTTATTCCTTGGTCGGGGACGTGATGGCGGAGCCGATTTGTGTCGCTCGCGCGCGCTTCGTGTCGCCATGCATGCTCATGCACTCGACACTGAGCACGCGCTTCATGGCCGCCTCACCCTTGGGCGTCGGCACCGAGCCGCCAACTTGGGCGAGTTGCAAGTACTGCTTGTTCGTCACAGCGAAGGCGCTGCCTCGAATTTTACCCTCAGCATGAAGAGCGATTTCGTCATCGACAAATCGAATGTCTAAGGTGCGCTGATGGGTGTACAGACCAGCGTCTTGCATGGGCAACACCCAGGCGACGTCGTCGCTCTCGTTGTGATGCGAGTGCCACCACCCAGGGGGCGTGATGAAGACGCCGCCCGGGACCCAGTCGCAACGAATGGGATCGATGATGAATCCGTTGCGATCGATCTCCTTGCCCATGAGCGTGTACACTCCCGGCTTCGCCGCGACCGCGAGATCGAGGGCGATGGAGTTGTGTCTGTGCGGACGTTGTACGCTTTGCGCCGGAATCGAGTTCAACAGAGACCACAAAACGTGCGTGAGCGTCTTTGTCTGCGAGCACGCGGTATTGCCGAGTAACACACCGCACCGGTTGTTGCTGCGGTCGCTCGCGTGCTTGATTTCTTCGACGCGCGCGAGCATCTCCTCACGGCGATACAGCGTCGGTTCAAACTTCTTCTCGCTCGACGGATTCACGCCCAGGTAGCTCATCAGGGGTTCATCGTGCACCCAGTACAGCGCGGCCCCACCCATGGACTCCGCATCGACACACACGTGGTGAATCTTCCCCCTCGTCACCGGCACGACGAACAAATCCCCGGTGCTCCACGAAATCTTACCGTGTTCGCCCTCGCTCGTTCCGTTCCCTCGAATCACGTAAAACGCCTGACTCGTCGCGTTCGCGCTCGTCTCGATCGCCTCCCCCTTCACGATCCTCACGAACGACGCCATGAGATTCGGCGACGTACACGATTCCTCAATCTCCAAGAAATCATTGATATCAAACGGGATCACTCGCGTCTCTCCGCGCTCGTGCAAATCCGGCGGGTGCACGAGCACCGGGATGGGCCTCATGTCCGGATTCGCCGCGCTCCCGTACTCGAAGATCGACGCCGTCTCGCCCCATTTCTTCTCGCACGCCTCCAACGAAGCGTCCTTCACCGCTTTATCGCGCGCGATCGCGGCGTCGACCTCGACCGTGGCCTCCGTCGCCATGTTTATCCTCGTCGCGGTCGAGCCGGCGATAAAACGACGTCGACGCCCCCTCGAGCGCGCGCGCGCGCGTTCGAGCGCGAGGAGAGCGCGGAGCGCTCGACGACGGCGGGCGCGGGCGCGAGCGATTAAACCCTCCCTTCGTCGGCGCTGATTCGCGCGCGGACGACGACGCGCGGTGCGGCGGCGGATGGCGGCGGGCGCGCGCGCAAGATGGGGTCGGGCGTTTTCCGGGTGTCTGAGACCGGGACGCGGGGCGAACGCGAGGCTCGGGTCCGCCGCGGCGCGCGGCGTCGGCGCGGGGATCCGCGGCGCGAGACGGAACGGGTCGTGATTCGCGCGCGCTCGATGCGGTGAGAGGGTTTTAGAACGAACGTGACGTGGCGTTACAAAGCGCGCGCGTCGCGGGAACTGGGGCTACAGCTACGGGAAGCGTCTGCAATCGCTTAGTACGCCTTGTTCAAAATGACGCCTTCGAAGGTTTGTTGGAACCACAACATCGCATCCTTCTTGGTGAGCTTGTGCTGCTTGCCGATCTTCTTTTGCTGCTTACGGCGACGGGCGACGCGGTAGCCCGGACGCTCCAACACCACGTAGAAATCCATCCCGTAAATACCCGTGGACGGGTCGTACTTGATACCGAGATCAATGTGCTCGGAGATACCGAAGCCAAAGTTACCCGTGGCACTAAAGTTCTTCTTGAGCAACTCGAATTCCTTCACCTTGAGCGCGTTCTCCAAAATCGTCATGGCCCTGTCGCGGTTACCGACGGCGACGTGGCAGGAAATTTTTTCGTTACGTCGAATACCGAACGTACGCACGGTGTATCGCGCCTTGGAGAAGATCGGTTGTTGAGAAGTGATCGATTCCAACACCTTCGCCGCCTTCGTGAGACGATCACCGCTCTCCCCAACGCAAATGTTGATCACGAGCTTGTGAATGCGAATGGCCCGCATGGGGTTCTCAGTCTTCTCAGCCTGCACCGCGAAGATCGATCCGTCGTCAGTCATTCATCCTTCGATTCCATCACCTCCATCGCCGTTCGCGCCCCATCGACGCGCGATGCGCGACGCGAACATCCACCACCGTCCGTATCGTCCATCGCCGACCGCTCGCGCGCGTCGCCGGCGCCGTCGTCGTCGTCGTCGTCGTCGGCCACCGCGCGCACGAAAACCCTATTCCATCATCGCGCTTCCGCGCTTCCGCGCGACGCCGCGCCGCGACCGACGCCGCGCGGTCGCGCGCGCGGTCGCGCGTCCGCGCCATCGCGCGCGATCGATCGCGCGCTTCGCCGCGAACGCACCATGATGACTCGTGCGGTCGCGCGACGACAAAAGACCGACGCGCGCGGTCGCGCGCCGCGGGCGTCGCGTCGCGCGAACGCGAGACGCGACGCACACACGGACGGCTCGGCGGACATTCGGACATTCGGACGCCGACCGACCGCGCGCGCCTTTTTCCACCCCCCCACGCTTTTTCGCGAGGACGACGGGGTGGGGGTATGCGCTGGCACAAATATACGTATAATAACAATATTAAATCTAAATAAAAAACATGTATCACAGATACGCGACGGCGCGCGATGCCGCGTCAGCATTTCGCGCGCGGCCGTCGAGGGAATCTTCGAGGGCATCATTTTCGACGTACATGGCGTAAAAACAAGTACAATGCGCGATTTGACCCCCCGACACGATTTATATCGATCCCGATCGCGCGGGAACGACGGGGACGACGGGGACGATCGCGCCCGCACTCATCGACGCGTCGTCGTTCGTCCGCACGGTTCGAACACGCACTCACGCCACCGCACCCACGCAAAACAAAAACACTCACTCACAAAATGAACGAAGCCACCATGTCCATGTCCGGTCGCGTACGTCTCGCGACGCGACGACGCGAGCGATGAATCGCGCGATGGGAATTATAGGGATTCGCGACGCATCGACACGTCAGCGACTGACTTTGTCTCGACTGGTTTCGCGCGCGCGCAGATTGTCGTCGGCGGTAACGGTTCGTGCGCGGAAGATTCTTTTAAAATCTCCGCCTCCGCGCCGATCTGCAACGGCTCCGGTTCGGTGTCGCTGAACGCCAAGCCGAACTACCGCCCGAGGTGCGCGCGATCGGGGGCGCCGACGCGAGGATTCTTTCTCGTTTAGCGATTAATTGCGCCATCGATGCCGCGCGTGTCGCGTCGCGCGGTGGTGGAACGCGGACGAGGGATGTCGCATGCGATGATAAAGATTACGCGTCTTCGAACGCGTCGCGCGCGGTGGCGCGAACGCGCGCGCGCGCGGAGGGGGAAGAAGAAATCCTTCGCAATTCAGCGACTGACCCTGGCGTGCCCTTTTTGCCCCACGCAGCATTTCTTCCAAGAATGGCGTGTCGCACAACATCGACGCCGATTCCTTGGTTGGGTTGTCCAACATCTCTGATTACGATGTTACCGTGAACAAGTCCGCGGAACTCGCGGGCCAAGACTGCGACGTCTCGCTCGGGATCCAAAACATCAAGTCGGTGCGTACCGACGAGGGCGAGCGCGCGCGCACGCGCACAGTCAGCGGCGCGGCGAACGCGCGCGAAGATGAATTCTCGACTCTATTTCGCGACGACTGGGTGACTGACGACGACGCGATGTACTTTTTGAATGAATAGGGTCAAGCTGGTTCTTTGAGAATCTCCACCAACCACGACAAGCTCGGCGATGTCACCGTGACGCTCGCGCAAGCCGGCTCCAAGGTCGACGGCGACACGCAAGGCGCCGACCGCGCCTCCGTCAAGGTCAACTTGACCGACGTGCTCAAGGTCAACGACGTCACCGCGTCCGTCGAATACGACGTGCCGAGCCAAAACGCCACCGTCGACTTGGGTTACACGAACGGCGACGTCAACCTCGGCGTCAAGTCTGTTGTCAACGTCAACTCCCAAAAGGCGACGCACAAGGCCACTGTCAACTACTCTGGCATTGAAGGCGTCGGCGTCAAGGCTGAAGTCGACCAAGATGTGAACGGTAAGCTTTCCGTCACCAAGGACAAGTACGAGCTCCGAGTGCCGTTCTCCAAGGACGGTGGCGTGAACCCGGACGACGTCCAACTCCGCATGACGTGGAGCCAAGACCTCTAAGTGCGTTTCGCGAAGGGTCGGTTTTTGTGTACGTATAATTTGACCACGCTGAAGTACGATTCCCCCGAGTCTTGAGTGGGCCGGTGTAAGAGGTACGTGAGGCGGTGTGAGAGTAAAAACGCTCTTTCACTAGAACATAATCTTCATGTCCGTTTGTTATGGGAACTCACGTAAATAATGTTTCTTTTCTCTCTTCGTCGCCCGATCCGCCCCCCTCCACCTTCAAAGTCCCCTCGCACAACTTGCTTAGTTCGCGCTAGTATTACTAAAAGCTATGGGTTCTACTGCTCATTACGCCGCACATCCTTGCTCGACCGTTTGCAAGTCACGGTTGACGTAATCTAATTCTGGAATCATGAACGTGAAGCGCTCGCTGGACCAAGATGCGCCGTCGTCCACGGAGGCGCGAACCTCGGTTTCGTGCTCGGCGTCGACGTCGATGGGCACCTCTACGCGCACGAGTGCTGACGAAACGAAGTGCGCAGAGGTCGAAGCGATCTCACCGGCGTGCTGAAATAAGATACGAATGTCTCCTCCGTCTTGTGGCGATCGAAAGAATCGACCGTAAACATTCACGGGCGTGCCGATGGCGTTCGAGACGTGCCACCAAGCGCCGCCGAAAATTGGCAGAGAGGACAAGGCAAATTTTTCCACTTCGTACGGTGTCTGGGGTCGACCTTCGTACACACCGTGAGCGTTATCGTACGTCAGCAATGGTGCATCTTCGAGTGTCGTGCAATTACTGGTAGCAAACGCCGGTCGATAACCGTAAGGCGGCGGGCGGGCGCTCACCGTGACGGACGACACAATCGGCGGCGCGATGTATTGAAGCGTGATGGGTAACGCAACATCTTCACCACCCCTTATCGCAATCGCGGTAGTGTAAAACGCGAAATCTGAACGTGATACGAGATTCATGGAAGCCTGTCTCAGGGAACAACTGCCCTCGTTCTGTGAGGATGCCAACTCGAACGACCCCGTCACGAAGTTCCGGTCGCCCTTTATGTAGCACTCGTACAACGCCAACTGTGCGCTTGGCACCGACGAGAATGGCCCAACGATGTTCAAACCATTGTTGAGCGTTGAAGTTAGATCATCTAACGGCCTCATCATTGTCAAGGCGGCCGAAACGACTGTTTCACCGTGATGTCCAGGGTCGCCCTGAGACACTGATAGTCGAATTCCGTTTGTGCTGTACGCGCCGAAAGAGGGTGAAACGCATCGCATTCGCGTCGTCGAAGAAGTGTTCGACCAACCCCAATCTGCCAAGACTTGGATAGTCCCAAATCGACACGAAGTACTCAAAAGAGAAGCAGTTCCATTCTTTGCAATGATGGCGACGGAGGTGCCGCCATCGACATTCAAGTACACGGGATCGGTAGATATGAGCTCAGCAGACGTCATGGTAGCATACAAATTTGCCACCGCACTAACGTTGTTGATACCGTCTACTACTTTCATGACCACTGCATTATTATCGAGTGCATCAGAAAACGTCTGAATGGCGAGACGCGCGACCAGGTGCGTCGCCCAACCGCCGCCGTCTGACGTTAAATCCCAATTCACCGAATTTTCTTCCACTTTCGGAGCGAGACACCTCATCAAAGCGCTGCTTACAAACTCTCCAGCTGTGGGATCATCACCACTTCCATTGAGCTCTCCTGGATAGGCGTGTAACGAACACCCGTCCCCAGGAAGGAATCCGGATCCCGAGACGGTGAGCGCCCACCCTCCGTACAGAGGTCCTGCCGCTCCGCCGGATACGACGGCGCCCACGTAAACATCATCTCGTATCATCACGTGAGCGTCACCTGGAGAGAAAGCTTCGTCCATCTTGAGTAAATTGTTACCCACGTAAACTGCTTGGAAACCAGGTGATGCTCCACCGCTCGTGACGGTGTTGCATTGCACTCGACTCGCACTCGACCACGTCGCCGAGTAATACTTGTTGTTGAGCTGACACGTCGTGCTCGAACTCGGGAAGTTGGACCCAATGACCTGAAAATTAGGCGCATTCGTCGCCACTGAAAAGATTTTCAGAGGCCATATTGCTGAAACCACCGGTTGCGCGACGTAAGAAATGTCTCCGGTCTGAGTGAGAAGCTCGAGACGCGAATACGAAGTGAACATCGACGACGCAAACAAAGTCACTGAAAGCGGGACATCTGTGGGCACAGCCCTCGGTGCCGCTGGAGCGACGCACTCAAAGGTCTCAGATGCGTTGTGACGAGCTGAAACGGGGTGCACTGTACCGAAAGCACACGCCACGTCCAGAGACGATACCCGTCCAGAGGTGTGATCTGCAAATTCCCCCGCCGTGTCAGATTTGGTGTATATCGCGGTGATCGAAACCACACTGCCTCCTAAGTCCGAAATCTCCGTGAGCGGCTCGTCGAGTCCGGTGTACAAAGTATAACTTGAAACTACTACTGTGATCCATCCGTTTGATATGAGATGGATCGAATCCACGTGGTCGTAGAAGTATGCCAACGCTACCTCGACGCTATATCGCGCTTCAAGCGAAGCAGTCACAGCAGAACCAGGATACTCACACTTGGCCACACTATCCGACAGCACGGCCGCATCTGTAACGTGAAAGGTAGCCCAAGCAGTCTTCGACGGAAGTCGAGCTCGAAACACGCACTTTGGGGGTTGAGCACCAAAATTCGTATCCATCGGCGTCGAAAATCCATAACCAGCCAGAGTCACAACGGCGCCGAGAGCCCAGTCTATCGTCGAAGGCATCACTGATGTGATTTCTCCAACACTGTACCTGAGCGCCGGTTGATCATACATCGGTGGTGTGTTCACACCGTAAGAAACGTAATTCGAGTCGTAAGGTCGACTCGCTGCGAGATAATAATCAATAGGGGTCTCACTCGTGCAACAACCAAGAGAATAGTCGCAAAACACTGGCGTTACCACAGCGATGCCATTCGTCGAGTCCGGAGGCGCACACTGTACCAAACCGTCGTTTACAACTGTGGCCACTGTAGTCATATTTCCAATAGTCGATGAACCGAAAATACAAACCGCGTTGGTGCCGTCAAATGATGCGACAGAGCTCGATCCCCAACCCAAAGCCGGACGAGTAAAGCGCTCGCCAGTGAGCTGCAAATTTGAAGTGTTGTACAAATTCACGCTTGCAGGCGATACGGAGGTCAACGAAGCGCAGGAAAATATGCGCGCATCAATCCACTCGTGAGATACGAGCGTCCAAGTGGTCGAGCTTCCGCTGTCTCTGTCGACCACGGTGCTACCGCATCCCGCGTCAAAGGGAACGTACGATACGAGCCCAGTCTCCGTGCCCGCGACAAAACGATTCATGTTGGTGTAAATATCTTCCGTCGATCGGGCGATGGACCAAAATCGCACCTCATCGATCGAGAATCCAGCGAGACCAGAACCACCGATGATGCCATGTGGCATGGCGAAACCGACGTTTGTGATTTCGCTGTGAAAGACGCCGTTTACGATGAGGCGCAAATTCGCCCCAGGCGCGCTGTAAGCGGAAGGATGATTGTTCTCGTACATGACGAAGGCCAAGTGCACCCAAGTCCCCAGTGGAGCTGCATAGTTAAATGTACCACCGCTCACACCCGACGGCGGCACGACACCAACCTTCCCGCTTGCGTCGCTCATTTCGAGCATGACTGCACTCAAATCGCTTGGATTCTGAAATAACGTCTGTTCGCTGAGCCAAGCATCGCGACGCACCCAAGCCTCGATCGTCCAAGGAGGTGAGACCGTAAGAGCTGACGAAGCCTTTATCTTAGGCTGAGCGGTTGACGTGGTGCCCGCACAAGAAGAGGACGTGCTCGACGTTGCAGCGACGGGGATACGAATACTTCGCCGGTGCGTCGGCGGGCAACTGTAAAGTGCTGCGCTGTACGCTTGTCGTGAGCTCGCTGTTGTCGTTTGTGCAGCTTGCTCGAATAAACTATGAGAAAGACCACGCACAAGAATGGTGGCAGTGACGGTTGAAACGCTAATCGATCCAGTCGTTGCCGTATGTCCACTCGTTGTGATGTCAATGCCAGTGGCTCCTGTCGCTTCGCTCGTCGTGCCATCCCAACCTTTAAACGCAAAGGAAGCGATGAACTGATCCTGGAGAGTCGTTGCCGTGGGTACAAATCGCACTCGGTCGTTTGTCGTCGCCGTGAGCATTAATGCATTCGTCGTACTCAACGCACCAGCAGTGTTGAAATTTGTCCATGAAGAACCACCATTCGTTGAAAACTGCCACGCGCCTCGCGTCTCGTCGGCGCCCACAACGGCGAAGCCGTAAGGAACAGTGTTGTTCGACGAGAGGTAATCATAATCGATGACGTTAGCATCTAAAATATCACGTACCACGGTTCCAATGTTCGCACCGTCCGACACGTGTATTGGGGTCAACTTGTAGTGCGCTGTGACACTCACTACGGGTGGATCATTCGTCGCTGTGACGGTGATGGTGGAATGCGCAGGTAAATTGACGACTTGAGACAAGTCTGACGTGCTCGTGGAAGGCTTCAAATCAAAACCAAACGTACTCGCGTACTGATCGTTCGTATAAAATCCAGCCGTAGGCGTGAACCTGAAACCATTGAGCGCATCTGATGCCGTGACAAGCGTGTTGTTGGCCAAAGCCACGCTCGTCGCTGATTCAAGCACAAGAGTGCCGCCGACGATTGCGCTCACCTCGTACGCAACGGGTACGAGAGATCCATCTGATGGCTGTGAAGCTAGTTTAATCGCCCCAGACGTCGTCTGTAGCCGCTCTGTGGTCGACGCACTCAGACCAGACGAATCGGGAACGTTCACCAAGCTTGACAACTGCACGACGAAAGTCCTACCAATCGTTGTTGCGACGTTTCCTGCAAGATCTGTAGCTCTAATCTCTAATTTATACGTCGTGTCCGCCAGCGACGCGATGTTTGTTAAAGTCACCGTTACGTTTTTGTCCACAGGAGCGCCACTAAATGTGTGATACGTCGTCCATGCGCGCAACGGCGACGGCGACGTTGCCCCGTTATCCAGCCGAAAGAGCTGCACGTCGAGCGTTGCCAATCCAGATTCGTATCCATTCGTTGGGTCCACGTCTAAAGCGCTAATTACGTACTCCATCGATCCTTTCTGCGTCGTTCCTCCGTTTGCGAGTCCACTCACGAAGGCCAACGAGGGGTTGACGTTATCGGCGACGTACAAAAGCTCAATCTCGTTCACCGAAGACTCGGTGAGCGATTTCCCCGTGAACGACTCTATGGATATCGCCCTGAATGTAAACCTATTCGACCCATAACTCGGTGTCACGCTCACCGATGTCACCCCAATCGATAATCGCGTGAACGTCTTGATGTAATCATTCGTCGTACTGTATTCAAACTGCACGTAATTTGAGCTCGGCCGCGACGACGCCAAATGAAACGTCAACACAGCGTTTGAATTCAAGTACGACGAAGGCGTGGAATATCCCGAATCCCACTCCACCTTCAACGGTTCTTCATTCATCCAGTCATACACCACGGCCGTCCCCGCGACGTTATCTCCACCGAGTCCTCGCACCTTGAACTGGTGTTGCCCGTACGACAACCCAAAGTACCACACCGGCGTCGCGCCGCAATACGCCCACGCGGCGCCGTCCAAACTACACTCCCTCCCACACTTATCGCACCGCGCGCCGTTGACGTCGTTCACATAAAAGTCAAACGACGCGTAATTCTTCGTCGACGGCGGTTCGAGCTTTTCGCACGCCATCGTGTTCGAGTCGTCGTTCGGCGAGCACCGTCCGCCCGGCGCGCTCGCGAAGTCCAGCACCGCCTGCGCGGCGCCGTTCGTCGCCCCGACCAGCGGCGCTCCCGTGCTGACCGTCTGCGCGAGCACAAAGTAGCGCGAAACGTCACCCACGAGCGCGCGCGCGAGCGCGATCGCGCACAGCGCTCGAGCACCGCGCGCGCGTCGTCCGGCCGTTGTCCCAGCGTTGCCGCGCGCGCGGCGCTCTCCACGCGTCATCGTGCGCTCAACGACGCGCGCGTTCGCGCCGTGCGATGCTAATCATACTCACGGACGTTCTCTCTCGCGCGCGCTCGCGAAGGCGCGTCGCGCGCGTCGCAAAGTTCCGCGCGCGTCCCCGCGGCTTGAAAGTTCGAACCCGCATTCGACGCCGCGATGGCGCTCGCGATCAATCTCCGCGCGCGCACGCGCGCGTGCGAGCCTCGACACGCGCGCAAGGACGACGTCGAGCTCTCCGCTCGCGCGCGTCGCGCCGCGGAGGCGCAGAGCGCGACGCGCGCGAACGATGACACCGATGGGGACAAAATCCGCGCGCTCGGCCAGGCGCTGCGTCGACTCGACGTCGCGCTCCTCGGCGCGCCGTGGTGCGAGAAGTGCAAGCAACAAAAACAACTCCTCGCCGAGCTCCTCCCGACGCGATGGCGACAGCACTACGTCGATTGCGGGAACGCGTCGAGGTGCTTGACGTGCGCGCGGTGCGCGACGACGCCGACGTGGCGCGTCGGCGGCAGACGATATCCGGGCGTCTTCGATCTGAACACCCTCACCGAGCTCGTCGGTTTGCAGCAGATCGGCCACCGACAGACGATCGAGGATCGCGTGATCGACGCCGTCGACGCCGGCGATCCCCTGGGCGGGTTGAAACTCGGCGATTTGCCCGTGCGCGGTCGCTCGCGGCGCCATCGTCGGCGCGCCGGTTGGGCCAAGCGCGACGCCGTGCGTCTCGCGCAGCGCGAGCAGGGCAAGTTTTGGTGCGAGTTCGGCGAGCTTTTAACGCCTCGCATCGCTCGTCGCGCGCGCGAGGCCGCGCTCAGGGGCGAGGCGCTCCGTCCGGTCTAGCGTCGCGTCTCTTCGTCCCGTCCCGGCGCCTCGTCCTGTAACGGCGTCGCGACGCGATTACATCGATCGATCGGTCCGCATTCGTCGACGCCCGCGCGCGCGTCCTCGTCGCGCCGAGATGGGGCTGAGCAAAGAGCAACTTCGTCGGCGCTCGCGCGCGCTGCGCCAGGGCGTCAAGCGCGGCCGCGCGTGCGCCGCGTGCGTCGCGCTCGCCACCGTCGTCGCGCTCGCGCTCGGACTCGCGCAGGTATCGCTGGGCGGCGCGTACGACCCGGCGCTGGACGCGCGGTGCGTGCGAACGCTGAAAGAGACGCAGCGATCGTGGTTCGAGCACCGGGCGTGTCACTACAGCGCGAGGGAGGCGCGGGCGGATTTCATCGCGGCGGAGCTGGCGTTGACGGTGCGAGCGAGACACGCGCCGGGACCGTGCGTGGTGATGACGATCGGATTGCCGGAACCAGGGTCCGGACGCGAGGGCGACGATGCGAGAGTGATGCGAAGGCGGGGAAGCGTGGACGCGGGGATGGCGACGAAGATGGGATTTTGGGTGAACGCGATGGCGAACGCGGGAGCGTTTGAGTGCGAGACGAGGACGTACGTGGACGAGCGCGCGGTGGAGACGTTGAGCGCGACGCTGAAGGATCTCGGACACGACAATTCGATAGTGGAGAAGTTATGGAACGATCGACGAGTGAGTCGACAGCTCGATGAGGAGTTTGAGCAAATCGCGAAGACGTCGCCCAAGGCGAAGCTGACGGTTTTGATCAACGACGCGAAGCGCTCTCGCTCGCAATTCGCGCGGTTCAAGAAAGGTTTGGCGAGTGGAAAAGTCAGTACGATTATTTGGCGACGTGAGATTACGAGCAAGGCGCAGCGTAAGGCGTTACTGGGGGAAGTTAAGCTCGTCGCGCAGTACGGGTACTCAGTCTATCTCGCGGGCGCGAGCGCGGATGCCGATGGAAAGGCCACGCCGACGGCGTACTTGAGAGTCGATCACGGTGCGTGGGATGATATTTTCGCCACACCGAATTCTGGGATCGAGCTCACCATCGTTGCCGTCGCGCGAGATAATAAGTTCAAGACGTTGCTCGATCAAACGTTTGGGTTGTGCCCGGTGAAGACGTCGGTGTTGAACTTCAACGAACCGAAAGGTCACAGCTGTCACTGCGACTCCGACCGGTTCACGGACGAAATGGCTGACTCGAAATGTAGCTTACAAAGTCGACTCGGACTCGGAACGTCGACGTACAACTGGTTCTCGAGCCTCTTAAGCGGGCGAACGGACACCGATGCGGCGGGCGTTTCGGAACTCGAAGAGGCTCTCGGCGGCAAGATCGATAGCGACGAACGCAAGTTAGCTCGACGATGATTTCTTTGTTCATTCGTGGAATTATTACACGACGCGGACGCCGTCCGGCGGGTCGCCGCGCGCGCCGGCGCCGGTGCCGCGATTCTCGTTTAATGTACAGTATACTGTAGTGGTAAATGATGTCTTGTGTGTCTTGCACTTTGTCGCTCGGGACGTCTGTCGGGGAAAATGTCTCGACGACGGACGACGCCGAGCTCGGCTCACGCGCACCCTTCGAGCGGCGTCTTCGAGTCGTCGGCGCACCCGAGAATGTGAATGTCGTCGTTCCCGCTGTTGACGATTTGCGTCGACGCAGAGTACGGCCCCCATCCCGGCTCAACCTCGCCCGCCCCGTTGCTGAGGTAGTACGCGCAACTGAAACGGTGCTGCGCGGACGGGTGCTTTTCGTTGATGAAGAGAAAACTCGGGTATCCGTGTTGCTTGGCGTATCGCTTGCAGTCACCCGGACCCTTGGCTTTGCCGAAGCCTTCTGCGTAGGTGTGCGTCGCGTGTGCCCAACCCTCGATTTCGTTTTGAGCGTGTCGCGCGTGGTTGCGACAGCCGTTGGCGACGGAGGCGTGAGGATTGGTGCACGCGGTGCCGTGAATGACGTCCCCGGGCTCGTCCGCGTGCGCCGAGTGGAAAGCGCTGTAGAAGACGCACGAGTTCCTGCGAGCGGCTTCGGGGTGCGCCGGGGAGAGCCAGAGCCACGCTTCGTAACCGTGTTGGGCGGCGAACTGTCGACAGACGTTAGACGACGGCGCGTTGCCCATGCCCATGGCGTACGCCTGCGACGCCGTTCTGTGCCAGCCTCGCACCGTTCCGCATCCGCCCAGCGGCGTCATGCCCGGGACCGAACATCCAGTCACCCGGTGTTCGTCCGTCTCGTCCCCGGCGAACGGGCCGAAGATGTCGTAAAACGCGCACCTGTTTCGCTTCTCCGCCGCCTCGACGTGTTCGTCGTAGTGGACCCACGCGCTGTAATTACGCTCCGCCGCCAACGTCCCGCAACGCCGCGGATCCGTCACCTCGACATCCAACAGCGTCTTCGGCATGTTCGCCGCGGCGCCTCGCGCGACGGACAGCGCCGGCGCGCCGCCGCCGCCGCCGCCGCCGTCCGAGTCGCACCGACACTCGCACGAGCACAGTCCCAGCCCCGCCTTCAATCCGAGCCGCGCGCCCGTCGACCGTCCGACCTCGTGCGCCGCGAGCGCCGCCGCGCACGCCACCGCGATCGCGCCGAGCAGCGCGCGCGGCGACACGCGCACGCCGTCCTCGCGTCGACGCCCGAACGACGAATCGGCATCGATCGTCGCGCCGGGCGTCGCGCCGTACGACATCGTCGCGGGACGACAAATGATTGGTGTTGAACGCTCGACGCGCGACCGCGCGCGCGGGCGTCGTTAAATCAATGAATGGTGGAAATTCAGTTATTATACGGCGCCGACTGAAAGTTATGATGTGATACGCGCGCGGGTCGCTACTTTCGCCCTCGATGCAAATCCGCCAAGTCGAGCAAATCCATCTCGCCGTCGTCTTGCCCAGCCTGCACCACGCCCTTGACTTCGGGCACGTAGTGCATCAGCATATTTTCGATCCCACTCTTCAGCGTCACGCTCGACGAAGGGCACCCGTCGCAAGAGCCTTGCAACTGCACCGTCACGAGCCCGCTCTCGGGATCGAACGCCTTGAACACGATGTCTCCCCCGTCTTCCGCCACCGCCGGTCGAATCCTCGTCTCGAGGAGTTCCTTGATCATCGCCACGATTTCATCGTCGTCCTCCGCGATCGCCGTCCCGCTCGCCGCCAATTTCTCCTCGTCCATCACCGTCTCTCCGCTCGCGTAAAAGTTCGTAATCGCCTCAAACGTCTGCGGTTTCACCGTCTCCCACTCCGCGTCTTCGCCCTTCGTCACCGTCACGAAGTCGATCCCGAAGAAGACATTCGTGACGCCTTCGATCGCGAACAACCGCTTCGCCAGCGGGCTCGCCATCGCTTCCCTCGCGTTTGAAAAATTCTTCGACCCCTCCGCGTACACCTCGCGCCCGGGCTGAAACATCAGGCTCATCGGATTCGGCGTCGTTTGCGTCTGAATGAACATCGTTCGCGCGCCCCGGCGCGTCGTCGTCGTCGGCGCCGTCGTCGTCGGCGCCGTCGTCGTCGTCAGCGCCGTCCACGGCGCCGCGCGCGACGAAATCGTCTCGCGCGTCGACAACGTCATCAAGCCTCGCGGTCGCGTCGTCGCCGTCGCCGTCGCCGTCGCCGTCGTCGTCGTCGTCGTCGCGCGCGCGCGCGCGCGCGCCTCTCGCGCGAGCGCGCCGGCGCGCCGACGCATCGCGCGCAGCATCGCGCGCGTCGTCGTGTGCGCGCGCGCGTCGTCGACCGTCCGTCGACCATCCGTCGCGCCGCCGCCGCACTCGACGACGCGCGCGCGTCGATCGCGACCGACGCCGTCGACGCGACGCGCGCGACGATTTCGTCGCCCGCGGTCGAGCGCGCGGCGCGCGCGCGAGGCGATAGAGCGCGGCGCTCGAGCGCGATGGACGACGCGGCGGCGGCGGCGACGGAGGACGACGACGACGACGTCGAGGACGCCTTCATCGATCCCGCGGCGGACGATTACGAGGAGGTCGCGGACCTGGACGAGGACGACGAGGCGCCGATGTCGAGCGACGACGAGGACGAGGCGGAGGACGAGGCGATGGATGGGGACGGGACGACGACGGAGGACCGGGACGCGGCGGCGTCGACGACGATCGCGCCGCCGAGGGACGACGCGGAATGCGTGGCGGCGACGCACGACGCGCCGGTGTACGCGGTGGCGTGGTCGAACGACGGCGCGGAGGCGACGGTGGTGAGCGGCGGGGGGGACGATAAGGGATATTTGAGACGAGGCGCGGGGGAGGCGCGAGAGCTGGGAGGACACGGGGAGAGCGTGTCGTGCGCGGCGTTCAGCGCCGACGGTGGCTTGCTCGCCACGGGTGGACTCGATGGAAAGGTGTGCATTTATGATGGGAAGACGGGCGCGGTCGAACGCGCGCTCGAGGGACCGGGCGGGGGAATCGAGTGGGTGGCGTGGCATCCGCGAGGACGCGTGACGCTCGCGGGGAGCGAAGACTTCACGGCGTGGATGTGGAACGGCGACGACGGTGCGCTCATGCAAGTGTTCAGTGGACACAGTGAGCGCGTGTCGTGCGGTGGATTTACGCCCGACGGTAAGCAAGTCGTCACCGGGTCTTACGACGGATCGTTGCGAGTGTGGCAACCGAGAACGGGAGCGTGCGAACACGCGTTCCGCGGGCATCCGTTCCACGACGGTCCGCTCACGTGCGTCGCGTTTCATCCATCGACGCTGGGATTAACCATCACCGGGAGCGAAGACAACACCGCTCGATTGGTGAGCACGACGACTGGGAAAGTTCTGGCGCCGCTCGTGGCGCACACGGAAACCATCGAAGCCGTCGGATTCAGCGACATCATGCCGGTGTGCGCCACCGGCTCGCTGGATAAGCAAATTATCATTTGGGACACGAATTCGTGTCAAGCCAGAGGTACGCTCTCGCACGGTGGTGCGGTGAGCCAGCTTCGATGGATTCCGAACACCATGTGTTTGTATAGGTACGTCTTCGAGCGTCGCTTCGGTCGTTTGACTTCGCAACATAAGGGCCTCGCGCGTTTGCACGTAACGCGCGGTGGTGGACATAGCTTGCATATATCACTCGCCTCGCATCGACGCGACACCGAGCTTTGAGACCTCAACTCCATCGTTCAAGCCGTCGATTTGGCGACATTTCGTCTACTCGCTTCGCCGCGCTCCTTCGACTTACGTTCAGTATCTATTTTCCACTCCCACAGCACATCCGTCGACGGCATCGTGCGACTCTGGGATGCCCGCACGTCTACGTGTCAACGAGAGGCGCACGGTCACACGAAAGGGATCTTAGACTTCGCCATGAGTCCCGACTACGCTCGAGTCATCACCGCGAGCGACGACTGCACGGCGCGCATATTCAACTTCTCCAATCCCACGTAAACGCTCGCGCGCGATCGCGAGCGTTCGTCGATTTCGACAATTTCAATATAACAAAACTTCGTACGAACGCGCATCGTCATCGGGCGTCGCGCGTCGCGTCCACGTCGCTCACGCGGCGTTCGAGCGTCACAGTCGCCCTCGCCGAGAACAGACAATCATGACCACCGCACCGCGCACCGCATGAGCGACGAATGATTCGAAAAGAACGCTCCGACGATCGCGTCGACGCCGAACGCCGCGCGCGCGCGTCCACGGTGCAGTCCAGGCTCGCGCGTCGCGAATTCACCTCCGCGTCTGGTGCCAAGCCCGAACAAATCTTCCGGTCGATCCCACCGCGGCTGACGATCCCGATCGAGCGCGTCATCGACGACGCTCGCAAGATGCTCTCGTGCGTCCTGCTCGGCTTCACCGCGGACGGCGATCATCTGGTGAGTTACAGCGCGGAGGGAGGAGAGAATTTCAGCTTCGAGCTGCAAATTTGGAAATTTCAACCGGGGGCGCGCGCGCGCTTGCTCGCGACGACGCCGCTGTTCGAGAGCGATATGGGCGATTTCGGACGCGGAATGCGCGGGTTGTCCGAAGATTTCGGTGGGGCTTTCGCGGATGCGCCGACGGAGGCGAACGTGCGGGTACACGTGTGCGAGAGTTGGGACCGTTCGACGCTGGTGGTGCACGGGGAGGCGCGCAGGCACGGAGGAGAGGATGGAGATGGACGAGGACGAATCGCGAAGAAGTGCTGCGTGACGGTACTGCCGTCGCCGGCGAGCGTGAAGCCGGGGACGGCGATCGCGGCGACGCACATGAGTTACGTGAGCGCCGCGCTGTCGCCGTTTCATCCGAGTTGGAGCGGCGTGACGCCGGCGGCGACGCCGCAAGATGATGCGCTCGAGCTTGGAGACGAAGGAGAAGATACGTGCATCGGTGATCCATACGCGTTTAACGCGAATGAGATGAGTCCGAGGCGTAAGTTGAGAAAATCGGACGCTGTGATGAGAGATTTAGTTGACGGTGGCAAGTTCGCGCTCAACACCGCAGACGCACTCCTGACGGTGGACATCGCGACGGCGACGTTGAATCCGCGAGACGCTCACGATCGATCTCTCATGGAGGTTCAATTGCAAGGCAGTATTGGATCACTCGTTTCCGTGATTCCAGCGTGTCATTCGCCGTTGGTGAAATGGCATGGAAGTGACGCGAGCGATTTGAGCGTTGGCAATGAAGACGTGTACGTGGAAGATCAAGGCGTGCTTGGTGATACTGCACCGTACGTTTACGTCTCAGCACTTCCCAGATCAGTGCGTGTGTGCATCATCACGCCTTGGATCGCGCTCGAAATGAGTAAAGTCTTGAACTCTTCCTTGCGAGCGGCTTTAGACTTTGGATTTACTTTGCGCGATTATGAACTGTTTCCTCTCCAGTACATTGTCAGCCCAAAGAGTGGTGAAGAGCCCAGCATGCTCGTTGCGAGTTTGAGTGTTCTCGCGCCGAGTTCATGGAGTCATCAGCCTACTTGTCCCGGCCGTATGCGCGTCGTGGTGACCATCATAGATCGCCAACTCGATCGCACGCTGAGCAGTGGTGGCCACGTGGTGTACAGTCATGAGCTCCCGGTGCACACCGAAGGGAAGCAACCGACGGAGACGCTCCTGCACGCCGCTCGTGTGCATGTGATGCAAATGCGCAAGACTTGTTTGATTCCCACCGCCAGATGGACGCGAAATGCGTCGACAATGACGAATACAAACGTCGTCATGACTGGGCGGTCCGCCTCCACGATAAAACACCCAACGCTGCCCATTTGCATCGTTGGCTATGGCATTCGCTCAACGCAAGATTGATGAAAACGCAGGATTGATGAAATGTATGATACGATTTGACTATGTAGTTCTACGCTGTAATACAACAAGACGCCCGCTACTTTGTACCTGCAGAGATGGCGGTGAACGCGCTCCACAGCGAAATATCTCCCCCGTCGCCGGCGTACGCCAGAACCAATTCCTTCGGGTGAAACGCTATGGTATTCATCGCCTCTTTCGTTTTGATTTGTGCCACGCAATCGCCAGTCATCACCTCTGCGACATCTATTTTTAAATCTTCCGAAGCGGCGGCTATATATCGGCTATCGTGGCTGTAGGAAACTGAGCGAATCGGGTAGTCCAAGCGCACGATAGTGTCGTAGCAGATGTTTGTTTCAGACTCCCATAAGCTCACGATCGCATCTGCAGCACCCATGGCGTGATACTTTCCGGTAGGGTCGATCGCCATGCAGTAACACCCGCCATTATGTGCAAAATGCGATGAAAGCGGCGTCAACGATCCCGTCGTCTCGTCAAACGTAAACTTTTCCATTTTCCCTTCTCCAGTCGCCATCATGAACGATTTCCCGGTCTTATCCCACATCATCTCATTCGCCTCGTACTTGAACTTTTGCTCCCAAATCACCTTCATCGTCGTCACGTCGACGATCGAGATCACGTCCGACTTGCTCCCGACGGCGACGTGCCGCCCGCTCGGCGACCACGCCGCGTTCATCAATCCTTCCTTCATCTCGATCGTCCCCGCGCATTTCCCGCTCTTCGCGTCCCAAATCTTTGCCGTTTTATCCGAACTCACAGTCAGCGCGCGATCACCTCCTTGACGCGACGGATCGAACCGCAATTGCTCCACCGCGCCCGCGTGTCCTCGAAGCGTCTGCGCCCCTCGTCCCGTGCCCGCCCCGTGTTCGACATCGTGCACGCGCACGTCGTGCTCCACTCCCCCGGACGCGAGCTTATCGCCTCCCACCGACCACTGCACGGTCTTCACGGCTTTCTTACCCCCCACGAGCGTCGTCGTTCGCTGACACGACGCGAAACCGTTCGAGTCAGTCGCGGATTCGAGGTTGCGCAATCGTCGTCGAAATCGTCGTAAACAGTCGCGCGTACCGCGTTAGAGTCGTCGTAAGTGAGCTTTGGAGGTTCGAACTCCCCGGGATTGGGCATGTACATCCCCTCGAGCGCGTACGCGGTGGAATCGACGACGCCGAAGGGGCGCTCGGGGAACGGCGACGGCATCGCGGCGGCGCTTCGAGAAGTGACGTCGGAGACGAACGACGAGACGACGTCGACGAGACGACTGCGCGTGGTCTAATTACAACATATGCGCGAATGGTGGTGAGACGGTGCGTTATTCTAACTGGGACGCGACGCGCGCGCGCATCGACGATTCGTCGACTCGGCGCGGCGGCGTCCGAAACGTCCCGAGCTCACTTCTTCAACTGCTTCTCCACCTCGCGCGCCGCCTTGGCGCACATCGCGGCGTCGGCGCTCGCCATCAACTTCGTCGTCTCGATCCTATCGTACCCCGCGCTCGATCGCAGCAGGCACGTGAACGTCCTCGAGTCGTGGTTTTTCGGAAACGTGTACACGCACACGCCGTCAAACGCCCCCGTCTGCGTCACGTAAAACGTCTTCAAGCTCCCGCCGAGCATCCCGATCAGACGCGCGACCAACCGTTCGGCGTCCTCCGCGCCCTCCATCGTGCTCTTGGCGTTCGCGCGGTTCAGGGTGAACTGCGTCATGAACGTCGGTTCGGTCGGTTCGAATTTCACCTACGTTTTCGCGCGCGCGCGTCGCGTCAGTCCCGCGTTCGTCCCTTCGCGCGCCGTCCATCGACGCGCGCGCATCGTCGTCGTCCTCCCATCGCGCCGTCGCGCGCGCCGTCGTCGCGCTCGTCGCGCGCGCGCACCTTTTTCGTCGGCGCGTACGCCAACTCCTCGCTCTCCGCGCCGACGAACGTCCCGACCGCGCGTCGCGCGTCGATCGCCCGTCCCGTCGGTCGCCGCGCGTCGACGCCCGCGACCGCTCGCGACGCTCGCGCGATCGCTCGAAGCATCGTCGTCGCTCGGCGCGCGCGCGCGCGCGTGTGCGGGGCGACGCTCTAGGTCAGTCGGTCGACCGTCGCCGTCGCCGCCGCACTCGCGCGCGCGGACGACGACTCGCGACGATGCCGTTCTGCACGCTGAACGCCGCGTTTGCGGTGGCGAGCGCGACGTTCGTGGGCGGCGCCGTCGTCGCCGCGCGCTCGGGCGCGGACGCGGAGAGCGCGCTGGGACGATGGCGACGCGCGCGCGACGAAAAGATCGCGGCGGAGGAGGTGCGTGGACGCGCGAGCCGACCGCGCGCGCTTCGAAAGGCGCGCGGCGGAGGCGCGGGGGGAGACGCGCGCGGGCGCGGGCGCGAATCGAGACGGGAGACGCGCGAGGGGGCGGGCGAGAGACGGGGGACTGGATAACGCGAAGCGAGACTGACCGACGACGCGAACGCGCGCGGGACGACAGGCGGTGAAGAAGGGAGCGAAGAAGGGCAAGGGTAATAAGAAGAAATAATACGGGCTCGGTGTGCTTTCGCGATTGATGGTTGATTGTTTGAACGCCGCGCGATTCGGCGCGACGGCGACGGTTCGGCGAGTCGTCGACGCGCGAGGCGACGCTCGCGAGAGCGCTTGATGTAAAAGAACCGACGGATTAGTTACAGAGTATCGCGTTTTACTCGTCGCGCTCATCTTCACGTACCGCGCGCGTTCTTTGTTCACCCACGACTCGACAAAGTAGCTTACATGGTGAGGTCCATGATAGCCGAAACGATGTCGCCCGGGTTAGCCTTCAAAGCGGTGACAGCCTTGGCGCGGGACACGTTCGCTTGCGTCATCACGAGCTCGATATCCTTCGCCTCAACCCCAGTCTCATCAACATCACCTTCCTCGACTTCTTCCAAAGTCGGCATCGCCGCGCCCGCGGCCGGAGCCTCGGCCTTGAAGGCGTTCTTGAGCTGCGCCGCCTGCGCGGCCAAATCCTCCGTCTTGGCCTCACCGAAGATGACGTACGAGTCCGAACCCGGCGAGTGGAAAACATCCGGCGAGTTGATCACGAACATCGCCTGCTTGCCCTTCCTGAACGTCACGCGTTGCACGTCGTCGAGCTGTTCCAAGCCCAACTTTTGCATCGTCTTGCGCGCCTTCTTTTCGGCTTTGCTAACATCGTGCCCATCCGCTGTTTTCGCGTAAACATCGCGCTCGCACATCGTCAGTGTCTCATTCTTTCATCTCACGCCCGCTCTCACCGCCAACCGTCCGTCGACGCGCGCGCGATTCATTCTTCTCGCCAAACATCGGATCACCAAGGCATCGGGTTTGTCCCGCGCGCGAGCGCATCGAATCGACGTACCGTGGTCATCTTCCTCCTCATCGGACTCAACATCCTGCGTCGGCGCGTGCGAACGATTTCACGTCGTTAATTTCCACGCTTAAACGCGTCGCGCGCGCGTCGCATCGCGTCGCATTTCGCGCTCGACCGCTCGCATCGCGGTCGATACGAAACCCTATTCTCGTCTTCGCGCGCGTCGCGTCGCGCGTCTTCGCGCGCGTTTCGTCGCGCTCGACGCACCTCGATTTGGGGAGCCTTTTCTTCTTCGGCGCTCATCGTTCCTTTGCTCGCTTCGGGGCGTCGCGACGAGGCGAGCGCGGAAAAGACGGCGTCGTGGGCGCGCGCGACGGTGTCGAGCGTTCAAAGTCCGTGTTGATGGCTATACTTGGAGTGAGATATTTACGAGCGCTAAGACGGGAGAACGCCGTCGAGGCACGCCGCGAGGACGTGGGATGGGGTGTAAATCGGGATTTTGGGGGTTTTGAGGTAGGTCACGCGGTCGGGGGTCTTTGACGACGAAGAGCCCGCGTCGAGGCGAAGGACGAAGTCGCCGTCGGCGGTTGCGCGTTTCGCCCCGCCGAGCGAGAGTAAGTCCAAGACCACGCCTTCGACGCCGGCGCGGGTGTTTACGCCAGTGCTAGGGGATGCCGTCGAGCCATACATGCTCCACGTCTTGCCACGAAACGGATGGTCGCGCTCGATCATTGGATTGTAGGCGTGCGCGCGTTCAAACGCTTTGTCGCGGAGGAGAAATTTCTGCGTCGGGAGAAACTTCCCGCTCGTCGTGGACTTTTCCAGCCAATCAGCCTTGACGATCGGGCAATTCTGTAAAGCTGACGCCATCACGTTCTTCGTTCGCTTCAAAGGCGCTTCGGTGACGAAGACGGTGAAGTCGCGCAACGACGTCGCGATGTCGCCGCCGAGCGACTCAATCTTCTTGCTCAAAGCCTTCACCTGACGCGGGCTGAACCCCGAGCTCAACAGCACGCGGTGCGTCGCACTCGAATCATTCGTCGTCTTTTGCGACTTTTTCGCCTTGGTGACCGCGGTCTTCGTCGTCGGCGCGCGCTTCTTCTTTTCGCCGCTCGTCTTCTTTGACGCCGGCGCTCTCTCCTCCGCCGACGCGCTGATTCGCATGGACGAACGCTCGCACACCACTGCCGTCGCCACGCCTTCTACTTTTTTCTCACCCTCACTGAGCTTCTTTCGCGACGTCGCGGCGATGACGTCGGTTCCCTCGCTCGCCTTCGCTCTCTCCGTCTTGAGCGCCGCGTCGCGCTTCGGTCTCCCTCTCGCGTTCAACAGCGCCTTCGCCCTCTCCTCCGCCTCCCTCGCGACGCGTTCCTTCTCTTCTATCACCGCTAGCGCGCCATCGCCCGACACTTTCGCCGCCGCGGACGGATCGTACGCGCTCCACGCTCTCGCCGCGCTCGTCCCGCCGAGCGCGTCCTCCTCCTCCTCCTCCTCCTCGCTGTCGCTGTCGCTCAGCGCTCGCACCGCGCCGACGCGCGCGTCCGCGTCTTTCGCGTCGTCGTCGTCGTCGTCGCGTTCCCTCGCGCGCGTCCCGTCGTCGTCGTCGTCGTCGTCGTCGTCGTCGTCGTCGCGACCTCGACCGTTGAGCGACGACGACGGCGTTCCCGCGCCGTACGACGCGCGCGCGTACCGCGCGCCGCGCCCGTCGCAGAACTCGAGCGCGTCGTCGCCTTCGAACGCGTCGTCGTCCATCGCGCCGCGCGCGATCGCCGCGCGGCGCGATGCGGGCGTCGACGCGACGCGACGTCGAGTCGATGTCAAATCTTTGACGAATTTCGAGGCGCCGAACGGACGTTTCGCGGGCGTTACGCGCGCCGCACACGACGACGCGCGACGCCGCGCGCGACGTGAAACGAGAAAAAAAAATTAAAACGCGCAGGGCGCGCGACGACGGACGCCGAGGACGCGCGACGCGATGGCGGTGATCGATTTCGCGCGCTCTGGAAAAGGTTGGCACCTGGTGAGGGACGTCACGGCGCGGGACGTCGCGGAGACGGCGCTGGCGCGGGGATTCGTCCGGCCCGGGATCGACGACGCGAAGCCGCTCACGCGAAGGGCGGATATGGATGGATTCTTTCGAATGTTCTCGGTGAACTCGCTGTCGAACTTTAAGCGGGTGTTCGCGTTTAATGAATTGAAAGCGCCGAGCGTCGGCGGCGAGGTGTTCGTCGAGGAGCGACGACGAGAGACGGAGGAGGAGGTCACGTGGGAGTGTCCAGCGGTGGAAGAGTACGAAACGCTGGCGAAAAATTGGGATAAGGAACACGTGCATAAGTGGCGCATGCTGCCGAAGCCGGGAGGGGCGGTGTGTCGTCCGGATGATTGGTACGCGCTGTACGCGGCGAAGCAGCAGGCGGAGAAGGGCGACTGCGTCGGCGAAAAGCCCATGTGGGCGTCGCACGGTGGCATCGCCTACGACGATCGCGAGCGATGGGATTTTTGGAACAAGCTCAAAGGGTTGTCTCGCGAGGACGCGAAGAAGAAGTTTTGCGAGGCGTACGGACGCGCCATGCTGGCGGAGAGAGAGAGTCTCAATTTCAGAAAGTATTAAACGCGACGACGACGACGACGACGACGACGGCGTCGTCGCGCATCGCTTCGCGCGCGTCCGCAAAAGTCTAAGAGGCACGCGTTGAAAAATACGAATTTTACGTTTCATCAGAGCGTCCATCGCATCGAACTTCCCGCTCTCGCGCGTTTTCGCTCGTCGCGGTCGCGCCTCGGCCTTCACAACGCACCTCTCCAGCCGGCGAACGACATGTTCGCGGCGGCGACGACGACGCGTCTCGCGCCGCGCGCGCCGCGCGCCGCGCGAAACCAACGCTCGGATAACGTTTGCGGTAGAACCGTCGCCCGTCGCGTCGTCGCGGTCGCGTCGGCGACGCCATCGACCGATGAAGATGCCGACGCGCACCGTCATCGTCATCATCACAAGCGTCGGTCGATGCTCGCGTCTACGTGCGCGCTCGCGCTCGGCGCGCTCGTCGGAACGGCGCCGAAGGGCGCGCTCGCGGCGCCCGCCGCGGGACCGACGGCGGAATCGCTTCGCGCGCGCGATATCTACTTTGGGAACGGGTGCTTTTGGGGACGACAACACACGTTTTACGAAGCCGAGCTCTCGCTGGGGCGAACGGACGACACGATCACCTCCGTCGTGGGATACGGCGGTGGTGCGAGCGTCAGAGAGGGTGATAAACCGGTGTGCTACTATTACGGCGCGGCGGACACGGTGTACGAACGATTGGGTCACGCCGAAGTCGTCGCCGTGGACGCGGCGAACGCGAGCGAGTTAAAGCCGCTCGCGGACGCGTATTTCGCGAGCTTCCAAAAGATTCCCGGACTCGGAATGCAGCGCGTGGACCCTCAAGACGCAGGTCCAGGGTATAGAAACTGCATCGCGCTTCCGGGTGGGATCGATTCGCCGTTGTTCAAGGTGATCGAGGAGGCAAACGTGCACGGCATGAAGCTCGTTCCGGGTTCGGGCAACGTCATGGCGCCCAAGGCCAAGCCCACGGAAACGGACGTCATCAACAGCGTGTGGATTTACGACAGCGCCAAGCTACCGTTTTACCCCGCCGAAGTTTACCACCAATTCCACGACGGTCTCGGCTACAAATTCCCCGTCGCGTACACGCGCGGCGTCAAGGCCAACGCGTTGGAGCGCGGTTTAATCGCCCCCACGGGATGTCCCGAGATGCGCGAGCGCTCGTTCGCTGATTTCACTTCCACCACCGCTTAATTAATCCATCGCGCTCGTTCCCTCCCCCGCTGTAATCATGACGCAAGCATTCGTTTCGCTCGCTCGCGCCTTCGCCCCGCACACTAGGGCGCGCCGCGACAATTCTCAAATGGATCGCGAGCTCACCCCCGCCGAGCTCAAGGCATCGATCGCCGCCATGCCCGCGCGCGAAGAACCCGATTTCCTTCGTCCTCGCTACATCAACGCCTCGCACGAGCCACCGACGCCGACGATGTCGCTCGAAGGATTCAAGACGGCGCTCTTGAAACGCCGACTTCGAGAGATCGACGCGGCCGATCGCGCGCGCGTCGTCAGTAAAACGACGATCGCGAAAGAGATAAAAGCCATTAAGCACGAACTGCGAGGGACGAAAGCGCGGGCGGCGGCGTCGAGATTAGCGTCGAGACATCGAGAGATCGCGGAGGAGACGCGCGAGGCGCGCGCCGAGGCGGAACGAGCCAAACGCCGCGCGCTGCAGTTGAAGGAGGAGCTCGAGGAAGAGGCGAAGGACATCGAAAAAGCGATCAAGATGGAGCGGGAGGAGCGCGCGGTGGCGCTGAAGGAGAACGAGAAAAAGCGAAAGGAGCGACGCGCGGTCGTCGAGGCGGAGCTCGAGCGACACGCCGCCAAGCGGCACAAGCTCGTCGCCTCGCTCAAGGAAATCATTGCGCAGCAGAGCGTGGCGAAGAAAACGTTAGAGGGCGCGTTGGCGAGCGCGCGATGATTGTACTTTTATTGTAAAACACTCCAGTAGCACATCGCCGATGACTCATCGAATTCGCGTTCGGCTCGGCTGCGCTCGAGCCGCCCGACCGACGTCACTCGTCGGCGCGCAGAGCGCGAATATGCTCGGCGCGCAGGCCTCGCGCGCGCGCGCGCGCGCGCACGTCGCGACCAAACACCGCGCTCGTCCTCGTGCGCGCGCGTCGACGCGCGTCGCGGCGTCAGCGACGTCGTCAGCGCGCGCGAATGCGATATCCAAAGTCGTCGTCATCGGTGCCGGCTGGGGCGGCATCGGCGCCGCGAAATCGCTGTGCGAAGCCGGGGCGGACGTGACGCTCGTCGACGTGCAAGACGACCCCACGGGCGCGACGCCGACGCTGACGAAGAGCGGGAAACCGTTCGAGGCGGGAACACGCGGTGCGTGTAGAATGACGACGAAAAGAACGACGACGCGCGTCGCTCGCGTGCGCGAGAGAGCGCGACGACTGACGATGAAACGAAACTTTGTGCGATGATTCAGGGTTTTGGAAAGATTATCCTAATATCTCCGATCTGTGTCGAGAGATGAACATCGACGAAAAGGATGCGTTCACAGAATTCACGCCGAGTTCGTTTTGGTCGCCGGACGGGTTGGAGGCGACGGCGCCGGTGTTTGGGGATTCGATGGCGCTCCCGAGCCCTCTCGGACAGGTGTTTGCGACTTTCGATAACTTTAAACGACTGCCTCTGAGCGATAGGGTGACGATGGTCGGCTTGCTGTACGCGATGTTGGATTTGAATCGCGATGAGAAGACGTTTGAGGCGTACGATAGGCTCACTGCGCACGAGCTGTTCATTCGCATGGGATTGAGTAAGCGACTGGTGGACGATTTCATTCGCCCGACGTTGCTCGTCGGGTTGTTCAAGCCACCAGAGGAGCTTTCGGCGGCTGTCGTGATGGAATTGTTGTATTACTACGCGTTGGCGCACCAAGACTCGTTCGACGTGCGCTGGATCAAGACGAAGAGTATAGCCGAAGTCATCGTCGGGCCCACGATGGCTCGCCTGCAGAGCGAATACGGATTGAAAGTCATGGGCTCGACGTTTGTCAGCAAAGTTGAAGTGGACGAGGCGACAAAAAAGGCGACGGCGGTGCACTACCTGAAAAAGGACGGCGGGAAAGCAGGCGTGATCAAAGACGTTGATGCGGTGGTCTTCGCGCTCGGCGCAAAGGGCATGAAGAGCGTGGTGTCCAACTCTCCCGTCTTGGCTCGCATGGCGCCAGAGTTTAGCGCCGCAGCGTCGCTCGGCGGCATTGACGTCGTGGCGACGCGAATCTGGTTGGATCAGTACGTGGACGTGCAGCATCCAGCGAATGTATTCAGTAGATTTGAAGCCCTTCGTGGCGCCGGGGGTACTTTCTTCATGTTGGACCAGTTGCAAAAAGACTCGGAAGTTGAATTGTGGGGTGGCGAAGAGCCAAAAGGAAGCGTCATCGCCGCCGATTTCTACAACGGCGGCGCCATCGCGTGCTTGAGCGATGATGATATCGTAAAACTATTAACGGACGAGCTCCTTCCGGCCGCCGTACCGGGATTCAAGGGCGTCAAAGCTGTCGACTTTGAAGTGCGAAGGTACCCGGGAGCGGTTTCCTGGTTCTCTCCAGGCTCGTATTCGAAAAGACCGCCGCTCGAAACGTCCATTTCAAACATCGTATGCGCGGGAGATTGGGTGCGCATGGGCGACAGAGAGCACGGCGCTAAGGGCTTGTGCCAAGAGCGCGCCTACGTCAGCGGTTTAGAGGCTGGAAATTCTCTTTTACGCAGATGCGTCGTCTCCGGCGCGGGCGTTTCCGGCGGCGCCAGCCATCCCGTCATTCCGATTCGCCCCGACGAAGCCCAAGTCGTGCTCGGCCGCGCGCTGAACAAGCAAATTATGGACACCCTGAGCCCGTTCGGCCTGGCGTCGCCGTGGATTCGTTAAATCTCCGTGTAACAAAATCATTTAATCGCGCGCGCCGCGTCGTGCCCTCTGCCTTCACAGCGCGTCTCTCGCGCGCGATGCTCGCGACCGCGACGGGCGTCTCGCGCGGCCACGCGCGCGTCGCCCGTCGCTCGCCGATCGCTCGCGCGCAGTCGCGCTCGCTCGTCGCGCGCGCGCGCGCGAGCGACGAGGGAGAAGCGTCTTTCTCCCTCGTCCCGCGCGATGCGACCGATGGGTTGTCGCGCTACCGCGCCGTCCTCGCGCCGCTCTTCCTCGCCGGCGGTCTTCTGCACCTCCCCGACTGCTTCGGCGCGGGACCGATATCCTCGGCCTGCGGCGTCGCGTCGTTCGACGCCCTCGACGCGCCCGTGCGCGCGCTGACGTTGCTCTGGGCGCTCGGCGGCCCGGCGGCGGCGTTCGGCTTGGCGACGGCGTCCTTCGTAGGCGACGTCGGCGTCGTCGTGATCGCGAGCACGGAAATCGTCCTCGGAATAGACTTTCCGAACGTCATCGCGCCCGCGGAGATACCGGCGCCGATCGTCGCGGCGCAGGTGGTGAATTTGAGTTCGCTCGTCGCGTTGCGCGGGTGGGAGACCGTGGAGAAGCGGAACGGTTGAAGGCGACGCGCGGTGGCGATTGTAGGCTTCGTCATTTTATTGTAAAGTAGTAATAACGATTCATCGCTCGTGGATCAACTCGTCGTATCAAGGCAGGTTTACGTAACGCAGACGCGCGTCGCCCTTAGAGGACGCCGGACTTGGCGATGGTGACCTTCTTGGAGCACGCGCCGGATTGCGAGCCGACGGCTTCGATCGCCTTGACGACGTCCATGCCTTTGCTCACGGCGCCGAAGACGGTGTGCTTACCGTCCAACCAAGCGGTATCAGCCGTGCACAAGAAGAACTGCGAGCCGTTCGTGTTCGGGCCGGCGTTCGCCATGGACAAGATGCCCGGTCCGGTGTGCTTCAAGACAAAGTTTTCGTCTTCAAACTTGTTGCCGTAGATGGACTTGCCGCCCGTGCCGTTGTGGTTCGTGAAGTCGCCGCCTTGGCACATGAACCCCGGGATCACGCGGTGGAAGCTCGAGCCCTCGTAGCCGAAGCCCTTTTCACCCGTGCACAGCGCTCGGAAGTTTTCTATCGCGCGAGAAACCCATCGTCAGTCTCCGTTCGTTCGTTCGTCGCCGTCCCGTCGCCGCCGAGTCAACCGATCGGATTACGCGCCGCGCTCATCCCGATCGATCATCACCCGCGCGCGCGCATCATTCGCGCCGCCGCTCGCGCGCACGCACCCGCGGTCTTCGGCACGACGTCCGCGCGAACCTACGACGACGAAGGCGCGCGATTCGTCAGTCATCGTCGTTCCGGAAGCAATCTAATAATCTCCGCGCGGCGGCGATCGGCGGCGATGCGATCGAACGTCGCGCGCGTCGGGCGCGCGTCGCGTTCGCGCGCGCGCGAGCGAAGACGCACGGTCATCTCGATGCGACCCGCGGGCTGGCCGCCGATCTCGATGTCGAAGTAGCACACGGGGTTGGACATGACGGATGACGAATGGATCGGATCGCGGGGGAATGACGCGACTTTTCGCTTTTCGGCGAGACGCCGAGCGGGACGCGAGCCGAGCGGGGATCGAGGACGCGAGGACGCGAGCGCGATGGCTAGGATGTCGAGAATCTCGAAAATTAAATAGATGCGATGCGCGCCGCGCCGTCGCGCGACGAGGGGCGACGAGGCGAGGGCGAAACGCGTCGAGGCGAACAGAACGGCGGCGACGGCGACCGTCGCGTCGACGCTCAGCCCGCGGAGATTTTGATTTCCGGCTTGAGAATGATCTTGAGTTGATCGTAGACGACGAAGGCGATGGCGATCGAGGGCATGATTTTGATGTAGTTGGCGCTGAGACCGTGGAACAGGGCGGAGACGCCCTCCTCGGCGACGGTACGACGGAAACAGTCGAACATGCCCGTGTACACGGGACCGCCGGCTTGGACGCCGGCTTGGACCCAGCCGGAGACTTGTAAACGACGTCGACAGACGTCGAAAGGATAGGCCACGGTTTGACCGACCGCACCCGCGACACCCCCACAGACTAATCCCGCGAAAACGCTCAAATCAGACGCTGATCGCAACCCTTGCATCTTCACCGTCTGGTCCTTGAGCGTCTCGTAAATGGCAAAGTTTAAGCCCACGTACGGGATTACGCCGATGACGGATGGCGTCCATCCCTTGTAGAACGCCCCGAAACCCTCCTTTTGCGCGATAACCGTAAACGCGTGATAAATACCTCGATAATTTGCCCCCCCACTCTTCGCGGCGTCCGCCGCAGACTTTTGCACCGTCAATCGCCCTCGAATCATATCCAGAGGGTACGTCGCCGACATGGCGACGATGCCCGCCCCGGCGCCCCCCCCCAAGCGCGTCAACACATCCATCTCCGCGTCTTTATCGAACGTTCGCCTCAAATCCAACAACCCGTGGGCCATGTGTTCGTAACAAAAGAACTTCACCGCGCTATTCGGCACGATTCTCACGCAGTTCGCGCCGTTTCCTTTGAACAAACCTTTCACGCCCTCCGTCTTCCACATGTGCGACAGCCCCGAATACACCCCATTATACGCCGAACTCGACGAAACCTACGATTCATCGCGCGCGCGCGCGCACCGTCAGTCCCTCGTCGCGCTCGCGCGTCGCGTCGCGTCGAAAATCCCTCGTCGTCGTCGTCGTCTCGCGTCTCGCGTCTCTCGCGCACCTGTTGCAAAATCTTCAACCGCTCCAACGGCGCCACCGCCGTTCGAGACCTGCGTTCGCGATCGCGCGCGCGTCAGTCGCGCCGTTCACCGTCCTCGCGGACGCCGCGCGCGCGCTCGCGCGCGTCGCGCGCGGCGTCTTCGAGCAAGATGCGTCCCGTCGAGCCGCCGTCGAGCCGCCTCGCGATCGCTCGCACGCACACTCCCCCCGCGACGCCGCCCGCGATCAGGCTCCGCGCGATCGCGGCGAACGTCAAACTCGGCGCGTCGCTCGACCTCGCGCTCGCGCTCGCGCGCGTCGCCGCCGTCGTCGTCGTCGCCGTCGGCGTCGTCATGACGCGCGCGCGTGTGCGGCCGGCGCCAGACGTTCGCGCCCTCGCTCGCGCGACCGCGCGCCGACGCGCCGTCGAGCGACGCGCGAGATGTCGCTCGACGTCTTCGCGCCGTCGAGCGCGTCGCGCGCGTCGCGCGCGGGCGTCGCGCGCGCGATGACGACGAGCGGGACGTCGACGTCGAGGTCGACGCGGCGACGACGCGGCGACGTCGCGGCGCGCGCGAGCAAGGGCAAGCGACGCGAGGGCGACGATCGAGGCGCGAGGGACGCGTCGTCGACGCCGCCGCCGAGGATCACGAAGCGGACGAACGGGATGAGCGTCGCGACGCAAATCAAGCTCGTGGAGCGGTTCAAGTCGCTGAGCGGCGGCGACGGATCGAACGCGAACGCGAGGGCAAACGCGGGGCGAGGGACGAGCGGGACGAGCGCGAAACCGATCGAGGGAGGGAGACGAAAAGGCGCGGATGGAACGCGGGATCGAACGTACGAGGCGGAGCTGGCGCGACGAAGGGCGGAGAAGAAACGCGAGGCGCGACTGCGAAGCGAGCTGGAACGATTTAGCGGCGGCGGGGAGCCGCCGTTGTTGCTCGTGGATGGGTATAACGTGTGCGGATTAGAGGGCGCGGATGGGGTCGAGGAGGCGAATGCGGCGTTTAGACGAGGGGACATGGACGCGGCGCGAGTCGCGCTGACGAAGGAGGTGATGGATTTTAAGAGCTTTAGCGGGTACGCCGTGGCGTTGGTGTGGGACGCCGATCGAAACCGGGATAAAGACGAGGACGAGATCGAGGGTGATCTCGACGTCGATGGATTCATGACGGTGTACAGCGTGAAGAACGACGCGGACTCGTGGATAGAGGCGCGCGTCGCGCAAGAGATTGGAGCCGATAAAAAGTCCAATCGAGTGGTGTACGTGGCGACTTCGGATAACGCGTTGAGCTCGATCGCGAGAGGGACGGGGGCGTACGTCGTCACCGCCAAAGCCTTCGTGGAGGAGCTTCGTAAGGCGAGTCAGGGAGAAAAAGAAATACTCCAAGAGATGGCCATCGCAGCGCGATGGAACAGTTCAAAAAAGATGAGCAACGTCGGTGTGAGAGACGACGACGTCAAGCGCAAGCTCTTGGAAATGTACAAAACGGCGCCAAACATGGAAGCGCCCGCGAACGCCCCAAAGGGCGATTTCAAGCGTCATTCGGAGACGACAAAAATGAAACAAGCCCCTAAAGCACCTAAATGGGCCGAAATGCGCACCGCGCAGCGTCGGCAAAACAAACCTTAGATGTGTAACATTACGTAGCACGCGTTGCGTCTCCGCCCTCTCGCGCCGTCTGCACTTCGCCGCGTCCTACGAGTCGACGCTAGTCCGTCGTCGACGAGCGAGGACGCCGGAGTCACACGCTCTAAATGCGCGTCACCGCCGCGCGCGCGTCGCCGTTCACCGCGCATGCGCGTCAACGGCAGTCGCCGAAAAGCAGCCGCCGGGCGCAAAGCATTCGCGCGAATGCCGTCATTCCGAGTGCGCCTACGACGGCGCCGAACGCGAAAAAGAACGACCGATACACTCCACTGCCCAACGTACCGGAAGATCGCGTGTATTGGGTCGACGACGTCGACGGGCTGAAGCGCGCGACGGAGGTCGTGCTCGCGCTCGCGGCGGCCGGGACGGATGAAAACGAGACGTCGACGAGCGTGCGAACGCCCCCGTGTTTGGGACTGGACGCGGAGTGGCGACCTGGGGATAATACTCCCGTGGCACTGTTGCAAATCGCGACGCGAGAGGAGGTGTTTTTGATTGATTTACTGGCTACAGCGCCGCGGAGCGCGGGCGAGTCGTTAAATGTGGCGACGGATGAGCTCTTAAAAGCCGTGCTTTGGAGCGAGGGCGTGTACAAACTTGGGTTTAGTTTTGCGTACGATGTCAAACGTATGAAGGCGTCTTACTCTCATCTGAGTGTTTGGGAAGAGAAGAGTCGAAATCTTGTCGACGTGAAACAATTGGCGTATGCGGCGATGCCGAATAAAACGCCTTTGCGTTGTGGATTGGCTGTGCTGACGCGACAGGTTATAGGGTGTTTATTGGATAAAAAAGAACAGTGCAGTGACTGGGGGAAACGACCGCTCACGGAAAGCCAGATGGCGTACGCTGCGGCGGATGGGTACAGCTTGTGTTTGATTTTTGACAAGTGCCTAACTATGATAGAGGACGAGGCGGAGATCCCGCGCGTACTACGCACGGTCGTCGAGCTAGGTGAACCTCTTCGAGGACTTCCGAGAAAGGTGAAAAAAGTGCGCGCGTTGGCTCAGAAGCAGGCGAAGAAGGCGGCTAAGAGGGGTGGGCAAGGTAAGCCGTGTCAGTTCGCGCGCGAGACCCCAATCGAAAAAGCCACCGCAGACGTCGTGAATTCGTTAGAAAGTGTGGGAAAGACGCTTGTGAGCGGTCGAAAAGGCGCCGTCGATTTGCTCTCTGGCGATACTCCCATTCGCACGAAGAACGACGGGCGCAACGTAGACACTTGGGCGAACGCGATTTCCCTATTCGTCTCTGTAGGCAAACCGCAGACAAGAGGCCCTACGTCTTTCTGGGAACGCGACGGCGAGCTGTACATGACATGGGACGGAAAAGCGGCAGGCGCTCACGATAGTGACATTGCTCGCGTTGGGCGATCGAAGTCCGCAGAACTCACGCCTGAATCCGCGGGCGAAGCGACGGACAATGCGTTGCTCTTCGTGCGCCGTCCGCCGGGACAGTTCATGTTCTGTGGCCGGCTCGAGTGCGTGGGAGCACCGAAATCGAACGATTCTGCGGTTTCCGTTCGATTAGTTGACGGTGAACGCGTGCGTTCGAGCGACACGTACTATCAGCTCATCGGTTGTCGACTCGCGGCGGGCGAGCCGTGAGTAAATCTAACGCATTAGCGCGGTTGTATTTGTAAGTGGAGACGCATTTTTTTACGAAAACTCGATAAGTTCACGATCACAAACTTCTAAAAAGCTCAAACTTCTAAAAGTTTGATCCACTTAAAGGGCAACCTTGTACCTGCGAGCCGCGTTGAGGAAGAGTTGGCTCGCCGGCTTGGCCGCGAGCGGACCGTGGTGTTGGACGATCTTCGCGTTGACACCATCCGGCTCAATGCGGCCTTGATCCTTCCACTTCATGTAGTCATCGCGGGAGTACTTCGTGAAACCCCACTGCTTAGACTTGACAATCTTTTGGCGGCCCGGGAACTTGTGCTTGGCACGACGGAACGCCTCGACAGCCTTGTCCGCGTGCACATCCTTGGTTCGAATCGACAACATGATTTGACCAATGGACACTCGCGCGGCGACACCTTGCGGCTTACCGTACGCACCACGCATACCCGTTTGCAAGCGATCCGCACCCGCGCACGACAACATCTTGTTGATGCGCAACACGTGGAACGGGTGCAAGCGCACGCGAAGGTGGAAACCTTCCTTCCCAGCCTTGGTCACCATGTACTTGTTCGCCGCGATACGTCCCGCCTCCATCGCCTCAGAGCCGATTTGCTCCTTTTCGAAACTGCGCGTCGATGTAAAAATAACGTCTCGTCAGTCCTCATCCTCCGTCACCCATCGCACGCGTCGCGCGCGTCCCCCCACGCGCATCACCGTCCCTGCGCTCCGCGCACGGTTTAGGTCTCTCGCGCCCATCATCACGCGCGCGTCATCGCTCGATACGTACCTCACGAGGTGCACGCACGCCGGGAACGCGTCGCACGAATACTTCTTCATCCCCGCATCGTAAATGCGAATCTTAGGATCTGCGCATCATCGCACGCGTCGCGCGTTCGTCGTCAGTCGCGCGTTCGTTTTAGGGTTATTCGATCGCTCGTTCCGCGCGCGTCGTCGCGTCACCGCACGCACCCGGCACGCCCCGGCAGTAACGAGACTTCGGGTACGGTTTGTTCTTAATCACGCGATAGCATTTCGCCGGTCGTCGCGCCATGGCTCTGGGTTCACGCGCGCGTCGAAGAGACGGATCGCGCGACCGGGCGCGACTGCACGACGTCTCACGTCGATCGAAGCATCACACGGACCATCATTCGAATCGCGATCGCGTCGACCCTCGTCTCGAGGTTCGTCGTCGACGATCGAACGACGGCGCGAGCTTCGGCGCGCGCGCGCGCGACCGACGCGTCCGCGCGGACGATCGCGTCGATCGATCGCGGCGGCAGTACGCGGCGCGATCATGGGGCTGACGACGTCGCGCATGGAATCCGCGGCGGTGATGCCGCCGATGACGAACGCCGACGACGCCGCCGACGACGCCGCGGCGGAAGCGGCGGCGAACGCGGCGAAAACCGGCGATGGACCGCGCACGGGACGCGTCGACTACGGCGATTTGCCCTGCCCGGTGAAGTACGAGGAGATGCAAAGAGAGGTGATGATGTCGCTGAAGGCGGATCTGTTCGAGGGCGCGAGGTTTGATTATAACAAACAGCTGAATCAGAAGTTCTTCTTGAGCCACGGGTTCTTTCTCGGGAACGTGGAGGTGCCGGCGCAAGGGCAGATTGTCAAGCTGCCGACGTCGACGTACGAGTTTGGGGCAAACGTGGTCGATCAGGATTACATGCTCGTGGGGAGAATTCTGACGGATGGTAGAGTGAGTGGTAGGGTGAAGTATGACTTGAGCGATTGGTTGTCGCTTAAGTTGCAATCGACCAAGGAGCCGGGGTTTTCGCAAGTGATGTTTGACGCCGACTTCAAGGGTTTGGATTACCAGGCGCAGTTGAAGTACGGGAGCGGAAAGTTTTACGGGGTGAACTACTTGCAGAGCGTCACGCCGACGCTGTCCTTGGGTGGGGAAGGTTTCTATTTGGGTACTCAGGGCAAGTCCGGGGTCGGGTTCGCGGCGAGATACGCGGATGACAAAACCGTCGCCACCGGGCAAATCGCCACGACTGGGCTGTTGTCGCTCACGTATTGCACCAAAGTTAGCGAGAAGGCGATGCTGGCGAGCGATTTCTTGTGGAACTGGAACCAACGTAGCGCACAAGCGAGCGTGGGATACGATTACATCTTGCGCCAGTGCAGAATTCGCGGCCGCATTGACAACCACGGCGTCGTCTCCACCTACCTCGAGGAGCGCCTCAACGTCGGGTTGAACCTCATCCTCTCCGCCGAGGTCGATCACTTCAACAAAAACCACAAGTTCGGATTCGGGATGACCGTGGGAGAATAGTTTTTCGCACCAGTGTTCATCAGTGCGTTTTAGGCGACGACGTGTAAAGATCAGTATTTTGAAAGCCCACCCATACACGGTTGAACTCTCTCGACCGTTGCGCCACAATCGCGCGACGCGTCCGGTCGCCATGTCTCCCGCCCTCGCGAGCGCCGCGAAAACGATCAACGTGGACGATGTCGACGACTGGATCGTCGTCAAGGACGATCGCTCTATCGAGAAAGGCTGGGGATTCTCGCTCTTCGGTAAAGAAAACGAAGCGACGTTTGAATCCGCGAAAAGAAAACGCGTCGATAAAATGCTCATAAAGCACGGCTACGCAAAGACGAGGTCGGATGTGGATGACATGATCAAAGACGGACGTGTGTGTGTGGGCGGTGCGCCAGTTGAGCGCGAATCGCGCGTTTTATTGTCGGCGTTGACCGTTGATGGTAAGGCCTTCGTCCCGGTCAAGCGACGCGCGGGGACGCTCGATGACGACGACGATGACGACAACGAATGACGCGTTCGGGGAATGGAACGAAGAGTGTATAATATATTTCTTCAAATCGTGCTGTAATAATACAATGTTCTGTGCAATCATGTTCATGTTCCTATTCATGTTCTCTGTTTGACGATTCAGGGTAGAGATCGACGTTGAATTTCTTCAACGTCTTGGCGATGGTGCTTCCGAGACATGACACCGCGAACTCCATGGTGCCATCTGCGGGCACGAATCCACGAGGAAGAGAGTCTAATGGATTCTCATTCGACGGCACCGGATCACCACGGAGGGCTTCGCCGGCGCGCAGCATCGCTCGCATTCCGTCGAGGCCCGACTGGACGCGTTTACTGTGATTCTGGTCGTCTGGATTTTCCTTCAACAGCGTTTCCAGGCTTGCAGCTGAACTCACGTTCGGCATCAGTTGACTAGCGCTCGCTGGTTTCGGGAAATACTGCTGCGACGTGGAAGACGGCAGTTGGCTGTGACCAGTGTGCGTGGGCGCCTTGGGAGTAGGCGCGTGTTTCGCCGGCTCGACCATTTTTGGATCAGGTCGCGCCAAGCACAGCTTCCACCTTTCGTTCAAAAACTTATCCCTCGCATCTTCGGGTACTCCCGAAAGAAATGCGCGCACTGAAGCCGAGTACATGTCCAGTGTGGCGCTACTTTTGCTCGAGACAAAGATGTTTCCCGACTGTCGCAGTCGACTGATAAATTGCCCTGGACGCATAAAGATCTCTGGTAGACGCTTAAGCCTTCTCGACTGCGGCGGAATCTTAAACGTTTGACGCTTTGTCGCCGCCGCCATGGTCTTTGGTCGTATCTGTTGAGGTGGATTTACGAAGACGGTGTCACCGGTGGCGATGTCATCCTCCTGCATGTCAAACGTGTCTGCAATGTCCGCTTGCATACCCATCATAGGGAAGGAATCGTCGTCCAAAAAAGTGTCTAAACCAATCCCAAAATCATCTTCGTCTACTAAACTAAAATCATTGACCCCGACGGATTCGTCGTTCGGGAAGTCTGGTAAACCGCCTGCGCCGCTTGAAAACATGTCGACATCTGTCGCCAACAAAGCGCCCGACGAGTTCGCCGATTTTGACAGCTTGGCGGTCAGTGGCGCGCGATTGAGCGTTGCCTTGATCGTTTTTGGCTTTTGAGGCTTGATGAATCCCGCGTTGGGCGACAACCCACGCAATTTATTCAGCATTCGCCTCGCTCGCTCCAACATCATAGTCGCTTGTTGGTGAATCTCTGTAGACGGCGGATTATACGCTAATGCGTTGCGATACATCGTCTCGACGTCGACGCAAAACGGATACATGCTCAAGTAATCGTTATTCTTCACGTGCGCTCGTAGCGTGGCGAAATCCATCGGCCGAGAGATGATTGAAAAGTACCCCGGAGCAATATCCTCCGTCACGGGATACGCAAAGATGTGAAATTTATCCAATTTCTGCAGCTTATTCAACGCATCCTCCAGCTTCCTCTTCGTCACAGCACCCTCGTTTTTCACCTTCGGCGGCTCGAGCGTCAGATTCTGCCCTCCTACTCGCGGTTCCTCTGGCCCCGCGACCCCGTCCTCGTCCGGAGAGCTCGTCGAAGGCGCCGCCTCCGTCCCACCCTCCCTGAACCCAACGTGATCGAAAATAGCCGCCCTCGGCGCCGTTCCTCTCGACAAACCACTCGGCGCGCCGCTCGGCGCCGCGCGCTCGATCACGCGTTCGCTCCCGTCGCGTTCGTCGCCGCCGTCCGCTCCGCCCCGCGTCCCCGCGACCTCGCCGTTCGGCAGCATCCGACTCAACCGCGCCGCCTTCATCTTCAGCTCCCGCATCCGCCGATCATCCTCGCTCGTCTCATCGTCCTCTCGCCGTCGCTTCCCTCGGCGCGCGTCCTCGCCGTCGTCGCGTCGCGCGGTCGCCGCCGCGCTGAGCTTGAGCTTGAACGTCAACTTCGGCAGCTTCCTCGGCGCCTCGCCCGCGCCATCGCTCGCCATCGCGCGCGCGAACGCCGCGCGCGTCGCGCGCGTCGCGCGCGCGAACGGTCTCGCGACGACCGCCGCGTCGCGGACGAGCGCGGGCGTGTGCGGTCGGGACCGCGCCATCGTGCGCGGGACATCATCGCTGCATTACGCGACGACGCGCGCTTTGCGCGGTGTTCGACGCGCGAAAAGCTCGCCGAGGACGCGCGCGAGCGTTAAGCGCGCGCGCGAGGGCGCGCGATCGAGCGGGAGCGCGGCGCTGCGTCGATCGTCAGTCGTTGGGCTGATTGAGAATTCAATTTGATTTTTGGAATCGGTCGTTGAGGACGCGCGCGAGCGACGCAGGACGGACCGACGCGCGCGGAAGATCATGGCGCGTCGTTCTGAAGACCCGGCGTGGGTACCACCGCCGCGAATCGTCATGGTGAAGGCTTTCCCGGAGGAGGACGTCGTGCTCGTGAAGCCCGAGCTCTTCGCGGAGTGCTCGCGAAGACGCTACCTCGCCCTGAGCGATGGTGTAAAGTCCCGCTTCGCCCAAGCGCACGCGAGCTCGCGAACGAAGTATCGTAAGCTCTGGCGGCGGTTGTTGGTTCACATGCAAACGTCGCTGGCGATGGCGAAGGCGCTGACAAAGTTGGAGTTGTTGCGAACGAATACGGCGCGCGGACACAGATTGGACGTAGCTGGATTGGCTCTCATTGCGATGTACGATAATTACACGAAGAAGATTGATCAGATGTTGAGCAAGCAGATGCAGGAGTCGCTACAAAAGGCGATGGATTCGAAAATGGAGAAAGATAAAGTGATTGCACAATCGCTGCTCGAACTCGAAACGAACGATGAGAAGAGTGGCGAAGATTTCAATCCGATGGCTATCATGCGAGCTTTGCGTAAGCATAGCGCGCAGAAACCAACAAAAAAACAGTTTCAAGGCTCTGAAGAAGAGATTGGCGTTGAGCACACGCGTTTGTTGTTCCTCGTGTCGGTGTACACGGCGGACGCGAACAGAGATGCGTTTCCAGGCTTGGCCGAAGACAGCGAGCTTTGGGTACGAAAGACCCAGCTCTTGGTTTTGATTTATGAATGTATTCGTGCTGGTGCGCTGAATTACGATTACGCACCTTTGGCCGAGACCATGGGATCTAAGCGCGTTTGGTTGAATATTTCTCAAGAAGGCGTCGACGACCTCGACGATATGTGTCAAGTTGGATTCTTATCGAGCATGAAGATGAGTTCGACGAAGTATAGCACCTCTACGGCTTACCGATTGACAAAAGAGGGATATTTACACCTCAAAACGCACCTCCGTCGTCGTGATAGAGCCGCCATCGAAGAAGTCGTGTACTCCGATAAATTGCAGCCTTCACCAAGAAACCTGTTTGTCGCAAAATGGGACGCCAAAGCGGATACTTTTTATCTCCAAAGCGCTTCAGGTCACACGAAATCAAGCGATGTCACCGATATCGAAGAGGTTTCGTACGTTTCATCTCCGTTCGTTCCGAAGTCGATGCGAAAGTGGGGGCGTGAGTGCACTAGTAACAAACACAAGACCGCCGCACTCGTCAAAGCAACGGGCACCATCAGAGACGAGCTGGATGAGCAGTTGTCATTCGATAGATTGCGATTGATGGTTGGTGAATGGATTCCTATGGGCGCGAATCAGGTGTTGAGTCTGAATGACAAGCTAGGTTCGACGGACCGCGTTGCTGGCGGCTACTTTACGAGCGAAATGGACAAAGATCCCAACAACCCATGCTTCCAAGGCAAAGTCGATGGTTTGACGCGGGTCAACGTGCTAGATTTCGAAGAAACGTCGTACGTGAACTTCGAAGCCGAGGTACAGTACGAAGAAGAACCTGGAATTGTGCAAATTGAAAACTTCGGCATCCACGTGAGTGAAGAAGGCTTCATGCTTTACGGCTTGACGCTCGACGGTATGATGAAAGTGACCGATGGCAACAACTTTTCGCTCGATCACCTCGCACGTTTGCTTCGTGATATCGGCACGGATTCAAGCGAAGTCATTGGTAATTTACTCACCGACCATCAGCGACACTTGCTGGATTTAGTGCACATGGGCGATGCGATGAATCGCGAAAAGTTCAACGTGTTCTTCACGAGTAGAATCAACAAGAGAGGTCAAGAAGAGATGCCCATGGCGCATGAGCTGCTTGATATGGAAGACATGGAAAATGAGATTCGGCAGATCATCGGTGAAGTAGAGTGTGGTTTTCAACTATCGCGAGATGATGAATTGATCATCATCGGCTCAACCGGTATGATTCTCTGCTCAAAGAATACCGAAAAATTTGAACCCTTGGTATTACAATACATGTCCATGATGTCACGAAATATGTTCATTCAGGCGCTCTATAGGCAAACATTTGTCACCGTGGACACGCTCGGAGAAATCGATCATCTCATACGCAATCATGACGCCGATCCAAACAATATCTTCAAAATTCGCGAACTCATGTCAAATGTATCGGCAGATATCATTCTCATGCGGGAAATTCATAGCTATCTCCTTGAATCTCTCACTGAGACGGCACCAATGGCAATAAACGATCAAGTATTGAAGCGCTTGTCTAAAATACTGCAGCTCGATGATACAAACTTTCGCCTTGAGCGACGCATTCGAGATATTCGCAAAAGCTTAGACGGCGCGAGCGGTGAGTTGCAAGCGTTGAAAAGTGCCGCCGATGTCATTCAAGAAAACAAAGAGTTCAAGGTGAACGAGGCGGTGTCAAACAACACGCAGAACCTTGAAGAAGTTTTCCGCGCAAATGAGCGCGCATCGACGTCCCTTGAGATCATGCAAGTAGTGTTGGCTGGATCTCTCGCTTTTGCAATTCTTGATCGATTGCACGGTTTGTATCTCGGCGTTGCGGCTGACATCGACTGGTCGGTCAAGGCTTTCGATTGGTACGTACAGACTCCAATGGTCATGTTCATCTTAAATATGCTCTGGTGGTTCGCATTGGGTGCGTCATTCAATCGATTGATCAAGTATGCCGGATCAAAATCAGCGGGAATCTTGTCCATTCGGTACACGATGAACTGTCGATTTAATCAGAAAGCCATGACTGCGTTCTTGCATGTGGCGAACCCAGAAATGGAGGATGGTGAAGCTGATGCGAGGACAAATCTGAAAAAATTCACTTGGGACGAGACAGATGAGATCCGATGGAAAGGATGCCCTCCAAAGATTGAAATGATCGTCGACATGAAGAATGGTTTCTTGCTCAGCGTTTTCATTCAAATCGCCACCAGGCGAAGTAAATGTACGCAGTCTGACGCAAAGAGACATTTTTTTGCTCGACTCCGAGAATTAGGTCTCATTTCTGGTCCCGTGCCTGGGTTAGAGACGGCAAAGGATGCCGAATACGTCTACCGTAAGCCATTTCTCTCACGTGGAGCGAAATTCAAACTATGGTTGAAGAAGACACGTGAGAATGTTCACTACTTCTTCACGTTCTAGTACTACTAGTCTAAGCGTTGTAATTATAATCTATAAAGCTATGCTAATTTCTTCTTGCCGCGCAACATCGCGTCTCGCTCGCGCAAGATTGAATTCTTCGGCTTCACCGCTCTCGGCGCCCCAGACGCTCGTTGAAAGCTAGCCTTCTTCTTTGCGCCGCCGCGTTGCGCATCAAATTCGAGATATGCACCATCGGCGCCAGACAGCGCAGTTATTGAGCCCGCTGTCCTACGCGCGGCACCCACTGGTTTATGAGCTTGTCTAATCGCATCTTCATCCTCTGGAAGCACTTCCTCACCCGCTTCAGCCTCGCCGGCGCTCAAAACTTTCGCGAGAAGGTCGAGTTGCTTCTCCTGTGTCGAGTACATGAGCTGCGGTTTATCTTGAGGACCGATCAAATCAGTCACCACCTTGAAGGCATAACCTTGCTGAATCAAGAACTGCTGTCTCTTTGTACTGTAGTACATTTCGGCCGTGTCGGTCGATACCAAAGAATAGAAGAATGCATTATGTTCGTCTGCGTTTGTCTTCTTCCCACTCAGTTGCGCCGCCTTTGGACGTAGAATTCGACCTAAACGCTGAGCTTCTTGGCGACGACTGCCTGCGTGTGAAGAAATTTGAATAATGACATTTGCCTCGGGGATATCAATGGAGTTATCACCAACTTTGGAAAGGAAAATGGTGTTGATTTCGTTGCTATACTTGAAGGCGTGCAATACTCGCGTGCGTTCGGCGTGTGATGTATCGCCGTAAATCAGCGGCCTGCGCAACGCGGTTGCGTACTCTCTCAACGCAAAGATGTTATCACTGAACACAATGACTTTGTCCTTGCGCTGCTGCTCGTGGAATTGCATCAAAAACTGACAAGCCATGAACTTATTCGGATTCATGCAGTACAAGACTTGCTTTTTGTTATTGAAGTTTGGATCGCAGTACTTGCGGAAGAACTCGGCCGTCATCGGGCACCAAACCTCGACGCATTGCACGTTCGCGATATGTCCATCGCGTTGTAAATCTAACCAGTTTGCTTCATAAAGTTTAGGTCCAATCAAAAAGTTCAGATGATCCACCTTGTCGTCTTCACGCACAAGCGTTGCAGTGAGTCCGAGTTTACAGTGCGCCTTTGTGATCCCAATGACCTTGCGGAACATCGCCGCTGGTACTACGTGCACTTCATCTAGTAACATGCATCCCCACTCTCGCGATCGAATCGCCTCGAGGATCCGTTCGCTACCCTCGCTGCGCTTACCGCCGGCGCTCACCATGTTATATGTTGTAACGCATACGCATGCTTCGTCGGGTGGCGGGAAATCGTCCTTGTTTTGCGACGTGAAGCGCACGATGTGAGCATCGGTCAAGTTAGTCCAGAGCTTGAACTGCGCCGCCCATTGATCAACACTCACACTTGATGTGCATAAACACAAACATGATTTACGTATTCGAGCAGCCGCCGCGATGCCAGTCAAACTCTTGCCGGCACCGCACGGGAGCACGATGATCCCGCTTCTGGCTCGTCCATTACCAAACATCTTCGACAACGACTTTTCCTGATAAGGACGAATGCGAGTCATTGGTTTAAGCTCGATACCTAAGTCCGGATTCCGCGTGTCGTTCCTAAAATCATACTCCTCAAGAGTCGGGTATCCGAGGTTACCCGGAAGGCATCGCTGCTTGACGTGTTCGACTTGCCTCGCCTCAATCTCAAAACTATGCATCTGTCGATCAGGATCGTATTCTGGGAGGAATTCCTGCTGGTACTTCACATCCATTCCATCAGCCGGAACATCCACGCCTTCCATGGCGTCGCCTTGCTCCGCTTCGGTGATGTCGACTAATTTTTGCGCCCCTTTTTCCTTGAGCGCGTGCGACACGTGAAACGACGCGTTCGCCGAACCCGCCACTCGCGCGGCGCGAATGACGTCATCTTGTAGCAATTCTTTCAAAATCTTGGGATCATTCGACTCCAAGTAAAATTTGTTCCTCTGCAAAACCAGCTTAACCTTGCCGTAATTTTCTGTGCACTCGTGCACAAAGTCGTGAATCTCGTCGCTCAGTCTCGTCTTGCTCAATCTATCCAACACCGACAAAATCGTCGACGTTTCAAGTCCTACCGACACCGCCGCGTACAAAGAATGCGGCGTCAACACGTATTCGTGCATATTCGCCGGTCGACACACCGGTTCTGCGACGGAGATTAAAAAGTCATACGCCGCCTTGTACACGGGTGAAAACGATTCTAAAAAAATTCTCCCGTCGTCGCAAACCCACAGCGGCCGATTCGCGTGATCGGGCTTCAGTTCCAACTCACTGAAATCATTCTCTCCGAATCCATCCCCTCCTTTCCACAGCGCGTCCTCGAGCTCGCTATCGCTCTCGCTCGGTCCGTCGTCGTTCAATTCAGCGTCTTCGCTCAGAAAGCTCACCTTGGGGGCGTGTTCGTGCCGTCTCTTCATCTTCACGCTCAGCTTCAGCCTCGGTCGCGCCTCTGCCGCGTCCACGACTTCATCCTTGACGTCTTCGATCGCACCACCGTCGTCCTCGCGCGTCACCGGCTCCGCGCCGTCGACGATCGAAGACGATTTCTTCAGGGTAAACTTCAAGCTCGGCGTCGTCTTGGCCGTCGTCGTCGCCGCATCCGCGCCCGTCTTCTCTCGCTTCGCCGCCCTATCCTCGCCCGAGTCGTCGACGCTTCGTCCGCGTCGTCGAGCACCGCTCATGACGCGCGCGCGCGTCGACGTCTGTCGCGACGCGGCGAATCGCCTCAGACGTCGACGCGACGCATCGACGACGATGGACGACGATCAGGCGGCAAAGCGCGCGAAACTCGCGGCGAGGTTCGGCGATGAAAACGCCGATCTCGGTTTCGCGATGCCGGCGACGGTAAGCGCGAGCGCGCAGGGGCTGTCGACGCAGACGACGACGATCGATTTGAATTCGAAATCCAACAGCTGCGGCGCGAAAATCGCGAAGAAACCGATCGATGCGCCGGTGTCGTACGTGTGCGAGGCCGTGGATGCGTTGAAGTTTCATCCCTGGACGCCTGGAAGCGCGTTGGAGACGACGAGGGACGATGGTGATGCGTTCGACGCGGAGTTTACGCATCAGGTGTTTCGCGAAGATGAGAGCGTGTTCGGATACGCGGGGTTGGCGTTGGACGTGTACGTGTGCAGGACATCGTTGCGAGCGCTGTTGAAGATGAGATACGAAAAGAAAATATCGAGCGCGATGAATCCGGCGGATCCCGTGGTGGAGCAAATGCGAGAGTGGTTTGATTCAGATGGATTGTGCGAGCTGTACGAGGATGAGGAGAGATTTAAACGCGAGGCGGGTATGGCAGAACCATGCGCTGGTGGCACGCTGGTGGCAGAGAGTGAGAGCGATGGGGTGGTGACAAAAATCACTGCGTACGAGTTGGCGACGAATGAGGAGGCGAGAAAGTGGCACGCCGCGATGGAGGCGTACGCGGTGTTTTTCATCGACGCGGCGAGCAAGATTGATAACTCAGACTCGCGTTGGACTCTGCTCGTGGCGACGAGGCATCACGCCGATGGACGCTGGGAAACCGCTGGATTTACGACGGTATATCGGTTCTACGCCTATCCTGATTCCGAGCGAGCGCGATTGAGCCAGATTTTGGTGCTCCCTCCGTACCAGCGACAAGGCCTCGGTGGGAAGATGTTGGAAGCCGTTCGCAAGCTCGCGATTGATCGATCGATGCGAGATTTGACGATTGAAGACCCCACAGATCAGTTGCAACGATTACGAGACGTGCATGACGTCAAGGCTTGCTTGAAACTACCGGAGATGATGGCCAAGGTTCAAAGTGCGGCGATGGACGCCGCGCGAGCGCAGACCGACGACGCTCGACGCAACGCATTGGCCTGCACGCAGCACGTTTTCGAAATGGCTGCCGCGAAGCTGAAAATTTGCAAGCCTCAAATGCGTCGTATCTGGGAAGCTTTGCTCTTCATCTTCGCCAAGCGTTCAAATGCCCCGGAGAATAGCCCCGTGGCGGATGCGTTCAAGGAACTCATCATTCGTCGGCTCAAGGCGATGTATACGTCGAATTCCGACAAAGATATAGGCACCAAGCGCATCATCCCGATCGGTGATAACGATTTCGTCATGACCAAAGCGCGAGGTTCCGCCGGTGAGGCGCCGCAGATGGAAAATCCCGCAGATGGTGAGGCTGACATCACCGAAGTTTTAGGCGAACTCTTTCAAGAGTGCGCGCAAAATTTGAGTTTCATCTTTGCGCAGTGCAAAGACGCGTGATCCCGCGCAACGCTTGAACTTGTACCACCCATAGCCAAGTGATATCTCTCTTGTGATTATCCACCGATAAACCCTTCACTACCTCGTCGATGCGTACGCGACCTTGCGCGCCTTCGTCGGCGCCGATAACCCGCGAAGCGCCGCGGCGCGTCGCGGGCCAACAATCCACCGCAATCCACGGCGCGCCGCGAACGCCCGCCGCGAGATCACCACTCGAGCTACGTCGTGCGCACCAATTGTGAGATGAAGCTTCAAATCGTCACCCGAAGCGGGCGCGCCGTCGTCGCCGGCGGCCTCGTCGTCCCGAACGACGCCAAAGTCAGCGACCTCAAGCGTTCGTTCCACGCGCTGAAGCGCAAGTTTTATCCGTCTCGACAGCGATTCACGACCGTTCCCGCACGAGGCGAGACCAGAGGCACGGCGCTCCGAGACGATACGCTGTTGAGCGAGTACGGGCTGAACGACGGGGACACGATCGTGTTCAAGGATTTGGGACCGCAGGTGAGCTACAAGGCGGTGTTCTTCTTCGAATACCTCGGACCGCTGTTGGCGTACCTGCCGTTTTATTTCATGCGCAAGGAGATTTATGGAGGGATTTTTGGCATCAAAAACGCCGGAAAACCGGTGCTGGAGGCGCAAACGCTGGCGATGTACTTTCACACGGCGCACTATGCGAAGCGCATTTTGGAGACGTTCTTCGTACATAAATTCTCCCACGCCACGATGCCCATCTTTAATCTCATGCGGAATTGTGGATACTACTGGACATTTGGGGCGTTTATGTCGTATTTCATCAACCACCCGGCGTATACGCCTGTGGGGAGGACGCAAATGATGGCGGGTTTCGCGTTTAGCGCCGTCATGCAGTTGAGCAACTTACGATGCCATATCATACTCGCCAACTTGCGCAAGGATGGAGCTAAGGGTTACGTTATCCCGACTGGTTTCCTGTTTAACTATGTCACGTGCGCGAACTACGCGACGGAGATTTACCAATGGCTTGGGTTCAACATTGCGACGCAGAGCGTGATGGGATACACGTTCATGTGCTGCGGCGCGGCGCAAATGATGCAGTGGGCCATCGCCAAGCACAAGAGGTTGAGACAATTGTTCGACGGCAAGGATGGCAAGCCTAAGTTCCGCCGACCGTTTATCTTGCTTCCGCCGTTCTTCTAGGTACAGAGGCGCTTTGTTTCATGAATAAATTACAGCCGACGTCGTTACAACTCTAATTGTTATCGGCTCACTTGCGCACGAACGTCCGCCCGTCCGCCGTCGTCATCTTTTTGCCGTTACCGCTTGGATCTACCTTTTTCGCACGCTTGAGGATGCTCAGCCATGACTCCACCTTTTGACGCATGCGACTGTGCCAGTACGCCTTGGAATATTTGATGTGGTAGCTCACAAACGCGTGAAACGTCATAATGTTCCACACCGTCGCCTCCAAGCGATCGGGCGTGGCGTGACGTTTAAACAACACAAACGACACATAACCACCGTTCGCGCCACCGATCATCTCCTCTGGAGCGTCCTTTAACTCCAACGGTGGTGACTTGTGATACGAAACCGCCGGCGCCGTCGACAGTTCCTTTTGTCCGCGTCGCACCTCTGCAAACTGCGTCAAGAACTGCGTCGCTATCACCGCATCGCGCGCGTCCGCGAAGTGCATAGGAAATATTACCGTCACCTGATCATTCTGCGGCTTTATGAACATCGTCTCCCCTCTTCGTCGAGGCGACCAGTCGAGCGCGCCTTCCGTTCCGCCCGTCGCCGCCAGCTCTCGCAAGTGTCCGCGCAATTTCGCCCCGTACACCGCATTTCGCACCCTCGACACGCGCTGCAAGATCTCCTCGCGTCGCTCTTCATCCTCCAAACTCGCGATCGCGGTCACGTCCACGCGAAACGTCGCGTCGTACCCCGCGTTTGCCTTCTCGTTCGCCGCAATCGTCCCGTCGCTCAAACAAATCAACGTCGCCGCGTCCTCCATCGCGCGCCTTTCCTCGAACGCCCCCCCCGGCGCGCCCACGGACACATCCACGCGCACCCTCCCTCCGCGCTCGTCCGCGACGGACGTCACCGCGTACCGCACGTCATCGAATTCCACGCACGTCGCCCCCAGCGGCGTCGCCAACGTCTCGACATCCTTCGCTCGCGTCGCCTCCACGCGCGCCGCGACGGCGTCGCGGACGAATCGCGACGTCGGAGATATGCTTCCGATGCCCGCGCTCGCGTCCATGGCGTCGCGCTCGCTCGGCGCGTCGCGCGGTGTCGCTGAATGACGCGCGTCGTCGCGCAATCGCCGCGTTTCAATCGACGCGTCCGTCCGTCGACCGCGCGCGCACTCGTCCGCGCGCGATGCCGCGCGCGCGTCGCGCGCTCGTCGTCGCGCTCGTCGTCGCGCTGTGCCCGCGCGCGTCGAGCGCGCGCGCGATATCGCGCGAGGACGCGTTCGTCGGGTACTCGGAGCGCGCGCGCGGGGCGACGCTGCGATTGACGCTCGACGGCGACGGCGCCGGCGACGCGCGCGCGATCGCGCTGCGGCTGCGCGAGGATTGGGCGCCGACGCTCGCGCGCGAGCTCGCGGGCGGCGCGGCGCGACGAGGGTCGTTTTACAGGGCGGAGGCGACGCCCGAGGCGGGCGCGAGGGATGGCTACGGTGGACCGGGACCGCCGTACGCGCTGCTGCAGGGCGCGCTGGAGGGATTGCGAGGACGAGCGGAGGGCGAGGCGCCGATCGTGGCGCGAGGGTACGCGTGCGTGATCGGGTCGGGGCCGGATTTCTTCATCGCGACGAGAGGACACGCGGAGTGGGGACGAGCGCACGCGTGCTTCGCGGAGGCGGACGAGACGTCGATGGCGCTCGTGGACGAGATCACGGAGACGTACGCGGTGCATCCGGAGACGTGGGGACGGACGAATGTGACGGTGTTGAACGAGAGATTGCCGTTTTCGGCGTCGATTGAATAGATGATTGATTAGGGAGTGGTGAATTTAGGCACGCGAGAAGCGTTGTAACTGTACGCGGCGTAACTGTTTAACTGTTTTTACACGATCGCGTTCAGTTCGAGCCGTTCGCGTCCGTCGGCGTGCGCTTGCGCACGGTCTCGGCGGTGATTCCTACGTCTAATTTTGTGATCGTTTCCGCGTCGACGTCGCCATCGGTATCGGTGGGTTTTGAATCATCCTTCTTGTCGTCAATTGAGGTTTCGTCGAGCGTCGTTTCCACGCTAGGCTGCGAGGCGTCCAACGTCTTTTTCAACTTTGCCAGTTCCTCGACTTCGGACGCGTCCAAGTCGGCTGAAATCGCTGCTTTTAACGCTTTCTGATGATCCTCTAGGATGGATTGTTTGATACCCTGCATGCGCGCCGTGATGAGTTGCGAGCCGCCGAATACTTGAAGCCAGTAAATTCCCGCCAGTTGCGTGTGCCGCCAGAGCGGAAACCACCCGAGTGCGCTTTTTGAAAGCTCTTGCGACAGCGACCAAATCATCGCATGTGCGAGCCAGTAAGTCAACCAGTTTCGAAGCTTATCTTCATGGAGCTTTTCTAAGTCCTTGCGAGCTTGCGCGCGACTGGGCTGTTGCGGTTGCGCCTTCAATTGCGCATACTTGAGTAATCCGTCCACCGTGAACGCGAACGGAACGACCAATCCGGCCATGTCGCAACCGTATATCGTCATCAGCCCTGGTGTGAAGAAAAACACCGTACACATCACCAACGGAATGCTCATATTGTCGAGAACGAGGCGGAGCGCCTCTGAGGCTCGTCGGGAACGGAAGCGAATGACGATGACACTAATCTGCAGTGCTTGTCGAACCGAACGACGAAGAAGTATGGAAATCTTACCCGTCGTACCACTGGACTCGTTCAAGTACGCCATCGCCCGAGAAACGAGCGGTGTGGAAAATTCCAAAATGATTTGACTACCGCGCGTGAGGCGCGAGTTCAACCACATCGTAAACAGCACTAAAACTTCGGGCCACCACGGAAAGAACCACCTAACACCGTAGAATATGAACGGAAAATCAACGGCTATCATGAACGGCGCGCACGATGCCCAGAAACGCAACCATTTTTCGACAAGAGCCATGTCTTCGCTCTCCACGGCGAGCATGGTTCGAAACATCGGCACGAGGAGCGAGATGGTCGCCAAAATCTCTCTTTTCCGCACCATATTCCTCGCATATCGCGGCATGACGCGAAACACACCCATCCCGACGACTAAAAACAACGCATGCGGCAACGCGTTCGCTGCCAATCGACTTTTACTACGTATTCCTCGCACGACGAGCGAATATCGTCGCTTCACCGCCGTCCCGGCGCTCGCGACTCGCCTATAAACCCTTGCGTACGGCTCCAACGCCGTTCGCACCCGCCGCGACGCGCGCAATCTCATCCTAATGATGAAAAACCTAAGCTTGTTCCTATATCGCGCCCGTTTCAAGTGCTTGACGAACCGCCAGCACAAGTGATACACGTACGCCGCGCCGACGCACGCGAGCACCCACTGCGCCAGAACCCTCGGTTCTGTCTCCCGCACGATCACCGCGAGTCTCCGACCCCCCGCGCGCGTTCCTCGCACGACGCCTTCCGTTATCGCGTTCGTCGCCGGCGAGAACACGCGCGCCCAAAGAGCCAGGCTCAGTTTCGTCGCCGCGAGCGCCGCTCGCGCCGAGGACCGCAGCTCCAGCGCCCCAATCCTCGTTCGCGCGTCCACACCCGCGCGCAAGATCGCGCACAGCTCAAAGCAACGCGCGTTGTCGACGTCTGGATCGCTCGCTCGCGCGCGAGGCGTCGGCAAAGAGGAGAAATCGCTCGCCTGAGCATTAATCGACGAGATTTCACCGGCGACGAGCGCGGCGAGCACGTCGTCGCCGACGGTGTAATCGCGCGTCAACACCGCGGTAGCGATGAAAACGCCGGTGATGAACGCCACCACGGGAACGCGCCAGCCGCGCCGGGCGGTGGCGCTCATCGCGTCGGACTCTGAGGAGCGCATACAGTTGGAGCGCCGTCGGACGGGGACGGAATGGAAAGCCGCTTTCCGAAAGCGCGCGGGACTACGGATACCTACTCGAATGACAACTCTAGTCTACGGTTAATTTATTTACTGGAGCTCGTACAGCGATTCACTGACTCGAGTGTTCGCCCTGGCGCACGCGACGAGCCACCCGGGCTCGACGACGAAGACGCGACCGCTCGTCTTTCTCGCCCACTTCACTTTATCGGTACCAGATGAGCGAGCGATGACGTGCGTGACGGTGTTGCCATCGCGTTCGATGGATGATGCGAACTCGGCGCCGAGCGTGGACGCGAGTAGTCGCAGAGGATGGCGCTCAGGTCTTCGATCGCCCAGCGTCGTGACGCCGCTCATCATAAACTTGACTCCGCTCAGCGGTAAGTCCGCGCGGTCGGGATGAATGAGCAGCTTGCGCACGTCCGGTTCCTCTCCATCGTCGGTGTTTTTGAAAAAGCTCCTGTGTACGCTCTCTATGACGGCCAATACGTCTAAGAGCACGGCCCGACTACCCACCGAACCGAGCTCGCCTTCGTCCACCATCGAGCTCTCCATCACGGATTGTCCTTTTTGTTGGAACGAAGACGCACTTCCCGGAAAGAAGTGATAGCGGTCGAGACGTATCAAATTGCCCTGATTTTGCGGCCAAACGCGCTCGGTGTCATCGACGATGATCGCGCTCGCTTCTCCGCCGAGAACGATGTCCAAATCCTTGACGTGCGAGCTCGTGGAGTCGTTGTTTGAAATCACGCGTCCGTGAAAAATCGTCCCTTCGGGATCAATCAGCTTCACCATCTCTCTAGCGTACGGCTTGTCCCCCATCGTGTACACGTACGGCTGACAAATCTTCGACACCGATTCTAAAAACTCAAACACGTGCGGTCTCAACTTTGTGAAAAATCCCATGTGACGCAAGCAATACAGCATCGGTCGCTGTCCTTCCTTCAACCCCTCCGCCTCTCGCGCGATGCACTCGTGCAACAAATCGTGCTGCTCTTGCGTCAACTCCTTAAACTGCGTCGAATTCAGCAGCGTATGATCTAAATCTAAAATCAACGTCAACTTGCCGTTTTGCAACACGCGCGCCTTTTCCTCCCGCTTCGCCTTTTCCAACTCTTCGTTCGACAGCGTCAACCCTTCGTGTATGTACTTCATCGACGTCGTAAAGTGTCCGCGCAACCCTCTCCCGTCGCCCTCGTCCCTCCCTCGCGCCGCGCCCCCCCGCGCGTCCTCCGTCGCTCGCCGCTCGCCGCACACCACGCAAATGTCAAACATGAACGCCGGATGCGCGCACGCCTCTCCCGCGCTCGCCCCCTTAATCGCCCCAAGCGCGTTCGTCTTTCGTCGCACCACCCTCGGCGCGTCGTCCTCGCGTCCCTCGCGCGCGCGCGCGCTTCCCACCGTCGCCCGCCTCGCGTCGTCCGTCTCCGCGTCGTCGCGTTCGCTCGCGAACAGCTCCGCCTCGAGCGCGTCCGCGAGGGAATCCTCGCTCGAGGACGCGTCGTCGTCCTCGCGCGCGCCGTCGCGCGCGCCGTCGTCGTCGCTCGCGCGCATCGCGTCGCGCGCGCGTCGTCGGATGCCGCGCCGGCTCGAACGGTCCGCAGAGTTCCGCGCGCGTCGCCGTCGCCCCGTCGCCATCGCGCGATGCGACGCGGCGCGATGCGACGCGGCGCGATCGTCGCGCTCGCGCTCGCGCTCGCGTGCGCGCTGCGCGCGACGCCCGCGCGCGCGAGAGCGCTGGACGTCGACGACGCGCGATGGCGACTGGGCACCGCGCGCGCGACGACGACGAGCGATTGCGACGCGTGCGAGACGTTCATGCGCGCGGTGGAGGCGAAGATCGAACAGGGACAGTTTCAGGGAGAGATGGCGGCGGCGATCGCGGAGGCGTGCGCGAAAGCGACGCGGGGGGAGGCGAGTCAAATGTCGGTGTGCGTCGCGGCGGGCGAAGCCGGGCTGCGATTCGCGACGCGGTACCTGGAAAATCACCCCGAGCTCGGTGACGCGGCGTGCAAGGCGCTGGAAATGTGCGATGGTGACGAAGACGCCGTCGCGGACGCGAGCGGGGCGATGGTGACGAGCGATGACGACGAGGCGAGGATTCGCGCGGCGGCGCGGGGCGACGCGTCGGCGAGCGACGAGACGTGCGCGGATTGCGTCATGGCGAGCCGTTTGCTGGCGAACGAATTGCGCGCGAATTCGACGATATCGTTCGTCGTCGGCGAGGTCGACGCGCTGTGCGCGGCGCTCGGGGCGGAGTTGGCGCACCAGTGCGACGCCGTCGTCGAGCCGTACGTCCCGGTGCTGTTGGACGAGCTCGCGTCGAGTTTAAAAAACGTGTGCGCGCGCCTCGGGGTGTGCCCGAAGTGAGCGACGACGCTCGCGATCGTTCACGATTTCGATTCTTTTCTCCCGCGATGTTTGTGATGATCACCGAACGCAATGTACACGATTTCGAGAGTCGTTCGTCCTCGCGCGCGCGCGCGGATAGCGCGCCACTCGTCGCCGCGCTTCCGATGCGCGCTGCGTCGTCGTCGCCCTCGCGTCCGGGAGCCCGAATCAGCGCGCGCGCGCGCGCGTCGAATCGTTCGCGCGCGCGCGTCGTCTCGCGCGCGATGCGCTGCGCCGACGAAGCCGCGCGCGCGCCGAAGATTGCCCCGCCGCCGCACCCGACGTATTCGATCGACGCCGTCGTGCGCGCCGCGCTCGAAGAGGACGTCGGTGACGTCGGTGACGTGAGCTCGCTGAGCACGATCCCCGCGAGCACGCGCTCGACGGCGACGCTGCTGGCGAAGGCGACCGGGACGCTCGCGGGCGAGCACCTGGGGAGCGTCGTGCTCGCGGCGGTGGACCCAGAGTTAGAGGTGGAGTGGATGAAGCGCGATGGCGAACGAATCGAACGCGGTGAGGTGTTCATGCGGGTCACGGGAAGCGCGAGGAGCATCCTGCGCGCGGAGAGAGTGGTGTTGAACTTTATGCAAAGGATGAGCGGGATCGCGACGATGACGGCGGCGTACGCGGCGGCGGCGGCTCCGGCGATCATGTTAGAGACGCGAAAAACAGTCCCGGGCCTGCGAGTTCTCGATAAATGGGCGGTGTTGATCGGTGGCGGGAAGAATCACCGAATAGGGTTGTTCGATATGGTGATGATTAAGGATAATCACATCGCCGCCGCGGGCGGCATCGCCGCCGCCGTCGAGGCGTGCGAAAAGTATTTACTCGAAAATAATCTCAAAGACGTCAAGATTGAGGTCGAAGCGCGGACGATGGACGAGGTGAAGACCGTGATCGCGCTTCTGGACGACCCGAACGTCCCGACGGGCAGCGTCACTCGTTTAATGCTCGACAACATGTCCGTGGAGGACATGACCGCCGCCGTGCGTCTCATCGACGGCAGAGTCGACACCGAGGCGTCGGGTAACGTCACCCTAGACACCGTCCACGCCATCGGCCAAACAGGCGTGACGTACATATCCAGCGGTGCGCTCACGCACAGCGTCACCGCGTTAGATATTTCGCTCAACATTGATGTGTAATCGATTCTCGTCGTAGCGCGTAACTGTCTCCGCGCGCCGCCGCGACGCGAACGTCACAACTTCGCGCGTTCACATGCCCCGCCGCGCGCGCTGACGTCGTGAGCGATGGGTAACCAACACAGCGCCCCTCCCAAGGTGCAGATGAGCGATATCCTCGCGGTGGACGTGCCGAGTTTAGTCTACAAAGATCAACTCATCGGCACGACGGGTCGGTTTTTGAAATCGATAATCTGTCGCGTCGACGACACGAAACGCGCGCCGCCGACGAGCGCGTCGGCGCGCGCGCGCGCGCGGGACGATGGCATAGCGCTGGTCAAGATATATCTGAAACGGCCGGGCGCGTTCCCGGACTTGCGGGCGCACGAGAGGGCGGTGCACGAGATTCGCGAGGCGCTGACGACGCCGGCGCCCGAGTACCCGCATTGCTGGCCGTTCACCAAGGTGCTGGAGACGGAACGCGCGGTGTACTTGATGCGACAGTTTTGTCACATGTCGTTGCACGACAGGCTGAGCGCGAGACCGTTTTTGAGCGATAGGGAACGGGCGTGGTTTGCGTATCAGTTGTTGCACGCGGCGAGAGACTCGCACGCGAGAGGGGTTGAACACGGGGATATCAAGTGCGAAAACGTCTTGGTCACGTCGTGGGGTTGGTGCTTTTTGAGTGATTACGCGTCTTATAAACCAGGGGAGATTCCCGCGGATAACCCTGCGGAGTTTACATACTTTTTTGATAATGACGGACGACGGAGGTGTTGCATCGCGCCCGAGCGATTTTCGAATGAAAAGACATCCGTCACGGATAACATGCTCGATGAAAGGCCGGCGAAGTTACTTCCAAGTGCTGATATTTTCGCCCTCGGGTGTACGCTCGCGGAGCTGTACATGGATGGGAAGGCTTTGTTCGATTTGTCGGATGCGTTGGCGTATCGTCGCGGCGAGCACGATCCGCTCGAGACGATCTCGACTGGCGTAAGCGACGATTTAGCGCGTGGGATGATTGCTTCCATGGTGGCACTGGATCCGAGTCAGCGAGCAAGCGCAGCGGATTATTTGGCAAAGTACGAAGATACAAACTTGTTTCCTTCTTACTTCAAGCGTTTGCACGCGTTCAGCGTAAAATTTTTAAACCTTGACGCCAATTCAAGAATTTCCGCGGTCGAACAAGAACTGGATGATATTCTTGTCCACATTCTGCGATGTGAAGGCGCTCGGGACATGTTTTCGCACGCAACGACGAATGAGGATGTCCTAGCGCTTGCGATGAATTCGGCACCGCATCTCAAATGCCCGGGCATGTGCCTTGTCGCCACCCACATTTGCTCTTCCATGCGGGGCGCGACGAACATAAACGCTCGAGTTTTGGCGTTAAAGTTACTAAAAAAGATAAGTCCGATGGCGACGGATCATTGCATTCTTCAGCAAATGTTGCCATATTGCGCATCTATGTTGCAAGATAGAGCGGCATCCGTCCGAGCTGCGGCGTTGCGCGCCATCGCTGAAATCTTACGCTTCGTGGAAGATATCCCGCAAAGTGATTTTGGCGTGTTTCCAGAATATATCTGGCCAATGGTGAGCAACGCCGCTGGAGACCCCGAGCGCTTGGTTCGCGTGACTTTGGCGAGCGTGTTAGCGCAGCTCGCGCGTTTGAGTCTCGCGTTTTTGCAGTATGCAGCGGCGAATTCGGGGCAGGGAGGTGATCCGATTAGTTTCGACGATGAATTAACGGTAGCTAGGACAACAGTGCAGAATATTCTGTACAATTTGATGGGTGGTAAGACTGGTGACGCCGATACTGCGACTTGGGAGGAGATGCTAGCAAATTCAACGCACTTGGCGCATTTCTTTGGACGAGATGACACGAAAGACTTTCTTATGCCACTCATGATTACGTGCCTCAACGCGCAGTCTCCGCAGCTACGATGTGCGTTCTTCAAGTACATTGCAGGTGTTGGAAAGTTCATCGGTCGAGCGTCGTGCGAGCTCGTTTTGGTACCGTGCATCGATCGTTGCCTCATCGACGTACAAGACTCAGTCATTGCTAATGCGTTGCGGTGCATGTCGACGCTCGTGTCGCCCATGGATTCCGACCTCGAACGAAGTAAAATGATTCAAGTTGGTAAACAAGCGACCATAAATGTCGCAAAGACTGCGAGCCATTTGTTGTGCCATCCTTCAGCCGTGGTGCGTAACGCGGCGCAAGAGTTTTTTTCTACAGCGGCGAAGAGCTTGGGGCCCGTGGATGCCTTTACATTTTTGGTACCGATCGTGAAGCCTTTTTTGGACAAGTCTGATCCGAGCCGATTCAAGCTTCTGAGCTTAACTCCGGAATTTTTGAACGAACCTGAAGTTCTGGCGATGTGTCTGTACCCTCCTCCGACGCGAAGTGCGTTTGAATCTGCGGTGAATACGGCCACGGGCATGCGCACGGCGGCAGTGTACGCCGCCGTGAGTGCGCGGATGGACAGACCGCTGGACGGACAAAGCTTTCAAAATGTGAATGATGAGACGGCAATCGCGGCGTATAACGCAGAGGCCGAATTTCCGAGCATTAAAGCGATGTCACCGTACATCAAAGTGCTCGCGAATGCTCGCCAAACGCGCTTGAGCGTAGAGAGTACTGGAGGTAACAATTCGCCTCGCTTCAAGTCGAGCGAACCACCAAGCATCGTGGAGGATGTCGAAGCGGAAGAATTTGTGAACGTGAATAATAACGATGCCTGGACGACGATTTTCGGACCAAAGAGATCTCTCATCTTGCCTCAAGATGCACAGGCGATCTTTCTTCGAGAAGATACAGAAAACGATGCCTTGCTCGTGGACACCACTAGTTCATCAGTAGTGGAAACGTTGTCCGCCGCTGTCCGTCGCTTTGACATTGGAGCGAATAGATTCAAACCGAATGGTCCACCTGACATGGAAACGAACGTATCAACGAATGCAGGCGATGATTCATGGACGCCACGCGGTATCCTTGTCGCGCATCTTTTAGAACATCGAGGAACGGTCACGTCAATCGCAGTGGACCGCGAGGAAGTTTTCTTCGTGACGGGGAGTGAGGACGGAAGCTGTAAGATTTGGGATACACGCAGAATTGAAAAGGATGTTTCCTTTCAATCTCGTTTGACTTATGCGTCCCAGGGAGGTAGAATTACATCCGTCGCGAGCACTTCAAATTCGCACATCGTCAGTGGAAGTGACAATGGCACCGTGCACGCGTGGCGCGTCGAGTACGCGACGAAGGATGCGGGAAAATCTCCGCATGAACGACCAGTACCAGATAAGTACACGGGTGCGGCAGAGATTCGGCACGTGAACAAAGAGGAAGGTGCCGTCAACGCTGTTGCATCACTCAGTGAGCATATGGGGTGCTACATCACTCAGACTGGCGCCGTGTACGGTTGGGATTATCGTTCGCCGCGCGACGCCTTTAGGATGCCGCTCAATCCAAAGATTGGCGTGGCTTCGTCGCTCGCGCTCGATACTAGCGGCGCGGCATCTTGGCTCGTCATCGGAACTGCGAGTGGTTCGATCAATTTACTCGACATGCGCTTCCAAACTTGTGTTCAAGAATGGAATCATCCGTCGCGAGGAGCTGGTATTGAAGCTATGGCGATCGCTCCGACGTCACGCAGTTCTCCAGGGGCCGTGACGCGTCCGCTGGTGTGGTGTAGTGCCGGTCACGACGAGGTCGCGTTGTGGGATATTGCTGATGGTGGATGTCGACGCATCTTACGCGTTTTACGTGGACAAGGCGCAGCACTCGATGCAGAGGCACGAGCGCAACCCATCGCTATGGAGGCGAATGGCCGATTACGGATGGTGCCGCAATCGCAGAGCGCGCTCATTCACTCTTCAACGCTCGTCAACAAGGCGTACGGAAATTTCAACGAAGACTTGCGCGCAGATGAGTTGATGTCTATGTCTTCGCGACCACCGGGCGTGCGGACGTTGCTCGCGCTCCCTAACGGAGCAATCATTTCTGGAAGCACCGACGCGTGCATCCGCGTCTGGCACCCCGGCGACGCAAACAAATCGCGTATCGTCTCCGGCAAAATTTCCGGCCCTCGACCAAAGTTTGCCGAAAAGTCTGTGAGCGGTGTGGTGATTCAGCAAGAGTATCCCGCTCCAGTCCCCGAAAGTTCGCGCAAGAACATCTCTCAGGGCGCCGCGCACGAGCGTCACGACTGTCATCGCGACGCCGTCGTCGCGCTCGCCGCGGTATCAGGCGCTGCCGGCAAAATGCTCATCTCTGCCAGCCGAGACATGAGTGTGAAAGTATGGAAATAGTTCATCGTGCGCATCAAAGCGAATCGTAGCAAAATTGTGTGTAAAACATCAGCGTTAGCGAAACGCTCGCGTCGGCTACGACGCGGGTCGCGCGGCAGCCCCGTCCGCACAACCGGAAGCGCGTCCAGCGCCGAACCGCGCGCGAGAAACTGTCGGAATGCGTGCGGTTGTCACGCGAACGACTGTCTGCGCGCCGTCGACCGCTTCCGCGCGCGCGCGCGTCACCATCCGCCGCGCCGTCCTCGCCCAACCTCAGCCCCGAAGAGTCGCCGCCGCCGCCTCTCGCGCCGACGCCGAGGTCTACGCCGAATGGCTCGCCGCCAGAGACGTCAAGGGTGATTCGCTAGAGATTTCATACGTCGGCGGCGCCGCGGACGCGGCTGAAACCACGCGCGGGGTGGTGGCGAAGAAGAACATCAAAGTGGACGAGGCGCTGGTGACGCTCCCGCGCGGCGCCGCGCTCGTCGTGCTCGAAGGACAAGAGAATCCGCACGAAGACTTCATGAGCGACGAACTTTGGAACGCAGCCGGGGAGGAGAAATGGGCGCTTCGAGTGGCGCTGGTGTTGTTACGTGAATACGCGTTGGGGGCGGAGAGCGCGTTCGCGGCGTACTTGAAGCAACTTCCGGAGACGTTCAATTTGATCGGGTCGTACTCCGAGGACGAAGTGCGAGCGTTGCAGTACCCGATTGGGGAGAAGATTGCGCGGGAACAGCGCGATGAGAACGCGGAGGCGATTAGACTGGTGAGGAAACACGCGGCCAAAGGCGGGGCTTTGGCGTCCTTGTCGGATGAGCGCATCGTTTGGGCGCTTGATAACGTGCGCTCGCGCGTATTTAGTGGACGACTGGTGGATGACGCGAAGCTGCGCGCGAAATTACTACCGCGCTCACTCGCGGTGGGGATGTGCTTCGCGACTTTCATGACGGCACCGTCGGCGGAGGGTCGATGGTTGGCCGTGTTCGCCGTCTTGGCGTTGACGGTTTTTGATTCGACGAGCAACAGCGATCGCGATAGCAAGACAGCATACGTGCTCATGCCGCTCATCGACGCGTTGAATCATAAAACGATGCTCAAGACGGAGTTTGAGTTTAGCGGCGGTGCGTTCGTGTTACGTTCGCCGAGAGAATATAAGACTGGCGAAGAAGTGTTCATCTCGTACGGCGTGTTGAACAACGACGAGTTGATCACACGCTACGGATTCGTCGATTCCGACAACGTCGCGGACGTCTATCGGTTTGAGGGATTTCTACCATTTTTGCAGGCCAATCACGAGCCGATGAAGCGTGCGCTCGGTGCCGACTCGAAGCGTCTTGCCACACTCAAGCGCACGCATCCCGAACTCGACGAAGCGCTCTGGAATGCGAATTTCATCTCGGACGGAACCGCCGAAGACAAGCTTCTGTGGGCGCTCAGAGCCGTTCTCGCGACTCCGGAAGAATTCGCCAAGGCAAACGGGGTAGACGGGTTTAAACTCGGAGGGGGCGCGCCCGAAAAGCGCGCCGCGGACGCCATCCAAGCCGCCGTCTCGGCGCGATTAGCGGAATACCCCACCACCCTCGAAGAAGACGCCGAACAATTGAAATCGGCGAGTGGGAACATGGCCACAGCCATCGCGTTCCGCATCCGCAAGAAGCGCATCTTGAGCGACGCGAGTCGAATTTACCAAACGTAAAGTTCAAGTTCGGCGACCGACGAAAAGTGTAATATTAGTGAATTTTGCAAAGCAAACAGGCGCCGCCTTCGGCGTTCGGCGTGCCCGATACATACTACAAAGATATTCGTACTGTCCTACCGCTTCTATGATCGCTATGCGCGCCCGGGCGCCCCCTCCGTCAAAGTTCCGTCAAAGCTTCACGGCTTTTAACAACCCCGCGAGTTCGTCCTCTTCCTCCGCGCTTCGCGCCCCCCGCCGCTTTCCTCTCGCTAAAATATCCAACGCCTTCTCGATCAACTCGCACTGCTGCTTCGCGTACCTCGATCCTTTCGGCAGCGCGCGCATCTTTCGCAACCGCGTCTCCAACGCGTACTTTCTCGACGCGTCCCCGTCCCCGTCTCCCCATCGCGCGCCCTCGTCCTCGGCGTCGCTCTCGAACGAGCGCGTCGCCCGCGCCCGCGCGCTCCCGTTCGTCCGTCCCCGCGCGTCGCGCGCGTCGTCGAACGACGATTTCCGTCGCCCGACGCTCGACGTCCCGCCGCCCACCGTCTTCCGTCGCCGTCGCAGCGCTCGCGCGACGCCGCTCGCGCGCGCCGCCTCGGCGCGCGCCGCGCGTCGCGCCGCATCGCGCTCGTCGTCGTCGTCGTCCGCGTCGGAGCCGCCCGGCGGCGGCCGCTCGCGCGCGTCGTCGTCATTCATCGGCGCGCGACTCCCAATGATGCGCGCGTCGCGCGTCGACGCCTCGGCCGTCGCCGCGCCGACGCCGCGCCGACGCTCGCGCGTCTCGCGCGTCTCGCGCGCGCGCGCCGACGCCGACGCCGACGCCGACGCCGACGCGCCGCTGACGTCCGCGCTCGCGAACGCGCGCGCGTCCGCGCGCGCGGGCTTCTCCCCCGGCGCCGGCCTCGAGCTCACCGCCGAGGAGCAGGCCGCCGCGGCCTACGCCGACCTCGTGAACACCTCCCTCGACGCCGACGGCGCGACGATCGACGCCGACGGCGTCGACGCGCTGCGCGCGGGCGGCGAGATGGATGCGACGAGCACGTCGAGAACGTCCGGGAACGCGGTTCGGGCCGCGCTCGAGCTCTTCGACGCCCTGCGCGGGGGCGCGCACATCGTGCACGACGAGCGGTGAGCGACGCGCGACGGTCGGCGGCCGCGCGCGCCCGCGCGCGGCGACGAAGGGCTCGAGCGCGAGGAGAAAAGGCGCGCGCTCGCGAGCGCCCGGCGTCACATCGAGGCGCGATCGACGATGCCGTTCGTCGTCGAGACGGCGGACGGACGGTCGCGCGCGACGTGCGCGAAAAACGCGCGGGACGGCGTCGTCGTCGTCGGGCGGCACGCGAGCGCGACGCTTCGCACGGGCGAGGGCGACGCGACGACGTCGAGGCGGCACTGCGAATTTCGAACAGTCGGGCACGCGTTGGAGTGTCGAGACCTGGGCTCGACGCACGGCACGCGCGCGCGCGAGGGCGGGAGAGCGGTCTCGAGCGAGTGGACGCGCGTGATGTCGCGAGAGGACGGCGCGGTGGAGATCGCGGTGGGGAGGGGGGGGACGTACGTGCGAGCGCGGTTCGAGGAGGACGACGCGAGCGCGACGGAGCCGGACGAAGGGAGCGCGACGGAACCGGATGACGATGCGATCGCGCCGGTGTTGGTGACGGATGATGGGGGGGAGATGATGCGAAGTCGCGAACGCAGGGGCGTGGAGGTTTTGGGGGAGGCGGAGACGGTGACGATTGGTTTCGCGCCTCGCGTCGCCGTCGCGGAGACGAAGGCGTCGTCGCCGGAATCTAAGACGAATTTCAAATCGTTTAGGAAGCAGTTCGTCGTGGGATTGAACGCGAACGCGAAGATTAAGTCGCCGAAGAAACGGGGTGCGCCGCAGGCGTACGCCGCGAGCGTTTACGAGCGAGAAGAAACAGAGGATGAGCGCCGCGCGCGCGAACGCGAAGAAGCGAAGGAGAAAGAGGCGGAAGCGCTCTTCGGCTTGGGCTTGGGCAAGGCGAAAGATAAAAAGAAAGCGCCAGCAAGACGGCGCTGAACAGAGAAATTGAACCGCACAGAAACATATTGTACACTAGCAAATCTAGCCGCTATTCTTTCTATGACAAGACGAAATCGACGAAACCGGGCGCGTCTTTCTCGGCCATGTCGCTCAAATCGTGGTTCGCCTCGATGTAATGCGTGCGCGCGCTCTTCGCCACGCGTGCGAAAGCGTCGCGGATGCGTTCGTTGTGCGCGACGACGACGTCTCTATCGTACGGCACGTACTCATCCGCCGTCGAAACGACCAAACGCACGTCGACGCGAGCGCACGCACCAGCGCCCAACTTGCGCACGATTTTCGACGACTCCACCCCTTCGCCCGACGAGCCGTCGAAGATGTCGAGCGAAAACCAATCGTCGTCGCCTCCCGCGCTCGCGAGGCTGAGAAACCTTCTCGCGTTGGTCGCGACGCCGTACGTTCCCGGCGTGTCCGCCGGCATCAAATCATCCGGCGCCATCTCCCGCGCGCGCGCCACCCACTCTCGCATCACCTCGCGCCCGCAATCCGCGTCGTACCAATCCCGATCGCTCACGCCAGCCTGCAACACGATTCGATCCACCGCCGACGCCGAGTCGTAACCGCTCGCCAGGTAGTGACATATCGATTGACACCCCGTGGAGTGCCCGACCAACGCGAACGACGTCGCGAGCGGAAACTTGACGCGCAGCGCCCGAATCACCGCGTCGATATCGCGCGCGTCGTCGCGCAGCCGTCGCGTCCCGTAGCCCTCGTACGAGGTCGACAGCTCGAACCGAATCAGCGCGCGCGCCGTCGACGCGCACCGCGCCTCCAACGCCGACCCTCGCGCGACGTACGACAGCGACGCCGGCCCGTCGCCGAGACCGGGCACGACGACGACGCACGCGCGCGCCTCGCTCGACGCGCATCCGTCCGCGTACATCTCGCGCGCGCTCGCCGCGTCGTACCGCTCTCCCATCGCGCGCGCTCGACGCGCGCGCGTTCCGCGTCGACGCCCGCTCGCGCGCGCGGGCGCGCGCGCGCGCGCGCGCTCGAATGCGACGCCGCGCGACGCCGTCGTCCGCGCCGTCGTCGCGCGCGTCGCGCGTCGCGGAGAGGCGCGGGACGCTTTATCCACTCCGTGCCGACGTCATTCTCTCGCGCGTCGCCATGCTTTCGTTATCCACGAACGCGCTCAAGACGACGCCCCGCGCGTCGTTCGCCCGCGCGACGACGCGACGATGCGTCGCCGCGCGCGCGCGCGCGCCCGCGCGCGGCGATCGCGATGCGGTGTCGCTCGAAACGCGCGCCGAGGATGCGAAAAAGATGCTCGCGGTGGCGACGCCGGCGCTCGCGACGACGCTCGCCGCCGGCGCGGCGCACGCCGCGGTGGACCCGGTGGCGAGCGCGTTCGCGGCGTACGGACACTACTTGGGTCTCGTCTTGGTCGTCGGGGCGCTGACGACGGAGAAGTGGACGGTGAAGGCTGGGATGAGCGAAGCGGAGGAACAGCGACTCGTCGTCGCGGATTCCATCTACGGCATCGCGGGAGTGCTGGTGCTGTACACCGGGTACCTGCGAGCGACGGAATACGGTAAAGGATGGGAGTTCTACAGTCATGAACCGATTTTCTGGGTGAAGATGTGGCTGTTCACCGTGATGGGGAGCTCGTCGTTGTTCCCGACGATTAAAATTATCGGACGCGCGGCGGCCAAGGCGAAGGGCGAAGTGGAGCCGATGAGCGAAAAGTTGGCGACGCGAATCACGAAGATTGTGAACGGCGAATTGCTCGCGGTGTGCTCGATTCCGCTCGCGGCGGCGTTGATGTCTCGTGGGGTGGCGTACGCGCCGGATATGCCTTGGCAAGCGGGCGCGGCGCCCATCGCGTTGACGTCGCTCGGGCTCGGCGTCAAGTACGTCAAGGAGGCGTTGACCTGGGAAGAAGACTAAACGACGTCTTCCGCCGCGCTACTACTACATCTAGCTATTCTAATGCTAACGATATTCCTTTCCTAATACTAGTTTTCTCGCGCCGGCCGAGCCGAAATCATCTGAACAGTGGCGTCGGTTTGCCACCGCTCTTTGACTTTTTCTTGGACGACTTCGCGGCGGCGTACACCGGCCGCGCCGTCGAAGCGTCCAGGGCGGGTCGCTTCTTCTTGTGTTGAAGCGCCGATTCGGCGGCGTTCGGATTCGAAGCGGGCAACCCAATACCCTTGCTTCGCGTGCGTTCGACGTCTCGCTCAAAGATGGCGACAAAAAACCCCTCCATGTCGTCTTCGATCGGATCGGCTCGAATGAGGCATCGCGCGTCCTCGGTGGACAATCCGTCGATGGCGATACCTCTGCGATGCCACTTTGGAAGCGCGTGGGCAAGCTTAAAACCGTGTTCCACGGCAACGTCCATGACGTCGCGAACAACTTCTTCGTTTTCCTTCTCGTGCACGCTGCATGTGCTGTACGACACGCGCTCGACTTCGGGGAAACAGAACGCGTGTTTTAATACTGACTTTTGAAACGCAGCGAGCTTGTCGACGCGCTCTTCGTCGGCGTCGGCTTCGGCGTCGATTTCTTCCACGTCGTCTTCATCTAAGGCGTCGCGGAGCATGATATCTCCGCGATTGACCTCCGTTCCCGACCCCGAGCACGATGGATCGAGTAACAGCGCTCGCACGCTTGCGTACACGGTGTTACCTGGATCCACCGTGAGAAAGTCTTGGCACTTTGCTCGAATAATCCCTTGACTCCCCGTCGTCGCCGCGTTCTCCTTCAATCGCTTCAATCGTCTCGCGTCGGCGTCGAATGCGTACACTCCACCCTCACGCCCGACCAACGCCGCCAACTGCGTCGTCTTATTCCCAGGCGCGGCACAACCGTCAATGCACGCCCACCCGCGTTCGGGCGCTAACGCAACGGCCGGTAAGCAACTCGCCCGTCCTTGCAAAACCACCGCGCCCGTCTTTACGAGTTTGTGCGCGTGCAAATCCGTCCCCGCGGGAAAAACCAACAGCGTATCGATCAAAGAATCCACCGCGCACTCGTATCCATCCTCTCGAAACGCCTCCATCGCTTCATCCACCGTCGTTTTCAGCGTATTCACCCTCGCCGTGCGCGAATACCGCGCCGCGCTCGCGACGCTCTTGTCCTCGAATTCCTTCACCGTCTTCACCCCTTCTCGCGCCATCGCGCGTTCGAGCGCTTCTTTCAACGCTACCGCATTACCTCGCACGACATCACACCCCCCATCGTTCCCTCGCCATCGATCCAACTGTCTGGAATCACCAAACATCAAATCGTACGCGTACACGTACGCCTCGCCTCGCGCTCTCCACGCGTCGTCCCCGTCTTTCCCTTTGGACACCGTTCTCGCATCGCTCGCTAGCGCTTCGAGCGCGCCCGACGCATCGGCACATTCCGCAAACAGACGTTTGATTATTTTAACGCGTTTTATCGTCTCACACGTCACCGCGTGCGTCGCGCGTTTGTGTTGAACGTTCGCGGCGAGCGTGAGCGATTTGATGCTCGAGCCGCGTTGGCGTCGGGATGCGGCGGCGAGGAGCGCGCTGACGATGCGGGCGGCGTCCGTGCGAGTCTCTAGGAGCGTCGCGGCGTCGGGTTTACGCTTGCGGGAGGATGCGGACATCGCGCGCGACGGTGTGTGCGAGGCGCGTGGCGGCGGCTGGTATACATACGTCGGCGCGTTGGATTGACAAACGCGTCGGAGCGGAGTGGGTTACTTTACTTGCTTGATCGTGGCCGGACTGGTGAAATCCTTATCGTTACCATTGTTGACTTGATTTTCTTCTCCGCGGTGCGGGAGATCGACACGCTTGAAAAGTTGGAGAAGTTCTTGGAGATTCGACGCGGCGGAGGCGTCGGTTACTTGCCGGTCGGCGCCGTGTAAAAGCTCGGGCAGCCGTTGTTTTGGGTGCACGCGCCGGCGCCGGGAGCGGTACATGTGACGCCCGCCGGAGGGCACGGACACGGCGCCGACGCGCTGAAGGACGTCGGGCAACCGCCAGCGCCAGCGCTGCCCGAGCTAGAGCCGCCGGCGGCGATGATTTGGTTCTCGTTCATGACCAACCTGAAGTCGAGCGCAGACGTGCCCCACGTGGTCGGCATCGACGAGCCCGAGTTCGACCATGTCCACGAACCAACGACGGATGCGCGACCGAACGGTTTAAAGACACCGAGGTAAGCGGGCGCAACCAAGCAGTACTTGGTAAAAGTCGTTGTGCCTCCTGCTGTGTACCAGCACTTTTGCTCCTCGAAGACGAATCCAAGATCTGGATTTTGCGCCGTGCCTCCGACGACGGCTTCCGGACCGCCGACAAACATGCCGTTGTCTTTCCACCACTGCGTCGAGGCGCCGAAGCAAGAGGGAGAACCAGTCGTCTGTTCGTAGTCGTGTCTCGCGACAAACTTGTACGCCGATGTGTTGTACTTGACCCATTCGTACTTGCCCGTCATATACGAGAAGGAGTGACGCGGGTTCACCTCTTGGCACTGGACTTCGTAGCGAGTACCACACGCTGAAGTCGGGGCTGTGAGTCCGCTGACGGTATAGGTCGCCCCATTGCCTGGAATCGAGACGCCGTTCTCCGTCGCGCCGTTCGGGATAGCAAATTTAAGGTCAGCGTATAACTTGCCGCCCGACTTGGTCATCTTCATTTGCGTGTTCGAGTTGATTCCCCAACGCCAGATCATCGTGCCATCGTCCGAGATCATGCGAGCGGCATACTTCATATTATCACCGGTAGAGCCTCCGCCGAAGAGTTCCGCATCGAGAGGCGCACCGACGGGTACGTTGGGGGTACAACTACCGCGAGCACACGTGCGGAATTGATGGCAGAGCTCTTTGTTGCCCATAATGCCGTACACAGACATGGCGGCGCCGAGTTGCAAACCGAGCAAGACGAGCTTGATGATGGTCCTCTTGAACGATCGCTTCTTTTCCGTCATCGCCTTGGCCGTGGCGGGGGCGGGCCAGAAGTTGTCGACGTAAAGATCTCGCACCTTCAACGACGAAGCGCAGAGCGGATAGATGAAAGAAACGACTCGAATGGCCAAAGCGTAATCCGTGATGGATTCGTCGACTTCGGGAAGTGTGTCCGTAATCTTTGGCTCGAAGAAGGGTTCCAAAAGCGCGGTGAAACCCACGGTGGAGAAACCGATGTCAAAGAAGATAGCACTCGCCTCGACCAAGGTGAACTTGTCCAAGAGCGTCAAAACAGCGCGGGTGACGATCTCCAAGGTGATCCACACCCCTTGCGCGATTGGGATGCGAATGTCCGTCGTCGTCGGCGTGTAGAAGGAGTATAATTGCACGGCGAAACCGAACATGGCCGTCACGAAAGAGTACCATATCCACACTGAATCCGGGTGATAACGGTTGTTGAAGCTTTTCTTCTCGCTGAACGTCGTGAGAGGCTTCATTTCCGTCTCTCGAGGACGCTTTGAGTAATTCGGCTTTCGCAAAGTGAGCGCGCACCTGATAATCCAGACGAGAAGCGCGACGCACATCATGGCCAAAACACCGTATCCTCCGGTTTGGCGACGGTTTGCGTACACTAATTGTGCATCGCAGGCGTCCAAAAACGCGTCTCGCGCGATAAAAGCCGTACTTCCGCCCAATCCGAGCGATGGATGCGCCGCCTTGAAACCTCGGTAGTTGGCCAAACTGCCGTCGGTATCCACGGTCGGCAAGCACTGACGAGACTTCGGAGAGTTGGCGTAGCACTGCTGCAGCCGCTTGATCTGAGACTTCCACGACGCGACCGCAGCGTTCGTATCGCTAGCGCTTCCATCGCACGCCCCAGAGCATCCTTGCGGACACGTATTTTGCGTGTACGTTTCCGGGTCCGCGAACGTCGCCCCCGACGAGCACCCGACGCTCACCGAGCCGCCCGCGGTATTAATCGCCGCGCACCAGTTTTCCTTCACGTACTGACACGTCGACCCATCTCCACTGAACGACACCCCGTACTCGGCGCAGTGATCTCCCGCGACGTCCGCCATCTCCTTCGCGAAGACGGCCATCAGGCTCAGGCAAAACGCCGCCATGAGCGCCGACAGCGCGACCAGCGCCCAGCCCGTCCTTCGTCCCGCGCGCGCGACCTCATCGTCGCGCACGCGAGCGACGTTCGTTTTTCCACTCTCGACGTCGGCCATCGCGTCGCGCGTTCCGCGTTCCGCGTCGCGCGTCTGCGTTTCGTGAATTCGTCAGTTAATGAGTCAGCGCTCGATGGCCGCGGGCGATTCGCGCGCGATCGCGCGTCGCGTCGCGTCGCGTCGCGTCGCGTCGCGTCGCGCGAATCGCGAATCGCGCGTCGCGCGCGCGCGTTCCGTCGCTTTTTTCACGCACCCGCGAGACGCGCGTCCGAGATCGCGCGCGAGATATTGCGGTCGCGCGCGCGCGACGGCTCGGGGCGACGTCGAGGAGATGGATCGTCTCTGTTCCCCCCCCCTCGACGCGCGAGGGGGGATCGCGACTTGGCTATTCGAGACGCTCGAGCGCGGACGCGGCGAGCGCCGCGGCGTCGGCGGCGAGGACGTGGACCTCGCGCTCGGGAGACGCGGCGATGGCGTCGTTGAGCGCGGCGAGGGCGAGGCGGAGGTGGTCGGCGGCGTCGGCGCGCGAACGGGCGCTCGACGCCGCGGGAGGCGCGCGGGCGACGCCGAGGGCGTCGTTGATGCGCGAAGACGTCTCGCGGAGGACGGAGGCGGTGGGAGAATCGGCGTGGGATGGAATCGATGGAGTCGCGGCGAAGATTGAACCCGTGAATGGGTCGTCGTCGTCGGCGGTGGGCGCGCGGCGCGTCGTCGTCGGCGAAGGAACGCGCAACGTCAGCGATTCCACGCGCTCGATTGCGTCGCTCGCCGGTCGCGAGGATGATGTGTCTTCTCGCGCGTCGTCGTCGTCGTCATCGGCTTGGACGCTCAGACTGTCGATGCTTCCGTCCACGCTGGCGTCGCTGTCCCAACGCGCGATCGTCTGGACGCTCGGGGGTGCCTTCCCGCGAATATGGGGCACGACGAGACGATTCGGTGATGATCGATGCGGAGGCTTTCGCGACGTGAAGATCTTCATCCCATCCGTTTCATCGTACTTGAGTAATCCAGTGACAGCCATCGCCTTCGCACGCGCGACCATGTGTTGCATTTGAATCCCCGGCGGCACGTTTTGCAATCGACTCATCACGGCGCCGAAATCGTCGAGGCTCAAGATATCGTTTCGCATCGTCATCAACACACTCACCGCGATACCTTCGTAAAAGTCGCGACTCGACATGGTCTCCCCGTTCTCTCCGATCGTGGCCGACAACGACTCGAATATCGCATCCCACAAAGTCAAGACATCTCGACGGTGGAATTCGCGCCCAAAGCCGAGCCGCAACCACCGAAGCAAATACAGCTGCGGCTCGACTTCCATCTTGACTAACTTTTTCGCCAAATTTTCATCCAACGAACGCAGCGCGTTTTCTATTCTACGGAACGCCGCGCAAATTGGCGACGTCGGCGTCGTGGCGTCTTCGTAATACGTCCCCAACGCCAAGCGCTCGTCGTCCCGTTCGCTGCGAGCGTCTCCCATGAACGCCTCGAATAGCGCGTGCGCGTCGTGCTCGACGAATCGATAATCTCTCGACCCTGCGCTCGCAATTTCGCGCTCATCGTACGACGTCGTCGCAAACAATCCATCACCGTCGTCGTATTTCTCCTCATCGTCCCGACGATCCCATCGCACCGTCCCCGTCGCCGCCTTTGAATACTCTGCCGCCGAAGCGCGCGTCTCCAACACCATCGAAGCCACCTCGTGCATCCCCTGCCTATATCCTCGCTTCCCTCCGCTTCCACACGCGTGCGTCAGCAATATCCTCTTCAGCGCCGTCACGCACATTTGCGACGCTCGCACGGGGTCTTCGTTCGGCAATCGCTCGACGTCCATCGCGACGCTTCGGCGCGCGTCTTCGTTCGCCGCGTCGACGTCATCCCCTCTCGCCCACTTGGCTCCGAGCGCGCGCGTCCTCGCGCGTTCGTACGCCACGCGACGAAAGAACATCTCTTCTTGCGTTTCCTCTCCGAGCAGCGCCGCGCGCCAGGCGTCGTAGCGTCGTTGCGCCGCGTTCATGGGTCGACGGTTAGCCATGAGTCAAATCAATCAATCGCCCCGTTCAACGTCGCGTTCGGCGCGTTTACCGCTCGCGCGCGTCTCAACCGTCACACCACGCGCGCGCGGCGTCGCGCTCGCGCGCGCGCGTGCTCGCGAACGTCGCGCGCGGCGCACTGGCGGAACCGAGCGCGAGGTGCTCAGTTCCGCATTCGACGACGCGATGCTTCGCGCGCTCGACGCGTGATTCCGCGCTCGACGCTCGCGACGACCGCAGAAGACGCGCGTAGCGAGCGAGCGCGATGCAGCGCCAGAGCGCGCGCGGAGCGATCGGCGCGCGCGTGTTGAACGTGGCTGAGAAACCATCGGTGGCGAAAGAGATCTCGCGCGTGCTGTCGAACGGACGCGCGAGCGCGCGCGAAGGGACGTCGAGGTATAATAAAGTCTGGGAATTCCCGTACGAAGTGCGCGGTCGGCGGGTGACGATGGTGTTCACGTCGGTGACGGGGCACTTGAGTAATTTTGAATTCGCCGACGACAGGCACAGACGGTGGAACGGCGTCGATCCGCGAGAGCTGCTCGTGAACGCGGCGGTGGCGAAGCGGGTGCCGGAGGATAAGAGACAGGTGGCTGATAATGTGAAACGAGAGGCGCGAGGGTGCGATTCGGTGATTTTATGGTTGGATTGCGATCGCGAGGGAGAGAATATCGCGTTTGAGGTGCTCGCGGCGTGTCGAGAAGCGAATCGGGGCATCGCTGCGTTTCGAGCGCGGTTTTCGGCGCTGAGTCGGGGTGATGCCGACCGAGCGTTGACGAATCTCGTGGAACCGAACCAACACGAGTCCAAGGCGGTAGATATGCGCATGGAGTTGGATTTGAGACTCGGCGCGGCGTTTACGCGATTCAACACGTTGGCGTTGCAGCGCGCAGGCGTGGGGCTGCCGGTAGACGATAAAGGCAAATCGATCGTGTCGTACGGGCCGTGTCAATTTCCCACGCTCGGTTTCATCGTGCAAAGGAAGTGGGACATTGATGCGCACGTGAGCGAAGATTTCTGGGCCATCAAGTGTTCGCATTCTCGCGAAGGCACAACGACGCAGTTTGAATGGAGCCGCGGAAGGTTGTTCGATCGTGCTTTCGCCTCTGCGTTGCATGACCTGTGCGTGCGGGCCAACTCTGCCACTGTCATCGACGTGGACGGGCAAGAAAGCAAACGTTGGCCACCGCATCCCTTGAACACCATTGAGATGCAAAAGCGCTTGAATAGAGTGTTGCGCATTTCCCCCGAGCAAATTATGAAGATTGCTGAGGACTTGTACAACGATGGTTTCATCTCTTATCCGCGCACGGAGACAGACAAATTTCCAAATGATTTCGATTACGATGGAACGCTGCGCGAGATGCATCAGCACCCGCAGTTTGGTTTTTACGTCGAGCGATTGACGACAGGCGGGCAGTTTCGACGACCTCCGGGCGGCACCAAGGATGACAAAGCGCATCCCCCCATCTACCCAACCAAGCTCGCCACGGATGCACAGTACGCTCAAATGCGCAACAAAAACCACAACGCCCCTAAAGTGTACGAGTTCGTCTGCAGGCACTTTTTGGCCACATGTTCATATCCAGCTGTGGCGTTGAAGACGCACGTGGATGTCGACATCGCCGGCGAAACCTTCCGTGCGACAGGCGTGATGATTCGTGAACGTAACTATTTGGATATCTACGGCCCTGGTCCTCCTGAAGGTCCACGGTTAGCGCCGACTTACGATAACTGGGGCAATAGCACGCTGCCTGTGTACACCCCAGGAGAACAATTTGTCCCAACTCTGAATTTACACGAAGGATCGACGAGACCTCCAGATTATCTCAGCGAGGTGGATTTGCTTTCGCTCATGGAGTCACACATGATCGGAACAGACGCTACGCAGGCGCAGCACATAGAAAAAGTAGTTGGCGAACGAGGATACGCTCGAAAAGTGGGCGATAACAGATTGATGCCGACAGAGCTAGGGGAAGCGCTGGTTCTCGCCTACGATCGAATGGGAGTCGCGGACATGTGGCTGCCGACGAAACGAGCAAAGATGGAAGCGGATGTAGACGCTGTCGCACACAACCGGATGGATCCCAACGCAGGTTTGCGACTGCATTTACAAACTATGCTGCAAGCTTACGACCGTGTCGCGACTGATGAAAACATGTTGACAAACACCGTCGGATCGTACATGAACGGCGGAGATCGTGGCGGCGGAGTCGAGCATATGAATGGACACGTGAATAATGCAAGAGTAAACGTTGCTCAACAAATGGCAGGTGATGTTGTTGGTGTTGTTCGAGAGCGTTGTCCGAGTTGTCAAGGCGAATCCACGTTGCGATCGACGATAGGGGCGAGAAATATTTCAACATTCACGGTTTCGTGCGAGGCGGCACATTGTGCTCACAGAGTAGTCATGCCCAAGTGCACGCGAAACATTACCATCGAACCCGAATCGTGTCGATGTCAAAGTCAGTTACTGCTATTCAAGTTTGCTCTCATCCACATGCCTGCGGGCCAGCAGCACATGCAACGTTGGAGCGGATGCGTGTTTTGCAGTGGAGAGTTCCAGCAATTTTTGCGCGCTTGTCAAGCGGAAGAACAACCTGTCGCGAGAGTATCTCCCGTGCGTCAAGCTCCACCGCAAGTGAACGGTGCCGGTCGCGGAAGAGGTCGTGGTGGCCGAGCGGGAGGCCGCGGCGCTGCCGCAAACGGTGGGCGACGTAGAACGCGCGCCGAGCGCGACGGCAACGACAACGCGTGCTTCAAGTGCGGTGAACGAGGACACTGGGCGCAAAATTGCCCGAACGTCGATCCCTATTAGCCATGTCTAGAATGAGTGATTATTTCATATCGATACGATGAAGTGTGGTCGGTGACAAAAACGTGTATGAGAATTTATTACAGTGACATTTATTCAGTGACGCCCTCCATCGTCGCGGCGCGCAGCGCTCACCGTCTCGACGCCGTGGCCGTGGGGGCGACTTCTGAGGGATCCTCCGAGTCCTCGGACAACGCTTCCTCGATCTCGAGAGTGGTGTAGATTTCTTCCAATCCCGTGAGCGACGGACGCATATCGCCGGCGAGGTCGTAATAGAGACCGCCAAGGTTGAGGATTTTTCTTGTCGTATCGTCGAAATTTTCATACGCTCGAAGACCGGTGGGATACGTGGGAGCATCTGCGAGCCAGTGATTAGAAGGGTTTCGGTATCGCTGCGATAAATCGTTCAGCAAACCGTCACCGGTGGTGGAGGTGTACTCTGAGGCTTCTTGCGAATGGTCGTTTGAGCAATCAATGGTGACAGCGTACAGCGCGCCATCCTCTTGATAAATTTCAATGCGGACCATCTTCCACCCGTAGCCGACGAGCGACGCGAGAACCCATTGTTTGCGATACTTAGTCGGTCCCGTGTATGTGCCGAGCTTCCAGTCCCTGCTGTGCCAAGAACCCGTGGTGCCTGGATTGAACGACTGAGCGATGCCGTACATGCAGTTGCCCATGTTTGTGGACAGGGAGCAAATGGTACCAGCCTTCACGATGACGCGACGAACGTCCAAATCTGGCCCCCATTGACCCTTTGCGGCCAGTAGGTGACCTTTCGCCGTGTTCGCGCGGGCGGCCCATGTCAAAAGATTATTCCCGCCAATACCATCGATAGCAGTAGTGACACTGTAATCCACGGGCGCGGAATCGCCAACGACGAGATTCTTGTACTGCATTTGACGCAACGCCAAGCCATGCATATCAGCTTCGGCATCGTTCCAGAATTTCGTGAGGTCATATCGCGAAGGGTCGCAATAAACTTTGGTGCAGCCTCTGTATTCTTCCTTCGAGCCTTTGCCAAAGATGCGCCAGTCTCGGTTTTGCTTTTCTTCGTATTCGTACCCCTTATCGAAACCAAACCTGTACCGCTTAGCGCCGATGATTTTTATGAACGCTCTCGGTGTGTCACCAACGGTGTTGATGTATATCTCTACCTTGACCATTTTGATAAACTTTCGAAAGTAGTCAACGCCGCCGGCGATCCAACGCACGGACTGCTGTGTCGGGTTGTGAGACGTGTCCATTTGCAACGCGACGCGCAGATGCGGATTCAGTCCCGTCAGTTCTTCCACATCATTGGACTCATGGAACATCATAATCGTCAATGGCTTGACGAGGCGCGCGTCTCGCTGCTCCTGTAAGTCGAGTGGTGTCCCGTTTGCGGGAATCGTACCCGTCAACGGCTGCGAACTGTACGACGAATCGTGGTAATCAGCCGGGCATTGAGCGTGGCAAGTACCGAAAACATACGAGATATGTGATTTGTCACGCTCGTTTTGGATATTTCTGTTGAAGAAATCACCATATCGCTGCGAACACGTGGTGAACGACAACGGCATGTTCTCGGTGCCCTTGCCGATTTCGTACAAGTAATCTCCCTTGTCGTTTTCCATCGCGAATCCAAACTCCCAATCCGTACCATCGCGGTGTCCAGTCGTGTTTACTTGCCACGCATACAAACCATCCGCGATCTCTTCGCGCGTCATCTCGATCCCCTTTTCGTAATTGAAAAAATCTGGCGAGCCGTAGTTGTGCCGCACCACCTTGCCGCTGCGACGCGCGAAATTCCAAAAGTCTTTCTCATAAGCCCACTCCCTGACCTCCCTCGACAAACAGTGATCATACATCGTAAACGTTCGAGGCTGACGAATCTCCCCGTTCCTCGGCTTCGGCGGCAACAGCGTGCCCTTCCCGTGATGTCCTCGCCATCGCGGCGATTCGCCGTACGCCGAGTCGTCGAGGAATCCGAGCGCGTCCCACCCCCCTCGCCGCGCCACCACCGCCATCATCGCGAGCGTCGCCGCGCCCGCGCTCGCGACGCCACCGATCCTCGCGCGCGTCCACGTCCGCGTCGGCGCCTTCGTCGCGTCGCGCGCGCGTTCCTCGTCGTTCGCGCCGAGCCCAACACCATCCGCAACACCCCTCGCGGTCGCGTCTCCGCTCGACGCCAGCAGCGCGTCGCGCTCCGTCGCGCGGTCCGCGCGCGCGCGCATTTCGACCTCGCGCGACGATCGTTCCGTCGCGCGTCGGCGTCTGTCGGCGCGCGTCGTTCTCCGCGCGCGTCGCGCGCCGTCGCGTCGATCGGTCGGTCGGTCGCGGTCGGTCGGTCGACCGGTCGGTCGGACGAATCGCCGCATCGCGCGCCCGCGCCGCGCTCGACAGACACCGACGCGCGACGGAACGAACGCGCGCGATGCCCGCGTCCGCGCGTCGCGCGCCCTCGACGCGCGCGCGCGGGTCGTCGCGCGGCGTCGCCGAACGCGCGACGACGACGCGCGCCGCGTCATCCGAAAAGGCTCGCGCGCGCGACGCGCCGACGACGACGCACTACGAGTTCGGCGGACCGATCGGCGCGCTCGCGATCACGGTCGCGCTGCCGCTGGTGTGCTACTTTCTCGCGTACGCGTGCAACGAGGATGGGTGCGCGGAGGTTTCGAAGCTCGCGCGAGGCGGCGCGTTCCCGGGGTTCCCGAAGCACATGCCGCTGTGGAGCGTCGACGGCGCCGTCGCCGCGTACGGATGGATGGCGTTCACGGTCGTCGCGCACGCGGTGATTCCGGGGCAGAAGAAACAGGGCGTCGCGTTGCCGGACGGAACGCGGCTGACGTACAAGCTCAACGGGTTTCGCGTCTTGGCGGCCACCGCGGTCGCGGGCGCGATCGGTACCAAGGCGGGTTGGTTCGATTTGGCGTCCGTGCACGATAACTTTTTGTCGATGCTCACGGCCATGGTGGTGTTGGCGTACGCGCTGTCGGCGTATTTGTACGCGAGCTCGTTTGCGAAAGGGAAGACGCTCGCGAAGGGCGGAAACAGCGGCAACGCGGCGTACGACTTTTTCATAGGGCGTGAGCTGAATCCGAGGATCTTGAACGGAGCGTTTGACTTGAAGGTTTTCTGTGAACTCACGCCCGGTTTGATCGGATGGTTGCTGTTGGATTTAGGTTTCGCCGCGAAGCAGTACGCGCGCGTCGGCGCCGTCTCCGCGCCGATGATTATGGTGTGCGTGTTTCAAGGGGCGTACGTCATCGACGCGCTGTGGAACGAACCGGCAATCTTGACCACGATGGACATCACCACCGACGGGTTCGGTTTCATGCTCGCTTTTGGAGATTTGGTGTGGGTGCCATTCACGTACTCGTTGCAGTGCCGGTACATTCTCGAACACGCCGTCGAGCTCTCCAACGCTCACCTCGTCGCCATCTTTGCCGTGCAGTGCGTCGGCTACTGGGTGTTTCGCGGCGCGAATTCTCAAAAGAACCTGTTTCGGACCAACCCCAACGACCCTAGAGTGAAGCATCTGAAGACGTTGCAAACCAAGCGAGGCACGAAGCTCATCGTCAGCGGTTGGTGGGGCGTCTGCCGCCACGTCAATTACCTCGGCGATTGGATTATGGCGTGGGCGTGGTGCTTACCGTGTGGTTTCTCTCACCTCGTCCCTTACTTTTACGTCATATACTTTGGCATTCTATTGGTACATAGAGACGGTCGCGATGGCGAAGCGTGCGAGGAAAAATACGGAGACGACTGGAAAAAGTACTGCGCCATCGTCAAGTATCGTCTGATCCCTTACATTTATTAACTCGTCCTCCACCGTCACGTAGTCAATCTTTTGTATTAGCGAGTCGATATCGACGAACGAATGAATTCCGCATCCGCCGCGAAAAGTGTCCCGGCTCGCCTCGACTGTTAAACACTTTATCCACTTCGCATTTCGCACACCGCGACGCCCTCGAGCCGTCTCGCGCCCTCTCAAACCGCGCCCAACGCACTTAAACCACTCTATCATCATGCTCGCGCAGTGCCAAGCCGCTCTCATCGCGCCTCGCGTCGCCAACGTTCGTCGAACGTCCGCGACCAAGGTCAAGTCTCAGGCTCGTCGCGTCGCCGTCGCGGCCGCCGCGGACGCGCCGGAGCCCGGTTCTTCGGCCAAGGGCATGGGAAAGAACCTTCCAGCGGCCATGGACATCGACGCCATCATGAACTTGCTCCCGCACCGATATCCGTTCCTGCTCGTGGACCGCGTGGTGGAGATCGAGGTCGGGTCGTACGCCATCGGCGTGAAGAACGTGACCATCAACGATAACTTCTTCCCGGGACACTTTCCGCAGCGACCGATCATGCCGGGGGTGTTGATGGTGGAAGCTATGGCGCAGGTCGGTGGGTTGGTGATGTTGGAACCTGGTGAAGAAGGTGAGATTCGATTCAAGCGCGCGCGCGTCGGTTGGCGAACGAATCGCTCGCCGCGTCGCCTCGCCGCATTAGTGATTCGCATCGACGAAGCGACGCATCGTCGTAGCGCGCACGAATAATGACGACTGACTGACGCGATCACGATTTTGACGCACGACGCAGGCGCTGGCGGTACCCAAAAGCAATTCTTCTTCGCCGGGATCGACGGCGTCAAGTTCCGTCGTCCCGTGGTTCCGGGTGACACCCTCGTCATGAAGGTTGTCCTCACCAAGCTCAACAAGCGTTTCGGGATCGCGAAAATGAAGGGTCAATGCTTCGTTGGAGACGAGCTCGCGTGCGAAGCCGAGCTCACCTTGGCGCTCGGCGCGTAAATCTTTCGGCGTTCGCATTCAATACCACAATATCTATATCATTGACGCGACGCCGCTATCGGCTACACATCAACGCTCGCGCGACGATGACCCTGATCCCACCCAACGCAACGCGACGCGCAAACGACCACAATCACAGTCACACTCACAACCACGCTCGCGCATTCAACGCCTCGGACATCGTGCGAGACGTGGCGCAACGACGAAGATTTGGGCTCGATGGATACGAAGAGCAAATCAAAGCTTCCTTCTTCGCCTCGACGCCGCGCGGCGGTCGCGACCGTACGACGTCGCGGATCGCCGGTTCGGCGCCATCTGCGGGGCACGTGGATGCGCGCGCGGTCGAGCGCGCGCGGGCGTTCGGGCTCGCTGTCCCGCACGCCGCGGTGAAGAAGAGTAGCACATACGCGCGCGCCGACGAGGCGGAATCGTACCGATCGCTTTGGCTGTCCGATCGCGCTCGGTGGCTCGAGGCGCAGAAGCGACGATGGGTGCGACTTCGGGTTAAAATTCGAGAAGCAAGAAATGAGAGAGAGCGGGGACGGGAGCGGGTGCCGGAACGAAAGGTAATTTCGACGTCAGAGGCGTCGTCGATTCCGCGCGACGCGATCGGGGAGGCGTCGATGTAGGCGAGGCTTGACTCGATCGCTCGAAATCCTTAACTCATGATAACACGCGCGCCCTATGCGATCGAATTTTAACATTCCAACACCCCATTCGATAATGCGACCATTATTGTGAGTACTCGTGCCACGGTGCCGCGGTGCCGCGGAATCAATCAACCAATTCTCATAAACGCTCGACGAGCTTCAATCTCGTCTCAAATCATATCTAAGCGATCGCCGTCGGCACACGCATAGGCTGACCGCAGTTTCCACACTTACAAATCGGTGCGCTCAAAGGGGCTTGAACAACGCTCGAACAGCTCGGACAGATGCACGCGACGACGGACAGTTGCGTCGCAGCTGGTCCACCAAATCCTGGCGGCGGTCTGACACCGTGGAGATTTTGCGCCGTCTGTACCAGCGGCGGTTCGCGCGGCGGTGAGTAATGCGCATCGACGTGCTCCGGAAGCTTCAAAATCCGTTGACACTGTCCGCACATCGCGATCGGATGCGGCGGTGGCGGTCGCATCAACACGCTTCTGCTGCGATACGAACCGGCGCCGAGCGCGCGTCGTTAGTCGTTTGTCGACACCCACGAAACGCGTCGCGCGTCGCTCGCGCGTGCACTCACCACCCTGGGCACAAAATCAAGGACTGCTGCTGCGGTGCGCTCGTGGCGTGCAGCGGGTTCGACCCCGCCGCGCACGTCGGACACATCCTCTGCCCGGGCGCGTTGCCGGCGCCTTGTAGCGGGTTGAAGAAGAATCCACATTTGAAACAAACTTGCGTCCTCGCGTGTTCGATCTCGGGTCGCGGGTGGTGGCCTTCGACTTGATGGTGCGGTGGGTGACCGTAAATGGTGTACGAGGATTCAGCATCGGTTGCGGTTGCGGTTTGGTCGCTCATAGCGCGCGACGGAGTGACGCCGCGCGCGCGCAGCGACGTCGACGAGACGATGACCGCCGGCAAAGAAATCAGTACTAAATGATGTAGCTAGGCGCGAGATCTAAACCTAATGAAACGTTTTCCCATTGCTCGTGCGTAAACGCGGCGCGAGTTTGGGTCCATGCGTCCTGATGAGTCTTTTTGAATTCCGCGAACGTGTGTTGGGTGGCTTGCTTGATCGGCGACGGTTCGAGCGATGCGAAACCGAGCGCCTCCATGACTTCAGGCATCCAACTGGGAACTTCGTACGGGTTGGAGAGAACGCACGCGGACAAACCTAATACTGCCGCGTGTTTGTGCATGATGAGCTCAGAGTTGGCGTCCGATGGGAGTCGCACGCTGACGATTTTGAGAAATCTGTCACGCAACGTTGATTCATCAGCCGCGCCGACGCCCTTCAAGAAAATCATCAGTGTGTGCGACGCCAATTGCGCGACTTCCAGTTGCTTGTCGTGCAACGCTTCGAGAACACATTCGCGCAACATCGCGAACAAGCCCGAATCGATGGTAAAAGCGTGATGGTAAATCAAAGCCTGGATGTATCGCAGCGTTGCGGCGCGCGTGTGCCAATTGTCATCGCGTGTTGTCTCACCAAGAACCTCTGTGAATGCTCGCAACTCTACCTTTTCAAAGTTCAGATACTTCAAGTAAGCGATGGTGAGCTTGGAGACCATGGCGAAATCTTTGTCCTTGGATTCTGCGGTGCGTAGCGCGGCTCGAAGAATCAAAGGTATACTGGGCTCCACTGTCAACGCATCGCCGCGACGAACGAGTTCGAGGAAAGTGTAAAAGATCCCTTCGAGAGCATTTCTCGAAGGTGTCATGATCGCATCTGGCTGCGCTGGATCAGACAACAACGCGCGATTGACGACATTTTCTATGTCTGCCGTGAACAGGGTGATGAGTTTGGAACGAGCGGCGTTGAGCGCTTGATCGCATTCCGCAAGCAGAGACGCCGCAAGTTGTGCGCCAGTCTCGCGAACAAGACGGCTTTCATGCGCGAGCGGGGAAGCGGTTGGATCCGCAAGGAGATCCATGAGTGATTGTTTTATATCCATACCCCGGCCGTGACCGAGCTGGGCGATGCAGACGCGCGTGAGCTCAAGCCCTCGCGCCGTTTGTGCCACAGTGCCCATCGGCGTTGAACTGAGATGCCGAAGAAGGCTATCGGAAACATTCTCATTGCCACTATCCGTGCACCATGCCGCTCCTTTAAGCCATTCTTCTCTTTGATCGGTGGGAGCATCTAAAGCGTACTTGAGGAAAGTGTCTTGCATCCATTGACGATCGATTTCCGTGATGGAACGCGACGCCAACGCCCCAGCGAGTGCTTCCGAAATTGCGCATCTCTCACTTCGATCGCTGTCGTCAGAAGTTTGCTTTATGGCTGCTCGCAGACCGGTAGTGAGTTCAACGGGAGCGATGCGAGTGAGAAGCTGCCAAAATCTTGCGACAGCAGTGATGAAAGCACCAGACTGTGGTAAAAAGTCAGCTGCCCTTGAAGTTGGCCAGTCTGCACCGCCGGAAGACATTTCCTGTGCGAAACCGTACAACGACTCGGCGGCTTGCATTAGAGCGTCAGCTTTTCCATTGGTTCTACCGCGAGACTCGCTGTTGTCGATTGCAGAGTGTGCGATACCGAAACTATCGAGTAACGACTTACACGACGACTCTGGATCAGCGCTCATCATACGCAGAATCATCGGCGCACAATTCGATTCAAAACACTCGTATCGACTCATCATAAGGAGTGCGCACATGGCTGGGAACCTCACAACTTTCAAGTCGCCGAGGATACTCCGCATAAACTGCTCCGTTGCGCTCGCGAGAAACTTCGGGTCATCCTGCGAGTCTACGAAAAACACACTCATCGCGTTTGTCATCATCTCGTAGCTCCAGTGCAATGCAGTTTCGGATTTCAGCGATGCGAGCAGTCGTTCTTGGAGAACTGTGATGCCAATCCGTGGTTTTGGATGAAATAGGCCACGAGTAAACAATAAAGCGAAATGTAAGAAAAGTGCGCCGATCGCATTCTGGGCCTTTTCTGTACCGTGATGCGAGCTTCCCAACAACGCCTCAACGAACGGCACGAACACACTTTCGTTCCGAAACAACTCTCCGAGCGCTTCGTGCGCTTTCAAAGCTTCACAAGCTGCGATACATTTGTCTTCATCTTCTTCGCTCTTTGCGAGAGATTTTACAGATAATTCGACGAAAGGAACGATTTCCTTCGGATATCGATCAGACAGTCCCTGCACGACGGGTAGCGCGGAGCATCGGACGCTCACATATTTGCTCAAGGCTAAATCTTGAAGGGAGCCCAGCAAAGCATTACGACTCACATCTGAAGATGGACCAGTCAAGTTGAACGGCGACGCAGATCCTGAAAAGTAAACGGACATTGCGTTGCGCCAGTGCAAACTCAGCCGAGCTTTCTCTGCAACGAACCATCTCGGGTATCTGCTATGCTGCCCACCTGTTTTGGGCTGTGTAAAGTAGTATCCAATCGAGTTCAACGCAGCGAGTGACTTTTTCTGAAACTTGTACGAAGATCGAGCGGGATTTACCACCGCTTTCGCCGCAGAGCAAATCAAACTCAATGTATCTGTGTCATCGGCACCAGTCTTTTGAATTGCCGCTACAAGTGCTCTTGCTGCCAACGTCCGGGGCGTTGAGTCTGTGAAAGGTAACGCGTGTCCAGTAATCAACAGCGCTGAATCAGAGTCCGAAAAGTCTTTCAGCCTATCTTCGAGTCCACCCAAGGCACCAACCATCATTGACACATTCGTCCTAATCCAATCCTTCGATGAAGACGCGTCGTCGCAATCCATCGCATCTTCGTTCGTCACTTGGAGTAACGCGTGCGCCGGCGCCACGAGAAATTCATCAATCATTGCCTGCGCGACTACAAACTCACCTTCACCTGGCAAACGCCACGATAAAGGCGTCGGTAAGTGTTGCTCGCCAATCACATTACCGCCTTGATCGAGTCTCCACTTCAAATTGACCCAATCAGTAACGGAATCTCCCTCGACTTCGTCCTTGACTGTGTCGATGACTTCAACAGAGAGCAGACCTTTCAGTATCGCACTAACATGCAGTTCAGCATAAGACATGAGATCAAGATTTCGACAGGTCTCGCTAACTTTGAACATCTTGCGAGTCACGTTCATAAAGTCTTCGCGTAATGCGAGTGCCGCTTCTCTTGAAGCTACCGTGCATTTTGTCAAGATGCAAGAGTTCCAAAAGATGCGAGCTTCCGCCGTCGTTGAGAGTTCACCTTCAAAATCCAAATCTTCATCCAGCGCGACCATAGCTGGACGCAAGATCTCTCGAATCACTAATTCGGTATCTGCGAAAAGCGCGGCGGAGACTAGGCGCGCGACCTCTTCACAAATTTCAGGTAAAGTGTTGTCGCGAATAAACGCCGCTACTCGCATGATGGCGACGCTTCGAATACTCGGATCGAGCCTTTCGAATAAAATTCGAAGAAGTGGAGAGTACATGGTAGACGTAGACAACAGAAATCCAGCCGCGTGTCGCGCACCACCCTTAAACGCATCGGCGGCGTCTGACTTACTACCGTGTGTGTCCGGTTGTAAATGTTCAAACAGGGTGAACAGTCGCTCAAGAAAGTGCACCGTCCACTCTGACCATAAGATCGGGACGCACGACACCGCACCGTTTTCACCCACATCTACTAATCTCGGTAAATTCGTGACCACTACACAAAAGAATCTCAAAGTCGCACATGTTTTCGATGAATCATTAACGTCGATCCCCGGAAGAGCGGCGTTGAGCGCAGACGCAAGAAACTCACTGACATTGACATACGCTTCCTGATCATCCTGGAAAATCGTATTCGTTGGAAGCAGCATAATTTGTCGCACACATAGAGTGAGACAATTCATAGCGGGCACGAGCTGACGAGTAGCCGTTTCGTGCGCTAAAGCTTCCTCAAATCGTGACATGACGCTGGGCAATATCAGTTCAGGGTTCATATACGCCAATCGACCTATGCCGATGGCGGCGTATCGCCGAAGATCAGACGACTTTGAGAACACTGCTCTGTCCGTTATGCGCTTGAATACCGGTACCAAACGTGCCAGAACCTCCGGCCGTACTACTCGTTTTTCGTACCCCACAAATTTGTTTGTGTACTTGATGAGATACCTCAGGAAAGATGCTAGATTACCGCTAAAGGATCCGCTGCTGCTCGGGTGGTAAAAATGCTCGATATAATCGATTATTTTTGCGATGTACTCAACCACTGCGTCGTCGCACATCGCTCGGTAAACTAAGAGTTTTGCCACCGTACGCACGCGACGCGATTCGAGCTGCGAACCAAACGTCATAGCGGCTTTGAAACTCACCTTACGGCCGAACGAACGACGCCCTTCGATACCGCCGATCGGTAGTTCCATGACACGTAAAGTAACCGTCAGCATATCATCGTACACGCCTTTCCAGTTGATTTTTCCCTTCAAGTCGTGTTTTGCCAGCTGCGAAAACATCGAAATCCAACCCGACGTCCAGAAACTACTCGATCCTAACGCATGCGACAGCGTCACCCACTCCCCATTCATCATCTCTACGAAAAACAATTCATCACTACACGGTGTCGACATTTGCATGCACGGCGTAAACAAATGTAGCAATCCTAAACCGGCGAAGCATTTCGCGTCCTCCGTCGCTCGACAATCCTCCGCCACGCGCTCCCAAATCGCTCTCGCCGCGCCATCCGGGAAAAACCGACGGCACTTTCGCACGAGAGTCATGTAACGCGCACGAGTGGCACTACACGATCCATATCCCGAATACGCTTTCGCATCGCTCTGCAAAAACGTTTCCACGCGCGCGAACATCGGCTCCCAGTGGCATACGACGCCGCCCAAATCCTCCCCGTATCGATCAATCAGCGCGCACAATCCAACGCACCACTCGTGCGCGCACTCATCATCCACCCCCACGCACTCCCTCGCGAACGCCTCCGAGACGTAGAACGCGCGTTCCACATCATGGACGTCGACTGGGAATCCCGCGCCCGCGGCTTTCAGGCACCTCGCCGCCGCCAGCGTCTCCGACCACGTTCCATCCCTCGCGCATCGCTCTCGCAGCGACTCCAGCGCGTTCACGAACGCGTTAAACGCGCGCGCGTCGCACGTCCGCGCGCGCGCGACGAGATCGGCGTCCAGGAGTTCGGCGCTCGCGCTCCGGTACGAGGTCACCGGCATCTGCGGCGCCGCCGCCGGGCCGACGTCGGCGTCGCGCGACGTCGCGCGTCGCCTCGCGCGCGTCGTCGCGCTTCGCGCGCGCTTCGGCGTCGCGCGCGCGTCGGCGTCGGCGAGGCGCGCGGCTCGATGTGACGCGGCGGAGGATTGACGGTTACTGGGGACGGTTGGTTTGGGCTGCTACACGCGTCGCGTCGCGTCGGCGACGCGAGAACTACGCGTCGAGCTCGAGGGCGCGAAGGCGCCGCGTGAGCTCGACGGCGACGCGAGAATCGGGCGCGGTGGCGGCGGTGATGGCGTCGGTCACGGCGACGTCGGAATCTCGGCGCCGGAGAATCGCGGCGAGGTCGGCGAGCATCGCGACGGCGCGATCGAAATCGTCGGTCTCGGCGAGCTCGAGGGCGGCTCGAACGATGGTTCGACGTTCCTGTGGACCGGTTAAACCACACTCGAGGGCGAGATTGGCGGCGGCGAGCGCGCCGCCGGCGTCGGCGCGAATGAGCGCGCGAACTGCGGCGGCGGGAGCGCGGATGGAGATGTGCGCCTTGGCGGCGGACTCCATCCCTCCGCGCGTTTCTTCCACGGCGGCGAGCTCTCGTCTCGTATCGAGTAATAGTTCGTCCGTCGGTAAGAGTCTGGCGGCGGCGAGTGCGGCGGCATCTCGAACCAAACCGCCACGTCTGAGTGTCTGAATCGCGCCTCGCACGTCGTGCAAGGACAGCGATACCATCGCCGCGAGCTGATGCTCGCCCGCGATTTCTAATCGCTCGCGTTGCGCGGCAGCTACGATGGACCACACGTCGTATCCACCGCCGACAAAGAGCGACATGAGCTCGTGTGAAATTGGCGCCTCGCTCGCTTGCAAGACTGTCGCCGCGGCGTGTGCGTAATCGCCTCGATACATGTGCAGCGCCACCGCGCGCTCGAGTTCGTGCGTCGACGGATTTTCATCCGATGCGAGCCTGGCCTCGTTCATCAGCAGCGCCATCGCCGCGTCGGCGTCTTCATACAAACCCAAGCCACTCGGTCCATACTTCAATTCGTTTGCGCTCAACGGATCGTTGGCGCCTTTGTACGCGCGACGAGCAAGAGCGACGACGGCTTCCTGGCTCGCGCGTATTCCTGTTGGCGTGCTTTCCTCGTGCGACGGCTTGAGCAACGCCCCACTGAGACCGCTCGATCTAACCTTTTTCGTCTTCACCACACACGGTTTTTGTGTCTTCGACGACTTTGTAGGCGACTCGCACGCTGCGTTTTCATCGACCACCGCGGCTGAGTCCTTATTCGCCGGCGTTTCGTTTTCGCGCGGCGCGTGCTCGTCATCCTTGTAACGCCACACTCGGAAAGTTTTATCGTCGCCCCCGCTGATGATCGTCTCGTCATCGTGCGTCGCAAACTGTACACACATCACCTTGCCAAAATGACCACGCAGTACCGCGATATTCACCGGATGAAATTCATTCACAGTCTTATCGATGCGCCAAACTTTGATGGCGCCGTGGAGAGCGCACGCCAAAAGCGCGACGCTCTTTTGTTGCGACCACGCAATGTCGTAGACCGCGGCACGTGGAAGCGCGCAAATAACATCACCACCTACACCATGTATGATGACACTTCCACTCGTTGAAGAAGTGGCGAGCCAAGCGGTGAAGTCGCTCGCATCGTCGTCGCATTCAGGATGCCATTTCACGCGAGAAACGCTCTTACTGTGTTCTCGCCGGCGCCACTTTTCTTCACCAAAATCATGCGCGCTCAATTCACCGTCTGACCAGCCGATCGCAAATCGCCCGAAAACACTTGAATAGTCGAATGCTTCGATGCTTCGAGTATCCTTCGCGGTTTCTCCACCGCACAGGCGTGCCAAGTCGAGGTACTTGCCGAATTTCCGCGCGTCGACTATGCCAGATTTTTTCGTGTCGCACGACGCCGGGTCAAATGTTTCCATCCACCGCCACAACGACCCATCCGCACCCAAACTCGTGAGCGTGAACGTGCCAGACTCTTCACCGACGTTGCATATTTCAAACCACTGCAGTGCGCGTACCGATGCACCGTGACACTCGGGGTAGCACGCAAACTTTCCGGTTGTCACGTCAAAGCATCCGACGCGTCCGTCGTCGAGGCCGAACGCTACGACTTCGCTTCGCGGCTTCCGCGCGATAGCTGTGACTTTTGTGTTTGGAATCCCTTTCCAAAGAAGTGACTCTCCTAACCCACTGGACAGCGTGGGAGACAGATCCCACCCGTGCACGGTTCCATCGCCGCACGCGATGGCCACCGCGAATGGATCTTCGGCGTCCGTCGCTAAATCGTACACGTATCCACCTAGTGCGGTGAACGACCACCGCTGCTCGACCGTCTCCAAGTCCCAACACGCTACTTTCCTATCTAAACTCGTACTCCAACACGTGTCGTCGGCAATATCGATGGTGAACACCGTTCGAGTGTGCGCGACGTCTCTCGGCCCAAACGTTTTCGCCTCCGTCACTTCTTCCACGCCGTCGCCGAATTTCAAAGGTACGCGCCACGAAAGCAAATCCCCACCTTGTCCAGACGTAACTAATTCCACGCACTCATTGTCACCTTTGTCATCACCGCTCGCGCGCGGCGACCACGCGACGGCGACCCACACGCGACCGCGTTGCGCTTCGCTCAGCGCCGCCTTTGGTTTCGGCAATCTCAACTCGTGCGTGTTCACGAGCTTGTCACCCTCCAAGGCCCATATCGTCACTCGTCTCTCTCGACTACCCACAGCTAAAAGATCCTTCGTCTCTCCCTCTCCCACGCCACCCGTCGTCCACGCGAGCGACGTGATCTCCCCGTATCCGCTCGCCGCCACGCGATGCGTCGCGCCGCTCCTCGCGTTGAGCGCGCACACCGTCCCATTCGCCCCTCCCACCGCGATCACGTCCCCAACCGCGGCCATGCACGTGATCGGTCCATCGATCGCTTTGTACGCGCACGTCGGCGATCCGTTCCCCAGCACGCGCCAGACCGCCACCGTCCCGTCTCGACATCCGCTCGCGACTTCGCCCGCGCCCCGCGCGCACGTCGCCGTCACCTCGTGTTTATGTCCTCCCGTCATCGTCTTCCCCACGAACGCCATCGCGCGCGCGTCGAGCGTCCTCAAAACCTTATCCGCGCACCCGCACACGACGACCTCGCGCGCGCCTCCTCCCTCGTCGTCCTCGCCCTCCCGCGTCTCGCTCGTCGTCGCCGCGCACACCGCGAGCGCCCGCGCCTTCGTCCCCACGAGTCCTCGCACCGCGCCCGTCTCCCCGTCCAGCACGCACACCGCCTTATCCGACGCGTAGACTAAACCACCATCGCGCGTCGCGCACGCCGCGTGCGCGCCGTACCACGACGGCGACGGCGGCGCGCCGCGCATCGTCCCGCGTTCCAACCGAATGCGAATTCACCGCGCGCGCGCGTCGCGCCCGCGTCGCGTCGCGCGTCGACGCGCGCGCGTCGACGCGCTCGAACGCGCGTCGAGCGCGTCGCGCGCGTCGCGCGTCGCGCGCGCGGTCGCGAGGCGAGCACTGCCGCTCGACCGCCGCGCGTCACTCTTCGCCTCGCATCGCGCGTCGTCGCGCGTCGTCGCGCGGCGCCGGCGTCGTCGCGCGCCATGCTCACCTTTTGCCCGACGTGCGCGAATCTGTTGCTCCTCGAGCGCGGCGCCGCGGACGCGTCGACGTCCGGCGCCGGCGCGGGCGTCGGCGGCGCCGTCCGGCTGCGCTGCGCGTCGTGCCCGTACGCGTACGACGTCGTCGACGGCGTGAAACAGCGCGTGGACGCGCGAAAGAAGACCGTGGACGACGTCTTGGGCGGCGACGACGCGTGGCGAAACGTGGATAAGACGTCGGCGACGTGCCCGGGGTGCGCGCACGACGAGGCGTACTTTATGCAGATACAAATCAGGAGCGCGGACGAGCCGATGTCGGTGTTTTACAAGTGCGTCAAGTGCGCGAGGCAGTGGCGCGAGGGATGAACGCCTCGAAACTCGGATGACGCCAGAAGCGCGCGCGGGCGCGAGCGCGCGACGCGTCGTCGTAGAATTAGCGTTGTGAACGAGCGCGTTCGTCGCGCGCGCGGCGTCCCGACCTCGGGACGGTCGAACGAGGCGCCTCGCCCGCACTTTCCCGCGCGCGCGCGAGCCACGATGAGCGAGGAAGAGTACAGCGAAGACGAAGATTACGTCTCGAGCGAAGGCGAAGGTGCGCGCGGGCGCGATCGCGGTTCGACGCGACGCGCGACGCGATGAATGGCGTGCGCGCCGCTTTAGGGTTCTCTGCGCGCGTCGTCGATCGGCGCGCTCTCGACGCGCGCGGTGACTGACGAACGGGCGCGCGACGCGCGATGGTGACGCAGGCGTGGAAGGAACCGAGGAGGGCGGCGAAGGACAGCCGGCGCAGGCGGCGGCGCCGGTGCTCGGACCGAAGGAATGGGTCGGGCTGAGCTCGATGCCGGCGGCGACGCAGAGCGCGCTGTTGGAGACGCTCGGTAAGCTCCGGGAGCGTAACGTGAACGAGATGACGGTGATTTTCATCGGGAAACAAGGCGTAGGGAAATCGTCGACGGTGAACACGCTGTTGAACGAGCGAGTGGCGCCGAGCTCGCCGTTTCAACCGGAGAACGTGCGACCGTTGCTCGCGGGACGCGTCGCGGCGGGATTCACGCTGAACGTTTTAGACACTCCGGGGTTGCTCGAGGGTGATTCCGTCAGCGCGCGAGGACTCATGGCGCTTCGCGCGGCGCTGAACGGGCGCAAGGTGGATGCGTTCGTGTTCACTGACCGTTTGGACACGTGGAGAGTGGACAACGCGGACAAGGCGATTTTCACTTCGTTGGCTGAAAACTTTGGGGCGGAACTTTGGGAACGCACAGTGCTCGGGTTCTCGCACGCTCAAACCACGCCGACGGACGGTAGACCGTACGAAGAATTCGTCAACGCTCGCGTGGAGCAATACCGCAAGGCGATTCGGTCGACGCTGAACATGCCCAACTTGGCGCTTCCGTTCGCGCTCATCGAAAACGGATCTCGATGCAAGACGAACGGCAACGGAGAGAAGGTTGTCAACGATCGACCTTGGTTATCGGACATGGTGAGCACGATGGTAGAAATGGCGTGCTCGAAGGATGGCTACGAGTACGACCACGGCAAGGCTGGCAAGAAGCTCGACCCGAACAACAAGCACAAGATTTGGATTCTCCCCCTGTTCTTGTTTCAAGCCTTCGTCTTGCGTCCGCTCGTCATCGGTCAAATCAGGCGCGACATTAAGAAAGCGGACGAGAAGAAGCAGCGGGCGGCCGCGGCGAAGCATTGATTCGAGCGCGCGAGTCGCCATTAGGAACCCCAGTTTTAATATAGTTGAGAAAAAGACACAGTCGCGAGCGCGAGTCGCGCGCGACGGCGAGAGCGATATTCTCCGCATAACTTACAGCGCGCGCGCGCGACGCGACGTCCACTATCTCACGCCCTCTCGATCTTCGAGCAATCCACCGTCATCTCTCCCGTCTCCTCGTCCTCGATGATCGCGCACTCCACCTTCTCCGTCGTGTCCGCGACTTGGCACGCGACTTCGCCCCCCGGTTGTTCGCAGCAGTACACGTCCGCCCCGTTCGCGTCCTTATCCGCCCATCCCACGAGACACGGCTCCATGCCCAGCGCGACGTCGTCCACCGTCTCCGACGCCGCGTTCGCCTCCTTCGCGCGCGTCGCGACCGTCGACGCCGCGCGTCGCGCGCGCTGACGTGGCGTCGCGACTCGGCGCGCGTTCGCGACGCCCGCGACGCGCGCGATCGTCCGCATCGTCGTCGAGCGCGTCCGAGCGGCGCAGGAAGTCTCCGCGCGAGGTTCGCGTCGCGCTTTACCGCGCGCGCGCGTCGAGCGCGTCGCGAACGGCGCGATCGCGTCGCGATCCGGCGCGACGATCCCGTGTGATCCGTGTGTGAGACGCGCGTCCCGACGCGTCGCCGCGCGGCGCGACGCCGCAGTGGACGATGGCGCGCGCGCGCGCGATCTCGGCGTCGACGACGACGACGCGCGGACGTCGCGCGCGCGCGACGCCGAGACGGCGGTCGACGACGACGACGCGGCGGGACGCGGTGGATCCGCGAACGAGCGATGCGGCGTTCGCGCGCGACGCCGCGCGGGACGAAAACCGCGCGGCGAGCGCGGTGCGAGGGGCGGGCCCGGAGCATTTCTTGGTCGGTGAACCGACGTACGCGTACGGGAGCACGACGAGAAAACTCCCGCGGAGGATCGTGCTCGTGCGGCACGGTGAGTCCGAGGGGAACGTGGACGAGAGCGAGTACACGCGGACGCCGGATTCGCAAGTGCGGTTGACGGCGCGAGGACACGAACAGGCGGAAAGCACGGGGCGAGAGCTTCGAGATATGATGGACGCGGATGGGGATGATTATAAACTGTTCTTTTACATCTCACCGTATCGTCGGTCGAAGGAGACGGCCATCGGCATCGCCAAAGCCTTCTCGGGAAGACAGATTTTGGGCGTTCGAGAAGAGCCGCAGTTGCGCGAGCAAGATTTTGGGAACTTCCAAGATTACGAACGCAAGCAGGCCGAAAAACTCGAAAGACATCGGTTCGGACGGTTCTTCTATCGCTTTCCGAACGGAGAAAGCGGTGCGGATGTGTACGATAGAATCACGATGTTTTCAGACCACATGGTGCGCGACATCGACGCAGGCCGATTTCCAGAAGACGCGAATATGATTTTGTGCACTCACGGTTTGACCTTGCGCTTGTTTCTCATGCGCTGGTTTCATTGGACCGTGGCAGAGTACGAACGTATCGCGAACCCGTCGAACTCGCAGCCGATCATTTTGGAAAGACGGGATTCAATTTCAATCGAGGCGTCGATGCACACCAAGGAGTGTTACGTCCTCGCGCAAGAGTCGAAAGAAGGCTTGAGCGGGTGCACGGACGACATGTGCACGATGATTTTACCCGAAGAATGCTGGAGTCGCGCTCTGCAACTCGGACCAGACGTAAATCACAGTCTTTTACCGCCGCCAGCGGTGCCCAAACCGTCGACCGAACGGTTTGATGAATGTTGAATTAACACGTTCTCTGTCGCTCGCTCGCTCGCCGCCATGTATCCATTAATTACGCACAATTGATCTTTTAATAAATTACACTCCTTGGTGTACTGCTAAATCCTAATACACAGCGTCTTGCGCCCACATGCCGTGGAGTCCTGGCGGCAAGTGCTCGCCCTCGAACAGCACGCTTGCAACCGGTCCCTTCGTGATGTCCAACGCGTCGAAGATGTGGAGCGTCGACGTCTCTGCGCCGGCGTCGTTCACGACTTGCAGAATCCATCCCTCGTCTTCCTTTGTCGCTCCAGGACGTGGCGCAAAGATCGGTTCCTGCACAAAACACCGTTCGCCATAGTACCAAACTTGCTCTTGCGCCGGCGCCTCGCTGTTCGGGTCCGTGGTATGTTTCACCAAGCACTGATTCGGGCCCCACTTGACGTCATCCTTGACGATGGTTCCCGCGCTGTAAGCGTGCGTGTATTTACGACCAACAAACTTGTTGTTCATCGTCGGAAATTCCCCAACACGATTGTTCAATACCGTCTGCTTGCACGTCTCACGCACTGGATTGACAACGAATCGCGTGTACTCGACTCTGGAACCACCGTTGAAAAACGCCGGATTCACCGAGTCGAGATTCATCGAAAAGTCCATAAAGACCCAAGGCAAGGAGTCCAAGACGACGTCGCCGTTCTCGCGCTCGAATGCGTTGATGTGGTGAAAGAAGAATTGCGGTTTGAGCTCGATGGCCTTTTGTCCAATCTTACGCGCCTTCTCCGTGCGAGGCAAGCAGTGCAAAATTGCGCTCTTTCCATCCACCATGCAAATCGTCTCCGCCAACGCGCACTTGGCAAACATGTACTCGGTGAGAAGCTTTTGCGGGTTCAAACTCGTGGGATTTTGGAACAAAAAGTACCAGTTCTCCGTGACGAGGCAATCGTGAAAGAATCCAAAAGTGGCGTTCGGGACGTCAAAGTTATTCACAGCCGTCGCCTTGCCTTGGGAGTCCCACTCGTAAAACGCGGCGCGGTTGACGTTTTGCGGAAAAGACGCTTGGCTTTCGATGCTAAAGCCGATCAGGCGTTTCTCTTCCTCGGTTGCACCTTCCCAAATTCTGTAGTGCGCGGCCATTTGCGGCACACGAAGCTTCGTGCCGAGAACTTCATCAACCTCGCCGACAGTCTTCAAATCCTCCGAGCGCATCTTGTGCGGTTTGCCACCTTCCCACAACGCGTACGTCTCGCCGCCCCAGTTGACGACGCCAGTGTTAGCCACGTTCTTAACATCGAAATCGAAAGGGTTGTAAAGCGAATCACCCTTGGGGTTACCAATCGCGAAAGCGCCCTTGTAAATCATCTTTTGCGCCGCTTGCTCTTCGGTGAATCCCTTTGTGCCGACAAAATTGTGCCTGAATTTCACGTCGCCATTCTCAAACGCCGCCGCGTACACCAACCCATCGCCATCGAAGAATTGATTCAGCTTCTTCCCGTAAATCTCCAACAACCCCGGTCCATTGCGAAACAGCGTCCCTTTCAACTCTTTCGGGATCTCCCCGACGATCGTCGCCTTCGGTTCGCCCTCGCCCGTGACGCTCAGCGTCGTGTTGCGATACACCGAGCGCCAATCTTTAATCGTTTGATTCGTCGGCGCCCACGTCCCATTCGCCGGTGCGTTCCCGGCCTCGTACGGCGCGCGCGGAAGATCCCAGTTCTTCGCTTCCATCGTCGTCGTCGCGTCGCGCTCAGCCGTCGCCGCGTTCACGCTCGCCTTTTCGTTCGCCGCCGCGGTCGCCACCGCGCGTCGCGTCGCCGTCGTCGTCGCGACGCCGCGCGCGCGTCGTCGCGTCGCCGACGCGGGCGCGCGCGCGGTCGAGATCATCGTCGCCGTCGTCATCGTCCGCGTCGTCGTCGACGCGCGCGTCCGAGAGGCGAGTTGTGACGCGCGCGCGCGACCGCATCGCGGGCGTGACGTCGACCGCGCCAGCATTCGTCGCGACCGGGCTGGGCTGAATGTGACTGACATCGGGCTAAAAGGAGAAGCTGAACGAGCTCGCAGACGCGGTGGCGAAGGCGTCGCCGATGATGGATTTGGCCTTCTGCGTCGCGCTTGTCTTCTTGCGCGCGTGCGCGTCGACGATGGCGAGCAAAGCGTCGTCGCCGGACGCGCGAAGGGCGGCGACGAAGCGGTCGGATAAGCCGCCGCGGCGATTTTTGTCCAAGCCGGAGACTAAGTTTTCGCACTTTGTGTCGAGAAAATCCAAAACTTTGGGGAGATTTGCGACGCTGACGTAGTTTTGAGTGATGGCGATGCACTCGGTGAGATTGAGCGCCATGTGCCACCATCCGCTCGGGACGAACAACACGTCGCCGGGTTCGCACACGCACTCGAGCGCGCCCTCCTTGTTCGCGAACTCGTAAAACGACGTGAACCATTCGACGAGGCTGTGTGGCTGAGCGACTTCGGCGCCGTCCGCGGAAGGGTACACGCCTGGTGGATTTTGATTGGGCTTAAACATTATCCAACGCTTGCGACCGGTGATGCAAGCGTTCCACGCCGAAGTCGCGTTGGGATCCTTGTGAAAGATGGAGCCGCTCTTGGACGGTCCGACGATGAGCCAACGATAATGCGGCCGGTCGTCGCTCAAGAGCTTGAATAAATCGTCTCGAGCGAAATACTCTGGCACGGTGTAGTCGTTCGCGAGCTCGGGAGCCTTTTCTCCAAACAAAGGGTCGAACAAGTAAAGCGGAGTGTCGTCCGAGCATCCATCCGAGCAGGCAAAGAAATCCTTCAGCGCCATCTCATACCCGCCCACCGTAAAATCGATCGCACCGAACTTCCGCACCAGCGCTTGTCGCGTCCACTTCTTCATCGCAGGCCAATTTTTGGCGGCACCCCGAATCACGACCGGGATATTCAAACTCTCATACTTTTCCCTGAATTCGTCCACGCTCATCGTCGACGTCGCTTCCGGCACGGTCGACGCCTCGGCGACCCATTCCGACTCCACATCCATGGCCGCGCACATGTACCGCTGATGCAGCACATCGCTGAATATTTCGCACTGTATCGTGCGTCGATCTTTCTCTTCCTTTTCGTCCTCGCGCGGTCGCTTTCTCGTTCGCGCCTCTCGCGCCGCTCGAAACGTCGCCAACCAACTCTGCCCTCGAAACGTAAACTTGCCCCCGTACGCGTTCAGCGTCAAACTCTTCCAAAGATCCTCGTGCGTCGCGAACGCGCGACACGCTTTGCTCGTCGACGCAAGCGCCGCGAGCGTCTTCGCGCCGTCGTCGTCGTGCGTGAAGCGGTCGAAGACGGAGAGTAAAAGCGCGTCGTCCAGCGCGGCGAGCGCGCCTAAACCTGCGGTTTTGCGCGCGTGAAGCGCGCGGGCGTCGGCGCTTGGAAGGAGCAAAGCGTTTCCGTTCGGCAGCACCCCCGCGGGGTGCACGCCCATGGCGCGGCGCGGCGTGGAATGTCGACGAACAACTCGGTGGTTACTACACTTTTTCAACTTTCAATTCAACGCGGACCGCCGCTCGATTTCTTCTTCTTCTGCTTCTTGTTCTTTCGATCCTTGGAAGACGCGTTCGTCGCGACGTCGCGCGAGACGCGTTCGACGTCGACGGGAACGATTTCCACGCTGCCCTCGTCTTCGTCCTCCTCCTCCGTCGCCGGCGTCGCCGTTCGCCGACACGTCAGCGTCCCCTTCGCGTCGCTCGAAACCTCTATTCCGTACCCGTAATCGCACGTCAACCACCGCGCCAACTCCACCGAATGATTCCGACAATCATTCGTCCCCAAGCGCAGCGCGTCCGCGTCCCATCGCTCGTGAAACGCCGCGATCGCGGCTTCGATGGCGATGCGTCCGCCCAGTCCCGCGCGCGTCCCTCCCACGCGACAGCACCGCCGTCCCGGCACCCCCGCCAAGCGTCTCGACCGCACCACGCCCTCCACGCTGTTCCCACTCAGCAATTTCGCCGCCGTGAACGGTGATTTCGGCGTCTTCGGCAAAAAATCATACACCGCCGCGTGTTCGTCGCCCGCGTGTCTCACGAGCACCATCCAGTGCGACGTCCCCGCCGGCCCTCCTCGTTCGCCGAACATCGCGCCGTCGATCCGCTCCATCCCCTCCAGCGGCACGCACGCGATGAACACGTCCGCCGCCGCCTCGCTCGCCTCGCTCGTCGACGCCGCGTCGCGCGCGCGGTCCGTCCCGTTCGTCCGTCCGTTCGCGCGCGCGCCCGTCCGTCTTCGCGTCCGCGCGCGCGCGCCTCGCGCGCCTCGCGCGACGCCCGATCGTCCGACGACGTTCGCCCGCGTCGCGCGCGCGCCGTCGCGCGCGATCGTCGCCATCGCGCGCGCCGTCGCGGTGTGCCGCGCCGTCGGGACACGCGCGCCACTTTTCGACGCGATGGCGACGCCGGCGATGCGCGACGCCGCGCGCGACGCCGCGCGAACCGCGGAAAAGTTCTGCGAGACGCTCTTCTCGGATCCGGACGTCGCGCGCGCGCTCGTGGACGCCGCGAGGCGCGCGCGCGGGGACGACGATGGCGCGCGCGCGCGCGCCGTCTTCTTCGAAGCCCCGCGCGCGGCGATGGAGGCGCTGACGCGCGCGCTGGAGATGTCGACGACGCAGAGCGCGGAGATGCGCGCGCGAGGGATCGCGCGAAAGGCGCGGATGGTCGGCGCGAGCGACGCGGAGGACGCGATCGGGTGCGGGCTGGAGAGGGAGGACGCGAGGGCGTACGCGAGGGCGTGCGCGGCGGGCGACGACGGCGAAGACGCGTTCGGGGTGATCGTGAGCGTTGGGTTGGCGTGCTCGACGAACGTCGTGCGGTTTGGAGTAGTTAGGAAGGGTAAGTTGGAGATGGACGCGCGCGTGTGCGATCCGGCGGCGCCGTCGATATGGGCGATGAAGCCGAAGAGTACGCCGGAGGCGCCGACGAAGGAGACGCAGTGGTTGTATTGCGCGGATAAAGGTTCGGGGCGGAGCGAAACGCTGCCAAACTTTAAGTGGACCGGGGATTTGCGACCGGCGAAGATTTCTCACGACGAGCGGTACTTTCGAGGGTTGCTTCCCGTGCCGGCGGACGTGGAGAAGACGGATTACGCCGAGACGTCGTATCCGAAATCTGAAGCCGAGTCTCGTTTACAACAAGTCATGCACGAGTTGAGCGCGAGCGAGAAGGAATTGTTGCACAAGTGTTGCATTGTGTCGCGAGGCGCGCTGGACGCGGTCGTTCGCGCGATTCGCCCGGGCGTCGTTCCCGACGAACTCGATCGCATCTGCCACAACTACATCACCGCGCACGGCGGGTATCCGTCGCCGCTCAACTATTACGGCTTTCCGAAGTCTTGTTGCATCTCCGTGAACGAGGTGATTTGTCACGGTATTCCTGACGCGCGTCCGCTCGAAAAAGGGGATATCGTGAACATTGATGTCACGGCGTACATTTACGGCTACCACGGCGACTTGAACGAAACCGTCCTCGTGGGCAAGCCCGAGGACGTAGATGAAAAATCAAAGCACTTGCTCAAAGTCGCTTTGGAGTGCCTGTGGCGAGGGATCGACACCGTCAAACCCGGCGCGCGCTATCGAGATATCGGTGACGTCGTCACCGGACACGCCACTCGAAACAACTGTTCCGTCGTGAAGACGTACTGCGGCCACGGCATCAACACTCTCTTCCACTGCGCCCCGAACGTTCCGCATTACGCCAACAACAAAGCCGTGGGCGCGATGAAAAAAGGTCACTCTTTCACGATCGAGCCCATGATCAACCTCGGCGACTGGCGCGATATCACCTGGCCCGACGGCTGGACCGCCGTCACCCGCGACGGTTCTCGAAGCGCGCAGTACGAGCACACCATGGTGTGCACCGACGACGGCGTCGAAGTCCTCACCGCTCGTCTTCCCTCTTCCCCCGCCGTCTTTCCTTTCATCGGCGAAGACGACGTCGACGTTGATTTATTGACCGGTCGCTTGGCCGCCGCGTCCTTGTGATTTGACTCTTGATTCTTTGATTCTTTGTTTCTTTGATTCTCGGCGTCTTCGCCGACAGCTCCGTCTCGCCCTCGCGCGAGAAACCCTCACTAAAAGTAAACTGTATGTCGCCATCGGCGCCACTCCGCGCCGCGTTTCGCGCCGACTCGCGCTCACTCGCCAGTAACATGCCGTTCGCCGCGCAATGCATCGCTCCCGCGTGCGCGCCCGCCCGCGCGCGCGCCGCGACGCGTAAAAGCCGCGCCGTTCGCGCGTCGGCGCACCAACCGGGTGTCATCATGCCCGACGGCGACGCGAGCGATTTGAACAAGTGGTCGAGAAAGATCACGCAACCGAAGAGCCAAGGAGCGTCGCAGGCGATGCTGTACGCCACGGGCCTGACGGAGGCCGATATGAACAAACCGCAGGTGCGCGCGAGCGAAGCGAAGGGAATGCGCGAAGACGCGCGGCGACGGCTCGACTGACGAAAGGAATCGCGTGTCGTTGGCGCTAGATCGGCGTGTCCTCGGTGTGGTGGCAGGGAAACCCTTGTAACAAACACTTGCTGGACCTGGCGGGTAAAGTGGCGGAAGGCGTCAAGGCGGCGGATATGGTGAGCTTTCAGTTTAACACCGTGGGGGTGTCGGACGGGATTTCCATGGGTACGCCGGGCATGTCCTTCTCGTTGCAATCGCGGGATTTGATCGCGGATAGCATCGAGACCGTGATGGGTGGACAGTGGTACGACGGAAATATTTCTCTCCCGGGGTGCGATAAGAACATGCCGGGTACGATCATGGCCATGGGTCGATTGAACCGCCCGTCGCTGATGATTTACGGCGGTACCATTCGCCCTGGCCACTCCGCCGTGGATGGTGGCACACTCGATATCGTATCCGCGTTCCAATCGTACGGACAGTTCGTTACCGGCGCTATCACGGAGGAACAGCGCAAAGACATCGTGCGTAACTCTTGCCCGGGCTCTGGCGCGTGCGGCGGCATGTACACCGCCAACACCATGGCCAGCTGCATCGAGGCTCTCGGCATGACTCTTCCGTATTCTTCCTCCATTCCCGCGGAAGATCCTCTCAAGATGGATGAATGTTTCATGGCTGGCGCTGCGATGAAGCATTTGCTCGAAATCGACCTGAAGCCGCGTGACATCATGACTCGCGCGGCGTTCGAAAACGCCATGGTCACCGTCATCGCTCTCGGCGGTTCCACCAACGCGGTTCTTCACTTGATCGCGATGGCGCACTCTGTCGGCATCAAATTGACTCTGGACGACTTCCAAGCCGTCTCCAACAAGACGCCGTTCATCGCTGACTTAAAGCCGTCCGGTAAGTACGTCATGGAGGACGTCCACAAGGTTGGCGGCACTCCGGCGGTGTTGAAGTATTTGATGTCTGAAGGCATGATTGACGGTTCTTGCATGACTGTCACCGGTAAGACCCTCGCCGAGAACCTCGCCATCTGCCCGGATTTGACGCCGGGGCAAGATGTTATTCTCCCGGTGAGCACGCCCATCAAGAAGACTGGTCACTTGCAATGCTTGTACGGCAACATCGCCCAGGGAGGCTCCGTGGCGAAGATCACCGGTAAGGAAGGCTTGTACTTTAAAGGCTTCGCGAAGTGCTACGATAGCGAAGAGGAAATGCTCGAGGCCTTGGCGGCAGACTCCGAGTCTTTCAAGGGTAGCGTCATCGTCATTCGCTACGAAGGTCCGAAGGGTGGTCCGGGCATGCCGGAGATGCTCACGCCGACGTCGGCCATCATGGGTGCCGGTCTCGGGAACGACTGCGCGCTCATCACGGATGGTCGATTCTCCGGTGGCTCGCACGGTTTCGTCATCGGTCACGTTACGCCGGAAGCGCAAGTTGGTGGTAACATCGGTTTGATCAAGGACGGTGATATCATCGAAATTGATGCCGAAGTTCGCACCATCAACGCGCCGGATGTCACCGACGCCGAGTGGGAAAAGCGTCGAGCGGCGTGGAAGGCGCCGCCTTTGGAAGCGACGTCGGGTACGCTCTACAAGTACTGCAAGCTCGTCGCCAGCGCTTCGGAAGGCTGCATCACGGACTTGTGACCGTTTTGACCTATATCTAGAATACAACTGCTATAACACTAATATTTTTCGACGGTTTCTAAATCTCTTCCGCATCGAACGAAAACACGCTATAATGATGATTCAAGCTCCGTACGCCGTGTAGACGGCGAATGCCACTCGGTCCGCTGAGCGCGCCATTGATATTATCGCACACGGCAAATACCACGCGTTTCAGTCTCGAATGCACGAGCCCCATCGCGCACATGATGCACGGCTCTCGCGCTAAAAACACGTCGTATCCCGTGCACAGGTACGGGCGACCCATGATTTCTGTCATCGCCGAGCCCTTCGTTTGTACTTCGCGCTTCCGTTTTTTTGCGTCGTCTCCAACCCCCGCGATCTCGAGCGCGTCGCGTTCGAGCTTTTCCATCCGTCTCGCCTCGATCAAAGCCTCTACGTGCTCCTTTTCCGGATACATCGCGACGTCCCGCTTCGCCGCGAGATCGACCGCGGCGATGACGGCGTGTCGCAACGGATGCGTCGCCGACTCATCCACGCCCCGGGCGATCTCAACATCACGCGCTGGATCAACTATAATCGCACAATTTCCACTCATTTTCGCCCCCTCGCACGCCTGCTTCGTCCACTTTCTAAAATACGCCGCCTCCTCGTCGCTCGGCGTCTCCGTCTCGCGTTCCGCCGGCGCCGTCAAACTCACCGGCCAAATCGCGCACGCCTTCTCCCACGTCTCCCTATCCTCCGGCCCTTCCGCGGGCACGTCTGCGTACACGACGCTCGCGATCACATCCGCGTGACGTTCCAGCACGTCCGCGCGCACCGCGGCGTCGCTTTCCGCGTCTCCCCGCGCGCTCGCGCTCGCGCCCTCGCTCGCCAACTTCACCACCACCTCCGTCGTCCCCTTCGTCCGCGCGCTCGCCCGCGCGCGCTTCACGTGCGCCAACGACGCCGGAAGCGGCGCCGCCGCCCGCGCGCTCGCGAGCACCGCCGACGTCGCGCGCGCGGGAATTCCCGTCGCCACGACGCATCTTCGCGTCGGCAACGCCGCGTCCGCGTCCCGCGGCGCCTTCGCCGGGATCCCGCGCGGCGCGCGCGCGTCCAGCGACGTTCGCGCCGGCATGTCGCGTCGCCGCGGGCGTCGGCGCGCGCGCGGCGCGCCGCGATGCGCGGCACGACGCGACGCCCGCGGGGCGAGCGCGTCAAATCGCGACGCGCGCCGACGCCGACGCCCGCGCGCGCTCGACGCCGAGAGAGCTCGCGCCGAACGCACCGAACTTCGCCGCGACGCGCGCGCGAACGCGTCGAACGCGTCGATCGAGGTCGGCGTTGAATCGGATCGAAATCGCGATCGGGATCTCGATCGCGCGCGAGGATGGGAATCTGTTACTCGCTGCCGGACGCGGCGGCGGATAAGGCGCGGACGCTGGCGACGGCCGCGGGAACGCAATGGTCGAATGGACTCGGCGCGTCGTCCGCGGCGGCGGCGAAAGCGGCTCGGAAGGCGAAGTTGACCAAGTACGCGCTGGTGAAGTGCGAATTCGACGCCGAGACGGCGGCGAAGGCGAAGCGGCTGAGCGTGATTCGAGAGATGCTTTTTGAACAGATCGCGCTTTGGAAAGCGTGGTCGGCGGGGACGTTGCCGTTGGATTACAGCGTGCTCATGCATTGGAGTAAATACTGCCATGCGAATGAGGAATGCTCGAAGCGACTGCGAAACGTGGCGCTTCAAGTGCAAAACGCCTCCGCCGCGCACGCCGAATACGTCAATTTCATGACTGAGACGTTCATCGAAGGCATTGATGAGACGATCGATGTCATCGAAGAAGCTTGGAACGTGTACGAGCTGTACGAAAAGTCCGAATACGATTACAGGTTTGCTTTGAAGACATCGAAGGATGAGGAAAAGAACGCTATCAAGAAGGGTGAGATGGAAATCAAGCTACAAGAAGCGAAGAAGGCTATCAATGAGTGCGCTGGCAAGGTTGAATCGATTCTCGTTCCGTTGTTCAAGCGCACGATTACCGAGCTCGAAAATTTCGCGAAAAAGTGCATGCAAAAGCGGGAGCGAACGGGTGAGGAGGCCATCGCCACCGCGGCCAAGTTCGAGCGCGCCAACTCTGTTGCGTATGCCAAGCTGAAGAAGCGCACTTACACGGCTGCAGATGCCATCACTGCCGCCAAAAATGCCATCGTTGATAACGGTCTTCCGGAGCAGTTGAACGAAATTAACGCAAAACTGGACGAAATGAAGCGTCACGGCATGGCTTTGGCGCTCATCTTCCAAGATTTTGTGCCGTATATTAAACTCATCTTCGGGCCGGATCGCATGAATATTTTCGCTGATGAATTATGCAAAAAGATCGACGGTTTCAAGTCTCTGAAAAAAGCGGCGGCCGAGATTCACGATAAGATTCAAGCTCTGACGAGTGAGATCGACGTCGAGGAATTCAAGCGCATGGTCGAAGAGTTCGAGCAAGTCGTTCACACGGAGTGCAACACGGTCTCCTCTCATTCCACTGCATACGTCAAGTCGTTGTCTGACATCGTCAAAGCTGAACGAGCTCTTGAAAGAGCAGAAAACGTTTACAAAAGTAAAGCGCCAAACTTCGTCATGCCGCCCATCGGCGACAAACTTGCCAAGTTTAACGATGATAAGGCGGCGTGGAATGGCGCGCTCAAGGACGCACAAGACGCCGTCACGATCGCTAAAGAACGCTCAGTGGCAGATTTGAACGCGCACAAGGAGAGCTTTGATAATTTGTTTATCAAGAAAGATTCCACTTTCCACTCATTTATCATTGTGGCGATTGAAAATGCCTGTGCGATCGTCACCGAAGCGCACAAGACAATCAAAGCGGTGAAGGCGCGTCAAATCCGCGACGCAGCTGAAGAGCCCGAAGCAGAAGAGGTGATCGAGGTTCCTGAGGTCGATTTCTCCCAAGCAGATGCGAGCCAGAAAGAAGCCGAAGTCTCCAAGGCTGAAGCTGAAGCGAAAATGAAGGAAGCGGAAGAAGCCGAAGTCAAGGCAAAGGAAGCCGCCGAGGCGGCGGAGAAGGCTCGACAAGTCGCGATTCGAGAGGAAAATGAAGCAAAACAAGAGGTACTACTTCGCAAGGCTGCCGAAGAAGCCAAAAAAGCTGCCGAAGAAGCCAAGGCGAAGCAAGAAGCTGAAGCCAAGGCCGAGGAAGCCGCGAAGATTCAAGCCGAAAAGGAAGCCAAGGCAGAGAAAGAAGTCGCGAAGGCGGCAAAGGCGCTCGAGCAACAAGTCTCCATTGCCGAGAAGAAGGCTGAAAAAGAAGCCTCGAACGCGGCTTCTCAGCAAGATGCAGTCGACGCGGTGCGCGATGCAACCATTAAGGAAACTTTAGCAAGGGCTTCGAGTGTTAAGGAGGTGTCGATTGCGAACGCTGAAGCGTCCATCGGCACCGAGCTTTAAGGATCGCCCCGCCAAAAAAGAGCAAAAGCACATCACAAACGCACGCATAATTATAATGAACGGGCTACTGGTACCCCGTATGCGGTATGAAACAGACGAAACATTGTAAATAACATCTACATGTCGCCTACTGAGCCGCCGCGCTCGACGCCTTGCGGGAAAAGGACTTCTTGAGTTTCTTTGAAACTTCCGGCTTGCGCGCGACGGTGAGGTACATCACCGTGTAGGTTCCCGTCTTACCCCCAGCAACGAGCGCGTCTGCACCCTTCTTCAAGAACGTACTCACGTTCACGCTACCCTTGGGCGCGATGCCCACCTTCTCGAGAGCGAGAACGAAGTAATGCGTGATGTTACGACCCCACGACGTCGTCTTGAACGACCAAAAGTCGCGAAACGGCGACCAACGGCGGTACGGGTCGATCGGTTCGTACCACGGAATATCCGCGGTTTTCACCAAATCTTCTTCTTCGAGGATTTCAAACCCAGCCTTTTTCAACGCATCCAAGACTTCGTGCGTCGTTCTAGCCGTCGGCAAACCGTTCCCGAGCAAGATATCTTGACGAATCGCCCGGTGTTCGGGGTTCTTTTCGTCGTATTCATCCGTAAGGCACCATTCGTACGACGCGAAAATCCCCCCCGGTTTCAACACGCGAAATATTTCAGAGTAACAACCCACCGCATCGGGCGCGTGGCACGTGGCCTCGATCTGATACACCCCGTCGTAGGTGTTATCCGGCTTGGGAATGTTCATGAAATCCGCCTTGACGAAGTCGCAGTCGTCGTGTCGTCCGGTTCTTCGATTCATCGTCTCCCCGCGCGAGATTTGAAACGCATTATTATTCAACCCCGTCACCGACGCTCCCGTGAACGCCGCGATCTCTCGCAGCGGTCCACCGACGCCGCACCCGACGTCCAGCACTTTATCCCCTCCTCGCACGCCGAGCTTGCTCGCCAAGTAATGCTCGTGCCTCGCGATCGACTCCCGCAGCGTCTCCCATCGGTACCGATGCGCGAAGTGAAACGACTCCCCCCATCCGTACTCGTAAAACGACGTCGCGAGATCGTAGTACTTGTTCACCACGTCCGCGTAGTTCCCCGTGCGCGTCGAATCGTCTTCGTGTTTAAAGTAATCCTCGTACGCCTTCGTCGCCCGCGCGGTGTCGCCCTTCGCGATCTTCCCGCCCATCAGCGACAGCTGCGTCAAGCCCTTCGCGTCGCTCGCCATCGTCGCGCTCGCGTCGCGTCGCCGCGCGTCACCGCGTCGCGGTGTGCGTCGCATCGCCGCGTCTCGATCGCCGTCGCGTCGGTCGCGCGATCGATTCGATTCGATTCGATTCGCGTCGAGTCGACCGTCGAGCGCGCGCGCGGCGGCGCACCGCGGCGCGCGCGACCGCCGGCGCGCGCGGCGATGCGCGGGGTGCGCGCCGCGCGCGAGCTCGCGCTGGCGACGACGGCGGCGGACGAACGACGCGGCGACGCGGGCGCGTCGACGGGCGCGCTCGGCGCGCAGGGCGACCGCGCGCTGCTCGTGATCGACGTGCAGAACGATTTCGCGGCGCCGAGCGGGGCGCTGACGGTGCGGGGGGGGGACGGCGTCGCGCGCGCGTGCTCGAGGTGCGTCGAGGCGTTCGACAGGGTGGTGTTCGCGCAGGATTATCACCCGGCGGGACACGAGAGCTTCGCGAGCGCGCACGCGGGGAAGGCGCCGTACGACGAGGTGGAGCTCGCGCACGGGACGCAGACGCTCTGGCCCGATCACTGCGTGCAGGGGACGTGGGGATGCGCGTTTCACGACGATTTAGTGGTGCCGGCGAGGGCGATGGTGGTGAGAAAAGGACACAACCGGGACGTCGATTCGTACAGCGCGTTTTTTGAAAACGACCGACGGAGCGATACGGGTCTGGATGAGTACCTCAAGAAGGAAGGCGTCAAACGCGTGTACGTCGTCGGATTAGCGTACGACTTTTGCGTCAAGTACACCGCGTTAGACGCGAAACGATTGGGATACGACGCGTACGTCGTGCGGGATTGTTGCGCGGGCGTGGCGTTGCCGGGAACGATGGAGGCGGCCGAGAAGGAGCTCGCGGACGCGGGCGTCGTCGTCCTAGAAACGCTTCCCGCGTAGCGCGCGACTTTTTATACGCATTGTTCGACGTTAGCCGTCGTTTGTAAACAACGTACGTATTCAGCCCTCGTTTGAACCGCCGTCGCCGACGCTCGCGCGCGTCCCCGCCGTCGCCGCACACGCCGCCGCTCGCGGCGCCGACTCGACATGCCGTCCACGGTGCGCGCGCGCTCGCGCGAATCGCTCGCTCGCTCGCTCGCTCGCCCGACCTCGCGCGCGAACGAGGCGAGGCGAATCCGCACGACCCGAAAGAAAACTCGACTGACGCGCAACCTCGCAGGCGAGCGTGCGCCGCGCGCAAAAAAACGAACGCGAGACGACGAAAGCGATCGAGCGGTCCGCGGCGGCGAAAAAAGCGGAAGAAGACGCGCACTGGGCGGCGCACGGGGACGGAAAGAAGAGCAAGGCGGCGCAACGCGCCGAGATGGACGCGGCGGCGGCGGACGCGAAGGCGGCGGCGCGCGCCGAGGCGAGACGGCAGGCGGCGGAGGAAGAGGCGGCGTTCTCGGGGGCGAAGAAGGCGCCGGCGAAGAAGGTGACGGCGTATGATTTGGCGCAAGGGAAAGAGATGGACGCCAAGGCGAGGCTCAAGGCGAAGTTTGCGGCGAAAAAGGCTGAACAAAAAATACAAGAGTCTGACGAATACGACGACGCGGTTTTGCGAGCTAACGAAAATAGAAGTATCGACGTGGTCTCGGCGAGCGGCGTCGACGCCGCGCTGGATGCGCTGACGGTCGAAGAGCGATCGGCGTCGCCCGCGCCGTTGAGCGGTAAAGCTGCGTACGCTGCGTTTGAGGCGGAAAAACTCCCCGAACTCAAGGCTGAAAAGCCGGGCCTGCGTAAGCAGCAATACGCCGACTTGATGAGTAAACTCTGGGCCCGCTCGCCGCAGAATCCTCAAAATCAAAAGTAGCGCGGTCGAATAACGCACCGACTCAACGAGCACGCTCCGGGCGCGCGCGTTCGCCGCGGAATCCCAAAAATCAAGACGAATTAGCGCGGGCGAGTCCGGATTTGAATATGAATATCATTAAAACATCCGTCGAAGCGCGTCGCGCCCTCAAACCTCATCCATCCCGCGTCGTCCTCTAATCAATAATGACGCGTCCATGAAATTAATACACACTCGAACGTTCGCTCGAACGCCGAAAAAAGCTCACTTCGCCTTTGTCCCATCCTTCGAGCTCACCGTCTTGCGTCCATCGAAGTGTTTCCGTCTCGCCTCGCTCGCGCGCGCGGCGAACGTCTGCCAAAATCCAACCACCGCGCGCTCGCTCCTCTTCGCGCCGCTCTCGCGCTCGACGAATCGATTCACGCGTCCGTCGTCCATCGACGATCGCGTCGAATCATCATCCGTGGACGCCCTCGCGCGCGCCGTCCTCGGCCGTCGCGCCGCCGTCGCCGCGCGCGATCGCGCCGCGGGCCCTCGCGTCGTCGCGCGCGCCGCGGTCGCGCCGCGCGTGAGCATGCCGCGTCGCGTCGCCGACTGCGGTCGTCGGCATCGCGCGTCAGAGGCATGCGCGCGACGACGCCGCGCGTCGCGCCCGGCGTCGCGCCCGCGCGCGACGGACGACGACGCGGCGTCGCGCGTCGCGTCGTCGCGCGCGCCGCGGGCGCGGACGAGGCCGCGGCGCCGCCGCGCGGGAAATCCGAGGCGTACGACCAGGCGCGCGTCGCCGTCGAGCGCGCGCTCGAAAAGTCGACGAAGCGCGCGACGAAGCGCCGACGGTCGAGCGGGCGAGCGGTCGGGAAACCGGCGCGGTTGGCGGTGGAGCTGCCGGTGAACGATGACTCGGACGCGGCGCTGATCGAGATGGCGACGGGGACGCTGGGCGACGGCGCGAGAGACGCGACGGCGGTGTTCGGAAGGGCGAGCGCGGCGAAACTGGCGCGAGAGATGGGAAGCGCGATGGAGTGCGTGAGCGTGGATGACGCGTGGACGGCGGCGGACGCGGCGGCGAGGGATGGGATCATCGCGTTGGTCGGAGTGCCGAGCGATCGGGTGGAGGCGGCGATGCGCAAGTGTCGAGCGGGAGAGGGAAGGCCGACGGTGTGCGTGAACGTGGAGTGGGAGCACGACGGCGACGGGGGGTTGGCGTGGTCGATGTCGCGACAACAGGCTGGGGTGGACGACGCGGCGCCGAGCGATGTGGAGGCGTTTGCGAATTCGTTCGTCGTGGTGTACTCGTTCCTGCCGCTGAATATCCAAGCGTCAATGTTCGCGTCTTCGCTCGAGGGCGCGGTGTTTAAGTGCGTGCGAGGAGGCGCGCCCGCGGGAACGCCGTGGCGAATCTTAGTGAAAGAGAAGGGCGCGTTCGCGCAGGTCGGGGCGATGCAGCGGCGACCTCAGCAAACGGATTTAGAGGCGGCGTTGTACAACTCCATCGCAGCCAAGTCGCCCGTGAACGAAGCCGTGGGCAAAGCCAGCGGTTTCTTCCGCGGGCTCATGAACAAGGACAAGTGAGTAATAATATAAGTAATATCACATCGCCAACTCCGTAGTGATCGTCGTCTCTACCGCCGCGCGCGCGCCGAAAGTCACCCGTATCAAGACGAGCGTCGTCGCCGAACACTAAAGCTCGCGCGACACATCTCGCAGCGGCGGTCGTCGCGCGCACCATGTCCTCCATGTACGGCGCCAGTCCGAGCGAAGACTCAGGTAAGTCGGCATCGACGCCGCGCGCGCGATGTGCGCGCCCGCTCGCGGCGTCGTCATCCTCGACGCAACACGTTTTCGCGCCCGAACACGACGCTCGATCGATGACTGACGCGGAGCGCGCGCAGGATTATTGAATCCCGAACGACGCCGCCGAAGCATCCCGCTCGCGATGCAGGGCGCGGTAGTCATGGCGTTCGGGCTCGGGATCGCGTACTTGATGTATAGGTTGACGGTGGATGACGACGACGGAATTAGAGTCATTCGCGCGACGGAAGATTTCCCGTGAGCGGTGCGCGTTGGGTGGTGAGCGTATCCTATATATTTGTAATACAAGTGAAAAAGTTCTATAATGCCGTTTCGTAACGTCGTCGTCGTCGTCGTCGTCGTGGTTAGTCGTATTGCGTCAAATCAAACGTCAGCACCTTGGAGCACGCCTGCGAGACGTCTCGCGTGACGCCGACGAGAGCATCCGCCTTGTCGTAAAAGTAATCCTTCAAAGAAATTACGATGGACTGAGTGCCATCCTTACCATCCTTGCCATGCGAGCGCGCAGCCATGAACTTGGCGAGCTTTTCGACGTTCACCTTATCGAGCGCCGCGTCGACTTCGTCGAGGACAAAGAACGGCGAGCTTCGGTAAGAGTGAATCGAGAACAAGAGCGCAACAGCAGCGATCGTCTTCTCACCGCCAGAAAGCTGTTCCATTTCACGGAAACGCTTCGTGGGCGGCATGGCGGTGAAGTTGACACCGTGCAAGAAAGGATCTTCGTTGCTTTCGAGGCTCAAGTATGCCTGACCGCCGAGCGGGTGGCTCGCACTTTGCGTCAACTCCTTGTACAGAACGTCGATAGAGTCGGCGATATGCTGGAAAGCATCGAGGAAGATGGAGCGTCGTCGACTTCGCACATCCTCGAAGGCGTCGGTCGCTTCTTTCACTCGCTCTTTCGCCGCTTCTAATTCTAACGTCTGCAATCGTTCCTTCTCCTTGATCGTCTCGTACTGCTCGAGAGCCTTCATATTCGGCTCCAATCGAGCAAGCTCGATCGAAGTCTCATCAATCTTGATTCTAAGTTCATTCTCCTTGCCTTCGCGCTCAAACTTGCTTACTTGCTTCAAATCGCTCCTCAAGTTGGAGTAGTCGAGGACGACGTTCCCAGCGGTGGACGTTTCGCCGTCAACTTCCATGGCGTCGCCGTCGTTTTCACCAGCGCCGAGCGCGAGCACGCGCGGAAGTTCCATTTGTTCCATCGTCGCGTTTGAGATGATACCATTGCGAATCTCGCGCTGCGCATCGATTTCGTTTTGGCTGGAAGAGAGCTTCTTGTCGAGTCGAGCTGTTTCTTGCACCGCCATCGTAGTCTTCTCCTTGAGCACCACAATGTCACTTTCGAGCGCCTTGGCTTGCGCCTTGGCTTGTTGATGCTCAGTTTCCATCTTCACAAGCTTATTCTTCGATTCATCGAGTTCTTTCATCGCATTCACCGCCGAAGCTTCGAGCTCAGCGAGTTCAGCTTTGTATCTCGCGATCATGCCTTCGGCGGATTTGACTGGGCCCTCGGTGTCGCGGCTCTTCTCATAATTGAGCTGTTCCTTCCACTTCGAGCGTTGTGACGCAAATCTACTCTTCTCTTCGGCTTCTTTCTGCTTGCGCATCAAGTGTTCGTTCTCATACACGCGAATATTCGCAATATTGAGAGTCTTGACAAACGAGGCGTAAATTCCGTCGATGATGGCGTGAATTTGTTTGTCAAGCGCCGCAACCTTGGCCGCGCCTTCTTTGCTCGCTTTCTGCGCCGCCACAAGTTCTGGTTTGGATTCTTCGAGAGATGAGACGATGACAGCCTTGTCGCGCGCTAACTTGGCGAGTTTATCCTTCAACGCCTTCATATCGGCTTGCAAGAATTGCGTGTCCTTTTCAATCGTCGTCTTTTCCGTGATCACTTGTTGCTCCTCGAGCATCAACGTAGTCAGACTCTTCATAGCGGCGAGCTCATCTTCGAGTTTCATCTTCTCTTGGCGCGTGTTTTCGACGTCCATTCGACTGAATCGGTTCGCTTTCTCGGCTAAACCTGAGGAAGAACCACCGGTGAGACGCCCACTCTTGTCGACGAGTGTACCATCCAGCGACACTGACTTGATTCGTTGCGCGCCGCTAAAGGCCAACTTCTTCGCTTCAGCGTGCGTATCACACACCACAGTGTCACCACACGCGAAGAGAATGGCACGTTCGCGCGACTTATCAAACTGAAGAACATCGACAATCAAACGAGAGCTGCCTCCGAGGTGACGCAAGCGTTCATTGATGGCTTGAACTTTGATCTCCTTCAATGGAATGAACTGCATCGATTGAATGCGTTGTTCTTTCAAATACTGAATGCACTCCTTCGCCGTCTTAGCATCTTCAACGACGACAGCATCGGCTTCACGACCGAGCACAGTGATGACGGCGAGCTCATACTTCTTTTGCGTCACCTTGATGAGCTCAGTGAGTCTACCATGCACACCTGGGAACATTCGCTTCATCGTCGCAATAGCTTCGAGCGCCTTGGTTTCGCGTTCATTTTGCTTACGGTCGGCCTTGGCTTCTCGGAGCTTGGCGTTGAGGGCGTCAATCTTTTCCTTGAAGAGGTCTTGTCGGCTGCGCACCGTGCGCTTCTCATCGGCAAGTTCCTTAAGTTTCTTTTCAAGTTTCTTCAGCTCTCCCTTGTTGACCGTCTCAGTCTGTTGCAACGTCTTTGATCGATCAACTTCGCGCTCTTCTTGTTCTTCCAAGAAAGAAAGACGAGATTGAAGCTCCGAGGTCTTGCTCGACAAACGAGACGCCGCCTCCTCATCTGTGTTGAGCTGAGACATCAGTTGATCGCGTTCGGTTTTCAACTTGAACGTAGCCGCGCCTGATTCGATTTTCTTCGCGTTGTACTCGGCTCGTTGTTCGGGCGTCAATTCAAACTTCGAATCTTGCTCCATTCGACGCTTTTGGTCTTGATCGAATAGCGCCTCGGCGTTGTCGATGTTGGCCAAATGTTGCTCCATGTTTGCGATTTCCTTGGCTTGGTTCTCCGCGTCTCGCTTGGACTTGGTGAGTTGCGCCTGTCCAAGTTCCAATTTCTTCTGAACTCGAGTCGTCTCTTCTTTGATCTGATTCACGCGCGGCGCATGGCTGGAAATCGTACCCTTGAGCGCTTCAATCTTACGGTTGAGCGCCAAGTGCGTCTTATCCTTGGTCATTTTCTCCTTGCGCTTGTCCTCGTATTCCTTGAGCGATTCCTCATTCGCAGCCACGTGCTCGTCGCGAACTTCACGCACGTTTCTCATCTCATCACGAACGCGGTCTATGTCGGCATCGATGTGATAGAGCTTGAACAGGGTGCTTTCAACCTTCATCTGATTCACGCGTTCTTGAAGCGCCATGTGCTTCTCCGCCTCTTCCTTTTGCTCGCGCATCTGCTTCTTCTGCGTCATCAAAGACTTCTTTTTAGTAAAGCTCGTGTGTGCTTCGTCCTCGGCACGTTGCTTCGCCCGCTCGTTCGTCGTATACGTCTCCGCGTACTCATCCGAACCAGAAATTTGTTCAATCAGCGTCGTCAACTCCTTCGGCGTTTTCTGCGCCACCGCCTCGATGTCGCCCTGATACACCAAAAAGTTTCGCGCCTTGACCAGAATCCCGTACGACTTCAATCGTTCGTTGTACTCCTCCGACGTCAATCGTTGGTTATCGATCTCGTAATGCGTCGTCCCGCTCGCCTCGATGACTCTCGAGAACAAAATCTCTCGCTCATTCTCCGGTTCGTACGCCAACGTCACCCGAGCGCTTCGTCTATTCTCACTCGCATCCGCCAAGTCCACCGTGTAGATCAAATCCTTAAACGTCGTCCCTCTCAACTGTGCGCTTCGCACCCCGAGCACGAACGATATCGCATCCATAAGATTCGACTTCCCGCTCCCGTTCGGCCCCACGACGCTCGTAAAGGATTTAAAAGGTCCGATCTGATGCTTTCCCTTGTACGACTTAAAATTCTCCACCTCGATCCGATCGATCCGTCCGCGCGCCGCCGTCGGGCGTTTCATCGCCGCGTCGCCCACCGTCGCCATCGCGCGATCCATCCTCGTCGCTCGCGTCCGCGCGTTTCCCGAATCTTCGCGCGCGTCGGTTTGAAATTTCAAAAATCAAAATCCACCGTCGAGTCGCGTCGTCGTCGTCGTCGTCCACCGCGCGCGCGTCGTCGCCGCGCGATGCGCGCCCGAGTATCGCGCGCGAGTCCTCGCGCGTCGGCGTCCGTCGCGCGCGCGCGTCGGCGTGTGCGCGCGTCGTCGCGCGTCGGCGTCGAGCTGTCGGTCGCGCGTGGTCCGGTATTTGAAACAGGTCTTGCATTACAAAAAGCGGCGACGGCGCCGGCGCGCGCCGGCCGCGGCGCCCGCGGAGCGCGACGCGCCGCGCGGCGCGTCGAGGGCGACGACGAAAATGTCCTCCGTCCGTCGCAATCGACGATACGCGCACATGCGCGTCGCGCTCGACGCGAGCGGGTACTTTAGCGTGGATTCGATGCGCGCGCGCGACCCGCGCGCGTTCGATGAAATCGTCGGCGTGGACGTGCGGAAGGGCGACGCCGAGCCGGAGACGGCGGCGGAGGACGGCGCGGGAGAGCGGATACTGGCGCGCGAGCGCGCGCGGGAGGTTCGAGCGGCGGCGGAGGCGCGATGGGAGGAAGAGTTTGGAGACGCGAGCGCGAGCGACGCGCGATTCGGAGACGCGTTCGCGAGCTCGAGCGGACGCGCGGTCGGACGCGGGGCGGCGAAGACGGACGGTAAGGTGAGCGATGCGGCGTGGCGCAGGGCGATGTTCGAGGGATGGGATGGGGCGACGGTGGACGGCGACGGCGACGGCGACGGCGACGCGCGCGGCGAGCGGCGAGCGGCGACGACGGCGGAGGAAGCGACGGAAGAAGCGACGTTCATCGTCGACGTCGATGAGTACAGAGCGTCTCGCGGGCGGTCGAGGACGTACATCTCCCAGGCCGAGTACGTGTCGCGCGCGGCGGATTTTGAACGCGTCATGCGAGAGCGCTTTCTCGCCGGCGGCGACGACGGTTTCGATTACCTCTCCGTCGACGCCGACGCCGCGCTCGACGCTCACTGGCGACGCGAGATCGACCAGGACGCCGAGGACAAATACTTTGACGAAGATTAGCGCGAAAATTAGCACAATTGTCATAGCCAAACGTAGCGTCGAACGCGCGTCGTCGTCTCGTGACGAGACTCTCGTCGCGCGTTCGTCACAGAATCCGCGCGCGCGCGCTCGAGGGCCGCACATCACCGCACGGGACACCCGCGCGAGACGATGAACGATAAGAACGAGCAAGCGCTCACCGCGCTCGCGCGTGAGCCCGGGAATAAGACGTGCTTCTCGTGCGTCGGACCGGGGTCTTTGGTGCGTCCTTCGTCGTGTTTCGACGAGATTATCGACGAGACTTTCGCATCTTTCGCGCCCTCGAACGGCGCGCGGCGCCCCGCGCGCGCGCGCCGGCGACGGCGCTACTTTTGCGCGCGGTATACCGCGCGCGCGGGCGCGAAACCGAAGGAACGCGCGTGGATGCTCGTGAACGTTGAGATGAGTTCAGCGGATGACTGACCGCGACGACTCCGCGACGCAGGCGCCTCGCTCGGTGTGCGTGCCGTTCGGAATATTCGTGTGCACGAGATGCTCGGGGATATTCAGAGATTTCAATTTTAGGATTAAGAGCATCAGTGCGTCGACGTTCTCGGGAGATGAGGTCGAGATGTTGCGAAGGAAAGGCAACGAGGCGGCGCGGCGGACGTTTTTAGCGCGCTGGAATCCGGCAGAACCGTTGCCGCAGAGTGGTAATACAGTGAGAGGAAAGGTGTGGATCAAGGCTGTTTTCGTGGATAAGTTGTACTACGACGACGCCGGGGCGGGGAGCGCGGTGGGGGGTCAGGTGGCTCCGGCGACGCCGGCGGCACAACCGGCGGCGACGAAAGCGCCAGATTTGTTTGGCGGCTTATTTGATTCGCCGGTGCCGGCTCAAGTTGCGCCTACCACACAGCCGCCGCAACAAACCGCCGCGCCGGCTCCGGCGAGCGGGGCGGATTGGACTTCGTTTGCGACAGCCGCGTTTGACTCTCGACCGCAAGCTGCAGAAGCACCTAGCTTCGGGTTTGAGCCACCGCCAGCCGTCGCCCAACAATCGTATGCCGCGTCGGTGCCAGAATCGGCGAGCGTCGCGCCCGTATCGCAAGCTCCGGCGGCACCTACGCAGCAATCTGATTTGTTCGGAGGTTTGACCATCGAGACACCCGCAGCGCCTGTCGAGACTCCTGCAGCGCCTGCATCTCGGCCTGCTTTAGAGGAAGACTTTTGGACCCTATCGCCGCAGGTTCCGCCGCAACCGCACGTCCATCCGCGGGTGAACGCACCAGGGATCCAGCAGTACCCAGCGCAAATGCCGCCCCAGATGCAAATGCCAGGAATGATGCCGCCCCAGATGCAACAAATGCCGGGGATGATGCCGCCGCAGATGCAACAAATGCCGGGAATGATGCCACCGCAGATGCAACAAATGCCGGGGATGATGCCGCCGCAGATGCAACAAATGCCGGGAATGATGCCGCCGCAGATGCAACAAATGCCGGGAATGATGCCGCCGCAAATGCAAATGCAAATGCCGGGAATGATGCCGCCGCAAGTGATGGCTCCAGTCAACGCGCAAACGATGCCGCAGCAGTCGCAGCAACCGCCAGTGCAACAGGAAGCACCGCCGGTGGAGCCGGAACAGCCAGATCCATTCGCATCGTTCGGTGAATTGACGGGAATAAAGTCGAAGACAGGGCCACCTCCAGCACAAGCGGTGCCAGTCCCATCGCAAGCCCCAGAAGCAGATGTTTTTGGATCTTTGCCTAGCCAAGAATCTCAGCCGCCGCCGGCTGCGCCACCAACAGTAACTCCGGTGGCGCCGGTTGCCACCGCGGCGCCGCCACCAGTGCCGGCGAAGCCGGTGAATCTGGGTCCCATGGGATTCCCGATGCCAGTTTCGCAGCCGCCAGCGCCGGCCACAGATACGCATCAAGCGATGATGTTTGAAGACATCAAAGCTCATTCGGCAGGAGATTCCTTCTCGTTTGCGCCCGTGGACTCGCCGCAACCAAGTATCTCGAAGCCTGCGCCCATACAACACGCGCCTGTAGCCGCGCCAGGCACGGCGCAGCCTACGGCTACGGCGGCGCAATATAGCACCGATAACCCTTTCGCTTTCATCTAAGCATTTTGATAGTTAGCGAATTGTAGCGCGCCCTAGCCGAACCAGAAAGAATCGAGAATGTAAGGAATAAGAAATGGTTTGATAACAATGCCTGGCTAAATTTGAAGCGTCGCTTCGTACGCTTCAATAGATTTGAACAGTTCGGAGAAATTACCCTTGCCGAACCCACCGCATCCGGCTGCTTGCTCAAATGATTCCGAGTCCGCTTTTCTACGCATGCAGCCTATGCGCTGGATGATTTCTAAAAATAACGTCGGCCGGTCGCCCACGGGCTTCGTGAAGACCTGAATCAATACGCCCTGGTCGTCCTTATCGACGAGCAAACCCAACTCTTCGACAAGCGCGTACTGCTCATCGTTCAAAGCATCGCCGATTTTCGCCTTGAGTTGCTTGTAATAGTCATCGCTTGCCGGCGCTTGAAAGTCGAATCCGCCTCGCAAGTGCGAGTACTTGCGCATTTCTCGCACCGTCGCAAAGATGTCATCCGTTTTCAACGCCAAGTGCTGCAACCCAGGGCCATTGTTTTGCTCAAGATATGTTTGGATTTGACTCTTCCGCTTCGTCCCGAACGTCGGCTCGTTCACAGGCAATAACACGTACTCGTTATTGTTTGCCAACACCATGCTATTCAACCCGCTATCGATCGTTCCGATGTCCTCCGCCGTGAACTCAGCAAACTCGTGAAAGCCCGTGACTTTGGTGATATAATCCACGGTTTCGATCAAATCGTGCACGTTACCGACGGCGTGATCGAGGCGCTGCAACCCATACGACACATCTGGCGCATCGCGCGTCGCCGAATAATTGCACAGAAAGTCTCCGTCAAATCCATCCGTCGCGTTGACGAAGCGCAAGACGACATCGCCATATAGCTCAATCTCCGCGATGACTTGTCCACCCTTCGCACATCCGTCGTCTACTGTGTGTGTCAAAACCGTCGGCGCCAGCACGCCACGCGCACCACGTTTCACTGCCTCCTCATACGCCGCGCGCGCGTCTTTGACTCGCACGCCCACCGCGCGCGCCGCCAGCCCGTGCTTCTCAAAAAATCGCATCATCGCCCGTCCCTCGTGTCCCGGATGCGGCGCTTCCCCTCGACTACCTCCGCTCTCGACTCCGTACGGTGCGGTGAACACGAACGTCAGATCGTTCGACTTCATCGCGTACGACGCGTACGTCCCGTTCCCCGTGGTCGCGTCGCTCTTGCATCGCAGCCCCATGCCTAAGCCAACCCCGAACCTCGCCGCCGCGTTCGTCGCATCCCCGCACCAAAACTCGATGTGGTCAAACTTTTCACACTCGAACGCGTCGCTCAGCGGGTTCGATCGCACGAAGTTCGCGCACCCGACCAACTTTCGTTTACTCGGGACGGTCGCCATCGTTGACGCTTTATCTTATCGCCGTCGTCGCCGTCTCTCGCGCGCGATTCGGTGGCGTCGAGCGAATGGCGGCGATATATTTCGACGCGTTCGCGCGCGCTTTCGAGCGTCTCGTCGCGCGCGCGCGTCGTCGCGTCGTTTTGTGTGGTGACGTGGCGCCGCGCGCTGGTGGCAGCGGCACCGCCGCCACGGCATTGCGCGACGCTGCGACGCGCGCGCGCGACGCCATGCCCGCCGTCGCCGATGACGCGCTCCCTGAAGACGCTCGCGAGGCGCTCGATGAGTTTGAGGCGGCGACGGAGGCGATCGAACGCGCGCTCGAGCCGTTTCTCGACGCCGACCGCAAGGCGCTGACGAAGGAACTGCGGCCGTTGGAACGCGCGGAGGTGCACTGCGAGGCCGCGCGCGCGATCGTCGCGCTGTTTGGGATGTACCTGAAGACGCTAGGCGTCGATCCGGAGAAGCACGCGACGGCGAAGGAGATGAAACGGGTGGAGGCGTACAGGAAGAAGATCGAGGAGACGCGAGCGAGGCTCGGGGACGGCGCGCGGGGGGCGAGCGCCGGCGGGCGAAAGGCGAGCGTGGACGTGGAAACGGCGGCGAAGGCGATTAAAGATGGTGTTGGTTCGCCGGGAGATCTGTTGAAGGCGAGTTTGGCGGCGGCAGGGGGTGATAAGGGGGACGGCGGCGAAGACGGTAAGGAGGACGGAGGTAAAAAGCGCGCGGCGTCGGCAAACAAAGGCAAGGGTTCAAAGAAAGCGAAGAAGAAGTAGGTCGAAGAACTAGGTTCGCGCGGAGCGGTTGTAACACTAGTAACACCAGTTATTTAAATTTTGTCTTTTTCGTACATTTACACACGACTCCTTTCATGGGAGAAGGATGCCACTTGTTTGCCTAGCCGAGACTGTCGGTCTCGGCGAGCCAAAAAGTGCGCAGCTGCGGTTCGGTCAAAAACTATCCTATATGGCCTTGCGACCTTTTAATAAACAAAAAACAGCCCATTCGATTAGACGAAGGAACCTTCAAAGCAAAAATCGTTCAACGTTACACACGGCGTCACCGTCCTCGAGACAACGTCGAGGCGCCAGTTTACGCTGCCGCGGGCGCTTGTCTGGGTTGTATTCGCGTCCTTCGACGCTTGCTGATGTGTAAATCAATCACACCCGGACACGTGTGCTGCACGGTGACTGAAGCAGCCACATTGACAACACTCAAAGTGCCTTGCTGTTCCCGTTCGACGACACCTACGGCGCTGTTTAACGCGTCAAAACGCGGACTCGTCGGCGGCTCTTGCGAGTTCGCCTTGATGATCACGTGCTCAATGCTGCCGCTGTTACTACGATCCAATCGATTTTCGCGAGCCATTTGCTTGGAATTGGTGCTTGTGCGCGGTTTAATTCCTTTTCGCGGCGAATTTGGCGCCGAACTCTCGTTACTCTTCAGCTTCATCTCGTGCAACATTTGTAACAGTTCGGGCTGCGTCATCGCCTGCAAGGTGGGAATTTCATCCTTGTAATCGTTGATGTCCATATTTGTACAGATGGTGCCGCCTTCTACCGAAGCCTTGAATATTGCCGCCCGATCGTACGCCCGCGCGGCCTCTTCTTCGCTGAAAAAGAAACCAAGATGCAACTGTTTCCGCTGCACGTTGATTTGCGCGTGGTACTTGCCGGTTTGCCGCAACAGAGAAACCCCTCTGTAGAGCGACGTTCTCGAATCGTGTCTGCGCGCTTGCGCCTTCAAGTTTGTCACCAAATCTTTATGCACCAATTTGTTCGCACCATCACCCTTCCCCGTGTTACTTTGCTCTGAATCAGTCTCGCTGAGATCCGTCGGCGACTTTGAACCCGACGACGCGCGCCCGCGCGGCCTCGCCGTCGCCGTCCCGTTTCGAGGAGCTTCCATCCCTCGACCCGGCGTGCCGACCTCGGACTCGCTCGGACTCGACCTCGCGAACTGTGTCCCACCTCCAAAAACATTCACCGACAGCGGGGCATCGCTCGAGCGTCCGGAACCGGAATCGCCCTCCGCGTCGTCCCCGCGCGCCGTCGTCCGCGCCTTGCCAATCGTCCTCGGGACCCCGATCGGCGGCCCGTGCGTGGCGCTATCGTACGTGTACGCCCCCATGCCGCGCACCGCGCGTTCACGCGCTCGCGTTCTTCTTCCCTCGCGTTTCCTTCGCGATCGATCGCGCGCGCGCGTCGCGGCGTCCCGTCGACGTCGCGCGAACACTCAAAAGCGCGCGAGGGTCGGCGCGCGCAATCGTCGAGATTTCCGCGTCTCGCGTCCGCGCGCGCGCGGTTTTGCGCGCGCGCGAGATTCGGGCGCGTGAACGAACGCGAGCGCGAGCGGTTCGTCGCGCGATCGGCGCGCGCGCGTCGCGGACGTCGGCGTGTGCGGGGAAGATTGCGGCGGGGGACGGAGCAACCGACGCGCGCGCGCGAAGATGCTGACGCGGACGGCGCGATGGGTCCGGTGGTGATCACCATTGATGGGCGTTTTTGAAGTTAAGTATGCGAAGAAAAATCTCACGCGCGCGCGAGGCGCGCGCGCGAGACGCGACGACGGCGCGAGGGCGCGGACGAGGACGCGGCGAGCGATGGGCGCGCTGCGATGACAACGTCTACGCGCGCGAGCGCGGGACGCGGCGTCGACGCGCGTCCAGGACGGCAGACGCGACGCGCTAGCCGCACCACGGCAGCGTGCAGCGCCCGTCCGACGGCGGCGGTCCGATGACGACGATGAATACGAATAAAAGCGCGGCGACGGCGATTAAACTCACCAACGTCACCTTTTGCGACGTCGCGAAGTTTAACACGCGATCCTCGTCGTCGTAGATTTGCTGTTTAGCCTCGGCGTCCGGGGCGCGTCTGCGTCGGGCGAAACGCGTCCTTCGTCAGTCGCCCGCGTCGCGCGTTCGATCCTTCCGAGTCCTCCCTCGCGAGCGCGCGCGCACCTATTATTTTGATACTTCTTCTCCACCAAATCTCCGGGCATCTTCGCGTCGTCGCCGACGAAATCGCGCTTGAACGCGCGCCACGCCCCGTCCCAATCCATCCCTCTCCGCTCGTCCACATCTTGCGCCTTCTCCTCCCCGTCGTCGCCGCGTTTCCCTCCCGCGAGCGTCACGACGCGTCGACGGTGCGCGCATCCCATCGCGGCGCCTCTCGCGCGCGCGTCCCGTCCGCGACCGCGTCGCGCGACGGTCGGCATCGTCGTCGTCGACGCCATCGTCGTCATCGCCATCGCGTCGCGGCCTCGCCGTCGTCGACCGCCGCGCGCGTCGCGCGCGAGCCGAATCGATCGCGCGCGATTCGTTCGCGTTCGCGCGCGTCGCTCGCGTCACCGACGCCGCGGTGTGTCGCGATCGATCGCGAGATCGCGAATGCGGGCGTCGCGTTCGTCACTCGCGCGCGCGCGAACGACGATGAATGATTCGCGTTGATCGCGCCGCGCGCCTCGATCGAACGCCGAAACGATGGGACGGGACGCGGGAAATCCTCGCAGCGCGTCGTCGCTGTGCGCCAAGTTCGCGCGCGCGAACGGCGAGCTCGCGCGCGCGAACGCCAAGGTGCGTCCGAGACAGCCCGAGAGTGCCTGGATTTTTGGAATCATTTTTGGAATCGGCGCGCGCGACGCGAGAGGGCTCTCGCGCTCGAGACGGCGAAAGGGGGGAAGAAAACGGAATGCAGGGATAGACGTGCGTGCTCGTGATTGACGGGAAGCGTTCGGGTCGGTTTCGCGCAGCTGAGAGCGCAGACGACGGAGGCGCGGGAACGCGCCGAAGCGTCCGAGGCGAGCCAGCGTACGTTGACGACTGCGTTGCGAATGGTCCGAACGACTGTGGAAGAGGAGAAGCGACGGTGGATCGAAGAGCTTCGCGCGGCGCGGGATGATGTGTGTCGGTTGAGAATCGAGCTCGCGCACGCGAAGGAGAAGGCGAAAATGAGTGGAGGGAGGCGCGAGGCTTCTAAATCGATCGACGTTTACGCGGACGAAGAGAGCGACGAAGACGCATCGTCGTCCGATTCCGACGCGCGTGGTGAGAGTGAAAGCTTGTCGTTGACGGAAGCGGCGGAAACGTTGCGTGAGTTGTCTCTCGCGCTCTGCGATGCGGCGATCGAGCGTAGAGTCATAAAGAAGCAGACGCCGAAGAAGCGCGCCAAGGCGAAGAAACCGATCGGCAAGTCCACGGCGAAAACGAAAGAGCCCAAGCAGACGACACCCGTGGGAGAGACGGCTCGACGCGCCCTGCGCGCGAGACACGCCATGAAAGTATTGAATTACGCCGAGCCGAGCTTGAAGACGAAGCTTCGACGTCCGAGCGGGTTCGACGAGATCGAAGAACGCAAAGTCGTCGGCCCGCTCGCGCTTTCGCCGCCGCGCCCGCTCGCGCCGCCGCCGTCGCCGGAAAATTCTCCCCCACCGCCTCGCGACGCATCACCGGCGCCAGCGTCCACCATCAAAACGCACGCCAGTCCACCCGCGAGATCTCCGCTCGACGTCATCGCCGACGTCCCCAGAATCGAACCGCCGTCTTCGCCGATTCGCCGGCGCGTCGCGCGTTCGATTCCGCGCGTCGACTACCTCGAGCCCGACCTCGTTCGCAAGATGCGTCGACCGTGACCTTCGACCCCCGTCATTCATTCATCCCATCTTATTTCATCCCATCTTTTCGATCGCGTCGGAGACGTTCGCGCGACGATCGTTCGTCGCGTCGCGTTTCGTTTGATTCGCGCGTCGCGTCTCGCCTCGCCGTCGTCGTCGCGCGTCACATGGCGCCTCGCGCGTCGGCGCGTCCGCGCCTCGCCCGCGTCGCGCGCGGCGTCGTCATCGCATCGCTCTGCGCCGTCGCGCGCGCGGCGAATTTGACGCAGATCGCGTCTCCGTTCGCCGACGTCGACGCGCGAACCGTCGAATTCATCACCCCCGCGGCGCACGCGTCGTCCGCGCCGTCGGCGCTGTCGACGATCGCGTACGTCCTCGGCGCGCGAACGATCAGCGCGCTGACGCTCACGACGTCGCCGGTGACGCTGACGACGATCGCGACGCTCGACGAGGACGCGACGCCGTGCGAAGGGCTGTTCGCGTACGAGAGCGCGCGGGACGGCGTCGCGGCGGGAAATCGAGCGCGCCTGGCGGTGACGTGCGCGGGAACGAATTCGTTGTTGATATACGGCGTCGATGGCGATGGAACGCGAGCGACGAAAGCGAGACAGATACACGCGGTGAAGAACGCGACGAGAATCGCGGAGCCGACGGATGTGGTGGTGGTGAACGGGACGCTGGCGTTCGTGGCGAGCCGAGCGCACGCGCGGGTGGTCTTCGTGAAGTTGGATCCGAACGAAAACGACGCGCCGACGATCACGGGATCGACGTATCAGCTCTCGGGAATCGATAAAATACAGTTAGGACCGTATGATAGGCAAACGCTGCGGACGATGAGCGGGATGACGCGGAGAGTGACGACGTTAAAGTACACCTCGGCGGGGACGATGCAACTCGTCGGGAGCGTCAAGGATAGTCGGTTGGAGAGCGCGAGCGGCGCGTGCGTGGGGGTGGGGGGCGGCGAACGCGCGTACACGTACGTGGTGACGCCGACGTTGAATGGGGGGACGTTTTCGATATTTAACAGCTCGACGTACGGCGCGCCCGAGTATTTGAACGGGGTGCACGCGGGGCGACTCGCGCCGAACGAACCGTCGGATGGCTTTGAGTTAGCGCCGGCGGCGAACCGAGATTTATCGGGCGCGCGCGACGTTAGCGTCCACGGCACCACCGCGTACGTCGCCGCCAAAAGTATCGGTGCCATCGTCGTCGTCGACATCACCGACCCGAACGTACCAGTCGTGTTGGAAAAGGCTCGATCCTCCGCCCTCGCCGGCGTCGACCGCGTCGTCGCGTCGCCCGACGGCGTCTTCGTCGTCGCCGCCGTCAACGCCACCGACGATGGCGCCAACGCCACGATCGTCATCGCTAGCAAAGACGACACCGCCATCGCCAAGCACGGTGCGTACACCGGCGCTAAGAAGCGCCGACGCCTATTCTCCTCGTCAAAGTAACTAGCCGACGCGAGCCCGCGCAGCCGTAGCCTTTGGAGTGCGAAAACCTCTTTTCGCCGAATTCGCCACCGTCATTCGCCCGCGCGCGACCGAGCGTCGACCGCGCGCGCGATGACGAGCGTACGACCGCAGTGCGCTCTTTCGCGCCTCATCGTCGACGCCCGCGCGACGAAACGACGCGCGTCGTCGTCGTCACGCGCGGCGGCGGCGGACGGCGCGGCGGACGCGACGACGACGTACGTCCCGGGGAACGCGACGCTGCGCGAAGCGCACGAGTACGGCGCTGAACACGAATACTCGAGGTGAGTCGACCGCGCGCGGAACCACGACGACGCGGAAACGACGCGGAAACGACGCGAGAGGGGATGAGCGGCTGAATGCGAGACTGACCGGGACGCCGACGCGGCGCCGGCGCGCAGTTTTGATGCGTTACAACCGCACAGGGTGCACTTTCCGAACGCGAATTACGATTACGACGTCAAGACAAAGGTGGCGACACCCACGCGGTATCGAGTGAAGTTGCCGAAAGGGTACGATGGGAACAGGAAAGAGCCGTACGACGCGTTGATTTGCGTGCCGGGAGAGGCGGGATTCGGGCCGAGGGAGGGGAAGGTATCTTTGACGTCGAGCGTGGCAAAGAAGAAGTGGAACGACGCGAAGGATGTAATTTTGGTTGAGTTGGCGTTTAACACGCCGACGTGGCTGAACGATTCGGCGTCGATGAACCACGAGAGCTATTTGCTCAAGGTGGTGTTGCCGCACTTCTTGGCGGCGCACAACGTGGGCAAGATGTCGCTTCTTGGCTTTGGTTCAGGCGCGTACGGGGCGCTGAGTTTGCTCATGCGACGTCCAACGGCATTTCACGCCGTTATCGCCGCTGATGTACCGATCTTAGGTGGGTTTAAGATGATAGAGCGAGCGTGGGGACGCGAAGATCTCGAGCGCGAGGCGAACTGGGGGTCGTGGAACGAGGCGTTCCCGCAAGACGACGACTGGACCCCGTACGACGTCACCACCATCGCACGCGACGCGTGGGTTCGCGACCATCTCAACGCCACTGAATTGTCTAGAATCGCTCTCATCCCCGGGAGCAAAACTGCGAACGAGCTCGGCGACTTTGCTCGCCAACTCGAAGCCGCCGGCGTCGCGCACGACGTCATCGAAGGTTTCGAGAGCGTCGACATTCATCACGAGGGCGAGTGGATCGATGCCGCCCTCGGATGGCTCGCGCCGAGACTCGCGTAATATTTCCCAGCTCCACTCGGGCGTGTAACATATCTTCTCCCTCCAATCTCCGCGGCGTCTCCTCCTGCCAAAAACAGCCAAAAAGCGCCGCCAGGGACGAACCATTCGCCAGAATCCCGCGCGCGACCGCACCTCTGCGATCGCGCGCGATCGACCGCGCCTCCATGTCCGCCGCGGCGTCTGCCGATGCCGCCAAACGCGTCATCGTCGCCGGGGACGCGCGCGCGACGTTCGACGACCTCGTCGCGCGCGTGCACACCGTGCACGCCAATCCCAAAGCCGGACCTTTCGACGCCGTCCTCGTCGCGGGAAGGATCTACGACGGCGACGCAGCGGAGGAGACGATGCGAGGGTACCAGGACGGCACGAAGTCGTGCGAGGTGCCGGTGTACTTTGTCGATCCCGATGGAGAGAAGGGTTTGGAATTCGCGCGCTCGGCGGCGGCGAAACGCGCGAGCGAGACAAAGGATGGATCGAAGGAGAAAGGATTGCTCGAGATCGCGCCGAATGTGTATTTTATGAGCGAATCGCGAGTGTACGAACTTTGTCGTGGGTTGAAAGTGGCGTCGGTGCCGGGAAGGTTCGATGTGCTTTCGTACGAGGACGCGAGCGCTATTGGGAAATCGACGGCGAAGCGAAACGGCGAGACGACGGAGGATGACGTGACGTCCATGAAGGCGAGTTTTGATGAATTGCCAAAGAATGATGTCGTGGATGTGTTGCTCACGCGCGATTGGCCCGCGGGTACGCTTGACGTGCACGGACGCGAGGTTGGGAGCGAGGCAAAGAGCGCGAGTTCGACTGGCAGTCCAGTGTCTCGGGCGTTGGCGCTGACGCTCGCGCCGAGGTATCACTTCGCGGGCTCGCATCCGTTCTTCTTCGAGCGTGAGCCATACATTAACGTAAAAACGGGCTCGAGTGATCCAGCATCGGCTCAGTCGTGGGTGACGCGATTCATTAACATTGCGTACTGCAGCAACGCCGACGGCGAGAAATGGATGCATGCGTTGAAGATTGAACCCGGGTCAGCGATGGATCGCGCGCTGTTGTGCAAGATTCCACCAGATACTGGCCCGAACCCGTATTTAGGCGCTCCAGGACAGAAGCGTCGAGCGGCGGATTTACAGCCGGACTGGCGCGACGGAGCAAAGAAACCGAAAACGGATGCTCGCGGCGGAAACCGCGACGCACGAGACATCAAGGGCGATTTAGACAAGACTATCTACGTCCGAAACTTGTCGTGGGACGCCGAAGAAGGCGCCATCGCGGAGTATTTTGGTGAGTGCGGCGAATTGGTGGACCTCAGATTGGCGCGCAACCGAGACAACAACCGAAGTCGCGGTTACGGTTGGATTTCATTCACCACTGTGGAGGGAGCGCAAGCCGCACTCGAGCGCAATCAAGCGTCATTCTTCGGCAGAGATATCACGGTGGAGATGGCAAATGCACCATCGGAACGACAGCCGCGTCGGCCGACCCCGGGCGTCGCCCCGGGCGGATGCTGGTTCTGCTTGTCAAACGAGAAGGATTTGCACTTGGTAGCGAGCATAGGCTCCGAGTGTTTCGTGAGCATGGACAAGGGTGGTCTCACGCATGAGCACTGTCAAATAGTTCCCGTCGAGCACTTGCCGTGTTTTGCAAACGTACCCGAGAGCACGGCGACTGAAATGTGGAATTACATTGGCGCGTTGCGTCGTTACGCCGAGTCAAAGAGTCACAAGCTCGTGATTTTCGAGCGTTATCTCGAGTTGCTAAGCAAAGGTGGAAATCACTGCCACATGAACTGTGTGCCCGTCGAAGCCGATCGCGCTGTGCTCTCGGAGAAGATATTCAAGCAAGCGGCGAAACGTTTAGACTTTTCGTGGACGAAGCTCGAACCTCCGGCGAACGCCGCCGACGCGCAAGCCGCCATCAAATCCGTCGCTGGCGACGGCGAATACTACGCCGTGCATCTTCCAGACGGTTGCATCCTGATCCGCTCCATCGAGAGAGGTGAGAAACACTGGATGCAGCTCGGTCGCGAAGTCATCTCTCACCTCATCAAGGCTCCCGAGCGCGCGAACTGGCAAAGTTGCATGGAGGACGAAGCGAAGGAAACCGAGCGCACGACCGCCTTCGTCGAAGCGTTCGATTCGTTCGACCCGATGAAGCAGGGATAACTAGGAGGAGTGTTTTTGATTTGTAGTGGAACAGTTAGTTAGTCACGCAGAGCGCGCGTCCGATTCCCGACCGCGCCGGCGACGTCGTCCGCACATCTCGAAGTGCCCTTCGAGCGCCCTCGCGCGCCCGCGTCCATGGCGTCCGACGTCATGGCGCGCTCACGCGCCGCCGACGACGGAAGTATGTTCAACCGTCCATGGCTCGCCTTCTACGACCGTCGCGCGAGACCACCGCCGTGCGCTGCGGACGTCCCCGCCATCCTGCGCGCGCTGGATGAAAACTCGCTCTGTGAAATCGCCTCGCGCCTCGGCCCGCGCGCGTTCGCTCGACTCGCCACGACGTGCGCGGCGTTTCGAGACTTTGTGTACGCGCACGACATCGATGTCTGGCGCGGTTTCTGCGTGGACGCGTTCGCGCACCGAGAGAGCGCCGCGGAGACGGCGGCGCGCAAAAGCAGACACGGGAGCTATCGCGCCATGTTCCAGCAACGCTTGCGCTTGCGCACGGACGGGCTGTACGTCAGCAGGAACACCTACATCAAGCCCGGGGCGAAGACTATGGAGAACGCGAAGTGCTGCCACTTGGTGGCGTATTATAGGTACTTTAGATTCTACCGCACGGGCGAGTTCGTGTGCAAGACGTCGCCGCGGCGGCTGCGCGATGAAGCCAAGCTTCTCAAGGATCGAGCGGCGTGCGCGCGCTCGAACGAGGTCTGCCACGGAGGATACACGATCGACGGTGAAGATCGAGTGCGCTGCGAGGCGATTCGACCGAAATCGAACGGCGAGTGGAGCGCGACTTATTTTTGGGTTCGCCTTCGGCAGAACAAGCCCGGCGCGTCGAACCGACTGGACGTCGTCAAGATAGCCATGGTTGACGGCGATAACGACCCCCCCACGCCCACAGACGAAGAATGGCGCGCCGTCGACGACGAAGAGGCGCTCTACCGTCGAGGTCTCGGCATCTGCGCCCAAAAGTTCGACGGCACCGCGGAGGTTCGCGTCGCCAACCGAGGTCTCTCCACGCTCGTCTTCGTCCCCTGGGACGAGGTCAACGTTCACGAGCTCAACAAGACCACCGAGGAGATGGACTTTTACTTCACCGGCTGAGCGCCGCGTCGCCGTTTCGTTTTCTTTTTTTTCTAGTTCATTAGCCCATAGCTTCGCGAGCGCGCTGTACATTACCACGATTCCCACGAATCGCGCCGCGCCGCGCCGCGACCGCCTTCGCGGCGTCCCCGTGGATCTCGATCGATCGCCATTGTCGCGCTCTCCGCGCCTCGTCGCGGTCATGGACGCGGACGTCCCGACGTACGACGATGAGGGTGGTCGCCAGCGCTCCCCCGAACCCGACGTCGACGTCCGGGACGCCCCCGTCGACGCGAACGCGCCGCGCGACCCGTCGTCGACGGCGCCGCCGCGACCCGCCGACGAGGTCGATTCGACGACGATAACCACCGATGACGCCCGTTTCTTGATCGGCGCCAAGGGCGCGACGAAGCGTAAGCTCATGCGCGTCTCCGGCGCGCGGCTGGAGATCACCGCGATCGAGGGCGACGCCGCGGAGGGGCAGAGACTGGACATTTCGGGGAGCGCCGAGGCGCGCGCGAAGGCGAAGCGATACGTGGAGTGGGTGCTGCGACAGCGAGTGGGGAAGATAATCGTCGATACGTCGACGGTGATGGAGGATGTGAGCGTGATGGAAGTGCCCGGGGATTGCACGGCGTACGTCACGGGGAAGGCGGGTCAAGGTTTGCGAAGGATTGAAGCCGACAACGGGACGCTGCTGTTCTTTGGCAAGCCGACGACGGATCCCGAGGACGCGCCGGAGAAGTTGATTATATGCGGGGATAGGAAAGGCAGGCGAGGAAGCGAACTTCAAGTGATGAGTTCTATCGAGCGTAAGATTCCTGGGACGTTCGTGGACGAGGAGAAGAAGCTGAAGATTAGGTTTGAGCAGCCGGGAGACGGTTTGGGAGACGGCTGGGGTTTCGACGTGTGGCCGTTCGCGAACGAGGAAGAGTTGAGTTTCGCGGTGGGGCGTGAGGTAGGTCGTCTCGATCGCGCGCGCGCGCGATTCGTTTTCTCGTACTTCTTTGTTGATTTTACGCACGACGAGTAGATCCGTCCGGGGCAAAACCATGTCGGACGTTAGATCACTCGAGCTCTCTTTCGTGCGAAGAATAAATTCTGTCTGAAATATGCGGGTGTTTTCTGTCTCGCCGCTGTGGGCCAGTATGCCGTCCAGCGAGTGAACGCTTTCATGTCTACCCGTACATTCATCAACCACTCTTTTTCGTTTTATCTTCTCATCAAACTGCGCTATGAACGGAAACTGACTGAGTGTATATTTTTCGATGCAGGGATCGACGCGAAGGAAAATCGCGAAGGCGTCCGGGTGCTCGTTTGAGTACGTCGGCATGCTCGGCATCATGACTGGCGATCGCGACGAACGCGCGAGATGTTGGGACTACATTCGATGGTTGTTGAAGCAACAGAAAGGGACGTTAGGAACGGATATTTCGTTTAAAGATCGCAACGATGTCACCGTTTTCCCGTGTAAATCTGGCTTCGGCGGCATCAGCCGTATCTACGGCACAGGCGGCGCCACGCTCCGGCTCATCGAACAAAACACTGGAACGTTTTGCTTCAACATACCCGATCCGGATGATGAGCCAGAGAAAGAACTAGTGCTCATTTTCAGTCACGATAAGGGCGCGCGTGGGCGGGCTAGAGACGCCATGCGCGACGTCTTGAACGGCCATCGAGTATCGGCGAACGGCGGGAACGGCGGCCAGCAACGGTGCTACGACTTTAGCGTCGGTCGATGCCGACGCGGTAATAGCTGCAAGTGGGCGCACATCGTTCCACCCGGCCCGCCGGGTCCATCGCGAGGAGGCGATAGAGGGCGAGGAGGCGATAGAGGGCGAGGAGGACCGAGTCGTGGAGGAGGTCCGCGCCGCGACGACAGAAAACCGTACAGTCGCCTCAACGATACCTGGGGAGCGATGGCGGACAGATTAGGATGAAAACGTATTATTACGCTGTGCATGTAATTGTGAATTAAAGCTCGCTGTTATCGTGCGCCCTGCGCGACGCAAATTCTTCAAACTCTCGCGTGCCTCGCTCGAGCTTGGCGCGTTCGCCGTTGTCCTCCATCGACGCGTGCGCTTTGCTCAAGATTTCTCGCGCCTCCTTCAGGCGCGATTCGTCGTTGCGATAAATGAAATGCACAAAGTCCAAAAAGTGGTCCGCGAATTCGGGTTCGTGTTCGATCGCCGCGCGGTAGTGCGCATCCACTTCAAGTGCCGCGGCGCCGAGCAACTTTTCCTCGCACGTTGCCAATAAATGATACGCCTGTCCAAAGTTCTCCGCTAGCTTCAGCGCCTGTTGCGCGTCCTCGACGCACGCGCCGTAATCCTTCTTCGCGCGATGCACCTTTCCTCGACTAAAATACAATCCAGGCGCTTGTCGAACCGCATTCAACGCCTCGTTGTACGACGCCAACGCGTCGTCCAATCGTCCATCCTCGTATTGATTCGACGCCAACGCTTCCCACGACAGCGCATCTCCCGGTTTCGCCTTTGTCGCGCGCGCGTAATACGTCTCCGCTCGCGCTCGATCTCCCCGAACCGCGCTCCACAGATCACCAAGCGCGATCGCCGCGTCCGCGTATTCTGGCCAGTGTCGAAGCGCGAGCTCGAAACTCTCTCGCGCGAGCTCAAATCCGCCCGGCGCGCGCCTCGCGAACGTCTCTCCCACTCCGTACAGCGCGGGCGGGAAATTCATCTTGGACGACAGCGCGGCGACGTAGCACGCGAGCGCGGTGTCGTGCGCGCCGCGCTTCAGGTGCGCGTTCCCGGCGGTGTTGGCGCGACGATGTCCGCTCTTGTGCTCGGGACATTTCGACACGTCCACGGTCGACAGCGCGGCGTGCAGGTTCGGAGGGAGGTTCGGGAGGTTCGGCAGCACCGGTGCGTGCGCGCGCGCGGTGCAGGCGAGCGCGAGAAGCGCGAGCGCGCACGCGAGGACGACGCGGAGGCTGCGCTGGGCAATCACCATGGCGAGGCGCGAAGTGACGCCGCGGACGACGGAACGTTCGACGCGAGACTCCGACGCGTGTCATCGTCGCGATGAAGCGTGATGAATATAGCTTGTGTGTGTCATTATTAATTCAACGCCGCGGCGGGGCGAAAAGATTAGAGCACCGTGAGCTCGCGCTCCTTGGTGCGAACGGTTCGGTCCCATCGCTCTCGCGACATTTCCAAAACATTCGGATACCGCGTGCCGTCGCCGCTAATTTTGCAACCCGGGGTGAACCAGAACAAAACATTTCTACCTAGTATCTCTCGCAAGTTGGCGAGCAAACCGAGCGAGTATGGATGCTCGACGACGGTGGGGATGTTGTTGTATCTCGAACGCACGCCTTCGTAGTGCTCGATGGTCGTCTTGTTGTTCACCACGAGTCGCACGTGCCACACGAAGAGTGCGGCGAGGGCGATCGTGAGCGTGCACGTTACCACCAAACATCCGATGACGAGCGAGGAAGCTTTGTAGTCGTCAAACTTGGACCCGCGCGGGTTGAAGATTTCACTCGCCGCAAAATTTCCGAGATGGTACGCCGCTTGGCACAGCGAAATCGTGGCGTAAAACAAAAACAAGAAGAAACTCTTGTAATTATAGTGCCCCACGCAGTTATTCACCCAAACACAGTGATGATCCATGCGCAACACGCACCGCTTACACACGCGACAGTGATGCGTCCGCGGCGGTTTGTGCCGTTCGCACTTTTGACAAAATCGAAATCCCCCGCCTTTCCGTTTCGCCTCCACAAGCGCGTCTCCCTCCTCAACCTTGGGCACGTAATCCCCCGGAACCCTCCCCGGATCTCTCAACACCGTGCACGCATACATAACCATCCCCAGCCCCGCGGTGAGCGCGAAGACGAGCTCCGCCAGCCCTCCCGCGCGTCCTTCGTGAAACGCGTACGTCTTCGTCGTCTCGTACACGTAAGAGTACATCCCGAGCACCAGCACCACCGGCAGGTTCAGTTTCCCCACGCACCGTCGCGCGCACGTCCGCGCGCGTACTCTTCGGTTCATTCCGACGTTTTCCGCCATCACGTTCGTCCAATCCTCGCCGCGCGTCCCCTCTCGCCCGTCCCGTTCGCGCCGCGTTATCCACCCGCGATCCCGATCGCGCGCTCGCCCGTCTACCGTCGCACGCTCCCGCACTTACAATTCGCTCCGCACTTACAATTCGCTCCGCACCGGCAATCCCTCCACGGGCACGCGCTCCCCGCGCTTCCGCACGCGCCGCGCGCGCCGCCACCGCTCGATTGCGCGCAACTCGCGTGCGGCGTTTGCGGCGCCTTGGGCGTCGTTTTCGACGACTTCGAGCCGCCGAACAGGTTCGCGAGGACGCCCATGTGGTGACGCGCGCGCCGTTCGTCGCCCGGTCGCCGGCGACGCGGAGGTCGATCGAAGCGCGCGCGGCGATCGTCGACGAGTGGCGCTCGACACTGCACGTCGACGAGTGGCGCTCGACACTGCGCGACGGCGCGCGCGATGTCGACGGCGACGCGCGGCGGCGCGCGCGTGGCGCGCGCGGGGCGATGCTCGGGGCGTCGCGCGCGCGCGTCCGGGCGCGCGCGACGGTCGGGGGCGACGAAGGCTGGGGAAGACGATGCGCTTCGAGGGACGCTGGACGCGGTCGCCGTCGCGACGCTTCGCGCGCTCGGTGGCGTCGCGCGCGACGTCGCGGGAAACGCGAACGTAAAGCCAGCGCGATTTCCGCGAGGACCGCGCGAGGACGTGGCGCTGGAGTTGGTGTACGATCCGTTAAAGTTTTTGGAACGCGCGAGAGAGGCGCACGGCGACGCAGTCGGGCTGACGCTCGCGGGAGAAAACGTCGTCCTCGTCAGCTCGCCGGCGCTGGCGAGAGCGGTTTTGGTGGATCAGAGCGAATGTTTTCAAAAAGATGGCACGGCGTTCTTTCCTGGATCGTCGTTGGCGGGGAATGGGTTATTGGTGAGCGACGGCGAGACGTGGGCTCGACAGCGACGGTTGAGTAATCCGGCGTTTCGCAAGGCGGCGGTCGAGACGTACGCGCGGTGCATGATTGAGGTAGGTGAGAGGTTAGTGAATAAGACGTGGTCGAGGCGGGGAAGGCGGGACGTGTACGCGGATTTTAACGATGCAACGTTGGAAATTGTGGCGAGTGCGTTGTTCGGGGCAGACGTCGTCGGTGCGAGAGCGAGTAAGATTAATGGTGCGATTAAGGATAGCTTTGAATTTTTTGGTCGGCGAGCGGCGACGGGAATGATTATTCCCGAGTGGGCGCCGACTTTTGATAACGTGCGGTACAACGATGCGGTCAAAAGACTCGATGAGGAGGTGTACAGTATCATTGCCAAACGTCGTCGAGCCATGGCGAGTGGAGAACAAAATAATGAATTGGACTTGCTCGATCGTTTGTTGCTTGAAAAGGATGAGAACGAGGGTGACGGCAACGACGCAACGGGGATGTCGGACAAAGCCCTTCGCGATGAGCTCATGACACTCATGGTTGCGGGACAAGAGACAAGCGCAATTTTGTTGTCATGGGCGTGCGCGCTCATCGCTGAAAGGCCATATGTGGGCGATAAGATAGCCACCGAGGTCCGACAACACTTGAAAACCAAGGAAAATGCTGGCTCGTCGCTCGATGCGAGTGATTTCTCGAAACTTCCGTACACCGAAGCGTGTATCCTTGAGACGCTTCGCATTCGCCCGCCAGCTTACATGGTGGGTCGATGCGCCGCGAGAGATGTGGAGCTTCGATCTGATGTGTTCATTACGAAAGGAACCACTGTTCTGATCGCTCCGTATCTGATTCAAAGAGATTCGCAGTATTGGAACGACCCCAAAGCGTTCAAACCCGAACGATGGTTGGTGAAAAGTCCGTATTCGGAAGGAACGTTGGCGCGCGATGCGTTGAAAAATCTCGGACCAAATGACGCATACTTCCCGTTTGGAGGCGGCCCTCGCGTGTGCATCGGCACTGGGTTCGCTATGATGGAGAGTGTTCTTTTACTCGCACTTATTTGCAACGCGTGCGAACTACGTCTTCCCCCGGGATCGAGCGCGCCAAAGCCAAAAGCTTTGATTACCCTGCGCCCGGATGAAATCAAGCTTGACGTCGGACCGCGGCCAAGAAGCGTCTTTTAACCTATTACTCAATTACAACGCTGTTTGTAACTCTATACCTAGATCTAGCTAGCAGCTACCAACTGTTCAGTTGGACGACTCCGACGGATTTTGCGCGAATGTGATATTGCGTTCGAAGCGCTTCGCGAGCGTTTGACGATCCTGGATTTCCGCCGATCCATTCGCGATAGAGCGTCGACACATCCGCCATCGGTCGTGCGCGTGCGTTTTCCCTATACGTATCATCCAGTCTGTCGATCAATTCTTTGTTCGCAGTTCCCTCGCGCGCTGGGATTTGACCGCCGCCATTCAAGCATCCCGAAGGACACGCCATTATCTCGACGAAATGGTGCTTGCTCTTTTTTAATTTGATGCTTCGAACAAGATTTTGAATGTTTCTGAAACCATACGCGACAGCCACGCGTAGAACAGCTTCACCATTGATCGTTAGTGTGGCCTCACGCATGTCCGCGTTGCGCATCTTGACCCAGTCAATCTCTCCAGTTATCGGAGCATTGAACAACTCCGCCGCCGCGCGCCGGAAAACGTACTCGGCGTATCCCCCAGATCCCGATACCGCCGGCGCTGCGCACACACTTTCTGGTGCTTGTTCGTTTGTGCTCACGAATGCGTCAAAATCATTTGCCGGCGCGTCTCTCAAATGGCACAAACCAGCCTTTTCTAATAACAAAGCCACCTCGCCCGTCGTGAGCACGACGTCGACATCCTTGACACCGTCGCTCTCGAAATCATCGCGAGTCGCCTCGAGCTTTTTGTCGTAGCACGGCATCACGCTCACGTGGTACACGTTATGTGCTGGTACGCCAAGTTCGCGCGCGACCGCGCTCTTCACAAACCTTCCCATGATTTGCTGCGGACTCTTCGTCGTTGCCATGTGCGGCACCGCGAGTTCGCCGTGCGTCTTCTCCGCGTAACACACCCACCCCGGACACGCACTCGCCAACATCGGCGTCCTCGCGCCGTCTCGCATCCACTCCGTAAACTCTGCAAACGTCTCCACGAGCGCTATATCCCGACTAAATGACGTATCAAACGCCCTCGCCGCGCCGAATCCCGCCTTCAACAGCCCGCCAAGCCGCGCGCGCGTCTCCTCCACTCCCAATCCATACGCCTCGCTCAGGCTCATCAACGACTGCGGGCTGACGCTCGCGACGACGACGCTCGTTCCGTCGCTCCGCGCGCGCGCGCACGCCTGTGCGAACTCATCCACGGATTGTTGTTCCAGCAGCACGCTCTCCGCGCTCGTCACGCAACCGCTGCACGCCAAGCAATCGCTCAGCGACACCTTCAGCGCGTCGCCCTGCGTCATCGTCGGTGTGAAAGTCGACGTTGGCTCGGCATCCACGGCCATGGCGTCGTCTTCGCGCGGTTTACGTCGACGCAGGGCGACTTCGCCGGTGGAGAAGGCGTCTTCGGAAGACGCGCCGACGGCACCATCGTCGTCGAGTTTGAGCTTACCACCGTCGAGAGCGACGACGCAGTCCTGCGAGGGGGCGATGAAGTCGTTCAGAGCGTCGGGCGCGATCTTCACCGCGCCCGAGAACATGACGCCGCGAGGTGTCGTGTGGCGCGGCCAACGAAGGATGGGTGGGTGCTCGGCAGTACTAAAACGTGAGTGAGTGTTATTGCGAATGTTTACTCTTCTTTCGGGCGTTCACGGTGGATTGGCAGTACGCTCCGATGAGATTTTTGATTTTTTCCTTGCGCTTGCTCGTCATGAACGCCTTGGAGGTGTCGTTGACGCCACCGGAATTGTCCAAAATTTTCTCTACGACTTTTTCTTCGAGTTTTTTGCACTCGGCTTTGGTGACGATTCCTCGTTCGCGCTTGTCTTGAAGCTGCTCGTGCACGTAATGACGCACTTGCTTTCTGATTCTAGCGAGATAGTCGTCAAGTGAAATTTCTGGTGTCTCATCGTCATCGTCGTCATCGTCGTCATCGTCGCCATCCGCAGCCTTGCGCTTCTTGTTCTTGGCGCGTTCACGCTTTGCGCTCGCTGCGTCGTTGAATGAGTCAAACGATGCGATGACATTCTTCTTAGACATGCGGACACCAGCCGTCGCCGCGATTTCAGCTTCGCGAGCGGCGCGCTGAGCTTCTTCGGCTAAACGCATGGCTTCCTTGACTTGTTCCGCCGCGCGTTCAGCCGCTTGTCGCGCCGCGAGCGCGGCTTGGCCCTCCGGTAAATCGTGCGCAGCGCTTATCATGGCATCACGTTTCGCTTGAATTTCCTCAGCGGTTTTCACCGGATCGATGACGTGTTTGACTTCGATGGTCTCTTCTGCATCGTCGTTGGCGACGTCCATTTGCTCGACAGTGGCGTTCCCAAGTAACACTGCTGCGCCGAGGTGCGATGGCTTCTTTCGCACCGGCACTACCTTCTTCTTCGTCTCCTCCTCCACGTCATCAATCGGCGGCAAACCAGCAGATTTACGGCTAAGTGCCTGCATCCACTTGTGGCCGCATTGACGTGCGAGTTGACGGACGCGTCCGTCTTGGTGCGTTTGGAAGCGATTCTTGAGCGTCCTCGGGATGCCGCTCGCACGAAGCGCGGCGAGATCTGACGGAATCACCAACAACAGCTCCAACATGCGCCTCATCAGCACTAAAGTCTCCGATGTCTTCGCATGATTCTTCGAATCAAGCATCCATTCGTTGAGAAGGGCCAAACCCTCGTGCTTCAGCGCCCAGTCTCGGCGATCGCTTGCGCTTACGTCATCAACCAAAGCGTTGATCATCGCTCTTCGGCCCGGAACGGTTCTCAATTTCAACATGACAGTGGCGAATTCGATTGGAACGTCAACTTTTTCGCCAGTTTCTACCGCAGACATAATGCGGTAAATGATTTTTGCCTCCTCTTTACCCGCATCGGCGAGGTAATCTTCTTGCGCACGTCGACGATACAACTCGCTCGGATCGATGACGTGGTCGAGCGCGTTCTCCTCTTCATCCAATGCGTACTCCACATCGACGTTACGCTTCGCGATCGCCGCGCGCATTTCATCCAAATTGAACACTTCATCGTGCACCTCTTTTCCGCGAGCGATCGCCAGCGCTTGACGCGCCGCACGCCAACCGGTGAGCATCGCACCGCCAACAGTGTCTGGATGTTCCTTACAGGTGTGTTCACCCGCGAAGAGCACGCGTCCTTCGGGCTTACCCAAATCGTCGTAATCAGAAGCTCCCTTCGAGCCAGTGGCAACGTAGGAGTACGATCCTCGCGCATAGGGATCGGACTGCCATCGAGTAACGAGAGATTGCTTCAAAGGAGGCATCTTCGACGGATCTTCCGGGAAACAGATTCTCGCCAGCGTCGCAAGAACAGATTTCACTATGGACTCCGAACCTTCGGTTTCAGCCGATTTCGCGGCGTCGCCGGCGATGAGAGAGATCAGCATGGGCTTGCCACTTACTGGCACTAAGTTCCAAAACATAAAACTTCGCCCGCGATTCTCTGCACTATCGATGGCGGAGCCAAAATAATCAACCGATTGATCCCAAAACGCCTCGTCAAATTCAAGGATAACTTTGTTCAAGTTTCCGTAGCCGAGACGCTCAACCGCGCTCGACTTCATATCTCCGAGCGGTGGGCTGAACTTCACGTCACCAGCCTTGAGACAACCAAGCGGGACGGTGACGACGACGGAAGCACCTTCAATCTGCTGCCCATCTTTCGTTTCAACGACAACGCCGTTTGCATCGTGACGCACTTCGGCAACAGGCATACCGAGACGAACATCAAGACCCTCCGCCAGTCGAGACATGATCGTTCCATAGCCACCACTAACCATGCAGTGTGCACCGCCGAACCCCCCGAACGTCTCGTCTTGGTTCCAGTGTGGTAACGAAATATCATTCAACGATGCGCTGCAACCGTACTCAAGATTAGCCCAGTGCCAATCGAGCAGGCGGCGTTCGGTCTGACCCATTCGAGCCGCCTGCTCGGTCCGTACAGCGGCGTGTGTCTCACTATCATCACTGTCGTTGCCGTCGTCTTGTACGAGCTTCAAAAAGTAATTCTCCGTCGCCTCCTTCAAAGCCTCGCCAAGCGAAGCGCCTATCATTTGGCTTTCCCCGCCCGCATCCACCTTGGCGCGAGCTTCATCCATGACCAAGTCACGGATGCGCTCTACTTTCTCGTCCATTTCCTTTGAAACTTGTTCACCAGTCTTGGTGTCGTACAGCGGACAGCCTTCACGAAGTTCGACGAGATTCAAGCCCAGCTGTTTGGCGACGACGCCGCTGGGATCAGCGCGAACGCCGAGCCATGGCATCCCAGTGCGTTGCTTAGGATCTTCACTCACGCCAGTGACGATTGACGCACCCAGATCTACGGGAGCGCTGAAGGTTTCTGAATCCGTGTACACACGCCCTCCGACGCGATCACGCGCTTCAAGAACGACGACTTCGCAACCTTGTCGCCGAAGCATCGTCGCCGCTGCGAGACCGGCGGGTCCGGCCCCGATCACGATCGTCGGTCGCGCATCCACAAGGGCCGGTCGCGATGGAATCTCAGCCATCGTAATCGTCTCTCCGGCGTCATCGGCGTCGTCCTCGACGTCCGCGAACTCGCTCGGATTGGCCAAAAACTTTTCAATCGTCTCGCGAATGACTGGTTTAAACTCCTTCAATCCAACACCCATGCGCGCCTCGAGCTTGTGACGAATCGCCTTCTCGGTATCCACCGTTAAATCCGCCGATCTAAGCACCGCAATCAACGCTTTCGTCACCCGCGCCTCTGTCGGCGCGTCCCCATCCTTCGCGTCCGCGTCCGCCTTCGTCTCGGCGTCGCTCTCGCGTTTCGCCGCCTCCTTGAAGATCCCATAGTTTATCCCCCCGTTCTCCTCCAACCACCGAAACAAATCCACCGCATACGCCACGTCGTCCGCCTCGCGCGCCCCGAGCGCCCGCGCGACGTCTTTTTCCTCGAGCGCCGTCCCGCACGCGCCGTCGATCGCCCATCGCTCCAATATCGCGTTCCTCATCCCTAGATACGCTCCCTCCGCCATCGCTCCCTTGGCGCGATCGCCGAACGCCCGCGCTTCCAAAAACGATATCCGCACGTGATCCACGCCCGCGTGCGCCGCCGCGTGCGCCTGCGGCGGTGGCAATCCGTCTGGGAATTGCGAAAACTCGTCATCGCTACCGTCGTCGTCCGAGTACAGCTCATCGAGGACGAAGCGGCTGTGTCGCCGGCGAAACGCGAACTTTGCGCGCGACATCGCGCGTCGCGTCGCTGGGTCGAGCCGCGATCGACGCGCGCGTCGCACGATGACGATGAACGATGAACGATGATGAAGACGAAGACGATGTCTCTCGCGTCGCGTCGGAGAGCCTTTGAGGACGCACAGCGCGACGCGTCGACGTTGATCTCGCCGCGAGCGACGCGCGCGGTCGCACGCGCGCGCGCGTCGCTCGGCGCCGCGCGCGAGGCGCGCGGCGCGGCGAAACCGCCTCGGGACCGACGCCCTCGACCGCGCACTCGGTGAAACTGGCAAACGAAATGGCGCGCGGACGACGCGAGGATGGCGCGGATGCGTCCGCGACGACGTCTGCGCCGAAACGAGAGCTTTACGAAGTGCTCGGGCTGGAGAAGTCGCCGAAAATCACGGGCGCGGACGTGCGCAAGGCGTATCACAAGTTGGCGAAATTGAACCACCCGGACAAGGTGTCGGGCGACGACGCGGCGAAGGAGGCGGCGAAGATGCGATTCCAAGAGATTGGACACGCGTATAGCGTGCTTTCTGATCCTGAACAAAGGAAAGAGTACGATGACATCGGGATGAAGATGTTTGAGGAGCCGGGGGTGTATGATCACTTTGAGGCGGAGCAAGCGAGGATGATGTATTGCGAGGCGCTCGGGATTCGAGAGTGCGTGGTGCGGGAATTGTGGTGCGATTTAGAAGAGTTGTACAGTGGATGTGTGCGACGAGAGGGGGTTATGGTGCTTGGGGTAGATGAACGAACGCGTAAGGTGGTGCAGAAGAGTCACGTTTTCACCGTGCGAGTGCACAGGGGTTGGCGAGAGGGGTTTGAGTTGAAGTTCACGCCGAGCGGGAACGATTTGCAGTCCGTGATGTTTGTCATTCGCGAACGACCGCACGCGAGGTTTGATCGCGTTAACGATGGCTCTGACATCGCCACGTGGGTCGCGCTCGAGCCACGGCAAGCGGTGAACGGATGCGTCATCACTACCCGCAGCATCAGCGGCAGGGAAATTAAGCTCGCAGTCAAACCGAATTCGCACACGATTCGCAAAGGAGAGGAGAAAGTCATAAAAGGCGAAGGTTTCCACAAACCAGGGACAAACGAGCGAGGGGATATGATCATTTATTTTCGAGTGATGAATAAAGTCGAGGCTTACTTGATGCAAGGCACCGGTTGGCGTATGAAATGGGTAAAGCGCATCGCCATAGGCTTGAGCGTTTGGATCGCGCTCAACTTGGCTGGCGAAATCCTCATCTACTTCCTCGAAGATATGCTGTTGTTGTCGAACATTCCTGACGAGTTCCTACTTGACCAGTTCCCAGCGCATTACGGAGAATTCGATACCTCCGCATGGTGGCCGAAAGTGAAAATTCCCGAAGCGCTCGTCTCAGAGCATTTTAGAGTCTCGACAAGCGGCGGTTTCCCCCACTATCACATGTCCGATGTACCATCTCGTGCGTTGTTGCGAGCGATCGTTCAGGGCGGGGTTTTAACGAGACCTAGACGATAGACAATAGTTGATAGCAATACAAACATTCACTTATCCATCAAATTTGAAAAGTCGGACGCGAGCTTCTCTGGGGTGTCTTCATCTTCACTACTGTCAGAATCCGACGAACTGTAGAACTTTTCGGCTTTTGCTTTCGGGGACGGTCTCGGCGGACGAGTGTACGATTGCACCTGCGGTGGCTCGTACGACGCCACTTCTGGTGGGCGTCCTGCCGGTTGATAGTGGCCGGGCGTCTGATTGTAAGACGGTGGCGGCGCTGTACGCTGCGCGCTGGCAGTATTGTCAAGCTTGGCCGCGATACCCTTTAGTGTCCCAGACAACCAGCCTTTAGCAGACTCCATCCCAACCTTTACCTTGTCTTGCCAATCCTGAGCCTTCGGATTCGAAGACGTGTTCCCGAAGCCGGCGTACCGCGAAGACGCACCAGAGCCGAGATTTGAGCTTCCGTGAAAATACGATTGCTTTGGTGAATAAGATGGTTTCTTCTTCTGTGGCACGGCGTACACAGACGAAGAAGCATCTTCTTGCGCGCGGTTCGGGTTCACAAGCATGCGTTCGCGCGCTAAAGCTTTCGCCGCCTCGCCCGCTTCTCGCATGCGTCGCTCAAGCTCCGTCTCATTGTCGTTCGCCGATGACTTTTCCTTCTTCTCCTTTTTTTCCTTCTTCTCCTTCTTCGACTTCTTTTCCTTTCTCGCCGCTCCGCTATCGTCGAAAAAATCATCCCCACCACTACTACTACCGAAACCATCGAATGGATTCAACGTCTTCAAATCACTCGCGGAAGAATTTGTCGCCGCGTCGCTCGTCATTTTTGGCACGTGCTTCTTCCCAGAGCGCGGCGGAATGGGTTGACCAGACATCGCCGCAACGACTTGTGCGCGCTCTTCTTCCGTCATGTTCTTCAAGTGATACGTTCGATCGTCTTGACTCGCACACTTTTTCAGAAACGCCACCCACTCGTGCGGCGTCAATCCGTGTAAAAACTCCCCTGCCTTCGCGCCTTTCGGTAACGGCGGCGGTGGCGGCACCCACCCGTCGTCGTGATGCACGTACCGCTTGCTCACCAATGACCCTTGTCCGGTGGATAAGTCGTACCCACCCTTCGCGTTCGTCTTCCCCGAGCTCTTCTTCCTCTCGTTTGTATCCTCAAATTGAAACAACTCCGACGACCCGCTCCCGCTCGGCTTTCTACCCCCCTCTCTCCCCTCCCCCGAGCCTCCACCGCTCTTCAGCCCCTTTGGCTTTTTCCACTCCTTCCCCTGCACCGCACATCGCACCTTTTCCCGCCACGCCTGCGCCGCCGCGCTCTCGTATTTCACCCGCGCGCTCGTCCCGCGCGCCGTCCCATACTTTTCCAAAAACGCATTCATCTTCTCGTTACTCGAGCACCGCATCGACGCCAACTGTTCCGCGCTCCAAGAGTCCATCGTCGCCGACCGCACGAAGCTCACGTGCACGCCCAGCGATCGATGGACGCCGCTGCAGTTCAGGCAGAGGAATATCCCGTGGTTCACGCTCGCCCAGTCTGGGTTGTGCGTCGCGCAATCCGCACACGTGCGGTTTTCAGCCGCGCTCATGAGCGCGTGCAGCGTCTGTCGCGCCTCGGCGTTCATCTTTTCCGCGCGTTTTCCCCTCGCTCGCGCTCGCGCACGTCGCGCGCGCGCGTGTGCGGCCGCGATGATTGTTCGAGCCACCGGGACAACACCTCGTCGAATTGAATTGTGCCGCATTCGACGACGCACGGCGCGCGACGACGGCGACGGACGTCCGCGACGCGCGATCGACGCGAAGAAAAGCGGCGCGCGCGCGATCGAACGCGACGACGGCGGAGAAACGCGACGCGTGAAAACGAATTGCGGCGATCATGGCGGAGGTCGCGCGAGACGATCGGTCGCCGACGGTGGGAGGGAGTAACACGCTGTCCATGGACGTCGAGGTCGTGGATGGAATGGTGCCGAAGCACGAGTTTGATCGAGCGATCGAAGCGGCGCAGCAGGCGCTGCGAGCGAAGACGGCGTCGAGTCAGCAGATGCTGGCGCAGGCGTCGAGCGCCATGCGCAACGCGCTCACGGCGCTGTCGCTGAGCGAACAAGAGGTGGCCAACTTGAAGGCGACGGTGAAGGAGCTGCAAGAGCGACCGGCGGAAGGGACGAATGAAATCATCGAACGCGAGCGAGAGGAGCTGAGACAGGCGCAACAGCGCGTGGCTGATTTGTCGTCGGCGTTTCGGCAGTTGCAGGGCGAGGTGGCGCGCGTGCGATACGAGCAGGAGGGCTTCGACATGCCGGTGGCGATGTCGTTGCCGGTGAAGATTGCACCGGAATTGGCGAGTCGAGTGACGGTGATCGCGCAGCTGGTGATGCTGGGGTACTCGTATGAGGATGGGGAGATGGCTTTGGACGCGATCAGGGTGAATGACTTGCACTTGGCGCTCGAGTGGCTTGAGGGAAGACACGCGACGAAGTCGCAATTTTCAATCAACCAGCGACGCGCGGCGGAGTTGGATGACGAAACAAAAGCGCGTCGCATCACAAACACGACAGAAGAGGCGACGCAAGATCGTACGCGGAGCCACAAGCCTCGACCGGCGGCGCCTGCGCGGGCTTTGCGCGCACCGCCGACTCAGGGGCCAGATAGAGTCGAGGAGGTACGTGTCGTCGCCCGCAGCGGAACTAAAGCTACGGTGATGCGTCAGCGGTCAATGATGAGCACATACGACGCTCGAAAGCGCGCGGTGTCGTCGATGATTTGTATGGCGATCAAGCCTCCTGGTGTCGCCCAAGGAATGACAAAGGAGGACTCGGAAGCGATCGCCCAACGTTGCATCGAGGGACTAGCGCGTCTCGCGCACAAGAGCAGTGCTTTTATGATTCTCACTCTTGGAGGCAATCGATGCGCTTTCGACTGCTTGAAGCTCTACGAAACGAATCCCGACGTCGTCGTCGCGGCTTTCAAGTTGATGCGAGCACTGGAGAGCAATATGTCCACGATGATGCACATCAAAAAGCAACAGCGCTTCAGATTGCTTCCCAACGCCATTTCGCACGCGACTGGTCTTCATGCCGGCGAAATTGACATCGTTGGCGAAGGGGCTCATGCCTTGTGGGCATCGAATACGTTGGGAGGAAAGCTTGCTCAAGAACGTTGCAAGAGCTCCGGATTTTTGCGTTACGTTAAGACATCACTCAACGATCTGAAGATCAAAGAAAAGGATCCGAACGCCAAGTACCGTCACAAAATTGTGGGTATGCTCTTATCACTTGCGAACGGCAACAAGACCATGCAAAACTTCTTGGTAAATGAGGGTTATCGCGCGATGATTCGCAAGACACTTACCGAAAATCCTTCACTTTCGTTTGCCGGCGAGTTTTCGTCCCTCAAAGATTGGATCAAAGAAGAATACGAGTCGCCATCTTTCGCTCCCGACGATGAAACACCGAAAGCACGAACTCCAGGAGGACGTGATGCTAATGAGTCGAACGATAAACAGTCGAAGAAACCGAAGGATGATCGCGAGAAGAAAGTTATTGAACAGCAGCAGAGAGCGTCAGCTCTGCGCTCACACATGACGGCGCGTGGAATCACGAAGGAAGGCATTTATTTCGCGAAGAAAAGAGTGATTATGATGCTATGCAAGATTGCTCTTAATCCTCCAGGCTCGGTTGCTGGCGTGTCGAAGGCGGAAAGCGAAGAAATCGCTTACCGCTCCCTGCTCGCATTGGCGCGGATCACGGAGAAGGGATGTGCATACCTTGTTCTCACGTGCGGTGGTCCTCGCACGGCGGTGGAGTGCTTGCGTTACTATTTGTACAATCCCGACATGATGTATGCGTGTATGCGTGTCTTGCGCGCCTTGCTTACGGATCCAAGCACGATGATGCGACTGATGAAACAAGTGCGTTTCAAGATCTTGCCGTCTGCAATCATGGACGCAGTGGTGCGTCACTCAGATGATCTGGAGATGAAAGCTGAAGCAGCGCACGCTCTCTGGGCGTACACCGGTGTTGGTGGTAAATTTGCGCAACAGAATGTCATGGATTGCGGCCCGCAAGTCATGGATTTCCTCAAAGAAGGGTTGAGCCAGGCGCGCGCTGACGTTGGATCTAACCAGTATGTGTCGACCATTCGCAAGTTTCTCGGATGCATTCTTTCCCTTGCAAAAGACAACAAAGAGATTCAAGACCAACTGGTTGAACGTGGGTTGCGCAGCGATGTGCGAAAAGCACTCAGCGAAAATCAAGGCATTTCCTTTCACGGTGAGTTTGGTTCGTTGCGTGATTGGATCAGAGGCGATAGAGGCGGTGCGAAATCTACCTCTCGAAGTAACCCCGTATCCCGGACGGAGCGAAACGCCGCGGAAAGTGCGCTCGAATCCGGGACGCAAGAGGATTCTCAACTTTCAAACGATCATATTAAGGCGCAAAAGTTATTTGCACAAGCCTCAGAGGACGAAAGCGCGTTGACGCCGGCGCCAAAAGTGAGGACGAGTGCGCAAAATCAAGAGGAAGACGAACGTCAACGATCCAGACCAGATCGCGCTGAGACGGCGCCAAAAGTGAGGACGAGTGCGCAAAATCAAGAGGAAGACGAACGTCAACGATCTAGACCAGATCGCGCTGAGACGGCGCCAAAAGTGAGGACGAGTGCGCAAAATCAAGAGGAAGACGAACGTCAACGATCTAGACCAGATCGCGCTGAGACGGCGCCAAAAGTGAGGACGAGTGCGCAAAATCAAGAGGAAGACGAACGTCAACGATCTAGACCAGATCGCGCTGAGACGGCGCCAAAAGTGAGGACGAGTGCGCAAAATCAAGAGGAAGACGAACGTCAACGATCTAGACCAGATCGCGCTGAGACGGCGCCAAAAGTGAGGACGAGTGCGCAAAATCAAGGGCAAGACGAACGTCAACGCTCTAGACCAGATCGCGCCGAGACGGCGCCAAAAGCGAGGACGAGTGCGCAAAATCAAGGGCAAGACGAGCGTCAACGCTCTAGCCTCAATGACGCAAATTCATCGCTTCAAGCTATTCATTCTCAGTCTGGTTTGGATGCTTTTGACACCCGAGGTGCGGAGTCAAAGTCGGCTAAGCAAGATGAGGTTGATGATGGGAAGCAAATGAGCGCGCTGCAGCGTAACTTCTCTGGAGAGAACCTGCATCAAAGTGGGGAAGGAAAGTCTTCGCATCTTCGTAGTAAGCAACCCAGTTTTGGAGAAGTGAAGGAACGCAGTAAACATGAGTGGACCATAAACGAAGCTATTTCGGTTTTGAAAGCACGTGACAGCAGAATGCACGTTGAAGCCTCTGAAGCTCTCGCAAACATGTTCTACGAGGAACCAACCGTTGGCATCGCAATCGTGCTGAATGGAGGCCTTGCTGCTTTGGCGCACGCTATCACTATTGGTGATGCGACTTTCTGTACTGGTGCCTGCGCGCTAATTCACATGCTTACGTCGAGTAACTTGACGCTCAAACGCTGCCAGTCGGACGCATCTGTTATCAGTGGCGACATGTTCAAGGCCATCTTAGACGCCATGTCGAAGTCTTCCAGCAACATTGAGTTGCAACAGTGGGGCGCCACAGCTATTTGGGCGCTCGTCAAGGAGAATCATCGCGCTAAGGTGGCATTCATGTTAGTTAAGACCAACCAAGGCGAATCTTCGCTAAGAGTCTTGAAGAACGCCTTGAAAGATTTCGGCGCCGAATCTGAGGGCATCACGCGCGCCGTCATCGGGTGCACACTGGCGTTGGCGCTCAATTCGGTCCCATCTCAAAAGGCCATATCCGATCTTGCGATGCCATACCTTATGTTGGATATATTAGCCAAGCATCCACAGATTTCGTTCCGAGGTGAATTCGATAATCTCCGTGAATGGCTTAGAGATAACTCGTCGCGCAAGGAAGAAGTTCACCGCGACGTCTCGTTCAACGAACGGCACTCAAAGAAAGATTAGCAAACGAAAATGTAAAACAACACGCTTAATACTGTACTATTGTGATGCAAACTCTTTCGAGTCTCTACTTATTTGCCTTTGGCTTCCGAGCGGAAAAACGCGGTTTCGGCTTCTCCTTGTACTTCGGAGGCTCGAGTTGCCAGCGAGTATTCGTCTTCAACCCGTACGGCTGAAGTTTCGCGACGCCCTCGGAGCTGATCATGTTACTTCGCAAATCGATTTCCTGAATGATAGAATTTACTGCCAATGTCTTGGCAATGTTACTCGCGCCAGCGTCAGTGACTTCGTTGCGCTGAAAATCCAAGCCAAGAAGCGTGGTGTTTTCCTCGAGCGCCTCTGCGATTTCCCATGCGCCATTGTCGTACAGCTCGTTGTATCCGACGTTGAGCTGAATTAGCGCCGTCTCTTCTAACAAGACGTCCGCAATATCTTGAGCGCAATTTGTGTGCAGCGCATTTCCGCGTAAATTCAAAATCTCGAGCGTTTTGTTCTTCTCCAAAGCCTTCGCCAAAGCAGTGAGGCCCGAACGCTCGCCTCGCAAGCCAATGTTGTTGCACGCAAGATTGAGACTTTTAAGACGCGTCGAGTTGATCATTTCGGCGATAGCTTTCGCACCCGACGCTCCAATAACGTTACATCCCACGTCCAAGTGCTCCACGTCCGTATGCATCAACGCTTGCATCAAAGCACGCATACCATCCGGGCCGATTGAATTAAAGCCGAGAAGAAGGACTCGGAGATTCGGCGCCGTGCCACGCGAGAGCGCGTCTGCGAACGCGATCGCACCTCGATCTCCGAAACCGTTGTGTGCAAGATCAATGCGACGAAGCGTGCTCGACATCGAGATACCTTTGCCGAGTGCATCCATACCCTCAGAGCATATGCCGTTGCCCCGAAGCGTCAAGCGAGTAATATTCACGCCCGGATGCTCGAGCGCCTCGCCAATTGCCACCGCACCTCGGCTTCGTACGTCGTTTGATCCGAGATCGAGCCATCGAAGTTTACTTGTGCCACTTTCCGCCGATGCCTTGATGGCCTCAGCCAAGCTCACCGCGCCGTCATCGGAGATGTTCACTTTGCGTAACGCGAGACGCTTCAAATCCCAACCTTGAGCAAGCACCTCTGCAACCGCGCGAGCGCCTTCGTTTGAAATTCTCAAGCTCCAGCTCGCATCGAACGACTCCACTTTATTCGGTCCATTGGATGCTGCCGCCACCGCCGCCGCTCGAACGCTCCCTGGATCCGAGCTATGCAATTTCAGACGCCGAACGTGAAGTTGCGGGATGGCCAACGTTTCCACCAAATCCTGCACGTTATCGTCATAAACGTCGACGTACTTGGCCGTGGGATCGCGCCTTATCGGGTCATACAAAATTTTATGTCCCAAATCGCACGTTATCTTTCGCAATCGCGTCCCGATGGCTCTCGCGTACGCGCGGACGTCCTTTGTCGTGAGTTTACCCATCTCACCCATATCCACGGCGCGAAACTCTCGCAACGCCTCGCACGCCTCCATCGTCGCCAACAATTCCGCCTTACGCATACCACGCACCGAACTCACATCCAGCTCCTTTAAAGTATCCTTGGCCACGCACCGAAGCGTCGCCAGCGCCTTACTCGCGCTCTCACCCTTACGCAGCTTCACCCGTCCCCACGCCGCCTCCGCGATTTCGCTCGTCTTCCCCACCAACATATTTCGTTCCTTCTTCCTCGTCGCCGCCACCCTCGCCACGTCTCGAGGCGTCAGATGTCTCAATATCTCCAGCGTCGCGTCCGCGTGCAAATCACCGATGAACACTCCCGATCCAACCATCATTTCGTCTCCTTCCTCCGCGCTCGCGTCGTTCGCCTTCGCCTCCGCCCTCGCCGCCCTTCGCGCGCGTCTTCGCGCCCTCGCCGCGTGCGCCCACGGCCGTCCGCCCCCCTGCGCCGCGCTCGGCGGTTTTTCATCGAACGCCGCCCCATCGCTCTCGCGCAGCTCCGCGTCGGACCAATCGCTGTCGGACGCGCTCCGGTCGCGCGCGTCGTCGCGCGCGTCCTCGAGCCGTCGCGCGCTCGCGCGCTCGTCGCTGCTCGAGTCCTCGGCGAACAGCGGCGCGGTGCTCGCGCACCGCTCGAAGCCGACGATGAGGGCGTCGACGTCCGCGCGCCGCGCCATCGTCGCGTCCGCGCGTCCGCGCGTCGCCGAGTGACGCGCGCGCGCGCGAAGATTAATGAATGTAATTTTCCGCATTTCGGGACGACGCGATGGCGCGCGAGCGCGCGGCGCGACGACGACCGAGGACTCGAGCGCTCGGAGACCACGCGCGATGGATGGCGTTCGCGGCGCCGTACGGTGCGCTCGTCCTGACGCTGTCGGCGCGAGGATACGAACGAAAGGGACACATCGGGACGGCGTGCGCGCTGTGCGTCAGCGCGCTGGTGCTCCCGTACTGGCGCGCGTGGTGCGGACGGCCGGTGTTTGCGTTTTATGGACTCGCGCTGGGACGGTACCGACGGAAACGAGGCGATGGGGCGTTCGAGAGGGAGACGACGGCGACGTTCGCGGAGGCGGTTCGGGACAACGCGCCGGCGTTCGCGAGAGAGTTAGCGTCGTTCGTGCGAGGAGCGTGCGAGGGGAAGGGTGAGTTGAGTGGGGTCGGTGGAGACGTCGCGGACGCGCGGCAGCCGAGCGAGAAGATGCGGGACGCGGGATGGGGGACGATTCCGTTACACGACGCGACGCTCGACGCGCCGAGTCGCTTGGCGGCGAGGTGCTTTCCGAGCACGTCCGCGGTCGTGGCGTCGGTGGGTGGATTCAATGGAAAGATTTGGGTGCTGAGTCCTGGGGCGGGCGGGGCGTCGAGCGCGACGGGACGCGTGACGACGGGGCTCTCGGACGGGTACTGGCGCGCGCACGTGGTGTTGGCCCGAGACGCGGGATTGCACGGCAAAGCCGCTGGGTTGCGTTCGGGGGACGAAACGCGCGCGCTCGAGGTGGGTTCTGTGCACGTCGTGAACGATTATCACCCGAGCGCGTTTTGGAACGTGTCTAGGGACGCTGGAGTGGTGTTGCTCTCGTTCGATGTCGCGAGACCAGAGCTCGATTCTTGTCGAGCGGCGCTCGTGGAGTCACGCGCGAGGCTCACTCGCGCGTTCGGCGCCACGTCGGAGGAGTACAACGGGGATGTCACCTTTATGGCATATTTATGGCGTGCGTTTTCGCTCACATTGATTAGCAACCTCAGCTGATGACCATAAATGTAAATTAAGTTAAAACGGCCGCGGCGCGAGCGCAGACGAAAGAATAAACCGCCCAACGATTCGAAACGCTCATCGCTCGTCGACGCTCGCGTTCTGTCCTTCGTTATCATCATCCTCGGCGTCCAACCCCAAAAAATCGCCGTATCCAGACCACCCCTTGTTCCGAAAGAACTGCGCGGGACGTTCGGGAATTCTGTGCGGCAGCGCCGCCGTCTTCGACCACCAATCCTGTTGACTCTCGAACCCTTGTTCTCTCGCCCACGCTCGCGCCGTTTCGAAATCCACCGTCAGCCCGAGCCAATCGTCCCAACCGCACCATCCGTCGTCCGCGTACGCCGCCGCGGGGTCGCGAGGAATGAACACCGCCCCGCGTCTCGAATTCGCGCACCAGTCCCGCCATTCCTCCTCGTCTCTCAGCGCTAAAAACCACACGAACTTGCGCGCGGGTTCGAACGCTAGTATTCTTCGTCCGCGATGGATCTTGTGCGTGCCGAGGCCGTGCGCACCGAGCGCGGAATCGGGTTCGGGGTCGAGGCGAAGGCGAACGTCGTTCGACGACGAAGACGACGACGACGACGCGTCGGAGCCCGCGCGCGGGACGGCGGCGCGTCGCGAACGGTCGCGCGCGCGCGCGGACGTCGATGGCGCGAGAGCGGCGCGCGCGAGGGAGACGGCGGCGCGCATGCCGTCGACGGGAAGTGACGCGAGTTCGTTAGTTGGGAGTCGGTGAGTCGGCAAATCGCCCTGCGTAACAATCCTCTAATGAACGTCGATCGCGCGCGCGGAACGCGGCGATTCGGTGATTTTGTGACGTCGCGTATTAGTCTTCTTCACCGCCTGGAGGGGCGGCGCCGCCGCCGGCGCCCGCGAACTTGGACATGATGATGGTGTCGACGCGAAGCACCGTGCACACGGCGTCGACGGCGTACTTGAGCGCCCAGTACTTGACGAGGAACACGTCGTAAATGCCTTGCGTGGCGCCGAGATCGACGTAAGAGTTGTCGCCAGTGATATCGATCCCGGCGTTTACCTCGCCATTTGCATGCGCGGCGTAGAGGTTGTAGACGCTGTCCGTAGCGTTCGCGCCGGCGTTTTCGGCGAGCGTTCTGGGAACGATTTCGAGCGCCTGCGCAAACTTTTGAATGGCGTACTGATCTAATCCAGTTTGTTTGCGGCCGTACGCGGCGAGCCTGTGTGCGAGTTCGATTTCCGTTGCACCTCCCGCAGGAAGCGTGCGCGAGTCTTTCGTGAGCGCTTTGAATGCGTTGACGCCGTCGTCCACGGCGCGTTCCATGTCGTCGAGAGCGCTCTCCGTTGAACCACGCAGAATGACGGTGGCGACGCGAGACGTGTGATCATCTTGGGACAACACGATGCATTGCGTGCCACCGATTTCTCGAACTTCGATGCTAGACGCGAACCCGAGCTCATCTGCCTCCGGGCGATCGAGTTTGACTAAACCTCGCGCGTTCGTCGCGCGGCAAAAGCGTCGAAGTTCAAACTTGGACGGAATTTTGATTGCCATCAAACCGTATCTTTCGATGAAGTGAATGGCCATTTCCCCGAACGACTGACCGGAAACGATCACTTTAGCACCGCTGTCGGCGATGTTTTTAATGTACTCTTCCATCTTCGCCTCCTCGCCCTTGCTGTACGCCTCGAGTTCGCTCGCTGATGAAATTAAAACTGTCCCCTTGGTTTCCGTCGTCGACGTGTCGACAGCGCATCCGAACACCGCCACCTTGGCGTTCTTCTGCGATCGAATCGTCCCTTCAACGCCTCGTCGAATGACCATACCTTGAACGACGGTGCAATCGGATAAAGAACTCCCCGGAATCTTCGTCGTGCGAACGTTGTCGACGTTGAAATTCAAAGGATTCTTGGGCAACACGTCGACGCTCGCCTCGGCCACGACCATGGACAACTTGTCCTCGAACCCGTGCTGCTTTGAGCTAAGCGTGCCCTTGATTCGACCCGCCGTCGCCTTCACATCACGCACGTCCAAAACTTCACTGCCCGGAATCACGAGCTCTTGCATCCACTCCAACGCCTTCGCCGCCGCCTTTTCGTATCCTTCGATGATTTCGCTCGGGTGCAACCCCTCGCGCACCAGCTCCTCCGCCAATCCCAACAGCTCACCCCCAAAACTCACCACAAAATTCGTTCCGTCGCCCATCTCTCTCTCTTGCGATTGCGCCGCCATCACAATCAACCTCGCCGCCGGGTGCGCCACCTCCAACTCTCGCACGATCACCGCCGCGTCGCTCGTCACGAATAAACGTTCCAAGTGGTTGATGACCATCTTATTCATGCCATTCGGCCCAAGGGACGTCCGCGTGATCTTCGACAACTGTTTACACGCTTCAATGTTTCGTATCACCGCCTCATCGAGTCCACTCAGGTGTTTATGTCCATCCTACGTTCGTGCGTTCGTCCGTCAGTCAGTCTCGTTGACTCTGGGTCTTCGCGCGCGCGACGCGCGATTGATGATCTTCGATCGTCACCAACGCGCCGCATCGCGAACGACGTTCGCGACGTCGCGACGTCGTCAAAACATCGATCGCGACCGTTTCGACGTCGCGCGCGCCCGTCCCGCGCGCGCGTCGCGCGACGCTCGCGTCTTAATCATCACGCCATCGCATCGCCATCGCGGCGGACGTTGACGCGATCGCGCGCGCGTCTCCCGCACCTTTAACATGGCCTGCAGCCCGTAAGGCATGCCCGCGGACGACATCTTTCGTCTGCTCTCGCCTCGGCGCGTTTCGGTGGACACGCTCGCGCTCGCGTCGCGGTCTGACGCGCCGTCACTCGCTCGCGCTTTGACTCGCGATGACGCCGGTCGCGCCGCTCACGCTCGTCGTCGGCGGCACCGGTCGAGTCGGCGCGCGCGTGGTGGAGCGCTTGATCGAGCGCGGCGGCGGCGGCGTGCGCGTGATGGCGCGCGACGCGTCGTCTGAGGGCGCGAAGAAGTTGGCTTCCATGGCGGGCGTTCAAGTCATCCAGGGCGACGCGACGCGCGCGGAGGATTGCGCGCGCGCGTGCGAGGGCACCTCCGCCGTGATCGCGTGCTTCGGCGCGCAGCGCATAGCGAGGTTGAGCGACGTTCTCGCGGTCGATGGGTCGCCGGAGCGAGAGGCGGCGCACCCGCGCAACGTCAACTACGGCGCGGTGGAGACGCTGGCGCGATGCGCGGCGGATGCGGGGTGCGCGCGGTTCGTCAGGGTGACTGGGATGTCGGTGGGATATCCCGCGTTCGATTGGATCGCTGTTTTGTTGAATGTCGTGCTGAGCATGACGATTCAGTGGCAGCTCGCGGGGGAGATTGCGATTCGTAAGATTTGCAGAGAGGCGAAGAACGGGATGAAGTACGTCATCGTGAGGCCGGGGAATCTGAGCGACGACGAGGAGTGCGCGAAAGATGAGACTGGAAACCGACGTGTGCTGCTCGGGAGCGGTGACGCTCACGTACACGCGGGGAAGGTTTCAAGAAATGACGTCGCCGACGTCATCGTGGAGGCGCTCGGACGATCGCAGTGCGAAAACGTGACGCTCAGCGTCGCGGGATCGGTGACACCGTCGGGCGGCATGCGAACTGAACTCGTGTGGGATCCCGCGCGTGGGATGCATTGGCAAACGGTGGAGTTGGAGAAAACTGTGAGCGAAGGCACGAGCTATCTGGATGATCGAATGTGGCGCGCCGTTGTGCCCGATTCCGACGAGCTGAAGCCGAAGCCGCATCGCAGATACGTCGCGATGTTTCTCGCGCTCGTCGCGGGAATATCAGTTCTCTTAGCCAACGCCGCGGTGTCGCTCGCGCGCGCGCTGTTCTTTTGACATCTATCGGGGCGCGTCGTCAAAATCGGTTGTAATAGTATCACAAAAAATTCAAGAAACTTTTCACCGCAACGCGGAGAGACGAATATCAAACAACAGCGTGCGGTTAAAGTCTCGCAACGTTTGATTGTCTAAAACAAAATCCAACGTGCGCTGACCTCCGAAAGACGTCGGCTTCGGGCCGACGTTATATCTCAGCGCCTTATCGCGCGAATATCCGAGTTTTTCCTCCAACTCGCCCGGAATTTCAATTCTTCGAACGCCTCCGACTTTCATCCCCGCGACGGCTTCTTCAAACCCAGGAATCGCCTCACCGCCTCCGATCGTGAACACGAACGGTTCGTCCGTCTCCCTCGTCGACTCGATCTTCTTCGCCTGATATCCAGCCGTGTACCCGACCCAATCGATCACCGCTCGTTTTCCCGGCGCCGCCTCCGCGCCGTCGCCCACCTTCAGGTCCAAGTACCTCAGCCCGCTCGCCGAGACGACGAACACCTTGTCGCCGTCGTTCATCGCCGAGTTCGAATCGCTGCACGTCTCGCACCCTCGATCTTGCTTCCCCTCGGCGCGCGCGCGCGGCGTCGGCGCGATCGCCAGCGCCGCCGCGAGCACCGCGGGCGGCACCGCGAGCATCGCGCGTCGCGTGCGCGTCGCGCTCGCCGTCGTCGCGCGCGCCGCCGTCGCGCGCGCGCGACGCGCGTCTCGACCGCGCGCGACCGCGCGCTTCCCGACCGCGCGTTGCGCGCGCGCCGTCGTCGCCATCGCGGCGGCGTGTCGCGACGTCGTCGCCGCGACGTCACTCGTCGACCATGGGGAGCGCGCTCGGACGGATCTCCGAGGAGCAACCGCGGTACGACGTCGCGCGCGCGTGCGATGGGTACGAGGTGCGAACGTACGAGGCGTGCTGCGTGATCGAGACGACGTACGACCCGCGCGAGCGCGACGAGCAGGGCAAATCTTTCATGCGACTCGCAAAGTACATCGGCGTGCTGTCGAAGCCGAGGAACGCGCGGGACGAGAAGATCGCGATGACGGCGCCGGTGTTCATGACGCCGGACGCGACGGCGGCGACGCGATACGTGATGCAGTTCGTGCTGCCGAAGAGTAAGTTTCCGGAGGGCGCGGCGCAAGCGCCGAGGGCGCTCGATCCCGAGGTGGCGGTGAAGGACGTGCCGGCGAGGACGATGGCGGCGCGAAGATTTTCTGGAAGGATGCGGAAGGAAGAGATCGAAGCGCAGACGGAGGCGTTAAAGAAAGCGTTGAAGGCTGCGGGCGTTCAGCTGGCGCACGGAGAGAAAACCGTCGTGCAGTACGCGGGATATAATCCGCCGTGGACGCCCGGCATCATGAGAACGAACGAGGTCCTCGTGGAAATTTTGTGGGATCCGAGCGCCGACCAAGCGGCGGCGTAGACGACCCTCTTCGTCACTGCTCGCTACTGTTTTTCGTTACTGCTCGCTACTGTTTTCTACACCGATTACTTCTATTGTTTCGCTAATGATGCCGTCGCGGTCAAGATGTTCGCGCGCGCCGCGACCCAGCTCGGATGATCGCTGTACAAATTTTCGAGTCCGCAGCGCACGGCTCTGACTTCTTGTCGGCGTCCGTCGTGCGCGAGCTCTTCGATGTGCAATCGTACGATTTCGGCGACGACATCAACGCGGTCGTCGACTGGACATTGCGCGTCGACGCTGAGAACTCTTTCTAGAGCATGCAAGAGAGTTGCGGTGTGCACGGATGTGCTCGCCATGACGGGTTCGCCGACGCACGAACGTCGCGCCGCTTCTTGTCCTCCTTTTTCCTTCACAGGACTGGCGTACGCCGTGATCGGCATTTGTGCACTCTTCTTGACGCCAGCGCGCTGCGCGCCTTTACGCGTAGTGATTTGACGTTTCGCTGGCGAAGACGCGGCGACCGGCGCCGGTCGCCTCGTCTTGATGGCTTTTCCGGCTTTTCCCGAGCCGCACGCCTTCAGTAGCTGGAACGCCGAAGAGTTCGCCACATTTCGATGTTGTAAGCGCTGATTCTCTCTATCCGCGCGCGCTTTAGACCACTCGTATCTAGTCTGAGGGTCGAGCGCCTCCAAATCTTCCGGATCAATGTTTGACAATTGAGACAAAGTTGGCAAATCTTGCTCATCCTGCGACGCCGCCGCGGCTCGACTCGCGCGCCGCGTCACGACTCCCACTGAAGCGTCCGCTGAAGCGCGCTCGGTTAACCACGACGGATCCCAACCGTCACTACGGACGTCGTGCATCGTCGCGGTTACGTTGACGCCCTTTTCATCCACCATAATCCACTCGAGCGCCTGCGCCGCATCCGTCGGCGACGATTGCGAAGTGACGAAATTGTTTCGCTTACCTATGTTTTTTGTGCCTTCGATGTGAACTAACGCCTCCGATGCACTCACTGGCACGATCCACCTTTCGTGAACGACTTGTTTCAACGCGTTATACGCCTTGAATGAAATCAATCGAACGTCGGCGTCCTTCGTCCTGCCGTCCTGCATCACCTTGACGACGCGGTCAAAAATCACGCGAATCACCCACGTCTCGCGCAGCGCCTTCTGCGTCGACACACCACCGGTACCGTTCCACGCGGTGTCGATGATGAGGTCCACCAAATCCATCTCCGTCAGCGCCGCCTCTCGCTTCGATTTCTTCGGAGACGCGCGCGGCGTCCCTCTCGGCGCGTGCGCGGCGTAATCCTCAACCAGTCGCCCATCATCGATCGATCGCATGATCCAGGACGAGCGCACGCATCGCATTTCTTTACTCTTGCCTCTTCTATGTCTATCTCGCGCCATTTCGTCCATGCATCCGTAATCCTCGACGACGTAGTGCGTAATCTTCGCCGTCTTGCTCCACACCAGCGCCACCCTCCCCCCGTGTCGCTCCGCGAGCGTCCGCACGACGCTCGCGCCCTCGGGGACGTACCCGTCGAAGTAGAACGTCGCGCCCGCGAACAAATCGCTCAGTCTTTCGTCGTCGCGCGGCGGCGAAGAGACGACGCACGACGTCGTCGCGCGCGAGTGCCTGGTTTGTCGAGGCGCATCGTCCTCGGCGTCGTCGACACCGTTCGCGCCGCGTCTGAGGCTTCGGTTCGCGTCGAACGCGCGAGGTACGCGTGCCTCTCGCGCGCGTCCGCGCCACGGCATGCGTCGCGCGCGCGCGGGACGCCGACGCACGTCGCGCGCGCGACGGTGACGTCTTCCAGATGCTCGACCGCTCGGAGCGCTCGCGCAGAGTCGTCGCTCGAGGCTCGCGGACGACGGCGCGCAAATGATGATGCGCGATGATGCGCGCAAATAATGATGAAACAAACAAATCGTCAACTAACCGCGCGTTATCTATCCGCTATCTATCCGCAATCTATCCGCTAGTAATCGGGCAAGCCGTATTCCACGAGCAGGAACAGCAAACCGACCCACAGCGGCGCGACGACGCCGGCTTCCGACATCGAAAACGCCGCCTCGTCGTCCTCTTTAGCGTCGAAATACGCGCTTCGAGCGCTCAGATACGCGATTATGTACCAACCCGGCCATCGCAAACCCCTTCCCCACCACCACACGCGATTTTTATACTCCAGATACCTCGCGTTATCGCCCGCGAGCTTGTACGCCTCGCTCAGCAGCAACCCGGCGCGTTGATTCAGCTTGTACTCCCGCGGCACCAGCGTCTCGATCTTCGACAGCGCCTCGATCGCGGCTTTCGCATTTTTCTCCCCCAACGCCCGCTCGCCGCGCGCCAGCGCCGCGACCGCCTCCTCCATCGCCCTCGCGTCGCGCTCCGCGGGCAGCAACGACGCGAACCACGCCCGCGTCCCCGTTCGCACGTCCTCGTCCCCGTTCGCGCGCGGCCGCGTCGCCGCCTCCGTGAGCCACGGGAACGCGAGCGCCTCCCCCAGCGCGAGCGCCGCCTTCGCGACCGTCACCGCGCGTCGATCGATCGCGCGCGCGTCGTCCCGTCCGTCGCCGCGCGTCGCGCGTCCTCGCGCCGTCCGCGCGTCCTCGCGCCGCCCGCGCGGTCGGACGCGTCCGCGTCCTCGCCCGCGCGTCGTCGTCGTCGTCGTCGTCGCGCGCATCGTTCGCGCGCCGCGCGCCGCGGTGCGTCGCCGTCGCGCCGTCGCGACGCGCGAAACCACCCTCGTCCGACGACGACGCGAAAAACCCTCCCCGGGCGAAAAACCCTCCCCGGGCGAGACGCGCGCCCCGGGCGAAACACCCTCCCCGAGATCTCTCTGTCTCCGCGCGTCCGATCGCCTCACTGTATGCCCACGCGCGCGCGATCGCACGCGCCGCGCGATCCGATTGGCGCGCGATCGCCGCGTCGCGTCGCCACTCGACGACGCGATGCCGACGCGCGCGACGCGCGTCGCGTGCGCGGTCGCCCTCGGCGCGCTCTGCGCGCCCGCGAGCGCGCTCAAGCTCGCGGAGACGTTCGACGACGGCGCGCTCGCGGGATGGACGCGCTCGAGCGAGGCCAAGTACACGGGTGCGCGACGCGCGACGCGACGATCGCGCAAGAAGACGCCCATCGCGATGGACGGCGGCTTCGACGAGATTCGATGGCGGAGGCGCGAGGGATGACGCGCGAACGATCGGGACGCGCGCGCGAGGACGGACGCGCGGGCGCGGGAAGACGCGCGGAGGCGCGGGAGAGGGTCGAGCGGGCGTCGAGGCGCGCGCGGAGGGGCGGGAGGGGGACGCGCGAGGCGAGACGGAGATCCGAGATCGCGCGAGCGCGAGCGACGGCGACGGGACGGGAATCGACGACGGGGGGACGACGGCGGTGGATGGGACGAAACGCGCGTCGCGATGCGTGACTGACTCGAACGATCGATGGTTTCGCGCGATGTAGGTAAGGCGATCGCGAAGAAGGCGAAGGATACGGATGACTACGGGTTGTACCTTCCGAAGGAGGCGCAGCACTACGGCGTGTCCAAGGCGTTGTCTTCCCCGCTCGATCCGTCCAACGGTTTCGCGCTTCAGTTCGAAGCGCGCCAAGAAGAAGGGTTGGAATGCGGTGGTGCGTACTTGAAGTACTTGAACGCCGACGAGTACGACGCGGATTCGTTCGACGGAGACACGCCGTACACGGTGATGTTTGGTCCGGATAAGTGCGGCGGTACGAACAAGGTGCACGTCATCTTCAAGCACAAGTCCCCGCTCGACGGCGAAGTCGAAGAGAAGCACTTGAAGAACCCGCCGCGCATGCCGGTCGACGAGAAGGTGCATCTCTACTCTTTGGAGGTCAACGAGGATAACACGTACACCGTCTCCATCGACGGCAAGGAGGAACGCACGGGCTCTCTGTTCGAGGACTTTGAGCCGCCGTTCAACCCGCCCAAGGAGATTGACGATCCCGATGACAAGAAGCCCGAAGATTGGGTCGATGAAGACAAGATTCCGGATCCCAAGGCGAAGAAGCCGGCGGACTGGGACGAAGACGCTCCGGCGATGATTCCGGACATGGACGCCGTCAAGCCGGATGACTGGCTCGACGACGAACCGGCCCAAGTCGAAGACGAGGAAGCCGTCATCCCCGAAGACTGGGACGTCGAAGAAGACGGTGACTGGGAAGCTCCGATGGTGCCCAACCCGGCGTGCGCCGAAGTTTCTGGTTGCGGCGAGTGGACTCGTCCGGAAAAGCCCAACCCGGAGTACAAGGGCAAGTGGTACGCGCCGATGATCGACAACCCGAAGTACAAGGGCGAATGGAAGCCGAAGCAAATCGCGAACCCGAAGTTCTACGAAGACAAGACTCCATTGGCGAACATCGGTAAGATTGGTGCCGTTGGTGTCGAAGTCTGGACCATGTCCAAGGGCTTAGTGCTCGACAACATTGTCGCCGACGAAGACATCGCCGCCGTCAAGGCTTTCGGTAAGGATGCGTTTGAGGCCAAGGCTGAAGCGGTGAACTCTGCCGTCGAAGCTCGTGAACAAGAAGCGAAGGCCAAGGCTGACGCCGAAGCCGCTCGCGAGCCCTCGGCTCCGATCGGTCTCCGTTTCTTCGAGTCCATCGCCGACAAAATCCCGGGCCCCGTCGGCGTCTTCGCGCAAGATGCCATGTCGCACTTTGCCACCAACGCCCTCCACTACTACCTCACTTTCGTCACTCTCCCCATCGCGTTGATCATTCTCTTCATCGCCGTCAAGTTCATGCGCCCGACCGACGAGCAAAAGTCGAAGAAGGCGCAACAAGCCAAGGACGCGAAGAAGAAGAAGGACGACGACGTCAAGGAGGACGACGACGACGAAAACGAGGGCGACGAAAACGAGCCGCCGGCCGAAGACGAGAAGAAGACCCCGTCCAAGCGCCGCGTCCGCCGCTCTTCGTGAGCGCACATTCATGGCGTCGAAATCGCGTCGCACCAAGCGAAGACACGCTCGAGACGATTTTAATAACCCAACACACGCGGCTGTTGTTTGTCCAATCCAACGCTTCAAACGCGCCAATCGGTCGAATCACGCGCTCGCGCGCTCGCTTCGACCGCCGCGTCACTCCTCGACGCGACCATGGCCGCGACCACCGCCATCGGCCGCGCGCTCTTCTCTTTCATCTTCCTCGCCAGCGCCCTGGAGAAATGGCGCGCCCTTCGCGCGCACGGCGCCGACGCCGCGCTCTTCCAATCCGTCACGCCGGCGCTGCGGTCGCTCAAATCTTCAATCAACGCCAACGTCGGCGTCGATCTCTGCGCGCTGCTTCCGAGCGATCACGCGCTGGTGAGAGCGGCGACGGTCGTGGAGCTCGCGGGATCCGCGCTCTTCGCGTGCGGGTACGCGCTCGGGGCGAAGATGTTGATTCTGTTCACGCTGAGCGTGTCGCTCGCGATGCATCCGTTTTGGCGAAGCGCGAGCGAAGCCGCGGTGCTGGGCGACGAGGCGACGGCGGGAATCGAAATGATTATGTTTTTTAAGAACATCGCCCTCGTGGGAGCGCTGATGTTTTGGTTGGGGATGCGAAGCGAGCTGAGCGAGTTGAGAGAGGCGTCGAAGGCGAAGGAGAAGCGCGCGTGAGGGCGGCGACCGTCGCGCGGCGACGCGACGCGACGGATGATTGATGAAACGGCGCGATGAGTGAGTGAATGAATGAGTGAATGAATGCACGCATGAATGTAATACGAGGATACAATATCTAGCGAACGCATCGCGACTTCGACGACGCGTCGCCAACCGTAATCCGCCGGCGTCGACGGTAATCCGGTTGGCGTTCGACCTGCATTCCGCGCCTCGAGCGATGAGACGTCGTCGCCTCGCGCGCGCGTGCGCGCTGGCGGTCGCATGCGCGCTGATGGTTCGCTCGTCGCGCGCGGACGCGCCTCGAGCGCACGCGTTCGCCATAGGAGGCGACGCGAACGACACCGCGCTGGCGCTGCCGAAAACCGTCGCGCGCGTGCGATTCGTCGAGATCGAGATGAAGCTCATGAGCGCCAGCGCAGATTACGTCCTCGGTGTGTTTCCCGAAGACACGTCGTCGTATTGCGAGGGCTCGAGCGTGAAAGCGTCGTGGCGACGGTTCGCGCGGGCGATCGACGGCGCGGGACGACTGCGAGACGTCGTCGTGGCGGAGGCGACGCACGAAGGGACGGATGTGTCGAGAATCGCGGAGGTGAAGGCGCTCTCGAAACCAACGGATCGACACGGGATGCGCGCGAGAGCGAGGAAGGCGGGGTGCGGGTTCATCGCGCTGGCGATAAGTAACGAGATGCACATGTTCGAAGGGGACGCGACCGACGGCGCCGCGTTGGCGAATTGGCTGGTGAAGTACGTTCCAGAGAATCGATTCGAGGAGGTGGAGGAGGTGCGCTCGAGACACGAAGTGTTAGAGTTTGTCGAACGTAATGAGACGGTAGTGCGGGCGATTTTATTGGAGGAGGTGCCGTGGTTGAAAGTGTTGGCAAAATCGTTCGACGGGAAGGTGGCGTACGCCAGGGCGTCGTCGCTCGTCGGATCGAGGTACATCATGGGATTGCCATTTCACGAAGCAGGGGTCGCCGGGTTGTTATTCGTGCCGAAGATGGAAAGCATAGAAGACGATGATCATGCGAAACGAGTAGAGGTGAGATTGATTCGTCGACAAAACGAAACGCTTAACTATTACGAAATCGCCGAGACTTTGATTGAGGCCGAGCGCGAACTCGGATACGCAGCGATGATGGAATCGACGATCGATGTCGTATGCGCAAACGCCGTTTGGGAGCTCGCTGCGAACTCAATTCATCCCGAGTATGCGCAAGCGGTGGAAGGTCAAGAAGAGCAAGCTTACGAGTTGATGCCGCCGCCAAGCGCGTGGGAATTCATCAAAGCCGATTTGCTCGATTTGCTCGACGGTCACGGTAAGGGTGACAAAACTCTCGTCCCTGAGCAATGGTTGTGCGGTCTCGCGGGACTCACCGCGGCTCATCGTGATATGGCGAACGAATACACCGAAGCCGCTGGCTCATTAGAGGAGCTCGAAACGCTTCAAAAGGAAAACCTCGCGTTGAGACAACGCAACGCGATGCTTGAGCGCGAAGTCGCGCAGTGTGACTCGTCATCTCCAAAGGCACCGCGAGGATCGGCGCGTTTGCCGAAATCAAAACCCGCGGGTTGGACGTTCGATGCCAAACAAAAGAAACCGCCGCAGCCTCCGAAACCAACACCACCAATTCCCGAAGACAACGTTATGGAAGACGCCAACGAAGATGCTGACAAAGAAGATGAAGACCTTTTGGGCGAAGAAGGCACGAGTGCGAATCCGAGCGTTCGAGACGAACTTTAGTAGAGTGTAGTAAAATTCACGCGCACATTTCTTCTAAATCATTCGTTGACTCGCATCTTGACCACCAGAGAGCAAGAGCGCGTTGTCGATGTCAGCGACATCCTGGCTCGCCGTCTCAAAGTACGGATACTGAGTCTGAGGTGGAGTGATCGTCTCGGTGGGTGAAGACTGCGACGCCATTAAGGCCATTGCTTTCGCTTCGCGTGGCGCTCGAGGACGTCGTGGTACGGGCTTGCTCACGATATGCGTCGGCGGTGCAGCCGCCTCCATCGAAGGAGCGGCTTGTAACGATGCGAAAGGCTGGTGCGTCGGCATCACGGGCAATTGCATCGAACGCTGAGGCGTCGCGTTTCCGCAGATAGCCTCGCGCCATGATGGAATTTTCAGCAACTTGTCAGCCGCAAGACGGATGCGAATGTCATCATTCATCAAGAGATCTCCAACGATGCGATGCAAATTGAACTTGACGATCATATCGCGCGTCGTGTATCCGCGCATCACGTCGAGCTTGTTCAGCAGTCTACAAACATTGATTGTGACCGTGTATTGATCGTATGCTTCACACTGTGCCTCGATCAATTGTGATGCAACCGTCATGAGCTCGTGTTCTTCCGCGCGCCCTCCGCTTTCCCGACGAATTGACTTCTTCACCGTCGAAGACGTCAATTGGTCTGGAACTTTTGGAGACCCGCGTTGCTGCTTTGGAGCGAGCGGGGGTCGTCGAACGAAGGTTTGATCCGGAGTCTTAGTACCCATACCCAACGTACGTAGCGGACCAACCATACCACCCGTTTCTTCGGGATACAGGACGCCTTGCGGTGACAATTCGTTGTGTACCAATCGCGCTTCCATGGATGCGGCGAAACCAAGACCACCGTGTTGACCGTAAAAAGGTTCGGCGTACAACGATTCATTGACAGTTGACTGCTGACGGACACCGCTTCGAAAAACTGGTTGACTTGGACGAGATTGATGTCGAGGTTCGTGCAAGAAATCTTGCCCGGCGGCCTTCGCCAACTCCTTTGGCGCGCGTCCGCTTCGACGAGTACTCAATGCGAGCTCCTCCTCTTTCGCTTCCTCTGCTGCTTGCGCGCGTTTGTAAGCTTCAGATCGAACCATACGCTCTGGTAACACTCGAGTCGCCACCTTGGCCAGTGATGCGAGCCCCGTCGGCTTGCCTCCGCGAATCGATTTTGACACTGCGCGCCGCGGCGCATTCGACGATAACGGAAGCTTCTTCTTCTCTTTCTCCGAAGACGACGACTTGAGCACTCGTGCGGTGCGGCTTGATTTCCCATCTGCACTTCGTGGACGTTTCGTGGACACGCTCGGGCGATGCGCGGTCTTCTTGACGATCTTTACTTCCCCGACCTCGTCGAATTTCTTCGGCGCTCGATCGTACGGACGAATCACCACCAAAAGTCCATCGATCATTTGCGCCTCCGAGCTCTTCGGGGGGTCAATCTCTTTCGCAGGCTTCGGAAGTTTTTTCAAATTTCTGCACGTCGGACACGCGTATCGCTCAGCCTCCAAAGCCTCCGGCGCTTCGCGTTTCTCGCAGTCGTAATGTGTAAACCGATGACAATACTCGCAAGGAACCCACCGCGAACGCAACGCCTCATCGTTTTCACCCACTTTGCGATACGGCAACGCACACCACGCGCACCACCACCCTCGCTTGAAAATCAAACCTACGATTCAAGCGCGCGCGCGTCAGTCGCGTGTCACGCGCATCGTCGTCCGCGCGCTTTCGCGTCGTCTTCGTCTCGTCGCGCGCGCGCCGCGCACCGCACGCGTTACACAAGTCCACCTCAACCCCATCATCATCGATCCACCCCTTACGCCACATCGGCGTCTCCTGCGCGCACGATTACCAATCATCGTCAGTCCCGTCGTCCGCGATCGCGCCGATCGATCGTCCCACCTCGCTCCCGCACGGCGCGTTGCCGCAGCGCTTCGTCTCCCCTCGCCTCGCGCGTTCCTCCGCGCGTTTCTTCGCCGTCATCCCCGCCGCGCCCTCGTCGCGTCGCGTCGCGTCGCGCGCGCGAGCTTTCTCTAAAAATCACTCGTCGCGCGCCGCGCGCGTCGTCGTCGTCGTGTGCCGCGCGCGCGTCGAGCGCGCGCGCGCGTCTCGACGCGCGTCTCGACCAGTGTGACGAATCGAATCGTCGCGTCGCGATCGGATTCGGCCGACGCTCGACGCGGTCGGTCGATCGATCGGTCGATCGATCGATCGATCGGTCGATCGATCGGTCGACGCGCGCGCGATCGGCGAATCCGCACTCCGCGATGGCTCGCGGGCGACGATCGACGACGCTCGCGCTCGTCCTGGCGGTGATCGCGTTGATCGGTTGCGCGTTCGTCGGCGGCATGGCGGACGCGAAGAGCGACGGCGCGGCGTTTCTCGCGGTGCGCGGCGAACGAATGCGCGCGCGCGATGATGGGATGGTTCGATGACTCGACGAACCGGACGCGTCCGACGACGCGATGTGGACTGACGACGATGGTTCGTCGCGCGACGCAGGCCAATAAGTTGAAACCGGGCGTGGTCGAGCTGCCGTCGGGGTTGCAGTATCGCGTTTTGAAATCTGGACCGGAGGGTGGGCCCTCGCCCTCGAAGTCGACGCCGTGCTCGTGTCACTACTCTGGGAAGAATATCCAGGGCGAGGAGTTTGATTCGTCGTACAAGCGCGGTCAACCGACGACGTTCGCGCCGAATCAAGTCATCAGTGGCTGGACCGAGGCGATGCAGCTCATGAAGGAGGGCGATAAGTGGGAACTCGTAATTCCGTCCGAGCTGGCGTACGGTAAATCATCCCCTACGCCGCTCATCAAGCCGGACTCCGTGCTCATTTTCGAGATGGAGCTCGTCAAGGTGGGCGTTTAATCAGTCGCGCCTTCTGTTACGATGGTTTCGTCGCCGTTCGTCTACGATAGTACGCGATGGCAAATGTTTGCGCGTTGGTTGCGAGCGACGAGCGCGGAGCGCTTCGTTTCTCATTTACGTTACCTTCTTGTTAATTATATGAAAAACGAGAGATTGAAAATAAAGTACCGGCAGTATTAAATACGGCCCAGCGAAGCGCGCGCAGCCTACTTGTCCGCTTTCATCATAGCCATAAACTCGTTGAAATCGATGCAACCATCACCGTCAGTGTCGGCGCTGGCAATCAACTCGCCAATGTCTCCCAAGTTGGCACGCTCAACATCAGACATCTTTTTGAAGGCTTGTTCAAATTCTTGCACCGTGATGGAACCATCCCCATCGGTATCAAAGTAATCAAAAGCGCGTCTCACAGCGGCGTCGGACGCTTGTCTCGATTGCGCGAGCGTAGCGGCAATGAACTCTTCGTAGTCAAGTTCGCCGCTGCCATCGACGTCAATAGTCTTCATGAGTGTGCGGAGTTCCTCCATTGCGGGACCCGCAGACTTGAGTTTCAAGCCTTGGCGAAGTTCGTCGATGGAAATCGTACCAGAGTTGTCGGTATCGAAGCTCTTGAAGAGTTCTCTCAAGCCAGCGACTTCGTCCGCAGTCATGGTGCGAGCCATCGCCATCAAACCCATCCTCTTGAACTTGGAAATACCAGCAAAGTTCTTGAACCGCTTGAACACGACGTTGTCTAGCTTTGTCTTCGGCGCAACGTTCGGATCAGCCACCCACGGGTGTTTCAACACTTGAGCCGCCGTCAGGCGCTTCTTCGGGTCCGCTTGGAGCATGCCAGAGATGAGTTCTTTCGCCTCCGCACTGATCTTCGGCCATGGGTCGCTCTCGAGATCCAGTGCGCCTTGCAAGATGGCGTCGAAAATTCCTTGCTCGGTTTGAGCCCAGAACGGCGGGACACCAGACAAGAGAATGTAAAGGATGATACCGCATGACCAGACGTCGGATTCGTTTGAGTATCGACGACGCAATACTTCCGGCGCAACGTAGTACGGGCTCCCGACAAGATCCATGAAGACTTGGTTCTCGCGGAAGAACGTAGATAAACCGAAATCGATAGCGCAGACCGGAGAATTCTTATCCTTATTCTTCAAGACAAAATTTTCAGGCTTCAAATCACGGTGCATGACGCTCAACTCGTGGCAGTATTGAACAGTTTCAACGATGGTGCGCACCGTCTCGGACGCGTCCTTTTCACTGTACTTGCCCTTTTCAACAATGCGATCGAACAATTCGCCGCCGGACAAGAGTTCCATGACGATGTACACGTGCTTGCTTCCTTCATACGCACCGACGAGTTCGACGACGTGCTCGTGACCGGCGAGGTGATGAAGAATTCTCACTTCATTTCTCACCTCTTCAATGTCCTCGGCGTTCGACAATTGACGCTTAGAGATAGCCTTGCACGCGCACTTACGACCGGTCGCCTTTTCTGTCACCAAGAACGTCGTCCCGAACTGACCGCGTCCAAGTTCTTCGTGGAACTCAAATAAATCATTCACATCCGGCGTTTCCCGTCCGAGCACGCTCGACGGTCGCGCGGTTTTCCCCACGGGATTCTGCTTCCCCGTCCGCTTATTCGTTTCCTCATACTACTCGCGCGAAACGCGTCAACGATCACGCGCGCGGTCAGTCTCGATTCACGTCTCGCTCTTCACGCCCCTATCACCGTTCTCATCGCCTCATCGCGCGTTCCCATCGCGGTCGCGCGCTCGATCGCGCGCGGGAATTCAACGTGGCAATTCGACGCCACGATTATTCCACACGCGTCGTTCGCGTCGTTCGCGTTCGCGTCGCGCGACGCACCGGCACCGCGGGCGATGATCCACACACGCCCATGGTTTATGTCTCGGTCGCTCGCTCGGTCGATCGGTCGAGTCGCGGCGTCGGCGCGGTGTGCCGCGCAGACCGCGCGCACCGCGCATTCGCGATTCGTCGATAATCACACCGCGCGCGGCGCCTACGGCGACGCGGCGACGGCGACGCGCGACGACGCGCGACGACGCACGACGACGCGCGACGACGACGACGACGACGATGGCGTTGGTGGTGCGAACGACCGCGAGTCCGTCGGCGTCGACGATGACGCGCGCGCTGACGACGACGACGACGACGACGGCGCGACGCGCGCGCGCGCGATGGTGTGGTTCGGGACGCGAACGCGCCACCGCGCGGGCGACGGAGGGCGAGCGAGTCACCGAGGACGCGATCGGCGCGCTGCGTGAGCTCGCGGATGGGACGTGGAACGTCGGGACGTATAAGTCGAAGCGTAAGGCGCACTTGGTGAACGAATTGGGGGACATCGTGGGAGAGGAGGAGGCTTCGGAGAACATCAGCGAACAGCCGGGCTGGGACGACGCCGGGAAGATGCGGTTTTGCGTGATGACGGTGAGCGATGAGCTCGGAATCGACGAGGATGAGGTTGGGAAGCGGCTGGCGCAGTTGTTTACGCTCGTGCCGGGGCTGGAGGGGCGGATGGGGGACATTAGGATCGCGGACGTGACGCGGCTGGCGGCGCGCGTGCCAGACGTGGCTTTGGCGATGATTCGATTGAAAGACATCTTACCAGAGGCGAATTTGGAAAGGATGGTCGCGGCGAGGCCGAGTTTATTGCTCGCTGATGCGGATGAGCTGCAAAAGAAGATCAGTGATTTGCGCGCGTGCGCGCCGCGCTTGCGATGGGACAAGATTCTTTCGGATTTCCCAGAGCTGTGGGACGTTCGCGACTTTCGAGAGAACATCGAGGCGTTGAAGGAAAAGCTGAGCGTAACGGACGACGAAACGTTGACTAAGGTGCTCGGTGGGCAGCCTGGTTTGCTGTTGAGCGTGCAAAGCCGCCACGATATGATTTTGTATGATAACGGAACGCTGCGACAAGTCGAGGCCAGTATGAGCGGCGATTTAACTTCAGATGGTTGGTAGTATAGCCGTACATTAGCACAATTGTACATTACACACATGTCGTTTACATGCTTGCTAGATTTTCGAGCGTGCGAACCTTTTCGCGTAGTTCGTCGAGCGTGTTCCTAAAGAAGAGCGTGCGTTTTTCTGCCTCGCACTCGCACGCTTTGACGCACCGCAGGCAGTAGGCGTAACCGCGACTCTTCGCGAACGTGCACGCGCACGTGACACAGGACCAGTTCAAATCGGCCAAACATGTCGTACAATCGCGTTCGTTAAAGTCTGGCGCTTCTGTGGTGTTTTTCATGCGAACTTCGTGCGCGACGGATCTCTTTGCCGCGGTGCGACGTTCGTCTTCTTCCTTGACTCGCACTCGCATTACCTCGGCAAGAACCGGAGGGAACCGCGGGTGCTTATGTGCGCTCTCCGTGAGAGTAGATAATAGCTGGTCGTGTGCCACGGATTGATATCGCTTATCGCTCACGTAACGCTCCGTGGCGCCGACGCCAAAGGGTAACCAGTCTATTGGTGCAAAGTTGACTGCCTCGGCGCAATTGAAACCTGTGTTGAACCCAGCGTGGTACGCGTACGGGAAAGTGATAATGTAACTTCGCGGGTGTTGTTCCACGCGATACACGGGAATTCCTTCGTCTTGCAGCACTTTCGGGGACAAGATGGTGACCAAGCTGTGGAGCAAGTCTGGTTGCGATTGAAATAAATGCGGCAAACGCTTGCGCATCACCTCTTCAAACTGTTTTGAGTGCGTGGCGGGAATGGAATACCAAACCTTCGGTGCGCCAAAGTGGTGATAGTTGACGCTGTAAAAGTTGTGATCTTCGACGTGCCAGCAAAACGCGGACATCGTCATGCCAAAGTACAACCAAGGCACGGTGATGCCCGTGGTCGCCTCGACGTGACTCAAACAGCTTTCTGAATTGTACGGCATGTTGCACACGTTCCACGGACTTTCAGCGTAACGCTCTTGCCCAGGCGGACACGACGCGCTACCTTTCTTTGCGAATCCACTTCCGACGTCCATGGTGGCGATGTCGGCGCCGTAAATCACCTCGACGCTTCGCCCCTTGTTGTCCTCGATGAGACGCCAAAATTCCCCTTCCATATCTTTCACCGTCACGTTCTCCACCGGTTTTCCATTTTTGCTGAAGTATTTTCGCTTGAAATATTTCGAGTATCGCTCCAAAGTCGCCAAATTGTGTCGTTGTCCTTGTTGGAAGCCATACTTTTCCGCTACGGCGTCCGCGTCGGCTTGCGCCGAGGCGCCCATGCGTCCGCCGCTCATGCGTCCACCCGACGCCACGCCCTGATTCTTCGTCGATTTGACCCCGTTCTTCTCTTCTTCGAGCATCTTCGCTCGCGCCCTCGCGCTCGGCCCCGCGGGTCGATTCTGCAACTCGTTCAACGCCTGTATTCTCGTCCGAAACCGCAACTTTTCCTTCCCAGGCAAGCAAAACTCGGGCTGCCAACTCGCCGGGGGAATGATGTTACACACCCCATATTTCTCCGCCTCTGGACGAATGGAATTTATGTACTCCAAAGGATCGCCCGCCCACTCCTGCTCCGTCGGTCTGTACGTCTTCACAGGCGGCACGTCCCTCGCGCGCGCTTCGTCCCACGCGCACGCGCTCCGAATCGGCGGTCCGCCCAAACACGCCTCGCACCCGTCCGGCTCGAACCCACACTTTTCGCATCCAAACATCAACTCTCCTCGTTCATCCACGTCCGGCGCGTTCCCGAGCGCATCGACACCGAGCCCGTCGACTCGCTTCGCTCGCTTCGCGCTCGCCGGCGCCGCGGCGCCGCCCGCCGTCCCTCCCTTCCCTCCCCCGCTCGCGCTCGGCGGCGTCGGCGGCGACCTCGACCGCGTCGGCGGTGTCACCGCAGTCGCATCCATCGTTCGCGCTTCCGCGCGCGCGTCCGTCGAGATCGCGTCGTCGCCGGCGTCGTCGCTTCGTTCGCGCCGCGCGATGCGCGTCCCGCGCGGGCGACGGCGATCGCCGTCTCCGCGCCTCTGCGACGCGCCTTCGCGCGCCGCGCGCGCGCGAACCGATGCGGATAAAACCGCGCGCGCGTTCGCGCGACGGTGCGACCCCGCGCGCGCGCGCCGACGTCTGCGTCGCGCCCGCGTCGCGGACGTCGCGGACGCGCGCGCGAAACAGTCGGCGCACTGTATGTCCATATCCGTCTGTCCGCACAGGCAAACAGTCCGGTGACGCGGCGTAACCGCCGTCGTCCGTCGGCGACGCCGCGACGCGCGCGCCGCGCATCGCGACGCCGCGACGCGCGCGCGAGCGACGCGACGCGAGACGCGCGAGACGCGCGCGACGCGAGCGAACGCGAGCGACGACGACGACGCGCGCGCGACGCGACGCGAGATGAATGCCGATTCGGACGCGACGCGACGCGCGGGCGACCGCGGCGTCGCGCGCGCGGCGACGGACGACGAGACGCGCGAGAGCGCGAACGCGAGGTCTCGCGAGGACGCGCGCGCGCGCGCGATGGACGACGACGACGGTGGGGACGCGGAAGCGACGATGATGACGAGGACGACGACGGCGACGCGCATCGGGACGAACGAAGAGGAAGACGACGCGAACGATGGGCTGGAAGAGCTCGTGCGAGCGCTGCGACGGGCGGCGAAACAGACGTCGCGTGGGTCGTCGAAGATGGCGTCGCACGCGCTTGCGCCGCACTGCCTGAAGGCGCTGGTCGAACGCGGGGACGGATTGGACGAGGTCTTGGGAGGGCGAGCGACGACGCGAGGACGCGCGGCGGCGTTGGAGGCTTGTGAAGCGTGCGTGGGGACGTTCACGGCGTGCGGAAGCGCGTTGAGTGCGGCGTTGAGAGATGATGAACAGGCGGTTTATGATGCGTACTTTACGGCGATGAAGATGGCGGCGTTCGCGCTCGAGCGCGCCGACGCGGGGAGAGACGGCGACTTCGCGGCGAGGTGGGGAGACGTTCTTCGCGCGTGCACGTCGCGAACGTACGCCGAGAGGTGGTCTGCGAAGATAATGGAACGGTTGCGCTGCGAAAGTGGGGCGTTGAGCGATGTGAGCGAGTTCGCGGCGAGCGAAGAGGTTGCGCTCATGCACGCGCTCTCCGAGTCGGTTGAGGAATTCTCCGTGAGCGGCGAGACGTCGCGGGTGAGTTCGCCCATGGATGGTTTAATCGTCGAGCTGTACCGTTCAACGCTTGAGCGATGCTCAGTTCTTTTGCGTCAAAAGCTCGGGAAAACGGCGATGCGATTGGGAGAGGTGCCACGGCTGATGGCGCAGTTGTGCTTGGAGGCGCTTAACACGAACACAGAGATCCGCGTGACGGATCGCATCGTTTTGGAATGCGAAAGGGCGTGCACGCTTCTCGGGCCGCATTTAACGGATAATGAGTATAAGTTTATCGCAGGCGTCGTCGCAGTCTTCGTCAATTCGTCAGATTGGACCGAATTGTCGGGCGAAACGTCGTGCGCCCTCGCGAGCGCACTGTACACAGTGGCTGTTTCGAGCACGGAAAATGCACGCAAGATCGATTCATCTTTCGCTTTATTCCCTCGCAAAGCAGTGGCAAAGAGTGTGTTGATTAGACTCTGCGGCAGTGATTTAGACGTTCGAGATTCCGTGGTGAAATTTCTGGAAGCAATGATGAGCAACGACGACGTAAATGATGAATCTCACGGGTGCGTGACCGGACTGCTCGCCACGGTTCTAGGAGAGTTCCCCGATTCGTTCCTATTGGATGAACGCTTCACGGTGGCGAAAGCGAATAAATTGATTTTAGACTCTGCCCCATTGACGCTGATTCGACTTGGTTTAGGCTGCCAGCGCGACGGACCGACTTCAATTGCGGAGTGCCTTCTTGCGACTTTGGAACGAGCGAAACTATTCGCCGGAGAAGATGCAAAGATTTTAAGATTTATTCCTGCCATACGGATGGTAAGCTTTGTGCTGCGTGAAAGGAAAAACGCGAATCACGAACTGGTGTCGATGCCGCTCGTCGAACAGCTCGCTGCCGCTCATATCACGCCGACGGAGACAAATGACGCTCAACTCGCACTTCGGGACCAGGCAGAGGACGATTTAGAAGCTGCGAGTGAGAACGCTAGGACCGTTGCCTTGAACCTTCAAGACGAGTTGGGAAATTTATTTGCGATGCCAGAAAATCTACTGGATGACAATCCATCGGATGAACTGCTCGAAAGCCGACTTGCGCGCTTGGATGCGGTCCTTGACGCTGCCGTTGCGACGCTCGCCGTCGACCGACCTTCAGGTGAAGAATCCGCACGTAACACGCTCCCACAGCTTTGGGGGCGCCTTGTCGCGCAAGATGAAGGAAATCGCGACCGCTTGCGCGACCGAATACTGTTACCACACGACGATACGAACGACGGGGCAGAGCCGAACGATATGACGGACGTATCATCTGGGCTCTGTACGTTCGTGACAAGTGGTGAGTCGTTTCAAGAACAGCATTGGTATTTCTGCTATGACTGTAATCTTGTTGCAAGCCGTGGATGCTGCAGCAACTGCGCGAAAACCTGTCATTCGGGACATCGAGTGGCGTACTCTAGAAAGTCAAGATTTTTCTGCGACTGCGGTGCGGACGGTGCGACTCCAGCGCCCCAACACAGATGTTATTGTTTAAACGGACGCGACTTGGAAGACGTAAATGCACGTCGAACAACGTCAGAAAAGGCGGCCGATCGCTTCGAAATAGATCCAGGCAGTGATTCTGAAGGTGAAGAATCCATGGAAGAATCTTACGAGCCGAACCTCGCTCGACGTCTTTGCTCTGTCTCAGCGCTCGAAGCGCTTAAGATGGCTTTGCAAAAAGCGAAAGTGCAGGACAAGTTAGAAAGTGTACTCGTATCGTGGTTCAGGCCGTTACATGAAGACGATGTTACACGAGTAGACCAAAGCTTGGCTGATGATGGTTTGGAGATCAAAGTCAAAGACACTGACGCCACGCTACACGTCGCTCGTAATTTCAAAGCTGGATCCTTCGAAGTCGGACCGGTACCTAGCAAAGCACAAGTACAAGAGTTACTGCTTTCCGGTGTCATTGTCAGAAATACCGCAGCTTGCTCGAGAGATGGGCATCTCGCCATAGCGGAAGGCGACAAGCTTTCAATTCTGGACGCGAATATCGTCGTAGGCGCGCAACCGACGAATAGCGAGAATAAGGCAGTTCGACTCGGAGATAAGGTTGGTATCAGACCATTGTCTAGGAATTTGATTGGTTTCGAGGTGATGAAGGTTCAATTCAACCATATGAACAAAGATTACCTCGCCGTTGTCGGTTTACACGAGGTGCAAATATGCACACTTGGCCGAGGCGGAGAAATTCTCGACAGGTTGCGACTTGGAACCCCGGCGGGTGAGCATGATTTTGAGCTCATCATAGACGCTTCTTGGGTTTCGAACTCTACGTATTTGTTCTCCATCACTGGACAGCACTCAACTAGTGTGTATGACCTGAGTTGCGATGCATACACACCCGTGTGTACAATTTCTACTTCGCCGGCTTGCATCACTTCGTCAGCGTGGTTCGCCTCTGCACTCCGTGGTCATGTATGCAACGCAATGACAACGAGTGAAAGTGATGTGCATGTGCAAGAAGTGCGAATGAAACAGGCAAACGAGATCGTTCAATTGACTGAGTCGAGTAAAATCGACATTCAAAATACGAATGGTGCGCAAGCTGTCATGCACTCAGAAACGCACGACGTTATCATCGTCAGCACGAACGACGGTGAAGTTATCATTTCGTGTGTCGAACGAAACGAGGAAAATAAAGTGACCGTCGCAATGCTCAATAAAGCTAAGCTGAATGATAGTCATCACTCATTTAGGGTGTCAGATTTCTGTTTACCAAACAAACCGGGTCCAGATGCAACGTTGCAAATTCCTGCGCAAGTTTTTGTCAGTACGGATTCCATGGGCGATTCTGCTGCACTACTGGTGTTTGATGGTTTAGAAGCGAGCATAATCTCCATACCTCCTTCTTCTGCAAGCGTCGTTGGTCATGTGGGATATCAGAAAACGGGATCTGGAGAATTTCCATCTGCACTGATCATTTTGCGCAGCGATGGTTCGATGCAAATCAACTCTTACGAAGCCGTGAAGTCGTCACCTACGCCGAAAAGTCAATTCTTAGAAGCACGTACTGAAGAAGTTTCGACGAGTGTGACGAGATTTCCGTACGACTTTTTTGAGAAACTTGCCAAGGTAACGTCGAATGTTGACTTCGGCGGATCTTTCAATCGAGGATCACTTCCGGCGGCGTTGCGTGGCGTCCTACAATCAGACGACGGTTACATAGAATCGGCAAATTCTGACGATGCACATTTAACATTGGAGTTAGGAGGCGGAGATCTACGTGTTATTCGAGGCGTTCGAATTCATGTTGGCGGTATGACGGTGCAGTCTCATGCGCCTTCAAAGCTCATCCTTCCTGGGGGAAGAGTGGTCAAATTTGAACGCGAATCAAAGAGATGGTACGACGTGCCGTTCACATGCTCAGAGTCTAATACCATCAAAAGTAGTACGCAACCGCTAAAGCTCAAATTTGTTGCTGAGTCTGTGAATCAGCTATGCATACGTATCGACCGAATGGAGGTGTATGCGTGCAACGAGGATGTATTTGAAGCAGACATGAAAGTTGAGCGTGATAGCGAAACTCAGGCGATTGATGATGCGCTTGCATCTCACGTGAGTCGTGCTAGGCGCCACTTGGTTCGTCAAAAGGATAGTGAGATCACAGATTCTTCAGCGTGGCTGAGCGGTACGACTTCAATCATCCAGGCGCTGCGACACTGCGAGCTTGACTTGAAATCGAGCAAGCTGCGCGTGTGCTACGAATCAATGTTGAGGAAAAGGCAATTTGTTACATTGGAAACCCCAGCACATCGTTCAGCGAAGTTTATCGCCTGGAAAGTATTGAGTGTCCACACTCGCGATAATACGCTGACAGCAGTTAACATCAAAGATAACTCAACGTTATTATTCGGTCACAAGGTTGCCGAACGCATCTGTCCTCGAATTTTGAAGCGGCCGATGAGTGTCTCAGACGACGACCTTTTTGAGTTCTATTGCGCGATGCGAAAACTTGGCCGTCTCGCAATCCGACGTCCAAACGCATTGTTGGACTCATCTCCTTATTTAGCCACATTGGCAAATAGTGCGACTGCGATGCTCCATGTTGGCGCTGGAGCATGGGATGCCGACGAGATCGTACCTCACATCGTGCACGCTCTCATCGCTGTGCTCACTCATGAACGTGACGCCAATCTTGTCGAATCTGTCTTAAAACTCATCAAATCCGATCGCGAGGACGTTCGCGCCGCGGCATCAGACACATTGCTTTGGCATCTGACCACGATCAGTGGAAATGAGCGCTTGAATTTAGATCAAGCAAGGTGTATTTTCGTTCCCAATCCGGCGTTCAAACGAGACAAGTGCGCGAAAGCGAACGGCATCCGAGACCTTGTATCGGCTATCATGCAGCTCAACGACGACGTGTTGTACCGTTCGCAAGCTACACTTGTTCGATCGCTGTCTGAAGCATACTCAGAATGCTTAAATCCAGATTTATGCAAGCTGCCGCCCCTGCGTGGAGACATTCTTGAGTACGACGCAATTACTTGGCGCCTCGCAATTGCGGCTGAATGCTCACAGTTACAGGAGATCACAACGAAAGACGCACGCGAGGCTTTTTTGCACTCGTATGCGTTGACGTGCGAACTTTTAAGACGCATCGATTCGTACGATAAAGAAGAGATGCCGGCCGAAAAAGGATATGGAGCTTTGCTCCAACAACAAGTTCCCATGAAGAACGTTCGAGACGTCGCCATCAATGCTCTCGATTCTACAATTCTCCATGCCTCAGCGAATGCTCGCAAGCTCGATCTCAGTACTTTACCTGCGCGTGAGAAAAGTGAGTGGCTCCAAGTTCTCGCCCGCGTGTCCGCGCTGACACCAGAATGTCCTTCCGAAAATGCTATTTCTATGATCAAACAACTCGCTGGCGACGAAGAGGGCGAGGTGGCTCTTCTAGTTCGAGCTGGAGAGTTGTTGAATTTAGCACCAGTTCTCCGGAAGCTCGTGAGTGGAAATTTTACTTCACATTGGTATGTTGATGAAGTAGCGTATGATGAGCTGATGGAAGTGAAAGATGCTATTTTTAAAGTTACGCAAGTAGCGAAGGCGTGTCGTAAAAGCTTGCGATATTTCCTCGAGCATGTTGATTTTGCGGTCGAGTTGGTTGCAGCTTTGATGGAAGCAGTGCCGCAGCTTCCGGCGGCTTTCGCCACAAGCGTATGTGACTTAATATCGCACATCATCGAGTCCTACCGAGACTGCGATGAGAACGATCATCATCGCAGAACTTCAATCATGCGAGAAATAGTCCAACACTTGGATGTTGTCGTCAACAAGTGTGGACTCCTTGCCGTTGAATCGGATACACGTACTGCCGCAACGCGCATCTTAAAAGCCATGTGGTACTCTTGCGAGACGTATCGAGATGACGTAATGCGAGTGTTGATGGTACTGATGGAAAGCATGAGGAACTACGGGCATCGAGCGAATGAGCTCCTGGAGTTTACGAAGAGCATCGTGATGACTGACACGGATGCCATCGCTATGTTTGAGACAAGCATTGAAAAATTCTGCCAAGGCGTTAAAGACACGTTATTGAGAGTCAGCGATCATCCACGTGCAGATCTTTATCGAGCGCTGCAGCAACGTCAGCTTTTACAAAGTGACGCGTCTGACAAGTACTGGTTGGAGTCAGAGCCAAGTATGCGCGACGTGACGTCGTACATTGCATGCCATGAGTTCACAGATCATACACTCGATAGCCTGAAGAAGAGCCAAGCTTTCACAAAAAATAGTGCGATGACAAAATTACGTGAATCGATGACGATCCAGTCGATTTCTATGAACGTGACGGAGCTTAAACGCTATATTCATGTCAAGGAAGTTGAAGTTTGGCGTACGGATGCGAACAAGGATATAAGCTCCATGCGCACTTTTGATTCCTCTCGTTGGCAATTGCTCGGTACACTGAAGTTTTCTGCTTCAGCGCACATCGCCGAGCTTGAATTTGAAATTCCGGTCGATGCATCCGCTCTGAACTTTGTTTTCAAATCTTTCCACGAGAGTGTTCAAGCAAAGATGATGACCATGTTACACTGTCCTCGATGCGCTCGGCAAGTGACAGACACAAAACATGGCATCTGCACCAATTGCCGGGAGAACGCGTATCAATGCCGTTACTGTAGAAACATCAACTATGAGAAGATTGATGCTTTCATATGCAGCGAGTGTGGGCACTGTCGGTACGCCAAGATTCAGACAACATTGAGTGCACACCCGACGTTGTGCACACGGTATCCAAAACTGCTCAGCAGCGATGATCTCGCCAACGCAGTCGAGGAGCTGAAACTGCAGACGGAATCTATAAAGCGTGTCACTGACTGTATCGAAAGCACAGAAAGTTCGTTAAGACGAGTGCTTTTCGAGCAAGGTGAGGGATCTGGAGATGTTGAGCACATGTTCAAAGTTGTGGGCAGAGGTCGAAGAATGGAATTCATCGCCGCAAATTACAAGTGCGGCGCAATTCACGACGCGATTTTGCGATTCTTATCAAAAGCAAGTTCGGAAGATGAAACGGATTTACGAAACGTATCTGGAAACTATGGCGTCTGTTGCGATTATTTGAATTGTGCATTGAAATTATGCACAAGTCTTTCACGTACGCCTTTGGGCGTCAAAGCGCTCAGCCAAGGTGACATACACCGCCATCTGTTTAACCGCATGCTCAACCCTCGCATCACTAATTTGACGGTTTGCAACACAGTTCGCACTGTTTTATCAAACATGGCAGCCGGGAGCGATGAAGTTGCCAAATTTCTTTGCGAGGCTGCCTTTGAGAGAGCAAGCGATTCATTACTTCAGGTGAACGCCTGGCATGGGACGATGATTTCACAGAGCAATCAAGACATCTTACTTCTTAAAGATTTGGTACACGCTAGTACATATCGCTTGGAAGCGGGAACGGCTTTGACTCCGGGCGGTGAGCGATCAGCGCTCATTTCCTTGGCGTGCACGACATTAAATTCTGAACAATTGAGTTCAAATGCAGTTCTCGTTGAGAACACTCTCCTCCCGGCTCTCGATCTAGTGAAGCAAGCGATGACGAACTCTAGCATTCTGCAGGAAATTGTCGCCGCAGCGAAAGTGTTGGACAATTACAGCATCGCAGATATGAAAGAATCTGCGAATATGTCTGGTTTAATTCCTATACTTGTATCTGCACTCCACTGCGGTTCAAAGTTTGTTCGTCGAGAAGTTCTACAAATTTTTGGTCTCGTGTTGCGGCAAGACGATGAGATGAACGTCGAGGTTGGAAGCCTTCTCATCGATTCAATAAAAAGCATCGAACAGGAATCGTATGCGGATTATCTCAGCGCCCTGAGTCTCACGCTTCGTAGCGAGTCAATCATCATGAAGTTGAATGACACTCGCAAACTCGTGGACATTTTACTATCGATACTTCAAAAAGAATTGGATATTGGTTGCAAGTTCACCGCATCCGACAAGGCGCTTTTCGCATCAACGAATGTTGACATCGGATCTGGATTACATGCGATTTCGATGCTCTTAAGGGATACTTTCAAGGAGTCCACAAAATTTATGAAAGAGTTCAACAAAACTGGATTGGAGACGCTCGTCCGCTCTGTCTTGTGTGCGCGTACTTTGCAAATTTGTCAAATGCCTAGCGCTGTGAATGCCGCTGAGACGTTTGATGAACTTCTATCATTCTGTTTGGAGTCATCAGAATCGATGCAGCAAGAAGTGGCGAAGATTTGCGTCAAAATTGCTCGAGCGCATGTTCGACCCCAAGTTGACAAGACGCGTCTGCCACTGTGCATCATATTGAATGAACTTGCGATGTTGGTATTACCTCGAGCTCCGCCATCGAAGGTGTATCTTTTACGACTACTGAAAAGTGCGAGTCAAGAAGAGTTCATTCCCGGCACGATGGCGCGAAATCCATACTCGACTGCACAAATGAGCGCGCAGCCGTTGATGAGAGATGTCAAGAATCTCATCTGTCATGAGTTGGAAATGTTAGGCCTGCTCGAAGATGATTTTGGGATGGAGTTATTGGTTTCGAATCAAATAATCAGCCTTGATCTCTCCGTGGAAGATGTTTTCGAACGAATTTGGATACCTTCATTATTCAATGGCACTCAGCGACGTCAAAATGTTTCTCCAAACGATCCAATCGGTCCACCAATGGCGGTGACTTTCCGCCTGAGCGGTTTGGATGGCGAAGCGACGGAAGAGCGCGTTGATGAACTCGCGCCGGTACAAGAGGAAGACGAAGACATCGAAACAAAGTTTGCTGGCACAAATGTTTTCCAAGAAGATGTTGGCTTTAAAACTTTGATTCAACTGTTACCAAAGATTCGGCACAATTCATCTGCATTGTACGCCGGCGGTGAAGACGCTTCGGCAAAACTTCTTGAAATCCTTCGATCAGCATGCTACGTGAAGAAGAATAGACAACATATGCTCGCGATTGGAGCGCTCGCAAGTTTACTTGACGAAGCCGCGCGAGCTTTCACTGAGAACTCGCGTTCAGGCAAGGGACTCCTTCTCGTCATTGAGACGCTGTTGCGCGAGGAACAAGAAGACACTTCCCACGGATCAATGAGTGAATTGAAAGCGTCAGCATCGACGAGCAGTATGCTCGCTCGCGAATTAGAAGAGAGCAGCGAAACAGCGCATCGTCCTGGTTCACCGCGCCTTCAAAAAAGTAGTTCTTCGCTGCAGACGATTGCGATAGCGGTGCGCGAGCACGAGATGAATCACGTTGAAATTTTCCTGTCTCAACTCAAGCAGCTCATTCGAGCACGAGAGAGGCATGAGGCCGATATCCTCGCGCGTGTGATTCCAAGGCTCGCGGGATCAACCGTTGAATCAAAAGCAATCATGGCGAAGAACTTTGACGCTTCCATTCGTAAACTTGTACGTCTTGACGAGATGAGCGAGGAAGACTCTCAGCACGGTGCGCTACAGCTCGAGCTCGAATGTGCAACGAGATTGGCTGAAGCGATCCCGCGAGATTTTTCAGGTCAACGCGTGCTTGAAGCGATATGGTCACAAGGAACTGTGTCGTTTATCACGAATTACATCGAAGCTGAAGCTTTCGGGGCAGAAATGTCTCAAGATCGTGGTTCTGACGCGTGGAATAAGGCGATGAAGCGGAGTGGCTTACCGCTTGCGCTCGAGCTTTTGAACGGAATCACACTGGGCTACACTCTCGACGTCACCAAACATCCGACACTGCTTGACTTACTACATAAACTTGAATCAGTCACCGAGCGTGATATTGGAACTTTGGCAGAGAACTGTCTGGAGACGTTTGCGAGCGGATCCGAGTTGGTACAGAAACATTTGGATAATTTGCGAGCAGAGACGAAAGAAGCGAATCGTCGCAAGGCACTCGCAAAGCGCCAACAAATGCTCACTGAAATGGGCATGACAGTAGTCAAAAACTCCTCGAGTCCGGGAGCGTCTACCATCGGCGTCTCTCACTCTCCCAGATCTCTGCGAGGGTACGACTCGATGGCTATGGAAAGCGAACAAGACTCAATTGTTTGTAGAGTTTGCTTTGAAGGATACGTGTTGAAACCGAACGAGCTTCTCGGGATCTATTGCTTCAATAAACTTGCATCAACTCCATCTGCGAACGGAGATATGTCTCAGACTGTATGCACTGTATCGCACTTCAACGCGATTCACTTTTCGTGTCACCAATCCGCCAAGCGCGCGGACGTCGCGTTGAGAACTCCCAAGCGCGAGTGGGAAGGCGCTGCGTTACGCAACAGTGAGACACTATGCAACAACTTGCTACCGGTGATGGGGAATATGGTCACAGATGCTTCATACGCCGCCGCGGTAGATGCGTGGTGGCAAAATTGCTTCTCTGTCGGCGCGTTCATTTCGCCGCCGACGCGCGCGCGACAAGTCGCTTGGGACGTCAGCCTACTTCTCGGTCGATTCGCCATGGGGGCGTCGTTCAGCGCTGACTGTCGTGGCGGTGGAAAAGATAGCAACATGAGTCTCCTTCCGCACCTCGTGCGATTGCTCGTCCATCAAGTCTCATTGTGCCCGCAGAAAGGATTGGAAGAGTACAACGCCGTGCTAGCCCGCCTTTCGTGCGAAGATGAGATATGGAACGATCGCGAGTTTAGCTTTTCACCGCTCCTACCGGCAGCACTCGTGCTTTCGCTCGCGGTCTGGTCGCACGATCAATGGGAAGCGTCTCGACGCAACGCGCTGATAGCGATTTTGAGGCACACGAAGAAGTACGAATGCGCGAGAATCGCGACGTACCCGGCGAGCGTCGACGTCTCTGCGAGCGTTCCGTGGGAACAGCTTAACGAACTCGATCGCTACGCCAAGCTAAAACCGATGTTGATTTATTTCGGTTTGGTGAACAAAATGTTTGAGTGGTTCAAACCTAAACGTCGACCGGACCTCGGAAACGCGGTGACCATCGGCAAAGCGCCGGCGTCCACGACGACGGGCTCGCCGGAAGCCGTCACCCTGAACGAGCGACTCCACGATATCCCTTCCATGATATCCGGTGCGAAAGACACTCTCGAATGGCTCGACGAAGCGATGGACGCGGAAGATGCGCAAGAGCTTTTAGACGTGTGTGAGATCCTCTCCGACGCCATGTGCCCGACGGTGAACGATTTCATCCTCGAGGCGTTGCGCGCGGAGTGTTGACGCGATTTGTAACATGCTGTACGTGATATTACTTTTTAAATAAGTCGCAACCATCGTTCGTGATCGTGCGTCACGTTCATCGTCATCCACGAGTTTATCCTCGCTTCGTCTTTCTCGATGAAGTCGTGCGTCGAGTCGACTTTGACTTCGTCGTCGCTTTCTTCTTCGCCTTCTTCTCCGTCGTCAGCATCGCGATGGTCGCCGACGCGAATAACAGCGCAAACTGAATCGTCAGCTTCCCGATCGGATCCTTCAGGAACGTCATGTGAAAGTGAATCGCTCCCGCCATGATGGCTGTGAGCAGAAACGCCCCCCGCGCCGGCGTCGTCCACAGCGCCAGGTATCCCAGCACCTCGAGCGCGCCGATGATTTTCGCGAATTCGTACCCATCCGCCTTGGAGCATCGAATCTTCGGCGCCACGCTCGAAACCCCGGGCACGCGCGCGATCAGCCCGTTCGCCCACGGCGTCCACGCGTGTTCACACCACGCGTATTGCTCCGCCGTGTTCGCCGTCGGCGCGCAATCACCCGGTTTCCCCAGCGCCACCGGGCACAGCGCCCCGTCGCACCCCGCGATCGGAATCGCAAACTTACACGCCGCCGACCGCAGGTACAGCGCCAGCGGCACGACGCGCAGGATCGACACGATCAGGTTCTTCCCCATCGCGCGCGATTTCTGTCGCGATCGCGCGCCGTCAGTCACCGATCGCGCGTCGCGTCGCGTCGCGTCGCGCGTCGACCCTCGACCGTTGGGGTCGTTCCCCTCGCGCGTTCGCGTCTCGCCCGTCGCGCGCGTCTCGCGTCGCGTCGTCGCGTCTTCTCCATCGCGCGCGTCGCGCGCGTCTTTCTTCCCGCGCTCGCGTCGTCGTCGTCGTCGTCGTCGTCGCGCGCGCACCTCGAGCGTCGTCGCCGCGCGCGTCGTCGCCGTGTGCGGCGTCCGAGACGGCCGAGACGGCCGAGACGCGCGTCCCGAGACGCCGATCGAGATCGAGCGATCGAGATCGAACGACCGCGCGATCGAACGATCGATCGGCGCGCGCGCGGGCGGGACGCGACGCGCGGGACGCGCGCCGCGGCACCGTCGGACGCGCGCGGGACGCGGTCGCGCGCATGCGCGCGGCGCGGAAGCGGACGTTCGAACACGTCGAGGGAAACTACGCGACGCACGTCAGGGCGCGCGCGGGCGCGGCGACGCGCGCGACGGAGAAGACGCTCGACGCGTTCGTGGAGGCGTTCGGGGAATTGGAAAAAGTGAGCGATTTGAAGAGAGAGGATGGCGCGCACGTGTCGCTGTCGAGGACGTTTGCGTGCGTGAAGGGAGATTGGGAACGGTTGTTTGGGAATTTGAGACGAGAGTTGAGGGATATGGAGGCGTTTGAGGTGGTGTTTGATGCGATGCGGGTGTTTACGAACGACGACGGCTCGCGGGCGTTCGTCGCCGCGGGGTTTCGGGAGGGGTCGACGAGCGCGTCGAAGGTGGCGTTGGTGCGAGCGATCGAGAGAGTGGATAAGGCGATCGTTCCACTCGGGTTTCCAAAGTATTACGATGATCCGGACCCGCACGTGTCGCTTTTGTGGGTGGCGGGAGCGAGCGAGGAGCGCGTGGAGGCGATGCGGCGGTTCGCGGAATCGACGACGGTGGAGTGGCGTGTTGACGTCAATAGGGTGTTGTGTGATGTGTCTGGACAGACACCAAAGACGGTTTGGGGGCGAGTGCCGGGACTTCCAGCGCCGGATTTGTAGCGAATAGCAACGTAGAAAGCGAGTAGTGTTACATCTAGTAGGGGAAGAATTCGTCTCCTAATTCGTCGTCCCATGTCGGGCTGCGCGCGAACTGCAACGTGACGCACGTATCGACGCGCGGACGCGATGGTAAACCTCGTCGCGCGATCGGTTTCTCTCGGAAAAATACTCGCGTGTAGTCTGCCTGCGACCAAGTGTTGATCAAATACGCGATGACGTCTAGTTGTTCCAAATATTCCGCCTCCGTCTGCGGGTAAGATCTTTGCCCGAGATGCCCGACGTAAAGATTGAGGCTAACCCACCGCTTCATACCGGACCCCATTTTGACGTGCTTGATAGCCATGTCGTGTGCCTTGCCGTACTTTTTAATGCACAACAGCGCTAACTCGCGCCCAGTGAGCGGGCCTTCGCTCGCGCCGTCCAACTCGTATTCGAAACCACCATCCTCGTCATCCTCCTCCTCGAGCATCGATACATCATCCACCACTTCCGTTTGCACCACCGAAACGCTTTTCGTGGCTGTCAAAGTCATCGCGCCCTCGTCGTCGTCACCACCCTCCAACATCGCCCTCTCGAGCTGCGCCGTGAACGCTCTCAAATCAAAATCCCCGCCGAGCGTCTCCGCATCCTCTTCTTCGCTCATCGCATCCTTCGACACCTCGCTCGGTTGCGTCTGCGTGTCTGGGCACCGCCCGGCGATCTTCGCTCCGGGCGTGCGCGGATTAAACGTCAGATCGATCTCCTTCTTCAACCAATCGACGAAACTCGCGCCATCTTTTCCCGCGCGCGCGGTGACGACGCGCGAGCGGGGCGCGCGAGGCGCGCGAGGCGCGCGCGCGTGACGCGTTTCACGCGCACCGGGCGCGAACGGCGCGGGCGCGAAGGCTGACATGCCGCGTCGAGCCCGATATGACGTTTCGTTTCGATGACGTCGCGTGACGTCCGCCGCTTGACATGAAGCTCCGCGACGCGCGTGTGCTTGGCTCTAGGAACTACATCACAATTTGGGCGGGATGAACCCGTGGACGGTGAAACCGCCATCTATTGGCACGATGACACCGTTGACGTACGAGGACGCGGGCATGCATAGAAACGCAACGACGGCGCCGACTTCGTGAGGCTCGCCGACGCGACCCATCGGCGTTCGGTCCACGACGGCTTTGAGGTAGACTTGGTTTTTCAGCACCTGCTTCGCGAGCGGCGTGTTGGTGTACCAAGGCGCGACGGCGTTCACACGAATGTTATCTTTCGCCCACTCGCACGCCAGACTCTTCGTCAGTTGATTCATGGCACCCTTCGAGATTGCATACAGAGCGCCGCTCTGGATAGACACGAGGCCGGCGACGGATGAATTAAATACGATCCTCCCATCACCGCTCGCCTTCAACATCGCGTGAAACCTCTTGCAAAGCTCGAATGATGCCTCTAAGTTCGTCCGCATCAGCCTTTGGTAATCTTCGCTCGTGAATTCCACCGTCGGCTTTCGAATGTTAAAGCCCACGTTGCTCACCAGTATGTTCAACTCGCCCGAAAACTTTTCCGACACCCTCCGCGCGAGTTCTTCTCGCGCGTTCGCGTCACTGACGTCGCAAACACACCCATCGACGTCGTATCCACGGCGCCGCCAGTCCTCGACGCACGTCTCGACGTCTCCCGCCGTGCGTGCGCAGGTGAATACGCGGCAGCCGTGATGGCAAAGCGCTTCGACGATGGCTTTTCCGAGGCCTTGCGTGCCACCGGTGACGACGGCGGTGGCACCGCGCAGGGAGAAAGAACGCGCGAGCGTGGTGTCGTCGACGGACATCGCGTTCGCCGGTCGCGGCGTCGATGAATGCGGCCTATTCGTCTAAGAATTTTCTACAGCGCTATTTGTGTGTGCTAGTTCGTGCGTGGCGCTCTTCGTCTCGCAGAACGACGTCGAATACTTTAAACCGACCGCCCGAAAAGTCGTGCAAGTACTGTCGGAGTGTTTTAGCCGCTGCTTCAGATACCGCCACGAATTGCGCGGCACCGTCGCCTTGGCTTCCGACGCCTTTCGCGCCAAAGACAGTTTCCGGAACGTCGTGGGCGACGGCGGCGAGCGTCTCGCGCAAACGAGGCGCCGTGAGCTCGGATGGGCAGATGTGGATCGCAGCTTCGTCAAATGTGGTCTGTGCGCGCGTATACACCGCGCCTAAAGCCCGCGCATCGCCGCGTTTGATCGCGTCTAATCCTTCGGCCACGAGCGCTCGATTACGGGCACCGAGCGCCGAGCGCAGCGCCTCGTCCCCTCGGTCGAAAGCTCCTTGCAAATCGGCTAAAATCCGCACCGTACTCTTCGATGCCGCCAAATCACACACGACGATGTGTATTTCACCGTCAACCTCGCACGCTCTGACGTCCACGTCTTCGCCGTCGAATGTGAGCGCCACGACGCGCTCGCTCCCGTACGCGCACGCCTGATCCATCGCTCCACACTTGCTCGGCGTGTGCACCGCCTCCCCTCGATACGCCAACTCCATCTCATCCTTCAGCTCGAGATCCAACTCGTACGCCACGCCGAAACACCGCGCCACGAGGACGCAGACGCACGCCGACGAGCTCAAGCCTTTCCTCGTCGGCAGCGTCGTCTCGAGCGTCTCCACGACGAGCCCGCGCTCGCGACACCGCGGAAATCGCCTCAAAACCTCCAGCGCGGTCCCGGCGACGTACGACCAGTACCCTCCGCTCGAAGCCTCTCGCTCGAGCGCGTCATCGACGCTCACATCGCACTCGAACGCGTCGCCGTCCGCGCCAACCACGCGAAACCGCGGCCCTTCACCGACGTCGCACCGCGCGCTGACGCCCTCGCGCGTGCCGACGACGACGCACGCTCCCGGGCCATCGCGCGCCGCGCGCGCGCCGGCCCAATCCGAGTGCTCGCCGAGCAGACACACGCGTCCCGGGACGAACACGCGCGGCATCGCGCGCGACTGTGAAGTCGTTTGACTCGGTGGACGACGCGTTCGCACTTCGCGACGCCGACGTGCGCGCCGCGACGACGCGCGAGCGAACAGCGCGCGGAGGTGATCGCGCGTCGTCGTTCGACGCGCTCGCGGACGCCGACGCGCGCGCGATCGCGACGAGAGACGCGCGAAGACTGGGACCGAGATCGCGACCGCGATGACGACGGACGACGGCGCGAACGACGCGATGGAGACGCAAGCGACGGGAGAAACGCCGCAAACGCCGCAGGGAGGTGATTCTGGGGAAGCGATGACGACGCCGCGGGCGCCGCCGCCGGATCCGCGGAAGGAGGCGTTGAGGAAGTACGCCGGGTTGTTGCTGCAGCACAAGGTGAGATCGCGCGCGACGGAGAGACCGAAGGATGGTTCGTGGACGCGAACGGTGGTGCGAGGCGTCGTATTCGAGCGAGTGACTGACGGTTTATTGTCGTGATGACGCGCGATGACGTAGGAATTGGATGCGAGAGTGCGAGCGTCGAGGTTCGAGTTGATTGACATTCGAAAGAGGTTTGACAAGACGGAGGACGATTTGAAGGCGTTGCAGTCGATGGGGCAGATTATCGGGGAGGTTTTGAGACAGTTGGACGAAGACAGATTCATCGTGAAGGCGAGCTCGGGGCCGAGATACGTCGTTGGGTGCAGAACGAAGCTCGATAAGAGCAAGCTAGTGAACGGGACGCGGGTGACGCTCGACATGACGACGTTAACCATCATGCGCGCGCTGCCGCGAGAGGTGGATCCGTTAGTGTTTAACATGCTCAGCGAGTCCACGGGGCACGTGGACTATAGCTCTATCGGTGGGCTCGGGGAGCAGATTCGAGCGCTTAGAGAGTCGATCGAGTTGCCGTTGATGAATCCCGAACTTTTTGTGCGCGTGGGCATCGCGCCGCCGAAGGGCGTATTGCTCTACGGACCGCCAGGGACGGGGAAGACGCTCCTCGCCAAGGCGATCGCGAGTAACATCGACGCAAACTTTTTGAAGATTGTTTCTAGCGCTATAGTGGATAAGTATATCGGCGAGTCCGCGAGATTGATCAGAGAGATGTTCGGTTACGCTCGGGACCACGAGCCGTGCATCATCTTCATGGACGAAATCGACGCCATCGGTGGCAAGCGCTTTTCCGAAGGCACGTCGGCCGATCGCGAGATTCAACGTACACTCATGGAACTTTTGAATCAGCTCGATGGTTTCGACGTTCTTGGCAAGGTCAAGATGATCATGGCGACGAACAGACCCGATGTGTTGGACCCGGCGTTGATGCGCCCTGGTCGTCTCGACAGAAAGATTGAAATCCCGCTTCCGAACGAGCAAGGTCGCGTGGAGGTTTTGAAAATTCACGCGCAAAAGTTGAACAAAGAGGGTGAAATCGATTACGAGTCTATCTCCAAGATTGCCGAAGAATTCAACGCCGCCGACATGCGCAACGTGTGCACGGAGGCGGGAATGTTCGCCATTCGCGACGACCGCGATTACTGCGTTCAGGACGATTTCATGAAAGCCGTCCGCAAGCTCGTGGAGGCGAAGAAATTGGAACCCGCCGCGTCCTACGACAGCTCTTTCAAGAACGAGTGAGCGCGCCATAGCCTTTTAATCATTAGAGATCCAAACAACTCGCCAACTGTTTTTCCAACGCCCACCGCGCACTCGATCGACGGTACTCGCGCGCGCGCGCGCCACTGCCGCCTCTAACGATGTCCAACACGAACGAGATATACGCCAAGAATCTCATGAAGCGCGCAGATGCGCGCATGAAACCGTCGTTGATGCGCTGGAAACCAAATTACGACGAAGCGATCGAACTCTATGAAGACGCCGCGCGCGCGTACCGAGCGTCGAATAACTTCAAAATGGCGTGCGAGGCCGAGGAGAAGAGCGCAGACGCGAACGTGCGACTCGATAATTACTGGCACGCGGGTAAAGCGCTGGAGAGGGCGACGGAGTTGTTGACGAAGTGTGAACCTTTGGACGGCGGCGCGGTGTTGCAGATGGCGGAACGAGCGAACGACGCGTACGTCATGGCGAATCGCACGCAAGTCGGCGCGGAGTCGCTGAGCCGGGCCGCGAGATTGTTGGAAACGAGCGATACGAAGACGTCCGCCGCGCTGTTGATGCTTTGCGTCGAGAATTTGCAGGAAGATGGGAAAGACGTGTACGCCAGCGACCATCACAAGCAGTTGGGGGCGACGTTGGTGCGAGCAGAGCGGTATCAAGACGCAGCCGAGGCGTGCGTCAAGTACGGGGCATCGTGCGCGCGCGCTGGTCAGATGAATTCTTTAGCCAAGGCATATTTGAGCGCCATCATAGCGTTATTGTACGACGGCGACGGCGTCGGCGCGCAGGCGACGTTTAACGACGTGCACGAGTTGCCCGGGTTCGACAAGAGCGAAGAGCGAGAAACCGCGTATAGGTTGCTCACCGCGTATCGCGCGGCGGATGCGGATAAAATCAAGTACGCCATCGAGGATAGCTCGTGCGCGCGCTTCTTGGACATCGTGTTCTCGCGTCTGGCGCGCAAGCTCCCCAATCCGAAACACGAGCTCGGCGCCGTCGCTACGAAGATGGGCGCCGACCTCCCCACGGGCGACACCACGGACGAAGACGCCGGAGACGATTTGACGTAACAAAAAACAAAGCAAATGACTTCTTCGTCATCACATTTCACGCATCTAGAGCTAATCTGAATCAGTACCACTTGAATCCTCGATCGTCGCACGTGACGCCGACAATCTTCACCTCCTTCGTCGGTCGATCATTCTTATCAACTTTCACCGCCCCGATCGCGCGCACGGCGTGCATCCCGCTTTCAACCCTACCGAATATCGCGTGCTTCCCGTCCAACCACGGCGTCGCCGCGAGCGTGATAAAAAACTGACTCTTATTCGTGTTCGGCCCGCTATTCGCCATCACCAAAATCCCCGCCCCCACGTGCCTCAGCCCTCGGCTTATCTCGTCCTCGAACGTCCCGCCGAACGCGCTCTCCCCCCCCCGCCCCGTCCCCGTCGGATCCCCCCCCTGGATCACGAACTCCGCGATCACGCGATGGAAGATCGTCCCGTCGTAGTACCCGCGCTTCGCGAGCTCGAAAAAGTTTTCGCACGTCCGCGGCGCGTGTTTATAGTACAGCTCCACCGTCACGTCCCCGTGCGTCGTGTGCAGCGTGACGACCGGCGCGCCCTTGCGCTCGTCGTCGCGCCACTTCGGGTCGTCCACCGCCGGCATCGCGTCGCCGTCCGACGCCCGTCGCGTCGAATCGAATCGAATCGAATCCGCGCCGTCAAATCACAAAATCCCGTCCCGCGTCGCGCCCCTATTCGTTCGCGTCGCGCGTAGTGTACGCGCCGTTAGTGCTATGTGCGCGTCCAACGTCCGATCGATCGATCGGGGTAAAAACGCGTCACGAAATCCCGTCCCGCATCGCGCACCGTGCGCGCCCGCGGCGCCCGTTCGCGTCGCGCGCGCGTCGCACTAAGCGACGCGCGCGCGACGATGGACGCGCGCGCGATCGCGCGACTCGCGGACGCGGGCGCGCGCGAGGCGCAGCGGGCGGTGCGCGACGGCGCGGTGCGGCGCGAGCGGACGCGCGACGACGCGCGGGGGGGGACGACGACGACGACGATGGGACGCGAGCCGCGGGGGAACGGCGCGCGCGAGGGCGCGCGCGAGGACGACGGCGAGGACGGGCGCGGCGGGGGGGGGTGGGAAACGATGGGGAGTGGGTACGAGGATAAACCGTTGGTCGACGCGAGGGCGGAGACGGCGCGGTTGACGCCGAGAGTGCGTCGAGAGTTTCACGACGATTACTGGACGGTGAGCCACCTGAAGCTGTTGTACTTGGTGTCGAAGTATTCGCACCGCGCGCAGTCGGCGTACGAGAAGGAGGTGTGGGTGCGGAAGTTGCCGCTGTTGGTGTTGATTTATGAGGGGATCGTGCAGAAGGTGTTCGAGTACGATTACGCGCCGGAGTCGACGGTGGTGAAGAATACGCGCTTGTACTTGAACGTGTCGCAGGAGGGGGTGGACGATTTGGACGATTTGATCGAGGGAGAGCTCATTCGTGGGTTGAGGCTGAGCAGTGCGGAACATCAGAGCGTTTTGGCGTTTCAGATCACCGCCGCTGGGTTGGCGCTCGTGAGTAAGCGCATGAGCGAAGAGGATCGACAGTTGGTGGACGAGCTGTGCGTCGCCGACGGGAAACTTTTGCAAGTGGTGTGGGAAGATGAGACCTTTTACTTGAGAAATGAAACGATTTCGTTCGAATCGACAATAACTGATGTAGAAGACGTGTCGTACGTCGTATCACCGTATCTTCCGTTGGCTTTACGGCGTGTAGGTGGTCCCGTGACGTCGTCAAATTCGCACCGAGCGTCGGAGAGCGCGGCTAAAGACAGCACGATTCGCGATGATTTGGACGAGGTCATGACGGTATCCAACGTGACAATCTTAGTTGGTGAATGGATTCCGTTCGGAGTGAATCAAATCGTCAAGTTGAACATGAAGCTGGGATCAAACGACAGATGTCAGGGCGGATTCTTCACCCCCACGGTGGATACGGACTCGACCAACGCAACGTGTGAGATCCCAGCTGGTTTGACAAATGTAAGCATTTTGGACCATGATATGACGACGTTCACCAACATTGAGGCTCAAGTACACTTCCCTGAGGACGATGGTATCGTGCAAGTCGAGCACTTTGGCATTCACTTGCGCAAAGACGGCACCATTGTGCACGGTTTGATGATTGAATCAGTCATGGATCGAATTTTGGACAATATCTCGCTCGATAACTTGGCGCGCTTACTCGTGGACGTGCATATGGACTCAAGTACGATTTTAGATTCGCTATTGAGCGATCATCAGCGTGATTTGCTCCAAACTGTTTTCCTCGGTAACGCCGAACGACGAGACAAAATTAACATCATCATCGCCGAGCGCATTGCCCCGCAACAGGCTGCGGACATGTACATGGATAAGGACGCGTTCGAAAACGAGTTAAGACAAGTATTAGGTGATACGCACGAAGCGTACGATTTGAGCGACCGTGATGTCGTCATCACCGGTTCTCACGGCATCTTACTCACGGGCCCAAACGCCAAGGCGCAGGAACCAGTGATGTTGATGTACCTGTCCATCATGTCCAGAGATGTCTTCGTGCACAACGTATTCAACAGAATATTTATGACGGATGACATTCTCAAGCTCGTCCGGCAGATGATTAAAAATCACGAGGAAGATCCGAACAGTGTTGCGAATATTCGTCACACTCTCGCTGAGACTTCGCGCGACATCATTTTGCTCGAGGAAATCCTGGTGTACTTGAAGGAATCAATCGAACAAGACGAGAGTATTCACACCATTCCAGATACTGAAAGCGGAAGAAGACTTTATGAAATCCTTGGCCTGAAAGTTATGCTCGCTGATCTCACGGTTCGTGTGGCGGATATGCGGAAAATCCTCGAGGCGGCGCGCAAAGAAATCGATGGGTTACGAATCATGGTGGACACAGTAGCCGAGTCGCAGGCGTTGCGCGTGCACGAAGACATTCGCGGTAGTAGTGGAGAGATGCTGGTGCAAATCAAGTCGAACAGCAAACAAGGGACAAGCTTATACACCATGCAGTTCATTTTCGCGGGTATGCTTGCGTTTGAGTTGCTCGACAGACTCACTGGCGAATGGAGCGTCGTGCACACAGAGTGGGCTCGATCGTACATTGTTGATCCGTTTATGAACAAACCACTGGTCTGGTTCATTCTTAGCATGTGTACGTGGGTCGGGGTTGCGTTTGGCGTGTATTATTTAACGAGGGCGATCGATGACAAGTCTGCGGGAGCAATTTCATATCGCATCAAGGTGAACAAACCAATGAATCTCGACGCTCTCGACGAGTATTTGGCGTTCAAAGCTATCATTGGCGAAGATGGTGTCGCGAATGGTGATACCACAATTCAGCGCGTCAGGTGGCAAGAGGAAGATATCACGCGTTGGGAAGGATACCTCCCCATCATTGAACTCGTGTACGACGTCAAGCATGGATTTCTGCTCGATGTGCATCTCACGATAACCAGACGAGCATCAGTACCGGCAAAGCTTCGTCCAGAGACGTTGAAGATTAGATTTTTCACCGAATTGCAAGAAGCGGCGGTGCTAACGCCAGAAGACGCGGCGACAATCATTGATAATACGCGCCGAATGCGTGCCAAGGTCGACAAGCAAGCCATCGGACTTCCTATCGACCAAGCGGTGTCTCTCAAGGTGAAGGTTCCAAATGAGCGTTACTATCGCGAGATTCCTTTCGGTCGACAGACGTACCTTGAACTACGAGAAGAGATTGCGCTCAAATTCAGAGTTAAGCCCGTGCAAGTGCTTCAGATTTTCAAGGTACCGGACACCTTGATTGCGGACGACGACGACGTGGCAAGAATCGCGCCCGACTCCATCCTCGAGGTTCTACTGAAAGCGTCCTAAACGAGAAGTGTAATGATAAGATCAAGTTTGCTCATTAAATGTGTCCTTATGCGCGAAATTTACAGCATGCTACGAACGACCAAGTACGTGAACGCAGCGATGGCGGCAGCGATCAACATGTTCACGAAAACTCTTATGAAAGTCGCCCACCACGGCTCTTGCTTCTCCGCCACCGGCTGGTCGTCTTTCTGCGGCAATCCGAGCGCCGAACGAGCGCGGTTCTTCGACGACGCAAAACCTTCATCGGCGGAGTTCAAAGCGCTGATCACTTCACCAGGTTTGACGTTCGTCTGCGAGCCCCAAGAGTACTCGGTTCCTGGCATTTGTTTTGCCACTTCTGGGGTGAAATCCAATCCGAGGCGACGCGCATGCGCGCGTTCAACCGCGTTTGCGTCCGCGACGCGAATATCTTCAATGATCTGCTCGCTGTACTGCAATTTTAGCAAAGAGTTCTCCCACTCTTCTTGTTTCTTCGCCACCTTCTGTGCCGCCATCACTTGTTGCGCAACCTTCTGTTCGGCTTCCTCTTGCGAGCGCTTCTTGGCTTCAGCTTCAGCCGCGCGTTTCGCCTTAACTTCGGCGTCGGCATCAGCCTTTGCCTTGGCAGCGGCAACCTTCGCAGCTTCGGCATCAGCCTTCGCCTTGGCTTCGGCGTCAGCCTTCGCCTTGGCAGCAGCAATCTTCGCGGCTTCGGCGTCAGCCTTCGCCTTGGCTTCGGCGGCAATCTTCGCGGCTTCGGCGTCAGCCTTCGCCTTGGCTTCGGCGTCAGCCTTCGCCTTGGCTTCGGCATCAGCCTTCGCCTTGGCTTCGGCGGCAATCTTCGCGGCTTCGGCGTCAGCCTTCGCCTTGGCTTCGGCGTCAGCCTTCGCCTTGGCTTCGGCGTCAGCCTTCGCCTTGGCTTCGGCGGCAATCTTCGCGGCTTCGGCGTCAGCCTTCGCCTTGGCTTCGGCATCAGCCTTCGCCTTGGCTTCGGCATCAGCCTTCGCCTTGGCTTCGGCGGCAATCTTCGCGGCTTCGGCGTCAGCCTTCGCCTTGGCTTCGGCGTCAGCCTTCGCCTTGGCTTCGGCGGCAATCTTCGCGGCTTCGGCGTCAGCCTTCGCCTTGGCTTCAGCGGCGGCGGCGGCGGCGGCGGCGGCAGCGTCAGCCTTGGCCTTGGCCTCGGTTTCGGCGAACGACGCCGCGGCGTCTTCGGCGGCTTGCGCTTCCAACGCAGCCTTCTCGTCCGCCCTACGGATTTCAAGCAACTTGGAAGCCGCGGCTTCGGCTTCATCGTCTGCGTCGCCACCAAAGTTCAACCCACCAAACACCTCATCGAAAGAATCAGTCACCGACTGCGCCCTTTCAAAGAGTTTCGCCCCGGTCTCCGACGCCTTCTTCGTGAGCGCCTCCGCGTCGAAATCTTTCGGCAACTTTTCCATCAACGGTTTGATATCCTTCTTAAGCGACGCTTGGAATTCAGCCGGAGTTTGATCTCCCTCCTTCGCCAACGCTTCGAGAACCTTGATGACGAGGAGCGCCGCCGCCGCCCCTCCCGCGGCCAAGGCCGGCTCGCTCGCCACCGTGTACGCCGTCCCCAACGTCACCGCCGCGGCAACGCCCTTGATGACCTTCTCCGGATCGCGCGCGACATCGAGAACGGTTTCCAACACAGTGTTCCCCTCATCATCCTCGTCCGCGCCGTCGAACGACGCCATCGTCCTCGGCGCCGACTTCCTCACCGTCATCGACTCCGGAATGTCCCGCTCCAATCGTTCCGACGCCTGCATTTCATTCGCCGCCGCCGCGAACATATCGTTCACGTCCGGCTCATCTCCCTCCTGCGCTTCCGCGTCCCCCACGCTACCGCTCGTGCGCGTCGCCACGAATCGCGCGCGTCCCCGCGTCGCCCGCGTCCCGCGCGTCCCCGCGCGCGCCCTCCCTCCCCCCCGCCCGCTCGCCTCGCCCGCGCGCCCCCCCGGCGTCGCCCGCGTCACCGCCGCGCGCATCCCGCGTCCCGCGCCCGCGCGTGCGCCCTCCCGCGCGTCTTCGCGCGCGTCCGCGCCCGCGATCGGTCGATCGATCGCCGCGACGAATCGCGCGATCGACGCCCGCGATCGATGATTCGCGTCCGTCGCGTCGCCGCGTTCGCGCGCGCGCGCGGCGCTTTCGCTCGGCGCGCGACGCCGACGTCGACGCGCTCGAGCGCGTCGCTCGTCGCGCGAACGCGCCGCGATCTCGCGTCGCGCGCGCGGTCGGTCGCGCGTCGCGCGCGGACGTCGACGCCGGCGGATTCGAGCCTCGTGTCGAGGGTTGTGAAACGACCGATCGTGACTCAAGAGTCGGGGGGTACGTATGGACGCCGGCCATCGAGTCGTGAGTCACGATTCGTCGTTTATCGAGTCACGAGTCACGATTCGTCGTTTCGCGCGCGCCGGCGCGAGCGCGTGCGTCGACCGTTCGCGACTCGAGACGAACCCTCTGTCGTATGCGCAAACAGTCGCGCGGCGCGAATCCGTCGCGCGCGCCCCGCCACGTCGGATGGCGCCGCGCGCGCGTCGCGCGATCGCGCGCATCGCGCGACGCGCGACATGGCGCGGGAGGCGACGGCGGCGACGGCGGCGACGGAGGCGGAGCGCGCGTTCAGGGCGAAGTACGGCGACGATCTGCGACCGAAACCGCGGTTGATCGCGACGGACGTGAAACACTTCGACAGCGCGGATTGGGCGATGCGGAAGAGCGCGGAGGAGGCGCGGCGGCGGGACGCGGGCGGGACGGCGGCGACGAGGAGCGAGGGGCGCGCGATGGGGGAGGGGACGACGGAGGACAGCGCGAGGGAACCGGACGAGCGAGGCGCGCGCGAGGGGGACGCGACGTCGACGCGGGAGGGGGACGGATGCGCGAGCGAAGGCGCCGACGGTTGAGACGAGATCGCGCGCGAAGCGGGATCGCGATGGATGAAGATTGAAATAATACGAAATAATACTGCGAGTGATGGGAGTGCGGTCGCGCGCGCGTCGTGACGTCGTCGCGCGCGCGAGGGCGCGTTCGGGGGACGAGACGACGGCGCGGGCGGGCGGACGCGTCGGCGTCGCGCGACGCGATGAGGAAGAACTAATTCTGCTTCTTAAATCGCTAAGTTACGTGCGATGTTCGTCTCATCTCCGTTCGTGCCCTCGCGCGAGTTCCACTACAGAACGCTATTCCGCTCGAGAGCGCCGACGTCGAACACGACTCTGCTCGTTCGTCTACACAAATCCCACCGCGCTCGCTTACAAGTTGAGCTTGGTGCGTCTCCAGTGTCGACGCTTCGCGTTGTAGCTGCGCGTACGAACACATCATCATCGTCAGTACTCGCGCGTCGTCGTCGTCAAAATCGCGTCATCGATCGCGTCGTTCGCGCGACTCGTCGGCGCTCGTCGCGCGAAAAAACCTAAACGCGTACGTACCGAATGGTGTTACCCGTGCGCATGCGGATCCATTGGGGAAGCGGGCGGTTTTGCTTTTGCTTCTTCCCCAAAATCTTCTTCACCTTGAAAGTCTTGTTGGACGGCTGCGTCGATAAAACGTCTCGGTCAGTCCTCCGCGCGTCGCGTTCGCGCCGTCGTCGACTCTAGGGCTTGCGCCGCGCCCCCCCATCGCCCGCCCGTCGCCCTCCCACCGCCGCCGTCGCCGCCGCGCGCCGCGCCGGCGTCGAATTCACGATATCCACCCTTCATCCGCGCGCGCCGACCGCGCGCGCGACGATCGCATCGCGCGCGACCGCCCTCGAACGCGCGCGCGCGTCGTCGCGATCGCCGCGTCTCGTCCGCGGTCGTTCCGTCCGCGCGCGTCCGCCCGACGCGCGTCCCGGCCGTCGCGCGCCACCGGCGCGCGCGTCGTTCGCGCTCGCGTCGTCTTTCGTCGCTCGCTCGAGGTCACGCACCATGTTCGCGTCGCGCGCGTCGCGAAGAGAACGCGCGCGCGGGTCGCGAGGAGACCGCGCGCGGTCGCGGGCGTCGTGGTCCGTGTGTGAGACTCGCGTCGCCCGAGACGCGCGCGCCGCGTCCCGTTGGCGACGCACCGCGACGCGCGACGGGCGACCGCGACGCGCGTCTCGGGCGACGCGGACGCGCGCGCGACGGAACGGCGAGATATGGCGGACATACCGCGACCGATGCCGCAGGGCGCGCAGGGCGCGAACGCGAACATGCAGTTTATGGATTTTAATCGCGCGCAGGCGTACCCGAACTACGACGCGTACGCGCCGCGAGCGACGAGTTCGGGCTCGCACGGGTACGGGGGGGGTGGTGGACACGGCTCGGGACACCAGGGCGGTGGGTTCGGGTTCGGGGCGCGCGACGGCGACGTGGGAGGGTCGTACGCGCACGTCGAGGACGAGGTGCCGTTGCTCGAGGAACTCGGCGTGGATCCGAAGCAGATTTATCGTCGGACGATGGGTGTGATGCATCCGTTCAGGGTCGAGGATAGCACGGATGAAGATCTCGCGGGACCGCTGTTGTTTTGTCTCGTCATGGGCGCGTGTAACTTACTGGCGGGGAAGTTGCACTTTGGGTACATTTTGGGTTGGAGCACGCTCGCGTCGCTCGGGATGTACTGGTTGTTGAACCAAATCATCGGCGGAGGGGAAGGGATCGGGTTGAACCGGTGCGGGAGTATTTTAGGCTACGCGCTGCTGCCCGTGGTGGGGTACAGTGGGATCGTGCTGTTTTTACCTTCGAAAACTGGGATGTTGAGCAAGGCGCTCGCGGTGCTCTGCGTGACGTGGAGCTCGAGAAAGGCGAGCGTGGGGTTGATACAGGCGATGCCGCAGTCGGAGGGCAAACGCATGATCGTGACGTATCCTTGCATGATGCTTTACACGCTGTACATCGTCTTTTCGATGTCCTAAGCCTAAGTGCGCTATCTAATTTGTAGTCGTCAATTCTAGTCATTTCACGACCACGACTGCAACCGCTCTCGAACCGCGCTCACGAGCGAGATACACGCCACGTCCGTGGTAAATGTTCTCGTTCCTAGGCCAACGCGCTTGAACCCGGCGCCCTCGAATAAATCGAGCTCATAATCCGTCCATCCGCCCTCGGGTCCGACGGCGATGAGCACGCGCGAGCGCCGCGCGTCGACGCCCTCCAACGCTTCCGCCACGCTCGTCCCAGAATCCCCTGGATGCGCCAGCAAGCGCACATCGGCCGCGTCGAACTCATCCCAACCGAGCTCACGTGGTCCATCCAACAACCACTCGAACCCATTCGTGACGCTCGAATTCCCCAAAGCGCCCTTCAACCGGTCCACGACCGGCGGCAACCGCATCGCCACGCCCACTTGCGGCACCAAAAAATCCCCCGCCTGCTCCAAACCGCGCAATATCTCCCCACGAATCGTCTCTGCGTCCAACGCTTTACTATCAAAGTAATATCGCTCCACCTTTTGCGCGTTCGCCAGCACGACACGACCGAGGCCCAGCGACGCGAGCGGCGCCCACAGCCGCCTCAAAACTTTAGGCCGCGGCGTCGCGAGCAACAAGTCGATCTCCGGCCTCCCGCGTCCGCGCGCGTCGTCTCCGAGCTTCAGCACGATTTCATCATCATCCATCGTCGCGATCGTCGCCTCGCACGCGCCGACGTCGATCGTTCCCGCGCGCACGTGGTCGCCGACGTCGCTTCGCAGCACCTCTCGCGCGTGCGTCGCGCGCGCGTCGTCCGCGCGCAGCGTCACCGTCCGCGTTCGGGCGTCGATCTCGGCGCGCTCGAAGAGAATGCGATTACGCATCGTCACGCATCGTTCGACGCGCTTTCGCGCCGGCGGCGCTCGCGTCAGCGCGTCATTCGCGCGCGCGAACATTTGCGGAAAAGCACTTTTTGTCCCATGCGCATCGCGCTGGCCTTGCGACGCGCGACGGTGGCTTTGCGACGCGCGTCGAGGGCGACGATGTCGGCGCGCGCGTGCGCGCTGCGGTTGTTTCCTCTCGCCGAGCCTCTGCCGGCGAAAGTGGCGCACCTGGTCGTGGACGACGACGGCGGGACCGGGACGGCGCTGACGGTGACGAAATACCTCGCGAAGACGCTCGGGGACGAGGGCGTGGACGAGACGTACGCCGAAGAGTTGTTGGACATCGGTGCGGTGTGGTTCGCGACGGCGCAGCCGCCGAGGGAACTGAGAGGGGTGCCGAGAACGGCGCGCGCGAGGCGGTTGTCGCCTCGCGACGCGGATGCGCCGCTGCGGGCGGGCAACTATCTTCGCGTTCACGTGCAACCGAAGCGGTTTCCGGCGGCGTTCGCGGTCGATTGGAAGGCGTGCGTGTTGAAAGTGGGTGAGGGGTACGTTTGTGCGCATAAACCGGCGGGCGTGAGCGTGGTGCCGACGGTCGATAACGTCAAGGAATCGTGTCTGGCGATGCTCGAACGCGCCGCGGGTCTGAAGGAGGGAACATTAAAGCCGATTCATCGCTTGGACGTCGGCACGGAAGGGGTTTTAGTGCTCGGTACGACGAGTGCCTTTGCGAAGGAGTTCGGTGATATGTTGGCGGACAGGAGCGTCACCAAGGTGTATCGCGTGCTGACGGAGAACGCCGTGCCTCGCGGCGTTCACATCCACGACGCCGAGCCGGCGACCGAGGGTCCGCGAAAGATGATCATGACGAAGGTCGACACCGACGACATCGATGGTGAAATAGAACGATCGGCAGAACGCGGTGGTGGCGAGCGGGGAGGCGTGAGTGGGCCGAAGCGCTGTATTTTGCGAGTGTTGAAGAGCGAAAACATCGCCCCGGCGCGATGGGAGACAAAGGTGGAACTCTTAACCGGACGAACGCATCAAATTCGCGCGCAATTCGCGGCTTTGAGTGCTCCTTTGGTAGGTGAGACGCTGTACCGCGCTCCGGGCGACGATGGCGAGGTGAGGGTGCAGAAACCGAGCGAATATCTCGGTTTGCAAGCCTCAGAGATGCACATCAAGCGCGACTGCGCGCTCGGCCCGAGCGGCACGATCATTCGAGCGTTCGAACCGTGGTGGGTGCGTGGCACTAAAGTAGATGCGTTGTATTAGATAATCTGTAGCAAAATTTCATCCTTCGTAAATCACGCGTTGCGAGCTTGGAAATCCTTCATGAAGGACACGAGCGCTTCGACGCCTTCCTTGGGCATGGCGTTGTAAATGGACGCGCGCGCGCCTCCAACGGAGCGGTGACCCTTGAGCGCCTCGAAGCCCTCAGCCTTGGCTTCGGCGAGGAACTTCTTTTCCAATTCTTCACCTCCTGCCAAGGTGAAAGGGACGTTCATCAAGGAACGGTACTTGGTGTCAACCGGGGAGACGTAGTAGCCGCCGCTCCCGTCGATGGCGCCGTACAAAACATTCGCCTTTTCGATGTTGCGCTGCTCCATCGCCTTGAGACCACCATCCTTGAGAAGCTTGGCGAAGACGAGACCAGAGACGTACCACGTAAAGCACGGCGGGGTGTTGTACATGGAGTCGTTGTCAGCCATGAGCTTGTAATCGAACATGGACGGGGTATCCGCGCGAGTGTTGCCCATCAAATCTTCGCGAACGATGGCGATACCCATGCCCGCCGGACCGATGTTCTTTTGCACGCCACCGTAAATGATACCGTACTTTTCAACTTCAATCGGCTTGGACAAGTAGTTGGAAGACATGTCCGCGACGAGCACGCGGTTGCCCACGTCCGGGACTTCCTTGAACTCGACGCCGCCGATGGTTTCGTTGGAGCAGATGTGGACAAACTTGGATCCTTCGGTGAATTTCCAGTCCTTAACGTCCGGAATCGTCGTGAACGACTGATCCTTAGACGACGCGATCACATTCGCCTTCGCGAGCATCTTCGCCCCTTCTTTTTGCGCCTTGACGCTCCACGCCCCGGTGACGACGAAATCCGCGCTGTCCGTCGCCGCCGCCAAGTTATGGCAGTTAGACGCCATCATCGTCGACGCCCCGCCTTGCAAAAACAGCACCTTATAGTTATCAGGAATTCCAACCAACTCTCGCAGATCCTTCTCCGCCTTCTCCGCGATCGCCATGTAATCCTTCCCTCGATGCGACATCTCCAGCACGCTCATCCCGCTGCCCTTATAATCGACCAAGTCCCGTTGAATCTCCTCGAGCACGTCCAACGGCAGCGTCGCCGGTCCCGCCGAAAAGTTATACAACCGATTCCCCGCGCCCGGTCTCGCGCCCGCGCGCGCCACCGCGCGCCCTCCTCGCGTCTCGTTCGCGCCCGCGTCGTCGCGCGGTCGATTCAAAAAGCGCATCGCGCGTCCCGATCGCATCCTTCGCGTCGCGCTTCCCGTCGTCGGCGTCACCGCGCGCGCCGTCGCTCGCGTCATCGCATCGATCGCGCCCGTCATCGCGTTCGCCCGCGCGTCGTCGCTCGCGCGTCGTCGCGCCTCGTCGCGCGCGCGTGTGGCAACCGTCGCCGTCGACGGCGGCGCACACGCGGGTTTTTCGCGCGCCGCGGATCCGCGCGGATTCGCGGTCGGTCGCCGCGGTCGCCCCAGCGCGCGACGCGCGCGCGACGCGCTCGACGACGGCGCGCGGACCGATGGCGACCGGGAAGCTCCTCGCGGTGTGGCTCGTGAACAAGTCCGGGGGACTGATCTATCACCGCGCGCTGCGCGAGGACGCGCCGACGCTGGACGCGAACGCGTGCCTGCGCCTGGCGAGCGTGTGGCACTCGCTGCACGCGATCTCGAGGAAGGTGGCGCCGGTGACGGGGTGCGCGGGGATAGAGAGCCTGGAGTGCGATACGTTTGATTTGTATTGCTTTCAAGCGGAGACGGGGATGAAGATATTCGTGACGATGACGAAAGGGAGCGCGGACGCGAGCGGGACGCTGCGAAGGACGCACCGGGCGTACTGCGACTACGCGCTGAAGAATCCGTTTTACGAGGTGGAGATGCCGGTGCGGTGTGAGTTGTTCGACGTGGCGATCGCGGATATCGCGCGGTCGGTGAACGAGCGAGGGTAGGTTTGTGTGGGTAGAGATCGGTTAGCGATCGATTAGAGTCGGCGCGTCGGCGAGGGACGTCGTTGTGAAGAAAACTACGTTCGTACTACAAAAACGTGTTATGTTAGCTCGCGCTGGCTATTCCGCCGCCTAGAAATTAGATGCCGCGTGTATCACCAACCAAACGAGCTCGTGTGCCGCGCGTCGCCGTCGAGACGACGGCGCGCTTCACCGAAAGAATGACTTTCGCATTCAAACGAAGACTTAGTAGCCTTGCGGCGGCATCGCGCCAAAGCCAGAGCCAAAGTCACCACCTTGCTGAGCATCCCAGCCCGTGGGCGCGGGCGCCTCGGACCAGTTACCCGCAGCCGGAGCGAAACCACCCGTCGGGAACGCCTCGGCCGGCTTTTGCTCGTCCCAAGACTCGGCGCCGTACGCGGCGTCCGCAACGGCGTTGTAACCCGCGGATTCCGCCGGAGCCGCCGCCGCGGCGGCGGCTTCCTCTTCCTTGGCCTCGAGCTCCTCCGGATCGCGGTAGAAGAACAAATCCACCATCACGTCCCACGGGTTCGCCGCGGAGACCGTGCCTCGCATTTGCAAAACCATGCGCGCGAGCAAGTAGTACAAGCAACCGATCGAGTGCTTCGCCTTGTTGTTCGCCGGAATGGCGACGTCGACGTTCTTCAACGGAGAATCCGTGTCGCAGAACGCAATCGTCGGCAAGTTGACGTACGCGGTCTCAGAAATAGGCTGCGCATCCGTGCGCGGATCGGTGACGATCAACACGCGCGGTTCCGCGAAAATCGCGTCCTTTTGGTTCGTGTACGTCCCCGGCGTGTGACGACCCGCGATGGCTTTCGCACCGGTGTATTGCGCAAACTTCAACACCGCGCGTTGACCGTACGGGCGCGCCGCTTGGCAGATCACATCCTGCGGGTTTTCGCACGCAACGATGATGCGCGCGGCGAGCATGAGCTTATCCCACGTCCGTCCGAGGTTGATGATGTGGATCCCGTCGGCCCGTCGCTTCCACACGTAGCGCTCCATTTGGAAGTCCACGTTCTTCGTCCCGAGGTGGCACCCGGCGGCGAGCATCATCGCGATGTCGGCCTCTTTTTGGGACATTTGAGGAGCCATCGTGTTCGCGTTCGTGTGTGCGCGCGCGAGGCGTCGACGGCGTCGCGGAGAGACGGATCGCGCGCCGCGCGCGATCGCAAAGCCCTCGTCGGAAAGCCCTAATTGTACGTTCGGACATTCGGCGCGCATCGATTTTCTCGCCGATTTTCATTTCTTTCGCATTCGGCGATTCAAACGTCGATGACGCGCCGCGCGCGCGTGGAAATCATAAATCCGCGCGCGCGCGCCCGACTGTTTGCGCGCCGTTCGCGCGGAGGCGCGCCCCGACGCCGTCGCGGTCGGCATAACGACATGCGCGCGACGAACGCGGCGCCCGCGGCGACGACCGCGCGCGTCGCGCGACGCGCGCGCGCGACGCGGGCGACGCGAACGCTCGCGAACGCGCGCGTCGCGCGCGCGATGCGAGGCGACGACGCGCGAAGGCGGAGGGTTCGCCGCGAGAGCTCGGCGAGCGGGACGGCGGGCGAGCGGGACGATCGCGAGGGAAACGCCGCGAGCGAGCGCGACCGGGGAGGTGATCGCGCGTCGACGTCCGCGCGATCGTCGAAAGAAGGATCGTCGTTGGAACGGCAGATCGCGGTGACGCAAAGATTGCGCGAGGGGTTCGAGAGAGATCCGTTTCTGCGCGAGCTCGGGCGGGAGGCGTTCGCGGCGAACGTCGAGTACGACAACGACGTGCACGCCGTGCGCGGATTGGACGAGTATCGAGAGCTCATGGAACACTTTAGCGATGCGACGAAGTCGGCGTTGAAGGGGTTCAAGTTTGTCACGCGAAGAGCGAGCTCGATCGAGCCGGGGGTGTTGCTCATTCAGTGGACGGCGGTGTGGGAGGGCGCGCGATTTGGCAAGAAGTTTAGTAATCTCTTGCTCGGTTCCATGCACGAAGGCGCAGTTCGCAGGATCGTGGAAGGTGAGTACGGGGAGAAGGTTGCACCGGGATACCCGGCGACGGCGACGGTGGCGGACGGGAAGGAACCCAGAACCGACTTGAATTTCCGACTCTTTGGGAGAACGACATACAAGGTGAACAGGGACGGCCTCATCGCCAGTCGCTTGGACAGGATTGATTTTCGCACCGATCCCGAGCCTGGAAGTCAATCTGGAGACGACTTCTTCCCCGAGACGCCCGAAGAAGAGGAAGCGGAGTGGGAGCAACTAGCGGAAGAAACGGCGGTGAACATGTTTTACAACACTCTCTCGCCGCCGGGGAAAAATGAAACGTCTTGGTTCCTGGACGTTCTCATCGAGCTCGAATGGCAAAGCTTTCAGCGACAGATGGGAGACACCACCTCGGTGTTGTCCAAGCAAGAATACGTATCGGTGATTTACGCCGTGCTGGCGAGCGCCATCGCGGCGCCGATTTTCATCATCGTCGGCTTGACGGCGCTCTTGCTGTCGCCCGACCAAGCCGGCGATCCCGATTCTTTAGATGCCGCGATGACGATGGGTTCGGACCTCGCAAAACTCGATACGGGTGCGAATGGATCACCCGTGTGGGGTGCGGATGTTTTCCTCGATCTTTACAAGGGAAAGATTGGGGCTTAGTAGCGAGCGACGAAATTTCGTTTCGGTCCCCGTCGCCGCGCGTTGTGATGAAGCAAATGTTTCCTGACTGAATCGTTCGTTTTACAAGTTGCGCGGCGTCAAATATATCTCTCGTCTCTCGCGCACACTGCCTTACCGCGTCACCGGCGTAAAGTTTTCCGGCACGCTCCATTTATCCTTCGGCAAGCGTTGATACACTCCCACCGTCAGGTGGCTTCGTCGTCGCCCCGGGGTGTTCATGTACGCCTCGTACGCCTCCTTAGACGCCCATTTCTGCTCAAACGCGTACTCATTCGCCTTAAGCTTCACCAATTTCGCCTCCGTCGCCCCGCACTCCTTCGCCATCTTCTCCCGCGCGCGCATCTCCTCCTCGAATCGCGCGACGACGCCGCCATCCCCGCCCGGGATCACGAACTCGTTCCGCGCCTCGTACGGCCCACCGCTCGCCTTCGCCGCGCGCGTCACCGCCCCTCCGCGCGTCTCGTCCCTCTTCGCCGCGCGACCCGGTCGCGCGCGCGTCGGCGCCATCGCGCGCGTCGTCGTCGTCGTCATCGTCGTCGTCATCGTCAACCCGCGCGCCGCGCTCTCGCGCCGCGCGCGCGCGGTCGACCGACCGCCGATCCCTCGGTCGGTCGCGCGCGCGCGACGTCGATCGATCGCGCGAGCCTCGCGCGATCGATCGACCGACGCGCGCGATCGATCGACGGACGCGCGCGAACCGCCGCGACGTCGTATCTTCGTCGACGATCCCTTAAATTCGCTCGCTCTTCGCGCGCGTGAGAACGCCGCGCGCGCGGACGTGCGTGGCGCGGACGCGCGAGTCGTCGCGAGCGCGAGCGCGAATGGCGCTGCGCGCCGCCGCGAGCGCGGCGGCGGAGCGGCGGAGCGGCGCGCGCGAGAGCGGGCGACGGGCGGGGTCGATCGGGACATTTGCGAAATCAATCGTTGGGCAATCGCATGCGGCAACGGCGGGGGGCGGGGCGCGCGCGCGGGGCGCGACGGTCGTCGCGCGCGTGGTCGGTGGAGGAAAGAAACGATGTGGATTGGCGTGGGAGGCCGCGTGCGCGGGTGGGACGCGAAGGCGAGGCGTGGGGATGAGGGAGGCGTCGACGCGCGCGAACGCCGTCGGATTGGGGTACGCCGATCAAACCGGCGACGACGATAAGGATGACGAAGGGTTCATCGTCGCGCCTGGGGACGAGGATTTGATCATCCCGCCGACGACGGAGGAGAATGCGATCGAGAAGGGCAAGGAACTCTCGCTGTGGGCGGCGCTGGCGACGTGCGCGGTGATGTATTCGGTGCCGTACGGTTTCGTTCGGTGGAACTTGCACACGCTCGCGCCGTTGCTCTGGTATGAACTCGGTTTGGCGACAGCGCTCGGTACTTTGATGGCGATGCCATTTATCTCTGCAATCGGATACCCCGCGGCGAAGTACGAACTGAATATGCCGATCCTGGCGCGTTCGAGTTTCGGGATTTGGGGGGCGGAGTTCACCGACGCCTGTCGCGCGACGCTTGGATTCTTGCTCTACGCCGTGCAAACTTTGGTCGGGGGCGAAGCGGTGTTCGGATTGTTCAAAACGACGTTTATCGCCGCGAGTATCGAAAGCGATGTAGTCGTGCGAGCGATGTCGTACGCGATGTTTTGGGTGGTGCAGCTCGCAATTTCCTTGCGCACCGTCCCTTCATCGAGACTTCTCGCGTCTGGTCAGACCGTCTTAGCGCTCGTGGCAGGTTTCATCGCTTGGACTTTGCGTCAAGGTATTCCTCAGACCGCGATCGGTTCGTTGATTTCCGCGGGTATGCCGGGCGCCTTGCCGAACGAGTTCTGGAAGCACGCTTGGCTTATGGTGGGCGTTTGGGTGACGCTCGCGAGCGTGTATCCAGATTACACAGCGCACATCAAGGGCTCTAGAACTGCACCTATTGGTCAGTTTTTCTGGCTTCCCTTGCTGTCCGGTTTGTTTGCTATCGTCGCCGCGGCCATGGCGCAAGCGCCGAAGCCGATTTTATTTGCGTCCATTGCCATCGCCTCGCTCGTGACGAACAGTGCCGCAAACGTCGTTGGTCCGCAGGAGTATATGCAAGAATTCTCGCTTCCGTGGGCAAAGACCAAGAACTATCTTGGTGGTACGATCTCGTCCAAGCAAGCAGCGCTCATCATCACCTGCGCTGTCGGCCTCTTTGCGCCGGCTCAGTTGATGTGGCAACAAGTCGTCGCCGCTGCCTCGTGGATCATTGGCGTTGGTTCGTTGTTAGTCTCTCCCGTGCTCGGTGTGATTTTGTGTGACTTCTGGCTTATGCGTGCTGGCAAATTATCGCGACGAGCAATGCAGACGCGCGATACTAAGGGTCCATATTGGTTCTTTAAGGGCGTGAATCCACGCGCCATGATTGCCATTGCCGTCGCGGCGGCGCCCAACTTGCTTTCACTCATTTCTGGTGTTTCCTATTTGATCGAAGCCGGTGCCTTCTCGGGTTCTGGCGCGTTCTACACGTACGTAGTGAACATGGAGTACGCAAGTATTATCGGTGCTGCGATTGCTTTCATCGTCTATCTCTTCATTCACTTGCTTGAGATGAAGCCGGTGAGGCTCGGTGAAGTCGCGGCATCCATCGGAGACGCCGCAGGCACCGTCACAACATCGGTAGCGTACAGCTTTGATGGACGAACGAAGAAGACGATAATCACGACGCGAGAGAAGGTGAACACGCGTCTCGCCCGTAGGCGTGAAGAATTGCCGGACGAGGAATACCACGACGAAATCGATGCTCGCGAGCGTAAACTTCGCAAGGAGGAAGATAGACGCCGCAAGGAAGCCGAGGAGGCTCTTCGAAAGGCTGTCGAGGATGAAAACAACGAGCGGCGTAAAGAGAACAGACGTCGTCGACTCGAGAAGGAGAGGATCGATAGGCTGTACGACGAATGTGAAGCCATTTACTCGGAAGAGATCATCACGACTAAGGTCATCACTGAGACACAAAAGGGTGACCTCGAGGACCTCATGGGTGGCGATGATGGCGCACCCGTTTCAGTCGCGAAATTGCGCGAAGAAATCGAACGCCGCCGAAAGGAAATCGATGCCCTTCGCAACTCTATTCAACTACGCCGCGCGCAAGGTGAACAAGATATCAACTTGGCGAAGAATAACTTTGAGAAGGCGAAGGGACTCGAGGCCGATCTTCGAGCAAGATTCGACACCGAGACGCGATCTCTTTTGGAGAAGGAGGCTCGTTTGCAAGATGAAGAAAATCGGCGTCGTGCGGAAGCTGAGGCTCGAATTCAACGTATGCGAGATGCTCTCGCCGCCGATCGTTCCGCTGAAGAAGCTCGACGACGAGCGTGGGATGACGAACACGCGCGTGAGCTTGAAGAAGAGAGGCGTCTCCAGGAAACGGAGGATACCCGGCGAGAGCAGGCTCGTGAAGACATCAGACGCGCAGTTGATGATGAACGTGCGCGTCTTGAACGCGAAGAAGCCGATCGTCAAGCTGCGGAGGAACGTCGTCGTGATGATGCTGCGCGTAAGCTTCTACAAATGGAGGATGACGAGGCAAAGCGTCGCGACGACGAGGACAAGCGCCGCCGCGAAGCCGAAGCTGCCATCAACGCTCTCCGGGAAGCGATTGTCAAGTTCGAACGCGATACAAAAGATCGACGCATCGCTGCCGAAAATGACGCTGATCGCAGAAAGCAAGACATCGAAGCTGCGCTTAAGGCTGAAGAAATTCGCGCCGCGAACGCGCAAGCTGCGATGCGAGCCGCTGCAAAGGCAGAAGGCGATCGGCGAAAGGCAGAGGACGATGATCTCGCCGCTAAGCGTCGAGCCCTTGAAGAGTTCAAGCAGCTTGGTATTCGTCTTAAGGATACGGAAGAAAACCGACGGCAAAAGTATGCTCAAGAGATCGCTCGAATCAACGCTGAAGAGGTGCGACGCATCGCCACTGCTGAGGCCAACCACAAATCTCGACTTGAAGAAATCAAGATCCTCGAAGAGGCTGAAAAGCGCAAAATTGCTGATGAAGATCAACGGCGCGCTCGTGTCGAGGCGCAAGCTGAGGCCGCTGAGGATGCTGAACGCCGCAAAAGAGAAGCCGAAGATGCGCGTCGACGTGCTTACGACGATGCCGCTCGAGCTGCGCGAGAAGCTGAAAACCGACTTCGTGCCGAAGAGGATCAACGTCGTGCCGAAAATAAGCGTCATGAAGAAGAACTTGCTCGAGAAGAAGCGGCTAAGAAGGAAGAAGAAACACGTCGTCAGCAAGAACAAGACAAGGCGAATTTGATTTTCAATTCCCAAGAAGGTCTGCGACGCACTTCTGAAGATTCTCGTCGCATCGATTTCATCATCAACAAGGATGAATTCAAGACGAAGGAACAGCTTCAACGTGAAGCGGAAGAAGCGAGACGTAAACAAGCCAAGCAAGACCTTTTGGCTGCTGCTGAAGCAGAGCGTAGAAAGCGTGAAGAGGAAGAGCGCCGTCGACGTGAAGCCGATGCTGCTGCTGCCGAGGCTGTGCGCAAGGAAGCCGAAAGAGTGGAAGCTGAAAATCGCCGTCGCGTCGCCGCAGAGCAAAAGTTGCGGGACATGGAGCAACAAGAGCAACGGTTACGTATGGAGGCCGAGAATAAACGTCGCGCGCAAGAAGGCGAGAGTCGCACGCGAAAAGAAGCGCTCGAGCGTGCTATCGTTGCGGAGGAGAATCGCCGAGCCCGCGCAGCTGACGAGCTTCGTCGTCGCGAAGAAGACGAGGCACGCACTCGAGCTCGTGAAGATCAACGCCGTGCCGATTGGGATCGCGAACAAGCGCGTCGCGACGCAGAAGAACAAGCTCGTCGCGCCAGAGAAGATGCTAGAGCTAAAGAAGCGGAAGATGTTATTCGTGCTGCTGCGGAAGCCGAGAGAAAGAAGATGGCCGAGGAAGACGCTCGTCGCAACGCCGAGGAAGAACGCATTACAAAGATGCGCTCCGACGAAGACGCTGCGTGGGCCTCCGAGCTTGCTCGTCGTGAAGCTTTCAAGGCTGAACTCCAAGCAAAACAAAGAGCTGAAGAAGATCTCCGCGCTCAGGAAGAACGCAGACGTGAAGATCATGCGAATGAGGTGTCCAGAAAGCGTCAAGAAATTGACGATTTCATTCGCGACTTGGAACGTCGTCGACGCGAAGCTGATGCCGCCGCCAAGGCTGCACTTGAGGCTGAAGCGCAAAGAGTCACGGAGTTCAGAAAGTCTCGTGAAGAAGCTATAGCCGAAGATGAACGTCTTCGCGCGGAAGATGCGGCCGAGCGCCTGAGAGAAGACGCCAAGCTGCTGCAAATGCGTGAAGAGCTCAAGAAGCTTGTGCGCGACGAAGCCATGCGCCGTGCCGAAGAAGAAGCCCGACGCAAGGCGATGGACAAGAAGATTGCCGATCAAAAGGCCATCGACGACGATATTATCGCGAAAGAGGACGCTAGACGCGACCGATTCCGTGATGAACTGCCGGACATTCTCGACAAGTTCCGAGCGGAACTTGAAGCCAAGGAGGAGTTCTTACAGACTCAAGAGGAGATGCGCCGTAAGCAAGCTGCCGACGCCATCGCGCAAAAGGAGGCCGCTGAGAAACAACGAAGAGCTGATTTTGACGCGCAGTGCGAGCGCAAGCAGAAAGAGATTGACGACTTTGCGGCGAAGATCAAGGCTTTGTTCAACGCCGAGGAAGCTCGTCGCGCCGAGTTCAGGAAGATGATGGAGGAGAGACAACGTAAGGAAGATGCGCGGCGACTTGCCGCTGCTTCGCCTATTGCTATCGACAACATGATGCAGAATCTCAACGCTACTATTACGCAGATGGAGTCGCAACTTCAAATCCTCATTCCCGAATTGCAAGCTCTCGAAAAGACTGCAGCGGCCAACTACGAAGAGTTTAAGGCGCGCCGTGCTCAGTCCCAGATGTCCATTGAACGCACCGTGACGGAGGAGCAGACTAGAACTCACAATGAAGATGGACGTCACGCTGCTGTCTGCGCGGAAGCTGACGCAGCTGTTCGTGCCGAGCGAGCTCTACGTGAAGAGGAAGACGCCCGTAGAAAGGTGGCTGAGATGCGTATCAAGCAGCTCGAAGCCGAGCTCGCCGCCATCATCGCTGAAATTGATGCTCGACGTCTTGCATGGAACGCAGAAACTTTGAGCAGGAGAGATTCAGAGTGGGCCGCTAGACAAGACGAGGACACTCGTAGATTTTTCAACCAGACCGAAACTGAGGGCGTTTTGTTCAAAGAATCTTCGACGATCAGCTTCGAAGAATCCCGTCGTCTTGAAGCCGTCGCAGCTGCTGAACGCGCGGAGGAGTTACGAATTGCAACTGCAGCGGCGGAGGCCGAGCGCGTGGCTGCTTCGGAAAGACGCAAGCAATTGGCCCTCGACGAAGAGGAAAGCCGTCGCAAGGCGGCTGAAGCAGCGAAGAAGGACTCCAAAAAGCAAGCAGAAGACTTGAAGCGTCAAGCTGAAGAGCAGCGCCGCGCCAAAGAACAAGCTGAGAAGGAAGCTGCGGCAAAGGCCAAGCAAGCTGAGGAGGAAGCTGCGCGCGCCAAGAAAAAAGCTGACGAGGACGCTAAGGCGGCTGCCAAACGAGCTGAGGAGGAGAAGAAGCGTCTCGAGAAGGAACAAGAAGAGAAGAGAAAGCAAGCTGAGAAGGAGGCTGCCGAGGCGAAGCGTCGCGCTGAGAAGGAGGCGGAAGAACGTCGCAAGGCGGAAGCCAAGGCGCAGGAGGAGGCTGCGAAAGCTCAGAAGGCTGCTGAGGAAGCGAAGCGAAAGGAAGCCGAATTAGCGAAGCGTAAGGCTGAAGAAGAGGCGAAGGCGGCTAAGGCAAAGGCGGATGCTGAAGCCAAGGCAAAGGCGGATGCCGAGGCCAAAGCCAAGGCGGACGCCAAGGCCAAGGCAGAGGCAGAGGCCAAAGCCAAGGCAGAGGCAGAGGCCAAAGCCAAGGCGGACGCCAAGGCAGAGGCAGAGGCCAAGGCAAAGGCGGATGCAGAGGCCAAGGCAAAGGCGGATGCAGAGGCCAAGGCAAAGGCGGATGCAGAGGCCAAGGCAAAGGCGGATGCACAGGCCAAGACCAAGGCGGATGCACAGGCCAAGGCAAAGGCGGAAGCCGTAGCCGCTGAGGCAAAGGCAAAGGCGGACGCTGCAGCCGCCGCGGAGCGCGCGGCCGAACAAGCTGAAGCCGCGTCAAAGCCGGACAACGAAGTCACCGATGAGCGTGCATCTCGTTTGCAAAAGCGACTTGAAAAGAGCGCATCCAAGGAGGAAATCGAAGAGGTTGTCCTCGAGCTCTCTGAAGACGAAGATCCGATCGCCGCAACGTTGATCCTTCAAGGAGCAGCCAACGTGGAAGCTGCGGCGACAGCCCTAGCTGCTTTGTGGCGCGCAAAAGATACCCGAGGCGCTGAAGCGCTCATGGGTCTCGATTTGACCCGTGCTGCGACGTTGATTGACATTATGGTGGAGAACCTTGGAGACGCCGAAGCCGCCATCGGTTTGGTTAACATGTCCGAGCCCGGTCGCATGGTTGGTGTCGCTGAATTCGTCCTTCCGTACTACCTGCGAAGCGTTGTGTACAACGGGGTCGAAATCCTCCGCGTCGTTGCAAACCGCAACGTCAAGACTGCGAAGGTTATTTATGCTGGATTGGAGATTGAAGAACAAGTGAGCATTGTTCGCCGTGCGAGCCTCGGGTTCGGCGCGCGCCCGGGCGTGGAGAAGCCGGAAGACAAACCCGAACCTGATGTGAAACTCGCCGCGACTCTCTTGACTGGGCTCACGCCATCCGCCGCTGTGGATGTCTTGCGCACCTTCAGCACCACGGGTGTGAACAAGGGAAGCCCGAAGTGGAAGCGCCGCCAAGACGTCATCGTTGAAGTTCTCGACGCCTTCAAGGATATCGGTCCCGGAGAGGACTCCATCGCTGAACTCATTCGCGATAGGCTCAAGCTGTGATTTGAGCGCTGCAACTGAAGCATTTCTCATAATAACACGAATCAGAATATTGCACAATCCACGTCACATCCACGTCCTCGCTCGCGTCGCGCCCCGTCGCCGAGCGGACGCCCATACAAGACAGGACGATGATCCCACACTTCGAGTCCCGCGACGCTCACTGCGCGCGTCCCGCGTCCCGTGCTCGCGCACGACGCGTGCGAATGTCACGATCGCATCGACCGTTCGACGAGAACGCGCCGGCGAGCGCTCGAGGTAGCGTGCGCGACGACATTCTCGCGCGTCACGAGCACCACTTGAACCCGCGCAGCGCGGTGTTTAAAGATCCCCTGACGACGACGTACGCCCGCGACGGGCTCGCGCGCGATCGACAGACGGGCGAGAGGACGATTTCTACGCTAGAGGCGCTCGAGCGAGATCACGGACGCGCCGCGGCGAGGTCGGGAGAGATCGATCACGCGACGCCGGTGCTCGTCCCGGGCGGGGCGCTGCAGCGAACGAGTCCTTGGAGCGAACGCGTGGCATACGCGCGTGCGCATCCGTATTCGACGCCGCCGAGACGTTTTGGATTGTTTGACGACGTTGTGGGGGGGAGTGGGCGCGATCGATCGCTGGAGGGCGGAGGGACGGGGTCAACGTTTGCGCGAGAGGCCAGACGGGACGCGGCGTGGAGAAGGACGGCGAGCGCGTTTGGCAAACCGGGTGGGACGTCGGTGCGAAGTGAGATCGGTGGTGCTGTAGTATATAGAGGGTACGGGGACGTCATCATGGGGACAACGCAGAGTGGGATGAGAGACGCGCGCGTTTTGGAAGATTCGAACGGGCGCGACGTCGAGCGAGGATTTGGCGGCGCCGCGACGTTTAAGCGGTTCGAAAAGGTCAATATTTTCGGAGATGCGTTCAAAAAGTACGTCAACACGCGCAAGTGGGACGATCCGAAAGGTTTGTCAGACTACAAGGCGTTGATCGCGTCTCATGAGAACGGAACGCTCGCCGGACGTTCGCAAAGAGCGGCTTTAGAGAAGGACCGCGCCAGCCGCCGCGACGCGGCGACCGCGCCGACGGAATCGCTCTCGGCAAAGCATGCGGCAACAATTCGTGATATGCAAGAAACGTTGAGAATCAGGCGAGAGAAGTTGAACCAAGTGCTCTCTGCGTCCACTTCGAGCGGGTTAGAGGAACAACTCTCGCGCCTGAGCGTCGAGGCTGAGGAACACAAGAGGCGACGAGAGCGCGAAAAGGCCGCTAAAAAGTTCCTCAAGCCGCTCACCGCGGCTCAGCTCGAAGCTGTTCAAGATGCGTTGCGAGCGCCGTCGACGCAGATCTTAGCGAGCGGTTCGTTCGTCGGTCAGGGTGCACTCGACGCCACTGGAAAAGACATTGCCACTCTGAAGACGGGCACGTGGTTGAACGACGAGGTTGCAAATTTTGCCATCGGTTTGCTGTCTCAACGCGCCATAAATAGTATGCCCAAAGGAGAGACGCAGCCAAAGGTGCACTTTTTCAGCACCTTTTTCATCAACAAGTTGTACCAGGATAGCAACATGTACGACTACTCGAACGTCCGAAGATGGACGTTGCCGAAGAAGCTCAAGTACGACGTGTTGCGCTGCGAAAAAATCTTCGTACCGATTCATCAATCCGTACACTGGGTGCTCGCTGAGATCGATACGCGCAAGAAGCGCATCAGTTACTACGACTCTCTCCTCGGCGAGAGCGGCGTCGCGGTGAAGAATCTCAAGCGTTGGCTCATCGACGAGGCAAAGAATAAACTCAACGAGGACTGGGACCCGGACGAGTGGATCGAAGCCTACCCCAAAGACATCCCCCTGCAAAAGAACGGATGCGATTGCGGCGTCTTCATGATCAAATACGCTGACTACCTCTCCGCCGGCGCCGAACTCGCGTTTTCCCAGAAACACATGGAATATTTCCGTCGGCGTCTCGTGTGGGACATCGTCTCCGTCGGCGTCCGATGACCTCTAGCGAGCGTTTAGTAGCAAAATCGCTCAAACTTCCCGTCCATCCCATCGTCTCCCGTCGCTCGCGCCGCGCGCGCGCGTCTCTTCTCGCGGCGCCGACGACGACGAGATTAATTCAACCGTCCCTCGAAACTCCCAGCGCGAACACACCGCGCGCGCGCGCGCGCGCGCGTTCCGACCGACCGCGCCCCCGATCGATCCCCGCGCGTCGAATCACGCCGCCTTCGCGTCCTCGCGCGCGTCCTCCTCGCGCGCGTCCGCGCCCGCGCGTCCGCCGCGCTCGCGTCGACACGCGCCGCGATGCGTCCACGCGAGGTACCCCCCGACGGACAGTTTCGCGCCCGCGAGCGCGCAGATCGCGAGGACCGTCAGCGTCGCCGGCTCCATGCGGCGATCGGCGCGCGCGCGTCGGCGAGTCGCGCCGCGCGCGCGCCGACGACGGCGTCGTCGTCGGGACGTCCCTTCCTATGGGCAAACAGTCCGACGATCGCGACGGGTGCCGACCGCGGTCGACGCGCGCGCGCGCCAGAGACGCGCGCGCCGATCGCGGACGCCTCGCGGCTCGCGCGATAGGCGCGCGACGATCGCGGTCGCCGCGACGACGGGTCCGCGACGCGCGGGCGCGGACGCGCGCGACGCGACGCGACGACGACGAGGTTTCCCGCGCATTCAATCGTCGTCGGACGCGCGAATTCGTGGGATCGACGCGGTGCTCGCGCGATAGGCGAGGGCAAGCGCGACGCGCGCGCGACCGAACGGCGCGCGAGGACGCGACGGTGAATCGGGGACGTCGGAAGCGCGAGCGACGGAGGGATGCGGGCGATGGGGGCGGAAATGGTGGGCGCGGCGGGGACGTCTTCGAACGCGACGCGCGCGGACGCGCGGCGCGAACGGCGAGGAGGACTCGCGCGACGCGAGCGCGGAGTCGGACGACGCGCGTGGGTCGAGCGACGATCTGGGGTGGGGCGACGGGAGACGATGACGCGGACGCGCGCGTTCGACGGGAGGGACGCGGCGGAGGTGGGACGCGCGGCGGCGGATTCGTTCGAGCCAAAGTACGTGCGAAAGCCGGTGCCGGTGTACGTGATGCTTCCTTTAAACGTGGTGACGAATGATGGTGAGGTGAACGATCCCGAGGCGCTCGAGCGTGGGTTGCGCGCGCTGAGCGAAATTGGAGTCGAGGGCGTGATGATCGACGTGTGGTGGGGCATCGTCGAACGCGACGGTCCGCGAAAGTACGACTGGGCGGCGTATAGAGAAGTTATCGACATGATAAAAGACGCTGGTTTGAAAGTACAGGCGGTGATGTCGTTTCACGCGTGCGGGGCGAACGTTGGAGACGTCGTGGAAATTCCTTTGCCCGACTGGGTGCTCGAAGCGGGGAAGAAGGACCCAGACTTGTTCTTCACCGATCAGTACGGCTATCGGAATCCGGAGTGTATTTCGCTTTGGGCCGACAACGCCGCGACGTTGGCCGGACGAACACCGATGAATACGTACAAGGACTTCATGATTAGTTTTAGAAACACCTTCAAGGCTGAGCTCGGAACGACGCTGACTGAAATCGCCGTCGGCTGCGGACCATGCGGCGAGTTGCGGTATCCTGCGTATCCAGAGAACAGATTTGCGCAAAAAGCATCGCAATGGCGATTTCCCGGTATTGGTGAATTTCAATGTTACGATCAACGCTCTCTTCTGTCTCTCTCTCGCGCGGCGTCGGAGGCTGGACACATTGAGTGGGGCGGATCGGGCCCGCACGACACCGGCGGATACAACAACCTACCCTTTGAGACCGGTTTCTTTCGTTACGACGGAGGTAGTTGGGACTCTGAATATGGATCGTTCTTCTTGTCTTGGTACTCGAGCGAACTCGTTAACCACGGCGATCGGATGCTCGAGATGACGAAGCGAGTCTTTGATAAACGCGGAGTGACGCTCGCCATTAAATGTGCAGGAGTGCATTGGTGGTATAACGTTCGTTCACACGCCGCAGAGCTTACCGCTGGATATTTCAACACTCGTGCCGGGGAATTTGTTTCCGAACGCGATGGCTACGCCCCGATCGTGAGAGTTTGCAAGAAGCACGGCGCTCGCTTGAACTTTACGTGTGTCGAGATGCACGACAGCGATCATCCGTGGTACTGCTATTGCGGACCCGAGGGTTTATTGCGCCAGATTCGCTCAGCGTGTGCGCGATTCGATGTCCCTTTCGCGGGCGAAAACGCGCTCTGTCGATTCGATCAGGCAGCGTATGATAAAATCATCAAAAATTGCGCTGGAGAGGGCAACGACGAGGAAATGTGGCGAGAGGGCACAATGCTTCCTCCGATGGCCTGTTTCACGTTTTTGAGATTCAACGCCGAGCTTTTCAGTCCGTTCGCTTTCGAGTCGTTCAGAATTTTCGTTCAGCGCATGCGCGACGAAACCGGTTTACTCGACACCTCGATCGGCAACACCTCTGATGAAGAGGCGTCAACCGAAGATGTCGACGAAATATCATCCGAGTCGCGCGTGCAGCTCGGGTTGTAATCTTTTCAGTCTTGTGTATCTTTTCTTCTATCTTTTGATTCATAGAAGCGCGCTTGTTTCAATATAAATGCAAACCTTTTTTCATTGTCACAACTCTGAGTGGCGTTTCTACATTTCGAGATTACAAATAACGACCGAGCACGAAAGCCAAGATGGCCGTGAGTAAGATGTGAAGCAAAGTAAAACCCTTAACGATGCTCTTACCGCCCTTCTTCATCATCAGATTCATGTCGTTCGCCAGCGCCTTGTTTCGCGACTGCAAGAGAGCCACATCGCGCTGCAAGCGCGCCCGCTCCTGCTCCGCGCTCTCGTTCGCCGGCGGCGGCGCAAGAGTAACCTCTTCGGCCATCGCCGCGGTCTTACCACTCATGACGTACTTCACGCGAAGTCGAGTCTCGGAGATACTCGTAGGCGGTCGCGAGAACAACTCAGTCATATCCGAAGAGTCTCCGCTAGGCGTCGATTGGATCAGAAACTTATCCTTGCACGCGTTGAAGTCCGCCGGCATCTCTCGATGCGCCTGCATCATCACCGTCACCTTAATCTCGGCCCCGGGCTCGACGATTCCAGTGTTTGGCTTGACGCAATACTTCTTCGGCGAAGTCGTCTTCACCTTGAACGCCTGCTTCGCCCCCGTGGGGTTCTTCAACACCAGTTCAGCCGCGCACTGCTTTCTAAGTTCGACTGCGTTTCGCGAAACATCGCATTCATCGATTCATCGTCAGTCTCCCGTCTTCCCTCGTCACCGCGTCGATCACACGCGCGCCTCGCGCGTCCGCGTCTCCGATAATCCACTTTGAAATTCAAAGATCTCTTCGCGATCGAACGCCTTCGACCGTCTCGTTCGCGTCGCGCGTCGCCGCGCGATCCCGTCTCTCGCGCGCGCGTCGCGCGCGTCGTCTCGTCGCGTCGTCCGCGCGCTCGCGCGTCGTTCGCACGCACACTGAAACGGAAGCTCTCCCGTGGGGGTGACGACCAACGAGTCTCCGCCCATCGCGATCGACGCTCGACGCCGCGCGTCGAAGCTCGGTGCGTGTCGATGAAAGCGCGAACGAAGTCGCGCGCGTTCGCGTCGACGTTCTTCGGCGACGGCGTCGAGCGCGCGGACGTCGCGCGCGCGGAGGAGTGCGGAACGCGACGCGGCGCGAGGCGGAGGCTCGAGCCACCGGTGGCCCGCGGGCGAGCGCGAGGACGAGGGCGAGACGGCGAGAGAGGGCGCGAGACGCGGGGACGACGGGAGTGAATTCTGATTTCGATTTTAAAACTCGAATCTTCGTCGTTTGAATGATTGAATGGTGCGTAAAGGGGCCTCGGCAGGCGGCGCGTCGACGCGCGTCGACGCGACGACGGAACGAGGCGAAACTAAGAGAGCACGCGCTCGAGGGACGAGGCGCGCTTACGCGCACCACGTTCTCGGGTTCTTGAAAGCGTCGAGCGCGTCGGCCTCGCGAGAACCGGCTTCGGGCGCGTGGTCGTATTGCCACTCGCAGTAGCGCGGGAGAGACATGAGGATGGATTCGATGCGACCGCCGGTTTTCAAACCGAACGTCGTCCCGCGGTCGTACACGAGGTTGAACTCGACGTAGCGACCGCGGCGCATTTGTTGCCAGGCGCGTTGTTCGGGCGTGAACTCATCGTCCTTGTGCTTGGCGACGAGCGGGACGTACGCCGGGACGACACCGCCCGCCATGTCCGTCGCGAACGCGAGGAGTTCATCCTTGCTGCGGTCGTTCATGTCGTCAAAGAAGACGCCGCCGACGCCGCGACGTTCGCCGCGGTGCTTGATCATGAAATAATCATCCGCCCATTGCTTGAACTTCGGGTAAAACTCGCCATCGTGCTTATCGCAGATATCCTTCAAAGTTTGGTGGAAGTGCGTGACGTCTTCGTCGAAAATGTACGACGGCGTCAAATCCGTGCCGCCGCCAAACCACCACGCGCGCGGCGCGCCCGCGGAGCCCTTGGGGGCATCCGTCTCGAAATAACGGTAGTTGAAGTGAACGGTCGGCGCCATCGGATTATGCGGGTGCATAACACTCGAAATACCCGCCGCGAAGAACGGAATCATCTCCTTAGACGCGCCTTCCTCCCCCGTCGCCGCCCGATACGCCTCGGGCGGCATCTGTCCGTACACCACCGACACGTTCACGCCAGCCTTTTCGAACACGTTCCCATCTTGCAACACGCGCGAGATCCCACCACCACCACCCGGTCGCGTCCACGCGTCCTCGTGAAACGGCTTCCCATCCAACGCCGTGATCGCGTCGCAAATCTCATTTTGCGCCGCGCGAATCATCTTCTCAAACCTCGCCCGCATCTGCGTCGCGTCCCCCTCCTCGCCCGATCCCTCTCTCAGCAGCGTCGTCGGCGCCGCGTCGATCTTCACCTCCTGTTCGATCCCTTGCGCCGCCGCCCGCGCGCGCGTCGCGCCTCCCCGCGTCGCTCGCGCCCGCACCGCGGACGCCCGCACCGCGCGAGGTTTATCCACACCGGTTGCCCGCATCGCCCGCGACATCGGCGTCGTCGTCGTCGCCGCGCGCATCCTTCGCGCGTCCTCGTTCGATCGCGGTCTCGCGCGTCGCGCGTCGTCCTCGTTCGCGCGTCGTCGGACGACCGTCGGGCGCGCGCGCGATCCGATCCGCGTGTCGCGCGTCGCGACCTGTCGCGCGACGTCGGACGCGCGCGCGCGCGGGCGAGGCGCGATATAAATGATATAAATCCCCGCGCGGTCGGTTTCCTCGCGTTCGCGCGATGTTCGAGCCCATGAGATCGATCGCGCGTCGCGACGCGATCCGATTCGCGCGGGAGATCCGATCGGGCGATCGCGCGCGCGGGATTCGCACACGCGGGTGTGCGTCGATCGGCGCGCGCGGGATTCGCACACGCGGGTGTGCGTCGATCGGCGCGCGCGATCGCCCGATCGGATCTCGTATGGTTTTCGTCGCATTCGAGCGATGATAAAGCCCATGAGTGAAGCGTCGTGAAGCGTCGCTTAGGGTTTATCCCGCGCGCGACGGCGACGGCGACGGCGACGGCGACGCGGGACTTCATCGCGCGCGTCGACGGAGGGACGACGACGCGGCGGTCGACGACGCGCGAGGCGACGCGAATCGCGGGATCGCGGGATCGCGGGATCGCGGGATCGCGGGGCGTCGAACGACGCGACGCGGGGATTCATCGAGGATTCATCGCGAGGCGGGCCGGAGATCGCTCGAGGACGCGCGCGCGGCGGTGAGGACGAGGCGGACGGCGCGAGATGGGGTTTTTTCGAAAGAAGACGTCGACGCGAGCGTCTTCGGACGAGGGGAGGGAGAACGCGAGCGCGGAGGGGAGACGGTCGCTTCGGGACGGCGCGGACGGGACGACGTCGCCGAAGGGCGCGCGGAGCGGGGAGCTGAGCGAGAACGGGTCGACTCGGGCGGTGGGGACCGAGCGGATGTCGCAGTCGAGCGAATTGGATGATTATGAGTCTCGCGATACGCTGACGGAGTTCGCGACGTCGAGCGCGAGCCCGCGGGTACCGCCGGGGCGAAAGAGTCTTCGAAGACGGTCGCTCGAACTGTACAGGCAAGCCGCCGCCGGCGCGACGATGACAAACTCGAAGAAAGCGTTGGTGGATGCGGCGATCGATGAGATCATCGCGGACGAGGAAACCGGTGAATTCGTTCCGGGGACGTCGACGGCTGCGGAGAACTCGGTGTATCGCACGATGTTTCACACCGTTCGCCGTCTCGTGGACCTCGAAGCTTCCAAGCGCGCTCACGGCTCAGATAGCGATCCATTAGATACGTTACAGGCGATCGCCAACGCGCTGAGTTTAGCGAACGCGTTGATTTTACAGATTCATGGAAGTTTGGCGAGCAAACAGGCGGCGGTGGATCTGCTCGATCCAGTCGCGAAAGGCTTCGTCGAACAGTTTTTCACGGCGGACAACTCCTCGCTCATGCTCGCGCAAAACATGGCGCAGTTGGCGATCGAGATGCGAGGACCAAGAAATCACATCCAGAGCCAAAATCATTCTGCCGCTTCTTTACCTTCGCGGGCGAGCAGTGAAGGCGTGCGAGATGAGGACAGTCCGGGAGGGTCCATGAATACAATTTTCGCCGATGTAGGCAGGAATCCGATGTACACGAGTTGGACGTCGTTCGACATCTACAAATTCGCCAGCGAGTGCGAGCGCGGACGTAAAGGTCCGCTTCAAACGCTTAGTATGGGTTTGTTTGACCGTTTCAATTTGTTTCATGCTTTACCTTTGGATCGCAATTCTGTCTCAAACTTTATTGCAGACATTGAGAGGAAATATCGCGACAACGATTATCACAATCGCGTTCACGCCACCGACGTGACTCAAGCCGCGGCTTATCTCATCGAGACAAGTTTAGAGTCCCAGATTGAGCCTATACACACTTTTGCAATGCTTGTTGCCGCCATGTCTCACGATGTGGGACATCCTGGAGTCAACAACACATTTCTCGTCAACTGTAAATCCGCGGAGGCGGAGCGTTGGAACGATGTGAGCGTCAACGAGAATGGTCACTTGTTCACAGCTTTTTCGTTGCTCAAGAAGCACGCGGTGCTAGCGAAATTTACAGATTCCGAGCAGTCGGACTTGAAGAAGTGGTTACAAAAGATGATCATGTACACCGACATGGAGTTCCATGGCGAGCTGACGCAGCGAATGCTGAAGGAAATCGAGGACGAACAAGATGAGGAAACGAATAGTATCAAACCGATTAAACAGTGGCAAAATATTTGGGTACCGTTAGCATTCGCGCTACATTGCGCAGATATTAGTAATCCCGCCCGCCCGTACGAGCTAGCGTTGGCTTGGGCGCAAGCCGTCACGGCTGAGTTCTACAAGCAGGGAGATCGCCAACGCAAACTCGGGATGCGAGTAGAACCCTTCATGGACAGAAGTCTGGCGGGACCGGCTAGCACACAATCCAACCAGCTAGGTTTTATCAAGTTGGTTGTGAAGCCTTCACTTTGTGTTCTCGAGGCGTTCATGCCCGCGGCTTCGCGACATCTCTTGGATACTTTGGAAGAGAACATCGCGGCGTACGGCAACGACGTCGCCTCCGCGGCTCACGCAGGGAGTTAAAGGTGTAATAACACATTAGTCTATAGTCTATTCTGGCGGTTCGTCGCTCGTTAACTTCCCTGGGTGATTACGAACTTTACGATGGCGCGTTTGCTCTGGGTCAAATCCTGCTTCTTCCGCGCCATACGTCGCCCAGCTCGGCGTCCGCTCGATATAGTCGAGCGCTTTGAACTTTTCTCCACTCGCTACGAGGGTTTGAAATTTGTCATAATCAATCCATGTGTACCACTCGTCATCTATTTTGTACCTGTCTGTTCGAGCAAGCAAGATGCAGCAAGAATGCGCGTGCTCGCACGCCAAGCCGTATTCTTCCTCGCCGTTTTCGCGTCGACGAAGATTGACAATAGCCTCGCCAAATTCACACACATCCTTGTGATAAGGGACGTTTTTCATCGTGAGTGACGATGCATCACTACTTCCACAGTATGTCACGCCTTTGATCTCGATAAAATCGGGTTGGCCGAGGTCTATCAACTTGGCGTACGCCGCAACTTCTTCCATGTTCCATCCCGAGACGAGTGTCAAGCGGTAGACAGTTCGCTGTTGTTTATCCTTTAAGGATGTCAAAGAACCAATGAAACGATCCCAGTAGTCTGCAAATAGCGGTCTATCGATTGCTTTCAAGGTCTCTGGCGTTGCGGCGTCGACAGAGACGTATAGTTGCGTTATTGGAGGCAAGTTTGTGATTGCCTCAGGGAATTGTGCATTCGTCACCAAAAACGTGCTGATTTTTCGCGAGTGCAACTCGCTTACAAACTTTCCAATCTCAGGGTACATGATTGGTTCACCGACTAGAGACAATGCACAATGTTTGGGATTCATACCCTCTTCGAGCTTCTCGGGCAAAACGCCTGGCACCCCCTTCATTTGCTTCACCATCTTGCAATGCTCGGAAACCGCGGCTTCGACAAGTTCCAAGGGATCGTCCATCTGCCAACGCCACGTTTTCCCGACAGGATTCGTGTGATGCCGCCAACAAAATGTACACTTATTCGCACACGCAAGCGACGGCGTCGTTTCCATGCATCGATGACTTTCGATGCCGTAGAAAGTGTGTTTGTAGCAACCTCCTCTGCCGCGAAGCATCGCCTTGGTCCATCGACAAAGTTTCACGCCCGAGTGAGATCCAAGAATCTTGTAACCTTGCTTCGTGAGCGCCCCACGCAAAGCATCAGTCACCATTTCTTTCTTTTCTCCACCCTCACCTTCGGCGATGTCCTCCATATCTTGACCATCCTCGCTCCCTGCCGCGCTCGCCCCCCCCTCGTCGTCTTCGCCCTCGCTCGCGTATTCAGACTGGTCCCGTTCTTCCGCCACACCGACGCGCGAGTGCGCTGCATCGTCCCCGCTCGATGCGGTAGAATTTGACAACCGACGGATAACTTTTTCCCCCCACTCCTCGAACTGCTTCTCCATCCGTCCGCTCGCTTCATCCCCGTCGCACCGTCGCGCCAAGCGTTCGCCCCCCATGCGCGCCAACTGCGCGTCCAACTCTCGCCCCGCTCGGTTGAAGTTATCCCCATACTCCCTATTCCCGCACCCGAACACCGCATAACGCACGTTTTTCAAGTACATCCATCCCGTGCGTTCATCGTACGCCGCCTCTCGCGCCCAACGGGCGAACCACGCGCTCGATTCCGGCGCCTCGCCGCCGTCGTGCGTGCTCACCACGAATATCGCGACGACCCTCTTCCCCCCCGCCAGCACTTTTTCCGGATCCACCAAGCTCGCCGCGTCCAAGAGCGCGTATCCTCGCTTTCCTCCCGTCGCGGCCGCGTCTTCATCGTTCAACCGTCGTCGAATCGTCGCCGCGTACCGCCTCGCCGTCCCCGTTCGCGTGGCGTACACCACCACCCGCGTCTCGTCCTCCCCGTCCTCCCCGTCCTCCCCGTCGTCCGCGTCGTCCGCGCGCGTCTTGCCTTCGTCCTCCGCGCGCCTCCGCGCGCTCGCCTCCGCCGCGCGCGCGCGCGCGCCGCCCGCGCGCGCGTCGCCGTCGCCGCCGCCACCGCGCGCCGATCCCGCGCGCGCGGCGCCCGCGACGCACGCGCTCGCGCCCGCGACGACGCCGATCGCGAACGCCGCGACGCGCGCCATCGCGCTCGACGCCTTGTGTCGCCTCGCGACGCGACGCGACGCGAAGTGCGCCGCGCGGTCAACGCGTCCGACGCGCCACTCGCCGACGCGCGACGCCGCGCGCCATGCGACGACAATCCGACGTCTTCTTCGGCGAGCGCGAGAGCGGACAGGACGTGCGACAGACGAACGGTGCGGCGCGCGGACGACGACGAGCGACGAAGCGCGAGCGAACGAGGGACGCGATCTCGAACGCGATGGGACGAGGACGACGATCGACGATCGACGATCGACGGGACGCGCGACTTCGAGCGGGGAGACGGAGACGGAGACGGAGACGGAGACTGACGACGACGCGCGCGCGACGCGGGATGCGAACAGCGACGGCGGTCATGGCGGTGGCGAACATCGTGAAGACGTCGCTCGGGCCGGTGGGACTGGACAAGGCGCGTGACGAAGACGCGAAGGCGTTGACTTTGAGGACGAGACGCGGAGAATCGACGAAACGATGCGCGCGCGCGGTGAGGGACGAGGACTGACGGAATGAAAGGGTTTGACGCGTAGATGCTCGTGGATGATATCGGTGACGTGACGATCACGAACGATGGGGCGACGATTTTGAAACTTTTAGAGATTGAACACCCGGCGGCGAAGATCTTGGTCGAGCTCGCCGAGTTGCAGGATCAGGAAGTGGGAGATGGAACGACTTCGGTGGTGATTCTCGCCGCGGAGCTTTTGAAGCGGGCGAATGAGTTGGTGAGGAATAAGATTCACCCGACGAACATCATCGCTGGGTTCAGGTTGGCGATGCGAGAAAGCGTCAAGTACGTCGAAGGTAAGTTGGCGAGAGACGTGGAGACGCTCGGGAAGGAAGCCTTGTTGCAGTGCGCAAAGACGAGCATGAGCTCGAAAATCATCGGTGCCGAAGAAGATTTCTTTGCGGATTTGGTCGTCGATGCGTGCACGAGCATCAAGACGTACAACGACATGGGCGACGTCAGGTATCCCATCAAGGCGATCAACATTTTGAAGGCGCACGGGAAGAGCTTGAAGGAGTCATCGGTGTTGCACGGATACGCCCTTAACCTCGGTCGTGCGGCGGAAGGGATGCCAAAGTTAGTCAAGAATGCAAAGATTGCGTGCATCGACTTCAACTTGCAGAAGACAAAGATGTTGATGGGGATTCAAGTGCTGGTGAACGACCCGAAGGAACTCGAAAAGATTCGCGAGCAAGAGTTTGAAATCACCGCCAATCGCATCAAGATGATCTTAGCCGCCGGTGCCAATGTCGTGCTCTGTTCTAAGGGCATCGATGATATGGCGCTCAAGTACTTCGTCGAGGCTGGGGCTATCGCCTGTCGTCGCGTCAATCGTGATGATTTGCGCCGCATCGCCAAGGCGACGGGGGCGCAAGTGATGCTGTCTCTGTCCGACATGGATGGTGGAGAAACTTTCGACGAGTCCATGCTTGGCACTGCGGGCGAAGTGGTGGAGCAACGCGTGGCTGATGATGATATGGTCGTCATCAAGGACTGCGCGAGCACCCAATCGTGTACAATTCTCTTGCGAGGCGCAAACGATTATATGCTCGACGAGATCGACCGCTCGGTGCACGACGCACTGTGCATCGTGAAGAGGACGTTGGAAAGTGGCAAGGTTGTCGCTGGTGGTGGCGCCGTCGAAGCTGCGTTGAGCATTTATCTGGAGAATATGGCGACTACTCTGGGTAGCCGGGAGCAGCTCGCCATCGCCGAGTTTGCCAACGCGCTCTTGGTCATCCCAAAGGTACTCTCTGTCAACGCTGCGAAGGATTCCACCGATCTCGTGGCCAAGCTTCGAGCTATTCATCATCAAGCACAGAGTCAAGGTAACGAAGAGCTCGCCGGGATGGGCTTGGATCTCGTCAAGGGCGAACTTCGCGACAACATCGCCAGCGGTGTCCTCGAGCCGGCGTTGAGCAAGGTGAAGAGCATCCAGTTTGCCACTGAAGCTGCGATTACGATTCTCCGCATCGACGACTTGATTCAACTCGAACCCGAACAGGAGGGTCAGTAGGCTTTAGGCCAATAGTTAATTGTAAGAGTGAGAGGTCAGGGACGGCGATGAACGGTAGCCACGAAACACTCGCAGCGCGGCGCAAACGTTTCTCCCCGCGGGGTTGCAGACGTGAAAGAATAATGATAATATATGTATTCAAAGAATCGAGTGGGGGAAGCTTGGATGAAAAGAGATTAGAACTACGTGAATACACCGGTCCTTCACAGGATCTCGTTTCGAAGCGTACGCGCGCAAGTTTTGCGGCGGTTGTCATTTTGTCGTTTTTCGTTCACGTTGCCCTTCGTTCTCGGCGAGGCGCTTTTTCAAACGCTGATTTTCTTCACGAAGCGCGACGACTTCTCGCTCGAGCTCGCTCACTTTAACGTTTATCTCGACCGTTTCAGCCTGCTTGCGCAACCGGCTTCTACGCGCGCTATCGCGATTCGATTGCTTGCGTGCCAATTTCTTCCGCGTCAACTCATCCGTCGCCGCGCTCGCCCCGTTCGTCGTCGCCCCCGCCTGCGGGAGCGCCGCGCTCTGCCCCATCGCGATCCCGCGATGGAGCATCGCTTGCGCTGCCCAAAACGGGTTCGTTTGGGTCATGTTTTGCAGCATCTGAGTCGCGATGGGAAACGGCGGTAACCCCGATAACGTCGCCGGCGCGAGCGCCGGCGACGACCCACCCAAATACGTTTGCACGTCCCATCGCGCGTTCTCCTCCTCCGTCTCGACCTCCCGCGCCCTCTCTCTCTCCGCGCGCTCGCGCGCGCCGCTCTCGCTCTTCTTCGCCCCGCGCCCGCGTCGTCCCGTCGCGCCGTCGCTCGCCGTCGCCCCCCCCCCACCGCTCGCTCGCCGTCCCGCCATCGCCGCGCCCGCCCGATCGCGCGCGCGTCGCGCGAATCCCCGTCCTCGATCTCACCCACCTCGCCGTCCCGCCGTCGCCGTCGCCGTCGCCGTCGCCGTCGCCGTCGCCGTCGTCGCGCGCGTTATCCCAACCGTCGCGGCGTTATCCCAACCGTCGCGGCGTTATCCCAACCGTCGCGCGCGTTATCCCGACCGTCGCGCCCGACCGCGACGTCCCGACGTCCCGACGCGCGCGACCGCGCGTCGTTCGTTTTCTTCCCGGGCGCGCGCGCGCGGCGCGCGCGGCGCGCGCGCGAGTGCCGATCGACGTCGCGGCGCGACGCGCCGACGACGCGACGACGAGTGGCTCGCATCGCGCGACGATCGAGATCGCGCGTTTTGATTGGCGCGCGAGATCGCGAGATCGCGAGATCGCGAGATCGCGCGTTTCGATTGGCGCGCGCGATGTCGCGATCGCGGTGGTGCTGTTTACACTGTTTGCGCGTACAGTTGAGCGCTCGAGTCCCGCGCGGGCGAGGAGAGGCGCGCTTCGTTCGGGCGCGCGTCGACGTCCGAGGGGCGGTGGCGAGGCGCGGCGAGGAGGCGGCGTCGCGTTGGATTCGATGGTTACAGCGGCGACGACGCGGGCGCGCGACGGCGACGGTGGGCGCGCGATTGACGTTTTCACGACGCGTGGGGCCAGTGGCGGCTGCCTCGCTGGCCGCCGGGGGCGTCGGCGACGCGTTGCCTGAAGGATTCGTACAGGGTGCGGTCGCGGCGGTCCTTGCTCCACTCGAACTCGAAGTCGCCGATGATGATACGGTCGCCCTCGCCCGCGCCCGCGGCGTTGAGGGCGGCGTCGATGCCAGCCATTTCGAGGACGCGGCCGAAGCGCTTGTAGGACTCGAAATAGTCCCAGTTTGTCATTTGCGTGAAACGCTCGATGGCTTCGCCGGCGACGACGAACGCGTACGGGGTGTCGTCGATTGTGAAATCTTCGATGGATTTTCCATCCGCGGCGCGCACGCCCGTTTCCGCGATATCAGCGGCCCAGGCATCTTCGACCGGAGGTAGGGCGCGAAGGGCGGCTTGGACGTCGGCGAGGAGCTCCTCCACGCCCTCACCCGTGACGGCGGAGACGCAGTGCGAAGAGATGCCCTCGGCGTCAAACTTTTCCTTCATTTGCAGCGCTCGCTCCGTGGCTTCGATGTCGTCCACTTTGTTTAAAGCGACGATTTCGGGCTTTTCGAGCAAGGCTTCGTCGAAGAGTTCGAGCTCGGTGCGAATCGCGTCGTACGCCTCAAAGCACGTCTCGCTCGCGCAGTCGATGACGTGAATGAGCACGCGCGTTCGCTTTGTGTGGCGAAGGAACTCGAAACCTAAACCAATCCCTTCCGACGCCCCTTCGAGCAAACCCGGGATGTCTGCAAACACCATGCGCTCGTAGTCGCGCTCTACGACGCCCAAATTTGGCACGATGGTCGTAAACGGGTAGTCGGCAATCTTTGGTTTCGCCGCGCTCACGCTCGCGAGTAAGGTTGATTTCCCAGCGTTGGGTATGCCAATTATTCCCACATCGGCGACGAGTTTGAGTTCCATCTCAGCCCAGAACTCACGTCCTTTTTCGCCCAACTCCGCAATCATCGGAGCCTTATTCTTCGCCGTCTTGAAGGACGCGTTCCCTCGACCGCCTCGACCGCCCGCGAGCACCATCACTCGCTGTTCAGCCTTCGTGATCTCTGCGATGATTGTTTTGCTCCGACTGTCGCGAATGATAGTTCCGGGTGGCACCAAGATCTCCAAATCGCGACCGTTACGGCCGGCACACTTCGATCCGAGCCCCCGTTTGCCCGCCTCGGCCCGATGGTGCACTTTTTTTCTAAATCCATCTAAAGAATTCATGTTCTTATCGGCGACAATATACACCGCGCCGCCGATCCCACCGTTACCCCCCGATGGTCCACCTTGCGGCACGAACTTTTCTCGCCTGAACGCAACCTGACCATCACCGCCGTCGCCAGCCTTTACGTAAATTTTCGCCGTGTCAAAGCACCGCATCTCCCGCGGTATTCCCCGACCCCGTTCCTGAGTGACTTCACCCTCCCCCTCGTCATCATCGTCATCGTACATGTACACTTCAAACCCTTCATCACCGGGTCCCCAAACTTCCTCGCCGTCGTCCTCATTCGTCCCAAACGCCACGAATTCGGCTTCGTCGTCTCCGAACGTCGCCTCCTCCTCTCCCGCGTTCAATCCCCTAAACTCTCGTCTCGCGACCGTCCCAGCCTCCGTCACCCACGTCGTGTCCATCAAATCATCGCTTTCGTTCGATTTCCTTTCCATGTCCGCCATCTCCGCTCCCATCTCCGCTCGCGTGCGATCCTTCGTCGCCTTTTCTTCTCGAAACGCCGCGAGCGAGCTCGCCCAGTCGTTGCTCGAATTCCCATTCGCTTCGTCCGCGTCGTCCTTGGACGCGAGGACGTCCGCGAGAGACTTCGTGGGGTCGTACTTGAGCGCGTCTTCCGTCGTTTTCACCGCGTACTTGGCGTCGCCCGCGCCCGCGCGCGAAGATTTCTTCGCGCGCGCGGTGACGATTCGCCGCGAGCCGCCGCCGGGCGTGGTCGTCGACGGCGGTGACGATTGCGCGCGCGAGGACGCGCGAGACGGCGGCGAGGCGCGCGAGACGACGGCGCGCGACGCGACAGACGCGACGCGCATCGTGAGGAGCGCGTCGGCGAGCGCGAGGCGTCGACGAGTGGGATGGGTCTGAGTCGCGTCTCTGGTTAACCTGCTACGAGACCTACGGCGAGGCTAGTCACGCACGAGCATGTACTCGATCGAAAGCTGCGTGTAATCGACGTCACGGGAATAACGAAATAATACGTTTACTAATCTGGATTGTGAAGACGCGACCCCGGCGGTGGCTTGATCGTTCGACCGGGAGCTCGACCGATGGACTTTTTCTTTCCGGGTTCGACTCCGGTGCCTCGCGGACGAAGCGGGACGTTGAGGAGTTGCGGTGAGTGCGAGACGGCTTCGTCCCATCCGAAGCTCGGTGCGCGCTCCCACCAACCGGCACTGTCTTCCCAGGTGTCCCAACCGTCGGAACCATCGGTGGTGGCGCCCCATTTGTGGACGCGACCGTCGTGCCAGTGCTCCTCGCCCCACGTCTTCTCAAATTTGTGCCCGTCGCGATCGTCCCATGTGCTCCCGTTGCGATTCCCCGCACTCCCGTTGTGAGCGTATCCCCCCCATCGTTCTTCCCACTTTTCACCCCAGGCACGTCCGCTTCCACCGTCCTCGCTCTGATCGCGGTCGGCGAAGGAATCCGTCCACTTGACGCACCCACCGTGACCGTCCCACTCCTCGCCCCACTTGTGCGTCCAACGATTACCGTGACCGTCGTCTGGAGTCGCGCCGTTCGCGATCGCACCTTTTTTTGTACATGTACGCTTCACTTGACCGTCGCCCCAGTAGTTCTCGTCCCACACTTCGTGCCATTCGGCGCCGTCGGCTTGCGCACCCCACTTGTTCGCCTCTCTCATGATGTGCTTCGAGGCGTTTGAGAAACCGGTGGTGGTGTCGTGAGTCACTTGCTCACGCCAGCTTTCTTGCCACACGTTGCCCTTGGCGTCTCTCCCCGATTTGATCGCCCCGAGTTCCCGATAGTTGAAAGCATCGCTCGTCTCCCACCATTTTTCTTCCCACTCGACGGAACCGTCCGCGGAGGCGCCTCGGACGAGCGTCCATCGACACAGCTTCCCGCCTTCGAGTTCCTCTTCGCCTGACTCGCGCCACCACCTCGAACCATTTTCAAGTGTACCTTCGGTTTCCCCATCTGCGCCGAGCTCGCGCACGGCGGTCGCAGTTTCCTCTAGCTCCACCGTCGGCGTGTCGCTCAGCGGCGCCGGTTCCTTCGCCAAAACGACGTCGCTTTCGAATTCAAGCTTCAACTCGCTCGGCGTCTCGACGTCGCTTTGAAACTTCAACTGAAGCGAAGCCTCGGGCGCGCGCTCCGCGACCGCCACGGCCGCGCTCACGCGAGTCTCTGTCTGTCTCTGCAACTTTGGCGCCGCGGCGGCGGCGACTTTATCCGAACCCGCCGCCTCCGGCGGCGTCCACGTCCAAAAGTCGCTCCCGGGGTTGAAAGTCTCCGCCTTCGGCTTCGACGCCTTCTTCGCGGTGTTTTTCAACCCTGAATCGTTCGCGGACCTCCCTCCCTTCATCACCGCGCCGTCAGCCGCGCCCGACGCCCCGGTCGTCGTCCCGGTTGACCTCGGCGCGCTCCCGCTCGCGCTCCCGCTCGTCGCCCCTTCCCCTCCTCCCGTCGTCACCGCCTCGGTCTTCGACGTCGCCGTCTCTCGCACGCTCGTCATCGCTCGCACCGCCGCCATCGCCGCCTCCGCGCGCGCCGCCGCGCCCATGGGCGTCGCCGCGGCTTCGAACAAGTCCACCACTCGCGCGCTTCGCGCGTCGTCCTCCTCCGCCGCGCGCGTCACCGCCCGCGCGCGCGCGCGCGCGCTCCTACCGGTCCATCGCGGCGGCGCGCGCGCGACCGCGCGCGCCGGCGTCGCCGTCGACATGGCGTCGCGTCGACGAATGCGGATGACGCCCCGCCGCACATGTCGCCCTTCGGCGGTCGAGCGAGCGCGCTCTCGCGGTTCGGCGACGGCGCGCGGCGCGACGTCGCCTGGCGCGCGCGTCGACGCGCGCGCGCGCCCGAGCGCGGCGCGCGCGCGGCGCGAGGGCGCGCGGGACGCGAGGGCGAGGGCGCGCGTTCGACGCGCGCGGGAACGTCGCTCGGCGCGCGCGCGCGCGCGCCCTCGCGTGCGATGACGCGCGCGGACGCGCTGTCGTGGATGGGCGGCGGCGCGATGCAGTCGAGCATGCTCGGCGCGGCGCTCGTGGACTTTGGGATCCAGCTCGTCGGTTGGGCGGCGGCGGCGACGCTGCGGACGGAGAAGTTTTACGACATTCTGGGGAGCGCGGCGTTCGCGACGACGGCGGCGCTGACGCTGGGGACGTCGGCGATGATGCCGCGGCAGAAGCTCGCGAGCGCGCTCGCGATGGCGTGGACGGCGAGATTGGGGATATTCTTGGGCGCGAGGGCGCACAGGGACGGCGGGGACTCGCGATTCGACGGCGTGAAGGACAAGCCCGGGGTGTTCGCGGTGTATTGGTTCCTCCAAGGCGTGTGGGTGTGGGTGACGTCGTTACCGGTGTATCTGTTGAACGGGTCTCCGGGTCAATTGGTGGATCTGAACGCGGTGGATTGGACGCTGGCGGCGTTTTGGGCCTTTGGGTTCGTCTTCGAAGTCGTCGCCGACGTACAAAAGTTTGCCTTCAAGTCGGACAAGTCGAACAAAGGCAAGTACATCAAGCACGGTTTGTGGTCCCTGTCTCGTCATCCGAACTACTTCGGCGAGATTTGCATGTGGTTCGGGGTCGCGGGAATCGCTTGCAACGGTTTGGCGGCGTCGAATCCGGGTCGAGCGGCCGGAGCGTTTGCGTCGCCACTCTTCGTCACCTACTTGCTGACAAAGATGAGCGGTATTCCAATTTTGGAACGAATGGCCGATGAGAGATGGGGCAAGGACGAGGGGTATCAGTCGTACAAAAGGAAGACTCCGGTGCTCGTGCCTAAGCTTCCAGGAACGTGAAACCTCAATCGATTTACGGTTCAACACGCGTTTGTAAAACAATTTTGCCTATCCTTCTAATGATCTATAACGCTATTGTCTACCTAACCTTGGATGTTTTGTCCCAAACTCAAGTCTCTGGCGTTTCCTCGCATTGGCAGAAGCCTTTCGGTGGCGCCTGCCATTCAGGTGGGCTCGCCACTCGATTTCGCCTCGCAACGTTTTCCCACACGCCTCGCACGTGTGCACAGCGACCTGTTTTGAGCTGTTTCCTGAGTCTAATTCGACGACGTCTTCATGTTCGCACAGTTCTAGGGCACGATGAACGACATTCGCGTACCAGCTATCTTTGAAGGCGGCGCGCTCCGAACAGAACTTACTCAACGAATCCGATACATCGACGAATCTCACGGGCCAACCGTATTGCTTCGCAAAGGTCGTCAAACGTGACTGTTGACGTCGTGATAGACGACAAGTGTGCCGTACAGTCGCCTCGATGGCTTCATCACGCATTGATGCGAGTTCGCTGTCGACACAAGGCGTCGAGTCCATTTTAACTTTGGCTTGCAAGTATGGCATCCACTCCGCGTAACCGATCGCCTGACGGACGTCTCCCCGAGCACCGTCCGGAGATTCAACGCCATGACAGCGCGCAAACTGCTCCAGTTCATCGACCAACCCGTTTTCAACCATGGACAGGACTCTCGCTCGAAGAATCTCGTCAAGAACTTTCGAGTCACATTTCAACGCGATGAAGATGGTCCGGCAACCGAGTACGTCAAATTGGCTCACAAACTTCTTCATAGTGCGCTCTCGCTTGAATACATCGCTCGGACGTTCACCAGTGGTATCAAAGATTTCCAAATACCGGCGAACACGTCGGATATCGTTCGGGTGAAGTCTCTGAGCGCTCTCAGGATCAACCTCGGCGAGCCGAGCGTACGCCGTCGACGCGTCAACGCCAACCGTTCCATCTTCGGCAGCCGTTCGGCGTCCACCATTCGGTCCTATGTCATCGATAAAACTCTTATCACTGATACATTCTTCTTCTTCTCTATCTCTGACATCCATCAGCGAGTCGGACACGAGCGCTTGAGCGTAGTAGTTGCTCCCGCCCACCACAATTACCGACCTCCCTTCACCCACGCACTCGCGCACGATCGATCCCGCGCGCGCTCGAAACGCGCGCACATCGAAGTATTCACCGTATTTCACGCACCCAACTAGATGATGTCGCACGCCTTCCATTTCATCTTCTCGAACGCGCGCCGTACAGATTGGCAGCGAGTCGTGAAATTGCAACGCGTCCGCATTGATGACGTCTCCCCCGAGCGCGCGGGCAAGTTCTACGGCCAATCGGGACTTTCCCGACCCCGTGGGACCAACGATCACGATCACGCGCGGTGGCGACGGCATTCGCGGTGACTCGCGCGCGCGGCGCGCGCGAAAGTGCCGCGCAGCCGGTCGCCAGGGGAGCGATGTCGCGCGGTTTCGCGATCGATCGCACGCGAAGCTCAGCGAGTCGATCGATCATGGGATCGAAATGCGAATCTCGTCGATCGGGTTCGATCGATCGGCGTTTTTTGCGTGAACCGTCTGAACCATCTAGAAAGTCGATCGACGCACGCGTAGATCGATCGATCGATTGAACCTACTCGCGTCGACGAAACATCGATCGACGTCGATCGACAGACGTGTAGATCGATCGATCGATTGATTGAACCCACTTCCGTCGATCGAGAGACGCGTGTGTAGATCGATCGATCGATCGATCGATCGATCGATCGAATGAACCGACTTTCGTCCATCGAGAGACGCGTCGATCGAGTTTGGTCGCGATCGATCGCGGCATCGAGGTCCGACGGCGCAGGCTGGACGAGGGACGTGTGGGACGCGCGTGGGACGCGCATTCATCCCACACGTCGCGCCGCGCGGGCGATCGCGACGCGCGCGCGCTCGCCGCTCGCGAACGTTCGACGCGAAAGTGATCGAGATTGTTCGTCGCGCGCGCGCGGCGATCGATATCGAGGAGGCGTCGCGCGAGGGCGTAAAAGGGGCGACGGGGATCGTCGAACGAACGCGCGACGGGACAGAAAACGACACGTGACGTCGCAGTCATGCCCGCCAACGCGTCTGGGAGGGACTTCAAAGCCTTGGATGGTGTACCCGTGAGGGATGCGATCGACAGACTGGAGAAAGATCTCAAGAACGTCGCCGCATTGCTGCCGAAGAGTTGCCCCGGTGCGCCGAGGCTGCGGTCGCCGTACACGGTGTCAGAGGCGGTGAGCTTGGATGAGATTGAGAAAAAGGCAGCGGCTAAGGCTTCGACGGTATGTTCCTTACGACTAGCGCCGTGGTGATAGAGGATTGAGAAATGATCGCGCGAATCAGGAGAAATATTTGGGCTCGTAGAACGGGCGACTGACGAGACTTTCATCGTACGCAGAGAAAACGCACGTTCGGACTCGGGGTAGAGGAGGAAAAAGAGGCGCGGAAGGTTGCGCCCTGGTGGAGATATGCAGAAGATTTCTTTCGACCGGTTCACGCGACGGACTTGGCTCGGATCGCGCCCGCCACTCCTTGGACGTTTGACAGCGCGCTGAACACTACGTGCGTCGGTCCGGATTATGAAGTCGGAGAGGACAAGATTGGAATTCCCATTCCCGGTTTGACGTACCGAAGAAAAGGAGATCAGAGTCACGCATCGACATCGGCACCGACTTCGCCGATTAAACTTGAGGAGAAGAACCACATTGTCGGGACTATTCCAGCCGTACCTACGCAACCCTTCGTCATACCGCCGTTGCAGGAACACGAACAGGGGATCGATTTGGTACAGAATCTACCACCAGAACACGTCGCGATGACGATTAGAGTTTTAGTTAGTTTAGTGGGGGATGAGAGCGAAAAAATGCGTGAGATTGCGAAATTTTCAAGAGTAACGCTCGCGGCGTTGAAGGCCTGGCTTGGAAAGTACGAAAACAAGACCAATAGCAAACGCAGCAAGAATGGGATCGAAATAAAGAGTGAAAACTCGGACACCGACGAACTGTTGTCGTGCCTTCGTATGTGGCTTCGTCACGAGAGCGCTTCGCACGTGAATACGCGTCAAGATGCTCGTCGAGAAGAGGCGACCAAGGCGAAGAAAAAGTTGGATAAAAACATGATTTTCCCAGAGCAAAATCTAGACATGGCAGCGTCTTACGGGCTCGTTAACGTACCTTCAAACCTCACAAATATGACGACTACGAGCGAGCAAGCGTTAAGTGGCGGCCAAGGGATCGACGACTCACCGTCCAGCGCGGGAACGACCGTCGTGGGTAACGACCCCGTTCGGGATGAGCACGAAGAATTGGGCGGTGACAAGGATATGGATGTGCGAGAAAAGACCGGATACGAATGCACAACGGCATTTGGGATCGATGGAGAGCTGAAACATTTTGAGCAAGGCTGTACAGAAGAGACGATGGCCATTCACACGGAAATTTTGCTCGACAAGGCGTTCAGGCTCAAAGAGTCTACCTCACAGACTCCCAGTGGTCCCAAGCAAGGTTGCTCGGGGGGATCTCAACCATGCGCGGTGTGCGTGAGATTGAAAACGTTGTCGAGCAAATGCGGTACAAGTGAAGGAAGCGTGAATTGTCTCAAGAAAAGTGGCGAGTCGAAAGATTTGCAACTACCTGGGGCGCCGTCTCGCGCCAACCGTGTACAAGGCGGTCCATCGGCAAAGGATGAGTTGCAACGAATTGAAGACGCTTGGCGTTCGAACCCGACGCTCTTGGCGTGCGCTCCAAAAGACGAAGTAGAAGCAGAGATTCTTGCGCTTCAATATGAACTTCTTTGGCAACTACAGTCGAACAGGCAGAAACTCAAGAGGGCACAAGAGAAAATAGCTAGCGGAATCGAGTCGGACAACGACGAACAAGCAAAGCGCAAGGCAAAGCTCGATGAGGCCGCGACGTACATGTCGGGAATCAGAGAGGTCAAACGTCAACAGAAGAAAGAGAAGCGCGAAGCGGACCAGCTGGCAGCACTGGAGCGAGCCAAAGCAGCAGTGGGTGATGGGCGACGCGAATCAAAACCGAAACGCGAGATGGGTTCAGCCGCAATAGTGGCACCCGACCCGAAGAGCCTGATACCAACATACAAGCCCCCGACTACCCAAGCGGTGATGAAAGCAATAGAAGCGGCACCAAGTCGGGTGAAAAAAATGTTCGGTCTCGCGAACTTCGACCCCACCACATCGAGTCACCTCAAGTCTTTTAGCCTGTCTGGCACGCCTCGAAGCGGATCCCCTGTTCTTGGAGCGTCTCCGATTCGTTCACCGATGTCATCGATTCTTCTGGATCCGTTCCATGCCGTGTCCGATAACAAAGCTTGCTGTGTCTGTGCTGGGACTGAAGAAGCGGAGAAGATGGAAGAAACAATGAAGTGTTCGCAGTGTGAACTTATCGTGCACCCGCACTGTTACGGAATCACGGGTGACGCTTATGTCAAGGATCCCAAGTGGTTGTGTTTTGTGTGCAATGCAGCCGTGTTAGCAGGCACTGCAATTCCAAAGACTTCAAAGAAGTCGCGCATAACGTTACAAGGCAAGTTGGCTCTTTACCGCGGAGTGGAGTGCACGCTTTGCCCGGTGAAAATGGGCGCCTTCAAGAAGACGCTGACCGGGAACCAGTGGTGTCACGTCGCGTGCGCGAAATGGGTCCCCGAGGCGCACTTGTTCGATAGGATCATGAATCACGTAGCGGTGATCAGACCTGTGAATATCGAGGACGTGCCTCGCGAGCGCCGCAACGCGTCTTGCACATACTGTACGCGTTCGCATGGAACGCTCATGCGTTGTTGCTTTGGGCACTGTCAAACCGTCTTTCATCCACTCTGCTGCCGACGAGCAGCGTGTCATATGCGCGCAGTCGACCACTCCAAGAAAAGATTCACTGCTTTTTGCGAGAAACATTCGCGTTCTGAACGCGAAAAGGATCTCGCAGTCAACCTTGTGGGAGACCCTGTTCCAGCGCTCGTTGAAATGTACAATCAGTCGCCGTTAGAGAGACAGCTATCTGGAGGTTTGCAGCGCACGTTATCTGGTGGTACAACCGGAGTGTCGCCAATGAACGGAGCCATGCGTCGGATCCGGGAGACGATGCGCGCGAAAGACACACAAAAGCGAGCCGCCTTTGGCGGACTCCCGTCGAGCGCCAAGGCGAAGACGAAGAAAACTCGAAGCAATCTTCAACAAGCCAACAGGCTTCCTGGTAGTGTCCCTGGTTCTTCGCTCGCAGGGTTCGATTCCGAAGAAAACTTTGACGATCTTCTACCGGGTCAGCGCGGTCAAGCCCGAAACACCGGTGCGTTGCGTGGCGGAGCGCTCCCTCGCGACGCCCTCCTGACGTCCCCCGAGGCGGACAAGGTCAATCGCGACTTGCCCACCGGGTACCAGTACATGGAAAAATCCGACATCGCACGATAATCGCACATGGTTCACGATTCACGACGCATCAGAGCGTCTTAGCCCGCGTTCTCGACGAAAACATTGTATCCGAGACCCACTCGGGTGCGGCGTCGCCACCCTTCAGAAACGTTCTTCTCTTCGTCGCCCACCGCACACCTCAGCGTTCGCTCGTCGGTGCGTCGCGAAACCGCGGGTCGGCACGCGTTACCGCCGATCGCCCGCCCGCCCGCGAGTCATCATCGGCACGAGCGCGCGCACGAGGCGCGAACCGAGCGCGTAATCGAAGACGTCACCCATGTCGGCGGCCGGCGTCACGCGCGCCGCGTTCGCGTCCACGTCGTCTCCGCGACGCCGCGTCTCGCCGACGCAACGGACGGCGAGCGTTCGACGCGCTGCGTCGTCGGCGACGGCGGTGAAAGCGCCGACGTCGACGCTGGGGGAGGAAACACGAGGAGACTTTCCGATTCTCGACCAAAAGACAGAGTCAGGCGCCCAGCTGGTGTATCTGGACAACGCGGCGACGTCCCAGAAGCCGAATCAAGTCGTCGACGCGCACATGTTTTACTACAAGGATTATAACTCCAATGTCCATCGAGGGGTGCACTATCTGAGCAGCAAGGCCACGGATGCGTACGAGTTGTCGCGGAGAAAGGTGGCGGCGTTTGTCAACGCGACGACGGATAGGGAAATCGTCTTCACGAGAAACGCGAGCGAGGCGATCAATCTGGTGGCCAACACGTGGGGGACCAAGCACATCAAAGCCGGTGACGAGATAATTTTGAGCGTTTTAGAGCACCACTCAAATATCGTCCCGTGGCAACTGCTCGCTGAGCGGACGGGGTGCGTGTTGAAATTCGTTGAATTGACGAAGGATACGCAGGAACTGGACATGGATCAGCTTCGCTCTTTGGTGAACGAAAAGACGAGGCTCATCACGACGGCGCACGTGAGTAATGTCACCGGTGGTGTGGCACCAGTGAAGGAAATTATCGATCTCGCTCGAGGCGTCGGCGCCAAGGTGCTTCTCGACGCGTGCCAAAGCTTGCCGCACATGAAGGTGGACGTGCAAGCGCTCGGTGCGGATTGGATCGTGGGTAGCTCGCACAAAATGTGCGGACCGACTGGTATCGGATTTTTGTGGGGTCGTATGGACGTCTTAGAGACCATGCCGCCGTGGATGGGAGGCGGCGAGATGATCGCCGACGTGTACCTCGAAAAGAGCACGTACGCCGAACCTCCGTCACGGTTCGAGGCTGGGACGCCCGCGATAGCTGAGGCCATTGCCTTGGGCGAGGCGTGCGACTACCTCACAAAAATAGGCATGGATAGAATCCACGACTACGAGATCGAGATCGGGACGTACCTGTACGAAAAGCTCTCCGCCGTCCCTGGAGTGACGATATACGGCCCTCCGCCCGCGCGCGGCCGAGCCTCGCTTTGCGCTTTCAACGTCGACGGCATTCACGCCAACGACCTTTGCACCTTACTAGACCAAGCGGGAATCGCGTGTCGCAGCGGTCACCACTGCACTCAGCCCCTCCACCGTTACCTCGACGTTCCCGGGAGCGCTCGCGCCAGCCTCTACTTTTACAACCTCCCGAGCGACGTCGACGCCTTCATCGACGCCTTGACATCCACAATCGCGTTCTTCGCCGAGTTTGAAGAATAATAATATCATCACCACCACGATTATTTACAAGCAAACAGTTTTCTCGCGCGCGATCCTTCGCGCGCGCGAGCCAGACTTCCTCCCCGCGCTCTCCGCCGCGCGACCGACCGAGACTTTGAATCATATCTTTGCGGCCGGACCGACACGGCGCGCCCGCGCGCGCGGCGTCTAGCCATTTTCGACCGTTGATTACGCGTGATTTCGCGGAGTTTCATCACCATCGGTTCAAATTTACATCCATCACTCCGTCCTCAGCCGCAAAATCGGACATTCGGACTTATACCCAATGACGTCGATTCCGGGTATTTACATAAACAGCACACAACTGATAATGACTGACCCGTATGTCCGAAAAAAAACAGTGCCCGCGTGCACGCATACGAACACACCGACTACCCATTAAATCGAACGACGACGACGTCACGCGCGCGCCGAGATAAGATTGGCGCCCCGCCGCCGACGCTCGCGCGGCACAGCGACGCGTCCGACCGACGCCCGCGCGCGAAGCCGACGACGAAGACGCCTTCGTCAACGCCCGCGATCGCACGTTCGATCTCGAACGCCGCACAGACGACGATGAGCGCGTTCGCGATGCGAACGTTGACGGCGCGCCCGACCGCGGCGCGCGCGAACGGCGCGCGCGCGACGACGACGCGTCAACGCGTCGCGCAAACGCCGCGCGCGATCGCGCGCGCTGGTGCGATCTCCGCGAACGCGACGCGGGACGTGAACCGCGGGGCGAATGCGTGCGCGAACAAGGCGATCGCGATCGACGGCGCGGCGAGCGGCTCTGACTCTCTGGCGACGATGACGACGATGACGTACAACGAGACGGGGAAGTGGCGTGAGAACCTCGATCTCGCGGGATGGGCGGCGGAAATGCGCGCGATAGAGAAGGAATTCAAGGCGCCGGAACACTTCGAGGAGGATGTGAAGCACTTGAAGAAGATTTTGACGTGGGCGAACCTGTGCTACTTTGGCGGGTTGGCGGCGCTGACGGCGATGCCGATGGTGGGTTTGAACATGCCGGCTTGGTTGAACGGGATGAATCCGATCGCGGCGTTCATGATGTCGACTGCGATTTGCGCGAGATGGACTATGGTCGGTCACCACACGTGCCACGGTGGTTACAACGCGGCGCAGAGCACGAACGGGGAAGTCACTGGTCGATTCCACCGCAGAAAGTTTGCGCGCGGTTTGTGGCGACGATGCACCGATTGGATGGATTGGATGCTCCCAGAGGCGTGGGACGTAGAACACAACCACTTGCACCATTATCAACTCGGCGAAGATGCGGATCCGGATCTCGTTGAGCGCAACATGCAAGAGCTCCGCGAAGGTAACACCCCGATGGTGTCGCGTTATCTCCAAGTCGCTGGTCTCGCGCTCGTCTGGAAGTGGTTTTACTACGCGCCGAACACGTTGAAGGAACTTCTCGCGCGTAAGGAGCGTGAAGCCGCCAAGGCTGGTAACTCCAAGCCAAACCCGTTCAAGACTGGCAGCCTTCCGTCAACCGTTCTCACGGTCGCTCAAGGCGCGTTCAAGGGCGAGTTTGCTGCTGTGTCTGAAACCATCAAGTGCTTCGCTCCATACGCGCTCTGGTCTTTCGCCGCACTGCCGGCGATTGGCTACGCCATCGGCGGCCCGAAGGCTGCGCTCGCCTGGTTCATGACTTCCGTCCTCGCGGACGTTATGACGAACGTTCACTCGTTCATCATCATCGCCACCAACCACGTCGGCGACGACATCTACCGATTCGAGACGGAAACGAAGCCTCGTTCGGATGATTTCTACCTCCGCGCGGTGATCGGCTCCGCGAACTTCAAGACTGGCGGCGATGCGAACGATTTCATGCACGGCTGGTTGAACTACCAAATCGAGCACCACATGTTCCCGGACATGTCCATGCGCGCGTACCAAAACATGCAGCCGCGCGTCAAGGCTGTGTGCGAGAAGTATGGTGTCCCCTACGTGCAAGAGTCCGTGTTCACGCGTCTTGGACAACTCGTCGATGTCATGGTCGGCAAGCGCACCATGCTCGTGTGGGAGAACGGTGATTAAATTATAAATTATGACGACTCGTTTTGAAACGTCGCTGCGAAGCGAGGTTCCAATTAAAGCTGATCGCCTTTCCCCTGCTTTTGCCTATCTCCACATTTGATTTATTTAGCGTTTTAAACAATATTGGCTATGTTGCTACTGCACGCTCAAGTAAAGAGGTTCTTTCCCGCCCTGATTCGCTCGCTGCCAACACTCGAGCTCCTCGCGCCTTTCCCGGGCGTGCCATCGGCTGAATCCCCTCCCTTGTTCCAGCGTCGATTGTAGTTTACCAAGTACTCTTCCATGGTGCTAAGAGTGAGATAATCCTGTCCAGGCATGATTTTATCGTTTTGAATCTGTATTTCTTTGAGCAAATCATCAGATATCATCTCCTCGTCTTCATCTGCTACACCGTTCCTAGCGCTGCTGTCGAAAAGTTCGATGGCATTGGTCTTAAACGGGTGTAAACTGACGCCGTTGGAGAACAAAATTTCAATCCGAAAGCGTCGAGGATCTGACGGAGGAACATGGAAACGTTCGAACATTCTAAACACGATGTGGGTAAGATAATCGAGCTCCTTCTCGCGCTTAAACAACGCTCCCAAGGCATCGTCGATGAGCGAAGGCCTGACGGTTTCATTCGTAGCACTCACGCTTGAGTTTGCGCTGGTAGCATCCTCTTCCTTTTTCGGGCTCCCTAGCGGCAAACCGGGCGGTACCCTGCTCGCGCGCGAGCTTCCCTTCGTAGAAGTGCGTTTCGTCGGACCCTTTGCATCGACGTCGCTTTCGCTATGTTCGGTGTGATACGGAGAGCGACCTCGCTCGCGATCTTCTCGAGGCTTGTCCAGGTGCGCGTACTGAAGTACATTGATGAGCGAATGCAAGTGAGATTCAGAGGTGAAATAAAGCCGCGTGCGCACGTGTCTGAATGGGCTATGCACACCGTGCGCCGTGGCGTATCGCAAATTCAATCGAGTCGTGTTCAGCTCTTCCTCTTCTTCTTCCTGCTCCTCACGTTCTCGCTCAGTCTCTTCGTCGATCGTTTCGGCCTCGTCTTCTTCATTTAAAACCGGTATCTTTTCGCTGATAGAAACACGGCGCATTTCATTCGATGACATTCCACCGCTTTCGACGGCGAAAGATTCCTCGCGAGTGTTGTTCAAATCGCTTAGCAATTTTGCAATCAAGCTGTTGGCAACGGTGCCCCCAATTCGTAGCTTGCTCGAAGCCGTCGTACCGTATTCATTCGGAACAATGCAATCTGCTAGCTCTTTCGCGATTTCGTACAACGCCTCGAGTCCCTCTAAAGCCAAATGTTCGTTATGAATGGCATCGTATTTTACCGCGTCGTAGACGTCTGGTACTTTCGAGATGTCAAACCTAGCTTTACGCGAATGGTAAAGATCTTGCTCTAACTTTTTCCATCTGGAATACATGAGCAAAAAGGACTCACCGCCAGCGGGAACGATCATGGTTTTAAGCTGTTGAATACCTCCTTTTGGAAGTGAACCACGTGGGGCGACGGCGGAATGCGTGTCGGCCCAGTTGATTCTAGTGCCGGAATCGGAATCATATCGCACTTGGTGGCTAGAAAGCATCGTTCTAAGCTGCACCGAAATTGATTTCGTGAGTTCATACAGCATTTCGAGTTTCTTGAGTGGCTGCTTCGGTACACCCATGAGATTGGTTGAAAGCGTGACAGCTTTTTGAGTCGTATCGTGGTGGGATGATTCGCCAGCGCTTTGAAAGCGATGCGCAGCCATAACCATTTGTGTCACCACCTTGAATTTATTCAGCGAAGCAAATCGCAAGGTCTGCGACAATCCCCCAATTTCTTCTTCGGTCGGCTTTTTGTCATTCAGCTGTGCATCTGGCTTGTATGTCATCGCCGTGAACAGCTTGTGCTTTGAGTGTAAGATGTCCTCTTCCACGTAATGAGTCACGAAATCCAACAACTTTGCATCTTTGGTAACGAGAGAAGCGAGAATCGGCGTGAGCTGTCCATGATGGGTATCGAGGGCGAGTAAACCTTTCGCAAAAGCTGCAGCAGTGATCTGCACTCGACCTTCATCGGAGGAGTAAATCTTCAAATCGTGGCGATAGGTTGAATGTAATCTCAGTAAACCATCAGCGTCCGAGCCGTAATAGTTACCACGAGGATACATTCGTACTCTAAATGCCTTACCGAGTGTTTCGGCTTGATATTTACCCAAATAAGTCAAAACACCGCCGAACTTGATGATGAGGAGAGCCTCGGTGACTTTTTCTGTGTGAGAGTCTAGCGTTCCAGCATCGATTGTCTCCCACTCAAGAGGTTTGAGCTGCGCTTTACGATTGATACCACTAAAGTGTCCTCCTTCTTCGAGAATCGACACTACTTGTTTCCACGCTTCGAGTTCTTCTTGCGCCTCTTCATGTCCCTCCTCGTCTTTCGGCGCCAAGGTTTGCTTAGACAAACTTTTGTAAATGTCCCTGCAAATATTCAAGAGTTCTTGCAATGTCTGAGGCGTCTTCAATTTAGCTTGCTTGCGAGTTCGACCGTTCGTGCATCGAAGCATGAGATCAAGAAGTTCACGATTTTTCACTCTCAGTTTCATCTTTTGCTTGGGCGTGCGATCGCCGTGCCGAATGACGCCGAGTACGGCGCGCAACTCCTCAGGCGGTTCCTTGGGTGATGGCGCCTTCTCGAGTCTGGTTTCCTTCAATTCGGCATCATTACCATCTAAAATGATATCAGGCTCTTCAACACTAGCCGATGCCGCGGCTTTTTGAGCAGGCTGAGTGCTAAAGTGATTCGGCGCTACGGCTTTCAAAATCATCGCTCGCAAGCACACCGAAGCGTCGTCATAGTATTTTTTGGAGTTTTTCACAAAACTCCATCCATTGACGTCACAAACGTAGCTTCGACCTTTCGCACGAAGTAAATCAAATCCACAAACTCGCTGCCCAAACGCTATACACACACGGCGTGCGATTTCTTTCTCCTCTGGCGTCAACAATACCGGGTAACGCACCTCCTTGCCGCTCTCGTCTCTCTGCACTCTTCCATCGACGACTGGACTCTTTCTAGCTTCGGCGTGGGCGTAATTCGGACCAACAGTATACACTTTTACATCTGTACCGTTCGTTGACATGAAATCTTCGTAAATGAAAGATGTCGTCTCCCGAACCGGGGCGTAAGACAACTCGCCCGCCGCGGTGGTTTCAGGAGGAGGGTAGTACTGACTCGATTGATTACCAATCTTCCGAAACAAGCGCTTGTACCCCCCACCGACGCTGTGTGGGTAGTAGATAAAAATGTTATGATCCTCCGCGTTCGCCGGCTTCTCCACAAAGGGCTTATATATCCTTTTCCCGTTGATTTCCACGTACTCTTCGTCCTGTGAGAAATTCTTTGGCTCGAACGTCGGTTGATCGGGCAACGCCACTTCATCCCCCTTCGGCTTCTTCCTGAGCGCCCCCTTCTTGATGTAATCGTTACGATTCACCACCACGTGATTCGGCACTGGAATATCGTGTTCCTGCAACCGCTTATACACCAATCTCCGATCCAGCAGCGTCCACTGGTCGTTCGGCTCGTTCACCACAAAGGGCTTGTGCATCTCCACGTACCGCTCCACCTTTTGCAACGGAAACCCATTGCTGTAGAACGCGATCAGCGCGTCCACCTTGGGCCAATTTTCCACCGGTTCGTTCACCACGCACTCGTCCCCGAATATCACAATCTCAAACTCCCCGAACGATTCGATCCGCGTCAGGATCTCTCGCATCGCGCTCGAGCGCGACTTTTTATCCATCGCGCACACGCCCAGCGTGACGATCGGGTGCTTGGACGCGCTCGACGCGCCCGAGCGCGAGCTTTGCTTCCGCGCGTCGCGCGTCGGCGCCGCGTGTTCGGACATCGCGCGCGTCCGTCTGGGAATGACGCTTCGGGCGGGCGGGCCGCCGTCCCGGTCGTTAGGACGCGATTCCCCGCATTCGTCGACGACATGGCGCGGGATGGCGGCGTCGCGGGCGCGGGGCGGGGACGACGCGCGGCGCGAGCGATGGGGTACGCCGCGAGCGCGGTCGCGACGGCGTGCGCGGTGAAAAAGGCGTGGGACGTCGCGTTCGCGCGCGACGACGGCGGTGACGCGGCTGAGGAAGCGACGACGACGACGACGACGACGACGACGACGACGGGAGGACGCAATCGACGAGGCGTGCGCGTGGACGGTGGAGACAGCGCGGAAGTCCTGCGCGTTGGGTCGTTCGGATCGCGCGAGAGTCAGCGCGGGATGAGCAGCTCGACGAGTCGAGAGGATGAATTTTGGAGCGACGAGGGCGACCTGGAGGGGTCGCGGACGTCGGGACAGTTTTTCGCGAGCGCGAGTGGAGAAGACGTGAACGATGAGAACACGCCTAATTTTTTCGCGAGTACGAAGTTTTTTAGCGTGTTAGAGTTGGAGTTGTCGAGAGAGCTGTTTGAGGCGTCGGAGGAGGAGGTGTTGGCGCCGAATGAAGTGCTTTTTCGGCAAGGAGACGATAGTTCGAGTGGGATATACGTCGTCGTCGAGGGATCGGTGGGAGTGTATTTGCAACCGACGAATGGAGCGCCACCTGTGATGACGAATATTTTACAAGAGGGAGAGTCGGTGGGAGATATAGACATCCTCGACAGCGCGAGACGAAGCGTGAGTTGCATCACCATGCAGGGCGGGGCAAAGGTAGTGCGAGTCTCACAGCGCATCTTCTTAGACTTCGTTCGAAAGCATCCGCACACTTTGCAGCTGTATTTGCAACAAGCGATCGCGCGATTGTGGCGCGTGGCGCAGTTTTCGCTGATTGATTTTCTTGGCATGCCTCGGCAATCGCTTCGCGGTCAACCTGAGGCGGACGACGCATGCTCGCTCGCAAATTCAGATTTCTTGGAGCACTTACCGACCGTGGAGAAGTATTGCGCACGCAAACAAATAAAAAAGGGTGAGATTATTTTTGCCGAAGGAGATTCTACGGATGCGTTTTACATCCTTCTGAAGGGATCGATTGCGCGGGAAGCCATTCCATGGCCGAAAGGCGACGGGCTGCGTGGGAAGCCGGTGCGAGCGTTACAGTTGATCGGTTCGGCGCACTTTATGACACGCTCACTCTTCAGAGAAACCCAACAGGCGGATGAAGATTGTGAAATGCTCGTCATAACAGGAGAAGTTCTCGAGCATTTGTGTACAGCTGAAACTGAGGCATACATCTCTTTGCTCCGTCAAACGTCTTCGTCTCTTGGCGTTCTCATTCGTAATTTCATCGGCTTCGGTCTCAATCGAGTGTGGCTGAGAAGCGGAGATCACGTCTTTATGACCAATGAAGATGCCACAAGTATGTTTGTCATCATCAGTGGACGCGTGCGTTTACGGTTTCCACGTCACACGAGTAGTGGAGATGAAATAATTCGGGAACGCGGTCGAGGCGATACCATCGGAGAAGCGCCTTTACTCGCGCATGGGAAGTATTCCTCAACTGCAGTCACTTCACGCGATACAGAACTCGTCAGAATGTCGCACGGAGCGCTGAAACTGATCAACGCGCATCACTCTGAGGTATCGAGTCGACTTCTTGAACTCGTCGCTTGCAAACTGCAGAATAACCTTCGAACTGGCGACCGTTCGCTCGCTGAGCTCGTGACGATCTGCCTCATACCTGCGGGCCCACGCACACAAATCAACGAGTTTGCAAGCGCTCTTCAAAGTGCGCTTTCCATGTTTGGATCCACACTGCTGCTAACGAGTTCAGTTATCGATGAAATTTTCGCTGACGAAACGACTCATCGCCTAGACAACCTGTTTTACCGTTCAAAGCTCACTGGATGGATGGCAGAACAAGAGGAAGTGCATCGTTTCATCGTCCTCCAAGCGGATCCGCGTGCATCAAGTTGGAGTAAAGTTTGTGCGAGCCAAGCGGATTGTGTATTAGTCGTGGCACACGGCAATCATGAGAATAAGATGCCGCTTCTGTACGAGCAACGACTACTTTGGCGCACACGAAACAGCGCACGTCCAGAACTGGTACTAATTCACGAGCCTGGAAGCACGCCGTCGCAAACAAAGACTTGGCAGGAAAACAGAACTACAATCAAACGCCATCATCACGTGAGACTAGCGTCGAGGGATGACATGTCACGCCTCGCGAGGTATGTGTCCGGACATAGCGTTGGCGTGATCTTGACCGGCGGAGGCGGCGGTGGTTTGGCTCATTTGGGCGCGTTACGTGCGCTCGAGGAGAATGGAATTCCAATCGATTGTATCGGTGGCACCAGTCAAGGCACGCTCACAGCAGGGATGTATGCTAGGACATTATCAACATCGCACATACTCCCAATGCTTCGCAACAACATGCACGTTCTGAACTCTCCTCATCATTTGCTCACCGATCTCACACTCCCGCTGCTTTCGCTCTTTAGCGGCAAGGGCTTGGACACCATCATCAAGAGTTCCGTGGGCGCTGATACCTCCATCGAAGATCTGTGGCTGAACTTTTTCTGCTGTAGCACAAATTTAAACAAACAGTGTTTGAATGTGCACACTTCTGGACGTCTTTGGCGGTGTATTCGAGCGTCGATGACGGTTCTCGGGCTCTTGCCTCCGGTTCGCGACGAGAATGGTGAGTTACTCGTTGACGGGGGCTACCTGAACAGCGTTCCCGTAGACGTGATGCGAAAAGAGATGGGAGTCGAGACTGTGATCGTTGTGGACGTAGAAGACAAAGATTTCATTAGCTTCCGCGATCTCACGCCGCACGATGGAGGCATGAGCAGTTTCGGCTTGCTGTGGGATCGATTGAACCCGTTTGACTCGCGCAAGTCAAAGAGTGCCTCAGAACGACTGGATCACCCATCGTACGCGGACGTTCTGAACGCATTGACGGCGACGACGACGAAGAAGCACCTCGAGCTCGTCGCGCGAGACCATCGAATCAACATGCACCTCCGACCTCCAGGCGTGTCTTCGTGGATGGCTCACGGCTTGACGTTGTCTCAGATGGACGCTGCGGTGCGAAAGGCACAAGCGTACACGAACACCGCCATCACGAACTGGAAGCACAAAGCGAAGGAGGAACGGCGAATTTCAGACGTCGACGTCAACAAACCTCACGCTGAACTCCAAATGGCCGCATCGGCGTTTGCCGCCGTTAGCGATCCCGAGTCGCCAAACATCTCTCCTCACGTCTCTCCGCGCAACAGTTTCGACAGAAACCGCGTTTCACCTCATCGCTCACCGCGAACGAGCGGGTCAAAGTCAACGAGCTTGCCCAAACCGCCGAATATGCGCGTGAACGTTGTCACCGAGCGAGCTTCGGACTCCATGAAGCAGCGCACGACTCGCAAATCCGGCGCCACGCCTCGCGCCGCCCTCTTGCCGAGCAACGACCCCGCCGAGACTGCGTCTACGCTCTCTCCGCGTCCTGGTTCCCAGCTTGTTCGCACGTTCACTGATCACAGCCAATCAGACGCTCCCTTAGCGATCGATCCAGCGCTGTTCATGAGCACGCAATCGCAAAATTAATGTCCGCACGAGGACAGTGTAACAACAGAAAACCAACCCGCCCAGACGCCGCACTTTAAGACGCACACACGATGCTTTCCGCGTCGCAATCCATCTCCAGCGTCCGCGCATTCACGCGCACGTCGACCGTCACTAAGCGTGCGTCTAGTGTCCGCGGTCCGGTCAAGGTACGCCTTCGCGAGACGACGCTTCGCGACGCGACTCGACGGGATGACGATGACGACAGCAGCCCTCGCCTCGCCGCGAACGAGTCCTCGACTGACGACGCGTTGTGACCGCAGGTGAACGCGCTGACGTGCTCGACCGCGGATTTCAAGGTTGGACTCTCGCTCGAGATCGACTCCAACCCGTGGAGAATCACCGGTGCGTGCGGGCGATGACGAACGGCACGCGTACGCTTTATCCACTCGCAGGCGCGAGAGCGACGGCTGCTCGCGCAAATCGCTTAAATGCACGAAGACGAGGCCACGACTGACGGAAATCGATCGTCGATTGTCTTGAGTAGAATTTATGCACGTACAGCCCGGTCGCGGGTCGGCGTTCGTGCGCACGAAGCTCAAGAACTTACTCACCGGGAACACGAACGAAAAGACGTTTCGCTCTGGCGAAAAGTTTGAGCTCGCCGAGGTGACCAAGGATACTATGCAATACACGTACATGGACGGCGACGACTACATGTTCATGAACATGGAAACTTTCGAAGAGCTTCGAGTGCCGCCGTTAGCGGTGAGTAAGTTTGTGAAGGAGGGCATGGACTGCGGCATCGTGCAGTGGAAAAGCAAAGTCATCGGCTGCGAGGTGCCGAACCCGTACACGTTCGAGGTAGTGCAGACCGATCCGGGATTGAAGGGCAACACCGCGAGTGGTGGCGATAAGCCGGCGACTATCGAAACCGGTGCGGTCGTGACCGTGCCGCTCTTCGTGAACATCGGCGACTCCATCATCGTGAACACGGAAGACGGCACGTACAAGTCGCGTGCTTGAGCTTATTGTTTGTCATAAGTCAGCGCACCTACATATTCTATGCTCCCTACAAATGTCCGCGGCGAAGCGTGCGATAGACCCGATCGCCGTCGCGGCCCGTAAGCTCGGATACGTCGCGCGAAGCGCTCTCAAGCTCGTCGAGTTGGACGACAAGTTTCGTCTCCTGCGCTCGAAGAGCCGCATCCTCGATTTGGGCTGCGCGCCCGGGGCGTGGATCCAAGCCTGCTGCGCGCGCGGGGAGAAGCACACGGAAGTGTTAGGAGTGGACCTTCAAGACGTGGAATTATCGGGCATGCGCTACATCGATGAGGCACGCGTGAGAACGCTCGTTCGGGACGCGCACGAAGCGACTCTGAATGAACTCGGCGGGGCGCACTCGTTCGATCTAATTCTTAGCGATATGATGGCGAACACGAGCGGCATTGCGAGCGTAGACGCGGCGGCGTCGTTGCATTTGGCAGAGTGCGCGGTAGATGTCGCGATGAGTCGCGGCGGCGGCGAAGGCGCGTTGCGTTTGCGTGGCGACTTGGTAGTGAAGATTTTAGAAGGTGACGGAAGCGTAGAGGCACTTGTCGCAGCGTGTAAGCCACGGTTTGCCAAGCTAAATTGGTTCAAACCGAAGGCGACGCGAAGCGAGAGCAAGGAAATTTATCTAGTTGCTCGCGGGCGGACGTCGTGACGCGTCTAACTGTAGGTTGTCAATATCAAACTAGTATCTAGAGCGAGATAACGTCGCATACGCGAGACCGACTGCGCCAACGCACACACCGGCGACTAAAGCGGCTTCAATCGTAAAGTACCGCGCGTACAATGCTGTCGTCTCGGCGGATGAGCACGGAGTGTCGCTTCCGCACGTCGAGCAACCGTTCGCCTCAGTCTTCTTCATGCGAACGCGTTTGCCTTTCGTCAGCTTCTCACGAATGGCTTTTGCCTCCTCTTCACTCGAAATAACGTTAAGCTTTACCCTGGCAACGGTAGGATCAACTTCTAAGACTTCTAAAACTCTCGCCTTGCAAGACCAACGGGCCGCTTCGTAAATTTCAACCATGGCACTCCGCCCCATCAAGCGCGCTCTTTGGTCTTCGCCTCCAGGTAAGAGTATTTGTGTGTAGTTTTTCGTATGAGCGACGAGCGATGTGCCGTCGCGCGCGATATCACTCACCCAAACGCGTTCGGTTTTACCAACCAAGTGCTCGTGAGGCATGTATGACTCGAAGAGCGCTGTGAGCTCGCGCGAACGTGCCTTGACTATTTGTGTCGGCACTCGCTTCATCTTCGCCGCGGGAGTCCCAGGCCGAGGATAGAACTGCGAAATGTGAACCTCTGGAAATTTATATTCTTCAATCAGGCTCATGGTTTCTTGCCATTGCTCGTCGGTTTCCCCCGGGAAACCGCAAATGATATCCGTCGCGATGACCATGCCTGGCACGGCGGCGAGCAACGTATCGCACACGCGTTTGAATTCTTCCACCGTGTACTCGCGCTTCATGCCCTCCAAGACAGCGTTGGATCCACTCTGTACCGGAATGTGCATCCAGGCGTACACTGATGGATGCCGCATCGCTTCGGCGACGGCGTCGAGGTGCGCCAAGATGTACGGTGGGTTCGTCATGCCGAGTCTAAGCATCACCGACCCATCCGTGGGCAAAACCGCAGTGATGGCGCGAAATAATGCGGCGACATCGGTGCCCAAATCGATCCCATACGCGCCAGTGTCTTCTGAAGACAGCCACACTTCCGAGACGCCCTCCGCCATCGCTTGTTCGACTCGACTCACCAACGCAGAAATCTCGTACGACCCGAGATCACCGCGCGCGTGTTTCGTCTTGCAATACGTACACGCACCTAAACAGCCCGTGCTTAACGGCAGTATTTCCACGAACTCGTTCCGTCGCACCTTTGGCAAATCGAGCGAGGGCAAGGCTTTCTTCTCCAGCATCCGCACGGTGTCGCCCGCCAACGTTCGCTCCATCGCCTCCACCACGCGATCAATCTGCGTCACGCCCAACAGGCTGACATCTCGTAACTCCTTCGCACCCTTATCGCCCTGCGGCACGCATCCCGCGATGACCATCGCTTTATTCGCCGCTTTGCCTCGTTCGATGACGGTGTTCATCGCGCTCTGGCTCGGATTCTTCACCGTGCACGTATTCACCAACCACCCATCCGCCTTCTCCGGCGCGTCCACGAGTTCGTACCCGTACCGCCGCAATTGTCCCGCCATGAACTCCGAATCCGAGTGATTGTGCGAGCACCCAAACGTGTGAACGAAAATCTTCGCCGTCCCCGGCCGGCGCCCGCCTCCGCCTTCGCCTCCGCCTTCGCCTTCGCCTTCGCCGTCACCGCCCGCCCCCCCCCGCCGTCGCGCGCGCGCGTCCACCACCGCCTCCATCGCTCGCGCGCTCCGTCCGAGCCCTCGCTCGGCCGTCCCCACTCCCCCCGTCGCCGCCGCGCCCGCCGTCGTCGCCGCGCCATCGCGCGCGTCCTCGCCGCGCCGCGCGTCCTCGCCGCGCCGTCCCGCGCGCCGCGCGACGTCGAGAAAGATATCCTCCACGTCCTCCACGTCCTCCGCGTCCTCCACCGCCATCGCGCGGTCGCGCGGTCGCCGCGTCGCGCGATGGCGCGACGGCGCGACGGCGCCTCGCGTCGCGTGCCCCGCGCCCTATGTATACATGCGAGAAATTTCACGCGTTTAATCCCTCCAAGACGCCATCAACGGCGAAACGACGCGCCCCTTCGCGAAAAATCGAGATCTCACCGAATCTTCGCGTCGCGCGCGCCGACCCCCCCCCGAACGACGAATCGCGACTCGACGGCGCGATCCATTTCCCGCGGTCCGCGCGCGTCCACGGGGCGCGAGGCGCGGTGGAGACGGCGCGGCGCCCTAACCGCAGGACGCGCGCGCGACACTCGGCGACGCCGCGCGCGCCGCTCGGACCTCTCGATTCTCGCGCGCGACTTCGCGAGGGATCGAAAGGAAACAAATCTCGGACGCTCGCGTCGAAGGTCGCGCGAAAAGGCGCGACGCGCGACGCGCGAACGCGTCGCGACGAGGTGCGGCAACGGAATCAGACGCGACGCGCCCTCGGGATTTCGCGACGGCGCGCGGGCGGTGGGGACGCGCGCGCGAACGCGGTGAGCCCTGGGAGACGATCGGAAACGGTGGAGGGAAAGATTGAGCGTCGATCGCGCGCGCGGGGGGGGCGGGACGCGGCGACGCGCGCGCGGGGGGGGGGCGGGCGTCGGCGGTAACCTCGAAACGGGGGACCGAACGCGCGGACACCCGGAAAGATTTCACTGGGATTTTCCCGGGGCGGGGGGTCATTTCTTGAGTTTCGACTCGTGGAGGGTCGGCGAAGGCGAACGAACCGAGATCAGATCCCAAATTGGCGTATGGGTAAACAGTGCGAAGTGACTGACGACACGTGGCGCGCGCGCGAACGACAGAGGACGGACGAGTGATTGATATCAATTTTTTGCGCTAGACGTCGGGTCTAGTCGCGTTGTCGTCGTAAGGAACCACATCTAGATCGATCGAGCGAACACATTGTTCGACGACCGAACGCACATTTTCTCACCTTCATTAAATTAACGACAAACGCCGAACATGTCGACGTTGGATTTTGGCTACGGCGGCGACGCCGGTTTCACGTACGCTAACCTCGGGTTGCTCGGGAGCGACTCGGTGAGCTGGACGTTTGAGGAGGACAAATTCTTTGAAACGAGTTTGGCGCAGTACGATGGGTCTTGGCCCATCACGGGCGATGATTACTGGGGCCAACTTCAAGAACAGATGCCGCAAAAGGGCGTCCACGACTTGAAGAATCGATTCAGCAAGTTGGAAGAAGACGTGCGAAATATCGAAGCTGGTCTCGTACAGCTTCCAGACTATGACGATGACAGTGATCACCACGTCACCGCGGAAGTGAGCTTCAACTTTGCGCCGGCGAAACCTCTCAAGGCGACGGCTCCGCCGCCAACGCCGGCGCCCGCGCCCGTGCAGGCGCCGGCGGCGAAAAAGTCCAAAGCTGCCCCTAAGACTGGCGAACAAGAGCGTCGCAAAGGCGTTCCATGGACTGAAGAAGAGCACAAATTGTTCCTTCTCGGTTTGAACAAGTTCGGCAAGGGAGATTGGCGAAGTATCAGCAGAAACTTTGTCATCTCACGAACGCCCACTCAAGTGGCATCCCACGCTCAGAAATACTTCATCAGGCTTAACAGCATGAGCAAGAAGGATAATAAGCGAAGGTCGAGTATTCACGACATCACTTCTGCCACGGGCAAGGACTAAATTGGTCCTCGTGCGCGCCGACGATGTGCATCACATCGAAAATCGTCGGCTGGCTTGCAACACGGAGAGAGTGCGAACTTCACCTCCATCTTCCTGTACACACCAACATCCCATCTCGGAAGAGAAAAATCGAACACACAAACACATTGTTCGCGCTGTTTTTTTTGGCTTTTCGCTGCGTACTCATTAGAATTTGCTTACCATTGTACAATACTGCACTAAAATCGATGCAACTACACAACTCGCGTCTCGCGCGCTGGCTAAAAGCGTCGTCGCTACTCGCGCTCGCTACTTCATTTCACATCTTTCACCGCCGAGAGCAAATCGTGAACCACAGTCGACTTCGCCGCGCTCACTTTCGCTTGAAGCTTCGCCATCTCCTCATCGTACTCCGCTTTCAACCTCGAATCCGTCTCCGCCTTGTTCCCGGTTTGCTCCGCCACCATGCGCGCGTACCGCGCCTCCCGCTCCGCCCTGTACGCCGCGATCTCCCCCTTCGCCTCCTCCACCGCAGCGCGCAACCGCGCCGTTTTCTCTGCGTTTCACCGCGCATCGCGCGCGCGCAGTCGTCAGTCACCGCGACGCGTTCCCCCCGTCGTCCGTCGCCCCGTCGTTTCGATCGCCCTCGCGTTCGCACCTTCGCGCGCCGCGCTCACGATCGCCTGCGCCTCTTTCTCCGCGAGCATGAGCTTCGAGATCCCATCTCGCGACGCGTCCATCCGCGCGACGATCGCGCGCCCCGTCGCGTCGCGAACTCGCGCGCGCGCGCGACCTCGGTCTCCCTTTCGCGCACGACCGCAACACGGACCAAAGACGATCGATCGACGAAAACCCTCGCGCGCGGACGTCACACCGCGCGCACGATGTTCGCGTCCTCGACGACGTCCCTCGCGCGCCCGACGAACTCGTTCGTCACCGGGAATAACGATGGATTAAAGCGAACGATGATGCGCGGCGCCGCCGCGGTCAAGCGCGCGCCGCTCGTCGTGGAGAGTACGTGTCGCGACGCGACGACGCGAGGCTGGGGTCGGGCGACCCGCGCGCGAATGCGAGCGTCGCGCGCGCGCGTTCGCGCGCGGGGCGTCGTGAACGTCGCGGAAACGCGCGCGGCGAAATATTTAGCGCGCGTTCGCGGCGGTGCGGACGATGACGATGGACGGGCTCGCGCGCGCGATTGGGTGATTTGGATGGCGGACTGACGGTCGCGATTTCGCGCGCGGAAACAGACCTTCACGGGATGTCCGGACGCAAGTGCATGTTGACGGGGAAGAAGGCGAACAACGGTCGCACTGTTTCGTTCTCGCACATTCGTAACAAGACGCTGCAGCAGGTTAACTTACAGGTGCGTGACGCGCGAGGACGATGGCGAAAGGCTGGGGGCAACCCTGAAACCCTGAACGGGCGCGCGCGACGACTTGGCGACGCGCAGGACGAGTGTGTGAGTGAGAGACTGACGGAGAGAATATTTTATCGATAACAGTACAAGCGCATCTACTGGCCGGAGCAAAAGCGCTACGTGCGCCTGCGCATCTCCACCAATGCGTTGAAGACGCTCAACAAGCTCGGGTTGGAGGAGATGGCGAAGCGCGCCGGGTTGGATTTGGCGTCGTTGCCGTACATTGATGCGGATCCGGAACGCAAGCAGTGGTTGGCGGAAAATGGTTCGGAACCGGTGAAGCAGAACAAGCGCGCGCCGAAGGGCCCGAAGCCGCTTTACATCCCGAAGTGGAAGGAGGCCAAGTTGGCGAAGATGGACGCCTCGGCGGCGGCGGCCGAAAAGAAGCGCTTCGCGGAGGCGAACAACATGATTGTCGCTTAATTCTTTGGCTGAGCTTGGCTGTTTGGTATAATTTAGATTCGAACGGAAGATTTTGTTTAGAAGAAGCGATTGCGATGTAATCAAAGTCTAAATCTTTCACTTAAAATCATCTTCGCCGCACCCATCACCCCATAAATTTTAAGCAATAGTCGGCGCCGTCCTCCGCGCACATCCCAAAGTCTTGCGATCGACTTCCGATCGCAACTGCGGTTTCTGCAGCTTCTCTGTACGCGATCGGATTCTGCGCCACGGCTTTCGCGATGCCTTTGGATGCATCGTTGATTCTCTCATGGGCGACGTGCCAGCTCGAGTCGTACGCCGGGACGCCCGTGCGTTTCGTCACTCTATTTTTCAGCTTCGTATCGTCCACTTCAAAATTGATCCCATACGTGTCGTGAGATGCAATCAAAGGCATGATGTCTCCCACGCTGACCTTAAGTTCCTCGACGTACTGCACCGCCTGTTGCCACGTCTTCCCTTTTTGCGAGCCAACGTACGGCGAAGTCGTCAATTCGTTTTCGTCGTCCAACTCGAGCTTGAACCAAAAGGCCACAGCGTTGAATATTCCATCCTCATCGACCTCAAACTCCATCATATTTTGCGCCGGGTTCAAATTTTCGATGTACTTGTTGAAATCAAAGTCAAACACCGGCTTCCATGGCGCAAGGGGCTTCCACTTCTCGCGGCAAAGCTCGAGGTTGATGCCCTCGTAGTCGTCTCGCCAACGCCAGCGGTTGGCCTGAGAAAAATCAAATCCCGAGACTTCGTGAGTTCGCAACTGAATAGGTTGAGCGTATACTGTCGCCGCTCGAGGTATAAGCGTCGCATCTGGGGCAAGTAAACGATGCTTCGCCATCCCAACAATGTGCAGCGCGCCCTCGCCGATCAACCCGCTGTCAAACACCTCATACACGAGCACATTCGATTTCCTCTCCATCTCGGGCGGGTTGCCGTCAGGTTTCAAGCCGTGCTTGATCAATCCTTCCGATTCCTTGGTGAACAATCGTCGAGCATCGCGATTGAGATACATGATGGAAGTTCCATAACCGTTCATGCAAACCGTTTCCTCACCCGCGTCGCACATGTGAGGGCTCATCTCGACCGCATACACAGAATCGGCACCGGCACGCATGGCAAACATGGAAAGTAGCCCATTACCCGCGCCGACGTCCAAGACTTCATTCCGCAACTTCAGTTCTTTACGACGTGCTATCGCGCTCTTGATCGAGCATTCGTATGCGTTGTTGCGCGAGGCGTCGTTCAACATGTCGTAATGCCAACTGGGAATATTGGCGTGCCGTGGACGCGTCGAGGGCGGGGTCGACGAAAAGTAAAGTCGATCAGAATCGCGCTGAATTCGAAGTTCGATGGATTCACCGCACTTGATGGGTATCTCATCCAAATACTGCACCGCCGCGCCCCAAGAGCTCGCCGCGGCGCCCCGATCGCCGTCGACATCGTAACTTTTCAGCTCGACTCCATCGCAAAGCTCACACTCGAACCAAAAGGCAATCGCGTTCCATGTCCCCTCTTTAATCGATGTGACGTACGTGATATCGTCTTGCTCCATCGAGCTCGAGGGCTTCTTGCCGGCGAGCGCCGTCGTCAAGCGTTGTTGCGTGTCAATATCTGACACGTCGAAAGGATCAGAAAGCACAATGTGAGGTTCCGAAAAGAGGTCTAACTTCGCTGCTTGCGGGTGCCATCTATAAGCATTCAACGCACTCAAATCAAATCCGCTGACTTGATCCAAACGAAGCTCGATGAGTTGAGCCTTTACTCGAACGCGAGAAGGAATGACACGAGCGCCGGGAGTCGCCAACTTCTTCTCTCCCACGTGATCGATGGCTCTCAACAGCCCTAATCCGAACGTCGCGTGATCGAGTAAGTCCGTGACTACGAGATCGGACGGCTGAGGTACGATTTGCGGCTTGTCGTCGCTTGCGTCATCTTCCTCCATGAGCGAACACTTGTCGAGTTTTTGATCTAGTAATTGAATCGTCCCTTTCGCAAACTGTCCAGCGTTGGATTTTAAAACTTGTTTTGCCATACGATATAAAAATCGGTTTCGTTCGACGCCTATCACGCTCTTCAGCCCTGCCCGAGCGGTGATGAGCGGCAAGATGCCCCCCCCTGCCGAGACGACCAACGCCGAGTTTAATTCCCCGGGTTCAGCGTCCGCAACCGTCAACTCTATCGCCTCTTTATACGCAGCGATGCGCACGTTATCCTCGAGCAATTTTAATGCTTTCTTGGGCGCCCCGAGCTCGCTCAACGCGTGCGCGTAAGCGATGATATTCAACCTTCCGGGATCCATGTCGAAGAGACTGGCGTCGAGTTTTCGCAAACACATCTGAGGAATAAACGTCGGTCTCCACTCGTAATCCTCCAACTCCCAATCCGGTCCAGACATTGCCTGCTTCCAAGAGTTAAGGGTCTCCGTGCGACGATCTTCCGCGCGCGCTTGTCGAAGTTTATACGCCAAATTCCTCCGCGCCGCTCTCGTCTCCGCGACGACGCGTTCGCGCTCGTCCTCGTACAACACTTCCGCCTCTTCCAGCCGCTCTTTCATGTCCACGCTCTCCGGCGCGAGCTCCAATCCACGTCTAAACGCCGCCACGGCCTTACCGCTCTCAAAAGCCGACATGAGCGCGCATCCCAACCTATAATACCCTTTCGCCCACGTCTCGTCCGCGCGCACGCACGCCGCCGCGTCCCGCAACGCCTCCTCCACCAACCCCATCCCCAGCGCCGCCGCGCTCCGATTCGAATACAGCGTTTTATCGTCCTCGCGTCCCGCGATCGCCACCGTGTACGCCTCCATCGCCTCCCCGTACGCCCGTCTCGCGAACGCCTCGTTCCCTCGTCGTTTCGCCGCTTCCACCGCGTGTCGAAGCGCCCCCGCGTCGATTTCCCGCGCCTCCGCGCTCGAGCGCGCCATCCTCACCCGCGCGTCGTCCTCGCCGCTCGCCCACCGCGCGTCGCCGAGTCGCGTCCTCGCGCGCCGCGACGTCGCGTCCTCGCGCGCGCTCGAGCGTTTCGAAAAAACGCTCACGTGCGAGACCACACACACGGACCTTTTTTGATCGCGCGTCCCGCCCGGGACGCGCGCGGCACGCGCCTCCGCTCGCCTCCGCTCGACGCGCCGTCTCGCGACGCGCGAGCGCGCGCGCGCGCCATGGCGTCGAAGATCAGCCACATCCCCGCCGTCGTCAGCTCTCCCGCGCTCATCGCCGCGCTGCTGAGCTTCAGCATCGCGCAAATCGCGAAAGTGTTCACGCACTATCACGCCACGGGCAAGGTGGACTACTCGCGGATCGTCGGCTCGGGCGGGATGCCGAGCTCGCACACCGCGCTGGTCGTCGGCCTGTGCACGTCGATCGGACTGAAGGAGGGGATGCAGTCGAGCATATTCGCGCTGTGCCTGGTGTTCTCGCTGGTGGTCATGTACGACGCCACGGGGGTGCGCCTGCACGCGGGACGACAGGCGGAGGTGTTGAATCAGTTGATCGTCGAACTGCCCAGGGATCATCCGCTGACGGATTCGAGGCCGCTGAGAGACACGTTGGGACACACGCCGATACAGGTGGTGGTGGGGGCGATATTAGGGATGTCGGTGGCGTACGCGCACTTCGTGTACTGGATGTCGACGTATTCGCTCTAGCGTCCGAAGACGCGCGAGCGCGAATCGTCGTTCGTTCGATCGATCGCTCGACGCGCGCGGGACGCGCGCGCGCGATCGACGACGGCTTTCGCGCCGCGCGTCTTCGGACGCGATCCCGGTCGCGGTGCGTTCGCGATCGGGAATCATCTAATCTAATTCACGTAGTCGCGGCGCCGAGGCGTCGTTCCTTGTCGCACTAGAAGCTAGAAAACAAACTCGGGCCGCACATCGACGCGCCATGCCGCGCGCGAAGTCGTCGTCGGAAACCTTCGATGCGCTTTACGACGAACTCACGCGCGAGCGCGCGAACGAGGCGAGCGAGGCGTCGACGTCGACGAGTTTAAAGTCGCCGAACGTTGCAAAAGATTTGCGCGAGCTCGTCGAGCGCGTTCGGATTCCTCGCGCCGAGCGCGCGGCGCCGGCGAGCGAGCTCGACGTCGAGGAGGACGAAACGTTCGAGCGCGCGTTCGAGGCGTTCGCGTCGCGGGAGGGAGGGAGACGGCGAAAAGAGACGCGGAGGGAGGACGCGGGGGCGAATTCGAGTCCGCGACCGCGCGCGCTCGAGACGCCGGAGACGCTCTTACGTTTACTCCGCGAAGAGCAGCGCGCGCGCGCTCGAGTGGAGATGAAGTTAGATGAATTAGAAGCGGATCGATCGAAGCGAGACGCCGAGGCGTGGGAAGCGGTGGAAGATGCGCGATCGACGGCGAACGAGTGGCGAGAGCGGTGCAAACAGTTGCGCCGCGACGTCCCAGAGCGATGGTTGGGCGTGTTCGAGTCGTACGACGACGAGATCGATCGACTCGGGAAAGAAAACTTCGCGTTACGAGAGTGCCGTCACCTCGAGCTCGCCGAGAGGCTGTCCGCGAACGAGGTCTCGGACGCGAACGAGGAGTCGCCGCGCCTCCGCCGCGCGCTTCGCGCCGTCACCCTCGAGCGCGACGCCGTGACCGTCAAACTCGCCGACGTCGCCCGCCGCGAGCGCCAGATGAGTCTCATCAAGCGTCACGCCGAGGGCGTCTCCGCTCGTCTCGCTCGCGTCGAGCGTCTTCTCGTCTCCGAGCGCGCGTCTCGCGCGTCCTCCGACGCGCGCGCGTCTCGCGCCGACGCCGCCGTCGCCGCCCTCATCACCGATTACGAGTCCCAGCTCACCAGCGCGCGCGCGTTGATCGAAAAGCTCGCCCTCCGCTGCGACGCCGGGGACTTGATCGCCACCGCGCGCGAGCACGACCGACGATTTCCCGCGCGTTGCGCGTCCTAGCCTTGTCCGCCATCCCCCTATAGCCAAACAGTTCGACCACCGTTTCATCGCGCGCGCGCCCGCGTCGACGTCGACGCCGCGGCCGCACTTTTCGACGCCATGTCCGCCGCGCGTTCGACCGCCTCCGTCCTGACCCCGCGCGCGGCGCGCCCGCGCGTCGAGCGCGGATCGCGCGTCGCGCGACGCGCCTCCGCCGTCGCCGTCCGCGCGAGCGCCTACGGTGCGACGACGACGACGCGACGACGACGCGACGACGCGAGATGGATGGATAGAGGGTTCGCGAGATGCGGGACGCGGGACGCGGGACGCGCGACGCGCGACGCGACGAACGACGCGCGCGACGCGAACGCGAGACTGACGACGCGATCGCGGGTTTACGCGACGCAGACGTGACGGTGAGCGACACGAAGGCGAAGTTCTTGCAGGCGTACCCGTACCCGATCCCGTCGGTGTGGTCGACCGTCACGCAGGAGCTGCTCGTGCAGGGACACTTTGCGAAGTACAACGCGAAGAGCGAATACAGCGAACTCGCGTCGCTGGGATTCGTGAGCGTGTTCGATCAGCTCTACGAGGGATTCCCGAGCGAGACGGAGAAGGTTAAAATTTTCAACGCGTTTTTGGGCGCCCTCGGGGAGGACGCGGCGAAGACGCGCGCGGACGCGGAGGCGCTCGGCGCGTTCGCGGCGTCGGCCGGCGGCGTGGATGGCCTGAGCGCGAACCCGATCTTCGCGACGATGGCGGCGAAGAGTGCGGAGAATAAGCTCATGTACACCAAGTACATCGCGATCGGTATCTTCAGAATGTTGGAACTCGCCAAGGCGACGGATCCGAAGGCGCTCGAAGCGCTCGCGCAAGCCGGCGGATTGTCTTTCAAGAAGGTGAACGGGGATCTCGCCATGTACAAGGGTTTGCTCTCCAAGCTTGCCTCTGCGAAGGAGTTGCAAGAAGAGTTCTTGGAGCGGGAAAAGCGCAAGACGGCGGAGCGCATGGCGAAGAAGGCTGAAGCACAGGCCGCCGCGCAAGCCAGCGAATAATATTCTCAATCTTCACGTTGTAGTAAATACTCCATTGATCAGCGCCTGCGCTCGACTAAAACTCGCGCGAGCGCGCGCGATGTCCTTCACCGAGGCGTTTAAAGCGATACCCCAGGTATAAACGCGTCTCGGCGCGCGCGACCCGCGTCCGAACGTCGCCCCCATCGCTTTTTATCCAACTCTCTGACGCGACGACTTTCTGCGCGCAGGACCTCGCACGGTGCGCCACGCCCGCGCAAAAGCTGACGAGATGCACGCAACTGGCGAAACTCATCGTGGATGAAATCTCAGGGCTCGTCGTGAAGGTACCGTACGGGTACAGGGCGATTAGGACGCACAGAAAGCTGCCGAGGAGAGGCGAGCGGGACGGCGCCGCCGCGAGCGCCGCGCGGGATGGGGTGACGTTGTCCCGTAAAGTTCGCTACGACGAAGGTGAGAGATGCGTGATGGATATTTACGTTCCAGATGGCTTGGTTGCGGGCGCGAACGCGCCGGTGTCGCTCTTTGTGCACGGCGGCGTGTGGGCGAGCGGCGAGGCTTGGCAGTTTTCTCCGATGGCGACGGCGCTCGCAAAGGAAGGAGTCATTTGTTGTGTCGTCACGTACTCGTTGTTTCCGAGAGCCGATGCGATTCAAATGTGGGATGAAGTTTCGCGGGCGCTGTCTTGGACATTGGATAATATTGGTGAATACGGCGGCGATGCGAACCGCGTTTCCATCGTCGGTCACTCGGCTGGGGCGCAACTGTGCGCCAGGGCGCTTCTACAGCGCGCGGGAGTGCAGAACGTGAAATCGACGACGAATAAGCGTGAGTGGCACGCCGATGCGAGGATGCCTCGGAAGTTTATCGGCATCGCGGGCGTTTATGACGTTGGGTATCATTACGACTACGAAGACTCGCGCGGCGTCGCCATCGTGAGCACGATGGCACGAGCGATGAATGGAGCTGAAAACTTTGACGTGTGCAGTCCAGCACAGTTGATGCCGCAGCGTAGTAAAACTGCTGAGCCCGCGATTCCAGGGCCTACAGATTTAGTGGGCGATTCGATGTCCAAGATGGCTGGATTCCACAGGAGAAGCGTAATTGCCGCCGACGCGTCAACGGACGCTTTCAATTTCCCGCCGACAGTCCTCATGGCGGGCTGCGCCGATATCACCGTGCCGTGGCACGAGAGCGCGGACTTTTACTGGAGACTTCAAGACGCTGGGGTGTCGTCCAGGTTGCTATTGTACCTAAAGGAGGGTCATGTCGATTTCGTGCTCAACTGGAATGAAAAAGGCGGCGCAAAGATGCCGGCAGAAGCGGATCACTTGGAGCCTTACGCGCGTGATTTTGTCCGCGTGTTGAAGGACTAGATGACTAATTCTTAGCCGTTAGCACTAAACTGTTCGTATTGTCGATACTACAAATGTTAGATTACGCAGCCGCGTCGCCGGCGTCACCTTCCATCGCGTCGTCGCCTTCCTCTGCGTCCTCGACATCGACGTCATCGTGCGCTTCACCCCTCGCCTTTGATTGTGCGCGGCGCTCGGCAATCTCTTCTCGCCTTCTGCGAATCGTTTCCAAAGCTTTTCTGATTCTTTCGAGTTGCGACGCGCGCCAAGCGTCCAACTTTTCCAAACTCATTTGCGAAGCTGCGGCGTCTTCGCTCGTGGGATTCTTCGGCTTATACACGAGCACGGGCTCAGTCGTGGTCAATATACCCCCATCATGTATTTTAGATTTCATCTCTTCGTATTCTGCCTCGATCAATGCTCCCTCTGTCTCCTTAAACTTCAAATCCAACTCAAACTTTTTCCTTTCGTCGGCTTCGCGCTTTTCTAAAAACGCCTTGTACTGCGCCTCCTTCAATTCCCGACTAATCTCCTCGTTCTTTCCCGAAACCGCTGCCTCGATGGACTTTCTCTTCGCCAAAACCTCTTTTTCCTTCTCTTCTATGTTTGATTTACTCTTTCTCAGCGTCCCGAGAAGTCCCGCGAACAGACGTCGCTCGCGCTGTCCCGCCTCTGCCTTCGGCCTCGGTACCGCGCTCGCCTCATCCATCTCGCGATCGTCCGCTCCGTCCTCATCGCGCATCACCCGACGAGCTTTCGCATTTCGCACCGTGTGCGCGGATTTCGCGCGTCTACTCGACGCAAGCGCGCGTAATCTCTCGTTCGCCTGCGCGTTCCGTCGAACGAGTCGCGTCGTCAGTGTCGGTCGGTTTTTATCGTCGCCGTCGCGTCGTTCGAGAAAAACGAGGTCGTACCTCTCGTCGTTCACCGCCTACGGCGGTCAACGCGCGTCGAAGGTCGTCGACGGAGGACATTATTCGGGCGATCGGGCGCTCGCGTGTGATGCTTGGCAGTTTCTACTACACGGTGTCGTCGCTCCTAAAACGGTTCTAATCACGTAAACATTCCCTCCGGCACGCCTTCCTTCTTCTTGTACAAAACCTTTTCTTTAGCCTTGCTGAAGTCGGCGTGCGTTACTTGCATTCGGCGCTCACGTAAGGCGAGCAAACCGGCTTCGGTGCAAAGCGCCTTGATGTCGGCGCCCGAGAGTTCGTCCTTGGCCATGACAAATTCCTCCAACTGTACGTCGGCGGAAAGGTTCATGCGCCCGGTGTGAATGTTGAAAATGTGTCGCTTTGTCTTGACGTCCGGTAAAGGGAATTCAATCTTTCGATCTATTCGACCCGGGCGTAAGAGCGCGGGGTCGAGCGATTCGATTCTATTCGTAGCCATGATGACCTTGACGTCGCCGCGCGAGTCAAAACCATCCATCTGGTTCAGTAACTCTAACATCGTACGTTGGATCTCGCGCTCGCCGCCCGATTGAGAATCGTATCGCTTCGTACCGACGGCGTCGATCTCATCCATGAAAACGATAGAGGGACTCATCTCGTCGGCGACGCGGAAGAGCTCGCGCACGAGCTTCGGGCCGTCGCCCAAGTATTTTTGAATCAATTCAGATCCAACGATGCGCAAAAAAGTCGCGCTCGTTGAGTTCGCCACCGCCTTAGCTAACAGCGTCTTCCCAGTTCCCGGAGCTCCGTACAAGATCACCCCTTTCGGCGGCTTGATGCCGATGTCTTCGTACAGTTCGGGGTGCGTCAGCGGCAACTCCACGGCTTCCTTGATCTCTTGAATCTGATCCTCTAATCCCCCAACATCGGCGTACGACTCCAACGGCGCCTTATCAACCTTCATCACGCTCACCATGGGATCGACGTCGTCCGCCAGAGTCCCCACGACGGCAGAATTCTTGTGATGCAACAGCACCGCGCACCCCGGTTCGAGCTGACTCTTGTCCACGAACGACGCGATGTTCACGTAATACTCCGGCCCGATCGACGACGACACGATCCCGTGCGTGTCATCGATGATCTCCTCCAACGACCCCACGCTCATCGGCGCCCCCCGCATCTCGTCAATCTTGCTCTGCTCGTCCTCGTCCCGCTCCTCTCGCGGCTTCAACCGCTCCTGATTCCCCACGAACTCCTCCTCCATCAGCAAATAATCCTTCACCCGCTCCAGCTTCAGCATCCGCAGCTTACACTTCGACTGCGGCGCGACGTTCGGCAATCGCGTGCTGCCCTCGATCCCGGTCTTCTTCTTCTTCTTTCCCACGCGCATCGGCGGCGCGGGCGGGACGTACTTCTTCTTTTCCTTCTTCTTGCCCCGGCCGTGGCGTCCGTCGGCGCCGTCGCCGCCGTCCGCGCTCTGTCCCTGGCCCATGTTCGCTCGCGCGCGCGCGTCGCGCGTCGATCGTCGCCGTCGCTCGCGCCGTCGCTCGCGCCGTCGCCGTCGCGCGTCGAGACGCGTCGCCGTGTGGCGCGCGCGCGCGAGATCGGCCCGCGCGTTTGACCGAACGGCCGGCGCGGGCGTGTTCGTATGTCTGTACGCGCAAACAGTGTAAACGCGCGGTCGGTCGGACCGTCCATGCGACCGACCGGACGCGTTTTCGTACGCGCAAACAGTCCGGCGGATGTGAAGCATGCGCGGTCGGTCGGACGCCCAACGGCACACGGGCCGTCCGCGCGACGGATCGCCACCGTCACTCGCGCGCGCGCGCGACGCTCGCGTCCCGCGCCGTCGCGCGCGGCGTTCGCGCGACGATGGCGGACGTCCATCGTTTCGTGTTCAGGCTCGCGTGCGCGCTGTGGTTCGCGCTCGGATGCGCGCTCGGACGCGCGAGCGCGTCGTTGGGACGGCGCGCGACGACGCGAAAGGATGCGAACGAGACGTCGGCGACGGCGTCGAGGGCGAGACGCGCGGCGAGCGCGCGCTCGGAGACGACGACGGGGACGGCGAGCGCGGCGCCGATGGATTTGGGGGAGAGCGCGAGCGCGGCGGGCGGCGGCGAGGCGGACGGCGAGGCGCGCGACGGCGAGGAAGCCGAGTCGGCGTTCGCGGGGATGGACGACGAGATGGAGGACGCGTTCGTGGACGAGAGCGAGACGCGCGGCGATGGGGACGACGGCGAGGGAGCGAGCGAGAGATTCGGGAGCGCGCCCGCGACGTTCGCGAGTAAGGAGAACGGGACGGCGAAGACGGGCGGGGACGTCGCGGCGGAGACGTCGCGGGGGGACGAGTCCGGATCCGCGGCCGAGGACGAGAGTGACTCCGCGGAGACGAAGGAAAAGATGTACTTTGTCGCCGAACAAGTGTCGGAGGCCACGAGCGCTTTAAACGCCGCGGACGACGAGCGCGCCAAAGCTCGCGCGGAGGCGAATAAGATTGAGTGGGAACGACGCGCCGAGGAGCTGGCGAAGCAGCGCGAGGAGGCGCGGCGACTGAAGCAAGCGGCGAGAAAGGAGAGACGCATGATGGAACGCTCTCAGACGTTTAGGCAAGAGGCTGAAGATCGCGCCAAGGAAGCGGATTCACTGAATGAATATCGCGTCTCGGCGCAGACGGCGCTCAAGTCGGAGGGGTTGTATTTCATAGCGGAAAACGGCGATTTGGCGACGTTATTGCTGCGGTTGGGAACGCACGAGGACGGTAAGAACATCGAAACTTCGTACAAAAAGGCTTTATTGAAGTTTCATCCCGATCGCTCCGCGGCGCGCGGAGGAACGTTAGAGGACAACGCGCGTTGCGAGGAAACCTTCAAACTCCTGCAAGCGTGTCGAAAGGTTTGGGAAAATATGGGCAAACCCAACAAGGCGTTCACTCGCGCGCAGCCGTCGATGACGAGGCAGTGGACTCGCGCGACGAGTTCGAGCACGCAGACATACTCGACGTCTCCACCGAACAATAACGCCGCGTACGAAAGCTACCAAGCTGGCCGACGCTCCGCTGAAGCTGAGGCGCGAGATAATCAGTCCGAAGTGAACGCCGCGTTCGTACAAAAAGCCAAACAGGAAGCCACTGAGGCAGAAAATCGTATGCGTACCGAAGCTGCTCGACGTTGGCGAGAGTTGCAGAAGATGCAGCGCGAAAAGTCTCAGCGAGAGTCGAAAGCAGAAACAACACGCGTCGATTCCCTACAAAAAGCGCGAGAGCGAGAAGAGTTGCGCAAAAAATTGGAGGAGATCAAGCGCACGTCCGCTTCGTTTCCAATGTCAGAAAATGTGTCTCCCGCGAGCGAAAGAACTAATCTCAGCCCAGGTGTGAGCAGAACTTTGTCTGGCACGCGAGTTCACGTGAACGTGAAGCCCACGGTGTCGCCGGGCATCGACGCGTACGACGCCGTGAGCTCCCAGTCGGCGCGAGCGACTTCACCGCGTAGCCCGCAAACGAAAGAGCAGACTCTACACAGGCTGTGAAGTCTATACCAATATTAGTCCGTTGTTATATTATGCATATGTATTGAATAATTTTTGTCTACAGCAACGCTTCAAAGTCCGCACGTGCGGCCTTGATGGAATCAATTTCTTCAGCTTGCTTAGCGATCTTGTCGGCGTTTTCGTTGCGAACCTTCTCCGGAACCTTGGTCTCGTAGCCATCTTCTTGCGTCTTTTTGACGAGCGCTTCTGTCGATTTGGTGAGCAAATCAAGCTTCTTATCGAGCTTGGCAATTTCCGTCGCGGCGTCGACGATTCCCTTCAAGAGAACATAGACCGTCACGGACTCGTTCACGATGCTCACCGCGCAACCCGGCGGCGCAGATTCACCTTGAGCCAGCTGTTTCAACTCACCGACGCCCGCGAGAGAGACCAAACCTTCTGGATCAATCTTCATCGCCGCTTCGCTGTCATCCGTCTTGACACTGTAGAAAACATCCGGTCTCGCTCTGGGAGGAAGGTTGTAGTTGGACTTCAACGATCGGAACGCCTTAACAGAGTCCATTATGATTTGCATCTGCGACTCAGCCGTGGCGTTGGCCCAAGAATCGACCGCGACTGGGTACTCAGCAATCATAATACTCTTCGGTGTGTTCTCATTGCGAGTGCGCGGAAGTCGCTGCCAGAGCTCTTCGGTGACGAAGGGCATGAACGGGTGGAGAAGTCTCAAACCAGCGTCGAGGCAAATCCAAAGCGCATCTCGCAGTTGTTTCTTCGCCATTTCATCCGATCCACTCATAACAGGCTTGATGATCTCGATGTAAACGTCACAGAGTTCGTATTGCCAGAACGCGTACACAGAGTTCGTGGCGGTGTTAAAATCGTACACTTCCATACCCGCGTTTGTCGACGCGCATGTTGCATTCAAGCGGCTGAGAACCCACTTGGCCGCGAGCGGAAGACTTTGTACATCGAAAGTAGCGTTGAAATCGGCCGGCGGCACGTATTCGTCACCCAAATTCATCATCGCAAACTTAGTCGCGTTCCAAAGCTTATTACACCAGTGGCGGTACGAAACGACACGGAGAACGTCCAGGTTGATGTCACGACCTTGAGCGGTGTAAGACACGAGCGCGAAGCGCATAGCATCGGTCCCACATTCTGGAATGCCATCGGGGAAGTCAGCCTTTTGACCCGCTTGCGCCTTTTTGCGTTCCTTCTCGTCGAGGTTACCGCCGACGAGAGTCTCGTTGAGGGCGGCCAAGTCGATACCTTCAATGACATGGAGAGGATCGATGACGTTACCGAGAGACTTTGACATTTTACGACCATGCGCGTCACGAACCATGGCGTGCAGGTACACTTGTTTGAACGGCACCTTACCAGTCAATTTCATGCCCATCATTACCATACGAGCGACCCAGAAGAACAAAATGTCGTGTCCAGTTTCGAGGAGGGACGTTGGGTAAAACTCGGCCAAATCCGGTGTCTCGTCGGGCCAGCCAAAGACGGAAAACGGAAACAAACCGGACGAGAACCAAGTGTCGAGCACGTCTTCGTCTTGTTCGAGTGTGAATTCTCGACCCGGGAACTTCTTCTCGGCCGAAACGCGCGCTTCATCGGCGTCACGACCGATGACCCATCGATCCATCTTCTCAGAGCTACCGCCTGGCATCCCACAGTCGTCGTCACCTTCGCCGGCGAAACGAACGTAGAAGGCTGGAATACGATGACCCCACCAAAGTTGACGGGAGATGCACCAGTCACGAATGTTCTCCAACCATCTGAACCACGTCGGTTCCATGAAAGTAGGGAGAATTTCAAGTCGCTTGTCGCGAGCGGCATCGCACGCCTCCTTTGCCATGTCTTGGCAATTGACCCACCACTGCGGCTTGAGCATCGGTTCGATGACATCCTTACTACGGCTACAAAGACCCAAACGCATCGGGTTGTTCGCCTTGCCCCGGTAAAGACCAAGCTTGTCGAGCGCCTCCGTGATGGCGACGCGGCACTCAAAGCGCTTCATGCCCTGGAATTGCTCGCCGCCTTGCTCGTTCACCAATCCTTCCTCGGTGAATACGTTGATAAACTCAAGATCGTGACGCTTACCGGTGTTGAAATCGTTCGGATCGTGGGCTGGGGTGATCTTCACGCAACCTGTACCGAATTCCATGTCGACAAGTTCGGCGTCGCAAATGATGGGAATACGACGACCGTTGAACGGGTGAAGAACGAATTTTCCGTGTAAGCTCTTGTAGCGTTCGTCTTCGGGGTGCACCGCAACAGCGGTGTCACCAAGCATGGTCTCAATACGCGTCGTCGCCACGACAACTTCGCCTTGCCCGTCTTCGAACGGGTACGCAAAGGATGTGATGACGCCGAACTCCACCTTTTTGGTGTGCCCCGGCACCGCGAGCATCGTCGGCCCATCGAGCTCGATGTAATCCACCTCGATATCACTGATCGCAGTCTTCAACTGACAACTCCAGTTCACCAATCTATTGTCGCGATAAATCAAACCTTCGTCGAACATGCGCACGAAGGCTTCCTTGACGGCTTTGCTCAACTTTTCATCCATCGTGAACGCCTCTCGAGTCCAGTCCATAGAAGAGCCGATTCGGCGAAGCTGATTGCAGATCTTGCCCCCATACACGTCTTTCCACTCGAACACGCGCTCGAGGAACTTTTCTCGCCCGAGATCGTGCCTCGTGACGCCTTCCTCGCGCTGCAATTTCTTCTCCACCACGGTTTGCGTCGCGATGCCCGCGTGATCCGTCCCCGGAACCCACAGCGCTTCATATCCCTGCATTCGTCGCCACCGCACGATGGTGTCTTGAATAGCGTTCGTCAGCGCGTGTCCAATGTGCAACGCACCCGTGACGTTCGGCGGCGGAATCACGATGACAAACTTTGGCTTATTCGTCCCCATCGTCGGCGTAAACATCCCGCACCGTTCCCACCAGTCGTACCACGCCGCCTCCACCGCCACCGGATTATACGACTTCGCCATCGGCGTCCCCACCAAATCCTTCATCTCCCCCCTCGGCGTTTTCAGCGCGCTCTCCAGCGCTCGCACGTCCTCCTCGCTCGGCCCGCTCGCCTTCTTCTCCCTCTTCGCCTTGCCCTCGCCGCCGCCGCCCGCGTCCCTCTTCGCCTTTTCCTCCGCCGCCTTCGCCGCCTTCGCCGCCGCCTTCGCCCTCTTCGCCTCCTTCTCCGCCAGCTTCGCCGCCTTCTTCGCCGCCTTCTCCGGATCGATCGTCGCCCTCTCCATCAGCGCCGTCGCCGTCGCCGTCGCCGCGTCGTCCATCGCGCCCTCGCGCGCCATCGTCCCGTCGTCCCGCGTCGTCGTCGTCTCGCGTCGAACGCGTCGCCGCGCCGCGTCGCCGATCGACGTCGCGTCCCGCGCGTCGAGCGTCCACGCCTTCGCGCCTCCGACGACCGACGGCGCGTCGCGCGATGCCGCGCGCGCCGCCGAGCCGCCGACGCCGACGCGATCGAGCGATCGATCCGGCGACGCCGCCGGCCCGCGCGCTTTTCCGTGTGCGCAAACAGTCACGCGGCCACGATCTCGAAACGCCCGTCCCATCGAGCGTCGTATTGAAGCGAACCGACCGACCGCGCGGCGCGGCGCCGTCGAATCGCCGGCGCCGGACGTCGCGCCGCGATGGACGTCGTCGTCGTCGCCGACGCGCGCGACGCGAGCGCGACGCCGCGTTACGTGCGCGTGTGGGATTTCGTCGCGGCGCGCGCGCGCGAGCTGCGCGCGACGACGCGCGCGATCGAGGGACGACGCGCGCTGGGCGTGGAGACGCTGGCGAGACACGCGCGAAGACGGGCGACGTCGCACGCGCCGCGAGCGACGCGGCGAAGGCCGAATTTGAAACGGCGACGCGCGGCGGCGGCGGGCGAGGACGCGACGACGGAGGGATGTCGACGACGCGCGCGGCGACGAGGGCGTCTGAACGCGGCGAGGACGCGCGCGGGAGGCGGGACGGCGGTGAAGGCGCTGCGCGCGCACGCGTGGCACGCGAAGAGGTGGGGAGGGTGACGCGAGGCGACGCGCGCGAACGCGAGAGACGCCGGTGATGACGAAATCACGCGCCCAGCCAATCCGAGAACGTTTCGGCGTTCGCTGGAGACGAGCGTATAGAGTTACCGCACGGTACATCGACTGAGGCGTTTGGAAGCTCGATTTTTGAAGACGAGGCGAAATGTTGGAGAGATGACTGACGGCGCGCGCGCTCGCAGGTTCGCGATGCGAAAGCCTCGCGGGTGGGGATGGGTCGTCCCCGCCGCGAGACCGGGGCGAGGTCGAGGTTGGCGATTCATCATGCGTTCGATATCGCAAGCCGCGCTCGCCCACGATTCCTCGTACAACGCGTGTTTCGTCGTGAAGGGCGCCCGAACCGACGTGCACAAAGTTTTAGCAAAGACGGCGGCTGAAAAGAAAGCGCTAAACTTGCGCGCGTTCAAGGACGGAGAACGCGCGATTGCGATTCACGTTGTGGATTCAAAACGTCGCGTGATTTGTCCGGCGCTGGTGTACTGTACGCCGAGAGAGGAGACGTTGAGCGTCGCCGAGGCGCACGTTTGGGTGCACCCGAGCGCGAAAGAGTCGGCGTCAGAAGCGTTTCGTGACGCCGTCGCGGTGCGAGTCGCGACAAACACGAAAGCTGACGTAGAAGTGGAAGAAAGTGACGCATTCGCGCGCATCGAAATCATCGGTGCTAAAGCTTTCGAGATTGTGCAGAAACTGGCTCCGGATTTAGATTTTTACTCGAGCGCGCATACTACCCGAGGCATCCGTCGAATCGTTTGTCCAGACGCTCGTGCGGCTGCTTGGGGCGTTCAAACCGATTCGAGTGAAATGCGGGTGCCGACGGAAGTTGCGCCGACGCAAGCCGAGTACGACGAAAGTCGACGCGCATCGCGCGCGGCTGCGCTCGAGCGACCATGGGAGGAAACGGCCGCCGTCGGTGTCAAATCATACTCGGCGACGCTCATCAATCGAGGTGTGACAGCGATAGAAGGGTACACTCTGATCGTTTCTTCGTCTTGGATGCTTCCCGTTTGGCACGGCGTGTGCCAAACCGGCGCACGTCCGGTGGGAATCACTGAATGGTCGTGGTGTGCGCAACGTTTTGCGCGCGCCCTATTCCCGGACGATTACCTCGACACCCAAGCTGGAGCGGACAAGCGTCTGGAGATTTTCGACGATATTCTCGACGACATTCGAGCGAAACCAAAAAGCAAGGTTTCTCAGTGCGATTTAGCGCTCGTGCGACACGCCGAGCCGTTCGTAAAGGTGAGAAATGTGCTTCGAGTGCGCGATGAGAAGTTGGAACGCGATTCGCATCCGCGCGACGCGATGGTTCGCGTCGCCCTGCGATGTCCGTGGTCTGGTCAACCGACGCTCGGTGCGGAGATCTTCTTCCCCAACGAAGCACAACGCGACGCTTGGTGTGTCAAAAAGACGGACGACACGACGCGCCGTCGTGATCGGACGGTGTCGGGTATGTTCTCGCAATGGTCGAAGAAGGACAAAGCGCTTCGCTCGGAGCATCGAAGCGACGTGAACCTCGGCGACGTCTTCGGCGACACCATCGGGCATATTACTTCTGTATCCGCACCAGCGGCATCTGTCGGTCTAGCGTCCGGTTTGATTCAGGCCAACGCAGTGAAAATGCTCACTGAAAACTTTAGTCGCGGCAAAACGAAAGTGTTCGTCATGCTTAGACATCCAGGGAAATTGGCGGTCCCCGCCGAGGCAAATATTGTCGTCAAGGCGACGCCGTTCGACGAGCCTTGGTTTTGAGATTAGCAAACGTAGTCAAATTTATGTATCATTTGTGTATCATACAATTGTGTTGTGTTTATTAATGCCCGCCCTGCTTTATCTTCTCCACGCACTCCTCCTTCGTGATGTTTGGATTTTCTAGCGCCCACTCCACGGATTTATCGATCCACTTTTTCAACTCTGGACCTCCTTTCGTCATGTTCAACGCCGCCATGACGTCTTGTCCGGTGACTGGTGGCTTAGTCTCCCAACACTCGTTCAATTCGAGCGATGCAACTCGCTGCTCGACCGCCTCAAATTTACTTACGGCGGCTTTCACGCCCGCGGCGACGCGCTCGCGCACATCCGCAGGCGCGGCGTCCGGTTCGAACGCGTATTCGCCTGCCCAAGTCGGGACCTCGGCATCGCTCATGCCGGGCACGACGGCGCATAAAGCTTCTAAGAGCACGGCAAGACGCCACGTCTCACCCATCTTTCGCAGCGCTAAGCCGCCCTCAAGCCGAGTAAAGTCTTTGTTCGTCAACAAGGTTTTTGCGAGAGCCATCGATTCATGCACGTGCACCGTCGTTTCCGCATCTTTCGAGCGGAGCTTGAGTGCGTTACTGATGATGTCGCCCACCGCGGGAACCTTCTTTCCTTTCTTTCCGTCCGACTGCAATTCGCGGTACGGCAACAACCACGAGGCGAGATACAACCACACCCGCTTCTCTTCGTCCATCCAAGCGTCGGTTGATGCGATTTCTTCGAGCGCGCCTTCGACGCATCTCGTGGAGTATTGTGACAAGCGGTCCGCCGCGTCCGTGACGGCATCCACAACGCTTTGCGTGGGAACCTGTAAGACGATCGGGGAAATCTTGAACGCCGCCATGAGCGCCACCGCGTCCGCGGGAGAGCGTCCTTTGAGCATCCCCAAGACTTCCTTTCCAAAACGCTCTCGACTCACTTTATGCTTCAATGCGTGTTGCACGTCCGGATCACTCGCGCTCGCCCCGATCTCTTCGTCCACATCGAAACCGAATCGCGCGGCGAAGCGAACGGCGCGCAAAATCCGCAACGGATCGTCCAAAAACGTCGTTCGCGGCGGGAGCGGCGTGCGCACGACGCCGCGACTCAAATCCTCAATCCCGCGCTCGGTGAAATCCTCCACTTTTTTCTCGTTAATGTTGTAAAACAAGGCGTTGATGGTCAAATCCCGCCTGAACGCGTCGTCCTTGGCCGTGCCGAACTGCATCTCCGGAATCCTACTGTCCTCGGAATAGTTTTCCGAGCGCAAGTTTACTAAATCCAACCACACGTCTCGCACGCGCATCGTCGCCGTCTCCAAGTGCTTACTCTGCTCAGGATTGCTCTGAATCACTCCGATCCCCTTCGTCTCCATCCCCTGCGCCTCCAAGTACGCGTTCACCTTCTCCGCGAACTCTTTCCCCAACATCGTATCCAGCGCCACGTCGATGTCGTCGCTCTCGCGTCCGACGAGCTTATCCCGAACCCACCCCCCCGCCACGCGAAGCGTCACGTCCAGCTTAAAGTGTTCCACCACCGCCAACAGCGTGTCGAACACCTCCCTCTCCTTCGCCGTGCACCGCACCTCGCCGATCGTCGCCCCCTCGAGTCCTCCGCCGCGCCTCGCGTCCACCCGTCCCGCGAAAAATCGCATCCCTCCGCCTCGCCCGACCCTCGCGCGCCGCGCCCGCGCCGCCGCCGTCTCCGCCGCGCTCTCGAAATCCGCCCGCGCGCGCGCCGTCCCCGCCCTGCGCGTCCCGTCGCCCGCGACGCCGTCGCGTCCGTCGCGCCGTCCCGCCGCGGTCGTTTCGCGTCCCCCCCCCCCCGCGCGCGCCAGCGCGCGCCGCAGCGCGCGCCCTCGCGCGATCGTCCTCGTCGCGCCCGTCCCGCGATCGCTCGCCGTCGATCGCGCGCGCATCCACGACGCGCGCCGTGTGCCGGCGCCGTCGACGACGACGGACGCGCATTCGCGCGCGTGTCCACGAAAACCCACGCCGCACTGTTTACCCACACAACGCATCGACCGAAACCACCCTCGCACTGTTTACCCACACACATCACCGCGCGACGCGCGTCACCCTCGCGTCGTCGATCGTCTCGATCGCGCGACCCTCGACCGCGGGTCGACGACCGACCGCGCGATCGATTCGATCGACGCGTCGGTCGACGCGCGCGCGCACCCCCCCTGCGCGCGCGTCGGAGCGATCGATCGACGCACCGCGACGCGACTCGGCGCGACGCGAGCGCGCGCGCGCGAGCGATCGGCGACGAACGCGCGAACTCTTTCGATCGCGCGCGCCGCGGACGGGACGCGATGCGCGACGCGATCACGGTCGGGACGATCAATCACCGCGTCGTCGACGCGGAGTACGCGGTGCGAGGGCCGATCGTCGCGCGGGCGCAGCAGCTCGAGCGGGCGCTGCGGGACGGGGAGAAACTGCCGTTCGATAAGGTGGTGTACTGCAACATCGGGAATCCGCACTCGCTCGGGCAGCGGCCGATCTCGTTCTTCAGGCAGGTGCTCGCGGCGATCGACTGCGAGGCGGTGGCGGGGGCGTTCGCGGCGGACGTCCTCGAACGCGCGGAGGAGTGTAAGCGGAAGATTAAGGGCGGGACGGGAGCGTACTCGGAGAGTAAGGGCGTGGAATCTTTGCGAGAGCGCGTGGTGAGAGGGATCACGAAGAGGGATGGGATTCCGGCGAACATCGACGACGTGTATCTCATCGACGGGGCCTCGGCGGGGTGCCATTATTTGATGAACGTCTTGATTCGAGGGGAACAGGACGCCATCATGTGCCCGATCCCGCAGTATCCGCTGTACTCGGCGGCGTTAACGCTGTATGGCGGTACGCTGACGCCGTACTACCTGGACGAAGAGACTGGGTGGTCGATGGACGTCGAACACGTCAAGAGTCAGTTGAACGCGGCGCGAGCGCAAGGGAAAAACGTTCGCGCGCTCGTCGTCATCAACCCGGGTAACCCTACGGGTAACGTGTTGAGCGATGACAACTTGCTCGATATCGCCAAGTTCTGCGCCGATGAAGGACTTCTCATCATCTCCGACGAAGTGTACCAAGAAAACATCTACGCCGATGGCAAAAAGTTCAAGAGCATGCGCAAAGTCGTGCTCGAGGCGGGCTTGGACAAGCGGGTCGCCTTGGCGAGCTTCCAGAGTATCAGCAAAGGGTACTACGGTGAATGCGGTCGTCGCGGTGGTTTCATGGAACTCATCGGTGCGTGGGAACAAGGCGTGCTGGATGCGATTCTGAAGCTCGCGTCCATCGCTCTCTGCCCCAACTTGGCGGGCCAAATCGTGACCTCGATGGTCATGGACCCGCCGGTGGAAGGCGACCCTTCGTACAAGCAGTTTGCGCAAGAACGCGATGACATTCTCGCATCTCTGAAGAGACGTTCCATCACACTCAGCAACGCGTTGAACTCGTTGGAGGGTGTGACTTGCCAACCAGCGGATGGCGCGATGTACTGCTTTCCGAACCTGGTGTTCCCGCAAAAGTTCCTTGACGAATGCGCCGCCGCGAACAAGGTTGCCGATGCAGAGTACTGCACCCGCTTACTGTTGGCGACCGGTATCGTCACCGTTCCGGGGTCTGGGTTCGGGCAAAAGCCGGGCACGTGGCACTTCCGGACCACTTTCCTTCCGAGCGAGGAAGATATCGCTGGCGTCGCCGTCAAGCTCACCAACTTCCACGGCGAATTCATGTCTCAGTACAAGTAAGCATTGAGGGATGAAGAACGAACTGATTAAGAGAGCGGAACACTTTAGAGAACTTTAGATCCACCTCTGATGTCGATCGAATTGACGAGGAAAGGATTTGTGCTGCTAACTGTGCGATTATTTTTAAAATCCCATTTACACGAGTTGCTTATTCCTCTAAAGGCGAAGCGCGCGATTCACGCTCTGCTCGTACGCGTCATATTCGCTATTTTCGCTATTGTCGAGACTCTGTGGATCACGTTTCTTAGCGTGCGCGAAGCCAGCATCGCGCATGCCTACGATTTCTCGATCCACGTTGAGGAGTTGTCTATGAAGCTCTGCAAGTTTCAGACGCACTTCTCGAGCGCCAGTCGGTGCTGGCACTTTGGCTCGTCCCGGACTGTCGGTATCCATCGGATCGTCGAAAGCCGGACGCTCTGCAGGCGGCGCGCTCTCTCGTTTGTCATCATCATCGTTGCTTTTCTCAGTCTCGTCGTCGTTCGCTTGCTCGGCCACGCGTGCGGTGTTGATTGCGCCGATGTCTTCAATACATTGGTTGAACACGCTTTCCGACGTGGTGGTCGAACCGGGTGGCGTGCCTGGGAGAAGCGTGGTTAATCGAGCTTCATACTGAGTGTATGGGACCCAAAATCCTCCGCGTTCGAGTACGAAAGCATTCTCACGGAATCGTCCACCGGCACCGTCTCGTCGAACGAGCCCTTCACAAGATTTCAATTGACGCTCGATGTCCCACGCAAAGGCTTCAAACTTTTCCGGATCTTTAAGCATCAACAAATCCGAGTCATCGATTGGCACGCCAGAAACACTTCGAATAACGCACGCCGATGGAGGACCGGCGTACGTAATCGATAAACCTTGTGCCGTTTCAAACGTGACTGGATTGACGCGAGCCAAAGTGGAAAATTTCGCTGGTTGATGCTTCGTGCAGAACGGCGTACCTTCCAGATTACGTCCGGGACACCGCCACGCCTTACCATCGTTATGCGTGCATCTCATCGAAGATTCAGCTGGTTGCACATTCGCTTGCTGCGCGGCTTGAGTCTCTCGAAATACCATGGCAGCCATCTCGCCATTTGTTTTCACTCCGCTCGGCACTCCAAAGGGCGGGATGATGACCAAGTCTGCGTCTAGTCCGTAGCAGCGCACCTTCACCGTGACTGCAACAGAGTGTCTGATGACGTGCATCTCCGTCTCGCGCGCCGGCGGCTTGGCGGTTTCGCATGGCGTCGGCGAATGCGGCGTCGGTGAGCGCAGCACTGCCGCCGCGCCGGGCTCCTTCGGTTCCTTTTTCACCGATCGCGGTAATTCCGCATTTGCTCTCACCGGGCTCTGTAATCTCTCATCTTTTATCGTTTTTGCCTTCTTCGCCGGCGCCGTCGCGGGGCTTATCGGTTGCGAACGATCCCTTGGCGGCGCTCGCTTGGACGAAAGAGGCATCTCTGTGTGTACCATTCCGCTCGCGTAAAACACCTCGTTCGACTTCGGCAATTCGTCCAACGGCGGCAGTCCGTTCTCAAGCCAGCACGTTTCGATCCATTTCTGTAATTCTTTATCAAACTCCAGCGCATGTTCGTACGTCACCTCGCTCTCGCCATCGTTTACCAAATTTCTCACGCCCGTCGTCGCGCGCGCTCGCAACGCTTCCAATCCCCGATGCACTTGCGCGTACGTATCGTACGCCCCGTCCTCCTTCTTCATCACCTCATCCCTCATCTTTCGGCACTCCCCGGTCCACGGTTCCCACGCTCCCTTCCTCGCCCAGTTCCCCAGCGCCGTGAGGCATCGCTTCGCCGCGTTTCGATTCACTCGCGCCACTCTAAACGACCACGTCCCATCGTCCAACGGCGTCCCCGTCAGGCCTTGTTTCAACCACGCCTCGTTAAACGTTCGCATCACCTCCGCCAGCTCCTTTTCCCGCAGTCGATTCCCCGGTTCGTGCGTCGCGGTCGTCCAGCACCGTTTCACCGCGAGCAGCGCGTCCCGCGCGGGCAGCTTTTGCGCGCGCGTCGCCTTCTCCTTCGCGCTCTCGAGGGATAAGTCCGTGCCGCGCGCGTTCGGGACATCGCGCGCGATCGCTTCGACCGCGTTCGCGAGCGCGTCGCGCACGGCGTCGCCGTCGGCGCCCATGAAGCGCGTCGCCGTCTGTCGCGATTCGACTCGGCTCGATTCGAATCCAGCGAACGATCGGCACAGCGCGCCCGGCGGCGATGACGCGCGCGGCGAACGCGCGCGACGCGGTCGACGGCGACGACGCGCGCGCGCGCGCGGCGAGCGACGCGCGCGCGCGCGAGCGCGAGCGCGACGGCGTCGTGGGACGGAAACGCGACGCGTCGGGACAGGCGTCGCGCGCGCGCTCGCGCGCGGCGACGACGGCGACGACGACGGCGTTGGAACCGTTCAGACATCGCGTGGACGCCGATCCGTCGTTCGTGGAGACGACGCTTCGAACGCTTCGAACGGCGACGACGGAGCTGTTGAACCTGAGCAGCGAAGGGTTGTCGTACGAGGAGCTGTACGGTAAGGCGTACGCGTTGGTGCTTCGGAAACAGGGTGATGCGCTGTATAACACCATAAGCGACGCGGTAACAGATCATTTGTGCTTGCACGTGGCGAGTAAGATCGCGGACGTGGTGGGGGATGTTGAATTTTTGAAGGATTTGGAGACGCGATTTGCGCGGCACAGAAAGAGCGCGCAAATGCTGACCGACGTCTTCATCTATCTCGATCGCGTGCACTTGAAGCGGAGCGGGAACGCGAACTTAGAACCCGTGGGGGATCTCGTAATAACGCTTTGGAGGGAGTGTGTGGTAAATAATCCACGCATTAGACGACGGATGCACTCGTGCATGTTAGATTTGATCCGCCGCGAGCGCGACGGCGAGAGCGTGGATAGGGACGCGTTGCAAAAGGTGACGTCCATGTTACTCACTTTGCACGAATCTGTTTACGTAGATGAGTTCGAAGTTAAAATGCTCGATGAGACAAGATCTTACTACAAGGCGGTGGCGCAGAAACGAATCGATATCGACGACTGCCCGACGTTCTTGAGGATGGCGGAGGCGAGACTGGCGCAAGAGAAGGACCGAAGTGAAGCTTACATGGCTCCTCGAACAACAGGCCTTTTACTTGAGCAAGCGCGCAACCAGTTATTGAAGGAGATGTCACAATCACTATTGCATAACGCTACGAGTGGCATGGTGCACATGCTTCGAGCGAACCAGATCGAAAACTTGCGTCGCATGTACTCGCTGTTTTCGACGATGGACGATCTCGAGGGTATTCCAGACGTGATGTTCAATCATCTTAAGGAAATCGGCAAGTCGATCGTGAATGATTTAGAAAATGAAAAGAATCCGACACAGTTTGTCGAAGAGCTTTTCAAATTCAAGGAGAAGTATGACACAATCTTGATCGAGGCGTTTGCAAATAATCGCCTCATCGAGTCGCAGTGCAATCAGGCGTATCAACTCGTCGCAAACTTGAATCCTAGATCACCCGAGTATTTGTCGCTTTATTTGGATCACATGTTGAGGAAATCGTCAAAAGACGCGAGTCAGAGCGAACTGGAGATCATCCTGAACCGATCGATGGGGCTCTTCCACCTATTTCACGAGAAGGATGTGTTTGAGAATTATTATCGCCAACACTTGTCGAAGAGGTTGCTAAACAAGCGCTCCGCAAGCGACGATAACGAGCTCGCGTTCATCGGTAAACTCAAGGACGATTGTGGATTTACATTCACGAGTAGAATGGAGGGCATGTTCAACGACATGCTCACTTCGGGTGACTTGACGAGGGAGTTTGAAGGTGTTTACTCAAGAGGCTCGGGATCGATGGAAGTAAATGTCTCGGTGTTGACCACCGGAGCCTGGCCCTTGAAGGTGCATAAAACTCCGATCAACTTACCCCATGAATGCGAGAGGACGTGCAAGGTTTTTGAAAATTTCTACCTCTCGCGTCACGCCGGTCGAAAGCTCACTTGGCAGGCGAACATGGGCCGGGCCGACATTAAGGCTAGGTTTGCGAGCGGTGAATATGAAATTTCTGCGTCGACGCTGCACATGTGTGTCCTCATGCTTTTCAACACGCACGAGACTTTGACCACAAAAGATATTTCGGATCTTACTGGAATGATAGGCGACGAGCTCAAGGGTTGCTTGCAAGCGCTTTCGTGCGTCAAGGGGAAAAATATTCTCACAAAGTTGCCCGCTGGGAAAGATGTGAGCTTGGGAGACTCGTTTCAAGTCAATCGAGACTTCTCATCTAAGACGACCAAGGTCAAAATCTTGTCCATTTCTGCCAAGCGAGAGAACGATCACGAAAGATCGTTGACGAAAAGCAAAATCGTAGACGATCGTAAGCCGCAGATCGAGGCCACCATTGTGCGCGTGATGAAGGCGAAGAAGCGGCTCGATCACAACAGCATCGTCATGGAAGTCACGGCTCAAGTCAGGAACCGTTTCATGCCCACACCCGCGGATATCAAAAAACACATCGAGACCTTGATTGAGCGTGAATACATCGAGAGGGATCCGAGCGATCGAAAAATGTACGTTTATCTCGCGTAGACTTTTTTCATCGACGTTTTGTCGACTAGAAACTTGAAACTTTTAGATGTACTATACTGAAACGAGACGAGCGACAGCGCGTCGACGCGCGCGCGGACGAATCGACGACGCGCGAACGATGCGCTGTTGGAACGCGACAGGTCACATTAATTTAAATCCCCGCGCGCGTGGCTACTTTGCGCGCGCGGATGTTTTCCTAAACTAAACGTCGTCATCAAACGTCGTCATCACTCAATCGAAACGTCGACGCCAACGCCGCGGTAAATATTTTATTGTTTTTCACCGCCAGACGAGGCGCGCTCAGCTCTCTGGTTAGTTCTTCCGCGACGTTTGAGCGCGCTTGTAATATCCTCTCAACTAAATCTCTCGGCGATATCTCTCGCCCCTTTCTCAACGCCTCCTCGTCCATCGCCGGCCCGGGCACGGATGAACGCCGCGGATCGTTCACCCGCGTCAACGGTTTCGCCGCGAGATCTGTCAACCAATCCTCCATCGACCTCGTCTCGCTGAGCTCAAACGGATTTTCGGTGATGTGGTTGTGCAAATACATGTGCATCTCGCCGTTCGTCTCCTGCAAAAAGTGCAGCAAGTTCTTCAAGGCCTGAATCGTGATCATGTCTAAAAACTTGCGCTCGGTTTGGGTGTAGTACGGCGTGCGATTGATGTCGCTCGCGTAATCGTCTTCGTCTTCGCTCATCGACGAGTCGCCGTGTCCCATTCGAGTTAACACTTTGTCGCGCGACGAACCCGCGCGTCGCATCGACAGACGCGGCGAGCGCATCGATCGTGGACCGGTCTTTAACACGGTCGTCGACGCGACAGCGCGCGAGGCGAGCGAATCCATCGCGCGGCGATGTGTGATGCCGACGGTTGGTTTCAAAATGAATTCCACTTTCCGGAGGGGGCGTTTGATGCGCGTCGGCGTGTTTTTGAATTTTCGTCGCATCGATTACAAGTCGCGTGCGAAGAATAGTAAGCTGCTAAGCTTTGTTTCGCGATGCGTCACCGGCGTCGCGATCAATCTCCGTCTCTGAGTACACTAAATCACCAAATCCCATCCATTTCACTAGTAGAAATCTTTGCCTCAGCCTACGCCTTCTTCGCGACGGAGGACGCACGGCGCTTGGCGAGGGATTCGCTTCTGCGCTCGCGTTGTTCTCGGATGCGGAGGGCAAGGACCTTGTGGTATTCCGCGGCTTCCGCCTTGGACTTGGCTTGCTTAACTTTCTTCGCCGCCGCGCGCGCGTGCTTGCGCTTGATGACGAGCGGGGTGACGAGACGTTGAATCTTCGGCGCCTTGGACTTCTTCTTGCCAGTCGCGGATTCAAACTCACGGCGGTACGTGTTCACGTACTGACGAACGTCGTCTTCCTTCGTTAACGCGAAGAGCTTGCGAATCTTGCTCGCACGCTTCGGACCACGCAAGCGCGCGACTTCGGTATCCGTCAAACCCGGAACCTCGGCGTCGCCTTGCTTGACGATGAGCAAGTTCAAAACAGCGATGTCTTGGGAGACGATGCAACCACGGCACGCCTTACGACGGCGCTCACCCTTACGGCGACCGTTCCCACGGAAACCACTCGTGCCCTGAGACATGAGCAAGAACACGCGTTGGTTCGTCAACACGCCTTGCTTCATCCCAAACCCTTGCTTGTCGTTGCCACCCATGATCTTAAAGATGTAGCCTTTCCATTCCTATCGACGAAACGAGCGCATCACACGCGCGGTCAGTACGAATTCACGATCATCATTATCTTCATCAATCATCCACGCGCACCACCGTCGCGTCCGCGCGCGCGCATCGTTCGCGTCCTCGGCTTCATCGCGTCGCGTCGCATCGCAAAGCCCTAACACGCACATCACCGAGTTCATCGCCCTCCACCTCCGCGGAGATGCGCTTATCGTAGAAGCATCGGAGCTTGTTCTCATCGACGATCTCGATCTTCTTCTGCGCCCCGGTCTGCGGGTTCGCGATGTTGAGCTGTGGATCACGCGCGTCGTCGTCGTCGTCGTCGTCAGTCCCCGATCGTCGCGTCGCGCAAACCCGCGTCGTTCGCGTCCGCCGTCGCGTCCGCGCGCGTCGTCGCGCGTCCGTCGTCGCGCGCCGTCCGTCGTCGCGCGCCGTAATCATCCCCATCGTCATCCCGCGTCGCCCGTCGATGGACGCACCTTCATGGTCGCGCGCGCGCGTCGTCGAAAGAGGGCGACGGCGCGGCGCGCCCGCGCGCGCGTCGCGTCTCGGGGGCGCGCCGCGAAGAAACACGGACGCGTGTGCATCGCACGCGCAAACAGTCCGCGTGCTGTTTTGAATCTGTATTTATTTCGGACATTCGGTTGGTTGACGCGCACGCATCGGAGCTCGCGCGAACCCCACGTGCGCGCGCGTCGCGCGTCGGCCGTCGCGCGTTCGAACGCGCGTCGACAGCCGCGCGCGCGCGCGGCGCGAGAGACGACGACGGCGCGCGACGCGCGACCGCGCGCGGCGAGCGACGCGCGGGCGTCGATGCGCGTCGATGACGTCGCGATGGGCGACGCGAGCGACGACGACGACGCGCGCGCGTCGCGCGATGCGATCGAACGGGACGAGGAAGGATTCATCCGCGACGCGTGCGCGCGCTGGGGAGGACGGAAGGCGTCGATCGAGGGCCTGGTGCGCGCGCTGGGAGGCGCGAGGGACGATCATCCGGCGATGTACGTCCACGGACCGCCGGTGACGGGGAAGACGTCGATCGTGCGGGACGTCGTCGGGAGGAGCGGACGGCCGTGGGCGTACGCGTCGTGCGCCACGGAGCACGCGCCGAAGCTGTTGTACGAGGCGGTGGTGGAGGAGCTGACGCCGTATTTGGTGCGGTCGAGCGAGAGTTTGAGACGTGCGAGCGCAGAGCAGGTGAAAAAGGCGCTGAAGTGCGATAGGTTTAGTGATTTAGTGGAGATTTTACGCGCGCACTTGCCGGCGAGTCCGGGCGCGCGGGCGTGTTACGTCGTCGTCGACGAGGCGCAGAGAATGTTACAGTGGCGAGGTGAACCGGTGTTGAATGCGTTTTTGCGACTCGCGGAGTTGAGTTGTCGGAAGGTGATCGTGATTTTCATCGGTGAACAGGGTTGGGATACGTTTTGTTCGGCGTCGGGGACGACGCCGTACGAGGGCGTTTACTTTCCGGCGTACTCTCGAGAGGAGCTGCGGTACATCTTGTTAAAGGAACGCCCGTCGGATGCGGACGAGATGCTGTACAATGGGTTCTTAGGTGTTATGCTGAACACGTTCACGGCGACGTGTAGGAATTTACACGAGCTGCGCGCCACTGTGGCGCCATTGTGGGCGCAGTACGTCAAGCCGTACGAGGAAGCGCGCGCGCGGGGCGATCCGCTTCCCGAACCTCGAGCGCTGTACGCGGCGTTGAACTCGAAGAAAGGATCGACGAAAGGAGATGAGTGCGCTAATGCGAGAGACGGAGGTTCGTCGTCGGCGCCGAAGCGGGAGCAACCGAACGTGCACACGGGATTAACCGTGCCGCTGAGCCCGGCGGCGTTGGCTCTCGGTCGCGGCGAATGGCCGGTGCGGCGCGACGCCACGGGAAGCGGCGCGGGTGGACGTTTGGATTTCGAGATCCCGCGTCTGACGAAATTCTTATTAGTCGCAGCATTTCTGTGCTCGCACAACTCTGATGAGGTGGACAAGCGCATGTTTGGCGGTCAAATAGAAGGGCACGTGGCAAGGGCCAAGCGCAAGGATCGAAACGCGCAAGATCGAGAACGAGCCGCCGCCGCTGAAGCCGCCGTGGATAAACGACGTGTCTTCAAGCTCGAACGTCTTATCGCGTGGTTTCACTTTATCACACGCTCAGCATGCGATGAACACGGCGCTGAAGTCGCAGATCTTGAGGAGGAGCTCCTCAGCGCCGACGTCTTTATGCAAATCTCGAGCATGACGCAGCTCGGAATGCTCTCCATCAACCGCGGGAGCGCGATGGAGGGTGGGCTGTACCAATGCAACATCTCTCGTGATTTAGCCGAAAGACTCGCACAAAACCTCGGCGTGCACCTCGATACGTACTTGAAATACGTCTAGCTCTATTCAATAACAGCGCAACCGACGGCGCTACACACGCGATGCGTCGTCGTTCTCGTGTTCTCGTCTCGTAAGCTAACAATGTTGGTTCTGAGTGCCCACGAAAATTTGTCGTGTGAACACAAGCGCGCGCGTCCAACGCGCCGCGACCAACGCGCGAATCTTATCGAAGATTTATTCTCGGTATATTTTACCCGCGCACACGCGCGCGCGGACGTGTCGGTCGACGCTTAAGCCTTCTCCGTCTGTCGCGCGCGCGCGCCGAGGTTCCGCGCGAGCACCGTCCCAAAAACTTTATCTTTCGATATGCGGCGCTCGGGCGCGGAGCACGCCGAGGATGACGACTTGAGCGCGCTGTTCGACCCCCTCGAGCGCGCGCGGGAGCTTTCCGAGCATTTCTCGAGCGCGTTGATCTCGACGTACGCGGACGCGGAGCGCGCGAGCCCGCCGAGAACGCCCCCGAGGACGCCGACGAGCGCGTACGATGACATCCCGACCGCGACGGTGTTACCGCAGTCGCCCATACTGTCTCGATATGGTGTACATTCGGTATCGCAGTCACCGCAGCGCGCGATGCACCAAACGCCGTATGGAAGCGATCTCACGGGATCGAGCGCGAGCGCGTACTCTCGGTCTTCGCATCAGGCGAACGACGCGCACCTGGCGCAAGGGATGTTTCAACTCAATCTCAGCCCGACGTCGCCGGCATCGAGTTTCGGAGTCAGTCTCACGTCACCGCGCTCCCCCGCGTACGGTGGGTACGGCGATCAAGGCGGAAACTCGCGGGATGACGGCGCGAGGTCTCTGAGCGCGAGTCCGGCGTACGGCGGCGGCGCGAGTCCGGGATCGCCCAAGCAACAGCACTCGTTGTACAAGACGGAGCTCTGTCGCAGCTGGGAGGAGAGTGGGTCGTGTCGTTATGGCGCCAAATGTCAATTCGCACACGGTCGCGATGAGCTTCGTCCGGTGCTACGTCACCCAAAGTACAAGACGGAGGTGTGCAGGACGTTTGCCGCGCAGGGCAATTGCCCGTACGGTTCTCGATGTCGATTCATCCATTACAGACCGAATGACGTCGCGTCTACCGGTGAGATGGCCACGCAACACCGCACGGCGCTATCGGCGCTCATATCCGGCGCATCGACGGGCGTCACGGACTGGGGAGACGCATTCTTAGGCACCCCCGCGCCGCTCGATCCGCGTCCCGCGCGTCGAGCCGCGTTCCGCGACGATTCCGCCCTCGTCGACGACGCCACTCTCACCACCACCGACGACCGTTCGACCGCGCGCGCCGTCCCCGGCGCCGTCCCCGAGCGCACCACCGACGTCAAACCCGTCTCCCTCACCACCACCACCGATCCTTCCGCCGCGCGCGTCTCCGCGCGCGCCTCCGACGACGTCTCCGACGACGACGACGACGACGACGACCTCCGTCGTCTCCCCGTCTTCGCCAGCATCGCCGCCTCCCCCGAGCGCGACATCTTCGACCATCCATGATTCGTTCGTCTCTTTTCATCGCATCGTTTCACGCTTTACCTTCGTCTCGCCTTCGCCTTCGCCTTCGCGTCTCCCTCGCCCTCGCGCGTCCGATCGGACAATCGGACCATCGGATCGCCGTCGATCCGTCCGAGATTTCCGAGACGCCCCGAGACGGCGATCGAAGATTCATCTTGACGTCATCTCGCGACGCCGCGCGATCGCGATCGCGACGCGCGCCGCGCCCGGACGCCGACGATGAAACCGTCCGACGGCGTCGACGTCGCGCGCCGCGCGTCGTCGACGTCGCCGCCGCGCACGCCCGAGCGCGACGCGACGATCGCGCGGCGACCGCGGCGCGACGACGCGACGGTGCCGACGACGACGACGACGGACGCGACGGCGCGAGCGCGCGCGGACGCGAGCGAGTGGTTGGAATTCGACGGCGCGCGCGACGACGGGGTGCTGGAGGGGTTTCCGTACGAACTCGGGGCGCTGGAGTCGATGTTGGACGATTGGCTGCCGGACGACGACGGCGAGGGATGGGCGACGACGACGACGAACGAGGACGCGAGCGGACGCGCGGAGAGCGAGTGCGGGAGCGGAAGGAAGGGCGGAGGGACGTCGTCGGACGACGGTGGGACGTCGTCGATGTCGGCGAGGAGCGCGGGGAAGGTGGACGGGAACGCGACGGAGACGGAGGCGGAGCGATTGGAGCGATTGCGACGCAATCGCGAGAGCGCGAAGAACATGCGAGCGCGGAAACGGGAGTACGTCAGGGATTTAGAAAAGCGCGCGAGTGCGCTGGAAAAACAAAACGGGGCGTTGCAAGGGATGGTGATGCACTTGACGAATGAGAATCACGCGCTGAGGATGAATCTGCAAGCCGCCACGGGGGTGGCGTTGCCGACCGTCATGGTGCCGGCGCCGTACCCGACGATGACGCCCAAGTTGCCGTTACCGCCGTTAGACGCTCCAATCATTGAAACTCCGCCATCACCGCAGTTAGATTTGAAGAAACCGGCGCCGAAGCGGCGGAAGAAAACGGTCGCCGCGTCAGTGACGGCGTTGGCGTTGGGTGCCCTATCCGTGGTGGGACTCGCGGCGCCGCGCTCGAATTCGGCGGGGACTCAATTCTCGTCAAGCAGTCGTCGATTATTAGCCATCACAGCGGCACCGGAGGATCCTTTGACGAAGATTGGCGTCAATGTGACTTCCCTGCGAGAGGAAATCATGAGAAACGACGACGAGCGGACGTTTTCGTTACCGGACAGAGCCGTGGCGGAAGGTATCGCGCTGTGGGGAGATAAGACTTCTGATGGCCGAATCGTGAATGTCCTTAAATCTACCAACGTCAACGATCCGTGGTTCAGCGCGTTCAAGGCGGCGGGAATGCCACAGCACGTCAACCTTCTCAGTCGCGTGTCGTGTACCGAGGTTTTCAAATTCAAGGGAAGCGATGAAGCTAACGCCGAACCCGGTGCTGTCGCGACGACGAGCGCTTGGACGAACGAACAAAGGGAGAAAATGGAACGCAAAAAGTATTCGGGTGCCATTCCACTGCCGAGTGGTCGAGAAAACGTCACGAAAGTTTCGGAACAGACCAGTTTGGAAGCAGAGGATTCACTCGTGAGCGTTCTTTTGCCTCCACCAGTGGAAGGCGTGATGCAGCAATTGAGCAAGCTGTTCGTGGTGACGTTCAACAAACGCACGGCGGACTACACTACGCATTCCTGCCTCATGCCCCAGCCGATGACGCAGGCGCATCATCACGTATAATCAACATTTAATGTGAATTGAAATTTGTGTACAACCTTTCTAGTGCTCGGGCGCGTGTTCGCTTTCAAAATCAAGATGAACGAAAGCTCGCTCGACGTCTTCCAGTCGCTCGATGCGGTTTTGTAATTGCTCTCCTATGTCGTGCGCGCGTCTCAATGGCATATCTTCCTCGAGCACGATGTCGACTTCGACAAAGTATTTCGGCCCAAACGTGTACGCTCGAATGGTGTCGATGAGCACGATGTCTGGATGGTGGTTCCACGCCAGGTACGTCAACGACGCTAAAAACTCTGGAGGGGCGCTCATACCGACCATCGAGCGTATATTCTCCATAGCCGTTTGACTCCAGTTGATGACGATGTAGATTGCGAGCAAAATAGCCCCTAAAGGATCGACCCAATAGTACACCCTATCGCCCACGAGCGCGGCGGCTAACCCGATGCTGTTCGTCGCGACGTCATTTCTATGGTCTTGCGCGTACGTCTGAACTGAACTAGACGTGCTGTTGCGGCAGAACAAAAAAAGAAAAAACTTCAGCACAATGACTCCGCACATGATCCCAATCGTGAGTACTAAATGCTCCAGGTGATGCGTGTGTTCGTCGCCGATGAGCTGCCGAATGCCTTCAATGAGCACCTGGAAGCCGAGCGTGCCCATGATGCAACTGAACACGATGATCCCCAAAGGCTGCATTCGACTCTTGCCGATCGGATACAGGTACTTATTTTGCTTTCGAATGGTCTTATCCGTCATGAACAAAATCAAACCGCTCACCAAATCTAAAAAACTATCCAACGCGCTCGTGATGATGCTCAGGGACCCACTGCTAATAGCGGCGAACAATTTTACCCCGAGCAGCACGATATTCGCATAGAACGACACTTGGAGCGCAATTTGCGTTCTTCTTTCCTCGTTTTCTTCCGCTTCCGTCTTCCCACGCGACTCTTCGTCGCTTCTTCCACTCGTGCGTTCGAGGAAACTTTCCAACTCGTGAAACTGCTCGACGAGTTGGTTTTGCTTCTTGTAGTATCCAGCCACTTGTTTCGCCTCCGCCGCGGCGTGTCGCGGCGCCGACCGGCGACGCAGCGTCGTCGCGGTACCGTTAACGTTCGCGGACGCGCTTACGGACGGTCTTTCGCCGTTCGGGACGTCGGCTTGCGAGGGCGTACGCGCCATTCTCGAACTGAGTTCGTGCGCGTCCAAACGCCAGCTCGCGTCGTCGCCGATCGTCGCGCCGCGCGGACGAGGCGAACGCGGAGACTTTGACGGACCCGCGTCCGCGCTAGGTTGCCCATCGGGGTCCATGACTAAAGACGCGCGCGTGTGTGACGTTAACAGACGCAGACGCAGACGACGCGGATAGACGCGACTTTCACCGAGCCGCGGCGAGGCGATGTCGATTCTACGCACGATGATTCGAAAAAAGAAAAGCTATGTAATATTAATTATGGAATCGCATGGCTCGAGTCCGTCCCACGCTGAGTTACCACACCTTTTCGTGCGCGACGCCGCCGTTGCGCGCTTTTTGAATGCTCTTTTGCATGTAGTCCACGACGCCACCCATGACGGCGATGACGGCAAAAATGACGATGAGCAATCTCGTGACGAATTTGTTCATGAATGTGGTGAAATCAAAGCAACACGACTTATTCACGTGCGCCTCGACGACGAGCACGTATCGCTGTCCCGAGGTGACGTCAAACGAACTATGCTCCAGCTGCGAGCCGTGCACGACGACGCTCCCGATCGGCTGCGCGGGCACGACGTGATCGTCCAACTTATGCACGCCACCGTGTGGGACAGAAAACGACATTCCCTCGAAATTATTCCCCCCGCCCGAGTATTCCGTGACGTTGTTTAGCGACGCCACGAAGCTCAAGTGTTTCCCGTCGACGTGCGTCGCCGCGCTCTTAAAATCTCCCTTCGCGTCGTACTTCACCACGAAAAACTCCTCATCCTCAAACTTAAAGTGATCATCCACCATGCACTGCTCGCGCGCGAGCGGTATGAAGTACTTTTCGTACGCGCTTCGAACCTCGTTTCTCGTCGTCTCCGGCAAGTCGCTCACCTTCACCTCGTACGTCTCGTCCAGGTACGCGTGCCTCAGCCTCGTCCGCTCCCAGCCGTGCGCGTCGCCGCGTTTTATCGCCTGTTCGAGCACTCGTCGCGCCGTCTCCGTCGGCAGCGCTCCCGCGTGCGCGCGCGGCGCGCACACGAACCGCGGGTCGTGAATGCTCAGGCACTGACACTCGCTCGCGTCGCGTTCGGGCGTCGACGCGCGCGCCGCGCGCGTCGTCGCCAGCGCCAGCGCCGCGCACGCGCGCGCGAATCGCTCGCGTCGCGTCCCGCGCGCGCGTCGCGCCATCGCCGCCGCGCGCGTCGCTCGCGCGCGTCGCGGTGTGCGGAACATTCGCCGCCGCGTCCGACCGACCGCCGGTCGCGCCTTCACTCGCGCGCGCGCCGACACCGCGCGCGCGGCGCGGCGAGGACATGCGGGCGACGTCGCGCGCGCCGCGCGTCGCGGTCGCGCGCGCGCCGGGCGCGAGGCGCGCGCGCGCGCGCGCGAGGACGCCGCGGCGACGCGCGGGGGACCTCTTCGACGGCGTCTTCGACGCGCGGGACGACGACGACGGGCGACCGCGCGCGGCGGAGGCGGCGGGAGAGGACATCGAGGATTTAGTCGCCGCGGCTGAGGACTCGCCGTACTTCAACGACGCGTTTCGGGAGGCGCTGGCGGGGGCGCAGGCGCGGCAGCGCGCGGAGCGGGCGCGCGAGAAGGAAAAGATCGACTCGGAGGTGGCGCTGATCATGGAGCGCGTGAAGGCGGAGCGAGCGATGAAGGCGAAATCGGCGGAGAAGAAATCGGCGGAGAAGCCGGCGGTCGAGGAGGCGGTCGAGGAGGCGGCGGCGGAGACGGCGGCGGAGACGGCGGCGGAGACGGCGGCGGAGGCCCCCGCGAGCGCGGCGGCGGCGGAGGTCGAGGACTCCGCGGCGGCGATACCGTCGTCGCTCGACGCGGATTTCGTTCGATTGCTCGAGAGAGACCTGATGGAGATGCAGGAATGCAGCAAAGAGTCGATTTCAGACCTCACGAACGCTCGCGAACGGGTGAACCAATCAATCGCGAACGAAAAGCGGCAGCTCGCTCGGTTGGACATACTTCTCGATCGCGTGCGACGCGAGGCGCGTTACCTGCGCGCCGATGCTTTACGAAAAAAGAAAAACAACTAGAACCATAGCGGCCGATGCTTTACGAAAAAAGAAAAACAAGTAGAACCATAGCGTCCCGACTAAAAATTCGAATTCGATACCACGACACGAACGCGGCTTTAAATGCAAGCAAAAGCGGCAACTGTTTTATACATTCAAATCGATCTCGTTTCGCTAAATCTGACCGCTAAAAGGGAGCTAAAAGAAATCAGGCGGCGGTCGTGGTCGTCCGTCCCATCCCGGATTGGGAGGCATGCTCGGGAATCCGCCTCGGCCTCGCCCGGGAATGTCGGGAGGGTTTCGCAAATCGGCGTCGGGATCGGGATTGTAAGGCAACCCGCCCGGTTGCGGCGGGAAAGGAGGCCCTCCGCCGGGCCAGCCTCCTCTCGGTCGTCCGGGTCCACCTAATCCTCCTCTACCGTAACCAGGGATCGGGCGCGGCGGCGGATTCGGGTTGAGACCGCCGGGCCACAAATCGTAATCGCCGCCGATGATGCCGGGCACGTGGCCGGGAATTCCGGCGTAAATGTCGCGATCGGGATCGGGCATGAAGCCATGACGCGGCAAACGACCAGGCATCGGATGGTAAGACTCCATCCGTAATCGTTCCTCTCGCTCGGCCGATCTACGCATCGCGTGCTTGTTGTACAACGAGCGAGAAGAAATTCCAGTTGGCATCGGAGGCACGTCGAAATCCGTCTGTAAAAGCCGCGTCCAAAGCTCGTCGTCCGAGCACACCGCGCGGAGTTCTTTGCACGTGCACGCGCAGTAAGCCAACCCGTACGCGTCTAGATTTTCGGCGATTCTACGTTTGACGTCCGTGGGAAGAGACATGAGCGTGCCGGGCGAAAGGATCCCCGCCAACTGCGCCTCGGCCGCTTCGAAGAGCTTCGTAGTCATCGCTTCTTTCACTTTCGCCCACAGCGCGCGACAACCCTCGGGCGTGATCGACCCCCCCTCGTCCACGTAATCGCTGGCTTGAATCAGCGTCGCGTACGCGACGCCAGCCGATCCCGCGTCCGATTCCAGCGTCCCGAACACCGACAGTCGCGACTCCACCGGCTGCGCGCGCACCGAGCACGTCACCGTATCCTCTCTCCCGCGCGCTCCGACGGCATAGCGCGCCGAGTAACACCCTCGCCGCGCGAGTCCATCGCGCAATTCAATCTCTCCCGCGGTCTTCGCCCCCGAATCCAGCATCAACGCGTGAATCGCCAAAAACGCCGCCTCCGCCGCCTCCAACTCGCCCCGCCACTCCCCGAGCGCCTCTCGCATCGTCCTCGGCATCGCGCCCGCGTCCTCGTCGCGCGTCCTCGTCGCGTCCGACTCCATCGCGCTCGCGTCTCCCTCGTCGCGCTCGCGTTCGCGCTCGCGTTCGCGCGCCCTCGTCTCGTCTCGTCGCGTCGTCGCCGTCCCTCGCGCGCCGCCGTCCCCCTCGCCGCGCGCCTTCACCGCGCGCCGCGCCAGATCTCCCGGCGACACCCCGAGCGAGCTCAAACTCTTATTCTCCGCGCCCGCGTCGCCGTCGCCCGGCGCGTCGACGCCGTTCGGCGACGCGAACGTCCCCGTCCCGAATCCCGACGCCGAATCCTCTCCCCCCCGCGTCGTCGCGTCGCGCCCGCGCGCGGGTCCGCGCGCGTCGCGTCGTCGCCGACGTCCGCGCGCGTCGTCTCGTCGCCGACGCGCGGGCGCGATCGCGTCCGCGGGCGCCGTCGTCCCGTCGTCCCCGCCGCGTCCCGCTCTGGCGCTCGCACACCCCCGCGCGTCGTCGCGTCGCCGTCGCGCGCGATGGCCGGCGCCGACCCCACCGGGCTCAAGCCCAACGCCTTCATCGAGGCCAACGGCGCGGCGCGCGAGACGATCGAGCGCGCGTTCCGCCTGACGCCGCGAACGATCGGGCTCTTCGCCGTCTTCGGCGTCTTCGTCCCGGCGCTCATCTATCGCGGCGCCGTCAGGGATTTCGTGCGTGCGCGACGCGAGGCGACGCGAGGCGTGCGCGCGCGCGGGCGGCGCGCGCGCGGGGGCGACGCGCGCGCGCGGGCGCGACGCGGCGAACGGGCGAGGGATCGAACGAACCTAAATCGAATCGACCGACGACTGACGACGACGACGACGATCGCAGGACGCGAACGACGATCGGTACGGACGACCGAGGAAGAAGTTCTTGTAGCGCGCGCGGCGCGGCGCGCGAGGCGCGCGAGGCGAGGCGAGGGAGGCTGGGATGTATTTTAGCTCGACGCGGATGATTTGTAGTGCGACTTCACGACGCGTCCGTCGCTCGCGCGCGCGCGCGTTCGCTCGCTCGAGCGCGCGGTCGTCTAAAATCATGCGCGCGTCGACGGCGACGCGCGTCGCGCGCGAGGTGGCGCGCGCGGGCGCGCGCGCGGGCGCGAGGGTGGTTGAGACGGAGACGATGACTGGACGACGGCCGCGCGCGACGACGGCCGCGGGACGCGCGATGGCGACGGCGACGACGGCGACGTCCGCGCGCGCGTCCCACGCGTCGTCGTCGCTGTTCGAAGGCGCGCGAAGGGAGGCGGGGAGGACCGGGGGGTGGGACGGGACGAGACGCGCGTACCGCGGCGCGCCGCCGCCGGGACGCGGTTGGGACGCGCTCGGTGGATCCGCGGACGGCGATCGCGCGCTGTGGGCGCTGATAGGACTGAATGGGGCGGTGTATTACGCCTGGGCCACGACCGAGGACGGGCGGTTCATGCGGAAGAATTTCATGGTGAGCGAGGAGGCGCTCGCGCACGGGCGATGGCACACGATGTTGACTTCGGCGTTTTCTCATTTTGATTTGACGCATCTGGGAATGAACATGATCGCGCTGTACTTTTTCGGGCGAAGCGTGTGCGAGCGATTCGGAGGTCGGTATTTGCTCACGCTGTATTGCGTCGGGGGCGTCGGGGCTTCGGCCGCGCACGTGGCGTGGTGCGCGAGGCAACGACGCAAACGAATGGAGCGGTACAAGGAGGGCCGAGGGAACTTCTTCGACCGTCTCGACGCGTACGTCGCTAGGTTCGTAGAAGATAGCGGTGCGAAGCGAGGGTATTACTTCACTCCCGCCGCTCTCGGAGCGAGCGGGGCGGTGAACGCGATCGTGGCGTTCGAGGTGTTGCTTTACCCACTGCGGACGATTTACCTTTACGCGATCGTACCAGTGCCTAGCATACTACTAGGAGGTTTATTCCTCATGAGAGATATCGTGGGCATTCAAGATTCGCGTGGGTCTGGTGTGGCGCACGCTGGTCATCTCGGAGGCGCGGCCGTCGGAGCGTTAGCGCTCGCGATGCTGCGCACAAGGGGACGGCGCGGGAGAATATCCATGTAAATGTTCGCAAATTTGTTTTACAAATCAATCGGCGTCGCAATCACTGGTGCACTCATCATCAATCAATTATTCTTTGTCGTCTTCCTCATTTCGAGTGACGTGCGAAGTGCTCGCTCCTAAGTTCGATTTCGTCGCTTGATCTCTCGCGAGGTGAGCGGCGCTCGCGGCGGGAGACATGCCGTTCCCAGTGTTGGACGCCTTTGCCGCGCGCCCATTGGCGTCCTCCTCCTTGGAATCACCACGCGTTCGAGCGCGATTCGGCGTTTCGTTTTGTCCAGAGCGAGAAATGCTGTCGTTTGCGCTCGTCGCGCTCGTTGGGACCGTGCCGACGGGTTGACTCGGCGCCACTGGAGGGCGTTGACCCGCCGCGCCCGTCACCGCAGAGTTCAAATCATGCGCGAGAGTCGTTGAATCCCGATGCGCGGGGACGGTAGGGATTTGAATACCGCCGCTTTGTGTCGTCGCGTCGATGGTGTGATCAGCTTGCGACGTCATGAAGCTCGGACTCGGAATTGCCCTAAGTACAGATCCCAAAAATCGACTCAACGCTCTCTGTGAAGACTGCGCTTGCGCTTGCCGACGACCGTGCGGGTTGACCATTTGAGAAGGCGGCGGCGGTTGCTGCGCCTCAGTCGTAGCGGCAGAGGCGGCAGGATTAGTACCTGGCGCTGGTGTAGCTTGCGCCGCCTGACGCATCAGCAGTTCGCGAAGCTCTGGCGGCAAACCTTCCAAGCCTTGCTGCAATCCATGCACCTGGTGCATGACATGCATGACGCCTACAGGTCTCACAGCCTGAGCTTGAGGGTTTCCTTGCACAAAAAGGCCGTCTTGGGTATGCAATGGCATCCCAGGCGGTCGAGTGTGCGGAAACTCACCTGAATTAGCGATGTAAGATACCTGCGGATAGCTAAAAAAACTTTGGGCGTTGTTGATGTCGTCGCCGGCGATCGCGGCACCCTGTGGTGTCATGACGCCTGGAGGCGGTGGCACGACAGCCATGCATCGCGCGAGCTCACACCAAAGCGCGCCGACTGAATGCATTAGACTGGCGACTTGCAAGTTCGCGGCCTGCGTCTCGACTGTGTTTTGCCTACTGTCTCGAGCGAATCTCGCCGCGACGACATCGATGAGCGGTGCGGCTTGACGAGCGATCTCTCCCGCCGTGCTCAACATGCCACCGAGAGTATCCACATCGGCTTCACTGCGTTGTTCACGTGTTGTGCCTTGATTCATGTCCGTTTCATCGTCGTTTTGAACGACTGGGGGTAAACCAGCCGGCAACGGCAAGTCGAGCTTCGCGTACGGTCCGCACGCGGCGCCTCGACCAGCGAAGAAACAACGCTCGCACAGATCGTAATCGTCGTGAGCCACGCTCTTGTACCGCGTCCCTCGGACGGGAATAACCTCACACGCATCGCATTGCACGCCAAAATGTATGGGACGCTGCTCTATCGTCCGAGATGCGTCCTCGCTCGCGACCGAGTTTCCATCACCCGGCGTGGACAACGGCGTCGAGCGCACTTGTAAACCGCGCAACAACCGTAAAACGTTCTGCAGATATCTACGCAAGGTCTCTTCGGGCGTGTTTTGCTGCACCGCCGTCGTCGCCGTGGCGTTCGTGGGTTGTCCACGCCCACCCCGGCCCGCCGCCCGCTCTTCGCGGCGTTGACCCGCCGCCGGAGCTCGCGCCCCCCCGCCCCCCATCGGCGGTCCGCCGATGCTAAACTCCACGGTCACCGCCCCCCCCGCCGGTCCTACCGCCCCTAACATCGCTGGATTCGCCGTGAGTAACGACGTTATCATCTGCGACAAGTCCCCGATCGTCCCCTCGCCTCGTCCGTTTCCGCGAGCTTCCGCGTTTTCCGGCGCGTGCGGATCCCTCGCCAAATTCGGATTCGCCTCCGTCTCCGGCGCTCGCGTCACCAGCAGCAGCGTGTCTCCATCCTCCACTCGCGCGCTCTCCATCGACGCTTCGTCCGCGAGCACGCGTCCTCGACACAGCAACCGCTGCGCGTTCGCCGGCACGCCCGAGACGCCCTCCACGATTCGCTTCACCGCCGGCATCAGCGCCTGCGATCGTCGCCGTCGTCGCTCGGTCAGTCCTCGAGAACGCCTCGCCGCGCGCCGTTTTCGCGCCTCCGCCTCGCCGCCGCGATCGTCACCGCGCCGCCGCGCGCTCGCGTCGGTTATTTTAAGATGTCCCCTCGCTTCGCTTCGCGTCGTCGCGTTCGCGTCGTCTCGCGCACCGTCTTCGGCACGCGCACGAAGTGTTCGCCGCTCGGATGCACGCGTATCTTCACGCGCACGCTGTCGCGCTCGCTCGGCCCGAGGGCGTCGATGGACGCCGTCGCCATGACGCGGCGCCGATGCGTCAGAGTATGACGCGCCCGACGCGCGCCGAGCTCGCGCGTCACGCCCCGGCGCTGGCGTGCTACTTTTTCCTGACCCTCGCCGTGGAGTCGTCGACGACGCCGCTCGCGCTGGTGCGGAATCGCGCGCTCGCGTGGGACGAAACGCCCGAGGGCGCGAATCGCTTTTACGCCTTTGTGTTCGCGGTGGCGACGTTAAAGCCGCTGTACGCGTCGGTGAGCGACCGATCGCGCGCGAGGGGGGGCACGCGAGCGGCGCACGTCGCGCTCGGATGCGCGGTCGCGCTGGCGGGCGCGCTCGGGTCGAGCGCGGCGCGGACGACGGCGCAGACGTACGGGTTCGGGACGCTGGCGAGCGCGGGCGCGGCGCACGCGTACGCGTCGTTGGATGGATACGTCGTCGAGAGGTTCGGCGGGGAAGCGGGAAGGTCGAGGGATGAGGTGGTGATGGCGCAGGCGTGCGCGATGGCGGCGAGGACGGCGGGGAGCGTGGTGGGGGATTTAGCGAGCGCGGGAGGACTGGCGGCGGCGAGCGCGCGGACGGCGGCGGCGGCGAGCGGGATTTGGATGCTCGTCGCGATCGCTGTGGCGTTAGTGAGCGTGGATGAGAGTGATATATCGCGAGATGTCGATTCGGGAAGAGAAGATGAGCGTGAAATGGAGTCGCGGTCGTGCGCGTCGTGGACGGCGCGAGCGAAGGAGGCGTACGCGCCGCTCGCCGAGGTTGATTTTTTACGGTGCGCCGCGTTGGTGTTTTTATACCGCATCGCACCGACGGCGTTGGATACATTCGCGTCGTATACGTACGCCGTGTTCAGCGATAGGATGAAGGATTATGAGTTTGGTTTGGTGGCGTTCTTTACGTCGCTCGGCGCGCTCGCCGCGCCGGCGGCGTTCGGTTGGGCGTTCGGAGACGCAAGCGCGTCTGGTAGTTCTGTGGGTGAAAACGACGCCGGAACGTTGACGAAGATTCGTGCGCTTCTCGTCTCGTCGCCCACGTGGATGATGTTCGTCTTCGGCGCCGTCGTAGACGCGGCGCTGGGTCTCTGTCGACTCTTCATCGTGTGGCGGCCGCCCGCAACCGGCGCCGTGGCGGCGTTATCTATCGTCAACGCGCTCGCAATTTTTGGCTTGCGCGTGGGTTACATGCCAATCGTCACATTAGGCGCGATCATGGCTCCGCAAAACCTCGAAGCCGTCGGTTTCGCGGCGCTGATTTTCGCCAGCGACGTCGGCGCGCTCGTCTCCGCCTACGTCTCCGCCGGCGTCGTCCGCGCCCTACACATCGGTGCGCCCACGCGCACGGACACCACCGGCGCCGTCATTCCAACCGATCGTTCGTGGTCACCTCTCACCGCCTTCCTCGTGCTCGTCGCCGCGTGCAAGATCATCATCCCGTGCGTCTCCGCGCCGCCGCTCCTTTCGTCGGCGTCTCGGCGTTCGCGCGCCGCCGACTTCTCCCTCCTCCCCGCCGACGCCGATCGATCCCACGCCACCGTCGACGACGCCGCGCGCGATTCCAACGCGTCAACGCGGCCGTCTTCTCCCCCTTTCGACCTCGCATCGCCGTCCGCGGAGCTGTAATCCAAAATCTCCCTCGCCTCCGTCCCGCTCGCGAAATGTCCCCCAGCGCCGTCCCGGTGGTCCGCCGCCGCCGCCGCCGCGCCTCGTTCGCACACGCCGCCGCCCGCGGTCGCTCGCACGACGCGCGCGCGATGAAGAACAAGAAGAAGCGCCAAGAGCGCGCGCGCGCGGACGAAGACGCCCTCGCCGAGCTCCGCGCGCGCCCCGCGAGCGCGCTCGGCGACGTCGCGAGCGACAGCGAGGACGAAACCGTGAACGACGCGCACGCGAAGCGACGACGCGCGAGCGTCGTCCCGGGCACGGGCTACGTCCCGGAGGGAAAGGCGAAGAGCGTCGACGCGAGCCTGGTGAATAAAAACGAAAAGACGCTCGTGCTGACGAGCCGAGGGGCGACGTCGAGGTACAGACACCTGATGCTGGACCTGCTGACGCTCGTGCCGAACGCGAAGAAGGACGCGAAGTTGGACACGAAGAACGAGAGAAACGTCGTCGTGGAGGCGGCGGATCTGCGAGGATGCTCGAGCGCGATGTTTTTTGAGTGCAGGAAGAAACAAGATTGTTACATGTGGCTGGCGAAGACGCCGAGCGGGCCTTCGATTAAATTTCACGTGGAAAACGTGCACACGATGGCGGAGCTGAAGATGACGGGGAATCACTTGAAGTTTAGTCGACCGTCGTTGCACTTCGCGCCGGCGTTCGATGAGACGGCGCACAGACGGTTGATAAAGGAAGCGTTGATTCAAACCTTCGCGACGCCGTACCGACACTTCAAATCTAAGCCGTTCTACGATCATCAAATGTGCTTTTACTGGGAGGACAATCGCGTGTGGTTTCGGAATTATCAAGTCGTCCATCCCGCGGGGAAGGAGGTGAAAACCCAAGGCTTGACCCTCTCCGAGACGGGTCCTCGGTTGTGCTTGCACCCGATCAAAATCTTCGCTGGCGCGTTCGGCGGCGCGGTATTATTCGAGGACGAAACCTTTGTCTCCCCGAACGCCCAGCGCGCCGAATCCAAAAAGCGCGACGTCACCAAGTACCAACAAAAAGTTCAAAAGAAGCAAGCGCGCAAGGCTCACAAACACATGAACCAACTGCGCGGGGGCGAATTGGACGACTTATTTCGCGACGGCGACGACTGATCGCCCTTCTTCGTGTAATTTCATTTTAGACTGTTAGACTGCGCGCGCGTCGCCTCAAACCGCCACTCGCGCGCGATGCGCGTTCGCCCACCGCCCTGACCTCTCGACCATGTTCGCTCGACACCACGAACACGAGCGCACGTTTCCCGTCGCCGTGCGCGCGTTCGCGAGCTTCGACGACGCTCGCAGCGATTTGCGTCGGCGCCTGCGCGCGGTTCGTCAGGAATCCACCGAGTTATGCGCGTCGACGCTCGTGTCGCGGTGCGGAAGCGCGTCGAACGTCGCGCGAAGCCTCATTGCGTTGCTTCGCGATGCGTGCGGAAGAGGCGACCGCGCGCGGGCGGCGCTGTGCGCGGTGACTATGCTCAGGGCGACGATGGGGACGCTGAGCGGCGCCGGCGCGCGCGAGGCGGAGACGCGAGACCGAGCGCGAGGAGCGGCTGGCGTTTCGGATAAGCGGTCTTGGATCGATCGTGAGGTGCTGTACTGCGCGCTGGAGACGCTGATCAGCGAGGAAGCGATGGCGGGATCGAGCGAGTATCGCGTCGCGGCGTCGACGAGGATGGACGAAGCGCGCGTGCGGGAGCGCGTCAAGACGCTGAGCGCGGTGGGAAGCGCGCGGAGCGACGCGGATACGATGGAACGCGCGGCGAGACTTTTAGTTGACGATGATGATATCGAAGGCGCGATTGCCGTGCTCCGAGAGCGACGGAAAAAATCGCCGAAAAATCCCGTGCGAGACGATACGAAATTCCCGTTGGCGAAGACGACGGCGCTGCTGCGGCATTTACGTTGGGTGCGAAGGATGCGCGCGATTAGGTTTTCAGGGTTATCGGACGATGGAGATAGGGTGCTACCACTCGTGTGGCGGCCGGGGAGTAAACATCACAAACCCGTGGATGACGTCGAGGCGGTGAAATTAGGCGGTGAGGCCAAGGCGGCGTTGCAAGAGGCGATTCGTTTAGATGAAGGCGATGCCGCGTGCGCGGTGGCGTTGGCGCAGGTTGAAGCTTTTCAAGGCAGCTTTCTGAGAACGAGAGAAGTACTGACAAAGTGCTTGATGAAGAACCCCAACGATGCGGACGTAAACGCAGCGTACGCGGAACTCTTGATGAACGCCATGCAGACGCGACATCCGAAAGGCTCAACTTTGGACTCGGACGCCTTTCGACTAGAAGTAACCAACGCGTGCAAGGCTGTGCTGCGAATCGATCCGACGTCGAACACATCGTTGATGATGCTGTGGAAGCTACTAGCTGGAGAAAAAGAAAAAGCAAACGTTGAGCAGATGAGACGAATTATGCTCGAGTCGATCGCGACGTGCGTCGAGGTACAACCAACGAATAAACGCGCCTGGGTCATGCTGGCGACGATGTTGACTGGTATCAAAGGCTTGGGTATCACGCATACTGACATCAGCGATATTCGCAGCGAACTCACGGGTATAGAAGACGACGATTTGGAAGTGGACAAGGCGGCTGAGATGTTTGCATGCAACCCGGTTGATGAGGCGACGATTCAGCACGTTTTCGACGACGAACGACAATGGTGGCCGGATACCCTTTTCAAAAAGAAGGATGAAAAAGCACCGTTGAAGGTTGGAGAAATTAGACGTCCTTCAAAAGAAGAAATCGTATGGTTGCGCGTGCATTACATTATCATGGTTGTGCTCTATCCGGGAAAGCCCACCGAGGCTCGTTATCGTCAAGTCGAGGCACGCCTCGATTACATTGAAAGTAAAGAGTCCGCGAGTAAGGAATACAAAGCGTTCAGCGCGCAAATCAGAGATACCGCGAAGGGCCGAAGAGATTTGTACGGACGCATGTTGGACCCGGCCAAGCGTGCCGCTGAAACAAGGATCAGGAGGAAAAAAGAAAAGAGATTAGAAACGGCGCCGCGACACGTCGCGGAAGACGCGGAAGACGACGATTACGGACTGTCGAGCGAAGTCATCGAGAACTTGACTTACCAACGACAACGGCTGCGATGGCAGAAAACGCGGCAAAAACGTTCGACGTCGACGACGCCGGCGAAACGGCAAAAGATCGTCGGCGACCCATAGCATAAAATTTGTATTTTAATTGCAGCGGCCTAACCCCCAATTTTTTCTCGCGGCGAGAAATCATCGGAGCGCGAGCGTCACGCCGACTGGCGCGTGGTCAGACCCAAGGACCTTGTCGAGAATGAACGCGTCCACAACTTCGACGCCATCAGCGCCGCCGTCGAAGACTCTTTTCGACGCCAAGGTGTAATCGAGTCGAAGACCTTTGTTGAACGGGCGATTCCCCGCGCGAACGCTCCAATAAGAAAACCAACCGACGGCGTCGCCGTGGAAATGTCGAAACGCGTCGCGCAAGTCGTTCTCCTCGAGCATGACCCCGAAAGCCTCGCGCTCTTGAGGCGTCGTCCCCGCGCTCTTCTTAATATGCGACGCACCGACGTTCCAAATATCAGAATCCAGATGCGCGACGTTCAAATCGCCCATGTACACCACCGGTTTCTTCGCGTCGAGTTCTTTGAGATGCGCGCGCATGTCGCGCTCCCACTCGCCGATTCGATAATCCAAACGCTTCAGATCTTGTCCACTGTTCGGCACGTACGCGGTGACGAGGTAAAACCCCTCAAACTCCAGCGTCATCGTCCGTCCCTCGTCCGTGTATCCTCGCGCGCCCAACCCTTCGCGAATCTCCAACAACTTTGGCCCGTCGTACGTCGCCTCCTCGTCCTTCGCCCCGCCGCCGAACATCGCGTCCAACGTGCCCTGCGTCGACCCACTCGTCCCATTCCGCGCCGCCTTACACATCACCACCACTCCACTGTACCCCTTCTTCGCCACGCTCACCGCGAACTGCACCGTCTTATACATCGGAAAGTCCCGCCTCAACCGCTCCGTAAACGCCGCGCAGTGCGTCTCCTGCAGCTTGTGCTCTTGCAAAATCACCACGTCCGGCGCCTCTCCCGCGATCACCCCTCGCAACCGATCGAGCGATTTCTCGTGAAACGAGCGCAATCCCGCGACGTTCCACGCGATCGCCGTGAACGCGCGCGCGTCTCGCGGCGCGTCCCGTCGCGCCGCGTCGCTCCGCTCGACCGTCGTCGTCGTCGTCGCCTTTTTCGGTTTTTTATTCCCCGTCGGCGCGACGTCCGCGCCGTCGCGCGCCGTCGGCGACGGCGTTCGTTTCGCTCGCATCACCGTCGTCGTCGCGCGTCGGTCCGTCGTCGTCGTCGTCGTGTGTCGCGCGTCGCGGTCGCGGTCGCGATCGATCGCACGGCGTTCGAATCGCGAACGCGAAACGAATCGACGATCGAGACGACGCGCGCGACCGCGACGCGCGTCGACGCGACGGCGCGATCGCGTCGCGTCGCGTCGCGCGCGGATCGACGAAAAAAAACGAGCTCGGACGCCCGGTCGCGCCGGGGCGGCGTCGGCGCGCGCGCGGCGCGGCGACCTCGCGGTGTCGCTCGACGCCGCGCGCAGAGCGCGACGCATGGCGACGACGGCGCTCCTGCGCGCGTCCGGCGCGTGCGCGCGACGCGGTCGACGCATCGCCGCGTCCGCGCGCGCGGCGTCGTCCGCGTCCTCGACCGCGCGGTCCACGCGCGCGGTCCCGCTCGTCGTCGTCGTCGTCGGCAAGGGCGGCGGCGCGAAAGTCGACGACGCGGTCGACGAGTACGCGCGGCGGTGCGCGCGCTACGCGCCGTTCGAGGAGAAGACGGTGAAACAAAACCCGAAGAACGTCAAGGATACCGAGCTGCAGAAGGTTCACGAGGGCGAGCGGGTGATGCGGGCGATCACGGCGCGGGATTACGTCGTGCTGCTGGACGAGCGCGGGCGGGACGCGTCGAGCGAGGAGGTGGCGGAATTGGTGGCGAGGATCGGGGACGAGGGCTACGAGCGAGGGGTGTTCGTTTTGGGTGGGCCGTTCGGACACGGGAAAGACGTGATCGATCGAGCGAACGAGAGCCTGCGGTTGTCGAAGATGGTGCTGAATCATCAAGTGGCGAGGTTGGTGGTGACGGAGGCGTTGTATCGAGCGCACACGATTTTACGCGGCGAACCGTATCATCACTAGTTGTAGAATATTTATTTGTACAATGAGATCACCGCCGGGACGTTTCGCCGCGCATCACGCGCGCTTCACCAAGAGCGCGCCCGACTCTAAGTGCGGGGTGTAAGGGAACTGGTCGAAGACGGCGAATCGTTTGATTTCGTGCGTCTCGCCGAGAATTTTACAGTCTCGCGCCAAAGTTTCCGGATTGCACGAGATGTAAATGATCCTGTCGAAGCGCGCGCAGAATTTGCTCACTTCGTCGCCCATGCCGGCGCGCGGCGGATCGACGAGCACGGTGCTCAAATCGTACGTCGTGAGATCTATATCCTTCAGGCGCGTGTACTCGCGTCCGCCGTCGAGGGCGTCGCACAGCTCCTCCGCCGATAGTCTCGCGGTGACGACGTTGTCGATTCCGTTCGCGGCCATGTTCACGTGCGCGGCGGCGACGGACGATTTCGATATTTCAGTCGCCAAACATTTGCGAAACAAGGGCGCGAGCGCGATCGTGAAATGTCCGTTGCCGCAATAGAGCTCGAGAAAATCTCGATTCGCGTCTCGCGGCGTCGCCGCCGCGACGACGTCTGGTGAATCGCTCACCGCCGCCGAGCGAGCCCACGCGAGCATTTGCGCCGCAATTCCAGCGTTCGGTTGCGTGAACGACCCCTCCAACTGCTTGTAACTAAATTCCTTCCCATCGATCAACACCTTCTCGGTCACGAAATCCTTGGCGAGGACAAGTTTTTGCTTCCTCGCGCGACCGATGACGTCGATCCCCAACCGCGCCCGCATCGCCTCCGCCTCGCGTTCCCAATCTTCATCCAACTGTCTGTGGTACAACAAACTCACCACCGCATCTCCGGTCGTCGTGGTGAGGAAATTCGCTTGAAACAGCTTTCTTCGCAGCGTCTCCGTCGCCGTCACCTCGCGCAGCAACTCTGGCATGAGTTCGCGAATGCGCGCGCTCGCCATCGGAAAGTCCACCACCTCCACCGGGTCCTTCGGTCGATCGGAATCACACATGGCGAAGTAACTCCTATCGCCGTCGTGCCACACCTTGAATTCGGCGCGCATGCGAAACTCCTCTCGCGCGCTCTCGAACGTCTCCGTGCGGCTCGGCAGCGTCGCCACGCCGTCAAAGTGCGCGCGCGCGTGCGCCGTCTTCTCTCGCAATTCTTCGTCGTACGACGACGGACGACATTCTACGTCGAGTCGACACGTCGCGCCGCTCGGGCGGTATCGTCGTCGCGCGCGCGCGCCGGCGGCGCGCGGGCACGCGAAAAGGTACCCATTCGAGAGACGACGCGCGCCGAGCGCCACAGACGCGCGAAACATCGCGCGGAACGAAACGTGGTCGCGACGTGCGCAGTTAAAACCGTCGACGCTCGAAAGCGAGCGCTCGGCGGCGCCGAGAGCGTCGCGTCGCGAGGTGCGGTGTGGGTCGTAGGTAGAGCTCTCGACGCGCTCGCTGTTACAAATTTAACTTCTATCGACGACGTCATCCGTCACGCCAAGTCGGTGGCGATTGTTTCTAAGGCATCAAACAGCTCGTTCGGTGTGCCGAACTCTGGCGGCCCGAATTGTTCGGATTCGCGAAGCATGACTTTGACGTCGTCGCCGTACTCGACGACGAGCGCGCCCAAAGCGATCTCCACGGTGTCCGATATTCTCTTCGCAGTCTCCACTGCGGGCGTGAAAGCCGGCGTCACAGCACCGTTTGCATCATTTCTATTGGTGGCGGTGATTCCTAAAACGTACAAGACGTTGTTGATGATCTCGTTTCGCTTCGCGACGATGGAATTCGCCTTTGACGTCGACGCCAAATCGCTAGAGGTGAACCCACTGGAGGCGCGCACGGGAGGAGAACCTTGCTCGATGATCGTCCGACATGCTAATTGTGCCGTAAGTAACGTTCGCACAATCGCACTGAGCGACGGATTGATCGAACGCGCGTTTCCGCGAACATCTTCCTTTTTCGCGGCGACGGCGAGCGAAGACGAAGCGCGCGCGCCCCAAATCGCCAATTGCCCGTACGCCTTGACCACCGTGCACAACTCACGCGCCGCAACATCGGTCGAGAGCACCTCGCTTTGACGCAACGCATTCCACGCTTGTTGCGTCTGCGCGCTCTCGTGTCGAAATTTGGGCTTTGGCGTATTCATTTGCGCGTACTTTTCACTAATCCTTTGCGCCGCATCCGCATCCGTGTCTCGCAACGCCGCCAACATAGTGCGGTCCATCGCCTTGTTCACCGAACGCGAAATCGATGCCAACGGCGCGAGAGCGATCGATATCACCACAGACCACGCCGCATCGGGGGTATCGCCGTAGATGAGCTGGCGCCGTCCGCGTCCACCGCTCTCGGCGACGTTGCACAAGTCTGCAAACGCCAAGTGCTGCACGAACGGAACTTCGAAATAATGCAAAGCCGCCATCAGAGGTTCGCTCGCAACTTTCGGACCTTGCGTCAAACTTTGCGGTCTGAACTCATAGCGCTCGGTGTGCACGATCTCGGCGCAGAAAATTGCGAGCGCCCACGAAGCGCTCGCGAGCGCCCCAGCGCCCCAACACGACATCGACCCCAAGAACAAACCTCGAGACGATTTCGCGCTGAGCTGGACGAGGAATCGACTCGCAATTACCACCAAAATATGCACCACGCACGCATAAAGGGAACGCTTCAATCCACTTAGAGCGCACGGCGCAAATGCGCGTTTCAACCGCAACCCGCGCGGTCGCTGCACCGATGAAAACTTCACCACCAAACCATCGTTGAACCAAAAGTTCACCACTGTCATCACCCCCAACACACAGCCAAATTGCGCTGCGAACGTAGCGTCGGACGCGTTCACCGTCATCATCCCCACCAAGCCCCGCGTCGGCGTCGTCCTCGCTGCGAGCGAGCACGCCAAACTCCCCGAGCATGCAAACGCGCCGCCCAACGCCCCGATCGTCATCCCATCCCGCATCATCGCCGTTGCGAACCGTTCACCGATTCTCTCCCCTCGCACGATTCCACACGCGTCCCTTTCGCCGTTCGGCACGAAATCAGCCGTGCTCGCTCTCGCGCACATCGCCGTCGCCGCGCTCGCTGGCAGTTGCGTCGCCGCGTACGTCAACGCCACGGCCACGCGCGACCAGTGCGGGAAGTCACCACCAAGAATGTGTACACACGTGAAGTATGCGTATGCCTGTGCGCGCGCGTCGCGATGGCGCTCCGTCAGTCGTCGCCTTCGTCGAGAATCAAATGCGGACGTTGGCGAAATCGAAATCAAATCGACGCGAGCGCGACGTACGGCGACGAAAATAGCGAGCGTGGACCACGCGCACGCGCCGATGATTCGCCAGGTCCTCAGCTCCGCGACATCGCGCGTGAACCACTTGGAGTCCATGGCGCACGCGCGACGACGAGTGCGGCGCTCCCAGCGGCGGCGGAGGGTTCGCGCCAGCGGCGACGAAGACGCGATTTTGGCCGGTGATGACGGGCGTCGCGTGAATGAAAAGCTAAAATAACAAGAGTAACTACGCTATAGACATTGTGGTAAATGAATCCATGTGGTCGAATCTGCGAAGATTGCGAATGATCTCGTCTTCAAGCGTCGGCAATGTTTCGCGCAACGATTTCAAGACGTCGCGATCGATGGCGAGAACTTCCAAGGAGTCGTTCGCCACGATGGTTGCTAAGCGAGGCTGGCCAGTAAGCAGCGCGAGCTCGCCAAAGTATTGACCCTGGCTAAAGTTGCGCATGATGCGGTCGGGAGGGATTTTTGATCCCGGGGCGACGTGGTCGACGTCGCCGTCGGATTTAGTGGAAACGGCTGAACCCTTAAGGATGACGTAAAACTTGTCCGCAACTTCACCTTGGCGTATGATTTTCTCACCGGGCTTAAAACTGAACCGTTTGGCTTGTTTAACTACCATGGCACGCTCGTAGGAGCCGAGGTCGGCGAAAACAGGGATCTTTGCCAACGTGCGTTCGTAGCGAAGCCGACGCCAAGCCATACCGATTTCCTTCGAAGGGTCATCGAACCCTTCGTCGAAGAGAGTAGCAGAAGCAAATTCGCCCTTGCGACACGTTTCGTAGGCTTCTCGTGGCACAGCCATCAACGTCACGTCGTTGACGGCCGTGACCGTCTCATTGCTCGCCTCAGAGGAGAACATGTAGGATTCGCCAAAGTAACCGCCACTATGGATGACGTCGCTCCCTTGATCTTCCGTATTCTTCCCCTTCTTCCCCTTTTTATTCGCTTGGTCAATCTTGACGCATCCACGAGTCATGATGTACATCTCCCCAGGCGTTTCGTCGCCGGCGCCGATGATTTGCTCACCCGCTTTAAAGTGTTTCATTTGGACCATGCTCGCCAGTCGGATTCTTTTGTCCTTGGACAGAGCGTCGAACATATGCACGTTCTCCAGTACATTCTTGTTCCTTGACAGTAAAACCTTCCGTTCACCGCCGGTGATCATCTCCAGTAGCGCAAACATTGCCGCATAGTGCGGCGCGGTGCGGAAAAAGTGTGCGCGCGAGCCTTTGTACAACGCCAACGGCCCTTCCCTCAAAACTATGTACCTAAATGCTCTAATAGTATCTTTGTGTATGTGCGGCTTGAGATACACGTACGCTCGCGACGTGTCGATCGGCTGCATCACCGCCACCGACGCCGCCGCGCTTAAAACGCCGCTCAGCGCGCCGAGCACGGGCGAACCCGGCGATAAAATCATATTCCTCACGAGCGCCTCGCTTGCGATGGACTGCACGGTCAAATTCACGCTCGAGCCGAGCATGTCCCTCATAACACTCGCGCCCACACCTTTATATAACGTCTTCCACCCCTCCTTGGCGCAAATCTTCTTCAACGCCACCATTCCATTTTCGTATTCGCACATCGCCGCCGGCACTTGCATCCGCGTCTTGATCAAATCAAACGGATTACTCGACACCGCCCCGATCCCCCCGCTCAGACATCCCGCCATGAACCGTTTCCACGCCGGTGCTGGGTTATCATCATCCGTGTGTATCACCTTCAGCACCGGTAAGAACAGCCCAATTCGAAACACATTCTTCGACGACTCTCGCACCATCGCCACGGGTAAACCTCTGTACAGCCCGCGCAGCGCGCCTTCCTTCTTCACCATATTCATCGTCACCTCCCGCATGTTCTTGCCCCACGACGCGCCGACGCCCGGGAGTTGCATGATCGTTTTCGCGCGGTCCATCGGGTTCGTCGCGAGCACCGCGAGGCAGGACGCGAGCGCAGAGTTCGGCATGGAGACCCAACCGGGCAATTGCAGCTTGTTCGTGTTTCGCGTCACGGCGTCGCGCCTCGGCAGCGTGAGCGTGCTTCGGCGCTTCGGAGACGATGCGCTGGACATCGCGCTCGCGCGCGCGCGGCGCTCGCGCGCGTCGGACGCGGTCGAGGGCATCGCGAGGGCAGCGCGCGCGAGTGGGGAAAAAGCGGTTCGGGTTTTTCGTTGGCGCGCGCTCGCGCTCGGCGCGAGTCGAGACGCTTTGAGCGATGAGCGAAGAGCGAAGAGCGGTGGACGCGCGAACTGCGTGGGATGTGTGCAGAAGGAGATTACAATAATAGATCGTCGTCGTCGTCGTCGTCGTCGTCGTCGAAGCCGGCGTCGGCGAGGAAATCGAAGTCGTCCTGTCCGGCGGCGTCTTCGGCGACGAAGAACTTGTCGCCGCCGGGACACTTTTTGAGAAGCGCTTCCGCCGTCTCGCGATCGAGGACGGATGAACCGGCGGTGACAGCAGCGATAAATTTGCGAGTGTACTTGTCCGGTTTGAGATCGCGCGATGACATCTCGTTCATGACGAGCGGGGCGTATTCGGCAAAGCTGCCGCTCTGGGCGGCGCATCGGAAGAGCGCGTTGTACGTTGCGACAGTCGGCACACCGCCTCGCTTGATGAAGTCTTGCACGCGCTCGGTAGCTGCTTTGATTTGACCGAGATGAGAGTAAGCGGTGATGATGCAGTTGAGAAGCCACGGATCCAGCACCATCGACTCGTCCATGAGGGAATCGGCGAGCGCAATAGCCTTGGTTGGTTCACGCTTCGCAACCGCCAAAACACTCAGGCCGATGGCGACTTCGTCGAGTTCGATGTTTTCTGGCAATTCGCTGATCATGTCGAACACGGCGTCTGGCTGACCCAAAGCCCCTCTGGCTTTGACCAAAGCCGTGAACGACTGCGTGTTGTGCTCGACGTTGCTTGAGAGCATATCCAACTCCACGCTATCTAAAGTCGCTCGTGTGCGATCTAACAGAGGTCCAACGACTTCTTCATCTAATTCAAACATATCACCGTCCAAGTCCAGTTCCTCCGCCTGTTTCGTGCACGCGGCGAAGAGCGGCACGAACGTGTCTGGGCCGGCGGCAATGCCAGACTTGACCATGCTTGCCCGCGCGTTGAGCGCAGCGTCTAAATCACCCGCTCGCGCGCAAGCACCCAATAAAATATTGTACATCGTAGTATCAAGCGCGAGTCCTCGCTCTTGCATGAGCTTCAAAACCTCTGCGACACCGGGTAAGTGGCTTTGTTCTGCGTGCGCCAAGAGAAGTGTCGAAAACGTGTACGTCGTCGGCTCGACTTCTCGATCTTCCATCGCAAGCATCACTTCTTGAAATCGCATCATTGCTTGCTCATGATCCACGACACCGAGCTTTATCTTATCTCGCATGTATTCGGCGCGTAGTACTGCGTTGAACGTTCGCACGTCTGCGTTGATGCCCAAATCCTCTTCCATTCGAACAAACCATGTATTGACTGTGTCCGTGTCACCGACCGCAGCATGCGCGAGCATCACGGCGTTCGTGGCTATTAAAACTTCCTTCGTTCCGACTTTCTTGATATCGTCGTCGCTCACCAAGTTGTTTCGGTACTCTTCTAAACCACGTTCGCCGGTCCAGCGAGCATATCTCGACCCTGAATGATTGTTCTTCTCCAGCTTCGCAAAGTCTTCGTCCGAGCGCTTCCGACCCACGCGATCGTACAGATCTTCTAATGCTTTCACTGCGAGCGCACGCGATTCGGCGGCGCGCTGCGTTCTTTGGCGACCCAGAAACGCGTGAGCGACGACGCGTTCTTGATGTGCTTTCAACGCGCGCGCTTTGAGCTTGGAACGATCCCACACAGATTCCACCGATGCACTCGTCCCCGCGACGCGCTCGAGCTTGAGCAAACAGTGTAACGTATCTGCTAAAGGTGCCACATCGAACTCAAACATCATCGTCTCGATTTCTTGCACCGTTGCTCGGTCGCCCGCCTTTGCCGCGCCGTTCATCACGGTTGTAAACATCATGCTATTCACGCGCGTCTTCGACACGTGTTCCTCATCGCCATCGATCATGTCCCCAATCACATGTGATAGATCATACCTCGTGTCCATTTCTACGTTATCTTCGCCATCAAAGCCTTGTTCAACGTCCTTCGGTACGCCGTACAGGTGCATCTTCAACCAGTTAAACGCGTCCCCGTATCGTCCCGCGCGCACGTAAGCCTGCATCACCGCCGTGTGCGTGCTCACATCCGGTCCGATATTATCCGCGAGCATTGACTCGACGATCGACAGCGCCGCCTCGGGCTCTCGCGCTCGCGCCGCCGCGAGCACGTTTACGTTCCACGCCGCGCGTCCCGGTTTCGTCGTCGACGCCGCGAGCGCCTCAAACTCTCTCCGCACGCCCTCAAAATCATTCGCGCGAAGCGCGCGTCGCATGCTCGCCACGTGCCGTCGGCGCAGCGTCTGCTCTCTCGCGCTGTCCTCTCTCGCGCTCGCGCTCGTCCCGTCGTCTTCGGCGAGTTCAACCTTTGTCCCGAGCCAACACCTCGGCGTCGTCGCGCGCACCGACGTCCACACCGCCGACTCGTCGCGCGCGCGCGTTCGACCGCACGTTTGCGCGTCCGCGCGCGATCGCGCCCGGGCGCAGGCGCGCGCGACCGCGCGAAACATCGCGCGAGAGTCGCGCACTGAAGGTTGAAGGTTCAGGTCACGAGGCGAAAAAAAACGCTCGCACGAAATGCAGAGCGCGACGCCCCAGCGGTGTCGCTCGAGCGACGTCGCGCGTCGGCGAGCGTATCGGTATAGAAAAATATGTTCGTCGAGGACGTCGCGCGCGAACCCGCGGTGGCGTTCGTGTTCGCGCGCACGGCTGCGGGAGAGGCGGTGGAAGATGTAGAGACAAACGCCGCGGAGGATCGTTTCGTTTCGACGGCGAAGGCGATTTGCCGCGGTGAGCGCGCGCGCGCGTGCGGTGCGATAATCATAGATGGGAGCGTAGGCCGCGGGAAGTCGAGAGGATGCGCGGTGCGTTCGATGACGACGGAGTTTAACGACGCGTGGTGGTCGGCGTTGGAGCGCGACGTGCGAAAATTGAGAGAGCCAGGTTCGCACAACGCGGGATTCGTTGGATCGGCGTTGAGGTACGCCATCTTAGCTTTGAAGAGTTATCGAGGCGATAAGGACAACAAGCACTGTGTCGTTTTGGCGGACGAGGCGTTGGAGATGACCCACGACGAAGCTGCGGCGATTCTAGAAACGGCGCACAAGAACAAAGTCAAGATTCACTTCATTCGGAGCTTTAGCGCGAACGCGAGCGCGGCCGAGGCGAGTGTGATTCGTACGCTCTGTCGATGTTGTCCAGTCGATAGCGGAGAATGCTTGACCCCTTCTCTTGGATGCTGTTACGAGTGCGGCGTAAGCGTCGGGCTGAATGCCAACTTTTCGATTCCTGATGACTTGATCGACATTGGAATGCTTCGTATCGACGACAGTGACATGGACGACGAATCTTTAGCGTCTACTTCCACGGCAGAAAACGTCCCGATAATCGCGCACTTCGCGGGATGTCGTGATCAGCACGCAGAATTTGCCGGGGCGTCCGAAGCCGAACTCAAGCGCGTCGAGGCTTCGAGCATGACGAGTATCGGAATGAGCATCAAGGTGAAGCACTTACAGAAGCGAAATGACGAGACGAGCAATACTAGTACGAAGTATAAAATGGTCACGACGAGTCGGGAAATCGTTCTGACAATTGACGATATTCAGAGCGTCGCCAAAGCGCTCGACGAGCCCATCGCCGCTGTACGATGCGGAATTCTTTTACCATGCTACGGAAGGTCGGGACGATTATCGGGACCGTGTACACTTAAACACGATGTATCTACGCGTTTCACGCAAAGTGCACTCGAGTTTTGGCTTACGCCAGCGAATGATGACTTGGTACTCATGTACTCGCGTCAGCGTCCACGATCAGAACAGATCGTGCAACGTATCACGAGACACCGAGCTGAAGTGTTCTGTCGCGCGACGCGATCTGGTGATACTGATGCAATAGAAAACGCGCGCGCGTTAGGAATGCCCGTGATCAAGTATCCATTACCGAACGACCGTTCGCAGCGGGCTTTTGCTCTTGTACTCGGTGTGGGCGTCGCACGTCAAGAAAAATTCTTCTGGTTGACTCGTCCTGATTTGCAGACTGGTATCGAAGAGCTTGAAAACTTGAAAACCATGCTCGCGGCTCCGCCTACGTTGGAAAATTACACTGGCGTACCGCAGTCTGTCATCCACGACATGTCCCTCGCGCAAGTTGCTCTGAATGAAGAAGTGGCGAGCGAGATTGACACGCCGAAAACGCCGCCGAAGAAACCGATCCGAAAACCGCCCGCTTCAAAGCGAAGACCATCATCGTCTATGTCATCTATGTCATCGTCATCGTCATCGATGAAGCAACCAGATCAAGAATGGCTTTCGTCAATCGTGAAAAGCGCGAGCAGCTACGTGCCGATCGTAGCGCCGATCGTCGCCGAGTCAAAGGAGGATGCAAAGCCGAAACAAGACGAGTCGACCGACGACGCGAAGCGTAAACCCGACGATGCGAACAGCTCTCCGTCCGCGCAGCCAGCTCCGAACATGCGCGTCGACGTCACAAACTTGTCGACATTGTTTCAATGACACGCCGTCCTGTCGATTGCGTTTGCGATCCCGAGACGAAGCACGTCACAACTCGGCATGCGCTCGGCAACTTCGCGCCACGTGCCAACGCACTTCGCCCCGAAGCGAAACTCTCGATCACGTCGTAAATCAGTCGCCATAACCGCTACATCGGATCCACCAGGCTCGCCGAATTCGCGCAGTAGTTCCATTGACATACAGAACAACGCGCACCGCCTCAGAGAAGTGGAGGAGGCGTCAGATGTGTTCTTTCCACCGATCGAGCTCGCATCGCGCGCGCACGTGCGCACGATCGAACAGTACCGGAGCATGTATCATCGCTCAATTCACGAGCGTGATCAGTTCTGGACCGAGATCGCGGGCGAACTGTACTTTGAAAATTTGGACTCGAGCGCGTCGACGCACAACTTTGACCCGTCTCGGGGGCCCGTTCACGTGAAATGGTTCGAGGGCGCGAGGACGAACATGGCGTACAACTGCCTCGAAAAACAAATTGAAAATGGTATGGGTGACAAACGAGCCTTGATTTTCGAAGCGAATGATGAGATTAATTGCACGGAATTTACGTTCCGTGAGTTGCTCGTCGAGGTGGAGACTTTCGCAAAATTTTTGATAGCGCACGGCGTGCAGAAGGGCGATCGCGTGGTCATGTACTTGCCGATGATTCCAGCGTTACCGATCGCCATGCTCGCGTGCTCGCGAATCGGCGCAGTGCACAGCGTTGTGTTTGCCGGGTACAGCGCGAAATCTCTCGCGCAGCGCGTTCACGATTGCAAAGCCAAAATGGTCATCACCGCGAGCGCGTCCCGTCGCGCCGAAAAGATCATTCCGCTGAAGAAAATCGTGGACGAAGCAATGGAGATTTGCAAGAGCGATGGGTTTTGCGTAAACAAAGTTGTCGTGAAGCATAACGCTGACATTGAGATCGAAGGCGTTCCGCACGTCGAAGACGTACCTTTTCATTCGGATCGGGATTTGTGGTGGAACGAGAGTGTCGCCGAGTTTAGGACGGATGGAAAGCCAGCACCTATTGAATTTCTGGACAGTTGCGACACGGCGTTCATTCTCTACACGTCTGGTTCGACTGGTAAACCCAAAGGCGTCGTACACAGCGTCGGCGGTTATCAGACGTACGTGTACGCCACCAGCAAGTTCGTCTTCGATCTACATGCCGGAGAGGACGTTTTGTTCTGCACCGCCGACCTAGGATGGATCACGGGGCATTCATACGGCTTGTACGGACCGCTGTTGAATGGATGCGCGACTGTGCTCTTCGAAGGCGTGCCTACGTATCCAGATGCAGGTGTGTGGTGGCAAACTGTGGACAAATACGACGTTACTGTCTTCTACACTTCGCCGACGGCGTTGCGCACGTTGCAAGGTTACGGTGAGGATCCTGTCAAGCGAAGTTCGCGCGCTTCTTTGCGAATCCTTGGAACTGTCGGCGAGCCGATTTCGAGCGAGACGTGGCTGTGGTACCACAGCGTCGTCGGCGACGATAAACTCCCGATTTGTGACACGTGGTGGCAGACAGAAACGGGCGGTCATATCATCACACCGTTACCCGGTGCGACACCCTTGAAGGCTTCGAGCGCGACTTTTCCGTTTTTTGGAATCGTTCCCGTGCTGCTTGATCCGAAAGATGGAACTGAAATTCAAGGCGAGGGCGAAGGATGCTTGTGCATCAAAGAACCATGGCCGGGGATGTTTCTCGACGTTCACGGCGCGCACGAGCGGTACGAAAATTCTTACTTCAAGGTGTACGAGGGTGGTTACTACTTCTCGGGCGATGGCGCGCGACGCGATTCCGATGGATACCTCTTCATCACGGGTCGCTTGGACGACGTCATGAACGTCAGTGGTCATCGCATCGGGACCGCCGAGGTTGAGTCTGCATTAGTGCAGCACTCGAGTTGCATCGAAGCCGCCGTGGTTTCAATCGCGCACGAAGTCAAGGGCGAATCCATCGTCGCTTACGTCATCTTAGATCCGTCTCGAAGCATCGAGAAACGGTCGTCGCTCGAAATCCATCAACGAGAACTCATCACGAACGTTCGCATGGAAATCGGCCCCTTCGCGGCGCCAGAACGCGTCGTCATCGTGAAAGATTTGCCGAAGACTCGAAGCGGAAAGATCATGCGAAGAATTTTGAAGAAAATCGCCGCCGGCGACGTCGACGATTTCGGCGACGTCTCCGCGTTGGCCGACCCGGGGGTCGTAGACGAGATCATCAAAGCCGAGAGACACGCGCGCGGAACGCGATGACACGATCGATACGACGACATTGACGCGATGACACGATCGATACGACGACATTGACTACATTCTGTTCTTTTGTTACAAAAGTACCGACCAAAAGTACCGCCGCGTCGCCGCGTCAGTGATGTCCGCCGAGCGAGTAGAAGCGCAGCCCGCAATACTTGCACTTCGCCGGCGACTCGGGCGAGGTATCGTTCAACTTATAGTACGTATTCGGCGCCCCCAGCCCCCCCGTGGCGTCACCAAACCGATCCTTACACGCCCCCGGGGAATCACAGCTCACCTTATCTCCCGGCACCCCCACCGGTTCCGCGCTCGCGCTGTACTCCATCGGGCTCGGCTTCGCGCTCGAATCCAGCCACTTCGCCGTGTGCGCCGCGTCGCTCGGCAGCTTCCCCGGCCGTTTCGTCTGCACCGGCTGGCTCGGTTTAGACGGAATCGTCGGCGCCGTCGTCGCGTGCGCGCGCGTCACCGTCCGCGCCACCGTCACCGTTCGCGTCGCGTCTTCGCCGCGCGCGATCGCCATCGCTCGCGTCGTCAGCGCCTCCGCGTTCGCGCGCGACGCCGCCGACCGCGCGGCTCGACGCACCGCGCGCAGCATCGCGCGCGTCGCGTTCCGCGCTCCGTTTCGCTCGCGTCGTTCGCGCGCGTCGTCGTCGCGCGCGCGAGTGGCGTCGTCCGTCCCGCGGAAAACCTTCCGCGCCGTCCCGTCGCGTCCGACGACGTCGCGTCCGACGTCGCGTCCGCCAAACCCATGCTCGCGCGGTGCGCGCGCGCTCGAACGGCGATCGAGCGATCGAGCGCGGCGGCGGTGACGCGCGCGCGACGCGCGGCGACGGCGCCGAGCGCGCGCGCGCGCGCGATGGGACGCGGCGACGACGGCGGGACGGAGACGCGCGCGAGCGACGACGGCGGGACGGGGACGCGCGCGGCGAGCGTGCGCGCGGGAACGATCGCGCGCGAAGACGTGGTGCACTCGAGGTATCTCACGGTGTACGATCGAGAGATCGAGTTCGCGGACGAGGACGGGACGACGCGGTCGTTCGCGTACGACGTCGTGGGACACCCGAGAAGCGAGTTTCGGTTCGTGTGCGTGGCGCCGTTTCACAGTCGCGAACGCACGGTGAGCGGAGAGCCGGAGTTTACCATCATACGAGAGTACGCGCAAGGGAGTAATTCGGAGTGCGTCGTGCTGCCGAGCGGGTGCTTTGAACCGGGGAAACACGAGAGCTTGGACGAGGTGGCGCGCGAGGAACTGCAGCAAGAGTCGAGGTTGCGCGGAGGTACGCTGATGAGTCTGCTAGACGACGATAATCCGGGGCTGTTGGAGACGAAGTGGTGTCGGAATAGGTGCTTTCCGTTCTTGAACATCGATGGTGAGGAGTGCAACGAGGGTGAGCGCGACGCGGAGGAGTTTAACATGACGCATGAACGCGTGACGGCGAGAGAGTTGAAACGATTAATGTACGGTGGCGTGATGATGATGCCCTCGGTCGTCACCGCCCAACTAGCGATTGATAAGCTTATGACGACGGGACACTTGAATCTGGACGATATTGTGTAAACTACGTGTTGATTTTTATTTCATCGCTCCCTTCGACGTCGCTCGTCCAAACTCGAGCTCACGCGCCGAAAATAAACTGAACCACCTTGTCCCAAGTCGTGCGCTGGCGCGGTTGAAGAGAAATACCGTCGCGCATCGGCGCCACGCGCCGCACGGACGCGTTTCGCGATAGTCTGCCTTCGCCAGATCCGCCCGCGCCGACGTCCGCTCTGGACTTGGCGTCGAGCTCCTTCACGCCGACCATGATTCCGCTAATGTTTTGACCGTTTCTACGCAACGCGCGACGGGCGCTTTCTTTCGTAGCAAATCTGACGTGCAACCAGTTCACTGAGATCCCACTGTCGTTGAACGCGCCAAAGTTGACGATGTCGCCGTCGCGTTGAAACTCGCGCAAAACGACAGCCTTTTCATCCTTTGAAAACCCGTACACGGTGACCCAATGCTCCGCCTCTGAATCGCTCAACACCGCCGCTGTCGTGAACGCCGCGTTCGTCGTCGACGGCGCGCCGCGCGCGTCGATCGCTTTCGCCCCGCGCGCTCCCAACCACGAGTTCAACGCCTCCTCGCCTCCTCGCGCGTCGATCCCCGCCGCGTTCTCCGCGTGCGTCTTCTCGATCGCCCTTCGCAAGAATCCGGGCGTGTGATCATCCCCACCCGTCTCCGTGCGCGCGAACAGCGGCGTTCCTCGGCTCGACACCCCTCCGATGACGGGCGCCGGCGCCGGCGTCGCGCGCTCCTCCAGTTTCCCTCGGTTCGCGCTCGCCGGTCCACCGCCGCCAAAGTACCTGTTCGACCCCCCGCTCGTCCTCGGCGTCGATCCACCTCCCGCGAGGCTCTCCGTGCGACACAACCCTCCGCTCGGCGTCGTCTCTCGATTCGCCCCCGGCGACGCGAAGAGCAACGACGAAAACTTTGGCGCCCCCCTCGCCTCGCTCGCCCGCTCGCCCGCGCCGCGCGCGCCGTCGCGCGTCGCCGACCCGATCCCCGCCCTTTCCTCCATCGTCCCGATCGCGCGTCCGTCGTCGCGCTCGCGCGTTCGCCCCGCCGTCACCGGCGACGCGAAATCGCCGCGCCGCGCCCGCGCGTCCGCGCGCGGCGTCGCGAGCGCGCGCGCGTCCTCGTCTCGCCCGCGCCTCGCGGGCGTCCCGCGCCGATCGGCGCCCGCGGCGTCGTTCGCGAACATCGTCCGAGACGATCGAGACGCGAGATCGCGCGCGCGCGCGTCGCGATGCGGCGCGACGGGCGCGAGGCGCGCGCGTCGTTCCCCCACACCTCGGACGTCTCGGACGATGGAATCCGCGGCGTACGCGCGGTTGTACCCGCGCGAGGCGTGCGAAAAGACGCTGGCGAGCGGCGCGAGAGGGGACGGAAGACCGCTCGGGCGCGCGCGGGCGCGAACGTGCGCGACGGGCGTCGCGAGCGGCGCGCTGGGGAGCGCGCTCGCGAAACACGGCGCGACGACGGCGTGCGCGGGCGTCACGGCGACGATCGCGACGCCGGACGCGACGCGGCCGGAGGAGGGGTTTTTAGAGATAGCGGTGGATCACGCGCCGCAGGCGAGCGAGGACGCGCGAGACGGACGGACGCGGGGGCGAAGGGAGGCGGCGGCGGCGGCGTGCGCGAGCGCGGTGGCGAACGCGGCGGTGCTGGGGAAGGATTTGAAGCAGCTGTGCGTCGAACGAGGCACGTTCGCGTGGCGGGTGAGAGTGGATGTGATAGTGCTGTGCGATGACGGAGGGGCGGCGGATTGCGCGGTGACGGCGGTGATGGCGGCGCTGCGGGACTGCGTGTTGCCGGAGGTCGCGGTGACGCGAGGGAAGGTGGCGCTGGAGGGTGATGGAACGGCGATGAACGGCGATGGCGTGCGAAAGGGGACGCGTTTGGACGTGCAGACGATGCCGGTGTGCCTGACGACGGCGCTTTATCGAGAACATTTGTTGGTGGATCCGACGCGGGAGGAGGAAGCGCTGAGCGAGTGCGAGGTGAGCGTGGTGTTGACGGAGGACGGGTTACTTCGGGGAGTTTTTAAGCCAGGCGGTGAAGTCGAGGCGACGGAAGATACGCTTATGAAGTGCATCGCGGCGGCGAAACTTCACTACGCGGCGTCCGCGAAGGTTGTTCTAGAGGCGACGGAAGACGAAGAGTGATGTAGCGTTGAAGGCTTCTGGTCGAGCCATAGCAGAGACAACACACACCTGTTTTTAATACATCTGATTTAGAGTGTTCACTTCTTGACATCCTTGAGATCTTTGAACTGATCGACACCTTTGGTGAACAACGCGCCCTGCGAAGAAAATAATTCCGTCAGACCGGTATCGCCTGCGGCGCCTTTTGTCGTCAAATATTCAAAATACGTCATCGGCCGTTTACCGGTGATGTTATAAAAGTCTGGCGAACACCGAGAATAGAATCCATTTCGAAGGTACTCGAAAAATTCTGCTCGCGTACTACCAAAGTCTTGCTCGAACTGCTCGATGTCTTGTGGCACATACGTGATGCGCTTCCCGTGGGCTTCCGGGCACACATTTTTCGCTTCGTCGGTGGCTAAAGCTTTCGTTAAAATCTCAGCCACTTCAGCCATACTCGTACTTTGCGCACCGCAGATGTCATAGAATTTATCCCCGTGTCTTTCAGGTCCCTCGACGAAGCATCTCACCGCTGCCTCCGCCATGTCGTTGCACGCTACAAAACTATTCTTGCAGTCTCCCAAAGGCGACGTGAACATTCCCTTTGTCTTTATACTTTCGAGCTCGTTCTTCAGTAAATGATTCATGTAAAAGTTACCTCGAACAGAAGTCAACTTTTCCTTGAAACCGGCTTCGATAAAGCATTCCTCGGACCACCAATAATGCTGCAGCATGAGCGGTATTCCGGCGTTCTGTCTCGATACGTGAATAGACGCATCGTACGAGTTTGTATTCGTATCAGCTCCGAAACAACTCACCCGTACAATGTGCTTTAAGCTATCTCGTACCTCTGGAGTGTTTCCCAACCACTTCACAAACTCCATGTGCTGGCTGATGTGCTTGTCCTGCGTGCTCGAGAACAATCTCGTCGCGCCTCGTATCGCGCCTGGCCAAGTCGATTTATCTTCCAGGTCAAAAACCACGGTTTCGTGCGCGCCGAGCGCCTCGGCGTATGCCGATTTATCCCGCGTCGCCGCGCGTACTCTGAATCCGGGTATCGCCGATAACCGTGCGACGACTTCTTTACCAACGCGACCGGTCGCCCCGGTGACAAGGATGACTTCGTCCTCGCTCTTCGACGCGTTCGCGGACATCACGCGCGCATGGGGAGTCAGGGCGCGTCGCGCAAATCGCGCCGAGGAGATGCGCGGGACGAACGCACCGAGTGCGGACATTTGCGCGCGCTCGCGGCTCCAAGTGAAGTTAGACAATACATTTTTGTACAACATAGGGAGCTCAGTAGTGAATGCCACTGACGTAACACGGATCTCTCGGGTCGTGCGGGGCGTAAACGTACTCCACCGGGCACTGGTCCACGAGCTTGTTCGCGAAAAGGCTCGACAGCGACCCGTACAAGCCCGAAAACATGATCGCGACGCCCATCGTGAAGTTCACCACGACCCAGAACCGTTCGAGATTTGACGACCTTTCAGTCATGTTGAACCCGTAATGAATCAACGAAGGAAGGAAAAACGTCATAGCCGTCATACCAACCGCTCCTGCGAGCGATTGGATGTCGAGAATGACGTCTCCAGATACCGCAAGGAAAATCGCGGCGACTATGACTTCGGTGGCGAGAAAGAATGTTCGAAACACAAGGCGAAATACCGCCGGTGAGACGCCGTATCGCGTGACGACGCTCCAGCCTCGTGTTGGGTCAACTCCCAAATACGTCTCAATTCGCATCATGAGCGTAATGGAGGTGAAGAAGACGCCATAATAACACTGAACGCTTTGCATCAGCATGGAGACAATGTTTGCGCCATTGTGCGGAAAGTTCAAGTTAATATTTCCCTTCGCGAAATCACCGTATGCTTTGTAACCCCAGTACATCACGAGCAAATATATTGGAACCATCGTGCCGTACGTGATGTTCAGCACCTTCGGCCAATCTTCGGGATGTTTCATCTCGCGCAACTCCTCGGGATACAAGCCGTGTCCACCAAATCCATACGCAAAGTTCCCAAGCGAATTGAACACGCTCGCGCTCGTCACGACGCGACCGTACGTTGGTCCTGGGTCACACTTCTCCCACGGTCTTGTGGACAGGATCTCACCGAAAAACACCGCGAGAGCGACGACAACCGCGACGCACGGTAGCGCTACGACGCGCCCAGAGTCGTGAATCGTGGGAATCTGCACCACGGGTAACGACATCACGCCCACGAACAACGCCCAGGTCGCGCTACACATCTTCACATTTGTGAACGTCTGGCCAAAGTACTGCGTTATGTACACTATCTGGACGGTTGCATCGAGATAATACGTGACAAACTGCAACACGAGGACCGCAAACTCGATGCGCGGCTCCCACTTCCCCACTTTGCTCTCGTCTACGCCCCGACGAATCAGCACCCGCGACGCCGCCTTAGACGTCATCTTCGCGTACGTAGTGCACGTCGGATCGGCTAAAAACGCCTTTCCCAGCACGCGTCCGGTCCAGTACGTGGACCCCGCGCTGTATGTGAAAAAAACCATCGACCATCTCGCGCCCGCGACGGCGACCGTGGCCGGCATGGACATCGGCGTCGCCATGTAAAGCCACGTGTTCAGCGCAATCGTCCGCACGTCCGCTCGCGGCAGCCTGGCGTCGACCGAGTGTTCCGTGGCGTCTAACTGAACGAGCGGTGACGCGTTTTCATCGTTCGAGCTCGAGTCGCACGCGTTTTCGTCGTTCGCGCGGACGAGGCCGGCTGATTCCTCATCGTTCGCGGCGCTGAGGTCAGCGTAAGGATTGTCCATCGCGCGTCGCTGTGTCGGCCCCGACGGGGCGCCGCGCGCGCCAGCGCGGCGGTGTGACGTTTCCTATTCGACTTCGTGCTATCCGAGCTCTACAACTATCCTAGGCTATGCGCGCTTTACGCGAACGATTAATCATCGCGATCGGAGTCTGATCGGTCGGAAGAACTGAAGTCATCATCATCATCGTCGTTGCCGTCGATGGAGTCCCCGTCCTCGTCCTGGGCGTCGAGATCATCCTGTAATTCCTTCGCCGAACGCGTCTCAAAGTATCGCCGACCGGTGAGCCTGCCGTCGACGCGCGACTCGGCGGGCACGAGAGATTCGCCCATCTCCGCCATGTATGCCGCCTGCCACGCCTTGAAGTTCTCTGGTGTCACGGGCGTGCCCACGAGACGCATTTGACGCAAGCGCTCCTCGGCCTCGGCCTCGAGTCGAGCCTTGAGCTGCTCCTCGGTTTCCTCGTCGACGACGTCGCTCGCGCCGACGCGCCGACGCATCCACTCCTTACACGTCTGCACCAAGTCAAAAATCATCGGCGCCCCCACGCTCTCACTCGCCTGTTTCATCACTTTCGCGCTGATATCCGCCAACTCGTGCTCGCGCAGGCCTCGCACGCTGCGACACTTCAGGCTCGGCGGCTCGTCCGGGTACGTCTCCGAGTGCGCGAACACCAATCCCAACACCGCGTCGTCCTCGTCCTCGTCCTCGGGCACGCTATCGTTATCACCGTACGCGCTGATTTCAATCTGGTATTGCGCGCAGTTCGCGATCGAGGCGATCCCGTCCCCGGAATCGTCGGGAAGTTTACGCATGTCACCCATGAGGATGCTCTCCAGCGCCTCGATTTCCATCGCTTGTTCCTCCGCGCATCGCTCCATCGCGCGCGTCGATCGCGCGCGAGACGATCGAGCGTTCGCACGCTATCGTCTCACGCGCGTCGATCCGTCGTCGACGCGTCGACGCCGTCGCGCGCGCGTCGGGACGCGCCGTGGTTTGGGGACGCGCCCGACCGGTCCCCACAGCGGCGCGCGCGATGTCGCGCGCGCGTCGACTCGCGCTCGAGGTCGCGCGCTCGGCCGCGCGTTCGACGACGACGCACGCGACGCCCGCGACGCCGTCACCGCCCGCGAACGCGTCGAGGTTCGGCACGGCGGACGCGTGCGACGCGCATCATCCAGAAAACGTGGACGACGCGACGACGGCGCGCGCGGTGCGCGTGGCGACGCCGAATTATTTCAAGGATTTCGGCGGTCGACGACGGTTTCACGGTGAGGTGACGACCGTGTCGTGCTACGAAAATAATCCTCTCGTCCGAGCGGCGCTCGAAGAGCCGGGGAGGGGGCGAGTGCTCGTCGTCGACGGCGGCGCGTCGACGCGCTGCGCGCTGTTGGGAGACAACTTGGCGGAGATGGCGGCGACGAATGGATGGAGTGGTATCATCGTGAATGGGTGCGTGCGTGATAGCGAAGATATCGCGAGATTTGATGTCGGCGTGAAGGCGATAGGGACGCACCCGTTGAAGAGTAGTAAGCGGGATCCGGGACGTCGAGACGCGCGGGTGAGTTTCGCCGGCGTCGATTTCGAGCCGGGGAGCTACGTGTACGCCGACGCCGACGGTGTGGTCGTCGCCGCGAAGAAATTAGAATTGTAACGCCGATTAGACACTAGAATCCGTTGAGCGATGTGTCGGTGATAGTACTGACTTAAAATCTCCTAAACAAATCAATCTATGATGCGCCGAATGTAGTCCACCGTGAAGAGCATACCCGCGTTGGCGGGAGACGCGCGCAAGAGACACGGGACAAGGCCTCTGTAAAAAGCCTTGACGCCGCCCGAGGCGTACAGCTTGCCCGCGGCATCGAAGAATCCGGTAAATTTGCGCTTGGCCGGGTTCACGGCGTCCGTCATCAAGGCGCTCTTGATGACGTCGATGGGATAGAACAACGACCAGTAAAAGAAACCACCGATGCCTCCGGATAAAATAATTTGCGCGTTCGTCGCTTTTCCATCCTCGTTCGTCTTCGCGAACGAGTTCTTCACGTTTTCAAACACCCCAAAGTACACCGCGCCGGCGGGCAAGTTCCGCGCCATCGTCGCGTGAAACGCCTGGTACGGCCCGCGAACGCCGTTGTACTTCCACGACTCCTTGACGACGTCCACCACGCTTCCGTACGGCGACTTGTACGTGGGATCAGCCTTCGCCTTGACGAGTTGACATTGCCACTGCGATTTGTACAAATCGATCGGAGACTCAAAGAACGTCCCCGCCAACCACGCCATCGCGCCCGCCTTCGCGTAACTCAGCGGGTCCTCCGGAGACACCCCCACGAATTCCTTCGCGCGCGCGTACGCAAAAAACAGCGTCGCCCGGAAGAACATCTGTCCCGCGAGCGGCGACGTCACCCCACGATACAATCCTCCCACGCCCTCCGCCTTGATCACCTTGCTCGCCGCGTCCACCGCCCCCGAGTACACCGGATTCTTACTGCTCTGCGTCTGCAACAAAACCTTCACCGTGTCGAACGGGTGCCCCAGCAGCGTCACCGTGACCCCGCCGCACGTCCCCGCGAACACATCCTTCGCGAATTTCATCCCCGCCGCGTCGCTTTCGCTCGCGCTCGCCGCGAACGGCGCCGCGTTCGTCCCTCGCGCGCGCGCGCCCGGCGCGCGGCCGCCGCGCGTCGTCGCGTCGAGTCCCGCCCCCCCATCGCGTCGTCGTCGCAGCGCCGCGCTCGGCGCGAACGGTCGCAGGCCGTAGATGAGCGCTCGCGCGTCGTCACCGTCGCGAGCCATCGTCATCGCGCGTCTGGATAACGCGTCGTCGCGCGATGACGCGTTATCCAGACGCGACGATAATCATCGCGCGCGAGGCCCCCACGCGGCGACCGACCGACCGACCGACCGACCGACCGACCGACCGACCGACCGACCGACCGACCGACCGACCGCATTTTTTGGGTCCGCTTTAAGTGGTTCGGTGTAAAATACGTATATATCCACGGTTCATGACTCGTCATGTGTGTAGGTACTCTCTAAAGGGGCGATATATAAATTTTTCCGGTTCGGGGCCGCTTTAGTGGTATTCGGATCCGTTATAGTGCTATCTCGGGTCCGCCCTCGGTGGTATGTTTCGCGCGTTTTTCAAAACACGCGCGCGGCGTCGCAACGAATCGCGTCGCACGCGCGACAGACGACGACGATGGAGGACGGCGCGGTGCGCGCGGACTGGCGCGCGATCGACGTCGTCGACGACGCGTGGGCGAACGACGCGCTGCCGGACGACGGTGCGTCGGGACCGGGGACGAAACGCGCGGGCGCGCGTGAAAAACGCGAGACGACGGCGACGCGGAAAAAGGCGACGGCGACTGACGAGGCGAACGATGGACGACGGCGCGCGCAGCGGTGCGGTTGAACGCGGAGATGGCGGCGCCGGTGGACGACGCGGAGGAGGGGAACGGTGCGTGGAGTGGGGCGGACGAGGCGCGCGGACGACGCGCGCGCGTTCGAGGCGAACGACTGACGAGACGACGACGACGACGGTTCGGTTTTCGCGACAGAGGACGGCGGGACGGGAGGAAACGAAGACGAGACGTGGAAGGATTTAGGTTTGAACGATGTGAGGTGAGAGACACGGGGCGCGACGGTCGCGCGGGCGCGCGACGCGACGGCGATGACGACGTCGTCCGGATCGACATCCGTCGCCGGCGATGTATTACTACGTTGGCTATATCTTCTAAGCGAATCGGCTCGCGCCGTCGCCGACGTGCAAGAGGTTGAGCTTCGCGAGCGCGTCCTCGAGCTGTCCCTCCGTGTCGTACGGAATCAACTCGAATCCATGGAACGATTCCACGGCGCGCTCGCCAGGTTTCACCGTGCTGCGCTTGCGGTGACACAAAGTCGTCGCTTTGCGTTCGCGACACCGGACGCCCTTCGAATCCACGTCCACGAGCTCGGTGCGCAGTCGTTGCAAAAACGATTTGATGCCGTCATTCGGGCCGGATAACGCGACGAACACGCCCTCGATCCGACCCGACGCCGTCGCCGGCTTGTGAAGCGCGCGCGCGCCCAAGCCTTCCCCTTCGCACCATTTCTTGAGCAATTTCACATATCCAACCGAATCGTTCATGTGATCGATGCGCACGACGGCGTGATAGTCCTCCTCGACCGTCGTCGTCGTCCGCGCGCTCTCGCGTGCCGCCCGCGCCTCCGCCAAGACTTCCTTGAAACTTTGCTCCAACTCGGCGACGACGGCGTACGCGCTTTCCTCGCCCACGCTCGCGCGCGCCACCTCTCTCGCGCGCGCGACGATCGCCGCTTCGTGCTCACGATTCAACGCGTCGCTCACGACCGCGTGCACGTCCAGCGCGCTCGAGCTCGGGTAGTCGTCGGGCGTTCGCAACGACGCGTCGCACCAAAACGCTTCGTCTTTTATGCGCACGCGCATCGTCGACGCGGAGGTGTATTCGACGGCGTCGACGCCGAGGATGGCTTTCAACGCGTCTCTTTCGTCCGCGCGACGCTCGGCGTCGCTCATGGCCGCTCGCGGGCGTCGAGGTCTGCGGGCGCGGCGGCGCGGCGAGGCGGCTTTGGATATCAGACAGTTGATAAATGAGATTAATCCAGGACTCTAGAAGTCACCCTACGATCGCAACGATAAGAGACGGGAAAGATGTTTAACCCATCTTGTTTTCCATGCGCGCGCCACCGACACCGTCGGAACCTTCGGTAGAGACGGAGATGTCCACGGACGGGCGGAGCTCGCAGCACTTGGCGATGGCGATGTGCGCCGGGTTGTTCATAAACTTGGACTCAACCTCGGAATCGATGCCGGCGTTCTTGTCGTACGCGGTGTACGCTTGCTGGTCGAGAATGTAGTCGTAACGCGGGGCCCACTTACGCGCGCCGAGACGGGCGGTGAAAGAGCAGTTGTCAACCATGAAGGCGACGCCGCGAGCGTGCATGTACGGGTTGAGAGAGTCAACGGCTTCGATGACAGACTCGTTGCACACTTCGGAGTAGGAGTGACCCTTTTCGCGGAGGGTGTCGATTTGAGACATCATGCACGCGCAGTACACACCGGCGGTGAACGGGTTGAGCGGGATTTCGCTCTCGACGCGCTTGGCGCGAACGCCGGCGCCAACCTTCCACATGTACGTCTCGTCGATCTTACCCATCGGGAAGCGGTCGAAGCGATCGCCAGCCATGATGACGGATCGGATTTCGTTCGTGGATTGCACTTCTTCGTAGCATTCGTAGTGGATGTCCTTGCACGGCTTGTAAGCCGCGGAGAAGGCTTCCATGAAGGTCTTCTTGTCCTCGACGGCTTCGTACACTGCCTTGATGCCCTTGGTGGAGATGATCTTCGTGACCGGACCGGTGATGCACTCGACGGTGTTCTTGAAGGCATCTTCATCGGACATGCCTGCGCGAGTGTATCGGCGGAACAAAGACTCTACGATACCGTGGACGCCACCGAGCAAGATACCGCGCTCACCGTAGATGTCGGAGCGGTATTCCATCTCGAGCGTAGTCGCGAACGTGAACGGAGAGCCGACGGCAATGGACCAGCCGAGGGCGATTTCCGTGGCGGTACCGGTCGCATCTTGGTGCACAGCGAAAGAAGCGTTAATGCCCGCCCCGTTCGTCGTCTTACCTTGTTCATACAATCGACGAACAGACGGACCCATACCCTTCGGCGCGACGAGCACGACGTTGATGTCGTCGCGAAACTTCGCCCCCTCAGAGTTCATCACCCCGAGCAAGAATCCGTGAGACAACCCGAGCGTCGAGCCCGGCTTCATCGCCGCCAAAATGCGCGGGTACATCTTCGCTTGCGCCGCATCGGAGATCAACAGCATCACCAAGTCGCTCTTCGCGATGATGTCGAACGTCTCCCCGAGCGTCCCGTCCGCCTCGTTAAATCCAACAGCTCGCGCCTCCGCGTTCGACGTTGAATCCGGTCGCAACCCCACGCACACCTTCACATCCGTCATCCCCGCCTCGACGAGCGAATCGCGGAAGTTTTGCCCTTGCGCGGGCGCTTGCGAGCCCCATCCGATGACCCCGATCGTCTTGATCCCTTTCAGCGCTTCGGGCAGCTTCGCGAACAAGTGTCGCCCGCCGCGCACGATGTACTCTTGCTCGCCCGCGACGTCGACGATTTCTTTTTCAAAAATCTTCGTGTTGATGTCGAGCGTCGGCGCCTTGACCGCGCGCGTCGCGGCGGTGCGGCGCGCGGGCGTTCGGCGCGCCGCCGCCGCGGACGGGGTGCGCGCGACCGCGCCGGCGTGGACGTGCGCGCTCGCGGCGTGCATGCTTGGCGTGTGTGCGGGTGCGGTGCGAGCGGAGAAAATTCGCGCGTCGGCGTTCGCGACGATCGTCGACGAATGGCGCTCGAGACGCGCGCGCGCGAGACGAAGATGATCGACGCCGACGCGCGCGGATGCCCGAAAAAATTTCGGGGTTTCGCGTCGACGGTTCGTGACTCAGAAAAAAGGGACTCGGGAAGTGGATCAGATAGAGCGCGGGGGCGGTCGGCGGATTAGCTGCAGGTTGGCTGTCTATTGATGATAACTAAAGAGCGCGCGCTCGAACGAACGAACGCGCGGACGGACGGATGAAGCCGTCGGAAAATGCGCGTCGGCATCACAGACGATCGTCCACGTAATCGCGCAAGATGTTCTTCAAATTGTTCACGCTCGGCGACGGGCACAAATCGCCGAGCGGGACGTCGGATTTCCCGCCCCCCAAAGGCACGCGAACGACGCCTAAGACTTCGTCGATCACCGCGTCGTCGATTTTATTGCTGTTTTGTGCGATTTTCACCGCGAATACCTTGGCCAAGCCGTCGTGGAATTTCATGTCGCGCGTGTAGAGTCGCCACGCGTTGACTTGGACGTAGACGTCGTCGCCGATGCGCTCGGCGAGCTTGGAGAACCCGGGGCCTTCGCGTCCGCCAGCGACGGTGTCCGCGAGGTCGAAGAACGATTCGATGAACACGTTGGTGTCTTTCGGCGTCGCGCGCGTGCGCGTGGATTCGCGCACGGCGCTACACGCGGGCGATTCGCGCGACGACGTCGATGCGAATCCATCGCTTCCGCGCGTCGTTTGAAACCTCTGGAACGCCGCGCGCTGGCGCGCGACGGCGTCGCGGGCGCGGGATAGGCGCGCGGCGCTGTGTTGGGCGCGATCGGACGTCAACAGACTCGGTCGCATGGTACCGCGGCTGATTGTGACGCGCCTGCGGGTGCCGAGGACACGCGTCGCCCGCACAGAGCTTCGCGCGTCGCGCGCGCGTCGCGATGTTCGGCAAAAAGGTCCGCACGCCCGAAGAGCTCGTCACGAAGTCGCACGCCGCCCTCGAGCGCCTGCGCGTCGATCGCACGAGCGCCAAGGATGTGGAGAGCGTGAGCAAGTACTTTGGAGAGATGCGAGCGCTGTTGCTGAGCGGCGATGCGTCGGCGCAGCAAGCGTGCGAGACGCTCGTGGTGAAGGCGAATGCGTGCGGACTGGTGGCGCAGATCGTCTCGCACCTGCCGCATCTGCCGTTCGAGACGAGGAAGGACGCGGCGACGGTTTTTAATTGCATCGTGCGCACGTCGGTGCGGGGACACGACGTCGTGGTGGAGGATCTGAGCGAGAACCCGGAGGTTTTGGAGGCGATCGCGCGAGGGTACGAAAACTCGGACGTGGCGTTGACGTTCGGGGCGATGCTGAGGGATATGTGTAGGAACGAGACGCTGGTGCGAAAGATTTTGTACGGGGAAAACTTTTGGAAAATGTTCGAGTACATGCAGTTGGAAACGTTTGAAATCGCGAGCGATGCGATGGCGACGTTTCGAGAGGCGTTGACGAGACATAAAGACGTGGCGGCGGAGTTCTTGAACGCGAATTACGAGAGGTTCGTCAAGGCGTACACGGATCTTTTGGAAAAGGGTAACTACGTCACTCGCCGACAGGCGCTCAAACTGCTCGGCGAACTCTTGCTCGACAGCGCGAACGTGACCGTGATGCTGAAATACGTCGCGGAAGTTGAAAACCTGTGCTTAATGATGAATTTGATGCGAGATGAATCGAAATCGATTCAGTTTGAAGCGTTTCACATCTTCAAGGTGTTTGTCGCAAATCCCGACAAACCCGCGTCGGTGGCGATGATTTTGTCCAAGAACAAAGCCAAGCTCATCACCTACCTCGAAGATTTCCAAACCACGCGCGAAGACGAGTCGTTTCAATCTGAGCGATCCATGCTCTTGAGCTTGCTAGCGGAACTCCCGGATCCAGAGTAGATAGATGATTGTAAAACCAGCGTCGTCGTTGCGACTACGATACTTCTCCTTCACACGCAGACTCGCAGGTCCATCATGGACGCTAACGTCAGAAACATCGAAAAACGCCTAGATGCTCTTGAGAGGATGCAAACGATGACGATGAAACCACCGATCGCTAACGTCGGCACGCTCGGTCTGTGGGCGTTCGCATTGACGACAGCTATGCTGAGTGTGAAGGAGCTTCGCGTGGGCGCCTCGGACGACGGCGCCGTGGGCGTGACCATCGGGTTCGCCTTTGGATTCGGTGGCTTAGTCCAACTTCTCGCGGGTATCCTTTCTGCACTTCGAGGACAAAGTTTCAGCGCCGTGGCGTTCGCGTCGTACGGCGGATTTTGGCTTTCATACGGGACGTACGAAGTGTTGGCGTATGAAGCCGTCATCCCTCGCGATAAAGTCGCCGAAGAAGCCATGTTGTTCATGTGGGGATTTCTCACTCTTGTGCTCTTCTGTGCGTCGTTGAACACGAACGTTGCGATAAGTTCGCTGTTTTTCACCCTCGCGGCACTGTTTTTCCTGCTCGGTGGGGCGAAGGATTCGGGAAGCTCTGCTCTTAAACTCGTCGCGTCGTTGTTCGGCGTGGGCGTCTCCATCATAGCGTTTTACGCCGGCGCCGGTGAGCTGATAAATGAACAGTACGGCAAGACGATCATCCCACTAGGAAGGTTTGAGCACACGCACGAAGGCGTGGATAGATCATTCAACGAACCGCGAGTGCGCCGCGCGCCACTCCGAGATTTACCCAAATGACGCGCCGGCGAATCGCTTAGCAAATCACATCGGGCGGTTCGTCGTTCTCCGCGCGGTGGTAGGTCACTCTTGCGTGATGATCTCGGATTTTTGGGTCTCCCCTTACGACTGATTTAGGTTTCAAATGCCAGTTTAGTTTAGGCATTGTGATCAGAAGCTTGCCCGTCGCTTTTGAGCGTTCGGCGACGCTCGCGTCTGTGGCCACTTCGTGCGAGAGCTTCAGCTGCAACAACTCGCCTTTGATTTTCACGCGCACCAACTTTGGATGAATATCGACGTGGATGAGTGAGGTGTCGATGATGGTACCGACTTTAATCTCGAGTTCTATCGAAGTTTCATCCTCAGAATCGGTGAGCTTGAAATCGAAATCGCCTTGATTCTTCTGCTTGACGTCGGCGATGTCGTCTGGAAGTACATCGAATGCATCACGGGCGTCGTCGAAATGATTTTGCGGCTGTTTCATTGAGGACGATGTGGTCATTTTGACTTCATTATCGAGAATGCGAGTCGCCGCGCACCACGGACGTGCGTCGGGTTCTATTGACGCGATTTCGTCCACGCTGACCGTCGTCGCCGTCTCGGCGGCAGCGGCCTTCTCCAAATCTTCAGTGATGCGCCGCAAGTGCTGCCTTGCGATTATTCGCTCTACGTGTGTGACGTCCGTGCCATCGACGTGGGTGAGCTGCGGCAACGTTCCGATGACAAACGAGCGATATCCTTCGAAATCCGCGCACGGATTCCCCATCAAGAACAGCTGCCTTAAACTATGGTTGACCGCGAGTCGGTCCAGTTTCAGCAACCCTTTGAGCGTGATGAAATTCATGGTGAGATCAAGCTTGACCAGCGACTCGCATTTCTCCAAGTTTTCTATGGTCGTCACATTATTCATCGCCAGGTTCAAGTACTCCATCGCCTTGAGTTTGCGCACGTTTTCTATGAGAGCGTGGCGTCTCGCTGTCAGTCAACAAGCGCGCACCACGCGAGCGCCAGAACGCCGCACCTATCTTTGGGATCAAGTTATCGTGGAGCAACACAATTTTCAGCTTCGGACACGCTTCTTGAAGCACCTCTAACCGCTCTATGCCTTGCTGATGCAGCGCCACTTCCTCGAGCGTGAACAGCGCGCCGTCGTTGTGTTCGGCGCGCCGCCGCAAAAGCTCCAGCGTGATTCGCACCATGATAACACCACCGTCTCAGATTATACCTATCGCCTCTCGAACGATTTATGACGCTCACACATCGGCTCGCCACGGTCTAATCGCTCGCACGTCGCTCGCACGACGCGAAATGTCGTTGACTCGCGCGTCGTTCGTCCCGTCGTCTAAACCTGCAGGTAACAAACACTCACGCGCCGCACATCGCGCCTCGCTTTGACGCTTCGTCGACTAGCTGCGATGTTAGCGCGTGCAGAACTGCTTCTTGCTCCGCTTCGCGCGCGCGCCACGCGTCGTTCGTCCCGCGCGCGCGCGTTCGACCCCAACTCAACCCCGCTCCAGGGTTCTCACGCGTCCGTCAAGAGGGTCCCAGAGAGCGATCTCCCGCCGCTCCCGCCGCTCCCAGACCTGCGCGAGCTGGCGAAGATGGCGGCAATCGACATCACGGACGAGGAAATCGAAGACTGGACGCCCAAGGTGCACGAGATCGTGAAATGGTTCGGAAAGTTGAGAGAGATTGACTTGTCGAACGCGGAAGAGTACGAGGCGCCGGGACGGGAGGGGCTCATGGCGGATGACTGGATGCGAGACGACGAACCGGAGTATTTTGAAGACGTTGAGAGGATGATGAAAGAGAGCGCGCACTGGGACGGGAAATTCATCAAGGTACCGGCGGTGGGCGGAAGCGTCGGGACAGATTTTGGACCAGGAGCGACGAGCGTCGACGAACCGTCGACGACGACGACTGCATCGGCGTCGTCCGCTGTGACGCCGAATGAGGAGTTGCTCGGAATGGAACTTAAGGTTGGTAAGGTGTTGAGCGTAGAAAATCATCCCGAGAGTGAGAAACTATACGTTGAGATGGTCGAGTGCGGAGAGGACGAACCGCGTCTCATTTGCTCTGGTTTAGCGCCATACATGAGCAAAGACGACGTTTTAGGCAAACTCGTCATCGTCGTGGCGAACTTAAAGCCACGTAATATGGCTGGGATGAAGTCGAACGGTATGCTCTTAGCCGCATCCGATGCAGCGCACGAAAATGTTGAGTTGCTCTGCGCTCCGGAAGGCGCCGTGCCAGGCGAACGCATCACATGGGATGGCGCGGAGAATATCGAGCCGCACGGCGTCAATAAAGTTGCGAAAAAGAAGATATGGGAGGGTGTTCAAAAAGATTTGAAGACGGATGCGACGAAAGGAGCGAATTGGAACGGGCTACCGATGCTGACGAGCGCGGGTCAGTGCACGTGCGCTTCACTCACTGACGCTAACGTCGGCTAAGTGTTAATTTACCGCCTTGTAAACCTATGTCGAATATTATAGCATCGAATCTATTCACCGCCGCCATTATCGTGGGCTTCTTTGGCGATGTCTATCGTTGGAGTGACCGTTCGCTTTCGTGTGAAGCCTGGCGAGCCGTCTGGCATGGTTGGACTTCGCGGCGTCAAAACCAACTTTTTGGGAAGCGCGTCCTCGAGTGATTCTCCCGAGTTACCATCCGTCGCTTCGTCATCGCCGCCGAGGCTGGTGATCGTCATCTTGTTCTCGCGGAAAGCGGCGGCGGAGGCCCATTTGGAATAATCAGGCTTGGATTTCTTCTTCTTCTTGGACTTTTTCGTTGTGGCCTCGCCCTCCGCTTTCTCTCCATCACCCTCATCGCCCTCACCATCTGCTTTCTCTCCGTCACCGCCATCCTCGAGCGCCGCGGGGGGGTCCTTCTGAACTTTTTTCGCTTTTTTCTTCTGGCCCGGCTTGAGCAACACGCGCACGCGCATACCATTTCGCCAGTCGGTAGGATTGTCCAACCTCGTCACTGCCCCTTGCGCTTCGGCGATGCAACTAAACTCAACCAACGCGTGCGCGCGATTCGAATTCGAATTCGCCACGATTAAATCTAACCCGCGCGGCTTTTCCACGTCGCACTTCTTCCCGCCCGGCTGCCGCACGCGCACGTTTAGCACCTCCCCGCACGTCTCGAATTCCGCTCTCAACGCCGCCACCGTAAACTCCCGCGCGTTCTCCACAACCACCGTCCTAGACTGTATCTCCTCCACGTCGAAATCCGGCACCGGCTCCAATCTTCTTATGCTACAGCCGTCTTCGGATACTTCGACGACGCTGGACCCGAGCTCGCGAACGGCGTTCGCCGCGACGTCCTCCCACCGACGTTTCTTCAGCTTCGCCCGCATGCGATTAAACGCGCACACCTCCGCGAGCGACACCCACCCATCGTCGTTCGAGTCCATCATCCCTCGCAGATGCGCGTCCGTCACGACGTTGGCGTCGCCAAAGTAAAATTCGAGCTGGTCCACGAGCGCGCGCTTTTGCTCCGCGTTCAGCGGCGTTTTCCTCGTCGCCGCCGCGCTCGCGTCGCCCATCGACGCGACGTTCGCATCGTCGTCGGCGCGCGCGTCGGCGTCTTCGACGGACATCGCGCGCGGTCGCGCGTCGCCCGATGGCGCCCGCGCGCCAACCGTCGCACCGCACACGACGACGCGGCGACCGCGACGCGCGACGACGCGACGCGCGACGCGCGATTCGAGCGTCGAGTCCGCGAGTCCGCGTCGACGCGAGAGAGACGCGACGACGCGCGCGAAACGCGAACGAACGAACGAACGATCGCGTTTGAACGTTTGAACTCGAAGCGCCATGGCGCACGCGCAGACGACGTATTCGTTCCCGATCCTGAGCAACACGGAGATTCTCGCGTGCCTGCGCGAACTGGACGTGCCGCTGAGCGAGACGGATCTGCTGAAACCGACGCACGATGGACTGAGACCGGCGTATGAGACGCTGATTGAGATTTTCTTTGGGACGACGATGGCGGAGCTGGGGGCGATCGACGAGGAGGCGTACGCGAAGTTGGATTACCCGGAACTGTATGATGAGGCGATTCCGAATTTGGCGTTCATAAGGGCGATGCAAGATTTAGCGCGCGGGGCGGGGCTCGAGGATTTCTCGTTGAAGGATGTGTTTAAGCCCGAGTACGGGCGCACGCGGAGGAATTTGAGCGCGATTATCAACTTTGCGAAATTTCGCGAAGAGCGATTGATCGAGTACGAAGAGGCGCTGGCGGAGAAGGATGAAGAAGAAAGAAAGTATTTGGAGGCATTAGCGGAGAATGAGCGATTGAAGGCGGAGATTGCGGAGGCGGAGGCGTTCGTGAACGAGAACGACCCAGACGCCCTGGCGCGAGAGGTGGCGCAGCTTGAACTCGAGGTCGAAGCCGCGAGTTTGGAGGCGAGCGAGATAGAAGCGCGCGCTTTGGCGTCTGAAAACGAGCTTCAAGCGTTGATAGAGGAGGAAAACCGGCTGAAGGAGCAGTTTGAAATCGAGAAAGCGGCCAGGGCGAATCAGGAGGGTGCCGAGCAGCAACTTGCGGCGGAGAGGCAGCGGGAAGAGGCGCAGTTGCAGGAGCAATTCAACTATTTGCAAAGCATGGAAAGGGAGATGCGCGAGACGATTGAAGTCATGAAAGGGATCGAACAGAGCAGAAAAGAAGGCGAAGAACAAAAGGCGAAACTCAAGGCGCTCGAAGCAGAAGTCTCCACCGCCGAGGAGGAGACGTGGAAGTTGGACGCGAAGATGGAGCAGTTACAACGTCAAAAACAAGCCATGGAAGAAAAAATGGCTCGCATGGAGTCCCAAGGTAAGCTCAAGAAAGACGCCGCGGAGGCTGCGCTGCGAGCAGCGCAGGAGGAGCTCGCCGCGAGAACAGCGAGAGCTGGTCACCAGCGCCAAAAGGAGTTGGAAAATCAAAAGGAAATCGCCGAGCTCGAGGCTGCGATGAAGAAGTTGACGGACGAGCACAATCGCGATATGGATGGGCTCATGCGCACGTACGAAGAACTGCGCGACACCGTGGTGGAATATCACAACGAGCTGTTCGAAGCGATGGAGGACATGAACAATAAGGGACAACGTCGCGAGCGCGCGGTCGCGATGCAGGCTTCTCCGGGTGGTTCTAGCATGCTTAGTACCCCGCCATCCGCAATGTCGATCGACCATTACTAGTGTGCGCTGAGTTCCCCTTCAATGTGATATTAATAAAAAATCGACTCCTACTTTTGACGCTTGTAAATTTTCGCCAACATCGCGCCAAACAAACCCTCCGGCAAAACCTTCTGCGACTCCATGATCGATCGAAGGTCGGCGTAGGACTCTTCCTCGTACTTTTTGTACGTCGCCTCTAAGTCGAGATCCACGTAGAGCGCCTTAATTTTCTTTTCGCACTCTGCGTCGGCTCTTCCGTAGTTTTCCTCGATGATTTTGCGCTGTTCGTCGGTGCACTTGAGCAACGCTTGAACGACGAGCCAGCCGCACTTGTTGTCTTGAATATCTGTCCCGATCTTACCAATGACCTCGGGATCACCGTAGCAGTCTAAATAATCGTCTTGGATTTGGAAAAACTGCCCGAGCTTGATGCAAATTTCATTCGCCTTTTCGTACGCCGCCTCATCCTTGACGCCGCACAATCGCATGGCGCACGCCGCCGGAAGGTAAAAGGTGTAGAAAGCCGTCTTATACGTCACAATGCGCATGTACGCCTCCATGGTGTACTTACTGAGATCCACAACCCCGATCGGGGCGGTGATTAAATCAATCAACTGCCCGCTCGCCGTTTGGTACGTCACGTCGTGGAACAGCTCCACGAGATCCGCGTAACACTCCAATCCCTTGCAGTACTTCTTCAAGCACTTATACAGCATCATCTCCAATAAGATACCGTCATTAATCGCCGTCATCTTCACGTCCGGCTGCCTGTACCAGCACGGCTGCCCTCTTCTCGTCACGCTCTCGTCCATGATGTCGTCCGCAACCAAGAAGTACGCCTGCAAAAACTCGATGCACCATCCAACCACCATCGCCCGTTTCAGCTCCTCTTCGTCGACCGTTTCATTCTTCGCCGCCTTCAGCGCTCGCACGCCGTCCACGACCGCGAGTCCGCGGTTCAACTTCCCGTGCGGCACGTTGTAATCAATCATCCGCTTTATCCACTCCACCGCGATCTTCACCTGCCGATCGTCGATCTCGTCCCGCACCAACCCATCCGCGAGTTCCCTGAACACCGCCATGAACCGCGTCTTATCGTCATCTTTCGCGCCCATCCCTCGCGCGTCCGTCACCGCGCCGTCGTCGCGCTCTGCCGCGTCCGCCGCCGCGCGCGCGCGCCGCCGCGATCGCCGCGCGCGCGGCGGCGACCGACCGCGATCGTCGGCGGCTCCCGACCCTTCTCATCTCGAGTCACGACCCACGGACGAGCCATTCGAAATAAACCCCCCGCGACGCGATCGACCTCGCATTCGAGCGCCCGCGAACGCCATCGCGCCCCCCCCCGCGACGCCCCGCGACTTTTCAGCGAAAGTGACGCTTCGCGGCGTCGACCGACGTCACGCGCCATCGCGCGTCGCCGCACACGCGCGCGCGACGACGACGACGCGAGCGCGCGCGCGCGCGGCGTCGCCGCGAGAGGGACGAGCGCGCGACGACGCGCGATGGCGACGCTCGCGCGCGACGACGCGCGCGCGCGCGCGACGCGCGGGAACGTTTTCGGAACGGAAGAATGCGAGGGGGCGCCGAGCGGTTGGAGCGGCGCGCGCGGGCTCTGGACGAGCGATCCCGCGCGCGAGGGCGGCGACGCGCGGGCGAGCGCGCGCGCGAGGAGCGACGTGCGATCGGTGCCGGCGCCGACGGGAGGGCCGGTGACGACGTACGGGTTCGGGGTGGGGTCGTGCGATTCGCAATCGAGCGCGCGGTCGCGAGATTCGGCGCGAGGGGGGTCGCCGACGAGCTCGGAGGATCGCGAGCGCGGAGGCGGGGGGGGGCACGCGCGCGGGACGCGTTCGATGATGTACTCTGATGGTCAAGGTTACGCGGCGACGACGCCGTCGTCGTCGAGGAAACACGCGAATTTGTACGTGAAGAACATCTCCGAACGCGTCGACGAGTTGACGCTTCGAAGGCTCTTCGAGGCGTGCGGGGAGGTGCAATCGTGCTGCGTCATTCGCGATGTGTCGACGAATAAGAGTCGAGGATTTGGGTTCGTTAAGTTTGTCAGCACGGCGCGCGCTGAGGACGCGATCGAGCGATTCAACGGTAAGGAATACGCGGGAAAGATGCTCGAGGTGAAATTCGCGAACACCGACGGCGAGAGCGACGGCGCGGGGGGCGCGGCAAACGCGCCGCCGAGTGATAACGTCTACGTCAAAGGTCTGCCCCCTTCTTGGACGCACGATGATCTGAAGGCATTTTTTACGCATTTTGGGCACATTGTTGAGTGCCGTTTGCTCCACGCAAACAGGAGCACGTCGAGCGGGGCGTTGATTCGATTTTTGCGCGAGTCCGAAGCCACGGCGGCGGTCACGCGCGCCAACGGGCGCTTGCTCGTCCCCAATGGGCCGCCACTCGTCGTGCGCTACGCCGAGGCGCAAGGAAAAAATAATAAACGTTCAACGCAAGTTGTACCCGTGAATACTCAGCGCCTGTCGAACAACACGGACGACTCCGCGCACGACGGGGGGGAGTTGATCGACGTCCTCGGCTCGAGTATGAATCTCAACCGCATATCTTCCCAGAGCGGTCTCACTGAATTACTCAGTGTTGGCCCGCAAGACGGAGACGACTTTGCCGCGCTTGCGGTGCTCGGTTCGTCCCCTTCGCATAAATTCGATGCTCCTATGCAATCCCATCAAAAGTTCGCGTCGGCGACTTCGATGGCGCAAGGTGGCGCTACGATGTGTATCCAAAATCTTCCACCCGCTGCGGATGAATTATTCCTGTACAAAACATTTGCTCCGTTCGGAGCTATCAACTCCGTCCAAATTGTCCGCGACGATTGGACTGGTCTTTGTTCTGGCGTCGCTGTGATAAACTTTCGAAGTTACTCCGACGCTTGCGACGCTCAAAGAGCGTCTCAAAACGGAAAGAGCAGGCTGAGCATTTCTGTTCAGCTTCAGACGGCGAATCTGGCGAACTTTTAAGATCGCTCGTGCACGCGTGTAAACTGCCACGAATATTACGTACCAATAAAATAAAGAGAAGCTCTTGATTGCATTCAAGAGCTCTTCACAGAAGTTCACAAGTTCAAAATATTTTTGACTTCACACTTTGTCGTTGTCTCCACAACCGCAATAACATCATTCGTTTACTGTTCCGTCATTCATTTATCAGGTAATAATATCATTTAAACTGTACGCAATTTGAGCTACATCATCGCGGTCGTTTCTTCGTGTTCGAGGCGCTTCATTCGCTTTCGTTCCTCCGCGACGCGTTCCGCAGCTTCAACGAGTTTTTCCGGCGTGCGCTCGTCTTCGGCGAGCAACGCGTACGCTTCGCGCAACGTGATGCGCTGCTTGCTATATCTACTCAGCGCCGGGTTTATAGTCCTCCCATATTCATTTTCTTCACCTCCAGAGTCGCTATCGGACTCCTCGTCGTCTTCAGTGTCGTCATCCTCATCCTCGACGACAATGGCACGACTGGCATCGACTAGGCTACGCGTGCGATCGGCGAAAGTTCCACCCGTTGCGTGCACAAGACGAGCCCGGCTTTCATCAGCGCTCGTCATGTTCTCGAGAACATACGCCGCGAGCTCGAGTTTACGCCGCTGTCGGCGTCTGTCCTTTCTCAAAGAGCGACCAGGACCGCGGCGAGCCGCTCGACTCTCAGGCGTATCGTAATTGGAATACTTTTCATATCGTCCAGGGACGACGAGTTGCGGTCGAACGTGCGCGGATTTCGTGCATTCTTCGCAACAAAATCCATCGAGCTTATCGGTGCATTTACTGCACACGAGGAAGAGCCTATTGCAATCGACGTTGGGGCAGTTGCGGTGCGGCGGTGGCGCCGAACTGTCGCCACAGCAGTAACATCGCAAAGTCGCCGCTGCTTCGCCTAGCTCGGCGCTCGGACGTCCATCAGGGGCCATTGCGAGTCGACTGTCGAACACAAACAAATGGTTATCCCAAAGTTGATCATCGCGCTTGCCGTACTCATCAAAGTACGCCTGCACGCCGCCCTCGAGCGTCATCACGTTCTTGTACCCTTGCTCTCGCAATACTGTAGAATACACGTCGCATCGGATGCCACCTGTGCAGTACATCATGATCGGCTTTTCTTTATCCACGTTTGCCAGCGGTCCTAAGCCGTCTTGCACGTTCGTATAGACGGTTTCCCTGAAAGACTCTTGCACCGGTCTCTCGGCGCCGCGAAAATGTCCGACGTCCCACTCGTACCCGTTTCTCACATCCAAAAGCAAAGGCGCGTCTTCCGCGCCCGAGTTCACCTTGATGAGATTATCGTGCCACTCCTTCGGCGACAACGGCTTCGCGCGCTTCTCTCGATCGGTCAACGGTAAATGATTCGTCCCTCCCTCGAGTTGCACCAAGTTGGGTTTGTATCGCAACGCCAGTCTCGGGTGCGCCTGAGCATCCATCGGATACACCGATATCCGCATCCCAGCGAATCGCGCGTCGCTCTCGACCCATTGCGCGTACTCCTCTCCCTCTCGCCCTCGTCCAGACATCTGTGCGTTAATGCCTTGCTCGTTGACGTATATCCGTCCTCGCAGTTCCCAGCCCCGTCGCTCGATGTGCGCGCGATGCCGCTCCACCTCCGCCACCGGGTCCTCGATCGCGGCGAATCGAAAGAACGTGATCAATTGGTACTTCGGCGCGTCCTCGTCCACCGTCGCGCGCGTCGCGACTCGCCGCACCGTCGGCGCCCGTCGCGCCACCACCGCTGGACCTCGCGCGCGGCGCGCGCCGCCGCACGGCACCGCCGCCCCCGCCGTCGTCGCGCGCGGCGACGCGGAGGAGGACGCGAGCGCCATCGACGCCGTGCACCGCGCGCCGTGCGATCGCGCGACGGACGCGCACGCGGGCGTCATGCGCGCGCGCGAATGGGGACGCCGCGAGGCCGAAAAGAGGATTGGTTTTTCGATACATTCACAAAATCCCGTCCGCACACGCGCACCACGCCCGCGACGACGACGACGACGCCATCGCGTCGCGACATCGCGACGCGATGGCGTCCGCCGCCGCGCGCGGCACGCTCGCGCAGGCGCTGTCGAAGATGCAGTCGCCGGATAAGGGTGCGGGACGACGCGCGACGCGACGCGTCGAGCGCGATGACTGACGACGACGACGCGGCAGATTACAGGTACATGGCGTGCTCGGACCTGCTGCGAGAGGTGACGCGAGAATCGTTCGATAAGTTCCCGTCGCGCGAGACGGAGGAGAGCGCGATGGACGCGGTGCTCAAGGCGGTGTTCGATCAGGCGGCGGACGTGGCGGGACTGGCGATGAAGTGCGCGGCGGCGATCGCGCGAAGAGGCGAGACGACGACGGCGGAGCGAACGACGAGAGCGCTGTGCGCGAGCGTGGGGGAGAAAAAGGACGCGGCGAAGCGAGACGCGGCGTGCATGTGCCTGAAGACGATCGTGCGGGAGATCGGTGGGTTCGAGGGGGGGGCGAGAGAGGGCGTTTTGGGAACGTGCGCGCCGGCGTTGGCGACGCACGTGGCGACGGCGGCGCGCGCGGGCGCGACGGCGGATGAGATGAACGTCGCCGCGGAGGCCGTGGATGTGTTGCACGTCATGATGACGGTGCTCAGTGAGATGCCGCACGCGAGATTGAGTGAAGAGCACAGCGCAAAGTTGCAAGAGACGTTGTTGAAACATTTGGAACACGGCAAGTCGGGGACGCGTAAACGCGCGGCGCAGTGTTTGGCGCTCTTGGCGACGTTCATGAAGGATGACATGCTCAATCAGACGGTGAATATGGTGATGGAAGTGTTGAAAGATAAGGTTGCGGCAAAGAAAGGGAAGAGTGACTTGCACACGTTTGTCTTGGGCGCCACCGCGCGCGCGCTCGGCTATCGCTTTGGCGAGTACGTGAACGAGGTGATGCCTTTATTACTTCGCGTTTGCGAATCTTCCACGGACGAGTACGACGAGGAGGTGATCGTGAACATAGAGGGTGCGCTTCAAGCGATCGATAACGTCGTTTCTTCGTGTCCAGCGAACGTGCAAGGCGATGAGGGCACAGCCGCACGCTTTGCGTGCGCGCTCAAGTACATCTCGTACGATCCAAATTTTGACGACGACGAAACGGAAGACATGGATACTTACGAAGACGAAGATGAGGATGTGTATAGCGACGACGATGAATACAACGATGACGACGACGAGAGCTGGAAAGTTCGTCGCGCGGCTGCGAAAATGCTTAGCGCCCTCGTCGGCGTCGCGTCCGAGCCGACGCTGTCGGAGCACTACGACGACGTCATGAGCAAACTTCTCGCGCGAACGAAGGATCGTGAGCCGAGCGTGCAACTGGATGTGTTTTCTGTCATCGGCGACATCGTTCGAGTGGGTGCAAAATTCCGCGAACACGATCCAGAGTCCAAGATGAGCGCCAAGTTGAGAGAGACGACGACGGATGTCATTCGAATCATCATTCGAGAATCGGCTTCAAAGTCGCCTAAGACGCAGGTTGCGGCGTTCGCGCTCCTGAGCTCTCTCGCATCGGTGTTTCCTAGCATACTTTCCGACATCTCGGACGCAGAAATTCGAAGCTCGTTGATGAACATCGTCCAACGTTGCGTCGGCGACAAGGCGTGTGGAAGTTCGGCTCGAATTGAGGCGCTCGCGTTTGTTTGCAGTGTTTGCAAGCCGAATAACTTGGAGATCCTAGAGCCATACGTGCGAGATTTATTGCCGCAAATTTTTGCCGCCTGTACCGACAAGTATTACAAACTTGTCACCGAGGCGTTGCGCGCGTGCGCCGCTGTGGTTTCTGTGTTGCGCCGAGAAGACACGGGAGCGGTGTCCGCCGAAAACGCAAGTCAAATCAAGTCATTACTAGATGCAGTTCTCACCAAGCTCGACGCGAGTGATGAAGACCAAGACGTCAAAGAAGCTGCGATTCACGCTTCGGCGGTAATTCTGGCCACGCTGAACGATCACATCAACACTCAGGATCAATCGCGAGCGCTCGGATTGCTCCTCGAACGTTCGCGAAACGAGACGACTCGTTTACCTGCTGTGCGTGCGTTCGCCATGATCGCGGGATCTTCTCGGCCAATGGATCTCTCTGCCGTTGCGGCTGCGATGACGAGCGAGCTCACGACTTTCCTGCGCAAGGCGAATAAATCCTTACGCGAGAGTGCGCTCGCGGCGCTCACGGCGTTGATTTCATCGCATCGCGCGGCGTTACAAGATCCCGACGTCGTCCCCATCGTCGTCGAAGCGTCGACTCTCTTGAGCGAAGAAGACTTGCATCTTGCTACGCTTTCTGTTGGACTTTTAACCACAATCGTAGCCGCCGCCAGCGTCTTCCCCAAGGCGACTCAGGAGACGGCGAAGTCGACGATGCCACTCGCGCTCAAGCTCACGCGGTCGCCGTTGGTGCAGAGACAGACTTTGAAATCGCTTCAAGAGCTCTATAAGAATCTCATTCTTGCCGGTGTGGTGAATTTTGAATCTCTCTTCGAGGCTTTATCCGACACGAAAGACATTCAGTCCGTCGATAGTCAGTTCGTGGCGCACAGTTTAGCCAAGTGCGTCGCCGCCGCATGCGTCGCCGCGGCGGCGATAAAGCAAACCATGTCGACGCTGCTAGCCAAACTCCAAGGAGTCAGTGGAATCGAGGCTGTGTACACGCTACTTTGCATCGGCGAAATCGGTCGTTTGACCGATCTTTCGGCTGATAAAGAATTAGAAACCATTTTGTTTTCCGCTTTCGATAGCTACGGAGACGAAGTCAAGGGCGCGTCCGCGTTGACGCTCGGGCGAGTCGCCGTAGGAAATCGTGCGAAATATCTCCCGCTCATCGTGTCAAAGCTCGAGAGCGATTCTATGGAGCATCAGTACTCGCTTCTTCAGGCGCTTCGCGAGGTTATCGTCGTCGGAAACTTGACCGAAGACGAGGCGAGTAAAGTGTTGACGATTTTGTACGGCACCGCGAGTTCGGAGGAGGAAGGCGTGCGAAACGTCGTCGCCGAGTGCCTCGGCAGATTGGCGGCGTCAAATCCGAGCAAGCTCATACAAGACGTACACAAAAGATTCGCCGTGAGCGCGTCGCCCCTCGAAAAGGCGACGCTCATCTCTGCGATAAAATTCGCCGTGTTGGCGAGCGAAAAGGGCGAGCTCACGAAGATCCGAAGCGAGTTGCGATTGCCAGAGTTCATGGGCGCCATATCGGATGAGGACGTAAACGTGCGAACTTCGGTGATAAAAACGCTCACTGCTGTGATTCATCGCGAGAGCACGCTCATCACGCCTCTTCTTTCCGATGTTTTACCAAAGCTGCTTGAACAGACAGCCATCGCGACGGAGCTCGTTCGCGTCATCGATCTCGGCGCCTTCAAGCACACCGTCGACGATGGCTTGGAGTGCCGAAAATCCGCGTTTGAATGCGTTAATACCATTTTGGACTCGTGTGGCGGTTTAGTGAATGCGCGTGACGTCGTCGTAGCCCTCGCGAGCGGGCTTGGTGATCATTACGACATCAAGATGCTCGCGCACGCGGCGCTGCGCAAGTTGAGCGCCGGCGTCGCGCCCAACTCGGCGGACGCTGTGCTCGCGAACTTGGACGCATTTTGCGAACCGCTGGTGAAGACGTTCACCGCGCGCGTGAAGAGTGACGCGGTGCAGCAAGAAATTGATCGTAACAACGATTTACTTCGCAGCGCTCTGCGATTGGTGTACTCGATCAACGAGCACGCAGGGTCGGCGAGCGTCGCGTCGTGGAAAACTTTTAACGAGGAATCGGTCGTCGGGGGTAAGGAAAACATCGCCGAAATGTATGCGCGCATAGAAAAAGAGAATGAATGAAGATTGTATGAAAAATGATGCTGGTACAACAAAGAATTTAATGAAATCATCGCGGTGTTTAGAATCGTCGAGTGCCCGAGTCGTTCATGTCCTCAATCATGAGTTCCCGCTCGAAATCCATAGCTTCGTCGATGCGCTCGCCTTGGTGCAGCATCTGCTCCGCCTTTTCACTCACACCCAATGCGCGCATGGAGTCTTCGGAGTACTTGTCCCAACACCACGAAGCCTGTTGAAGCTCGTAGCGCAAGCGCGCCCGATCGGCGGCTTCTCGCATCGCCAAGTACGCCGACGTCTTGCCTCCGCTCAACTCGATCTCGAGCGCTAAATCCGCGATTGCCTGAATGAATGTGAAAAGTTACGAACACGTCAGTCGTCTCGAAACGCGTCAAAAAGCGGGAATCGTAAATCAAAAACTCTCGGAAATGGCTACGGAAATGGATGGCGCAGTTTTGTCCGCATGATTTGCGACTCGGTGTTCCACAATGCGTTTTTCGTCATCGCCAAGAAAAGTCTTGCGATCGAGCCTTACGAACGTACCTGTTGAATCGGGGGCAAACGCGGCCCGGTGCCGCTTAAACTCTCGGATCTTTCGAGCTTGCGTTCTCGCGCGCGTTCCGCCACCTCGAGCACCAAGCAAAACTCGTTATCCGTCTTGTGCTTGACGTATCCCATCAAGTCAAAATACTCCCCATCCTTGAAGCTAAAGTCCGACGGTTCGTTCAGAGTCATGCGTTGAACCTTTTCCAGCATCGTTCCCGGCGGCGCGTTCACTTCCTTGTACTGCGGCTCGAACCAGTCGTCGTTGTTGTTGAACCAGTCGTTCGCGCCGTCGATGATGTCATCGGCGGCGGACGACGCCGTCGACCCGCTCGAACGCTTACCGCCCATCATTACGTCCCCATACGCGTCTACGTCCATCGAAGTCATGCTTCCGAACCAATCGTCCCCGTCGTCCTCTCGCGACTTCGTCGGCGCCCCGCCCCAGCGCGCGTCGTCCTCGTCGCCGCCGATCGGTCCCTCATCCCATCCCGCGTCGTCGTCGTCCCGCGATCCCGCGCTCGGCGCCACGCGAATCCTCCGTCGTCGCATCCGCCGCGCCGCGTCCGCGCGCCGTTCCAGCGCCACCGCCGACGTTCCCGCGCCGGCGCGTCGTCTCGCGCCGACGACCCGCCCCCTCCCGTCCTCGTCCTCGTCGCGTCGCGTCCGCGCCGCGACGCGCGCGTCCACGCTCACCGCGTCCGCGCTCGATCCGCGTCCGCGTCCGCGCGCGCGCGCGCTGAACGGCGACGGTCGCGCGCGCGACGACGCGCGCGGCGACCACGACGCCCGAGGTTCGCCGCCGCCGCCGCCGCCGCGCGGCGCCGCGCGCGCCGCGCGCGTCGCGCGGCGCGCGTCTCGGGGCGCGGGGCGCGCCGCGGCGCGCGCGATGTTCGACATGTCCGATCGCGCGCGAGCGGCGCGCGGCGGTGCGCGGACGCCGCGCGCGACGTCGACGCGCGCGCGGCGCGCGGTCGCGCGTCGACCGCGCGCGCGGGGCGAACGCGCGCACGAAGAGGGGCGCGAGCGCCATCACCGGATCGGCGCGGGGGGAGCGATAAATGGAGGGGTGCATTTTGTGAATGATGGGGGTTCGAGTGTTACAGTACGTAAATGGTGTCAAAAGTACCCGTAACTTTCGCGTCGTAATCCCCCGTGGTGCGCGGCTAAAGGGTCGTGCGTATCATGGTGTTATCAAGCGACCACACCCGCGGAAAATCACAGAAACCCATCGGAACTTCTCAGTTAAGACCGCGTGGGCCGGATAAGTACCGATGTCGGAAGACGTCAGGAACCCCCGGTATCGCTTGGTTTCTTTATGCTCTTCGCGCCGACGGTCAGAACTTTTCGTGCTCCAGCGTTTCCCGACTTTTCGTCGAATTCGGACGCGATTTAAGCGCCCGAATGATGGATTTTGCATCATTCGAGGCGACGTGCGATGGTTTGCGCGCGATGGTTCGGCGCGGGATCGCACCGCTCGACGGCGCGAACGTCGCCGGCATTCGCGCGAGCGCCTCGCGGAGTTTATTTCGCGCGCGCGCGCGTCGTTTTCGGTGGCGCGCGGCGACAGCCGCGGCCTCGCGAGCTGGTATTGCGCGAATGACACATTTTTGGCGACGCGCCGGACGCGCCCCGCGTCGCCCACATCGCGCCGCGGATCGTCGAAGCGACGTCTCGCCGCCGCCGCGGCGACGCTCGAACGAATCGAAGTCGCGCGTCTTCGATCACCGCGCCGCGACGCGCGCCATGAGCGCGTCGAGCAGGGCGAAACAGGCGCAGGCGTTCGCCGAACTGTGCGGCGGCGCGAAATTTAACCGGAAAAACTTCAAGCCCGTGGACGCGGCGGTGGCGCGAAGCTTCGCGGAAGGACGCGGTGAGGACGCAAAACGCGACGAGGACGAGGGTTCGCGCGCCGCGCGCGCGGATTCGGACGACGACGACGACGAGTCGGGCTCGGACTCGGACGAATCGGATTCGGACGCTGGGCGCGACGCGCGCGACGTCTCGACGTCGTGGACCCCGCTCGCGGACAACGAGGCAAACGCGATGCGAAAACGTCTGAAGATGCGCGTGCAAGGCGCGGACGGGGCGTGTCCAGCGCCGTTGCAAGGATTTGAGGAACTGCACGAGAGGTACAAGTGCGGCCGGCGCCTGCTCGAGCGCATGCGCGAGGCGAATTTCAAAGAACCGACGCCGATTCAGCGTCAAGCGGTGCCGATCTTGTGCTCGGGGAGCGAATTACTCGCCATCGCGCCCACGGGGAGCGGTAAAACTCTGGCGTTTCTGTTGCCGATTATCATGAAGCTCGGAACGCACGAAGAGGGCGGCGCGCGAGCGCTCTTGCTCGCGCCCACCAAGGAGCTCGCGGGGCAGTCGGCGCGAATCTTACGCATTCTCTCGCGAGGAGTCAGTGGGTTGAAGTCGTGTCTGTTGACGAAAGCGACGGCTGGGAACGATTTTAGCAAGGTGGACATCGTCGTCGCGACGCCGATGCGACTCAAGATTTTGTTGCAGCACGACAAGATTGATTTATCCAAGGTGCTTTATCTCGTGTTGGATGAGGCGGATAAACTCTTCGAGATGGGTTTTGTCGAGCAGATTGACGCCGTTGTCGCGGCGTGCGACAACAAAGACGTGACCCGCGCGTTGTTCAGCGCGACGCTGCCCGAAAAAGTAGAGGAACTCGCGCGAAGCGTCATGGCGCGCCCGATTCGGCTCACCGTGGGTGAGCGAAATAGCGCGTCGAATACGATTTCACAGCGTATGGTATTTTGTGGGCACGAGGCGGGGAAGCTGTTGGCGTTACGTCAAATCATTCGCGAAGGCATCAAGCCACCGGTTATTATTTTCACGCAGTCAAAGGAGCGAGCGAAGCATCTCGCTAAAGAGCTCACGGGCGATGGATTACACATCGGACTGATTCACGCCGAAATGTCAGATTCTAAGCGCGAAGAGCAAGTCGATCGATTCCGCATGGGCGAGACGTGGGTTCTTATCGCGACGGATTTAATGGCGCGCGGGATGGATTTCGTCGGTGTCTCCACCGTCATCAACTTTGATTTTCCTGGTTCTCCCACGAGTTACATCCATCGCATCGGTCGTAGTGGTCGCGCGGGTCGTCCTGGAGCTGCGATTACGTTTTTCACCGAAGAAGACGCGCAAAGAGGAGACTTGAAACCGATCGCCAACGTGATGAAGAATAGCGGCTGCGAAGTGCCAGAGTGGATGTTGAATCACACCGGCGAGAAGGGTTTGCGCCGTCGGAAGCGTAAAGACGGCAAAGAAGACAATCCGCGACGTGCGCCTCTTGACATGCCTATGGGTGCGGACCCGAAAGTGTACGCGCCCGACAAGAAGAAGCGCAAGAAGACGCCGCGCAAGAAAAATGACGACGAGGCGATGCCGCCGCTACCGAAAAAGTGGAAAGGCAAGTCCAAGTCCAAGGAGAAAAAGGAAAAGGAAAAGAAGTGATCGCGTACGCTGTCATCATAGCCATTTAGCGATGTAGTAATCAGCTGCGATTACAATGCGAAACTTTCTTGCCGTCGCCTCGCGGGCGCCAGCCGTCCTCACTATGAGACATGGGCTGTGTCGCGAGCGCTCCCCAAACGTCTAAGCGCGCGCCTGCGGCGAAATCGAAAACAGAATCTCGAGAAAATGCGTGGAAAAGCACTGGAATCGTCGCCCTGCGCGATGCGAACTTGCGCGAGCTGCCACAAAAGTTGTTCGACAGAGAGCGTGAATTCGCACTGAAACTTCGCAATCTCGACGCGACGAACAACAAGCTGCGCGAGATACCGCGAGAAATTGGAAATTGCGTCAACATTACGCGTCTTGTGCTCGCGGCGAACGTCATAGAGACGCTACCGGATGAAATCGGGGCGCTGGTAAAGCTCAAGACGCTCATCGTCGACGGCAACCGACTGCGCGCGCTGCCGGCGACCATCGGATCGTTAAAGGCGCTGCAGACGCTCAGTGCGTGTGAATGCGAGTTATCGACGATTCCTACGACGATTTCGACGTGTATCGCGCTGACGACGGTGAAGTTTGCGAGGAATAAGTCGCTCGATTCGAGCGCGTTGGATGCGCTCGCCGACTGCGAGCGACTCGAGGAAATCGACGCGAGCGCGTGCGCACTCACCGTCATCCCCGCCGCGCTGGGGCGATTAAAAAGGCTTCGAAAGCTTAACATCGATGACAACGTCGGTGTGCACACCATACCGAGTGAGGTGTTCAAATCGTGTGAGTCTCTTACCAAGCTCACAGGATACGGGACTAGCATTCGCCGAGTCGAGTACACCGACGGCTACGATGATTACGTGGCGCGGGTGAAAAACCGGCACGGGAAGATCATTTCAGGGAATTCAATGATCGTAGACGAGCGCAGAGGGTTAGATTACGGCTTCGACCTCAGAGACTAGACGTAGAATAGATTTAGCGCGTACTAGCAACGTAAGCACACGCAACTGTCCCTGCATAGACGCGCGCGCGATGGGTGAGACCCTCGCGCGCGCCACGCTTGTCGGTCTCGCACTCTTGAGACTCGCGTTTGCGTTCGCGCCTGGATACGTCCATCCGGATGAGTGGTTTCAATCCAACGAAGTCACCGCTGCGAACGTGTTCGGGACAGAGACGCAGTTGCCGTGGGAATACACCGCCGACGCGCCCGCAAGATCAATCTTAGGCGCGTACGCGAGTAGTGGATTATCGTATCTCATCGCGTGCGCGATCGCGCGGGCGACGGGCGCCGCGTTAGACGTATCGTGGGTGACGACGTATGCGCCGCGGTTGGCGCTGTGCGCGGCGTCGGCTACGGTTGACTTGGCGGTGGTATCGTGCGCGAGGGCGGTGGGATCGGCGACGACTGGGGCGGTGAATGAAGCGGGTGTATTGTTTGCGACATCTTGGGTGACTTTAGTGCTGCTCGTTCGGCCTTTTAGTAATTCTTTGGAGACATATGCGACAGCGGCTTGCGCGCTTGTCGCGACAACTGAACGCAAGTATTTAGGACCCGTCTCGCGCTGTGTCGCTATCGGCACGATAGGGATGGTGAGTAGTTTTATAAGGTTTACGAGCGGTGCGTTCATCGCGCCTTGGGCGGTGTATGTGGTTGCGAGAGCGCGAGAAAAGTCGCCACTGACGATGTTGGTCGGCGTTTGGAGTGGTGCGATGGCGGCGATTCTCACCGCGGTGGTGTGCATCGTGATCGACACGGCATACTTTAGCGATACGAATATGCTCAATGTGTGGGTTTGGACGTCAAAGAACTGGATCATCACGCCGTGGAACTCGTTCAGATATAACGTCAACGCCGATAACTTAGCGCGGCACGGTTTACATCCTAGGTATTTGCACGTCCTCGTCAATGGTCCTTTGATGTTCAGCGTGCTGTGGCTCGTCAGTCTCAGTGCACTGATGCGAAGAAGACGAGACGCATCGTCGAGAGATTTAATCGTGCGAACTCTTTGGGCGAGTGTTTTGTTTCCTCTCGCGGCGCTTTCGCTTGCGCCGCATCAAGAGCCTCGATTTCTGACGCCGATGATTCTTCCTATGTGCGTCTTGGCGGCGCACTACTCGAGAAGTACATTAGTTTCTCGAAAGCGGCGATTGTTCGCGATCTGGATCGCAATTAACGCGCTATTGGCGTGTTTATTTGGCGTATTACATCAAGGCGGAGTCGTGCGCTCGATGCGAACTCTAGCGAAAACAGATGCCGCATTCGATGGCGGCTCGAGCGGACGCTTCGCGCTATTCTGGAAGACATATTCACCCCCGCTCTCGATTCTCGCCCAATCGAGCGGTGAGTCCGATCTCGTTTCGGTCTATGACGCCGCCGGCGCGAGCGTCGATGACGTGCGGGAACTCCTCCTCGCCGCCACTTCCAAGGGCGTTTGCGTCGCTGACCAGCCCATGTGCACGACTTCGGCCAAGAATATCATCATCATCGCTCCCGCCCTCGCGTTCGAACGTCTGCGCGAACGCACACAGAATTTGGACTATGAGCGCGTCTTATCCATCTTTCCGCACCTCTCCTTGGACCACCTCGACGACGTCTTCGACGCCTTCGCGTCTGGCAACCGCCGCGAGCGCTTCGCGCTCGTCAAGAAATCCCTTCAATTAACCGTGCATCGCGTCCGTTACCCTTAGCCTAGCGTTTTTAGACATTTGGAGATTTCTAGCTCTCGCGCGCGCGTCTCACATCCCACACCCGAAATATCTCGAGCCGCGTCAGCAAATGCGAAATTCTCGCGAAAGCACTCCGCACGACGCGACGCGTGAATCGCTCGCCGTCAACGCTCGCCCGGAGACTAAACCTCCTCACGCACGTCGCTAGACGCGCTCGCGATCGTCAACGTCCGCGCGCGACGTGGATATCCGCGAGAAAACGTCTCGTCTGGTGCCGCTCGCAAACAGTCAAATTTGAAATTCGATTCGCGAATCTCCCGCGAACGCTCGATTTGAAGGACGCGCGCATCGAAAGAAGGCTGAGAACGAAAACTCGTACGTCTTTGTGTCGCAGAACATGGCGAACGCGAAGCGAGAGACGAAGGCGACGGCGAAGACGGTGGACGTGGAGGTGGTCGCGGATTCGGACGCGCGCGAACGCGCCCAGCAAGCGGTGAAAGCGCTGGAGGAAGGCACCGCGGAGGTCGTGGCGCTGGTTGGTGTTGGGTTACAGGTGAGCAAGACGGTGGCGGCGGCGGAACTGGTGAAGAGATCGATGCTGGGGGTGCATCAGTGCACGACGTACGCGCCGGTGACGGTGAAGAACGCCAAAGCCACGCAGATTCGAATCGAATTGGCGATGTCGAGCTCTGTTTTGGACGTCACGTCGCCGGGTTACCAAGAACCTGGTATGGGGACTTCTTCCCCAGCGCGGAAGCGAAAGCCGACCATGAGCTTCAAGCGAGAGGCGACGATGCCGATGAAGAAGAAAATGGCAAAAGCTTTCCACCAGGCGCAGGCGAAGAAGCATGAAGCTAGAAGGGGTGATGCGGGGAACAAGAATGCGGCACCGTCTGCGTAATAAACGACGGTGTCGATTACCAAGCGAACGTTTAACAATACGAATATTAGACGCCGAGCGCTCGGCCAGTAGCGCGAACTTTTTATACAAGACTTTTAGGAATATTACGAACAAAACGTGGTGATGATAACATGAACTGAACTAATTGAATTCTACGAAAAATGACGCGCGCGCGAGCTTGTTAATGTTGACTCCACTCGATCGTCTTTAAATCTATGCCTTCCTGGACCATCTCCCAGAGCGGAGACATCTCACGAAGCTTTTCGACTTGACGCACTGTGGCTTCGATGGCGCGATCGACCTCGGCTTCAGTAGTGAATCGGCCTAATCCATATCTTACCGACGTGTGCGCCATCTCTTCGTTCACACCGAGCGCACGCAAAACATAGGATGGCTCTAAAGACGCACTCGTGCACGCGCTGCCGCTGCTCACCGCGATTTCTTTAAGTCCCATGAGCATGGATTCACCCTCCACGTATGCAAAGGACATGTTCACGTTGCCGTGGTAGCGCGCTTCACGGTCACCGTTTAATTGCGTGTGCTCGACGCGAGATTCGATGCCCTCTATCAATCTCTTAGCCAAGCGGTTGACGTGCTCTTCGTCGCGCTGCAACTCCTTCTGCGCCACGCGAGCAGCTTCACCGATACCGACGATGAGCGGGGTCGGTAGCGTCCCCGAGCGTAACCCTCGCTCTTGACCGCCGCCGTTGATGATAGGCTCCATCCGAACTCGAGGACGACGACGGACGTACAAAGCGCCGATCCCCTTGGGACCGTAAAACTTGTGCCCGCTAATCGACATCAGGTCGATGTTCATATCGTTCACATCCATCGGTACCTTCCCAACTGCTTGCGCGCCATCGGTGTGAAAAAATATTTTCTTCGATCGGCAAAGCTCACCGATCGCTTTCAAAGGCTGAATCACCCCTATTTCGTTGTTCACCGCCATGACGGAGACGATGGCGGTGTCGTCGCGCATCGCCGCTTCAAGCTCCTTCAAGTCTACCAATCCATTTTCCTTCACGGGCAAATACGTCACGTCGAAACCTTCACGTTCGAGCTGTCTGCACGAGTCCAACACGCACTTGTGCTCCGTCGTCGTTGTGATTATGTGCTTCTTTTTATCCTTGTAAAAGCGCGCCACCCCCTTGAGCGACATGTTGTTCGACTCCGTCGCCCCGCTCGTGAACACAATCTCCTTCGCGTTCGCCCCGATGAGCGACGCCAATTCTCCTCTCGCCTTTTCGATGGCATCCTCCGTCTCCCAGCCGTACATGTGCGTTCTCGAGTGCGGATTCCCGTATTGCTCTGTGAAATAGGGCAACATCGCGTCCAGCACTCGCGGGTCCAACGGCGTCGTCGCCTGCATGTCCAAGTACAGCGGCCGCCCGCGAAGCGTCACGCCTTTCATCTCAAACTCCGGTTCGATCGGCGCGCTCACCGGCTGCGCCAGCGCCGACATCCCTCGCGCCCGCGATCGCTCGCGCGCGTCCCATCGACGTCCCGATTCCGCGCGCGTCCCGCGCGACGTCCCGCGCGCCGTCGCCGTCGCCGTCGCCGACGCCGACGCCGACGCCGCGTCGTCGATCGCGCGCGCGCCGCGCGCGAACGCGCGGATCGCGCGTCGCATGTCGCGCGCGGGGTGCCCTCGCGCAGTGCGGCGTCGGCGAACATTCTCGACGATTCTAGAACGTTCGCGAGTAAACTACGCGAGAATCGAGGGGGGTCTTTGATGATTCGTGACTCGTCAAGGGGCGTTGGACGCGAGGAGGACTCGAAACGGCGCGCGCGCATAGGACGCGGCGTCACAACTACACGCAACACAGCGACTTCGACGCGAAGTCACACGCGCGCGAGCGAGGAATCGAACGCGAAAAAACAAACACACGCGGTACTCGACGTACGGCGCAGGACGAAAACAAAGAGAACAAGAACAAGGGAAAAGATGCTCGGGCCGATGATGCCGACGATGGGTGCGATGGGTGCGATGATGCGAGCGGCGAGCGATGTCGATTCGATGTTTGAGCACGTGATGCGAGACGTCGGCGAGGGGAACTTCAATTTTGTGCGAGATGGACGCGCGATGCGCGCGATGCGAGGGGCGATCGGGCGCGCGAAGGTGGAAGAGACGAAAAGAGGATTTTTGATTTCGGCGCACGCGCCGGGACTGGCGGCGAAGGACGTCCACGTCCACGTGACGACGGACGCCCGGGGGAACGCCAAGCTTTGCGTGAGCGCGGGCGAGCGTTCGATGACCGAGCTCGGCTTGCCGACGAAATACATCGACATGAGCGTCACGCCCAAGGCGTCGTGCATCGATGGCATTCTGAGAATCGCGGTGCTAAAGAAGACGTCGGAAGCCGTTCGGGTGCCCATCAACGCGACGGCGCGCGCGGCGATCGCGGAGGGCGAGGAAGACATGGAAACCGACGACGATGGTGATGAGAGCACGATAACTTTGAGCGTGCCGGGCTTTGGCGAACGCGATATCACCGTGACTTTGCACAAACCGGAGGATATGTTGGTCGTTCGGGGCGACTCGAAGACGTTTGGCACCTTCGCCAAGACGTTTAAAAACTTGCCGACAGATCTCGAGGTGAAGCACATTGACGTCACCGTGCGCCACGGTCTTTTGAACATTAAGATGGCGGATCCGCATGCGATTATTCCCATGGATATCATCGTCTCCAGTGTGAACTCTGTCGTCGAGGAAGATTCTACAAAGGAAAACGTCACCTTGGTTCGAAGATCCGTGCCTGGCGTCTCCGCCGACAAGGTCACTTGCCGCTTGGCCGCCGACCGTATGCTTCACATCAATATCGCAACTTCTCACGGTCGTGCCGTGTTTCAGCAAAGCTTGCCACGAAACATCGATTTCCACAGCATTCGCGCCTCGTGCGCTGACGGCGTCTTGACCGTCTCCGCCGACCGCGACGAATCAGCGAACAAGTCGCACACCGTGCAAGTGGAAGTCTCGGGCGATCACCCCGCGGCGCTCATCGAACCAGCCACCGAGACAAATCCAACTGCGGCATTACCGGAATCGGACGAACAACAACCAGTCGTGGAAGAGCCAGAATATGACGGTAAAGTTGAAGACGTCGAAGACGTGCCGATGTGAGAGCGCGAGAATTGTACTTCACTGTGAAACAAATACACGTACGACAGCCGCCACGTACCGCCACGTGTACAACAGCGCCACGCACGCGCAGTTTATAACATCAATAATCATCAACAATACTCATCGTCCCTCTCAATCACGCCTCGCATCTCACCATTCGCCGTCGCCGCGCCACGCCGCGGTGACTTTATCCAAACTTCACTTCATAGTTTGCTTCACACGCACGCGCGCACGAGAGAGGACTAATAGAAGAGGCGATGTTAGCCAAGCGAGTCGCCTCACCGACGACATCGCGCGCGCTGTACACGACCAATCGCTCGATGCGCGCGTCCACGAGCGCGAACGTTGCGTTGCCGCGGCGACGCGGCACACGCGCATCGACGCGCATCCAAGGGGTTGGAAAGTCGATATCGACGCCCCGCGGCGTGTTACGCGCGCATACGCGTCATGCACGACGGTGTGCGACCGCGCGTGCGGCGTCGACGTCGAACGAAGGCGGGAACGACGGTGAACTCAACGCTGCGGTGCTTCGAAACTTTTTGTTCCCGGCGCTCGCGGGCGCACTCTTCGGATGGGATATCGGAATCTCCTCGGGGGCACTGGAGAACATCACCGCGAGTGCGGCGAGTGGAGGGGACGGGTTTGCGCTGACCAGCATACAGAGTGGGCAGTTTGTGAGCGCTTCGCTATTCGGCGCGTTGACGGCGAGCGCAGCGGCCGGCGCCGGCGTGGGCGATCGATTAGGCTCGAGGAAAGAGCTCATATTGGCGGCGACGCTGTATTTGGTTGGGAGTGTTGCGTCGAGTGTCGCGCCAGGATTTGAGCCTTTGGTTCTGGCCAAGTTGATTTATGGTTTGGGAATCGGCTTTGCGATGCACAGCGCGCCGGTGTACATCGCGGAAACCGCGCCAAGCTCGTTGCGTGGAAGTCTCATTTCGCTTAAGGAAGGATTCATCGTGGGCGGTATTTTGCTCGGTTACTTGGCGAGCGAAGGCGTGATCACTGCTGACGGAGGCTGGAGGCAACTATCGCTGGAGGCGACGCCTCTAATCGGTTTGTTGCTCGCGGGCGCGATTTGGTTGCCCGATTCGCCTCGATGGATCGCGTCCAAGAGTGGAGATGGGAAAGACACGCGTGATGAGGCGCGTGAGGCACTAGTTAGAATTAGAGAGGCGAAGAGTGACGTGGAGATGATGAAGATTGACGAAGAATTGGAGGATATTTTCATGGCCGCGGTGAGCAACAACAGCTCCGCCGGCGGCTCGGGCGCGATGAGTTTGTTTGACAAGAAATATGTGCGGCCGTTGTACATTGGACTGTCTGTGGTCTTATTTCAGCAATTTACCGGGCAACCGAGCGTACTGTACTACGCGACGCAGACGTTCGAAGCCGCCGGTTGGAGCGTCGAGGACGCGGCAAATGTCTCCGTCATTCTCGGCATCTGGAAGCTATTTATGACTGGCATCGCCGTCTCCAAAGTGGACAGCCTGGGACGACGTCCGCTGTTGCTCGGTGGTATTAGCATCATCACTGCATGTTTGTTTGCATTGGCGGCGCTGAACACGCCCGGAGAGGTGCAAACGACGGCGCAAGCGCAAGCGTCCGTCGCCGCCATCTTTCTTTATGTCGGCGCGTATCAGTTAAGTTTCGGCCCGATCGCGTGGTTGCTCGTGGGCGAGGTCTTTCCATCCAAGGTGCGCTCCGCAGCCGTAGGATTGGCTACGCTGAGTAACTTTGGTAGCAACTTTCTCGTGTCCTTGTTCCTTCCAACAGTGCAAGAAACCGTCGGCTTGCGCGGCACGTATTTGGGCTTCGCGTCCGTCGGCGTCCTAGCTTTGGCATCGATTTACTTCACCGTCGTTGAAACTCGCGGTAAAACGCTCGAAGAAATCGAGGCCGAATTAATGCAGTAGTATTGATGCCCTAGAACACGGATCAACAATTTTGTAACTTAACGCGCGCGCAACTGCACAAGTCTGCCCGCATGCTCGCGTCCACCGCGTCTCGTCTCGCGCGTAGGCTCATCGCGCGCGCGCCATCACACGTCATGATAGCGTCCACGTCTTGCTCGCGCTGCGAGCTGCCGTTCGCGCGCGCGTACGGGCAGTTATCCGATCCGAACACGTTTGAGCTGCTGCAAGGTCCAGAGGGACGAGTCATCTTCGACAAGTACGCGCAAACGACGCCGCGCGCGCGACACGCACGACATCCACGCGATGGAATCAAGCACTGACCGCACGCGATGCTTTCGCTCGACAGCTACGACGCGCGTGGGTTCGCGATCAAAGGCGCGTATTGCGTCGGCGGCGTCTTCGCGTACGACTCGCTGCACGCGGCGTGGTCGCCGACGCGAGTGAGTGAGATCACGCCCGAGACCTTGGCGGCGCTGGAGATTCTCGACCCGACGCCTGATTTACTTATCGTTGGCACGGGGCGAACCGTCGCGACGCTGAACGAGGAGACGCTGAATTATTTGAAGGAGCTCGGCGTTGCTGTGGACGCGAGCGACACCGTCAACGCGACGAGCACGTTCAATGTCTTGGTAGAGGAAGGACGGAGCGTGGCGGCGGCGCTCTTACCAGCAGGGCACGTAGAGAAGTAGCGCGAGCATATAGATTAGACGACATTGTATTAGGAGCGCACTATAGCTTACAGTGGGTTGTTACAAATTACAAATAAATCAAGTGGACGCGAGTGGACGCGTGTGGACGCGTCGACGCCGATTCCGCGTGCGTCGACCTGCACGAATGAACGCGAATAAGACACACGAAACTTGTCAGTTGATCGAACGCCACGCACATCGAACGCACGCTCGCGACGATTCGACGCTGAATGAGAACAACAAAAAAAGTTCGACACGCAGAATGTAGCCCCGTGGCACACCAACCTCGACCGAGTTAATTCGTCGCCGACGCGGTGTTGTACAGGGAGAGGCTCCAAAGTGTTTCTCGGAGGTGTCCTAAAAAATCCATCTTTAGTTTTGCGAGGTTGAAAAACCGCCAACGGCGATGAAAGACGCCGAGGCGGGGGTAAGTTCGCTTGTTGAGAGGAGAGGCGGCGCGAACGCGGAAGAGGAATGCGAACGACGTACTCTGCGGGCGATGCGCACGCCACGTGCGTTAATACATCCGCGCGTGTCCTTTCGACTGGTGAGCGCTTTTTGACGTCCGCGCGCGCGCGCGCACGACACACGCGCGCGAAGTTGTGGAGTGAGTTAACCTCAGCGTGCGCAGAGCTATTGAAGTATATTAAAGCAAAGTGCATTTAGCGAGCGCGTCATCCTAATGCGTCCTCCTCGGCAGCGATCATTTCTTGGCGAAATTGTTCGCTCTTTCGTCGTTTGGCGTCGCGCTCGGTCTTCTTCGCTTCGTCCTCCGCCGTCGCCTTGCTCGCCGCGACGTACTTTGCTCGCCACAGTTTGAGCTTTTTGTCGATCTTCTTCACCACCGCCTCGTCGGGCTCAGTGCCGTCCTCGACGTGCGTCTCGATCTCATCTAAAATGCCCTTCAACAACGCCCCCTTGGGCGCTTTGACGATCCCCGTCGCGCGCGCACCGACGGCTTCACAATACTCGACAAGGTCCGTTGCCTCGGCTTGGCGCGCAGCGCGACGAAGCGCGCACAGTGCGATTTGTCCCGGAGGACGCACTAAAGGAACATCCGTGAGCATCAACGCATCGATCGTCTCTAAAGCGCTCTTTCGGCACGCCACAAGCTGTGCGCCTGTGACCTTACACCCTCCATCTTCCACGTCTCTGAGGAACCCGTCGAGCGGTCGAGCGGCGCCGTAGCACACGAGCTGAAACTTCAATCCCGACAAAAACGTCACCTCCGCCGCGAGCACTCGCGCCGGATCCTCTCTCACCCCTTTGCAAAACTCATCAGCGCTGATGTAACTCTCCTCAACCTTACACGCGACGTATATGCTCGTCAACATGATAATCTTCAGGCTGTGCGCTCCGACGCCGTGTCGCAGCGTGAACCTCTTAAACAACATCACCGCCGTGCTCTTCACCTTTCGCGGCAGCACAAACGCCGCGCATATCGTCTGAATCTTATGTTCGTGATACCGCAGGATCAATCGCTCTTCCTCGCTCGTCAACGCGTCCTTCTCCACCGTTTTCGCCGATGTGGATTCTCCATCATCGTTCAAAGTCGCACTCTTCAGCGTCGTCGCGCGCGTCTCCTCGCGCGCCGCGCGCACGTCCTCGTGCGTGTCGTACAGCCAAAAGCTCTTCTGCGTCGACGTCGGGTAGTTGGACATCGTCGTCGACGCGGCAAAGCGTTGAGCGTCGTCGCCGCGCGTCGACGTGTGCGGCACAGACGCGCGCGGCGTCTCGACCGGCGTCAACGAGCATGCGCGCGGTGATCGACGCGCGATGTCACGCGCGATCGCGCGTCGAGCCGAAACGCGTGATCGCGCGAGGAGGCGCGCGCGTGGGACGGATGATTACCGCCAACCGCGCGTCTTCGTCATCTTCATCGAAAACGAACGACGGCGGCGAGGAGGGCGCGTTTATCGCCTCGGCGATCGCCATGGGTGTGCCCACGCTTGCGACTTTGGCGTATCCGAGCGCGCTCGTGACGAATGGGCTCGGGTTGGAGTGCGCGACGCCGCTGTTTGGACAAAGCTTTTCGAGCCTCGCGAGCGTGCAGCACTTTAGTAACGCCTTTGGGACGGATGCGTTCGCTTTGATCGCGCTCACGGCGTTGTACACGCTCGCAGACGCGGCGAAGAATAGTCGGTTGAATTCGGAGACGTATCAGCGATTGGCGCTGGCGATGGTTTTGTTCACGGGAAGCTTCGCAGTGGCTTTCTTAGGCGCGTACTTACAAAGTCAGGCGACGGGCGAGACGGGACCGAACGCGGCGGCGGTGGGCGGACTCTTGGTGACGTTCGCGCCGGCGTTCGCGACGAGTGTGAAGGCGATTCGAGAATACGGCCCGGGACACGACGAGACGTGGGCGCGCGTAGGCAAAGATTTCGCAGAAGCGAAGAACCTCAACGAGCGCTCCGAAACGGGTGGCTATCTCGAGCTCTTCTACAAGGTTTCGTTCTGGACTAGCCTCGTCGTTGGTGGCTCTTTCGCCTTCAGCCCGCTTTCACCGTTGGCTATCGTGAACGAGATGGAACCGAGCTCGCAACTGATTCAACGCGCGTTCGGTCTCGCGACGGTTTTTCTTCTCGCGCCGACGCAGTACATACTCATTGACGCCGCCAAGCGCGGTCGCTTGGGCGGCGGCACGTTCAAAAAACTCAATCTATCCATAGCCGCATCGATCGCATTGATCGATTGGATGACCATCTACACCTTCGGCGCCGCCACCGCGCTCTCCCCGACCGCCGCGCAACTGGAAAACGCGAGCGGCGGCGTCTACAACTACGTCGGCGCGCTCGCCGTTTCCGCGAGCATCGTCGCCGTCTATTTATACCAAGGCGTGTTCGCCAAAAAGTGATAAGTATTTTTTTTCTTCCAGTGTCATCGCTCGATCACTTTCGTCATCGGACGTCTCGCCGTCGCGCGAGCCCTCGCGCGAGCCGTCGTCCGTCTGTCTGGTCAACCACCCGAGCGCGACGGGCGGCACGGCATAACGAACCGCTCGCTGCGAGCGCGGCGAGTCGACCATGTCGTCGTCGCACGCGCGTCGACGCGTCATCCGCGCGCTCGCATCGCCGAGCGTCGCGCGCGCGTTCGATCGCGCGCGCGCCGCGTGCGCCGCGCGAACGGCGACGACGCGCGCGCCGATCGCGCCGTGCCGTCGCGGATTGATGTCGTTGGCGAATTCTCCGCGACGAATGATGCCCGCGTCGGCGTGCGCGCGCGTTCACGGCGAACGAGCGACGCGTGAAAATATGGCTGAAGCGGTGTTCGCGCGATCGAAGGCGAGCGCGAGCGTGGCGCCGCCGAAACCGACGCCGAATCGAGAGATGAGGGATGACTTTTTAAACGCCTCGAGCGCGGCGTACTTGGAGGCGATGGAGGACGAGTACAGGAAGGATCCGAAGAGCGTACCGGAATCGTGGGCGTCGTTGTTGAGACAGATGGGTACGTAGCGATCGTCGATGGATGCGCGAGACGGCGAGGATGAGGTTTTGAAGGCGAACTGGAACGGCGCGCGATTCAATTCCCTCAATTCGGTTGGCGGACCAATCCAAATTCGGAGCGAACGAAGACTGACGAGAATTCCGTGCATTTTTTCGCGTAAACAGATGCGGGCGTGAGTGGAGCTGAAATATCTGAAATGTACACCGCGATGTCGACGGGTACGGCGCCTATGGCTGTGGGGCGACCGTTGGACGCGCAAACGATTCAGGAATCCATGCGGTTGATGATGTTGATCCGCTCGTATCAAATTAGCGGACATAGCATCGCCAATCTCGATCCATTGGCGCTTGATGAGCGTGAGATGCCAATCTCTCTCGATCCAAGCCTGTACGGGTTCACGGAAGACGATATGGATCGAGATTTCTTTATTGGAACTTGGAAAATGAAGGGCTTCTTGAGCGAAGACCGTCCGGTGCAGACGTTGCGTCAAATCTTGACCAGGCTCAAAGAGACGTACTGCGGCACGGTGGGCTACGAGTACATGCATATTCAAGATCGTGAGCAATGTAACTGGCTTCGAGCGAAAATCGAGACCGAGCGCAAGAAGCAGTATTCGCCGGAACGGAAACAAATTATTTTGGACCGCTTAGCTTGGGGCGAACTTTTCGAAGGTTTCTTGTCCAACAAGTACAGCGCAGCGAAGCGATTCGGTTTGGAAGGTTGTGAAAGCCTCGTGCCTGGATTTAAGGAAGCGATCGATAAGGCGGCCGAGATGGGGGTTGAAGCTATCACGATCGGTATGCCGCACCGCGGTCGTTTAAATGTGCTCGCGAACGTCGTGCGCAAACCGCTTCAAACGATTTTCAACGAGTTTAAGGGTGGTCCAAAACTCGTGGACGAGTTACCGAACACGGAATCGCAGTATACTGGATCAGGCGATGTGAAATATCATCTCGGGACTTCGTTCGATCGTCCGACGTTACGCGGCGGTCAAATCCATCTTTCCTTGGTTGCGAATCCATCGCATCTTGAGGCGGTAAACACGGTGGTTACTGGAAAGACTCGTGCGAAGCAGTTCTACACGAAAGATCCGAACGGCGATCGTTCTATGCCTATCTTGCTGCACGGTGACGGTGCTTTCAGTGGTCAAGGGATTGTGTACGAGACGCTTGACATGAGCAAATTGCCCGAGTACAGCGTCGGTGGGACTTTGCACATCGTCGTGAACAACCAAGTCGCCTTTACGACTGATCCAAAGTACTCACGCTCGAGCGCTTACTGCACCGATGTAGCTAAGGGCATGGAAGTTCCAGTGTTTCACGTTAACGGTGATGACGTGGAAGCGGTGGCGTGGGTCATGGAACTCGCCACCGAATGGAGAATGAAATGGAAGACGGACGCCGTAGTCGACATCGTGTGCTATCGCAAATACGGTCACAACGAGATTGATGAACCCATGTTCACGCAACCTCTTATGTACAAGGTGATTCAGCAACATCCCAGTGTTTTGACGAAATATAGCGCCAAACTCGTCAACGAAGGCATCATCACCCCGGAAGACTTCGTCAGCATGAAGGAAAAGATCAATAACATTATGGAAGAGGAGTTCACGGCGTCAAAGGACTATGTTCCGAAGCAACGTGACTGGCTCGCATCGCATTGGCAAGGTTTCAAGAGCCCGGATCAGCTTTCGCGCATCGCAGACACTGGCTTACCGATGGATCACATAAAGAATCTCGGACAACTTATCACCGCGATTCCTGCGGGATTTACACCACATCGAGTCGTGAAGCGCGTTTATGAAAATCGTCGCGCCATGATTGAAAACGGCAACGGTATCGATTGGGCCATGGGCGAAGCTTTGGCGTTCGCTTCTTTACTCGATGAAGGCAACCATGTGCGTTTGTCTGGACAAGATGTCGAGCGTGGCACTTTTTCTCATCGTCACGCGCTGATTCATGATCAAATCACGGGCGAGCGTTTCATTCCTTTGCGAAACGTCTACAGCGGCAACCCGGGTCGAGGTCAGAACTTCTTCACGGTTTGCAACTCTTCTTTGTCCGAGTACGGTGTGCTCGGTTTCGAACTTGGCTACTCTCTTGAGCATCCCAACTGTTTGATCTTATGGGAAGCGCAGTTTGGTGATTTCTCGAATACGGCTCAAGTCATCATCGATCAATTTATCAGCAGCGGTGAGGCAAAGTGGTTACGTCAAAGCGGTCTCACGCTACTTCTTCCGCATGGTTACGACGGACAAGGTCCCGAGCACAGTAGCGCTCGACTTGAACGTTTCTTGCAAATGGCTGACGAAGATCCGACGCAGATCCCTGAGATGGAAATGGAACGCCGCACGCAGTTGCAAGAATGCAACTGGCAAATTTGCAACGTCACCACGCCCGCAAACTATTTCCACATGTTGCGCCGACAGGTTCATCGTGAATTCCGCAAGCCGCTCGTCGTGATGAGCCCGAAGAATCTATTGCGTCATCCGAAAGCGGTCTCCGATATCAGCGAGTTCGATAACAGCGACGACAACGATTCACTTCAAGGCGTTCGCTTCAAGCGACTTATCATGGACAAGACTTCGAAGTCGCGCAGCATGGACTCTCCTGCGGAGAATGAGGTGGAAAGAGTCATCTTCTGCTCCGGAAAGGTTTACTACGATCTCGACGACGAACGCGATGCGGCGAAGAACATCGACAGGGTGAAAATCTGCCGCATCGAACAACTCGCGCCGTTCCCGTGGGATCTCGTCAAGCGCGAATTGAAGCGTTACCCGAATGCCGAAGTTGTTTGGTGCCAAGAGGAACCGATGAACATGGGCGCGTGGTGGCACGTCCAACCGAGAATGAGTACGTTGTTCAAAGACCTCGGTCGATCGGGCGAAACGCGCTACGCTGGTCGCAAACCCGCGTCTTCGCCCGCAACCGGGTACGCCGCCGTGCACGCGCAAGAGCAAGCCCAACTCGTCGCCGACGCCATTCGGTAAACTTCCACCCGCGCCGTGTACAACGGCAAATTGACAATCGAATCGAGCGCATCGCTCGCGCGCGTCTTAGTCTCAACCGCACGCGTTCGCGATCATTTACCAACTCAATTGTAATCCGAGCGCGTCTCGCGACGCCCAGATAAGTCCCCAGTCGCGATGTCCTAAATCGGCGAGTCCTGATTCGCCGATTTTTTGACAACGTCACCCGCAAAAGATGATTTTGCCCCTCGCGCGTCGGCACACGACGACGCGCGTCCTCGCGTTCGAAGCACGCCCGAACGAGACACACGATGCTCGCCTCGTCATCCTCCGCCGTCGGCGCGCATCGCGCGACGCGCGGGACGCGATGCGCGCGACGCACGACGACGAGCGCGGTCGTGACCTCGACGCGCGGCGGCTCGACCGGCGCGCGACGCGCGAACGCGACGCGGACGAACGCGCGACGCGCGAGCGTCGTCGCGGGCGCGAGCGCGATCGATGCGCTCGGTGAATTCGCCGAACGCGCGCAGGCGGCGACGGCGAACGCGCACGCGACGCTCGTGACGTCGCGCGTGTTCGACGTGGCGGACGCCGCGGCGGCGACGGCGGGGATAGATTTGAACGATGCGGAGGCGCTCAAGGCGGCGGGATTACAGAAGGGTGGGTGGTTAGGACCTATTACGGATGGGCTGGAGTCCGCGCTCGAGGGGATCGATAGCGTCTTGGACGGACGGGTGCCGTACTCTTACGGGTTTTCCATCATCGTGTTGACGGTGCTGGTGAAGCTCGCGACGTTCCCGTTGTCCAAGAAGCAGGTGGAGAGCTCGATGCAGATGCAAGCGATGCAACCGCGAATCAAGGAACTTCAAGCGATGTACGCGAACGATCCGGAGCGATTGCAAATGGAGCAAGCCAGATTGTACAAGGAGGCGGGCTTCAACCCTCTCGCGGGGTGCTTGCCAGTGTTCGCCACGCTTCCAGTGTTTATCGGGTTGTATCGCGCGTTGAGCAACGCCGCGTCCGAAGGCTTGCTCACGGATGGTTTCTATTGGATTCCTTCCCTCGGTGGTCCGACGTCCATCGCTTCTCGTAACGCGGGAAGTGGCTTCGCCTGGCTTTGGCCGTTCGTCGACGGTCACCCCCCGCTCGGCTGGCACGACACCACCGCCTACTTAGTGCTCCCGGTGTTGCTCGTGGCCTCCCAATACGTGTCGCAGCAAATTGTCAGCCCTCAGCCGAAGACCGATGACCCGGCCCAACAACAAAGCCAGGCCATTTTGAAGTTCCTTCCGCTCATGATTGGTTTCTTCTCTCTCAACGTTCCGGCCGGTCTCACCTTGTACTGGTTCGCGAACAACATCATCACCACAGCCCAGACGCTCATCCTCCGAAAAACGACTACGGCGCCCGAGCCGCCCGTCGCAAAGTCCGGTGCTGCTGGTGGTGCGAACGGTGCGGAGCCCGTGCGTGTTGAATACGTGCCCAAGTCTCAAAGAAGAAGCGGCGCGCAAATGCCCGTCAGACCGCCACCGAGAGTTGAAGAAGTTAGCGATGCCGTAGCTGCCGAGTTCGCCGATTTCGACGATGGTCCCGCAAACGTTGTTGAGGTCGTGACTCCCGAAATCATGGATGTCCCGAACTCGGCCCCGCCAAAATCTAACGATGGTCGCCCACAAAACAGCCGCAAGTCTCGAAAAAAGCGATCCAGATAAGCGAGAAGACATGTATGATGAAGCGTTCGTGACGAACATTGCAATAAAAAGTAAACAACAATTCTTTTACAATATTTTTGCGCCGAGTCCAGCGTTCGCGATCTCTTCCTCTGAGTAATTCGAGCGATCGAAATTTGTCACCGCCTTCGAGTCGCGATAAAGAAGCGCCGCGCAGTCGTACGCCTCAGCCGCTGCGCGCTCGGTTGGATACGTGCCCAAATAAAGGTATTTGTTGCCCATAACTCGCCCAATGCGCGCTTCCCATTTTCCCTTGGAATTTTTCCCTTTATGACTTGTCACTCCTCTGTAAGCACTCACTCCGCGAGAGAAGCCGGAAGATCGCCGTCTTAGCTCACAAACCCAATCAGCGGGTGAATACTCCTGCATGGCTTTGATTTCTTCGGTGTAATTACTCACATCAAAATTCAGAACCTGTCGAGTACCGAAGAATCGCAACGCGGCAAGATCGTACGCACGCGCGGCGTCGAGCTCGGAGATCCATCCTCCTAAATAAACCTGTCGCCCGCGCGTGCGCCCGCCGGACGATTTCTTGCGCACACGCTCGTACGTGGCATCCCACAGATGTGCTTCCCACCGACTTGTGATTTTATGACGAGTAACGCCTTTCCATTTACTACTACGATTCGTACTCTTCATCGGAGTCGTCCTACGATTTGCCCTGAGAACTTCTCGGTCCTTCGACTGGCGATGTCGCTCGACTTGCGACGTGTCCAGCTCCGCCTTTTCCTCGCATGGCAAATCCCAATCGGCTTCGTTCTCAAAATCAAACATTTCCATCGCCATTTTAGACATCTCATCCTCTTCGTTTCGCGCCAACTTGGCATCAAAGTGCAAGAACGGATTCAGCTGGAGGCCAAACACCTCGACCGTTCCATCATCGGGCCAGCACAAGTCAAACGCCGAGCCGAGGGAAGTAGCATCCATCCAAGCGCGTCAATCTCAGTGTTTCTAACACAACACAACGACTGGGTTTTCATCAAGTCTTCGTCGTACGTGCGTCGACTTCTATCGAGGCACAACCGTTTTTCTGGCAGTGAAAAACGCTCGTCAAAAGTTGTTAACACGCACGCTTTTTCTCAAGATTTTATTCCACATTACATATCAGCAAAAAATTTGGTAACCGCCTTCTTCTTGTTCTCCGCTTTCTGTTGATTGGCGACTTGCTTTTTCCCTTTGCTTTTGGATTTTCGTTTCTTGGATTTTCCGTCATCGTCGCTATCGTCGTCGTCGTCTGCTTCTTCGACGTCCATTTCTTCGGCGTCGTCCCACGCGCCCTCCTCCGTCAACCAGTCAACCTTCCACAATTTGACCGTCTTATCGTGCGAAGACGACGCGAGCATATTCTTATCGAAGCTCATTGTCAAACGCTCGATGGGCATGTCGCTATGCTCACCCACGAGGCCCAAAATTTTGTTCGGAAGGACTGAAATCACGCGGATCAAACCATCGCTCGAGCCGGTGACAACCATGTCTTCCGTCACCTTCGCGATGGCGTCCACGCTTTGAGGATGTCCCGGATATCTGTCAGATATATCATCCCATTTACCGTAAGTGAAAATGTCCAGCACTCCTTCCTGCGAACCGGCGACGACTTTACGGCCATTCTTTACGATTTCGCAACTTAATAACTCGTCCTCCAAGTTATCGCACTGCCCCACCATTTTGTTTGTCGTCAAATTTAAGCATCCGAGCGTACCATCGCCACTCGAAATCACGATTTCGTTTCTACCCTCCCCCGCGTACTTCATATCGCTCACAAAATCCACGAAAGGCTTGTGTTTTGCGCATTCGGTCTGCGCGCGTGTATCCCAAATCTTCACGCATCCGTCGTCGTCTCCAGTCGCAATCAGGTGCTCATTCAGCGTGATTAATCGATTAATCGCCACGGTATGCGCGTTTTTAAGCCTCGCCACCACGGCTCCGGTGACTACATCCGTCGCCACGACGCACGCGTCCGCGCCGCCGCTCAGCAGCGTCTTCCCTCCGTCCACGTACGCCAGCGTCCTGCACGTCTCCCCTGCGTGCACCCCTCGCAGCGTCTCCAGCTTCGCGCACGAGCTCTGGGTGTGCGACCACTGCTCGACGTCACCGTTGATCAGCCCGACCGCGAAGACGTGCGTCGTGGGCGCGAACGCGACGTCGAACGGCTGCTCGGCGCATTCCGCGCGACACGCTTCGCCGCCGTCGTCCATCGCAGCTTTCGCGTCGATCACGCGCGCTCGCGAGGCTACGACCGAGGTTTTTGACGCGCGTTTCACCGTATCCCGCGTTTCGCGCGTCGAGCGTCGCTGAGTGACGCGCGATCGTCCCGTTCGCCGCCGCCGCCGGTGCGCTTTTTCACGGAACAGAGACGGGCGACGACGGCATCGCGCGACGCGCGCGGTGGCGATGCGTCTACGGAAAGGTGCGTCGATGCGAGGCGAGGCGACGCGACGCGACGCGACGCGACGCGACGCGCGACGACGCGACGCGCGACGACGCGAAAGGCGCGAACGACGAAAGCCGATGATGCACAACACAGCTACTAGAACAGAATATGCGTTGACGTTTTTACGACGACGGCGCGTTTGATGCCAAACCTGTTCGAAAATGATGAGGCTTCTTCGTTCATTCGCTCGCGGGTCGATTTTTAAGTCTGTGCTCCGATTCGACCGCTGACGACGTGAGTTTGTTTTTACTTGGCGCAGGCGCGGAAGACGGTGTCAAACAAATGTACTACGACGCGCGTAGATTCTAGTGAGCTAAAGCGCGTCTAAAGCGGCTGTCGCGGCGTTCACGCGCGCGCGCCATTCTTCGTCGTCGTCTGTATCGCTCTCGGATTCGCTTTCGGAGACGGTGGCGTCGGAACCGACGCCAGTCGCGGTGAGCACGCTCGGAGCTTTTCGTGCTCGGAGCGTAGACCAATCGCTCACGGAAGCGAAAAACGGATGACTGCGGATAGACGTCTCGTCTTCAAACCCGAGCCGTTTCTTGGGCTCTCGAACGAGGAGTTTATCGATGAAATCCTTTGCGGCGCTCGAGACGTTTGCCTCGGGTGGGTACACATACTTCCCCTTGAGCACGGCTTGCATGGTCAAGTACTCCGTCTTATCTTTAAACGGCACGCGTCCGGTCAACAGTTGAAACGTCATCACTCCGATAGACCACAAATCCACCGCCGTGGTGGTTTCTGCGCACCCTTCTAAGATTTCTGGCGCCACGTATTCCGCTGTGCCAACGAAGGACGCGCAGCGATTCTTCTTATGCTTTGCATCCTTCTTCACCGCCTGTTCCGCGATCGCAGTGAGCACACTCGTCATCACAGGTTGTAAATCAAGCGCACTACCGAAGTCACACAATTTTACGTGACCAGTCGAATCGATCAAAACGTTCTCGGGCTTGACGTCTCTGTGCACGATGCCGCGCGCGTGACACTGTTGCACCGCCCGCGTCACCTCGGACACATAAAACACCGCCTTTTCCTCCGTCATCACCTCGCCTTCCGAGCGTTTCAATTGTGAATATAAATCTCCCCCCGTGCACAGTTCCATGCCGAGATACAGCGAGTAAGTGTCTTGAAACGTAAACCGCAGCGCCGCGACGCAGTCGCAATCCGCCAACCGTCCAGCCAAGAGCGCCCTCTCCGTCGCCACGTACCGCGCTTTACCCTCGCGCACGATGTGTGACTTATCCATTATCTTCAGCGCGTACCTCTCCGTGGGTTTGTTCGCCAGAAACACCTCACGCACGGACGAATACGACCCTTCGCCGATTGTGTCCACGGTGACAAAGTCGCGCATCTCGAAAGGCCGCGTCGTCGACGTGGACGACGCGGCGTTCAGCGAGGATACAGAATCACCGCGGGTGTGCGATAGGTGGTGGTTGTCGCCCGCGGCCGGCGCGCGCTCTGTCCCAGACATGATGGACGATGACGACGCGCTCGCGTGTGAGGACGCGAGCGGAGCGGAGGGGCGCGGGCGCAAAATGAATCTTGTATTCATAAATACTATGATGCGTGCGATGGAAAGATTGACATCAATTATCGTTCTGTGCGAGCGCTCAAGCGGAAAAGCAGCAGAAGAAGCTGGCGAATCCACCCTTCTTTTTCTCCTGTTCCTGAGGCGGCGGCGCGGGAAGATGGACGATGGTTCGCGTGTCTGCATCGCGCGCAACATCGGTGAAATAATCGAGCTTGGTGGGTAGATCTATCAGTTGACCTTGTTCTTCTACCATCATCGTCCCGGATCGATCGAATAGACACACCGCGCACATTTCGTCATCTTTCGCCCACAGCAAACGCCCCGGCTTTTGTCTGTCTTTGCGCGCCGTCGGAAACCGTTGAAGTACGCCAAAGGTGGCTTGGCCTTTCAACAGACTGTTGCTCGTTTCTGCGCCGTCGCGTTCAATGTCTAAAGAAACTCTAAATCTTTCACTTTTCGAATTATCGACTTTCTCATCGAGCAAACCTCGCAACTGCTCGAGCTCTCGCGCCAACAACCGACTGAGATCCCCAACCTTGACCACGCCCGTGCTCTCGATGTCGGCTTGTGTCATGATGGAAATGATGTCCGTCATGCTTGATCGCACTCCATAGTAATCTAGCTTAGCTTTAAGATCCTCAGAAGTGATGATCGCGTCTTCATCGCCTCCACCGAGCACCTTTGATATATTCTTCACCGCGCGTCGATCGAGGATGTCTTCAAATCTTTCCCGGTCGCTCGAGAGCGTCGCCACGCTCCGTGATCGCGACAAACCGCGGTAGAGAACGTTTCCGATCGCACCTACGCTCACCATACCAGCGCTGTTAGCGCGTACCGACAAGTCTTCCGCGAGATCAAACCCCAACATGCTGCTCAGAGACGCCTCTGGCGCGATTTTCCCTCGCAAGAGTTCGAGCTGCTTCACGATGACTTCGACGCCCAACGCCCCGACCGATGCATCGTCCTACGCGCGTCAAAAACGTCAGTACGGGTCCAAACAACGATTCATTTCCCAAAAGCGCGCGCGCGCATCGTCAACACTCACCCACGCCGCCGCGTTCAACACCATCGCGAACTCGCTGAGCGAGCACACCCCCTCGTCCTCGTCCGTCTCGCTCCCCTCCCCCGCCCCTTCCTCATCCCGCTCGCTCATCAACATCGCCTTCAGCGCCGCCACCGACGGTTTCCGCGTCAACACGCTCCTCATCATCGTCGGCGCCGGCGACGCCTGCCCCTCGCTCGTCGCGCTCCCGAAACTATCCTCCTCGTTCGCCGCCGGCGACGACCCTCGCGGCGCGTCCTCCGCCCGCATCGTCCCCACGCTCGCCAGCTCATCGAACGACACCAGCCCCGGATCGTCGCCGTCCTCCGCCATCGTCGTCGTCGTCGTCGTCGTTCCGATCGTCGTCCGCGCCGTCCCGCGTCCCGCGTCCCGCGTCCGCGGGTTCGACGCCCCGCGACGATTCGTTCAGGTTCTCGCGCGTTCGGGTTCTCGCCCGCGCGCGTTCGCGCGCGCCCTCGACGGTCGTCGCGCGTCGGCGCCGTCGGCGCGTCGGCGCGTCGCCGTCGAGACGCGGCGCCGTCGAGACGCGGCGTCGGCGCCGCGCGCCGGTGCGCCGACGCGCCGACGCGCGCGCGCGCGTCGACGTCGGGTCGACTCGCCCGTTCGCGACGCGAAGAGCGCGACGCGGGACGGGGTTTCGTGGTGACGCGACGCGCGACGCGGGACGGGGTTTCGTGGTGACGCGAAGAGCGCGACGCGGGACGGGGTTTCGTGGTGACGGATTGGATGTCGCGCGCGCGCGCGACGACGCGACGCGCGTCGACGCCGCGCGACGCGGCGCGCGATAGATGACGGCGGCGATGGACGGCGACGAGGACGACGCGCGAACGACGACGACGACGTCGAGCGACGACGAGGACGTGCGCATACGACGACGGCGGGACGACGACGACGACGACGACGACGACGCGAGCGTCGCGAAGGCGAACGGGACGGGCGATCTCGACGACGCGCGCGATGGAAGGCCGACGTGGTTCGACGCGCGGGCGTTCGAGAGGGATGATTTCGATCCGTGGGAGTACGTGGAGGAGATCACGACGTTCGTGGGATCGGAAACGCTGAGGGAGGCGCTGGACGGGCACGAGCGGGAGACGCGCGAGGCGCTGGAGCGACTGGTGAACGAAAACTACGAGGAGTTTGCGTCGCTCGGGGATGATCTGAGGGATTACGCGGAGTTGAGGGATAAAATAATGCCGGGACAGATTGAGACGAAACGAGAGGTGAGCGAGGGGAGGGAGGAAATCGTGCGAGCGCTGGAACGGTTGGAGGCGAGCGCGGAGGAGCGAGAGGCGCAGGCGCGCGCGAGCGCGAGCAAGCGCCTGGCGGATGAGTGCGGACATACGGTTTCAAAGGTTGAGCGATTGCTCGGAGAGTTAGATGTCGTCGGTGGAAAGTCATCGGCGAGCGATGGTGCGACGGGTGGGGAGAGAGCTGGAGACTTACTCGCCTCGGTGGTGATCGGCGCGGAGGATCGCGAAGGCTTGGAGATGTTGGCTCCAGCGTTTGAGGACGATCAAGCGACGCCGAGCGGAGCTGAAACGGACGATATGCATCGAGAGCACATCAGTGGAGATGTGAACGAGCGCGCGCGGATGCTCGATCGCATTTCGAGCGAAGTAAATCGCTTAAAGTTTTACCAAAAGCAAGGAAAAGATCTTTCGGCGATTCGAGACCTCGCCGACCGAATCGAGTATTGCGAGTTGAAGCTCACTTCTTTGGCGCAAACTGCGCTCATCGATGGTTTAAAAGAAAAGAACGCGAACGTTATAAGTCATTGCTTGCACGGTTGCACCGCGATCGGGAAGTTTGACGTTGTGGAAAGCGCGATTCGAACTGTATTGATCCGCCCAGCGGTGGAGAAGACGCTTGAATCGATTGCCGAGGAAGATTTTGCGTCAGTGTTGCCAAAACTAAGTGAAACTGCGCTTACATCGTGCTCTTACGTACTTGATCTTACGCGAGTCGCCGAATCGGGCCTACAGTCGCACGACTTTCTCGCTGGAACTGTACTCGCAGAGGTTGATTCGCAACTGAGTTCAGCTTTTGAGAAAGCGTACTCGCCGGGAATCCCACAGGATTTCATCAAGAACTATCGCGCGGCGATGAAGTTTGTGGATATATTAGAAGATCTCGCACCAACGATGGCGTCATTGAATCATTTCCGGGCGTCCAGGTACTTGGAATCGTACATGAAGAGGTGGAATCTTTCGGTGTACTTTAATTTGCGCTTCCAAGAGTTTGCTTGCGATGTCGATGAAGAGCTGAACGAGCCGGGTCTTGATACCTCGCGAGCGAGCGATGGATTTTTACTCACACCGACAACGCAAACATGGCTGACGATGGCGAAATGCATGGCGGAGGAAGTCTTCGTTCCAGCCCTCACGGACAAATTTATTAGACTGTTTGCGCAGGTGTTGTCGCGATATAGAACTTGGGTGAAAGCCGGCATCGAGGCTTTATCTGTTCAGCAAAGCTCCGATTCGAATGCTGAAGAAGGTAAAGTCACCATGGTTACGTCTTCTTCTAGTTGGGGCGCCACAGCGGGTGGAGATGAGTTAATTTTAGTGCGCTTGGATGTTGAAAAGTTGTGCGCTAAAGTGCGTTCGGACGGTGCAGCGTGCGTGAAAGCGAGCACGAGCATTCTCGGCGAAGACACCGCTCAAATCGCGGTGGATTGCGTCTTAGAAGGCGCAAACGAGCTGCAAGAAATTATTCCGCAGCTCGACGCATTCATCGTGAAAGTATACGTCGAGAGATGCGTTGAATCATTGAAGCAGCTCAAGGGGATCACCGCCACATTTCGCATGACGAACAAGCCCATGCCGACAAGACACAGTCATTTCGTGCCCACGATTCTCGCTCCCTTGCAAGCATTTTTGGATAATGAGCGCACAAAAATGTTTTCTAAGACTTCGAGACAAGAAATAGTCGATAAGGTCGTAGATTCCGTGTCTGAAAGATACGCTGAAATGGCGAGCGATCTTGTGGCGACGGTCAAGAAGACTGAGGCAAGTCTGAATCGTCTTAAAGATCGACAAGGGAAAACTAGCAGCACGGGTGTGGGCGACACAGACAAGATTTGTCGTCAGCTATATTTAGACGCCAAGGAGTACGCCGTGCAAATGGAAAAGTTTGGCGTCGTCTCCACCAATTCAGACGCGTTCAACGAGTTGTGGTCAAATGTCGCGGCGGGAGCGCCGACTGCCTAAATTCTCGTGTTTATAATCACAAGTAGTGCTAATAGCGCATCGCATCGCTAATCATGCATCGCAACTAACGATGACTCTCTCCGAATCTTTGACGAACTGCTAATCTTGGGTATTTTCGTAACGTTAGTCAGCCAATCTGTACCCACGTCGAGAGGAAGTATCCACTCGAGCGTCGAAATCTCGCTCTGGTGCTTTTGGCCTTTGAAAAACGCCGCGAATTCTCCTGCCGGAGTCTTCTTAACTGACGTAATTTCGAATCTGAGCTGCCACTTGAGCTCAACTTTTGATGTTCGAAAGCTTCCAGGGGAATTTGCAGGTAAATTAAGAGCGAAATTCGAGGTATTGAGATGCTCGACTCGCTCGTGCGTTTGTACCCAAATTTTCCTATATACCGGCGGCTTGCCGCCGTGCACCGTCTTGGCCTCTGCGTGTATAATTTCACTCGACTCGAGCGTAATGAGCACATGGGACGCTCGCGCTTTTCCAGGTTCGGCGCACGTAAAGTCGAGTATACCCGCCACTTCGCCCCCAATCGCGCACTTAGGTGCGGGCTTGCGCAGCGTCACCTTGACGAGTCGATCCTCGCCCATGCTCACGACGTACGCCTTTGATTTTTTTCTCTGCCCGTGCGATTGCGGAGTGAACACCGATCCTTCGCCCGCTTGCGGTGTCGAGCTTTCGCGAGGTGTCCTCACCTGCGGTTCGACGTCTCCCCACATCTGCAAAGCGCGAGGCGACGCTAGTGAACCGTTGAATCGCGGCGACTCGGGCGGCACGGTGTCCTCGATGTGTATCCACGGCGCAGTTAAATCACGCGCGCTGTACGTCTCTCGCATCTCGCCTACATCATCATCATCGCCCACATCGTCACACAATTCACCGTCATCTTCTCCCCGGCGTTCAAGATCCCAATCCCCCGCGCGAACCGTCAACGGCGCGCTCGCCTCGAGCGTCTCCCCGCTCGCCGTCGTCGCCTTGCACGTCACGCGATACCAATACCTCGAGTGCTCGCCTCGAAAACTCGGCGCTAATCCCGGAGGTAAATCAATGCCAAACTTCAGCCCCACCGTGCTTCCAGGCTCGAGCGTCAGCGCGCGCGCCACCTCGCCCGGCGGCGACCGCGCGACGCTTCGCTCCTCCGCGCCCACGCGTTCGCGTCCCACCCACTCCACCGTCACCCGCTCCACGACCAACGATGCGAGCGCGTTCGCGTCCGCGATAACGCGCACGCGTCCGCGAAACGGTCGTCCCGAGCACACCACCCACCGCGGGTCGTCGTCGTCGTCGTCATCGTTCGTCGTCGTCACCGTCCCGCGCGTCCTCGCGCCTCGACTTTGCCCGCTCGACGACGCGAACGCGCGCAGCGCGCGATCGCCCGCGCCGACGCGCGCGTCCATCTCTATCCGCACCGTCGACGCCGTCATCGTCGCCGCGCCGTCGAGGTCGCGTCGCGACGTGACGCGAACGCGACGCGAACGGTCTGCACTTCGCGACGCCATGGCGTCCGTCGCGCGCGCGCGCGCACCGCCTCGCGCGATCGCGACGACGGCGCGCGTTCCGCGACGCGGCGCGCGCGCGGTGCGACGCGCGACGACGTCCAAGGGCGGGACGAAGACGTCGTCGTCGTCGTCAAAGGGATCAAAGGGACGAGGCGGGTCGACGAAAAACTTGATCAACTACGTCCCGAAGCCCGACGCCCCGGAGCCGTGGTGGCCGGTGGACGAGCGCACGGGCAAGCCGCCCGGGTGGTTTCAGTTCGTCGTGTTCGCGGGGAGCCAGTTGTTCATCGGGGTGGTGATGCAACCGGCGGCGTTGGTGTATCAGTCGTTGTTCGATCCCATCGTAGGAAAGTGAGGGCGAACCAAACGCCGAGCGCGACGACGACGACGCGCGTCGCGCGTCGCGCCGCGTTGGGACGTGTTGTATTAAGATCAGATTCAATCGACTCGACGACGCGCGTGACGACGACGCGCGACGACGACGCGACCGTCCGGAAACTGCCCGAACGCGCGGCGTCACACGGCGACGCGCTCGACGCGCATGGCGCCCGCGACCGCGCTCCGGGGCGATGGACGCTCGAGCGAGATGCTGCGAAGACAACGCTTGCACCGACACTACGTCGCGGGCGCGCACGGGAGCGCGGAGTACGCCATCGACGGTACGATCGTCGTCGCCACCGTGCACGGGCCGCAAAAAGTGAAACCTTGGCGCGAAGAGGTCGAGCGCGGGATCGTGGAGTTTGAACTCACGAGCGCGAGCGGGATGACGAGAGAGGAAGAAAGAGCGTGCGAAGCGCGCGTGCGAGGGGCGATCGAGGCGACGGTGGTGCGGTATGATTTTCCGAGACTCGGCTTGCGAGCGACGGCGCGAATCGTGAGCGACGACGGTAACGCCGAGGCGGCGTGCGTGAACGCGCTTTGTTGCGCGCTCATAGACGCGGATGTGGCCATGCATGGGTTGATATGTGCGAATGCGTGCGCGATATTGAGCGATGGGACGAAGGTGATCGACCCGACGAAGCGAGAGGAAAACGAAGCGAGGGCGGTGGTGCGCGCGTGCGCGCTGAGCAAGTATAGAGAAAAGGAGGAAATCGCCATAGTCGGGTGCTCCACGACCGGTGCGTTGACTGAGGAAGAGTATTTAGAATCTATAGCGTTCATCGTCGACGCCACGGCGTCGGTTGTGAACTTCCAAAAGAAGTCAATAGCGCGATTCGAGCTCGAAGGGAAATTCCAAGAGGACGGAACAAAGGAAGCGAAGCGAGCGAAGACGGCGAGCGAAGACACGCCGATGGAAGGGATGGAAAACAAGCCCATAGGGTGATGTTGTAAAGTTTTACATTTTCGAACATTGTTACCGACACGCGCGTATTAGTCTCAGCTCACTTTGCTTGAGATTCGGCGTTCACTTGCGCGACGCGGGCCAAAAACGAAGCGTCGTTAAGATACTCCACACGAAACTTGAAACCAGGCGGTCGTTCGGAAGCGGTTACGAGATTGCGCCACTTGTCCTTCAAGTCGACGCCGCTACGAGAGGTGTCCTGGAAAAAGGAACTTTTAATGTGCGCCCACTGCCCCAAACCAAACAATTGAACTCCCTTGATCAAATCTTCAGCCTCACTCTGAGAGAAACGCTCTCGCTTCTTGTCGCCACCCTTATCCTTCGCTTTTTTGGACTTCTTCGCCACGGGTTCACCCGGAAATTGCGTGTTCACCATGGTTGGTGCCGCGGGTACGCCTTGGCCGTCGTTGTTCAGGATGAGCACGATGTCTGAGCCATCGCGGACTCCAAAAGATCCCAACTGCGCGTCAGTGGGTTCCATCGTTCGACTCTTATGCTTCAAAGTGATATTATCTTTAGTCAAAACACCCCCCGTGGTCTCATGCACCATGCCGCGCAAGGCGTCCACCGTCGCGTCGGTCTGTTCGAGGGCGTCGGCGGTTAGTCTAGGGTTCAAAGACAGATTAGGGTTTACGCGTTCATCGTCGACGCGCGCGAACTCGACGTACCGGCACCGTAAACTTCCACTCCGACGTCGTTTGTCCCTTATTGACCCATTTTACGGTCACACCGTACATTTCCTGATCCACATCGAAGTCGTAAGGGTCGTCGCTCGTCCTGCGCTTCGACGTCGCAGTGTCGTTCGCCGTTTGTTTTCCGGCACTCTTCACCGATGCCTGCGCGCGTTCGTCGCGTTAATCGTCAGTCGTCGTCGCGTTTGCACATATTTTTCCCACACCATTCGCGCGCGACCGCGCCTCGCGACGCTGCATCCGCAAGACATCGGTCGTCGTCTTCGCCTTCAACGCGCATTTGCACCGTTTCAAGTGCGTCTCGAACTCGACCGAATCGCGCGCCTACCTTGCCCTTTTTCTCTTTCAACGCCACTATTTCGCGTCAAGATGGCGAATCGCTCGTCAGTCTTCGCTCGACGCGCCCGCGCGCGCCCGTTCGTCGTCCCTCGCCCCCCCGTTCGCGTCGTCGTTCGCGCGCGCGCGACGCATCGTTTCCATCATCGTTCGACTTTTCGCCCGTCTCTCGCGCCCGTCTCTCGCGCGCGCGATCGCGCGCGCATCGCACCGCGCGCACCCGCTTTCGTCGTCGCCACGGGCGCCGCCGCCTTTCGCTTCGACGCGCGCGTCATCGCGCCGCGTCCGCCGAGTGCGGCGTCCGCGCGCGAGGTCGTTCCCCTCCGAACCCTCGCGTCGATGGCGTTTTTATCTTTTATCGATCGCGCGATCGAGATCGAGATCGCGGTTTCGACGCGCACACAGCGGCGATCGATCGCGATCGCGGTCCGCGCGCGCGCGCGTCCCGACCGACCGACCGCCGACCGCCGACCGCCGACGCGTCGAGGCGAGGCGAGGCGACGCCGAGGCGACGCGGCGGCGACGGGACGCGGCGCGACAGCGCGACGCGGTCGACGGCGAGCGCGAGCGCGAACGAGCGCGAACGAGCGCGAACGAACGCGAACGAACGCGAACGAACGCGCGGTCGGTGCGTCGACCGACCGACGACGCGCGCGCCCGCGACGGCGCCTCACATCGTGTTCCCTCGCGGTTGGATTATCCAAAACATTCTCGATGGATTCGATGGTCGGGGCGACGAGCGCGCGATCGAACGGTGAGGTGTACGAACGGAGGGATGCGACGATGAGACGCGACCGCGCGCGGTCGATCGCGATCGATCTGATCCTGTTCGCGTCGACGTTCGGGATCGGGGCGTGGCTCGAGGTGGCGACGCCGCATCAACGCTTCATACAGGGCGATTTGTTGTGGCGGTATTCGTATCCACACGGGGAAAATACGGTGCCGGCGGTGGTGGTGCCGCTCATCGCGTTCGTCGTGCCGTTGATTTGCATGCTGTTGATGCCGAAGAGGTTGAATCCGGCGGTGCACAAAGAACGGGCGATCGGCGGACTGTGCGCGAGCGTCGGTTTGACTTGGGTCGTGACGTGCGCTATGAAAAACATCATCGGAGGCATTCGACCAGACTTTGTCGCGCGATGCTGGCCCGATGGGAACCAGGTGTGGGCCTCGGTAGGTGTGCCTTCGTGCTCGGGCGTGAATGACGTCGTGCAGCAAGGACGGCGGAGCTTTCCAAGCGGGCACACGTCGATGTCGTTTAGCGGCTTCGTGTACTGCTCGCTCTACCTCGCCGCTTGGTTGAAAATAGGGGGGCAAGATCGTCGATTGGGGCGATGGGAGGGTATTTGGAAGTTAGTGATAGTTTTAGCACCAACCATACTCGCCGGTTTCATCGGTTTGACGCGCATTAGAGATTACTGGCACCACTGGGAAGACGTCACCGTTGGCGCTTTGCTCGGCAGCGCGTTCGCGTACGCGGCGTGGGTACACAAACGACCTTACGCGAAGCGCGTTACTTTAGAAACTTACTCTCCGTTGGGTTTGATGGACGACGAAGCCACGAGCTGCGGTGGGCAATAGTTTGTATCTCTATATATCTGCTACATGTGCTAAAACTTCACCCCCGTCTCGCCCGTGTTGAACGCAAAGGAAACTCTCGGCGCTCCGCCGGGGGACGCCAACACGCCGTGCAGCACCCAGCTCGGGAATACCACCAAACGCCGACGTTTGGGTTTAATGCACGTGTATGTACAGTATCCAGTGCTAGTGTCTGCCATCGGATCGACGCCACCGGCGGAGACGCGCAACAACAAATCGCCCGGTTCGTCGACGTCGTCGTCGTCGTCGCCTCGATCGCCCGCCGACGCGTAATACACCCCGCTCCAAACCGCGTTCGCGTGATTATGCAACCCGTGCCCATCACCCGCGCGCTCGCACACGTTTATCCACGACGTGCTCACTTTCGCAGGGTCTCCTCTCCCCATCATCGACTTCACGAACGTCGTCTTCGCGTCGTTTTCCTCCCACGCGCGCGCGCACGCGCGCTCCGCGAGCGCCGCGAGCGCCCGCGTCTCGCGCCTCTCTCGCTCGAACACGTCCGGCTGCGAGTGAAACCCACCGATGTTCGACACGCGCATGCTTTCCGCGTCCCGGGATTCGCGCATCGCGAGCGCGACCAGGGCGTCGTCGTCGACGCCGTCGATGCCGTCGTACACGTACACGCAAAGCGTTTTTCCGAGTTCGTCGGCGTCCCAGCGCTCGAACGGGCCGAACGCGCGTCGCTCGCCGTTCGGCGCGACGGCGTCGACGCGATCGGGCGTCGCCCGTCGCGGGCCGTCGGCGTAGGCGCCGAAGAGCTCGCGCGCGCACGCGGGCGCGCGTCGGGACATCGCGGGTCGTTACGCGGCGACGCGATATGACGACGCGCGCGCGCGCCGACGGCGACGGCGACGGCGACGGCGACGGCGACGGCGACGGCGACGGCGACGGCGACGCGCGCGATGCGGTCGACGACCTCGCGACGCGCGTCGGGACGCTCGACGTCGCGAGCGCGTCGAAGGCGACGACGTCGACCGCGCACGTCGTCGTCCTGCTCGGGCTGCGACCGACGACGAAGACGCGCGAGATCGAGCGCGCGATCGTCGAGAGCGAAGACGCGAACGCGGTGAAGATCGCGTGGGGAACGAAGACGAGCGCGGTGTGCGTGTTCGCGAGCGAGGCGCTGGCGAAAAAGTTGCTCGAGGATGGCGCGCCGAGGACGCTCGGGAGCGACGCGAGGTGCGCGCGGTGGGAGGAGACGAGCGAAACGCTGAGGGGGGACGTTTCTGAGTTTGATTTGCGACCGCCGAGGGCGAGACCGAAGACGAACGCTTCGGTGGCCCGAAGAATGATCGCGAACGCGTTGAACGTGAAGTTGGGCGATGCGCCGGATCGAAGCGACGCGGACAGACGAGCACTCGGCGCGGCGCGCAAGAAAAAGGCGGAGGAGAAACGTCGCGCGCGGGAGCGAGAGGAGGAAGCAGGGCGGGAGTGAAGTACGTTGTAAAAAATGGTTGGTTTTAGTTATACACATTCGTTCAACTTGATTTTATCTATGTCGCACATGCACTCTACTTTGACGGAGCGGCCCGTCGTTGTTGTCGCTGGTAACCTTCCTTGGCCTTTTCTCGCGCGGCTTCACGCTCGGCCTCACCAGCTTGGTATTCTTCAACACGTTCTGCCAAAATTTCACTCGCAGTTTCGAGTGTTTGAATCTTATCGACCAAGTCCAAGCACTCCAGTTCGTCGCCCGCTTTGAAGCCGTCCCACTCGGGATCGGCGCCGATACCGCATTCTAAGCCAGCCTCAACCTTCTTGACGATATCCTTGACGCGACGAAGTGAGCCGACCTTACCGAAGAACACTTCTTTGCCCCTTCTAGTGACTCTCAAGTACTTTTTGGACTGGAAGTAACCGTCAGTCACCTCGCAACCGGCAACCTTCGCCTTACCGCCGCCAAAGACAGCCTTACACGTCGCCTTGCCAAACGGTATTTCTTCCTTGATCGAACTCAACATGCCTTCCATTGCCGCACGAACTTCATCGACCAGATCGTAGATAACGTCGTAAGTACGTACTTCAACCTTCCTCTTTTTCGCAATCTCGCCGATTCGGTCGCTGCAAGGCGTATTGAAAGCCAAGATGATCCCTTCGGAGGCAGAAGCCAAATCGACGTCGCTCTCGCTCACTTCGCCTGCAGAGGCCATGAGGAAACGAAGCTGGACGCGGTCTTGAGGCAACGCACTGAGAGCAGCCTTGACTGCTTCGCAAGAACCACTAACGTCTGTTTTGACGATGAGATTGATCTTTTGTAATCCATCCTCATCGCCCGGCAAGTTGCTCAGCGAAACAACGTTGCCCTCAATCAAGCGGTTGTTGCGAATCTCATTTTGGACTTGCTCAGCCTTGTCACGAGCCGCGGTATCGGACGCGTAGACGGTAAATTCTTCACCCGCGGCTGGAACGCCGTTGAGGCCCATGATTTGAATAGGCATAGATGGTCCAGCCTCTTCGACTTTGGTGCCATCTGCGTCGTCCATTGCGCGCACTTTGCCATACGCGCCACCAATTTGAATCGCATCGCCGATGCGCAAAGTGCCGGCTTGGACGAGAACAGTCGCCATCGGACCACGTTGTTTGTCGAGGAATGCCTCGATGACCGTACCTTGAGCTTCGCGATCGGGATTCGCGACGAGCTCGGCGAGCTCGGCGGTGAGAGAAATAGTTTCGAGCAACTCGTCGATACCTTCGCCAGACTTGGCGCTGATGGGCAGGAACGGAACGTCCCCGCCCCACTCTTCGCTGATGATACCGATGCGCGATAGTTCATCACGCACACGGTCGACGTTCGCGCCTTCTTTGTCAATTTTATTGACGGCGACGATGATCGGAACGTCGGCGGCTCGGGCGTGAGATACAGCCTCTTCCGTTTGCGGTCGAACGCCGTCGTCGGCCGCGACGATAATTATGGCAATATCCGTCACTCGCGCACCACGAGCACGCATCGCACTGAACGCTTCGTGACCCGGAGTGTCGAGGAAGGTAATATCCTTCTCTTCATCACCAACCATGGTGCTGACTTGGTACGCGCCGATGCCTTGCGTGATGCCGCCGGACTCGCCCGCGGCAACCTTGGACTTGTGAATGTAATCCAACAGCGATGTTTTACCGTGATCGACGTGACCCATGATGGTAACTACGGGTGCTCGCGGTACCAAGTAGTCGAAGTCGTCTTCGCTCAAGAACTGCGTCACCTTCTTTGCCGCCGTCGCGACGCCCTGTTCAGCCTCGTCTATCCATTCCACTTCCATATCCTCAGCCACGGCAATCACAGCTTCCTTATCGAGCAACTGGCCCATTTGAACCGCGATACCCTTCATGAAAAGCGTTTTGATAATTTGCGCTTGCGTCGTGGCGAGAAGTTCGGTGAGATCTTCGATCGCCATGCCATCCGTGGGAACTTCGAGAATCTCCACAGCCACGGCTCTGTTTTCCTCGAGCGCCTTTTTGCGCTGCGCGCTCTTTGCCGCTTTGCTTCCTCGTCGCTGTTTCACTTGATCGCTACCACTCGCACCACTCATATTCATCTTTGGTCTACCGCCGCGTCCCGGTTTGCGACCGTCTTGGAATCGAAAGTCTTGTCGTCCACCGCGGCCGCCGCGACCCGCGCGACCGCCGCCGCTCGGCTTGGCCGCGTTTCTAAAGTTTCGTTGACCCCCATCGCCGCGGCCGCCTGCACCACCGCGCGCACCGCGCCCGAATCCACCTCGTCCACCTTCGCGTCCACCACCGCGTCCACCGCCGCGACCGCCGCGACCGCCGCGGCCGCCGCGACCGCCGCCCTCCGAGCCCTCGCGGTAAAACTTCCCGTCCGCCCCTCGCACGAGCTTCGCGCGCGACTTTTTATCGTCGTCCTCCCGCGCCGCCTCCGCGTCCGCCACCGCGCGCGTCATCACCGCTCTGTCCTCTCGTCCCTCGCCGCGCATCGCGCGCGCTCGCGCCCATCCGTCCGTCGTCGCCGTCCCGAGACGAAACCCTCCATCGCGGCGCCCGTCCTCGGCCGTCGCGCGCGCGCTTCGCCGCGCCCCGGCGCCGCGCGCGATCGTCGCGCGCGCGCCCGTCGTCGTCACCGACGTCCTCGCGCGCGCGCGCACCGTCGACGCGCCGCGCGCGCCCGTCGTCGCGTGCGCAAACATCGCCGACGCGGACGACGTCATTGTGCGGGCGGGACGATCGACGCGCCGGGCGGGACGATCGACGATCGACGTCCGTCGACGGACGTCGATCGACGATCGATCGATCGACGCGATCGCGCGATCGACGGACGATCGATCGCGCGATCGCCGATCCGCCGATCCGCCGATCGCGCGATCCGGCGATTCGCCGATCCGGCGATTCGCGTCCCGAGACGGGACGAGACGGACGGACGGGCGACGGCTGGACGGCCACACCGCGACGACGGCGCGACGGACGAGGATGCGGTACGCGTCGACGCGAAGGGATGATTTGAAACGAGACGCGATGACGCACATCGGGGCGAAACCGAGCGAGGACGGGGGTGGGAAGTGGGAGGCGAAGGCGAGGGCGATCGAAGGCGACGCGACGACGGCGGGGGAGGACGAGAACGAGGCGACGTCGGAGACGAGCGGTGGGTCGGTGACGCTCGATGACGTCGCCACGGGGGGGGGGAGGACGAAAGTGCGGTGCGCGTCGCTGACGGCGATGGACATCATCGCCGCCGTGCCGGTGGAGAAGTGCGTGGAGACGATGGATTGGGTGGAGACGGGTCGCGAGACGAGAGACGAGAGAGCGATGGCGTTCGGCGCGGTGGCTTCGCGTCCGGTGAAGATATCGGTCGATCATGGGAAGAAGCGCGGTGGCATCGATAAGTCATTGGTAGTAGCGATGGATTCGCGGTGGATGGAGAGGATGGAGACGCCCGTGATCGTCGATGAAGACGAGACGCGAAGAGCGCTGCGAAGAGCGATTCGCGAGGCGAGTTTCTCGACAAATTCGGAGAGCTGTTTGTTTCGATTGAACGAAGACGCCCTGGAGGCGCTGGATTGCGTTGAGAATGACTTGCAGAAGAGATACGACGTTGAGCGAGAGAGCGAAGGTTCGAAAGAGTTTGAGTCGACGACGAAGGTTGGTAAGTTGAAGGATTTCATGAGTTTGTTTCCGCGCCCACTCGAGACTTCGTTTGCGATGGACGAGCCTTCTCTTCTCGCGTCTCCGATCACGTTCTTGCTCTCGATGGCGAAAAAGATCAAAGTGCTGCCGTGGGAAAATGAGATAAAGATTGATAGTTCATGCAAGGAGTACTTAAAGAATCTCCTGTTTCAAGGAAGGATCCCCGAGCCGTCGACGAAAGACCCTTTCCAAGCCGTGCCGACGAAGATCGCTCCGTTGATTTGTGAAGACACCGCGCCAAGGTTCATGGAGAACGTGGATCCAGATTCGATGGATATTGCTCTGGACTCAAAGTTGAAGACTTTAACGACGCCTGTGGAAGAGCACACCCTCGCGGTGTCGAATGATTTCTCGTCCAAAGCCAAAGCGCAAATGACAAAGAAGCTTCTAAACGTCGACGACCGATTCGTCACCAAACCAATGATTGTACCGAAGATCGATGAAGAAGAAGAAGAAGATGCGAATGTTCGTACGGATCGCGCAATGCGAGACGTGATTGCGAGTGTGCAAGCAGTAAAAGACCGCGCGCCCGCGTTATCCGAATGGAAAGTTGCTATCCCAAACGCCCTCGATACGTTGGCGCGATTTCAAGAAGAAGAGCACACCGCGGCGGCAACTTTATTTCGCGAAGCCGAGATGGATAATGATGATCTCGATTGGACTTGGGACGACATGATGGATAAGAACGATGAACCACGAACGACGAAAGAACCGCCAAAGTCAGCGCCTGAAGCCATTCCAAAGCCACCGACGCTGAGTGAATCGCTGTCTCTTTCGAAGATTGAGAAACACAAGGATGCGTGCTTGATCGATTTCGTCGAGCTTGACCTTGATCCAGAACACACATATGTGATCAAAGTGCTCGCGGAACGTTATGGTTACATATCGCAAATTTTACCTCTGGATATTCAGCGAGCTATTCCCCGATTTCAAGTCGGCGAATCTACGGAGCTCGCGCACGCAATGAAACACTTTGCGAATGAGTCGTCGTCAATCAATCGACATTTGAAGAACTTGCTGTGCTGTCAAAGTGCGGCGAATTTAATTCATGTGTATGGAATTCATCAAGCGCACATTTTGATGCGGAGTTACGCTAAGGATGAACAAGATTTATCAGACATCAAGAGCCTCGTCGAAAACAACGACGTTGCCGTGGAGCGCGGCGAGTTTGACGATCATCCCAAGTTGAGAATGATCAGAGCGTACATCGCAGATCTCATAGTGACTCAATCGAAAATGCTCATTATCTTTCCCGACGCGATGGGTATACTCTCCATCGTGCGATTTATCAGTAAGCTTGGTACAAAAGCAGTTCAGTTTGATGGTAAGCAAGAGTTTAAAAATCTACACGAAGACGATGTTGAGGATTTCGCTCGCGCGGTTACGCTCGCGACGGCCAATGTACAAGTTTTAATCGCTCTCGAGGCTCATATTGCTCATGAGGCATTTCCATTGGAGCTATTTTCGACGTGCGTTTATTACGCTCCGTCGCCGAATGCGCTTCAAGATCTTCATCTGCTTGGTTCTTCGCGCCACGCTGCAAATCGCTTTGTGAGAGTGCTCGCCATGAAACGGGGTGTCTCTATACCTAGTGAAGATCCAGAGCCTGCGTCATCGGCGTTGCGTCATTCACCGTACGTGGAGAATAATCAACATGCTGCAAGCGTCGTGCGCGACGAAGATCCCAATGTATCGCCTCCTGTACAATTCGATGGCGTTCCGAGGCACGTCGTCGTGCTCAACGTCGCTAGACAGATTATCAAGGTACGAGAGCAACTATTTGGTCAAGTTGAGCGAAACTTACTCGACGACGGGTGCGACGTGATTTTGCGAGAGTTTGGGATCGACGTTGACGCATGCTTCACCGTCGGCAAGCAAGTTCACGCAGTGATATTGATCGTGCCAGAATATTTTGTTGAAGGGTTACCGACACAAATTGAACTTTTTTCGTTGGTGGAAGATTTGATGGTTGCTATGGCGCACTCGTTTGTGTCAGGAACGATGGTCTTTGAGGGTGATTTGGACTTTTTAAACATTGCGCAAACGCTTGATCGAAGAATCCATTCAGACGCCGCGCACATGCATTTTTCCATCGATCTCAGGTACAGTCTCGAAGATGAAACCGCGTCGATGCTACATGAGATTCTGCAGCCACAAGATGGTCGTTTCTCAGAATTTTCTGCGCCAATGCCAGAGAGCCGAACGATTGAAGAAATGGAGTTGTGTGATATGTTTCCTTTGCTCAATCCAATCTCCGCATGCGCTCTATTGGCGGATGAATTCGTTTGCGATGAACTCCAACGCATTGGTAATCTGTCTTCGAATACTAAGGCGTACTTGCAACGCGATGGATACCTTGGATGCCCACTCGATGTCTTCGGTGCCGAAGAGCCGGCGAAGGATGTACCACCGCCGTATTCGCCCCGCGGCGGAGCTGCGCAAGAACGAAGGCAAGTCTTCACGGAACGTCCAATCACAGAGTTTTACTCGCCCATTTCGAAGCGACCACGACTCGACGAATGGGAGCTCGAATCTTTGTCTTTAGATTCGCCGACAAACACCGCGACTCCGCATTATTACCAATCTTTGCATCGGCGCAATATCGATACGCCGTCTCCAATCGTGGACTTCAAGACGTCTCCCACGTCGGCGCCGCGATCACTCTTACGATCACCGCCAGCGGCGTCACCACGAAGAGCGCCCCCTGTCAATGTTGGCGCTGTCGGCGGTGGTCGACTCTGGCAACCGACCCGGACGAGCGACGGACCCTCGACGAGCGCAAACATGATTCTGGAGAAGCATCGGCAGCAACCTGAACCGTCACTTGAGGAATTCAATCAAATGCTCGAGTCTTACCGAATGCCCGCGCCTCCCGAGCGTGGGCGAAGAAACTCGACGCTTGATTGTTTCGATTCGAACAGAGACTTAACGCAGCACCGATTCACGAGAATATCATCATCGCGAACGCAACAATTTCCAAACACTTGGAAATGAATGCATGAAATGACACCGACGAAATCTTGTTGGAAATGAGAATTTTGTAATACAACGAACGCTAAGGCTATGGTGGCACCTTGAACGAATCAACGATTGATCGTAGATCGCCTTCGGCGCTCTTCCAAGACCGAGCGCCGCAAGAGGCGACCATGAGATACAGTTCACCTTCGACGATGCACGCGGAAATCAAGTTGTGCGGCGACACGAGTTCGTATAGATAATAATCGACACCGTTTTTCGTCGACACAGACGTTGACGATGGCGTTCGTCCTGGTTGTCCAAAACCATTTTGTTCCCAGTAGGCACCGATGAGCTCTTCAAATCTTTGCAAAACATCCTCCGGCGTCCCGGCGTCTTTGATACCGTCCGCCCCGACGAAAGGCAAAACACTCACGGCGAGCTGACCGTTCCCTGTGTCCGACTTATAGCGAGTATCGACGCCGTAGAGTTTGCCATCATTTAACGACACGATATCCGCGCTCCAATCCTCCGGATACTCGAAGGAATAATCGTGCGTGGCGGAAGAGATGGACGTCTCGAATCGCTCGCGAAAGCTTCGCTTGTAGAATTGCGCTCGCGACGCAGGCGCCGAGGAGGACGAAAGAAAAGCGACGAAAGCGAGGAAATCGCGACGATTCGCTGAGGGGGTAGCGTGCTTGCGCTTCGCCGCCGTCGACGCGCTGGGGGCTCGAACTCCTGACGCCGAACACGACGCTCTCATACCGATGACGCGCAACGAACTCTGACGCGGATTTCAGCTTTTTTCAGTGTTTCGGAACCGTAAGCCCGAAACACGCGAACCGATCGGACGCGATCGCAGTTAAAACAGGGCCCTCCTCGCCACGTTTCTCACAATCTTTTACATTTCTCCAGTGCGAACGAAAGACTTCGCCTCCCCCCCCGTTCGGTCCGTCGATTCGCGAGAGTCGGAATTACGCGTCGCGCGAGCTCGTGTGAAGTCTTGACGTGCGCTCGATCGCTCGCGAGAGCGACGAGAGGGCGTTTCGTTCGCGGAGGCACTCCCGCGAACGTCGCGAGAGGAGAAGGCTTCGCCGCGGGTGCTGCTACTTACACATCTAATGCGCTGGACTACGAAGACGTTCGAGGAGATTTACACCTCGATACCGCTCTTGAAAATACGCTTAAGCGTGGACAGGGCGACGTTGCGATGGGCCGCCACCTTATCGACCGTCGAGGCCACCTGTTCTTGGAGCGCCACCGCCTCCTTGCTCGGCAAGACGCGCAAGTCGTTCAAGAGTGTCGTCGCCTTCTTATCCATACCGTACGTCCTCGACTCCATCGCACGAAGCTCTCGGGCAGCCGATTTCAAATTTGCCGCCCCACGCTTCATCTCAACCTCCGCGGCACTCGCAGCTTCCGTCAAGCGCTGAATCTCCCCGCTCGCCGCTTCAGCGTCGAGCGCCAGCGTTTCGCTCCTACGCACGCACGCGTTGAAGAGTGCCTCCTCGCTTTGCAATCTCCCGAGCGTCGATCGCCACAGCAACGCTCTCGGTCCCGGAAGCGCGAGCGCGAGAAACGTCAGCGCACCCGCGGTCGCGCTCGCTGGGTTCTCCCGCACCGTCTCCACCACGCGCTTGCTCGCCATCTTAAAGAACTCATCCTCGCTCTCCCGCGCGTGCTCGGCCAACGCCTCAGCGTGCGCGACCGCGGTATCGGTGATATCGTTCACCCGCTCCCTCGTCGTCTCGATCGTCTTCGCCACCGCGAACGCGGCGTCCGAGCTCGTTCGATCTATCCGCTCATCCAGCGCCGCGCGCGCGTTCGACGCCCCATCGACGACGCCCCGCGCGCGCTCGATAAACTTATTTATCGACGCCGGGAGCTCCATCGCGCCCTCCGCGCTCGCGACGCGCGCGCCGTCGCGACGAGTCGCGTCGACGAATGGGCCGCACTCCGCGACGCGCGGAGGGCATGGGTGAAATTCTAGCGTCGACGTCGCGCGATGCGAAACGCGGGGACAAAACCTTGCGACGGACGGAGATGAAGCGCGATGGACGCAGCGCGCTGTCCATCGGTCGTTTCATCAACGCCCGCAAGTCGACGTACGACAAGCGGGCACGAATCAAACAGTCGCGAGACGAGGCGGCGGCGAAAAAGGCAAAGTATGAGAGATTGCAAAAGAAGCTCGGGGAGAAGATAGAACGGGACGAAGGGTTCGATCCAGAGGCGTACGAGCGACGATTGGCGGCGATTGATAACCCAGACCTCGCCCGAGAGGCGAAAGGGGCGAAGAGAGGGGACGATGAGGACGAAGATTTGGACGAAGACGCGAAGACGCGCGCCGCCGCCGCCGAAGACGACGAGGCGCCCGAGGAACAGCTCACGGTGAAAGGGAAGAAGAAGAAATTTGATTATTTGAAAAAGGCTTGGGAGAAAGGCCAAGTCGAGCGCGCCGAGCGTGAGGCGCAGAGGAAAGTATTTTTAGAAGAAAAAGCCGCACGAGACGCCGAGCTCAAAGCTCAACGCGTCAAGCGTCAGGACAAAAAGCAACTCATGCGCAAGAAGACCAAGCGCGGGCAGCCAGTGATGAAGCATCGCGTACAGAGCATTTTAGACAAGCTCCAAGCGGAGCAAATGGGATCGTGATAGATCCGTGACTCGTGTGAAGAGAGCATTTCGTTGTACCATCCGCCGCTCGCCGATTCCAACATATCCACAACCGATCGCTCGCTCGCGCCACTCTTACGCGCCCCTCGTATCGTCCATGTTCGCTCCAGCTCGCTCGAACGTTCCGGTGATCAACGCGCGCACCAATGCGCGTCGTTCCACGTCGCGCGCGCGCGTGACGACGACGACTCGCGCGTCGGCGTCGGCGAACGACGAACACCTCGACCGTCGCGCGGCGCTCTTCGGACTGTCTACCGCCGCACTCGCGTCCGCGTTCGGTGTGCCGCTCGGTGCGATCGCGGATGAAGAAGAAAAGGCCAAGAAAGTGGTCGCCGTACCGTACACCAAGTACGTTGTCCAGAAGGAATCGAGTGAAGAAGCGATCGCCATCGCGAAGCAGTTGAAGGAGGCGGGGGCGCGTCTGTACGGGGCGTTTTGGTGCGAAAACTGCAACAAGCAAAAGGAACTGTTGGGAAAAGAAGCGATGGAGTACATCGATTACGTTGAATGCTTCCCGAACGGAGTCTACCAAAACGCCGAAGGGCACGAAGATGTGATCAAGCCAGACGGGATTTGCACCGGATACACGAGCGCGTGGCCACTCTGGGTCGTGCCGAAGGGCGAAGACGACGAAATCGGTATTCAAGGTCAGATCAAGAAGCCGCGCGAGTTGCAACGATTGATCAAGGAAGCGAAGGGTGAGAAGTTCGACGCGCTTAAGTACTTTACCACGCTCGAAATGGAGTAGATACACATTTATTTATGATAATATTTTCCGTCGCGCACGCGTCGCGTCGATATCCGAGTAGGCGGCTTCCCAATCTATTTCTTCTTCTAATGAGGGTAGTTTCCCACTATCTAACTTTGGCGTGATGCGCTGTTTCTCCGCCTTGATGGAATCCATCTCTGCGTGCGCCGCGTCCCAGTCTATGTTTGCCCACTCGGGGGTTTTAGGCGGTGTGGAAGCATTGTTCGCGCCACTCACACCGTTCACACTCGCCGCCGGTGTGAAAGCATTGTTCGCGCCACTCACACCGTTCACACTCGCCGCCGCTCCTAAAGATTCTAATTTCGTACGTAGGTCGATGGCTTCCGAAAGCGCCTTCGCGCGCGCTTCTTTCGCGACTGCAATCTCTTTCCGCGCCTCGGCGATTTCCGTCAACAATCGCCTTCGTTCCTCCGCCGTGAGCGCATTCGGCTTATCAGCACGAAGATCAGCGCGAAGATCAGCAATTTCCGCCGCGTGGCGTTTCTCCATGTCGTACATTTCTCTTTTCAAGCGCTCGTTTTCAAGCTGCAGTGTCGAGGTCGCCGCAACGGAGGACGACGGCGTCGGCGTCTCGCACGTTCTCTCCAACAGTTTCCTCGACATGAACGTCGACATCAAATCGTCCAATTTCTTCGACAACGCGTCCGCCTGGGCGGTGACTTTCTCCAGCTCATCCTCCGCGTCGTCCGCGCGTTTCTGTTCCACATCCAACAGCTCTTTTTGCTGCGTCACCGCCTCGAGGAGCAAATGCCTTTCGCGTCGTTGACTCTCGAGCGTCGTCGACGCCGCTTTCGCGTGGCGTGCGACTCGTCTGGCGCGAGACGATGCGTAGACGTCGATGTAATCCTCCTCCGCGTTTTCGCCTCGCATCGCCGCGTCGATGTGAAGTTCGAGGTGCGTTCGCGACGCGAACGAACGCAGTTTCCGAACGAACACTTCGTCCGAAGTACCCATAACTTCCACCATTCGCCATGCAAATGTGTTTCCAATATTTCTATATCCTCAACTGATAGGCTTAACGGTCGTTCTTTACGGGATGGTGGTCTAGTGGTATGATTCCTCGTTTGGGCCCACCGAACGAGTCGCGAAACGATGCGATACGACATCAAAACACGACACGTCCGCAGACGTCGAGGAGGTCCCGAGTTCGGTGAGTGTGCGACTCGCGTGTGCTCGCGCGGCGCGGGAACGAGCAGGAAGTTCGGACAACTGACCGGTCGTCACTGTCACGTCATAGATTCTCGGCCATCCCCAAGTACAACATTCTTTTTTATCGATCATTTTCAGTGTTTTTATTTATATCACCTCACTACTTCACATGCCCGATCGTCCAGCTTTTGCCGCGACGGGACGTTTTCGACAGAACGCCAGAAGTCGCGACAGATCGGCGCACGCTTCGCGCGATGACGGCCGACACCGCGTCCGCGAAGGCGCCCGAGACGACGACGACGACGACGACGACGAAGTGTGATGAGGAACAAGGCTCGCCCGAGAGCGTGCTGAAGACCGTCGATGGTGTCGTAAAGCCGAAACGCATAGAGCGATTGCCACGTCCAGACCGCGAGGCGCACGACGCCGAGATCGCGGCACTCGTGGCGATTACGGACGAGAAACAGGCTCGCATCGTGGAGATTAAGGCGTTGGTGAACGCGGCGCGTGAAAGACGCACGACGAGCTCGACCACGAACGCGCCGTTGCTGGAAAAGGTCAAGGCGCTGAACGCGATTGCTAACGAAAAGATCGCGCAGCGGGACGAGGTTCGCGCCGAGCTCGCGGCGAACGACGAGCGACGCGATCGGGTTCGCGAGGAGGCGAACGCCATGCGGGCGCAATCGAAATTCCTCACCAATGAATCGATTGATCAAGAGATCGCGAGAATCGATGGGAAGCTGGCGCACGAAACCATGCCACTGGCGCAAGAGAAGAAGTTGGTCGACCAAATCAAGAGCTTGAACAAGAGTAGAGACCTCGTGCGCGAGTACGCGGAGAAGCAAGCCCTGATCACCGCGCACGACGCGAGGAGAAAAGCGTGCATGGATCGCATCAAAGCGAAGGACGCGGAAATCAATAGCATCAAAGCTGAACAAGCTAAAATTCGCGCGCAATTGAACGAGGTGAAGAGCAAAGACGACACCGCCAACGCCGACGTGCCCAAGCTCATCGAAGAGAAGAACGCGGCGTACGAGGTGATCAAAGCGAAGAGAGAGGAAATCAACCGGCTTCGAGCGAATCAAAAGAAGATTGAGGACAATTATTGGGCTCGTGAGAAGCTGTTCCGCGCGCAGCAAAAGGAAATCAAGCAGGCGCAGTGGGAGGCTTCGCAAGAGGAGCGCAAGGCGCGCGACGAGGAGCGCAAGCAGTGGGAAAAGGAGAACGCTCCAGAACCATTCGAGGACGAAGTGTCGGCATGTGATGCTTTGCTGGCTTATTTGGCAAAGTGGGATACCAAGAAAGTCGATGTATCCGCCGTCAAAACCACTCAGTTGAGTCGACGCAACGAAGACGACGAAGATGACATGTTCGCCGTCAGCACCGCATACAAGAAGAAGAGTAAGAAGAGCAACGGGAAGAGTGCGCCGAGCGGTAACGAACGTATTCAGCACTCTCTCGATACTCTCACCTTCTTCTCAAAAGTAAAAATCGCCGTCGTCGCCAAGGTGTCCGACGTGCCCGCCTCGTTGGACGTCATCAAGGCGAAGAAGGAAGAGTTTTTGGAACGGCGCAAGATCAAGAAGGAGAGAATCGCCGCCGGCTTGGAGGATGAAGATGAGAAAGAAAAGGAGGAAAAAGCGGAGAAGGGCAAAGAGAAGAGTCAAAAAGCTGATGGTAAGAAGAGCGGCGGCAAGGGCAAGAAGAAGGGCGGTAAGAAGGCCACGCGAGGCCTTTCGGTTTCTCTCGTCGCGAACGAAAACGAACAAAGCGTCGAAGTTTGCGTCACCTTCAACGACGAGGGGAAATAGACACACACCATATATCGTATCATTTCTAGTACAATATCTCATTATTCGACATTATATCACTAAGTACCGGTCGCTAAAACAAACCTCTGTCACAACAGAAAGTAATCTGGGTCCGTGCGCGCCAAGAGCTTCTCCGCATCTGCTCTCCACGCCTCGGCCATTCTAAGCCTAATGTTGAACGCGTTGCCCATACCTCGTAGAAGTACCGAAACGCGTGCAATCATGACCATCTCATCGGGAGCCTTGATGACCGGATCACGCGCTTGCATTTCGTCCAAAAACTCTTGCAAGTTGAGTCCCTCGGTAACGTCGGGCGTGTCTCGATCGTTCCAAAACGTCGCCAACTTAAAACTGACCTCTGCATCTGAATTCTTACTTCGGGCTCCGAAACCTTCTGGTTTATTAGACTGCACCAACCTGTGGCATTCTTCAGCGTCGCCTTTGGCTACAGCTAAGATGAGTTTGGCGTACGCCCGCTGCGCATCAGAGTCTATGCGTTTCACCTGCCCGTAATCAATCAGTCCGAGCCTACCGTCAGGCATCAGCATGATGTTTCCCGGATGTGGATCGCCATTGAACACTCCTGTCTCGAAAATCTCATACGCGTGCACGTCGACCAAGGTTTGAAGGAGCGCTCCCAGGTTCACGAGCTTCGGCGGCGGTTGTCGATTCACGGGACCGGTCACCAACCGAAGAGGCGACACGTTGTACGCGAGCTTCAGAGGCATCAGTAAGTGATGCTGAAGTTTCATGAAAGTATTTACTCTTTCTGTGTGTTTCGCCGCTTGTTTCGCGTCTCGACTTCGCAACCTCCCGCTCTCAATCTTTCTACGCTCATTTTCCTCCAGACTACTCACACTGGTGCCCCTGTACCGAGCAATGGCGTCAAACTGATCGCGAATACCGTCTACTAATCGCTTCCCAGGAACTTCATCCATCACTAACACCTCCTTTGTGCACAGTTCCTTGTGAGGCGCCGGAATGTACACCTTGTTCCCCCACCGCGGCATCACCGCAGATCTGACTTCGTCGAGATTTTCCGCCTCGGCGCGATAGTCGAATTCAGTCAAAAACTGCCTCTCTATTTCTTCCAGTGGTGGCACGTGTTGCGGCATGGCGAGCTTACAAAAGTCAATGCATGTACGAATGTCCGCTCGAAATCGTCGCTCGATTCCGGGCGCCTGCACCTTGACGACGACGGTTCTGCCGCCGTACTTTTTCGTCAGCTTTGCCCTGTGCGCCTGTCCGATACTCGCCACTCCGAGCGGAGTTTCGTCCCACGCCTCGAACACGTCCGTGTGTCCATTTTTCTCCAGTTCTCTTATTGCGATCGCCCTCGCCTCGCCCGGTTTCATCTCCACGGGTGCGCTATCCTGCGTGTCCTTGCACCACGTCAAGTACTGCCGCGGCACAAAGTCGTCCCGCGTCGACAGCAACTGCGCGTTTTTCAGATAAAATCCCCGCATCGCGTACACTAAATCTCGCACTGGCGTCGCGTATTGATCGTGCAGCGCTTCGTACGCCTCGTTCGCCTCGTCATCGCTCAGCACCATCCCGGTCCAGCGCGGGACGCCCGCGCGAGCGAAGTCGCGATGTCGCGCTTGCACCGCGCGATAGCGCGCGTACACGGGAAACGCGTTGGCCCAGAACACGCACGAGCGCTGCGCGCCTTCTTCACTCGCGACGTACGCCGTAAACGCCGCCGTCGTGGCCGTCGCACCGATCGCGAGCGCGCGCGACGCCATCGGGAGACGACGAGGCGCGCGCGAGAGTGACGAACACACAACGCGACGCGATTCGACGCATACCGCGTAGCGCGACGAGCGACGCGGAACGTGCATGGGTGCGCGCGCGATGGACACCGTACGATTGTACCGCGCGGTGTTGAAATCCGCGACAAAGTTTCCGAGCAAGAACAAGATGGCCATCGTGGAGGAAATCAAGGTTGAGTTTAGGCAAAAGCGCGAACTGACGGACGCCAAGGAGATCGAGAAGGCGGTAGCGATGGCGCGAGACGGTTTAGATCGCCTGAATGCATTCTCGAACATGGACTCGAAGTCGAATCAATGGCAAGTTTCTTTAAAAGGACCGCATACGGGGGACTGAGCGACGCCGACGAGGGGACGGGACGACTATGACTATTTCAGGACGCGTCGTCGTCGTCATTTGAGACGACGTAGAGCTTCGTTCTCCTAAACTTAAGCGTCACTTTAACGCACGTCGGGAGCTCCATCATCGCTCGGTCCCAACGGTTCGCCTTGCGAGGTGGTCTGTCTTCCTTAGGCAGGTGGGCGAAACTCAGCGCCGAGGGGACGACAAGCGGGAGCGCGTCCCGTACCGCGGTATCCAGGTTCTGTGTCGGGGGAAATCTAATCTCTGGATCTATGACGTATGAATTGGTTCCGTCCTTGTACGGAATGTGGTAGGAAATATCGTTCTCGAGCACGTTCCACACAGTTATTGCGGGGCCCTCCAAAGGGCACTGATTCCCGTCGACGCTCACGTTCGACACCACTTCGAGGTCGATATGCCAATTTCCGATATCGAAAGATGCTCCACTGGAGCTCACGACTATGGGCGTTCCAGGCACGATGGTATCAGACCTAGGCATAAACTCTGTTGTAAACATACCAAACGTATTGCCGTGCATGAAAGTCGCGTTCTCCTTCTTTAAACACAACCAACCATCTTTTGTCGATCTTTCTCTCTTGATTCGGGCCAATAGCAAGCGTACAGAGCGATCTTTCATCATACTCGCTCCGAGACCATGACATGTTTCGCGAATAACTTGTTTCCAGAAGAATATAGGCTGGGAAATGAATGGTTCGCAATCAACGTAACAGCCCACGTCGCTCGACTTTGTAGCGTCCCAAAAAGGTTTGAAGAGAGATTTATCGACCATTTCAGAAAGCTGCTCGCTATTCTCACCAATAACGCTGAGGTTCCTCAATAAACCAATCCCAAACATGTCTTCAAGCAAAGGTACGAGCTGATTTCGGAGCTTTCCTCGCGTACTCCAAGTCGGCGTCGAGTCTAGGAAATACGGAATGCCATAAGCGTGCGCAAAAGTCAGAACGTCATCCTTCACATGGGAGAGCATCGGACGCCAAATGCGAACACCTTCCACTACACCTTCGTCACTCATCCCATTTACTGATAATAAATTCGCTCCACGCATCAAGTTGGTGATTATATTTTCCTGCACGTCTCCGTGGTGATGTCCAAGCAATACGGCGGGAAAGCCATGCTTTGCCCCGGCTTCCTTGTAGAAACCGTATCGTATTCTCCGCGACTCGATCTCGTATTGCTCTCTCGGCGTGACTCCGCGTCTAATTTGATCCACTGTACATCTCTCGAATTTCATGCCATGTCTCAGGCTCCAATCATCGACGAAGTCAGCCTCCTCCGTGCTCTCTGGCCTGTTCTTGTAATCGATGTGAAGCGTCACGACGTCGTACCCTTGATGCTTGAGAATATACGCCAGGACCATGGAGTCCACGCCTCCACTCAGCGAAACGGCTATTGAGTTCCCAAATTCACTCATTCTATCGCGCATAAACGCTTCTATGGTTTTGTACAGTGTGTGCGAGGCCATCGCCGTCATGACACCCTCCGTCGGCGTGAACTCTTCTCGTTCTAAAATATTATCACCAGCCTTGTGCTGCTTACCTTGTAAATCCTGGTAACAACGCAGCGTGGTTTTACGAAACCGTTCCAACAACGCCTTGTTCTCACTCTCCATCGCTACATGGGCGTCGATCGTGTCCAAGCATCGCAACAGGCGAGGACAACTCTTTTGGGTGTGACGAAATGGCATGAGCACAAACACCTGCTCGGGTACTGTAAGCTCGACCAACCATTCGCGCTTGTTATCGAGCAAGTCTTCGGCAATTATCGTAGCTACGGTATCGTTTACCTTGACTTTCGCGTCTCGATCGTCTCTGTTCCTATACACGTGGCGACTGAACTGGTCCAACAGCACCACGAGTGCAGCCGTCGTCGCCGGCGCTTGCAACCACCGAGCGTGCGCGCCCAAAACACGCGTTCGATCGATATCGTCGCCATCAACCGCGAGTTCTAAGGCATGGATGATATCGGCGAACCTTGTGCGTATCTCTTCGTCCACGATAGTCACGGTATCGTCCGTGGCGAACCACTTTTTTTTATACGCCGCCTCCAGCGTTTGCGCTCGATTGGGGAACCAATACGTCGAAACCGCGCGCGAGGTGTCGCGAACGAAGGTGTCGTCGATCAATATTTTACCCGGGTTTATTTGCAGCGCATTCATCTGGCTTTCGACCGCCATGGGGACTCGAGCGCGAGCGCACGAGTGCGGACGTGCAACGACGTGCGTTCTTACTGAACACAGCATTGAAGCCGGCGGGATGCTTATTTGATACATTTGATACAACAACCATGGGATTATGCGCTATTTGAACTCATATGATTTGTTCACTTGATCGACTAGTGCGATGTATCGATCGGCGTGAGATGCGAGGAGCGAACGATGCGATTCGACCAGAGTCCACGCGTCGAGTGCCGCATACACTCGCTGTTGTGCGGTCAGCGGACGTTTCGACCAATCAGACATCCGCATCGTCTTGTCCAACGGTTTCCCGAGTACGGCAGCGACCATAGTCGATAAGCCAACGGGTTGATATCGTGACAGTTCTTCGTCGGTTGCCCATGGAAAATCACGAGTCTCTTTCGTCATTCGCGCCTTTGACACAGCTAATTTCCACAACGATTGCAAGTCGGCCACATTGCGTACGTTGCCGAAAGACGCAGGGTGACATTTTGCCAAGCGTCGCAAGTCTTCTTGAACTGCGAACCCTAATTTTAACACCTTATCGTCCTGAAACATTCGCCCGATCGTTGCCTCTAACGCCTCGGGACAGCTCTGAACTAGAACTGGCAAGTCTAAAATTGCTACGCCGTCTTCTGACGCAAGTTGTAGAGTAGCTACCTGACTCGTGTCTTCCTTGTCCGCGTCTTCACCCACCGCAGCACCCCATTCAGTATCTATTCCAATGTCTTTTTTATTTGCGAGGTACCGTTCTGAGATGTAATGCAAGCTCTTTGCATCGTCAACAAAGACGACGTTCGCGTCGAGAGAGAGATGCTCTGGAAGCTGGAAAAACGTTGCTCTCCTGCGTGCGACTAACTTCTCCAGCTCCACTGGATCACAGTCAAACTCTAGTCCACACCTATTTGCGAACTCCAAAGCGTATTCGAATTGTTCGATCGCTGCAAGAGATTCGACAACAAACTCTTGAAGATTGATTTCGGCGCCTGCGCGCTTGAGCGCGACTTCAAATTGTCCTTTCGCAATCATTCTCGCAATAGTCGACTTGTAATACTGCGTGCGCACGTCCGGAAACTCGGCTTCCATCTCAAATATCGTGACAACTTTGTGTGCTTGTCGCAAAGCAGCGTGATGGTGCTCGTGGACGCCCTGGTGCACGCAAAACTCAATCCAATTTTTGGCCAGAGTTGGTTCGAGTTGAACAAACTCAAGAGCGAGTGAAAATTCATTACACTGCGCCAAACCTTGCAGTGTTTCATTTGTTGCGAACTCTTCCAGGTTGAAGTGAAAAATGAGCGCCATGGCCGAGCTCTGTTTGCCGTCTTCTAAAAGCTGTCGAACGAAGCCTGAGACGCCTTCGGCAGCAGCTGCGCAGCTCGTAAAGTTCAAATCCTCAAACTCAAGCCCAAATGTTTCGATCAAGCGAACGATCGCACGGCTTGGTATGACATCATTTGTCGTGGTCATCGCTGAATGTACCAATTTACCTACGTGTGCGCGACTTCGATCACACAAAACTACGCCTCTCGTGACGGTGCTGGTAAAGCGTCTCCGTTCTCGCCCTTCCCGCGTTCCGGGAGTTCTACCGAGGCACTCCAACAACAAGTACATGCAAATCAGTAACTCGCCATCATCGTCTTCTTCGCGTCCGATCTCGTACTGATCGCGCAGGGTGGTGAAGATGACGTCGATGCACGCCGCAACGAGAGTCGATGGTTCGCGCACCTCGGCGAGCCAGCTCACGACCACCGCTCTCAGTTGCGGGTATTTCACTCCTTGGGTCATTAAGTTGGACAGTTTCGTCAAAGCTTCATCGGGGGCGAACGAGATAGGATCTATCGTCGAGTCGAGTGCCATTGTCGGTACGAACCTCGACGATTGCCTTCGTGCCGCCTTGTGTTTTGTGCGCCCAATCCGAACAGCAGTTGGCCGGTGCTCGCTCGTGATTGAGGGAAAGTGCGCTTGCATCAGTGCGCGAAAGGTATGTGTGAGTAAGTCATCGTTCGCGCACGACGACCGGGTCGGTTCGCGCGGTGCTTCAGAGCCAAAGCGCCACGTTTTGTGGTTTCTGGGGAGCACACCTCAAAGGGCAAAGACGGCGGTGGGGTCACCTACGACGCAAATGACGCATGCGAAGAGTTTGTAACAAATTAATGTGTTGTATAAAATGTTTGTTTGAAGTTCACCGATACTTCCGCTCGATAAACTTTCAGCAAGCCAGCTACGATCCTAAAGAAAACACGCCAAGCGTTTCAGCGTTTACTTCTGCGATTCAGACGGACGGTCGACACCTTCCCAGGACGCATTCCACTGCTTATCGTAGAAAGTAGCTTCAGCCGCGAGATCCTTGAGGTTGTCAATGTCCTTGAGAGATCGGACGAGGGTGACGAAAAGGATGGTAGCGAAAATGGCAGTCTTGCCCAAGAAGGAGTTGTGCAAGTCAACGAGACCGGCGCCGCCGGCGGCGTCAATGAGGTACGCAAACGCGTAGCCAACCATGGCGGCGCGGCCGTTCGCCTTCTCCGCCTCCGGAAGATGGAATCGGCGCATCCACACTTGCCACGGCACAATGGAGGTATCGAAGAGACCGTCTTCATCATAGACGGCCGGGTTGTCCTCCAACATCTTGCGGTGCACGACTTCTGCGTCGATCACGGCATCCCAGTCAACTTCGCCAGCTGCGTTCTTGAACATGTCGAGGTCCCAGTTACCGTTCTTCCAACGCGGATCCTTCCACTGGGACTGTTCACCGGCGAAGATCGCACCAGTCATGGCCGCGGCGCCCGCAGCCTTACCGAACGCTTTTTCACCCTTCAGCGTGCCGCCAGTTTCGAGCGGCGCCGTCTTGCGACCTTCGGTCGTCGCAGTGGCGACGACACCTCTGCGATGTGATTAAACAAGCGCATTGCGTTAGTCATTTGAATTCGAGCGCTCTCGAGACGACCGCATCGTCGTCGTTTCTTCTCTCCTCGTCGTCCCACTCGCCCTTGGGCGTCCAGCCAGGAGCGTCGATTGAAGCGATCGTTCAGGTTTCCAATCCCACGCAAACGACGCCCGCATCGATCGCGCGATGCTCCCCAGCGTGCGCGCCATCGGCGCAAACATTTCCGACGGTGCGATGCCGCGCTCCATCGCGAGTCCGCATCGCGCGCGCGTTCGACGCTGCCCGCACGCGCGCGCGAGGTCTAGCCCCGATATCCTTCCTTATCGGGCTGGCGCGCGAGTTCTACGTCCGTCACGCACCTGGACGCCTTCGATCGGCGCGTCGCGAGCGGCGAGCTCGTGGATCTGGAGAAGGAAATTTTCAATTGTCAGTATCCTCGGTCGTCCGTCGCGCGCGCGCGTCGCGCGATTTTACGAGATCGCCGATGGCGCCCGCGCGCGGATGGATAAACACCGTCCGCGGTTCCGCGGTCGTCGCGGTCGCGCCGTCGCGCGTGCGCGTCGTCGCGCGTGCGTCGTACCTGAGCGGGGTGTGCGTCAAAGATTGCATCGCGTTCGTTTCGAGCGGACGTCACGTTGTGTCGCACCGCGCGTCGCGCGCACGCCAAGGGCGCAACCTGGATTCGGCGCGCGCGATGCCAAAGAAAGCTCCGGCGCGACGGCTCGGGCGCGGGCGGCTTTTCGCCATCAAGTCACGTATTTAACCGCTCGAGGGTGAAAACGAAGATCTGGAGATCTCTGGCGTGTTTTCACGAAAACCCGTCCTCGGAGGAGCATTTGACGTCGAACGCGCGCGACGCGCGCGCGCGCGCGCACACGCCGCCTCGACGCCAACACCGACGCGATCGAGCGCGCGCGCATCGTCTTCGTCGTTCGCGCGCTGACGGTTCGCGCGCGCGATGGAGTCGTTTTATGTGCTCACATTCGGCGCCCTCGCGTCCGTGTGCGCGGCGCTCGAGGTGCGAAAGCGTCCGACGAGCGGGAAGGGGGCGAGTTTACCGGCGAATTTCTTGGCGTTTAGGACCAATTACTTGGTCGTGTACGCGTTGATGATGGCTGGGGATTGGTTGCAAGGACCGTACGTGTACGCGCTGTACAAACACTACGGATACGGCACCGGAGATATCGGGAAACTCTTCATCGCTGGTTTCGGGTCGAGTATGATTTTCGGAACCATCGTGGGTAGTTTAGCGGACAGATATGGACGTAAGCTCGCGGGTTTAACATATGTCGCCACGTACATCGCGTCCTGCATCACGAAGCACTGGAGTGATTACGGCGTGCTCATGCTCGGTCGCTTTTTTGGCGGCATCGCGACGTCGCTGTTGTTCACCGCGTTCGAATCTTGGCTCGTGTCCGAACACTTCTCTCGGAACTACGACCCGGAGTGGTTGAATGGGACGTTTTCAAAAGCGATCTTCATCGGCAACGGTGTGGTGTCGATCGTCGCGGGCTTGTTGGCGAACTATTTGGTGACTGATATGAACTTTGGTCCCGTTGCGCCGTTTGACGCCGCGGCTACGTTTTTGGCAATCGGTGGTGTTATCATCGCTTTGACGTGGACAGAAAATAGAGGCGCCGTAAATGCTAACGTTTCTCTCGAAGCCAGTTTCTCGGCGGCGAAGCATGCCATTTTCAACGACAAGAAGGTGCTGTATCTTGGTGCGATGCAGTCGCTCTTCGAGGCGGCGATGTATTCGTTCGTCTTTTTGTGGACCCCCGCCCTGAGCCCGAACGACGAAATCATTCCTCATGGGATGATTTTCGCGACCATGATGGTCGCGTGCATGATCGGTTCATCTTTCGCGGGTCAGCTCTTGGGAGACAAGGACTTACGACCGGAGAAGTATATGCAATACGTCTTCTTGGCGTCCGCCGCATCCTTGGCGTTGCCCATCGTGCTCAAGATTTTCCCGTTCCAAGCGAACTATACTCCGGGGCAGTCGATTACGCTCGAGGGGCAAATCACGATGCTCGGGTTTCTAGTCTTTGAATGTTTGGTTGGAATTTTCTGGCCAAGCATGATGAAGATGCGCGCGACGTACGTTCCCGAGGAAATCAGAAGCACGGTGATGAACTGCTTCAGAATCCCACTCAACCTCTTCGTCTGTATTATTTTGTACAACGTGGCTTTGTTCCCTCTGACGGCCATGTTTGCTATGTGCTCGTTGTTCTTGGTCTCTGCTGCGTACTTGCAGCGCAAGCTCGAAATCATCACGAGCCCTCCTCTGCGCGGCGCCGCGCCGACGCAAGTGTAGTATTCGCTTCTTCGAAGACATGACACCACGCGATGTAAATAGTATACCTTGTCATTCTCAAAGCCATTCCCATCGTGCAAATTCGTCTGCAGACGTCGTCGATTTTACCGCGCATTCTGAAAAACCAATGCGACGCGCCTTGGACAAGGAGACAGCGACCATCGTCATAAGCGCTCGCACGCCTGTCGCGTACGTCTATGAACGGCGTCAAAGACGAGAGTGAGAGATAGTTGGCACCATGGTACGCACTCTCACATTGCCAGTTACCTTGAAAGCACACTCTGTGCAGCGCTCGCGCGAACGAAGACTCGTGAAAGATGAATTTAAATCACTGACCGCGCACTTTGACGAACAGAATAAGCTCAACAAGAACCAAAAAGCTATCGTGCGACGATTTATGGAAGTCGCGGATACGAGTGATGAGAGTGCATCGATTCACGCGCTCAAAGAGGCGTCTTGGAACATGGAAAGCGCGTTCGAGGTGTACTTTTACTCGGCACGCTCGAAGAGTTCGAAAAGGTCTTCCACTAACTCGGCCGGTATTGACGCGATGTTCGATGTGTACAAAGCCCAAGACGACCAGCAAGAGCAGAGAATCGAAGCGGAGGGTATCATTCAGCTCTGCAAAGATTTAGGTGTGGATCCTTTCGATCCAGTGACGCTCGTGCTTTCACTGAAGATGGACGCCGAGACGATGGGGAAATACACAAAGGAGGAGTTTACTCGAGGAATGATGGATTTGGAGTGCGATTCCGTGGCTAAATTAAAGGCAAAAATGGATGCACTGAGAAGTGAGCTCACCAGGCCGAATGCCTTCAAGGATGTGTACGAGTTTACGTTTGGCTTCGCTAAGGAACCAAACGCGAAGGCGCTGTCACTCGATACCGCCATCGGTTTGTGGAAAGTTTTGATGGCGGACAAATGGTGCTTTACGGATGAATGGTGCGACTTTCTGGAGAAGAATCACGGCAAGGCCATCTCGAACGACACCTGGTCGCAAGTTCTTCAGTTTAGTCGACAAGTGGGCGAGAATTTGGACACTTATGATTCCAACGACGCATGGCCATACTTGATCGACGAGTTTGTGGAAGAGAAGGTGCAAAAGAAATGAAATGTTACGTTTACGATTAGCTGTACTAGAAATGATTTACAAGCGTACCGTATGCTTCGACTAATGAAAGAATGAATTAACACTAAGATGACGGAGAGACATTTCGCCGCCGCAAACCTTCGTCCATCATCCCGTTTGTCGTATGCGCCGGTGCCTGCGAGCTTTCGGCGGAATCCATCGCATCCGCGATCGCTCTAGCGTATTTTCCGATCTCGTCCGGTTTCATGGGAGATTCTGCATCTTTTTCGTCGATTTTACTCCCCATGATAAGCAAAGAAATGACCGTCGACACAAAGGCGGCAAAGCTGAAACCCGACCAGAACAGCCCAACGAGAACAAAGGACGACGCGATGGGGTAGAAATATAGCAGCTTGGCAACAAAATTCATACTTAAATGAACGATTGCGCGGGCCTCATATATTTGCGGTAACCTGGCACTTCCAGCGTGCGGTTTCATTGTCACTTCAATGTCCGTGAACGGAGACTCACTATCTTCTTTGTAGTTTTGTACCATTGCGACGCGCACGTTTTGCTGCTCTTCAATCAACCCCAGAGCGTGAAACGGCCACCATACAATTGTTTTGAGCCATTTCACTTCCTTGGACGTGTATTTCACGATTCCAGGTCGAGATCTCTCGAGTAAAGTTTTCCCACTTGGAGTCAGCAACTTTGCATTCACTTGAAACATACCAACGTTTACGTTATACTCGCTGTCTGGGACGACAAACTCGATGTCCACGTCAAAGTTTTGCTTCGCGCTCACAATTCGTCCTTTCCGCGGTTTCGATTCGCCCGTATTTGCGAACTTCTGCGGTATGAAACTCACTCTCGCCACCGGCGCCGCGGCGGTGTAGTCGAACACTAGATCTTGCGAGAGCGACGCCGGACCGCGCGGAACGACGATATATCGCAGCGCGAACACACACGTGATCGACGCGATGAGTAACCCAAACGAAATTATCGCCGCACTCAGCGTGAGCGCCGCTGAGCGTTTGCACACTCTTCTGACTCTGGCACTGAATTCCACCCACTCGTGCTCCAGCAAAGTCGGCTTTTCGTCCGCCATCCTGATCGCGCGCGAGGTTCGATTGGTTGAGTCGCGCACTCTTGATGTTCTTCTCGCCTTGAGAACGACGACGCTCGACACACCCACTCGAGCGACGCGCAGTGCGGTTCGTGCATTCAATTCCGCCCCCGCTCCGTCGTTGCCTTGCGAAACTTTCGCCGCATTCGTCCGCAGTGCCGGGCGCGTTGCGAACAGAATCGCGCGAGAGGCGCGCACCGCAATAGGGCATATCGCGTGCAGTTGTTCGACGGTAGGCTGATCCCCACGCACGCCATGCAATCTTTCGCGTTCACGAAAAAGAAGGCGCCGCAGGTGAAGGTGGCCGTGCAGCACGAGGAGGCAAAGGAAGACGTGGATTACCTCACCGCCGTCAACGATAACGCGCTGGAGGGGACGAAGAAGGAGAAAGTGACAGAGGTGAAGGTCATCCCTAAGATTGCGAATACGTTCGAAGTGGGCACGGGACGACAAAGAAAGGTGAGTGTAGGGACGCGACGAGCTCGAGACAAAGCGACTGCTGACGAATGTAATTTTCTCACGCAGGCACCAAGTTTTCTACCAACAAAGGAAGAAATAGAACAAGATCAGAAGCGATTCCACGTGGCGGAAACCATCGCGGCGGGTGGTGGTGAGGTGGCTCAGAAAGGTGTATCATATGGGTTGACGAAGATGGGGCCGAAAGACGGCTCCGCCGCACCCAAGATAAGCAACGAAGATCGCGCGAGGGAGAGTTTCATAGGTAGAAGTTTGCAAGAGAAGGAGCTTCAAGCGTTCAAGGAAGATATGGAAGATTTACCGAATCAAGCATCGATGGACGAATACGAGGACATGCCAATTGAGGATTTTGGCAAAGCGATGTTGCGCGGCATGGGTTGGGAGGAGGGTAAGGCAGTCGGTCGAATGCATAAGGGTATGGTCGAAGCGGTAGAATTTATTCCACGACCTGGCCGTCTTGGCTTGGGTGCTCAACCGGTGGAGAAAGATGAGCCACAGAAGAAGTACATCAAACCGGGTGATTCTCGCAAGAAGAAGGCTGACATGGTGCGAGACCCACAAATGATGGCTAATGCGGGACTGAGGAATGTAAAAACGTTAGATGAGAAGCTTGTTAGGCGCCAAGAGCTTGGACCGCGCGAAGGCAAGCTCATGTACATCGTCGATGGACGTCATGCAGGCGTATCTGGGCGCGTTTTGCGAATGTCCGACGGGAAAGTCAGCGTTGAGCTCACCAATAGCGGTAAAGTAGTGACAGTTAGGTCTAGTGAACTTGCAGAGATGCATGAAAGTCAATATGCAAAAGTTGGGGAGAAGCGTGGTAGAAGTGATGCAGGTAAAGACTCCGAAATGTCGGCAAAGCCTTGGTTGTTTGCCAACATTCGTGTGCGGGTTGTGAGCAAAAGCTTTAAACGTGGACAATTCTACCTCATGAAGGGAGTCGTTGTGGACGTTTTGACCCCAACCGAGTGCATGCTACAACTAGAAGAAAACGGAACTACGATCGAAGTTAGTCAAAGCGCGCTGGAGACGGTTGTACCGAAGCCCGGTGGGCGCATTTGTGTCGTCTCAGGAAAGTTCCGCGGCAGGCGCGGCAAGCTCCTCGAGAAGAATAAGTCAACTGACACGGCATCTATCCAGCTAAGCGATGATTTTGAAGCGCACATGCTTCCCTTGGACGCCATCGCGGAGTACTCGGGGGCATTAGACGAGGAAGATTAGATTGTTAACAGAGCCCAAACCCCAGCGCGCGACACCGAGCGCGCGCGCAGACATCCATCCCCGCACTCCGAAACGCGATTCGTTATCGGCCGCCTTGAGGATAAAAAATGAAGAGATAAAGTATTGAAGCGTCGTGCACGCTCGTGTCGTCGCCCAAATCGCGCGTGATTCAGCGACACTGCGCAAGATGCGGCGCTTTCTAGTACTCGCCTTTCTGTTTTGCGTTCACGTGCGAGTTTGCGAGGGCGCGAACGACTTGTACGGTGCCCTAGGACTCGAACGGGGGGCGGGTGCGGGAGATATTAAGAAAGCGTATCGTTCCCTATCGCTCATTTACCACCCAGATAAGCAAAGAAACGTTGACGACGTCGAGAAAGCGAAGGCTGGCGAACGGTTCGTTGAGATACAAAAGGCTTACGCAGTGTTGTCGGATGAAGAAAGTAAACGCGTGTACGATTTGCAGATATATTTGGACGAATCTGAAACACAAACGAATCAAGGTGCTGGGTTCCGCGGACGTGGCACCTGGGACTCGGGATCAACGCAAGAAGGCCTTCGACAGCAAAGCGGCTTCCAAGAGGCGGAACTGATTGCTTCTGAAACCACTTTGTTGAACGAAAAGAACATCGAAAAACTCGTTTTCAGGAGCCAAAAGACGTGGTTAATACAAATATACGATGATGCGAGCGATTCATGCCACAGAGCGGGGCCAGTATGGGAGCAGGCTTCGAGGATGACCAACGGCGTGGCAAACTTTGGACGGGTAAACACTCTCACATCGCCTCGGCTCGTGCAATTGTTAGGGAGCAGTGGCTTATTTTCTCGTCCCATTCGTCGATCAGACCTACCCGTTATTGTTGGTGTACGTCCAAATTGTCGGCATTACTCTTGCATCAAAAGATATCGCGGTAGTATTAAGGTGAACTTACTCCTGTCCTTTGTCGGCAAGAAAATGCTGACGTTACCAGATCTTGTTGCCATCACCCCAAACGATGTGCAATCGATGACTTCCTATGAAGATAAGGTAAAATTTGTGTACGTTTCTTCTAAACGACCGCCATTGATGGTGCGATACTTGGCTGAAGAGTACAGCGCGGATGTCGACGTTGTATGGGTAGACTACGAGACTGGTGACACCAAATTTTGGGAACAGGATTTGGGCGTAAAGAAGGAACCCGCGATGATCATCTTCAGGGATTTCGACCGCACTGTCGTCGACAATGTGAACTCGAAAGATAAAATACGGCTAACTTTAGCCCAGTATAGATTTCAAGTCATTCCTAGACTAACCGCGTCCAATGCTCATGGAGTCGGTTGCGAGCCGGGGGGATTGACGAGAGTGTGTTTCGTAGCGGTCGGCAGTAAAAGGAGCCCGTCTTTTGTGCGCTTAATGCAAGAGCTTGCTAACGTTAGAAGTAGTGGTAAGTTATCTTTGACGGAAGATGAAGTGGCTTTCGGATGGATTGATGGATTGCGAAATAAAAAATTTGTCAAGACGTTTGCAAATGGAACGCAATTAGTCGCCCTTATGTTTCACCGCGGTAAACGTGGGCACGTATATTACGATCAGCTGAAAGATTGGAGCACTCGTGACACACTCGTGGCATGGATATCTCGCGTCTTGGTAACAGAAGAAGGCTTACCAGCCGCGGAATTTGATGCGCACCTTCTTTTCCCAATCCCTGGAGCACCCATTGATTGGAGGCTCTTGATGAAAGCGCTACGCACAGATGTCTCCGACATGGCCGAGAGTTTATGGTTCTTTTGCTTAGAAAATGGAATTTTACCTTTAGTCGGCACTATTTTTGCGATTGTTGCCGCTGGGTGGTTCAGAGTTTTGGTGATTCGCGCGCCGGCGATGCGTAAGACGGCAAAACAAACTTCTCGAAAACCACAGATAGTCAACCTTGTCGATGTTCATGGCACACGTCTGAAGGAGAAAAGTGTTTACATAGCCATGGTGCTTGAATCAGACAGTAACTCTAGCTTCAGAGATTTTGCGAAAGATTTCAAGAGTGAAAAGTTATTGGCATTTGTTGAGGCCAGCGAGCGAGTCGTGGATGCTTTTCAATGGAACGAAGTATTCGAGGATCACAAATCGAATATAATAGTTTGGCATCCGTCACGAGCAAAATTTCAAGATATTGGTAACCTCGACGATCGCGCTCGAGTTGAAGCGCGTTTGAACGAAATCCTAAACGGGCTTGGGGACTGGACTGACTTGCAAATAGATTTGTAGTTGACAATCATGCTAGCTGCTATGATTACGGATTTGCTACTGTACGGTAAATTCCTTATACTCGAGCGCGGCGTTAATAGCTTCTTCGAGCTTAGTTTTATTCGCGCCCGTAAATTGACGCACTAATGTCGCCCCTTTGAAAATGCGAAAGTCAGGAGTCGACTGAATTGCGAGAACATCCTTGCACAAGTGTGCGGCAGCTGGGGTACTATCACCAATTACTTTTAAGAACGACACCTGTGGATAATTCCTCGCGACTTGCTCATACGACGCTTCAAACTTCTTGCACGGACGGCAATATGAAAACCCACATTGGACGACGACGACTTTATCTACATTCGACGCCACTAAGACACCAGCGAGATTGCTAACTTCCATCTCCGCTTTTGAGGCTGCAAGAATTTCATCCAATTCAATAGATGAAGATATTTGAGTGACAATACCGTGAGACACTTCTGAGCTCCACCACTTGACGAGGAGTTCGCGGGTGATTGCTCCTGTTAAGCCACAATGTAACTCCTTAAGCACGCCATTCACCTCTGCGACTGACAGATTTGCGCCAAAGAATCTCGCGCCAGTGACCAGGTCATTTTCGCATATCTCGCCGTCTTTATCGGAATCGAGCTTTTTAAACACCCAGTCGAGCTCAACGTCAGTCAGCGCACGTAGAATCGGGCTTTCGGTGACTGTTTTGCAAATTGCGTCTCGCAACACGCCGCTCGCGGCTCGCGATTGGAGTTCTATGTGCGCCCCGACTGCAGCTCCTTTCACCAATGCTCTGTCTGGGAACTCCCCCATGATGAGAACTTCAGACTCTAACCCAGCTAATTGGACTCCTGGGCGAAACAGAGAGAGTAAAACCTCTTCACTCACATCCGACGCGGTTCCGGTGGGTAACAAAATGAGACGCTCTGGCTTGACGCTTGAAGCAACCTTTTGTAGATATCGATCAACGAGAGAAGCCCACGCGAGGACAGCGTCCGTCGTCGCGCACGGATTTTCTGACGGTTGAAGATTTTCAAGCCACCATCCTCTACCGTTTAATCCGTACTCTTTGACTACTTTCAAAACGTTCTCTGACGTCTCCTCGGGCAACGGTGGCATCACGCCGCTCCAGCCCCACGTCTTTTGTAATTTCTGGAGCTCCCTTTCGTACGTCCACGTCATGTGCTTGAAGTCAGCGTTTCGAACTTTTTGACCTCGTTTGTACAGCACCGCACCGAATCCTTTGCCGAGCGTACACACAAGCACCACGCCCGAGCTCTCGCGACCTGGGCCGAAATACATCTCCGCATACGCCGCCGCCTCGGTGTGAATCATCATGGCGATTCGTCCTTGCCAATCGGGAATCATCCTAGACATCAGCTGTTCTCCCTTTTGCACGCCTCCGAGCGCGCGCACGGCTAAACGAGTGTAGCTTACACCCACCGGCCCTCTCCAGCCAAAGTGTTTGTTAACCTTCTCGAGCGCCTCTCGCAAGCTTTCTTCGTTGAATTCTTCGATCGGCACCGACACCCCCGGTCGCTGAAACTCGGCGTTCGCGGTATCCACTGGTGCGGCTTTTATGGAATGCGATCGAATCTCGATCCCCAAGATCACTTCTCCCTCGGGGTAGTCCCGTTCGGAGAGCACCCACCCTTTGTTCGCCGCGCGCGCCGACGTCCACCGCGCTCGCGTCTCCGTCGCGCCGTCTCCTCGCGATCGCCGCGCGCGCGTCGTCGATGTCTTTTCACTCATCCCCATCGTCCACGCCGTTCGCGCGCTCGCGGCACTCGCGCGCGGTCGTCGCTCGTCGCCCCATCGCGCGCGGCGACCGCCCGCGCGCCGCGTCGTCGCCTCGCGTCGCGCGCGCGCGTTCGGCGCGGGCGCCACCGCGCGCATCGCCGACCGCGGTCGGGCGTCCCTCGGTCGACGCGCGGTCGCGGTCGCGTCGCCGCGTCGCCCTCTGCGCGCGGTAAAAGTCGACGCGGGCCGCCGTCCCGAAAAGGTCGCGCCCGGGCGGACCGAACCCGCGCGAGCGCCAGACCCTCGCGGTGGGCGCGGAAAATCATCGTCGACATCTTTCGTCGTCTGAAGACGACGCGCGCCGAGCCGCGACGAGGCGCGACTCGAACGCGCGCGCGACGCGACGAGGCGCGACTCGAACGCGCGCGCGACGCGACGAACGGCGACCGACGCGCGCGACGCGACCGACGCGCGCGACGGAAACCGATTAAAGGACGGACGCGCGTCGGCGCCGATCGCGAGTCTGGCGTGGAATCATGGGTCTTCGAGACTTGTTGAGCGTGCGAAGGGGTGAAAAGAACAAGAACGAAGCGTCATCGAGCGGGGCAAAGACGTTGGATGAACCCAACGGAGGCGCGGTGACGACGAGCGCGCTGAACGAGAACATAGAGCAGCCAAACTTCGGGGCGCCGGCGGAGAGCCTGGCGCTGCCGAGCGGGGCGAGCGGGGCGTACAATCCGTATAGCGGATTGGGTGGGCCTTTCGATCCGTCGATGAATAAGGCGATTTATGCGTTATCGGATACACCTGAGTTCTTATTCGATGAAGAGCGCACGGTGAAGACGCGAAGCTGGAGTGAAAACCTGACGTACCTGACCGGGGTTGGATACCTCGGTGGAAGCATCGCCGGCGGAGGGTGGGGGTTATACGGGAGCATGAAAGCCGCACCGGAACCGGCTTTGGACACGTCCAAGTTGCGATTGAATAGAATGCTCAACGCCGTAAGTCAAAGAGGACGATCGATGGGGAACACCTTGGGTTGCCTCGGCTTGTATTACGCCGCTCTCGAAAGCGCCTCGATGGCGTACTTGGAAAATCGGCACGATTCCCTGTGCTCCATATTCGCAGGCGGAGGTGCAGGGGCACTTTACAAAAGTATGAGTGGTCCTCGCGCTGTAGCGGTGTATGGTGCTGGTGGCGCCCTACTTTCGGGCCTCAACGTGGCGGCGCAGAGTATCATCGGGCGATAAAAAGGCAACGGTCGAGTCATTTCATTCAAACCTTTACATTCCTACGTAGCGTGTTACCACATATCTCTTTTAGCCATCTAGTAGAGAATAAAAGATAATCGTTATTATGCATGTCGTCATCACTCGTTTCACTCGTTCATTCAATTGTCAATCGGCGTCAGAATATGCGTCGTTTCGAGAACAGTCCGACGGAATCACGTCCGGGCCGAGAAGGTGGTTCGACTGCCTGACGCGTGTACGGAGAAAGAGCTCGAAATGTGCGCTCGTGTGAGTCGCGTGAATTTGATGGAGGTGTCAATCCGCTGTCGAAACTGCGCGTGAGACTGGTGCGACGCTGCGGTAAATTCCTGTGAAGTTGCTCGGAGCTACGATGACTGCGGAGTTCGCTAGACGAGACCCGTTGTTGTTGCAGCCAACCATCAGGTTCGGTACGACCTCGAGTATCGATTCGACCCGCAGTCTCTGGCATCATAGGTGCCGTGCGTGCCTGAAACTGTGGTCCCAGGCTCGGTCTGCCTCTTCCAGCTGAATCTTCCAAACGACGCTTCTCTCTGCTCTTCTCTTCGTAGCGATGCTGTAACTCTTCAATATCATTCTCTCGTTCCTTTAACTGAGCGGCAAGTTCATCTTGTTTCGTCTTGGCTCTCTTATAAGCGTTGTGCACGTCCTGGAGGTGCGATCAGGTTAGTTTGCATGGCATGTGGCGTTTCAAGAGGCGACGACACACCTGAAGTTTCCTCTTGTACATCTCAGCGCTTCTTTGCGCGCTCGTGAACGACTTTTCAAGCTCAGTTCTGTATCGAAGCTCGAGTTGATCGTCCCAAAATTTTAATCCGTACGCAACGGCGGTGAGCATGTCGTTCGGGTTGAGGCCAGTCAGCTTGCGTTGAAGCTCGCCGAGGTCGGGTTGAACTTCCGAGACTCGAATAGTTCGCTCTTCCATCTTCGTCGCACACACCGCGCACTGTCGCTGCTCGAGGCCGAGGTGCACATCCTTTTCACCTGTGTCGATCAACTGTCGTCAGATTCTACGAACTCGCGCCATGCGCGCGCTTCGAGCGAGGGAAGTATTCGAATAAAACCGCAACCTAAACGGTCGAGGTCGAGAGCACACGCGTCTTTCGCACGCACAGAAGACGTGATCGCACGCCGCGATGTACGCCGATCCAGAGTCTAGGTCACACCAGCATGCGTTACACGCCAGCATCGTCTCAGCGTCGCGGACGCCGTCGAATGCCGTCTGAACGTACTCGTGTGGCGGCGTCTGCTCGACCTGTTCTCGTCTGGGGAATTTTGGCGCCACACGCGCTGAGCTTTTTTTCCTCCCGTCGCGTTCGCGTTGGCGCACCGCAGACTGCGCGCAACCGCACGAGCGCGCGCGGGCGAGCGAGACGGCAACCAGTGCGTTGTGGGTTATTCAAGCGTGTGCCACGCGGACTCGGCGGGCAACGCAGGATTGACGGACGCGAGTGAAGATTCAAAAGCCGACGACATTCGGTTATCGGTCGAGTCGGTGGATTAGCGCACGTGCGAACCGATTGGGGGGCGAAAAGGTCGTTCGAGATGACCGACGTGGTTCAAGATGAGAACTTGAAGGTCTTTTCAAGCAGAGATGTCTCGTTAGACTTCAACGTGCACGTCAAGGCGCTGTACGGCAAACTGCCTCGCTCGCGAGTGGGAACCGTGGAGAGTGAAATTCTTGTGAGCGCTCGTTTGCTGTCGAACGAGGAACCTCTTACGAATGAAGTTTCTACAACGATGGTTGTTCACGCCGATGGAATGGCTGAGTGGAAGGAAAAGCTGAGATTTCCCATCAAAGTGAGAGATCTTCCTCGTGAGACGTCTCTCGAATTTAGAATACTTTCGGCGAGAAAGTTGCCGAACACCGTGTTGGGATACTCTCGAGTGGATATTTTTGGGGACGATGATCGATTATTACAAGGTTTGCGTTGTTTAGCGCTCTCGACGGCTCGTGAGTCGAAGAAAGAGTACGATCAACTTGGCGCCAAGTTCATGGAGCAACAGGCGGAGCTCCAGCAGCTCGAGAGTTTCTTGGTGCAGTATGAGCAAGGAACTTTGCCTTCGGTGAACTGGTTGGATAATTTGGTGTTTTCTCGCATACGAGATGCTCGAAGTATGCAGTTGCGTATAGCCCAGGCGACTGATGACTTCTTCCAACTCTTGGTAGAGCTGCCCGTGTACGTGCGCCCAGTGATTTTTCGCGAGCGTCGAGAAGACGTGGAGCCGCTGGAGATTCACAGTTGGCAGCGCTTGACTTGGCTCGTCGACGACGAGGTTAATTTGATGTTAGAAAACCCGGCTGAGCGTAAGCATCAAAAGCTTTCGCGTAGTGTCGGTCGTGGCGTTATTGATATGGAGTTGAAGCCAGATGGAGCCGAGAAGCGCAGGCTGTCGGCAATTATCCAACTCCCACCCACGCGACCGCTGGACATGGAATCGCAAAATTTGCTGTGGAAGTTTAGATTCGCCATAAGTCACGATCCAAGGGCGTTAACAAAGTTCCTTAAGTGTGTCGACTGGTCAGATCCGGCTGAAACGCAGGCCTCAGTGCAACTGATGCGCGAGTGGGCGCCCATCGGCCCAGCCGCAGCGTTGGAACTTCTGACACCAACCTTCTCGAACAGCGAAGTACGTCGTTACGCGGTTTCCATCCTGAGACAAGCTGAGAATGAAGATCTATTGCTATATTTGCTGCAGTTAGTTCAGGTATGGATCGTTTGCGCACATGTTGTCGATACTCTATGTCTCAGTGCGCTCTGTGCTCGATGTGTTAAATTAAATGGGTTCACTAACAAATTTTCTTCGCAAATGCAAACAGGCGTTACGCTACGAAACAGCCGACGACAACGAACTCGCGAAATTTTTAGTCGAACGCGCAGTCGCGAACGAAGTCGTCGGGAACTATTTGTACTGGTACGTATTAGTGCAAAGAACTCCACCTCGTGGAATTAATTAAATTAAATTAAATGTATCAAGATTGGTTCTGACGCGTTTTGTCGCAGGTACTTGCAAGTTGGATGGGAGGGATTAGCAGCGGAACGTAGCATGAGCGCATTCCGCATGTTCGAGCGAGCTAGTAGGGCGAAGGATACACGAGGACGTAGTGTTTGGGAGACACTGAAATTCCAGCGGGAACTGATGGAAAAGATTACGGTACGGTTTTCGATCAATTACGTCGAATTAATTCGTTTCTGACGTTACGTGGGTAGATCATTACTCAAGAAGTTAACACGCTTCGTGGGGCGCGTAAAGTCGAGCGTCTGAGGGTACGTTCAATTATTATTTCTGAATTAATTAAATATTCGGGAGCTGACGCGATTAACTTCGCAGGCCATTCTCTCTAGTGACAATACGCTTGGTGCTGTGTTAACATCGTTCCCTCAGGCCATTCCCAACCCGTTGAATCCGACGGTACGTTCAGAATTGCGAGCTTTCGTTTGTCTTCTCACGGTCTAATTATTTAATTTTCGCTCAGGTATTGACGACTGGCATACTTGCGAGGTAAATCTCAATTTCTGCACGTTTTCGACGAGTGGTTAAATCATTCATGTTTCAGTGAAAGTAATGTTTTCAAATCTGCGCTGAGCCCATTGAAGCTCGCGTTCCAGACGCTGTGAGTAATTATTTCACATTCGACTTTATTTTTTTTATTAATTATATTTCGCCAACAGCACCGGGGACAGCGCAACGATGATCTTCAAGAAGGGCGATGACTTACGGCAAGATCAACTCTGCGTGCAGATGATTTCATTGATGGACAAGCTTTTGAAGCGAGAAAATCTTGATTTGAAATTGACTTCGTACCGTGTACTCGCCACTGGAAATGATACAGGACTCATTGAGTTTGTCAAGTCCCAAGGGCTTGCTGACATCCTCAAGGAACACGAGAAGCTGACGACATACATAGCTTTACACAATCCCGACCCGCACGGCCCGAACGGATGTACGATGACATCGATGATGAACTTCGTCAAGAGTTGTGCTGGGTACTCGGTGATTACGTATCTGCTGGGCGTGGGGGACCGACACTTGGACAACTTGATGCTGGCCTCAGATGGAAGGTTGTTTCACATTGACTTTGGATTCATCATGGGACGTGATCCAAAGATTTCTCCCCCATCGATGAAGCTCTGCAAAGAGATGGTCGAAGCGATGGGCGAGTACTTCAGTGAGTTTAAGACTTACTGTTGCGAAGCATACAACATCTTACGAAAGAGTGAGTCGGTGGTGTTGCTGTTGAATCTTTTCAGCCTGATGGCAGACGCGAATATCCCTGACATCAACATAAATCAAGACTACGAAAAAGCTTTGCTTAGATTTGAGTCAAAGTTCGCGTTAGAGCTCGATGATGAGGCCGCCATGCAACACTTCATAAGCGAAATCCACCGCTCAAGCAATGCATTCTTGGATCCTATATTCGAGCGTGCACATCGTGTTGCGCAGTATTTGAGGTAGATGGATGAAATGTAGTAGATATCTATAGAAATGAATTACGCTAAGAGCTACGTCTATGGATGAACGGTGTCAGTGTATTCGTCGTCGTCTCGAAGTGCGGCTCGCCGACGCTTCTCTCGGCTCTCCTTCAGCACGTCTTCTAACGAGTAAAGCTCCGCGAGTTCATCCCATGTTTTGCACTTATTGAGACATTGTCCCTCATCAGAAGCCATGCGCTTGTTGTGAACTAAAATCTCTCGCAACTGAAACTTTGTAAAGTTCCACGGATTGTCATACTCGATTGCTCTTTGAACAAAGTGCTTTTTTACCACATCAATCGGTAGCATGCCTTCTGGACGAAATATCGAAAGGTTCCACTGTGCTCCCCTTGCGCACATGGCACTAGCCGCGCCTGTTTGGGCTCTAATTCTCGCAAAATCTTCGTAACATTCCACATCGCCATTTGCAATGACGGGACAGTCGACCGCTTCAACGACGTTCTTTATAAGATTCCAGTGCGCTGGCTCGCGTGGACGCTGTGGAATATAACGGCCGTGCACTGCGAATGCAGAGACTCCGCAAGATTCTATCATTTTCGCCAACTCTGCTGTCTCTCTCTCGCTCTCAAGCAGCCGTATCTTGCAAGTCACGTGTGTCGTCGATGGCAGATTCCTCCTCAACGTGGTCAATATGTCTCTTACCAATTCAGGCTGGCTCAACAGTCTCGCACCCATCCCACCGGACGTGCTGAAATGCTTGGGACACCCCATATTAACGTCAATCGCCGCTACGTCCCTGGCGACGAGTTCCGCGCTCTTCAGAGCCGAAGCCGCCGAAGAAGTTCCAACCTGAAACACCACGCGCTCGCGCTCCTCTGGCACCGTGCGGAATGTCAGCGTGCCCTTGGCGTCGATAAAATCAACGCTTCCGAGCTCTTTATTTAATATCCGCCTGCAGTGCATGAAACGCTTGTCCACGAGTTCCTCCCCGTACACCAAGTCTGCGCCGTATTCGTGCGCCAAGAGCCTCGTCGCCAGGGTGCTGATGCGCACCATGGGCGCGCACACGTTCTTCCCGGTGTAAAACTCGCGCGCACCATCCGGGGCTGCCATTTACGTTTCTATCGTCACCGTCGCGGCTCGATTCATCGCCCGCCTCGTCGCCGCACGTCACACGTGGACGTCTGGCGGGCTTGGCTGGAGGTCGCACCCGCACACGTCGCCTCGAGAACGGACGATGCTGTCGTCGTCATCGTGTTCGACCAATGCGCGCGTGTCGCCGTCGCTCGCGCGACGCTCGATGAATAAAACGCGCACGCGAGCCGCGCGAGCCGCGCGAACCGTCGTCAGCGCCCTCCCATCGCTTCCGTTGAACACGAAGGAGCAGATAGAGCAAGCCGCTGGGGCGATCGAAGCGGCGTTGAGGGACGGAAAAACGACGCAAGCGATCGAGTTGAACCTTCCTTTGATCGGTGCTACCGATCTTGATGATTGGCCGGGCGGGATCCGTCAACAATACGGCGCTCTAGCGCCCATGGTGAGCGAGGTGCTGCGACTAATCAACGCCGGCGCCGAGGGGACGTGCCAACAACGCGTCATCGACGACGCCGATGCAGTGGCGGCTCTGACGCTTGGTTCCGACGTCGTTGTCTCGTTTCCGACGGCCGAGGTCTTGGATGATTTGCGGGCGATCGAAAACAAAAACGATTTCCGTCTAAAGATCATCGCTAACCCGCAATGGAACACCAAGGGCGCCATCATTGGCGACTTCGGCTTTGGGCCGTGGAAGCGACGGGCAGAAGAGTTTGTGGGGAAGTTTGAGCAGACGTATTACTTGAAGGAGCAGCGCATTCAAGGAGAGATCGTGCGTACGTTAAAAGTATACCCGAACAAGTGGCAAGTGTTTGCGTTAGCGCCGAATGAGAACAACAAAATTGTCGCCGAGGCTCTCGGAGAGTTCGACGAAAGACCTCTGTACGACCAACTCAAGAAATTATTGGAATCGCGAGAGGGCTCGATCGCGGCCATGAACTGGGTCGAGAGAGCCAAACGCGAAGCTACGTTCAACGCCAAGAGCTTACAAGCGCCCCCGAACCAGGAATAGAATTATTTGAGTAGTATAGTTGTCAAGAATTGTGCCCAGCAGAACAGAAAAACCGCCCGAGAGTGGACGAGATCCGATACGTCTCCTCACTTTGACGCGCGCGTGAAATCAGTTTGCGCACGCAGACGACGGTCTGGGACGTAACGATATCTTTGCGCACACGGCCGCGAGTGTCGTCGAGCTCAACCCGCTTGCACGCGCGAAAGAAAGCACGATGAGTCGCGCTCAGAGTGGACAACCTTCGGTCTTGCAGGAGCTCCTCCTCATCGGTTGTAGCGCCTTGCTGTCTATGATCGTGTTGAACTTCGGACTCAAGAGGTTAGATCCGAACCGTCAGACGAGTAAGGCGGCAATCGAGAGGAAAAAGGAGCTGGCGAGCCGTTTAGGACGACCTAATTTAGACACGAACGTGTACGAGGATGTGATTGCGGCCGACGTCGCCAACCCAGACCACATTGACGTGCGATTTGATTCCATCGGTGGGTTGGAAGATACGAAACAGTCATTATATGAATTGGTCATTTTGCCTCTCATGCGCCCCGAGCTTTTCGCGCGAGGTAAACTCTTGCAGCCGGCGAAAGGGGTCTTGCTCTATGGGCCTCCGGGCACAGGGAAAACTTTGTTGGCAAAAGCGTTAGCGAAGGAATCGCGTGCCTGCTTTATCAATGTTCGGTCGTCAACCTTGCAAAGCAAGTGGTTCGGTGACGCTCAGAAGCTCGTATCTGCAGTTTTCACGCTGGCCTGGAAGCTTCAGCCTTCAATCATTTTCATTGATGAGATTGACTCGTTCTTAGGTACTAGAAAGTCTGGAGAGCACGAAGCGACTTCGACGATGAAGACCGAATTCATGACGCTTTGGGATGGGTTCAACACGGATGACAACGCGCAGGTGATGGTGCTCGGGGCGACGAACAGGCCATGGGATGTGGACGAAGCAATCTTGCGACGTCTTCCGAGAGCGTTTGAGGTTGGTCTCCCTAACACGGAGCAGCGTGCGCAGGTGCTGGCTGTGACACTCAAGGGAGAAAATCTGGAAGCTGGTTTCATATCACCGAGTCAAGACTGCCCGCTGTGGAAGATCGCAGCACAGACGGAGGGCTTTAGTGGGAGTGACTTGCGCGACTTGTGCAAACAAGCGGCATACGGCCCCGTGAGAGATTTCCTTCAAGCAGAAAGGAAGCAAGCGCAATTCGGAGAATTCGGACAGGATACGTCTGTTGGGCCACGCGCAATTGCGTATTCAGATTTTAAAGAAGTCTTGGACACCAGTCCGCCGTCGACGGAAGCTGCGTCACTCTACCAGCAGACGGATTTCCGCAGACGAGCGGCGCGAGACGTTCGCAATGGAGATCGCGTCAACAACGAAATGCAGGAGATGCTCGCGCAGTTGATGAAAGCTATGGCATCGCAGAATAACGACGAGTCCGACGCGTTAGATTAATTCTTTTGGATGTGAATAAAAATCAATTAGTCATGACAACAACACGCACGTGCTGGTCAAACCCACTACATACCGCAAGTCCCGTCTTTTCTGCGTGCCAATCCCAGCTATTGATCGGCTGCGACGCGAGACTCGTCGAACTAATACGTTTTGCACTTCCTGCTACTCCTTGAGGTTTGCCAGCGGGGCACAATCTTTGTCTCTTCACCGGGTACTCATACCTGTACAACGCCACTGAACCATCACCGAGCAGCGTGGCGAACACCTCCCGATCCTGAGGAAGATGTCGAACACCCCAGATTGTCGTTTTGACCGATGAATTCTGTGTCACTGAAGCAAACCCATCGTCCGGGTGTTGCGTTCGCGCATCAAACACCACGAATTGACTTTCGAGGCATGTCGCAACAAATTTGTTCATTGTAATATCTTTTCGATCAAATTCGACGCTGCATACCCCATTTGCGATGTTCGTCTCGTATCTCACGGTGCCCACTCGAAGATCAAACATCTTCACGTCTCCATTCTCATAACCAGCTAACACGCAGCGCTCATTCTCGTCGAAAGAGTTTCCAAATGCGACGCACCAACATTCGCACGTTGATGCGGAGACTGATTTAAATATTGCCACTGCACTGTCTTGCCTCGTATCCCAGACTTTCACTGTCCCATCTCGACCACCTGTAACAATTTCTAGCGCACCAATTCCATGTGTCCCCCCCCCAATGCCGTCAATAGCGTTGACTGCGCCGCGGTGCGCTTTGAAGCTCGACCGCGGTTCCGACGCATGTTCGAGGTCCCACGTTTCGAGCTCACCACTCAGACTTCCTGTAGCGATGAATCGCTCTGGAAGCGTGTGACTGCCAAATGTACAGCATTTGAGACCACTGTCTCGTTCAGTCTCACACACTGAGGTGACGCCGCTATCGCTCAACTTGAAGACACCTAGTCTTCCTGTTGACTTTGCAGTTTCTCCGAGGACAACAAAGCGCGCGCTGTGCGGAATCCACCGGCTATCGTGCGGCGTGAAGTCGACTGAAGTGGTCGAGTACTCCAGTATTTCGTACGTCATCGAGTTTAACACGGCGCGAGAGGCAACTATTGATGATTTAGTCAATACTGCGCGCTAGTAAGTGAAGCGTCGGAGTATGTGCGGGACGAGACGCGTGTCACGAGCGAAATACTTTATAGCGTCTACGTGAATATTAGAAATGAAGTGTACACGAGTATTGCGCTGTAGTATCTTCGCGCGCCGTTGCATACGCTCGTCTCAGATCCTACGCCGTTGCGCCAACTTGACAACCTGCGCGTGTTGCGCGCGTTGTGCTTGGCGTGGGGCAAGTGGCTCGATTACTTGCCACCGAGCGTCGGGAAGGCGGAGGTGTCTTCAATTTTGATGTTGGCTCCACGTCCACCACCGCCACGGCCACCGCGAGAGCTTTCTCCACGGCCACCTCGGCCGGAGTCGCGGCCACCGCGACCGCCACGGCCAGAGTCGCGACCGCCGCGACCGCCGCGACCGCCGCGACGGTCGTCGCGGTCATCACGGTCATCCGCCGGTTGCGTCGAAGCAATGCGGAAGCCAACGTCAACCTTTTGCTTGGAAGTGGTGTTCTTCGTGCGGTCACGCTTGCTCTTCACGCCGACGCCGCCAAAGTCCAAGTCGGCGTCGTCGGCGTCGCCAGACATGAGCTTGAGGCCTTCGAGAGCAGAGCCATCGAGTACCTTAGCTTCAGGCCTCTTCCATTGAGCGGCCAGGGCCGCTCGCTTTTCGGCCTTGAGCGCTTCGGCTTGCGCGAACGTGAGCTCGCTGGAGTTATCCACGACCTCAGGTTCGGTTTCGCTTTCATCGACGGTGTTGGCGCCGAGCTCGGCGAGTTCGTCGCCGGCTTTGCCCCAGTTGCCCTTACCGGCACCGCCACGGTGGCCATCGTGGCCTCGACCCGAGGCGTCACGACGATCAAAGTCGCGTCGAGAGCGTTGGCGGCCTTCGCCGCCTTCGCCGCGTCCGCCGCGACGAGCCGAGCGGGAGTGACCTTTATGATCGCCTCGTCCGCCCTTGGCGTGGAACCCCTTGCTGCCTTCGGCACCGATAACTTCGCCCTCGAATTCACGAGTCGCCTTCGCAGGCTTAGCTTTGCTGCCACCGTTGCTTCGCGCGGGCGCAGCGACTGCGTGAGAGATAAAAAATCAAAGCGTCAGTCATCGTCAGCCCTCGATTGGGGTTTACCCTCATCCGCGCATTGCTTTTCCCGTCGCGTCGCGCGCGTCCGCGGGTTCGCGCGCGCGCATCGTCGTCCCGACCGCGTGAACGCTCGGTTAAATTCCCATTCGCCGCCGTGCGATCGTCTCCGCCCCACCCCGGCGCTCGCGTCGCGCGCGGCGCGCGCACCTTTCGTCGCCGGCTTACTCGCGGGCGCGCTCGCCGCTTTCGCGCTCGGCGCGGGCGCGCGCGGGGCGTCTTCGTCGAGCGCCATGAACGGGTTCGCCGACATCGCCATGGCGAGTGCGCGGCACCGAGATGCGCCAAGGATTACTCCTCGAGCGCCGCCTCGTGCCGATGTCGACCAAGCTGACGCGAGCGCGTCGCTGTCACGCCGCGACCAATCCGCGTGCGAGCCCGCGACGGGCGAAGCGGTTAGCGCGCGAGGATGACGACCATCGATCGCTCGAGCCGGTCGCGCGACGAGGCGGGGGGCAATTGCGCATTCAACGTCTTCGATCGCCCATGTAGAGAACACACTAGATTGATAAATCGCACGCGCACAACCCTAAATCGCGGGGCGATCGTCGGCGCGCGCGCGCGAACCGCGAACCGCCGATCGCGCGCGTCGAGCGAAGACGGCATAAGCGTGCGCTCGACGACGCGCTCGACGAGACGTGACGAGGGGGAAAAGAAGACGGCACAGGTTTTCGCACGCTATTGATGGAGATCACGCCCGACTACGGCGCGGAGGAGGCGAAGAGCGCGAAGCCGGTGCGATTGGGGTGGGCGGACGCGTCGCGTTTGACGAGGAAGTTGGCGGTGCACACAGGGAAGGCGGCGTGGACGTTCGGGACGTCGTTCTTAGTGCTCATCGTGCCACTCATCGTGCAGTTGCACAGGGAAGAACAGCTGATCGAGTTGGAAAAGGAGCAGCTCGGGGTGCTCAATCAACCCACGGGGCTTCAGGCGGAGTAGGCGGCGCGCGGCAAGGGTACGCGAGCGAGACGCGAAAGGTTTCGAGCGGTTTACAGAGGTGAAGACAGAACGTAGAAGGCGGAAATTTTAGAGCAGAGCACACGGCCTATAGTAGCTATCGGATATCATGAGCGGCGTGGGGCGAATTTTTTCACTGTACCGGTCGATCTTGCGAGCGCATCGCAACTTGCCGGGTCCGATGAAGGAACTCGGCGGTACTTACGCGCGAGAGGAGTTTAGGACGCATCTTCGTTCGGAGAAAATACAAGAAAAGCAATGGCGCACGTTTGTGGAGTCTTGGCAGAGTTATGTAGAGTCACTTCGAGGAGACGCCGGCAAAGTTGTCTCTGGCGACTTGACGGAAGACGTCATCGAGCAACTTACTCCCGAACAAAGACAGCAGCTCGAGCGATTAAAAGACGAGGCGATGCGACTTAAACTTGAGCTGGATGCGTCAGAATTTAACCAGTAGGGGTAGTGAGGTGTTAGTGTCGGTGTTGAAGCTGTTTGAAGCGACTCTTTGGCACGTTAACGTCGACTCGAAGCCTCGGAAATACAAACGTTAGTAGAGTTTAGTGTTTTTATATCACATGGAACGTCACAATATCACGCGTCATGGCTCTGATGTCCTCGCAAACTACTACTGCGACGAGTGACGATGGGAAGACGGCGAAAGACGAGGTGATTCGTAGTGCGGATGCGCTCGCTACGATTCGAGCTAAGTTCGAGCCGAAGCCCAAGGTAACGCTGTCGAAGGAACTCGACGCATTCACACACGCGCTCCACGCCATCCGTGAAGAGTTAAACTCGCTACGAATGGATATTAAAACTCTAGAAGCTTCTGTTTTGGGGATCCATGCGGGAAAGCGAGCACTGGAGTCTCATCATCCCTTTACAAACGTCGTAACGGACAAGGCATCGCCTCGAAGACCGTCACGTCTCCGACAGACTGCAAACATCGCACGACACGTGAGTGCGCTTCTAGAGGGCGCGACGTTGAGTGGCGACGAATGATTTGTAGTACTAAATTTTCTTTCATCATCACACCGAGCTCGTCTCTCTCTTTCAAGACTAAAAGTACACTACGACTGAGCAAGCAAGCGCCTACGTGAATTATATGTCGATCGACGCTAGCGTCGAACCTTCGTCTGTGATGAGTTTTCTTCTCGGCTCGACATCCTTAGACATGAGCGTAGAAAACATATGATTTGCCGCGGACGCGTCGTCTACGGTTAAACGCTTCAAAACGCGAGTCTTCGGGTTTAAAGTCGTCGACCAGAGTTGCTCTGGCATCATTTCTCCGAGACCTTTAAAGCGCTGGATGTGCTTCGCCCCACCCTCGGGTAAAGAAACGAGAACTTCTTGAAGATCATCTTCATCATAGCAGTACGTTTCTTTCTTACCCACCACGACTTTATACAGAGGTGGGACGGCGGCGTACACGTATCCTTTCTCAAACAAATCTCGCTGATAGCGGTACAAGAACGTAAGCAGCAACGTTCGGATGTGCGCACCGTCGACGTCGGCATCGGTGAGGATGATGATCTTGGAGTACCGAAGAGCGGTCGTGTCCAGATCTTCTCCCATACCTCCCAAGCCCAGGGCTGAAATCATATTAGTGATTTCGGTATTCTTGTACAGCGCGGCGGCGTCAAGTTTGCGCTCAACGTTCATAATCTTCCCTCGTAGAGGCAAGACGGCCTGGAAGCCGCGATCCCGACCTTGCTTACAGCTTCCACCAGCTGAGTCACCTTCGACTAAGAAGATTTCGGTTTGATCAGCGTCGGACGAAGAACAATCGGACAGCTTCCCCGGTAGGCGGTTGGACGTCAGCACCGTCTTTCGGCGAACCATCTCTCGCGCACGCTTCGCGGCTTCGGCAGCCTTGAAGGCTGACTGAGCCTTTGCGAAAATAGACTTCAAAACACTCGGATTAAACTCCATATGACCGGCCACGGCATCGTTGGCGATATTTTCAACGATCCTGCGAACCTCACTGTTACCCAAACGTGTTTTCGTCTGACCTTCAAATTCAGGCTCGGGCACCCAAACTGCGATGACACCGGATAAACCTTCGCGAATGTGATCACCACCGAGATTAGGATCGGAGTCTTTCAAAAGTTTCGCTTTGCGACTCACGACATTGAGCGTTTTCGTGAGGGAATACTTCAAGCCGTCGAGGTGCGTACCGCCATCGGTCGTTCGGATACTATTCGCGTAACCCAAAAGCGTGTCAGAGTACGAATCTGCAGTCCAGCAAAGAGCTCCTTCGACGCGAACGCCGTCCATGGTACCACTGAACGTGATCGGTTCATGCAAACGCGTCGCATCCGATGTAAGGTCTAACACGTAATCCTTCAATCCCTCTGCGAAGAGGAGCTTTTCGTCTTCGTACTCCTTCGTCTTCTTGTCAAACGTCCGCAAATGTAACTCAGTTCCGCTGTTCAAGAAGGCCAATTCCTTCATTCTCGTTCGAATGATGGTCGGATCAAACTTCACTTTGTCAAAGATCTGATCGTCGGGCTTGAAACGAATCATCGTCCCTTTCTTTTGCCCGGAGCCGTCTTGCTTCTTCTCTTGCATCGGTCCGAGAGCGATTCCCCTGGAGAACGACTGTATGTACTCGTTACCATTACGCCAAACCGTGACCTCGACGAGTTCGGAGAGTGCGTTCACGACGGAAATACCCACCCCGTGAAGACCGCCGGATACGTGGTAACCACTACTGTCGCCGCCAAACTTACCACCGGCGTGCAAAATCGTCAGCACCGTCTCCAACGAGCTCTTCCCCGTGACCGGGTGCACGTCCGTGGGAATCCCACGCCCGTCGTCCACGACGCTGACGAATCCATTTTCTTCCACGACCACTCGGACGTGACTCGCGTGCCCGGCTTGGACTTCGTCCACGGAGTTATCCAACACCTCCCACACCAAGTGGTGCAAACCTTTCGTAGACGTGCTCCCGATGTACATTCCCGGCCGCTTGCGAACGGGCTCTAACCCCTGTAACACCTGAATCGATCCCGCGTCGTAGTCCCCGCTTTCGCGTCCCGACGCCGCCGTCGACGCGCTCGCCGCTCGCGCTCTCGCGTCCCGCCGCATCCCCGCGACCGCGTTCGCGCTCGCGCTCGCCGCCGTCTCGCGCCATCCTCGCCCGTTCGCGCGCGTCCCATCGATCGTCGCCGTCCGCGCGCCTCCTCCCGCGCCCACCGCGCCCCGCATCACCGCGCGCGCCCGTCCCAGTCCCCGCATCACCGCGCGCGCGCGTCCCATGTCTCGCGCGCCCCGCGCCCGCGCGTTCGCTCGCGTCGTCCTCGTCGCCCGCGCGCGCGTCGTCGTCGACGATCTCGTCGCGCTCGACGTCGCCGGCGTCGCGCGCATCGACGGCCGACGTGTGCGGCGCGCGCGTCCGCGCCGGCGTCGACCGTCGCGCGCGTCGTTCAAACGACCCGCTTACTTCCGGGTGTTCGCGGGTCCGTGTGTGGCGCGTATCGAGCGGCGCGCCGCGCGCGCGCGATGATTGGGGCGATTGCGACGCGACGACGACGACGACGGCCACACGAAGACGCGATCGATGCGGACGAGCGCGACGAGCGCGACGAGCGCGGCGCGCGCGCGCGCGAGCGCGGCGGTCGACGCGTCGCCGGGCGCGAACGGCGTGCTGCTGGGCGCGGACGACGACGACGCGTCGCCGGGCGCGGGACGACGCGCGCGAGCGACGGGAAGCGAGGGAGGAGGAACGGCGACGGCGACGATCGGAACGGTGTGCCGCGCGATCGCGGTGCTGCTGTGCGTGGTCGCGGTGATCGGGGGGGTGGTGTACGCGTCGACGCGATTGGAAATCGACCTGTACGAAGACGTCGTGCCGCACGTGAAGAATCCAGTCAAGTTTTTCTTGTTGAACGTCGCGGTGGCGTCGTTTGGGGTGATTCCGGGGGCGGCGAGCGCGTCGTGCGTGACGGCGGGGATAGTATTCGGGACGCTGGGGGGGATGGCGCTGTGCGTGACGAGCGCGAGCGTCGGCGCCGTCGTGAGCTTTACGCTGTCGAGATACGTCGCGCGACCGTGGGTGGAGAAGGCGTTCGTGCGCGATGGGGGGAGGCTTAAGGCGTTGGACGACGCGGTATCGAAAGATGGATCACAGATCGTCATATTAGTCAGACTTTCGCCGTTTTCACCGTTTACCGTGGCGAGTTACATGCTAGGATTGACGTCGGTGCCGTTCGTTTCGTTTTGCACGGCGACCGCCGTCGGGTTGCTTCCGTCGAGCTTCGTGTACGTGTACATGGGAGATACCGGAAGAAGAGCGAGTGGATCGGATGGTGCGACGTTGATGGAGATCGTTTTCTACGTCCTCGGTCTGCTGGTGACTCTGTTCGTTAGTTATAGGATTGCCGTCATCGCGCAAGAGGCGATGCGATCAAAAGTTGGAACGCATTGGGATCCGTCGACGGGCTCAGACGACGACGACGACGACACGGAGCTGGATGTGTTTGGATCGAGGATAGAGGAAGGGGAGGATGAAGAAGTCGGTCTGGCCATGAGCGCGAACGAAGGACCCACGAGGCGTTCGACTCGCTCTGTAGTTTAGTTTGCTGTAGTGACCGAGTGAAAGAAATTTGGCAATTCTCGACGCCGTCTCGTAAACACCCCAGTAACTAAATGTCTAAACTCTAAGTACTACACCGTTCGTTTAGTATCGCACAAGCTTAAATACGAGCGTTTTTCGCGCTCCGACTCTTGTGAGTTGCGTGGGATACACCTCGGGAGAACGTCTCGCCAGTGCTGATGTCCAGTGTGCTTAAGCCACGCGCCTCCTTTCGACGTGAGCTGCTGCAGGCAACCCCTTCCGTCACAAAGCGACATCTTGTCCACATCCTTGGGCAAACATCCTGCACTGCCGGTAATAGTAGAGCACAGCGCCATATTCGCTCGACTCAAGACGCTTTGACAGCTCGCTAAACACATGCGATGCATCTTCGGCTCGTTCTCTTGCGGGTCGAGATACACGTTTGAGAGCTTGTTCAAGTCGTGCAAGCCGTCCCATCCCTTAGGTCTTCTCTGGAATGCGTCCCAGAAACACCAATGCCAGCACTCTATAGGATTCGAGTCTGGATTACACGAGTCCCATCGAGGACACTTGGTGCCGAGATAAGGGATGTTGTCCTTTTGGGCCCACTCTGTTGCGAGAACATGCCACATCGCCGGTTGGTCTCGCTTGAAACCAAACTTGACGGGATTTGAATTCTCGTCCATTCCCTTTTCGTGCACCGCGTTCAGCACTCGCTCGAAAAAGTCTACCGTCCAGTCGACCGATCGAGCGCACATCAATCCCGAGTTCAACCACACTTGTCCGGTGTCGCCGAAGAACAAGTTTTTGTCCCCAGGCCAGTTCTTTGAGTAATAGCTGAGCGGATCCCAACTCGCGAACCAGGCGTCGAGGTCGACGTGACACGTCATGTCGTGATCTTTCTTCAACGTTTGCACTCCCATCGCCATGTGTTTGGCGAATTTCCCAGATCTACCCGCTAATGTGTCGCGAGAAACCAGCGCGAGAATCGAAGCGTATCCATGATGTTTCGCGAACGCTTGATGATTTACGAGCGTTCGATGGTACGCTGATAGCATCGTTAACGTCGTCGCCGAGCTCATGATGGCGACCTTCCCCCCAGATTCGCGCTCGTCTTTGATTTCCCACTTTCCACTCTCGATCGAACCTCCGTTGACGGGCCTCTGCACGCCGTGAAAGTACGTGCACTTGAACTGCTCAAATTCCAAGTCGTGCGCGTCGAGCTCCAAGTGATGCCGCAACTCATCTCCATCGTCGTGCAACACCAACACCGGTTCCTCGAGCTCGACGTAGAAATAGCACTTCTTCTGTCGGCCCGCGCGATTGTATTCATCCTTGAGCATATCACTGGTCTTCAACTTGGTCGTAAACTTTGGCCTGTCGGGAATCTTCCCTTGCACCGTGTACCCCTCCTTGGTCTCCTCGATCGCGCCGTCTTTCGCGTCGATTCGCACCTGCGTCTCGAATCGCTGCTCGTACATTCGACCGAACGAGAACCCATCCCTACTAAACATCAACCGCGCCCAGCTCTCGCTCGCGTTCCGCACCGTCTGGTCGCCCGGATAAAACGTCTTCAAGAAGACGACGACCGCGACGACCGCGACGAGCGCGCATCGGCGAAGCGCCCTTCGCCTGCGCTGTCGCGCCGCTTTCGCCGCCAGCGCGTGTCGATGCCGGCGTTCGCTCGGCGACGCCCCCATCGCGCCCGGCGACGCGTGCAACGCACCCCGCGGCGTCGACGGCCGCGACCGGGACATGCGCGCGCGACTGCGGGCCGCGTCGCGCGAAAAATGCGTTCGACCGACCGACCGATCGACCGACCGATCGATCGATCGACCGATCGATCGATCGATCGATCGACCGCGTCGCGCCGCGGACGTCGCGCGTCGACGCGCGGCGCGAATTTTCGAGCGAAAACGCGCGAATCGCGAATTCCACGAGTGTTTTACGCGCGGAATCGCGATGTGGGATCGATCGGACAATCGGACAGACCGACCGACGGTTTTTCCCGCGCGAATCTGGAGGCGCGCGAAAAGCGCGATACGCTTTTCCGCGCCGTCGTCATCTTGCGCGTCAAAAACGATCGCGCTTCGACGCGACGCGGTTTTCGTGAGAGGATCGCGCGGGAGCGTTCGCGCGCGCGTCGGTGAGCGTTCGCGCGCGCGAGATGACGCGGGCGATGCGCGCGCACAGACCGGCGACGTCGCTCTTGGTGCGGAGGTTACAGTTGAAACGCGGCGTCGGGAAATCGTCGTCGTCCTCGTCCTTGTCGTCGCTCGAGAGGGAGTCCGAGGCGACGGTGGGGGGAGGTAAAAGTACCACGCCCGCGGTGACGCCGACTTTGAAGATTTTAGCGTTCGAGGACTCGTACGATATTCGAGACATGTTGCGGGACGGCGACGTCGAGGTGGAGGGCACCACAGTCTTCTCGCAGAGATGGACGAGCGAGAATTGCTTGGAGGTGATCAAGGAGTTCGAACCCGATGTGTTGTTGCTCGATTATTACATGCCACCGTTCACGGGGCTGGCGGTGCTGAAAATGGTGAACGAAGAGGTGAAGGCTGGGAGATTGAGACGCCCGAGAAGAATTGTGGGCATGTCGAGCGAATCTTCGTGCAACGCGTCGATGCTTCGCGAAGGCGCGGACGACGCGTGCGTTAAGTCGGATATCTCGTCGTGGAATGGATGGGAAAATAGATAATCTACATCTTTTCTTTGTTGTGATACAGTAATACTAGCGTGTACATGTTCTACTACTATTCATAGATCTCGGCTTCTAAGCGCTCGACGAGCTCCGGTTTGTTCAATTTTGAATACCTGGTCATTCCCCGTTGACGCGCGAGCTCTAATAGCTCTGTTCGCGTCATCGTTCGTAATCGGAATCGGCCGTCCCACTCTTCGAGCTCTCCTGAAAGTAACTCGTTCTGGCGCCGCACCGCTTCTTCCGTACGGAGCGTCTCTTGTTCGATTTCCGCTTGCAACTTTCCTTCGGCTATGCTTTCGCTGAGTTGTCTCGCAACGACCCCGGCTTTGCCGAGTGATCGTCCGAGTTTGACCGCGCCTTCGACTGAATTTTGCGGAGCTTGAGTGATCGAGCCAGTGGTTTCGTCGCGGGTCCACTCCTCCATAGTCGTCGCCGGTCGGGGATTCAGCAACGCACGAACAATGTCGTTTTCCTTCTCAGTGCGCTTCGGCGGCGAGGCGATCTCGAGAGCATCGTCCGAGCTCGGGGCTAGAAGTGCGTTTGTCCTTTCTAGCTGCACATGTCCCGCACACAACACCGTTATGGCCCACGTGAAACCGTCGGATAAGTTGAATCCGTGCGCCGCGTACGCGAGTAGGTACGCCGCCGCGAGCGCAAACGCCTCCGGCTTTGCTATCGTCCCCGGACGTTGATCGTCGTCCCATTCCCCGACCGAGATCACAGGTAGCACCCACGCGAGCCAAGCTAACAGCGGTACGCACCCGACCACGCTCGCGACCGTCCATCGGATGCCCGCGTCGTCGACCTCCGCCTCGTCGTCGTCCTCCGTCGCCAACCAGCCCGAATCTCTCCTCGACGTGTACCTCGACCCTGACCTCGCGAGCGCGAACACTAGCGCACCACCAATGACGCTGTCGGCGACGTATGTCAGCGCGGACGCCCCATCGGCGGCGCGCGTGCGTACGAGCGACGCGCGTCGGTGTTGGCTGACGAGGGCGCGCGCGCGCGGACGCGATGTCGACGACGACGGTTCGCACGCGCGTCGCTCGCGCGCGCGCGCGGACGGACGACACGAGAACGCGGCGACGCCGACGTCGATGGACGCCATGCACGCGATCTCGATGAACGGACGAAGAGTGCGGAGTCAGACAAGATTGACAGCGTTTAAAAATTTCGAGACGCGTCGCCGGCGCTACAAGAATATGTTGATAGCAAGAAGAGATAAGTGAACTAGGCTAAAGCTGTGCGGGGACGCCGTCCTCGTCGTCTTCGTCTTGGCCGCACACGCAACCAAAATTTTTGACGGCGTACTTTGGCGGTTTCATGGGCAAGTCTTCAAACGAGACGTCTTCGCCGATGTAATAATTCCAAAAGTAAGACGGAGCGCGAGACGGAAGACAGCACGAGCAGCACCACGGCTCTTGAGGCGTGTTCCAGCGCTCGTGCGCCTCTTTTTCGCTGAATGTGTGCCTCGACGCCGCCGGCCGCATCTGATTTCTTCGCGCTAGGTGATGTCCCAGGAGCACAAAGATCATCGACGCCACGACCCACGACGACGCTTTCGACATCGCGAAACGCCAAGTCACCCCTCCCAGCGCTCTCAGGCTCTCCGACGTGACGAACGCTAAGAAACCGATACAGAGCACCAAGATTCCGAGCAGGAACTGCAGCACCATCCCGATCCGCCCGCACGTCTCGAAACAGTTGACCACGCAACGCGGGCACGACTGAATGCAGATGCATTCGGCGAACATTCTCAACAACGCGTCGTACACCCCCTGAATGAACCCTCCCACGATCACGCTCACCACCGTTTTATCCGGTTCGTCCGCGATCAAACCAAACGCGCACGTCAACCCGAATCCCATGATGAGCGAGCAAAACAAACAAACCGCGCGCTCCGTTCGCGAAAACGGGTGCTTCGGGTGCGCCATGAACAGCGCCACGAGCAGGTGATTGTTCTTCACGTGCAACCACGCGTCTCTGGCGTAGCTCTGGGAGAAGATCACCGACCCGACGGCGATGCGTTCGACGAACACCGGATACGCGCCGCGATCGACGAACCCATCCGCTCGCGCGAAGCGCGCCGCCAGCGCGGGCGCCGGCGCGTTCATCACGACCCGCTGCGCGCGCGTCGCCTCCTCGCGCACCCTGACGGCGGCGTCCCGCGCCGTCGCGATCGCCGCGGCTTTCGTCGCTTCGTACCTCGCGATCGCGTCCTCGAGCGTCATGACGCGCGGCGCCGCGCGCGTCCGCGCCTGCGGGGCACCGCGCGTCGCCGTCCATCGCTCGAACGCGCCCGGCGAAACGGGGGCGCGGGGCGCGAGTTTCACCGTCGGCCGGCGCCGCGCGAAAACCCTCATTTATTAACTGCGTGTTGCGGTTGATCGACCTTTTTCATATGAACTACGTGACGCTGTCGATGGACCTTTTTCATATGAACTACGTGACGCTGTTGATGGACCTTTTTCACATGAAGTACGCGGCGCGATGTCGCGCGCTCGGCGCGGGCGGGGACGCGCGCGGCGACGGGGCGCGACGCCGCGCAGCGCGACGCGGCGACGGCGCGCGCGGGACGCGGTCGAAGGCGCGAACATGGCGTCCGCGTCCGCGCCGAGGTTCGTGAAGAAGCGCGAGGGCGAGGACGGGGAGGGGACGAGGGCGAAGAACGACGCGCTTCGGTTCGCGCGAGGCGCGCTGCGAAGCGAAGCGGCGATGGTGGACGGGCGGCTGCTCGCCGATTTCGAGTCCGTGCTGAGCGGGAACGCGATTTACTTGCAGAATTTTCACGCCTCGGCGCGCGACTATTCCGTGCTGGCGAATTTGGCGCGGGAGATGGAGCGCGCGGCGGAGCTCGGCGGCATGGTGAACTGGTCGAAGCATCTGAAACACGAGAACCCAGATTTTTCGGAAACGTTTCAGAGAGTCGTCGATGCGATGGCGGATTATTTCGACGTCGAAGTGTACGCGACGAGAATGAATTTTTATCGAGACGGGACGGACTGGAAACCGTTTCATCACGACTCGCACGCGTACGGCGGTCGAGCGCAACGCGAAGATTTCACGATGGGAGCCTCGTTCGGTGGATCGCGAGAATTGATTTTCTTGCACGAACCGAGTGGAAATACGTTTACGTTTCCTCAGAACAACGGTGACGTGTTTGCCTTCACGTCTGAGGTGAATAAAAGGTTCAAACACGGCGTGCCAAAGGCAAAATCAAACAACGACCCGCGATTTTCCATCATCGCCTGGGGGCGTCGGCGAAGCATAAATAGTCGCAACGGCGGTGGAAAAGTCACCGAAACGACACGAGAGGCTACAAATGATGCTGAAAATGCTGAAACTACGTCTGAGAAGTCGTGCGAGATCACGAAGCCTCATAACGAACTCGTGACCGGAAACGGTGAAGTCTCTCAACTCATACGGCAGTTCTTCGAAAAGCAAGCGACAATAGAGTCGAATCAGCGAGGGAGTGCAAAGCGTGATTCACAGCCGACGCGAGGTAAAGCTCCGGAGACGAGCGCAAAGCTGGCATTAGAGGCGATGCACCGCATTGGCGAAACGGCTTACATGGAGCTTCGTACCGCGGCGAGGGACTTTCAAGAGGGTCATATCCCGATAAAATCTTTCTACGCGCGGGCGTATGAGTTGTGTGATGGAGAAATGGAGATCCTCTTGGGTCTCGCAACGTACTTGCCTGACACTGCACGAAAAGAGGAGCTCCTCAGGTTTCATGATACGGCCACGTGCTTAGACATTTAGAACTAGGTGCTAGACTTGTTGTGTTATTAGAAGAGCGTAGGCGTATTGATGTCAGGGATTACACATCGAATTCTTCGAGCGTCAAACCAGTTAAACCAGTCGTCTGGATGAATTGCTCGTTGTAGGCAGAGTAAGATCGATCTGCCTTCGTCATGGCGGTGGGGGCCGCTGCGGATTTCTTCGACTCGGAAGCCTTTGTGTACAAGTACGCACCGAGCAGGGCCAATGCAGAACCCGCCGCGTTCAAAGGTGAGACCGGATTTCTGAAGTAAATAACAGAAGCAACGATCACGGCCACGCGCTTGAGGGCATTGCCTACACTGAAAGTCACGGGGGTGATGTTCGTGAGAGCTTGGTAACTCACTTGGTTGTACAAGTGATAGAAGATGCCAGACAAGAAGAGCATTTGCCAAAGCTTTTGCTCGCCAACCTTGGCAACGGCGGCGGCGTACCCAGCAGACCACTGAGCACCTTCCATCACATACGCCGCGGGAGCGAGATAGAAGAGACCGATGATGCCCAGAATGCCGTACAAGTTGATGCCGTCGATGTGCTTGAAATCGTTCAACGATTTCTTTGACGTGATGTTACGCAAAACCATCGCGAGATTGCTGATCATGGCGCCTTGAAAGCCAACAATATTGAAACTAACCTCTTTCATGGCTGCCATCGAGCAACCGGCGACGATGGGGATCAAAGAGTACCACACCGCCGGGGCGAACGTTTGGCCGAGGAGCGGGCCAGAGAGTATGACGGAGAAAACCGGCTCAGCAGCCTTGATGACGTGCGTAAAAGATACCGCCATCTTACTGAAACTCACACAAGCAGAAACGTGCCCGATGGTGTGGAACAAAGCCACCGGAGCGACGGCCAAAAGGAACACTTTCGACACGACTGGCTTCGGTTGCACCTTTGTCGCCCACACGGTTAACATCCAAAGACTCGTCGCCGCGAGTTGCAAGGTCGAGATCAGCCACGGGTACGGAAACACGTTCAACGTCGACTTGTTATACACGTTGAACACGATGTTGAAGAAGTACCAAAGAAAAAAGTACACCGCCGTCTTCGTCTTCACGTCCATGTCGGACAACGACGCCTTCGCCACGACGCTCCCGCGGGCCGCCGGTCTCGCCTCCACGACGCATCTTCGCGATCGCACGACTTCCTGTATCGTTGCAAAAAATCATCTCTACGCGTCAGTACATCTCTCGGTCCTCCCCACCGCCGACACGCGTCGCTCTCGCCCCTCCCTCGTCGACAGAGTTTTCAAACGATCCCCAACGTCCAGCGATCGCGTTTCGCCTTCGTTTCCATCGCTCGAGCGCTTCACGCACCTCACGGCGGCGCGCACAAGTGAACGAAGCTGTGTTTTCAATCGCGCCGCATCGCGCGGGCGCGGCGACCGCTCTCACGCGGCGTTCGACCGCGCGATTGGTCCGAGCGCCGAGGGCGACGCGCGCGGAGGCGCCGTTCGTTACGGCGAACATTTTCGATCGAGCGCGTGAACTCGCTCCTCGCGTCGACGCGAAAGAAGTGCGAGCGCGACGGTTACGTCCGTCTTCTGTCCACGCTCGACGCTCGCTCGCGTCGCGATATGCAGTCGCCCGTCGGGGGTCTCGCGCTCCGCGGCGCGAGGCTGAGTCATCGCGGCGGTTCGGGGCTGGCGATCGGCGCGAACGACTTTCAACGCAATGCGCGTCGTCGATTTCAACGCGTGAGCTAAGTTTGCTAAGCCTACGATTTACTTTACTAATCGCCATTTGGCGCACGAACGACCGGGGACGATGGAGGGCGACAAAGGCGTCGAGATGGACAGCGCGTCGAGCGCCGAATCGAGGGGACGCCGCGCGACGAGAAACGTGTTCTGCGTCGAAAGCACGTCGTGATCGATGGTCATGTTTCGCTTCGAAGTCAACGGTAATCGAAAATAAAGCTGCGTGCACCAACACTGGAACGGGGTGACGCCGTTACCGATCGATCGAGCGATGTCCTTGCAGTGAAAACCGAACACGTCGTGCCGTCGCCGCTGCGGCAAGCAGCACGGGGCGACCACGATCGCCACCGCGCGTTCTATTCGCTCGTATAGCTCGATCGCGCGATGCGATAACGTGCCACACAAATGCACGCCGACCAAAACCACGGTCTGTCCGCGCGTCTCGGCGTCGTCCGCGACGCCTCGGACGAACTCCTCGCACGCCGTCGAGTGTAAATCGAGCGCGTGAAACGACATGCGCGCCCCCCCGTACGTCTCGACGTGACTCACATCCATGGTCGTATCGCGATCTATCATGTATATTCGCGCCTTCGGAAACGCATCCGCGAGCACGAGCGACACGAATCCCCGTCCCGAGCACAGCTCGACCAAAACCAAGCCGTCGCCGTCGCCGCCGCCGTCTTCCCCCCCCCCGCCCCCCGCCCGAAGCGCGCGCCGCACCTGCGCGAGCGCCCCGTGCGCCTCCGTGATTTCCTTCTTCACCTTCCGGTGCCTCGCCATGGAATCGAACGCCGGATCGCGCGCCATCGTTCGTCGCAGCGCCGACCGCTCGAACGCCCTTCCGTGCGCGTTCCCGTCGTCGAATCGCACGTAATCCAGCGCGCGGCGTCCGCTCGCGCGCGCGCGCGGCGCGTCCGACGTCGACGCGTCGTCCTCGTCGCTCGCGTCGCTCGCGTCGCGCGCGCGCGCGCGCATCGCGACGCGATTCGCGCGCGCGTCGCGCTGCGACGCCCTCGCCACCTCGGTCGCCGCGCACTTCGCCGCGCGCGCGCCCGCGCCATGTCCGAGGCGCTGTTTCACTGCGAGAACTACTTCCACATCGGCGCCTACGCCGAGTGCGTCGACGCCGCGAGGGCGTGCGCGGACGCGGACGGCGTCGACGCCGTCAGGCGCGACGCGTTCGTCGCGCGATCGCGCGTCGCCATGGGCGAGGGCGAGGTGCGACGACGACGCGACGCGCGCGAAACGCCGCGAAGGGACCGGACGGAGAAACGAACGCGCCGATCGAGCGCCGATCGCGCGCGCGAGCGCCCGGGACGACGAAGGACTGACGAGACGGCGCCCGATGGGTGAACGAACAGATCGTCGCGCGCGAGACGGCGGAGGACGCGCCGGCGGCGCTGCGAGCGGTGAAATTGCTGGCGCTGTACGAGACGAACGAGGACGAAAAGGCGAGACAGAGCGCGATGGAGGCGATCGGTGAGATGCTGGCGGACGAACACGCGTCTGGGGACGCGACGACGCGACTCGTCGGGGCGACGCTGCTCGCGCGAGAGGGGAATTACGTCGAGGCGATGAGGCTGTGTCACGGAGGATCGTCGCTGGAGTTGAACGCGATGATGGTGAACTTGCTGTGTAAGATGGATCGCGCGGAGTTGGCGGAAAAGCAAGCGAAGATGATGCAACAGATCGATGACGATTCGACCATCGCGCAGCTCGCGTGCGCGTGGGCGAACTGCGCGAGCGGCGGGAAGAAGATTCAAGACGCCTCGTACATTTACCAAGAGCTCGGCGATAAGTACAAGTGGACGCCGAAGCTGTATAATGGTTCAGCGGTGTGTTCGATGATGATGAATAGTTACGAAGACGCCGAGCGTGATTTACTAGAAGCCGTGGCCATCGATCCGAAGGATGGCGAGACGCTCGCGAATTTAGCCGCGTGCGCGCTGCACCTCGGCAAGTCCTCGGCCAGGTTCGTGAACGCCATGAAGCAGGCCGGAGTGGCGAACGAAGCTTTGACGAAAATCGCGTCTTTGGAGCGAGACTTTGACCGCGCCGCCGCCGCCGTCGTATTGTAACTGAATGAACTCGGACGACCAGGCGACACCCTTTTTTTTGTTTGACGAAAGAACCCGGTTACATCGACTACGTCTTTGGATCGTGCGCTCACAACTGCATTCTCAAGGGCGATCCGACATCGTGGTCGCCCGAGGAGAAGGCGAAAAATACCGAAAAGATGTTGGCCAATCCCCCGAATGGTCTCGGTTCAGCCTTCAAGATGTACGGCGTCGCCGGTAAAGGCTGGTGCACCATCGACATTCACACGCAGCGCGGCGAGTGCGACCTCGTGGCGTCCGCGCACCCGAGAGTGAAGAAAGAGCGCCCCGAAAATCTCGTCGTCGGGTCCGTCGACCGAGGCTAACGACGACGACTCCGTCCCGCGGTTCACGATCCACTTTTTTCAATCCTCGTTCCTCGACATCGCGCGAGGCGTAGACTCTCGCAGACTTGTAGTTCACACAAAAGCGGACGCGAAAACAATCGAGGCACCCCGCGCCGAGACGTCACAGTGCGTCGCACCACCGATCGCGCGCGCGATCGATCGGCGATGAAGCGCGAGTGAGCGCGAAAGCTTTCCATCGTCCGCGCGCGCGGTCGCGCGTCGCCGCGCGAGCGCGGGACGAAACGCCATGCGCGTCGACGCCGGTCGAACGGCCGAGGCGTCGACGACGCGCGAGGGATTCGCGTACTCGCTCGATGGACAAAACCCGCTCGCCGCGCCTCTGAACGACACGACGTCGAGCGATGCGCGAGTGTGGATGCGCGTGGACGACGGGGCGTTCGCGCCGGCGACGCTGAACGATCGAGGATTGCAGAGCGTGATTGATTTTTTGAAAACGCCGTACGCGCGTTTGAACCTTCCAGATCCGGGAACGCGTCGATCGAGCGTTCGAGATGGGAAATCCGGGAACGAGACGATTCGAGAACGTGTACTTGTTCCAGCTCGAGCGAACGTTGAGACGGGGAAGGGGAATGTGGGGGAGAAATCGGCGCCGATTTCCGTGGCAAACTCGACGGCGGACGAGTTGATGTTTGACGACGACGACGACGATATCATGGCGGATATTGACGTGGAACAGGTGATGATGCACAAACGCTCGGGTTCGTTGAACGCGGTGAATTCTAGCGTAACGGTGAGCTTGCAGATGGCGCCGATTCCCGCGCGGCAAGCGATGACGCCGGCACCGATGAGCGCGCCACGCGCGCGCGTTTTGGAACAGTCTCGCGCGCCGCCATCGGGTCCGTCTATCTCATGCCAGGCGCCGCCGTTGAATGGTTCAGGAGCGGATTGGAGATGCGAGCATGGGGTGCCTTTACATGCTTGTTCGCACCGCGCATCACACATCGAGCAACTGCGACCTGTGTTAGCAAACATTGTTTTCCAATTGGAAGACGACGACGTGGCGTTGAAGAATAGTGACAGAAAGGTTCTGGTTTATCAAAGAATGGAAGCGGAAACGATCATTCGAGTGTGTGAAGATGGAAGTCGAAATAGCTTTCATCCTTCAGCGCCGATGATGAGTCATTCGATGCCGGTAGACGGGTCGAGAATGATTGAGGCGCCGCGGCATCAAGTGCCGCCCCAGTACGGAGCGCCGTCGACGAGCGCGTGGACGGCACCTCCCGCGGGTGACGATCCCAACGATTTCCCAGGATGGAACGACGATTTACCGATCGGTGATGACGTCGTGATTCCCATGAACGGGATTGGTGCCGTAAATGTCGGGTCGAATGTTGTGGTGAATGACTGTCAGATGAAAGGCGGAGACGCCAAAGACTGGGGTCACACCAACTTCCAGTGGAGCAAACTCTGCGAACAGACTCTTCGCAACACGTTTAACGCGAAGTCGTTTCGAAGTTTACAACTGCTCGCGGTGAATGCCACCATGGCCGCGAGAGACTGCCTCGTGTTGATGCCCACTGGCGGAGGCAAATCGTTGTGCTACCAGCTCCCGGCTGTCGTCAAGCCCGGTATCACGGTGGTCATCTCACCGCTTATTTCATTGATACAGGATCAGCTGCACCACTTGAGTGAAATGGGTATTCCAGCAACAGTGCTTTCTGCTGCAAAGGACAGTGATAATACGATATACGACGATCTTCGCTCACCTACGCCCGAGCTTCGACTCTTATATGTCACTCCAGAAAAAGTAGTGCGAAGTGGCAAATTAAAGACTGCTCTGCAGAGATTATATGAGAGAGGTATGCTGAATCGCTTTGTGTTGGACGAAGCGCACTGTATCAGTGCTTGGGGACATGACTTTAGAAAGGATTACACCGAACTGAGAGGTTTGAAACATTTATTCCCGACGACGCCAATCATGTGCCTGACGGCGACGGCAACTCGAAGAGTTCAAGATGACATAGTTCGCCAGTTAAACTTACCAAAGTGCTTGCGATTTTTCGATACATTCAATCGAACCAATTTGACGTACGAAGTTCATCCGAAACTTAAAGGTAAGCAAATGGTCAACGAGATAAAAAATCTTATCGTGAGTCGCAAACTGATGAGAAACAATCGTGTGCAATGCGGTATCATTTATTGCTTCAGTCAAGCCGACTGCGAAAAAATTGCAACGGAATTAAACAAGATTGATCGATCAGTGGGAGACCGCGAGAGATTCCCTAAACGACTACGGGCCGTGCCTTATCACGCAGGCTTGGCAGACAACGTGCGGAAGAAGCATCAGGAAATGTGGCAAAGAGATGAAGTGAACATTATTTGCGCTACGGTGGCGTTTGGGATGGGTATCAACAAACCAAACGTTAGATTCGTGTTTCATCATAGCATGCCTAAATCTCTGGAGGCATATCATCAAGAGAGCGGTCGTGCTGGACGCGACGGTGATCATGGTTTGTGTATTCTCTTTTACTCTTGGGGCGACGCGTCGAAAGCGAGGAGTATGTTGATCGATAGTGCTCGCAGAGAGCGTGCCCAACCGGCGGTCCTTCAAAACAATCTAGAGTCCCTCAACACTATGGTCTCTTATTGTGAAAATTTGGCGGATTGTCGGCGGACACAATTGATGGCTCACTTCGATGAACGGTTCGAGCGCTCGCATTGTCGAGGCATGTGTGACTCGTGTCACGCTATAGCCAATGGGGTCAAATTCGAGCAAACAGACATCACCGAGTACGCTAGAGGAATTATCAGCATCGTGAAATCTACTCCAGAGGGTATTGGTATCGGACTCCTCGTAGACGTATTCAGAGGTTCAAGCGCAAAGACGGTGACTCAGAAGCAATACAACCGCTTACCTGGTTATGGGTCAGGCAAAGGTTTGGACAAGTCCGAATCGGAAAGAATCGCGCGCGCGATGGTTTTGCGTGGCTTTTTGAGCGAGAAAACCGTTCGTAGTGAAGGAGCTGGACCATTTGCGACGACTGTGACAACCATTCACTACGAACGACACCGCTGCGAACCGATTCAACAGGGTAGAGAAAGATTTTCTATGGCGTTTACCAAGAGGCGAGCATCTGCTGGAAAGAAAGTTCCGGTCACTACAACTGTCATTATTGGCACGCAACCTAGTACGCAACCCGGTACGCAATCCGATGTCGATGGCTTCCTGGCTGACATGCTCAATCCGAATGCGCTCGAGGACAACCAGAAGGAGCAAGACATGCGCAATGCTGTGTTCGCAGCTTTGACCTCTTGGCGTAAGCGCATGGCTCATGCGCGAGAGCTGAAGACGGGCAAACCAGTCAGCCTCGATGTCGCATTCCCTCCGAATCTCTTGCAGTTACTCCAAAAAGTAAGACCGCGCACTGCTGATGATATGAAAAAGTTCATCGAAAGCGGCGTCGATAAAGCGAACGAGAGAACTGCGATCAAAAAGAATAACGCTGAAGTTCTCGCCGTCATCAAACAAGCGGTGGAGTGCATGGAAAAAGGTATTCCGAATCCTTATGTCGAAGACGACAACCGTGAAGAAGATGAAATCGAAGAAGATTTGGACGTTTACGTCAACGAACTTCCGCGAATGTCGCAGCGTCGTTCGTCACAGCAACCGGCGCATTCAGAATTATTGAACGCCGTCGATCCGTCTCCGGCATGGAAAAAAGCTCGTAGAGACTCTGATGTAGACGTGACCTAGTAAAATTCATGTAGAACCAACCGCTGCCAGGCACCTAGACTTCATTCTCGAACACGCATCGTCATGGCGCCGCAATCTGAGGCGGCTAAACGCTTCATGCGCTCGTACGACAAGTTTACCATACTCTTGTGCACCAGTGCGGCCGTTGCGTACGGCGCCGCGCGTTACTACGACCTAGAACCAGCGCCGGACGACTTCGACTTGAAGAAGTGGTTTATGGGCGGCTACGACGTCCCTAAGGTCGACGAAGCCGCAAACTCGGCGCAGAAGAAATCGTGAGTGTCGATCGTGTAACGAGCTTTAGCCGTAGACCTCGCGCCTGTCGTGTCGTCTCGCGATGGTCGGTGATGCGCGAGTTTTAGCGAATTTGCCGACGCGCTGGCGCTTTGTGCGCGAGACTGCGAGAGGTTTAGCTCACTTTAGAAGTGTGTAAATTAATCGAATCCTAGATCTAAGCGAAGATACGCAAGTTATGGTCGGCACTAGCGACGACGAGCGACCGCGCGTCGCCGCCGAAGGCGACAGCCTTGACAGCCTTCTTCACCTCAAACTCCTTGACCAATTCCCACTTGCCTTTCACCTGGTAAACGGACGCATTGTGACCGCCAGTGGCGATGTAAGACCCGCTGTGGTCGAAAGCAACGCCCTGTGCGCCAGCACATTCGATCTCGTGAACGAGCTTGGACTTTCGAAGGTCCCAAATCTTCACACCGTCCTTAGCCGCAGAGGCGAGATAGTAGCCATTTTCCGAGAAAGACAAACCGGTAATCTCGCTCGCATGGCCGTCTAATTGAAGCAACTTGCGCGCATCTTTAGCATCCCAAAGCTTAACTACCGAATCCTTCGTGCCCGCTCCCAAAATCACACCATCGGGGTGGAAATTTGCGCACGTGATGGCAGAATCGGTGTCGTCGTTCACCAAGGTGATGCACGAGCTCGTGGTAAGGTCGTGAAATCCCCAAGTCTTGTCCGTTGAAGTGGACACAAAATAGCTGTTCGAGGGATGCACGCTGACGCTGGTTACATCACCAGTGTGATCACCGAACGTTGCAATCTCAGAGCCATCGGCACCCCAAAGCTTGACGACTTTGTCCGCGCCACACGACAACACGTTGTCGCCGACAAACTTGACGTCGAGAACCTTCTTGGAATGTCCGCTGAGCTGCTGAACGCGCTGCGAGCTTACTTTGTCAAAGATTGCCACAGTATGATCGTTACCCGCCGTGGCGATGACGTTATCGTCGCCCGCTTTGATCGCCACGGCGTTGATGCCTGCAGGCGACGTCTTGTGCACAGCTTGCGTCACCTTGGCTTCGTACGCCGAGATATCCCCCATCGTCGCCAATTCGCTCGAAATTTCGCGCTTCTTGCGTCCACTCGAAAGTTCCTTCTGCACGTCATTCATTTTCGCCACGACAGCCGCCGGAAGTCCCGCCTTGACCTTTTTCGATTCCGGTTCGGCGTCCCCCGCGGCGCTTCGCTTCGCCGACCCCTTCGCGTTCGCGAGCGCGTCTCTGGCATCATCTCTCTCCTTCATCAACCGTGCGATCACTCGACACGCGGCATCGTGTTGGTACAACGCATGACTCAACTCTTGCCTGGTCGTTTGTAATTCCTTCCGCAGCGTGTGCGTTTCTAGCATCAACGCGTCCCACTCGTTGTGAAACGCGCTCAACAACCCTGGCACCGACATCGTCGCCTCCGGTCGCGGGTTCACCCATTTCTGCGCCTTGAGTTCGATCAAATCGTCCACGCTCAGCGATTCTTTCGTCACCGGGCACTCGCCTCGTTCCTATCGTCGTAAATCGCGCGTTCCGGTCAGCATTCGCGCGTCACAATTCACGTCGCATCCGCGCCCCGTTCGCCGCGATCGCCCGCGCGCGTCCTCCCATCGCCCTCCCCTCGCCCTCGGTTCGCGCGCGCACCTCGATCGCCTTCACGATCAACGATCTCTCGTACAGCACGCCTCTCGGCGTCACCACCGGGCGCGCCGGCGCCGCCCCACTGATCGCGCAAAACATGCCCCGGCGTCGCGCACTCCCGCGCGCCGGCGGCGCGCGCGGACGGACGCGCGCGCGGACGGACGCGCGACGCGATCGATCGATCGCGCGTCGCGATCGACGCCTCGATGCGTCGATGCGTCGATCGATCGATCGATCGATCGATCGATCGACGTCGCGATCGATCGCCGAAAAATACCACCGAGGGCGGACCCGCGACGCCGGACGACCACTGAGGGCGGACCCAAGATAGCATGACGGATCCAAATACCACTAAAGCGGACCCAAACTACTTAAAGCGGACCCGAACGATCGATCGAACCTCGACGCGTCGATCGTCGTCGATCGCGATGATCGATCGACGTCGATCGCGACGCGCGCGATATCCGCGTCACTGCGCAAAGCGTAACTGCGTATCCGCGAGGCGCGTCCGCTGGCGCGTCCGCGCGATCGCGCGGTCGCGCGGTCGCGCGAGTGTCGGACGCGCGGCGCGAACGCGCGCGATCGGCGCGATCGAGGCGCGCGATGGACGACGATCGTCGATCGCGTCGCCCGATCGCGCGTCCGATGGCGGCGACGACGACGGCGGCGACGGGTAGGGGCGGAAGACGCGCGCGCGCGCGGGACGCGGCGCTGCCGCGATTGCGATTCATCGACGGCGAGGAGGAGGACGCGCGAGCGGCGCGCGACGGCGCGGACGCGGACGACCGCGACGCGCGGGAAGAAAAAAAGAACGAGGTCGGTCGTGGGGAAGAAGAGGGCGAGGAGACGGGCGCGAGCGGCGAGAGGGAGGCGACGGGGGGGGGGGCGGGCGAGACCAAGGTGGCGATAGTCATCGTGCCGGAGTACGAGGCCGACGCGGCCGACGCGACGGAATCCGATCGCAAGAGAATGCGAAGCATACGGCGTCGGTTGGTTCAGACCCCCGAGCATCGAGAGAAGGAACGGCTGCGGTCGCAGAGGCGACGAGACGCGCTGACGCCGGCACAGAAGCGCGCCGCGGCGGATGCGAAAATCGCGCGTCGCAAACACCAGAGACTGGCGAAGGAGGCCGTCGAGGCGGCGAGGTTGCTGGCCGGACAGCGTAAAGGACACGCTACGCACTGACATAATTTTACTGGTTTTACTCACATTGAGAGTTACCGTTGACTCTGAGAGCTACGCGCGGTGGGGCTGGCGACATTTTCGAAAAATTTCGAATTTGCACCGCGTGATGGTTTTCTCTTTTACAACACGTCATCCGAGCAGGTTGGCGATACCGATCGTTAACAGAGTATATTACTATAGCTTTCTAGAGAATTGTAGAACGAAACGCAAACTGTACATCTAAGAGCCCGCTTGCGCCGTCCCGAAGCGCGCGAATCACATTGCCACTTGCATCAAAAGCTCGTTGCGCCGCGTCTTCAAACTATATAACGGCCCGAACGTGTTTATTCGGAACGCTTGATCGTCCACACACTTCAAACCATTCGCCTGTAACGCAGAAACGAGTTTAGATCGATAAAACTCGGCCACATCGGGCGTTGCGTTGCCTTCAAAAGTCATCGCGGCCAACAACTCGCCGCCGCCCGCCACCACTTTCACGTCGCTATCTTCATACGGCGCCGCGATACTTTCCTTGGCTCGTCGACCGAGCAACGCGAGTTCCATTGTTTTTCCACCCTCAAAGTATCTCGTCGTCAAAGGCTGCGTCGGTGGATACATCGCTCCCTCGACGTTCCCGCCCTCCAAGTACTCTAGCAGCGTAGTCAGCCCTCGCTCGCGATTCTCGTACGTGGTCGCCGCGACGTAATACGCCCCGTACACCCTCAGCTCGTACGGATCATCGCTTTTTGCGTTCACCACATCGTACGGCACGTCGTACTCCCCCCTCTTCGCGTCGTCCTCGCGTCGTCCAACACCGCGTCCTTCGTCATCGTCACCGCTCGCACCGACGCGTCGCCTCGCTCGCGCGCACGCCCTTCTCCGCGCGCGCGCCGAGCGCGACGCGCGCGCGCACCGAGCGTGCACCAGCATCGTCGCCGTCGCGCGCGCGCGCGAGTTCGCGCGCATCTGCGTCGGTTCTTCGCTCGGTCGCGACGCGCGTCGCGATGTGTCGGCATCATCGCGCGCGTCGCGATGGCGTCGCCCGCGCGCTTCGCTTCGCCGCACCGCGCGAGTCGCGCTGGCGACGCTCAAACACCGAGCGCACGTCGCGCGCGCGCGAGCGAAACGCCCGCGAGGCGAAGACTCGCGCGCGTGGGCGCGGGCAAACGCGGCGGCGACGTCTACAAGGATGGCCGACAGCAAACGTACGACGCGCGCGATCGCGAGAGCGTGCTCTCGGCGCAAAATCTCCGACAAACGTACGATGGTGAGCGGTATCAATTCTTAAACGTCGACGTCGGACTGAGCGAAGGGCAAAAGGTGGCGATCGTCGGACCGAACGGGAGTGGGAAGTCAACCTTGCTGCAGGTTTTGGGAGGCCGAAAAGTCGGGCTGGAGGATGGGGAGGTGTGGCGCAGGAAAGGGCTGCGAGTGTGCTTTGTCGATCAAGAACCGGACTTTGATGCCGAACTCACGGTGATTGATGCGGTGTACGCGAGCGATACGCCGGTGATGCGAGCGTTGAGAAAATACGACGCGGTGATGGCGGCTGCCGCTCGAGGAACGCTCGACGAAGGGTTGATGTCGGCCGCGATCGCGGATATGGACGCGCTGGGGGCTTGGGATTTAGAAGAAAAGACGCAAGTTGCGTTGAAAAAGCTCGGGTGCGATTCGTTCATCGAGAATAAAATGGGCGAACTTTCGGGAGGGCAGCGAAAGCGCGTGGCGTTGGCGGCGGCGCTCGTGGAGACGCCGGATCTGTTAATTTTAGACGAGCCTACGAATCATTTATCCGTCGAGGGCGTGGAATGGTTGGAAGGTCAACTTCAAGATCCCAAACTCACGGTACTGTTGGTGAGTCACGACAGAATGTTCATCGATAACGTTTGTCCAGACATTATCGAGCTCGACGGAAGGGGAGGGTCATACAGACACCGCGGCGGCTACGCGACGTTTCTCGAGCAGCGTGCAGAGCGTTGGTCGACGGAAGCGCAACAGTTACAAGCGGCGAAGAACACTTTCAGAAGAGAACAAGAATGGATGCGTCGACAACCGAAGGCTCGATCGACCAAAGAGAAGGCTCGTATTGAACGCTTCTCTGACTTGACAAACAAAGTCAACTACAAAGGCACGAAAACGAAAACAATCGAGCTTGGAGAGGTGTCATCTTCTAGAATGGGCGATGTTATCGTGGAATTCGACGAGGCGCGTCTTTCATTCGGCAATAAGACGATATTGAATGGTTTCAGCTATGCATTCAATAAGGGTGAGAAAATCGGCCTCGTCGGGCCCAACGGTGCTGGCAAGACGACGCTCATCAAAACCATCTTAGGGCAAGTCCCCCTCGATGCGGGTTGGGTTTCAGTCGGCGAGACGGTGTCTTTCGGCTATTACAGCCAAGTCGTGAACTTTCGTGACCCGACGCAACGCGTTGTCGACTACGTGAAGGAAATTGAGGGTGAGGCAAAGGACCTGATTGGTGGTTTTGCCGGACAAAGATTGAGTGTTTACACCTTGCTCGAGCGATTCAACTTCACAGATGGTAAACAAGCAGTACAAATCGGAGCTTTGAGCGGTGGTGAGCAGAGAAGGCTTCAGATGCTCACTGTCTTGGCCCTCTGTCCAAACTTTCTGATCCTCGATGAGCCGACGAATGATTTAGACTTGGACACTATCGAAGCACTCGAGGATATGCTCTCGAATTTTGATGGCTGTGTCCTCATAGTGAGTCACGATAGACAATTCGTGAACAACTTGGCAGATCACATCTTCGTCTTTGATGGCGAAGGTGGGATTTCTGACTGGTCTGGATCCTACTCCGAACTGCGCGACTATGTGAAGAAGCAGGAACAAGACGCCGAGGACAAAAAGATCGGCAAAAAAGTTAAGACTATCGAATTTGCGAGCGAAGAGGATAAAGAAGCCGCGAAAGAGGAAGAGAAGCGCAAGCGCGAGCTATTGCGTGAAGCGCACAATGCGCCTGGCCTCATAGCGAAGATTGAGAAAGCGCTCGAAGTCTTGGACAAGGAGATCACTACCTTTGATTCCGAGCTCTTCAATGCTGGTGCAGACGTCTCCAAAGCTTTGGAAATCCAAAAGAAAAAAGACGCCAAGGTGGCCAAGCAAGAGCTTTATTACGCAGAGTGGGAACGTTTGGAAGGTGTCTTGGCTGAAGCCGAAGAGATGAACGCGGAACAAATTTGATGATTTGATGATACACTGTAATATTACACAAAGCATGCTATTCATTCTATTTATCTACTGTACGCTTTTCTACCTAGCCTCCGCATCCCGTACCTTGGGCGCGTTCTTGGGACCAAACGCCGCCTTGCCCGCGTAGTGCCTCGACGCATTGAACCACTCGAGCCTCTTCTGTTCGATCAGCTCTAACGGATCGATCGTCGGCGCGAAGTGTACGTAACGTATCATGCGCGCGCGCACGAACACGCGCTCGAGCTTAGTCTTGTGCCCCTCGGGCGTGACGCGGATTGCATTCGTGAGCGTGCAGTGCATGCCCTCATCGCACTGCTCGAGGTGACCCCTGAGCGCGACGTCATCGCGGCATTCGATCACGACCGTGGTCCCGACTAGAGCTTGGATGAAACACACCAGCGAGCGCTCGTTTCGCGGCGGTTTACCGGGCATGGCGTCCGCACGAGTGCGATTGTGACCACTGCGAGGTAGTCACCGCGGAGAAGTGAGGCGCGGCGCGCAGTTGATCGAGCTAGTGCGGGTAAATTCGACGATAATCAGCTGCAAAAATTCATTGTACGCATTGCACAGCTCTACGCGCCCAGCAGCGCTATCAAGACGATCTTTTTTGCGCCGACTTCTATTCGCACCTCGTCTTGTGTGGCGCCGCGTTTGATGTGAACGTAAACCAAACTGTTCAGCACGGAGGCGATGACGCTCGGTACGGCATCAAAGACAATCTCATCATTGCCGGTTCCATCACCTGCGACGAACGGATTCTCACAAAGCGCCACGGCGCTCAGGTTGGAGACTGATAACAAATTTGCTTTTGCGGAGCGAATAGCGACGCGCGACGCTCTTGAGTCGTAATCACCCGCGTCTATTCGAAAAGTTCCGATACTCACCCGATCGAGGTATTTTGCTGTAAAAACACTGCGGTTCACTCGAAGCCGCGGTTCGTTCGATACGGCACTCACGGTGATGTTCAACGTTGCCGGCTTTGATAGGTGTTCGCCGACAAAGCCCGAATATGAGATCTTCGTCGGCTTCATCTCCCAAGGTGGATATTCTGGACCCAAGAACGTATCTTGCGCATTGAAATACTCCGGCAACGGCACGATAACGACGTTTAAGCACCATCGACGCATTTGCTGATCGACTGAATAATATTTGCATGCGGGCTGAGCCCCGCACGCGTGTCCTACGATGCGCTCATAAATCGGTACGGTCGTTCCATTCTCAAAAAAAAATACCCCATGCTCCATAAATGTGTTCACTATGAAGCCCGTGTCTTCGGATTCGTGTCCAGTGTTCATGATCTGAAGCGTCGTGACAGCGACGCCTCCTTCGTCCATATGGATGTTGACGTCACACGCAAGCACGCCCTTGTGGACGTCAACCGCAATCTTGAACCGTGGTGACTGAGAGATACCGGCGATTTCAAATCTAAATGCATCGCGGTACACCATCGAATGTTCGTCTACACCGCTCGGAGCATTCGTCGCAAGGTAGCACAGCTCGTCCGCGGGCAGGCGCCGTACATTGCCCTGAGATCGCGGATATCCACACGAGTAAACCGTCCCGTAAAGTGGCCACTCTAGGATGATCAATTCAGAATCAACGTACAAATCGCAAGAACTCTCATTCTCATCACACAGCGCGTCGAGGCGATCGCTATCGAATTCAATTTGTGTCTCGACGTCAAACGTAGCTGAAATAGCCTCGCCTCGATTCACGTCAATATCGATAATTTCGCCCGACGTCTCGAGCGTAGCGTGAGGTAAACCGGCTGCATAAATGTTTTCGATGTCACTCGCGGTGAGCGCAAACGGGTAGAGCGCGACAGCGTATATCGTGCCCGACCACGCAATATCGGCGTTGGTCGCCCTTCCTCCGAGGACGATGCGCGCTCGCGCATATGGACGCGACAGCCTCCATACATCCCCCCGAGGCATTTGTAACTTTAACGCGGCGTTTACATATGTTTTCACCGCGGCATCGTCGACGATTACGACGACGTGCGTCTGATTCTCCTCATCCGCCTCGAGAGAGAACGACTTCGGCGTAAAGAAATCGTCGCCGCCCATTCGCGCGTCTCCATTCGCGTTGACCCACAGCGTCATCCATCGCCAGCCATCGTCGTCGTCGCGAACGCTGAATATCGGGATTAGCAGCTCCTCGACCGCTCGAAAATCGTTCCTCAACCACAACTCTGTCGTCGTCGCGTTTATCATCGCGCGCGCCAGCGCCTCGGCGTCCGCCGCGCTCGAGCGTTCCATCGCTTCAACCCGTCCCGCGGCCTCGCCCAGCGCCAGTCCTCGCGCATCGACAGCGCATCCATCACCGCCGTCACCGATCGCCGCGACGACGCGCGCGCCACCGCCGTCCCGATCGCTCGACGACGCTTCGTCGCGCAACCGTCCTTCGACGCCGCACGTCATCGCATCGGCGACGTACGCCCGCATCGCGCGCGCGCGCATCGTCACCGCGCTCGCGCTCGCGCGCGAAACAACATCGACGATCGTCAGCGCGCCGAGGGCGACGTTGACGACCGCGCGTCGCATGCGTCGCGCGTCGTTCTGAAGTCGAAACGAATACAAATCGTCACTCGTTGACCGCGCGCGCGGTGCGGTCGACGCGGCGCGCGATGCGGTTCGATCGCGCGGGACGCGACGGCGACGCGCGCGATGGGCGTCGCGCGTCGTCGTCGAGGGCGCCGTCGTCGAAGGCGTCGTTCACCGTGGTGATCCCAGCGCTAAACGAAGAGACGCGCGTGCGCGAAGCCATCGCGAGCGCGCGCGCGAACGCGAGCGCGCGCGTGATCGTCGTTGACGGCGGAAGCACCGATGCCACCGTGCGCGTGGCGCGGAAGCACGGGGCGAGCGTGGTGAGGAGCGAGCGAGGACGAGGGAGACAGATGAACGCGGGGGCGGCGGCGGCGGCGGCGACGGGGACGCGAGACGCGAGCGATGTGTTGGTGTTTCTGCACGCCGATAGCACGCTACCGACTGGGTACGGGGAGTTAATAACGCGCGCGTTGGCGAAACGCGTGACTGGACGATCGCGCGAGTGGGGGGCGTTCGAATTTAAGATGGGCGGCGAGCGAGAGGACGAAGGGTTCGCTCGAACGTGCACTCGGCGCGCAATCGAATTCGGGACGAATGCGCGGTGTAGACTGTTTAGAATGCCTTACGGTGATCAGGCTTTGGTTATGCGACGAGAAACGTTTGACAGCGTCGGAGGGTTCGATGAGCTACCGTTTATGGAGGACTACATCATGGCGCGAAAGTTGCGGCGACGCGGCGCGCCGGCGCTATTTAGCGCCCCCGTGACGACGAGCGGCAGGCGATGGGACGAGCGAGGATTCAGTAAAGTGACTCTGATGAATCAAGTAATTATATTAGGTTATCACATCGGCGTGCCCATGGAAAAGCTCGCGGAATGGTACAAGAAAACGTAAACAAAGACGACGAAATCGTTACATCATCGGGGCTGTAAATTTTTTTCTAGATTATTTCCCTTCGACATCAGTGTTAATCGTCTTCATCTTCGCTGTCTTCCAATTCTGCGAGTTGCTTTCGTAGCGCCTCCTCTTCGGCCGTCAAAGAGGTCTTCACCGCCTCGAATTTGGCCGGATCACGCGCCTTGGTCGCCGCCGCAACGATGTGGTCCGCGGGAGCGCCCACCACCGACGTGTTGGCCTGCGCTTGCGCCGCTGCCGCCCCTGGTCCTTGCGTGAACGCCTGCAATTCACGAATATCCACCCTGCCCTCTTCAATCTTGAACTCATGCGGGGAAAACGTCGAGATGTCCGCCCATTCGTACGACTCGTTCGGGGTATTGATTTCGTACGTCAAGCAATGCTGCTTCGTCTCGGTGTTATAATCCGTGATGATGCAATCAAACCACCCCCCCTCGCTCGGCCAGAATCTCTTCACCTTCTTACAGATGAGCTCATTCACCCCCATCGCTTCCAACTGCGCGGGCGTGATCTTCGGCGCTCTCGTCGCCGAGTGCTGCGGCTTTCGCCTCGGCGCCGCGTGCGCCCTCGGCGGCGCCGCCGGCGCCATCGCCGCCGCCATCGCCGCCGCCTCCGTTCGCTGTCGCTTCGCCTCCTGCGTATCCTTATGATCCGTCAGCCCTTGTCGCAATTTAGCGACGCGTTCGTCCGTTTCGACCTGGTCCCTCATCTTCAAGTGCTCCTCGCTCGAGACGTTTAATTCCACCCTGAGCCGTCCTAAAAACTCCTCGCGCTCCCACGTCAGCCCCGTCACCGCCATCGCTTTCAGGATCGCGCCGTACGCGTCCGTCTCCAGCTTTCGCACGCTGTTCGAGATCGACATCGCTCGCGCGAATCGTCGCGCGCGCGTCGATCTGGCGCCTCGGATCCGCTCGGCATTCGCGCGCCGCGGGCGCGTCGTCGTTCGTGCATCGCCTGGGCATTCAGTGCGAAACGATTTATCGCGAATCTTCGTCGGTCGAGAATACCGTACGATCCGATGCGCGCGCCGATGTGAGATCGACCGTCCGCAGAGATTCGGACATTCGGACATGACAAGACTCGACGACACACGACCCTCGACGCGCCGGCGGACGGGCGCGTCGCGCGTCGATCGCGACCTCGTCGGCCTCTAACCTCGACGCGCGAACGCGAGCATGGTGCGCGGCGAACGCGAAGCGACCGCGCGTGACGCGCGCATTCGCACTCGTCACCGCGCGCGCGCGTCGTCGATCGGCGATGCGCGCGCGGTGCGCGCGACGGTGCACGCGATTCGCGCGATGCGTGACCCTAACGCGCGGCGCGTCGATGCGTCGATGGGAGGGCGATGTCGGCGCGGTCGCGGCGCGAGAGGGAGGGAGATCGAGGGCGATCGGTGGATGGATATGTTTGCGACGAACGATGACTGACGGAGGACGCTTTCGCGCGCGCGACGTGCAGCCTTCCACCGTTCCCGAATCCGTGCTGAAGAAGCGCAAACGCGACGAGCAGTGGGCGTCGCAAAAGGCGGCGGCCGCGGCCGAAGCGAAGAAGGCGGGCGAGAAGAAGCGCGAGGAAATTTTCAAGCGCGCGGAGAAGTATGTCAAGGAGTACCGCGACCAGGTGCGTGATGTGAGCGAGCGATGTGACTGGGCGCGATGGGATTGTTTTAGGGTTCGTCGGGACGTCGCGGGACGTCGCGCGCGTCGCGCGGCGGCCTTGGGATGAGCGCGACGCGTGTTGGATGCGCGCTTGCGATTGATAGGCGGAGGCGACATTACGATGCGTCGCGTTGCGCTCGCGAACGCTCGATTGGACGCGATGACTAACGACGACGACGATGCGTCTGTTCGCGCGCGCAGGAAGCCGACCTCGTGCGTCTCAAGCGCGAGGCGCGCGCCAAGGGTGGTTTCTACGTCGAACCCGAGGAAAAGCTCATGTTTGTCATGCGCTTGCGCGGTTTGAATGACATTCACCCGAAGACGAAGAAGATTCTCCAGCTCCTTCGCTTGCGTCAAATCCACAACGGGATTTTCATGAAGGTGAACAAGGCGACGCTCAACCAGCTTCGCAAGGTGGAGCCGTACATCATGTTTGGTTACCCGAACTTGAAGACGGTTAGAGAGCTCATCTACAAGCGTGGTTACGGTAAGGTGAACAAGCAGCGCATTCCGCTCACGGATAACGCCGTGGTTGAGCAAGCCCTCGGCGACAAGGGGATCATTTGCGTCGAAGACTTGATTCACGAAATTTACACCGTCGGTCCGCACTTCAAGGAGTGCGCCAACTTTTTGTGGCCGTTCAAGCTCTCCGCCCCGAACGGCGGGATGACTGTGAAGAAGCAACACTTCATCGAAGGTGGCATGGCTGGTAACCGCGAAGATAAGATCAACGCGCTCATCCGCCGCATGAACTAAAAGCGATGCGTCGCATCGGAGCTTTTGCAAGTTGAGGAGGAGAGAGAGGAGAGATTTGGAATTTGGTGGCCCAGCTAGTGGGATTCTTATGTGTAATAACGAATACACGTTCGTAAAATCATCTTCGCTCGATCCGAGCGCCCGCGCGTCGTGTTACTCTCGCGCGTCTCGCGCGTCGGTCCCGCTCGCTCGCGTTCGGCTCGCCCGCTCGCGCGCCGTCCCGCACTGCGCGTCTCGCTCGCGTCTCCCGCGCGATCGCGCGCGATGGTGCGTGAAAAAAGTCCACCCACTACTCCAGAGCGCGCGTCTCGACCGACGCACGTGCCGCAATCGCCCACGCCGCGCGTGATTGTCCCCGCGGGCGACGACGGCGTCCCGCGCGAGGCCTCGGTGATGACGCCCGGCGAACGGCACGCGCCGCCCGGAACGGTGACGCGCGAGCGCGACGATCATAAACACGCACTCACGATGCAATACTTGGAGGATCAAGCGGTGGTGGACGACGATGGGTACGTGCCGCCGAGCGAGACGGCGAGCGACGAGGACGAGCGGGACGCGCGCGAGCGAGCGCTGACGAGAGCGTTGGATTACGGCGACGCACTGAGTCGTGGTGAGGGTGATGGGGCCGAGGATTACATGCGATTGGCTGGTATGGTTCGCGCGGGGGAGTGCGTGGAGGCGATCACGCGGCGGAAGATGGGAGGATTGACGACGCTGCGGTGGCAACGCGTCGGGCCGCAGGGCGGCGTGGAGTTGATCGAAAACGCTCGAGGCGAACGATATGTGTGTCAAGACGTTGACGTGGGGTGTATTTTGCGAGCGGTAAGATATAGCGACGGAAATTTCGACATCGCTTCGACGCGCACGCCCGTGGTGGCGATGTTGGCGGACAAACAGCAATCAGAGGGGAAGCGAAAGGAAATCGTTTTGCCCGAGGTACCGCTTGGGCCGATGAGCGAAGCGCACGCATTGTTTCTTCGAGGGAAAGCTTTGGAGGCGGAATCTTACGACGTAGATGTTGACGAAGAAACGAGTGATGAGAAGGCGAAAGAGGCGCTAAAGTGCTACGTTTTAGCTGCGAAGGATCGATACGTTCCCGCGTATTCGAGCATTGGCAAGATTTACGAGCTCGGTATCGGTGTGAAATGTGATTATGATCAAGCTCGTGGATGGTACAAAGAGGGTGTGAAAGAAGGGTGTCCGATATGCAATAATAATCTAGGATCGCTCGAGTACTTGGAGCTAGGGATCGGGGCGGATAGAGAAAATGCGGCTGAATACTTCAAAGTAGCCGCGGCGAAGGGAAACGCTGCGGCCATGAACAACCTCGCTGTGTGCTACGAAGAGGGCGTCGGTGTGCCGGCCAGTTTCAACGAGGCGAGGAATTACTATGAGCAAGCCGTGAGAGGTGGAGTCATGAGCGCGTTCACCGCGTTAGGGTATGCGGAAATCGTAAACGGAGACTTGGACGACGCGCTCGACGCGTTTCACGCCAGCCTTGAAAGTGGGAACCCGGATGCGGCCGAGGGAGTTGCATTATTATCAACGCTTCAGATTTCGTCGCAAGCAGCACCAAGTCCGATGGAACAAAATATCAAGCACGCGTCCGCAGAGCTCTTGAAGATGGAGATTGACCAGTATGCGAATCTCTCGATGAAATTGTATGATGTCATCATGAAGAGCAACTCCGAGGTACTCAAGCTCCAGGCGCGTCGCATAACGCAAGATATCTTTGGCTGAAGTTATTCTAGTATGTAATTTATTCTACTGTACACGCTATGCCGTCTTAAAAGTGGAGAGAAACGTTCGACCGGCAGCCAACTCTCGTCGACGCCGAATATAACTCCAGTTGAGTTCGGCGCCGAGGAGAGCCACCACGCGTGGTAAAGCTTTTTCGGCAGCATCAACATCTAAAAACGCAAGACGTGTGCGACGAGCGAGGAAATCAATCGCAGTTTGACAATATTCCGCTCGAGCAGCATACACGACTTCCGCTTCAATGACGGGATGGTTTGGCACGAGACGCTTTGACAGGTGCGAATAAGCCGCGAGATCCGCTACAACGAGAGCTCTGTCGCCATATGAATGAGCGAGATGCTTGGCGACGGATTCATCTGGCGTACCTCCAAAGCTGCTACCACCCCTCTGAGCGACTTGGACAAACAAGTCGTTTGTGTAACCATGCGCGCCGACGACGCCCAGAGCATGAGTTCGGCACTTGCCAGCTTCTCCCGATAACCCTCCGGTTTCGATGGCCTTATCGACTGCTTCTTCAGCCATTCGTCTGTAAGTCGTCCATTTACCTCCAGTGACGGTCACCATTCCATCCTTCTCGACGGCAATCACGTGATCTCTGGACATGTTTTCTGTATTCTTTGCCCCCGGATCTGCCGCGAGTGGACGAATACCACTCCACGCGCTCAAAATATCGGAACGACGCGTCTCAACTTTCAGATAAGGTGCGATTGACTCTAAAATGAAATCAACTTCGTCCTTCGTGGCCGATGGCGTCATCGTTACGTCGCACTTGGTATCTGTGGTACCTGCAATGCACGCACCCAGCCACGGGAGTACGAAGACGACACGTCCGTCTTTTGTCTTTGGAATGATGAGACCGAGGTCGCTCGGGCAGTAGTACGCTGGAAGCGTCAAGTGCGCACCAGCGGCAGGCATCATGATTTCTTCTGCTTTGTCGTCTGACAGTTTACGAAGCTCGTCCGTGAAAGGTCCGCTTGCGTTGATCACCGTCTTGGCGTAAATGTCGTATTCACTCCCAGTCAGCATATCGCGAGCTCGCACGCCGGAGATTCGATCGCCATCCTTGTGAAACTTCACAACTCTCGTGTAATTCACGACGGCAGCGCCTGCATGCGCTGCCGTACACGCTAAAGCGACGTTTAATCTAGCGTCGTCAAACTGCCCGTCATAGTACACAATCGCCCCTTTCATCGACTTTTCTCCGATATCTGTGCGCATTTGCGTCAATTGTGGGAACTGGGACTTCATGGACCCTGCTCTCGCGAAAATCGACATCGTCAAACCTTGCGATCCGGCGACTAAATCGTACGCCTTCATTCCCGCCCAGTAATACGGCACCTCCCACCACTCGTAACACGGCGTTGCTATGGGCAACGCTCGCGTCAAGTGCGGCGCGTTATTTAACAACGTTTTCCTCTCTTGCAACGCCTCAAAAACAAGCTTCAACTGTCCTGGATCGAGCTGAAACACCGCCTTCTCGAGGTATCGCACGCCGCCGTGCACCAGCTTCGTGCTTCGGCCGCTCGTCCCGGCGCCAAAGTCCTCGCCCTCGACCAGCGTCACGCTCAGCCCTCTCGTCGCCGCATCTACCGCGCATCCCGCGCCCGTGGCACCACCACCAATGACGAGCACGTCACACGGCTCTTGCGCTCGCTTCAGCGCGCGCACAGTGGCGCTTCGTGACGGTAACGGCGTGCTCGACTCGCTCCAAGGATCTTTCGGAAGTTGGCCGTCGTTTGAGCTCACAAAGCCGTGAACAGCGAGCGCCGTGGCCGTGGCCGTGGCGGTAAGACCAGTAGCCGTTCGCACGGCGCGACGGAACGACATCGAGGCGTGGTCTGAGGCCGAGTCGGGTCCGATGTGTGACGTCACACGGCTGTTTTTAAAGCGTTGGCGAGAGAATCGATTAAACTTTGCAGCTTCAGAAGTGCGGCAAATGCCGCGCTGCCGCGATGGTACGCGATTTTCGGAAGTGGAAATAATGCTCTAATCGTTTTACACGGTACTGTCTCTGGTCACGGGCCTTTTTTTAACGCGGCGAATCGCCCGGCGAGGTCGTCCGCGTCAGCGGTTGGCGGTCCGCGCTGCTCTTCGGGAGCGGAAGGTTTTGGGTAAGCCTTGGGCTTGGCCGGGTCGCTCGCGTCGCTCGATTCGAGCTCAACTTTCTTGTCACTGATCGGTTGACCCACGCCCGGAGGTGGGCCTGAGGGCGCGCTGGGCTTCGCAGTGGCGTCTTCAACCGTCAAGTCTGGCATCGCGAGCACTTCGTCGATGACGGCTTCGACGTCGGCGTCGCTCAATTCTTTCGTCGCATCATCGCTCGGCGCATGCAGTGATGCGCTCGCTACTATCGCTGCCGCCGCTTCTGCGCGTTGCGCCGCCGCTTCAGCCGCCGCTGCCGCCCGCGCCGCGCTCGCGTACGCCGCGTTCGATTCCGAAGCGGGCATCGCTACCTCTTCCCCGATCGCGATCGGCGTCTCCATCACGACGTCATTTTTCGCCGCAATCGCCTCTAATCGCCTCTGCACCGTATTATCGTCCACGGTCTTCACCTTCAGGCTCTCCAGCACCGTCGCATTCGCTCCGCACGCACTCGCCGTGCCTTCGCCTTCGCACGCCGCGACGTATTCACGTCCGTACTTGCGTCCAAACTGCTTCTTTAGTGTCTCCAACTCCGGAACCTCCGTCCCCGCGCGTTTTGCGGCGTAAATAACCGTCGCGATCGCTTCGCGCAGTTCTTCCGGCACCGCTTTCGACGCGCTCACCGCCGGCAGACGCGCGAGCAGCGTCTCCAGCGTCAATTCCAGAATCTCATATCCCTTCAGCGTCGCATCCTCTCGGCACACCGTCTCGCATCGGATGCGCGCCGCGTCGTACCCGAACCCTCGACTCTGTTTCAGCATCTCTCCCACCTCGGTCTCGATCGCGCGTCGCGCGCTCTCGCGTTTATTACGAAGCAGTTTCAAGCGCCCGAGCGCCAATCGCAGGGCCGTTTTCGTCTTTGACGCGTCGTACCCGACGCGCAAGACGTCCTTGAGCGCGTCGAACACGCCGTGCATGGTCGCTCGGCGCGCGCGCGGCGTTCGCGACGATGACGGGCGAAGGGCGATCGGCGACGAGCGACTCGAAGTGCGGCGCGACTCTGGATGAAACCAGCCAGGTGGTGGTTGACTAATATTTTACAACGCGAACCACTTCGCGTCTAAAACAGCGCCCTGAGCGCGTCCGCCTCCGCGCGCATCTCTTCCGCGCTCCTCGGTGGACGGTCGTCGTCCAAAGCCTTGCTCCCGTCCGCGTTCCATCGCTCCAAATCGTCGTACACGTCGTCGTTTCTGGCAAAGTCGCCGACGCGACGCGGAAGCACGTGCACGTGCACGTGTGGCACCGTTTGTCCAGCCAACGGGCCGTCTTGAATCGCTAAAGTAGAGCTCGAGGTGTCGTGTTCGCGCTCGAGCGCGCGCTGAATCACCGCGACGGTTCGCCACAGGTCCGATATCTCTTCGTCGCTCAGGTCGGTAAACTTTGGCGTCGAGCGCCGCGGGCACACGAGGACGTGCCCGGGAACGACGGGCTTCAGGTTCACCAGCGCGAACGTCTGAGAGGTTTCGTAGAAGACCTGCGCGCCGGGGATCGCGATCGGGCCGAAGGAGACGCCGTCGCCGTGGGCGCGGGCGTCGGAGGACATGTCGCTTCGCGTCGTCGCGGCGACGATTCGACGCGCGCTGGCGCGGTGAAGGCGCGCGACGACGACGGCGTTTCGCGCCGCGAGCGATCTCGCGAGCATCCGCGATGCGGCGCGCAGTGTGGCGGCGGCGGCGCGCGCGCCGAACTCGACTCGGCGCTCGCGCTCGCGCGGAACGCGGACGCGGACGCAGACGCGAGACGATGGTCGCGCCGAGGCGACGACTGATGTGGCAAAACATATACATCGATCACAAACAATCATTTACGGCGATCGCATCGACGAGCGCGGGCTATTTGAGAGAAGCGCGCGAGCGGCGTTGATTTTGGAATCGCGCCACCGCTCGGCGCGGAGGATTCGAGTCGCTCAACGCTCAAACTGTTGCTCGAGCGCGGAAACACTCGGTCCGTTGTAGTTTGCGAACTCATTGTTCGCTTCTTCGAAGCCGGCCAAACCCTTCGTCGCGAACGCCACCGCTCCGAGCACACCGACCGCGACGATGACGCCGCCGATACCGCCCAAACCTTGCTTGGCGTACTTGTCGCTCGTCGGCGATTCCGTGTACAACTGGCGCGGCTCAATCGCAAAGATGTTACCACTACCCGTGTTATCGCTCTCAATATAACCAGTCGTGCGATCGACGTTCGGTCCCTTGCCCGCGTGCACGCGAACCGCGCGCGTCTTGCGAACCGTCGTCCTGCGAGCGAAACAAACCATATCCGCGTCAGTCGCCCCTCTCGCGTCTCCATCGCCTCCCGCGCGCCGTTCGAACGTCCACGCGCGGCGACGGCGCGACCGCGCGATCTTCTTCGTCGCTCGCGCGTTCGCGCGCGTTCGCGCGCGTCCTCTGCGTCGCGCGCGCGCGCGCGCGGCTCGACGGTGACGTCGTCCGCGTCGTCGTCGTCCCGCGCGCGTCCCGCCCGCGTCGTCCATCGCGCGACGCCGCGCGACGAGCCGCGTTCGAGCGCGCGTTTTGTTTCATCGCGACGCACCTCTGCGCGACGCACGGGCGCGCGATGGTGTTCGTGGTGGCGATCATTAGAGAATTGCGTGGACGTGTGTGGAGGGCACTGGGTTTGTCGCTGACGAGGCGCCTGGAAACGTGTCTTACAAGTAGTCCATCGACGACGGTTTCGGGGCCTCGGACTCGCGCGGCTGAGGAAGCGCAGCGCGCGCGGGAGCGTGGTTGACGCTGGCGTCGTCTTCGTCGCGCGACGCGGAGACGGTCTCGTACTCCACGGATTCGAGCGACGCGGGCTCGACGCGCGGCTCGCGCTCCGGGAGCTCGGCGAGCGCGGCCTGAAGCTCGATCTGAGAAGCCTTGAGATCGGCGATGGCCTTGGACAAGACGTCGAACTGCTTGGAGCTCACGGTGTGGAGTCCACTCATGGTGGATTGTCCCTCCGCGAGCTCGCCCTCGAGGAGTTCGATGCGTTGCGCCACGGCGGCTAAGATTTGCGCGTTTTCCTTGGACTCGGCTTGCACTTTTCGTAGTGGTGGCGACAGCTCCCGTCTCGTCAACCGCACGCGCGTGCCCAAACGCGAAACATCTCGCGCCGTGCGCCTCGAGACTTCCATGACGCTGTCGTTCGCCTGTTCCAAAAACGCCAGCCTCGCCTTCACCGAGCTGGGCACGCCCTGCAGCCGTCCCTCCGTTGACTCCTCCCGCGCTCGACTCAACCTTCGCAAAATCGTCCCCGCCACCACGGCCACGTACAGTGGCAAGTCACCCCAAACGCTCGTCACCGCTCTCGGGGGTAAATGCTCGACGTATCCCGCCGCCTGCGCCACTTTAGCCGTCTTATGTTCCACGTACGCCGCGCGCGCCTTCACGCCCACCGCCGCCGTCAACGCGAATATTTCCGCCCCGTCCAAGAACGCATCTCGCATCGCCGCGTCGTCCTCGTCCATCGCGCGTTCCGCCCGACTCTTCGCCCGCTCTCTCGCGCTTCGCCGCCCGCTCGCGCGGTCTCGATCGGAGTACCCGTCGCCGCCCGGCTCGTCGTCGTCCCCGTCCCCGTCCCCGTCCCTCGCTCGCGTCCCTCTCCCTCGCGTCCGTCGCCCCGTCCTCGCGCGTCCGCGTCGATCGTTCGCGAGTGCGCTCAACCGTCCCATCGCGCCGTCGCATCGCGCGCGCGACGTGGACGCGCGATTCACCGACGCGTTCGCCGCGCGCGCCGTAACGGCTCTGCTTCCGATCGTCATCGCGCTCGCGCTCGCGCTCGCGCGCGCCGACGCCCTCGCGAGACGCGCGGTCGCGACGCACCGCGCCCTCTCTCGCCGCGCACCGCTCGCGCGTCCGCGCGAGTCGCGGCGTCGACGCGCGCGCGGCGTCGCGCGGCGTGCAGTGCCGGTCGCGTCACATCGCGACCGCGGCCGGCGTCGCGACTCGCGCGCGATGCCCGCCGCGGCGACGCGCGGCGAGGACGACAGCGCGACGTTCGACGTGCGCGTCCTGGGCGACGGCGCGCGCGGCGACGGCGTCGTCGCGCGGGTCGACGTCTCCGCGCGCGGGTTGCGCATCGATCGATTAATCGACGACGACGACGGCGCGCGCGGACGCGCGGGCGCGCGAACGCGACGAGCGATGCTGGGGAAGTTTCCGCTGTCGAGCGTCGCGCGCGCGCGGACGCGAGGCGCGGACGTGGAGCTCGGGGTGGTGGTGGTGGGGGAGACGAAGGCGATGCGGTTGCGGGCGAGAGACGCGCGCGAGGCGGAGGCGCTCGTGGAGGCGATGTGCGCGCGGGGGGGGGAAGGTCTGCGCGCACGATTGGATCGTGATGCCAGGATGACGCCGACGGCGTCGACGTCGGGGTCGTCGAGCGCGTTGGTCAGGGATCTTCGTGAGGAGAATCTGTTGCTTTCGGACGCGTTGCGCGAGGCGGAGGCGGAATTAGAGGCGGCGAGAGCGCGCGAGGGGGCGGCAAAAAGCGGCCGAACAACAGAGGAGGGATATTTCGATAACTCAACGGTGTCTTACGAGATCAAGGTGCGGAATCTGACGAAGAATTTGGAGTTTCAGCAAGAACGCGCGGCGCAGCTTCGGTCCGATTACGATGAGCAGAGACTCAAGCTCGAACGCTATCGTTCGCTCGAGGAAGTCATGGGTCGAGAAAACGAAGCTCTGCGCAAAGATTTACAAATTGCAAGCGAAGAACGTGATAAGGCGATGCGAAGAGCCGAGACTTCGGAGATCATGGCGGCACACGCTAAGAATGAAGTCTCCGCGTTGGGAAGCGGCGAGGTGTCCGAGTCGGCGTTAGTACAAGAAAACCTCGAGCTCAGACGTGAGATTGCGGTGATAAATTCCGCGAAATCTACCGCAGATGAACATTTAAGGTTGACGCTGGCGCACTTGCGCGCGGCGAGGGACGAAAACGTGCGGTTGACGGAGACGCTTTTGAAGAAAACGGAAGAGAGCTTTGCAAAGGAGGCGCGTAACGCTGAACTGGAGCAAATGATCGATGGCGTCACCTTGCGGGAACACACGAGCTCGAAAGAGCTCGCCATCGCACTTCAAGAGCGCACAGATGCGATCAATCGGGCGAAAATCTTCGAAAAAGATGTCAAGCGGTTGAGCGGTGAAGTTGAGCGCTTGGTGGCAAAAATTGGCGATGCCGAACGAGCGGCGGCGCGTGAAAAAGAAGAGATTCGCTTCGAGTGCGCCGAACAAGTACAAGATCACGCGATGCAAGTGTCAAAACACACTGCGTCTGCGCGCGATGCCGCGGTTGAGGCGCAAAAACAAGCGACGATCGCGAATTCTGCTTTGATGGCGAAGCAAGAGCTCGAGTTCGAGCTTCACGAGGAACGGCGTCGACGCATCGATCTCGAGCGTCAAATCGCGCAAATCGAAGCGGCAAAACAAACCATCGCCGATTTTACCGCCGATGCCGAAGCCTCGGTGCTGCGCTCGATTCAAGCCCAGCGCGAAGCCAACGTGGAGGTGCAGCGTCTGAGAATAGAAAAGCACGACTTGCGAGGTCGTCTCGCGGCGACGCCCTCGCCTTCGAGCGCCGACGAGGCCTGGCGCACCCAACTCGGCGCCACGATTGACTTCCATCGAACGCTTCGTGGTAGTCCAACGTCGACACCGACGACGCAAACCCGCGCAAGTTGGTCTCGCGTCACCGATCTCGGCTCTGGCGCCGCGTTCGCGAGCAAGGCGACGCCGTCGTCGGCGCAGCAGCGCCTCGACGAGATCAAATCCGAAATCGCTCTCATTAAGCGCCGTCAAACCCCGGTCAAGACCTCGCTCGAGACAAAATTCAATCTCGAAAACGGTCCGCGCGTGTCCACTGCTCCTAGAGACGTGTACGACGACGACCGCGTCGCCGACTCGACGCCGTAGGCTGTAATCTCAAAAAAGTCACTCGACGTCACAACTCCGCACCATGCTCGCCCGTGCGTCGCCGGTCGCGCCGTCGACGCTCCGCGCGAAGACGCGCAAACAGACGTTCTCGACGACTTCCGCGCGCGTCGCGCGCCGTTTCGACAGCATCATCGACGAAACGCTCGCAGAAATGGCGACGGATGACGAGTTTCAGACAGCCAAGACGCGGCTGGAAACGCTCGGACAAAAAGCGCTGACGAAGGAAGAGCGCGCGCGACGACGACGGGCGCTGGACACGATCGGGGTGCCGTCGTTCGAGTCGTATCTCGAGACGCGAGGGGGGAAGGCGCTGATTCGCGAGCCGACGACGATTTTACAAGTAAACATTGGGTTGTATTGTAACCAGGCGTGCGCGCACTGTCACGTGGAATCGTCGCCGTTGCGCACGACGGAGGTGATGGATGCGGCGACGGCGCAAGCCGTGGTGCGCGTGCTGAAAAATTCTTCGAACGTGAAGACGTTGGATCTCACTGGGGGGGCGCCCGAGTTGCACGAGCAGTTTAGATTTCTCGTTCGCGAGGCGAGGGCGCTCGGCGTCGACGTCATCGACAGGTGCAACTTGACGGTGCTGTACGAGGAGGGGCAGGAGGATTTGCCACAGTTTTTGGCAGAAAATAAGGTCAAAGTAGTCGCTTCGTTACCATGTTACAGCGAGGCGAACACGGACGCGCAGCGAGGAAAAGGGGTGTTCGAAAGATCCATCGCGGCGTTGCGCGACTTGAACGCCGTCGGATACGGGGTCGAAGGCTCGGGGCTCGAGCTCGATCTCATGTATAATCCTGGAGGAGCATTCTTGCCACCGGCGCAAGAAAACCTAGAGGTGGCGTACCGCAGCGAGTTGAGAGATACTTGGGGCGTGGAATTCTCGCGATTGTTCACGTTGACGAACATGCCCATCAAGCGCTTTGCCGATTATTTGCATCGCGAGGGCAAGACGAGCGAGTACATGAGTTTACTCGTCGAAAATTTCAACGTTGCGGCTTCGGTGGGGGTAATGTGCCGTGATCTGATCAGCGTGTCTTGGGATGGAACGCTGTACGACTGCGACTTCAACCAACAACTCGACATGCCGGTGCGCGATGAGAAGAAGACAATTTTCGATCTCGACTCGTGCGACGACTTGGTCGGCTCGCGCATCGTCGCGGACAACCATTGTTTCGGCTGCACCGCGGGCTCGGGGTCTTCGTGTTCGGGGGCGACGATTTGATTTCATCTGTTCGCTTGCTTGTAGTGTATATCGTATTAAAAACAACTAACCTCCACCAGAACTACTTCTTACTCTTCTTTCCTTTGCTCGCCGTCTCGACGACGACTTCCTTGTGCGACGCCCACGAGAGGTACGTGTTCCATAACAGCGCCACGACGTTAGCGGCAGCGACTTGCAAGTTCAGCGGAACGAAACGGAAATTCAAGAACTGGAAAGGGATCCAGATGTTCCAGTTCGCCATCACCGTCGGCGCAAAATCTTGCTTGAGCTTGGGAACGATTTCGCTCGCCTTGCCTTCGATCGTGAACAGCGAGCTCAAAAACACGCACAAAAACGCCGGCGCGAACAAACCTTGATCTAAAACCAAGCTGATGAACGCCTTGGCGCTGCCTTGCGCGGTGACAATCTTCCCGAGCGTGCCGTACCAAAAGTGCAGCGCGGGTCCAACCAACGCGCCGCCGAGAAACGTAAACACGCCCGCCCGACGCCAATCGATCCCCTTCTTCGCGGCGTCATCGAACGAAAACTGCGCAAACAAATCACCCAACGCATTCAGCACCCCACTCGTCGCGCACTTCGTCGCCAACGGATTCTTTTCGAGCGCGTTGAGATACGCCGCCCACAACGTTTGAACGCCGCCCGCCGCGCCGTCGCCACCGCCGTCGCCACCGCCGCCGCCGCCGCCGCCGCCGCCGCCGCCGCCGCCGTTCCCACCGCCCACGCTCGCGGACTTCCCTCGCGCCGCGCCTCGGCGCGTCGCCCCGACGCCGAAGCGCACCGTCATCGCCTTCCCCGCGCCCGCGCGTCCGCGTCCGAACGCCGCCGCCGCGACGCATCGCGGCGTCGGGGTCGCGGCCCGCGCGGCCCGCGCGCGCGCCATCGACGCGCACGCCATCCCTCCGCGCGTCGCGCGCAGCATGTCGCGCGTCTCGCTCTCGCGCCAGCGTCGCGCGTCGTCGCGAACGTTTCAAATTTCAGTCGCGGGCGTGCGCGGGCTGGACAAAACGCATTCGCGAGTTTCGAACGCATAGCTCTAAATCACGGTAAATGCGCAGAAAACTCGACAAGAAATATATATAAGATATATATGAAAAGGGTTTAAGAAATTGAAAATTATTCTTGAATTTGCTTGAAATTGTGGGTCGCTCAGTAGTGTCATTCCCCATGCTCGTGCCCGTGCTCGTGCAGCAGCGGTTGCTCCTCGAGTTTGATGGTCTCGACTGCGGATTCAGCCATTTTCTCCATCTCCTCCTCGATGTCGGCGACTTTGATACTGAGGTCTTCCAGGTTCAGAATCTTCGTTTCGCAATGAGATCCACCATAACCAGCGTTGCAATCGCAGTGTGGCTTGTTGCCACTTGCCGTTGTGCCTTCATGACACCAACCGTGGCCGTTGCAGCTTACCGAATCACTTGATTTCGGACGCGGCGGTATTTTTGCGCACGACGGAATGGACACTTGATTGGAACTTGATGTGTCTGATGATGTGTCACTTGATGTGTCACTTGATGTGTTGTCAATTGATGTTTCACTTGATGTGTCACTTGATGTGTCAATTGATGTTTCACTTGATGTGTTTCGCGAGCCAAGCAGCGCGCGACCTCGGCTTTTAGACTCGGATAGGCCGGGCGGACTCGCCGCGCACAAAGAATCATCAACCCAGTCTTGAATTGGACAACCAGAGGATTGGATCGAGTCGCCACCATAACCAGCGTCGGCCAGTTGAGCGTGAGTGTTCACGAACATCGTCGCCCCGATCGCACAGACGCACACGGCGCCGCACGCGACGAGCAGTTGCGTGAGAGTAAACGTCCGTGGTCGTCGTCCTGTTAAAGGTTCGCACTCGTCGGCAGCGCCGCGTTCGATGGAGTCGTACGCGTTCATCGCCGCGACGCGTCGAGGAGTGAATTGCTGACGCGGACGCGTGGAGGAGTGAGTGAATTGCCTGCCAACCCCGCGCGAGAATCAAATCAAACATGGACCCATACTCGCGGGTGTTGACACGGGTGTCGCGGGTGTCGACATGGTCGGTCGGACATATGGAGCCTCACTATTTGGCCGTATGACCACATATATTAATTGATTTATACCTATCATCCCGCGAGATCCCGGGGGTAAATTACAGTACGGTAAATTCCTTATGAAAAGGGTTTAAGAAATCGGCGTTGCGCAGGCTGGACAAAACGCATTCGCGAGTTTTGAACGCATAGCTCTAAATCACGGTAAATGCGCAGAAAACTCGACGAGAATTAAAAGTATTAAGTGTTCAGCATTCGGCCACTGGTCGCCGGTCGACTGCCTGCCTGGGTGCCGGCACTGCGACGCGCGCGATGGGTGGGCCGTACTCGGGGACGAGCTCGCTCGCCGCGTTCCTGCGCGTCGGCGCGGTGACCGCGGGATTGACGTACGGGATCGTCGTCAACGGATTCACCGGGCTGTTCGGGCGGTCGTCGGCGAAGAAGTGAGCGAGCGCGGAGGACGGGGCGATTGATGGGTGATCGAGCGGCGAGGCGAGAGGCGACGCGCGCGGTGACGAAGAGCGAGATTTGATTGTGATATATACGAAGTAGTAGATCTAAGACGCGCGCGACGCGGCGACGACGCGCGCGACGCGCGGCGCGCGCGAGCGCGACGCGCTCACTGCGCGAGATCGCGAAGACAGGCGACCCAGCGGTCGAGGGCGACGACGCGACGGCCGTCGCCGACGTCCATGGAATCGCCGAGATCGTCTTTGCCGTGACGCGCCATCTCGAGAAGCATGAATAATCGCTTAATCGGCACGCGGTCGCCCGTGAGGGCTTGGAGCGCTTGACACGCCCGCGGAAGATCGACGGCGTCAAAGGCGCCGAGCTCGGCGAGCACGGCGGAGGTTTCGCTAGGGCTCAACTCGGGAACGTGTAAGGAGACGTTGAAGGCGGCGTTGAGACCCATGTCCTCGAAAACGAGTGGTAACGACGTCGTACCGATCACCAACAGCTTTCGTCCGGGTGGGGGTTGACGTTTGAGCAACACCAAGAGCGCCTGCAAGACGACGTTGCTAAAGCGCGGGCCGATGGCGACGTACTCGAGCAAGCGCTCGATATCGTCCAATACGATCAACGAGACCGGCGACTTGTAGGCATCATCGAACAATTTTGCGAGAGCTTGACACTTCGCCGCTTCGGAGGCACCGACGAAACCGTCTGAGGTCAAGAGCTTGGTGAACGGGAACTGCGACTTGATCGCGAGCGCGGCTGCGAGCGCCGTTTTTCCACTCCCGGCGCCACCTTCGAGCAAGCACGTCAGCATGGGAGTCTTCTCCGACACCCTGACTTGCTCGATGAGTGACTCCATGGTCGAGACGAGCTTTTCGTACTTTTCTCCGTACGAAATCATTCCATTCAACATGCACCGTTCGAATAGATCCGTCGACGCCCCAAACGCTGGTTTGACCTCGAGCAGCGCGAGCTCGAAATCTGCCATCGTGACTTTGATATTATCTTCGTCAATCGGTGCACCGATATCATTCATATCCACTTGCCTCGTCAGCGCGAACGACACCGCGGATTTCACCAAGCCTTCAATCTCAGCTCCGCTAAAGTTGCCCGTGCGCTTGGCCAATTCCGCCAAGTCGACGTCGCCGCCGAGAAACTCATTTTCACTCATCTTATTCGAGTGAATGTTCAAGATCTGTATCCGTCCGTTCTCATCGGGCAAACCGATTTCGATGTGCACCTCTAAGCGACCGGGGCGCAAGATTGCCTCGTCCAACATATCCTTTCTATTCGTCATACCGATGAGCAAGATGTTGTTCAACGCGTCGACGCCGTCAATCTTCGTAAGCAACTGGTTGACTATGGAGTCGTGCACGCCTGTGCCACTCGAAACACTTCCACGAGATTTACACACCGCATCGATCTCGTCGAAGATTATGATGTGCAAATCACTATCGTCTCCGCGCGCTTTGTACTCGGCTTCGGCGTCTTCAAACAACTTACGAACGTTTTCTTCCGATTGTCCGACGTACTTGGACATTACCTCCGGCCCGTTCACGATTTTCGGCTCTTTGCCGTTCAACATTTTCCCGATTTGCCTCGCGATCAGAGTTTTGCCCGTACCCGGGGGACCGTGAAGGAGCATACCTTTGACGTGTTGGATCCCGAGGCGTTGCACTACGCTCTGCGGGAAAATTCTCGACGAAAACGCTCGTCGAAAGATGTCCTCGAATTGTTGATCCAGACCCCCGATTCCGAGCTTGGAAAAACTAAAATCTTTACTCTTGAACAACCCTGTGTTCATCACCGCCGCTTTTTGACCTAAAATTTTTATACCGCTATTGGACGACGCCTCGTACACGACGGCCGTCGACGGCGTAAACATCCCTCGCAGCGATGTCACGCCTTCCCTCGCCCCCTCCACGACGACGTGATTCACACTAAGCAAATAATTATTCCCACAGTACTCAACCGCCGCCTTTTGTCCCACGGTGAACACCTGCGAGCTAAATGTCCTACGCAAAATCGTCGTCATCGAATTCGCGTCCACGCCCTCGTGCGCGTTCTTCGCGATCAAACTCGCCGCTAACGCCGGTCGCGTGAACTCCAACTCGATCGTCATTCCCGCGCAATCGAACTCTCGGCTCGGCGGTTCGTACTTTCGCCACTTCACCGCGTCTCCGGTGCTCACTCGCAGCTGTTTTCGCTGCACGCCGTTGAGTCCCACCGCCCCCGGCGCCACCTCCGCGCTCGCGCGCGTCAAAAACACGCAATCGCCAATCTCCACGTACGGCGCGCACGCCTCGACGTCGGCATCGTTCACGAACGCGCAGTTCGTCAGCGCCAGTTCCTGCGTCCCGCGCGCGTCGCGTCTCCGTCAGTCTTCGTCGTTTCATCGTTTCACGATTCGACGCGCGATTCGATTCGCAATCTCGAATCGCGCTCGCTCGCGCTCGTCTCGCCCTCGCGCGCCGCGCGCGCGCGCACCTGACTCGGGCAGTTCGCCACGCGCATCGTCCCGCTCATCGCGCGTCGCGCTCGACGCGTCGATCGACCGCGCGTCGCGGATTGCGGTCGCTCGGCGGCACTCGGCGCCGCGTCGTCGATGCGCGACGCGCGCGACGCTCGATCGAGCGCGCGGGACGGGACGACGGGACCGGCGCTGAGCGCGAGCGAGTCCGCGAGCGCGCTGAGCGAGAGCGCGTCGGCGAGCGCGTTCGCGAGCGCGGCGGACGACGCGGAATTCGCGCCGGTGAAACCGCGACACGCGGGGACGAAAGCGGCGCGCGAAAGGAATCACTGCGAAGCGGGCGTCTTCGCCCTGGCGCGAGGGTGGACGTTGCTGCTGTGCTGTCAAGGACCGAGCCGAGGGAAGGCGAGGGGAGATGGAGAGCGTTGTTGAGTGCGCGAGGCGCGCGCGGGGACGAGACGCGGAGGGCGCGTCGAAGGAAGCGAGAGAGGGACGGAACGCGTGCGCGGGGAACGCGGCGGAGACGACTCGGTTGAGGGAAAACGAGGGATGTAGAATGTTGATGGAGATCGTGCGCGAGATGGGGACGATGGAGGCACGCGGTGGGAGGGAGGAGGAGGCGCGGGCGAAGTGCGCGATGTTCGCGTTGCAAACCGTCGTCAACGCGGGGATGGACGATGGCGAGTGTTTGACCGAGGCGTGGGAGTGCGAGGCGATGGAAGATGCACTCAAAGCCGTGACTTCACTGCGCGGGATTGGAGGGGCGAAGACGCACGGATTGGCGTGCGTATTCGTGGACGCGTGCGTGAAGCACGACGGCGCTCGCGCGGAGAAAGTCGTGGATATGGCGCAGAGTTTTTGGCTCTCGCTATTGCGTGCGTCAACAGAAGTTGAAGAACCCGAGAATGTCGGCGGTGGTACGCATTTGATGACGCTGATTCGTACGATATGTTGCAAAGGAGGCGGTTTACCAAAACTTTTCCGCGCGTTATCGCCGAACGGTGCTGAAATTTCTGCTCTCAATGAGGCCATGCTTCGCGCGCGTCTTGTCGAGCTCGCCGAAGATGATTCTCGGGTGAATGAGGTCATGGAAAGTACGCACAAAACGAATCTACCTCAGATGGTGTTTACGTCCGAACAGGCGACTTTGCTGCATTTCATTGCTGCATTGTTGAACGACAAAGATGCGACGTCGTACGTCGACATTCCTCACTCCGAGATACGCGAGGGCGAGCAACCACCACTTTTAATGCCAGAAGGCGTTTTAGCGTTTCTATTAGATACCACCTCTGTCGTCGCCGCACGGTTCGAAGCCGCGGTAGATGATGATGAGCGAAAAGTTGCGCTGTCGATACTCATGGAGTGCGTGAGTATTTTGCGCGCGATGAGTGAGCGCGAGGTGAAGCCTCATGCTGGCGACACCGTCGCGTGTTTAGCGGCAATGGGTCTCGTCAGGCTTACCCTATCGCTTCTCGCGGCGTTACCTGCACCAGAAGGTATAGGACAGACGAGTAAGGCAACGGGACCCGCCGCCGCTCCGAAGCTCAAGCAAAGCGTGCCGGAAGAGTTGAAGAGCGACGTCACGTATCCGTCTCGAGTCCCGTGGTCTGGTTACAGAGTCGACCTGATCGCGATTATTGGAAACGCAGCGTTCAATCGCGCGCGTGTCTGTGACGATGTCGCGAATTTGGGAGGATTACCCATAGTGTTAAATCATACGAGAGGCGAAGAAGGCGAGGCGTACCTCCGAGAGTGGGCGCTTTGGGCAGTGCGAAACTTAACGCAAAGTAGTGAGCTGGCGCGCAGTAAAATCGCCGAGCTTCAACCTCAAGCCGTAGAAGAAAGTGAAGAGCTTCTCTCTAGAAGTCTCGGCGTCGAACTGAATAGAGAAACTGGAAGACCGAGAGTGGTGAGGCGAGAACAGATGCCCATCGAGGACGTCGCGGCGCGGAGAGAGAATGACGACGCCGAGCCCGCGATCCCAACGAATTGGAAAGTCACAGAGCTCTGAATTAGCTGACATTAGTTATTTCCTACATTTGTACCTTGTAAAATACAACGAAGACCAACTAATGCTACTCTATTTCCTTCTAGACCTCAGCTTTTGAAGGACGACGCAAACAACCGTCATCGCCGCCGCGACAAACCACCGATTGCTTCGACTCCTCGAGTGCGCTGATCCACGCACTCGTCGCTCTGAATCTTCTAGTTCCCTCAACGCCACCTCTAACGTAAACGCTCTCTCTATCCGAATCACGCTCGCCGCCACCGACCCTGTGCTCCCAAAGCCCGTCTCCACCGCGCGAGCACCGTGCCTTTCGTAATACTTCAGCAACCGTCCTCGCCCGATCTTCCCATCCACCTCCACGCTCGCCTGCAACCGAGTGATACCTAATTTCCCCGCGTGCGCCTGCGAAACGTACATGAGATACGATCCAAGCCCTTCGCCTCGCCGTCTCGGGACGACGCCCAGGTGCGCGCCGTACCAGCTATCCGCGTACGCGCACCCACACGCAAAACCGACGATCGCACCGCGACGTCCGCGCGCATCGAGCTCGCGCAGGACGAACCACGTTGTTTCGCGCTCTTCGTGGAGCCAGGTGACGCGATCGAAGAAGGCGTCCTCGGTCTCGCCATCGTTCGGGACGCACTCGTCGTTCGGGACATCGTTCGGAAAACATTCGACGTGCGCGGCGCGGAGCTCGGGGAAGAGACGCCGCGCGGCGACGTGGTCGATGATGTCGATGATGAGCATCCTCGTCCGCGCGCGCGCGCGAGGTGGAGGACTTCGATCGTGAAGGGAGTGGGAGTGCGGGGAGTGACGCGCGTCGGTTGGCTGTCTATTCATAAAGTGTTGAATGAAGAGAAGGCGACTACTGCCCTTCTCCCGCTAAGATTACGTCGTCAATCTTGAGAATGAGCTTGACGACTTGCGTGGCGAGCAAAATTTGTTGCTGCTTGCCGATGAGAGTCTCGAACACGCCCTGAGACTTCATGTCGTTGGTGCCAATTTCTTTGCAGTCGACGCCGAGGAACGGATTCTTGTCCTTCAATTGCTGCGCCTTGATCGTGGCCACGCTCTCGATCGGAGGAAGGCCGCTGTTTTCGGCCAAAGCGTTCGGAACAGCGTCAAGAGCGTCCGCGAAGGCGCGCATGGCGTATTGCTCGACGCTTGGAATCTTGTCGGCTTCCTCCTCGACGGCGATTGCGCACGCAACTTCAGCAGAACCGCCGCCGTACACAATGTTGTTCGATCGAACCAAGTTGCGAGCAACACAGATCGCGTCATGCAGAGAACGCTTCGTTTCATCAACCATCATTTTGTTGCCGCCGCGCACGAAGACTGTGACCGCTTTGCTCGCGGCGCAGTCTTCAATGATTACCATGCGTTCCTTAGTCGTTCCAAACGAAACCTCCTTCACCATGCCCGCTGAACCGAGTTTCTCTGGCGTTAACTCCGTGAATCGCGGTACGATACGACCGCCAGTGGCGATAGCCAAAAGCTCAAGCTCGACACCACCGACCCAGCGAATGGCGGGAAGCTTTTGCTGCATGAGCATCGAATTTGCCTCGTCATCAAAACCCCACTGGCAAATGACGAGCGTCGCGCCACAGTCCTTGCATTGCTTCACCATGTCGTTAAAGTACTTTTCTTCTTGCTGACGGAGCTCCTCGTACTTTTCCGCCGTGTCGATTTCAATCTTGTGCTTCGTCTTCGGCTTTGGCGGCTCAAAAGGGCAAGTCAAGATGGCGATCTTTGCGTCCTTAATCTCCTTCGCCATCTGCGGGTGGCTGATGTCCTTGTCCAACACGATACCGTTCACCAACATGGTATCTTCTAGCTTGCCGCCCACCTTGCCTTCAACCTTAATCAAGTCTAAGTTCACATCCTTACGTTCTAAGTCGGCCACCGCCATCACAGCCTTCACGCAAATCTCTGCCATTTCGCGCTTGCACCGGTTCACAATCTTACTACTCAGCGTCGTCATACACGTTTGAATTAACGGTTCGATATTCTCCGCATCGAATTCGAACTTTTCGCTGATTCTTGCCAGCTCCTTTGTCGCCACCTTGGACGCCATCTCGTAGCCTTCCGCGATTCGAAGGGGATGGATACCGCGGTCAAGAAGTGACTCGGCTTGCTCCAACAGCGCGCCCGCTAAAACCACCACGCCGGTCGTCCCATCACCGATCTCGTAGTCCTGCGACTTGGACAGCTCAACCATGAGCTTACCGATCTCATGTTCGACTTCCATTTGATCCAAAATAGTCGCTCCATCATTTGCTGCGAGATAAAATGACCGTCAGTCATCGCGTTCGAAAGTCAAACCTCGCGAGCGCTTCGCCTCGAGTTTCGAAATCGCACACGCACTTATCGTGATGTCGCCGTCGCCAGACTGTAAAATCTTATCCATACCCTACGATATTTCGCGACATCGCGTCGCCTCTCGTCAGTCGCCGCGCGAATGAATCGCGTCTCGCTTCGCTTTACGAAAAAGTCAAACGTCGCGCGCGTCGCCGCGTCTTCATCTCACCTTTGGCCCGAGCGAAGACCGAAGCGTTCGAGCGACGCTCTTCGCCGCCGCGATGTTCGCTTTCTGAGCATCGATCCCGCGCACGCGCGTTTTCGCTCCTTGTTCCTGCATCGCGTAAACGACAAACGCGTTCCAGCGTCAGTGTCCCGATCGCATCGCGCGAGTCCTTCACCATCGCGCGCGCACGTCGCGCGCGCGCGTCCGTTCGTTCGTCCGCCGCGCGCGCGGATACCGCGACGGCTCGTTCGTCGCCCTCGCACCTTGATGATGATGAACGGTCGCCCGAACTCATCGAACGCCAGCGACATGGTTCCGTCGCGGGCCGCCGGGCTGATTGTGCGGCGTCGTCGACGACGATCGATCGATCGACCGACCGACCGACCGCTGGGGCGGGGTGGTTCACCCACAGTACAGTAGTAGTGTTTTACCGTCTATATTAATACGTACGTCAGCTACCGACGTTGTCTACGATGCTAAGATAGTAAAACACAGGATATTAATCGTGTTTACTCGTGTTGATGTGTGTTGATGTGTGTTGATGTGTCTTGGCGCTCGAGCGCCCGGCGTCCGGGCGAGGGGGTCGCCGTCGGTCGCGGCGACGCTCACGGCTCGGTCGTGTCTCCACCTTCCTCCTGGCCCGCGGCGCCGGATATCTTTTCCCGATAGAATTCGAGCTTTGCTATCGTTGGATCGACCAATGTGGCGCGGATCTCACGAATTGCCCCGCTCAACGTCTTCGGACGCTCGCTCAACGGTGGCGTGCGGCGACCGCGCCGACGCCGCTTTGGATTTTTCACGGCGTGAACGAGATGTTCCTTTGCACCGCTTCGCTCGCTCATCGCACGATCCACCTCGAGGGGTGTGGACTCCGTTAAGACCTCTTCGCCTTTAACTCGCGCGTCTTTCGTCGCCGCCGCCGTCGCCGTGACTGCCGTATTGATGGCGGTTTCCATCGACAACGCGCGGCGTTTCGACCCCCCTTTATTGGAGGGATCGTCGTCGTTTCCGTCGTCATCGCGCGTTCCGGTCGACTTCCGGTCGTTGACGTGGCTAAGACGCATACCGGCGCGCGCGTGTGCGTAAACGGTTCGACTTTCCGCGACGAAAACGGCGACCGGCCCCAGTGGTAAAAGTATTTTAGTATCATGTGCCACACTGATTGCGCATACGAGAGCTAGACCGCAAAAATATGGTCGACGCTTGTGATTTTCTACCTCGCGCGCGGGCACGAGCGCGTGTGCGAAGACTTGTTGAATGATTGATTGATCGATTAAAACGTAGGCGAGTTTCCATTCTTTCTTCGGTTGCTTGTTTACGACGAGGCAAAGACGACGACGGTGCCGGAGGCAGTGCCTGCGGCGAAGGAACCTGCGGCGTAGGGCTGCGCTCGAGCGCCGACGTCGCTGACGGCGACACACGTGACGCACGCGCGTTCGGTGGATTCGGGAGACCAGCGAGCGACAATTTCGCCGGATGAATGCCGAACGAAGTCCACGTCGCTCGCGTCGGCGCCAGAAGCGCAGAGCAGGGCGCCCGCGGTTGCGATGGCGGCGCCAGAGTTTGGCGCACACGCTTTGGCGACGGTTCGCGACAACGGATACGGCGCAGCGGTAGACCACGCATATACGTCGCCTACACTAGATGTTGTGATGATCTCACTCGTTGATGCATCATGCAAGACAGACGTCCACGAGGGTTGCGAATCACTCGCGACGTTCATTCGCGTAGAACGCCCGTTCATGCGCAAGTCAAAAACGCGCAAATCGTTCGAGGCCGCGGCGACGACGGTACGACCGTCTGATGAAAACGAAAGCCCGCGAATCTCGGATGCACCATGTGAGTACATCACCATCGGAGCCCCGCCATTCATGGCGATGCGTGCGTCCCAGACCTTGATGTCGCCGCCCGAGCCCGCCGCGGCGACGAGTTGCTCCGCGTCTCGGCCAACCTTGGTGAGCGTCTTCACGCTCCACGGTGCCGCGTGTTCGCCTTGCGTAAGCGCACCAAAAATTTGGCCAGTAGCGAGATCCATTTGCACGATTTGTCCCATATCTGTACCCACGCAAACGATGCGCTCGTTCATGACCGTCGTCGCACTCATGCCCCTGGGTGCGCGCATGAGTGCCGCTGGCTTTCGGCTGTCGGGTGCCCACAAGCGGAGACAGTCGTCAGCGCTTGCAGTCAAAAGTGATAAGCCACCCGGACCATCGATAAAATCGAGGGAAATCAATGACTTTCGCACATCCAGCTTTTGAAATGGTTGCATAGCGTTTACGGCGATTTCAGACGTCGACGGCTGCTGATCATTCAGTGGCGAGCCTTCCTCGCGCACGACTCGTCTCTGCGTCTCTTCGTTCGAATGTATCTCGTTTTCGAGAGTTATCAATTTTGCCACCCCTTTAGACGGTACCGTAACATTCAAGTCATACGGTTGTTCGTCGCTCGTGCACTCGAGTAACTGTCGCTGAATCGCCGCGGCTCTGGCGTACAGGTCCGCTTCCTCGCTTTGAAGTTGACGCAAAGCGCGTGTGACATCGACCGCTTCGCTTTGTCGCTTTGCAATCTCACGCTTGACTTCGACCAACTGCGCTGCAAGTTCCTTGGGTGTCGTCGCCAAAGGTTCCATGACGAGCGGTGACATTCGAGCAGACACCGTCGCGCCCTGCACGCGTCCCTGAAACTCGCGCCCGTCCGGCGTCACACACGCATTACTGTACATCGCCGGAACACCACGAAGTGGTGACTTTTCACGAAGGGGGATCGAGCTCGGCCACGGCACCGCGTTATAAACCGCCGGCGTCGGCGGTAGGCCGTTCGTGTGCGCCAACGGCGCCAACCGCTTCTGTTCGCTCTGCGTCGCCCAAAACGTCTTCGACTCACTCCTATCCCCTTGCATCGCAAACGTGAAGCTATCCGTCGTCGTCGTCGTCGTCGTCGTCGCCTCCACGTCGGCGGTATCAAAATTCTCCCCGTCCTTCGCCTTCTTCGCCGCCGGCGTCGACGCCCGCCTCGCGCGCTTCCCCATCCCTCCCTCGCGCTCCGCGCTCAGCTCCACGTTCTCCAGCGATCGCATCGCGTTAATCGGCGTAAAGTTAAACGTCTCCGTCGCCTCTCCCGCGCCCGTCTCGCACCCCCCCCCGCGTCCGTCCTCCGAATCACCCATCGCCTTCGTCCCCTTCGCGCTCGATCGCGCGCTTCTTCGTCGCGTCGCGCTCGCGCCGCGCGCCATCTCCCGATCCCGACCGCGCGCGTTCGCCGCGAATCAACGCGTCGCGTCGCGTCGCGTCGTCGTCGCGCGTCGTCGGCGCCTCGCGTCGTCGTCGCGCGCGCCGTTTTGCCGTCGCGCCGATTCGTTTCCCGCGCTTCGTTCCCCTCGCCCGATCGGCGCGCGCCGCGCCGTTTTTCGTGCGTTTCGTCCATCCACGTTTATAGCGTCGAGCGCACGTTAAACGCGTGATCTCGCGCGCGCGGTCCGCTTTATCGGTGTCTCGGGTCCGCGCGCGTGATGGTGGTTTCGGATCCGTGTGTATGGGTATTTCGCGCCCGCGCGCCCGCGCGCGCGACGTCGATCGTCGCGTCGGCGTCGCCGGATCGTCGCGATCGGGGCGACGCGCGGGCGACGCGACGCCGGCGCGCGCGGGCGACGACGCGCGACGCGCGCGCGGTGCGACGCGAACGTCGCGTCGACCGCGCGTCGCCGCGATCGCGACGCCGACGCGACGACGACGCGCGACGCGCGAGGGGGGCGAGGACGCGAATGGACGTTTCGGCGTTGACTCGGGAGGCGCGGGCGCGGGCGCTGGAGACGGCGGCGGGAGGGGGGCGGGACGGGGAGGCGCGCGCGCGGGCGTGCGAGACGGTGGGATGGATGGCGGCGAGCGCGACGAGGGAGGAGGCGCGCGAGGCGCTGGTGCGGCTGGGAGGGAGACTGGCGCGAGGGGAGGAGGCGCGCGAGGAGGCGCGCGAGAGCGCGGCGCGAGCGATGGGGAGGATTTTGGAGAGGGTGCGCGCGATGCCGTCGACGTCGACGTTTTTGGCGCTGGATGCGGACGCGCGCGATGCGGTGGTGCGCGCGCTCGGGGGGTGCGCGAGAGAGGAGTGCGCGGAGGTGGCGATTTCGGCGCTCGGCGCGGCGCGCGCGGCGGCGCGAGATCGAGCCGACGCCGTCGTCGTGGTGCGCGAAATAATCGCGCCGAGCTTGACGCATCGTTCGAGTAAAGTGCGTCAACACGCGCTGTGCGCGCTGCGGGAGACGATGTCGGCGAGCGGGTACGACGACGTCGCTTTTCATCTCACGGGTGGCGGATATCGAGGCGACGACGACAGTCGTCGCGTGAACTATTTTGGCGCGCTCGCGTGCGATCGATCGCCACTCGTGCGCATGGAATTCATTCGATTATGTGGAACGATTGTTAATGTCCGTCGCGATGATCAAATGCCGCGAGTGCTTCCTTACATACTCGGTGCGTTGAAGGATGACATCGACGACGTGCGCGCCGTGGGCGAAGAAGTCGCGCATTCCTCGGCGGAGGATTTTGAAGATTTGGTGTGTCGACACCTCGGCGACGTGCTCGTTCCAGCGCTCAATGAGCTCAGCGCGCACGCCAGCGTCGGTTGGCGCGAAGATGTCGTGCGGCGAGTGTTGGATTTGTTGGAGGCTGCGCTGCGCGTCGCCGGAGAGCGAGCGACACAGTTTGTCCCAAACGTGCGCGAAGGTTTACAAGAGGTGCTCGCGGTGGAAACTTTCGATGAAAATACGAAGCGACGAGCGATCGAAGTGGAAAAGTGCATGATTAGCGCGCACGTACAACAGTTTTATTGACAACTTTATTGCTGCTGTTCTTGAGCATCCGTCTCGGGCTCGCCGACGCGAGCCCACAACGCCAAGCCACCGCCTCGACCTCGCGCGGCGATGCACTTATCGTCGGTGTACACGAACTTGAAGAAAGGATTGGCACCGGGCTTGGATGCTTTTACGTCCGATTTCTCTATGTTACCTTGCCCAGAGCTCGCGCTTTGCTCGGCGGCTTTCACGGCTTCCCATTTGCCGTCGTCTATATCCTTCGACCACGGTCCTAGGGAACCGAGCGCTAAGCTCACGCGCGTAAAAGTGAATTCCAACATGTCCAACTTTTCGCGCCAGATGAATGGTCCGTCGAAAAAGAACTTAATAGGGCCGAGGTAGATTCCGTTGCGAATGCGTCCCGAGTTCAAGTCAAACGACTGCACGGCGGGAATGGGAAAGTAGCTCCCACCACCCGTTCGATTGACGTTCGCCGCAACTTTCTTTGTTCCCGTGGTGTAAATCAATCGCCACTGACCGGTCAATTCCTCGCCTTTGACGTTGTCCTTGTCTTTGGACTTTTCGAGCGCAGAGATGGAGGTGAAAATATCGTCCACGTACGCCCGTCGCGACTCTGCGGCGAGGTGCAACGTCTTCACGGGATCCGGCTTCGCCGACGGATCGTCACTCAAAGCCTTTTCCACGACACGAGCGGCGGGACAGAATCCTAAAATCCCTTGATCGTCGTGTCTGAACGCAGCTTTCCCGTCGTCGAAGACGATGACCCCACCGCGCTGCACCAACAAGTTGCTATCCTTCGGCGTCAACGCTTCCCAGTTATTGAGAATTTGAATCATGTTGTTCAATCGCAACGTTGCAAGCTCAAAAGGCCGCAAGTAACCGTCTCCGAGCGTGAGTTTCATCGCCTTGCGAATCGCCGGAACGTCCAGGTTGCTTCCTTCCACAAAGATTTCATCCTTATATTTCGACCCAAAATACCCCCCGAACACCGCCGGAAGCGTCCCGGGCGACCCAATCCCCGCGCACATCAGCAACAATTTCGCGTACCCGTTCACAAACGGCGTCTTGTCTTCCATCCACGCGAAATCCCCTCCCGCGCGTCCGAGTCCCGGCGCGAAACCGAGCGCCTCGTGACACTTCCCTCCCTCATCCGCGTACAAATTCTCCAGCGGAAACCTCGTGCGCTTCGAGAACTCCCTCGCCGCGTCCGCGCTCCCGATCCCGATCGCCACCACGCGCACGCCCGCCCGTTTCATCGCGTCCAAATCGTCCACCAATCGCTGCGCGAGCTCCCACGAATCGAAATCCCCAAACTGCGTCAAAAACAGCGCCGCCACGCGTCCCTCGCGCGCGATCGCGTCCCCGACCGCGTCGACCTCGACCCCATCCACCGCGCGCGCGATTTTCACCTCGCGCAGCGCCTCCAACGCGTCCACGGCCGCGTCGGACGTCGCCGTTGCGGATGACGTCGTCGTCGTCGCGCGGTTCGCGCGCGTCGCCCGCGCGACGCGCGTCGCGCGCGTCCCGCGTCGCGCGCCCGCGCGCGCGTCCACCGCGCGTCCCGCGCCGCGCGCCGCCGTCGCGCGCGCCATGTCGCCGCCGCCCCGTCGTCGTCGTCGCGGTCTCGCGCGTCGCGCGTCGCGTCGCCGCGACCGACCGACCGACCGACCGACCGATCGATCGCCCCGATCGATCGATCGATCGAGTCGACCCGCCCACCGATCGATCGATCGACCCATCCACCGATCGATCGATCGACCCACCGATCGATCCACCGATCCACCGATCGATCGATCGAGTCGACCCACCCACCGATCGATCGACCCACCCACCGATCGATCGACCCACCCACCGACCGATCACCCACCGACCGACCGATCACCCGATCGACCCACGCACCGATCGATCGATCGATCGATCGACCCACTCGACCGACCCGCGCGATCGCCGCGCCCGCGCGATCGCCGCAACATCCCGCGAGGGGACGGGGCGCACATCTCCGCGCGCCGCGTCGCGTCGCGCGCGTCGCGTCGCGCGATGGACGTCGACGCGCGCGACGCGCGTCGGCGCGCGGCGACGCGCGCGCCGATCGGACACGTGACGCTCGCGATCGACACCAAGGTGCGCGCGCGCGGACGACGCGCGCGGGGCGAACGACGCGCGCGCGAAACGAACGCGTCGAGGGATTGGCGCGATGTCGTCGCGACGCGCGCGGGCGCGCGGCGCGAGCGCGCGATGCGAACGACGCGAAAGGAACGAGGAGGGGCGACGGTCGAACGCGAGCGATGGACTGACGATGGAACGGACGCGCGCGCGAGGGATAGGCGTCGACGAGAGGACGACGGGGACGACGCGACGACGCGGGAGGGACGACGAGCGACGCGGGCGCGAAGCCGTTGCCGGATTACGAGGCGTCGCAGATGCCGGTGTACGATGGGGAGACCGTGGGGGAGTTTTGCGCGCGCGTGGTCGGGGTGCCGAGCGTGGATTCGAGCGTGGAGTTGTTGTGGGGGACGATCTTGTTGCCGGAGACCGAGGCGTTGCAGCAGTTGGTGATCACCAAGCCTTGGCAGATCGACTTTAGGTCGGGTAAGGAAAAGTTATTGCTGCGTCTGCCTCCGGGAGTCCAGCCGTCGAGGGAGATGGAAAAGTATATGAAGATTAAGGAGGTCGTCGTCGAGCCGCGCGAACTCGAAGTCGCCCTCGCGAAACCCGCGCAGCAGAAAGTAAAAGTGGCTGTTGCGGCGAAGAGAAAGCGATCGAAGGCTTCAGTCGACGACGATGAAGTGCTCGAGGATGACTTAGAAGCCGCGTTGAGTGGGTTGGTGTCCGTGAAACAACCTCGTATCGGCGGAGCCAACGCGGACTTGAAGAGCGAACCAGTCGCCGAGGCGGTGAGAGACCCATCGCCTGTTCCTCTTCCTCCCTTGGTCGAGGTACGGATGATACGAGAATCGATGGACGAGTTGCGCAGACCGCGTGGGACGCGGAAAATGCGACCTCTGATTGATTTCTACGCCGACCTCGGGAAAATTCCAGAAGACACATACTTCCGCAAGGTTCCGCGACACGTGCAAGTGGCGGATCGTTATTGCTCCTTCTTTCTCAACGACGTTACAGACGCGGGCGAAGAAGCAGAGATCGCTAAGCAGCTCGCTGCCCTGTCTGATCAGAGGCGCAGCCAACGTGTGTCGCATAAGAAGGTTACGCGAGGTCCGTCGGCGTTGGCGGCGCCGGCTCATCCGTACGCGAACTATCTCGGCATGGCGGCCATGCAAGAAAATCTATTAGCAGCCATGGAAAACAAATCATCCATGATTGCGGAGCGTAGTGGCTTCCGTGGCTTGCAGGGTCCAGTGCCAATAGAGAGAATGAAGGCTGTTATCTTCCAGACCAGCACCATCGGCGACGTCGTCGCAAAGATGAAACAGCAAGCAGACGAATACCAGTTCGACATGAGCAGGGTACAATCAAGCACGTTTGGTTGTTTGTACTACATGCGTCTCATCAATGAGGCCTTACAATCGATCGCGCTGCTTCCAGCGTCCTTTGCCGATCCAAATTCAATCGCGGAAATACGTCAACAAAGCTCGACGGCGACGTTTGTGCACGACTGCCACGCATTTTCATGACGACGCGAGCCCGTTTGTATCATACCGATGTCCACAGCCAACAATCACCGTAGCAGTATAGTACCATGATAATACATATCTGAATTCAATATGAACCGCGGCTCCGCTGCTCCTTCGCTCTGACGACCCAACGGCGCTCACGTGCGAAAAAGTGTGACGCGCACGGCGCTGGTCACACTTTAACGCGCGCAATCGTACCTTACCCGCAAAGTGCTCGCGTACACTGACGGACATCGTCTCGATCACTCATCATGGCGTCTGCGAGCGCCGATACCCTCGCGCGTGACTCGGTCGTCACGTCGCCCACTTCTGACCTCTTGGTGCTTTCGCGAGACGACGAGAGGATTAGCACGACCCCGACTTCGGAAGCCACGACGACGGCCTCCCCGTGTACGGTGACGCTCATGTCACCGAGCGTGTTTCTCGCCAGCCACGAAGAGATGTTTCCGTGCGACTTGGTGGATTTGATAAACATGCTCAACGACTCCGACTCCGACGTCGAGTCGGGATCGGCCGCGGCGCCGTCGTCGAGCTCGAGCGTGGCGCGTTCGCATGAGTATTCGTCTTCGATCGCAAACAACGGAAAGGGAAAATCATCATACTGGCAAAATCAGGCGCTCTGTTCACCCGCTCGTCGAGCGTTCTGGTGCGGCGACTCGTGTCGCTTGCCCGACGCTCGCGAAATCTCGAGACGCTTGGACGAGCTCAATGCTCAATACGTGCTTCGCGTGAGAAGTATGCGCACGCGCTGAGATTCCATCGATTGACACATGCCGACTCACCACGAACGAGCACTGGCGCGATCGATTCGCTCCTCTGTACACTAGTTGAAAGAGTTGAAGATTGAAGAGTTGAAGTTGTGAAGTTGACAAGTTGGACGCGTCTCGCGTCGCGCGGTGGCTCCATCTTTTGATCAATATACTTTACAAAACTCGCGCGCCGACGCGACTCGATCGTTATCGCGCCTACGAAACATCATCACCGCACGCTTTATCGGCCACCGACGTTCGATTCCCGTTTTTCGCGGCGTTCGACTTTGCGCCGGCGGCGTCACCTCGCGCTCGATTCCGTCTCTCCTCGTGCCTTCGCCCGAACGTGGCGTACAGCGCTCGACTCAGCGCGCTTTTATTTCACGACCTAGAAGCGTCGTTCACCGTCGTCGCCGTCGTCGTCGGCTCGCGCGTCGCGTCGTCGTCGCTCGTCGTCATCGTCCCGCGTCGCCAACTGTCGCCGTCGTCCGTCGTTCGCGCCGCGGGCGAAGTCGCGTCCGCGTTTCGCGGTCGCGCGCGCCCTGCGGTCGAGCCTCGCGCCTCGATTCGCGGCGGAGGTGCCGGATTCGATCTCGCGCGGGGCGGACCAGTTCGCGAAGCGGCGCGGCGAGTGCGGGAGTCGTACGAATAGAATAGCTTGCATTAATCATAGCTCACGCGTCGCTCGCGTCGCTGTCTTGAACGATGTCGGTGTCGTCGGAGTCGTCGACGTCTATTTCCTCGACGACGACGGCTTCCTTCTCCTTCTTGGGCGGCTTGGGCGCCATGCGCTCGGCGCAGCTTTGGAAATCGATGGCGGCTTGGCTCGTTAAAGGATCGGTGAACATTTCTGCCGCAACCTTTTCGCTGATGGTGAACGTATCGCAGCCTTTCGCCGCGAGCTTCGCCATCTCTGCCACCGTGCGCACGCTCGCCACGAGAATGCGCATATCGCTCTCCAACTCATCCACGGTTTCTTGCATCGAGACGATGGTTCCCAAGCCGTCTCGACCGGCGTCGTTCATTCGTCCCAAATACGGCGCTATATAATTCGCTCCGATCGACGCCGCCACGAGCACTTGATGCGGTGCATACGCCGCCGTCATCGTCACCCGCACCCCGTCCACGACCAACGCGTTCGCCGCCTTTATCCCCTCCAGCGTCACCGGCACCTTGACCACCACGCGCTCCGGGTCCAGTCGCGCCAACGCGATTCCATTCTTCCACATCTCATCGCTATCCTCCCCCCACGTCTGCACTTGAAACTCTTCCACCGCATCAAACTCAAGCGCATTCCTCGCCAGCGCGCTCAGCGCATCGACGCTACACTCCACGCCGTCCCGTTCCAATATCGTCGGATTCGTCGTCACGCCGACGAACATCCCCGTGGGCAACCACGCGTCGAACGTCTCCTCGTCCGCCGTGTCCAGAAACAACCGCAGCGTGCCTCGGTAATCATCCTCGGCGACCTCCACCGCGTCCGACGCTCGCATGACCGCGCGCGCATCGCTCGCGCTCGTCGTCGTCGCGTCGCTCTTCGAATCCTCCTCTCGCCCATCCTCCGTCGCTCGCGCGACGACGCGCGCGCGCGTCGTCCGCGTCGTCCGCGCCGCGCGCGTCGTTCGCGCGCGCGCGCGCGTCGCCGTCGCCGTCGCCGTCGCCGTCGCCGTCGCGCGCGCGACGATCGCGCGCGACATGTCTCGCGCCGTCGTGTGCGGCGAAAACCTCTGCGATTTCGCCATTGATCGACGCTCGAGCGCGTCGTTCGTCGTCCGCGGTCGTCGCGGTCGCGCGCGGTCGCGCGCGCGGACGAAGGCGCGCCCGGCGCGCGCGCGGAGGCGCTCGGCGCGTCGCGGTCGCGCGCGATGGCGTCGAAATCGAGCGCGATCGTGCGCAACGTGGCCAACCTGCGCGGGCTGCGGTACCGCTTGGTGGACGCGAGGGGCGAGGTGCTGGGTCGATTGGCGTCGCGGATCGCGGTGGCGCTGCAGGGTAAGGATAAGCCGACGTACGCGCCGGGCGCGGGGAGCGGGGACGTCGTGGTGGTGGTGAACGCGGGGGAGGTGCACCTGACGGGGGAGAAGCTGAAGAAGAAGCGGTATCATCGACACACGGGATACGTCGGGGGATTGGTGACGCGCACGGCGAGGGAGATGTTCGATCGAGATCCGACGTGGGTGCTGAGAAAAGCGGTCGAACGCATGCTGCCGAGGTGCGTGCGGAGCAAGGAGACGATGCGGAAGTTGAGGGTGTTTCCGGGGGCGGAGCACGCGTTTGATGAATCGAAAATGTCGCGCATGGAGGCGCCGGCGCGAGGGTTGAGTAAGCCGCCGGATGCGCGATCGCCGGAGGGAATGGTGGCGTTCAATCCGGAGGCACACGCGCGACGCGTGGCGCTGGCCGCGCGGAGTGAAGAGGCGAAGGCGATGTACGCGCGCAGAGCGGCGCTCGCAAAGTCGAGAGCCGAGGAGGCGGCGGCGAACCCGAGCGCGGAAAGTTAGAGTAGGATTTTAGATTTGATTCATAAAGGTTGTTACTTGAGAAAATGTCACGGCATCGCGCCTCGTGAGGCGCGCCGTGCGCGATGCGCGGCGATGATTTAGATCAAACCAGCCTTCTTGGCGTTGAACTTACCGCCGTCAATCATCAAGTCGGCGTTGGCCATGCGGCCGAGGGTGACGAGCATGGTGATCCACAAGCACAAGTAGCCGGTGGCGGTGACGATGAAACCTCTCCACATGAGCTGAATGGCGTCAACGGCTTCGCGGCAGCCCGGTTGAACCCACATGAACGTGTTGGAGATGAAGTCGCACTTGAGGATGGACTCAAACTGCCAAATGACGTTGTAGACGTTCGTGATGTCGCTGACCATCTGCGTCGTCACGCCACTTACTCCGTTGTAGTAAGTCCCAATGTCCCCGCCGATTGTCTGGGTAACGCGTGTACTTGAACTCAACGTGAAGTTGAGGTAGCCGCTAGGAGTGTCGCCTGACCGACAATCCCACGTCACAAAGGGCGTGAACGTAGCCGACGGGGCCGCGGACGTGCCGCCGAGGTCGCCCCTGTGGTAGGCTTCGCAGGCTTTGTTTGCGAATTCGTCGCTCCATAACGGGGATACCCAGGAACCAGCATTACGTTGGGAGGCGGTACCGCACAAGTTATCCCAGGTCTGCTTTTCATAGGCCGGGCACAGAAAATTTTTTTGGTTTCCAGCACCCACACCACCGTTGTGCGTGAAAACTTTGTCGTTGAGGTCATGCACCATGATGTTGATTTGTTCGCGGAACTTTGAACCGAATTGGACGACATCTTTCGCGTCTGGGCACGGAATTTCCTTGCTGATGGAGACAGAATCCGGATTTTGGACGTACAAATCCATCGTGTAGCACAAGTCGTCGAGGAAGACGCCGACGGCGGCCAAGGCGCCGACGACGATCCACGTGGCGATCAAAATCAAAGACGTCAAGACGGAGAAAATGATGAGTAAGCGCCAGAAGTTCAGCACAGAGAGTACCATCGTGATCACGGCAACGCCGAGGAGAACACCGGCGACGATGTCGGCGGCGAGTTGGACGTCTTCTTGTGCTTTGTCGATGCTATTCTTCGTCTTGGTAATTTCCACGTTTGCCGTGGTAGCCGCGGTGCTCAGGTCAGTGAGTTCGGCGGTGTCCATGTCGGTCGATTGAACGGCAGCTAATGTCGTCTGGAGCGAGCTCACATCGTTCGACAGGTCGTTCGTGGCGTTGACCAAACCGCTCGTGATCGTTCGCACGCCGCTGGAGACGTCCGGAGACGCGGCGTAGATGACGACGCAACCGCAGAAGCACAGAGCCACAAACAAGAGTTGCACTCCCTTGGCCACGTGCAAAGCCTTGCGCGTATACGGTCTCGGTCGGAAGCAGCATTTGCACACGCCGCAGCACTTGCACACGGAGGAGATGAGGTAGAAGAAGCACACCAAAAGCATCGAAGCGAACAACATGATGGCGATGACGATGCCCGGCAGCGCTTGACCGACGATCGATCCGACGTACGCCCGATCCAGGGCCATCTGACCTTCATACTTCTCATTCGTCTCGATGTTCACGCGCGGAATGCCCGTGAACGGTTCCGGCAAGTTCGGTTGCCCGTCGAGGACGTAATACTTGTAATTGTCGTACTCCCACGTCATTTGCTGGCAATCCGAACTTCCATAAAACGACGTCGTGCCGCAATCGCCCGCGGACGTCGGGCAGTTGGCGTCTCTCCCGAACGTCGTCACCGTCGGCGGACAGGTCGACCCGCCTCCGTAGTACGGACCGTAGTACCCCGGATTGTTGTACGAATTCGACGACGTGGGCGTGGGATTCGGTCCCCACCCATCGTGTCCCGCGTTCGCGCCCGCGATCGGGCCGAGCGCCACGCACGCGAGCGCGACCGCGACGGCCGCGGCGACGAAGGAGCGCTGTCGCGCCATGACGCGCGTCGACGGTTCGATCGACGGGCGCTCGCGCGACACGCTCTGACGCGTTCGATCCGTTCGATCGCGTCGATCCCCCGCGGCTATTTTCGCCGGTGCCAGCTGGCACGTATGGGCAAACAGTGCGCGTGTATGTATGTATATAGGCGCGATCGTTAAAATGCGCCACGTGGTGCGTGGAGCGCTACCCGCGCGCGCGGGGCGACGCGACGCCGTCGCGGACGCGGACGACGTCGAGGTCGACGTCGGGGTCGACGTCGAGGTCGTCGTCGATGATTTCTTTCACGGCGCGCGCGACGTCGGCGGTGACGACGCCGAGGGCGTCGGCGCAGAGGTAGGCGCAGAGGTAGCGGGACTTGAGCGCGGCGCGGCGGCGTCGCGCGCGGTCGGACGCCGACGCGCGCGCGGCGACGTCGAGAGCGCGAGAGAGGTCGAGCAGGGCTCGAATGGGGATGGTTGGGGCGGCGAACAGGGCGCGGAGGTCGGCGGTGAGCGCGCGCTGGAGAGCGCGAGGGGAGGGGGGGGAGGGGAGCGCGCGCGGCGCGCGGCGGACGACGTCGAGCGCGGCGTCTCGCGCGCACTGGGCCTCCGCGATCGCACCGCGCTCGGCGCTGAGCACAGCGGATAGTTCTAACATCGCGTCGCACGCGATTTCCTCTTCATCGCTCCAATCTCCGTTGAAAGATCGCTTGACGAGGACGTACGCCGAGAGCGCGTTGACGCAGTGCCAGCGAAGCGCTTCGGGGGCTTCTTTACCCCCGCTCAACCTCTCAAACGGATCCAAAGCTTCATCCGCGCTCGCGAGCGGTGGTATGCCTTTATCTTTGTCGTTCGCGCCCTCGCTCGTCGTCGGTTCACACAGATCGAGCTCCGCCACCGCGCGCTCGCCCCTCGCGCTCGCGCGCGTTCGTCCAGCCTCGGGCGATTCCCACCACGGCACCCACGCCTCCACGAGCTCCCCGCTCGCGACCGCCCGCTCAAAACTCGCCCGTTCTTCCTCATTCAACGCTTCTAAATCCAACTCTCCCCCCGCGCGCAGTACCTCCAAGCTCGCCTCGCTCAGCACGCACCGCTCGCCGCCGTCGTCGTCGTCGTCGCCCTCCTCCTCCTCCTCCTCCTCCTCGATCCCGAGATCCAGCGTCCCGTCCGCCACCGCGCGTCGCCGCAAAGTCTCCATCATCTCCCGCTTCGTCTCCGCCGTCGCCGTCATCCCTCGCATCGCGCTCGCGAGCGCGTCCTCGTGAAATCGACTTTGACACTTCCCATCGTTGTGTCGCTCGTAGCACGCCAGCGCGCACAGCCTCGCGCCGCACTTCGGACACGCGTACCTCGCGCGCGCTTTCTCGCACGCCCCGCACGTCGTCGCGGCGCTCTCACCGTCCATTCGCGTCGACTCGCATCGACGCGCGCGCGGATCGATTCGCGGCGTCGCGCTCTGACGCCGCATCGCGTCGCGCTCGACGCGCGATGCGCCGACGCGCGCCGCGCGCGATCCGCGACGTCATCGCGCGTCGACGCGCGCACACGGAGGCGTGCGTGTACGCCGAGCGCGGCGCGCCGGGGGAGGTCCTGCGCGTGGCGTCGATACCGTTGCCGGACGAACTGGGCGAGGACGACGTGCGCGTGCGCGTCCTCGCCGCGCCGGTGAACCCGTCGGACGTGAACATGATCGAGGGTAAGTACCCGGTCGCGCGCGAGCTGCCGGCGTGCGGAGGGAACGAGATGGTGGGGGAGGTGACGGCGTGCGGGACGAGGGCGCTGGCGAGGGGCGCGCGAACGGGCGACAGAGTGGTGCCGAATCGATCGTACGCGCTGGGAACGTGGCGACGAGAGGTGGTGGCGAACGCGAACGCGTTTGATGTGATCGATCGGGACGTGCCCGTGCACGAGGCGGCGATGATGACGGTGAATCCGTGCACGGCGCTGCGGCTGTTGGTCGATAACGACGCGCGAGAGGGGGATACGATCGTCGTGAACGCCGCGACTTCGGGGGTTGGACGGGCGTTATTGCAGCTCGCACGCGCGAGGGGTATTAGAACGATAGCTATGTGTCGGCCGAGATCGAGCGAGACGGCGACGGAGGAGGTTTTTGAATCGTTGCGCGCCGACGGCGCCGACGTCGTGATACCAGACGTCGAGGGTAAATTCCTCCGACTCGACGCGAAAACGCGCGAACTCGCGACGAGGGCGCGGTTTGGGTTTAACGCCGTGAGTGGATATAGCGCGCAAACCATGCTTAGACTGCTTCAGCCGAACGCATCGTCCGTCATGGTTACCTACGGCGGCATGTCCAAGCAACCGCTCGTCGTTCCCACCGGCGCCTTCATCTTCAAAGACATCACCCTCAAAGGCTTCTGGCTCACCCGCTGGCTCGAGCACGACGAAAACACCACTCAAGGCGCCGGTCGCCGCGACATGCTCGCCCAAATCTCGCGAGAGATTCACGACGGCGCGCTCCGCACGCCCTCGTCCCGTCTCCGCGACGTCCCCCTGCGCGGTCTTCCCGAGGCCCTTCGCCTCGACGCCGCCGCCGACCTCGACCCCTCGGCCTCGATCGGCCGTTTAAAAATTCTCGTTCGTTGTTAACGACGCACTTTTCTCGCGCGCGCCGTCGTCGCGTCGCCTCGCCGCGTCTCGCTCGCGCGCGATCCATCCCGAATCCCCCCCACACGTCACTGTTTGCCCACACGGCGGTCGGTCGCCCATCGATCGGCGGCGGCTCGGTCGGATAATGCGCGCGCTCGCGTCGTCTCGCGCGCACACGCCGTCGCGTCGCGTCCACCGCGCGCCGCGTCCGCCGCGCTCGCGTCGTTCGACCGCGCGCGCACCCGTCGCGCGCCTCGCCTCGCGGCCTCGCGGCGTCGCGCGCGCGTCCGCCGGCGCGCGCGCCCGACTCGAGGGTTCCAGCGTTCAGGGCTTTGCCGCGCGTCGAACGCGCGCGGACGATCATGTGCGGGATCTTCAGCGTCCTGCGCCTCACGGGCGACGCGCGCAAGAATCGGCAGCGCGTGTATCAGCTCGCGAAGCGGCTGCGACACCGAGGACCGGATTCGTACGGGATGGAGGTGCGATTGGACGACGCGGGACGACAAACCTTCATGGTGCACAAGCGCCTGAGCATCGTGGCGCCGGGAAAGAGCGGCGATCAACCGCTGTTCACGGACGCGACGAAGAGGACGGCGTTCATCGCGAACGGGGAGATTTATAATCACGCGGAATTGAGGGAAAAGTATGGAATCGTGAGCGAGAATAAGAGCGATTGTCAAGTCATCGGGCACCTGTACGAGCAGCACGGGCCGAGCTTTGTGAGCGAGCTCGACGGAATGTTCGCGTTCGTGATTGAGGATCGCGAGAACGATGTGATCGTGGCGGCGAGAGATCACATGGGTAAGATTCCGATGTATATGGCGAACGGGAAGGATGGGAGCGTGTGGTTTAGCAGCGAGATGAAGACACTTCACGACGACCCGGGGGTGGCGAATTATGAAATCTTCCCCCCTGGTCACGTGTACGTCAAGAAGGGGGACGCGCCGGCGACGATCGAGCGCTGGTACAACCCGCAGTGGATTACGGATGAAAATTACGTGCCGACCAAGGAGGCAAACTTGGAGGAGCTCCGTGAGTGCGTCGTCGACGCCGTCACCAAGCGTTTGATGGCGGACGTCCCGTACGCCGTGCTCCTCTCTGGAGGCCTCGACTCTTCGTTGATCACTTCCATCGCTGTGCGTCAGCGTAAGTTAGCGAAGAACACGTACGGTGCGGACGAACCCGTGCACTCGTTTTCCATCGGTATCAAGGGGGCACCAGATTTAGTCGCCGCTCGCAAGGTTGCCGAGCAACTCGGAACGATTCACCACGAGGTGCATTTCACGCCTGAGGAAGCCTTGGACGCGCTTCCGGATGTCATTTGGCATCTGGAAACGTTCGAACAAGTTCGGGCGTCGGTGCCAATGTATCTTTTGAGCCGTCATATCAAGTCACTGGGATTCAAGATGGTGCTGTCGGGCGAGGGCGCGGATGAGCTCTTCGGCGGATACTTGTATTTTCACAAGGCGCCGAACCCGGCTGAATTCCACGCCGAGTGCCGTCGGAAGACCATGCGATTGCACCAATGGGACGTTTTGCGCGCGAACAAATCAACTATGAGTTGGGGCATTGAGGTGCGCACTCCGCTCTTGTCTCAGCAAGTCATCGATCTCGCGATGAACATGCGACCGGAGGACAAGATGATTGATGTCAACAAGAAGGATGCGGATGGGCGTCCGTACTTGGAAAAGTACATCCTTCGCAAGGCGTTCGACACCCCTGGAGATTCCTACTTGCCGCAAGAAGTGCTTTGGCGACAAAAAGAACAATTTAGCGACGGCGTCGGCTACGACTGGGTCGACGGTTTGGCGGCGCATGCCGAGCTCGAAGTGTCGGATGAAGACTTTGCGAGACGCGCCCAACGCTTCCCGCTGCATCCGCCGACGACGAAGGAGTATTACTTGCTCCGCTCCATTTTCGAGGAGCACTTTGTGACTGGATTTGAGAATGGTGACTGCGCGTATGCGACGTGCCCATTTGGCAAATCTATCGCGTGTTCCACTCCGGAAGCCGTGTGCTGGGATCCTGAGTGGGAGAAGAGCGTCGGGGATATTTCTGGCCGGGCGGTGAAGAACGTGCACGTCGCGGCGGATAAGTTTGATGTGAAGAAGGATGGGACAGCCGCGACTATCTCTGCGACTATGACGGGTGTTCGGGAGCGTGGTGTTCGTGTCAAGGCGCGCGCGGTGCGTGGCGTCCCGCAACAGCAAGCGCGTCGCGGGCATGTCCGGTTCTCCGGTTTGCGCGCCTCTCCCGCCTCCAAGGTTTTACTTTTGTAGGCTTTTGTACGGGAGGAATAGATTGCACCTAGACGGAATAAACATTGATTGAGAATACAATATCCACAACATAGAACGCGACTAGAACCACATAAATAGTGGTCGAGGAATCGGTGAATACAACGGGCGTGGTGTCGCGACGATGGGACGTTTCATTCCTCATTTACTGAGGTCTTCTTGGGATGCATTCCTCGACATCGGTCGAGAGACCGGGCTGAACGCCGAGGCGAGAGATACCGTCGACAGCGTGGATGCGCTACGACTGAACGGCTTGTGGTCAGACGTCTCGATGGATTGTTCGGAGGGCGTACCCGCCGACGGCGATTCGACCCCAACCAACGTCGGGGAATTGACTTCGGCGCGACGCGCGCGCGGCACCAACGTCGGCGTTCCCACGCAGCGCATCTTTGTATCGTGATCTTCCGCATTCAGGATCAGCATGGATCCGTTTCTCTTCGGCGAAGCCAAAATACTGGGCACGGCGTCGCCGCAAGTCTTCGCTCGCTCGTCGTCGACTTGCATCGGAGTCGCTCGCGATTCCTTCAACCAAGGGCGAGTCTTACCCGGCGTCGGCGGTCGCCGCCCACCCTCCTCGGTCGGAATCACCGCATCGTCCGACGCCGTCGGCAACGCCGATTCAAATTTAATTTCCCCATCGAACGAGTTTTTTCGTTCGTGAAACATCGCCGTGCCTCCGCGAAGCGACCCCTCCGTGGATCTTTCCCCGAACAACGTATCCGCATCCATCGCGTCGAACCCCATCTCGTCTGCCCCCACCCGTCCCTCTCTATCACTCTTCCCCCCCCGCCCCGACAATCGCTTTCGCACGCTCAACCGCGTCACCCTGGGCAACAACGCGTCGACCACCTCGCTCGCCTCGTCGCTCGCCGTCCCCGCCTCCGTCGCCCGCCTCCCTCCCAGCGCTCGCACCGCGACGTCCACCGCGATCGCCGCGATCGCGTTCGGCGAGTCCGTTCGACTCCGCGTCATCGACGGCATCCCGTCTCGCGCGCGTCCTCGCCCTCGCGCGCGTCGCGCGCGCCGTTTCCGCCAGCGCTGCCCGCGGAAATATCTTCGATCGATCGATCGCGTCTTCGATCCGTCGCCGAGATCGTCGCGCGCGCGTCGATTCCCTCGCCCGTCGGTCGCGCGCGCGCGGTTCGCGCGTTCGCGCGCGCTCGCGCGGTCGCGCGCGCGGGCGACTGCCGCGCGCGCGTCGACGTCGCGGCTCGCGCGCGTCGCGCGGGGCGGGCGACCGACCGCCCGGAGACGACGCGCGCGTCGCGTTCGCGATACATTGGCGAAATGCGCGCGCAATACGTAAACGGCGCTTGAGTCACGATCGGTCGTTTTACACACGCCAGCGCGCCCGAAACCGCCGCGGGACGTCGCGGGGGGCCGTCGCGGCCGGGCGTCGGCCGCGCAAACAGTATCGACGGGCTGGGAAAAAAAGAGGGACTCGACGAGTCGTGATTCGAGCGACGCGCGCGCGCGCGCGCGCGAGGATTTCGCGGCGATCCCGGGGTCGGGCGGGCGGTCGCGCGTCGGCGCGCGTGGACGCCGCGCGCGACGCCATTCGTCGTTTCTTCGTCGACGCGCCGCGAGGCGAGGCGCGGGTCCGAGGTCGCGCGAAGGACGGATGGCGGGCGAGAAAAGGTGCGCGCGCCGTTAAAGGGAGTCGAGGCTACTGCCGAGGACGTCGTCGTCGTCGGCGGCGCGCGGGGCGACGCGCGTCGAGGGCGCGCGGCGCGTCTTGCGAACGCGGCGACGCTCGTACGAGCGAGGGGGCTCGTAACTGCCCAAATCGTCGCTCGAGCGACGCTTTTCGTCCTCGGAAAAGCCGTTGGCGTCTTGTTCGTCCATGTGGGCGAAGTGGTTGTCGTCGGTGGTGGCGTAGATGATGGATGCCGATGCGATTTCTTGGCGTTCGAACGCTTCGACGGGGTCCCAGGTGGAGCGGGAACCGCGACCGCGCGTCGAGACGCGCGACTTTTTCTTGCGGCTTTCTTTTTGGAGTTGGCGAGCTTTTTGGTAGAGGTGGGCGGCTTTCGCGGGCGCGCCCGCGGCTTCTTCGAGTCTGGCTTGGGCGAAGCACAGAGCTGAGGAATCGGGATGGATGGCGTTCGCTCGGCGAAGCGTTTCGCGGGCGGCGCCAAAGCGACCGAGTCGACTCTCGCACTTTGCGAGGCCGACGAGACACACCAAGTTCCCGGGTTCGGCATCGAGACCGCGTTCATACAGCGTGCGCGCAGTTTCAAGCCTTTGCTCGTTATCTTCCGCGTCCAGTTCAAAGCGCGCCCAAGCAGCCCAGGTTTGGACGGACCAGTACGCGAGTGAGCTCGCGCGTTGAAACATTTCACGCGCCGTCGCCGCGTCGCCTTCTGGATGCTCCGCCTCACTCACCGCCCAAGCCTGGGGAATGTGGTAATTTTCCTCGTTTGTTTCGACGCCGTGTCTAAACAGCTTTCGAGCGTTGTCCAAACGACCCATCTTCGCCTCGATTCGACCCCACGACTGAAGCAAGTAGGCGTCGTTCGGGTTCGCTTCGAGACCCCGACGATACGCGGCGATGGCTGCCGGGAAGTTATCGAGCGTTTCCTCGATTTGCCCTTGAGCGTGCGCAACGGCTGCATTGTTTTCGTCCAGATCGATAGCCTTATCCAAAAGTTTTCTCGCTTCGTCGATGTTCCCCGCACGAGCGAGCCCCTGCGCCCAAACTTGGTACGTCTTCGCTTGCGCTGAGCCAGACTCCTCGGCAGTGATGCGCCCTTTGCTCTGAGCCTCTGCCAGCACCGCAATCGTGCGAGAAAACAAATCAGAATGAGACGTTTGGTGCAGCGCATCGGTGGATACTATCTCCATCATGGCCCATTTTCGCAAAATTTCGGCCCGCACCATGGGCTGATCTTCGCAGTGCAACAATGCAGCGCGGTAGAGGCTTCGCGCGCGTTCGGGGTCTCCTTGAAGAAGCTCAAAACGTGCCCACTGCTCCCATACAAGAATCTGACTCGGCGCTCGCGTAGTACGCTGGTAAAACAGTTGACGCGCTGTCTCGGCTCGACCAGTTCGCATCAAATCCCACACCAGTTGCCATTCCACCGGACCCGACTCGGAATCGCGCATCGCCGCAGTTGCCTTGCGCCCGGCTAAATCTACTTTACCGGTGTACTCGTAGCTCTCAGATACCGCGGCTCGTACCTTCGCGCGCACGGTGGCTATCAATTCGGCCTTCTCTTCGATATTTTCACCCGTGGGCACCTCCGTGGGGTTGACGTCAATCACCAAAGCTTTGTCCTCGACTTGCGCCGCCGGCGCGTCTTCGGCGATCTCAACGTCAATCGCAACGGCTTCAATCGCCGCCAAGGTCGCCGCATCCGCTTTAGGTAGCGCACTAATCGCGGTGAGCGACGCGCGGAACTTTGCAAATTCATCAGCGTCGATAGTACCATCCTGGTTAACGTCGAGGAGCTCCATCAACGCGTGAGCTTCCTCGCGCAAATCGTTCATCTCCGTGTCCCATATTTTCTCCAGTACCGTACGCAGCTCACTCATCGTGACGCGACCATCACCATCAAGATCGAATGCTTCGAACAATCTGTCGTGGAGTTCGTCGCGTTCGCGCAAATCGGCGTGCGTGAAAGCGCCAAACTTTTCCTCCGCGGCGCGATTCGCTGCCGAGGCCAAGTCCGCGAGCGAGCCCGCCATACCCGTGTCTTCCTTCAAGCCACCCTTATACGAATTGTGCGACGCAGTGCCCGCTTCAGCGGCGAGATGCATGGCTGCCGTTCGGATCTGCATCTCGACATTCACGCCGCGTTTGTACGCTTCGCTCGACGCCAAAGGTTTGCCGTCGTCGCCAAACGCGACCTTGAGAGTGCTGTGCAAGGACGAGTATCCGTTCGCCTTGGGATCACTGATGTAGTCCTTGGTTCGTCCGCTTACGGCTGGAAATAAACCGTGCACTATTTGCTGTGCGCGATAGCACGCCGCGTTCGCCGCTTTTAACGCTCTCGCCTCCATGTGCTCGTACGTAACCTCACCCGAATACACCTGACCCATGCCGGGCAATTCCGCCCCACTCCCAGGTTGCGGGGTCAAAACGAGGCGTAGTCCGAGCAAATCGTGCACCTCTTCACGCTTTCGCCCATCGCGAATGATCTTCTTCATGGTGGAGTAACGAGATTTCCTTCTCGCCAAAACCTTGACCCCTCCGCGGCCGATCAACGCGTTCATCGTCGTGTCGGCGTTCATCGTATCCGTGAGCATCTTTGTCATCTTATCCAAGATGGCCGAGTCCCCTGGACTTTTTGCCGTCAGCCACCTCTCCAGCGAGGCGTAAGACGTCGGAAACAAAATCTTAAACGCTAAATCTTCCAACTCTGCGCAAAGGGCGCCCGTGTTCAACGCGTGCGCCATGGGGGCGTAAATCTGCATCGTCTCCAACGCAATCGTCGTCCGCTGGATCGGCTCAAGCTCATCGATGTTTCTCAAAGTATCAAGTCTGCACGCCAACTCCACCACGATCGCTCTTATGTCGTGAAACGACAGGTAAAACGACCGCAAGCGTTCCGCCGCGTTTTCGTCGTACGAGTGCACTCGTCTCGGTAAATCGTGCACTCGCCCCACATCGTGCGCCAACCGCATCACCCGCTCCCCGAGCACGTCCTCTATCTCATCCAAACTCACCGTCCCGTGCACCACGGCCTCTCGAAGCAATCCCGCGGAGATGCATTCCGCGTCCATCCCCATGTCCACGAGCGTGAGCGTCACGTCCACCGCTCGCTCGTGCGCCGGCTTCTTTCCTTTCCCTTCCGTTCGCACGATCTGCTGCAGCCGCGGTATGGCGAGCGTCAACGCGCTCAGCAGCATCTCCTTGTCCGCCTCTCCGTGTTCGCGCGCCGCCAATCGCGGCGATATCGCGTCCCACGCCGCGACAAAGTCCACCACCCTGGACCCCCCGAACGGGGCCCCGCTCGCGGGCGTCATCTGCAGCTCCATCGTCGGCCGCCTCGCGCTCGTCGACGCACCGTCGGCGCTGTCCGCGCGCTCGGAGCGCTCTTCGTCGACGCTCGCGCGCGGGCGCGGCGCGCGCGGTCGTCGTCCTCGGGACGATGCGACGTCGCCGCGCCGCGCGCGCATTCGCGGCGCTCGCGTCGCGCGCGCCGCACCGCGCGGGCTCGCGCGCGCATCGCGCGATGCGGGCGTCATGTGCGCCGCGTCGCGCGCCGCTCGCGTGGCGCGCGCGCGTCGTCGTCTGCGGCGCGCGCCGGATAAGCGCGCGACGCATCGACGTCGACGCACCACGTAAACCCTACTTTACGTATTTAATCGAAAAAGCACCGATGTGTGTATTTATCACACAACACACGCGTCACACGCGGACGCGGCGCGCGTCGCTCGCCGCATGTCGAGCGCCCGCGCGCGCGGCGCGGACCCCGCCGCGGCGTCCGCGCTCGACGGCGTCCTCGCCGACGGCGCGCGCGGCGCCGTCAGCGGGCTCGCGGCGCGTTTCTTGACGCACCCCATGGACACGCTCAAGGCGCGCGCGCAAGTCCGAGGCGCGCGCGGCGCCGTCGCGCGCGCCGAGGGCGGACGAACGCGCGCGGTGGGATTATATAAAGGATTCGGCGCCGTCGCGGCGCTCGCGCCGCTCGCGAGCGGGGCGTACTTCGTCGGGTACGAGAGCGGGACGCGATGGTTCGGGACGAGCGCGAGCGCGAGCGCGGCGACGGGGATGTGGGCGCAAGCGCTCGCGGGAGTGGTGTACACGCCGATGGACGTGATAAAGGAAAGATTGCAGACGCAAGACGTGCTGGGCGAACGCGCGAGGATGGGACGGTATAGACATTGGGTGGACGCGGCGCGCGTCATCGCGCGAGAGGAGGGCGCGCGGGGACTGTTTCGGGGATACTGGGCGCAGAATTTCGTGTGGTGGCCGTGGTCGGCGGCGTACTTTGCGATATACGAACGATCGCGCGTTGCGTTGGAGTCGAGCGGTGGTGAGGCGTCGCCGATGGTGAGCGCGGTGAGCGCGACGGCGGCGGCGACGGCGGCGACGACGCTCACGCACCCGCTCGATTTGGCCAAGACGCGCTTGCAGACGATGCGGTTCGAGACGACGACGTCGGCGTCGTTGCGTGAGGTGTTACGAGACGTGTTTAAGCGCGAAGGCGCGCGTGGATTGTTCGCGGGCGCGGGCGCGCGCGTCGCCGCGGTCGCGCCCGGTTCCGCGATTTCCTTTGGCGTTTACGAGACGCTCAAGCAGTCGGGATGGTGAGCGCGCGATGGCTCGGCTCGCCGTTTAGTTTCCAATAGATTGATCACGTAGCGCTTGAATAGATATCATTAATCACTAGCGATCACCAGCCCTCGCTCGCGCCGTCGGCTCGCGCCTCCTCTTCGAGCGCGCTCGCGTCGATCTCCCCGCAGTCGAAGCGGTCGACCTCGTCCCAGTAAACGAGCCCCCCCGCCATGTGCAATAAATTTTCCGTCCCCCACCCCCGCGCCGCGAGCTCGTAGATCGCCATCAAGCTCGGCGTCTGCACGCCGTTCTCGAAATTCACTCCCGGCTCCCCGATCACCCCCCCCGCGTCGTCGTACACGATGAGTTTCGACCCCCACTCCACCGCCTCCAGCACCTCCTCCATAAAATTCTCATTCTCCGTCACGTTCAGATACCCCTTCCCGACGCGCTCCGGAAACATCATCGCGCTCAGCGCCGCCTTTCCCCAATTTTCCGGCGCGCGCGCGTCCATCGCTCGATAATACTGCGCGTTCGCCGCGCCCCAGCAGTGTCTCTCGCGATAATCGCTCCGCGGTCGCACGTCGAGCAGCGTCCACCCGTTCGACGTCGCCATCGCGCGCGCGCGCGACGGCGCGATCTGCTCGAGTCCGCTCTCCGCGAGCTCCGTCTGCATCAATCGCCACACCGTCGGCCCGGTGCACGACTCGCTCGCGGGCGATCCCTCGGGTCTTAAGAACGGCCCCGGGATCCAGAATCCGTCGGCGTCCGTCGCGCGACGATGGCCGGCGCGACGTCGGCGACGCGACGGCGCGATCGCGACGTCGCGACGCGCGCGCGACGCGCGCATGGCGTCGCGGTGCGGCGAATTGTTCGGGACGGCGCGCGGGACGGCCCGCATTGACGCGCGCGCATTCACGATGGCCGGCGCGGCGACGCGCGAGGGGTGACAAACGGCGCGCGCGATGATGCGCGCGCGCGGGCGCGTCGCGGCGCTCGCGCGGAACGGCGCGACGGCGCGCGACGCGCGAACGATGACGACGGCGATGCGTGGCACGGCGCGCGACGACGACGACGACGGCGGCGCGCGCGCGCGAGACGCGAGACGCGCGCGCGCGCGCGCCGACGACGGCGCGCGGGCGAGCGAGGCGGCGCTGGCGCGCGCGCGCGCGCTCGTGGACGACGCGCGCGCGGCGCGGCGACGGGACGGCGGGACGACGTCGACGAGCGGCGACGACGCGCGGGGGACGACGACGGCGACGGAGGCGCGCGCGCCGTGGCGACGAGCGCTGCGGTACGACGTCGAGGCGTTCGAGGCGTGGTTCGCGAGACGGCCGCTGCGGGTGCTGGCGAGGGCGATGGTGGTGGGGTACGAGCTGGGGGCGATCGGGCTGGGCGTCGCGGCGCGCGCGGGGGAGCGGAGAAGGCGCGCGCGAGCGTTCACGGAGACGCTCACGAGGCTCGGGCCGGCGTACATAAAATTGGGACAGGTGATGTCGACGCGCGCGGACGTGTTTCCGGTGGAGTACGTGGAGGAGCTGGCGAAATTGCAGGACGCGCTGCCGCCGTCGGATTTGGCGACGAGTCTGGAGACGCTCGAGCGCGAGCTCGGGATTTCGATTGATTTCTTCGAGAAGTTTGAGCCAACGCCCGTGGCGGCGGCGTCGCTCGCGCAAGTGTACCGCGCGACGCTTCCGGGGGGGCACGAGGTGGCGATTAAGCTTCAACGTCCGGGATTGGCCGAGCTCGTGGCGTTGGACGCGGTGATTTTGCGGCGCTTTGTGGGCGTCGTCGGCAAGTGGAGGAACTTTAAGAGCGATGTTGTGGGCATCGTGGACGAGCTCGTGGGGAGAATATTCGAGGAAATGGATTATAGCAAGGAGGCGGAGAGTTGCGAGCGGTTTCGAGAGATGTATGCCGCGAATGGCGACGCCGGGGTCGGACTCGCGGGTTTGGTGTACGCGCCTCGCGTCGTCGACTTTCTGAGCACGCCCACGGTGCTGACCATGGAGTGGGTGCAAGGCTTGCGTTTGACGGACGTGTCGCTGATGCAATCGCGAGGGATCACCCCGAAAGAAGTCCTCGATCGAGGCTTGCGCGCGTCTCTCCATCAGTTACTGAGTTCTGGATTCATGCACACCGACCCGCATCCGGGTAACCTGTTAGTCGCCGAAAACGGCGGTTTGACGTATCTCGATTTCGGCATGACGGTGGAGGTCCCGATCGAGACCAGACGAGCGATGGTTCGCGGATTGATCGGGTTCGTCAATCGCGACGCGCGGGGATTGGTAGATGACTTGAAAGTCATGGATTTTCTCCCCCCAAACGTCGACCGCGCGGCGGCGGAGGAGGCGCTGCGATCCGTCTTCGCGGGCGAGAGCACGACCAAGGTTCGTAACAGCAACGATTTCATGGGCGTCGTCTCCCAGTTATCCACGGCACTGATGAAACATGGATTCAGACTGCCGCCGTACTTTTCGCGCATTCTGCGTGCGCTCGCGGCATTGGAAGGCACGGCGACGACCATCGACCCGTCGTTTCGCGTCGTGGACAGGAGTTATCCCTTCGTACTGTCTCGAGTTTTGAGCGATCGAAGTCCCGAAATGCGAGAAAGTCTGCGAAGATTATTGCTGTCGGATGATGGATCCATTCGTTACAAGCGCTTAGTACGCCTCATTCGCGCGTACGGTGTCGAGACGACGCCGATGGCGTCGTCCGACGCGACGGCGAAATCTGATTTCCGTCAAGCGCTCGAGAAAACCGTCGTTGGTATCACCGAGCTCGTGTCGGGCGAGCGCGCGACCGAAAATGGCGAAGAAGAGGCTCGTCGAGCGACGAAAGTGGCGATGGAGGACGCGCTCAAATTTTTGTTGAGCGAACGAGGCGAGTCGACTCGTCAGAAACTCATCGATGATTTCGTCGCCGCGCTCGAAACGCTCCTCGCTCGCGACGCGCGTCGCGATGGCGAAAGTTCGTCCGACGATGCGTTCACCGTCGACAACGCCATCGACGCCATTCGATCGACCATCATCGCGTTAGGTGACAACCCGGACCTTTGGATCCCCGTGCTCGGTCGAGCCGCGCTCGACGTCGAGACGCTTCGCGTCGCTCGCGACTCGAAGCGCTTCGCCTGTCAACGCCTCAACGTTTTGCGCGCCAACCGTCGCACCGAAGGACACACCGCGGTATCGGACGCGAAGGAGCTCGCGAGGCGCTTCTTGCACGAGCTCACGAGGCCCCAGCCTTCAAAATAGCGATTTAATTCTTTAGCGAGCCACTCCGCGTCTCGCGGCGCGGCGTAGGAAAGTTGTAGTAAATCATTCAACCCTTCATTTAACGCCGCGTCGCGCGTCGCGCGCGAACGCGCGCGCGAACATGCGCCGCGCGCGAGCACCTTGGACCGTTTCGTCGCGTCGAGGACGATGAGCCGTCGCGAGGCCATCTTGGCGCGCGCCGCGGCGCTCGCAGAATCTTCCTCCGACGACGCCGACGCGTCGACGCGCGACGTCGACGGCGTTCAACCGCTCGGTCGACGACGGACGTTCGTCCCGCTCGAAGAACTCACGCGCGAGCGCAAAGACGCGCCGTTTCGTCCGCCGGGAGATCGCCGGGCGGCGGCGCGGGCGGCGGACGACGGCGCGCGCGGGACGGCGGCGCCGGCGCGGGCGCCGTCGACGGCGCCGTCGACGCCGAACGCGGTCGACGCCGAGGCGTGGGCGAAGGAGGATGCGAAATTATTGATGCATTTACCGGAGAGCGAACGGCCGATGGTGACGCAGGCGTTTTCGATGCGAGCGCCGGCGAAGGTGCCGCGAGCGGTGCGACAGCGATTTCTGAACGCGCTCGCGGCGAGAAAGCTTCGCAGTCGGGCGAACGTCGGAGTCAGGGAGCGCGTGAGCGAAGCGTGGATATCTGCACATCCAGATGAGCGTAAATCGGCGGTCGAGGAGGCGGTGAAGGAAGAGATGAAATTGCACGCAAAGGCGACGAGCAAGGCGACGTATAGGAATTTGAGCGCGCAACTGATGTTGCGCGGTGGTGAATCGGCGAAAGCGGAGCCTGGAGCGCTGAAGCAAGACTACGAGTGCTCGGCGGCGAACGATATCGATCTCACGCGATGTTCAACCGTGAGAGGAGATGAAGCGGTCGAATTTTTCATCGCTGCTTGCAAGCATCGCGACGGCTCGGCGCATCGTGCTGCCAACGTGGACGAAGTCAAAGTCGAGGTTGGCGGAGAAGAGGACGTCGACGCGGAAGAGAGCGAAGCGCTCGACGAAGCGTGCGACGCCGCGACGCGTATCGATGAGCCAATTAACGAAGTCGCCGGTAAGAAGATAACTCACTCAGCAGTAGAAGTCGCGGTGAGGAAGCTGTGTTGCGATTACGTGCAACTTCTCGTCGACACGGGCGCGTGCGAGGCAGCTTTGGCGAGCATCGTGGAGCAAAAAGTCGTCAAAAAAGTGATGACGCGACACCAAAACGACCGCGATGACTCGTTTCTGATCAAAGAGAGCGCGAGCATTCGGAAGCTCGTCGCGAGCCAGCTCAAGCACGAAAACGCGAGACGGGCAACAACGTAGCGAATAGCAGTAGAGCTTACAGCAGCTGTAGAAATGGAATGTTAATTAAAATTTTATTTAGCGTCGGCTTCTCGACGTACGAGCCGTGGTGACTTTGTCCGCTGATGCCTTTTTCTTGGGCGCGGCGCGCTTCGTCACCGGCGCAAACGGCTGAAACAGAGCTGACGGCGCGCGCGGTGGCTGAGTGTCTGCGATGGAGGAGCGATCTCTTCCAGAGCCGACGGGACGAAGTTCGACGAGCACAACCTCTTCACCTTCCAAAAAAATTGGGGAAGGCTTGGCCCATCGTTTGACGCCAATCTTGCACTTGGGCACGACGATAAGCTCGCTGTGCCCCGCTTGCTCGGCGTCGATGGTGATTTGGTTGAACGTTTGATCGAATTGGAAATCGACCTCATCCATGCTCTCCACGCGCGGCAAACGAATGAGGACGTCAACACCGTTCTCTTCGGGAACTTTCATGAAAGAGTACGTCGCGGCGTAGCTGTTTTCAGGGATGATGAAAATGTCGCGCAGAATCGCAATGACAAAAATGCTCACGATGACTGTCCAAATTCCGTCGGCAATCTTCACCGAAAGCTTCTCGACACCGTACGAGGACAAGTTGAAAGGAATCTTCTGAAGAACGTCGGTCGGAAGCCCAAGAATTAGTGTGGCGAGCTTGATCCCAACGTGCTTGGCCGTGAACGCTCGTACGGTTTGCGTGAACGGGATGAAACGTTCGCGGTACGACTTCTTCACGGCGTTGAAAATGCGATTGAACTCGTCCTTAACCAAGGTAAAAATTCCTCTGAGGAACCCCGCCGCGGATATTTTCGCCGTAACGACACGCCAGAGACTCTTGGCTTCGGTCGTGAGCTCGAGCGCGCGAACGGCTTGTCGTGTCGAAAACTTTTGCGGATACTTCTTCTGCGGCTTGCCCGTCTTCAGCTTCTTTTCGTGAATAGCTTTAGCCTCCTTGAAGTCTTGCTTGAGTTCTTTGAGAACCTTGACCTTTTTCGGAATCTGACCGACCGTCTTAGAGACGCCGTCCACGACGCCTTTACCCGCGTTCACGAGCTTGGCGGTTTGTTCTTTCCCGGCGTTCACCACGTGCGGGATGCGCTCGTTGGCGGCGTTGACGACTTTCGCCGTCTGTTCCTTACTCACCTCCACCACTTTCTTCGTTTGCTTCTCAACCGCTTGAACAACCTTGGGGATATTTTCCTTGCCGAACTCCACCGCTTGCGCCGTCTTCTCTTGACCCAACTTGACGGCTTGCGCCGTGGTCTTCTTCCCAATCTCGACCGCTTCCTTGGCCCGCTTCGTCACCGGCTCCGCGCGACGTTGAAGCCAAATCGGCACCCACGCCTCTTCCGCGAGTTGCACCTGTTCTTCCAACATCGTCACTCGCCTCGATTCGCTGCTCCTCACCTTGTCCAATTCCTTCATCGTCTGCTCGAGTCGCTTCTCCATCGTCTCCGCGTCGCTCCTTCGCCTCTCCCCGTCCGCCTTCGCCCGATCCCTCTCACTCTCCGCCGCCGTCGCCCGCGCCGTCGCCGCTCGCACCGCCTCCTTCGCCTCTCGCCTCGCTCGCTCCAAATCCTTCGTCAACCCATCGTAATCGCTTTTAATCGCGTCTCGCTCTCGCGCCAGCGTCGCGCTTCGCCTCGCCGCGTCCCGCGCCTCCCTCTCCGGCGCGCACCCCGCCTCGCACGTCTGCGCCCGCGCGCCGCCGACCGTCACCGTCGCCATCACCATCATCGCGCACGCCATCACCGTCGCCGTCGTCCATCGCGCGCGCCGCCGCGTCCCCATCCCGAAGATTCCGTTCGCAAGATGATCGATCGATCGATCGATCGATCGATCGATCGTCTCGCGGATTCGTCGACGCCTCGCCTCGCGTCGCGCGTCGTCCCGTCGATCGATCGCGTCTCTATGTCGCGCGCGTCGACCGCTCCGTCGCGTCGCGTCGCGCGCGTCGCGCGACGCGAATCGAATCGATTCGAATCGCGTCGCGGCGCGAAGTGACGCGCCGCATCGCGCGACGCGCGCGCCGTCGCCGAGCGCGCGCGCGATGTCGGACGACCTGCGACGGAAGCGCGAGGCGTACTTCGACGCGCTGACGCGCGACGCGTCAGCGCGGCGATCGACGAAGACGGCGCGCGCGACGACGAAGACGCGCGACGAGGACGCGCGCGATGGGACGCGCGCGCGCGAGACGACGACGGCGACGGCGACGGCGACGACGGGACGCGCGCGAGGCGCGCCGGCGCTGCGCGCGACGGCGCTGCGGCTGACGAGCGCGCGGGGGAGCGCGCGCGGGACGGCGAGCGGGACGCGCGCGGCGCGCGCGGGACGGGCGACGATCACGGGGATCCCGGCGGCGCCGATGGGAGATCCGTGCGATTTGGATCTTGAAAAACACGATGGACGGCGGTTCGCGCGGGTGCGGCTGCCGACGGCGTGGGCGGGGGGGGAGACGCGGGCGCAGATTTTTCCAAACGGGCCGGTGGTGACGGTGACGGCGCCGGAGGGCGCGAGGGGCGGGGACGAGATCGAGTTCGCGGTGGAGCCGTGGACGGTGGAAGACGTGCCGCCGAAACCGCCGGGAGGGAGGGGGGAGACGGAGGAGGAGGAAGCGCCGCCGCCGCCGCCGCCGGGGGAGCCGCCGACGGAGTGGGGCGCGGGGCGAGCGCCGCCGCCGCCGCCGCCGCCGCCGCCGCCGTCGGGGATCGGATTCGCGCCGATGGGCGCCGTGGACGTGCCGCCGCCGCCGTCGGGGATCGGATTCGCGCCGATGGGCGCCGTGGACGTGCCGCCGCCGCCGCCGGGTTCGCCGTGACGTAGTCTTTTAGTTTGTGATTGGGTAAACGGTAGAGTTTGTGTCATTCAGAGAGCGGCGTCGTCGCGCGCTCGCGGTAAAAGTCGTCGTAAAATCGTCTCGAGTCTTGAGTCTTGAGTCTTGAGTCTTGAGTCGGTCCCTAGGGCGCGGGTGCGGGCGCGGGTGCCTCACCGTACTGGTCTTCCATGGGGTAGTCCACGTCGAGCTCTTCGATGTCGTCTGGAAAGACTTCCGCGGGCGCGGGCGCGGGCGCTGCGTCGGGCGCGGGCGCGGGCGCGTCGCCCGGTTCTTCATCTTTGCCGCCCAAAGCTATTCGCGCGGCTTCGATGCGGGCTTTTTGTTCGTCAGAGAGTTCACCGTCGCCATCGAGAGGGAGCAAGACGCCGTCGATCACGTGCACGATGGATCCGCACGCGGGGATGTCGGCGGCGGAGATTTTAGCCTCGGAGCCGACGCCCTTGAGAAAGATGTCCCCTTTCCACCAGCTCACCTCCAGCGCGGCGCTGGAATCAGGGAAAATCTTCGAAAGAGCGGTGGGTAAGAACTCACCCTTTGCCGCCTTGGCGCGAAGTTGACCCCAATTCAACTTTTGATCCGGAATCGCGTGATACGCGACGACCAGAGCTTTGATCTCGTCGGACGAAAACATGCCCTCGAGCCCGCGTTTGAAATCATCGAACCCGCCCCATAGCGTCAACGATGCGATGGCCTCGTTCGATGGTGCGAAAAACGTGTCCTGGGCAGTCGAGTTGTTCAGGGCGTCGCGGATTTTCGGTAAATCTTTGATGGCTTCTTTGAGCGAGCTCAGTTGCGGGAGGCTTTCGACGACGTCGAGCATCGTCTTGCACTTCTTGTCTTGTTGTAAAAGCTTGCGTCCGTAGCGGTAACGACGTGGACGAATGCCGGGACGCACGACGGCGGCCCCGCCGTACGTTTGAAAGCCGTCTTCGCCGTACGTGTAGCCACCTGTGGGCACCCGAAGAAAACTGTCTGTTAGTATCTCGCGCGGCGCGACGGTCGAGACGAAACGCACCGTAGTAAACCACGGCGTCGACGGGCGCGACGGCGATGGCGAAAAGAAGTAATCCGATGATGCGTAGAGCGCGCGATGAGAACATGCTGAAGAAGCGTCGTGAAGTAACGAGGTTTTCTCGTGGTCTCGTTCTCGTCTCGGCGACGCGTCGGCATCGGCTTCAGGGTCAATTACTTTTACAGAGCCTAGGTTCAGCGACTACGCTACGCTACGCACTTCGCTTAACGCACTTCGCTTAAAAACGTGTAAATATTCCAAGCGTCCTCGCGCGTAGAGCTCCGCGGGCGTTTCTTCCAGCGACACTTCTTCGAAACCGACGGGCGCGAGCAAGTCGCGCACGATTTCCGGCGTCAAAGCGTACGGCGGACCACCCTCGAAATCCCCACACGGAAACACCACGGACACCAAAATACCGCCAGGTTTCACGCAATTGGCGTACACGCGCGCCCATTCCTCGCGTCGCCGCGGATCGATGGCGCACAAAAACGTGCAGTCGTAGCACAAATCAAATTTTTCCTCGGGCGCGAACGCGAAGAAATCCTCCACCATCACCTCCACCACCGCCGTCGACGGCACGTCCTCCGTCTTCAGGTGTTCCAACGCGCTCGCGCGCGCCGTGTTCGAGATCTCCAGACCAACGCAAACCTCGTATCCCGCGCGCGCGAGCGACGCGAGCGCGTACCCGCGCCCGCAGCCCGGCACGAGCGCGCTCGCGCCCCGTCCCGTCGCCGCGCGCGCGCTCAAAAACCGCTCAAACGCGGGTTCGGTTCGACTGCAATCGAACGCCTGCCCGCGCTCGATGCCGCGCGACCACATCGCGTCCCATTCCGTCGCGCCGTCGTCGGTCGCGAAATCACCGGCGTTCGACTTCACCGCGCCGTCGCTCGTCCCCGACGCGCCCTCGAGCGCCATCGCGCGCGTCGACGCGCGTGACGCGATTCGTCCGCGCCCCGAGTCCAGCGCCCCGAGTTCGTACGGAAACCCCTCCAGCGGCCCGTCGTCGCGCGCGCCGTCGAATTCCAACCACTCGCTCGCGTCCGCGCGCGCTCGCGCCGTCGCGTCCGTCGTCGTCGTCGTCGGCACCGTCGCATCGTCGCGCCGCGGTCGCCGCGCGATCGTCGCGTCGCGCTCGGGCGTGCGCGGCGGCGACGTCGACGACGCGCGGCGCGCGACGTCGACGCCGTCGGACGGTTTCATCGTCGGCGTCCGGGCGCGGCGCGCGTCGCGATCGCGATCGCGCGGCGTCGCGAGATGACGATCACGATGAATCCTCGATCGCCGTCTCGGGGCGTCTCGGAAATCTCGGACGGATCGACGTCGATCCGACGGTCCGATTGTCCGATCGGACGCGCGAGGGCGAGGGCGAGACGCGAAGGCGAGGGCGAAGGCGAGACGAAGGTAAAGCGTGAAACGATGCGATGAACGCATCAAACTCGTCCGCGCCCGATACTATCCTCGAAGGCGGCGGCGGATACTCGTTCGAACTCACCCGACGTCGCCGTTGAACATTTGATTTCTGCACCCCGCTCACCGACGCGACCAGATCGCGCATTTCGCGCTCGTGTTTTGCGCGCACCGTCTGCAACTCGTTGGAGCGCGCCCTTCGTTCCGTCGCGAGCTCCTCCTTGAGCGCGTTGATCTTCTTCGTCTGCCGCTCGCTCTTCGCCTGTAACTTTTTAAGTTCAGTTTCTAGCTCCTCCACTCGTCGTGTATCGCGCGGTCTCTCCCTCGCGACGACCACTACCGGATACGAATCCTTCGCGTCGTCGCGAGACACGCGCCGCGACGCCGACGCCGACGCCGACGCCTCAATCTCCACCATCCGTCGCATCTCCTCCGCGCGCGCGTCCTGTTTATCGGACACTCGGGTATATGTATTTAGTAGCACTGATGTATCTACCACGATGTCTTATTTAAGCTTTCGAGCGCGATTGATATCTTATTTAAGCTTTCGAGCGCGATTGATATCTTATTTAAGCTTTCGAGCGCGATTGATATCTTATTTAAGCACATCACCACCACGCTCGACGACGATTCCTCTTCTCGGGTTGCGCCAACGCCGCGGCACTCTTGTAGCATTCTCTCGCAATCCATTGACATTCTCTTCAACAATTCCATTTTGCCACTGGGTGTCTCTGGGTGAACATGCGTGTGCTATACCTTACGGAGAGGCTCGCTGGATTCGAACGGTCGCTTTGCGACGTACACGGGTTGACGGGTAGAAACTCAACGCGCGACGCCCGTCTTGAGAACGCCGACGTGCTTGGCGAGGTCGCGAGCGAGCGCTAAAGGGATTCTCCCTTTTTTCGCCGATCCCTTTTGGTTTTGAACGCCAGACTTGTGCTGCCTCGCCCCCGATCGGCGACGGTACGCGCACGGCGACCTCGACGTGCACAGGCCCTTCCATTTCGCCTCTTTCATGACGTCGTACAGATTGCGGGTGACGTACAGGTCGGTGTGCTTCCGTATCTCGCCCTTTGTGAAGTGGCAGTAGCTCACGCTCCACCTCACGAGGAAGTCGAGCATTGCGTACACGTCGGACAAGAGATCGCATCGCGAGCCGATGCCATCCGCGTCGTTGTGCGGGTTCTCCACGCTGATGCTAAGCGGATTTAGCAGTCGTAACGTGTCGACTTCCACAGTCACCATGGAGTCTGCGTGCAGCAGCTCTTCATCAATCACGTGCTGCAATCCGCGGTCGCGTAGATTTTTTCGCCTCGGGCGCTGCTCCGTGGAGTAATACTTACACAGCGGCGACGCGTGCGCGTGAAGCACGCGCCCAGCGGTGGCTCTTCTGACGTCCATGAAGAATTGGGCATCCCACACGTCTTCGTTAAGAATGAGCACGCGCGGGTGGTTCTTCGCGCGTGTCGATTCCAGCCCTTCCTTCGGGTCCATCGCGATGCACAATACGTCGTCGCCGAGCGTTTCCGCTAAAGCCAGGGACACGTTCGCCCATCCACTGCCAATTTCAAAACATAGCCACCGCGTCCTGACGGTATCGATGCCGCTCAAATCGACGTTCATCGTCCGCAGGATCGCGAAGAATTCGTCGAGATTCGCGGCCGGCGGCGGACGCCAACCGCCTAACCAGTCGGCGAACTCAGCTTCCGTGAGCGCGCATCCGAACGCGCCTTCGTCGCCGGACTCGCTCTCGTACACCACGCGATACGGAAACGAAGGCTTGCGCACGGTATCGCGATCGAATTCGACGAGGATACTGTCTCGCGAATCGTGCGGTTGTCGGAGCAGCCACGCGACGGCGGCGTCCGCGTCGCACGGAGGGCCGTCGTCGTCGTCTTGCGCGCGCGCGCGCCGCGGGTATCGCCGTCGAATCGCGTTTTCGACGAATCTGAATCTTTGACTTCGAGTCCCGAAGATCGTCCCGGCGGCGCCCGCGCCATCGATGAACGTCTCCACGGACATGGTCGTCTGCACCGTCCCGCGATTTCGGGCGTAGCGCACATCCATCACGAGCTCTAGGCCGAGCTTTCGCCGCAACTTGCGCGCTTTGCGCAATTCTTCGTCGTATTCGGATGCGATGCGAGAGTCCGCTTGAACGACGCCGAACCCGACCACGCACGGCGCGTCGTCGCGCCCCGGCGAGTACGGGGTCCACGCTCGCCCGCCTTCAGCGGTGTGCGTTCGCACGCTCGCGTCGACGCGGAAGCGGTCGCCGGTCTCCACGGTGGGCGCAAACAGCGCAGTGCGCGTCGGCGGGACGCCGTTCGCGCTCGCGTCGCGCGCCGGTTCGGCGCGCGACGGCGCGCGACGCGCGCGAGGCATCGTCGCGCGCGTCGCGAAGACGCAACCTCGCTCGAGCGCGCGCGCGCATCGAGCGCTTCGCGGTCGAAGCGCGCGCCGCGCGCGCCGCTACGCGCGAAACGCGCGTCGCGCGCACGGAAAATCGCCGCGCGCGCGTCGTCCGACGCGCGCGCGACGAACTTACCCTTATCGCGCGCGCGGCGATCTGCACGTCGAGCGTCCGCGCGCGCGCGACACAGCGCGCTGCGCGTTCGGCGCCGAACGCGCGCGCGCGTTCGAGGCGCGCGCGCGATCGAGCGAGGTTTCGTCTTCGCGATCGCCGCGCGCATCGCGCTCGAGCGCGCGTCCGCGCGGCGCTCGCGCGACGCCCAGCGCGTCGCGCGAGCGTCGCGAATCGATCGTCGTACATTCGCGCGCGCGTCGTCGCGTCGCGCGCGCGCGCATCCGCGCGAACGACGCGCGCGACGCGTCCGCACCCGTCACGCTTCCGAACGCCCCGCTCGCACGCGCTCGTCCGCGACCGCGCGCGACGCGGCGTCGCGCCGACGCGCCGCTCGTATAATGCGTCGCCGAGCGCTTTGTGCGACGGCGCGCACACCCGCGTGTGCGACGCCGCGCGCGCGTCGCCGCGCGCGGCGATTCGCGACATTACTCGCGACGACGGCGCGCGTTCCGCGCGCCGCGCGTCCAGCGCGCGTCGGCGCGCGCGCGATGCCGTCATCGACGCGTGTCGCGCGCGCTCGCGCGCGCCCGACGTCGCACGTCGCGCGAATCCACGCGCGCGTGCGAAGAACGCGACGTTGTTAACGACGCGCGAGCGTCGGGAATGGCGCGCGTTCGCGCGCGCGCGCGTCCGTTCGCGCGATCGCGGGGTCGACGAACGCGCGTCGACGCGCGTTCGCGCGATTGCGCGATCGCGCCGCGCCGATCGACGCGCGTCGGCGCCCGTGCGAGCGTCGATTCGGCGCGGTCCTCGGCTTCGGGTTCTCAAGCGCGAAAACATCGCGGCGAAAAGCAAAAAACAGAAAAAGGGAGGCGGGCGGGTCAACGAATCGGCGTTTTCATCCAGAAGGAACCCGGCGCTCGTTCGTGGCCGCACTTTCTCGCGATTGCAAGAAGCGAGCACGCAGCGAGCGCGCGTACGCGATAGCGGTTGCGGCAGCGGTAGCGGTAGCGGTACGTCGTCGTGCGTCTCGTTCGCGCATCTCGAGCGTCGATGCGTTACGGAGAAACGAGGGACGATCGCGCCGCGCGCTCGAAACCGCCCACGCGCGCGTCGGAAGCGCGCGAGCGGTGCGCGCGTGTCGAGCGCGTGTCACGAAAAACGTCGTGCGTTCTCTCCGCCGCGTCCGCGGCGAACGCGCGCGGCGACGAACGCGCGCGCGCACGAGCGATTGCGTCCTCGGAGGCGAAGGGACACGTTCGCGCGAGGTTCGCGCGAGGCGGCGACGACGACGACGCGACTGACGCGCGTTTCTACCCTGGAAAGAAGGGTGATATCAAAACACATTCTTGAAAGTTTTCGCATCCGACGGAACGGGGAAGCGTGACAGACGAGGCGGAGACGAGGCGGGGAGGCATGGCAGACGTTCTCGCGGAGTGGGGAAAACGTCACCCGCGCCTCTACGGCGAAGCGCGACTAGGTCGGTTGGAGCGGCGCCTCATCCGTGAGCGCGTCCAGAGAGTCACCACCGAGGGCGGGGGCGACTGCCAGTTCCACGCGATTGTCGCCGCCATAGGACGAACCGATCCCGAACGCGAAGTGTCGGTGGAACTTTTACGCCACCAAGCCGCGGCCTGGTTGGAGCGTCGCGTCGACGACGACGATATAGTGCCGGTGCGCATCGGTTTTCTCGATACAGCGAACGGTGCAGGACGTGAAGATCTCAGTGAGGGTGAGATACGCGAGGAGTTTCTGGCCGAGTGCGCAAGCCTGGGTCAGCTCGGGGGCAAGTGGGGCGACGAATTCTCGCTCATGGCGTTGGCCGACGTGCACAAGATGCGCGTGCGCGTAATATCGGACAGTTTGTCTGCGACGCCCGACGGAGACGCCGACGTCATCATCGAGCCGGAAGAGGCTACGATCGACGTAACGCTCGTTCTCAGCGGTGGCGAGCGTGCGCAGATGCACTACGAATCGATCGAACCGCGCACCGCGCCCGCCGAACCCGACGAACCCGACGAACCCGACGAAGAGACGCTTCAACGAGCTCGGAACGACGTTCAGGGCACGCTCGGAGCGATGTTGCGCGGCCGCGCCGATGCGGACCAAATCATTGAGAGAACGGCGATGGACGTCGCCTTGTGTCGAATGATGGCATCAGCGCACGCGGTCGGTGACGACGAACCGCAGAGTCCTCCGATCCTGGCGGCGACAGGCAAGCGAGCCGCACAATTTCACGCCTCGCCGACCTACGCCGAGAGTGATGCGCAGCACGAGCAGTCGCCGGGTGGCACGGTACGAGAGTTGCACACGGGGCGGGCGTGTCGCCCGCGTCGTCGCGCCAAGTCGCGCGGTAACTTGTTCGCCCCACTCGCAGACGGATTCGTCGAAGACAAAGACGAAGATGCACACGAAGACGAAGACGAACACGAAGACGAAGGGGAAGGGGAAGAAGAAGGGGAAGAGGAGAAGGAAGGGGAAGGGGCAGAGGTCGCGCACGTGCGCGCCAAATTCGGCTCTATTAAGATGACCGATTGGCGACGCGAAATTCTAGACCATTGTCGCCAAACCCATAAACCGGCGACGCCGTCCCCGGCGCCGGCGGTGGAGGTTTCAGATGATTCGCTGGAATCGCGCGCGCGACGATTCGTAGGTCCCGCGATCGCAGGGAGCGCGAAGGCTATGTACGACGCAAACGCAAAGATTCGCGGGGTGCTTGACGTCCACTTCGAGGCGAACTTGTCTCCCGTTTTAGAGGAGTTCGTGCTCGACGCCGAGCAGTGGCTCGCCGATGGGGACAACATGTCCAAGGCGAAGGACGCCATGTTAACTTTTCTCGACCGCTGCGAGTGCTTCCCTCTCGTTGGATTCAAGGACGCCTTCGACCCGAAGGATGCCAGCGACGAAAGCATCAAATCCTTCCTACGAGAAGTCGCTCGCGTGCCTGGCTGGGTGAGCGGCGCCGACACACCCATCCAAACGCTCAGCGGCGACATCATCGGCGCGCAGCGCAGAGATACTCAAGACGCCTCAGTTGCGGGACATCTAGCGGACACGTCAACCTGGCGCCACACGTACTTTAGTACGACGCACGTCCCGGCTTTTTTTGTGGAGCAATTTTACGACGTCGGCGAGACGCTGGGTGACGACAAGTCGGGGGCGCTAGAACTCATGGAGCACCTACGAACGTTATCGAATTGGTTGAAGTCTCGAGAACATCGCGACTCGCGCGGCGACCTGAAGGCGAGGTTGTACGCTGAGCCGGTCAACGCGTACGTGTGGCTGGTGCGGTCCGATGAAGGCGCGTACGTCGGCGAATCGGAGCGCTGGTTTTCAACACGCTTGGGAGAGCATCGAAACTACCTCATTAGTGACGGCGACAACGCGCAGCAAGCGCACATTCGAGCGAGAGACAACACGCTCGTCCGTTACGTCGACTTCACGGTGAGCGGCAATCCATCAAAGTGCTGGGAACCTATCGTCGACGCCAACGTCCGGTTCCACGCCATCACTCACCCGACGAGACGTCGAATGGGACGACTGCTCAGCGCATTCGTGGCCTTTGTCCTCGAGTACCGCGCGACGCACAAGTCGAACAAGCCGAAATACGTACGAATGCACGCGCTCGCTGCTCTGGGCGCGTTCGATGGAATGTTTGTTGAAATAGTCTGGACCTATTTTCTGAAAACGTGGATCGAGCTGGGTTCGACGTGGGCCTTGAACCGAGCGACGCCGGGCATTCGCATCGCCGGTCACCGCAAGGTGCCGGTCGTCTCCATGGCAGACACTGCCGGCTTCGCCACAAACCCGTGGGTGCTGCGCTGTTACGGAGAAGACACCGACCGCGCCGCGACTGCGGTACGCACCATGAGCAGCATAGTGCTCGCACGTCACGAGACGATCTTTGCCGACTCGACAGTCTCGCCTGACCTAGTAAATCGGCTGCTCGTTTTCTTCACGCAAAACTTTTGGAGTGCCTTTGTCGATCTTTTGGCGGGCGCCGAGGCGGTCTCGAACGGAAATGGATCGGGCGCGCAGCCGTCCTCGCGGTCGCTCACGGCGCGCTTCTTCGGCGGCGACGAGAAGGCGTGCGACATTGAAGACGGCGCAATCCTCTCGTTATTTCGAGACTTGCTCCGTTTTGACGCAAACGGCGGTCATGCGCGCGCTCTCATCGATTCGCTGGGTAACAAGGAATTCCTTACGGCGTTCCTGGGAGAAGCTTGCCGAAGCCAACCCGACCGTCTCGAAGCGGCGCTGGAAATTTGGTTTCGCGACGCAGAAATAATTCTGCCAAGTAAGGCGGTCTACATGGAGCTATATAGGATCACGAAGATGCACACGAAGACATCACAGTACGGTGACGCCTTGAGCGGACGACTCGTCGCTCATTGGATTCGGTATCCGCAGGCGCTGCGTTCACTACTCGTTTTGATTCACAGCGCCGAGGGTACGCTTTCACCCGAGGAAGCGCGTTCGGTAGCGCGCGTGGAAACCGCATCCGCCCGCGAGAGTGACGCAATCAATGCACGACAATTACGAGAGTTGCTTCGAGGGGGCTTGTCCGCCCCAATCACATGGTTCATAACGTTCTGGCGAAGTCGCATGGAATCGACGGACAAAAAAGTCGATGTCGCAAAATTCTCGAAAGAGAACTTCGCGGCTGCGTACAGCGATGTCGACGCACGCGCGGGCAAACAATTGAACATGCGTCGCCTGATTTTTGGCGTTCTTCTCGCCGCGGCGAACGGAGACACATACGACGCCAAGTACGCGAGCATTGCTGAAAAATACGTGCTCCGCCCTGAAGTGGGGGCGAGTACGGAGGCGACGCTAAACGCTCAGGCCAAGGCGCTCCTCGAGAACGCGAAGCGACTCATCGACGAGCACGGCGAGACGCGGTCCGGCGATCTTATGTGGTCGGACCTCGAAGACGCCGCCATCGCGTTCGCCTTGGCCGCGCTCGCCGAAAAAGGCGGCGGCGCGGGTGCGTTCCAGGTGGACAGAACAACCGCGCTGCGCACGGAAAATATGCGGTACGTGTGGGAAGTCGTGCTTCCTTACGTTCGTAGTGCCCGAACGTCGGAGGCATTGTGTGCTCGCTGGCGGAAGGTGTTGAGCAAAAAGACAGAGAACAATTCCATTTCGTACGCGGACGCTCTCGAGCGTTTGAAGAGCGAAACGGCGAAGTACGAGGACATCGAGCCCAAAGAGAGGGACAAAAAAGCGACGCTCGACGCTCAGGCCAAGGCGCTCCTCGAGAACGCGAAGCGACTCATCGACGAGCACGGCGAGACGCGGTCCGGCAAGCTTATGTGGTCGGACCTCGAAGACGCCGTCATCGTGTTCGCCTTGGCCGCGCTCGCCGAAAAAGGCGGCGGCGCGGGTGCGTTCCAGGTGGACAGAACAACCTGGCTGGGCACGGAAAATATGCGGTACGTGTGGGAAGTCGTGCTTCCTTACGTTCGTAGTGGCCGAATGCCGGTGGCATTGTGTGCTCGCTGGCGGAAGGTGTTGAGCAAAAAGACAGAGAACAATTCCATTTCGTACGCGGACGCTCTCGAGCGTTTGAAGAGCGAAACGGCGAAGTACGAGGACATCGAGCCCAAAGAGAGGGACAAAAAAGCGACGCTCGACGCTCAGGCCAAGGCGCTCCTCGAGAACGCGAAGCGACTCATCGACGAGCACGGCGAGACGCGGTCCGGCGATCTTATGTGGTCGGACCTCGAAGACGCCGTCATCGCGTTCGCCTTGGCCGCGCTCGCCGAAAAAGGCGGCGGCGCGGGTGCGTTCCAGGTGGACAGAACAACCTGGCTGGGCACGGAAAATATGCGGTACGTGTGGGAAGTCGTGCTTCCTTACGTTCGTAGTGCCCGAACGTTGGAGGCATTGTTTGCTCGCTGGCGGAGGTTGTTGAGCAAAAAGACAGAGAACGCGCACATTTCGTACGCGGACGCTCTCGAGCGTTTGAAGAGCGAAATGGCTGATCTGCTGCCCCCCAACCGGTCTCTTGAGTCCGTACTGTAGCGCGGAAATTTAGTAATTCAGAATGAATTAACTGTCTCACCGCCTGATGCGTTCAGCGTTCCACTGCTAAGCGTATCTCTACCTGATGGGGTCCGAGGCCTCGAAGTCCTAGGCCGAAGGAGATTGAAGCCAATTCGCGTGCGATTCTTGAAAGCAAATGTGCGTCCTACAAACAACCCCGTCGGTAAGGGACGGGTCTAACAAGTGACGCGCGCAAAGGAGCAGTTGCGCGTGTCGTCGCTTTATTTGCTGACATTTTTTATATACTACGCGCTCGGACGCCGACGGCGGACCGACTACGTCGGCCGCGCGCGCCCGCGCCCTCGACCGCGACCGCGCCCTCGACCGGCGCTCGCCGCCGCCTTCGCGCGCGGTTTCCCTTGCTTGGGCGTGTCGTCTACTAACAAAGTGTCCAGATTCAAAGAGTCCGGAAGGATGTAATACCGAATCGTGTTCCCTCGAACGCTCAGGTGTTCGACCGCCGTCGGGTTTTTACCCTTGAGCGTGAGCTTCACCTGCTTCAGGTGCGTGTTCATGCTCACGTCCACGCCTGTCGATCGCGCGCGCCGCCGTGATTTTCGCGCTCGTCAGGAGGGATCGCCGTGATTTTCGCGCCGACCTCATTCGCGCGCCCTCGACCGCGCGCGGCGACGACGCGGAGCGCCGCGCGTCGCGCGAACGCCGCGCGCATTAATGCCGTTAATTCGACACATCCATGCGCGCGCTCTCGGCGCTTCCGCGCGCGCACCGCGCGTTCGTTCGCGTCGTCGACGCGCGAGATCCATCGTGCGGACGTCGTCGCGCGTCCGCGCGCGCGCGCGCGCGATGGATCGACCTCGATCGCGCCGAACGCGCGCTGAATCGATGGAGCGGGGACTTTGCGAGGTCGGAGCGCGCGTACTTGGAATGGGACCCGCGCGACGAGCGCACGGTGTTCGAGCGCGCGAGCGCGATGAACGGGAACGTGCGCGTCGCGGCGTTCGGACCCTGGCGCTCGCTGCGGTTCAACGAGGTGGAACAAGGGCTGACGTACGTCGGCGACGCGGGCGCCGACGCCGACGCGCTGCCGTACGAATACCTGCGCGTGATGACGGCGGCGTCGATCGGGCTGTGCGCGCGCAAGGGACTGGATTTAGTGACCGCGAATGGAAGGCTGTTTTACGTCGGCTTGGGATCGGGGGCGGCGCCGGCGTTCGCGAAGAAGAAATTCGCGGCGTGCGACGTCGAGGTGTGCGAGATCGATCCTTTGGTCGCGGACGTGGCGAGGGAGCACTTGAAAGTAGGGTTCGTGGACGCGCGCGAGAGCGAGAGTGGAAGCCGTGAAGGAACGTCGATGATGCGAGTGGTGTTGGGGGATTGCGCGAGCGTTTTGCGTCGGCGCGATGGTTTGGATATCGTCTTCGTCGACGCGTTCGACGGCGCGGGCGAGATTCCGAGTCATCTCAGCGAAGACGCGTTTCTTCAGACGTGCGGCGAGGCGCTCAAATCGGATGGTAGCTTAGTGTTGAATATGTTTAACGGTGTGCGAGGGTCACCGGCCCGAGAGGCGGTGCGGGACTTTGCTCGGCGACTCGAGCGGTGGATCGGACCGGTGTGTAGCTTTCCCGTCATGGAGTCGCCGGTGAACGTCGTTCTCAGCGCGACGAAGCGAGGAACGGGTGAGCCGAGACCGACTCGTGAAGAGTTTGTCACGGCGACGAAATCCGTGGGCGAGCGCGCGGGTTTCGAGTGGAGTCCGCACAAACTCGTGGAGGGCGCGTTTTGGGTCGACGCGACTGGAAGCGGCGAAATGTTGGAGAGCGTGGCGGGCGGCAAGCGAGGAGTTTTAGGGAAATTTAAGGGTCGAAACGGCACCGTGATGCCGCGAGAGTTTGAGAACGTGCTCGAGAGTGATTGAGTTTTATTAATGCGATCGCTTCACATCGCTTCAACGATGATTCGGTACGACTGTAAGATTGTTTTGTGTAGGCACGAAGAACGTAAGATGATTCCTTTGTGTAGAAACCGCCGTGTCTAAGTCGCAACTACCGGTTGGCTGGCTGGGCTGGTAAACGCTTCACGTCGGGCGAGTGTAGGTCGTTGTGTTCGAAACCGTGTCCCAATAATACACTGGCCCACCGTTACCCGGGTTGACTTCCTCCCAGCCGTGCGGGAGCGGCGCACCGCCCGCCGGGGCGCCGTACGCCGGTTGGCCGTAGCCGGCTTGCTGCTGGTATCCGCCGCCGTAGCCGGCTTGCTGGCCGAAGCTTTGCTGCTGGTACCCGCCGCCGTAGCCGCCTTGTTGACCAAACCCGCCGCCGCCAAAGCCACCACCACCGCGGTTCGGCGCGGTGTGAATGTACTCTTGGATCATGCGCACGGCTTCGGTGCACTGCGCCGGGGTACCGTACACTTCGGCGACGTTGTCGACGCGGTTCATCTTGATGCGAGTGCCGGTTTGGGACTCGACGCGACGAATATTTTCCCCGCCGCGGCCGATGATGCGCCCCTCTTGACCTTCGCACGGGACGCGTTCCATATGGCCGCTGAAAGGACCGCCGCCGCCGCCGCCGCCGCCACCGCCGAAGCCGCCGCCGCCGAAGCCGCCGCCGCCGCCGCCGAAGCCGCCGCCACCGTACGAGCTATAGGCGCCGCCCGGGACGGGCTGACCCGCGCGCTCGGCAGCTTCGCGGACGTTACCGTCCTCGACAATACGAGTGATTTCGTCGCAGCAATCGTTCACGTGATCCAACATACCGACAACTTCAGCCAAACCCGCCGGTCGGTTCATGGTGATGCGCGTTCGGAACATGTCTTGTAATTCACGAATCTTTGAGCCGCCGCGACCGATGATGCGCCCTTCGTTGCCTTGCGTCGGCACGTCCTTGCGCACTTGACCGTCCGGCATCTCATACGTGGCGAGATTTTGCCCATCCTTGGTCAGGCCACCCTGCGCCGAGCTCGGCGCCGCGGCGTGTTCGCCGTCCGACTTCGCGCTCTTCGCCTCCGGAGGCGCGTCGTCTTGTTCGGGAGATCGCTCGCGTTTCTTCTCGCTCGCCGCGTGCTCCGCCATGGCCTTCTCCGCCATTTCCTCCGCCTTCGCTCGCACGTCCTCTTCCTCCCCAGCCTCTTCCTTCGGCTCTTCCTTCGCCTCTTCCTCCTCCGGCGCCGCCGCCTCAGCCGCCGCCCCGTCGTCCTCGCCCGCCATCGCTTCCTCCAATCGCGCCACGAGCGCCGCCTTCAGCCCCGTCGCGTCCAATCCGCGCTTCTTCAGTTCCTCCTTCAGCACCGCCACCGTCATCTTCGCGCATCCCGCCATCGTCGCGCCGTGCGTCGTCGCTCGAGATTCGATCCGATTCGATCGCCAATCGCGCCGCAGATCCCGCGATTCTCGCGCCGTGCGTCGTCGCGCGCGTCTCTCGCCGGTCGCGCGCGTCTCGCGAGTCGCGTTTCCTCGCGCTTCGACGCTTCCTCGCGGTCGCGTCGACGCGCGGTGTCGTCGACGTGTGCGGCGCGTTGACCCGCGCGCGTCGCGCGTTCGGCGCCGACGCCGCGCGAACCTTCGCGCGACGGCGCGAACCTTCGACGCCGATGATACCGCTCGCGCGCGTCCGTATGCGTATGCGGACGGGGGAACGATTTATGTCGAGCACACGCGTCGACGCGTGACTGTTTGCGCATACGATGCGAGGGCGCGGGTGTACGGCGCGGCGGTTCGCGGTCCGTGTGTTTTGTTACGGGCGCGCGCGCGCGGCGCGCGGTGGCGCGCGCGGCGGCGCGGCGACAGAGGACGGCGCGCGCGGATCGCGCGATGGCGCACCGCGCGCTCGCGCGAGAGCTGAGCGATCTGTACGCGCCGCCCGATGGACCGTCGTCGCGCGCGCGCGTGCTCGGATGCGGAAACTTTGGCACGGCGAAACTGATGCGAAGCAAGCGGACGAACGAGCTGGTGGCGATAAAGTACATCGAGCGAGGGGCGAGGATCGACGAGAACGTGAAGCGGGAGCTGGTGAACCACAGGCTGCTGACGCACGGGAACGTGGTGCGATTCATCGAGGTGGTGCTGACGAAGACGCATCTGGCCATCGCGATGGAGTACGCGAGCGGGGGGGAGCTGTTCGATAGGATTTTGAAAAAGGGGAAATTTTGCGAGGCGGAGGCGAGGTACTTCTTTCAGCAGTTGATTTCGGGGGTGGCGCACTGTCACGCCAAGGGCGTGGCGCACAGGGACTTGAAATTGGAGAACACGCTGCTGGACGGCGACGCGGTGCCGCGGTTGAAAATTTGCGATTTCGGATACTCGAAGAACGCGTTCATCGATAGCGATCCGAAGAGCACGGTGGGGACGCCGGCGTACATCGCCCCGGAAGTGTTGGAACGGAAACCGTACGATGGTAAGACTGCGGACGTTTGGTCGTGCGGGGTGACGCTGTTCGTGATGCTGTGCGGTAAGTACCCGTTTGAGGATCGACGCAAACCGCGAGATTTCCGAAGCACGATTTTAAAGATTCGGAGCTGCGATTACGCCATTCCTCCCGGAGTCGAGCTCAGCGCGGGGTGTTTGGACTTGATTCAGCGTATTTTTGTCGTGGACGCCGCGAAGCGCATCGACATCGCTGGAATCAAAGCCCATCCTTGGTTTCTCATCGATTTGCCGATCGAACTCGTCGACGACGCTATCGCGGCGAATCCCACGAACGCCAGCCCGACGAGCACGATGTCCATAGAAGAGATCCTCGCCATCGTGGAGGAGGCGAAAACGCCCTACGAGGGCGCCGAGCGCGATCATCACGACGCGCAAATGGACGGCGACCACGACATGGTGACGAGCGGCGAATTCGACGACGACGACTTTTGATCGCGAATCCGTCGCGCTCTAGCTAATTTAGCGATGAATCCCGCGTCGCGAGAGCGCGGGATTTATTTATGATTGTTTGTTAATGCAGACTAGTCTGGATTACAAAGCACGGCGCCGCCGCACTCCCTCTAAACACTCCGCCGCGACGACTTCCCTCGCGTCGCGACACCTCGCCCTATCCTGAAAATGAAATAATCGTCTCGCGTCTAGAGCTTGATTTCCACGTCAACCCCGGACGGAAGCTCAAGCGCCATGAGCGCATCAATAGTTTGCGCCGTCGGCTGATGAACATCAATCAATCGGTGGTGCGTGCGCGTCTCAAAGTGTTCCCGGCTGTCCTTGTTCACGTGCGGCGAGCGCAACACGCAAAAGATGCGGCGCTTCGTCGGGAGCGGCACCGGTCCGGAGACGCGCGCCTCCGTCGCCTTCGCCGCCTCAAGAATCTTATCACACGCGCTCTGCATGTGGTTCGTCTCGAAAGATCGAAGGCGAATGCGAATCTTGGACGCTTGCACCGCGGCCTGTCGTACGCGAACGCTCAGTCAGTCACCATCCTTTGTCCCACCCATCATCGCCTGCGCCTCCTCGCCCGCGCCATCGCGCGTTCGCGCGCAGACCGCGAACCGAACGGTTTAGAATAAATCCACGCGCGCACCACCGGCGCGCGACGCGCGCGCGCCGCCGTTCACACGCGCGAGGCCTCGCGCGCGTCGTCGCCCCCATCGCGAAATCAGGGTCACGTCGCATCGTCTCACGCACCGCTTGCGCCGTCGCCGCGCGAGCCTTCGTCTGCGTCGATCGAAAACCACATCGAATAAAAATTGCGTCAGTCATTCATCGCGCGTTCGCGCCCCATCGCGCGCGTCGCGCGCCCCTCCGAGCGCGTTCGCGTCGCGACGTCATTCAGGGTTTCGTCGTCGCCTCGCGTCGTCGCGCGTTCTTCGCGACGCACCGTCGCGCGCGTCTTCGCGGGCGCGGCGCGAAGCGCAGAAATTTGGGACGTGTGCGTGGCGAACATGATTCGCGTCGCGGCGCGCGCGGGCGTGCGTCGTGTGGTGCCGACGCGTGCGACGTCGCGCGCCGCGAGGGTTGTGGCGCGCGCGCGACGCCGCGTGATGGCTTTAAAACGATCCATCGTGCGAGGACGCGCGCGTACGAAGCGTGGTTTTAACGCCATCAATGGAGGCGCACACGGCGACGGCGCGACGCCGCGCCACATCGCGCCGCGCGACGACGCGACGAGGTCGCCATGGACGCCAAGATCGACGGTGCGCGCGACGTCGCGCGCGATGCGCGAGTGGACCGAACGCGCGGACGAAGCGACGCGGACGACGGACGACGATGGGATGACTGACGGGCGACGGCGATTTCAAACCGATGCGCAGCGCTCGTCATGCGGCTGCACGAGATCGAAGCGGTGAAGTTTGGGGAGTTTAAACTGAAATCTGGGATCATGTCGCCGATATACGTCGATCTTCGCGTGATCGTGAGCTACCCGGACGTGCTGACGGCGGTGGCGGAGTGCATGTGGGAGACGCTGAAGGCGAACGGGGCGACGTTTGATAACATGTGCGGGGTGCCGTATACGGCGCTGCCGATCGCGACGTGCATGTCGTTGGCGCATGATTGCCCGATGTTGATGCGACGGAAAGAAGTGAAGGCGTATGGGACGAAGAAACAGATCGAGGGGGCGTTTGAGGCGGGACAAACGTGCCTGTGCGTGGAGGATTTGGTCACGAGCGGGGCGTCGGTGATGGAGACGGTGGAACCGCTCGAGAGCGTGGGGCTGAAGGTGAAGGACGTTGTGGTGTTGATCGATCGTGAACAGGGAGGGGAGGCGCGCTTAGCCTCGCACGGGCTTCGCTTGCACTCCGTCTTGCCGTTATCTCGCGTCTTGAAGACGTTGGAAGCGGCCGGTAAAATGAGGTGCGCGAGCGCGTCGAAACGTTCGCTAGCGCGGGCGTGCTTCAGTCTTCTCGTCTGCGCGAAATCACACGCGTTTTCGAATTTTCATGCACGCAATATTGAATTCCGGTAGCTCCGTAACCCTTTCCCTCGACGGTTCTCTTCTATGAGTCGTCGAGGTGGATATGCACCGACACGCGAGTGCCGCCGCGCCGGCGGGTGATTTCTCGTCGCGACGGATGACTGACTGTTTTGTTTTAATTTCTTTCGCAGCTCCGAACTCGTGCAGAACGTAAAGGATTTCATCGCGGCGAATCAAACCATGCCCGTCGCCGGCGCCGAAGTCAAGAAACCGACGCGAATGTCTTACACGGCTCGCTCTGAGCTCACCGATAACGCGTGCGCCAAGCAGTTGTTCAAGTTGATGGAGACGAAGAAGACCAACTTGTGCGTCGCCGCCGACGTGGACACGGCGAAGGAACTTTTGGAGATGGCTGAAATTCTCGGTCCGGAAATCTGCATGCTCAAGACGCACTGCGACCTCTACCCTGACTTCACCGAGTCCTTCGGCGCCCAACTGATGGCCATTGCGGAAAAGCACAACTTTATGATTTTCGAAGATCGCAAGTTTGCCGACATCGGTAACACCGTGGTCGGGCAGTACAGCAGCGGTGTGCATAAGATTGCGGACTGGAGTCACATCACGAACGCGCACATCGTCCCGGGGAGCGGCATCATCGACGGCTTGAAGTCCGTCGGTCTTTCCAAGGGTCGCGGTTTGCTCCTTCTCGCGGAGATGAGCTCCAAGGGCACGATGGCCAAGGGTGAGTACACCGAAGCCGCGATCGGTATGGCTGCCCAACACCCCGACTTTGTCATGGGTTTCATCTCCACCAACCCGAAGGCGTGGAAGGCGGAGTGGAGCAAGGGTCTCATCAACATGACTCCGGGAGTGCAACTTCAGGTGGGCGGCGACGCCATGGGCCAGCAGTACAACACCCCGCATAATGTTATCGTGGAAAACGGAAGCGATGTTATCATCGTCGGTCGCGGCATTTACAAGGCATCCGACCCTGCCGCCGCCGCGAAGGAGTACCGCGCGGCTGGTTGGGAAGCCTATCAGACGTCCATCGCTTAAAAAAGTTGTTATAAATTTTTAACACTCGACGTTTCTCTCGTCTTACAATCGCTAAGTACGTAAATCTTTACGAAAAGAGCTTTTTCACGGAAATGTTCTTTTCGCTATCCTTTTGCATCACCTTGGATACGGCCATTTCAAAGTCTTCTTGCGTGACGTGGACGCGACGTTCGCGAAGCGCGAACATTCCGGCCTCGGTGCACACCGCCTTGGATTCTGCCCCGGAAGCCCCACCCATCTTGCTCGCGATCTTCTTAAGATCGATCCCGCGAACGAGGTTCATCTTGCGGCTATGAATCTTGAGAATATCGACGCGGCTGTCTTCAGATGGATTGGGGAACTCGATTTTACGATCGATGCGGCCCGGACGAAGAAGCGCCTGATCGAGGATATCGAGGCGGTTCGTGGCCATGATCACCTTAATCTTGTTCGTCGCCTCGAAACCGTCGAGCTGGTTGAGCAGTTCAAGCATCGTACGCTGCACTTCGCTGTCGCCTCCACCTCCGCCGCCTCCGTCGCGAGCGCTACCGATAGAATCTACTTCATCCATGAACAAGATGCTCGGCGCGTGCTCGCGAGCCATGACGAACAGTTCACGAACCATCCGCGCCCCTTCTCCTATGTACTTTTGAACTAATTCCGAACCAGACACGCGAATGAAGCAGCAATCGGTGTGGTGCGCAACGGCACGAGCCAAGAGCGTCTTCCCGGTACCCGGGGGACCGTAAAGGATGACCCCCTTCGGTTGCGCGATCCCGAGCGCGTCGAAAAGCTCTGGGTGCTTGATCGGTAACTCCACGACTTCCTTGATCTCCTTCACTTGCTGATCCAATCCACCAATCATATCGAACGTGGAATCGGGAACCTTTTCAACCTTCATGAGCGACACGAGCGGGTCGATGTTCGACGGAAGGATCACGTGCAGCGTGTACGAATCGTTCCTCAACGCCACCCGAGTCCCCGCCGTCAGTTTCGTCACATCGATGCTCTTGTCCATATCACACACGTATTTTCCCTCCGGGTGCACCTGCGCGCGAAACACAAACTGTCAGTATTCTTTCCTCTCTCGCCGTCTCCGCGCGCTCGGCGCGCCGCGCGGGCGAGTCGTCCGCTCACCTTGACCAACACTTTCTTCTTCCCCATCACCTTCACCACCTCCCCGACGTACGATCCGGGTTCCTGCAACATGTGCAATTCCTCGCGAAGCGATCGAACTGCGCGCGCGCGGTAAACCGAACGAAATTCAAAGTCAGTCTTCGCTCGTCGTTCGCGCGTCGTTCGCGATCTCGCCTCGATCGTTCCTCTCATCACGCTTTCGCGTCCGTTCGCGCACCGCGCTCGCGCGATCGACGACGACGACGCCCTTCTCACGCGCGCTCCGCGCACCTCGTCCGTTCAATTCATTTCTCTGCGCCTCTAAGCGTCGAAGATTCTGCGTCTTGTCGCGCAGGCGAACCTCCAACTCTTCGATTTTCGCGTCGTAATACGCGCGCAGACCCGTTTGCGGTCGCGCGTCGACGTCCATGGACGACAGCACGGCGGTCGCCATCGTTTCGCGTCGCGTCGCGCGCGCGAGATGCGCGCGCGCGGGCGGGGTGCGGTTCGATGTGACGATCCGAGGCTGGCAACGACTTTGAGTCGCGGGCCGAGGCGAGGCGCGGCGGGACGACTCGCCTCATCGACGCGGCGGCGAAGCGCGGGCGATTCGGTGATACAAACGTGCGATTAAACGACGATTAAACGCGAATCGAACGAATCGACGCTAGTCGACGCGACGCTTTTTGAATTTGTCTCTACCGTCGGCGCGGCGCAGCGCGCTCTCCCACCGCTTGGCAAACTTTTTATACAGCGCCAACGTCGCCCGCGCGTCGTCCACGGAGGAGTGCTCGCCCTTTTGAATCTCTAACCCTAAATGCTGCCGCGCGAGATCGCGCAGGGCGCGACATCCGCGACCGCGAGGCGCGCCCGGAACGCACCGCTCCTCCGGCCGCAACGGCCTCGTCAGCGGATGATACAAACTCGTGTCCCGCGTGTCTCGCTTCGGATGATCCAGCATCAGCACCCGCATATCATTCTTCAAGGAGTGCCCCACCAATATCCGTCCCCTCAGCAGTTCGCTCATCTGCGCCTGCACCTTTTTAAACGCCACCGCGCCGTTCGCCGCCGTCAAATCCTTCGCTCGCACCCCCGACACCGCCGTCCTGTAATCCGTCACCCGCTCCGTCGGCAGCACGTGCGCGTCCATGATCACGTTCCCATCCTCGTTCACGATGGACGCTCGCGCGAGGATCGACCGCTTCCCGTCCGCGCCGACGCCGACCATCTCGCAGTCCAGCGCCAGCACCGCCGTCACCGCCGTGTTCCGTCCCGTCGCCCTCGGCGTCGCGCTCGCGTCGCGCCCGCCGTCGCGCGTTCGCGTCGCATCGTCGACGTCCTCCAGCGCGCGTCGCGCCGCGGCCGCCGCCTTGGCCGCGCTCGACGCGCCGGCGTTGATGCGCTTTTTCAGCGCCGCCCAGTTCGCGCCCGTCGTCGCCGTCGCGCCGTCGCTCGCGCGCGCCGGCGCGCGCTCGACCGCGGGCGACGTTCGAGACGCCTTCTTCTTCGCCATCGCGTCGTCGCGGCGTCGCGTCGTCGCGGCGCGGCGCTTCGGCGCGCGCGCGAGTGCGGCCGACGCGCGCGCGACGGCGCCGCCGCACACCGCGACGACGCGCGCGCGTCGGCATGCTCGCCGTCGCGCCGCATCGCGCGATGACGCTCGCGCGCGCGTGTCGCGCCGTCGCGCGCCGCGCCGCGCCCGCGCGACGCGACGCGACGGCGACGATCGCGGCGACGCGCCGCCGACCGGGCGATCGCGGCGACGGCGTCTCGCGGCGCGCGCGCGGGACCGAGGCGGTGGCGCGGGCGCGAATCGCGGGCAAACCCGTGCCGGAGGACGCGCGATCGAGCGCGGCGCCGACGGTGGAGAGCGTGGAGGACGAGGATCGGATGAAGAATTTCAGCGGGACGTGCGCGCGGGCGGAGCGGGGCGGCGTCGTCGCGCTGGAGGGCATGCGAAGCGCGGCGCCGCCGGGAGCGGTGCTGCGATTCGCGGATGGCGGACGGGCGGTGCTGCTGAGCCATCGGGAACCGAAGACGTTCGCGCTGATGTTCGACGGCGGCGAGGGAGGGGAGCGGCGACGGACGGGCGACGGCGCGAGGGCGGTGGGGAAGACGGCGGAGGCGAGCAAGACGGAGTTCGTGTGGGGACCGAGCGCGAGGGCGACGCGAGGGAAGATCGTGGACGCGTTCGGGGAGGCGAGGGATGGGTCGGCGATGGTGACCGGAACGGAGGATTCGTCGAAGATGATGCGCGAACCGCCGAGCGTGGAGGAAAGAAAGCCGATCACGACGCCGCTCGTGACGGGGATCAAGGCTGTGGATTTATTGGCCCCGGTCGGGCGCGGGCAGTGCATGCTGGTGAGCGGTGAACCGGGAACGGGACTTTCCGAGCTCGGATTGACATCGATCGTGGCGCAAAGGAGTACGGGCGTGCGGTGCGTGTACGCGGCGCTGGGCGCCCAGGCGTCTCGCGTCGACGAAGTCGCGAAGCGATTAGAGGGAGACGGGGCGATGTCGCACACCACGATCGTGACCGTGGACGATGAACCGAGCGAGGCCGAGCGCTACGCGGCCACGTGCACGGCGTTCGCCATCGCGGAGGGCGCGCGTGCTTTGGGCGAAGACGTCCTCTTGGTGCTCGACGATTTCACCGGCTTGGTCAACTTCACCAAGGATATGGCGCGCATGGCACCGCAGTTGAACGTCGCCGAGGGTACGGAAGAGCAAATGGAAGAGTACGAGGGCATGTTGATTTCCGCTTCACTCGCCGAACGTCGCAGATTCTTAGGTATGACGCTCCAACGCGTTGCTAGAATGAACGACGAACTCAAGGGTGGGTCCATCACGCTCATGGGCGTCATGTACCATCCGAAGGGGGCGTACAAGAAGACGTTCAAATCTGGGGTCGAAGGCGCCGGTTCGGGTGGCGCTGTGCTCCCGAGCAGCGTCGAATCGATCAAGGGTTTCGACTCCATGCCTGCCGCCGTGCAAGAGAAGCTGCGCAAGGCGCTCGAGGAAAAAGCCAAGGCGGCGCACGTATCCACGGCGGATGACGAATTTCCCGAGTCCGCGTTCGTGCAGTCGCGACCGATGGTCGAAGAGTTCATGTCCATCACTGATGGTCAAGTTTTTGTCGATTCGTACGATCCGGCGAAAGGATGGATCATCAGCGCGAAAGATTCGGTGAGTCGCATCGGCGCGCCGGGCGCTGCGGGGCCTTTCCGCTCGCTCAACTTTCTTCAACTTCGCCTCGATTTGATGCAATCGGACGACATGGGTACGTTTGGTAGCGCTGGAACAGAAAAAAGCAAGCTTCGTAGCCGCTCCGAGGCCATTCGTGGTTTCCTCAAGCAAAAGCAAGGAGAGGTCGCGTCGCTCGCCGAGCAAACCGTCGGTTTGTTTGCCATCCAAAAAGGTTTCGCGAACAATAAGACTGCGGAAGAAGTCGAAGATATGCTCGCCAAGGCGGTCAAGCGCGCGACAGAAACAATGCGCGAGGAGTTAGAGTATATTAACACTAACCCATCGTCCGCGCTTTCGGAGGAGACGATGACTAAACTCGAAACGTTGTTGAGGAATCTTTAACGAAATTCTTCAAGTACAGTAGCGGCGCGCATATTCATATACATATTTTTTACATATTCAATCATCAATCATCATCGCTTCATCACCTTTGTCGTGTTGTTATAACTTTGTTTTCGTCTTTATCTTTAGATCGAAAGCGCTTCGCAAGAAATCAATGAGTTCCACTTTCTTCCGCCCCTTCGGGATCTGCGTCAGCACAAGGCCACATCGCTCTACAAAATTCTTGCCGTTTTCGTCGTCTTCATACTTTTTCAAAACAGATTTGATCAAGTTTCGGGCGTCAGTCACCGCAGCATCCAATGCATGGTGCCGAGAGACGGTAATTTGATCAAGTTTGTCGGCCTCAATCAGCAGACAGACATCGAGAAAACGCTTGGAAACTTCAGTATTGTCGACTCCGTACGCGGCGACGATTCGATTCTTGAGATTTTCTCGACCCGTCGGCGTCGTCCTTTTCTTCATCGGTGGAGCTCCTGGCACGCTGTAAAACTGTGACTTTTGAATACCATCCTGCGTCACGCGGCTCCCGAGCACTGGAGGCGCTTCGTCGCCGGAAGATTCAACGCGCATGCGCTTTCTCGCGTTGGCGACGATTCGAGACGGAGACAAGTCCATCGCGCAATCAATGATATCGTCGAAATCTTCGCCGATGAATAGATCACTGCTTTCGCCCGGCGCTTTCAACGTTGGTGGAATGGATGGTGGTGTAGACGTAAAGTTCGGTGGGACCATATCGTGTGGCGAGAAGATGCTATCCGGCAACGCGTTACGATTCGGCGGCCAAGGATCGACCCACATCTCGAGCGAATCTGGCATCCCGTTAGCTCGGGCAGAAAACGCGGGCCATCCGCTTCGGTTGTGCGAGGCGCCGACGAAGATATCACGATCTGGGACGACAGGTCCACTCTTGGGCGCGCTCTCACGAGCCAAGAACGTGCTCCGTCGGACGAGCCAGGAAAGATGGGCGTCGACGATGTTCACGCGTCGCGCGGCTTCGAGAAATCGCAGCACGTGGTCGTTCGTCACATGCGACTGCCTTGCCGGAAATTCGGTACCTCCAGTGCTTTTGAGAAGCAAAGACACGGGCCATAAGAAAGGTTTATCGCACCCAGGAACGCAGATATCAGCGAGAAGTTCCTCCTCTGAATCATCCGTGTGAGCGTGTCTGGGCACAAACGTTCCGAGCGACGACTCGAAGGCGATTCTGAATTCTGCGATCGATTTGAAGCCGCAAGGACGCGGAACTTCGCGACGAATCGCGACGATACCGACTTCAACGCCGATTTCCGGCGCCGCTTGCGCCATGATCGGCGTGTCGTGGATCTCGACGACTTTGGCGCCGTCGATGAATGATCTGATTTTCGCCGTCGCCACTCCGTGTTGTCGCATTTCGTCGATCACCGATCCAAATCGTTGCAGCCGCAGCGCCACGGCGTTGATGCTTGGAAACAGAATCTCAATTTCACAATCTTCACCGATGTCCTGCGCCAGCGTCGCCGGCGCCTTGGTGACTTTGATTCCGTGTTCAATCTCGACCCCGAAGGCGTGCGTCATCCCTCCCGGCACCGACGGGAAAAAGTCTTCGTACATGAACCGCGTCCCGTACTCCGTGCGCCCGAACGCACGCCAGTGCGGCACCTCTCCGAACGCCTGCATAACCAACGTCGGCACCAAACTCCGCAACACATCCATCTGATCCTTCCCCTCGCACGTCGTCACCTCCGTCACGCGCACTGGAATCTTTGCCTCTTTAATTTTCTCGTCGCTCGTCGTCGCCCGACACACCATCTTCGTCGCCTCCGCGTACTTCCGCGGCGTCACGCACACGTACGTCTCGCTCGACATCCCCAACACGTGCACATCGCGCCATCCCTCGCCCTCGTCCGTCGCCGCGTCTCCGAACGCCGTTCGCAGCGTTCGCAGCTCCGCGCGCACCGTCGATTCCACCACCCGCCGCAGCGTCTCCCGCGCGCTCGCCTCCGTCACCTCCGGCTCCACGCGCATCGCCACCAGCGCCACGCGCGCGAGCGATAACCTCCCCAGGACCGGCGTCGGCACGTCTCGTCGCGCCGCGCTCGCTCGAAGCATCGCGCGCGTCGCTCGTTCGCCTCCGAGAACTCAAACCGTCGTTCGCCGTCGTCTCGCGATGCGTCGCGCCTTTTTTCGCCGTCTCGCGCGCGTCGTCGTTCGCCGTCTCGCGCGCGCGCGTCGCGGACGTCGTTCGTCGTCGTTCGCCGTCGCGCGTGCGTCGCGGTGTGCGCGCGCCGTCGCTGCGTCGCGCGTCTCCGCGTCCGAGACGGATCGTCGCGTCCGAGACGTCCGAGAGACGGACGCGTCGATTCGTTCGGTCGACGCGCGGGACGCGCGAGACGCGCGCGCGCGAGACGCGCGAGACGGACGCGCGCGAGCGTCGATCGCGCGCGTCGATCGCGCGCGTCGATCGCGCGCGTCGATCGCGCGCGAGGGACGAGGGACGAGGGACGAGGGAGGTCGAATCGCGTCGAATCGAATCGCGCGATGGCGAACGAAACGCACGCGCGAGACGCGAACGACGCGGCGCGAAGCGAGACGTGGGCGCGGAGCGCGGCGCGAGGGATGCGGGAGACGTACCCGGGGCACTATCGCGCGCTGGTGGATCTGAGAGGGGACGAGGAGACGCACAGCGCGGAGACGTCGGGGCAGATTGATAAGGATTTGCCGCGCGTCGGCGGCGCGTTTCGAAACGCGTTGGATCTGAGCGAGCCGGGAACGAAGGATTGGAACGCGCTGAAGCGAGTGCTGCTGGCGTTCGTGTCGCACGAACCGGAGATCGGGTACGTGCAGTCGATGCACTCGATCGCGGCGTTTTTGTTGCTGGCGGGATTGGACGAGGAGGACGCGTTTTGGTGCCTGGTGCAGCTGGTGGGGGAAATCGTGCCGGGGTACTTTTCGGAAGGGATGACGGCGGCGAAACTCGATCAGAGGGTGTTTATGAGGATATTGCGCGAGCGTTTGCCGAGCGTTGGCTTGCACGTGGGGGCGCTGGGGCCGGATGATATCATCGCGGCCATCATGAGCGGGCAGTGGTTGCTCACGCTCTTCGTCAACGTGTTACCGACGCGAGCGACGATGGAGGTGTGGGATGAGATGTTTAGGCACCGACACCGCGCGCCGCTATTTGCGGCGTGCGTCGCGCTGCTCGAACGGAACGCGCAGGCAATTTTAGCGACCACGGAGATGGGCGAGGCGATCGAGCTGCTGCAACGATGCAGCGAGAGTTTGCGCCGAGCGCCGGCAAGCGAAGGCGAGGGCGACGCGTGCGATGAGGCGGAGTGCGACGCGTTTCTAGCGCGAGTTCGCGAGTTATTGAGCAACGAACTTTCGCCCGCGAAAGTAGACGAACTTACGGCGCGCGTGCGAGGGAAGTTTCGACGTCCGAGCGACGTGCGGTTGCCCGCCGCGATTACAAACGTGTCGGCGTTGACGGATGTGGATGACTTGTACGTCGGTCTACTCTCGGGAGATCTACGAGATAAAATGACGGCCGCGCACGAAAATATGTGCGCGACTGAAAATTTGAAAGATGAGTTATCCATGCTCAAGGATGCATCGCTCGCGAGCAGTGTTCATGATTCCGACATGAATGGCGAACCCGTCGAAAACGAGTCGCAGCGTGAGCGACACTCGAGTGATGACAGGAACTCACCCGAATCTATTCTCAAAACGAGTGAGCTGAATTCAATCTTTGCCAAAGTGGTGTCGATTGAGACGCACGCGAATGCGCTCACAGAGCATGGCGATAAAGTGTTGACGTGCGTGAAACAAATCGTTTTGCGACCGTTGCGCGCCATTCTGGAGTCGCGACTGAAATCATTTTGCGAAGAGATTCGCTTTCTTCAAGGTGAATTCGCGACAAAAGTCATCACACTTCGCAACACTATGGATCAACAGTTGGAAATGGCGCCAGATTTGAGCGTGTTTCTCGCTTCGCAATCGTACAACAGATCGATGTGGCCGCTTTGGACAGAGTCAATTTTTGAGGTCACAATCGAACAGGCGGAAATTGTCCTCGAGTCCCTCGAACAAATCCGTGCTGAACTCGCGTGGATGGTGAGCGTGCTCGTCGGTGAGCGTAAAAAAAGTGTCACACCGAAAATATCCCGAGCAGATGGTTGGGAAGACCTCGGAGAGGACACAAACGCGGAGGCTTCAATCACCGCCGAACCGGACGAGGAATATCTCGCCGCGTCTTTTCAGTCTCATAAGAACGAGACGGAGAATAGGTTGAACGAAATTAGAATCATGGTGAAGCGCACGCACACGGAAGCGATCGAAGACTTGCCGAGGTTGAGGCAAAATTTAAGCGCGACTACGGCAAAACTCAAGGACGAATTATCCGCGGAGGAGGACGCGGTGAACGATTGGGCGGCGAACGCGGAGAGCCGCAACAAGATAAAGCAGGAATCAACGGAGAAAAAGCTCGAGCAGGTCTCACGCGAACTTATGAAGGCGTATGATAAGTCGCATATTGCCATTGATGACGCGTTGGCGGCGAGCGATAGCGAGACTGGCAGTGTGAGCGCAAAAGACGGCTTGGAGCAATCGCACGCGGATGAAGAAAGACGTCTTCGAGCGGCTTTGCAAAGCGTCAAGACGCTCGAATCGGTTCTGAGTCGACGCTCGAACGCGCTGGAGCGTGAGAAGCAAACATCACAAAGCGTGCGGGCGATATCTTCGCGCACGTTATCTCAGACCAACGCGTCGTTATTGCTCGTCTTTGAAGCGGGCGAGTGGTTGGAGCACGAGCTCGTCGCACGGGGCTCAAAGGATTTCGTCGACGATTTTGAGCGACTCGCCGACATCATCGAAGAATTGAGTGCGAGCGCGAGAAATTCTTGCGTGAGAATCCTTCGTGAGTGGTCATCGTTCGTTCGCAAAATCACGAGCCAGGTCGTTCTGGAGTACGTCAGCATCATCGACTCGTCCGCACAGGCGCTCAGCGACACGCAAGCCGCACTCGCCGCATCGACGAGTCGGCTAGACGCGAGCTCTTCGCTCTCTACATCACCTGGATCAATACGTGAGCTAAATCCATCGCACGCATCGCCGATGTCGGGCAACTCTCTCCGCTCGCTGACGAGTCAGATGGAAAAACTAACCGACATCGCCGGATCCAAGCTCGGCAGCTTTGGCAATCGTCTGCGCAGTTTTGCCTCGCCGACGCCGTCAAAGGCTTCGATGAATCAAAACGCGCCAAATGATGTTGAAACGGTCTCGTCAACGAGCCCTGGTAACGACGCGTCATCGACGAATTCGAAATTCTCCAGGCTGGCTGCCTCCGCGCGCGAGGACGGCGCCAGACTGGAATCGCGCAAAGCGCAGTTGCTCGCGAAGAAGCGCTGGCTGCGCGAGCACCTCGTCGCGAGAGGTGAAGCTTAGGCAACGCATGTAAACTACTAAATTCATGTTTGTAATAACATTTTTGCGGCTTCTATATTTTTGCATCCACTGCTTGTGATCTTCAAAGGAATAGGTGAATTAGGTTGGAATAGATTTTAGATCCTTGAAGATAAGATCCGGACGCCAACACGTCGTTGGGCGAGGTTTATTTAGTAAACCATCGCATTTGCTCGGGAAAATTTTTCACCGATAGCACCGCAGCGCGCGTTCTTTTTCCCACGCGGGGTGTCGTTTTGTTGTACCGCAGTCGCCTTGCGTTTCTCCGGCGTCGCCATGCGGCTCGACGGCGACGGTCCCAGGTTGTTCGTTCTGCGGTATCGGGTGCCGCACGCGTTGCACAGCATCGGCTTGCTCGCCGGTCCTCGGCGCCACTGCGGCGAGTCCAACGCACCGCAGTGATCACACGGACCGCCCGGTTTGGTGTGCCCAGCCACGCCCGGCGCCGCGCTCGGCAGTCTGCTGACTTCCGAGTCCTCCCACGCCGACATCGAGTCCCCGCCGCGTCCGCTCGCCCCGCACTCCTCGTACTCCTCCGCGTCGTCCGGCGCCCATCGTCCGCCCGAACCATCTTCCTCGCTCGAGCACGGTCGCATCGACGACGGTCGCGTCCACGCGTTCGCCCCTCCCCCCACGTTTTCCTTCAAAATGCTCGCCTCCAGCATCGCCAGCTCCGCGTCCGACACCGCCACCGTGCACCCGTCGTCGTGAATCTTCACCAGCGTGTACCACCGTCGATCCGGCACCAGCTCCCTCGCGGACGGCGTCTCCTCCCCGAGCATGTCCTCGTCTTCGTCCTCCCCCCCCAGCGGCGTCTCCGTCCCGTCCCCGCGCGTCGCCGCCGTCGCCGCGACCCGGTTCGCGTCCGTCACACACGGATCACCGCGATCTCCGGCCGCGCGCGATGGCGACTTGCCCCGCGTCGCGCGCGCGCTCGTCTCCGACCCCTTCTGCGCGTTCCGCAGCGTCATCGCGCTGTCGCTCCGCGGCAGGCCGTTATCGCGCATCCCGTTCACCGCCTGCGCGCGCGTCGATCGATGTCGCGACACCACGCCCATGCCCCCCGTCTCGCCCGCCGCGCCGCGATGGATGGCTCGATGGCTCGATGGCGCGATGGATGGATGAATCGCCACCGCCCTCGCGCCGTCGCCGACCGCGTCTCCGCGCCCGCGCCTCGACGTCGCCGCGCGCGAATTTTTTCGCACCGAACCCCCCCGCGCGCGCTCGCGCCCGCGCTCGCGCTCGCCCGCGCGCCTCGCGCGTCGTCGTCTCCCGCGCGCGCGCCCGCGGGTTCCGAAAGGCCGCGCGCGCGCGGTCGGCCGCGCGCGGCACGCGCGCGCGATCGATCGATCGCGCGATCGCGCGACCCTGGAGTCGGCGATCATCGATCGCGCGCGAACCTCACGTCGTCGATCGCGCGAATCCCCCGCGTTCGAGATCCGATCGCGCGCGCGAGAAAATCTTTTCCGTCTTTGCGGATCGGCGCTTCTTTTTTTTTCGCGCGGCGCGAATTTCGCGAAGTTCGCCGAGATCGACGTATTGCGCGTTCGAAAAGCGCGGTGTGCGCGATCGCGCGTCGCGCGGCCGTCGGCGCGGCACGTGGCGATCGCGCGATCGAATCTCTCGCCGCGCGCGGGTGTTTCGTGCCCCGAAACACGCGCGCGATCTCGGATGGGTTTTCATACGTCGGCGCATTGCGCGGCCGCGCCGCGCCGCGCGCGCGTTCGCGACGCGTCGCGTCGCGCGATGCTCCCGGGCGCGCCCGTCGCGGGCGGCGCGCGCGTCGCGATGCCGTCGACGTCGACGGCGCGGACGGACGGCGACGACGGCGACGATGGACGCGCGACGCGCGCGCGACCGACGAGGGGGGCGACGGACGACGCGGACGATTCGCCGGCGCCGCTCGCGTCGTACGTCGCGGGAGACGTCGTGTTCGCGCGAGGCGTCGGCGCGCGAGGACGGGAACCGATGTGGCCGGGCGTGATCGTGGACGTGGGGCGAGCGCCGGAGGCGGTGCGGAGGGATTTCGCGGCGGCGTGCTGCTGCGTGATGTTTTACGGGCCGAGCGGGACGCGGGGGCGGGAGAGGGATTATTGCTGGGCGCCCGCGGAGGGGTTGATGGCGTGGGCGCGAGGGGTGCGACGAGGGTTGGACGCGCAGCGCGTGGCGAAGCGAATGCGACCGAGGGCGTTCGAGGAGGCGTGCGAGGAGGCGCGCGAGGCGGCGGCGGCGGACGAGGACGACGTCGGGGCGACGGAGAGCGAAGGGAGAGCCGACGATCGGGGGGGGGACGGGAAGGGGCTCGACGGCGACGATGGCTCGCGCGAGGGCGAGCGCGAAGACGAGGTGGGGGTGCTGGGATTACAGGACTCGTTCGGGTTGCCGTGCAGCGCGCCGGCGGAGCGGCTGGCGACGCGTCGGTGCGCGTCGTGCGGCGTGACGGATGACGAGTCGTTGCGATCGAAAAACTCGAATGGGCTCTGCGCGCTGTGCAGAAAGTTGCACAAAGAGGGTCAGTTCTGTCCGGTGTGCGATCGAGTGTGGCACTGGAGCGCGGGCGACGCCATGGTGGGGTGCGATCGATGCGAGATGTGGATTCATCGCGAATGCGACGCCGTGGCGGCGGAGGTGTTGGATAGAGAACAAAACGGTGAGGATGAGGATATTCCGTACGCGTGTCCGGTGTGTAGAAGTAAAACTCCCGAGCAGATCGCCGCGGAGGCGAGACTCGCGGAGCAAGCGCGCGTCGAGGCTGAACGCAAGGCGCAGATTCGAGAGCGCAAGCGCTTGGAAAAACTTCTCAGCAAACCTCGAGTCGGTCGACCTTCAAAGGAGATGAAAGAGGCTAAAATGCTGCTGAGGCGCATGCCAACGCTGGATAAACTCCTAAAGGGTTCTTCCTCAGCCTCGGTGCGAGCGGGGACGATGAAATCGCCGCACGCAGTGTCGAAGAAGCAAAACACCGTGCCCAAACGACCGAAGAGTTCGTGGCAGCTCTTCGCCGCGGATTTCTTCCAACAGTACAAAGACGAAAACGGCGAAGATAACATAGATTTCGCCGCGGTCTATCGCGAGCAGGGTGCGGCGTGGCGCGAGATTGACGCGTCAGAGCGCGAGAGATACGAGGAGCTCGCCAGAGATGAGGCGGAGCGATTTAGAGAGATGATCACGGAGATGTTTGAGAGCGGCGAGCTCGACGACCAGCAGCGAAAGCGTTACGATAAAATCTTGAACCCAGACGCGCACGCAGCGAGGGTGAAGACGGAACGAAACCCCGATGCGAGCAAGGCGTCGCGTCGCTCCAAGGCGGGTGATATTTCCAAGCTTCGCGACGGGAACGAGTTGCCAGAGACACTTGCGGTGATTTGTAACGGCGTGGCCGCAGACTATTACACGCGCTTGAATCAAGTGATGTGTCAATGCTCGGATTGCGCAGGAACGAACAAGTACATGACGCCGACTGAGTTCGAAAAGCACGCTGGCATGGGGCAAGCGAAAAAGTGGAAGGCGTCTTTGAGAATGATTGAGCCGGCAAAGATGCCCATAGGACGTTTCTTGGACGGCAATGATTTCAACGCTCGTAGGGATCAACATACCGAGGACGATGAAAATGCTTCGCTGGATTACGAAATCGTGCAAGTGAGTTGGAGCGTCGATCGGTGTGCGGTGTGCGACGATGAGCGCGACTTCGACTTTGACCAGCTCATCACGTGCGAGGCGTGCGCGGTGACGGTGCATCAGTCTTGCTACGGTGTTCCAGACATACCAGACGACACCGTCGGTTGGCTGTGTCGTTCGTGCGAGCACACCGGTGGTGCAGTGAGCGAAACACCCTTGTGTTGTTTGTGTCCCGTCGCCGGCGGTGCGCTCAAACCGACGACGATTCCTTCGCTCTGGGCGCACAGCGCGTGCTGCCAATGGATACCCGAGACCACCGTGCTTGATATCGAGCGCATGGAGCCCATCGATAACATCGCAAACATTCAAAAAGAACGCTGGTCGCTCTTGTGCACGGTCTGTAAGCAACGCATGGGCGCGAAAATCCAATGCTGTCATCCGGGTTGCTACATCGCGTATCATCCGTTGTGCGCGCGCGCGACTGGTTTGTACATGGATGCCAACGACGATGGCGACGATGATGAATCGCCATTACAGTTACTGTCGTACTGTCATAGACACTGTCGTGTCGACGTCGAGCGCGCACAAATTTACGCCGGCACAGAGGGCTTGAAGATCGGCCAGGAGGGACGGCTGTTGGAGTGTGGTGCCAATAAGGAACGAAAACGTACCAAGGCGGAGATGCGCGCGGAAACAGAAGAGCGCGAGAGACGAGAAGCATCCGCGACGCTCGCTGATGAGCCAGAGTTGAGCTCAGACTCTGAGACAGACTTCATGAACTGCGCAAAGTTCCGTCGTTACGAGCAACTTGGTCATCCGAGGACGGAGGCGGACATCAAGGACGAAAACGAAGAAAATCCCGACGCTCCCGGGTCAGGAACGAAGAAGTATCGAGTTCGTAAACGGGTCTTGCACGCGGACGACGAGGACGAGAACGACGACGACGACGACGACGAGGATGACGACGACGACGACGACATGACGGAACGTGCTGATACAGACATGGTGCATACAAAAGACGACGTCATCGCGCATCAACGCGTCGATACCATGGAAACTACTGAAGACTTATTGCAGGATGACGACGACGACGACGACGCAGAACTCTCGACAGATCTCGACGTTGAGTACGACGCCGATCCAACAGACGACGACGACGACGACAATGCCGAAGGCGGTAAAACAGACGCCGAGGATGCCGTGGAGGATGCCGATGCCAAATTAGATCCCTCAACGACGTTTCCGGAATCAAAGAGACGTAAAACCGTATCAGAGCGTTCCGAGAGCTCACCTCAGAGTGCGACGTTGGCGCTGCAAGCAAAGTTGCCGGAAGCAAAGTACCCGGCACTTCCCGGCGGCTTACCCGTACCTGAAGGAAACGTTCCGCGTCCGGATATTCCCGAAGTAAACATTTACTGCAAGACGTTTAGAGGAATATTTAGACCAGCAGATACGTTGATCAAATGTCTCTGCGGACGGTGCAGACGTGAGGCCGAAGCCACGAACTCTGACGCGACGACTCTGTGGGAAGCGAACAGATGGGAGCAGCACGCGGGTATGAAGCACACCAAGAAATGGAAAACGTCAATCAGAGTCGTCGTCGACGATAACGGTGGCGAGCAAGCTTTCGGTGATTGGCTTACCGATCACAATATCGTCGTGCTCGCGAATACTGGAAAAACGGCCAAGGTTGCGTCGATGTCGGCAAAACCAAAAGCCCAACGGCCCAAAGCTTCGCGTACGCACGCACTCCTCGGTCTCGGTCTGGGAACATTTGAAGACGACAAGTTGGAAGATAAGAGCGGCGAAGAGACTCGAGCAAGAGCTCTCGTTGGACGCCGCGTGCAAATCGACACCGGTACCATTCTCGCACCGGACTGGAAAGACGGAACGATGATTGACGTCACGATAACGCGCACTGGCATTCGGTATAAAGTCATTTTCGACGATGGGACAGACTTGATGATATCGTTTACGCGTGATGCGCAAAATTTGAAATTCGTCGATGGCGAGGCACCGGATTTGTCGTTTTTGCCTGAAGCCGCAAAATTAAGCTCTGGCAAAAACACACAACTTGAGACGCAACTGGCGATCGCCAACGCACAATTTACATCAGCAAAACGACCGTCTAATCCCGCAGACCGCGCCAAGATCGCGGAACTCGGGCGGCCGAAAAAGCCTCGTGAGAAAGAGGCTTGGGTGCAGTGCGAGAACCCGTCGTGCGGGAAGTGGCGGCGCGTCCCTCAAAGTTTTGCGGAGAAGTTATCTGCCGATGATGCCGACATGTGGACGTGTCAGAAAAATCCTGAAGCCGCATTTTCGGTGTGTTCAGTGCCTCAAGAGTTTGAGGACGACGAGATCGATCGACGCATCGCGCTTGGTGATAACGCTCCGTACATGGAGGGTTCAGACGACGAAGAATCGGAAGACGAAGACGCCGTTCGTACGCACGTTCCCGATGACTTGCCAGCGATGGTGAGCGTCGTATGCAAAGGTGTATCTGGGACATATCACGTACAAACGCGACGAATCGAATGTCTGTGTCGAGCGTGCGTCGATAGCGACCAAGGGCCGGTGTACCACGAGAGGTCGCGGTTTGAAGCCCACATTGGAGTGAAAGGACCGAAGAAGTGGAGCCATCACATCAGAGTCGTCCTCAATAACCGAACGGTAATGTCGCTTGGAAAATGGCTCGAGGTGTGGGGATGCGAAATCCGGCGCGAAAAAACCGTTGACCTGTCCGCCAAATCGCTCGGACACCAGAGAAATCTCAGCCGCAAGCAGCTCGAAGAAATTCAAGCCAACGTGTACAAGCGTCTTGGATTGAATAAAAACGACAAAAACGCCAAGGTTACGGGACCACCGCCGAAGACAGGAAAACGTCTGTACGTCGGACTTACGCCGTACATCGTGCGCGGGTCGCGAGGCGCCTTCAAGCGCGAGTTGATTGCTTCAAAAAAGTACACGCCCGAAGAGTTTGCGGCGGTACAAGCGGAGCGCAAGGCTAGGGGCGTGAACGGCGCTTCGGATGATAAAGTCGTCGAACAGCATGGGCTCACGATGCGAGAGAAGCTCGAACAAATGACGGCGTCGTACTCCGATAGACTCACGTTCGCCAAATCCAACATACACGGATGGGGACTGGTGGCCAAGGTTTTCCACAAGGCGGGTTCCATCGTCACGCAGTTCAAAGGCGAGACGTGTCGAAGCACCGTCGCGGATCTTCGCGAAACCTTTTACGAAGATAACGGAGTGGATTGCTACCTCTTAAAACAAGACGACGACACCGTCGTCGATTGCACGTTTCAAGGAAACTTTGCGCGATTCACCAATCACAGCTGCAACCCGAACATGTACTCAAAAATCGTCAAAGTAGACGACGCGAATCACATCATCTTTTTCGCTCGAACCGACGTTCGGCCCGGGGAAGAGCTGACGTACAACTACAGATTCGAAAGCGAAGACGGCAAAGTGCCGTGCTATTGCGGCGCCGACAACTGTCGCGGTTACTTGTGCTGAACGCGACGCATTCATAGTCATAGTGTAATATTCATTAATCTGTACTCATAGCTTACATTTTCGGCAGCATTCTCTTCACGTAATCCGCCATCAACTTATCGTTTTCCTCCGTCACCGCCTTCTCCACCATCTCCCGCACCTCCTCGAACGAAAACACCTCGTTCGCGTACGTCTCTCGCGCCTCCAACACGCGCAACCCCGCCGCGCGACTCCCCGCGTCGTCGCGCGCCATCAGTCCCCGCAACCAATCGTTCCCGTCCCTCCCGATCGGATGCGCGTCCACGTACGCTTTCAACGCCAGATACGTCTCGCTCTCCGCGCCCTCGCGCTCGAGCGTCTCCGCCAGCGTCGCGCGCGCCGCCACCGCCGTGAACAGCCTCCCGAGCGCGTCCCTCGCCGCGATCTCCGGCGACCGTCCCTGAAACGCGTCGCTCGGCACGTGCATCCGTCCCGGCCGTCCCGCGCGCGTCGCCGCGCGTCGCCGCCCGTCTCCCGCGCCTCGCGTCGCCGAGACGACGCGTCCTCGAACCGCGTCCCTCGCCCCCGCACTCGTCGTCGTCGCCATGACGGCGCCGCGCCGCGCCGCGACGTCCAACGAGGCCACCTTCACGCTCGCGGGCGAGGACCACACGCTGGCGAACGCGCTGCGACACGCGCTGAACGGCAACGCGGACGTCGCGCTGTGCGGGTACTCGGTGCCGCATCCGATGAAGCGCGAGGCGCGCGTGCGCGTGCAGACGACGGGCGCGAACGGGACGACGGCGCAGGGCGCGATGCGGGACGCGCTGTTGGACGTCATCTCGGTGTGCGATCGCGTGCGAGAGGCGTACGAGGACGCCGAGCGCGCGTTCGAGCGCGAGCGGTGAATCGTCTCGAATGGCGGCTGGTGGGCGGTCGGTCGCGCGTGAATTAACGTTGGAGCGCGTGAATCTCGAGCAAGCGCGCCTCGATGCGAGCGAGAAGCGCCTTGCGATCGCCGAGGACGTCGGCGGCGAGGTCTCGACGGCGAACGTCGGCGCGACGAGGCGCGAATTTGACGGGGGTGACGGGGGCGGAGACGGCGGCGCGCGCCGCGGAGGACGCGGAGACGCTCGAGGACGGCTCGGCGGCGGACCATCGGCCCTGTTCCTCGATGATTTCGATCAGACGCGCGTTTTGAGCGTTGGAAGAGGCGAGCTTGAGCTCGAGGTCGGTGATTTCGTCGCGCGCGGCGGCGACGGCGTCGGCGCGGGTCTCGATCTCGGCGTCGGCGCGTTCGAGTTCGGCGGATTGGGCGTTCATCTCTTCCACGAGCTTGTCGCGAACTTCCGCGAGTTTGAGCACGCGGTCGTCGACGCTCGCGGCGTCGGTGACGCGGGATTCACCCATCTGTTTCGCCTTTGAGCGCAAAAGTTGGGCCTCTTCCAGGGCGTCGGCGAGCGCGGCGTCCGCCCGCCGCGTCTTGCGATCGACGTACGCTCGGACGCGGAGGTGCAGCTCGTCGTCGCTGTGCTTCGCGTCTTCGGATTCGCCGATAACGAGCTTGACGGCAGCGATGGCGCTCTCCGCCTTCACCGCGCGGCTCTCGAACGCCGTCGCCGAACGTTTCGCCGCCCTCGTCGCCTTTTCCGTCTCCGATACGCGCGCGCGGTAATCGTCCGCCTCGCCTTCCGCCACCGCGGCGATGCGCGATGCGGTTTCCGCGCGCGCATTCATATCATTTTGCGTGTTAATCACGTCCTCGAGCTCGGCCTCGACTTCGATGCGACGGCGACGTTCCGTTTGTAACTCGGCGAGCAAGGCGTACTTTTCCTCCTGCTGCGCCGCGATGTCCTCGTCGGCGACAAATTGCCCCCTTCGCCGGTCCACGTCGCCCGCGCTCGTCCCGTCGTCGTTCACGGCCGAAATTGCGCCGTCACTGCGAGCGCGTCGTCGCTCCTCGCGGCTCTCGTCTAAATCTCGCCGAAGCTGCATAGCTTCCTCCTCGGCGCGAAGCTGCTCCTCGCGCGACTCCGCCAACGCGGATTCTAAACTTCGCGATCTCGCGTTCGCGGTCTCGCTCGCGCGCAGCGCCGCGTCGCGTTCGCGAATAATTTCATCGAAACGTGACTTTTCTCGCTCCTCGTCCGTCGCTCGCGCGGTGGCGACCTCTAATCGTCGTTCTACGTCCGCCCGCGCCGCTCTCGCTTCCTCCGACTCGGCGAGCGCCGCGTCCAGCGCGAGTCGCGCCTCCCTCGCCTCCGTCTCCGCCGCATCGAGCGCCTTCTCCGCTCTCTCTCGCGCCTCTTCCGCCTCCACCGCGCGCGCCTCCAACACCGCTCGACTCCCGCTCGCTTCGTCCGCCGCGCCCTTCGCCGCGTCCGCCGACATTTTCGCCTCCTTCGCGCTCCGCCTCAGCACCGCGAGCTCCGCCTTCACCATCGCCGTCTCCTCTCGCGCCCGACGCGCCTCCGCTCGCGCGCGCTCGAGCACCCCTCGCATTTCCTCGAACTCATCCCGCGCGTCTTCGCTCGCGTCTTCGCTCGCGTCGTCCGTCGCGCGCGCCGCCGCCGCCGCCGTCGTCGCCGTCGCCGTCGTCGTCGCGTCCACCGCGCCGTCGCTCGAGCTTCGCGCGTCGCGCGCGCCGTCGCGCGTCGCGCGCGCCAAGTCAATCGTCCGTCGTCCATCGTTCGACGCGTCCGCGCGCGCGTCGCCGCGTTCCCGCGCGCGAAATGCGTCGAGCTGTTGCGTCGCGAATCAAATCGAAATCAGTCGCGCGCGCCCTCGTCGCGCGCGTCGCGCGTCGCGCGTCGCGCGTCTCGTCGCGGCGCACCTTGGCCTTCCCCCGCCGCGCCGCCGCGCCGCGCGCGCGCGGCTCCATGCCCGACGCGCGTCGCGCAGTGCGTCGCGAAACGCGCGCGACAGACGACGACGCGCGATGGCGCCCGGCGCGGCGTCCGGCGACGAGGTGCGACGGCGCGCGCGACGCGACGCCCTCCGCGACGCCCCGCGGCGCGACGCGTCGAGGCGCGCGCGCGCGACGCGCGGACGCGCGCCGACGAGGCGACGACGAGGCGCTGACCGAGCGCGACTTTCGACGACCAGATCTCCGCGAGCGCGCTCGTGCGCGTCGCGTGCGCGAGCACGGTGGCGTGCATCGTCACCACCTACGCGTTCGCGACGTCGCAGAGCGCGATCGCGACGAACGTGTTCCCGATCATCTCCGAGACGTTCACGGGGACGCCGCAGAGCGCGGTGAGCGAATTCGCGCTGGGATTCGCGTCGTGGGTGCTGTTCTTCATGGTGGCGGTCGTGAAGGTATATTTGGATCGATACGCGACGAGCGATGCGCGATGGCGCGCGCACGGGCGAAGGAGCGCGCGAGTGGGGTACGTGGCGGCGATATGCTTGGCGCTGACGGCGGCGATAAACTATGGGGAATCGTTCGGCGCGCACGTGACGGCGGCGTTTGGATTCTTGTTCGCGCTGTGGATATGGCTCGCGTGCGTCGTCGCGCAGTTGAGAAAACACGAAGACGCGGTGAGTCGATTCAGCATGCGCGCGAAAGTCGCGGGATTGGCGTTCGCGGGATTGGGCGTCGGCGGATTCACCGCGCTCTCGGCGCTCGTGGGCAAGGACGAGAGCCGGACGGCGTATTCGCTCATAGGTTTTTGCGAGTGGCTCGCCGTGCTCGCCTTAGTGGCCGCGTGTTACACCATGGCGTGGGATTTAGACGCCAAGGGCGTGTCGATCAGGGTGTGCTTCGACGAGGAGAGCCCGCCTCGTTCCGAGCAACCGGCGTAGACGTGTACGATAAAGCGCGCGACAAACCTACCCCTGCTTTCTCGCCCCGCACACGCCCGCGCGCGCTCGCTCGTCGGCCCCGATGTCGACCACCGCCGCCCGCGCATCGCGCGCGACCCACGCGCCCGCGCGCGCGTCCCGAATCCAGCGCGATCGCGCGCGCTCGACGCTTTCCCGTCGCTCGCGCGCGGCGGCGTCGGCGTCCGACACCGCGGCGTCGCTCGGCATCGACGGCGGCGCCTACGCCCGCGAGCTCGAGACCGCGCTCGACGCCGTTCGTTTGGCGAGCACGCTGTGTCAGGAGGTGCAGGCGCAGCTGATGCGCATGGACGAACAGGCGGAGACGAAGGAGGATCGATCGCTCGTGACGCTCGCCGACTACGCGGCGCAGGCAATAATCGTGTGGTACGCGCGATGGCGAGCGACGATGGCGATCGCGGCGACGATGGACGCGTAAACATTTCTAAGTCGCGATCGGGCGCGGAGACTGACGAAAAGCGCGACGCGGATGACGAACAGGCGAATCTCGCAAGACTTTCCGGATATGACGCTCGTCGGCGAGGAGGACGCCGAGGCGCTCACCGAAGGCGGCGAAGGCGGCGCCGCGACGCTGGCGAAGATCGTGGCGTTGGTGAATAAGACGTTGAAGACTCACATTGGGGATGATGCCGTGGAATTGAGCTCGCAAGACGTGGTGAGCGCGATCAATAAAGGAAAGAGTACGGGCGGGGCAAAGGGCAAGCATTGGATTTTGGATCCGGTGGACGGGACGCTCGGTTTCGTGCGAGGTGATCAGTACGCCATCGCGCTGGCGCTGATGGACGAAGGCGATTTGAAGGTTGGGGTCATGGGGTGCCCGAACATGCCCAAGCAAGGAGACGTATTGGAATTTGAGACGAGTTACAGTTACGGCTTTTCGCCGAGGTTGGTGTCAAAGATGCTCGCAGGCGACTCGCTCGGTTGGTACAAGGGCTGTATTTTCACCGCCGTGCGCGGCCATGGGTCATACATGTTCCCTGTTGACGAGGAGCTAAACTTTGAACCGAGTAAGGTGACGGTCAGCGGTGCTTTCGATCCCCAAAAAGCCAAATTCACCGAGCCGGTGATGAAGGCGAACTCGTCTCAGGGTTTCACGGCGGCGGTGGCAACCAACCTCGGTATCGAGTGCAAACCGTTGCGCATTTATTCTCAAGTCAAGTACGGCTCTGTGGCGCGAGCCGATGCAGACGTTTTCATGAAGTTTCCCAAGGCTGGGTACAGAGAAAAGATTTGGGATCACGCCGCGGGCGTGATTCTCGTCGAGGAGGCGGGTGGTCGGGTGTCTGACGCTGGTGGCGCGCCGCTCAATTTTGCCGGCGGGCGTTACATCGAAGGGTTGGATCGCGGTATCATCGCCGCATCTAGCGCACTTCACGAACGCCTTCTCGATGCCGTCGCCAAGTCTTGGTCGTCCTCGCAGCTTTAAATATACTAGGGTCGCTCGCAATCCGCGAAAATTGTGCCGCATTTGATTGAACGCGTCTAAAAAGTTGAATACAAACGAAATTGTGTATTAATGAATCACCTCGCTACGCCCTACTAACACCAAAGTTTCGACTTAAAGCGTCAGGTTGCTAGGGTTTTCGATCACTTCGCGCAAAGTCTTGCCGAAGTCAGCCGCGACGTTACCGTTGACGTGACGGTGGTCGGCGACGATGTTGACCGTCATGAAGCTCTTGACGCCAATCATGCCACCAACCGGGACGACGGTCTTCTTGGAAGAGCCGACGGCCAGGATCGCGGTTTGGTTCGGTGGGAGAATGGCGTCGAATTGGTCGACGCCGAACATGCCGAGGTTGGAGATGGTGAAGTTACCGCCGGCGTAGTCAGCCGGGGACAAGCCAGTGCTGCGCGCCTTCTTCACGAGCCCGCTCCATTCGCGGCCGAGTTGGTAGACATCGGTGTTGGCGGTGTCGTTCAAGACTGGCGTGATCAAACCATCATCGAGCGCAACGGCGACGGCGATGTTCACCTTGTCGTTGTACACGATGCCCTTACCGTCGTGGTAGGTGGAGTACATGATCGGGTGCTGCGCGAGCGCGACGCCGACAGCCTTGGTGAGCAAGGCGGTCATCGTCACACCCTTCGGCTTGAGAGTGGCGTACAACTTGTCGAACTCGTCGGTGCAGATGCTCATCGCGATGCGGGAGACCGGAACTGAGAGAGACGGCAACATGTTCTTCGCGACGGCGGCTTGCATGCCCGAGAGCGGCACGACGGTGCCGGCGGGCGCCGGAGGCGCGACGGCGGCCGCCTTCTTCGGTGCGGCGGCCGCGGCCGCTGCCGGGGCAGGCGCGGCGCCAGCCTTCGGCGTCGGCGGCAAGCCCGCGGCGTTCTCGATGTCCACCGCGGTGATGCGGCCATTCAAGCCCGTACCGGCGAGCGTCTTGAGGTCAACCTTGTGCTTCTTCGCGAGCTTCTTCGCGTACGGCGTCGCGACGACGCGACCGGAAGCCACCGGCGCGGCCGGCGCCGCCGGCGCCGCCGGTGCAGGCGCCGCCGCCGCCGCCGCCGGCGCGGGCGCCGCCGGCGCCGGCGCCGGCGCGGGCGCCGCGGCCGCCGGCGCGGCCGGCGCCGGCGCCGGCGCGCCGCCCGCCTTCGCCTTCGCCTCCTCGATCTCGCTCTCGCTATCGACGACGTACGCGATCGGCGCTCCCACGGTCGCCACCTCCCCGTCCCCGACCGCGATGTGCGCGATGATTCCATCCACGAACGACTCCACGTCCATGTCCGCCTTGTCGCTCTCCACGACCACGACCGCGTCCCCCTTCCCGATCGCGTCCCCCTCGCCCATCAACCAGCTCACGATCTTCCCCTCCGTCATCGTCGACGACAGCGCCGGCATGAAGATCTCCTTGATCTCCGCCCTCGCCTCGCACGCCCGTCGCGCGCGCGCCCCGCCCGTCGCGCGCGCCCGCAAAACCTTACCATTCAAACTCCCCGCGCGTCTCGCCGTCAATCGCGACGCGCACGCGTGCGTCGACGCCATCGTGCGCGTGATTCCTCCGCCCTGCGTTCGTTCGACGTCGTCGCGCGGCGCGCGGCGTCGGTGTGTGCCGCGTCGCGCGCGTCGCGCGTCGTCGAGATCGGCGTTTTGGATAACGACGGCGACGCGATCGACGCGCGATCGATCGCGCGATCGACGCGTCGATCGACGCGTCAAGGTTCGATAGCGAAAATCGAACCCTCGACCGTCGATCGACGCGACGGACGCGCGATCGACGCGATATCGGCGCCGCGCGCGGTGTGATTCGCAACGCGCGCGCGACGCGCGCGCGCGCGACGGCGCGCGCGTCAGTCTCAGTGACGAGATCCACCGAAGCGGATCGTCGACTCGGACCCAACGCGCGAGAACGCGAGAGGTGCGAACGCGACGACGAGGACGACGCGCGCGGAGACGCGGGAGACGCGCGCGCGAGGGGGGGCGGCGCGAGACGCGATCGGGGCGAAAGCCCTAGAACGCGGGGCGGATGGATGGATGGGACGACGACGACGCGCGCGATGGGACGAAGGGCGCGCGCGCGATGGGAATCGAGTGGGAGAATAATGACTGACGTAGGACGCGATTTCTGGACGCGCAGGAAGATGTCCGCCGCCGCCGCCGCGCCGTACAAGGCGCCCGCCGCGAAGACTGAAGAGTCGACGCAGCAGATGCACCGCATTCGCATCACGCTCACGTCTCGTAACGTGAAGAACCTCGAGAAGGTGTGCGCGGATCTCATTCGCGGGGCGAAGGATAAGCGGTTGAAGGTGAAGGGCCCGGTGCGCATGCCGACGAAGGTTTTGAAGCTCACCGTGCGCAAGTCGCCGTGCGGGGAAGGTACGAACACTTGGGATCGCTTTCAAATGCGCATCCACAAGCGTTTGATCGACTTGCACTCGCCGGCGGACGTGGTGAAGCAAATCACGTCAATCTCCATCGAACCGGGCGTGGAGGTTGAGGTGACGATCGTCGACAACTAGGCGACGCGTCTCTCGCTCGCGAGACGTTTGCGTCGTCGACGACACCGCGCATCGCGCGCGCGAACGATATCGCTCGTTACAATGAGCGAACGGCATCGTTCGTGCGTCTTCTTAGAGGAGAGAGGTTATTGTAATCTGCACGACGCGCACTTTCGTGAACGGCTTCGTACTTTGTCGTACTTCGTCGTACTTCGTCGTACTTCGTCGGCGCCCGCACAGCGCGCCTCGCCGCCATGCGCGCCGCCACCGCGCCTCGACCCGCGCGCGCGCTCGCGCCGCGCAAACACGCCGCGCGTCGCGCCACCGTCGCCGACGCCGCGCGCTCGCTCGCGGACATCGAACGCGCGTGGGCGCGCTCGTCCTACGACTTGAGCCTTCGTTGGCCGCTCACCAACGAGCTCTGCGCGCTGGAGATCGCGCGCGCCGAGCTCGATCCCGCGCGCTTTCGCGTCGGCTGGCACAAGTGCAAGAGTTACGTCGGCATCACCTACCTGTACGACGATGAACGCGACGGAGGCGAACGCGGAGACGTGTTTTTATCCAAGTACGTCATGCTGGACCCGGCGTTCGAGAACGTCGTCGGGTGCGTGCGGCACGAGCTCGCGCACGCGGTGGCAGGCGTGGCGGGCGTAGATCACGGAAGAGCGTTTAAGGATGCGTGCGATGCGTTGGACGTGCCGGAGGCGTGGCGCAAGGCGACGACGGGGGCGTTTTACAGCAGGCCGAGCGTGCAGTTGATGTGGGCGAAATGCGACGCCGAGGAAGCGTTGCGCGGACGAGGGCGAGACGTGTTGCCGGAGCTTTTGTTCGAGAGAAACGTCTGGGATGCGCCGGTGAATGGAAATCGTACGGTGTTCAAGGATGAAGAGAGCGGGGTGGTTTTAGATGCGTTTGAGATGTACGATTTGACCGTCGCGGAGGAGGCTCGAGCGGCGAACTCGAGCGACGTTGTAGCGTAGCGTAGCGTAGCGTAGCGTAGCGTAGCGTAGTTAGGTGTTGTTACAAACGAAACCCAACACTAGGAATCTACGGCGTGATAACGCACGACTTCGCCCCATAGCGTTCCCTTTTCTCGTCGCTCGCGCACGACGCCGTCGTTGATCATCTTTTCGATGTGTTGTCGTGTGATTTTCACACACGACGTGTAGAGAACGACGAAGGAGACGAGGGATGCGTACACCGCGCGCGTGAGCTCCCACGCCGTCATCCCATACTCACGATGCTCGCGAAGGGTGTTCAGTAAGATTGTCTCTCGACTAACGCGGTGATTGATGTAGGCGTCGATTTTCTTTGCGCCGTCCTCGATGACGTCGCCGTGCGACGGGTACAGTCTGTTCGATCCATTCTCCTGCACTCCGCGTCGCTTGAAAGACTCCAACTCGTCCTTGATCGTCGTGAGTGATGATGAATACATCGTTAAGTCCTCGAAATCGCTCGTGGACCCGTTTAAAACGCAATCACCTGCGAAAACTGCCCCCTCCTCCTCAAACGCGAAGCACATGTGATCCGTCGTGTGCCCCGGGGTGTATATTGCTCGAAGCGTCGCTCCGGGCACCGCGATGACGTCTCCATCTTGTATATCTACATACGCCCGAACATTATACGGGCTCACCATCCCCTCGCGCGCGTCGTACTCCCCCTTACTCGTACGAATTCGTTTATACGCCGGCACGTTTTCGCCCAACGCTTTGCGAAGCCCGCGCAACCCGCCGACGTGATCCGGATGCCAATGCGTCAGCAACACGCACTTCAAGCGCTCACACCCGCTCGCACGCATCGCCTCGATCACATTTTTCGCGTACCCACGCCGTCCTTCGCCGCAATCGATCAACACGCGTTCGCGTCCCGTGCCCACGAGGTACGTATTCGTCCCCTGCAGTGTCAACGCGCTCGGATTCAGCCCGAGCACGCGGGTCACCCGCCGCGACACCGCGCGCACGTGATCGAGCTTCGGTAACCCTCGCGGGCATCCAGGAGTGACGAAGCGCAGGAACAGCGCGACGAACCACTCGTACAGCGCGTGCACGTTTAAGATTCGCCCGATCGCGAACGTCGTTCGCGCGCGCGACGCCGACGTCGCGCGCGGCGTCTGAATCGCCATCGCTCGACGCGGTTCGACGACACGGCGGCCGCGTCGACGATCGCGCGCGCTCGCGGGCGTTTGTCTGCCCGCGCGCGCGTTGTTATGTCGTCGCGTCGTCGCGTCGTAACGCTCCGAAAACGGCTCTTGAAAAGTCGCGATTCGTCGTCGCGAGACGCGCGCGCGCCGCGATGGACGACATGGAGTATTGGAAGGACGTGGGGCTGGGAAAGGGCGCGTGGCAGTGCGACGCGAGCGGTGGACGCGAGATCTTACCGCAGGACGAAGCGACGGTGTTCGAGGAGCTACCCAGTGCGCATTCGCCGCGGTTCGCGCTCTTGCCGAGCGTACCGACGGTCGCCGCGCGAACGGACGACAGACACGTCGCCGTGTTTTTCGATGGATGTCGTTACCGGTGCGAGTTTGACGTCGATGGCGGTACGGTTGGCGAATTGGCGCGCGCGTTATGCGCGGGCGGGTTGGGCTCTGGAGCGGACATGACCACGGGGGCGCGGCAAAAGCTCGACGGCCCGGAGTCACTAGTTTTGTTTTATTGCGGTAAGCGTTTGGACGACGACGACAACAAAGTCAGTAGCTATGGGGTGCCTCGAGGGTGTAAGATCTTGCTCGGCATCGATCGAGCGCTCGTGGAGCGAGCCGAGGCCGGATTAGGCCCCGGGGAGGACGATGATTTTTGGGCGTGATTTTTGGACGATCGTCGATTGTGCTGTTGTGATAATACGTGCGTGTTTCTATATGTACATACGTTTAATGTCCGCCGCCATCGCACGATGGCGGAATCTCGCCTGGTTCGGGCATAGGTTGTCCCGTGAACGCTTGTCGATCGCCGCTGCCGTACTTGCTGAATACGAGCGTTCCCGTAAAGTAGAAGAACATCGCCGGAACGAACATGCTAAGCTCCCAATTTTCCGTTTCTTTGATCAAGTACCCAGTCAACGGAACGCCGATGACGCCCGGAAGCGCGCCGCACGTGTTTGTCATGCCCAACAGGATACTCGCGTACTTGGGCGACAAATCTTGATGGTTTGAGTACAAACCCGCGTACGAAAACGCGCCTAGCGAAAGGCCGAGCGTGAGCAGACCCACGGTCGCCACCGGCTGATCTACCAATGCGGCCGAGCCCATGGCGAGCGCCGGTCCCATGAAGGCGACTGCTTGCATCGTTTTACGCACCTTCGTGATCTCCATGCCGCTGCCGATGAGGCGGTCCGCAGTCGGACCGGCGACGGACGCCATCGCGACGTTCGCGAGCGGCGGAAGCAGAGTCAACAGCGATGCGTTCGTCAGTGTCACCCCGAGCTCGTCGGTAAAGTACGTCGGAAGCCAAGCGAGTAGGACGTAGAAGCCCCAGTTGTTGCAAAAGTGCACGTACATGAGCGCGCGCACCGACGGATTCGATATAAACTCCCCCCACGGCACCGGAGGGTCTTCCGCCGGGCTCTTCCCGCTCGCTATCGCCTTTGCGTCGACGGTGAATATGCGCTTACCCGTCAAACCCGTGACGCCGTCGTCCTTGTAACTTTCGTCAACCATCCCGCCGTCGCCGTACAGCTTCCAAGCCCAAAAACTCCAAACTAAACCGCACGAGCCGAAGAATGCGAACACCGTCCTCCAATTCGTCGCCTCTATCAATAGTGGCGCCACCCCCAAACCAAGCACCGAACCTATGTTGAACCCACTGAACACGAACCCGACGGCGCGCGAACGCTCGCCCACGCTGACGCTTCTCGCGATGATATCCGTCGCCGCGCTCGGCGCCACGCCTTCGCCCAAACCCACGAGCACGCGCGACAGGAAAATGCTCTGCTCGTTCACGCCGACGATCGGAATCGCGATCGTCGCCAACGACAAAATCAACATCCCGATCGGCAACACCTTGGCACCACCGAATTTCGTCGACAAGTACCCGCCCGGTAACTGCGACGCCGCGAAACCGTAAAAAAACGCGCTCTGCACGAACCCCGCCTGCGTGCTCGTCCACCCGAACTCCCGCGCCATGGGAATGATCGCCACCGAAATATTCACCTTATCCATGTTACACACGATGAACGCGAACACCGTGACGAAGAGCACGCGATACCGACTCGGCGCGCCTCGCCAGAGCGTCGTGACGTCGCTCGCCGACTTCGGAAACTCAAACGCCCACGCCTCGTCCGGATCCTCCTCGCCCTCGTCCCGATCCTCGCGCGTCGTCTTCGAGCTCCCGCTCGCCGCGACCGCGTCCCGTCGATCGCGTCGTTCGGCTCTCGCGCGCGCCGCGACGTCGCCGCGTTCTCGCGCCTCCTCCCCGCGTCCCCCTCTCGCGCGCCCCATCGCGCCGTCGCGCGCGCGCGTCCCTCCCGTCGCGCGCGCGCGCTCGACGCGCGCGCTGCGTCTCCCGTCGCGCCTCGCGCCGCGCATCCGCGCGCGCGCGCGCGTCGCGCGTCGCGCGTCGCCGTCGCCGCCTAACGACCGACCGCCGAGTCCCGCGCGCGCGCTCGCCATCGCGCCCGCGCGCGCGTCGATCGAATCGCCGCGTCGACGCGCGTCTCGCGGACGCGTCTCCCGCGCCTCCCGCCGCGCGCTCGTCGCCGCGACGCGCGCGCGACGTCGAGTGCGGGCCGCCGCGTCGGTCCCCTCGCGCGCGCGTCGAACTCGCGTGTGGGCAAACAGTCAGCGCGTCTCTTTGTCGCGCGCGCGATCGACGCGCTCGACGCGCGGCGATCGACGCGTCGAGGTTCGATCGCGAAAATCGAACCGTGACGCGAGGGTCGACGCGCGCGCGACGAACCACCGCGACGCCGCGGCGGCGGCGCGACCGCCAGACGACGCCGCGACGGACGACGGACGACGCCGGATCGAGCGAGCGACGCGAACGACGCGACGCGAGAGCGGCGAGAGAAACCGCGATGTCGCAGACGGGACAGGGCGCGCCGACGATGACGCCCGAACAGCGCGACGCGGCGTTCGCCATGGCTGGACAAGAGATGGAGTACCGCGTGGAGCTGTTCAACAAGCTCGTGGGCGCGTGCTACGAGAAGTGCATCGATAAGAAGTTCAAGGACGGCGAACTGAACGTGGGGGAGAACTCGTGCGTGGATCGGTGCGCGGCGAAGTACTGGGAGAGCGTGGCGATCGTGGGGCAGATGTTGGGGGCGCAAGGGAACGCGCCGAGCTAGGGCGCGCGCGAGAGCGTAGACGCGACCGAATCGATTGTTGTTATGCGTAGACGCGATGTACTAGTCGATAAACCGGACGGTGGGAGCGAGAGGGCGAGCGCGAGCCGGCGGGCGACGCGACGGCGGACGAGGCGGGCGAAGTCTTCGACGAGGGCTGAGGGCGCGGGAACGCGCTTCTCGGCGTCGGGTCGGGCGCGCGGCGTCGCGACGATTTCGCGCGCGTTTTCACGACAAATTTTACGACAAACCATCTCATCGATCGCGTGCATCAATCTATCGGGGTCATCATCAATCGATCGATTTCGGACTCGGAGAGTCCGGGACTTTGTGAGTCTCGTTCTAATTCTTCCGCCATGGCGAGACGTTCGACGTAGCGGCGCGAAAAGACGTCGATGTAATACACCGCGCCGTTGTACACCGATGACCCGAACGCGGCCCACATGAGAGCGGTATGGGCGTAGTAATTCGAGTAACAGAGCGGGATGGGGATGAAGGTGACGATGGTGTACCCGAGCTGGAGCATGACGAAGACGAATTTCGTCTTGATGGATTCAGCGTCGAAGAACTCGTCCGCGCCGAACAATCCGATGCCGCGCATCATCTTCAACGCGTATTTATTCGCCGATGAGTTTCGATCGCTCGCAAGCCAACGCAGCGAAGTCATGAGCGCCGGATCGCTCACTAACTTCACTCTGTCGATGAGTTCCGTCTTTGCCAAATACAGCGCCTGCCAAAACAAGTACGCGAACATCGGGTACACCATGAGATCCAAACATCCCGTGAGAACGCTCACGTCCGCGCCCAACTCTCGCACACTCAGCCTATTCACATCGTTCCCAAACCCGTACCACCGACCGCACCAAGTCATCAAGCACGGCATCGCGTGCACGAAAATGCTCGACACCTTGTCCACGCTGTGAAACACCAACGAGTTTCTCCATAACGGAATCGCCAACAACACCGGCCCGTTCGCGAACGCGAAGATGCACCGAAACACCGTCGCGCTCTTCTTCCATCGCCACAGAAACATCATCGCCGAGGCGTTGGCAAAGTAACAGAAATCGTACAAAAAGTATTGCCAACGAATCATTCGATAATACACCGCTCTCGCCAAAAACACCCCCGGCATCGCCACCGCGTAAAACAACCAAAACTTCTCCGGCGCGCGCGTCGCGATGTATTCCGTCATCATCAACCCATACACACCCGCGCAAAACGACACCTTATCGATCTGTCGTATCACGCGCGGAATCTTGACGTAGTCGCGCACTCGCGTATCCGCGTTCCCCGTCACCGCGCGCCGCATCACCGCCTTCGGTCGTTTCTTCGCGCTCTTCAGCAGATCGCTCGACCGCCGTCGGATCTCTTCCGCGAGTTCACTCTGCCGTCGTCCCGCGCCTTCCCGTCGCCGCATGGCGTCGTCCTCGCGTCGACTTCTTCCCGCGTCCGATTCGATCCCCTACTAACGAACTCGACTTCTTCCCACGTCGCCGCGTCCTCGCCGCGTCGTCGCGCGCTCGCGCGCTCGCGCGCGACGCGCGCGCGCGCGTTCCGTTCGTTCGCGTCGCGCGCGACGCGTTCGGCGCGCGCACGGCGTCGCGTCGAGGCGATTCCGCGTCGGAAACTGCCGCGCGCGGCGTCACAATGCCGCGGGCGACGTTCGTCGACGACGAGACCGCGCTCGTGGACGACGTCCGACGGAAGCGCGCGTGCGCGAGCGCGCAGGCGGTGCCGCTGTGTTTGATCGGCGCGCTGTGCGCGTACGCGCTGTGGGAGGCGCTGATGTCGCTGGCGCGGCGGTGACGCGGACGCGCGCGCGACGACGACGAGGACGACGACGCGGGCGATGCGCGCGTCGGAAGTCATCTCGCGATGCGCGCCCGAGGGCGTCGTCGCGCGATTCGCGGACGACGACGCGGGCGAGGGGGTGCTGGAGGACGCGCGAGGCGCGCGGTTGAGAATCGCGGCGCGCGTCGCGACGACGGCGGAGACGCGACGACGGTGCGAGATCGCGCGCGCGCTCGGCGTCGAAATCGCGAACGCGAGCGGCGATGTGAATGCGTTTTGTGACGCGGTGCGGTCGGCGCTGGAGAGGGCTTTCGCGGCGATGAGCGCGCGGCGAGGGGCGAGCGCGAGCGCGTTTCGATCGTCGCATCCAAACGTCGCGCCGGCGTGCGCGGTGATCGTCGGTGATGGCGTCGTGTGCTCGGTGGAGCCTTTTTATGAGTACACACTCGGAGCGTGTTTGAGGTCGGGGGGGAATCCGTTCGCGAACGACGCGGCGAAGGCGTCTTTGGCGGCGTTTCAGCTGTGTCGAGCGTTGGCGCACGCGCACGAAAAGAACTTGGCGCACGGGAATTTGAGCGTCGACTGCGTGTGCTTGTCCACGCTGAGCGGCGATGCGGTGGGCGTGCCGTTCGTACAATTGTCCGGAATGCATAATTCGCCGCACGCACGCGATGGTGAGGTCGGACCTTGTCGAGAAATCGAAGTGATGGCGGCGAGCCTGAAGCAAAGGCAAACCGTCGAGACGAGCGCGCGACATCTCACGTCGGCTTGGCGCGTGGGAGCGATAAGCAACTTGGAGTACATCGCCAAGTTGAATGAGCTTGCACGTCGCGGGAAGGATCGCGCGTATTACGCCGTCGCGCCGTGGGTGATAGACTTTAAAGAGTTTCCATTCGACGCCTCGACGGATTCTCTCCGCGGCGCGCGAGATTTGAGCAAAACGAAATGGCGTCTGACCAAGGGGGACGAACAGTTGGATTTTACGTACCGAAACACGACGCCGCCGCATCACGTGAGCGACGATTGTCTCAGTGAACTCGGCGCATGCATTGCATTGGCGCGAAGGACGCCTCGCTCGACGCTCGCGCGCGTCGTTCGAGCGAACTTTGTCGCCGACGAATATCCCAAGGATATTGCGCGGCTTTTTGAAATGTCGCCAGACGAGGCACCGATTGACTTTTACCTCAACCCGAACGTGTTCACGTCCATTCACGAAGATATGCGCGATTTGTCCTTGCCATCCTGGTCTCAGGTTGGCGAAGGTTCGGCAGACTACTTCATCAAAATTCATCGCGAAGCTCTCGAATCGAAAGCGGTGAGCGATAATCTACACACATGGATCGATTTGACTTTTGGTTACGCCACATACGGTAGGGCGGCATTTATCGCAAAGAATGTCATGGTGCGAGATGACGAAAAGAGCAAGCTCAAATCGAGCGGACGATTTTGTATCTTTCACGCGCCGCATCCAAAGCGAAGCGCTGGCGAAATTCCGCGCGCGGTTCCAGCAGTGAACACTGAGGATGACCTGTGCGATGCGGTCGAAACAATCATTAAGATTACCGAACCGTCGCTACGAAATGTCCAAGAAAAAGATCTACGAGCGCTCGGGCGCGTATTGGGAGCCATATACGCCGGTGCGCCGTGTCCCGCGCACAGTGACGACACGCCGTCGTCGGTGAGTGGCCTCTTTAACAAATCACCGATGAAGTCGATCAGTGACGGTTTATTCGATGATATCGACCGCACACAAGTGCTTTTCAAGTCTCTGAAATATTGGCTGAACCGCATGCCTGTTGAAGCGCGAGATGTGGTAAAACTATTAATGGACTCGCCGAAGCCAATCGCCGCCTCCGCGGTGCGCGACTCGGTGTTGTTTTCAACAGATATCCGCAGTGCGGCAATGGTCCTTGGAAATTTGCGCACCGCACATGAATCGCGCGCGGCAAGGATTATGATCGCTGATGACGCGCTCAAGGGAGTTTCGCCGACTGTTGCACACCTCGTCCTAGGCGATATATGCCCGGAAGTCGAATCGTACGTTGGGGGCAAACCGCTCGCCGCGAAAGATGAGATGGAAGTGGCGATGTGTTTGTCTTCTTTAGTGGTGACAGCGTGCGGCGTTGCCTCTCGTCGGGACGTCATTGACATGATAGTACCGCTTGTTCTTCGCGCCGTGAGTGCGCCGAGCGCTTGTTTAAACGCCGAGGGCCCGACATTGAAGCGCGAGTTGTTTGATATGGCTGTCCTCCGCGCGCTTCGCAAAGCGACGGGCGCGGCGACGTTCAACCGCATTTTCATTCCAGTCTTGATCGCATGTTTGCAACCCAAATTCTGCAGCGCAGAAGAAGTAGCACGTGTGACGTGTGGGTTGACGTTCATCGCAAAATCGTCGCCGTTGCCCGTGGCGCTGCGAAGGATCGTCGACGTTCTGCGCAAAGCATTAAAGAGCAATCGAGACGACACTTCGTCCGGAGCGCACGTTCTCGTAGCCGACATCTTAGCGTCGTTAGCGAAGTCTCTTGGTCCGCAGTCTGAAGCTTTTATTTTCAAAGCCTCGACTGCGTCGGCGCCGTCAGTCCTCGACCACCTCGATGAGTGGCATCAGCGTTCGAGCAACGACAGGAACAATGCTGGCGCTTGGGGTTGGCTTCCACGCGATGTGTCAGACCACGAAGAAGATGATGAAACTGAAACGATAACGATGTCGAGCGTGCTCGCGAATGCCGGAGCGGTCGACGACGATCCATGGCGCCTACATGTGGCGGCGTTGACGTCGTGGCGCGTTCACAGTCGAATAGCTCGACCGTCGGCGCAAACGCTTTCTGTGAGTGCTGATGAACGTCTCTTTCTTACCAACGGCGTGACGTCCCGTGGCGACAACGTCGTTCGTGTGTGGCGTACGAGCGGTCCGGAGGGCGAAAACTCGAGCGGTGCGATGTCAGCCTACACAGGTCACGAAGCTACGGTGAGGGCGAGCATGTTTCTCGATTTTGTCAACGACCACGAAGGTGACGTGTCCAGGGCGTGTTCGTGCGACGACAAAGGATACATGCATGTCTGGAACACGAATAGCGATCACATCTGGCAGTTTTACTCGCGAGATGCGGGAGGATTCGAGTCGATGTGCGTCTATGACGGCGCTCGCGGTTCGCCTTACGTTGCTGGCGGCACGACCAACGGCGGAGTCCTCATCGCAGATGCAGGGGCGGGTAAAATATTTCGACAATTCAAGTGTCCAAATGACGACGCCGCATCGGCCACCGAGGTGGAAGCGTTGCATGCATCAACGGATGGCTTGGTGTACGCAAGCAATCGATTCGGATACATGTGTGGGTTCGATTTACGAACGTCGGGCGTGGTATTCGACGTCAAGGCGCACGACGGTGGCGTCAACAAAATCGTCTCGCCATCGAGTAAATCTTACGAAATTCTCACCGCTTCAGACGATATGACTGTGGCTCTTTGGGATGTGCGCATGATCGACACCCGCGGCGACGCTAAGAAACGCTTCGACGGCCGAGTGCGCACGTTTCGAGGTCATCAACACGAGGTTCGAGACATCGCTGTGAGCACCAAGGGTGATGTATTCAGTGTGAGCGGTGCGACGATAGGCGTGTTTGCTTTGACATCGTCAGGTAACGAGAAGGTCGCGAGATTTTCACCACTTTCCGTGTACGGCGAGCAAACGCCGTTTTGCGCGATCCAGCTCTTGTCGAGTTCTCGTTTATTCGCAACTTTGAGATGCGACGGCGTGCTGAGCGTGTGTCGTTAGAGGAGTACTGGAATTACTGTAGTAAAATCATGTCATAGAAACGTTAGCAAATATCTAGCATGATTGACGATCCGTTAGCGCGCACCGACACGTCGAGCTTTCTTTGAACAATCCGTCATCGCCGCAGCAGTGTACGAAATCAACGCCGTCGAAGCGCAAGACGTCTGAATCTCCAGCAAACTTTCCCGTGGGATCCAAACGATGCACGTGACAGCCGAAGTGACAAAACGCAACACCATACTCCTTGGCACCGTCAAAGCACCCTCGGCGTTCCGGGAAGCCAAACTTCCCCCAGTGCAATCTCCCTTCGCACGAGTCCCCGCGTAAAATTTTAACTGCGGCGTCAAAGCGTGGATTTCCATATCGATCGATCAAGCGGGAATACTTGATGAAATCTTCAATGTTGATGTACAAGGACCCAAGTCGCCCATGTGCGGGCGACAGCCACGCGCTTTCGGGTTTGATGAACCGAAGTAACGCCTGCGAGCGAAATCCTAAATTCAACTGCCGGTCGTCGTACAAGGCCTCCTTGAACGCGCGCATGCAATCGCCAGCCTTCGTTAACGGCACCGCGACTTCAAGTTGCTCGTACCCGTATCGCTGATGTAACTCGTACTGGCGCTCAGTCATCGATAAAAAATTATCTCGTTGTTCTTCTGTGTTATTGGCGATGTTCGCGAGAGTCGCGCGCTTCCATTGTCTCGCCCAGGATTCCGCCATCGAGTCGGCGCTCATCAGCGTCACAGGAGATGTGATATCGCGAACACGGCGAGGCGAGTCACGAATCAAATCATTGCCGCTCAACGAACCATACCAAATCGAGGAAAGCTCCTTCGACCCTCGCTCGTCGTATCGAGGAAACGAAGGCATCGGCTCCTCGCGCTCGAAGTGCACGCGACTCATTTCACCGAGGGGAATGTACCAGAAAAACTGGGTTTCATCGAGCGCACGCACCTCTGGCTTGTTCATCGCGCACGACCACTGCGCGTCAAAGTTGCCAGCGTAATCGCGCTCGCACGCTCGCACCGCGTCCTGCACGCGCCGCATCTCGTTGACGAACGCCTCGGGACTCACGTCCTCGTTTCTACGAGTGATTCGCGTGTTCTTCACCACGCGCAGCGTGACGTCAACGACGACACCCAACCGCCCGATGTTCGCGCGCAGCGCGTCGAACAACGGCGCGGGCGTCGTGCCCTCGGAGAAATGCTCCACGGAACCATCTGCCTTGACAAGCGTGCACGCCACCATCTGCGACGAGAGCGATCCCGCTCTGAGCGAGCTCCCGTGACTCGCCGTCGCGATCGCCCCCCCGATCGTCTGGTCTATGAACCACGGAAACGCCGGCAGCGTGTACCCACGTCTCGCGAGCCCATCGAGCAAATCTCTCGTCAGCATCCCCGCGTCCGCGCGCGCCGCCATCGCCCCTTCGTCCAGCGCGAAACGCTCCGCCGCGCGCACCGCCCGCGTCTCGCTCACGTCCACGCGCGTCCCGCCGTTCGCGGCGCAAAACAATCCCGAATGCCACGAGTGCCCCGCACCGTTCGCGCGCGCATCCGTCGACGCGTACACCGCCTCCGACACGTCGCGCACCGACCGCGGCTTCGCCGCTCTGCCCGCCGCGTCGCACGCGTGCTTTCCTTGCCAGTTGCTCGCGTCCCGAGGGTGTTCCCCGCGCGCGCCTCGCGCCGCCAGCGTCGCCGCGAGCACCACCGCGACCGCGCGCGTCGGCATCTCGCGTCCCTCGCGTCGCTCGCGTCGCTCGCGTCGCGCTCTCGCGTCGCTCGCGTCGTTCGCGTCGCGCGCGCTCGCGCGTGCGACGATCGAACTTCCAACCGAACCGTCGCGAAACTTTCGTCGTCGGCGCGCGCGCGAGTGTGATTTTACCACACGCGGGTTTTTACTAAAATCACACGCGCGCCGCGACGGCGCGTCACACCGACGCGCGACTCCCGCGTCGCGACTCCCGCCGCGCGCGCCGTCGCTTGACATCGCGATCATCGCCCGCCATGAATCGCGTCTTCCCCGAAGCGCTCGCGCCGCTGAAGAGCGCGGACAAGGAGATGTACGATCTGATTCAACTCGAAAAGCGCCGGCAAATCGGTGGCATCGAGCTCATCGCGAGCGAGAATTTCACGTCCGCGCCGGTGATGGAAGCGCTGGGAAGCGCGTTGACGAATAAATACTCGGAAGGGTTGCCGGGGGCGAGGTATTACGGTGGGAACGAGGTGATCGATCGAGTGGAGACGCTGTGCCAGAGGCGAGCGTTGGCGGCGTATCGCCTGGACGAGAAGGAATGGGGGGTGAACGTGCAGCCGTACAGTGGATCGCCGGCGAATATGGCGGTGTACACGGCGTTGTTGAACCCGCACGATCGAATCATGGGATTGGATCTGCCGAGCGGTGGACACCTGACGCACGGATATTACAACTCAAACGGGAAGAAGATTTCGGCGACGTCAATTTTCTTTGAATCTTTGCCGTACAAGGTGGACCCGAAGACTGGGTACATCGATTACGATAAGCTCGAAGAAAAGGCGATGGATTTCCGACCGAAGATGATCGTTTGCGGTGGTTCGGCGTACGCGAGAGATTGGGATTACGCACGTTTCCGGGAAATTGCCGACAAGTGCGGGGCGATGTTGATGATGGATATGGCGCACATCTCCGGTTTGGTTGCCGCGGAAGAACAAGCACAACCGTTCGAATACTGTGACATCGTGACGACGACGACGCACAAGTCTCTTCGCGGTCCGCGTTCGGGGATGATTTTCTTCCGCCGCGGCGTCAACGCGAAGACGGGCAAGGATTACAACTACGAATCGCGCATCAACATGGCCGTCTTTCCAGCGCTGCAAGGCGGTCCGCACAACCACCAAATCGGCGCGTTGGCGGTCGCGCTCAAGTATGCGCAAACCCCTGAGTTCAAGACGTACATCAAGCAAGTTAAGGCGAACGCCAGAGCGTTGGGCGAAACGTTGGTGTCCAAGGGCTACAACCTCGTCACTGGCGGTACGGATAACCACTTGGTGCTTTGGGATTTGCGCCCGCTCGGTTTGACTGGGAGCAAGATGGAATACCTGTGCGATCTTTTGCACATTACTTTGAACAAGAATGCGGTGTTCGGCGACGCAAGTGCGCTTTCTCCGGGTGGCGTGCGCATCGGCGCCCCTGCGATGACGTCTCGCGGTCTCGTGGAGTCGGACTTTGTGCAAATCGCCGAATTCCTCTCCCGCGCCGCCGATTTGTGCTTAGAAGTGCAAAAGAGCCATGGAAAGATGCTCAAAGACTGGAAGAAAGGTCTCGATAACAACCCCAAGGTGGCCGCCATGCGCGACGAAGTCGAGGCGTTCGCCTCCGCCTTCGAAATGCCGGCTTTTACGAAGGAGTCGATCGACATTTAATACGCGAAGAGATTTTAATTATGATGAATTGTTGCAACGTCGTTTGCTAATCCTACTATGCTACAGCGATGGCGACGGGCTTCGTCTCTTGCTTCAAAAGCCGCGGGGCGAAGTAGGCGATGCACCAGGCGCCCAAGGGCGCCGTGATTAAAATCGACAACAGCGCGGTTTGTAAAAGCTTTTCGCCATCGAGCGCCTCGGGCGAGCCGACGCCATGAGCGGTGACCGCTTGGTCGTAAACCACGTTCGCCAAAGCCGCCTGAATCGTCGCCTTGGGTGTCCATGCGAGAGCGATGAACGCTCGCTCGCGAAGATTCATCGACTCGCTCGCAGCCGTACTCAAAAAGACACCGAGCGCTCGCACAATTCCCCCGAGAGCTATGATTCCGATCGCCTTCGCCGCGACGTCGCCCGTCATCGCGTGCAAATCGAGCGTGCATCCGATGATGACGAACAAAAGCGGCGCCGCGAACTCGGCCCACAGCGCGTTCATAAACGCCGTCGTTTCCTTGAGCGCGTCCTCCATCCCGCGCGATTTCCACGCGCTCGAGACGGCGACGCAAAACGCGATGCTCGCCAGCGCTCCTCCGCCGTTCACTTCCAACCGTTTCGCCGCGAACAAAATCAACAAAACCACGGACAAAATCATCGACGCGTCCGACGTCGCGCTCGCGCGATTCCCCGGCGCGGACAACAATCCCGACCTCGTCGCGAACTCCGCCGCGCCGACTCCCCCGAGCGCGCCGACGACGAGTTGCGTCGGCACCTTCCACGCCATCGCGCTCGCCCCGCCCCCCCCCGACGCCGCCACGACGCCGCCGCACACGCCGAAGCCGACTATGCACAGAATTCCGTCAAACGAGCTCGCGGCGACGACGAGATCCGGCACGCCCGCCTCCACGCCCAGCCCCGTCCGCTTCATCGCCACCGCCGGCGGAATCACCACCGCCAGCGATATCCCGCACATCAAAAATCCCAGCGCGAACGCCGTCGCGATCGGTAGCTCGAAGAACGCCGCGCCCAGCGCCGTCGTCGCCAGCATCTCCAGCGTCCCCGGAATCGTCGCCAGCGTCGCCACCTCCCGCGCGCGTCGTCGCGCCGTCGCCGCGTCCAGCGCCAGCCCCGCGCGCGCCAATATCAATCCCAGCGCGAACGCTCTCGCCAGCGTCGACGCGTCGCGGTGCACCGCGCCGCCGATCGCTTCGCGCGCGCCCGGGACGTTTCGCAGCAGCGTCCCCGCGAGCGTCTGCGCCGTGAGCGCCGGCGTCGGCGGCCATCGCTCGGCGAGCGCGCCGCTCAGTCGTCCGAGCGCGAGCGCGTGCGCGAGCGCGAACGCCGCGCCGCGCGGCGCGCCCGCCGCGCGCGTCGCCGCGGACGCGCACGTCGACGTCGCGAGCGTCAGCGCGCCGCACGCGAGCGCGTACAGCGCGACGGGGCGCGACGCGCGCGCGACGCGACCGCGCGCGGCGTCGGATCCGTCGCCCATGCCGCGTTTCGTCTCGCGTCGCCCTCGCGCGCGCGCGGGCCGGCGCGGCGCGGCGCGGTGTGCGGCGAGGGTCGAGTCGACCCTTCGCGACGCTTCGTGTCGTCGAGCGACGCCGCGCGTCGGTTCGGCGGTTCGGGGGGGTCGAAGACGCGCGCGCGCGCGCGCGGGCAAAAATTACCATACTGCCTTTGCTGGGGATTTACGACGCCTTGACTTCGCGAAAGTCGGCCGCGCGCCGAAACGACGGTGGCGTCTCGCGAGTTATGGGCTCTTTCCGAGCGGACGCCGAGCGCGCGAGGGGCGAAGGGAGCGCGAGAGCGAGAGACGAGGGCGCGGGTGCGTTAATAATCCTCCTCGAGCTCGTCGTCGGTGTCGACGTGAAGATCGTCGTCGTCTAAGTCTTCGTCCGCGGCGTCGCGCTCGTAATAGATGTGACCGCGACCGGGCTTGGCGACGCCGAGGGCGACGCCGCGGCCGCCGGCGTCGGGCGGGAGGTAGGCTAAAAAATCACCCGTGTCGTACGCCTCGACGCCGCGCACGCCTTGGTGCTCGTAGGAGAGCTTCACGTTGCGCTTGGCCTCGCGCTCTTCCGCGGTGAGACTGACGCCGAGATTGAACGGGACGACGGCTTGGAGACGCCTCGCGGCGCGCGTCTCGGCGTCGTCGTCGCCGACGCGCAGCGCGCGCGCCACCGCATCTTCCACGGATTCCGCCTCGCACGGCGCGAACTCGAGAGAATCGTCGTCTCTAATGATCACGCGCTCGCGCTCGCGACGCCGCCGTCCGCACGCGCGTCTGATTTCTACGTCTAAACGAGCCCGCGACCCGTCGTCGTCGCCCTCCGCCGGCTCGCACGTCGCCACGCACGACGCCTCCGCCTCGCACGTCTCGCGCGCCGTCGCCGTCCCGACCCCCAAAGTCACCACCAAGCACACGTTTCTGTGTCGCCGCAGCGCGCGCACGACGCGAATCAGCGCCTTTTCGCCGTACGCGCGTCGTATCTTGCTCGCGCAGTCCAAAACCACCGTCGCGTTCGCCTCCGCGTCCGGCTTGTACCCGAACGCCCCGCTCCGCCGCCCGCGCCCCGTCGTCGTCGCCGTCGCGTCCCGCGTCGCGTCTCGCGTCGTCACCACCGTCCGTTCGCGCTCGACGACGGCTAGAATCGCATCCGTCATCGCGCGTTCGCCTCGCGTCGCCGCCAAGTCCACATCCGCCGTCGGCGTCCCGCGCGCCCGCCCTCGCGTCCATCGCGCGCGCACGACCGCTCGCGACGCCGCGTCGCCCGCGCGAACGTCCCGCGCGTGTCCATCGACGAGCGCGTCGACCACGAGCGCCCCCGCGCCGGTCGTCGTCGAATCCTGCGCCGACGCCGAGCCGTCGCGTCGTCAGTCACTCTCGCGTCGCGCGCGTCGCGCGTCCGGCGCGCGCGTCCGCGCGTCGATCGCGGCGACGCACCCGCACGTGCACGTGCGCGGCGACGTCGCGCCGCGCGCGCGTCGCGTCGCGCGCGTGCGCGAGCACCGCGCGCATGCCGCGAAGTGACGCCACATCGACGCGTCGCGCGCCGTCGACGCGCGCGCGCCGCGAGGACGTCGCGCGCGCGTCGCCGCGATGCTCGCGGACGCGTCGCCGCGCGTCGGCGGCGCGCCGCGCGCGCGACGCGCGACGCGAGGCGCGAACGCGCGCCGCCGCCGCGACGGCGCGCGAACGTTGACGACGCCGCGCGCGCGCGCCGAGGGCGCGCGCAAGGGCGCGCGATACCTGAGAGAGTCGCGCGAGTTATCGTCGTCGACGTCGTGGCGCGACGCCGCGCGCGAGGACGCCGCGCGCGAGGAGGGGACGGCGGCGGCGGCGGCGCGCGCGAAGCCGGAGGTGCTCGCGCCGGCGGGCGGATGGCCGCAGTTGCGCGCGGCGATCGAGACCGGCGCGGATTGCGTGTACTTTGGGCTCGACGCGCTGAACGCGCGCGCGCGGGCGAGTAATTTTACGCTGGATGAGCTGGATGAGGTGATGGCGTACGTGAAGTCGCGCGGGCGGCGAGCGTACGTGACGATGAACGTGTTGGTGTTCGACGAGGAGTTGCGGTTGGCGGAAACGCTGATTCGAGGCGTGGCGCGCGCGGGCGTGGACGCGGTGATCGTGCAGGACGTGGGGGTGACGCGGTTGATTCGGAAGACGGCGCCGAATTTGCCCATACACGGGTCGACGCAGATGAGCGTGACGAGCGCGGAGGGCGCGCGCTTCGCGCGAGAGCTCGGGTGCAAGCGCGTCGTCGTCGGTCGAGAGTTGAGCGTGACGGACATCGCCGCGGTGAAAGCGAGCTGTCCGGACGTCGAGGTCGAGGCGTTCGTGCACGGGGCGATGTGCGTGAGCTACAGTGGACAGTGCTTTTCGAGCGAAGCCTGGGGCGGTCGGTCGGCGAATCGCGGTCAGTGCGCGCAGGCGTGTCGAATGCCGTACGGATTGGTCGTCGACGGCGAGCTGCGCGAGATGGGGGATGTAAAATATTTGTTGTCACCGCAAGATTTAATGGCGGTCGAGCTCGTGCCCGAGCTCATCGAATCCGGCGTGGGGTGCTTTAAAATCGAAGGACGATTGAAAGGTCCAGAGTACGTCGCCATCGCCACGCAGGCGTATCGCCGCGCGGTGGACTTGGCGTGGGACGCCATGCAGAGCGGACGCGACGTGAAGCGCTCCGAATTGCTCTCGAAAGAGCAGCGACTGGAACTCACGCAAGTGTTCGCGCGCGGCCAAGACGCGGATTTCGATGGATTGACGCGCGGTTTCCTGGAGGGACCGCGGCATCAAAATCTCGTTCGCGGACGAGCCCCAAGGCATCGCGGCGTCTTGCTCGGAGAAATCGTGCGCGTGATCAAGCCGGACGGCAGACGCTCGAACGGTGAGATAGTCGTACGCACGAGCGACGGCGCGGCGATGAAGCGCGGCGATGGCGTCGTCATCGATCGAGGCGAGCCGCAAGAGAAGGAGGAGGGCGGTCGCGTCTACGAAATTTTTGATCGCAATCGAGCGCTCGTGGGCGGTAAAGACGACGACCGCATCACCGCGGGCGAGTACACCGTTACGTTCGGTGCGAACCAAATCGATTTCAACCGGGTCGAGGTTGGACAGCTAGTGTGGAGAACATCCGACCCGACGCTCGAGGCCAAGCTCGCGAAGATGGTTCCCGCGGAGGCCGAGCCGAGTCGCGACGGTCGTCGAGATCCGTGCACCGTCGTCGCGAGTGGTGCGATCGGTGAACCGCTAGTCATCAAAATCATCGATGATGCCGGACGATTCGGAGAAGCTCGCACTGGTTCTGTGTTGGAGAAGAGTCAAAACAAGGCGCTCGACGAAAATTCGTTGAAGAAAGCCATCGGCGAACTCGGCGGAACGCCGCTCGTGGTGGCAAGTGTGGATGTCTCCACCCTTCGAGGTATCGCAGACGTCGACGCGCAGGCTACGGACGGACTTTACATATCACCGGGCGAGATCAAAGCTGCGCGGCGGGACGCAGTCGAGTCGCTCCTGCGAGCGCGGCGAGACGGTGGCCCGAATCGAGCCGAAGGTATGGCGGTGCGCGAAGTCGTCGACGAACTCGTCGGCAACGCATGGTGGGGCGATATCATCGATCAACGCGATAAAGGAGCGAGCAAAGAACCGCGCGTGAATCCTACGAGCGGGTTGCCGTCCATCTCTGTGCTCTGTCGCACGCGCGCGCAAGCCGAAGCTGCGGTGACTGTCGATGGCGTGGACGAAATCGCTTTGGACTTTTTAGAAGTTCACGGATTGCAAAAAACGGTTCGTCTCGTTCAAGCCGCGGGGAAAACAGCCGTGGTCGCCACGCCGCGCGTGCTGAAGCCAGAAGAAGAGCAACTGTGGCGATACTATCTCAATCTAGGCGCCGACGCCCTGCTCGTGCGATCGGCGGGTTTATTACAGACACTGCTCGAACTCGGGCGCTCGGACGCCGATGTCGTCATTCCACCGCTTCGTGGTGACTTTTCATTAAACGCCGCCAACGCAATCGGTGCGGACGTCTTTCTGAGGTCAGGACTCGAGCGCTTGACGCCAACGCATGACTTGAACGCCGAGCAGCAACGCGCGCTCGCAGTCGCCCTCGGTCCCGCGGGCGCGTCCAAGCTCGAAGTCATCGTCCATCAGCATTTGCCAATCTTCCATACCGAACACTGCGTGTTCTGTCGATTCATGTCCGACGGAAACTCGTACAAAGATTGTGGCCATCCATGCGAGAGCAAGCACTTGCACTTGCGAGACGACCGCGGTGCCGACCATCTTGTCCTCGCAGACATGGGGTGCCGAAACACCGTCTTCAACGCTCAGGCGCAAACGGGCGCGGAGTACCTGAAAACATTCATCGACGCCGGCATTTGCCACTTCCGCGTCGAGCTCGTGGACGAGCCCGCGAGTGTGGTCCCCGAGCTTCTATCGCGTTATCGCGACCTAGCGAACGGGCGCACGTCCTCGAGCGAACTCGCGAGTTGGCTCTCGAAATTACCGGATGCGAATGGCCGAGCGCACGGCATCTCCCGCGGCTCGCTCGAGGTTAAAACTGAGCTCGCGCGCGGTGAGCTCCGCCCTACCGCCGCGGCGAGTCGCGAGGCGAACAAAACTAAGGCAAAATCACGCGCCGCGCGCGCCAAACGCTAATCATGTGTAACATTACTCGTCGCGCGACGGCGAGCCCTTCTCGCCTGTAAGCGTGCAAACGTTGAAACCTCCGCACTTCGCGCCTCTCGCCATCGCTAGCGCCATGCTCCTCGCGCGCGCGCAGTGTATACACACCTACGTCACCCGGCGCATCGCACGTCCCGCGTCGCAGCGCGCGCGCGTCGCATTCGCGTCGTCTTCCCCCGCGAGCGGTGACGCCTCGAGCGGTGACGACCCAGAGCGCGCGACGCCGCTCGATGCCTCGCTCCTCGACACCATGCGCGAGCTGCGTAAAACGCGCGATGCTCGCTCGACGCCGAGCGAGGCGCGGACGCCCACGGTGATGGCGTCGAACGAGGACGATGAGAATGACGCGAAGTGGAAGGCGCTGGACGCGCGCGTCAACGAGTACCCGTGCGCGCGAAAGTTTCAAGCCATCGGCTTGGACGACGGAACGTTCGTCGATAGCGTTCGAGAGATGATTTCGGAGGCGCTGGGTGGGAGGTACATACATCCGGAGAACGTGACGGCGAGGCCGAGCTCGAAGGGGAAGTACGTGAGCGCAAACGTGACGCTGGAGATGGAGAGCGGGGACGACGTGTTGGCGGTGTACGGGGTTTTGAAGGCGGATAAGCGCGTGTTGTGGTACCTGTAGCTTTTCAGCGTTGTATTTATGGATTTCAGGAAGTGATTATTAATTCAATGCGTATTTGTTTCAAGAAATGTTTACTGCGAGACGACGCGGGCGCTGCTCCAGGTCCACGCGATTTTGTGTGTGCGCACACGACCCGCTCCCTGGGACGAGTTTGTCTCGTGCTGTCGAGTTCAAAGGTATTTCTTTTACAGAACTTTGTTGCAGTACTCGCCGAGCGCCCAGAGTGTGAAAATGCTTCGGTAGCAACTGTAGGAAATCATGCAGTTGGCGTTGAAGACACCCATGATGCTTTGCTGCGGGAAATCGCCGTTCTCATATTGTTGTGAGAGCATGCATCGTGCGGCGCGATGTAATGGCGTCGCGTCGCGGTTTTGTTGACCGCTGGCGATGAGCGCAAGCATCGCCCATCCCGTGTTTACCAAGTGCGGCTTCGGCTTACCATCCTTGTCGCGAAGCTCGTGGTACGCCTTTTTCTCGCACGATAAATAGCTCTCGCTCCATCCACCATTTTCTTGCTGTTTCGAGAGCAAGAACTCGACTGCTTTACGAAGCGATGGGCACGTCTCGTACGTCGACCCCGTGGCGATCAATCCCAGGACGCCGAACCACGTTCCGTACGTGAAGCACACCGCCCACGATCCGTACCAGCTTCCATCGGCGCGTTGAATACTTTTCAAAAACTTTCGGCCAGTCTTCTTGGCATGCGCGATATCCTTGGCGCGAATGTCCGGATAGCGCTCAGAAAATTTGCACAGCGCCTGCAAACTCGCGCTCGAGCACTCAACGTACGGGTAATCGATCATGATGTCCCCGAACGTCTCCGCTGGGTTCAAGAGCTCGACCCACTTCGTCGATCGAGTATTTTCGTACGTAGCCCAGCCACCACTGCCGCGATTTTGATAGGATAGGATGACGTTCACGCAATCCGCGAGTCGGTCGACGGGAATCGCCTCGCCGACGAGTTTCTCGTCCATCGACGCCAGCGTCAAAGCCGCCTTCAAGCCTTCGGAGGAGCAATCGGAGATCGGCCAACCGTGATCGCGTGTGCTGAACGGCCACGCACCCTTGGAAATGTGACGATACCACTTTTCGACATCAGGGCAGTCGTCTCGTACTTGACTCTTTTCGATGTAGTCGTGCGCGCGACGTAAGCACTCGCCATATTCGTCCGCTAAACCCGTCGCTACGATCGCTTGAACGGAAAACGCGCAGTCCCACAGCTGACTTCCGTTGTATCCTTGCATTTTCATCCCGTCCTCGGCGACCCAGAGGTAGTCGGCGATGCGTGGAATGTGCTTCTTCACCGCCTCTGAATCGGGATCTTCAAACCAGCATGACAACATATTGAAGACTTTATTCACCGGCCCAATGTCCACGTAGCGCGTGTTTTCGTCCTCGTAATGAATCTGCCGCATCGCATCTTCGCACGCCGCCTTGCGCACGCGAGAATTCATCAAGAACGGCTCGACCTTCATGAGCGTCGACCAGACGACGTCTTGAATCCACGGGTGCGGGTAGTACAAGTCCTCCTTCGCGCACGCGTTTCTCGCAGTGTTCCAGTTGATTGAGTCGTACGATGCCTCGGCGTATAACTCCGATTTCAACGCCGCGGTCAACGCCGTCGGTTTACCCGTGGCCCGGATGCCGTACAGGTAACTCATCGGCAAGTACACCATGCGACAGTGGCACCAGAATCGACCCGGATGCATGGGGAGCCAATACGGCAACAACCAACACTCGGGCGGAATCGGATTCAACCCGTGCCACTCGTACACCCCCAGCACGGCGAGCCAAAACTTCCCCCACGACGGTACCTGCGTCGCGCCACCGCGATCGATGATCCACTTGCGCGTTTTCGCGCACTCGGGCGAATCCGCCGCCTTGCCGAGCAACCGCATCGCCACGTACGTCAAAACCGTCCCAAACATTGTACTGTGACCTTCGATGTGCAACCCAACGCCCCCATCCTCGTTCAAGTGATTCTCCAGGTATCTCAGCATCTCCCGCCCTCGCGCTTCACCGATGATCTCCTCCGATTTTTCCATGACGTTCGCCGCGATGATCAACCCCGGCATCAAAAACATCGGCCCGCCGTAGTCGCTCGCCCAGTGTCCGTCCTCGTCCTGTATCCCTCGATAATACTCGATCCCCGCTCGCATCGCTCGCCGCACCACCTCCCCGTCGACGCCCTTCCCCTCTTTTTCCCCTCTCGAAATCTCCATCGCGCTCGGCGTCTTCGTCTTCGTCTCCAAGCCTCGCGCGCTTCGCCTCGCGTCGTACTGCGCGCGCAGAAACGCGTCTTCGCTGTGTTTACGCTCGTGCCGCGTCTTCGCGTACGCCGCCCGCATCGCGTCTTGCGCCGCGCGTCCCCTCTTTATCTCTTCCTTCGTCCACCGTCGTCGCGCGGCGTTTCCCTCGCCCGTCGTCGTCGTCGTCGTCGTCGTCGTCTCGCCCGCCTCGTCGTCTCCCTCGTTCGCGTCGACGTGCGTCCACACCTGTCGCCCGACGTGCGCGTTCAGCGTCTCGAGCGTCGCGGCATCGCGCGCGCCCGCCGCCGTCGCGCACTCGAGCGTCCACATCGCGCGCGTCGCGCTCCGTCGTCGACGCCGCGCGCCGGGCCGTCGATGCGTCGCGCGAGAGATAAAAACATAACTCGGACATACGACACGTATAATATATCACAAACGTCGATCGCGCGTCGACGCATCTGCGCCTCTCCTTCGCGCGCGCGCGTCGTCGGCGCACACCGACGCGCGACGACTCGACATGGCGCCGAGCGCGCGCGCGACCGCGCCGAGCGCGCGCTTCGCGCGGCCCGCGACGAGAGTCTCGCGCGCGCGCGCGACGCGACGCGTCACGGTGCGTCGAGCGGCGCGCGCGCGACGCGCGAAGTGGATAACGGATGACGGACGCGATCGGACGCGCGACGACGCGACGACGCGACGATCGACGCGCGGCGACGAAGAGATCGACGCGCGAGCGACGCGGCGACGACGGGACGGTGGATGGGGTCGGACGCGCGCGCGCGGCGGGAGGACTGACGAATCGATCGCGATTATTCGTTCGCAGGCGAGAGGACGCGCGACGGTCAAGGCGAGCGGAGACGGGTTTGATTTGGACGCGGTGACGGCGGCGGTGGAGGCGCTGCGGTTGGAAAACGAGAGATTGAAGGCGGAGTTGGACGCCGAGGAGGCGGCGGCGGCGACGGGGATGGCGGCGGCGGCGGTGGCGGTGGAGGAACCGGCGGCGGCGAAGCCGGAGCCGGAGGCGGCGGCGGCGAAGCCGGAACCGACGCCGCAACCGGTGTCTGCGCCGGTGACCGTCGGTGCGTTCACGGAAAAGGCGGATCGTTTGGAGGGATTCAAGATGCCGCCGATTGAGGGCGATGGTTTCGCCGTCTGCGCGCTCGACTCGATGTTGGAACACCACAAGGGACACCTCGGTCATCGTTTCGAAAAGTTCAAGAACTTGCGCCAAGCGATCGAAGATCACGAAGGTGGCATCGAAAAGTTCAGCCGAGGCTATGAAAAGATGGGTTTCACGCGCACCGCGGAGGGCATTACTTACAGAGAGTGGGCGCCGAACGCGTCGGCCGCGTGCCTTCGCGGCGACTTCAACGGTTGGGATCTCGGCGAGAATGGCAAGTGGATGACCAAGAACGATTACGGCGTGTTCGAAGTGTTCCTTCCGAACAACGCGGACGGTTCTCCGGCCATCCCGCACGGCTCTCGCGTGAAGATTCATCTTCAAATTCCCAACGGCGAACCCGTCGACCGCATCCCGGCTTGGATCAAGTACGCGGTGCAGGCGCAAGGCGAAATTCCGTTCAACGGCATCTACTACGATCCCCCGGAAGAAGAGCAGTACAAGTTCAAGTACGAGCGACCGGATGCCCCCGAAGAGCTTCGCATTTACGAAGCGCACGTCGGGATGTCTTCCACCGAGCCGAAGATCAACTCTTACGTCGAGTTCGCCGACGATGTCTTGCCGCGCATCAAAGACCTCGGTTACAACGCCGTACAATTGATGGCTGTTCAAGAGCACGCGTACTACGCATCTTTCGGCTACCACGTCACCAATTTCTTCGGCGTGTCTTCTCGATGCGGTACGCCCGATGAATTGAAGTACTTGGTCGACAAGGCGCACTCCATGGGCCTCACCGTGCTCATGGATTTGGTGCACTCTCACGCGTCGTCCAACTCCATCGACGGCATCAACATGTTCGACGGTAGCAACGGTCAGTACTTCCACTCTGGTCCGGAAGGTTATCATTGGATGTGGGATTCCCGATGCTTCAACTACGGCGAATGGGAAGTCGTGCGCTACTTGCTCTCGAACCTTCGCTACTGGATCGAAGAATTCAAGTTTGATGGTTTCCGTTTCGATGGCGTGACGTCCATGATGTACAAGCATCACGGTCTTCAAGTCGCCTTCACGGGTAACTATGAAGAGTACTTTGGCATGGCCACTGACGTCGACGCCATGGTGTACCTCATGCTCGCCAACGACATGCTTCACACTCTCTACGAAGGCAAGATGACGACGATCGCGGAAGACGTGAGCGGCATGCCGACGCTTTGCCGCCCGGTCAGCGAAGGCGGTGTCGGTTTCGACTATCGCCTCCAAATGGCCATCGCGGACAAGTGGATCGAGGTCTTGAGCGAGTGGGGTTCGGATGAAAACTGGGACATGGGTAACTTGGTGTTCACCATGGAGAACCGTCGCTACGGCGAAAAGTGCATCTCTTACGCCGAATCTCACGATCAAGCGCTCGTTGGCGATAAGACTACCGCTTTCTGGTTGATGGATGCAGAAATGTACACCAACATGTCCACGCTGGTACCCGACAGCCCCGTCGTGTCGCGCGGCATTGCCTTGCACAAGATGATTCGCCAATTCACGATGGGTCTCGGTGGCGAAGGTTACTTGAACTTTATGGGTAACGAATTCGGCCACCCGGAGTGGATCGATTTCCCGCGCGATGATCGCGTCGAGGCGTCGACGGGTGAATTCATCCCGGGTAACGGCAACTCGTACCATTTGTGCCGCCGACGATTCGACTTGGCCGACATGGACCACTTGCGCTACAAGTACCTCAACGCGTTCGACGCGCAGATGAACAAGGTCGCCGGCGCTTTCAAGTACCTCGCGTCTAGCCACCAGTACACGTCGTGCAAGAGCGACGCGGATAAAGTTGTCGTGTTCGAGCGCGGTGACTTGGTGTTTGTGTTCAACTGGAACCCGACGCAGTCGTTTAGCGACTACCGCATCGGATGCAAGGAAAAGACGAATTACAAGCTCGTGCTGAGCTCGGACAACCCCGAATTTGGTGGTTACTCCAACTTGTGGACGTACACGGCGCCCGAATTTGTCGCCGAAGATTACGCCTTCAACGGTCGCCCGGCCTCGTTCTTGGCGTACTTGCCCTCGCGCACCGTCGCCGTGTACGCTCCGGCCGACTTGGCGGACAAGGTTCTCGGCTTCGCGGCTCCGGCTTAAAGTCGCGGAGACGTCCCAATAAAAACATCTCGCACAGTATGTTGTACCATATAGCACACGCCGATCAAACGCAAGTTCAATGACTACACACAAACTACATATTGCATATCACAATTCTCTTTTCTTCTAAGACTCGGCGGCGCCTTTTGCCTTCGCCGCGTCGGCTTTCGCGCGTTCCTCCCACGACGTCTTGCTCACCTTGCGAATGATCCCCATGAAGTACGCCCCCTTATTCTTCGCTTGGTTACCCTTCATGCAAACCTTTTTGATCTCATTCACCGCCTTTTGACACACGTCCGAGGGGAGCAAGCCCAAGAAGGACAAGACTTTTTCGTCGCAGTCGTTCGCGGCGAGCGTGCCCTCGCTGTTCTCCGCAGCCTCCGCCACCATGGCCTTCACCGCATCCGGTTCCACCAGTGTCTTCAACATCTTCTTTTCAGGCTCTCCATCCGCGCCTTCGCCCCCACCCTCCGCCGCGCGCTTCCGTTTCTCCGACTTTGGCGCCGCGTACTCCTTGCGCGCGCACCGCTCCACCGTCACCGGCCGTCCGCGAAACAACGTCTGATGCAATTTCATCGCCTTCTTCGCCGCTTTATTCGTCGTAAAATCAACGAACGCGTACCCTTTAAACTTTTTCGCCTTTCCCGGCGTCCCCGTGCCGTCCCCTCCCGCCATGCGTATGTCCTTAATATCGAATCCGCACCCGTGTCTGGTCAAATTCGCCTTCAACCAAGGCATGATGTCCGAAGACTTCGTATCGAACGGCATCTGTCCGAAAAACAGCGTGTGAATCTCAACCGGCGTCGCCGTCGGTCTCTTCTCGTCGCCCTCGTCGCCGCCATCGGAAGACTTCTTCTCCTTCTTTTCCTTCTTTTCCTTCTTCTCCTTCTTCGCCTCGCGCTCGGCGGCGCGAGGTTTCTCGTCGTCGGAAGACCCCATCGCGTCGCGCGCGGGACGAGAGACGAACGAAAACGCTCAAACGCGCGATCGACGGCGCGCGCGCGCGCTTCACGCGTCCCGAGGCGACGACGAATGCGGCGTCGACGCGCCTCTCGCGCGTCGAGTGATTTCGCGTCTCTCGCGCGCGTCGACGCGAACGAATACAAACGCACATCGCACTACAAAGCTACAACAATCCCACCCCACCGCTCTTCAGCGCCTCCATCAACGACGCGATCTTCCCGTGAAACCGCTTGCCGTACGGTCGCGTCCACTTCACCGCGTCGACGTTCGCCGCCTTGGCCCTGCGCGCGAGCGCGTCGCCCACCGCCGCCGCCGCCCGCTTATCGCTCCTCGACCGCATCTCGCGCGTCGTCGCGCTCGCGCTCGCGTCGCTCTCCGCGAACGGGAACGCGCGCTCGATCGTCGACGCGCTCGCGACGACGTGGCCGTCGAGCGCGCGCACGATCTGCGCGTACACGTACTTGTTGCTCATGTGCACGCGCAGCGAGTGCGGCGCCTGCTCCGCGAGCGATCGTCGCAGGGCGTCGCGCACCGCGCCGCGCATCGCGCGCGACATCGCCGATCGGTCGCGCGGCGCCGTCTCCGCGCGCGCGCGGAAGAGAGCGCGGCGTCGCGCGATGGCGACGACGCCGGCGCGGCGACCGACGCGGGCGTCCGAACGTCCGAACGTCCGAACGTCCGAACGTCCGAACACTCGTCCGAACACTCGTAGTCGACGCATCCAGAGCGCGATCTGCGAAAACACGAAAGTCGGCGCACGAAAGTCGCCGCGTCAGACGTCACGGCTCGTCGTCAGACGTCACCCGATAAGAAAATGATCCGACTTTCGGGTATGAGTAAACAGTGACAAGGTACAGATCTAGGGACCGATCACGAAAAACCGCGTCGCGCATCGCGTTCGAGGCCCCGACAGCGCCATCGCGCGCGCGCGCGCGTTCCGGTTGGAAACGCGCCGCCGCTCTCGCGCGCGGCGGCGGCGCCGCGACACGCCGACGCGCGCCGCACGCGCGCGCTCGCACGACGCTCGCGCCGCGCGACGCCGCGCGTGGAAAACTCGCGCGGATTTCGCGCGCGCGGACGAACGCCCGCGCGCGACGCGCGCGACGAGGCGACGCGCTTTCGGTGACGGAATCGCGACGCCGACGGCCGCGCGACGTCGAGCGATCGCCTCGGACGCGCGTGACTGGTCGTTCGTGACGCGCGCGACGCGCGAACGGGGACGAGGACGCGCGGGAGTCGAGGAAAGAAAACGGATCGGTCGATTCGGCGCGCGAGCGGACGCGGTGGAGGCGCGCGAGCGGACGCGCGGAGGGATTAATCGCGCGCGCGGGATGGCGACCATGGCGCCATCCCAAACACCCGGGTGTCATGCGACGCGCGCGGCGCTGCGACGGGACGGCGCGCCGGGAGCGGTGCGCGGGTATAGATTCGTGAATCGACCCGATGTGAATGGGGATACCGATGCGGTAGATCAACAAATGGCGGGATTCGTGTCGGAGGCGGGGCCGTTCGACGCGGATCCGGTGCTGAAGGCGGCGGAGCGGGAAATTTTGAGCGCGACGAAGGCGCAGAGACGCGCGGCGGCGGAGCGTGGAGCGTTGTTGGAACACGGGTATGGGGCAATGCTTGGAACGGGAAGTGGGTCGATGGGGAATTTGGGCATGCTCACGGCGTCAGGTGGAAGCGACGACGACGACAAGGCGTCGACGCAGAGCGTGGCCTACTTGAGCGGCGACGCCGCGTCGAACCGGTCGTACTCCCCGTTCGACGTCACCCTGGATGAAGCCGCGGAGAACTTGCTGTGTGAATTCGGCGCACCGATTATGGACGGCGCCATCGGTCTCATCGATGACGAAGGCGCTGAAATTTTCGTCGAGCACAACGCGCCGCCGCTCTCGTCTTGGATGAGCAACGGCAATTTGTGCGGTCTCGTCGCGCCGAATGATCACGAGCCCGAGTGGGCTTCGGGTGGTGGCGCGCACGGCGCGTATGCGCACGTCCCAGCTGTGATCGATTTCGGTGTTCCAGGGCACACCGAGGTTGAATCCATCGCCTCTCTGCGCGGGCAGTATCGCGCTCTCTTCGGCAAGGACACCAACTCAAACAATAGACAGTGGATCCTTAAGCGACTCGAAGCGTTCAGAAATGGCGACGACTTCACGCCGCCGTCGAGCCGATTCAGCTCGCCGCTTTCCGGCGAGGACACCCTCATGAACGTGGGCGCATCTCGCTTCAAGCCGCAAGCATCGCCCAAGCGCGCCGCGGGCAAGCGCCAAGTCAAGTCTGCGCGCTCGTTGTACGACGACGACGCTATGGACGAACACGAGAGCCCCAGACGTGGCGTCGCGGCGAAAGGACGAGGCGGTAAGGGCGCCAAGGGAAAGCGCTCCGCCGAAGCCACACTCCCGAAGAGTGCGCACAAAAAGGCGAAGAGCGTGAGCGATGCCGAATCCAACGACGGCGACATCGGCAAGAAAGGATCCGGTCGCGCCGCTGGCAAACCCGCCGGTAGAGGTAAACCCGGCGAGAATGGCACCGGTCGTCGTAGTAAGCATCACAATCCTTGGGCACTCGAAGAAGCCGAAGCGCTCGTGCGCGGCGTCGCGCAGTGCGGCGGCGGTAAGTGGGCAGATATCAAAAAGCTCGGTTTCACCGCCATCGAACACCGCACGGCGGTGGATCTCAAGGATAAGTGGCGCAACCTCTTACGCATCGCAATGTTGCCGCAACAGTCTGTGAAGACCGTGGGCGACAAGAAGCGAGAGATCCCACAAGAGCTTCTCGCCAAGGTGCGAGAGCTCGCGGCCAAACAGGCCAAGGCCAAAGCGGCGGCGGAGAGCCGGCGATGAGTTTCCATCGTCAGCCCTTCAGGACGTCGTCAGCAAAGGCCAAATTTTCATTCATTTGGACATTTTTTCAAACTGCGGCAAGCAAAAATTTAGAGAAGGATTGTTTTGGCTTCCCGAACCCGCGGCGAAGAGCGAACGCTGTACACAACGCCTCGCGAAGGCTCTTCAAAGCGCCAGTCGGAATGTAATTCTATACAACGTGACATTTTTATTTATCCAATCTTCCTTCCTTCCTAAACCTTCCTGTACCAATTAGCGTGACGATTATTATTAAAACGGTGCCTACTCAACGCCCGCGCATTTACTTCGAGAAAGACTCTTTGAGACGACGCGCGGCTTCGTTGATGTTCTCGCGGCTGCCGAACGCGCTGCAGCGCACGTAGCCGTTCCCGGCGGGGCCGAAACCGGCGCCTGGGGTGGTGACGATGTCCGTCTTGTCGAGGATTTCCGTGAAGACTTCCCATGAGTCGCGGCCTTCGAAAGAAACCCACACGTAAGGCGCATCGGTACCACCGTACACTTTGTAGCCCATTTCTTCCCACGTGCGCTTGAGGATGGCGGCGTTTTCCTTGTAAAACGCAACCATATCACCCATGGCGGCCAAACCGGCGTCGGTGAGGCACGCGAGACCGGCACCTTGCGCGACAGTAGACGCACCGTTGAAGGACGTACCCATCATACGGGTCCAATCTTGACGCACGGAGGAGCCGTCGGAAAACTTGAGCGCCTCCGGGAAGACGGTCCAGCCGAGACGCAAACCGGTGAAACCGGCGTACTTGGAGAACGAGCACGTCTCGATCGCGCACTTCTCAGCGCCCGGAATTTCGTAAATAGTCTTCGGGCAGTCCGGGTTACCGACAAACGCGGAATACGCCGCGTCGTAGATGATGATGGATCCACTCTCCAAAGCTTGGTTCACGAGCTCGGTGAGCTGCGCGCGCGTCGCCGCGGCGCCCGTCGGGTTATTCGGGGAGCAGAAGAAGATGAGTTCCGCGCTCTTAGCCGCGGACAAGTCCGGAAAGAAATCATTCTCAGCGCCGCACGGCATGTACGTAATGTTTTCGTACTGCTTGACCGCGTCGTTGAAGCCCGTGGAGTGACCCATGATGACGGAGGAATCGACGTACGCCGGGTACGACGGGTCTTGCACCGCAATCTTACGTCCACTGCCAAACATTTGCAACATGCGCGAGATATCGCACTTGGACCCATCAGACGCGAACACGTCTTCGTACGTGATCGGCGTCCCCTTGTAGAGCTTTTCCGCGATAGTCTTGCGCAATTCCATTTGACCCGCCTCGGGTCCGTACCCGCCCTTCGCCGAGTACCCTTCCTTCGTGCCCAACGCCGCCGCCGCGGCCACCATCCCATCCGTGATCGGCTTAGGAATCGGTTCCGTCGTGTCACCGATCCCAAGAGAGATGATCTTCGCGTCCGGATTCTTCTCCAAGTGCGCGTTGCGAATGCGCGCGATCTCCGGAAACAAGTACCCAGCCTTCAGTTGCGCCATCCGCGGGTTCCTCTCCACCTTGCTCGCTCGCGTCTCCACGCTTCGTCGTCCGCGGTTCGATCGAAGCGTCGTGCGTCTGTCGCCATCGTCGTCGTCGTTCGCGCCCTCGTCAGTCTCGCGTCGTCGTCTTCGTCGTCGTCGTCGTCGCGCCGCGCCATCGTCATCGTCATCGCAGGGCTTTATCCGCGCGCGACGCCTCCGACGCGCGCGCGGTCGCGCGTTACGCGCGCGCGCGTCGCGCGGTCGCGCGTCACACGCACGTCTCGAGCGCGCTCGCGCGCGCGAATTGCGTCGCCATCGCGCGCGTCGTCGCCGTGATGTGTCGCGCGACGCCGCGTCCGCGCGCGAGCCGCCGCGCACCGCGATCGATCGGAGCGACCGACCTCGATCGACGCGTCGAGCTTCGCGCGGCGTCAACGAACCCTCGACCGTCGATCGACGCGCGATCGCGCGATCGACGGCGCGGTCGCGCGCGCGGCGCGCGACGATCGACATCGCGCGACGCCGCGATGGCGCGTCGGCGCGCGACGTGCGTCGGCGCGCTGGATCAGGGGACGACGTCCACGCGGTTCGTCGTGTACGAGACGACGGCGCCGCGGGACGCGAGGACGTACGTGAAGATCGCGTCGGCGCAGCGGGAGCACGCGCAACGGTATCCGGCGCCGGGATGGTGCGAGCACGACGCGGAGGAGATCTTTGAGCGCGCGCTGACGTGCGCGAGGGAGGCGCTGCGATCGGCGGGCGTGACGGCGAGCGATCTGGCGTGCGTGGGGATCACGAATCAGCGAGAGACGACGTGCGCGTGGCGGCGAAGCGACGGGACGGCGCTGGCGAACGCGGTGGTGTGGTTGGACTCGCGCACGCGGGAGACGTGCGATGCGGTGGTGAGAGAGGCGTGCGATGGGGATAAGAACGCGTTCGTCGCGACGTGTGGGTTGCCGGTGAGCACGTATTTTAGCGCGATGAAGATGCGGTGGTTGTTGGAAAACGACGAGGGCGTGCGCGAGGCGGCGCGCGAAAAAGATTTGTGCTTTGGAACGATCGAGAGTTGGTTGGTGTATAAACTCACCGGCGGGAAAGCGCACATTACGGATGTTTCGAACGCGTCGCGAACGCTGCTGATGCGATTGGATGATTTGACGTGGGACGCGGCGACGTGCGAGACGCTCGGCGTGCCGATGGACGCGCTGCCGGAGATCAAATCGTGCGCCGAGGATTTTGGCGAGATCGATGCGAGCATCGAGGGTTTAGGAGGGATCAAAATTACGGGATGCATCGGTGATCAGCAATCGGCCACGCTCGGACAGAGATGCGACGTTGGTCAGGCGAAGAATACGTACGGCACCGGTTGCTTCATGATTCTCAATACGGGTTCAACCATCGTGCGCTCGAAGCACGGGCTGCTCACGACTATGGCGTGGCAGCTCGGAGGACGAGACAAAACCCCAAAGTATGCTTTGGAGGGTTCTGTCGCAATCGCGGGCGCGGTCGTGCACTGGTTACGCGATAATCTCGGGTTGATTAAAACGGCGAGCGATATCGAAAGTCTCGCCGGCACCGTGGAAGATGCCGCTGGTGTATCGTTTGTCCCCGCATTTAGCGGTCTTTTTGCGCCAAGATGGCGCGAAGACGCGCGTGGTGTGATTGTGGGGCTGACGCAGTACGTCAACAAAGGACACATCGCGCGAGCCGCGCTAGACGCCATCGCGTTTCAATCGAGAGACGTTCTCGACGCCATGCGTCAAGACATGGCTGAATCGACCTCGCATTCGCTGAGTGCGCTTAAAGTTGACGGCGGCGCGAGTGCAAATAATCTTCTCATGCAAATTCAAGCCGATTGCATCGGTTTGAATGTCATTCGTCCCTCGGATGTGGAGACGACGGCTCGAGGCGCGGCGTACGCCGCAGCCATCGGCGCCGGGTTGATGACAGAGGAAGACGTTTTCGCGAACGTCAGCGAAGGTGATGGTGATCGGGACATCACAGAGTTCGTCCCGAAACTATCCATCGAAGCTCGCGAAACGAACTACGCGCGTTGGAACGACGCCGTTGAACGCACGCTCAACTTGAGTGCGTGAATCCATGTTGTAAAATAAAATCACGTGACCACGAGCCTTTGTTGTCCACCTCGGCCGCCTCTTCCTCCACGCCCGCTCGTTTTCTTCGACACCGGTTCTCGTGCGTAATCGGGGTCGTTCGCGTCGTCGTTCTTGCTCGCGCCATGCTTCGCGCTCCTAGGCTTCGGGATATTCGCCGCCTTAGGCGCGACGTCGCCCGTGACGTCCAAACGCTCAATTTCGCTCGCCACCGCGTCGACGACGCTCTTGTTCGCGGTTGGAAGATCCTTTTCGTCCGTCATGCAATCGCGCGCAAGATGACCTGGCAATTTGCACCGTCTGCACAGGCCTTTCGCCTTTGTCGCCTTTGTCGGCATCGGCGTCGGCGCCTTCGCCGTCGTCGGTCGCGCGTCGCGGCGATAATCTGGATCATCCAAATCCGCCAACGACCCGCGAATTCTCGGCGCATTGTCCTCGTCTCCCGAGCTCAACTCCGCGTCTAATCCCGCGTCTCCCTTCACCCCTTTCCTCGACCGAGCCTTCGCGTAGTCGCGCTTCCTCGCAGCCTCCACCGCGCGCGCGTGCTTCCCCTCCTCCACGTCCAGCGCCGCTTTGAGAAACGAATACGACCCTGGATTTTTCTTCTTCAATCCCGTCGCTTCCGCGATGCGCATCTCCTCTCGCAAATCTGTGAGCACTTTCGACGGTTTCGCCGACGCGCCGAGCTCTCTCGCGCGCCGTCTCGGTCCCGTCGTTCCGCTCTCCCGCTCCCTTCGCTGCGCGTCTTCCCGCTTCAGCCGTCGCGATTCATCGACGCGCGTGCGCGCGATCGCCGCGCGCGTCTGCGCCGCCCATTCGTTCGCCGCGCGCTCGTTCGCTCGAGGATCGTTCGCGAGCTGCGCTTGCCTCTGCGCCTTCTTCCGCGCCTCAAACGTCGCGGCGTCCACCACGGCGCCGGTTTGCGCGTCCACGGGGCGGTACGTGAACTCGCCGTTCGCCTCACGCGTGCGCACGAGGTCGGTGCCGCCGATGCGGACGATGTCCGGCATCGACGGCGCGCGCGCGGCGGCGAGTGCGGCGGCGGCGCGTCGAGAGCGGAGAGAAATCGGCCGCGACGCGAAGATCGGCGCGCGGCGAATAAGAAACTAGAGAACGGATGATTTTACATCGATCGCTGCTTCGTCGCGTCGAGCGGGCTAGCGCTAGGGCTCACGCGATGCAGAACGGCGCGAACGTGTCAACGAGCGCCGGCGGGCACGGCATCGGACGCATAGTCTTCGCGTCCAAGCACGTGCACGTGACATCGCCGTATCCGACGCACGCGCCGTCGTCGGCAAACATGGCTTGGTGAAACACGACTTGGATACCGCGACGCTTGAGTTCGACGGTTGATTTGACGTCGTACACCGGGATAACAGATGACGAAGATTTCGATTGGGAACCGTCGCCGCGCGGGAAATACGCCTGCAAACGCGACACGACGACGACAACGCCATCGTCCTGCAGCGCACTCAGCGCGTCCGAACCACCGATGGCGTCGGTTCGAGCGCGTTCGAAGAATCGCAAGATGTCGACGTGCGAGCGTTGGGCGGCGGAGCGTTCGCCTCGATACATCCTCACCGCCGTCGACGCGCATCTCCCGTCTTCCATCTCCCACGGCGCCGCGAACGTCTCATCGCCCGCGGTGTCGCCGACACCCACACTATCGTCCGTTTCCGCGCCCGCGCCCGCGTACGTTATTTCCGCGCTGAGAAACACCGTCTCGTCGGCGTCGTCGTTCGCCGAAACGATTTCTTGCCTCAACGTCGCGCTCCGTTCGTCCGCGCGCACCACCTCCGACCGAACCGCGATGGCGTCTCCCAGAGTCGCCGCGCGCGCGTACTTACAATGCTCGATCCTCGCGCATCGAAACGCGCGCCCGAAATCGAAACCGCCGGCGTTCGCGCCGCCGCCGCCGCCGCCGCCGCCGCCGCCCGCCGCGACTCTCCCGAGCGCCTCCGCCGCGTTCGACGCGAACGCGAAGTAATTCGCGTAAAACACCACGCCGTACGCATCCGTGTGCTCGATGTACACGCGCGCGCGCTCGTCCCGCGTCGTCGCGCGAACCATCGGCGTTCGCCTCGCGGACGCGCGCCGTTCCCGCGCGCGTCCCGCGCGCGCGCGCGCGTCGCGCGTCGCGCCGTCGCGCGCCGCCGCGCGCGCCGCCGCGCGCGCCGCCATCGCCGCCTCGCCCGCGCGCGGCGTCCGCGCGCGGCGCTCTGACGCCGCGCTCGACCGCGTCGTCGCGCGCGCGTCGGCGGCATTCGCCGCCTCGCGTCGCGCCGCGCGACGCCCGCGCGCCGCGCGCGGACGCGGACGACGGCGACGATGCCGCCGGTCGCGCTCACGGCGAGCGTGGTGAAGCGCGAGCGTCAGACGGGGCTCAGGCTCGCGTGCGACGCGCTCGAGGGCGTCGCGGAGGATCCGCGCGCGAACGACGACGGCGACGCGCGCGAAGCGAACGCGGGCGCGAAGCGAACGGCGAACGAGACGCTGCTGGAAGAATTGCGCGGCGCGGGGGGGGAGATGGCGATCGTTGGGTTCTGGGAATCTCGAGACGCGTTCGATCCGCTCGCGGCGCTGCACTTTCTCGCGCGCTCGAGCGGGGGCGCGCCGTCGTTTCGATGCGCGCCGTGCGCGACGTGCGAGGAGGAGGAGAGACGAGCGATCGAGGAGTTACACGCGGAGATGACGCGGGAGAATAAGAGCGCGGTGGTGCAGATGAAGGATGGGGAGGGGAGGACGAGCGGGGAACTGCACTTGGTGGCGGTGCCGGAGGCGACGCGCGAAGGCGAAGAGGACGGAGGCGAGGGGACGGGAGATGAGAGGCGGGCGGACGGAGGAGCGTCCGCGACGACGCGGTTTGTGGCGTTTAAAACGGATGAGATGGCGCCGGCGTACGCGCAACCGTTGTTGAAACATAATCGCTTGGTGGTGGTGTTTGATTTGGACGAGACGCTCGTGCAGTCGACGACGCTGCACATGTTGGATCGACGCATCGAGGCGACGCGGTTGAAAATGGTGAGCCTGATGAAGTTCGACGTGACGAATCCGAGGGTTTCGACGGTGATGATTGAAGAGGTGAAGCAGGATAAGATTGCGTGCGAGCAAGCGCTGCGGCGCTTGCAAACCGATAGAGCGATGCTGTACCAGTATTGTTCCGAAGGCGCGGTGACGCACAACAACAGACGATCGGTGACGATTCCAGAGATCGAGAGCTTGCCCAACGGTATGCAAAGATTGCGAAACATTATTCGAATTCCGAGTCCGCACATCAAGGGCGCGATGCTCGTGTTCACGGTGATCAACCCGGCAAACCCCGCCACGGCGATGCTCGTGCACGTGCGTCCGGGTTGGGAGGAGATGCGAAAGTACTTGGCCGGATCCGACGGTCGTCAATCAAAGCGCGCTGAAGTTTTTGTTTGTACAAAAGCTTCCAATAACTACGCGCGGGAGGTTTGTAGGATTTTAGATCCGCACGGGGCGGTGTTTGAACCCGCACAACTCGAGCACAGAGTCAAGTCCGTCGGCGTGGACGAGATGAAATCTTTGCGCACGACGTGCGGCGCTCACTTTCCCGCCGAACTCACGGTCATCGTAGACGATAGAACTGTCGTATGGGAGGCTGAAGCGCAGTCGCACATTCTGGCCGTCACTCCGTTCATGCCGTACGGCACAGACGTGGACTTCGGATCGGGGATCGAGCAGCACGAGGCGGGAGGTACTGGAGGCGTCCTCGGCACGGTGCAAAGCATGTTGGAAACTCTGAGACTTCGTTGGCATATGGACTATGGAAAGTTTGCCATAAAGGCACGAAAGCATCTGCAAGAAACGGCCGCGCATGGAGCACTTCGCCCGACGAAGGATTCATCTGAAGGCGATTCCATCACGTCAAAGGATGAAAACGAATCTGACGACGCCGCCACCGAGTCGGATGTCTTGCTGCGTGCCGAACACCATCGCAAAAAAGCTGAGCGTTTGTTTTATCCGCCGAATGCAGGTGATTTATTGAAGCCCTTAATGGACATGCAAGCGAAGGAAGCGGCGCTTGGCATCGCGGAGAGAGGTGGCGCGGCTCGTGCGGCGGCAGGCTCAGGATCGCGCCTCGCCGCCGCGCTTGGAGTCCTGGATAGGCAAAATAACGCCAAACAGCAACACGCTAAATTCAAAGCCAAAGCTGATACCGACGCGGATGCCGATGCAAACGTGGAGGATGGCTCAGAAGCTCCGAAGGAGGGCGTGGAGATAAAGCGTGAAAGCGAAGAGGACGAAATCAAGCCAAAGTTTCGACATATCGATATCTCGGCTCTGGAAGGGCGAAAAGGTGATGATACGAATGGATGTCAAGAAAATTTGCCACGAAAAGAGAGGCGTTCCGAAGAAACACCAGCAGCACGGAGTCCGTCGTCGGGGAAGAAGCGAAGCCGAGAAGCGGATGTATCAGATTCGTCTGATTCGAACGCTGGCTCAGAGCCTGAATCAGAGTCCGAACCAGACGAAGATGAAGACGAAGATGAAGACGAAGATGAAGACGACGACACGAACGCCGACGCTACGATGAACGCCGACCCAGAGGAAGCAGAAGACGAGGCGGTGGATCCGCGGCGAGCGTGGGAAAAGAAGCAAGTGGGGGAACTCAAGCTGGAGTTGAAATGCCATGGGCTACCGACAAAGGGACGCAAAGCTGATCTCATCGAGCGCCTGGACGCGCATCGACACGCGGACCACGCCTTCAAAGACGAAAAGGGGAAGCCCAAAGCCAAGTCGGTGAAAAATTCGACGCCGAAGAAGGTGTTTCGTGAAGGAACTCGGGGGTCTACTCGGGGATCTGCTAGCGAGGAGCGCTTTAAGCTTTAAGTCAATCGCAATAGCCTAGCTCTACATCTAGTAATGCCGATAAAAATGCGCGAAAAATCAGAAAAATTAGAACCCGCCCGAGTCGCGCTTGGGGCCGCCCGAATCACGTTTCGGTCCTGCACGACCACCGCGACCCCCGCGTCCGCCACCACCTCGTCCGCCGCCACCACCGTTCCTTTCATTCGCGCTGTCGTCGGACATAGAACCGGCCGCGGCGAGTTCTGGGTTTTCCTCCAATAAAACTTCTTTGCGACTCAGACTGGTTTTACCACGATTATCGACCGCGATAATCTTGACATCCATCACCGCTCCTTCGGACGTCACGTCGGAGACGTTTGGCACGCGTGAAACGTCGAGCTCACTGATATGGACAAGTCCTTCGAGACCCGGCAAATATTCAACAAAGCAGCCGAATTCAACAACCTTCTTCACGACGCAGCCGCGATAAATTTTACCCACCTCTGGTTCAACAATCATGCCCTCGATCATCCGAATCGCCGCATCGAGGTCCGCGTCAGCGCCACCAGTGACAAACACCATCTCCTTTTCTTTGTTAACATCGATGTTCTCAGCACCAGTCTTCTCCATGATGGAACGAATGGTCTCCCCACCCTTACCGATGACTTTGCCAAAGTACTTCTCCGGCACCGCGATGGAAGCGATGCGCGGGGCATACTTGCTCGTGGCGCCCGCGGGCGCAGGGTCACATTTTTCCATCTCGCCGAGGATGTGCACGAGTCCCTTTTGCGCCTCTTCGAGCGCGGTTTTCATGACATCGATCGTGATACCTTCGACCTTGATATCCATCTGGAACGCGGTGATACCGTCCTTGTCGCCTGCAACTTTAAAATCCATGTCGCCGAGCGCGTCTTCAGAGCCCAAGATATCGGTGAGAACGATGGGCTCGAGCTCATCGCCACCGCCCGCGGCTTCAGAACCCAAAATTAAGCCCATGGCGATACCCGCGACTTTCCTGCGAATTGAAAATATAAAAAAAGGTCAGTGACTGAGAGAGCGAGCGCGACGCGAGAAACAAATTTCCGCGCGGCGTTTGAATACAGCGCGGGACAGTTGAAGAATCGTCCGTTCCACGGTTCAACCGCTAGCGCAGCAGCAAATAAACGACGCAAAACGCGTCGCTATGCATCTGAATGTCGCCAAGTTATGACTCGATCTCTCTCCATACACCACAAAAGCGGCGCAACGAAGAGCGTTCTTAAGGACCTGGCTTTTTCGAAAAATATTTCCGCGACGACTATGTCGCCAAACCCGCACCTTTTAATAGGAACACCGGCATCGAGCAAAGCGAGCGTGCCCGCGCAGACAGTGGCCATTGACGAGGAACCGTTACTTTCCGTGATTGTGCTTTCCAGTTTGCACACGAAAGGGAAGTCCTCCTCCGATGGAAGGATGGGCATGAGCGCGCGTTCAGCCAAGTTTCCGTGACCAATCTCACGTCGGGATGCGCCACCCGTGCGACCAGTTTCGCCAACAGATGACGGAGGGAAGAAGTAGTGCAACATGAAGCGTTTGTCTTCGCCCGCTTCGACGTCGTCTTGACGCTGAGCATCCTGACTACCGCCGAGAGTCGCGACGCCGATGGCTTGCGTTTCGCCGCGAGTAAATAACGAGCTGCCATGCGTTCGAGGAAGTATACCCGCCTCGCACGCAATCGGACGAATCATCGACGTCGTGCGACCATCTTGACGACGACCTTTGGTTCGGATCACGTCGCGAAGGGCGCGTGACTCAATTTTGCCGCACGCGTTGATTACGGCGGAAGCCTGCGACGATGTGTGAAAAAGTGTACATAAGTCAGTCGGTTCCGTCTCGCTCGCGGCGTCGTCAAGAATTTGCAATGCGTGCAAAGGGCGGATCCAGAAGTACTCGGCTGCGACACCAAGGTGGGCTGGGCGCCCGTTCGAAGCATTCACGTTTCTTTACGCGCTCGCAGTTGAGCCGCAACCAACAAGTTCTCGAGAGAAACGGCTGCGACTATTCGGTAGAGCGCGGGACTTATCGAGGTTTCGCGCGAGAAATAGCGCCGATTCGCGCGAGACAGCGTATGCGCAACCACTGACGTACCTGGAATTCATCTTGAAGAGCTTCCACTGCGCGTTCGCGGGCGGCGCCAATCATCGCCCCTCGCTCTTGCTTGATCGGAACGACGATGGCTTGCTTCAATTCATCCTCCACGAGCGCAGCGACAGCCTCGTCCACGCCCTCGGGCTGCACGATGAGTTTTTGCATCATCTTCTGCGGCGCGACAGTTGCGGCCCAAGCGTCAATTTCCTTGCACGCCTTGGCCACCGCCTCTTGGCCCTTTTCAATCGCTCGCAACATTTCATCCGTGGTCAAAAAGTCGCAAAAGCCCTCAATCATGAGCACCGCCTCGTCCGTGCCGGCGAGCACCAAGTCCAATCTCGATTGTTTCATTTGTTCCGACGTCGGATTCACCACCGGTTCATCCGAGCCAGGCATCAGACCCACTCGAACGCCCACGACGGGCTTCTTCAGCGGAATGTCGCTCACCGCCAACGCCGCCGACGCCGCCGTGATCGCCAGCGCATCCGTCGATCGCTCGGCGTCAAAACTCATCAACCACTGCAAAACCTGCGTTTCGTATCCCCATCCCTTGTACATCATCGGTCGTATCGGCCGATCGACCAATCGCGCCTTGAGCGTCTCGTTTTCTCTTAACCCCCCGTCTCGCTTCTTATACCCTCCCGACGTCCTCCCCGCCGCCGAGAACCGCTCCGCGTAATTCACCGTCAGCGGCACGAACGACCCATCTCCCGTGCACTCCCTCGACGCGCACGCCGTGTTGTACAGCACCGTCTCCCCCTCGCTCGCGAACACCGCGCCGTTCGCCTGCAACCCAATCTTCCCAGTCTCCAGCCTCACCTCGCTCTCCCCGATCCGCAGCACGAGCTCGCGCGCGTCCCGCTCGGCGCGTCCGCCCAGGTACAGCGCGTCCAGCGCGTGCTCCGCCCCTCGCGCGCGCGTCGCGCGCGTCGCTCGCCGCCGCGCGTTCGCCCGCGCGCGCGCGCCGTCGCCGCTCGCCGCGCGTCGCTCGCCCCTCGCGCGCGTCTCGCGCGCGCGCGTCCACGCCGACGCCCTCGACGTCGCGCGCGCGTCCATCCCGCGTCGCCTCGCGTCGTCGCGCGTCGTCGTCTCGCGCGCCGCGCCGCGCCGCGCCGCGCCGCGCGACGCCCCGCGCGCGCCCGCGTCGATCGAACCCGCGATCGAACCTCGATCGCGCGCGCGCGTCGACCCTCGAGGCGTCGATCGATCGCGCGACCGCGATCGACGGCGCGCGTCGATCGAGATAAACGCACGAGGACGCGCGACGCCGTAGTCTCGACGCGCGCGAGGCCATGTGCGCGCGTGACCCTAATCACCGAGCGTTTTGACCTCGCCCGACGACGAGGCGACGCGCGCGCGGCGCGGCGACGGCAGAACGACGGCGCGTCTCGCGCACGTCCGACTTCGACGCGAGCGCCGATCGGTCGACGACGATCCGAGCGCGCGACGACTCGGCGGACGCGAGCGACCGCGAGCGACGGCGAGCGACGGCGCGCGGCGCGTCGATCGGCGGCGGCGAGGCGAGCGTCGGCGATCGATCGGCGCGCGCGACGCGCGCGGAGGGCGCGGAGACGCGAGGGACGACTCGAGAGATGTCGGGCGCGATGCCGAATCGTAATCAGGCGCCGGGAGTGCCGCAACCGCGCGGGAACGCGAGCGGGGGGGGGGCGAAGGGAACGGAGGAGGAGAAGAAGGTCATCGCGAGCGCGGCGGGGAGCGGCATGCCGCCGCAACAGTTCATGTTCGGGACGATGAACATGGCGAAGGGCGGGGGAGGAAAGCCCGGGGTGGGAGGACCGGGAATGGGGATGCCGGGGATGCCGCCGGGGGGTCGACCGATGCCGGGAGGACCGATGATGGGGATGATGCCGCCGGGCGGGAAGCCGGGCGCGCCGGGGATGGCTCCGGGGCAGATGTTCGTGCAGGGAGGAGCGCCGTTTCATCCGGGGATGATGATGGGAATGCCACCGATGGGAATGCCGGCGTACGCGAAGCCGCCGGGGATCAAACCGCCGTCGACGCCGTCGACGCCGCCGACAAAGGTGGCGAGCAAGGCGATCAAGATTGTTAACCCGAAGACGAAGCAAGAGGTCAAGGTTGAGAAGCCGGTGTCGTCGACGCCTCCCGCGGCGAGCGCGTCGCCCGCTGCTGTCGCAGCGGCGGCGCCTGCGGGTGTCGCATCGCCGGCGCCGGCGGCGCCGGCGGCGCCAGTCGCGCCGGCCGCGTCCGCGCCGGCGGTGCCGCCGCCGATCAACTTTGCGGCGATGGCGGCCAAGCCCGCGGCGCCGCCCGCGCCCGCGCCCGCGCCCGAACCGGTCGCACCGAAAGCCGCGGAAGTGCCGGCACCCGCGCCGGCGCCGGTGAAACCCGTGGCGCCGACGGCGGCGGACATTTTGCGCAAGGCTCCCGAAGCGCCCAAGCCGCAGCCTCCCAAGCAAGAGGAAGCGCCCAAGGCGCCCGAACCGCCCAAGCACAAAGTCGTCGAGGAGCTCGCCGAAGCCGTGGCTGGGGTGCAGCTCGCGACGTCGGAATCTGTCTCGAGCATCGGCTCCGACGCTGGCTCTGACGTTGGATCCGCCGCCGACGTGAAGCGCTCGCGCTTGCCGCCGCCGATTACAGACTTCACCCTCGCGGCGAAACCTGCCGATGGCAAGTACACTGTGGATGAGCTCAAAGCCATGCGCGATGCCCCGATCGCACAAACAACGCCAGCGAATTGGACCGTTCCTGATGACATTGACTACTGGCCCGTGCCTGGTTTCATTTGTCCGCCGGGAGTGCAATCGTTCGGTGGCGGTCGCGGCGGTGGCGGCGGTCGTCGAGGCGGTGGAAGCCGCGGTGGCGGTGGTTACGACGGTAAAAAAGGAGATGATAAGTGGGCGCATCGACAGTTGCCCGCGGGCGAAGGTGGTCGTCGCGGCGATCGTCGCGGTGGCGGCGGATACAACCAGTCGCAATATCGCATCCCAGCAGGCGAGCTCCCGAAGTTGCACAAGACAGATAACAAGTACGTCATTGGTACCGTGGACGATGAAGAACAGAAACGTCAGCGTTCGTTCAAGGCGATTCTCAACAAGCTTACACCTGATAACTTTGAGAAGCTTCTCGAGAAGCTTCTCGACGTCGGCATCACCGAAGCCATCACTTTGGTCGGACTCATCGGACAATTGTTCGAAAAGGCGCTTCAAGAGCCCACCTTCTCTTCTTTGTACGCCGAGTTGTGTCGCGTGCTTTCTGATCGCTTCTTGAGCGAGGGCGTAGAATTCTTAGATCCCGCTGCGCCGGAGGGACAACAAGCTATCACGTTCAAGCGCGTACTTCTTAACAAGTGCCAAGAAGAGTTCGAATCTGGCGACAAAGCCATCGCCAAGGCTGAAGCGGGTGACGATGAAGACGACGACAAGAAAGAGGGTGAAGAGGGTGAAGAAAAGTCCGAGACTGAGAAGGAGCTCGAGGATGGTGAAATCGATGAACCGCCAAAGCCGAAGACTGAGGAGGAGCTTGCGCTCGAAGAGCGACGCAAGCAACTGAAGAGAGAGGACAGACTTCTCCAGGCGCGCAGACGCATGCTCGGTAACATTCGTTTCATCGGTGAATTATTCAAAAAGTCAATGCTCACCGAACGCATTATGCATACGTGCATCATGAAGCTTCTAGGCGAGGGCGAAAAGACTCCGAACGAGGAAGACGTGGAGGCTTTGTGTAAGCTCATGACTACTGTTGGCGGTCAACTTGATCACCAAAAAGCCAAGGCGTACATGGATGCGTACTTCCGCCGCATGGAAGTGTTGAGCAAATCTGAAGAGATGTCTTCTCGTCATCGATTCATGTTGCAAGACGTCATGGACACTCGCGCCAAGGGGTGGCGCGAGCGTCGCAAGGAAGAAGGCCCGAAGAAGATTGAAGACGTTCACCGCGACGCACAACGCGCAGCCATGGAGCAAACGCGCCGTGCCGGCGGTCGCCCCGAGCGCACTGGTTCATTTGGTGCCATGCCGCGAAGCGACAGTCGCCGAGGCGGCGACTTTGATCGTCCCCCGAGCCGTGGCGCGCCACGAGGTGGCGACGATCGATCAGGCGGATTCCAACGCACCGAATCGCGAGGTGCATTCGGCGGTGGCGATCGACGTGGTGCGGGTGGTAGTGGCGTGCGCGACGAGCGCGAGCGTGGGGGAGGTGATGTCAGAGGCGGCGGCGGCGCACGCGAGATGGACGCTCGATCGAGCATTCCGCAGCCGCGAGGCACACTTTCAGCGGCTGAGTCTAAGCCTGCGGCGGTACCTGTGCCAAAGGTGGCGACGGAGGAGAAGGCCATGGTCGACGACGCAGCTTTCATTGCTGAGCGCAAGAAGACGACGGAGTACTTTTATGACGATAAGGACACCAGCGAAGCCGTTAAGGTCATCGCAACGTGGGACCCGCGACGCATCGTTGCGTTCATCGAATACTTCTTGACGACGAGCTTTGAGCGTCGCGACATGGACTGGGAGGCTGCGTACGGGCTCGTTCGCGCGCTCGCCGCCTCTGACGGCCCGATGTCTGGCGCTCAGTTGATTGAAGGTTTTGCGCCGCTCTTCAACAACATCGAAGATGTCATGTGCGACTTGCCCAAGGCTGGTGACCACATCGCCGCCTCTCTCGCTGGACCAGTTATCGATGGCTCTTGCACGCTCGCCTCCCTCGCCGATGCCCTTCGTAAAGCCACGCCGGAGGGGGAAGACCCCGGGTACATCTTAGCCGAAGGTTTCGCCCTCACCATCTTCGCTCACGTTCTCGCCCGCGTGCAAGCGCTCGCCGGCGACGACACCGACAAAATGCCCGCGTTATTGAAAGCTTCCGGCGTCAAACTCGCCGATCTTCGCGGCGAGGTGGACAAAGACGACGGCGCCGTCGTCCCCAAGCTCGTCGAAAAGCTCGGCTTGCCCGGCGACATCGTCGCGTAGACCATCCCGCGTCGTTGCGATAATCACTCTTTGACTTAGAATCATCTCATCACCAGCGCCCGATTCCTCTCCCTTCGTCGCGCGTCGCCGTCGCGCGTCGTCGTCGCGCGTCGCCGTCGTCGACGAAGAGATAAGACTCGGGCAAAAAGTGCAAAAAGTGCACTTTTTCGGGTATTTCGACGCGCGACAAACACCGTATTACAAATGCCCAAACAGGCATCAAATTTGTTTATCGCACGAACGTTATCGCCGCGCTGTCCCCGACACCCGCGCGTGACGCGACACCGCCGCGCGCGCGCGCGCGACGCCCGTCCGCCGCCCACGCGCGCGCGACGAGCGCACGACTTTCCATCGACCGCGCGTGACGCTTCGCGCGCGCTCGAACGCGTCGATCGCAGCGTGAAGCGCGAGAATCGTCGAATCCCGCGTGACGTCCCGCGAAACACCCGCGAGGGCGATCGCGAGCCGTCGACGGTGCGCGCGCGCGCGACGCGAACTGCGTCGATCGAGTGATCGTGATCGGTGGCTTGGATATCGCGCGAGCGATCGCAAGCGTTCAGGCGGTGATCGAGCGCGAGATGGCGTCGAGGGACGAGCTGACTCGACGAACGAGCGCCACGTTGGACATTGGTCCTCGAGCGCGCGAGAGGGACGCGCAAGAACACCCGCTGGTGAGTCATCCGGGGGCGATGCTGCAGAGTCTTTCGGTTCGTTCGAGTGATGACACGCGCGTGAGAGGGAATGAGGCGCGAGGAGGGCAGAAGAGTGCGCTCGCGGCGAAGACGGACGCGTCTTCGGAGCGAAGGCACGTGTCGCCGGACAGCGCGCTCGAGACGACGGGGACGTTTGGGTCGTTTGAGAGTGAGGATGGAAGCTTGGAAGATGACGATAACCGAATGGATGCGGCGAATAATAAACGCGTGGAAAGCATGACGGATTTCATGAATAGCGCGCGAGAGTCTCAGACGAGCGCGCAAACGATGGCGAGCGCGGATTTGACGAGGAGCGGGTCAAGGCAACAAATCGATCGGTTGCTCGACGAAGCGATGTCGATGTTTCATCGCGACGGACCTTTGGTCAATCCACTTGAACGCTGTGCGAGTACGAGCTCGATGGAGATGCGTATGCGATTCGTGTGCGAAGCCAAGGGCTTCGACTATGGGTTGTTTTGGGAGTTTGACGAAGACAAGAAGTCGCTCACGTGCGTGTCTCGAGTGTGCATACCAGACGCGAGCGGGATAAGTTTATTCGTGGACACGTCATTCACGATGTTTAAGCGCTTCAGTATGGGTTTTGGGATGCCAGGAAGGATTGGCTACACCGGAAACTACGAGTGGCACGAAGACATTCGCCAGTTGCCGGCGTGGAGCTTCCAACGCAAGCGTCAAGCCGAGCAAGCCAACATTCGAACCGTCATCGGTGTCCCATTGGACGATGGCATCGTCGAGTTTGGTACACGATCCGTCGCTGATCATAATGTCACCAGCGTGCAGTACATCCAAAAGCTTTGCCAAGTGTCCAAGAAGTGAGAGACTTTTCCACCTCAGCGCTTTTGTACCATATGTGTCATGGCTTCCACAGCACCCGATTTCAACATTTATTTTGTCCCGAAAGGCACTCACGATCGCTTGAAGTCTTTCTCATTTATCCAACTGTTCACATTTTGTATTTTCTACCCATTTTCCAAAGAAGTGTGTCATCAGTCACACTTCTCTTGAACATGAAAACATTATTATTTTTGGCGGCCTGATGTCTACGCCATCTCATCCGCTCGACCACACCGTTTGCGATTTATCAACGTTTTGTAACAACAAACAAGCGGCGATCAATCTATTTGAACTTCCTTCGTTTACATCAGAGCTACAGCTCATCCTTGACGAGTTCATCCGCGGCGGGCGCTACTCTATCTATGAGAGCGTTGAGGATGGTCTTTTCGCGCACGCGAAGTTCCACTGCCAGCGCGCTCCGACGCATGTCTCTGAGTTTTTCTCGAACGCGCTCGCGCTCGAGAAGTTGCATGTCATCTCGCTCGAGTGCGGCGGCGAATTCTCGCATGGAATCACGCATCGTCGAGAGCGCGGCGTCGTCTTGCTCGAGCGAAGTCGGGTAGCGTTTGAGACGCGCTAGTAGGACATCTCGTACACCGTCACGACGAACATTCTTAGGCACACCATCGCCACCGATCTCCACGGCACGACCACTCGCGAGCTCGGCATACGCCGAGAGCATGTCCAAAGACGACTCGCTCGCCGCAGACGGTACGCAAACGCGCCAGGGGACGTCAAAACCAGCCTTGCGAACCTTCTCTTCGTTTCTTTTCTTCTCTGGCGTGAGAACCATCAACACACAATTACGCGTTGAGTTTGTATGCACGTCTGGTAAGTACCCGAGATGCTGCACCGACTCGCCATTGTTCCAGCCGCCGAATCGCTCGCAAAGTTCTTCGCCCGGAGCGTAGTCTCGCTTCGCGTACACCACCACCTCATCCGCGTGTGGATCGTACACCGCGAATCCCTCGTCATCGACGATGTCAGTTTTATCAGCATCAACATCTTTGCCGCACTCTCGAATCATATCAATCACCGGAACGAGCGCCAACCCATCCTTGCCGCTCACCCGCGTCGCTCGCGCGTGCGCCACCGTCCACGCCCACCGCAACGCGTACAACGATCTCGCCGCTTTCCCGACGAAAACATCCGTGTAAACGTCAAACACTCGCACGCGTAGCGCGTTCCACACCGTATTCAACAACTTGTACTCATCCACGATGTCCACCTCGTACGTATCGCTCCCGCGCAACTCCTTCGCCGTGTCGTCGCTCCAGTGCGTCGGCGTATCGAATTCCCCCGGCATCGTCCTGAAATATTCCGCGAACGCGCTTCGATCGCCCAATTCATACCGCTCATACAATAAGCACACGATCAGCGCCATCTTATCGTCGTTCCCGTGCTCGCTCCGCATCGACGCCAACGCCGAGCCCAATCCGCCCGGCGCCGTCGCGTCGTACCTCGACGGATGCAGCGTCTCGTTCCACCGCACGCGCGCGTACGCCTCCATGCGTTCTACCGGCGCGTGCGTCAGCGCGAGTCCGAGTCGATCGCTCCCCGCGCGTTCGTCCGCGACGCGCGCGCCGTCGATGAGGTCGACACCGCCCCGCGCGATGGCGTCGTCCAACCATCTCGACGCCGCCGCGCGCGCGTCGACCGCCGCGCGCCCGCGCGCGACGCTCGACGCCGCGACGCACACCGCGAGCGCCAGCGCGCGGCGATCGACGCGCGCGCGTCCGCGCGCCATTCGCGCGCGAGACGATTTGTGTCGACGCCGACGCGCCGTCCCGCACTCATCGTCGCGCCGCGCGACGACGGCGACGCTCGAATCGCGCTCGAATCGCGCGCGCACGAAGCGCGAGGCCACCGCGCGCGCGATCGTCGACGCGCGCGGACGCGCGGACGCGCGGACGCGTCGCGATGGCGACGTCCCCGTCGACCGCGAGGTTTTCCTCGGCGAAATGCGCGCGTCGCGTCGCGTCGCGCGCGGCGCTCGACGCGCGCGCGCGCGCGCGACCGGTCGGACGCGCGATCGCGCGTCGATGCGCGGCGGCGCGCGCGACGGCGGGCGCGAACGGCGCGAACAGTGACGGAAGAGACGGCGCGGAAACCTCGGGGACGACGAATGCGAGCGGGGACGCGAGCGCGACGACGGACGTCGCGCGCGACGCGGACGCGTCGTCGGGCGACGCGGACGTCGGTGATGGCGCGACGGCGACGGAGGCGACGGGCGAGGGCGAGATGGGGCGAGAGACGTCGGCGCCGGCGGACGCGAACGCGCTGGCGCCGAGCGCGGCGAGCGGCGCGAGCGCGAGCGGGAAGAAGACGAAATCCGCGGGAGGGAAAAAGAAGCGATCGGGCGCGAAAAAGAAGAAGGCGACGGTCGGTCAGCGAAGCGGCGGTGCGGGGACGGCGATGGAGGTGGATATGACCGTCGTCGGCGCGGCGGGCGCGGCGCTCGCCGTCGTCGGGTACTTTGCGTGGACGAAGTTGAAGGGCGGCGGGGGGAAGGCATCGTCGCCTGGGGACCGCGGCGCGTTCGATGGCGGTATGCCGTCCATGGGCGCGACGAGCGATGACGTCCCGGTCGCGAGTGGAGTTGGAGAGGACGGTATGGACGGGCCGGTGTCCGTGGCGCCGAAGCAGCAGCAACAACAGAAGAAGATCATCACGCGCGAAGCCAAGCGCATGCTTCGCGACGTCATGGACGAACTGCGACGGGTGCAAACAGTCGACGCGAGTGGTAAGAATCTCGGTGACGAAGGTACGTGCTTCATCGCCGAAGCGTTCGCGTACAATAACGTGGCTACGTGCGTGGACATGAGCGCGAACGGCATCGGCGTCGAGGGCGTCACGGCGCTTTGCGAGGCGCTGAAGTGTAACGACACGCTGACGATGTTGTCGCTCGCGAGTAACTCGCTGGGCGACGAAGGTGCGAAGGTGTTGGCGGACTATCTCAAGACGGATGAAAAGATTACAACCATCAACTTGAACGCGTGCTCGATCGGCGACGAAGGCGCCAGGGCAATCGCCGAGGCGCTCAAGACGAACACCACCATCACTTCCCTCGAGATGAACAACAATATGGTCGATTACGAAGGTTCAGGCGCGCTCGCTCAGGCGTTTGCGCAGAATAGCACGGTGGAGTTGCTCGCTCTGAGCGGCAACTACGTCGGCACTCTCGGCGCCGCGGCGCTCGGCGCCGCGTTCAAGGAGAACACTGGGTTGCGCTCTCTCCAATTGAACGGAAACGACATAGGCAACGAAGGTTGCATCAAGCTCTGTGAGGGACTGGCGGCGCGCAAAGATAAAATTAACAACTTGGACCTCGGCAACAACTCCATCGGCCCCGAAGCAGGACCGGCGCTTCGCGATTATCTCAAGGACGACGACGCGTTGACGCATCTCAACCTGTACATGAACGAGCTCGCAAACGACGGCTGCGCCGCTGTCGCCGAATCGCTCAAAGATAACAAGAAGATAGAGCTTCTTGATATCGGTGGGAACAACATCGGCGCTTTCGGCGCCGAGAAGCTTGCTGAAGCGTTGCGAGACAACGAATCCTTGGTGACGCTCGAACTCGGGTACAACCCGATCGGTGTCCCCGGTGGCAAGGCTCTCGCAGAGACGGTGAAATTTCATGGTAAATTAAATACCATGCGTATGGGCTGGTGTAAAATTGGCAAGGAAGGCGGCTTCGCATTCGCGGATGCGATCAAGTACTCGAGCTCGCTCGCGGTGTTGGATTTGCGCGGCAACGACCTTGGCGACGACGGCGTTGCGGCGCTCGCGCAGTCGCTCGGCGTCGTCAACGAAGTATTGACCAACCTCGACCTCGGTTACAACGAAATCAAGGACAAGGGCGCTTTCGCTCTGGCGCAGGCGATCAAGAACAATGCAGACGGTTCCTTGCAAACGCTCTCCATCAACAACAACTACTTGACCAAATTCGGCGAAGTCGCCCTCACGGAGGCGGTCGAGTTGGTTCAGGAAATGAACGCCGATCGCGACCTGTACGTGCAGTTCTAACGCGTTCGTAGAATCCCATGCTCTTGAATCTGCTCTTAGCTCGCACGACAATCACAAAACGAGTTGAAAATGAAAACTGACAGTTATCGAATCAATCAAGCTCACCACCTCACAACCGGGCATGCCGTCGACCAGAGTCGTCTTTTTCAGGCACGCGCAGTCGGAGTTCAACGCTCGACACTCAATACAAGGCCAACTGGACCCACCGCTTGACGAAACCGGACTCGAACAAGTTGCGCTCGCGGCGCCGAGAGCTGCCGCTGCGCACGACGACGCCGTCGCGGTGTTTAGCAGCGACCTCCGCCGCGCCAGCGTCACCGGGCGGGCGATCGCAGACGCCCTGGACTTGGCGCTCATCGAAGACGCGAACCTGAGAGAGCGTCACTTGGGAGACTTGCAAGGACTCGAGAGGGCTTCGCTCGCGACGTCGGTGCCTTCGGCATTCAAGGTGTGGAAGTCGCGCGACCGCAACGCCGCCGTGCCCGGCGGCGGTGAGTCGAGCGCGGGAGTGGACGCGCGATTGAGCGCGTTTTTCCAAACAGTAAGCACGGGAAACTACGCCGGAAAGAAGATCATCGCCGTGACGCACGGCGGCGTGCTCGGTCGGCTGTTCGCCGGCGGCGCCAACCGCGAGGAAAAGCGTCTGTGCCAGATGCGACGCGGCGTCGGAAACTTCGCCGAGTGCGTCGTAGACGCTTATGACGACGGGACGTGGAGGTGTCATTACTCTGGATGGGCGTCGGGGCGGTTTTTAGAGGATTCTGAAGCGACGCTTCAGGCGGACGACGTCGCCTGATGATGAGCCAGAGCGGAGCCCCACGCGCGGCACTTCCCAGCGCGCGCTCACGATCGCGCCATCGACGCTCGTAGTCGAATAACGATGCACGCGTCGTTCGCGCGAACGATGACGCCAGCGCAAGTCTCCGGGCGCACGACCGTCGCCGCCTCGCGCCGCGCGGCTTATCCGTCCCGCTCGCGATCCGTCATTCGCGCCCAAGTCACGACCGACGCCCTCATCGAACGCGCGAAAACGCTCACGGACGACTTGAAGGCGATGAACACGAAGATGCCGACCATTCGTCGCGTGGTGGCGGGGAACCGGAACGATCTCAAGGCGCTGCAGCTGTACCAAGACGCGCTTGAGGGTCGAGCACCGAGCGAAGACGACGAAGACGCCGTGCGAAAACTGGAGAATACGCTCGATGATTTGGCGACGTACGTGCAAGCGAAGGCAGAAGAGGAACAGTTTTGGGAGGGGCGGAAAGACGTGGTGACGTCGAGCATCGTGGACAACGCCAACTTGACGGATGACGAAAAGCGCGAGGTCTCGGGCATGGTGGCCAACTTCACCATGATGGGGGTGCAGGCGGGAGTTTGGAACGCGCTCATCTTGCTCATCGGATTCGTCAGTCTCGTGACGTTCGTATTGCCGAACATTTAATTCATCGTTGTAGTAATTTACACGGAGCAAGCTCCTTTTTGCGCTATGCTGTCATCGGGACTGTACCTCCCGTGAGTTCGGCTCTCGCGCGCATGGCGGATCGAACAACGTCTGGAGATTTGTCATTCGTTACGCATTGCTTTAGCGCATCTTCTACCGCTGACTTTACCGGCGTATGGCTCGCGAGCGCGAGTAAGGCTTCGATAGCGTCGAGCCGAAGCGCCGTGGAGGATGAGTCGCCGGCGGCAGCGACGACGACTTCAAGAAGAGGCTCGACAGCGAACGAGGCCACGGATTCTTTCGAATCTCGAACGATACGCATCAAGCCGACGACTGCCTTCAGACCTTGGCGTCGACGATCTTTGCTTAACTCCGCATCGAGACTTGCGACGCAAAGCTCGGCGCATAGCGAAGCATGCGGACGAATTGCATCGAGAGATTTGAAGCGATTCAGCACAGTCGCGAGAACGGTCGTTGCGGCAGTCGCTGTCATCGACTGGGATTTCTGACGCTTCTCGGCCTCGTACTTAGCTTCGTTTTGGCGTTCCAAAGATCCTGCGGCACCGACGCCAGAGTCGATGTCATCGACGGGCGCAGGCGCTGCTTTTAACGCGCACTCCACCACCGGAACAACTTTCGCGATAATTTCCGTGTCAATATCGCTCTCCGTTGACGCAATCGCGACGAGTACTGCATCAACAGCATCTAGAGCGGACTTGCGGTAATCAGTCTTAGCTCTTTGACTCTCGGTGAGCAAAGCATCCACCACAGCCGTCGCGTCAATTTGTCGTGGGCAAGCGCTCGTCAATGCCGCCACCGCATCAAGAACGGATGTCTTCCCTTCCCATATACGTCCAGGAAGCTCGGCCAAAAGTCGTGTAATCACATCATCAGCTCTGGTCGCGATGACATCTGCGGACGCGCGCGATATTGCGGCGAAAACTTCCGCGCCTTGCTTCTTGCGTTGCCACTGCTTCGCCGCCAAGTACTCAAATGTTATCGCGAGAATTTCGTCAAAGTAAACGCGAAGGCTTGCCGAGACGCCGCCCGAATTTTCTTCCCACACTTCACTCCACTTTTTCTTACCGGCGTCGATGGAATCATAGGAGCCGACGAAAGCGAGGGGAAGAACAAGAGTTTTTTGCGGACTCAACGCATCGGGCGCGTTGCGCGACAGCTCGAGTGCAAGCTGCGCCGCAACAGCACGTTCAGTTTCGGTGTCGCTCTTGAATAAGCGTGCGATCTCTTGCGCTAAAGCATTGACTCCGGGCTCTTCGGCGTACCGCGCGATGGCGGCGATGGCGGAGATGAAACTCGTTCGCACCGCTGCCGATGCGTCATTCACTGCCGACGCCAAAAGCATCTTGAACAGAGTCGCGGCGTGCGGTCGCACGAGTCGACCGCGTCGCATACACAAACGCTGAAGAAAACGACCCGCGCCCGCTCGAGTATTGAGGCCCACGCCCGTTCGCAACACAGAGTTCATAGTGGAAACGAGCTCTTTCATCACGTCTTCGTCAATGTGCGCCATGAGAAGGTCGAGCGTCTCGCCCATCGGACTTGATTTCGCCGCGCGCAAACGCATCGCCTCCAACTTATCACTTGCTCCCTGTCCAAACGACGCGGCGTGCTGTTCGATGTAATTCAATCTCGAGTCTTCCATGCCCGAAAGCGATTCTAACAGCGTTTTCACGATTTCAGCGATGTGTGGTCTGATGGCGTCGCCGTCGGCAAACTTGACCAATTTCATGATGACATCCATGCTAAGCGCTTGCACCTCCTTCACCGTGGAAAGTAGTCCGCGCTCAAGCATGATTGGCAAAACGATACCAATTGTTCCCTTGACTTCACTTGGTCCGCTGTGGTGGGCGTCGCATAGGCGCAGTGTCAATGAACGCACCGATCGGCACAAACCTTCGCCCGATATGCGCACTGTTTCTTTGATGTCGTCGATGACGCGTAGGCACACGTCCCAAATTTTCTCCAAGTAAGGTTCGATCTCTTTGAAAGTTCGCCCGGACAATATTTCACTCAACGCACTTGCACTCGATTGACGCGTCCGCCAAAGTCGACTGCCAGACTCACGCAATAACTCATCCATGATGGCTTCAAAGTGCTTGTCCACGGTTGCCTTTGGCGAATCCACCAAAGACACCCAGATGCCTCTGACTGCCTCTTGCATCTGTGGATTCGGATCGTGCATCATCCGATAAAGTTTTGGCACGAGCTTCTCCAAGTGTGGCGTCACAGCATCACCCGCGCGCTTCGCGATGGAGGCAAATCCGAACGCGGCACCTCGAGATGAATTCATCGCGCGCTGATGGTTTGCGAGATCCATGAATTTGTAAATCAAGTCGGGCTGCCCTATATCCGTTACGACGCTGCAAAGCTCCTGGTACGTCGTGAGAGAACTCTTATCGCTATCACCACTTCTCAACGCTTTATCATCGAGTGCGATGGTACCTTCTTCGAAAACTTCAGCCTTGTCGTCGAGCTTGATGTGACGCTTCTTTGGCGCGACGCCGTTGAGCGTGCCCATCAGCGCAGCGAGAAGTTCCTTCTGTTGAACCTCATCGCCCATGTCGTACAAGATGCTCATCCCTCGACTCGCGAGTTCTTGTGTGAGATCGTTCTGATCACCCAACAAGGATCCAAACGCTTCCTGAACGTCTTGAAGCATCGATAACAACCGTGGATGGTTGTTCGTGTGCGTGACGAGAGAAAGCAACCAGACGCACGCAGCGCATCTCTTTTCGACACGAGCGCTGTAAATGTACTGGTTGAAAATTGCGTCGAGCACGGCGCGATGGACGTGCGCACGCGGATCGCTCGCTTGATCGTACGCCGCAACTCGCGCTTTAATTTCATCAACATCCATACCGACGATAGAGGCACCGTCATTGCCTTCAGAGGCGAGCGACTTCATAGCGGCGTTAAGCGAAACAAAAGACGTCGTGAGCACGCGATCGGCGTCGACATCGACGCCCCCCCACGCACACGCAACCGCCTCACCTATGGCGAACTGTGTGTCATCGTGTTTCACCTCGCACATCGCAAGAAGCCGCGGTAAAAGCGCAGATGCGGTACTTTCACTTGCATCCGTGAGCATGATGTGTCCAGCGGCTCGAGCGCCTAGCTTGGCGACGTGTGGATCTGTGTTTTGCAGAACGCCACACACTGCGTCGAGCGCGTCCTCGATGATATCAGCGTGCAAGGGCTTACGTAGTCCTGCGTGACCGATCGCTTCCGCCGCGACACTCGCCAAGTTAGCTTCGGCACTTTGTCCTTTGCCTACTTTCTTTGCCAAGTCGACAAAGGTTTGAATTGCGCGCAGCGCGTCGACATCCGGAATCTTTCCTGAACCTACGATGTAGCCAGTCGCGCTTAATGCGCCCTCTTGGTGCTCCAGACGAGCGCCACGTTCGTCTCCTTTACACAGCGACAGAAATTCATCCATAAAAGGTACCCTCGCATCGGCCTCAAGATTACCAACAAGAACGCCGCAAAGTTTGGCGGCGCGCCGACGAGTCTCTGCATCTGTGTGAGACACGAAGTGTCTCAGACGCACTAGAATCGCATCCGCGGTAGCCTTTTCGCTGAGTAACGCTGGTTCACGCTCGAGCAAGTCTATGAAACTACGTAAGGCTTCGCTCGCGAGGGCTGGTCCCGACGATTTGACGAGGCACCGGTTCAAAAAGTTGAGGTAGAGCTTCACGTCGTTCGCCTCCAACTTTCTCGACTTGGAATAATCGCTCTTTAAACACGCGTTCACGAAATCCAGTGCACTTATCATGGCGTTCTCAGGCAAAAGCAAAGCCGCGTGTAGTGCGGGGTCGACGTTCAAGCCAGGAAGTTTGATGACGAGATACCGAAGTAACGAAGACGCTGGTGGGTGCTTTTCTAGCACGCGAGGCGTCTCGCCTCGACAGAACGCCAGATATTCCATGTATCGATAATGGTCGCTTGTTAAATCCACAAACATCGCGTTCTCATCCACCCACGAGCGCGCGGTGACTTCTCGATCGCACCCGTCCCAGCGCTCGATGTGTAAAACCGCGTCGTCCTTTGTCTTGCGAGTCGCGCTCGGTTGCAAACCTCGTCGGCCCAGCGTTTGCATCTCGTGCTTGGCGTCCCCCGAGGCTAAAATGCTGGCATACCGCGACGGGACGTGTGAGAACGGAAACATTTCAGTCGCCCATTGCGCACCGACGAGACGCTTGACCTTGTTATCATTGTCCTCGATGGCACTCAAAATCAATTCTTCCATTCGCGTTTGTACGTACGTCGACGGCGAATCGCGATACGCCGAAACTAGCGTTCGCGCCGCCTCTTGCACGTAGGATTTCACGCCATCTGGTTCGCTTTCTAACGCGTCGAAAACTCGCTCGGCAAGCAACACGTCTCGATTCACGCTCACTTTGTCGCGCTCGGCGAGCTGCGAAAGTGCTTGATAGCAAAATCCGCGCAAAGTTTCTTGCGCAAAAGTCACAGTCTGATCTCCCTCGTTCGAGCCGTCGGTGCGCGAATCTAAAATTTCGAGCATACCATTCATTAACGAAGGGGCAAACGCGAGTAATTCCTTACTCGTCGCGTGAGTCAGCATCCATACGGTAAACTGCATGCCGCACGCCTTCAATCGTGTCGTCGTACCGTCGCCGTACAGGCACATTTTCACCGTCTCGAGATTTTTCGGGAACGCGTCAGCCGCCGCCATGGATCGCGTGAGCAAATTCATGATTTTTAATTTCACCGCCGGCGAGGCGGGCAAGATGCGAGACTCCACCGGCACGTCCAGCGATGAACCGAGGAAGAGTTGGAATAATTCGCTCGTCGTTGCCCCGTCGTCCAAGTTGACAATCGGCTTGTTCGTCTCCCACGTACATCGTCGCTTGAGTAATTCTTCGCCACGTTTGGATACTTCATGATCACCATCACACGACGCGATGAGACAATGCGTGAGCATTTCCGCCCCACTCACTAAGAATCTACTCTTTGTCTCGCGCTCCTTCTCGACGCCATCGTCGACGCCCGCGTCGTCCATATCGATATCTGGCACGGGATCGAGCACCTCCGCGCTCGCTATGTATTCAAGTAGCTTTAACTTTCGCTTACCTAACGCCACCGGCGTAGGTGGCGCTTTCCCTTTCCCTAAAATCCGTTCCACCGCGCTCGGCGACAGGCTCGGCGGCGCGCTCAACGTCGGCGCCTCGACGCTCCTCTCGGCGTCTTCTCGCTGTGCTTCCGCCGCCGCTCGCAACGCTCCCTCCGGTGCTCCTTCAACCCCGATCGACGCCCCCGCCAACGCCGATAAATGCGCCTCCAAACGATTTGGTGTCGTCCTCGCGCTCGTTCCCACGGCGTTCGGCGAGTACGCGAAAAAATCTCTCGCGCGTCTCAAAAACAACTTCCGATCGTCATCATCGCTCAAAAATTCCACATCGCGCCTCGGATCTCTCGTCGAAAGCTCCCCCAGCGCCTGCATCGCCATTCGAAACACCATATCCGCCTGTTCACTCGACCGTCTCGACGCCCCTCGACACGCTCGCGCGATTTGAATCTCCCGCGTCTCCGCGTCCGCCCTCTCAAACGCCTTCTCCGCGTACACCAGCGCAAAATTCCGCACCATCGCGTTCGTCGTCGTCAAATACGCGTCCACCATCCTCTCCAGCGGCAACCCGATCGTCGTCGTCGCGTTCACGCGCTTATTGATGTGTCTCAGCAGATCCATGATTTTCGCGACATTGTTCGGATGCGTCGTCGCGAGCGCGTCGATCGCGCTCGGCAGCAGCTTTTCGAGCACGCGCTCCAGCGCCGCGTCGTCCGTCAGCGCGAGCGACGTCAGCGCGCGCTCGATCGACGCGCGCTCGTCCGTTTCGGTCGCCATTCCTTCGCGCGCGACTGTGCCGCGGTCGCCCTCGATCGTCGACGCGGAATACAAACCGACGAGTTCGACGCTCGACGTTGACGCATCCGAGGCGCGCGCGGCGCGAGATCGCGACGCGCGCGCGCGGATTCGCGGCGCGAAGACCGACGCGCGCGCGCGAAAAAAACGCGGCGCGCGATCCGAGCGCGACGACGACGCGACGGCGCGCGCGGGCGCGGGCGCGGGCGACGACGATTCGCGCGATCGGCGCGCGATCGGACGAAATAAGTCGGTCTCGGTCTCGCGCGAGGACGCGCGTCGCGCGGGATGGGGGCGGGAATGTCGACGCGGGACGCGCGCGCGAGGGACATCGCGGCGAGCGCGTCGACGGGCGGACTCGGGCGGACGCGGTCGGGGCGACGACGGGAGCGGGGAGGGGTGGACGTGCCGTCGAGGGGCGAGCGGTGTCTCGTCGTGACGCGCGGCGCGGTCGATTGCGCGCCGGCGCGATCGGACGCGGCGCGATCGGACGCGGCGCGGGAGAGCGCGCGAGGGGACGGGAAGCTGCGAGCGGTGGTGGAATACGATGAAGATGGACGCGAGGGAGGGGATCGGGTGCGATGGCGAGTGGCGCGTCCGACGGCGGCGGAGGCGGAACGGCGATCTCCCGAGTTTCAAGCCTTCGTGTGCGACGGGAAGCGAACGAAGATTGGATGGCGATTCGTGATGCGCGCGGGTGACGATGGCGTCGCTGATTCGGTGTCGGTGTACGTGCAGAGGTCGCGCGATGCGGCGCGCGCGCACGCGGTGGAGGCGGCGTTGAGCGTGACCTTCATCGGCGCGGCGAACGACGAGCGGCACTTTGAGACTTTCTTCGATCGCAGGTTCGACCGCGAGGGTGATATGTGGGGAATCAAGCACGTGTTCAATCTTGCCGACGACTTGCACGCGCTCGGAAACCTCGACGACGAATTCGTCGTCGAGGTTTGGATGAGCGAGTTGCGAGTCTCGCGACACCGATCGAAGCCGCCGCCCCAAGTCGCGTCGAGCGTTCGCGTTCTGTCAAACGACTGTCTCTTGTTCGTGCTCGAAGATTTCTTGAGCGAAGAAGAGGGGGATCAATTGATTGAGATCGCGCGTCCAAGTATGCAGCGATCGCGCGTGACGGACGGGAAACTTTCGGAAGGTCGGACTTCGACGTCTACTTTTCTCACCGGGGCTCGGGCGCACGACGATTTGGTTCTCGAAATCGAGCGCAGGATTCAAGCCGCGATTCGTCTGCCGTTGATCGTCGAGCGACGAAAAAATGTCAAGGTCATGTATCAACACGAACCGATGCAAATAGTTCAGTACGGTCCAACTGAGCGATATACGGCGCATTACGACAACAGAGCGGGCAGTCTCAAAAGATCGATGACGTTCATGTGCTATCTTCAAGAGCCTGAAGAAGGCGGGGCGACGTTCTTTCCGAAGTGTGTGCCGCTTTGTGGGTGCGATTCGACGACGCTTGGGATTCGAGTGTTCCCGAAACGCGGGCGAGCCATCTTGTTTTGGAACGTGGGAGAAAACGGACAAGAGGCGATGCGATCGCTGCACGAGGCGCAACCCGTAGTCTCCGGCAAAAAAGCGATCTTCACGCAGTGGCTTTCGATTTCGGAAGATACGTAGCGACGTGTAACCCAGATGAGTCGTTGTTGATGATTTTGTCTTGTTTATTAAGTCGCTAGTGGTAAAACTTGAATTCGTTCGAAGTCCATCGGACTGAAAAAGAGGCTACTAGAGTACACGAGAGCTAAGAGGAATGAGAGTCGTGGAAGATGTTAATCTTTGTTCTTCTTGCTCTTCTTCGAAGACTTTGGAGAGTCGCCTTCGCTCTTACGCTTCTCTTTCTTATCTTTCTTCTCCTTTTTCTCCTTCTTCGTCGCATCCTTATCCGGATTGTACGAACGCGGCGCGGTGAGAAGCGCCGGCGCGTCCGCGTTGCGGTCCTTGTCGTGCTTCTTTATGTCTCCAGACATCTTCTTGACGCCAGAAGCTTCGCCAAGCGTCTTGCCTTCAAGCTGTCGTAATCGTGCCTCGACCTTTTCGCGCGCTTCAACGCCAATCGTCGCCTCGGAGGATTCCCCAAGAGCGTCGACGCGAATCGACAACGCGCACTTCGCCGCCAAGACGCGAGAAATTTTCCCCTTGAACTTGGGCGCCGCTTGGCCGATGAGTGAGGCATGATAGATCAAACCATACTTTGGAGTTTCATGCTTGGTCTTGAGCGCGCGGAAAAGAGCCTTTTCCGCTCCCAAAATTTGCACCGTAGACGCCGGGTGCTTGGCGAGGTTCATCAACGAACCCGCGTGGGAGATGAGACGAGCGCCGACGAGTTCGCCGACGAGCACCGTCAGGTTGGGCGCGATGGCGTTCATTCGAGCCTTCAGATAATCGTACAGTTGCGCACGGTACTCGCTCAAGGAGATGACTTGGTCGGCCAACTGTCCAATGTTGCTCAAATCTTCTTCGGAAATTTCCGTCCCCATGGAAATGATGGCGGCGTCTTTTACCTCTTGTTCGACGTCTTCATCGAGAATACCAGAGAAGTCGATCCCCGCCGCCTTCGCGCGATCACCCATGAGTTTCGCAGCCTTGGCGTACTGCATGTTATCCGCGATGATCTTCGTGAGCTCGGGGAAGTGCCACCCGTACCACTCGCGCACGCGCATGGAATACGTGTTCAATTCCTTGTCGAGTTCGTCGAGCAAGCCGATGGCTTGAATAACCATGGTATCAACCTTATCCGGAGAAAACTTGAGCTTATATCGCGACAAGGAGTGAGACAAACCCAAAGCCATCGGCGCGAGATCGGCATCCGTCAACCCTCCGATCAACTCGTTGAGCTGGTAACGCACGCCGCGCATGAGTTCCATAACCCCACTATCGGCGACGCAGTTAATACCCAGCTTCTCTTTGATCGCCGCGCCGAGTTTAGAGTCCGCCACCGCCAAAGTCTCCCCCTCGGCGTGTTTCGACAAAAACTTTTTCAAGTTCTTCCCGACTTTGGAATCCACCAGCGTCGCCGCCGCCGCGAGCGCCTCCGTCGTATTCTCAAACTTACTAAACGCCTTCATCGACACCATCTTCTTCGCCCCCTCCACCGTGCTGAAAGCATCTTGCAACTTCTGCGTTCACGTTCGCGCGCGCGCGCATCGTCAGTCCCTCGTCCTCGCGTCGCGTCTTCCTCGCCAGCCAATCCCCAATTCGCCAATTCCCTCGCGAATCGACTCCCGCCCTTTTGTCCGCGCGCGCCCGCCCGCGCGTCCTCCCTCGCGTCGTCCCGCGTCCACGACCGTCGCGCCCCTCGCGCGTCGCGCGTCCCGCGTCGTCGACCGCCGCCCGCGCGCGCGTCGCGCGTCCCACCGCCTTTCGCGTCGATCGCGCGCGCCTTTTCGCGCGCGCTCGCGTCGCGTCGCGTCGCGTCGCGTCGTCGTCACCGCGCGTCGCACGCACCTCCGCGTCCTGGAGCTTCTTCTCGGCCTTGACCTTGAACAGCGAGTACCCCGCCGGGGTCTCGAACAGCAGCAGCATCGCGCGCGCGCGTGTGCGACGATCGGCGGCGGCGGCGGCGTGGTCTCGTGGACGCGCGGTGTACACACGGACCAAACACACGGCGCGCGTCGTCTGATAGATCTCCCGCGCGCGCAATACGAGATCGAGACCCGCATCGTGGGCGCCGCGAAGAGAATCAATGAGACACTACACACGGAACTCGAACGCGCCGCGACGCCCGCGCGCGCCCGCGATCGCCGGCGAAGACGCGCGACGACGACGCGCGACGACGACGGCGACGACGGCGACGATGGATCTCGGCGGGATGGTGCAAAGCGCGCGCGCGGCGGCGGAGGCGTATTTTGAAAAGGTGCGACCGAACGACGCGTCTGGATCTCGAACGGGCGCGGCGCGCGAGCGACGACTGACGAGGGCGCGAGCGACGCGACGCGCAGCTGCCGAAACACGCGCGCGTGCTGGTGATGTACGTGACGTTTCGGTTCATCGGATCGGTGATTCGGTCGATGCTCGGGTACGGAGACGCGCGAGGAGGGGCGGTGGAGAAGAAGCGGGTGGTGGAGTGCGAGACGGCGGAGGCGTTCGCGGAGGCGTTGGCGGAGGCGAAGGCGGCGAAGCGAGCGGTGGTTGTTGATTTTACGGCGACGTGGTGTGGGCCGTGTCGGCGAATCGCGCCGGTGTTCGCGGACATGTCGGAAGAGTACGACGCGATGTTTATCAAGGTGGACGTCGATAAGAATGGGGCGGTGAGCGGGGCGCACAACGTGACGGCGATGCCGACTTTTGCGTTTTACACGTCCGAAGGCGAGCCGCACGGCGAGCAAATTCGCGGTGCGAACGTGGCTAAGATTGTGGAGACGTTGGAGCAGCTCGGATGCACCAAGGCGGTGAAGGAGACGAAGAAGGATGCGTAATCATTCGATGAAATATCAAAACAACGCGACGACGAACGCAAATGAAATTCGCGCAAAGCGACGCGATTCACTCTTCTCGAGCGAGCCATTCGGGCGTAAGATCCTGAGACTCGGGAGATTCGCGTTGAGAGAACACGCCGACCTCGTACTCGAAATCTAAATATAAGAGCGACTCCTCGTTTGAGGCGTCTTCTTCGCCGAGCTTGACGACGCGGCGCCGTTTCGGCGCGGGCTCGTCGAAGGATGAAACGCGTTTGGAGCGCGCGACACCGCGCTCGGCGAGGAACACGACCAGAGCGAGCACGTTATCGTTGATACCGTTTCGGCAGCATTCGTACGAGCACGCAGTGAGAGATAACGACACGCCAACGTTGCAATCTTTCAACAGACTCCGAACCATGCGCTCGTCGTCTTCCTCTGTCCAGTTCTTTCGCGCGAGTTCGAACAGGCTAACGCACGTGTCCGGCTTCAAGCGTACGTGATGACGCTGCTCGAAAACCGCGAGAAGCTTTCGACCAACTCGCGTCGCTTGCACGTCCATGATACCGAGGCCGCCGTCGTCTTGATCGAATGGCGCAGGAACGAAGTCGCGTCTTAGAAGAGCTCGCAGTAGATAATCCGTCTGCGGACACGCCTCCCATAAAGATCCGAGCAGCATAAGCTTGAATGAAGCGTCCCATCCTCGCGTCAAGTCGAACACAACTCGCGCAAATGAAGCCTTGTCTTGATTCGTCTCACGGACGATGAGCGAAAGGATTTTGGCAAGCGCGGCAATGTTGTCGTTAAACACTTCGTTCGGATGCACGCGCTCGTGAACCACAGTAAACATTTGCTCAGCTCGCTGCAATGCCGTCATACCCGTGAGTGAGTCCACTTCGTACTGGCGAAAAGTCGCAATTTCGATATCGATGCTCTTCGAGTACAAATCCGCGATCGAATCCAGGATCGAGTGCGTTTCGCTCGCGTTTGTCGTCGTCGCGTGTGCGGTACCGTTTTTGTACAAGTTCAGAAGAAACCAACGCACGTTTGGCATCGTGAGCGTACGCAGCAATTCCGCGCTCGTTGATTCTCGCGTAGTGAGCAAGCCCATGAATCCAATCGTGAACGCCTTCCAAGCGAACGCTGCCTCTAAATCGTACCGATGCGAGCTCTCTGTGTACAGATGCGACAGCGTTTCCGAGCCGAGCACGACGTGCGTCACGATGAACACTCGCAGATACGATCGCAACGACGCCCGCTCGTACTTGATACGTTCTTCCTTGTCCTCATTCATATCGAAAAGTTCATGTTCCACCAGCCCGAGTTCGCCGACGCCGATCGCCGTCTCCAAATCATCGATTTCGTATCGCAAGAATAATCCCACCGCTTTCCCACGGCATCTGTGGCTCAACTCCGCGCTCGCCACCTTCATCATGCGCGACACTCGATCGACGCGTTCATTTTCTGTCATCTCGAAATCCGGATCATCGAGCGCATCGGAAAACGCCGCCGTCATCGCGGCGCAAAACTTTGCGGCGGCGTCGCGCTTCGTCGTCGACAACGCGCTCGTGTGCCGAAGCAACGCGCGCGCGTGAAACCCCACCTCCTCCTCGTCGACGCACGGCAAACCATATTCGTTCTCGAAAAAGTACCCACGGCGCGCGAGAAGCCGCGTGCGCGCGCATTCGCAAAGGAAAATCACTCCTTCGCGAGTCTCGGCACACGTTTCAAGCAAAGTCTCCCGATCGCGCAGCGGTAGAAACGACGCGATGTGCGCCCAGAGTTCGCACGGGAGCGAAGAGAGCATGTCTGTTGATCGTCTTCTTCGCGCACGCGCGCCGCGAGGGCGTCGCGCGGCGACGCGCGACGAAGGGGGGCGCGGAGTGAGGTGCCAAGTTCGACGGCGAGATCGGCGCTCGAGCGTCGGGATGGATCACGAGTTCCATTACATCGTAGTTTTCTAGCGACGGATCGACGCTTCGGAGTTTGATTTGCATCGGTCTAAGAACGCCGCTTGGGCGGCGCTCACGTTTTCGGACTTACCACCCCACGCCTTCAAGCAGCTGGCTTGAAGCGCGCGGCCGTAGGAGAAGGAGAGCGTCCACGGCGCTCGATCGGCTTTTTGCGTCGTGTTCATCAATCGCAAACGCTCGGTCGCCTCTTCTTCGCTCTGTCCGCCCGATAAGAACAAAATACCCGGCACTGACGGCGGAACGGTGTCACACAGCGCCGCGACGGTCGCTCGCGCGACTTCGGCGTCGACGTTCGCGCTCGTCTTCGCGCTCGCCCCCGGCGTCACCATGTTTGGCTTCAAAATCATCCCGTCCAACTGCACGCCGTGCAAACGCAGCGCCGAAAACACCGCGTCCAGCACCCTGCGCGTCACCGCCCCGCAGACTTCGATACCGTGCGCGCCGTCCATCAAAATTTCGGGTTCAACGATCGGCACCAAACCTCGCGATTGACACGCGCTCGCGTACCTCGCCAACGCGTTCGCGTTCTCCGCCAACGCCAACGCGCTCGGCAATCCTTTCGCCTCATCAATCGTCAGCACCGCGCGCCACTTCGCAAATCGCGCGCCCATGGCGTAATATTCTTCGCAGCGTTCCGCCAACCCATCTAAGCCTTGCGTGAAGGTTTCGTTCGGCGACGCGTCGAGCGCTCGCGTCCCCGCGTCGACTTTGATGCCCGGCGTCACGCCTCTCGATCGCAGCATCTCCGCGAACGACGTCCCGCTCTTCCCCGTCGATCGCAGCGTTTCATCGAACAGTATCACTCCACTGACGTACTTCTCGAACCCCGGCGCGCTGAAGAGCAATTCGCGCAGCGCGACTCGATTTTCAATCGCGTTTTCGACACCGATCGACGCGAGCCGCTTTCCGATCGTCCCCGTGCTCTCGTCCGCGGCCAGGATTCCCTTGCCCGGCGCGCTCAGCGCGAGCGCCGTGGCGCGCAGCTCATCCGCGAACGACATCGGCGCGAGACGCGCGCGCGAGACGACCGTGCGCTCGAACGCGCGCGCGAAAGTGAGGCGTTATCCCGTCGTCCCGCACTCAGCGCCTCGCACCGCTCGCGCGCTCGCGCGGTCGCCGCGATGTTCGCCTCGCGCGCGTCGGCGACGTCATCCTCGACGTGGCGCCACGCCGCGCGCGTCGTGAGCGACGACGTCGGCGCGCTGGCGGCGCAATTCGGATTTAAATTGCGCGCCGGTGAACACGCGACGCCACGCGCCGTCGCGTCGCGCGTGCGCGCGCCCGACGCCGCGCTGGACGCGCGCGTGACGCTCATCTACGCGATAATCATGTTCGCGTTCAACTGGTTGTTACGGCGCGCCGTCGTCGAACCGCTAGCGGGACGACTGATGGGTTACGGCGCGCGCGGCGTCGGCGGCGCGCGCAAGGCGCGACGACGAAAGATGGAAAAGTTCGCGCAGAGCGCGCTCGAGATGGCGACGTACGGGACGTTCACGATCATCGGGTGCGCGATAGTGCCTGGACAGCGATGGTTCTGGCCGTCGAGCGAGTGGTGGATCGGGGCACCGGTGAAGACGCGGGCGACGGAGAGCGCGCTGCGGGCGTACTATCTGGCGTACGGGGCGCGATACGTCGCGGGGGCGGCCAACGTGTTTCTCGAACATAAGCGGAAAGATTTTTGGGAGATGCAATTGCATCATTTTGCGACGATCGGAGTGATTTGGGTGTCGTACATCGTCGGTTGGACGCGCGTGGGGGCGGTGATCATGCTCGTGCTGGACCCGGCGGACGTACCGTTGCACGCGGCGAAGTGCGCGAAGTACGTCGGGGACGCGCGCGGGGATAAGAAATATCAACTCGCCGCCGACGTGTTGTTCGGTATTTTTCTCGTCATATTTTTCGTCATGCGACTGGTGATGTATCCGTACGTGGTGTACTCCGTGCACTTCGAGGCGAGGCGGTATTTTAGCCCATCGATCCCGTACTGGCTGTGCGTCGCGTTGCTCTACGTCATTCTCGGCTTGCAGGTGTATTGGTTTAAACTCATCGTCAACGTCGTGCACAAGGTGCTAGCGACCGGAAACGCGGAGGACGTGAGGAGCGACGATGAAGACGAACCAAATGGCGCCAAAGCGCACCACGATTGAGCCGATGTGGCGCCACAGTACATTATAAAATTATTGCCGAGCCTCGCCGCGAAGGCGTCCCGTTGCAACGAAAGTCACATCTCTCGTTAAAACTCGTCACACGTCCGCGCGATGTTCGCCGAGCGCGCGTGCGCGTCGACGTCGTGCAAACGCGCGTTCTCGTTCTCGCCGTCGCGCGCGACTTCGAACGCGCGCCGTGCGCTCGTAAAACGCTTCGCTCTTCCGCCTCGACCCGACGGCTCGAGCTTTTGGAGCGACAAGAAAGTCGCCGTCATCGGCGGTGGGCCGAGCGGGTTAGCCACCGCGCTGGCGCTTCGCGCGAAAGGCATCGATGGAGTGCGCGTGTTCGAAAGAACGGAGGCGATCAAGCCGAACGTCGGCGGAGGGTTCAATTTGAATGGCGGCGCGAGAGTGCTCTGCGAGCTCGGGCTCGAGGCGACCTACGACGCGTTGGCGAATGATTTGCTCGGTGTCAAAGCGCGACGAGCGAATGGAGGATTCGGATTGTTTGAGGTGAGAGTACACGATATGATACGCGGCGACGACGACGGATGCGAGGCGTTGGTGAGCGAAAGTGGGAGGGTGTTGGCGGGGACGGTGCAGCGGGCAGATTTGCAACGCGCGATGGCGGACGCGCTGCCGAGCGAGTGTTTGATGTTTGATCGCGGGGTGAAAGCAGTGCGATCGCGCGGAAGCAATGCAGAGATCGAGTTTGAGAATGGCGATCGAGAGGTGTTTGATTTAGTCATCGGCGCGGATGGCATCGATAGTCGTGCGCGCGAGGCGGTGGATGGCGGCGAATCGCCGCCAAAGTACAGCGGTATTCGCATCGTTTTCGGATGCACACCTGCGGGCTCGACCGCACGAGCGGCGAGTGAAATGAACATCGCCCATCAATGGTTCGCAGACGGCGCGTACATGCTCGTGTTCACAGGCGGCGGCGAAGGGGCGCAGAACAAGCAGCACAACATCGCGCTGTGCGTCCAAGACAAAACCAAGCGCGACGAAAACACGGCGTGGCGCGCAAAAGCCGCAGCAAAGGAAGAAGCCGTGGCTTTGATGCGTGAAAAGGGTATGCCCCAAAGTGCTATTGACGTAGCCGAGGCATGCGATCGATTCTTTGACGTCGGTGTGCATTACCACGACGTATTGGATTCGTGGAGCGATGACGCCGGAACGATTAGCCTCGTCGGCGACGCATGCCACGCTATGCCTCCTTTCCTCGGGCAAGGCGCGAATCAAGCCATGCAAGACGCACTTTGTATCGCAAGCGAACTATCGAAAGTTGGCGCTGAATATGACACGGTGAAACAGGCACTCCGTGCGTATGAGGGCATTAGGAAACCGCCCACGGCGGCGATCATGCAAAGTAGCCGATTCATCGGCGCGTTGGAAACGGGAGCGGGTCCGGTGAGCTTGTTTCGAGACGTCGCGTTCTTCATGGCGGGAACGCTCGGCATCACGGGGAAGGTATTCTTAAGTGGCGCCTTGCCGCGTTTTGAAGGCAAGGCTTAGTAGGAAAATTTTGATTCTATTGTTAACTGCTCGCATTTTTGTCTAGGTGTCGGGAATGACGACTTCGTCGACTTGATTGGGTTCGATCGGGTCCGGGTGGTAGACCCGGAACCACTCGTCTGTTTTTGACGCCTCTTCGTATCCATCTTTGCGTGTTGATGCGGCTGGTCGCGAGGGCTCCACGACGCCGGGCTGAAGGACGTAGCGCTTGAGCAAGATGACGTCGCCGACGCGCCAGTCTCCCGGGCGAGCGCCGGTGGAATAGCATCCAATACCGAGTGCTTGCACGAGTTCATGCTCTTCTTTCTCAACGTCTTCATTCGTGTCAGCGTCGTCGGCGACAACTTCTTCGCCAGTCTCCGCGTCATCATCTTCGGAGACGTCGTCGTTCTCTCCCGCCTCTATTTCGCTGCGTGACTTGCCGAAGCGAATAAACTTGCGCCCTTTGCCCGCGACGGTAGCTAAAAAGGACTTTTTTGGCTTCGTATCTTCATCGTCGGACTCGACGTGTCGATATAAAGTCTTCGAGGCAGATTTGCCGAGCGGTCCATGTTTGAACGTCACTTTATCTCGGACGCCAGTGCGAAGCACATAGCAAGTATACGTCCCTTCCCAGTCACGCGCACCGCCGCGCGCCGCCGCCATGGCTGCGGGGTCGAAGCGGAAATATTTACCGTCAGCCCCTGCCGTGGGGTGAACCACGGATAATATGTCGATATCAGTCGTAGAACCGACGATGTTGGCGTGTAAACCTTCGCCACTACGGTGAGCACTGAGAGGTAACTTGTGCAAATCAGTATCTGGCCACGTCACGCGAATGGACGTAGCGTCATCAACCGGACGCTTAAACGTGCGTCCCCAAGGTACTTTCTTCGAGCTTAAGCGAACTTTGTGCCACCGTCCGTCAGAGCGAAGAGCTTGGACTTCAAATTTGAGAGTTTCATACGGCGCATCGGTGTGAACGCCGTACACTCGCGTACCTACGTTTGAGTCATCCAACACGAACTCTACGTCGAGCGTCTTCCACCAGTGCCCGATCAAACCAGCTTGGCCGAAACGGATAGCGTTCGCGGGGAGGTTCCAGCCCGTGGGTGAGTGTATTTTGTACTCTTTGATAGATAGTGGAAACGTCCGCGGTGGCATCGCGAGCGCTTCGCTGTAATTCATCAAAGTGACTTTATCGCCGACAGCCCAGTCGCCCGCCTTTGCGCGAACCGCCGGGTTCCAGCGTCCAACACCTTGTCCTTTCGGCCCACCCCAGACGCACACTGTTTTCGTACCTTTAACGTTCCCATCCTTATCCGTGCGTCTCACGACGAACGACGCGCCTTGACCGTCTTTAACCTCACCCTTTTTGTACGCCTCCAAATCCTCGCCCGCCCAATCGCCGACGATTTTCGTCAAGTCTTCCATTTTAAACCTGAAAAACTTCCCGTCGGGCTCATCGGCGCGCTGTGGATACGTCACTGACGTCACGAGAAACTCAGCCCTCACGACGTCGACGCGTCGCCGCGGAAACAAATATCTGCGCACCTTTCTCGTCTCCGCCGTCTCGCGCGTCGCCGTCTCGCGCGTCGCCGTCTCCACTCTCGCGCGCCAGTTCACCGCCGTCCCGCCCGATTCCTTCGCCTCTCCTTCCCCATCGCTCGTCTCGTCTTCCTCATCGTCTTCCTCGTCGTCCGTCTCGTTCGCGTCTTCGTTCGCGTCTTCGTTCGCGTCTTCGTTCGCGCCTTCGTTCGCCGTCGCCGCCCCTCGCGCGCGCCTCGCCGTCTCGCGCGCGACGTACCGCTCGATCGACGCCCGCACCGCGCGATTCGGCGCGGCGTCCTCGCGCGTCACTTTGACGCTCGTCGCGACGGGATCGCGCCCGTGGCGCGCGATCCACGCGTCGATCGCCGCGCGCTCGTAGCTCCGTCCCGTGCGTCCGACGACGGCGGGATTCTTCATCACCTCGCGCGTGAGCGCGCACACGTACGCGTCCGGCGCCGCGGCGTGGAACGCGGGGTCGTCATTGAGCGCGCGCGGGATCTCCAGCGCGGGAGGCCATCGGTCGGGCATCGCGCGCGCCGACGAATGACGAAGGAAAGAATGGTACAGTTACAGCGAGGCGAGGACGCGCTAGTACGGCGAGTTTGGAGACTTCTTGGTGCGCATCGGGATGACGATCGTGGACGCGGTCGGAGGTTTCATGTCCTTGACGTCGTCGAGGGTGACGCGGGCGGAGACTTTGTCGACGCCTCGCAAGAGCGTCACGTCGACGGTTTCGCCGACGGAGAGCTTGTCGAGGGTGCGGTATAAATCGCTGGAGTCTTGAATTTGCTCGCCCGCGAGCTCGATGATGATGTCGCCGAGGATGAGACGGCCGGATTCGTCGCGCGTGGTGCTGCGGACGCCGGCGCGCGCGGCGGGACCGCCCGCGCGAGCGTCGAGCACCAACACGCCGCCGAGGCCGAGCTGGTCGAGCGCGCCGTCGGGGGCGAAGGAGACGCCGAGAATCGGACGCGTCACGCGACCGTAACGAATGATTTGATCGACGATACCGCTCACCATGTCGCTCGGGAGGGCGAATCCCACGCCGCTGGACGTCCCGGACGCGGAATAAATCGCGGTGTTGATGCCGATGAGCTGTCCCGACGAATTCAACAAAGGGCCCCCCGAGTTGCCGGGATTGATCGCCGCGTCCGTTTGAATGATGCCGTCGATTGGGCGCCCGGTGTTACCGCTTTGAATCTCTCGTCCGAGGCCGCTGATGATGCCGGTTGTGAGCGTGTGATCGAGCCCAAACGGGTTCCCGATCGCGAAGACACGCTGGCCCACCATGGAGTCTCCGCTCGTTCCGATGACGAGCGGTTTCATCTCCCGCAGCGCCTCTGGGTCGTTCACCTGCAGCACGGCGATGTCCTTATCGTCGTCGAACCCAACGATTGCGGCGTCGTACGTCTTCTGATTCTGCACCCCGCCTTTATTCGGCAAAAACGACACCTTCAACTGATTCGCCTTGTCGATGACGTGGTAGTTGGTGACGATGTGCCCCTTGTCGTCCCAGACGATGCCGCTCCCCGCCCCTTGCGGCTGTTCCGTGAGATTCAACGTGAACGCATCTCTGCGCACGGCGACATTGGTGATGTACACGACGCTCGCCTTGGCGTTATTAAACAATCGCACCGTCTCGCGCTCGCCATCCGTAAACCGCTGCGTCGCCTGCACCGTCTTGTACGCGCCGTCTCTCTTGGCTTCGCGCGCTGGCATCGGCAACCGCACCGCGGCGTCCCCGAGCGGGACATCCGGTGCGATGTACGTCCTATACCGCCCCTCCGGCGCCGACGCGTCGTCGTCGCGCGCGTCGTTCGTCGTCGTCGTCGTCGCCGTCGTCCTCGTCCTCGTCCAACCGACCTCCGTCCCCTCCATCAGCGCCGCGTCCGCGCCGAGCGCGTTCAGCGTCACCGCGCACGCCGCGACGCGCGCGACGGCGCGTCCGATCGTCCCGCGCGCGTCGTCGTCATCGAATCTCTCCTCGGCACCGAACACGTCATCCGCCCCGTCGTCGCGCGTCGCGCGATTTCTCGCGCGCGTCGCCGCGCGCGCGCGCGCGCGCCGGCTCGGCGCGCGCTCGCACCTCGCGCGCGTCTCTCGCGCGCGCGTCGTCGCGACGCGCATCGCGCGCGCCATCCGGACCGTCGCGCACTGCCGCCGCGTCACATCGCGTCGTCATGGCGGAGCGCTCGCCGAGCGCCGCGCGCGCGGACCACGCCAAGCACATCGCGCTGGTGTGCAAGTACATCAGGCTCCAGGGGCCGTCGTTCGAGCCGATCGCGATCGCGCGACACGCGCGCGCCGCCGGATTCGAATTTCTCTTGGGTCCGACGGCTGCGGACGCGCGCGGCGACGACGCGGCGCGCGACGACGCGCGGGCGACGTACGAGCGGGCGCGGGACGAGGCGATACGGGCGCACGAGGCGGCGCGACGACGCGCGGACGCGGCGATCGAACGAGGGGTGAAGGAGGAGATGACGCGCGGGGGCGCGCGAGACGGCGACGCCGAGGCGGTGGTGGCGTCGTTCACGGGACGAGGGAGCGACGATGGCGCGGAAGGGATGACGATCGAGGACGCCATGGACGCGGTGGTGCGCGCGAGGGAGATCGCGGAGCGGCTGTTCGCGAGCGCGCCTACGGAGGGGAGAGACGGCGAGACGGCGACGAGGGAGACGGAAACCGTCGTGGTGGATTTCGAGAAGAACGGCGAGACGACGACGAAGAATGCGAATGATTTAGTCGATGGGGACGATGACGATGCGATGGATTTCAACGCCTTGGTGGAGGGGTTCGTGCGAGAGGAGGAGGAGGCGGACGAAGACGAGGACGAGGACGAGCGGCGAACGGCGACGGCGGCGGGCGGCGCGACGACGACGGCGACCGCGGCGGAGGCGAACGAAGGAGCGCGCGCGAATCAAGTCGAGGAAGCCGCACCGGGCGCGGGCGATCACGTCGAAGAACCCGCGCTCGATCTTACGATGATGTTTCCGAGCTCGAAGCGCAAACCCATGGGTGACTTGGCGGGATTCGACCAGGTGATGAAGGTGAAGAAGCCGCGGCAAAAGAGGAAACCCAAGCCCAAATACGACCCCACGCCGAGTTTGCTGGACGATGATTTAGTCGCCATCGCGCCCGCGGTGAAGGATGTCGTCGATGATTTCATCGCCGAAGACGACTACGACAACATCGAGGTGCCACAAGACGTGGGTGAAGTCGAAGAGGATGACGAAATCGCAGAGACAGACGTAGAAGAAGACTCGCCCCAAGTCACAGAAGTTCGCGCCGAATTCTTGTTCCCGAGCAGCGTGCCGAAAAAGAAGACGATCGAGAAGGAAGAAGAGACTTTTGGCGCCGCGGAAGAAGAAGTGACGCAGACGCAGCGCGCGACCAACGAGGAGACGGAGGCCGTCGCACCGACGGAAGACGTGGCGATGACGAATGAAGAAGACAATGAAGAAGTGACGCAGCCAGAAGTCGAAGTAAAACATGCTTCTACGGACGATGAAACTTCAATCGCGCATTGGAATTCCGAGTCAAACTCGCCCGGCGACGCAGTCGACATGCCGGCGCCGGTGCCAGCGCCGGCGACGTCGACACACGCTGCGCTTCCGGGGAAAGTTCTGGAGAAAATTGCACCCACTACGATACCGAACGATCCAGCCTGCTTGTCTGCTGAGGCGACTTTAGGCAAGCAAACGCTCACTTGTTCGTATTGCCACACGTACGAAGCCGTGAAAAGTGTCGGGTTTTACGCGCATGAGCGCGCGTGCAAGAAGCGCCTCGAGAAGGAGAAGAACACACTTACTTGTCCGCACTGTCAAGTCTACGCGAGTGCAAAAGGCGCTGGGTTCGCCGCGCACGAGCGTGTGTGCAAGCGAAAACACGAGCAAGGAACGTTCTCGCCCGTAGTGGTCCAGCCGGTGCAAGTAACTGAGAAGGTCCTGAAGCGGTGCGTGTTTTGCAACGTGTATGAGTACGAGGGCTTCGGCGGCGCAGGGTATGCTGCGCACAAACGCGCGTGCCAGAAGAAGCACGAGATGGATGTGAAGACGATCACGTGCTCGTACTGCAGAACTTTCACAGGCGCTCCGGGAGCTGGCTTCGCCGCGCACGAGCGTGCGTGCAAGAAGAAGCGCGAAAGCGCTCAGTTGCCAACGTCGACTTCTTTACCGTCATCGCCGCCGGCTCCGCGTACGCAACCGCCGCCGAGCTCAACGCCCGCGAAGGAGCCGATCACGTGCTCGTACTGCAGAACTTTCACAGGCGCGCCGGGAGCTGGCTTCGCCGCGCACGAGCGTGCGTGCAAGAAGAAGCGCGAAAGCGCTCAGTTGCCAACGTCGACTTCTTTACCGTCATCGCCGCCGGCTCCGCGTACGCAACCGCCGCCGAGCTCAACGCCCGCGAAGGAGCCGATCACGTGCTCGTACTGCAGAACTTTCACAGGCGCGCCGGGAGCTGGCTTCGCCGCGCACGAGCGTGCGTGCAAGAAGAAGCGCGAAAGCGCTCAGTTGCCAACGTCGACTTCTTTACCGTCATCGCCGCCGGCTCCGCGTACGCAACCGCCGCCGAGCTCAACGCCCGCGAAGGAGCCGATCACGTGCTCGTACTGCAGAACTTTCACAGGCGCGCCGGGAGCTGGCTTCGCCGCGCACGAGCGTGCGTGCAAGAAGAAGCGCGAAAGCGCTCAGTTGCCAACGTCGACTTCTTTACCGTCATCGCCGCCGGCTCCGCGTACGCAACCGCCGCCGAGCTCAACGCCCGCGAAGGAGCCGATCACGTGCTCGTACTGCGGAACTTTCACAGGCGCGCCGGGAGCTGGCTTCGCCGCGCACGAGCGTGCGTGCAAGAAGAAGCGCGACATGGATGCGAAGATGCTAACGTGCTCGTTCTGCCAGGTTTACAAGTCGATGAAGGGCGCTGGCTTCGCCGCGCACGAGCGTGCGTGCAAGAAGAAGCGCGAAAGCGCTCAGTTGCCAACGTCGACTTCTTTACCGTCATCGCCGCCGGCTCCGCGTACGCAACCGCCGCCGAGCTCAACGCCCGCGAAGGAGCCGATCACGTGCTCGTACTGCGGAACTTTCACAGGCGCTCCGGGAGCTGGCTTCGCCGCGCACGAGCGTGCGTGCAAGAAGAAGCGCGAAAGCGCTCAGTTGCCAACGTCGACTTCTTTACCGTCATCGCCGCCGGCTCCGCGTACGCAACCGCCGCCGAGCTCAACGCCCGCGAAGGAGCCGATCACGTGCTCGTACTGCAGAACTTTCACAGGCGCGCCAGGAGCTGGCTTCGCCGCGCACGAGCGTGCGTGCAAGAAGAAGCGCGAAAGCGCTCAGTTGCCAACGTCGACTTCTTTACCGTCATCGCCGCCGGCTCCGCGTACGCAACCGCCGCCGAGCTCAACGCCCGCGAAGGAGCCGATCACGTGCTCGTACTGCAGAACTTTCACAGGCGCGCCAGGAGCTGGCTTCGCCGCGCACGAGCGTGCGTGCAAGAAGAAGCGCGAAAGCGCTCAGTTGCCAACGTCGACTTCTTTACCGTCATCGCCGCCGGCTCCGCGTACGCAACCGCCGCCGAGCTCAACGCCCGCGAAGGAGCCGATCACGTGCTCGTACTGCAGAACTTTCACAGGCGCTCCGGGAGCTGGCTTCGCCGCGCACGAGCGTGCGTGCAAGAAGAAGCGCGACATGGATGCGAAGATGCTAACGTGCTCGTTCTGCCAGGTTTACAAGTCGATGAAGGGCGCTGGCTTCGCCGCGCACGAGCGTGCGTGCAAGAAGAAGTGCGAAGGCGCTCAGTTGCCAACGTCGACTCTTTTACCGTCATCGCCGCCGCCGCCGAAGCCCGAGATGGTTGAATCTAACCCTGATCCGGTGGTTGACTCAAATGTGCGTGCAGCTTTGTTGCAGAAGCAAAGCGCCCCTGAAAGCGGTCCCGATCTCGCTTCTGCGGTGTCTCCAGCTGAGTGTTCAAAGAATACAATGCCATCAAAAGCGAAGCTCCCAAAGGTGGCGGCGGATACGCTTCTCGCGCAACGCGTGTTGCACTTCATCAAGACGACGCTCAGCGTTCAAGACCTCACCAAGTCGCAACTCAGAACGATTGTTCGAAAAAGCATGGTTAAAGTGATGACTGTGATCCCGAGGAAGTTTGACCAGAACACGGAACAAGGCACGAGCGCGTTTCTTACAGACTCGCGCAAGCAAAAGATCAATGCGCTGCTCGATCAATACGTCGCAAGATTGAAGGCGAAAGCCAACTCAAAAAACTCGACTCCCATGACGGCGACCCCGACGACCCCGACGACGCCAACTGTATGAAAACGATTAATTTAGCGTGACGCGATTAGCGCTCACACCTAGAACGGTGAAATTCCACTGTAACACATACGCAAACACAAACGTGACGCGAATCGAAGAGGCATCGTGTCTCGTACTGACAAGGTAGAATTATTGCTGCTAAGTGTGAAAATGCTACAACCACGTCACCGCTCGACTCTCATTCTTATTCGATGTTGCTCAAGCCAGTCGTCGCGCGGAACGTATCATTGTACGCCGAGTCGCTTCGAGTGAACGCCGGCGTCGCCGCCGCCGCCTTTTTCTTGTCTCCCTCAGCGCGCTTGGCTCTCGAATACAAGAACACGCCGCTCAAGGCCAAAGCGGTGCCCGCCATATTGAGCGGAGAAACTGGGTTCTTGAAGTACAGCAGCGTGACGACGATGACGGTGACACGCTTCATGCAGTTACCGACAGAGTGCGTCACCGGGCTGACGCGAGAAAGAATCATGTACGAGATTTGCTGGTACATTTGGAAGCAGAAACCGGCAATCATCAAGCTCTTGGCCAACTCTTGGACGCTCACGCCGACCGCGCTTATAGTGGAAGGGGTGAAGTGAACACCCTCAAGGCCGATGGCGATGGGAAGACACACCACGCAGCTCAACATCGTGATGACGCTGAACAAGTTGATGTTGTCGATGGCTCCTTTGATCGACGACAACCCCATCATCTTCTTACTCAGCACATTTCGCGACTGGAACGTGATGTTCGACCCCATGGCGGCCAAAAAGCCCGCCCAGCAAAAGCTGACTTCCGTCATGGACGCGAGCGCGACGCCGCCGACAACCGGCACGAGCGCGCCGACGACGGCGAGCGAGGGAATATCCCCCAAGAACAACGCCGAGAGCAACACCGAAAAGAACGGTTCCATCGCCTTAATCGTGTGCGTGAACGACACCGCCACCTTCCCAAGCGAAACATTCGTCAACAAATTCCCAACCGCGTGAATCACCGCCAACGGCACGATCGGTTTCAGCATCTCCTTCGTCAGCGTCGGCGGCTTTTTCGCCCCGCTCGCCCACATCGCGCAAATCAACGCGCTCCCCACGCCGAGTTCGATCAGCGTCACCGTCACCGGGTACGGAAAGCTCTTCAAAATCTGTTTGTTATGTATGTTGAACACGATGTTGAACCCGTACCAGCACGCGAACAGGCTCAACAGCATCAGCACCTGCACCGCGTCCTTGCCTCGCGCGCGCAGCTTGTCCAGCACGTGGTCCAGCGGCTTATCCGTCGTCTCCGCGCTCGACGCTCGCGCGACGTGCGTCGCGCGTCGCGTCGCGCGCTTCATCGCGCTTCGTTCCATCGTCACGCGCCGTTCGTTCGCGTCGCCCGCGCGTCGTCGCGCGTCGTCGCCGTCGTTCGCGCGCGCGGTCGATCGCGTCGCCGCCGCCGCGCGTCGTCGCGCGTCGCACGCCGCGCGGGCGTCGCGCGCGCGCGCGAGCGGCGCGGGCGCGACGACGCGCGACAGGACGCGCATGACGGCCCGCGGGCGAGAGCGGTCGGCGCGCGCGCGGGCCGGCGGCGAATGTCGGGTGTCGGCGTCTTTTCGGGTTTTTGGCGAGGGTTTTCGACGCCGCGCGGCGAGGCGAGCGACGGCGGCGCGCAACGAAAGACTTACATACAGCGCGCGAAAAGATTGAGAACCGAGAACCGAGAACTGCGCGCGCGCGAAAAGGGAACGGGGACGCGGGGCTAGGCGATGAAAGGGATCATGGCGCGGATGCGGTCGGGGAACGCGCGCGCGCCGAAGCGGCGGCGATAGTACGCCCTCGTGGCGACGGCGCGAGGAAAGAGGTTGGCGAAGGTCCAAAACGCGAACACCGCGGTGGATCTCGCGGGGGCGGTGAGAATCGCGAAACCGATCCACTCGATCGACTCGCCGAGATAGTGCGGACAGGCGACGAGATTGAATAGGCCGCCGGTCGGGACGACGTACGCGCCGGACGCGCGCTGAGCGCGCAGTCGCGCGAGGAGGGTGTCGTACCAGATGTTTAACGCCGCTCCGCACGCCATGATGGCCGCGCCGGCGATGATTTGCGCGTCGTTCGGCTTCGCCGACCCGTGCGCGAGCTCGGCGCCTATTAACACGCCGTTGATGACGTTGAAACCGACGGCGGCGCACACGGTGGCTGCCGTGGTGCGACTCATGCGACGCGTCGCGGGATATATCAACGCGCGATAGACGTAATGCGCGGTGAACACCCACGGTAACGCTCGAGCATACCCACTAGCGGGCGTGCGATGGGTCAAATCGTCGAAGATGGCGTCACCGCGCGTGTGCCCGAGCCAAAAGGCGATGGGCGAGACGACCTCTTGCGTCGCCCAGCCGACGTTGCCGTCGATGAACGGTCCCCATCCCGCGCGAACGAACTTCCCGTAGGGCGCCGTCGCGGTGAAAAGGAACGGGAACGTCGCCACCGCGACGGCGAACCAAGCGGTGAGCAGCGAGGCGTGGGTGATCATGACCGCCGACGAGTCGACGAGTGCGGCGCTCGGCGGGACGCCCCGCTCAACCGGGACGCGCCCAAAAGCTCAGCGCGCGTGTAAAACGCCCGCTTCGTGCTCTCCACGTTGATCCTCTTTTTCCACGCCTCCAAGATGTCGCGATAGACGAGGTACGCGAGCGGTAAGACGCTCAGGACGGTCACCGCCGTCAGGAGCGCGTCGTCCTCCTTGGCGAGCGCGGCGCAACACGGCTCTTGAATCGGGTTCCAGTACACGCGCGGCGCGGAGAGATCGATGGAGACTTGGTGCTGCACGCTCGCACGCATCAGCGCCCCCTCGCTCAGCGCGTGTTTGCGCTCGAATGACTGCTGAAAATCCAAATGCAAAAAATGCAGCTCCGTCGCGCCGGCGTCGAGCGCGTCGAGCGGCGCTCGCAAGCACTTGCGCAAAGGACGCAGCCCGTACCACCCGCGGCGCGCGTCGTAATCGCCTTCGTACGCCTGGGTGCAATCCCTGTGCCCCGCCCAATCGTTATCGCACACGTACCACAGCGGCACCGCGTTCGCGCGCGTCCATCCGTCGTACGTCACCGGCACCGCGCAAACCGTCCCCGTCGCCTCCGCCCCAGCCTTGTACATGTATTTCTCATCCTCCGCGGGCAGCGCGGCGTGATGCTCTCCCATCAAATCAAACCTAAAGTGCGCGCGCGCCAGTCCCACGACCGATATCGCGTCCGCGCTCGCCGCGTCCGCGCTCATCGCGTTCGTCCGCTCGCCGTCCAGCGTCGTCGCCCCCCGTCTCCACGCGCTCAGCGCGCTCGTCGCCGTCAGCGCCGCCGGCAACACGCTCAGCGCCATCCCGATCACCAAATCTTTCACCGCCCTGATCGGTCCTCGCGCCGCGACCCAAGCCGCGCCCAGCGCGCACGCGCCGCACGCCGCCAAACCGCCGCCGTACGCGCCCGCCGCGCACCCGCACGCCGCCGCCGGCGCGCGCACCGCGAGCCATCCCGCGCCGAACCCGACGAGCTTCGTCGCGCCGCGCTCGAACGCGCCCAATTGATCGAGCGCGCGCGCGATCGCGCGTCCGATCGCGCGCCGCGCGGCGTCGACGCGCGCCGCCGTCGTTCGAGCCGCGGGCGCGCCTTCGTCCAGTCTTCGCCTCGCGACGCGCATCCGGCGCGCGTCGTCGCTCGAACGCGTCCGGCGCGCGTCGTCGCGCGCGTCGCCGTCGTCGTCGCGCGCGTCGCGTCGCGCGCGCGCCGTCATCCGCGTCGCGGTGTGACGGTCAGACGCCGACGCGCGATGCCGCGCCGCGGCGTCCTCGCGCGCGTCTCGCTCGCCGGCGCGGCGCGATGCGTCGCCGCGCCGCTGTCGCAGGCGCTCCAGCTCGCGCTCGTGGGCGCGCGCGCGTCGAGCGACGCGCAGGCGGCGTTCGGCGTCGCGCGCGCGGTGGCGCGGCTGAGCGCGGGCGCGCTCAACTTTCTCGCCGACGGCGTCGCGGCCGAGGTCGGCGCGCGCGCGGGCGCGAACGATCGCGAGCGCGCGCGGATGTGCGCGGCGCTGGCGATGGCGCTGGCGCTGGTGAGCGGGACGGCGAGCGCGATCGCGTGCGCGGCGACGCTGACGCCGAGCGCGCGAGGCGCGTTTCGGTTGACGCCGGAAGTCGCGGCGCTGGCGAACGAGATGTTCCCGTGGGTCCTGGGCGCGACGCCGTTCGCGATGGCGTTCGAGAGCGCGATGGGGACGGTGTGCGGGATCGGCAGGGTGGAGACGGCGACGCGGTGGTCGGCGGGAAAGGCGGCGGCGGACGCGGCGGCGACGCTCGCGGCGCTGGGGCTGGGGAGGGGAGACGCGGCGAAGATGCGGTGGATCGGCGTCGGAACGTTCGCGGTGAGCGTCGCGCAGGCGGGATTGGGGTGGTGGTTGGTGTCGACGACGACGCCGCGAGGTTGGGACGAGCCGCTCGCGCCGCGAGCGACGTCGGCGAGACGGTTGGGCGCGGCGGAGACGTTTGGATTTTTGGCGAACGGCGCGAGCATGGTGGCGCGGTCGATTTTGTTGCAGAGCTCGTTCTTCGTCGCGGTGGTCGTCGCCGCGAGGAACTTGGAGCCGAGCGGATTGGCGGCGCACCACATCGTCGTGTCGCTGTGGATGGTGTGCTCGTACGTCGTCGACGGATTCGCGACGTGCGCGACGGTGATCGGGTCGCGTTTGTTCGGCGCCGGTCGAAAGGATGAGCTCGTGCGATTGTCGCACACGCTCGTCGCGTGGGGCGTCGTCACCGGATTCGTCTTCAGCGCCGCGCTCGTGGCGGGCGAATCGGCGATTCCGAGCGTGTTCACGCGCGACGCGAAAACGAAAGAGGCGCTGCTCGGCTCGGGGGTGTGGCGAGTGCTCGTGCTCGCGCAGCCGATCAACGCGGCGGTTTTCGTGTATGATGGATTCATCTACGCCACGCACAGTTTCTCGTTCGTTCGCGAAGTCATGGCCACCGGGGTTGGTTTGGTTTTCTTGCCGACGCTGTATCTCGCGAATCGCCCGCTGGTAAGTCTGAAGGGCATTTGGACGGCGAAGTTGGCGCTGAACGCGTGGCGCGTGGCGTGGCTCGCTGGACGCGTGCACGTGTGGTTGCCTCGACAAGAGATGTCGCCTCGCGATGACAACGGCGAGAACGAGAGTGAGAGTGATTCTGACGACGACGAAGAGGCGGCGCACTACGAGCCGTTGTTGCCAGGGAACGAGAGCGAAGAAGACGTCGAGTCAGTCACGCCGCAGACGAACGACGTGCAGTACGAATCGTCGCTCAAGCCGTCGAAGATTAAGGCGAAGGGTCTGTCGCCGATTCGCACGCCCGAGCTCGCCATGGCGCGGGCGTCTAGTTTGCGAGCGAGCGCCGGCGAATTCGCGCCGTCATCGAGTGTATTGTAGGATCAATTAGCCGCTAAAAATGATCATGACAACGTCTACTCCCCCTCCCAGTCAAAGTCTGAGCCGCTGTCGTCCTCTGCGGCGTCGGCGACGGCTTTGGCTTGGCGCCGCGCGCGTTTCTTCGCCGCGCGCGCGTCGCTTGGATTGTATTGTCCCTCGTTCCCGTAGAGGACTTTTTGTCGGGCCGAAGACGCCTTCGCGGCTGTTTTAGCGCGCGCGTGTTCGAGCGCGCGCTGAGTGCGACCAGCCTCGGAATCATCTCGCGCGCGGATGACTTGCACCGGAGCGTCATTCTCCATGTCGTCGGCTTCGTCCTCGTCCATGTCGGCTTCGTCTTCGCTCAAGTCGTGCGCCTCGATGAGGCCGTTGCCGAGCGACTGCACGGGCATAAAATCGTCCTCGTCCTCGTTTTCAGGCAAACCCGCGATAACGGTGGACTGTTCGGCGGCGAAAACTTTGTCGGCGTCGAACTCTGCGCTCCAATTGCCGACGATTTCCGCGCCGGCGTGTTCCTTATTCTCCTCGCGCTTCGGCGGCGAGGTGAAGTACGGAATGCGTCCGTTGTTCCAGTCCGTGAGCACGACGCGCGCCGCCGCCTTCAGGTCCGGGATCCCGCCCTTCTTCAACTTACCTTGTAACCGCGCGACCTGACGTAAAAAGTCGTCGACATCGCCGAACCTTCCAGTTTTGTACATGAGCATGAGTTGTTGCGCCGGACATCGACGAGTGATTTCGTGCACCGGAGCGATTGGGTCGTCAATGCGTTCAACCTTGATGCAGTTGCGCAACGCGGCGGCGCCCGCGGACTCACCGAGCGCGCTCGCAAAGACAACACCGGGAGAGTCGATCAACTTGACGTGCTTGTCGAGTTTGATCTCCTTCAAAACCTTGGTCATCCCCGGCGTGTTACCCACCGCCGCCGCGGTTCGACTTCGCTTCAACGAGTTGATGAGACTCGATTTACCGACGTTCGGGAACCCGACGATCCCGACCGTGATCGCCGTCTTGATGTTCTTGTTGCGCGCGTAGTTCTTCAACATCTCCAACACACTCTCCGCGCCCAAAGAGTCCGCACCACCGAGCGCGTTTCCGGACGATTTAAAGTTTGCGTTTCTCGCGCCCAACTTTCCGCTCCCGCCAGACGTCGCGCACTTGAACGCCACCGTCGGTAGTTCCTCGCGGAAATACGTCAACCACGCCAACACATTCTCCTTCGGCACTAAATCAATCTTATTCAGCAGTAAAATCATGCGCTTATCCGGGTTCATCCTCCGCACGAACCGCTCGACCTCTGGCGATCGACACGACAACGGATCCCGCGCGTCCAAAACCTGTATGATGACATCCGAAAGCTCCACAACCTTAACAAACTCCTTATAATACGCCCGTCGACTCGAATCTTGATCTTCATCCTCCCTCTCGAGCTCTTCCGCCAACTTCGCCTTCTTCTTCTCTTCATAATTCGTTTCTTTTCGATCCGCGATCGCTCGCAGTTCCTCCAGCGTCGGCGCCGGCGCCCCCGACTCCATCATCTCCTTCGCGATTCTCTTATTCTCCGTCCGTCGCGCCCGTTTCGCCTCCATCAGTTCCTCCTTCTTCGTCTCAATTTTCTCGTGTTCGTGATCAATCTCCCTCATCAACTCATCCTTGTGCGGCCACGCGTTCGGCACCCCCGGATCCTTCGGCCCCTTCTTCTTGATGCCCAATCGCTTCAACCGGTTCTCCTCCTTCCGCTTCTTCTTGTGATGCTCCTTCACCTTGCGAATCACCTTGTACTTTTGTTTCAGCGTCGTGCGCTTCGACTTCGACTTCGTGCTCTTCTTCGGCATGGTGGCGCGTCGTCGTCGGGCGTCGGCGTCGAGAGCGTCGCCGCGTCGGCGTCTTCGCGCGCGTCGCGCGTCGGCGACGTCGCGTCGACGACGCGCGACGGACGAGCGTTCGCGCGCGCGCGCTTTCGAGCCTCGGTCGCGTCGTCGTGCGCGCGCGCGCGCGTGACGTCGAGAACCGCGCGCGATTGTGTCGCGTCGCGTGGCGGCGGCGGCGGCGCGAATACGAATCGCCGCACACCCGCGCGCGCGCGCCCGACGCGCGCGCGCGCGCGCGAACCGAGGGCGACGATGAAGTACCCGCGAATCGCGCTGTTCGCGCTCGCGTTCGTCGCGTCCTCGCTCGTCGCGGGTACCGTGTACGGATGGCCGCCGCTGCGCGCGCTTTTACTGCGCGAGCGCGGCGAGCTGAGCGAGAAACGCCTCGCGCGACACTTCACCGCGGGGTCGTGGAGCGTTCAGGGCGGTCGGTTCGTCGCGGGCGTGTCGCGGGACCGCGTGGGGACGCGGTTCACGTGCTGCGCGTGCCTGGCGTTCGTCGTCGGCGGCGCGCTGGCGCTCGGCGCGAGCGAGGCGACGAACGACGCGGCGCTGACGCTGGGGATGTTTGGATTGGGGTTAGGGAGCGGAGTGCAGTTGTGCGTGCAGCCGGTGGCGGCGTTGTTTCCGGAAAGCGCGAGCACGGTGATGTCGTCGCTGAGCGGAGCGTTTCAGGTGAGCGGCGTGGTATTTTTGGCGTTGACGGCGGGCGACGATCGAGAAGTTGGGTTTTACGCGTTCGCGGCGTGCGCGGCGGTGTTGTTCGCGGCGTGTTTAGTGATGTTGCCCAAGGGACAGGACTTTCACGAGACGGCGAACGTGGATTTCGACGGCGGCGGCGGCGACGGCGGCGACGGCGGCGACGGCGCGGAGTCGCGGCGAGATTTACACGCGCGGTCGGAAGGTTTAGCGAATGGGTTCAGTCGAAGCGAGCAAATGCGATCGGTAGAGTACATCGGACTCGTCGGGTGGTTCACCGTCGTCGTGTGTCCGCTACAGTTTTACATATCCGCCATAGGGTACCAACTCGAACTCAAGGGCGACGCCGCGGGCGAATACTCGAGCATCTTCTCCGCCGCGTACGGTTCGGTGGCGATATTCGCCGCCTACGGCGGTCGCGTGGCGGATGTGATCGGTTGTGGGGCGTGTCAGGCGTTCGCGACGATCTCCACTGCGATCTCGTTCGCGCTGCTGACGCTGCCGAAGAGCGCGGGTATGGGAGTGCACGTTCTCGGCATGACGCTCTATTCGTTGGGCCGACTGTTTGTGTTCGCGATGTACTTTAGCAACATCGGTCGACGCTTCGGATTCGAGCACTACGGTACGCTCTGCGGTCTTGGACTTTTGATATCCGCGGTGTGGAGCTTGTTGCAGTACCCTATGCTCGCCTGGGCGGTGGACTCGAACGACGCGACGGGGGCAAATTTGTTGGCGTGCGCGATGCTTTGCGCCACCATACCGTACACCGTGTGGCTGGGGAAGCGCGAAAAATTAGAACGAGAAGAAAAGATACGGCAGTCGAGCGAGCGCTCGACGACGTAGGCGCGCGCGCGTGTGTTGATGATATTCATGATTGTAAATTTATCGAAGCGATTCTTTCTACAACGCGACCAGACGCCGTGGCTGCGCTTGCGGCGAAACGACGTGAATCCGCGTCGGGTTCGCGCCTTGCACGTCCACGATGATGTATTGAAACTCCCACTTCCCCGTCGACTCGTCTAAGCCCGCCTCAGCGTGCACCACGGCGCTTCCTCTCGCGCCGCGCGCGTGAAACTGCACGCGCAACCGCTCGCGTCCTCTCTCATCGATCACCACTCTGTGCGCGATCCTGTGTCTCGCGCTCCGACTGCGGCTTTCGCTCCCATATCCCGTCATCGGCGATCCAAGCGCGACGGTGACGCGCACGTCATCGTGTAATTTATCCATAGCCGCGTTGAACACCTTTTGCTCTCGCGGCGTCACCAACAACTCCGACGCCCCGTACCACACCGCTCCCGCCGCGATCCCGAGCCCGATCAGCCCCACCGCGCCGTACGACGCGCCCTCGACCACGCTCACCGGCTTCTCCGGGATCCACTTATCGGTGATTTCGTCGTACCGTCCGCTCTCCGGCGTCGACGCCAGGTCGCCGCGCGTCCCGCTCGCCGCCTCATCCGCGCTCGAGCTCGACTTCGTCCCTCGTCGCGTCGCGTACGCGCGATCGCGCGACATCGCATCGCGCGCGAGACGCGCGCGCGTCGGTCCGGCGACCGTCGCGCGCGCCGTCGTCGCCGCGGTCGCGCCGCATCGATGTCCCGACATCGTCATCAACTTCATCGACCCCGCGCGCGCCTCGTGCGTCGCCAGAGTCGCCAACGCGCCGAGCGCGCGCTTCGCGGACATCGCGATCGACGTCGTCGACGCGCTTCGAGGCGACGCGCGACGGGCGCGCGGACGCACGCGCGGCGCGGAGTGCGGATTCCGGAATCGCGTCAAAAAGCGACGCGCGCGAACGACGAGGCGGCGACGCGCGACGCGCGCCATGTTCCTCCGCGACGCGGCGAAGAAGCTCGAACGGGAGAACGCGCGCGAACAGGGAAGGCTGCGGGACAAGATCGCGGTCGAGCGCGCGGAAAACGCGCGGAAAGAAGCGTTACGAAAACAGCTCGACGATGAAAAAATGCGCGCGAGAGCGCGAGAGCGCGAACAGCGGCGCGCCGAGGAGGCGATGATGGTGCAAAACGAAGGCGTGTCGTACGACGCGCGCTTGTTCGCGCAATCGAGCGATGCGGCGAGGAGGCGGGGGATTCGCGCGCGGGGCGAGGACAAGGCGCAACTGCCGGCGAGCGCGGCGGCGAGCGTGGGGGCGAATCGAAGCGGACGCGCGCACTTTTGCGTGTCGAGAGGAGAGAGGAAGACGCACGTTGGGGTGTTGGATTACGGGAGCGTGGATTCGGGGACGATCGGGCTGCCGGAGCCGGTGATGCGGACGCTCGGGTTGACGGGGGACGCGGCGCGCGAGGACGGCGCGGACGCCGACGCGAGACTGGTGCGAGTGACGTACGCGGCGCTACCGCTTGGGACGAAGATGACGCTGAAACCTCGTATGAATGATTTCGCGCGGGATTTCGTGGATCAGGACGTGCGCGAGGTGCTGGAGCGCGTGATGATGGGGCGAAGCGCGGCGACGGTGGGCGACGAAGTCGTCGTCGCGTCGACGACGGATCCGAGCAAGACGTACGAGCTCAAGGTGACGGCGGTGGAACCGGACGACGGTTTCGGCGCGGTGTCTTTACTCGAGACCGACGTAGAGGTCGAGCTCGAACCGAGCGAGGAGTACGAGCGCGTGATGGATGAGATCGCCGCTCGCGAGCGCCGGCGCAAGGAGGAATTCTTAAAGGCGAAAGAGGCGCTCGCCGAGCGCGAGCGAGCTAAATTAGCCGAACAAGAGGCGTTCGAGACTCGTAAAGCGACGTTGCGCGCGTCCATAGCGCCCGAGCCGAGCGCCGCGCGCGGAACGCCGGGCGTAGTGGCGCTTCGATTTAGTTTGCCGAACGGCGCGGTGAAGACGCGCAAGTTCGACGCGAACGCGTCTACGATTCGCGACGTGTTCGATTACGCGCGCAGTTTAGACGACGCGGTGTTGTCGATGCCCACGTTCGAGCTCACCACGCGCGCCGGGGAAGTCGTGTTGCGGGAAGACGGCGGCGACGCGCCCGCGCTCGCGGCGCTCGACGCGCAAACGTTCTTCGTGCGCGCGTCGTCTTAGAGAAAGTCGCCCGCCGACGCTGTTGTTTGTACAAATTACGCTAAAATCTAGTGGCGACGGTAGATTTACCAGAATCCCCAGTCCTCGTCTTTCGGGTACACGATCAACGGTTTGAGCGCCGAGCACCCGCGCGACACGCGAAGATGTCTTTGCATGCACCCCGCCCGTCGCGTCTCGAACCCGCGCCCGTGATTCATGTACACGAACCGCTCGTGATACCCCTTGTTGTGCGGCCCGTTCACGCAACACGTCGGATCGGCGCCGTCGCATCGGTAATAAACGATCGGTTCGTTCTTTATCACGCCCTTCCCCTCCTGAAACGCCAACGCGAACAAAATCGCCGTCGAAAACGCGAGCGTCGACGTCACCGTCAATCCCACCCCGATCGTCAGCGTCAACAGCCCGCTCTTCGCCGGCGCCCCGCTCGCCCCCACCAGCGCGTCTCCCGGCACCGCCAGCGCGTTTATCCAATCCCCCGCGTGCACCGTCGCCTCGAAGCACCCCGCCGTCGCCGCCAAGCACGCCGCGCCCGCCGCCGCGATCGGTCCCGCCTTTCGATGAAACGGCCGTCGTCCCCCGATCGCCGCCGCGCGCGCCTCCGCGCGCGCCCGCTTCTCCGCCGCCGCTTCTTCGCGCGCCGCCGCCTCGCGGTCCTCGTCCGCGCGCTTCCGCGCCTCGACCGTCGCCCTGACGTTTCGCCGCGTCACCGCCGCCTTCGCGTCCGCCGCCGCGCGCGCCGACGCGCGCACGAGCTCGTCCGACCGCGCGTCGTTCGGCGTCGCCCCGCGCGTCGTCGTCCGCGCGCCGCGGCGCGACGCGACGCCGCGTCGCGCCGCGACGACGACGCGCGCGCTCGACATCGCGTCGCGCGCTGCCGTCGCGCGGACGACGACGCGCGCGCTGGACCGCCCGTACCCGGTCGACGCGTTCGACGGCGTCGTCGCGCACGCCGCGGGCGATGCCGTCGAGCGCGCGCGAGCGCTCGCGACGCTCCATCGCGTCGCGAGGCGCGCGCACGGTCTCATGAAGCGTCGCGGATGGCGCGTCGGCGAGCTCACCGAGCTCCCGCCGGCGCCGCCGGGCGAGATCGCGCTCTGGGGGGACAATCTCGACCGAGGCAGGCGCGTGCGGGTGCTGGTGCGACAGCGACGAGGGCGCGGCGAGGCGGCGTATCGATGGATCGACGAGGAGCAAGTGTTCGCGGTGATGCTGCACGAGCTGACGCACGTGGAGATCGGACCGCACGACGCGACGTTCTACGCGCTGCTGCGAACGCTCGAGCGCGAGGCGGCGGTGATGATGGCGAGCGATTTCGTGGTGTGCGGACGGTGCGTGGGCGGGGACGGCGGCGCGAGACGCGCGCGGTCGCCGCGGACGAACGCGCGAGACGCGGCGGCGAGACGCGCGCGACTCGCCGAGGTCGGTCTGCGCGGCGGCGGACGGCGATTGGGAGGGACGGCGCGTGATGAGAGTCGGTTGTTGGCGGCGCCTGGGGGGGACGATGCGGTGGTGGTGTTGGACGCGGAGGCGGACGACGACGCGCCCATCGTTCTCGACTGAGAAGAAGGCCGAGGCGGCGTCTGTACCATCGCGATAGCGGCACGATGGCGTCGCGATGGCGCCGTAAAACTGTAAAATAAAAAACGCGTTCGCCAGGATTCGAACCTGGGCGTGCAGAGCACACTCACTCACTGCTCTCGATCAATAGCAGGCGAGCACCTTAAAACCACTCGGTCACGAACGATAGCGGCACGATGGCGTCGCGATGGCGCCGTAAAACTGTAAAATAAAAAACGCGTTCGCCAGGATTCGAACCTGGGCGTGCAGAGCACACTCACTCACTGCTCTCGATCAATAGCAGGCGAGCACCTTAAAACCACTCGGTCACGAACGATAGCGGCACGATGGCGTCGCGATGGCGCCGTAAAACTGTAAAATAAAAAACGCGTTCGCCAGGATTCGAACCTGGGCGTGCAGAGCACACTCACTCACTGCTCTCATCAATAGCAGGCGAGCACCTTAAAACCACTCGGTCACGAACGCTCTGGGTTGTCTGCGTCCATTCGCTTCCTTCGCCGCGGAGACGGAGAAACACTCGGTCACAACCGCACGATTATATGGCGTTAAAACCGCTAAATTTCGAGGAGGCCATCGATTCTACGGCACGCGCGCAAGGTTACGGTTTTTTCGATCGCGCGATCGACGCGCGCGCGACCCGTCGTCCGTCGTCCGTCGTCCGTCGCCGCGCGCGAACGCCGCACGCGTCGACATGGCGGCGTCGCCGACGGGCGCGGCGCTCGCGCGCGCCGAGGCGATGGACGCCGAGGAGCGACACGCGCGCGCGGTGGCGCGACAGCTCCTGGGACAGCTCGAGGCGAGACGCGCGATGGCTTTGAATTCGACGACGTCGGCGTCGAAGACGACGGCGAAGACGACGGCGAAGACGAGACCGCGGGACGCGCGCGACGCGCTCGCGGCGAACGATGAGAACGCGTCGTCGTCGCGCGCGTCGGACGCGAAGGCGATGGACGCGCTGCGAGGACGGTGCGCGAGGCTGACGCGCGAGCGCGACGAGGCGAGACGGTCTCGCGCGGACCTCGCGCGCAAGTGCGAGCGGTTGCTCGGCAGGGCGAAGACGCAGGACGTGGAGTTACACAAGCTGCGACGGCTGTTGGGGACGACGCGCGCGACGCGCGGCGCGGCGCGGCGGTCGGCGCCGGCGGCGACGCGCGGCGACGGTTCGCCCGAAGTCGTGTCGTTCGAGTATCACGTCGCGTCGCTCGCGGCGTTCGAACAAAAAGTCGAATCGTTGATCGAGGAAATCGAGCGTCTGCGCGCCGCCGACGCGAGGCGCGCGCGCGAGGCGGACGCGCGCGAACGAGCGGCGGACGACGTAGCGGATGACGATTTAGAACGCGCGTCGCCGCCGTCGCCGCCGTCGCCGTCGTCGCCGTCGTCGCCGACGCGCGTTCCCTCGCGCGCGTATTCCCCGACTTTATCTCCCTTAGACGCGCTGCTGTCGCGAATCACCGTCACCGAGCGCGACGCGACGTCGAGGCGCGACTTCGGCGACTCGGACGACTGTGGTTGCGCGAAAAGCGCCGAGATGCGCGAGTAGGATAAGTAATCCACCAAACGCTCGCGTCGCGCGCGCGCGTCACTCCACCGCACGCGACCATCCCTCGACGCGCGAGATGATGCAAACCAACGCGCTGTCCGCCATGCGCGCGATCTCGAGCGCGAAACGTGCGTGCGCGACGCGACGCGACGCGCCGACTCGAAACGCCGCCGCCGTCGACGTCGACGCGACGACTCGAAACGAGCCCGAACGCGCGCGAGACTGACGAAAGCGCGCGCGCGAACACGCGAAAACAGCGATTCAAAAGAGACGCGCGATGCGCGCGTCGACGCGAGACGCGCGCGCGGTGACGCCGCGCGCGAGCCTCGCGGTGGACGTCGCGCGGTGGACGCTGAGCGTCCCGACCATGTACGCGATGGTGTCCATCAACGAATACATCACCCATCGTTACTACCAACACGCCGAGTTCAACAAGAACGAAACCTTGAAAAGGGTGTGGTGCTTCTTCACGAGACAGAAGGAAGCGCCGAAGGTTGGCGGCGGCGGACACATCGAACACCACGCGGAGACGCTGGACGACATGTCGCTTCGCGTGGACGACAAGTGGATGAAGAGCGAACCGGCGGCGGTTTTGGAAGGGAACACCTACCGCGGAACGGCGTTCGAGTGGGATGTCACGGGTTTGATGACGATGCAAATGGTGATCACGTGCGTGCCGGTGCTGGCGCTCATGGGGTTCTCCGCGGGGCCGATGGCGGCGCTCATCGGCGGGTCCACGCTCGCGCACGCGTTGATTTGGAACTCGTTGCATCCGGCCATGCACGGCTTGAACGAGGTTCCGCTTCAAGATGGGATCCCGTCGTTGTGGCTCGCGCGATACCGCGAATCCAAGTATTACGATTACTTGTACCTGAACCACAGCGGTCACCACGTGTTGTCCGGCCAGTGCAACTACAACGTGTGCTGCCCGCTCGTCGACCACGTGTTGGGCACCTACGTCGAGCCGGAGGTTTGGATGAAGAAGACTCGCGTGCCGTTCGGTAAGGAACACCGCGAGTTCTACCCGGCTGGCGAATACGCGCGCAACTTGGCCGCCAAGGCCGCCGCCGCCGCCATCGAAGGCGCGCTGCAAGCCGACGCGCCCGCCGACGAAGGCGAGCGCGACCTCGTCGCCGCGTAGAGCGCAGTACCATACGTAAAAAAGATTTTTTTATTCACTGGGACGGCGTGCGTCCCGCGTAGAGACATATTTTAATCCATCCGATTCAGAACTTCACCGCGACTCGACGTCGTCTCGCTCTCGCGCAGAGGGGAAGGAACACCGCACTTTGCGCCGAACGTCGCGATGGGATGCTACTTCACCAAACCCACCGCCGCGCTCTGGGCCGCGACGCCGTCGCCCAAGGCGATCGCGCGTAAAATTCTATCCTCCGCGTCGCCCAAGACCGAGCGTCCGCCGTCACCGACGTCCATCCTGTCGTACTCGCCGATCGAGCGACGCAAACCGTCATTCCGCGCGAAACCGCTCGGCGCGTCGCGCGACGTGTCGTACAAGTGCAGGAAATCGGAGACGATCGCGATGGAACGGTCGGCGTACGTGACGAAGTTCTTCGCCCAGGGCTGCGAGGATTGCGTCTTCGTGATCTGCTGCGCCGTGAAAGAGGTGAACGTGCTCGACTGCAAGCGCTGCGTGTTCGTCTTCGGGCCGACGACGGATTCGACCACGGCGCGAGATTGCCTGAGTTGCGACATCGCGACGTGCGCGACCGTGGGTGCGTTCACGCTGGAAGATTGCGTGAACGTGCGGGCGTTCGTGAAGACGTACGGGAACGGATCGCGAGCGCGAGCGGAGCGGTGCTCGACGACGGCGTTCGGGACGTGCGATTTAGAATACGACGAGTTGGAGGAGCAGATGGCGTCGTGCGGATTCGTCGACGCGAACGGGGATTTATTAGCGTCGACGATGACGGTATCGTCGGAGACGTCGACGCTCGAGAGCACGGCGCGCGAGGTTGTTGGCCACGCGCTAGAGCGCGTCGACGGTTAGAAGTTAGGCGCGGCGCGAAGGACGCGCACACGTATCGGCAACAACGATGGAATACAACAAATTCTAGCACTCTATTCTATCATGACGATCATCTACTTGCGTCGACCCCAGTTCTCGCGCGTTTTGAAGACGCGGTCGAGGCCCGTGCGCACGCGTCGGGCCTCGACGAACCATTTCGAGACGAAGAGCGACAACTCGGGCGCGTCCGTGGACATCTCGACATCATCTCCCAGAACGACGTCGTGTTTGACGTGCGCGCCGTCGATGTAAATCGTCCCCACGCGCGAGTTCCATCGGAACGACAGCGCGTCGCCTCGCTCGTAATATCCGTGCCCGACGCTCGGCGGCGGCGCGTGGTCGTAATAAATCGGCTCGCGATCCATGTATTGCATGGACATCGAGTCGTGCGGCATGATCTCCCCACCGGCGCTGTACATCGCCGCGGTGGACCCGCTCGCCGTGCACGTGCGCACGCCCGAGCTGCGCACGTGAAAAAATCTCTTCGCGGACTCGTCGTAGCCGTCGCCCCCGCGCGCCGTCGGCGGTAATCGCACGCTGTACCGACTCACCGCCGCCGGGCTCGGATGGGCGATCAGCACATCGTTCAACGCCGGTTCTAAGACCTTACCGTTCAGCACCGTGCGTATCCTCGCCAATCTCGTCGGTTTCAGCGTTCCCCGCAGCGCGCCGTCCAGCACCGTCTCCGCGTCGAACCTATTCGCCGCGCACAGATGTCCCGTCGACCGTCGCTCGTCCACGCACGCGTTCGTCAGATACATCTTCGTCAATTCATCCTTCGTCGCCGGATCGGTGTTTATCCCCAGTATCGGCACTTTCGCGTCCCTCACGTGGTGCGCCGATATCAGCGTCGTCCCGTCTCCGCCCAGCGCGACGATCAAATCGTGCCCTCTCACCGACTCCTCCGTCAGCGCGTGCCTCTCCACGCACTCGAACGCCACGCCGCGCTGTTCCAGCATGCGTTTCACCGCCTTGACGCCGCTCTTGTGCGTTTCGTGTCGCGTTTTCACGCGTTCGTACCGCGGCGTGTCGTACAATTCTCCCGACCCGATGAGCGACGTGTACTCCGTCATCGGCGTCGTCTTGACGACGAGCAGCGCGTTCCTGTACAGCGACGACGACGCCGTCGTCGCCGCGCGCGCGACGCGGGCCATCGCGCGCGACGCGCCGACGTGTGGCGTCGCGCGTCCGATGGCGCGCAACGACCGCGACGGCTCGACGCCGCACACGCGCGCGCGCTCGACGCACGGCGCGCACGACGCGCGCATGACGCGCGCGACGACGCGCGCGACGCCACGCGTCGCGTCCGCGACGCGCGCGACGACGCGGCGCGGCGCGACGGCGCGACGCGCGACCGACCGACCGCGACGCGTCGCGGAACGATCGACGCGCGTCGCGCCGCGCGCGCTCGAAAGCGCGCGCGCGAGCGACGCGCCGACGTACAGACTCATCATGCTTCGACACAGCGCGTCCTCGGGGGCGGACGGCGAGACGAAGGACGCGGATCGACCGCTCACGCGAGAGGGTCGCGCGCTGGCGAAGAGCGTGGCGACGCGCGTCGACGACGCGGGATGGACGCCCGATCTCACGCTGTGCTCGAACTCGCGACGATCGAAAGAGACGCTGGAGATAATGCGGGACGAGGTGAACGAGGCGTTCGGGACGAAGGGACGAGTGATGTATCTCGGGTCGCTGTATCACTACGCGTCGCTGGACGGCGTGATGCGACAACACCTGAGCGAGTGCGTGGTGAAGCAGACGACGGCGGGAGACGGCGCGGATGGCGAGGAGGGGGACGTGGTGGAGTGTGAGATCGTCACGGACGCGAGGACGATCATGGCGGTCGGGCATAACAAAGGGATGGAGGAGGCGGCGAGCGAGTATTGCGGAAGAGACGTGCGCTTGCAAGTGGCCACGGCGGCGCTGCTCGAGCGCGCGCGAGGCGAGGGTGATACGTGGGCGAGCGCGATGGCGGACGCGGGGTCGTGGACGCTCGTCGCGGTCGCGACACCGGAGGGTATTATTCAAATCTAGGCGAGACGGACGACGCCGACGTCGTCGCGCCGAACGGAGAAGAGCGCGCGCGGGGCGGACGCCGCGACGGCGCGTTGTAAAAGACAAAACCCCGACAACGACCGAAACGACGCGCGACGACGCGACGCGACGCGACGCGACGGGACGCGAGCGTTCGTTCGTTCGTTCGTTCGTTCGTTCGTTCGTTCGTTCTAACAGTTTCGCGCGGTACCGCATCACAATTTCTACAATCTCGTCTATTCGTCGCTACGATTCAATCAAACGCCGGAAACGATTCCTCGGCGCGCCCGAACGCGTTCGCTCTCGCCCCCGCGAGCTCGGCGCTGACGTCCGTGAGCTTACCCATCTGCTCCATTCTAAACGCACGATCGGTGATCGGTTGAATCTCCTCCACGTCGTGCGACACCACCACCACCGCTCTGTCGCGCTTCAAGTCGTCGAGCAGCGCCGTCACCTCCGCGCGCGTGCTCCAATCCAACCCCGCCAGCGGTTCATCCAGGCACAGCACCGCGGGATCGCGCACGAGTTGTATCGCGAGCGCCAACCGTCGCTTATACCCCCCGCTCAGCGTCCGCACCTCCGTGTCCAGCGGCACGCCCTCCATCCCCACCGCGTGCAGCGCGTCGTGCATCCTGTACGCCAGCGCCCTTCGTCTCGCGAACGCGTTCGCCGACGTCGGCCACCCGAACGTCAGCTCCTGCAGCACCGTCTTCCCCAAGAAGTGTCGCTCCGGAAACTGAAACACGATCCCCACCTTCGCCAGTCGGTCCGCCGCCGTCGTCGCCCGCGCGTCCTCCGCGCCGTCGCCGCCCAGCGTCACCCGCCCCGTCGTCGGTTCGCTCAGCCCCGCGATCAGCGTCAGCAGCGTGCTCTTCCCCGTGCCCGACCGTCCGACGATCAGCGTCAGCCCTCGTCGCGGGAGCGCGAGCGCGACGTCGCGCAGCACCGGCGCGCCGGCGCCCGCGGGCGCGTAGCTCACCGCGCGCGCGTCGACGAACGGCGGCGCATCGCGCGACGCTCGCGGACGCGTCGACGCGCGTCCGCGCCGAGACGCGCGACGCGTCGACGGTGCGAATTTTCGCGCGCCTTGATGCGCGTCGGCGCGCATCGAGGCGCGTCGCGCGCGGCGCGGTGGCGATTCAATCGCGACGCGTCGCGCGCGCGAACGTTAATTCGCTCGGCGTCAATCCGCGACGCATTCGCGACGCGCGCGACGCGTCGACGGCGTCCGACGACGCGCGAGCGCGCGCGCGCGCGAGAAGCATTCGCGACGCAATCGCGACGACGACGCGGGCGTCGCGGGACGCGAAAGCGCGACGCAATCGCGACGCGCGACGATCTCGAATCGATTCATCGGCGACGCCTGATTTCGGCGTAGATCGCGGTCGACGGGCGCGGGGGGCGGCGGAGGGGCCGCGATGCGCGCGGTGACGGCCGCGAACGTCGCGACGGCGCGCGCGGAGGGCGGGACGCGCGCGAGACGCGGACGAGGCGCGGTGCGAGTGGAGGGAGGGAAGATCGCGGCGACGACGACGACGGCGAAGACGACGAGACGCGGGGCGACGACGGCGAGCGCGAGTAAACGCGGGAACGGCGCGACGCAGCGGGAAATCGTGACGCTCGGGGTGTTTTTGGCGTGGTGCGCGTACGCGAAGCGCGTGAAGGATGGGAAACGAGAGAGACGAGGCGAGGGGGGGCGACGCGCGCGGAGGGATAAGTCGACGGCGACGCGCGACGCGACGGCGAGCGCGGGGACGAGGGCTGGGGGGGAAGAGAGCGCGGACTCCGCGACGGTCGCGCCTCGACGAGCGAAGACGGCGAGCGGCGAGGCGTCGACGGCGAGCGGTGCGGGGTTTAATCCGATGATGCGCGTGGAAGTCGCCGAGGTGCACGACGAGCGCATCGACGCGAAGCTGGCGGCGGAAATTCGCGTGAAGGCGGATAAAGAGCGATTGCAAGCGGAGCGCGAGAAAGCCGAGCGCGAGCGCGCGGAAGCGAAGCAAGCCGCTGAGATCGCGGCGAAGAAGGCGGCGAGTGAGCAGTCGTCCAAGACAGCCGTCGCGAACGCCGCGCCGACGTTTCGCAGATACGTGGCGGAACGCCGACCCGTCGGGTGGCAACCGGTGCGGAACGAAGCGGCAGATAAGCTTTATAGCGTCATCGAAGCTCGACGCATCGAGCGACGCGATCGGATCGCGGAGTTGACGCGATTAAAGAGAGAGCAAGCGCGCGCGGCGGAGGCGGAGGCGCAGTTGCGCGCGGCGCTCGAACGCGAGCGACGCGTCGAAGAGGAAGTCGCGGCGCGAGAGCGCGAACGCGTCAAGGAGCAGGCGCGCGCGCTCAAGAGAGCGGAAGAGGAAGTCGTGCGCGAGGAAAAGCGAGCTCAAGAACAAGCTCGCGCGCGGGCGCGCGCACAAGAGCAGGCGCGAGAAATCGCCGAGAAGCGGGCGAGAGAACAGGCCAGGCAGCGGGAAGAGGCTGCGCGAGAGTTAGAAGAGGCGCGTGAACGCGCGCTGGCGGCGAAACGCAAAGCCTTGGAAGCTCGCGCGGCGGAAACCGAGAAAATCGCGCAAGAGAACCAGCGGAAGCTCGCGGAGGCGGCGAAAAAGATTAAAGATGACGCCGCGAAAGAGGCCAAGGCTCTCGAGCGAGCGAGAGAGGCGCAAATAGTCGCTCGGGAAAAGGAGTTGAAGGCACAAGAAGTGGCGCGCGTGAAGGAATTGAAGGCGCAGCAGCGCGCGGAATTCATTGATGACTTAAAGTATCGCACGGCGGATTCGCTCGACAACGCGCTCGGTGGCGTCATCGACGGCGCGCGCGGCGTTCGGAGATTTTTTTGGCGCGGCGAAACGACTTCGAGACCAAAGGCAAAGGCGGCGCCGAAGCCGGTGAAGAAGGCGGTCGTCGCGCCGAAGAAGGAAGTCGCAAAACCGGCGCCGAAAAAGCCAGTCGTCGTCGCGAAACCGAGCAAAAAGGTTGTGGAGAAGACGAAGACCAAGGCGGTGGTCAAGGCGAAACCGGCGGCGAAGAAACCGGCGAAATCCGCCAAGCGCGGCGCGACGTCGGCGTCGCAATCCGTGTCTTGGCAGATGCCCAGACTCCCCGGCGCGTTCGACGCCGGTGGGTACGCCACCGCGGGTTTCGTCACCTCACTCGCCCTCGCCTCGGTGTTGTCCGTCGGCGTCCGCGCGTCGCGCCGCAAGCGCGCTCGCCGTCGCGCCGAGCGCCGCGCTCGTCTCGAGTCCGACAAGCTCAAACAAAAAGACCGCTGGGCCGCCGCCATCGACATCGACGTCGTCAGTGAAGAAGTCGCCAAGCGCGCCGAGCGCGTCGCCGAGGCCGACGTCTCCACCGCCGATCCCGCCGACGCCGACGTCGCCACCCTCGACGATCGCGCCGCGCTCCAGCGCGCGTACGACGACTTTTTAAAAGCCAGCAAGGCTGATAAAAAGATGTAGACGCGCGTCCATCGTTCGACGCGCGCGCGTGCGACGCTTCGACGCGCGCGCCGTCGCGTTCGCGCGCGCGCGTTCGCTTGTAATCAATCATCCGCGCGCCTCGGCTCCGACGCGTCGTCGCCCCGCGCTCGACCACGTCACGATGCGATTTTTCGATCCGAATCGCGTCGCGTTTTTCGCCACTCCGCGACGCGCGAGCGAACGCCGAGCGAACGGCGAGCGAACGCCGACCGCGCGACGCCGCGCCGCGAGCGCTCGCGCGCGCGCTGGATCCGCGCGCGCGTCGACGCGACTGGAATATTCATCGCGCGAAAACGATCGCTCGCGAACGCGAACGCGAACGCGAAGACGCCATGAAGACGTTCGCGGCGACGGCGACGGAGTTCCGAAGGTACCACTCGAACTCGTTCAACGTCGCGCTGCACCTGGTGACGACGCCGGTGGCGATGGCGAGCGCGATGGCGATGCTGGAGACGCGATGGGGCGCGGCGAGCGCGCGAGGCGCGTTTTGGGCGTACGCGGCGGCGACGATGGCGACGAACGCGGGCGAGGGAGTGAAAGTGGCGACGACGGTGGCGTGGGCGATGATCGCGCGCGCGGCGGGGGCGATGTGCGCGAGCGGGATGACGATGTGGGGGATGATGGGGGTGTTCGCGGCGGCGTACGCGGGGCAGGAGGCGGCGCACGCGGCGACGGGGGAGAAGACGTATCAGGCGTCGTACATGAAGTTTACGAATTGGCCGGCGCTGCTCGTCGAACACACGTTTTATTTGCTGCCGCTGTGCCTGGACGCGGTGATGCACATGGACGAGAGCTTCTTGTCGTGGATCGTGGCGCATAATTACGTGGTGCGGGGAAAGCTGACGAGTGCGGAGGATCGGGCGGCGATGAAAACCATCGAACGCTTCGTCACCGAGGAGGACCCGGATCGCAGTTGCACCGCGCACTGGTGGCACACGCGATTGGCTCCGAAGGAGAAAGACGCGTTCACGCACATCGCGCACTCGGCGCCGGTGGAGAAGATGTTTGCCGAGCGCTTCCGCCCGGACGCGTGGGTCGTCAAACCCGTGTACGGGATGAATGAGATTTACGTCGCCTCGTCCCATCACAACAATAATTCCGACACGGTATTTTACATGGAACACATCGATGGCCCGTGGGCGGTGTATCCGTTCTGCTTCTTGTACCGCTGCATGCTCGCGGTGAATGAAAACGTCAAGGTTGAAACTATTTTCACCCAAGAAGGAAGCGGCGGGTGCTTATCCGACGGCGACGTCGTCGGCTTTGATTTCCATCGCGAGATCCACGTCATCGCTGATCGACCGGTGGCGAATCCCGATCGACGCATTACCATGAAGTTACATTACTGCGTCTATCCCAAGTGCTTTGGACCGTTCGGCGAGGCGCTGTTACACTTGTCCGTGATGTACAACACCGTCGCGCGCAAGCTGTTTTTGAACACCATCAAGCCGACTGGTTTCTGGAGATTTATGGCGTTCATGGTCCTCGCCGTCACTAATGGTGCATTTCTCGTATCCAAATACGCTGGCATCAATAACATCGCAAGCGTTGCTGCGATTTACGCCGCGGGCAAGTACATTCACCCGTATTTTTTCTTCGCCGTCACGTCGTACACGCACTATTGCATGTACATCGCCACCTATCACGTGCGCGAGGGAATCAACTTTGGGATGTTCAAGCGCAACGTGATGTTTTGGAAATCGCTGGCTTTGACCCATCTCGGGCTGACGTACCTGAAGCATTTCGAGTTTGACATCGTCTCCATCGCGATGATCGTGTGTGGATACGGTCTGAGCACCGCCGCCACGGTGGCGCTGGGCATCGACCAGACGTACTTTGGCGTCGAACTCGGAAAAGTCAAACCCAACTTCGTGCACGGGTTCCCTTACAACGTGGTGCCGCATCCGATGATCATTGGCAGTATGGTCGGACTTCTGGGTTTCCACAAAATGGCGGGTTTCCGCGCCGCGCTGCCGTACGCCATTCCAGTGCACTGCGCGATGTATTTCGTGCACATGTGCCAGGAACAGTTCAACGACATTTACGCCGCCAACTGGGGAAGTTCGGCGGACGTCAAGGCGAAAGTTGCGGCGCGTGCGCGAACTCCCGCGCGAAAGATATCTAACAAGTCGGCGACATCGCGAACGCCGAAAAAGAGCCCGTCTCGAACGCCGAAAAAGACCCCGTCTCGTACGCCGAAAAAGACCCCGTCTCGAACGCCAAGCAGGTCGTCGCGTCGGGTCTCCGTCGCTGCTTAAATTGTACCGGAACGATGTAGTTACACATATTATTTGTTTGCAGCATAATTTTACAAAGTGGCGCTGCACGATGACTAGTCGTCGGCGGCTTTCATCGTGTTTGCCGGAACAAAGTTGGCTCTTCCGTGCTCGACGGCGCGTCCCGTGTGACTCTCGACCTCTAGCTGCATTTGCGCCAACGCGAATGGATAAAAGAAAAAGCACACGAAAAAGTCATCCATCAAGTTACCGATGATGTACCACTTTTTCCTAAGATTATAACGCACGGCCGCCGTGATTGATGTGAAAATCAAGTACATCAACCACGCCAACGTGTGCGTGCCTTTGTCCAACGGCGACAACGCGAGGAGCAAGATCCACAAAAGATGCACCAGCCCGTAACCGAAACTTAACACGCTCAGCCTGAGAGGCTTGAAGAGTTCCAAGCCCGCCGTCGTTAAGGACCTTCTCGGATTTAAAATTGTGCGCAATAGTAACAGCAAGCGATCCTTTGTCGACGCTTGTTTCGTCGCCATCGTTCCGTCAGCCTTGTGGAAATTCTCAAACACGTCGACGATGGATGTGCTGAAACCTTTCCGCATTTTCATGTATGTTGGATCCTCATTCGTTTCGTCCATAGCGCGAAAGAGTGCTACACACATGTAATTCAGCGCGAACGTGTACGGCAGAGCGGCACAAATGCTCACCGATTGAAGCGTGGACAAACCGTTTTTAGTGGAGCTTAGCAACGCCTGCGCGGTGGCGCCTTGCGTGATGCTCCACCACACCTTTTGAAGAACAGGAGGATTTTCCATGCCGTTCGCGGCGATTTTGTCGTCCACGAACGCGCCCGCATCCGCAGAGGTGACGAAGAACAAAATCACACCCAAAAGAACTAAGGTTTGTAAAAGCGTCGTCAAGTTTTTGTAAGGCTCAAGAATGTCCAAAATTCTATCCGTCGATTTTCGACACGCCAAGGCGTAGACTCCGAGCTCCGAGGCCAACTTTTTTGCGTCCGCACTCACGGGTGTGTTTTCTAAATACCCGAGGGCACCGCAGTTCACAACTCCTTTCTGCCAATCTGGTGCAGCGCCGAGCGCCAATTCCGCGATGCGTTGCATTCGAATACCAAGCGATCCGAGGACGGAAATAGCAAAGAAACCCAAAAACATCGGCGCAAACATACCGACCAGAATAAGCGATCTTATGGTGCGACCACGTGAAATTTTAGCGTAAAACATTCCTACGAACGGCGCCCAAGTGATCCACCAAGCCCAGTAAAATACCGTCCACGTATCCATGAACGAAGTCGGCGAGCTCGAGTAATACGTCGTCGGATCGGCAAGCGTCTTGTTCAAGGCCGTTTCCACTAATTGTTTTATCCCTTGCGCACCCCACAAGTGCGTGTCGTTCTGCGTAAACTCTATGTTCAGCTGCGCTATGGCGTCATTGTCGAATCCGCCGAGAATCACGTACTGCAAGTATGTTCCGATTTGCTGCGTAAACGAATTTGCAAGGTACCACGTGTTGTCAAGCATGAACAAAATCATAATCAGCGCAAGTAGAATTGAGAAGGCGACAATGGCGAAAGTGATAACCCCGCGGTGGAGCCCGCTTACGAGTGCACCCGTAGTGAGCGCGGTGATGCCCCAAATGATGGCCGACTTCGTGTTGTCGTCGTCGTCAGGAATCGAAGCGCTCATGCGGTGCAAGATGGTATTGATACTGCTCGCCCCCAAACCGAGCGACGTGCACAACCCAAACGTCGTACAAGCGATGGACATCGAGTCAATCAAGTCGCCGAACAGCCCGTTGACGTAATCGCCTACGATGGGATAAAACGCACTGCGAAGCGTCAGCGGCCTGCCCAGTCGGTAATGCACGACGCCGAGCGTCAGCGCGACCAAGATGTACGTCGCCCAACCGTGCAAACCCCAATGCAAAAAAGTGACAAACATCGCCATGTTCGCCCTTTGATCATCGTTCATGAACGGGATCTTCGCTATATAGTTGGTTGCTGTTCCTAAAAGTTTGGAATCATCACGATAGTAGTACATCGGCTCGCTCACTCCAAAGTAAAATATCCCCGTCCCGAGCCCCGTGGTGAAAATCAACGTGAACCACACGAGATCGGAATAATCAGGCCTATCATCCGGCTGTCCGAGCTTGATGTTTGCGTACCTTTTCCGAAACAGCACGAAAATCACCACGAAAATCCACGCGTTCTGCGTCAAGGTGTAAAACCACGTAAAGTTGTTGGAAATCCAAAGCGTCGCCTTGCCGAAAAATTCCTCCGCCGCCTCTTCACGAGACAACACGCCGATCGTGAATCCCCACAGCGTCGTCGTCGCCATGAGCGCCACCACCCAATTTATTCGCACCACCTATCGCGTCGCGCACCGTTTCGTCAGTCGTCGTTCTCGCGCTCGTCCCCCCCTTCTTCGCGCTCTGTAACAACCTCGATTGCCGATTGCATCCATCCATCCGTCGTCTTCCTTCCTTCGTCCACCTCTTTCGCCTTCGTTCGCGCGCGACGTCGCACCGCCGAGCGCCCACGCACCGGAAACGCCAGCAAGTCCACGCTCAACCATCGGTTCGCGCGCGTGAACCGCCGCGCGCTCTCTTCGTCGCGAAAATCATCCAATCGCGGGAGCTCAAGTTTTGTCCCTTCCGTCCCGTCTCGCGCGTTCGCCCGCGCCGCGCGCGCGCCGATCGTCGCGGTCGGATCGATCGCGCCGCTCACCGCGACCGCGTCGCCGAACATGCCGGCGCGCGTCGGTCTGGCGCGACGATTCGTTCGATGGCACTTTTTTGACGCGTCGACGCATCGACGGCGTCAGAACGCGCCTCGCGCGGCGCGCGCCGCGAGCGCGACGACGCGCGACGCGCGACGACGCGCGACGCGACGACGCATGCGCGCGCGCGCGAGCGAGGCGCGCGCGGCGACGCGCGCGGCGCACGAGTGGTTGCTCGCGTGCACGCACTGGTTCTTCGTCGCGCGCGCGTGGGCGCGACGCGTCGTCGACGCGACGTTTCGCGCGCTGGGATGCGAACGATTCGAACCGCGGCGAGGGCTGCGGCACGCGATGCGCGCGATGAACGCGGAGCTGCGACGAAGGGTGGGCGGATACGAAGGGTTGGGCGGCGACGCGCCGAGACGACCGCCGAGGACGCTGAGCGTGATCGCGACGTGTGGAGAGGGAGACGGCGATCTGGAGAGGTTCGTCGAACGCGCGGTGAACGTCGCGCGGTGGTGCGCGCGGTGTGGGGTGGAACGCGTGAGCGTGTACGATGGCGGCGGACGCGCGACGACGACGCGCGGAATCGAGGCGCTGCGCGAGGCGCTGGAGACCTCGAGGCGAGATCGCGAGGGCGTGGGGTACGTCTTGCGCGTCGTGGACGCCGATGACGGTGGTAAGATTCGAGAGTGCGCGCGTGGGGCGAGCGCGGGGCGCGGGGAGGCGTCGATCGATGTCGACGCGTTGGGACCGAGGGACGCGTGCGCGGCGCTGCTGGACGCGGCGAGACACGCGGAATTAGATGAAGGCGACGATTCGCTCGAGGGTGCCATCGCGAGCGCGCGGGATGGTGACGGCGTGGAGTGGGCAAAGTTCAAATATAAACCCGACGTCGTGCGTTTGGAGCGTTGGATGCGCGAGCGAGGGACTTTCCTTCCGCCCGCCGACGTCGCCGTCGTCTTCGGCGCGACGTTTCATCTTCAGGGCTACCCACCGTGGCAACTGCACGCCGCGGAGTTGTTCCACGAGGAATCATTAGATAGATTTAGTCGTCGCGATCTCGCGCGAGTCATAGACAAGTACGCGAAGACTGCGCAAAGATTTGGCAAATAGCGCGGCTCGCCGCGCGTCTCGTCTTGTACACGGAATTCTTTATTAAAAACAAACGCCGCCGCATCGCCTACTTCTTCCCGCCCTTCGGATCAAACTTCGGATCGATTCTCTTGAACATCGGCGCGTGCTTCAGCATGTCCGGAATCACCATCATTCGCACTTTCGACCCACGAATGTACACGTGTTCCATCTTACTCTCCTTCCCGTCGCGACCGACGTGCGTGACATCCGTCATTTGACAATTCCAATTATCCTCGCTCTCCACGAGCTGCCCTCGGTACGTTTCCCCAGTCTTAAGCTCCACCTGCGTCATCGTTCGCGAACCGCGCGTCGTCGTCAGTCGCTTTCCTCGTCTTCGCGAAACCGTCCTTCGCGCGCGTTCGAGGCGTTAGGGTTGATTCCTCCCCCTCGCGATCCTCGCCCGCGCGCGCTTCTCGCGCGTCGTTCGCGCGTCTCGCCCGCGCGCGCGTCGATCGACGCCGCCCGCGCGTCGCGGCGTCGCGCGCGTCGCCGTCGCGCGTCGCGCGCGCGCGCATTCCTCGAAAACATCGCGCAATCGCGCATCGAACGTCGTCGTCGCGCATCGACGTCGAGCGAACGCACCGTCACGACGTGTCCCTCGCTCTCGTGCAGCAGCTTCACCGGCACGCCGACGCCCTTGCCGAGCCCCACCATCGCGGCTCGCGTCGCGCGATTCTCGCGACGTCGTCGTCGTCGATGAGTGCGGCGGCGGCGAGCGACGAGCGGCGTGAAAACGCGACGCGCCGACGATGGGACGGAACAAGACGGCGAAGAAGGACCGAGGGTACGTCACCGCGAGCGAGTGGGCGGCCGAGGGCGGCGGCGGTGGGAGGGATCGCGGCGCGGACGCGCCGTTTCGACGATTGCCGTTTCACTGCTGCGCAATCTCGTTTCTGCCGTTTAAAAACGCGGTGTGCGCGCCGGATGGGACGGTGATGGACATCTCGAACGCGGTGCCGTACGTGATGAAACATAAGAAGCACCCCGTGAGCGGTGAGGCGCTGGCGGTGAAGGATTTGGTGCGGTTGAATTGGTACAAGAATAAAGACGGCGAGTACGAGTGCCCGGTGCTGAATAAGACGTTTACGGACGCGACGCGGATATGCGCGGTGAAGACGACTGGAAACGTGTATTGCACCGATGCGATCGAAGAGTTGTGCTTTAAGACGAAGAACTGGAAGGATTTGTTGACGGATGAGGCGTTTAAGAGAAGCGACGTGGTGACGCTGCAGGACCCGTTGGATTTGAAGGCGCGAACGTTGGATAACTTTGATCACGTGAAACGCGGGTTAGACGTGAAGGGATTGGGGAAAGAAGGACAAGGAGACGATGGAAGCATCAACAAGACGCAGGTGAGCGAAGACATGCGTCGTGTGTTGGCGTCGCTCGGGAGCGAGGAGGCGGCAAAAATCGGCGCGCGAGGCGGGAGTTCGGCGGCGGCGCAGGCGCAGGAGGTTTTAAATCTCGCCAAGGCTAAAGATGCGGAGGAGAATAAGAAGCACGGGATCGAAACCAAGCCAGACACAGTCGACAACAGTCACTTGCTGCGAGGACCCGCGTACGTGGCGCCGGTGGATAACATTACGTTCAAGCCCGGTTCTTCCACCTGGGACACAAACGAGACGGGACGAGTGGACCTGGATACACGCACGGAGAAGGAAAAGGCGAAAAGGCGGGCGGAAATGGCGCCGTATCTCGTAACTCTTAAGACGAAAACGAACGACATGCGCACGACTGGGCACAGTGCGATGGGGTTCACGTCGACGACGATGGAGGCGCACACAAAGAACCATCGCGCCGAGGAAATCGTGTGGTACAATCCGACGAAGAAGGGATACGTTCGATTACACACAAACTTTGGTGATTTGAACATCGAGCTGCATTGCGACAAGACGCCGAGAACGTGCGAAAATTTCATCACGCTCGCAGAAAAGGGATTTTACGACGGAGTCAAGTTTCACCGAAGCATTAAAAGATTCATGCTTCAGGGTGGCGATCCCACGGGCACTGGAAGAGGCGGACACTGCATATGGGGCGAGAAGTTTGCGGATGAAATCAAGGGCAACCCTCATAGACACGACGAACGCGGCGTGTTGAGCATGGCAAACAGCGGCAAGAACACGAATGGTTCGCAATTTTTCATCACGTACAATGCTGCGCCGCATTTGGACAACAAGCACACGGTGTTCGGACGCGTCGTGGGCGGGATGGAAACTCTCGCGCGTATCGAAGAGGTTGAATGCGACGCCGCCGATCGTCCTTTGAAGACGATTAAAATCACTTCATGCACGATTTTCACCAATCCATACGACGAACTGCGCGAAGAAGACGACAAGAAGGAACGCGCAGAAGCGGAAGCCAAAGCCAAGGCGGCAGACGTCAAGAATGGCACCGGTCAAGGTCAGCGCGGGTCGTGGTGGAGTGATCCCGCGGCAGCGCTAGCGAAGGACGCCTCGGCATTACCAGCGGCTAAAGCATCCGATGGCGTGGGAAAATACGTCGCCTCGGCATCCACGAGTGCGCCGGCTGCGAGCGCGCCGCCGCCGAAGAAGGCGAAGACGGGCGGTTTCGGCAACTTTGATGCGTGGTAGCTAAATAGAGAGACATTTGTAAATTACACATTGATTCGTAGCGAACGAGGCAATCATATCATGTGATGAACTTCTCACGCGGCGTTCGTCAGTGCGGCGAGACGACGCGAGCTTCGCACGGGCGCTTTCGGCGAGCGTTTTGGCTTCTTATTTCGCGGCGGCTTATCAGGTGCGGGTAACGTCAAATTCTTTTGCGCTTCGTCTTTCGTGGACAAAGGAAGAGCTTTGCGCTTACGCGTTGTCGACTTGGACGATGGTAGAAGTTGTGGCTCCTCTGTTTTCATCGTCGAAGGAAGCGCTTTGGCTCCCGTCCGTAGCTCTTCCAATTCGGCTCGCGTCATATCGTACGCTAACGAATTTCCATGAAAACCTGTGCTGAATCTTTCAATTTGCAACCGTTTCCCTTCAATGGAGCGCCCGTGAATCATGTCGAGGATGTGTTCGAGATTGAGAACTTTGCAGTTCGCTTTCGTGCGCGCAGCTGATAGTTTCGAAACGCCTGGCTCTTCGCCGACGAGCAAAACATCAGTTGCGCCTGAAACCGCGCTCCGCACGACGCCTCCAAACCGCTGAATCAGCTTTTCCGCCATGTCTTTGCCTTGCATCAGACCGATTCGATCGCCTCCGAGATCCGGAAAAATTCCCGTCAGCACGAACGTCATGGGTTTGGAATTGTCGCGAAGAAGTGAGTTGGCGATTGCGCCGTTTTCGCCAGGGACGGGAATCAAAATCTTCGGTGGTGGCTTCTCCTCTTTTGGTTTCTGCACGGCGATCGCGGTGCCGACATTCGGCGCCACTTGCAAGCCATCTTCGTGTTCGTCGTCATCAGTCACGACGTCGTACTCATCGTGGTCCGTTCGTTTTGGTTCCGGTTTTGATTCCTGCTTCGTCACCGCGGCGAGCGGTTCGTCTTGCTCTGGTTCTTGCACTAAAGACGTCGCCTTCGACATTAGTTTCTGCAGTACTTTGATTTCGTCTTTCGAAAGAAGTTGAACCCGCGATGACGGAAGGCCAGCAGCTCGAGCGGCGACATATTTCTTCTGATTGAACGCCGCCCACGCCTCCTGATTCATCGCGTGTTCGGCGACGAGCGTGATGTCTTCATCGCAAAGTTTGTTCAACCCGACGAAGACGACGCCGTCCATATCGACCAAGCGTCTTTTGAACTCATCGACGCTATACTCAGTCGTATCGTCGGGGTACTGCGGAAGATTGTACCACACCGCCTGAGGCACACGCCAACATCGCAAATGAACGAATCGGCAGTACGCGCCAGATTCTGGATCCATTAAGCCCACGCGCACAGCGTTCTTCTTGATGATTCCGAACACGTCGGCGACGAGCGCTCTCGATGACCCGGGACCGGGACCGGGACCGGGACCCACGCTTCTCGGCTGATCCACCTTCGATCCTTCATTGGTGTTTCGACAGCGACCGACGCTGCCGAGGGACTTGCGCGAGCCGGTGCAGCGAGCTCTGCCCGACGCCGCCAACTCAATTTTCCAGAACGGAATGTCTCGTTCAGCGGCGGTTTGAAAGAACTCGTACGGTGGAATCGTCCGTCGCTTACCCATGAGTTCTGGCGCGTCTACCATCGTTCGTTTCGCCTTCGCCTTCGCCTTCGCCTTCGCCGGCGCCGATTCGATGCACTTCGCGAATTCCGAGAAGCCATCGAGAAACGCTTGTTTGAGCTCTTGAAACGCCTCGTACATCGCTTGGAACGCGTCCGCGTCGCCTCCTTTGTCTGGGTGCGTCTCCAACGCGCGTCTGTTGAACGCGCGCTTCACGAGGAGCCTGCGCGCGTGCGACGACGTCGTCAATGCTCGCGCCGCGCGCGCGCGCGGCGAACGCCCTTTACCATTCAGCATCTTCGCGAGGATCGAAGCGCGCGGTCGCGAAGGCCTCGGGGCTCGCGAACGATTCGTCGATCGCGAGGAGGAGTTCGCGCGCGCGAGAGGTTTCGATCGAGCGGCGCGCGCGAGCGGGCATCGCGCGCGTCGGTGTGTGCCGCGCTTCGGCGCGCGATGCCAATGCGGGCACCATCGCGCGTCGAATCGAATCGCACGCGCGCGGCGTCGACGACGACGCGACGTCGAGCGAAATCGCTATCGATGGGGCTATAAAAGCGTAACTAACAGTCGAACGATCGCGTCGTCGGAACAACTCGAAATCAAACGTCGGCGCTCTTCCGCGTCGCGCGAACTCAGTACCCGTCGTCGCTCCACGTCGCCTGGTATCCAGTAAACGCCTCTTGAATCATCGCGCACGCGCGTTCGTTACACCCCGGCGTGCGCCCGAACGTTTTACTGTACCCGTACACCTTGATCGTCTTCGCCGCGTCGTCGCGTTCGCATCGACCGCCGCCGACGACGCGGCCGGTCGCGTCGACGCCGAGTCGCGCCAACTCGCGCGTCAACAGCTCAAAATTATTCGCGTGGTACGCGCATCCGGCGTACGCGCGAACGACGAGCGCGGCTTCGTCGCCGATCGCGAGCTGCGTGAGGACGTACTTGTGCCGTCCAGGCGCGACGTCGACGGCGGGGACGCGACGTAACGGTGAATCTTCGCTCGGTGCGTGCGCGGCGACGTAGTCGTTCTGCGTCGCGCGACGCTGGAGTTCGAGCGCGGCGACGTTGAGGGCTTCGCCCGTGACGTCGTCGAAGCGCGGTTCGGCGTCGGCGTCGGCGGCGGTCGGCATCGCGAGTCGCGGAGTGCGGCGCGTCGCGCGGGATTCGGGATTTGGATATGGATTACAGTCTAGCGGCGGGAATTCGGGTCACCACGTCGTGTCGCACGCGTCGCCGCACGCGTCGCCGCGCCAACTGATTTTCGTGGGCGGAAACACGACGTCGTACGCGCGCGCCTGGCGAGGCCGGGCCATCATGTTCGCGACTTCCTCTCGCCACGCCTCGTAATGCGGCGTCGATTTATGCGCCACCGCGCTCGCCGCGCCGTCGTACACCTCAACCAATAAAAACTTTCGCGCGCTCTCGGCGCTCTGGAACACGTCAAAGCGCAAATTCCCATCCTCTAACGCGGATTCGCTCGCGTTCTTCGCGCACGCCGAGGCAAACGCCGCCTCGTCGCCCGCCGCGCATTCGCAGTGCACGTGCACGCAACTCGCGTTCACCATCTCGCTCTGATCATCGTCTTCGTTCCACGTCACGGCGTTCGCGTACGTCCACGCGTCGTCGTTCGGTTCGATCGCCAGATACGTCTCCGCGCTCCGCGGCGCCGCCATCATATCCGCGACTTCGTCTCGCCACGTCTCGTAATGCTTCGTCTCCTTGTGCTTCGCCGCCGACGCGTCGTCGGCGTATATCTCGACCAGCGTCACTAAATTTCTATCCTTCTCGTCCCGGAGCACGTCGAAGCGCACGTTCCCCGCCTCGCGAACGCTCGCGCGCGCGTTTTCCTCCGTCAATCGCAGAAAATCATCCATCGCCTCCGCCTTGACGTCGCAGCGCACGAGCGTGATCCGCGCGCTCGCGCGGACGCGCGCGTCGCGGCGCCGCCGTCCATCGCGCGCGCGCGTCGCGCGTCGCGACCGGATCGCGACGCGCGGTGGATGAATCGTCGCGCGTCGCGTCAGCATCGTCGTCGCGTCGCGAAGTGCGGCGGCAGAGCGCCGCGCGCCGACGAACGCGTCGCGGACGCGCGATGACGACGCACGAGTTCTTGCGCGACGCGTACGGACGCGCGTCGAGCGCGATCGCGAAGAGCGAGACGGTCGCGCGCGTGCACAGCGCCGGGACGTCCGCGGTCGAGGCGATGACGGAGACGATCGGACGGGGCGCGCGGGACGCGCGGGACGCGCTCGAACGCTCGACGAGCGTGCGCGAGGGCGTGTTGGAGACGATGCTGCGCGCGAGGCGCGCGGAGACGGTGCGCGAACGACGCGAGCGATGGGACGAGAGACGACGACGACGAGCGGCGACGCGCGTTTGGTGTTCGCGCGGACGAGGGACGACCGGAGACGCGCGCGGAGACGCCGATTCGATGGACTGACGAAGAGGATGATTGCGGTCGAACGCGACAGGAGGATACGCGAGTGGATGGAGGTTTGGCGGCGTACGCGCGCGCGGTGGAGGAAACGATGGAGGCGTACGACGTGCGACACGCGCACGTGGACGCGCGCGCGAGGATCGCGCTGCGGCACAGCGCGACGCTGGAATCGACGATACGGAAGCAAGAGGAGTCGTGGGTGGCGCTCGAGCGCGAACTCGCGGAAGTTTCGGGGATGACGGCGAAGGTTTGGGAACAGAGCGAGTCGCTCAACCGAACGGTGGAGCTGCTGTCCGAGGTGGAGGAGATGTTACTCGAAGCGGAGATCGGAGCCGAGTTGGATGCGTTGTATAAACGACGAGACGATGCAGAGGCGAAGGATGCGGAGGCAGAGGCGGCGTTCCAGGAGGAAGTCGCACACGTGCTTCAGTTGCACGACATGTTGGTGAACGACGCGATGACGAACCAAGTGAGTTCGAGGACGACGGAGGAAATCGCAGCCGAGCAAGAACTTAAGAAGAAACTCGCGAGTTTGGCGAAGAAGAAGAGTAAGGACGTCTCGGTTCTCTCGAAGGATGAGTCCCTGAAGGACATCGCTTCGTCGCTCGACGTCGCGTCGACCATGTCCTCAAAGATGACGAGCGATTTGGACGATTTCTTCAACGCGGACGCTGATGGCGACGAACGTGACGCGTCGAGCGGAAAAATGTACACGCTTTACGGTGTTCGCGCGCGTGCGGACCAGACGAAGGGGGCAATTCTCAACCAGCCGCACGAAATCAAGTCGGAAAAGTCCATGGACGTCGGCGAAGCAGAACGCATCGCACTGGCGAGAAAAGAGGCGCTCGGGATCGCGGACGAAGACATGCACGGGGTGAACTTGCGCCCGCCACCGCCTAAAGGTGGCGCGCAAGATGGACCTTTGGAAGAAGCGCAAAGCCCGCGACGAATCGTGATCGAGGCGAAGAGCGTGAGCCATCAAGTGAGCGATACGCTGAAGAATTTCAGCATGGGCGGTATTTGGGAAAGCGCGTCAGCTTCGACGGCGGCGGCGGCAGAACGCGCATCTGCAGCCACGGCGGCAGCGACGGCCGCGGCGACAGCGGCGGCGGCAGCGGGCAAAGACGCGGTGCGAGCGTTACAAGAGCGCACGACGCGCAAGCCCGCCGTCGAAGCCGACGCGCCGACTTATTATAAAAAGGACGCGGGAACGTCAACTTAGCCGTTAGATTACAACGCTGCCGCGTTCTACAAATAGCTGAAATGCGTACAAACAAAAAATGAATGCGAATCAAGTCGCTTCCGCCGCCGCCGCTGCGCGCAACTCCTCGTCTTCTGAAATCACAGGCGGTCGAGGTCCGGCCAACGCTGGCCATTCTCCGTCGCGCATGTGGCGATTAATCGCGTTGCGCAAGCGCTCTTCTTTCGCACCGGAGTGGAAATGCAACTTTTCGCCCGCTCGAAACAAGAAAAAGGAAGGCGTCGACTTCACACCGAGATCGTCGCGCGCGAGAATCGTAGTACTCCCGTTTTCGTTCCCATTCATGTAGACGAACTTGACGCTCGGGAATTGCTCGGAGATTTGATGATACTTGCGCGCGAACGCTTTGCACGGTCGGCAAAACGTAAAACCGACTTCGAGGCAAATGAGTCTTTTGCTTTCCATTTTCAGCACGCGGCGCCACTCGTCTTGCGAGACAATAGTCGTGACGGCTTCAGTCGACACTTCGCTCTTCCACCACCTGCACCATTCATCGAAAGTGACGACACCGTTCGCGTCCAAATCCAAGGAATCCATCAACGACTGCACGTCGTTCACTTTTACGTTGAGCGCGAGCGTCGCGTCGACGAGTTCATTGAGTTCCAAAACGCCGTTCTTCGACGTGTCGAATGTGTCGAAGACGCTCTTCAACTGTTCATCCGAGACGAATTGAGGGCTCACGCCAGTCTGGACGCCTACGGCTTCGCGCACTTGCGCGAGCGTTTCGCGCAAGCCAATTTGCTGTTTCGCTAGTAACGCCGCACCCTTGACACCGGCGACGAAGCCCAGAGTCCCCGGCACGACTTTCGTGTTAAGCGCGGTCAACTTGTCCATAATTTTGTCGGCATTTTGACCAGCTTTACCACCGAGAATGATGACGTCCGGCTTATACTTTCGCTCGAGCTCGCTCAAGTACTCGCGCACGCGTTCACCAAACGCCGTCCACGCCTCGTCGGTATCGTTTGCGCCACCGATGTCGGGTAAAGTCGATATTCCCGAGACGTCGCCGTCGCCGTCGCTCAACTTTTCGCCCGCAAAGTTCTTCACAACCTTCCCTCCATCGTACAGACTGGTGCTGAACCGCCCACCGATCATGCAAAACATCACTAATCCCTTCGCCTCTCCGCCCGAAAGTTCCACGCCCGCACCGTACGCCAGTTCCGCCGCCCCGCACGCCTCGGCGCCGCTCGAAATCGACGTCTCGCACCCCGTCGCCTGCTTCACCGCGCGTTCGATGTCCGTCCTCGCCATCGTCCCTCTCGCCCCATCGCCTCTCTCGCCCTCCACGCGCGTCACTAATCCCGGCAGCGATATCCCGATCGCCCCCGTCCACTCCATCTGCTCGACCAATCGCTTCACCGCCGCCGCGACGCCGCTCGCCGTCGCCGCCTCGAGCTTCGTGCTCGCCCCCGCGCGCAGGAACGTCCCATCGCTCGCCCTCACCGGCGCCGCGCGTATGTCCTCCGCCGACGCCGTGACGTACACGCCCAGGATCTCGTCCGCGTCCGCGTCGCTCGCGAGCGCCCGCGGGCGCGCGCCGCCGCCGCGCCGACGCGACGTCGCCGCGTCGACGCGACGCGTCTTCGTCGCTCGACGCCGCGCGACGCCGCGCGCGGACGCCGCGGCGCCGACGCGCGACGCGCGCGCGGCGAGCGACGAAGACGCGGCGGCCATCGCCCGGCGTCGGCGCGCGCGCGCGAGTGAGTGAAGGAACGAATGAATGAATGAATGAATGAATACTAAACTTTGCGCCGCCGCTACTCGTCGCCGTCCCACTCGCGGTGAAACCGCTCGACGAACTCGACCATCGTCGCGTGCCTGCGCTCGGCGCGCGCGCGCCCCGACGCCGTCTTCATCAGACCCCTCAGCCTGAACAACTTTTCGTGGAAATGATTAATCGTCGTGTTCGGCCGCGTCTCGTCGCGATGCGCCGCCTCGTACCGCGCCGCCGTCACGTCCACCATCGGCGGCACGCCGGGCACGTGCATCGGATTCCCGCGCGCGCCGCCGAAACAAAACGTCCGCCCGATGCCGATCGCGCCGATCGCGTCCAATCGATCGGCGTCTTGCACGCATCGAAACTCGACGCTCTCCTCGTCGTCGTCGGCGCGCGATTTTTCAGCTTTTTCGAGTTCGCTCTTGAACCCGATCCGCGCGCACACGTCCAGCACCGTCTCGCGCGTCGCCGCGTCGACGTCCGCGCACGAGTCTTCCAGAAACGTCCTCGCCCGGCCCTTCGCGCCGTCGCCGCGCGCGTACTTCCAATCGTCGACGTCGTGCAGCAGCGCGGCGAGCTCGCAGACGAACGCGTTCGCGCCCTCGAGCCTCGCGAGCGCCACCGCGCTCGCGCGCACGCGCTCGACGTGCCAGAGATCGTGCGAGCCGTCGTTCGAGGCCAGGGCGTCGCGCGCGAAGCGCTCGGCGCGCGCGACGACGTCGCGCTCGAACGATGCGCGGTCGGTCGCGGGCATCGCGACGCGGCGCGGATTGACGACAGTCGACGACGCACCGTCGGCGATGGCGACGACGGCGACGGCGCGCGCGGCGTCGAGCGCGCGCGCGACGACGTCGACGCGGTGCGGGCGACGCGCGACGCGCGCGCGCGGCGACGAGAAGGCGCGAACGATGACGATGCGAACGATGTTGACGACGCGCGTCGATCGCGACGACGGCCGCGGGTGGGGACGCGCGCGCGCGCGAAGCGGACGGGACGGCGCGGGCGAGACGGAGGACGCGAACGACGGCGTCGCGGACGCGCGCGCGACGGCGGCGAGCGCGGGGCGGAAGAGATGGAGGAATAAGACGGAGCTCGCGGCGTTTCTGGAGACGCTGAGCGAGACGTTTCCCGAGGAGTTGGATGAGATGCGGAGAAAGGTGAGGGACGACGTGAAACGCGCGTCGCAGAGCGCGTTGTTGCTGACGTGCGCGCAGGCGTGCTTCGTGGGGGCGATGTGCATGAGCGCGCAGTCGATGAATTACTTTAGCGCGGCGCAGTTTACGTTGGCGAGGTGCGCGATTTCGTTGCCGTTCATTTACTTGTTGGCGCGCGTGCGAGGGGAGACGATGCGGGAGTTGAATAATGTGAAGAAAAGGAACGCGCTGTGCACGTCGACCGTGATGATTCTGCTCGCGGCGTGCGTTTGTTTGGCGCAAATATGTTTGGCGTACGGATTGAAGCGGGCGTCGCTCGGAAACGCCGTCGTCCTGGGGCAATTGGTGCCGGTGTATTCGTGCACGATCGCCGTGTTTCAAGGAATCGAGAGGCCGAGCGTGGGTAAATTCTCCGCGATCGCGTTGAGCGTGATCGGGACGATATTACTCCTCGATCCGGCGCGAATGTGGCTGAGCTCGGGTAATATTCTGTTGCTATTTCGAAGCGCGCTCTTCGCGGCGTACTTGGCGTTTCAAGAATCCATCTTGCGCGAGTACAATCCCATCACCGTGGCCGTGGTTTCGCAAACTATGGGTGCACTCATGGGGATCGCCATCACCGTTCCTCTCGTGTTGCGCGAGCACGTCACCGCGGAGGCGCCGATTGCTTTGGTGACGCAATCGAACGCGTGGGCCGCCGTCGCCGCCGTCGGCGTGCTTGCCTCGGCGGCGTACGCGTTGACTACGCGCGCGGAAGCGGACACGACGCCGGTTGTCACCGCGTGTTACGGGTCACTGCAGCCGATTTTTGCCGGATTGATCATGTCTGCCGGCATAGGGGGCGCCGTACTCGCGCGCGACGCGTTTGCGTCGACGCTCATCTTGGTTGGGAGCATTTTTGCCGCCGCAAAATCGACGCTCGAGCGAAGCGACATGCGCGTTTTGCAACGCTCGCAAGGCGTCGTGTGGAACACGCTCACGGGTGATCCCACGATTGCCGTTCCGCGCTCGCGGTCGACGGCGAGTTATCCGGCGCCCATCGACATGACGCTCGACTTGGACGCCGAAGTGTTCGACGTCAGCGCGACCGTCGACGCAGGCGCTGACGAAGAAGAGGGCGGCACTGTGATCATGAAAGGTGGTAAAACACTAAAACGCGGTGATAGTGAAGCTGTGGGCACGGTGCGCTTGAAGCGCAAGAGTCGTAAGACGCGTTTGCAGCGATCCGAGGTCGTTTGGACCATCGCGTTCGCGATCGTGCTCTCTGTCGTCTCGCTCGCAGGTGCCGGTTTGATTGGCTGGTACGGGGTGTACTTGTACTGGAAGTTCTTATGCTAGTGCGTTCTTTCAGTTTTTATCGTAGCTAATAGTTTTATCTCAACGTCATGCCTAGAAGTCTAAACGATTCAGAATTTAGAATTTACGCGCGCGGAAGTCGTCTTCATCCAAGAAATCCGCTACGACAGTGGCGCCGCCGAATTTCTTCCCGTTGAGAGCATCTCGCGCCTTTGTCGCGGCGTCGACAGAGGCATACTGCACGAAAACCTTCCCGATTCCAGGAGTCTTTTCGTCTGTATCCTTGCCCGGTCTAGGAATGACCACGGAGACAATCTCTCCGTGCTTTCCACATTCCTCTTGCATGTCCTCCATGATGTTTTCGTACTCTTCGTCGTCAGCCAATTCTTCTTCCGTGAGGCCCATGTTGTCAAAGGAAACCACAGTTGACGGTGGGTTTGTGGGAGGCGCCGCGATCGCGGGCGGCGGTGGTGGCACGTTCATCATCCCAGGTTGCACGCCGCCGGGAGCGTTACTTTGCTCGGCGCGGCGCACGGTGAGCGTTTTATCGCCCATCGTCATGCCGTTCAACCCTTGACACGCGATGTCCGTGACGGAGACGTCTTCGTAAACGACGAAGCCGTATCCTTTACTATTTCCAGTCTCCTTGTCGCGCACTAAATCAAATTGACGAATCGGCCCGAACGCTTCGAGCAACTCCCGGATCTGGGCTTCGTCTAAAAAGTACGGCAAACCACCGATGAAGATGCGATCCTCGTGTTCATGCAAAAGGTTCCCACCCACGCCCGCGCGTTGCAAAGCCGAAGGATCCAATCCGATCGCCGCGAGATTCAACGCCGGGTTGGGCATCGACGGCCCTAAATCATGTGCGAGCGACGGGTTGTAATCATTCGGTCTGCGAATGCGAACCGGGACGCCGTCCAGAACGATTCCGTCCAACGCGAGCGCGTTTGACGCCTCCTCCACGCTACGAAACTCAACGAACGCGAACTTTTTCTCCACGTTGATGTACACGTTCACCACCGGTTGTCCCTCCGCCCCGTTCGTGCCACCGACGGCGAGCAACGCGTTGTTAAAGAACGCGTTCACGTCCGCCTCGTTCGTCGTGAGCGGGATTCCACCGACATAAATCCGTCTCGCGTGCCGCGTCGCCTGCGCCGTCGCGTTCAAGCCTCTGCCGCCGTATCCCATTCCCGGCGGCGGCGCGTACCCGCTCCCGACGGGCGGTAAATTATTCGGGTCCACTGCGTCGCGCGGCGATTTCGCTTCGTCAGTCCTCGTTCTCGCGCCCCTCTCGCTTCGTCGCCCACGGATCGCGCGCGCGCGCGCGCGTCGACGCACCACCCTCGGGCAAAACATCGAATAGCGTCTTGCGCATCCTCGGTTGCGGTTCCCACGGCCCCGGGCTCATGCTTCGCTCGCGTTCGGGTCGAAATCCTCGTCGAGGATCGCGACCGCGGCCGCCGCCGCCGCCGCCGTACCGCTCGCGGCGCCCGCGCGGGGGCGATCGCGAGTCCCTGCGGCGATCGCGACGGTCGTATCGGTCCCTGCTGTCGTCCCGACGCCGCGGAGGAGGGTCGCGGTCGCGGCCGTACATCGTGAACGAGCGATGAAGTGCGGACGAAGCAGAGCTTTTCCGCGCGCGCGGCTTACAATTCGTCTAAACGATCGCTAACGTATCTCGTCGAGCCAACGCGCGGTGACGCGCGCGCGATCGACGTTGGGACAGTTGAGGAAGTGAACGCCCGCCATTTCGTGGTACGTCGAACCGTGAAACTCAGCGCTGTCGGATTTGAAGAATTCGCCCACGGCGGCGTCGGATTGGAGACGACGCGCGTACGCCTCGTGCGCCGACGCGTCGTTCGTGAGATAAACCTTCCCAGCGCAGACGAGGAAGGGGTAGAGACGCACAGCACCACGCGTGAGGTATTGGAACAAGCCTTCGGTCACGCCGGTCCAGTGCGGGTGGAAAAAATCGTCCACGACGATGACGCCGCCGGGCGCCAAATTACACGCCACCGCGCCCAAGTCTCGAAACGTTAACTCCGCCGTATGTCCGGCATCGACCGATACTAAGCGGAATGGATCGATGTGGTGCTTCGAAAGCCAATCCGTCGCGAGATCTGTCGTCGATCCTTTGTGTAAAAGCGCAAAGTCGCGGAATCGCAGCCCGAGGTGCGACATGGCTTGCATGAATCGATGATAACTGCCATGACCGCTGCCGTCGACGTTCAAATTTTGCTTTTCAAAGACATCCACCGCCACTAGCGCCTCGCTCGCGTCTGCGGTGATAAATAAGCAGCTCGTGAACCGACCGTGGTGGACTCCCAACTCGCCGACGGCGCCGAACAAGCTCATGTCGTCGTGCTGATAATTCGACAACATCGCCGTCACCATCCCGTGCACCAGCACGTCTCCGCTGCCTTGTCTCACTTTTTCGTACCCTCCATTCGCTATGTCTCTCGCCTTTTCCACCGCCACCTTTCTCGAGCGTTCCGACGGCGCCGCCGCTCGAACGCTCGGTGCCGCGCACGCCGCGTGCGCGTCTTCGAACACGCGCGGCCCGACCGACGCCTGACCCGCGGCGAAGGCGCTCGTCGACGACGACGACGAATGCGAATCGTCGTTCGGGCGTCCACGGCGAGGCCACGATCCGCGCATCGACGCCGAACGCGCGTTTTCGGAACCCATGTTCAAAGAACCCATCGCACTCTGCAGCGCCCACACGACGACGACGAGCGCCGCGCACACCGCGAGACCGCGGGCGAGACGCAACGCTCGGTTGCGCCGCGCCATGGCGGCGGTCCCGCGCGACGCGCGACGCGAGGTGCGGTGCAGCAGTCACAAGATGAACGAATGAGCGACGAAGACGCGACGAAGACGCCGCGACTAAAGTGAGCGATCGACGATAACGCGCGGCGCATAAAATATTACAATCCGAGATCCTTGACGGAGACGCGGTCGGTGAGCGGGGCGCCGTCACGATCGAGCAGCGACAAATTTTTGTAGTACCCTCTCGGCGAACGCTCCGCGCCCGGCCAGTAGTTGGCTATGAGCGAGCGGAGCTCCATCTCGTCGAGCACGTCCTCGCCGGCGTGCTGCGGATAGGCCGCTCGGAACGCCTTTGAGATTTCGCTCTGATGACACCGCCCCGAGCGCGACAGCCGCTTTTCTCCAAAGGCGCAGAAATCGGCGTACTGCGCCTCCAATTTCGCCATCGTCGCCTCGTCGACGCGCTTCGGTCTGCCGAGTTCGCTCACGCCGGCGATGACGGCGAACCCCAATCCGCTCGAAATTTGCCACGTCGCATCACCGAACGCGGCGTCGCCGAGCTGCGACACGGCGACGCCCGATAACAAGAACCAACACGCGATGAGCGCCTTGCTCGCCGAAGACGCGTCCTCCATCTGCGCCGTCCCCGTGGCTTTGCGCAGTAACCAATCGCTCGGCCGCTCGCTGTCGGTTCTCCCGAGAAACAACATCACCACCGACACCGGACTCGCGTAGTATAAGCCCAACGCCCAGACCACGGCGCCGAAAATCGCCGACCCGCTCAAAAAATCCATCGCCCCGCCCGCGCCGCGCCCGCTCGCGAAGTCAAACTCCCCGTCCCCCCCCCCGGTCCAATCCGCGTACGACTCGATCGAATCCACCCCGTACAAGAACCCATCCGTTGAATTTTCGTACACCAGCGCGATCACCGCCGTCATCGCGACCGCCAATCCCCCGACGACGACCCACGTCTTCGCGTTTTCTCGATTCGCCGCCTTGTCCCTTCGCGAGATCAATCTCGGGTCTCGCGTCTCGTCCTCGCGTCCGCGCGCCCGCGCGCGCGTCATCGCGCGTCGTCCGCGCGATATCGCGCCGTCGCCATCGCGCGCGCGCGTCGTCTCGCGCGGCTTTCGCGTCGCGAACGTCACGCGAGACGACGTCATCGCCATCGTCCCCGCGCGTCGCGTCGTCCGCGCCGTCCGCGCCGTCCGCGTCGTTCGCGTCGTCGCGCGCGTCGCCGTCGTCGCCGTCGTCCGCGCGCGCGTCGCCATGGCGCTCGCGTCGTCGGCGTCGCGCGTCGCGGTCTCACTCCGCGCCGCGCCGTCGCGCATGCTTCGACGCGGCGCCCTGCGCGCGTCCGCCTCGCTCCTGCGCATGCGCTTCCCGCCGCGCGTGCGCGAGGACGGCGTCGTCCTCAGCACGCTCCCCGCCGCCGCGCACGCGCGCGAGCTCGCGCGCCTGGCGCTCGCGCGCTCGGACGCGTCGACGACGACGCCGGCGCCGCGCCGACGACCGCCGCGCGCGCTCGACGCCGATCGCGTGCCCGAGGCGCTGCGCCGCGCCAGGCGCGCGCTGACGCAACGAGAGATGGACGCGGTCGACAGCGGAGGCGCGGCGTAGCGCGGTTCACGCGTCGCGCGCGGCGACGGCGTCGGATGTTAATCGAATTCATCAATCGAATTCATCAATCGAATGCGTCGACGTTCCGACGGTCGCGCGTCGTTTCGCGCCGCGGCGCGCGACGCGAAACCCGCGCGATGGCGCCCGGTCGACGCGGAAACGCGCACGCGTATCGGTTCGCCCTGCTCGGCGGGCTGTCGCTCGGGTACGACGTCGCGCTCGTCGGTGGGATCCTGCCGACGCTCGAAAGGACGCTGGCGCTGAGCGCCGCGGCGCGAGGCGTCGTCGTCGCGAGCGCCAAGCTCGGCGGCGCGCTCGGTGCGTTCGTCGGCGCGGCGCTGATGCGGAGCCACGGACGGGGGAGATCGGCGTCGGCGATGACGCTGGCGTGCTCGGCGTGCGGAAGCGCGGCGACGTGGGCGAGCGCGGAGGCGGGCGACGCGACCGGGATGGCGCTCGGGCGCGTCGCGCTGGGCGTCGGCGTGGGAGGGGTGGCGGTGATTGCGCCGGCGTACTGCGGGGAGACGAGCGAGGTCGGCGCGCGAGGGAGCGTGGGGGCGTGCTTCGAGTTGAGCGTGTGCGCGGGGATGGCGTTGGCGAACGCGTTGACGTGGTTCTCGCCGCAGAAGACGCTCGGATTGGTGCTTTTCTCGCCCGCGGTGCTCGGATTTTGGAGCGCGATCGTGTTCGCGATGTCGGTGGAGAGTCCGAGGTGGCTTTTCAGGCGTGGGGACGAAAACGGGGCGAGGGACGCGCTTCGCGCGACGGGCGCGGACGCGGCGACGGTCGAGGAAGAAATCGGGGAGATTTTAGCGGAGGAGCGCGCGTTGGGGATCGGATTTGACGGCGGCGCGGGTGACGATGCCGGATTCTGGCGTTCATTCGTCGAAAGCACGGTCGGAGGCGTCCGCGAGGCGATGTCGGGAGACGAGAGACGAGCGGTTCGACTGGCGCTCGCGATGGCGGTGCTCAACCAAATGTGCGCGTCGACGAGCGTGATCAATTACGGCTCGAGCGTGTTTCGCAGATTGGCGAACGATGCGTCGGCGTCGAACGGCGATATGGACGTGTACAACATGTACACGGGCGTCATCATTCTCTGCAAAACGGTTGGAGTGGCGGCGTCCATCGCCATGGTTGATTCCGTCGGCCGGCGACCGTTGTTGTTGTTCGGTTCAGCCGCTTCCGGGTTCGGGCTGTGCGTTGCGTGTTTCGGCTACGCCGCCAAAAGCGTCGGATGGACTCTTTTCGGTCTCTGCGCGTTCATCTTGGCGTTCTCTTCGTCGTTCGCGAGCGTGTTTTGGGTTCTCGTCTCCGAGCTGTTCTCCATGCGGGCGAAGTCGTCAGCCATCGCGCTCGTCACGGCGACGCTTTTCGCGTCGGGCGCGCTCTCTGATTCAATCTTCCCGTCGATGATCTCCACCATCGGCGCCGGCACGTTCGTCGTGTACGCCATCGTGTGCTTTGCGTCGACGACTTTTGTCTATCTTTACATTCCCGAGACGGCGCGCAAGCCGTTGAAGGAAATCCAGAGCGCGATGAAATCCGGCCTTTCGGGATACGCCGAGATTCACGCCTCGTCCGAGCACGAAGATCGAGGCACTAGAGTAGAATTAGCGGTGACTAGAGACACCAACGGCGGTTAAAACTTGGCCGAGTCGGTCGGGTGAGTGACCAGAGATGTTTGTTAATGTACAAAACTACGGTGGCGTGTCTAAACGCGATGATGATCACTCAGTGCGGCTATCTGCGTTCAACGTTCGCGCGGAATAGTTTACATCGCTTGCGAGGCGAGAGGTCCCGAAGACGCAGACTTGAGCACTTGCAAAATGCTCGAGCCGATGACGACGAAGACGAAGAATCCCAGCATCACCGGACCGACGCTGAAATCCTTCTTCTTCGCGCTGCCGGAATCCACTAAACCGCGTCGGTGGATGTTCCCATGGAACTTTCGCGACTTGTGCGCCATCATGCGGTGCGAGACAGCCTGTGCGCGCGCGATCCATCGTCAGTGTGAAAAACCGGGAGATCGAACGCGATCGCGACGCGATCGCGACGCGCGCGCGCGCGACGCGCGTTCAACCGCGCGCGACGCGTCGAGTGATGTTTTTCTACGCACCATCTTCGTTCCGAGCGATTCCGTGCGCGAACACGGGGTTCGGGCGCGTCGGCGAGTGCCGTTGCCACGTGCCGTTGCCACGTGGCCTTGTCGCCAAGTATCGCGGAAAGGTGGCGATGGGTTCGCGACGCGGGCGATCGTCAAGTATTACGTCGGGATTTCGGGGAAAAAGCCGAAGAAGATGGATTTAGTGTTGGGCGGCCGACCGAGAATATGCCGCGGCCGACCGCGGGAAATTCTAAGCTACACGCTATTTCGACGCGGCGACGTAAAACGTCCTAGGAGTGGGATCGCGACGATAGGATTTTCTGTCGGTGGCGAAAGGCGTCGGCGGCGCGCCGGTCCAACGTCCGTAATGGAGCGCGCCGTCGCCGAGTTGGGCGCACGCGTCGAGACGCCACGGCGCAAAGTACGCCTCGGGCGGCACGTCGCAGGACGATTTCCAGCACTGACGCGCGGTCTTCGGTGCGGCGCGACCGAAAACGCGAAGAAACTTGCTCTTGAACGGCTCGCGACGCGCGCGTCGGAGCGACGGCGCGTTGACGACGGAGACGGCGACGACGCTCCCGGGCCCGCACGACCGATGACACAGCGCGAGCGTCTTTTTGGCGCATCGCGGCGACAGGTAATAGAGCAACCCTTCGAGAACCCACACCGTGGGCAACTCCGTGGACATTCCCGCGGCTTTGAGCGCGGCGACCCAATCGTCTTTGGCGATATCGCTCGCCACCTCGCGTCGCTCCGCGCCGAGCGTCAACGGCGCGTCGCTCACGACTTCGCGCTTTCGCGCCAACACCTCCTCGACGTCGACCTCGTACACGCTCGTTCGTTCTCGCGCCTCTTCGCTCGCCGCGCGCAATCGCCAGCTCCGCGTGTCGTACCCCGCGCCCAGAAGCACCACCTGCGTCGTCTCCCCCCGCGCGCTCGCCATCTTCCCCGCCGCCGCCGTCACGAAATCGTCGAAAAACTTCGTGCGCACCGCGATTCTCCCCTTATCCCCGTCCTCGCGCCGCCGCGCGTCCGCGCGCGCCATCGCGCGCGCGCCCGCGAGTTCGCGCGCCCACGGATCTTTCATCAATCCATCCGCCCGTTCGCTCTCCACCGCGCGCAGCGCCGCGATCGAGTTCGCGCTCTGCGTCACCGCGCGCGTCGCGTCCGTCGCGCGTCCCATCGTCGCGCGCTCCCCCGTCGTCGGCGTCTGTCGACGCGATCCGCGAGCGCCGACGCGTCGCGCGTCGACGACCAGAACCGTCGGGCGGCGACGCGACGTTCGCCCTCGTTCGGCGAAACGCGACGTTCGCCCTCGTTCGGCGAAACGCGACGTTCGCCCTCGTGTGGCGAAACGCGACGTTCGCCCTCGTCTGGCGACGCCCGGCGCGTGACGTCGACGCTATCCGCCGGCGCGCACGCGTCGGCACACGACGACGACGATGGCGACGACGGCGACGATGGCGCGTCGCGGCGCGGCGACGGTGACGACGACGACGACGACGACGACGCGGGCGCGACGAGGCGCGCGCGCGACGAAGCGACGAGGGACGACGCGGGCGAGGGCGAACGCGGAGGCGGGCGGCGACGCGAAGAACGCGCGCGAACAGGACGTGCGCGCGGCGATCGAGGCGATCGAACGCGACGGAGGGCGACTCACGGGGAAGGTGGAGGTGGTGAATCGCGGCGGGGTGGTGCTCAGGGTGACCAAGGGACGCTTTCGGGCGTTTTTGCCGAAGAGCCAAATGCGATCGAGTCGCCTGCGGGGCGACTTCAGGGGGGGGGCCGAGGAGGCGGACGAGACGAAGATGCTCGAGGCGCAGATCGGGAAATTGATCGACGTGAAGTTGGTCGATCACTCGTCGAAGCGGATCGTGGTGAGCGAGCGAGCGTTGTTGCAGGAACGGGCGAGCGAAAAGTTACCCGTGGGCGACGTCAAGGAGGTCGTCGTCACCTCGTTGAGCGATTTTGGGGCGTTCGTGGAGGTGTGCGACGGTCAAGGCGAAGCGAGCGGGTTGGAGGGATTGGTGCACATCTCTGAGATCTCGTGGAATAGAATTAGTCACCCGAGAGACGCGGTCAAGGTTGGACAACGCGAGTTTGTCAAGGTTTTAGAGGTGAACGACGAAACCGGTCGCATCAACTTCAGCATCAAGCAAACGCAAGCTGATCCGTTGATGGAGACGTTGGAAACCATCATGCCGGTGACGATGCCGGAACCATCGATCGATGAGGACGATTTGAGCGAGATTCCGCTTCCGGGATTGCCGGACATCTGTAGCTCCCTGCTCAAGGAGGATGGCATCGAAGCCGTCATCCCGGGTCGCCAAGCGATGGAACAACGCGTCGTGAGCCAAGACCTCGAGCTTTGGCTCACGAATGTGTTTGTTGAAGATGGTTACAACCTGCTCGCGCGCGCGGGACGCCAAGTCCAAGAAATTCACGTCGTCACGCGTCTCGACAGAGACGCCATCAAGCGCGCCATCAAGCGCGCCACGAGCGTGGCCAAGTCTCAGTAAAGTGATTTATTGTCGTCAGTCATTTTTTTCGCTGTAGAAAATTATCAATATCCATCACCTTGATGATTATTTAAGTCGCGCGGTCGTCTCGCGAGCGGTGTCGAATCAAAAATTCGTCGTATTAACAAACAAATCTCCGTCTAGGTTGTGAAAAATATGCGGCGTCTACATGAAGGATTCCAAGTACTGCACTTCCTTCTTGGAGCCGGTGAAGAACGGCACACGTTGGTGAAACTTTTCCGGGACAACGTCAAGGACGCGCTCCTTACCGGTGGAACCCATACCGCCGGCTTGTTCGGCGATGAAGGACATCGGCGCGCACTCGTACAAGAGGCGAAGCTTACCGTTCGGGTTCTTGGAGTCGCCCGGGTAGCCGTAGATGCCTCCGTACAAGATGGTTCTGTGGAAGTCACCGACGAGGGAACCGATGTAACGGGCGCTGTACGGCTTGGTGCCTTGTTCCGCGCCGCCAGTCTTGAGGGAGTCCATGTACTTCTTCAAGCCCGGAGTCCACATGTCGTAGTTGCCTTCGTTGAAGGAGTAAATCTTACCAGATTCCGGAACCTTGATGTTGTCGTGGGACATGATGAACTCGCCGACGGTCGGGTCGAGGGTGAAACCGTACACACCCTCACCGAGGGTCAAGACGAGGATGGTGGAAGAGGAGTACATGCAGTAGCCCGCGCACAACAAGTTGTTCCCCGGTTGGCACACGTTCATGACGCACTTCTCTTCAATCTTGGCCGCATCTTCGGTGCCAAAATCCGGGATGCACGTGGAGTCGGACTCGTAGATGCCCCAGATGGAACCCGTGGAAACGGCGGCGTCGATGTTGGAAGAGCCATCGAGCGGATCGAAGACGACGACGTAGTTACCGCCGAAGGTTTCTTCGACGGCGACCGGCACGTCTTCTTCCTCGGACGCAATCACGCCCGTGCGGCCGGTTTGACGCAAGACATCGCAGAACACATCGTTGGAGATGACGTCGAGCTTCTTTTGGTCTTCACCTTGCACGTTCGTCTCGCCCGCCAAACCCGTCATGCCTTGAAGCCCGGCGCGTTGCACCAAGCTCGCGATTTGCTTGCACGCCAAGCCGATGCTCGACAACACGACCGCGAGTTCGCCGTCGATCTTTTCTTCCATCTCTTGTTGCAAGATCCACGTCGTGAACGGCGTGCCCGCGCCCCCCGCGCGCGCCGCGACGGATCGCGGCGTCGCCCGCGTCGCCGACTTGCCCGCGCGGCGCGCCGCGGTGGTCTTCTTCGTCGCGACGATCGCGCGAGCGCAGGCGGAGGTGGCGGCAGACATCGTGTGCGTTCTTTACCTATCATCGCGTTCGCGCGCGCGCGTTCGTCAGTCACCGTTCGTTCGCGTCACCGTCCTCCGTCTCGAGACGCGCCGTCCCATCCATCGGCCGGCGTTATCGCCCCATCCATCGCGTCGCGCGGCGCGCCCGTCCCTCGCCCGGGCCCGCGCTCGCCCGCGCGTCGCGCGCGGCGCGTCATCGGCGTCATCGCGCGTCATCGCGCGTCGCCGATCGCGCGCACCGTGTGCGTGGAGTGCGGACGCGCGTCGCGATCGCGCGCGCGTTATCCATCGGCGACGCGCGATCGGCGCGATCGCGGCGACCCGCGATCGCGCGCGAACGCCGATCGACGCGCGAGGTTCGATCGACGCGAGATCGACCTCGACGCGAGGTTCGACGCGCGATCGAGCGATCGACGCGTCGATCGACCGCGACCGCGCGCGCGACGCCGCGCGAGACGGCGACGCGATGAAGGCGGCGCGGTCGAAGGCGGAGCTGAAGCAGCTGAAGACGAAGCGGAAGCGGGCGAAGGATAAGAAAAAACGACGCGCGGCGCGCGCGGCGAGCGATGCGGCGACGGCGATGGCGATCGACGGCGCGCTCGCGACGACGGGGGGGGGCGGCGGCGAGGACGAGGACGACGGCGACGACGGGCGCGCGACGCGAGGCGGCGACGGCGGCGGCGGCGGCGGAGGCGCGGGACGGATGAAACAGAGCGCGATCACGGCGCGGAAGCGCGAACTTCGAGAGCGGATCGCGGAGTTGATGAGTAAGCGAGGGAAGATTGGGAAGAAAAATTTTGGAAAGTCTCTCGAGCGGAAAAAATTGACAGAGGAGATTAAGAGGTTGACGCGCGAGCGAGCGAGCGTGTGCGCGAACGCGGGGGGCGCGGATGAGGAGGAGGGAGAGGATTTGGTGCGCGCGGATGAGGACGCGGAGATGATGATGTGACGACGGGTGGTCGGTTCGTCTCGTAGCGCGAAATAGCCCGAGTTTTCTCAACGTTCAGACGAAAGACTTTAGCGACATTCGCGCGTGCGGCCGTTACATCGCTTCTCTGATCCACTACTTTTTCACTAAGGGATATAATACGTCCCGTTGACGTACTCGATGCGCGAGAGCACGGACGAACCGAGCGGCGGCGGCGCCATGATGCGCGACGTCTCGGCTTCGTCGTAATACGCGCACTCGCGAACCAAGACGGCTTCGCGATGCTTGGTGTTGGAATCCGACATATCGCGCGCCGCTAAGACGCCAACGTTCAAGCCGTGCGTAGGCTTGTGGGTCATGCACGTGGCAGATATGTCTTCATGGTTGAGCGCCAACGCCGCGCAAACGCGCGCGAGCGTCCACGGCGGAATGAGTTCGTCGCGATCCGTCTCCGCCGTGTACACCGTTTGCATCGACGTCGCGTTGGATGATTGGTACAGTGCGTTTGCATTCTTGCCGTCTTTGCGAGACAACATCGTGTTCGTTTGTGCCTTGAGCTCCAAAGGTTTCATCGAGCTGTGCGCGAACGGTACGGGTGCCAACAATATCGGTACGTCGTGCTGCGCGCCGTCGGAACTTCCGGGATCACCCCCGGAGGCTTCGACTAGAACGTTCAACAGTCCATTCACCGCGATCGCGCCGCGGCATATGATCGTATCCGCGGCTCGGCGACGAGCGTTGCTTGGGTTATCCATCTTGGCCAAATGCGCCGTGATTTCCGCTCGGCTCGCGTCGTCGCCGGCCAGGTTGTCTAGCAACCCTTGCGTCTCGTCCTCGGGTCGCCATTTCTGTGCCCACACAGTTTTCGCTTTGCCGATCGCCAGCGCCTCTTCGTCCGCGCTCGTGAAATCTACCGCCGCGTCCTTCAATGCCGCTCGAATCTTCGCGTTGCTATTCGTCACCACGGCGTATCCGCCATCCGTCACCCCTCCCACGCCCGGCGCGCAGAACAAGATGCTCCGCTCGCGATAGACGACGTAAAACGCATAGCATTGCCTCACTTTGAGCAACCCGTACAGACTCACCAAGGCATCCACCCACATGGACTCGCGTTTCCGCACCCACTCGTTTCCGCTCGGCGTCGCCCGCATCGACGCCAGCTGTTCATCCGAAAGCCCGAGCTCCGGATACGCGCACGAATACATCGCCCGCGTCAGCAATTTCTGTTTCTTCTCCAACCTCGCCTCGTCGTCGTCGCCGCCGTCGCCGCTTTCTCCACCGTCGATGCTCAACGAGGACGCGTCGCCGCCCGAGTACGCCCGCAGTCCCTCCGACGTCGCGTTCGCCCCCGCGCACGTCCCCCATCGGAACGACCTCGCCCGCGAGCTCAACCGCACGCTCGACTTGATCGTCCAGTCCATCGGCAGCGCGTCGCACGCCTCGCCCTTCGGGATCGCGCGTTCGCGCTCCGCCGCGACCGTCCGCGACGCGCCCGCGGTTCCCGATGCGAAATTCTTTCGCTTCGCGCGCGCGGCGTTCGATCGCGCGGCGCCGCTCGCGCCGAACGCGCGCGTCACGGCGTCGTCGACGGTATTCGTCGTCGTCGCGGACGCGCCGCGGGCGTTCGATCGGGCGGCGGGCATCGCGCGACGCGCCGAGATGTGGCGCGGTTTGCACGGCGGGCGTGGCTGTCGCGACGGCGCGGCGGCGACTCTTCTGCGTTTCATTTCACTGTGATGAACTTTTCTCTACGGCTGATCGCGACGTCGTGCCGGAGTTGATTCTCGTACCGCATGGTGTGAAACAGCGGCAGGCGAGAGAACTCGTCGCGTTCGTACGCGTCGAACTCTAACGCGCGCAGCTTCTCGCGCGCTCGCGCGGGATCCACGCATCCGGCGCAGCGTCGCGTGCGGAAGAGATACGGAGGATTTTGGAGCGCGTAAATTCTCGGATGCGCGGGATCGTGGTGGTTTGCATCGCCGTAATCGTCGACGGGGCGTCGGAACCGCGGCGCGTCTTTGGCGTCGCCGTCGGCGGTCGCGAAGCGCACGCCGGAATCGGCGGTACAGACTCGTTGCTCGACGCCGCGGTCGGAAACGCACACGAGACCACTCTTGAGGTCGACTTGCCAGACGAAGGTGCCCAACAATAATGGCATGTCTTCAAGATCGCCAACGCGATGGATACAACACTGACACACGTTCCCATCGACTGGCCTTTCTATGCGAACTGGCCTCGCGCCCTCGCCGGGCACTTGCACGGTGCCCATCGACGCATGGAACCCGTTAAACAAGGGATTCCAGCTCAGCGCATTCAGGACGCTTTCATGCGTCGCCTGGAGGTCGTTCGGATGAAACTCGACGCGTCGAAGCACGTACGGAGAGAGGCCTCTATCTGCGGCGCGATGTTGCCGAAGTGGAAATCTCTCTGGAAAGAGCGCGAAACCGTTCGCGATTTCGTCGTACATCGGGACGTTTCCATGCGACGGGAACGCCAAGAGGGTGGCGATGCTTTTGTTCAAGAAAACGCGTTTCTTCGCCCGCGTCACGGCCACGTACGTCAAATTGATTTCATCGACGGGGACCAAGGTGTCTGCGTCGCCGAAAACCGGATCTGTACTGATCGATACGTACTTGTCCCCTCTGCGCCAGACCCGATCGACGTCTTCAAAATCGTCCCATATCATCACGTTATCAAACTCCAACCCCTTGGACTTGTGCGCCGTGGCGACGATGAAGTTTGCGTTGGGCTCGTTCGAAAGGAATGAGCTATCTTTCAATCGCTTGACGAGTTTGAACATCTTCTCGCGGTAACTTTGCGCGATGCGTATTCGATTGAGAGTGTCCGCGTCGTCTTGGTTCTCAGCGATTTCATATATCCTCGTCAGCGCGTTGCGCTCAACAAAACTCTCTTGGTCTTGCCGTTGATCAAACCTAGCCAGATCGCCGCCGCCGTACGTGACGAACATTTTGATGTATCGGTCGCTGATGGATCCTAGATCTTCGTCGAGTATCAAACGCACGAAATCACACACTTGGTCGAGCTTGAGCGCGTCGACGCCACCGATGACGTGCACTTTCGAACGCGAGGATTCGAGATACATCAAAGCCGAAATGAGATTGTAATTCGATCGAACCAGAACCGCCAGTTGCTCGCGTCGCCCGTCTCCTACGATCACAGTAGATAAGGGCGGCGGACCTCGTACTGTCTTCAATCTCGGGTCGCTAGACGCAACGTTTTCCGTTGAGAACACGCACGTTTGATCCAGCTCGCTCAATCGCGCGCCGACAAGGAATGCGCTCTCGCGCTTTATGTTCAAGATAGCGTTTGCGACATTGGCGATTTCCACACCGAAACGAAAACTTCTCACAAGCCGCCTGTGCGTCACTTGATGGCTAGCCACGAGATCATCGATTTTATCCATCACATTCATAGCTCCGGTGAAGTTGTAAATTTGTTGATGTACGTCTCCGACGAGAATCTTTGCGCATTTCGTTTGCCGAAGAACGATATCAAACATCACAGGTGCGATATCTTGCGCTTCGTCCAGCAAAATGACGTCATATCCCGTCTTGTTTTTATTTCTACTCATGTCGATATCCAGACGCGGACGTTGCAGTTGGTAGAGCTTCATGTAGCCGGCGTGCGTCAACGGCACATCGTTGCTCGATCGGTCCTTCATCATACGCCACAACGTCTCGGCAACTTGAATGATTTCGTCCACAGACGCAGGTTTAACACCTTCCGTGGGCACGTGCTCCTTTGAAATATTTTCATCGGCAGAAACTAGAAAGTTTTGGAGCGTCACCAAACCTTTGCCCACAGCCCGATCGCTGATTGATTTTCCGAGCGCTTTGCAGACTTCGGACGATCGAAGCTTGTCGCCGAAGTGTAGTTTTTTACCTCCCGCCTTGTACCACGTGGCGAGCCCGTACGCTAATCCGTGAAACGTCTTCGCGTCCGTATTCGCTGGAAACTTTGTCTTGGCTTCTTCCGTGATGGCACGATTGAACGCGAGATAAAGAAATCGTTTCGAAGGATTTCTCTTCGCGTACTCGACCAAAGTCGTCGTCTTGCCCGATCCCGCGAACGCGTGCACGACCATCCATTGCGGTGGTCGCAAACTCGTCGAGACGATGGCTTCCTGTTCGTGTGTCAATCTCGATGTTTTTCGCATCGTATCCGTCGGACGCGTTGCGGCGCTCGAATTCCCCACGACATTTTTCAAATCTGCGTCGCTTGAGTTTTGTTCCCGTTCGTCGTGAAGATTGGCGTAATCGTACGCGGCCGATAATCGCGCCTTCATACGTCGGCATGCGTGGACTTTCGCCGGCTCGGATGCGTCTGCGTATGATCTCGATTCCAAGCGCACGTACGCGATGAGCAAATTGACAAACTCGGTCAAGTCTTCTTCAACGAATTCCGCGCTCGCGTCGCTTCGAAGTGCGCGTCGAGCCGCTCGAAGCAACCGAGAAGCGATCCATTCGTTTTCGGCGACGTGCGTCATCGCGATAACCAACACCGCCCAGCCGTTCGCTCGCGTGTTGTCCGCCTCGCGCTCGCCGCCGCGCGTGATCGGCTCTTGAACGCACGCAAATTTCGCGATCACCCGAATCGTCGCCGCGACGTCGCCGACGGTGCCTAGAAACGAACGCGACGCCGCCGTACCGAGCGACTGCCAAAAATCATCAATCTTCGTCAAATCATCGGGTTCGTCGTACCCCGGTTGCACTTCCCCACGTATATCTCTCGCCCCCGATAAGTGTTCATCCTCCTCCACGAATCGACAAAACGTCTCGACGTCCAATCGCGATTTGAACAGCGTCTTCGTCGTCGCCGCGTGTCTCGCCAACGGCCCGACGCCCGCGTCTCCCGGCTCGCGTCCCGTGACCTCATTCAAGTACGCCTCCGCCGCATCCGCGCGCGCGCCACCCAACGCGAGCGCTCGATTGAGTTTCACGCACGGCATGAACTTCGGATCGTCCACGGCGTCTCGCCACGCCTTGCACACCAATCGCGCGTCGGCGTAGAAACTCGTCGGCGCGCAGCTCAACAACCGTCGGATGACATCGCCGCCGACGCCGACGTCCGACGTCGACGCTCGCGCCCCACCGCGTCGCCACGCGTCGATTAAAGACGTTTGCTTCGGTTCGTCGTCTCTTCGCTTGCGCTTCGCCTCGGCGCGCGCGATGCGTTCGGCTTTCGCTTCGGCGCGCGCGATGTTTTTGGCATCTTGGGCGTCGACGTCGAACGACGGTTTCGGCGCGTTCGCGTCGCGCGCGCGCGTCGAGTCGTCGCCGCGCGACGACGCGTCGGTTTCCGTCTGTTTCGCCAGGACCTCGCGCGCGGACGTGAACATCGCGCGCGCGAGAGTGCGGTCCACGAGCGTCGTCGTCTCGGTCGGTTACGAATCCGGATTGGACTCGGACCGGACGCGACGACGACGAAGGCGACGACGACGAAGGAGCGATCGAGCGAAGACGAAAGCGAACGACGCGCGAAACGAAAAGAAACGAAACGCTTCACAAATCGGTCACAAATCGGTCACAGATCGAGACGCGCGCGCCTATCGCGGCGTCCACGCGTCGGCGTCGCTCTTTCGTCTCCAAATCGTTCCGTCCGGCAGCGCGACGTCGCCCTTGGGCGTCAACTTCCCCACGACCCGCTCGCCCGAGCCGTCTTTTTGATCGAAATCGATCGTGATCTCGTCGTCCGCCTTGTTTATTTTGCCCTTGATCGTCCACGCCTTGAACTTGGACGCCGCCCTGTTCGCGTCCGTCTTCTTCACGCCTCGACATCCTCGACCGCGCGCGAACGGCACGGGGTCGAGGCCCGAGACGTTTCCTCGCGCGTCGATCGCGCGCGGACACCCCGGATGGTTGGGATCGGCGTAGTCGCCCGCGAACCGCGTCGCGCTCGCCGCGTCGGCGTCGAGCGCGCACGACGAGGCGACGACGAAGGACGCGAGCGCGGCGACGCAGACGCGCTCGACGAGCGCCGCGTTCGGCGAGGGCGGGACGCGGGCGCGGGCGCGGGCGACGACGCGCGTCGGAGGAGGCGAGACGCGCCGCATCGTCCCCGAGCGCGCGGCGGGGCGCGGTGTGCGGTCGGTCGCGCGGCGACGGCGACGCGAGACGACGAGCGCGACGAAGCGACGCGTCGATGCGTGCTGCTACGTATACGTACAAGATGCCGACGGTCGACGCGCTCGCTAATCGTCGACGGCGTCCGCGCTCGCCTCGCGTCTCGCCGCGTCGACGGCGCGCTCGAGCACGCCGGCGACGTACGCCGCGCGACGACGCGCGACGTCCGCCTCGCTCTCGTCCGACGCGCTCGGACACACGTCCGCGCTCGTCTCTCTCAGCGCGAGCTCCACGCCCTCGGGAGTCATGTGCTCGCCCCCGAACGGGGCGAGCGTGGCGTACGTCCTCGCCACGTCCTCGTCGCGATACACCAAAACCGTCGGCGCGAGACGGTCGGGATAATTCGGAACGCACTCGCGGTGCGCGATTTTCACGAATTTCGTGCGCGGAAACTTGGCGGCCAAAATTTCAAACGCGCGCTCCATTTTCTCGCAATCGCGACATCCCGCTCGCGTCATGAGGACGACGACGTACGCGTCGGCGCTCGGTCGCGTCACCTCGGCGACGAAGGTCGCTCGCGTCGCCTCGCGCACTTCGCCGTGCGCCTTCGCCGTCGCCTCCGCGGTGAGTTCCTTCATTCGCCGCGCGCGGTACTCGCGAACGTACGCGTCGTCGTCGTCGTCGTCAAAGTCATCGCCATCGCTCGTCGACGCGTCGACGGCGTCGTTTCGTCGCGACGCCAAAGCGCCAGCGTCGTCGAACGATGCGGTAAACTTTTCCGGTTTCGCGGGCTTGGGCTTGGGTTTGACGTTCCCTAACCGCGCCTGCGCGTCGTCCCACTCCGTGCTCGTGTCCACGTGCGAGGGCGCGGCGTGCGTGAACGAGCCGCTGTCCATCAGGCGCGGTGTGGCGCTCGAGCGGCGGTTACGAGTCGCGCGACTCGTAAGTTTCTACAATCTAACAATCTAACAATCCCACCACCCGGTCGGATTCGAATTTGAATTTGAATTCCACGATGGCGGTGGTTTGCGCGTCTCGCGCGGTGGCGGCGATGATTGCGGCGGTCGCGGGCGAAGAAAATCGAAATCGACGTCTCGCGGCGATTCGGCGCCGTCGTCGCGCGGCGCCAAGCCATTCGTCACACCGCGCTCTTGCTGCATCCTCGACACGACGAGTATCTCAGCGCGAGCGATGAATTGTTCTTTGCACAGTTTGTTCACCTGACGCATGTAGTCTTCGAGTTGGACTTTGCCGTCGTTGAGGAGTTCGTCCAACGCGTCGAGCGCGTCTTCGATGGCTGCATCCTTGGCGTGCGCGTTTAAGAGCTGACGACTCATCGCGTCGGCGGCTTCGATCGCGGTTTCGGGATCGAACGACACTTCTCCTGTGTCTGGGTGCGCTTCAAGCCACCGTTCCATGGTCGCCGTCGCCCCTCTGAGCTCCTGCGCGTCGCGTTCAAACTGATCGCACATCGATCGCAACACGCCCTTTTCCTGTTCTAGATTAATCTTTCTCGCGTAAAGCTCGGTTTGATGCGCCAAGAGCGTTTCGATGAGCTGTGCGTTTGCATCTAAATGATGTTCGGTGCCAGACTTCAAGCGATCCGTCAAAGACTGTATCGCTGTTTGACGAAACCACGCCTGCGCCGCCGTCGCGTCGTCGGCGCGCGGACTCGTCGTTGCTCGCTGCCCTTGCGCGAAACGCTCGTTCAAACTCGGTCGTCGTTCGACAGACACGCTAAACGGGACTCGTTCTGGTCTCGTCTCCGCCGTCGACGCCGTCGCCGTGCGCTGCGTCGCCTCTCCCGCGTTCCCTACCCCGCGCGCCGGTTTCGAAAACAGCGGCGGCTCCGCGCTAAACACGTCGCTCAGCGCCCGCGCCACATCGCTCATCTTCCGCCGACGATCCCATCGAAACACGCGTTCGATCACCACCATTCCATCTGATTCCACGCACCCGTGATTCGGTTTTACTACCATATCTCTCGTCGGCGTCACGAAACACGTCGGCGGCGTCGTCGGATAGTCGCTGGGCGCGTACATCTTCACCGGAATGTTATACCTCGCACCGTTGTATTCGATCGGTATCGTCCCTTCCGCGCACAGCAATCGCTCGCGCGAGCCATCGTTGTGATAATAATCGTCGTCTCGCACCGTGAGCGAGGGAAACCGCTGCGCTTTACGTCAGTAAAAGGTAACCAACTTGGATTGGAATCGTGCGTGCGCACCGTGATGAGATCGAGAAAGTTTTCGCGCACGACGCGTGCGTTACCGCGCGCGATGTACGCGAGAGGGTCTTCGTCGCGTTCTGCGTCGAGCAGGGCGAGCGCGCGTTGCGCGGACGCGCGAGCCATTCGCGACGCGGTCGTCAATGACGATTGCGTGGCGCTCGAGCAGTCAAAGCGCGGCGAGACGCTTGGCGAAATCGTATCGAAATGTAATTTTTACACGCGTTTGATGGATGCGCCGGGTCACGCCGCGGCGTCGGCGGTGCACCCGGGGAAGACGGATTCCCAAGCCTCGACGTGCGTCTCGGCGAGCGCCTTCATGGTGACGGCGCAGTTCGCGAAGGCGGCGTTGATGACTTGTTCTAATTCGGCGTGCACGCGCGGGAGCTCGTTGGTCATGCGAGATTTGATGTCGTCGTACTTTGCTTGCGCGTCGTTCACCGCGGATTCAGCGAGGCCGACATCGCGCTGTAATTCTTCCACGGTGACGGGCGTCGGGGATGTGACGGCAGCGGAGAGGCGCTCAAAAATTGTCGTCGGTTGCGGCGGCGGCGGCGGCGGCGGCGCGTGCAACGCGTGTTCAAGCTTGGCGCGCTTGGACTGCACCTTGGCGCGGCACGCTTGCAGCTTCAACAACGCGTCGAGGCGCGCGTCTATTGATTCTTTCGCCGCGCGCACGTATTGCAGCGCTTGTTTCAACGGCGCGCGGAACTCTTTCGCCAAGCGCTCCGCTTGCGCCTCCGTCGGCGCCCGCATCGTGCACGCGGCGGAACCAACCTGTCTGAACGCTTGCCCTAATCCCCCGGCCTCATCGCCGAGCAACATCTTCGCCCCTTTTTCCTCGCAGTCGCCTAAGTGATGCGCGTTTTCTCCAAACGTACCGGTTAAAATGCCGAGATTCTGCACCGCGTTGACGATTTCACCCCCGCTCTTCAGCGCTCGCTTCAGGCGCTCTTCGAGGAGCAACAAATATTCCGTAGCTTCGAGATATTTGGGATCTTCCTCCATCATGACACTTTCCATCCCCGCGCCCGTGCTCCACGTCTCCGTCGCCGTACCGATGGACTGAAACCAAGAATCCACGGCTCCGAGCGCGGTGCCAACCGCGCCGCGCGAATACCACGGGGCGCGCTGGTCCCACGAACTCCCCCCCTGTTCCTCTAAGAACATCACCACGTCTTCGCACGTTCCGAGTCCCGGATGTTCCACCACTTTCTTCATGAACGCCTCCAAACCGCTTCGACGATGCTCCAAGAAATCGCTCTGAAACGGATTCGTCGTCACCGTCTTCTCCGGCAGCGGAAACAACACGATGCCTGGGTACAGCGTCGACAAGCGTCCGCGCAACCACTGAAAGTCGGAATACCTTCTCACCACGATGGATTCATCCTTTTTATACGCCGGATCTTTATTCTTGGTGCTCACCGTGTACACCGCGTACGCCGTCAACCCGTCGCCGACTTTGGTCGGATTCGTCACGCTCACCTCGATCGTCTTCGTTTTCACGTATCCATCCCGCGGCACCTCCGGCAGCGCGTCGGCATCCTCGGCGAAGTGAATGCTTTCGTACGCCGGCGGCGGCGCGTCCTCCGCGCCCGCATCGTTCTCCTCCGACATCATCCTTCTCGACGCAACACCAAAGTCGATTCGACGCCAAAAAAGATGCGAAACGACGACGACGCGACGACGACGTCGCGCGCGACCGAGCGTCAGGGGACGACCGTCCGTTCGCGCGTTCGCGCGTTCGCGCGTTCGTTCGCGCGCTTCGTCCGCGTCGAGGTGTGTCGCGCGCGCGCGCGCGTCAAAAGTTTAAAGTCATCAATCGCGCGGCGACGCGGCCGCACTCGCGGACGCGCGAGGCGAACGAGCGCGATGAACATGGACGGCGGCAAGTTCCGGGACACGATGCACTCGCTGAATTACGGCACGGTGATGGAGGCGGCGGCGAGGAACTACATGGAGGAGAAAACGCGGGAAGATGCGCACGCGAAAGCGCGGGCGCGGGCGCGAGTTTTAGACGCCAAGGAGTTGTGCGAGGTGCGCGACGACGCGCGCGCGCGCGCGGTTGCGAGTGCGATCGCGTGGGACGCGACGCGACGGACGCGCGGCGGGACTGGAGGCGACAGACGCGCGGTGGGAGCGGTCGTGTGGTCGCGACGCGAGGACAGGAAGACTGACTTTTCGCGTTGACTTTTCGCGTCGCGCGTAGGATCCTGATTTAGAGGACATTCATCGCGAGCGCGTGCAGGCGATGAAAGAGGCGCAAGAGCGACGGATGACGATGGAGCGCACGGGGCACGGAACGCTGACCGAGGTAGATGAGAAGGAGTTCCTGCCAGAGGTGACGACGACGCATCGCGTCGTGGCGCATTTTTATCATCAAGAGTTTGAGCGGTGTAGGATCATGGATAAGCATTTAAGCGCGCTGGCGAAGAAGTTTTTCGATACAAAGTTTATCAAGATATCGGCACCGGACGCGCCGTTCTTTGTGACCAAGTTGCAAGTGAAGGTATTGCCGTGTTTGATTTTTTTCAAAGACGGCGTCGCGTTCGATCGCTTGGTTGGGTTCGAGGAACTCGGGGGTAAGGACGATTACCCCACGGCGAAACTAGAGCGAATATTGTTGAAAGCGGATGCGGTGGTGCAGCCGGAGAAGAACGAGAGCGATAGCGAGGATGAGGTGGAGGAGATACGTAGAGAAGCGATGTCGCGCATGATGCGGACGGGCGGATTCAAAGCGAATAGTGACGACGAAGACAGCGATTTCGATTGACGGCGACGCTTGCGGTGGGAAAATCGGTGTGTTGTGTAATGAAGAACTTCTAATTTCTATATACTTCTCTACACGAAACAGTCAAGCTCGACGCGACGGTACGTGTTCGGTCCGTCGTCGTCGAGCGCCGGGTATGCCGGCACGAGAGCATCCTCGGATGAAATGTACAGCGTGTTGTAAATCTTCCAGTAAATGTCGCGAACCTTGCGTGCGGGATGGAATAGCCCTTGCAACGTGTATGCGAGTACGAAATGTGGTCCGAGCGCCACTCGTGCGGCTTCGATCGCCTCCGTCACAGCGTTGATGACGTGCGGCGACGGCTCAAATACGTTGGGCCAAGTGTAATTGATCAGATGCGTCACGGCGTCTTCGCATCCAAGACCAGCGCATCCCAAGGCGAGATGCTTTACCGTCACCGCCGCAGTTTGGCGGTGTACCAGATCTCGATCCATGAGCGCGTCTTCGAGCAGCGGCGTGACGGCGTAGATGTAATCCTTTCCCATCTCTCCAATGTACTCGAACAAAAACGCCAACGATTTCAGCACGCCGTTTTGCACGTTGAGCTCGGGCACGCGGTACTCATTCATGAGCGCCGGTAGCACGGTAAACGGCGCGCACGTTTCCGCAACGATTGCGATCGCCACAGTCGTACACACGCGCATTTGACGCTCTTGTACCTTGAGGTTGTTCAAAAGCGTCGCGAGCACGTCTTGCGGACCAATCGCCTTGGCGATGTAACCAAACGTGTTCACCGTCGCGCGGCGAATCGCCTTCTTCGGCGCCTTCAACAATTCTAAAAGTTCAAAGCAAATTCGCATCCACTCGCGCGCGGCGACGTACTCCGCACCTCGATCGGCAATTCGACCGATCAAATCGATCGTGTTCTCTTGCACCTTCTCGTGCCTATTCTTCAAAATTGGCGTCAATCGCGGGAGAAGATCCTTAATCGGCGGCGTCATTCGCGTCATTCCTTGCACGCTCACGATCGCCTTCAACGCGCCAAGAATCGAACCCAAAACTTCGGGATATTCTTCACCGAGGTACTCGTACAAAACGACCCCCAAGTGCCCGAGAAGTTGCTCTTCTTCGCACTTGCGCATCACGGGAGCGATGGCGCTGATCAAATCAGCCGCTTGTTCGCGAATGTCGGCGCTTTTGTTGTTCATGCGCCATTTGATCGTACCGCAAATTTGGGGCAAGTACGGCTTCGCACGAAGTCCAAGGGCGTTGACGATGGTACCGACGCCCTTGAGCATGATATCATTCTCATCCGACGTTTGCTCTTGAAAGGCGTACAGCATGCCGTCAATCAGGAGTTCCTCCATGCGAGTGTCCACGTCCGCCGTACCAAGCTCTTCAATCACCTTGGTGATTGTTTCCATCACCATACGGCGATAAGGCTCGGACTCATCCTTCAAATCTTCCACGATTCGCCCGATGATTTCCGCGGCACCGACTTTTAAGGAAACCTCCAACGTCGTCTCCACGAGCTGTTGATAGTTGCGTCGATCGAGAGCCATGCGTCGAACCCAGAAATGTTTGAAGAATTCAGGCATGACTTCGGCTCGAATGTACTCTGGCTCGACCCCGTCGGTGGCTACGCACTGCTTGACAACTTTCAACGTAATTTTCTTCATCTCTTCGTCCGCAGTAGCGAATTCACGAATCAGAATCACCATGACCTCGCGGGTGTAATAGTTGGCGTACATCGCGTCCATGAGCGGAATGATGAAACCGATGGCCTTGAGGAACGCGGCTAACACTTTCCCTCGGTGTGCGCGAATGCCTTTCCACAACGGTTTGAGAACGTTATCGAACGACTCGATACCGTACGGCGTCGCAGCCTCAGCGAGCGCGGCGATGGAAAGCGCGGTGATGGTGCGCACCTTTTGGTTTTCATCGCCCAAACCGTTTTCAATGATGTCCACCAAAGATTTGAGGTGCGGCAGCACGGCGCACCCGTGAAGGATTGCGATTTGCTGAACGATTTTGATGCCCGTGTGACGCGCTTGCCAACTCTTCTTACTTTGGCACACCGCCTTCAAGAAAGGAAGCAAAGACTGCACGCCGAGCGCTTGCGCGACGACGGCGAACGCTCTCGCCGTCGTGTTCCGCACGTACTCATCCACGTTATCAATGTCAGGGCGCATAGCGGCGATCATCGTCGCTAATCCTGCAGCCTTTGCGACGTTACTAATGATTTCCCGCCCCTCGACGCGGGCGTAGTAGTCCTCATCAATCAACAAAGGTTCGATGACGACGAGAATCTTGTGCACGTAGGGGCGCACCAAGTCGTCGAGCTTGTACAAGATGCGATCAATCACCTTGACGAGTAAGTGACGCTCTTGATCTTCCAACGTCGGCGACATGAGCAAAGGTAAAATCTGGTTGAACAACGGTCCGGCGCCGAACTCTTTGGCGCGATCGGTGATTTGACGAAGCGACGTCTTGCGCTGCTGCGGCGTCCCGTTCTTGACTCGAAGTAACAAACGCATAATCTTGCGCTCCTTCTGCTCTTCGATCGTCAAGGCTTCCTCGTCCGTTTCTTTCAACAAAGGTGCAAAGTACTGCACGTCCTCGGGTTTCATCTCCGGCAAACCTTCGGGGACGAGGGCGACGTCAAATTTTTGCCCGCGATCCTCCTCGGGAATGCTGAAAAAGCCGGCGTTTGAGCCGTACGGCATCGGCGTTTGCATGAGCTTACGCGCAGGCGTGCGAATGGGCACGTAGCTCGCCGGTGGCTCGAGAATCTTGTACCCTTCGGACGGCAACAACTCGTCGAGTTCCTCATCCGTCTGCGGTCGGTTGCGCTCTTCGATTTCCCGTTGAAAACGCATCTGCTGATACTGCTCGGGCGTCAAAGGAACGTTCGATTGCATGGCGGCGTGCGCGGCGATTTGCGCTGCAGATGGCGTCGCCATACCAGCCGTGATTTTCGGCGTCTCCCCACCGGCGGCGATGACGGGCGTCTCGCCACCCGTCCACGCCGGCGTGGCGCTCGGATCGCCACCCGCGCGAATCATCGGCGTCTCGTCCCAACGGCTTCTCGAGCGTCGCGGCGTCGGTTTGACGTCCGCCGCTCGCGTGCCGCTTTCCATCGTTTCCCACTCTGATGGGCGCTGCGGCGTGGCGTCGTCCCACTTCGTCCCAGTCGCCGCGCTGTCGTCGCTTTCCCACTCGCTCACGCGCGCCGGCGCCGGCGCCTGCCCGCTTCGCGCCGCGCTGTCGTCCGGTTTCGCGTCCCATCGTCGCTTGCGCTTCTCTGGCCTCGCCGACGATGCCGCGGGTTCGCTCGCTCGCGCCGCGGCGAGTCGCGCCTCGTCCGCCGCGCGTTCCGCCTCTTCTCGTTGCTTCTTTTCAATGTTTCGCAGCGTGTTGTCGCGCTCTCGCTCCACCGCCGCCTCCTTCATGCGTTCGGCATAGCTTCGTCCTTCGTCTCCGTCCTGCGTCGAGGCAAAACCCGCGCGTTGCGTCGCATTTTCCGTCAGTCTCACGCATCGCGCGCGTCGTCCGCGATCGCGCGTCGTCGTCGTCTCCCAAAACCTAGCCTCTCGCGCGTCTCGTCGCCCTCGCGTCTCGTCGCCGCGCACCTCCCCCTTTTTCCCCGGACTCAGCCGTCGCTTGAACCGTCGCTTCGAGTAATCGCTCTCTCGATCGATCACCCGTCGCGATTTCCCGAACCCGAGCGCTTCGTCGCTCTCCAGATCTTCGTCCTCCTCCGCGTCCAGCGGCGCGCCCGCGAGCGTCTCCGCCGTCGGCGCGTACGCGCGCGGCGGCGCCTTCACCGTCCGCGTCGCGCGCGTCGTCGCCTCGCGCGCGTCGTTTCGTTCGTCGTCGAGCGCGTCATCGCCCTTCCTCGCGTCGCGCGACGTCGTCGTCGCGTCGTCCAGCGCGCGTCGCTCGCGCTGCAATCGCGCGATCTCGCGCGCGTCGTCGTCGTCGCCCTCGGCGTCGCCCTCGGCGTCGTTCGCGCGCGTCGCGCGTCGCGACGCGGACGCGGGCGATCGCGAGCGCGCGTTGGCGCCCATGCGCGCGCGCGGCGTCGCGTCGCGTCGCGGATTGAAGCGCGAAGGACGCGCGCGCCGGCGCATTCCACGCCGCCGCAGTGCGCGCCGCGCGGCGCACGCGCGCGCCGCGACGCGAGCGACGCCGACATGGCGCTGTACATAAAGGCGTTCACGCTCATCGTGAAGACGGCGTCGAAACCGCTGGCGAAGCGGTTGCGAACGGCGATGGAGGAGTCGCCGACGGCGCGCGCGTACGCCATCGAGAGCGCGCGCGCGACGGCGAAGTGGATGGCGTTTCTGGCGCGCGACGACGCGGCGAGCGGCGCGGTGAGCGGTGAACCCGGAACGACGTCGAGGAAGGCGAGGAACGAGGCGAAGCGGGCGATGGCGAAGGCGAACATGAGCGAAGACGCGGCGCTGCAGGCGGCGAGCGAATTCGTGGGGGAGGCGTTCGTGTTCGCCGTCGCCGGCGGCGCGGTGTGGTGGGAGGTGGAAAAATCGAACGCGAAGGATGAGAAGAGACGGGAAGACGCGGCGAACGAACGCGCGCAGTTGTGCGATATCATAGACACGCAACACAGGACGATGGTGGACATGTCGGCGCTGATCGAGGAATTGTTCGAGTACAAAAAGTCGTCGAGCGAGACGATCGCGGCGATGCAGGCTGGACGACGCGCCGCGGCGCGATGAGCGCGCGTAGAGGGTGACGACGACGACGCGCGATCGGTGCGCGCACAATTAGTGTGCGCGCATGGTCGCGGCGCGATCACTAGCGAGTAGCGGCGAAGTATGTATACGATGTTAACTGTAGCGCGACGACGAAGACTTTCAATCAAATGTCAGCGAGTTCGGCGCGCCGAAGAACCCGTAAGCTCACGGCGCGCGCGATGCGAGACGGGTGCGGCGCGTTCCTTTCGTTCGTATGTCAGTGCTTATTATCTTTGAGATACAATTTCAATTTTTTTCCTTTGGTTGTTACCTAATAAGGGCGAGTTTTGTCAGTTTTCCCACCGCCGCCGTCATGTCCACCGCGCGCCTCGAACCGCGCGCGTCACGCGCCGACGCGACGCGCGCGGTCGCTCGCCATGGTGGCTGGCGTCGGTAAGGGCAAGAAGAACGCCTTCGTCGCCCTCCTCGGGCGCGCCGTGCGCGCGGAGGACGACTTCGCCCGCGCGCTCGTCGAGAGTTCGAGAGACTACGCGTCGTGGGCGAAACTGGCGCGCGCGCGCGGACGACGCGAGGGCGACGCGCACGCCGACGCGCTGCGATTGCTGGACAGCAAAGGACACCTGTTGAACGTGCTCGACCGCGCGTGCGAGGTCGAGGACGGCGACGACGGTGCGAAGGATGAGGTCGAACGCGCGCGACGCGTGCGCGAGGCGTGGACGAAGACAAAGGCGACGCAACGCGCCAAGTTTGAGAAGAGCGGAGGGGCGGAGGGCGTCGCCGAGGCGCGATTGCGAAAGCGCGAGGCGAAGGAGAGGATAAATGCGAGTCGGAAAGAGCGCGAGGCGAGGGAGGCGAGGGATAAGGAACGGAAAGAGGCGAGATTGGAGTACGCGACCAAGGTGCACGAGGCGCGAAGCGCGGGCGCGTGCTTGGATTGGTTAAACATGGGACGGTGTCGGTTCGGGGAGGAGTGTCAGTTCGAGCACGACGCGATGTCGAGGGGTAATTTGAAAGATCTCGCCGTCAAGGTCGGAGCGGAGACCGGGGACGTGAAGAGGGAGCGAAATCAGACTGAAAAGGCGGAACGCAAGGCGCGCGCCAAGGCGATGCGAGAAGCCGGCGGCGGCGACGACGAAGACACGCTCGGCGGACGATTCTCCTCGAGCGAAGACGAAAGCGATGACGACGAAGGTGATGTTCCCGGTTTCTTGAAAATTGAGCGCGCGCGGCGCGCGGCGGAGGCGTTGTTGGCGACGAACAAGACGAGTAGCTCTAAAACAAACAAGGACGCGGGCAAGAGCGCGACGAAAAAGGCCAAGCACTTCAACGAAAAGCAGCTCGAGAGGAAGCAGAAGTTCTTAAAAGAAGGGAAGAATCAACCTTTCGTGAAAAAAGGCATGAAGAAACGCCCGCAACCGACCGAGAGCGCGCAGAAGAACAAGAAGAAAAAACCGAGACGCGCCGATAGCGAACGCAAGCAAAAGCGCAAAGGCATGGCGCGGACGTTTTTCGGCGGCGACGACTAGTCGGGGAGTCTCTTAGCGCACATAGCATTGCATGTCGTACAGATTGTCTTATTTCGAAATTTTAAAGTGCTAAAATCCTTATCGTCGCGTAAAATAATCAGAGTCGCCGCGCCTGGTATCCTATTCGGATCGGCCCGCGTAGGAGACGAAATTTTGCTCCTTGCAGTCAATGCCGACCATAGCTTCGCCCAATCCTTGCGAAACTTCGGCAATGATCTTCGGGTCGTTGTAGTGGGTGACGGCTTGCACGATAGCGCGCGCGCGCTTGGCGGGATCGCCAGACTTGAAAATCCCAGAACCGACAAAAACACCATCCATACCGAGCTGCATCATCAAAGCGGCGTCAGCCGGGGTGGCGACACCACCGGCGGCGAAGTTCACCACGGGCAAACGACCGAGCTTTCTGGTTTGCTGCACGAGTTCGAGCGGGGCGCGAATCTCCTTGGCGTACACGAAGACTTCGTCCTCGTCCATGGCGCACAAGCGACGAATGTCGCCCATGACGGCGCGGCAGTGGCGAACAGCCTCGACGACGTTACCCGTACCAGCTTCACCCTTGGTGCGGATCATGGAAGAACCCTCGGCGATGCGTCGAAGCGCTTCACCGAGATCGCGGCATCCGCAAAGCACCGGCACCTTGAACTTGTGCTTGTTCAAGTGGTTAATTTCATCCGCCGGCGTCAAAACTTCAGACTCATCAATGTAGTCGATCCCCACCGCCTCGAGCACTTGCGCCTCGACAAAGTGCCCAATGCGAGCCTTCGCCATGACCGGAATCGTCACCGCTTCCTTAATAGCCTTGATCATCGTCGGATCAGACATGCGCGCCACGCCGCCATCCTTGCGAATGTCCGCCGGCACGCGCTCGAGCGCCATGACGGCGACGGCGCCCGCCTCCTCCGCGATGCGCGCCTGCTCGACGTTCACGACGTCCATGATCACGCCGCCCTTGAGCATCTGCGTCGTCGTATCCACACCACGTCTCGTCAGTCGTCGAACCCAACCGCGTCTCGCGCGCATACAACACCAAAACACAGACAGCCAAACCAAACCTGTCCTCGCCGAAAAAGCGTGACGTCCCGATGACGTCCGCGGACGATGGTTGCATCGTCCGCGCCTTCGCCCCGACGACGCGTCGCCCGCGCGCGACGCGCGACGCCGTTCGCGTAAATAAAACGCCCCGTTCGCGTCGTCGCGGCGTCGTGCGCCATCGCGCGTCGCGTGCGTCGCCATCGCGCCGTCGACGCCATCGTCGAGGACCTAGGGGCGATGACGGCGTCGCGCTCGCGACGTCCCGCGTCGCATCCCGCGCGCGCGTCTCTCGACCTCGCGACGACGCGACGCGTAAGAATTATCGACGATGCGTACCTGCGCTAAGCCAGCCTTGACGGCGAACGAACTGCGTTCGGTTTCGGTGGACATGGTGACGAGTGCGTTCCGCGTCGACGAATGATGTCGTCGGCTCGGGCGGCGTCGGATGTGGGATCGAGACAGACAAAAATACGCGTCATGGCGTTTTGGGGGGGGTTATATGTGAAATCGAGGTGCGTTCGGTTTCCATGTGTCGATTCGTATATAGGTGACGTCGACGCGTAGGAAGAAACTGTTGAAACTGTTTAATGGCCCCCATGAGAAGGCACCACGCGCGAGGCGGGAAGGGAGCGCGTCTACGCGCGCGCGATGATGGTGCGCGGCACGCCGGCAAGCGATGATGGACGATCCAATGCGTATTAAATAAATTCTGGGGCGAGCGGGCGAGATTGGAACGGGACGCCCGCGACGCGGGGGTCGGCGACGACGTCGGCGCGGGCGAAATCGCCGCCGCGCGCGACGACGACGCCTCGCAAGGTGTCGCCGAGACGCAAGGGCGTCTTCTCTCGCCAGGGTTGTAAAATAACCGTAAACGTTTTCGTCGGGCTGGTGAAGTAAAGCAAACGCGAGCCGTTGGGAGATTTTGGGGCGTAAGAATTCGCGTCGAGAGGCTTAACGGATTCAAAGCCGTACTCGGCGACGAGGAATTTCTCAGCCTCGCGCACGTTCTTTACGTTCAACGCCACCACTTCCAGCGGATCTCGTCTAGTCGCCACTTGCCCACGCACTGGAATACCGCCGGGCGAGCGCATATCGAAAAACCCAAAGCCGTACAACAATTCGCCGCCGCTCTCGTAAATTTGCGACACTCGCAGACCAAACGGCACCGTGACGGCGACGTAACTCAACACGTTGCCGACGTCCACGACGTCCGCACCGCTCGTCGCCTGCCGTATCTCGACCGTCGCCTTTCCTCCGTCGTCTTCACTCAAACTGATCTGCCCGTACGCCAACGTCGTCACGCGCTCGTCCCCGCTTCCGACGTCGCTCGTCACGCGCGCCCCCAAAGCCTTGGTCCAAAAATCAACCTCCGCTTGCACATCCTTCACCGCAAACGATAATCCACCGAGGTAGTTCGTCTTCCCCGCCACCACGTTCGGTTTCACCTCGTTCGTCAAGAATTCCGCGTTCGCGCGCGTCCGCTCGACTTGCTTGTCGAAAAAGTTCAACTGCCCTCGCAATACCTCATCCTCCGGGTCGGCGTCGAGCGCCTTCTTCGCGTCGTCGCGATACTTGACGAGACCGTCGAGGACGGCACCCGCGCGCGCCTCGTTCGCGGGCGCCGCGGCGAGGACCGCGACGAGCGAGGTGAATAGAACGTCGCGACGACGACGACGCGCGGGCGCGCAGTCATCGTGCGTTCCGTGACGCGATGCGGCGCGCGCGATGACGTCGCCGACGCGACGAGAGGACGGCGACGCTCGTCCTCGACTGCGCGCGACGGCGGCGGGCGAGCGCGCACACGTCGAACTCATAACGAGACGCGAGGCGGCGAGTGGCGACGGACGACGGCGAGTGGCTGCGCAACGAAGTTCCTACGTATTATGACAAGCCTACTCACGAACGCGCGGCGATGCGCACTCGAAACACGAAGAACATTAGGGTTTTGTACATGTAGAGGCACTTGGGATAGCGTCGCTCGAAGATGGCCGCTTCGGTCGACGGGCGTCTCGCGGCGGCGGCGGCGGCGGCGACGCGCTCTGAGCCCGGATCGCGAAGTTCAGCCGCGGCGCGCGCGGAGGCGACGACTTCGCGCGCGAGCGAGCGAAGCGCGCGAGCATCGCTACCCATGAGCGTCTTGCCCGATTCCAAACGCGCGAGTGCGCGTTTAGACAAGTCAGCCGCGAGTCGGCGCCGGCGGCGGTCCTTAGCCGTTTCGAGCGCCTCGTCAGAGGCGTCTTTCGCTTCCGAATCCTTGAGCCACAGCGCTAAAGCGGCGGCGATTGCGCCATCGTTATCGGCGATCGTCGCCGATTCGATCGCATTCGCACTCTCTCGAAGGACTCGCGCGAAATTCGCTTGCGCGGACTCCTTTTCCATCGTATCCCCGAGCTCGGGAGTCACCGTCACCGTGTAATCGACCAAGCCTCGAATGTTCGGCGCCGCGTCACCTTCGAGAACGTAGCCGTGCATCTCTGCCGCCTCCGCGATTGCCTTCGCCGCGAGTTGTACCGCACCAGCTTTGGTGTTCCCACTGCGCTTGCCGCGCGTGCTAAAGGTCACCGCCAAGACGCCGCCGTCGGCGATGGCGTGACGCGAGAAGACGTCGTACAGTTGTTGCGTTCGGTTGTCGACCGCACCGCAGTGATCGAGATAAATAACTTGCAACTGCGTCTCTCTCGGGTCACGAGCCGCCAAAAACGCCTCCACTTTTGTCGCTACCGCGTTGACGCCGACATTCTTCCGCAGCGCGTACACGACGTGCGTGTACAGATTCGGCACCCAGATGGACGTTGGAGGTACGCCTTTCGCCGCGAGCTCTTTACTCGTTCTTCCATCAGCGGCGTCTAACACCAATGCCATGGACGCTTCAGGTGGTACTCCGATCAACGCACACGAGGTCGCCAACGCGTCAGCCACCGCGGCGTTCGTCAACGCTTTGTCTTTGGACGTCTTGTTCACCTCGGCTGGATCCTCGTACGGATCGAAGGCCCATCGACACAAGAAAGTACCCTTTGTCTGCGCCCTTAAATACTCCCGCTCCACGTACGCCATCTCTTTTAGCATTTTTCCGACCCCACGGCGTCGCTCGAGCAAATTCACGCTCACGGACGCCGCGCACAAGGCGACGAGCAACAGCGCGTCCAACAAGGAGCTCGCCGCGCTCACGTTTGCGAGCGAAAACGCCTTGAGCGCCAACGCCACGGCGAGCGCGCGACGCGGCGCCTCGACCGCCGCCGTGGCGAACTGCGCGCACACCTCCCCCGCGTACGTTCGCGCCGCTTTGATGCGCGCGAACCTCCTGTGCATCGCGCGCGCTTTCATCGCCTTGCTCACGAGCGACTTTCGCGCCGCGGCGTTTGGATTTCGACTCGAGTACGGGCTAATCGTGTACGGCAAAAACGCCGCCATCAGCCCGAGCTGAACCGAGCACCACGCCTCGTACGCGAACGCCGCGATCGCCGCGCACGCCGGCGCGACGATGAGCGTCAATATCGCCCCATCCGCGATCGCCTCAAAGAAATTCGCCGTCGTCGGCGCCGCGACGACGCGCGCCAGCGCCTGCGCCGCGCCCACCACGCCGAACCACAGCGCCGAGAACCGTCCCGTCCGTCCGATCACGCTCCGCCACACCTCGCCCTCGCGATAAAACAACGGTTCGCTCGCCTCATCGAACGCGTCCATCGCCTCGTACGCGCCGAACGTCCCTCCCTCCACGAATCCCGTCGTCGTCGCTCGCGTCGCCGCGTCCCGCGCGCGTCCCGTCCCGCCGCCGCGCGTCGTCGTCGTCGCCGACGTCGACGCGTCCCGCGCCGCGTTAACGCGCTTTCGCGTCGCGCTTTCGCGTCGCGCGCGCGTCCTCGTCGTCCTCGTCGTCGTCGTCGTCGTCGTCATCGTTCGCGCATTCATCGTCATCTGCATCGTCGCGTTCGCGCGTCCTCCGTCGCGCCGTCGACGCCGCGCGCTCGCGTCTCGCGCGCCTCGTCGACGCGTCGCCCTTTCGCGTCTCGCGCGCGCGATTCGCGCGTCGTCGCGCGAACGCGACCGCGACTGACGCCCGAACGACGTCGCGCCCGTTCCTTCCCCCGCGCGATGCGACGCGATGCGACGGCGTCGCGTCCGAAGCGCGAGTGCGCGACGCGATCGGCGGCGCGGTCGCGCGCGAATCCGACGAGGACGATGGCGACGCGCGCGTCGGACGCGACGGCGATCGGCGCGCGCGCGTCGACGTCGAGGACGACGACGACGACGACGCGAAGGACGACGACGCGAAGGGCGGCGACGCGGACGACGCGGACGACGACGACGACGATGGCGACGGGCGCGGGACGCGCGGACGGGCGCGAAAGGCGCGCGAAACCGCGCGGGCGCGCGCGGTGCGACGCGCTGACGCTGCGCGACGTCGGGGACGCGGTGCTGGACGGACACTCGGCGTGGTGGGCGGTGGCGTCGCCGCTCTTCGCGCTGAGCGTGGCGCCGTACGTGCTTTTTCTGAAACGCGTGAACGACGCGCCGAGCGCGACGGTGGAGATGCGGCAAGCGTTCGCGACGCTGTTGCTGTTCGTGCTGATCTCGATACCTGCGGAGGCGTACACGAAGAGCGCGTACGGGGAGGTGCTGAGTAACATCGACGCGCTGCATTTTTTGATTCAGAGCGCCATCAGTTTGACGAATTTGAGGATATTGCTCGCGTTTCGGCGAGGGAACACGCAAATTGGCGAAGGACTCGCGTCGACGGCGCCGGTGGCGACCGTGGGACGACCGGGCGTCGTCGTCGAGGCGTTCGCGGGCGTGGGCTTGTTGGCGACGGCGCTGTTGTTATCGCTCGACGAGCGGTTGCTGACGATTCCGGACGCCAGTCCGGCGGCGCTGACGACGTCGGTGGAGATGTTTAGAACGTGGGCGGACGATTTCGAGGCGTCGACGTCGGCGTTTTTGGGATTGCCGAATCCCGTCGCGGACGCGCTCAGCGTGCCGACGTGGGGGGTGCACATTTTCAGCCTCGTCGAGTGGTTGCTCGCGATGGGCTTGATTTGGGACTACGCCGAGTGCGATCGCGGCGACGACAAAGGGTGGCGCATGCTGACGTGGGGCATGCTTCCACTGCACGCGAGCGGGATTTGCGCGTGCACGCAACATTTCTTCGGCAACGCGGCGAGTTTGGACTGGCTCGTCGCCGCGCAGGGCGCGTTCACGATGATGGGAAACGTCGGCATGTGCGTCGCCGCGGGTGAGCTCGCGAAGGGACATACGACGTCTGACGAAGCCACGCGCGACGTGCGTCTAGCTTCCGAGCCCACGTGCGTGGTCATGGACGAGACTGAGAGTTCGTGGTGGGATTTCGACGTGGAAAATTTCGGCACAAAGCTTTGGGCCGAGGACGATGACGGCGTCTTCATCACCAAAGTTGCAATTCTTTCCTTAGCCGTCGCTTCGGGCGTTCGTGGGTTGAGTTTAGCGCTATCGCCAGCGTTCGATGCGGACGTCGGGCCGTTGCGCGATTACACCAACGTCGTAGCGTTTCTCATGGTGGCGGCGCCGCTCGCGTTGAACATCGAAAAATGGAAAAATCGCGAGCGCGTCGCGTTGATGCGCGATGCGTTGGGCGCGCTGTACGCGTCTTCGATGGCGAACGGTAGCGGGGTGGTCGGTGAGCAAGCCGCGGAGGCGGCGAATGCGAGCGACAAGTAGAGTGCTTATGTATCACTATGCGGCTTATATTATTCACCTATGCGCTTCGCAAGCTCGGCCCACGGATCTGCTGCGGTGCTATCGTTCGTGTGTGCGTCTGCGACGCCCGCGACGCGCACGGCTATGGGCGCCAACGGAAAATCAACGTCGTCATGATTTCGACGCCTCTTCGGAGCAGATTCAACAGCCTCCTTGTTTTCCGCAAGCAGCGCCTGGACTTCATCGTCGGCGGCGGCTGCCGCGTCGACGTTTGCGTCCTCAGCGTCGCCAATAAAAAACGCGCGAGCGATTGAGTGATTGCGTGTTAAATGTTCTGCTAACAAGTGTTTAAAACCTATTCACTCGCTACTTCACATCTTCGCCTAACCATTTCAAGTTACCAGAGAGCAAGACGTTTGACGGCAATTCGCCCGGGCACGGCGACAGATACGTGAACGATTTCTGCATCATGTTCACCTCGGTGATATAAATGAAACCAGCAACGTTCGAAGTGAGCAAGTCCCCCTGTGTTTTCCCGTGACTAACCGCTAAGACGGAGTGCAAAAGCGACGTGGAAGGCACAACGGGAGTGACTCGCATGGGATCCGTGGACGGAGCTTGACCGATTGGCAACGCGGACGTCGGCGCTCGCGGACCACCCCCGATGCGATATATGCTGATTTTCGAGAAATAAGCCGTCTGCGACGCCGGTGCGAGCTCGCCGGTAGCGCCGTAAAAGTATTCCTTGAACATGCGATCGCGAGATGCTCGGCGGTACTCGGGCGTGCGTTCAACGACGCCGCCAGACTTTTGCAGTCGAAACACTTGGCAGTCCGTTCCCTTAAGTTTTTGCTGCAGTTGCCCGAACAAACGCTCCTGACCAATGACAAGGACGTGATCAATCTTGAGCGCCTCTCGAGCGTGAAGCAAGAGCTCCAGGCCGACGCCATCGATCCAACCCATCGTATTCACCACGCATCCAGCCGCGCGCGCCTCTTCGTTTGCCTTGCTTCGCTCGTCTAGCATAGTGCCCAACCTCGAGACGATGTGCTTATAGTAATCGGGATTATTCACAGTCAAGTCGCCGTAAAAGTACACCAGAGGCATCTCCAGCGGTATTCCCTCTTCGAGGTCTATCTGCGCGTCAATCGGCGCGGCGCAAATCGTTCCCGGCACCGTGACCGCGCCCTGTCCTAAATCTAAATCCACGTACAGCGGAGCGTGTCCGGCGCGCGTGGCGTAGTTACATAATATAGAACACACCGTGCTCTTACCCACGTCCGTCGGTCCGACACACATTACCCTCGGTCCCTCGGCTTCGCTCGAATTCTCGCTCGCCGCGGCCACGCGTTTCGCATTCAAAACCGAGTGCGTGTTCGCGTAACTCACCATCGGCGTCTCCCCGGCGACGTACGCGATCTCTACCTCTCCTCTCACTTCGATCGTCGCGCCGTGATAGGTGAAAACGGCGAGTTTACGTCCCGAAACACACGTAATGCTCTGCCCGACGGCGATCTCCGCCCCGAAGACTTCCGCCGTGCCATCGACGAGCTTGAGCTTTATCTCCCCCCTCGCGGGCGTCTCCACGCGCAGTTCTTGTTCTTGTTCCAGCGTGAACGTCTGCACGGCGATGCCATCGTCACCATCGGACGCCATGACGAGGGCAGGGCGCAAAGTGAGGTCTCGGTGCCTGCGAGGCGGCGACCCGATCGCGTCACTTTGCGTCTCACATCCATCGCACGATGGCCGCCGTGACTTCTATCCCGCGCACGACGCTGCGTCGAATCCCTCTCGGCAGCGCGAAAGACGTTTTCGTCACCGACGTGTGCCTGGGGACGATGACGTGGGGCGTGCAAAACACCGAAGCCGAGGCGCACGAGCAGTTGGATTACGCCGTCAAACAACGAGGCGTGAACTTCATCGACACCGCGGAGATGTACCCGGTGCCGTCGAGCGATGCGCGATGGAAACCTGGGACGACGGAGGAAATCATCGGGAATTGGCTCGCAAAGAACGTCGAGCTGAGAAAGGAGCTCGTCGTGGCGACCAAGGTGAGCGGATACCAAGCCAAGAGCGAGACGGCGGGTAACCGAACGGTGCCTGCGGGCGCGCCGTGCGCGGCGAGATTGGATAAACAAAGCATATTTCAAGCGTGTGATGCGTCGCTGCGACGATTGAGAACGGATTACATCGATTTATACCAAGTGCACTGGCCCGACAGGTATCTGCCCATCGGCGCGTTCACGGGATCGACAGAGTACATTCAGAGCAAGGAGAGATCGGACTCTGTCCCTATTCGCGAGACGGTCGAAGCGCTCGGTGAGCTCATCAAGGCTGGGAAGATCAGGCATTACGGGTTATCAAACGAGTCAACGTTCGGAGTGTGCGAGTTTGTTCGCGCGGCGGATGAGCTCGGCGTTCCCCGTCCGGTGTCGATTCAGAACTCTTTTTGCCTTCTGCATCGACAGTTTGACACTGAAGTCGCCGAGGCGTGCTCGAAGTCAAACTACAACATTTTACTCCTTCCCTGGACCCCACTCGCGGGCGGAGCCTTATCGGGCAAATACCTCGACGGCGCTCGTCCGGAGGGCGCTCGCATGTCTGTCTTCAAACATTTCCACCAGCGTTACCTGAACGAAAACTCCGTCAAGGCGACGAAGCAGTACAAAGAAATCGCCGATAAGGCGGGTATGAGTCTCACCACCATGGCGCTTAACTGGTGCAAGACGCGCGCTTTCAACACTTCCACCATCATCGGAGCCACCACGCTCGAGCAGTTGAAGGAGAACATCGATGCGTTTGAGCCCTCGGTTGTGTTGAGCAAGGAAACGCTCAAGGCCATAGACGCCGTGCATCAGCAGTGCAGAGACCCGTGCATCGCCGTTTAAACGTGCGACTCCTTCGTCGCTGTCGTTATTCTCGTTTAATGATCAAATCGCAGTTGGTTCGCCCATAAACCTCTGCCAGGCCCCACCTGCCCACGGAAAACACCCGGGGCAGCCCAGCGTCACATCGCCTCGCGTCGACGTCGTCACCGAAATCGCGCGCACGTCGCCGCCATCCGCGATACGACACGAACTTCTGAGCTTTCATCGCGTCACCGCGCGAGGTCGTCTCGTGAACGCTCGTCGTCGTCGTCAGCGCTCGGTCGTCCCGACGTCGCCGCCATGACGTCGACGGGCGAGACGATGACGAAACCTGCGAAAGATGCGGAGGACGTCGGGCCGCCGCCTGCGCCCGTCGATTGGAACAAGAAGAACCCGCTCAAGGCGTTATTCTTCGCCCAAGTGTCGCCGTTGATCGCCGAAGGCACGGTCAGGAGGTTGGAACCGACGGACTTGTGCCACTTGGAAAAGTTGGATAGCGAACGGGTGCGTTTGTGATTTCGCCGAGCGCGCGACTTTTCTCGCGTCATCAACGCGTACGCGCGCACGCGTGATTGAAAACGAGTGCAGAATGAATCAACGAGACTGACCGTCGTCGTCGAACGAAACAGCTGACGCAAATTTTCGACGAGGACTGGGCCAACGAAAGAACCAAGCCCAAGCCAAACCTGGTGCGAGCGCTGTTGACGCGACATAAGCTCACATTCGTGTGGACGGGGGTGCTGTTTGGTATCGCGCAAGCGTCTTTGTTTGCTGGGCCGTTATTGTTGCGCGAAATTATCGCTGGACTTGAATGCGAAAAATTCGCTGAGAAGTTCGGCGTCTCGGCTGCCGCCGCCGGATGTACGGCGAAGCGCAAGATGTATGAGTACGCAATTCTTCTCGCCGCAGCGTCGATTTTGCAAAACTTTTGCACAGCGCACACGGAATTCGCGCTTCAAAAGATTGGCATATCGGTTCGTAACAGTTTGATGTGCGCGCTGTATCGCAAAGTGTTGCGACTGTCGCCAAAAGGACTACAATCCGAGTCGACGGGGCGCATCGTGACTTTGATGTCGAACGACGTCAACAAATTGCAGGAACTGTTTGCCATGATCCACAACTTATGGGCAGCGCCGATTTTCATCGTTGCGTCCTTCGTGCTACTTTACGACGTTCTCAAGTGGAGTGCCTTCATTGGTTTTGCATGCATCCTCGTCGCAGCGCCCTTCACCTTCTTCGTCGCCATGACTTTGTTCAAGATTAGACGTGGCTTGGTTAAGTGCGCGGATGAGCGTATTAACATTGTGGGCGAGCTTATTAATGGCATGCGCGTGATCAAGTACTACGCATGGGAGAACACGTTCGCCGATAGAGTCAGAAAGATTCGCGACCGCGAAGTCGGTTTAGTCTGGAAATCGCAAAAAGTGGGCGCACTTTTTGGAGTCGCTCTCTTCAGTACTCCGGTCTTCATTGCCGTGTGTTCTCTCGGCACTTATTCTCTCTCTGGAAACCCGATCATCACGAGTAAAGCCTACACGGCCTTGGCTCTGTTCAACATGCTCCGTTTCCCCCTCGTGCTCGTGCCGTTTCTGCTCAACACGTTGCTCAACGCGCTCAACGCGATTCAGCGTTTAGCGTCCTTCCTCGACGCGGACGAGTGTGAACAGTACGAAGTGGATCTTTCCGAACCGGGTACCGTGAGATGCACCGATGCGACGGTTGCCTGGCCGACGCTTCCGAAGAAGCCAGAGGAAGAGGCGCCGAAGGGCCCTCCTGGCCGATCGAGCAAGAAAGAGAAGAAAGAGAAGAAAATTGAAGAGGACAAGTTGGAAGAAGCTGTCACCGTCGATGAAACCGTGGTAAACGTCACCGTGGCTGAAGAAGAACCATTTGAACTCGCTGGGCTCGACTTTGAAGTAAAACCTCGGACTCTGACCATGATCGTCGGCCCAGTCGGTTGCGGCAAATCGACGCTCGCTTCGGCGCTCAATAAGTTTGTCACGTGCAAGAGCGGCGATATCAAAGTGAGTGGTGCGGTATCATTCTGCGCGCAACAAGCGTGGATCTTAAACGCGACTGTCAAAGAGAACATCGTATTTGGCCAGGTGTACGATGAGAACAAGTACGAAAAGGCTGTCCGCCTGGCGCAGCTCGCGTCAGATCTAGAAATTTTGCCCGCGGGCGACCAAACGACCATCGGCGAGCGCGGTGTGACGCTTTCGGGCGGCCAAAAGCAGCGCGTTGCCATTGCGCGTGCTTTGTACGCGGAAAGCGATGTTTACATCTTTGATGATCCCCTGAGCGCCGTAGATAACCACGTCGGCTCTGCGCTCTTCAAGGAAGTCATGACGGGAGAACTGAAGGACAAGACTGTGATTCTCGTCACCAACGCGCTTCAGTATTTGCCCAGAGCCGATCAAGTCGTGGTGCTGGGCGACGGCAAGATGCAAGAAGTTGGCAACTACAACTCGCTCATGGCTAAAAAAGGTGCTTTTTGCGAGCTTATGAAGACGCATGGCATCGATCGCGACGAAGGCGACGGATCCACAGAGAAGAAGACGGAAAAGCCTGATCTCTTCCGTCAACGAACTGTTATCAACTCTTCTGCCAAGGACGTCGACGCGACCAAAGAAGAAGAACGCGCGACGGGCAACGTTAGCGCGCGCGTGTATCTCAAGCTTTTCGAAGCCACGGGAACGAAGTGGAACTTCATTTTTGTCATAATGTTTTTTGGCTGCGAGTACGGAACCAAGGCTTTCCTCGATTATTGGTTGACTTGGTGGGCGACGAATCAGTTCGGGTGGACGAGCAACGAATATCTTCTCATGTACTTTGGGATCTTTGTCGTCAACGGCATTTTTATCTTCGTTCGAAGTCTTACTCTCTACTTTTTCCTCTGCCGCGCATGCCGATGGATGCACGAAAACTTGCTCTCGCGAGTGATGAAGATGCCCATGAGTTTCTTCGACACCACCCCGAGTGGCCGCATCATTAACCGCTTCAGCCGTGACACAGAGACAATTGATATCGTGTTGCCGGGCATCGTCGTGCAGTTCCTCGGGTGCATCTCAAACATCATCACCACGCTCATCATTGTGTGCGTGGCCACGAAATGGTTCACTGTTGCCCTGCCGCCTATCCTCATTCTTTACCTCTCGATTCAGAGATTTTACATCCCTGCTTGCCGCGAGTTGCAGCGTATTGAGTCCATCACGCGATCACCGATCTACAGCGGATTGGGCGAAGCCGTAAGCGGCGTCGAGACTATTCGAGCGTACCGGGTCGGCGGGCACTTCACCATGATGGCGAACCGCTTAATGGAAAAGAACGCTGACGCCTACGTCACGCAGCGCCTCGTCGCTCTCTGGCTCGCGATTCGGTTGCGTCTCATCGGCAGCGTCATCGTCTCTTGCGCCACGTTCTTGGTGATCCAGGGTAACGTGAGCGCCGGTCTGGCCGGTTTGACGCTCGTGTACGCGCTTGATGTCACCAAGTACATGGAACACGGCACCAACATGGCGAGCGAATTGGAAACAAAAATGAACGCCGTCGAGCGTATCGTAGAATACTTGGATAAGCCGTTGGAGAGCTCTCACGATACCGATGCCAGCGTCGCCCTCGGCATTCCTGTGGATTGGCCGAAGAAGGGTAAGCTCGAGGTCGATAATCTCAGCATGCGCTACCGCCCTGGCTTGCCTTTGGTGTTGAAAAACTTGACCTTCACCGTCAACTCGGGCGAAAAAGTAGGCATTTGCGGTCGTACCGGTAGCGGTAAGTCTTCCATGTTCGTCGCTCTATTCCGGATCGTCGAACCGGCGACGGGTACGGTGCGCCTGGATGGGATTGACATCAGAGCGCTCGGATTGCGAGACTTGCGATCCAAGATGGCTATGATTCCGCAAGATCCGTTCATGTTTGCCGGTTCCATTCGCAGTAACCTGGATCCCTTCGACGAGCATCAAGATGATGCGGTGTGGGAAGTGTTGGAGAAGGTTGGATTGCGTCCGATGGTGGACAAGAGCGCGAAGCGCTTGGACATGGAGGTGATCGACAACGGCGCCAACTTTTCGCTCGGACAGCGACAGCTTCTGTGCATGGGTCGCGCTTTGCTGCGCCAAAGCCGCGTATTGATGATGGACGAAGCCACCGCATCAGTTGACATGGATAGCGACGCTTTGATTCAGAAGACCGTGCGCGAAGCCTTTAGCGACTGCACGACGCTCACCATCGCGCATCGCTTGAACACCATCATGGACAGCGACAAGGTGGCCTTCTTGGACAGAGGTGAACTCGTCGAATACGGCGAGCCGGACCAATTACTGAAGAACAAAATCGGCAAGTTCTCCGCCCTCGTCAGCGGGAGCGGGAGCAAGCGTAACGAAGATTTCTTGCGCAACTTGGCCTCGGCGGCGAGCATTCATCGCCGAAACAGCTCGCAATCGCTCGCGGACAAGGACGAGGCTTGATCGAGTGCGCCGCACGCAATTTAGAAATTTCTCAACGATTCATTTACGACACCTCGGCGTCTTGTATTACTCATCACGTTTATTACACATTAAAAAATAATCCACCCGCGAGAAGCTTACTCTGTCTTCTTCTCGTCGAGACGCGCCGCGTTTTCGCGCTCCGCCGCGTCCTGCGCCGCCATGAGTTCGATGTACCACAACTTGGCGCGTCGGTACAAATCGCTCGTCCCAACGACGACGCCCGCCATCATGCACCGAATTTGGTACTCGTACATCGTCATCGCGTTCATCGGCCACGCGTCTCGGCGCACCGTCCACGCCACGTGCGCCAACGCGTTGGTGAACGCGCAATACAACGCTTGCGCGCCGCAGTGTCCGGTCGCCGCGACGAGCATCACACCGAGCGCGAACGCCTGTATCCCAGCGCTGTGCACGTACGCGCCGTGCTCGTACGGCACCAGCGTCAGCGCCACCGCCACGAGTTGCATCGCCGACACCTCTCGCTGCAGCGCGTGTTTGCGCTTCGAGAGTTGCGCCGCGCTCGTCAGCGTCGCGACGACGCGATAGACGTTCGCGACGTACCGCGGTCCGAGTCGTCGCAGGAACTCCTCGGACGATCCCCACAGGTTTTCCCACGCCAGCGCGAGCGACCACATCGGGCGTCGGCGCGTCGGAGTGCCGCGGGTATGTTCCACATCGCGCCGATTCGCACCGCGCGCCGTCGACGGCGCGACCGACCGGGCTCGAACCGGCGGCGTCGTCGCGGCGTCCGCAGCGCGCGACGCGAGGCGGGACGATGGCGCGCGCGACGACGACGACGACGACGACGACGACGACGACGACGCGACACACGCCCATCAAGGTGCGCATGAAACTCGCGGCGCGCGCGCGCGCGGGCGCGGTCGAAGTGAAGCGCGAACCGACGGGCGCGATGGCGGCGGCGGCGAAAGATGGGCGCGACGAGAAGGACGACGACGACGACGCGAAACGCGCGATGGAACTGCACAGATCGCTGAACAGGGCGTCCGATCGCGCGGCGCGCGAGCGAGAGGTCGCGCGAGGGGTGGAAGCGGACGCACATCACGGGTACGACCCGGGAATCCTACCGAGTTGTTGAGCAAAGGTGGGGGCGAGCGCGACGGCGCGATGTCCGTTCGGCTTCGTGTGTGGGTTTCCGGTGCAAAAGGCGAACAGCGAATTGTACGGGTACGTGAAAGGGACGGGAAAAACGGAACGCGGCGAACAGAGCGCGGCGGTGGTCAAAGCCATCGCGCTGTGGGGATCGGTGTGCGAACGCGGCGAACGGCAAACCGAGTTGGATTTTCCGGTGTGCAAGCGCGGTTACGCGCCGTTCGATTCGAACGGTCAAAGGGCGTACGGGTGCGCGAAACACGGTCCAGTGCGACGCAAACGCATGCTCAGCGTCGCTTCGGGAGAGGAGTACGCGCGGCCGGGTTGGGAATCGTTTCATCAGTGGGACGACGCGCCGCCGCCCGCTCGCGGGGGGCGACGATGAAGGACGAACGCGCGAGCACGGATTCGTGACGATGAGACGCGAATCGCGATCGAGAAGTCGATCGCGGGCGTCGCATTTGATACCGCGCAGCGCTTTCGTTTGAATTTCGTTGGTTTAGCTCTTATACTGTAATCTACCTTAGCTCTAGAGTTTCATCACTTCTTCTTGGATGACTTTGACGCCTTGTCCTTCGCCTTCTTGCTCGTCTTCTGCTCCGCCTCGACCTCGGCGAGCGCCGCTTTGACGTAACCAGGCACGCGTTTTCGCTTCTTTGCCTTGATTTCCGTATCCTTCTCCGTCGCTGCGTCGGCGTTCGCGTCGTCTACGCGCGCGTCTTCGCCGACGTCAAAGTACCCGCTCTCGAGCGCCGCGCGAGCTTCATCGAACGCGTCGTTGCTCGTCGGCACGGTTCGGTTGCTGAGCTTCTTCAGCTTGCACACGAAGAACCCGTCCATGTTGTGCACGTGAGGGTAGAACCGGCGCGCCATCTCCACGGACGGGTGGAAGTTCTTACCGCGATAGCTCGTGAAGCCTTTACGACCGAATTCCAATCCGCTCGACACGATTTTCACGTCTCGCTTGCGTAATATGTAATCCACCACCGCCTCGTTTTCTTCTACCGCGATCGAGCAAGTAGAGTAGACGACGTAACCGCCGGTTTTGCTGTTCGCATCGCAGCAATCGATAGCGGCGACGAGAAGTTCCTTTTGAAGATGCGCGCACTTGGCGATGTCCTCGGCGCTTTTGCTCGTCTTCACCGAACTATCCTTGGCGATGACTCCGGTCCCCGAGCACGGGGCGTCCAGCAAGACGCGGTCGACGTGCCCGATAACCTTGGGAAGCGCGCGGCCATCGTAGTTGCACACCGTGGAGTTCGTGCAACCCAAGCGCTGCAAGTTGGCCACGAGCGAATTCAGACGCTTCTTTTGATATTCGTTTGCAAAAATCATCCCCGTATTGCGCATCAACGCCGCGAGGTACGTCGTTTTACCCCCGGGAGCGGCGGCCATGTCGAGCACGCGCTCACCTTCCTGAGGTGCGAGCGCCATGCACGGTAAAAAGGATGACGCAGACTGCAAAATGTAGTGACCAGCCATGTACTCGGGCGTCGCGCCGATGGGCACACGCGAGTCGTACACGAGTAAGCCAACCTTGGACCACTTCCCGACCGGGTCGAGATTGACTCCGCGGTTTATCAAGCTCTCGGCGAGTTCGCGACGACGAACCTTCAAAGTGTTCGTGCGAATCGTCACCGGGCGTTGCTGTTCGTTCGCCTCGAGTAATTCCATGGTTTCGTCGACGCTAAACGTGTCCAAAAAGTACCGAATCAAAAAGCTATTGTAACCGTAATACGTTGCCAAATCCGCCGTGAGCCGTTCGACGTAGTCGTTACGACTCTTGCCACTTTCTCTTCTATTCTTAAAGTCCTTCAAAACGCGCACAATCTCCTGAATGCGCATCTGAATAGCACTCAAATCCGGAATCCCGTCATCTTCCTCGTCCGAATCCGGGAGTTGGTATACGTCGTCGTCTTGAATGTTCGTCTCGAGCTGCTCCGCGCGCGCGTCTTCTTGCGCCTTGGCCCGTCGTGCGTCTTCTTTCAAAGCCTTACGCTCGATTGGAAGCAATTCTTCCTCACTCGACGATTCGCTCGACGATTCCGAGCCTTCCTCACCGTCGGAACCATCCTCTTCCGAAGACTCCTCGTCTTCGTCTTCGTCTTCGTCGTCGCCGACACCATCCAAACCCGCGAATTCGTCTTCATCCTCCCCCGAAGACGAAGAAGACTCATCGTCGTCGTCGTCGTCGTCTTCCTCGCTCTCTTCCGCGCGCTTCTTCGCGCTCGGTTTCAACCATTTCGCGTTTTCGTCGCTAAAGCCTTTCCTTCCCTTCGCGCTCTTCGCCTCTGCTTCCTCCTCCGAGCTCTCGTCGTCGGAGCTTTGCGACCTTTCCTCGTCCTCGTCGTCTTCAGAGCTTTCAGACGCATCGTCATCGTCGTCGTCGGACGCCTTCTCGTCCTCGTCGTCGCTCTCGTCGTCGTCATCCTCGTCCTCATCCTCTTCCGGCGGCGGCGGCTGCTCGCGCTTTCCCGCGCGGTTCTTCGCTCGGTTCGCGCGCGCCGTGCGCGGGGTCACCGCGGGTGACTTGGGAGACTTTCCGCCTTTGGATTTCGCCTCCGTCACCGCGCCGCGAGTGGTTTTGATCGCTCGAGGCGGCATCGTGAAGCGCGCGTCGTCGAGTGACGACCAGCCCGTGCGCTTCGGAGGAGACGGGCTTTTGGCGCTCGAGCGAGAGTGACATCGCGCGGCGGGAATACCGATGCGTATGCGTTACAAAAATCATGATAACGACGCGCGCGATGCGCGAGGTCAGACGACGTCGATCCGCGCCATATTCCCGTCATCCCCGGGAGACGGTGATGCCGGTGAACCGCATCTCGCGCGCGTTGCGATTGCTCTCCGACGGCGTGGGTTCGCGCGCGACGTAATTTTCCAAGCCACCTTTCGCCTTTGCGAAACCGTCGCGCCAGACGCCGAAGGCGCACACGAACCAAACGGCAGCCATGATGCCGTAAACGCCACCGTCGGCGAGGAACTTGACTCCGGAATCGGTTTCACCGACGTATTTATCGCGAATCAGTACGGCGCCGAGGACGAGCGCGACGGAGGCCAAACCGATCGTGATTGGGCCGAGGCTAGCGTGGGCAAGGAACCACGCCTTTCGCCAACTCGACGGGATGAATCCAAAGCGCGCGCTGTCGGTGATGTTCTTATTCGGTCGAAACACGCCGAGAAGAAACTGCGCCAACCAAAGAAAACCGACGGCGATGCCGATGCGGCTGTGCGCGTCAAACGTACTAGACTCGCTGTGTGCATCTTCGCGTTCGTCGTGCTCGGCCAAGAGCATCGCACCCGCCGTGACGAATACCACGGCACCGACGACCACGCCAATCTGATGCATCAAGAACCACTTGCCGTCGGGGAATAAAAATTTCATTCTCGGCGCCGCGCTCGCCGTCGGCATCAACACGCCCCAGGCGACCAACATCAAGACCCCGTGCGTGACGTCTCTCTTGATCGCAGATTTTATCGTCATCGACGTCGCATCGCCCGTGGAGAAGTTGATGATCAGCCCCCCGCGCCGAGTCATCGTGTGTTGCGCCGGCCACGCGCTCGGCGACGACGCGTACAAGAAGGACTTCGTCGCCCCCGCGCTCGCGCTCGCGTCTTGATACCGCACCACGACCGTCCTCGACCCCGTCGCCGCCGTCACGCTCGCCGCGCTCAGCGCACACGCCCCCCCACACGCCGTCGACGGCGCGTACTGTCCCGTCAATTGATAATACGTCGTCGAACCCGCGCCGCCGCTCGCGACGACCACCTCCCCGCTCGACATCCCGCTCCCCGGCCCGAGCGCGATCCATCCTACGCTTCCCGGGTCGTGCGCGCCCGAGAACGTCGCTCGCACGCGCACGTCCAGCGTCGCCGCGCCCGGCGCGAGGGCGTACGCGATGTTTATCCCCGAAGGCGTGGACGACGACGACACCTGGCACCAATTGACGCCGTCGGATTCGACCGCGCACGCCGCGCCCGCGACGCGCGACGCCGCGCTCAGGGCGACGACGCACGCGGCGAACCACGACGCGACCATGACGCGAAGCGCGCGCGTCGGTCGATCGAGGCGCGTCGGCGAGTGACGCGCGGCGTCGTCGGCGTTGACTTCTTCGACGTCGCGTCGTCGCGTCACTCCGCGTCGCGCGCGAGGCGACGACGCGCGCCTCGCGCGCGATGAGCGCCGATCTCGCCGCGCTTCGCGCGTACGTCACCGCGGAAACGCACGCACAGCGACCGGCGGCGACGACGATTCGCTTGCGCGTGTCGCACAGCAATCTCAAGACGAGTTTTCTCGAGATACGCTTCGACGCGCACCAGACGATCGATGAGGTGAAGCGAAAACTGATGACGCACTGCGGGAGTAACGCGTCGGCGATGACGCTCGTGCTGCGCGACGTCGATGGGTCGGTGGTGGCGGTGATGGGCGATGAGACGAGAAAGTTGGGCTATTACGGCGCGAGCGACGGGATGGAGTTGCACGTCGTCGACAACGATCCACAGTCGTTGTCCGCGAACGGTTGGCTCGAGGACGTGAGCAAAGTTAAAAAGTATGAGATGTCGGACGAGGATTACGAAAAGCGCGAGTCGACGTATCGAAAATGGAAACGCGAACAAGTGGCGAGAGATCCGTCGTGGACGATTGAAAAACACATGGCGGAGCAACGCGGACAGACGTACGTGCCACCGGAACAGGTGAACGACGACACCGGGACAGAAGACGCGGCGAAGATTGAGGTCGGGTCGAGGTGTGAGGTGAATCCGGGCGCCAAGCGAGGGGTGGTGAAATTCGTCGGTCGATGCGAGGCGCTGCCGCCGGGATTTTGGATTGGCGTGCAGTTCGACGAACCGGTGGGGATGAACAACGGCACCGTGAAAGGGGTGAAGCTCTTCGAATGCAACGATGGGTACGGATCGCTGCAGCGCCCGAAGAACGTGTCGTGCGGAGACTTCCCGCCTTTGGATGACGTTGACTTTAGCGAGGATGAAATTTGAATACAGTTTCTGTTAATGGTCGGCGCGCACGCTTAGTCGTTAAATCGTCACACGGGGTTGCGCGGCGACGATGGGCCGTCGAAGCGACGACGCGCGGCGGACGCGGGTTAGAAGGCGTCGAGCGCCGGCGTCGTCCTTCGTGCGCGCGCACCGTCTCGTCGCCGTTCTCGCGCTCGTCGCCGCGCTCGGATTCGTCGCGGTGCCGTCGTCGTGCGAAACCTCTGACGCGCGCGATGGCGAAGGGATCTCATCTCTGTCCGCGTGGCTCGCGAAGTTCAAGTTTGATCTCCCCAAGCAAACGTTTCGCGTGCCCTACGCCGGGATCGACGTGGAATTGGACGCAATGACGTGCGTCAATTTGACCGTGGGCGCTCTAGCAAGCGAGACGACAGCAACCGCAACCGTCGACGTGGGCGGTGGCGACGGTGAAGGAGAACTGCGCGCAACATTGTCGGATGTGAAATTCAATTGTGCGCTGCAGTGGAAGGTGACAGATAGACTGGGAAATCACGCGGTCGGCGACGCGGCCGCGACGGTGTCGCAGTCGAGCGCGCGATTCTCGTTTGCGCTGGACGTGGACAAAGAACGAGCGCCGCCGCTACCGCGCGAGGTTAAGTTGAGCGATTGTCAAGCGCAGTTACTGGTGACCGATCTTTTGTTTACAGGAGGTCGGTTCGCGACGGTATTGAAAACAGCTTCGCTTGCGATTAGAACGGAATTAGGAAGGACGCTCAGCGCTCTCACGTGCGCGTCGGCGACTAACGGTTTAGAGAAATTTAGCGGAACGGCGAAAGGGCAGCGCTGGGAGGATGGTCAACTCGCGCGAGACGAACGAGCTATTGCGTCTCTGCTCAAGCCTGCGGCATCAACGCCATTTCCGACTTATAACGCGACGGATGGTATTGTGAACTTGAGTGCGAGCCCACTCGTGCGATGGGTTGAGTACATGACCGAGTCGTATATCGGCGCGCAAGGTGTGAGATCTGTGAGCGCATTTGCGCGTTGGATCGAAGCGCAGAATGAGGAAAACAACGAGTACAACGCACGCGTCGTTCAAGTACCTCAGGTTTGGTTATTTGATTCGGAGACGCACTTGCCCAAGGTGAGCGTATCACTCACAAAGGATATTTTGCGAGAAGTCGCGACGACGATTGAAGGCGCGGCGTTCATCGTATATGACATCAAAGTTTTAGGTTTAGAAACAGCAAAGACGCTTCGAGGTCCGTCTGTGGTGACATCGCCGACGGTTCCGAACGCGAGCAGTATCGACACGCGGCTTAGTTTTACGATTGGCTGGAATCGCATATTGTTCAACGTTTCCGGCGTGTTGGATATTTTACCGACGAATATTCAACTCGATCCATGGATCGAGCCTTTGATCGTGAGCTTTGAACTTCGAGATCCAGAGTTTGTCGTCGAAGTCGGACTTGCAGTGGATGGAAATGAGTTGAAGGAGTTGAAAGGGACGAGGCAGGCGAATTTGGCGTGCGTTTCGCAAACCATTCGGGACGCGCGCGTGCTCTCGCTCGACTGGACAGGGCGTGCGGGCTCCATCATCGTTAATCCTTGGCGCCGCGATCGCCCCGTGGATGAAAGCGATGACTCGCTTGAAGCAAGTCTGGATGCGTTGATTACGCAAACGTCACTGCTTATCACGGAACAGCTCGATGAGGCGGTTCGTCTCGCCGTGTCCCACCAGTTGGGCTCAACCGCACGAAACGCGCTCGACGAGGAATTACGTCGTAGGATCGACCGCGTTCGATCGGCGACTTGTCCACGCATGACGCGAGTGTCCCTACGTGTAGCTCGCTTCAAGCGAGCGTTTTCGATTGCGCTACTCTACACTTCGGCGATCTGTGCTGGAATGTTCGTGACTGTATTATTCGGTCATTTCGCTCTCGTCGTCGCGCTTGGACGATTCGGTCGTTGGTGTTTTCGAGCCGTAATGAAGCAATTGGCGGCAATGTCGGCGCATGCTGATGACGAGTGGGAAGTAGAGGGTGACGAAAGCGATGATGAGGATGGCGGCATCGCTTACTCGACGCCTCAACAAACTTCGGCGCGACGAAACTATTCTAGAGCGTCGTTCCACTCGGGACGTCGCGTTGAAGCCGCGGCGGATGACACTAGCATGATCACCGAAAGTCTTCTCGGTGAAGCGGAAATAGACGAGGAAGGTAACATAGACGTAGATGAGAAATCTCTCATGCACCGACAGGCGGCTTTATGCGATTCCATAGTAGTGCCGAAGAGTGCAAAGTTTGGTATGCCGATTCTGTATGCGATGACGTGCCTGTTGTTCTTGGCGTCGAACACGAGTGTGGGCGCTACGGTGACTGTTCGAGCCATTAAACATGATTTGGGCTCCTTAGATTCTGGTGCAGACATCTACCTACCGGAGGTTTTCACATTCTCTCTCGGAGACACCGTGTTGAACATGTGGCGCGCGGGAGTGTACACGCTTGCGCTGCTCATTCTCTTGTTCTCCGGTGTGTGGCCGTACGCCAAACTCGTTGCAATGTGGATTTCTTGGTCGACACCAGGGCTTGATCTGCGTGCACGAGGACAATTCTTAAAGAACCTGGACGCGTTTGGTAAATGGTCGCTGCTCGACTCGTTCGTGCTGATGCTCTTTATGGTTTTGTTCCACTTTGAAGTGAGAACGCCCGAGGACGTCAGCGGCTACGGCGCGTTGACGGTTTCGGTGCATCCACAGAGAGGTTTCTTCGTCTTTCTCCTCGCCACAGTTCTTTCCATGATTCTTGGACATATCACAACGGGTTATCATCATCTCCACGAGCACCGCTACATATTTGGCGAAGCCGGGGCGCCGGACGAAGACGAAGATAATGAAGAGAGTGCGGAAATCATGTGGATGCGCATGCGCTACAGCGAGACAAAAAAATGGATCCTCGGCGTGGCGACCACGGTGCTTTTGATAGGAACGATGGTGGCATTGGTGATTGGATTCAAAGCAATCGCCATCAGGTTCACAATGCTTGGCGTTGCCGGTGCCGCGCTCGGTCCAGATTCGTCGACACACACCATGTCGTTACGATCGGTCGCCGCGGAGGTGCGAAACGCATCGCCCGACTTGCACGCATCGCTTTCGAGACTGATCGAGTGGACGATGTTGATCTTCGCATTTACCATGCCATTGGTGCGTATAACAACAATGGTCATTTTATGGACTTTACCACTTACGTCGAAACAACGTCACGCATTCCTGGTTTGCAAAGAAGTTGTCGACGCGTGGAGCGCCTTGGACGTGATGCTCTTTTCATTCGTGGCGGCGATTTCACAAATAAGACAGTTTCTCGCCTTCATGCTCGGCGGGAACTGCGATGCCTTGAATCGCACGTTGCAACAGTTCGTCTCTGGTCCACTGTCACACGCCCATGACCTTTGCTTCGACGTGGACTCGTCGTTGGGCGACGGATGTTGGCTCCTCGCCGTGTGCGTGGTCGGCTCCTCGGCGTGCTCTAGAATTCTCGACTATGCCGCGGCGATCGTGCGCGAAGAAGACGAAAATGCTTATCGTGTCGCGTCATCATTAGGCGCAGATGACGTCGATAACAATGATAGTTCACACTTCGAAACGCCTTTGTAATTTAGAAACGCGCAAAAGCTTAAGGTAAATTGGCATGTACTTGTTTCAACGTGAGTACTACGCGATGGGAGAGCGAAGGCGGTAGAGCGGGCGCGTGCTGGGAAAAAAAGGCCCGGAAAATAACTTATTGGTTGGCGAAGTCGACACCCTTTTGGATGCTACCCGTGAGCTCAACCTTGAGCTTGGCCAACCAATCGGCTTCGTACTCGGTAATGTCGCCGATGGGCATGACTTCGTCAGCGCCAGACGGGCCGAGACGGACCTTAGTCGCGAAGTACGGAAGTTCCGTGATGTTGGAAGCGACGTAAGAACATTCGTACACGTCCGGTTCACCACTCAAACCGCGCAAGCAAGCTTCAGCCATGCGCGCAGCGGCATAAGCCATGGAGAGCGTCGCGGAGCCGGCGCCAGCCTTGGCTTCGACGACTTCGGTGCCGGCGTTTTGAATGCGCACGGTGAGCTTATCAGCCTCTTCGGCGGTGAAGTCGCACTTCGGGTACGTTTGGCTCAAAAGCGGCAAAATCGTAATGCCAGCGTGGCCACCGATGACGGGAACGTCGACGTCGTTAATGTCCAACCCCTTGGCTTCTGCGACGAACGTGTTCGAGCGAACGATGTCGAGCGTCGTGACGCCGAAAATCTTCTTCGGATCGTAGCATCCAGCCTTCTTGAACACCTCGCTCGCGATCGGGACCGTGGAGTTCACCGGGTTGGAGATGATGTTGATCAACGCGTTCGGGCACGCTTCGGTGCACGCGACGCACAAGTCGCGAACGATGCCGGCGTTAATCGCGAACAAATCGTCTCGCGTCATGCCCGGCTTACGCGGAACGCCCGCGGGAATAACCACCAAATCGGCACCCTTGAGCGCATCCTTCAACTGATCCGCTCCCATGAATCCACGGACTTGGCACGTCGTGTTCGTGTGCGACAAATCCGCCGCCACGCCCGGCGTATTGGCCAAGTCGTACAGTCGCAAGTCGCTAATCAGCGGATTCATCTTCAACAAGAGTGACAGCGATTGACCGATCCCACCCGCGGCGCCGAGAACGGCGACGGAGTATTGACTCTTCGTCACCGTCATCGCGCTCGATCGTCGCGCGTACGTCGCGCGTCCAGCGCCCGCACCTCGGCGAGTCTTCTTCGCCGCAAGATCGCCGCCTCGAATCGCCGTGCGGCTGGAGAGTTGCGTCGCGCGCATCGTTTGAGACGTTATCGCGAGTGTGGCCGTGTCGTGGGGTGCGCGAGAGCGTTCACGAATCAGATCGCTCGCGGACGATGGATCGACGCGCGCGGGTGTGCGGTGACGCGTTCACCGATCGCTCGCATCGCCCATCGCCCATCGCCCATCGCCAACCCATCATCGCCCGCGCGCGCGCCGCGGCGCTTTTTTGGCTTTGTTCGCGCCGAACCGACGCGGCTTGAACCGAACGCGCATCCAAACTGCGTATACGAACACGCGTAACGCCCATCGCTGGATTGTTTTTTTTCAAAATCACGCGCCATCGAAAACACCCGATCCTCGCCCCGCGCGCGCGTCGCGTCGCGCGCGCCGCAGTGCGCTTCGCGACGACCTCGTCGTCGCGCGTCGCCGACTCGTCCACCGAACGCTCGGTCGACGTCCACGCTTTCGTTCGCCTCGACGCTTCGCGACGTCAACGATGAGCGGTGCCGCGCGCGCGCTCGCCACCGCCCCGCGCGCGCACCGCGCTGGGGGTACGGCTTTATCCACGAAGCGCGCGCATCGCGCGCGAGCTCGAGCCGCGGGCGATGCGCGGCGTCGAGCCGCGGGCGAGCGATGTGTGATGCCGAACGCCATCGGTGACGTCGGTCGCGCGGTCGCGGGCGCCGCGGGCGTCGCGCGAGCGACGGCGACGGCGACTAGGTTCGGGGGGGGCGCGTCGCGAGAAAAGCGAAGGGGGTCCGTCGTCCCGCGCGCGGCCGGGGGGGCGATCGCGCCCATGGCGACGTTCAAGAAGTTTTCGGAGGTCTTCGCCAACTTGTTTCCGATTTGGACCATCCTTGCCGCGGTCGTTGGGGTCACGAAACCGGCCACGTTTGCGTTCATGACGAACAACGCGTACACGGCGTGCTTGGCGTTGCTCATGTTTTCCATGGGCATCACGCTCACCCTTGATGACTTCAAGCGCGTTTTCTTAAAACCGCGGGTGATTGGGCTCGGATTTTTCGCGTGCTACGTCCTCATGCCGGCGTTGGCGTTCGTCATCGGCAACGCGCTTGGTTTGAGCGGCCCGCTCCTCGCCGGTCTGATCCTAGTGGGTTCAATCAACGGCGGTCAGGCGAGCAACCTGTGCGCTTACATCGCCCGGGGTGATGTCGCGCTCTCTGTACTCATGACTACCGCCACCACCGTCGGCTGCATCTTCATGACTCCGCTCATTTGCAAACTCGCTTTGGGCGCCGTCGTCGACGTGGACGCCATGGGCATGGCGATTTCCACCATCCAAGTTGTTCTTGTGCCCGTCGTTCTCGGTTTGACTTTGAACAAGTACGTGCCGAAGTTCTGTCGAAGCGTTGAACCTTTCTCCCCTGTCGTCGGTGTTACTGCCACCATCATCCTCGTCGGCGGAGCAGTTGCGAACTGCGCCGCCGGCATTTTGGGCGCTGGTATGACGTTGCAACTCGCCGCTTTCATGCTCCATCTCATCGGCGGCCTCGCCGGTTATGGGATCATGCGTGTGTTCAAGTACAGTGAAACGACTTGTAGAACGGTCGCTATCGAAACCGCGATGAAGTCGAGCGCCTTTGGCTTTTTGCTTGCGTCTCTCCACTTCCCGGAGTACCTCGTGCGCGTGCCCTCGGCGGTTTCCGTCGTTTGGATGGCGGTGTTAGGGAGCACCATGGCGGTGATCTGGCGATTCATTCCGGTTCCGGATGAAAACTAAGACGGATATCTTGCTTTTAGACGATGGTCGACGAAGCTTGGTAATATTCGCAAATCCGTCGTCGCGGGCGCAAGCGTAGAGATGTAAATCTTCGTACAGTATCATTTACAAGACGAATCATCCCGTCCCATATTATTAATCGTATCGAAACGCGACGGAACGCGTACGCGCTCGCGCGGGCGCCGAGACTCGCGCGGGCGCCGAGACTCGCGCGGGCGCCGAAACGGCGGAACGGGAATCCAGTCTCATCGCGCGCGCGCGCGCCAGGGTTTAGCGAGGCGGCGGCCCGCGCCCGCGGCGGTGCTTGGGCGGGGGCTTGAGCGCCTTGAGCACGGTGACGACGCCATTCAAACAACCCCTCTTGTACGCGTACCCCCACATCGCGGCGCAGAGCGCGATTGACCACAGCGGAGCGTCGCACACTCGCGGCGCCACGTACGAAGCCGCGGCGAGTCCGAAGACGCCGACGACGACTGTTTTTATCAAACGCAACGCTCGCACGGCGAGCGCACCGAGCGCGCCGAGCGCTATGAGTGCAAACACCGTCACGTGCACGCGATAGACGTTCACAAACACCGTGGGGATGAAATTCAAAACCTTTGGCACGCGAAACCACGTTCCAAACGCGCCGAGGAAATGCCGTCCATCGCGCGTCGTGCGCGCGATGGACGCGATGATGACGTCATGCACGCCGTACGTCGGTTTCCTCAGGCGTAACGCGTGTGACAAGCCGTAATTGCTGCACACCCGTCCCTGCGTGCGCATCACGAGCGCGTCGAGCGCCGAACGCTCGACGAATTTACCCTCGACGCAGGCGCCGTGAAACGTCTCCGCGCTCGGATTCGTACACGCGCATACGCACAGCGCGATGACGACGACGCGCGCGCGCGCGTCTCGTAAACGATCCACGACGTCATCGATCGCGCGCCGCGCCCGTCTCACGGCATCGTTCGCCATCGCTCGCGCGTCAGGCGCGGTCGACATGGTGAACGCCAACCGTCGTCGGCGCGCGGCGAAAAGTGCGGTGACGTCGCGATCGCGTCGGGATTGCGTCGCGCGATTCGCGCGATGACGAGAACGCGCGACGACGACGACGCTCACGATGACGACGACCGGCGCGGTGCTCGCGCGCTCGTCGACGACAGCGGCGCGCCGAACGTGTTCGAGAACGACGACTACGTCGAGCCGACGCCCGAAAGCGACGAAGCGTTGACGTTCACCGTGCGCGGCGGACGCGCGTCGACGACGGCGATGTCGTTGAGGGCAACGTCGATGACGTCCACCGCGGTGGACAAAGACGCACCGTACAACACGCACATCGCGAGCAATCACGACGGGACGTCCTGCGCCGTCGCGACGACTTCGGGGCGCGTGCGCGTGTACGCGAGAGAGCGCGCGACGGGTGCGTTCGCTCACGGCGAACGCGAAATCAGGCTGAACGCGAGCGTGAATGAGTGCGAGTTCGGATCGGCGGCGGATCCATTCTCAATCGTGTGCGCGTGCGGCGATGGCACGACGCGCGTGTACGACGCGCGGTCGCAGGACGACAGACCGACGGCGAGCTTTAGGGCGCCGTTTAACGAGCGAGACGTCGCGAGCGCATCGCTCGGTGGTAGTGCGTCAGACTTCCTCGTCGCCACCGCGGTGGGTCCGCACGTGGCGTTTTACGATCGTCGTCAGCAAGGTAACGCGTCGTTGTTCCAAGACGCGCACTCAGAGGCGGTGACGCGAGTAAGATTTCACCCCGAGAGACGAAGTGAATTGTATACATCCAGCGTCGACGGTTTGGTGTGCGCGTTCGACTGCGCACATACGCCTTTGAACGATGAAGAGTCTTTGATCAGCGTCATGTCCGCCGAAGCGGCGGTGAATAATATCGGCTTTTGCCGCTCCGGCTCCAGCGGCGACGCGCGCGACGCGCTCTGGTGCGTCACGGGCGTGGAAGACGCGCACATATTTGTCGCATCGAGCGACAGGCGACGGGTGGGAGTGCACTTGGTTCACTTAAAGAACGCGCGAGAGTTGGTGCGAACCGCGGCAACGTCGTCTCCAGAAGTCTCGGCGTCGGCGCCCGAGTTTGCCGCGCAAGTCGATTACGTATTGGGTATTCACGACGGCGTCGCGCCCGGCGAACTGTTCCTCTCCGCTGGTACGCAAAGCGGTGTGGTTGGCATTTTCCCGCTCGTACAAGGGTCGCCGTCGATGCGCGGAACGAGTGCGTACGTCGGTCTCGGCGCTCCCGCAGCCGTCCTCAGGCGCGGTCACCGCGACATCGTTCGCTCGATAGTTTGGGATGCGAACGCGACGGCGAGCGAATCCGCTCGAGTGCCCGCCACGGTCGGCGAGGACGCGTTGGTCTGCGCGTGGACACCAGACGTGGGGAATGAAGAGCGTCCTCCCGTTGACCGTGCGCGTCCGCCCGGTCGTCGACACTCGCCATATTAGCATGTAAAACGTACCCAGCCAGGTGTACACGAAAAACGGCTCTCGGGCCAGCTGTCAAGTTGACAAAAAACCCGCGTGTTGACAGTGTCAACACGCGGGTTTTTTCTCTTCTTCGCCGACGCGCGACGACGCCGCACACGGAGGTGCGAGCGGCATCGTCTCGCCGACGTCAACGCGGCGTGGGCGTGCGTGTTTGACGCGCACGACTCCGTCGTTTCGTCTTCAATCGCGCGCGTCGTCGTCGTCGCGCGAGCGCGACGCGTGCGCAGCCCTCGAACGGATATCGTCTCGGTATTCGCGAACGAGCGAGCGACACGTGCGTCGATCGGCGCTGGTGAACGCGTGCGAGCTCGCGGTACGACATGGATGGATTCGAGGACGATGTTCGCGCCGGGCTACCGCCGAAACAACCGAGCGACGCCGCGAAAGACGCGAAGGCCCATCGCTCGTGGATCAGTCGCGTGGGGACGTGGGGGTCGGACTTGGTGAACGCCGTCGGCGATGGATTAAATTATTTGGCCGGATACGATGAGCTCGAGGTCACCGAGGGTGGTGAGGAAGCGCACGCGGGCGAACACACCGAAGTCGACGCGGTGGATGACAGAAAGGCTATGTGGGGTCAACTGAAGGATATGCTAGGGAGCGACATCATGTCAATGTTTAGCCTTCCCACATTCTTGATGGAGCCCGTTTCGACGTTACAAAAAATGGCGGAAATCATGCAGTACCAGCGGCTGCTCGAGGAGGCGAACGAGGAGGAAGACGCAGACGTGCGGCTGGCCAAGGTGACGGCGTTCGCCGTGGCGGTTTACAGCACGATGGAGAGAGCGAAAAAACCATTCAATCCCATCTTGGGCGAGACATTCGAGCTTAAGATGAACGACGGTAGCACTTATTTGGCAGAACAAGTGAGCCACCACCCGCCAATCGGCGCTGGGCACGTCAAGACGAAGAGTTTCACGTACGATATCACGAGCGCAGTGACCACAAAATTCATGGGTAATTGGGTGGATGTTTTCCCGGTCGGTCGCACCCGCATTACGCTTCACAAGACTGGTGAGACCTTTAACATCGTTCCGCCGTCTTCTCGAGTGAATAACCTCATCATCGGCCGTATCTGGATTGATACGTTCGGTGAGATGAAGGTCATAAATCTCACATCTGGCGCCGTCGCCGAGCTTGACTTCAAGGCGTGCGGTATAATGAGCTTTGCTCGATACGTGTGCTCTGGCGTGATCAAACGTCCGGATGGCACGACCGCATTGAACGTTTTCGGGCACTGGAACCGGGATTTAAGTTACACGCGCGCGGGTGAGGATGAGGATGAGAAAGTGCAGCTCTGGCAAGTGGACGAATGGCCAGTGCCGGCGAACAAGTACGGATTCCCGACGTACACAATCAAGATGAACGAAATGGCGAGTGCACCCGATTATGGGTTGTTAGCATCAGATTCTCGTTTGCGCCCGGATCGCGTGGCGTTGGATGAAGGTGATTCCTCGGCGACTTCCTTGAAGACGCAACTCGAGGAGAAGCAACGCGCCGAGCGACGAACGCGCAAGGAGAAGGGCGAAGTGTGGACCCCGCGGTGGTTCAAGAAGGCTGAGCATGCCGACTTACACGAGCTCGAAAAGGACGTCGGCACAGACGTTTGGGAATTCAACGACGACTACGATTCAAAGAAGCCGGAGGGCGTGCCGACAAAGTTCAGCCCTTGGCAGTATCCCGAGTTAAATTAGTCTCCACGTTTCATCACACAAACTCTACTCATTTCAACTTTATCGCGGTAGCTTCGGAAACTTCGAAACCGAAAAGTCATCTGCAGTCGTTCTCGGCATCGTCGAATGACGTTTGACCGAACTCATAAAGTTGCGCCTTAAGACACCGGACGCCGCCTTTGACACGTTCACCACGACGCGCCGCGTTTGATCTGAAGCCGCGTTCGTGACGTCCCGACCGAACGACGTCAGTTGTTTCGAACCTAGAATAGAAATTTCTGGTTCTCGAAGCTTGAGCACGAGCGGTTTGTGCTTGCTGAACCGCGCTCGCTTTGCCGCAGACATTGTCTTTTGAAATCCCCCGGCGCGCTTTAGCGCTCGACTCGACGTGGATTTTGCCACGGTGCTGCTCGCATTGAGCTCTGTTTTCGCTAACGCATCGCTGATTATCTTCACCGAGACTTCCTTTTGCTTGAGATCGTGAATCTTCCATCGAATCCGACGAGCGATCTCGTCAGCGCGGCGAGCTTTATCTTTGCCCGTTTTGCGCATCGCCAAAGCGTCCATCGGCGTTCCCGCTGGTTGCGCAGGAGGAAACCTTTGCGCGCGAGCAAATGCGCGTGCACGAGCGAGTGCGCGTTCCACGAATTGCACGACATCGCTCGATGTCACGTTTTTCGTGACGTGCGCGTCGACTGTACTCGGTATCGTCATTTGTGCCTCTTCGTGTTCTCGCTCTCGCGCGCTTCTCGCCTCCACGCGCGCACCAAACACGTGCCTCTCCATCACGAGCGCCATCTCTGCGTCTTCTAAGGTGTTCTGCCATCCGTCCATGAGGACGTTTATATCCATCGCCCGCAACCTCACGCTGAGGAAGCGAGCGACGTCTTCGCCCGTCGCCTCGACGCCTGTCGCCTCGACGCTTTCGCGGCGCCGCGGTTTGACACCGCGCGCGCGTCGTTGCATTCGCACATCCCGTCCTAACGCGTGTTCTGGTCTCTCGCGCGTCGTCATCGCGAGCGTCGACCGGCGCGACGCCCGCCGCGGCGCGCACACCGCGCTCGCGCGCGTCGCCGCGGCACCGCGCACGACTCGCGTAAAGTGCTCGCGCGGTGACAAATCGAACAGCGTCGACGTCGACGCTTCGGCGTGCGTCTCCGCGCGCGCGTTCGACGACATCGAGTCCTCGCTTCGATGCCTCGCTCGTCCTCGCCGTCGTCGTCCGTCTTCGCCTCGGTCGGCGACGCGCCGTCGCGCAATGCGGACGCGCGAGCGTTCCCCTCGGTCCGTGCGTCACGTCGCGTCGCGGCGCGCGGTGACGCCATGACGCCCGCACGAGGACGACGGCGAGGCGTCGACGCGAGCGCCTTTTCGACCGTCGACGCGAAACCGTTGCCGCGAATCCTTCGCGATTGGGCGCGACATCACGTCGAGCTCTTCGTGCGCGACGGCGACAGCGACGCGCACAGCATCGTCAGCGATTACGACGGGAACGCGCTCAGCGTCGACGCGCGCCGAGCTGTGCACGAAGAAGCGCGAAGGCGAGGCGTCCGCGCGAGAAGCGAAGAGCACTCTCGCGACGGTGGAGCGAAAATCGTGACGCTGCGGCGCGGCGACGATGCGACGGATGCGACGAGTCGCGGCGAGGAAGAGGGCGTCGACGACGCCGACGACGCCGACGACGAAGCGTTCGCGAGGTGGACGGAGGCGTGCGGGTACGAGGACATGAGGGACGAGCCTTTCGATTTATACGCCGAGCTGAAAATTTCAAAAGAGAACGCAAATCCGGCCGGCCGCGCGCGGGCGGCGTACCATCGCGAGGCGATGAAGTGGCATCCCGATCGCTTGTTAACGAACGGCGGGTCCGCGGGTTTCTGCGACGCTTGCCAAAGCGTGCTTAGGTTTAATCGCTGGCATCGCGCTCACGAGCGAGGCGAGCGAGGACGAGACTTTTGCGCGCACTGCGTCGCGACGTCGAAGCGATCGATCGCCGGTCGCGAATGGGATAGAAAACACAACACCGCTCCGCTCGTCGTCGACGGCGAGAGCGTGGTCGTCACGTGCTTGGACGATTTAGCGTCAGAGCGTGCGACGTACGAGTCTCGCATAGAGAGTGGGCGCACGAAAGCAGCGACGGCGTGTCGAAAGCTGCAGCGTTTGGGCATCGCGTTCTCGGTGTTAAAGGACCGAGAACGCTTCGAGGTATATCGCGATCACGGGTATACCGGGCTCGTGAAATCGGAGCGGCACGCAGAGGTCGACGTGTTTGACTTGGATGGGTTCTCTGTGTACGATTCATTTTTCGCGGGCGAGAACGAAGATGATAGGCAATATTTGTTGCTTTGTCCAGACGCCGAGAGCGACGACGACGCTGAGGACGCAAACGTCGACGCGGCAGCCGACGACGACGACGCCGAAGATGAAGTCCAGGCATTGCTCGCGGAAAATAAGGAAGCCGTTGAATCTGCTCCGAAGAGGCGTCGAAATGACGACGACGTTGATTTTCCGTTGGCGCCCATAGCCGTGCGCGTCGCGGGCGTCGCAGACGCACACACGAACGATAGCACCGCAGCAGATCCGTGGGCCGAACTTGCGAAGCGCATAGGTGAATAATATAAGCGCGCAAAGTGATAGGAACATCCGTCCGGTACCGCGTCGCGCGCTTTCACACAGATTTCCTCACGAAACGCGGAGTAGTATACTTTTAGTGATTTGATACTTAAAATGCGTATATATCGACGGTTCATGACTCGTCATGCGTGCAGGGACTCTCCCAACCCGTCATACATAAATTTTTCCCAAGGACAGTCGGTCGAAGAAGGGGGACCATTCCTCTTTTATTGTGGTACAAAATTTGCCTCGCGGAGGGTATCGGGGGAGTCGTGGTCAAATCCACGAGCTCACCAGCATGAAAACCCAAGGAGCTTGCGGCCGTTCGGGGTTCCGAACGCCTGGACTGCTCTGTCGATGGCGGCGTCCAACTCGGGGGTCAAGTGCACGTTAAGAGACGAGCATCTGGTGCAAGAGGCTTGTTTGTTCCAATTCGTTGAATCCGCGAGTGTAATCTGAAGCGTACTTCCGCCCGTGTACGAGAGCACGTCGCTCGCCGTCGTCTTCACGATGACGGACGTATCCTGGACGACATCAACGGATTGCACGCGTCTGTGATACAACGTGTCATCATTTGCCGAGCCGAAACTGATGGTGGCCAGATTCGCCGCGACATCGCCGGGCGCGAACGCCAGGGTCGCCACCGGTATAGAGATCTCGTTCGTGTTCACGCTTTTTTTAGGGTTTAGGGTTTAGGGTTTAGGGTTTAGGGTTTAGGGTTTAGGGTTTAGGGTTTAGGGTTTAGGGTTTAGGGTTTAGGGTTTAGGGTTTAGGGTTTAGGGTTTAGGGTTTAGGGTTTAGGGTTTAGGGTTTAGGGTTTAGGGTTTAGGGTTTAGGGTTTAGGGTTTAGGGTTTAGGGTTTAGGGTTTAGGGTTTAGGGTTTAGGG